GTTTTGTGGGGTCTATGAATGGCACGGGGATTTTGACAGTGCGCGCCGCGTCGGAACCGTGGAAGCATCATCCAATAATGAATCGTGCCTGCCTGCCCGGCTTGCCGTAGCTTGGCACCCGGCAGCTTTCTCGCACGTTGCTGTCTCGACATGTCACAACATCTTGAGCAACACCAGTGTATTCTACAGCTAACCCAACCGACAAACAGGCTGGTTGGAAGTCTACAACTTGTGCTCGAGAAACACATGGCAGGTATATCATCTCACATCAGACAGTTGCGTGTTCTGCCTGGACCCTGAAGGATTTATTACCGTGTTCACCCTCAGCAAGCCTTGTGCACCCTGGCTCTTTGCTAAGCATTATCTATTGTCAGAGCAGTCAGTCTCGACTTTTGGCCATGCTCGGATTCCATATTTATTGTCTGGCCGTGTTGATGCTCGCTTCCCCATTATGCAGCGTGCAGAACCACATCCAAGCTTTATTCGGTGTCTTGCGAATTCGAGAAGAGTGCGATCTCGTGCAGAATCGAAACGAGACCGTGCCAACTTCGCGTGTCTATGTCTCCTTAGACTCGATGCCCTTGCGACCAGTGGTCCGGGCTCCTCGACAGTAACAGTAAACTCAACTCTGACCCGCGTTTCATCAATTCATGGCTCGTGCTCGAAAGCAGCGACACTTCCAAACCAGAACCTCTGAACATTCTGTCAGTTGTTTCCGAACTATTCTCAGCTACAATTAGGTATACTGAATTCCAGCACTGTGCTCCTCAGGAGAGGTCAAGGGTTCTCAAACGACTGAGCTAAATTCGACATATGCTTGGGCCAGCGCTGACTCTAACAGACCGAGCACTTACCATGCGACTGACAAAGGCCCAGAGTCTGCTTCTGTGTAGGTTCTGCGTGGCGGTTATTTGTCAATTCAACGGATCGTAAGAGGCGCGTTGACCTTGCATAGAGCAAGATTGTTTATGACACCCATATCAAGCCTCATGCGACCAACCGAGATGTGCATGGGTAGGACGGTATATCACGATTGGCTTCAATGTCGACTGAAGCAAAATGAGTGGACTGGCAGATCACGCAGCAGATCTCCGAGAAATGGATGATTGTCGTCTTTGTTCGTCATTGACTTTCTAGCTCTTCCTCGTCCGTTGAACTTCACGTGAAGTCGCATTATCCCGCAACAATATCGCGCAACCATATCTGTTAAACCAAAATTGAGGTTGAGAGCGCAGACTTTGCAGGGGAAAATGCACAATGACTCGAAGTCGAGTTCTAAGCGTCATCGTTCTGGCCTCGAGCCGCATACAAACGTATTGACACCAGGGAGACCCTGACTTGTAGCCCAACCACACCTCTAAATGTCAAGTCAAGGTCGGCTACAGTAACTACACTACTTGCAGAACAGAGCTATCAGCCGAGCACGTCTCTAGATACTGATTGTTGGGTCAGAGGTTGTACGAGGTAACAAGCGGTCAGGACAGTGCTCGATATCGCATGCTCCAGCACGTGGCAGGTGACCTTGGAATGCAACACGCTCCTCGTTGGAAGGTCGTACACGATCATATCACGGCATCATAGAATGGACCTTCTCACGTTTTCATGGACGCAGTGCAACCTCAGGGACCCGAAACATAGGAATGCGGGTTCTCTTATATCGCTCTGGGACCGACTCAATAGCACAGGCACGAGGCGTGTCGTGCAACACACCATGCGAGTGGAATCTGGTATGCTGGATGCCGTGCTCGGTACTATGACACGCGCACGCGCGTGCCTTCTGTGTGAGGATTCACTGCGCTGGCATTGATCTATTTTGGGCTGCTCACCTCGGTGGACATACTTGAAGGCATTGAGCTGTATTCCCAAACCGAATCCAGTATACGACAACGATGGATGCTCGTACTTGCAGCTTTCGGGTATTTTCCTCAAATTGCTACACATCCATATGTACCTCACTCATGCATATAGATCAGCGGATTATTTATGAGGAGGATCAATCCATTAGGCTGTGCGACCGCTGATCGCTGAGACCGTCATCTCAAGTAACTCATCTGCAATGCCTCGTAAAGACTTAGTAGGATGTCAACCCAATATTAGAGAGAAAGGGGCGGCTTTGACGAACACGAGCCAAGGAGAGGGGAAATGGTATTCGAGAAGGGCAGACGTAGCCAGCTGTAAGCACCACCAACATCGAGGATCCCTTTCGAGCGTCTGCAGGTTACTGGTAGGAGGATTTCAACAAATGAAATACGAGCATCCGCTGCTCTCTTGGCATGACAGCTGCTGAAGAGGAAAGCCTGATTGGAGACGTACCAATACTTGGCTTAATGAAGGCCCATCCATTGCTTATCCGCCGGTACAGAGCAAGGTACATGCATATAGCCTTATGCATATGCGGGTAAAGGCGATGATTCCCTGCTCATCCCCGTGAAGCATGCGATTGCAAGCCAGCTCAGCGAGATGTCAGCAATTCGCCAAATCAATGAAGGCATGTTATCACTGCCTAGAATGTGTTGTAAGCGTTCGATAGGTTACCAGAAAAAAAAGGGGGTCGAGTAAGCGACCAAGACTGGAGAAAGGGCAAGGGACGCCGGACATTTTTGTCGAAGGAATGTCGTGTTGCGCAAGCAGGTTTGGATTGTGGCTTGTGGCCAGCTTTCTGCTTCCGGGCGAAAGCAAGCGTGCCCGGTTCGTTTGGAAGCACAATATGTTTTTGCTGACATGTGCAAAGGCAGATATGCATAGCGTGGACAATATCAGCTCGAGGTGACGACCATTTGTTGTTTGTTGAGGACAGGTGGTCGGCGCGCGCTGCGGCACGTTAGACTTCCGCGAAGCTCTCCGCAGATCTCTTGTGTTTTGTTTGGCGGAGAAATGCTCCATCACCAAGACCGAAAGACTAATCAGCTAAGGCTTCTCGACTAGTTTTCAAATATTCGCCGGTTGAAGATCACCTTGGTGTAAAATCTGGTAGAAACAGATCTATCGTGAGCCGGTTGCCGTGAGCCGTTTCCGGCTCTTGTAGGGTCATCTAGACGTAAACGCTCCTTCCACCCAGAAGACGATACCGTTTACGGCTCGTGGACAAACCCAGGCACGCCCTCGTTTGTTAGCATGTTTGCCATGTTTATGCGGCTGAGAAGCACTGGCTTATTTTGAAAATGCTCCACAATCTCGGCTGAGGTGCCCTCGAATGGCGAGACTCGAGAGCGAAGTGTAAGTTATGCTCAATCCCTTATGGACGACACATGAGGGATTCTTGGGGACAGGGTTCTCGCCTTTGCATGAACTGTTGAGCTTCAAGTGATTTGTGTTCGTATGATAGCGGAAGGCTGAACCAAGCTATGTGTCTATGAGCGAAGGGGCTTTTGCCGGAGTGTTTTGGCTCAGCTCTTGTGGTTGGGTTGATCAGATACAAGGGGATTGTAGCGCGCTGGAGTGTACAAGGGAGTCCCTGCGTGTGCGGAGCATTCGACTTCAGCATTGTTCAAGGAGATATTGCACTTGGCGACCAACAATCGGCGATCGGGTTTCTTTTGACCTTTACCCCAGAGTTGATGTCGACACGAAACATTAGAGCCTCTTCATTTGACGCCGGAGCTTTTTGCGACGACATGCCAGTAACAACAACGTTGAGAAAACGGATGTTCATCAACGGTGGAGTGGTGAAAGTGTATCTTTGGACACACCCGATATAGACTAGTCCAAAGCTTGGCCGGAGATCTCTTGGGAAATCCTTGCACGCCTTGATGAAGGACGACCCCGGCGGCTGAGGCCTGACTAGCAGATCTAGAGTACGCTAGTAAGATATAGTGGCTATGCCGTAAGCACTTCTGAATGGCTCACGGAAGATAAATCTACAGCCCTGTTGGTTGTATATGTTCACCGTGCTACAGGGGCAGGTACAAGCAAGATCGTCGGATTACTGGATGATGTTGCTCAGGCTGCCCTTGAACGACCAGGTGTCACTGTCGAGGACTGTTTGTACAGAGATCGTCATTGCGCAGACGCACGAGTGCATCACCATTCCACGATGTATGCTCCGTAAAGTTCCATCGCGTCACGAGAAGGTACAAACGGCTCATGACAGAGTGGGGATTGAGAGAGCTTCCGGGGTGCTGCAGGAAGATCGAGCTGCACGTTAGCTGCTCTGCTGCAAATGCCATGCTAGATCCAATCTCTCCGACTGTCGCTTGGATAGTGGCTGATCTGGCGCTCCGTCAAAGGCTCGCACGAATTTGATATTTGGCTACGGCTCCGCTGTGCTACCTTAAACGCGATGTGCTTTCCTGACCTGACTTATGCTGACGCCATGATTGTACAGCGCAGGCCTCGACCCGACGACAGAGCAATATCTATATACGGAGTGGACGCGCCGAGCTTGGCGGGCGTATGCCATAAGCGGCAGCGTTGTGCAGGAAGGTTGACCGTTTTAGGTCTTATCATAGAACACCCGATTGGACTCAAGTCGAACCGCAGTGCCAAGCGCATTCAGATCCGTCTGCTAGGGTCTTGAAGGTGGGTAGGAGAATTTGGAGGCGGGCTGACTCGTGCATACGTTCGACGATAATGGGGCGGTTGGCGTGCGTCGTAGTGTGTGTCTCCGACTGGGGCTTATGCTTTGAGCCCGCATGAAACCATACGAAACGTCGCCCATGATAGCTTGATTATGCACCAAATGCGTTCCGCCCCTGGGACCATATGCCTCGCTTCGCTGGTACTCTAGTCGACAAGTCATGATGTGTCAAGGATCCGCAACCAGCCCCGAGCTCCATGCTCCTCGCCCAGCAGCTTTTAATAATACCATCAGTGTATCCAACTCAGTCAGGCTGGTCCAACACATTAGTAGCACCTCATCTGCTCACCTCTCGCTCTCACTTCTTACCTTTTGTCTCTTTTCTCCTTCTCATATCTTCTGACCTTCCACATTCTAATCTCCTTCGCTTATCATTGCATGTCCGCGTTACCATTGGCACTCTAATTTACCCCTTCGTCTCACAATGGTTTTCTGCACATATTGTGGTCACTCGTTCACCAGGGACGAACATCTCGAAAGACATATTCTCACCCGTATGGCCAATGGTTATGTTCTCCAGAGATGGACCCTTGCTGACCATCTTAGACACAAACGTTAAGCCTTTCAAGTGTTTCACCTGCCACATGTCATTCGCCAGACGGTAAGCCGCATACTGCTTGGCAAGACATTACAGAACTCAGGCTAATTCCATCTCTAGCGATCTCCTTCAAAGACATTACACAGTCCATGGCCGGGACCAAAACCAAGAGATCATCCCTGCTGCCAACGGCATGATCCCCAAGTCAGCCGGCAGAACACCGATTGCATGCAGCAACTGTGCCAAAACGAAGACGAAGTGCGACAAGAAGTTCCCTTGCAGTCGCTGTGCGGGACGTAACCTTCGTTGCACTCTCCGTCCTACTCGTCGCTCATCCAAGAATGCAAACCGCATGGGCTTGATCACAGCCGAGACCATTGCCAGTGGTGTTGCCAATGGTATCCTTCCTCCAGACCAGACTGTCGCTGCTGAGGCCGCCCCCATGCCTGTTGGCTCTCCAAAGTCGGCCGAGAAACACATGCACCAAAAGCCTTCGAGTCCAGGCTCTGGCGTCCCTACAACCATTCCCGAGGAGAAGATTATGAAAGATACCTCTGCTCAATACTTCGAGCAACCAATGTCTAATGGCCACACGTCTCCTGCTCAACAGATTTCACCTCTGGCTACTCCTGACTCAGGATTCATCCAAGGACACATGCCTACTTACGAGGACTTTATGAACGGTACCAAAGAAGACGATGCCAACCCTCGCTTCATGCTTGACTGGGGCCAAATGCCTATGCCTATGGGCTTCGATCATATGGCTCGTGCAGACTTGATGCTTGACCCCAGCATGGGCTTCGACCCGACTCAGTTGTCACTGATGCCACCTACTGAGAACACCCTTACCATCATTCCCGAGATGGCCAGTGCCGGTGCCCCCTTGATCACTCCTATTGAGACACCAAAGGTCGAGCGATCATTCGCCGAAATGGATCTTGGTAACTCAAACAACATGTTCTATGCTCATGCCAGACATATGTCGACGGCGTCAATGATCTCAAACGATGGGCAGGACATTAGAGCTGTCATCGCTGCTCAGGACGGATGGAACGTATTCAGATGTACACCCACCATCCCCTCAAGCTCGTGTCCAACCACCGCCAAGATCAACCTCGAATGTCTGGAGCAGACACTCAAGAACCACGAGGGATGGAGCACATGGACTCCCACCTGGGACGAAGCCGACTTCGCTGGTGGTGAGAACCTGGCTGTCATGCAACTTCATGAAAGCACGCGTGACAAGCTCCTCGCCATCACCCAGACCTTTCTCCACAAGGCTCTCGAAACTCACAAGGAAGGTCAACAAGGTGGTCAGTCTCCGATGTCAAACGGTGGCTCAAACTTCGTTCTTCTGCCCCCAGCCAGAGTCCTCGAGTACTTTCTTCGATCCTACGCCAATGGCTTCGAGAGATATTATTCGTTGACGTCTCGAGGCATTCTCGATGCCAATGAGTTGATGCATTGTTACAACGACAAGGCCTCTAGCCTGTTGGTTCTGATGATGATCGCCCAAGGATCAATGAACATCAGCTCTACTGAGGCCAGATGGCTTGCCGGCGGTCTCACCGAAGCTTGCCGCATCTCGCTCTTTGATCTTATCGAGCGTAACATCACGATGGCTGGCGATCCAATTGCTCTACACTCTGCTCTCCTCTTCACTTCTCAGGCGGCTTGGAGTGGAGACAAGTGGCAGATGGATATCGCCATGGGACAGCGAAGCATGTACTTCCACATGCTGCGACACTCTGGTGTTTTGGACGGCAGATCATTCTCTTCACCTCACATCGACCATCAAGGCAATGCCGACTCTCTGTGGACCGAATGGATCCAGCATGAGAGCCGCAGCAGACTTGTCTACTCCTGGGTCATGATTGATCAGGATCTTGCACTCTTTCATGATACCGCCCCGCTATTCTCTGTGACTGAGTTCGGTGCTCCAATGCCTGACTCTGACCGCTTGTGGCAGGCTAAGAGCGCTCCTGAATGGTCACAGATCTTCGAGCAGGTACATGAGTTCTCCGGTGGCTACTCCTCCCTCGGCTCGGGTGCCCGCCCCATGTCCCTGCACGATCTATTCCGTCACTTCTTAGATGACGAGATGGCTTCGCTTGGCATCGGAATGACGCCTCTTCAGATGAGGTTACTATTACACCCTCTTCAGTCTATGGTCTGTCACTACGGTCAGCTTATGAGCTGTTTCTCCGATTCGCTCTCCTCACGCAACAAGACACGCACTGTCACTGCATCATCGACTAGATGCCGTCTAGAAGAAGTCCAGTCGCTGCTTCAACGCTGGTACGATATGGCCGACCGCTATCTTAAGGTCAACCCTATCTGTGCTGTCATGCAAGCCAACCTTGTCATATTCCATCTCATCAGCCTCAATGCAGTGACCAACTTTTCGGAGATCGAGCGTCTGGCCCGCCGTGAAGGTTTCGACGGCACCTACCAGCAGTTGGTCTGGACCCACAAGCGATGTATCGCCGATGTTGAGGAAGCCGTCTTCCACTGTGGTCAAGTTCTACGCATCATCCGTTCTATGCCCCGCGGCGTGCGTCCTCCATGGTGGGCCGGCGCAATCTACCGCGCGGCTCTTGTGTTGTGGACTGACAGTCTCATCAACAAGGAGACCCCTGCAGCAAACGCTTCTGGAGGCTTCCCCTCGCCGGGACCTACCTTTGCAATTGATGCTTTGCCAGTTGATCATCCTATGGTCGTTCGCTTCTTGAGCAAGCGTGTAGGTCAACCTGCTCTCAGCAAGAGGGACGGTACTCACATTCCAATGGACCATGGTGTCACTGTCCTTGCTCACTGTATTGAGATCATGGACGAAGGCACTTCCAACAGGTTTGTTGATGGTGTCCGCAACAAACTTGATCGTTTGATGAGAAGCTAAATGCTCTCATCTCATGTTTTACGACCTTTTCTTCCCTGTCTTTGTCCAAAATAGATGGCCTTGGTGTTTTAGGCGTTGGTGGGCCTCGTGTCTTGTATTTTTTCCTGTTTTTTGTTTGTTGTTTTGACGATAATGTCTTTGATACCAGATGGGTGGTAATCCCTCGGACCGCAAGGGAAGCGGTCAATGGCGTTTTGTTGTCCTTTCCAATGTTCTGTTTCTCTTCTTCCAGGTAGACCTTGATGCAACATATCCAAGTTGATCTTCCTTGAACTCCTTTCCCCTCCAGTGCCTTCATCTTCTCCCTTGCGTCTGATCATGCTCCATCTCATCTCCTCCCCCTCTTGCATAAGCTATCCTCTGTTTGATGTCCCACAGCAGTATCCCTTTTCGCTTCAGATTCGTGTTGTCGAGGTCATCTGTCGATTTGATCACCACAACAGGTGTTTGAGAAGAAAACAAGCAACTCACAAGTCTCTGAGAAAGGGCGACTTTATAACCACTTCCACGATCGGACAAACCAACATTGTCCGGTGCATGGATCATCAGATTTTGGTTTCTTTCACTCTGACACAGTGTGACGGCCGGTGTTGAAAATAGCAGATCAAACCAACAATGTCCGGAGGTGCACTTCGGAGGTGAGGAGGTCTCGTGTCTAGTATGGTGATCCGGAGTCTGGAGATGGAACAGACCACCTGATCTCAAACCACAACACTGCACTGCACTGCGACTGCCGCCATGCTCTGCTCAATGTGTCTTAAGCTACAGGTAGTATTGAAGGCGATATTGCCATCTGTATTGTTGTGCTGCCTATGCTATCTGAGAAAGCTGTCGAGCTCCTGGGTACGTGATATCTGTACATGTTGCTATTTTGCTCTGCCGGACGGACAACGTCCTTAGCATGCTTTCCCTCCTGCATCTCCTGAAACAGTGTTTCTGATCTCCTAGCTCTTCGGATGTATCGCGTTTGATAGTCGGATTCTGTGAGCCCTTCACCTAAATGCTTGAATAGCATCTCCACTACCCCGTGGAGTCCCGCAAAAAGATCATCAATATGGTGTTGGAGCAGGTTTTCCTACGCGTAGACGTAACGACGATACTCTGAGGCCTCATCCAGAGCTCCGATAGCAATCCATTGGTTATGGCGCTGGTGATGAAGGTTCCAGGAATAGCTGCTGCAGCGGACTGAGCGGGCAGCCGATATGTATCCGGAGCTATAATCACTCTGCATGATGCATGAAGTGCACAATTTTATCCAGAGAAATATGCAACGAGCTCAAGTAGAGTGTGCTTGCTGCAAGTCAGCGTGAAGGAATAGCAGAAGGCCGCGCAATTGTACGTCTGAACAAAAATGCCTTGCAAAACAGCTTACAAGAGTATGCAAGAGGCTGTGTTACTGAAGCTGACAAAAGACCCTGCCACCCCAGGCACAATCTGTTGCTGATTCTCAAGATTTCCAAGGTTCAGTAAGGTCACCTGAGCGTGGTACAGTATCACGTTAGGCGAACATGTTCTCTTTCACTACAGCTAACCAGGGTGATGGTGGTAGTTATTGCTTGGCTCATCCATGCCACGCTGCTGACAAAACAGTACATGCTGTGTCCTCAGCGCTTTCAGTACCATCAAGGTGGAGAAACTCAACAATCTGCTGTAGCATTGCCCTTTTTCATGATGCTCTGGCGAGACCCTCGCGCCGGCAATGGTACCGGTGCTTCCACGACACGAGAAGGAAGCGGCACTTTGAGGCTTGGTCGGCTCGCCTCGAGAGAGCTGAAGCTCAGGAATGCAGATACGAACGCCCGTAAGCAACTCAGGAGACCAAAATCAATAGCGCCTAGCAGGAATCCAGACGACGCAAAAGAGGGGCACAAACAGACAAGCCTCTCAATATTTTGATGCAAGCAACAATAACAAGCGCCCAAAAAGCCATCCTGCTCCTTCATCCTCCTCAACGTCCGAGCCGTGCGACGTGCAAACAAACTTCGGCCTTGGCAAGGTGCAGATAGGAAGATCGGACTGGACCGGTTTACCCCACAGATCACGAAACGGAGCCGCGAAACGGACCACGATTCGTCTTTTGAGCTAGGAGGCTTGTCCGTAGTTGGCAGACGACACGGCCACTACTGCCCGTCCCAGTTTTGGAACCAATCTGAAGCACGAAAGTCTTTTGCCGCACGATAATTCTCCGACAGCCCCACGGCTAAACTTGGACGTTTCGTAACAGACCTGATGCATCAAGTATTTCTGGAATGCTAAGGACAACAAGAGGCACGAATACTTGGCTTGTGAACACACCGCTTCAGATGACTGGAGTCAAGTACAGACGTCTCAACACAGGGTTGTAAATCAGCGAGGTGGACGTATCTAAAGTTTCACCAGCTGTTGCAGTGGTGAGGTAGACGACTGTCTTCGGGAGCATGGGTGCTTTACGACACTTCGGCAATGATCGCCGCCATCCTGCACCCAAGACCAAATGTCCGAAGACTGGCTGGCAAGGGCGTCCGTGCTGAACATCGATTCTGCAGCTGCTCCAGCGCGAATTGCATGCCATGTCGCCTTCTCGGTCGATTGACTGCGTGTAGCCCTGCCGGCCATTGCTTGTTCGATAATGCCTCTCCGAAACTCACACGGACGATTGAGAGCATTTTCGCTCCTCGCGCTTTCGGCGACTTGGTCCGGCGCGAAGATCCCCTTGCACACTTTCGCCTTGTCGCCAATTGAAGCCTAGCTAGCTATCGATGTAGGTTGGTACACTGCTATCTGCTACGCTCGTTGCCCAGTGCTTGTTTGGACCATTGCTTCTACCATCCCCGAGTGGAGCCGTCAGGTTCTATCATTGGGATATTCTCCGAAGATGGCCTCAACACCTCGGTGCTTTCTTGAGAACGAAAGAGCGAGCATCAATGGTATATAGAGGTCTACAATGACCAGGCTAAGTCGTTCTTTTCTCATCATCAATCAACTCCTCTACCAATCTACTGCACAACAAAGCCACTCGCTTCCACCACCTCTTTCCCACTCTTCATAACCCAATCAAATCATCTAAATCACAATGTCTGCTGTTGAGACTTCTCGCTTGGACGGAAAGGTCGCCCTTGTCACTGGCTCTGGTAAGTTCCCTGCCGCATCTCAAAAACATCACCTGCTCTAACACCCATCAACAGGCCGTGGTATTGGCAAGTCTATGGCCATTGAGCTCGGCAAGCGTGGTGCCAAGGTCGTTGTCAACTACGCCAACTCTGCCGACGCTGCCAACCAGGTTGTCGAGGAGATCAAGAAGAACGGATCCGACGCCATTGCCCTCAAGGCCAACGTTGGCGAGGTCTCCGAGACCATCAAGCTCTTCGACCAGGCCGTTGAGCACTTCGGCCAGCTCGACATTGTCTGCTCCAACTCTGGTGTTGTCTCCTTCGGTCACCTCAAGGATGTCACCGAGGAGGAGTTCGACCGCGTCTTCAAGATCAACACCCGTGGCCAGTTCTTCGTTGCCCGTGAGGCCTACAAGCACCTTTCCGTTGGCGGCCGTATCATCCTGATGGGCTCCATCACCGGTCAGGCCAAGGGTGTCCCCAAGCACACCGTCTACTCTGGCTCCAAGGGTGCCATCGAGACCTTCGTCCGCTGCATGGCCATCGACTGCGGTGACAAGCGCATCACCGTCAACGCTGTTGCCCCCGGTGGCATCAAGACCGACATGTACCACGCCGTCTGCCGCGAGTACATCCCCGGTGGTGAGAACCTCTCCGACGACCAGGTCGACGAGTACGCCAAGACCTGGTCGCCCATGCAGCGTGTTGGCCAGCCCGTCGACATTGCCCGCGTTGTCTGCTTCCTCGCCTCCCAGGATGGTGAGTGGGTCAACGGCAAGGTCATTGGCATTGACGGTGCCGCCTGCATGTAAAGGAGTTTCCTCTCTTCCTTCCCCTTCGACGAACAACTTTCATGAAGCAACAGCATGTTTAGTGCCAGGAGCACATGGATGATACAACCCAGTCTTTTCCTTTGTTTTTCTCTCTGATCATGAGCGGATGGCGTTATTACTATAATACGAATGGTAAAAATGGGTTCACGGGTTTTGAATCCATCATACGCAAAGCTATTTTATACTTAGACAGCACAAAAAAAATTGGAGTCTCAGCATTTTGAAAATTACTGATTTGTTCCCTGACCATAACATGCTTGTTTCTTTAACTCGTGTCTGGAGATGACTACTTTGTTATTGACTATTGAGTGTGCTTGTTTCGTGATTAAATCACATGGAAGGCAGAGCCCATACCTCTCGTACCTGCCTTGACACCTTCGCTTACCCATCTCTGCTGAAAGTAAGAAACCCAAACAAGACAAGGAAGTACCAACCCCAATCAATTATCTCACCCTTTACTTCCTTCTTTCTCACCTCCCCCATAACCATTCTACATTCCCTCCAAAAGTTCTAACAAATTCCTCTTCTTTGCATCTTTGATTCTCCGTCTCTTCTTCCCATTCTCCTGTTTCTCTTCTTCTTTTTCTTGTATTCGTTTTCTTCTTTCTGTCTCTATGGTTTTGGTTTTCTCGGTGTCTTGGACCCAACATTCGAGTTCGGAGGTGGAGAAGAGGATGTTTGTTGATGCGTTGGGTGGTTGGCGTCCTAATTGGATGAGGGAGAGTGGTGGTGAGGGTGAAGAGGAAGAGGAGGTGAGGACGGTCGTTATGTACTCATCAACCAAGTCCACAAAGTTCCTACCCGAGGGCTTGGTTTCGAGGGATGTGGATGCGTGGGCGTAAAAGGCTTTACTGCTCACCAATCTTTCGTCAGCATATTCCCATTACCGGAACTTCAGACTTACCTCGTCATCTTCCATCCCTTATCTTTAGCAATCTTCTTCCCTTGTTTAACACAAACTCCGCATCGACTCGTAACCATCATCTCCAAAGCTCCAAACCCATCCAGTTCTCTTAAACTCAGCTCCGTAACACCCAACTGAAACCTCAAAACCAGGTATCTCAAACAAGGAAACGCAGTCCCGTTTCTCGCCTTCTTGTTCCAAAGCCTCATCGTATCGTCGGTGATCATTGAAGTTTGTGCTGTGGATGAGGAAGAGCCATTGATGTGTAGGGATACTAGGTTTGGAAGAGAGGGGAGAATATGGATGGAGGTGTTGTAGTCGGCGATGGTGGAGATGAGTGTGAGAGATGTGAGGTAGATTGCAGGAGGCGCTGAGATTGAAGGGCTGAGGAGGGCGAGGGGGAGGTGGTTGTGAGTTGTTGTTCTGTAGGTTGGAGTTGGTGGAGAGGAAGGAGAGACTTTTGTGAAGATTTGCCAGAGATGTAGGGATTGGAGGTTGCTATGAGAGATTGTGTTAGTGTTTGAGACTCTGCATTGTGGTCTGTCCAAAAGGTGGTAGATGAGTAGCATGTGGTGTGTGATACTATTCTGGACATGCCAGGACGAAATCAGATATGCAGCGATCTCTCCCCGATGACAGGCCTCAACAAGACCAAAGCACCAACACGGTATCCGCAGACCTATCTGAAGGTCCGAGGGGACTCACCACATCCGACTTCTCTCATCTGCTGCTCCAACACCATCATCGTATCGAAAAACACTTGTAAGCAGGGCAACCCTGCCCCTACCACCTCCCATCCCAAACCCCTTCCAGACAACAAACTAAACCAAAACGAAAGAAAAAAGCGTACTCACTTCCTCTGAATCTCCTCCCAGAGCCTTTTCAGCCAAACTTCCGGCACACCCTCCAAACTCTGCACCTCCAGCATCGCTAAATTGTTCAAAAGACACCTCAGAGCCATCGATTCCAAAGCATCAACGCCCATTCCTCTCTCATTCATCGAACATAGAGGAGGAGGTACGCCCACAGATCTATGGAGAAAATCGTAAATTTGTGACGATAGGGGTTTGGAGGCCGTGGAGATGATGGTTTCGTTCCAGGATAGGCCGGAGGTTGTGTCGTGGTGTCGTGTGGATTTTGGCGCCATGGTGAGGGGTGTGTTGTTTTAGTAGGGAGTGTTCATATGATACAGTCAGACAGACGATACCCTGTCGGTAGACGATAGTAGAGGTGTATGTGTTTTGGTCGATCAGTCCAGCTGAATGGCCGTGCTTGGTGTTGAATTCGAGCCCTGTCGTGAGACTGTAACAAAAGTGCTCGTCAAGTTGAGAGCCAGAAATGAGGAGCTCCTATTGCAAAAGATTAAAGCGAGTGTTGGATGACTGTAAGAAGTGCAGCAAATGAAGAGTAAAGCCTCGACAACCTGCGCACACCAAACACATACACAACTCCAGGTAATTTTCGCCTAGCTCAGCACAACAACACGTAAAGATCAGACATATTTGGGTTGCATCAAAATTTCATACTACTTCTAGAGTACAGTATTGTGTAAAAAAAGATCTGGTCGTTACACAAAATCAACGACTAAAGATACCCATAAAATCCCTAATGCCAGAAGAACGCCAGGGTGCCTATCTATGCACCACACAGCTTTTTTTGACTTGCTACATCTAGAGCGAATCACTTAAAGCTCATCGTGCTCGGCGAGGTCACCGTCACTGTCGACGAGACCATCCTTGACAACAGCGGCAGCCTCACCAGCCTTCTCGACAACTGCGTCCTTAACGGCACCAGCGACCTTAGCGGCGACACCCTCGGTGGCAGCCTCAGCCTGCTTGGGCATACCGGCAGTCTCAACATCATCGCTTGAAGCGTCAGCATCAACCTTGTTGCTACCGTTCTCACGGATGAAAGTGGCAAGGTCCTCAACAGTACGGGCACCGCTGTACTCAATAGGCTCACCCTTGCCGTGGGCGGGGAAGAGCTTGATGGTAGGGAAACCCTGAATCTCATCGGGAACATCGTTGGCAGTGGCATCGACCTTGGCGATGGTGACCTTGTTGGAGTGAGGCTTGAACAGTTCACCGAGCTCCTCGTACTTGGGAGCAAGGGACTTGCAGTGACCGCACCAGGGAGCGTAGAACTCAACCAAAACATCCTTGTCGGCGTTCATGACAATCTCGTCGTAGTTCTTGGCAACAATAACAGTGACGGGTCCGTCGTTCTTCTCGGGGATGGGCTCAGACTTGATGCTGGGCTCAACCTTGCCGGCAACAAAGTCGTCAAGGAACTTGGTAATCTTCTTTGTGGAAAGGTCAGTGCCCTCGAAGGGGAACTTCTGGTTCTTCTGGGTGTCCTGGATGGCGAAGGCGGGCCACTTGCCAACCTCGAGGTTGAGGTTACCGGCGTGTTGACCGAAGGCCTTGGCGTCGATGGTAGCAAAGTTGACCTTGCCCTTGTGCTTCTCGGCGACCGACTTGAGGGAGGTAGCAAGAGTCTCACGCTCCTCGGGAGTCTCGGCGAAGATGTAGGCGAGGGGGATACCGGCCTGTAATATAATGTCAGTCACGCGCCTGAATAAAGTCTTTGGAGCAAAACTTACGGCCATGTAGCCAGAGTAGGTCTCAGGGCCGACCTCACCAATCAGAGGAACGGAGGCGGTGTTGGCGAAGGTGGTAATGGCTTCCTTGGTGAACTTCTCCTCGAAGGTGTTCTTACCCTCGTCGAAGCTCTTGTAAAGAACGATCGAGGGCTGCTTGACACCCTCGGCCTTGGCGAGAGCGGCATCGTTGGTGGCACCGAAAAGGAAGTTGTCGCGGAGGCCGTTGGCGGCAGCGGTGAAAGTCTCGTTGGAAGCCTTGTCATCAGCGGCGAAGTAACCGACCAGGACGACCTTGTCGGCGGTCTTGAAGTCCTCAAGGGTGGCCTTGTCGACGATGGAGACGGCGGGGAGGGACTGCTTGGTCATGTATGAGACGATGCTGAAGAATTGTTAGCTAGATTCTCAATCATGCTGAGGTTGTTGTCACGTACGCAGGGGCCTTGCGCTGGCCGCTGTAGGGAGAGACATTGTCGAGGCCTCTGAAGACCTTGAGGGTAGGGTAGCCCTCGACACCGTGGTCACGGCAGAGGTCGGCCTCCTCGGTGCAGTCAATCTTGGCCAGGGCAATGTTCTTCTCCTTGAGGGTTGTAGCGGCCTCCTCGTACTCGGGTGCAAGTGCCTTGCAGTGTCCGCACCAGGGGGCAAAGACTGGGTGTTCTTGTCAGATATGTCCTGATGATATAGTGGAGCAAGAGGCGGTGCTTACACTCTGCGAGGACGAGGTCGTTCTCCTCGACGAAACCCTTGAAGGTGTCCTGCTTAAGGTCGACAACGTCGGAAGCGGCGGCCAGGGCGGCTGCGCCGAGCAGACCCAGAGCTGCGAAGTTGCGCATTGTGATGTGATGTGTGAAGAGGTGAAGGAGAGAGGAGCAAATCAAGGACAAGCACAGTTTGAAGAAGTGCAATGTCTGTTGGGTTGCTTCTTGAAGAAGATCGAGTTGTGCTAAAGGAGACAGATCACCTTGAATGCTTGCTAAGCCGGCGAAGGGACCAACTGGCCTCTGACACTCGGAAGCTTCGTGAACCCCGCCTTCCTCCCAATGTTGCCCCTGGTTTCAGCTCTCTCTGGAGTAGATTTGAACATTCGATTTATTTTGTGCCTTTATATGGACTTGGCTGTCTATGTGTCACTTACTGGAAATAGCCTGATCTGACCATTATCCATGAATGACAGCTTCGTCTCACGAGACCACCATACAAATACCATCTGCTAAGAAAGGGGTATCTGCAATTCAAGTATCACCTATTTGTACTCGGATCAAGACCATCCGACAAGCCAGAAAACACAAAGTCCAGAACAACCATTCAGCTAGTATATCACCACCATCATCATAACCGCCGTCACTTACTCAAAGAATTACAACTCTTGCACCCAAACCTCCATCTTGCCCATCTCTGCTCCTTCTCTATTTGCCTGTTCCTTCGCACTCGCGACCAACATTTCCAAATCATCTTCATCCCCCATGGTAACCATATCCCCTTCTTCATCCTTCATTTTCAATTTGAAGCTTTCTTTAGCTGCGAAGCCAAATTTCTTGCGTATTTGCTCGCAAAATGTGTCGTAAGAAGTATCGGGTTGTATCATGACATAGCGTGTGTCGCCTGCAAACACCTTGACGCGGATCTTGCGAAGGGTAGGAGGAGTAACTATTGATGGTTGTGCAACAGCAGAGGTGATTTCGTAGGGAAGTGCGTTTGAGATTGTGGTTTGAAGAGCTTGCAAAGAGATGTCTTCTCTGGGAGGCATCTTGTCTTTTGCTTCTTCGCTATTCTCATCTTCTTCTGCGATGGAGCGAGGATACTCGCGCAAGGACTGTCCTCCTGATCTGGTTCGCTGGTGGTGAAAAGATACCGGTTGCAGTTTCTCGGGCTCGGAGAGGGCTTGTTGTACAGCTGCGGCCACTGTGTCTGGCGTATATACATCTGGTCGCAAGACATGCGCATCATCTTCGATGCGATGAGAATCAGAGCGTCTGTCATATTCCCGCACTCTCGGAGGACTCGAACGCGAAGGCTGCAAGTCTCGTGCTCTCGGTCTTTCCGAAGCAGATCTTTTGGTTCCTAAACGTGGTTTCTCTACCACCAGACTCGTGGTTGATGAGGACGCGTGCTCGAAAGCAGCTAGTCCTAGATCCAGCTTGGCAGGTTTTGATGTTGACGGTCGGCTTTGATGCATTCCTATCGGTACACTTGCCGTGCTCTCTGAAGATTTACGCTTCGGATTCGTCGTTGTCGTCCGTTCAGCTTCTGGTGGAGGTGTCGGCGGAAACATGTTCCTGTGAATAGGTGGTTCTGATTGTTGACGCGAACGACTTGCCAATCCCGGTCTTACAAGATTGATGGCTGCATAAGAGAGCTTTTCCTCAGGACGATCATCCACAGCAAAGCTGGCTGCAGTCAAGTTACGGTGAGAATCCAGATAAACCTGATTCGAACGATCTTGGGCGCGGACAAGTGTCGATGTGCCGAGGTAGTTTTTTGACTTGATATTCTTGACTTTCGCCTCATTTGGCCTGTAGAGTATGCCAACTGGTATCGAGAACACGGTGTAGCCCTATTCTCGTTATAGGATTACTCAGATGCAATATGAGTTCAGAACCAAAAACTCACCTCGGCTTTTTCACGTATTGCTTCATCAATGACATCGTGATCTGGTACGGCCTTCTCCTTCGAAGCATAAAACAGGTCTTGGAGGCCAGCACTCCGTTGCTGAAGATAGATGTAGCAAAGGCCGCGGTTGAAGAGTGCCTCGCAAGAATGAAGTTTGAATTTGAGACCCAGCTGATCATAGTCAATCCACCTGTTTCCACGGAGGTAGAGCAATGTGTCGTTGAAATTGGCAAGAGCCTCTTCAAAATCACCTAGAAGGAAGTTTGAAACACCCTGCTGAAAATAGGCTATCGCCATGTATTGATCAAAGTGGATTGCTCTCTGATAACAGTGAACCTGTGGCGTGCATGAGTATAAAGCAGAAAGGTCGTAAACAGTATTACTCACAGCTTGGGTATGCTCTCCTAGTGTCGCATGTATCACGGCACAATTGAAGAGTATTTTTGAGGTGTCTGCCACTGTCATGAATGCTCGAAGAGCAGCGTCGTATTCGTTGTAATCATAATGCTCTAATGCCCGAACCCATGTCTCAATCTCCTTGTGTGAACCATCAGTGGTGTTCCCTCGAGCGCAATGGAATGACTTACTTGTTTGAGCGACATGACCAAGGAAGAGAGCCACAAGGAGATGTCCTACTAGCAGCAATACCACAATCCGTGCATATACCTGACTGTATGATACTCAATGGCTGTGACGATGTAAAAAATCCGAGAAACAGATTCACGAGCTGTTTTGGTCACGAACTGAAGAGATGATCTGCACACAGTGCTTCAATAGACAACTGAGGAGAGACACAGACCTACATGGACAATCAGGGGATATAACATGCAGCTGTGGACGAACCAAGAACGTGTGCTACGTCGACAAGCGTGGGGTACTTGGGCGCTTGAGCGGGCGATGGCATTGGCTGGAGAGCGTCGAAAGACCAATCACGGAGATAGAGATGCTGCGCTTGGCAAGGATGCATATCATGCAGGACGACTCGGTTGGCGGACGGCGCTTAAAACGGAATTTGCAGTATACTGAAGCGTGTGAACAAGTTGGATCGAGCATCTTGGTTTCGAATCAAGACACTTGGCTGGCTTCATACTCAAAGCGACCATCCAATTGTCTGCCAGATACTTGTGCCGCTCATTATCATTTGCTGATAAACGTGTCTCGCTTGAGAGAATCGATTTTACAGACGAGTCGGTGTGTTTCCGAGATGAAGGTGTCCTGGGAGTGGTGTGTAAAAGCTGTGTTGGCATTATCATATAACTCGTAACTCCAAGACAACAAGACCATGTAGGTATCTTTCAGATCCTCAATGCAAGCGCGTAATTACACGATATGTCTTTCTTTTTGCGATGACTTAGAGCATGCCCTTACCAACTTGCTCTGTCCTCTCTTCCCATACAGTCTTGCCCGAGCACGAGCAGACAGTCTTGTCGTTGTCCCAGACGCCGGCACTTCTGGCAATGACACCAACAAGAGTGTCAGGATCCTCCTTGTCGAAATTGCCGTCTTGCTGTCTTGAGACGACTATACTGCGGCCGATCATCTCCCAGATCTGAATGGGCTTGTCAAGGAAGACGGAAGCAATACCACTCTTGCTGACCTCAACAGTACCGAAGATACCCTTAGCAGATTGAGGCTTACCCTCCTCTTTTGCACGTAGCATATCCCAGATGCCACCAGTGTTTTCAGCGCCGCGCGAGATGTCGCCGGTTTCACGAACAGTCGCGTGATATGTGCCAGGAGAAAGTCCGCGGATGGATAGATCAATGATAGTCATGTTGGAAGCGACTTGAACCATACGAATGAGACCGCGTACGTGGTCCTTTACTGCAGAAGAGTGTGTTTCAAGGATGCAGACGGCGGCACTTTCGGACTTGCCTGAGCCTCGGAGGATGGCATCGCGACCGGTGTCCTGAATAGCGGCGACGATGGCTGAAGGAGCGGCAGTACCGTTCACCGAGATGAGTTGGTTCGCAAGGTCGGCGGAAACATTCTGAATGCCTTGTTGGGTATTAGAGAGCGTCCAAGTGAATGGAGGGGTAATGGGAGGATGTACCGGGAAGCTTGTACAAGGACGTTGAGACGTCTTTGATGCACGATTCACAGCTGAGAGGCACAGCGAAGGTTGTTTCGAACGGAGGAATCATGGCGGTATATGAGTGAAACTAAATAAATCTACAAGAAGACAGAGAGACAACATGATGAATGCTGTGTCGACAATGGCGAGAGAGCGAGCCGGTTGCGCCTTCCGTGATTTCAAAGCGGCGGCGGCCTTCGGTCTTGGCAATCTTTTGCTCCATCGAGAACTAACAATCTTGACCATCGCATGAGGAAGAAGACACCACTATACGCCATACTCCTCTGCTCCCGAGCGCACGACATTCTGGTCTCCTGTACTCGACGTCCGCATACCATCACCCATACGCCACCGCGCGCCTGAACCCTCCTCGAAACACCATCCAGGCCACCGAGCCTTCACCAATTCACAATGTCGCAATACGTCGGAAAGGTACACACCGCACTGTCGGAAAGACAAGATTTCAAAAGAGCAAGGAACTGAGAAGATATCTAGACAAACCTTGCCTACTCGCGCGCATGGCACCTCATTGACGTCGGTGCTGACCCTCGTCCCCTTGGTCGCATCGCTTCGCAAATTGCCATTACCCTCATGGGCAAGCACAAGCCTATCTGGGACCCCTCGACCGACTGCGGAGACTACGTTGTCGCCGTTGGTTTGAACGATCTGCACACCACCGGAAAGAAACGCTACCAGAAGAAGTACTACAGCCACACCACTCGTCCTGGTAGCTTGAAGGAAATCACCATGGACCGTATGATGGAAAAGTGGGGAGGCGCAGAGGTTTTGAGGAGAGCTGTTAGGGGTATGCTGCCCAAGAACAGACTGAGGGATGATCGTATGGCAAGGCTGAAGAGTGAGTCCTTGTCCTGCAAGACACCAAACTTGCAAAGCAACCCTTTCTAACCACTTAACCTGCAGTGTTTGAGGGCGTCGCTCACCCCTACAAGCAAAACATCATCAAGGACTACACCCGTCCCTCAATAGCACAACAACCCGAGGTCAAGGTTGCCTTTGCTCAGAAGAAGCAGCAATGATAGCATCGCAGTCCTTGTATCACTTAGCATGCATTCTTTATCACGGCGTTCAAGGCAAAACCTTCCACTTGGGGTATCGATTGGGTTTGTTTAAATTTTTTTCTTGTATCAAATCTCATGTAACTATAACCACGCTGTATTGCCAGCCCACTTTTAACGCCCAATAACAAAAATATCTATCATCCTTTCGTGAAAACTCCTCTACTGTTCCCAGATTAGACCCATGCTATATCTATAGCTTGGCCTTGGGATCCTTTCTCGACACACGGCAGTGGATCAGACCGTTGGGGTCGCTCTGAGGAGCGTAGACTTCAGCATCCTTGCCCGTGTTCTTCAAGCCCTTGAACCAGCTGAGGTCAATCTCAAAGTAGTGCTTGTTGGGCAGAGTGTACTCGATGTCCGTTGTGTCAGGAGCAACAGCAAGAATCTGGTTGCACATGTTGTACATGGTAGCTTGCACACTAGCGCTGTTCTCCTTTGCAAAAGTGTCGAGGGTGATCTGATTGGCGGCCTCGTAACACTTGTTGAACTTGTCTTGCTCCTTGCGGACCTGCTCGACGTTCTTGAATTGCTTCCACTGCCATGAGTTCTGAACTTCAGTGCTGAGAATGCGGTCCCAGGTCTCGGGGAGTCTAGTGTACTCGTCTCTATGGAAGCCGTGGAAGGCAGATCCAGTGCTCTTGAGAACCAGCAGGCCGTCGATGCCCGACTTGATGGTGATGCCTTGACCACGTCTTGCGACGAGTTCGACGGTGCGCTTGTCGGTACCGTCGCGAAGGAAAGAGTGAGGGTGAGCACTACCATCGACGGTCATGCGACTCCAGCGGTGGACGATGATCTTGACATTTGCGACATGAATGTGGCTGTAGGTGTCGATGAAGTGCTGGCCGAGGATGGCAGCGAAGAGCTCAGGAGGGTCGACAGGGTTTTGCTTGGCCAGGACGTAGACGGTCTGCTTCTGGGTATCGGTTGCGACGACGGGCGAGTTGTCTGCCTTGGTGTAGCTGCGTCTCGTTAGACAAATTCATGAAACACCTTGATGTTTTGGTGCAACTTACGACTCCTCGATGTCACCCTCGAGAAGAGTGCAGACAGTCATCTCAGTGACGTGCTGAACACCGTTCTGCTCACGACGGACCTTGAAGAGGCGGACATTGTCCTTTCCGTACTTTGCATAGCTGAGTTGTGATTGCGACATGTTGGGAAATATTGTGATGAAAGATCGGAAGGTGTGCGGGGAAGTAGATGGACAGACGCTCGAGAGGAATGCAAGGATAAGTATAGACAGAAAAAAACTACTTGATTCAGAGCAGATACAGGATCATGGGAGCACGCAGGTAGATATAAACATGGGCGATAGAGCTTATCACTTGTTCTGGGCGGGTGCGCCCGCGAAGAGTAACGGGATTTGATGTACTCGACAGCTCCAGTCTATCGGCGAAGGCCGACGTGAACAGGTGGGAGCGTCCGGCTCTCAGTCGATGAGATCCGACAGCGGCATCGCAATCGTGAGAGGTGGAGAATATCAGGAGATGGTTGACTCCAGCACGAATGAATGCATATGTTCACAAGATTGGACTTGTGCGAAGATTCAAGGAGGAAGGCGCGGCAAAGAGCGGCGGAGAAGGGGTTCAACTAAAAAGGCAGTCGCGTCGCGGGGAGTGTCATCAGCGAGGGACAGTGGGACAGACATGAAACAGGCTTGGCGCTTGTAGCATTGCATCAACAGCTGTAACTACCAGAACCTACTGCATAGAATACGTATAGCATCGCCGTCGCCGCATTTCTTTGAGAGATCTGGTTTTTCGGGACGGAGCCGATGCGCTCTCTGGACCTCGTAGCTGCCGCTGCCGCTGCCGTCGCCGGCTCTCGACAAACATCCATGACTAGACAGACGTGGTCGTGATAGATGCCGCCCATGACCAGGCCGACGGCGCATTCTGTGACCGGCCACACCCAAGACCAATCCCTCCTGCCGCCACAGTTCAAGGACAACCGCTCTCATTCCGCTACGAGTCTGGTCTCCAAAACCCTTCCACCTGGCAGTTTCTCTACCGAACTTCGTCCAACCGTCTCTCGTGTTGACAATGGCCGCATCGACTTCTCTACCTTTGACATCGATCAATCTGCTGCCACCGTGACCACCGAACAACGTCTTGCCGACTACCGCGACAAGATCGAGAAAGAGACCAAGATAAAGATTGGAAGTGAGAACCTGCTCGAGGCCCTCAATGCAAAGAATGCGAAACAGAGTCGTGACCAGCGCCGTCTGGTCGAGTCGGAGCTCAATACATCAAATCGCAAAATCGCTCAGCTGAAACTTGATCTCGAGGCCGAATTGCAACGTGCAAAGGAATCCACCGTGAGCCCGGCCAATCGTCTCTCTTTCGCTATACCTCAGAGATCTCCCTCCAACCTTACCCTGCTCCAAAATGCCGAGCCTGATGACCTGGATCCGGAATCAGAGTCGCCAACATACATCCTTGCTGAGATTCTCCAGGCCCTCGAGACTGAGGACATGAAGCCTGATTACTACGTGAGCCATGCAAACGAGTTAGTGGGCCTGTTCAAGCGCCATCCTGCCTTGAAATATGACCTGGCGTGGTCCATATTCGGTCTTCGTATGCAGATGATGCTTCTCAGCGACAGTCGCGAGGTCATTGCTGCAGGATACCGCGTCTTACGGCATGCCATCACGGATCGCAAATCACTACAAACCATTCGGGCGCATCACACAGACTTTCTTGTCATTTTGTCGTTAGTCAAGGAAGCCAAGGCTATGGTGGAACGAGAACAAGCCTTGAAACTTGTTCGCGCCTTCCTCGATGTTAAGGATGGTGTTCACGAGATTGCTCCGTCGGTCGTCCGAATCATCGTCGCTATTGCTGAACATCCAGAGGATCGTCTTCGCTCTATATCCGTCATGACTCTCGCCGAATTACTTATACGTAGTCCTGATCTCGTCATCGCTGCTGGTGGCATTGGCACTCTTTCTGATGCCATGGGCAACGGTGCTTACCAGGCTCCAGAAACACTGGCTGCCGTTTTCCTACATCTATTGGATTTACCCGCACGTAGAGGTCTCTTGCGCTCTGGTTTTGAGCTCAGCCTCCCATTCGCGACCTTCACCGAACCTCCGACTTCAATTGCTCACGAAGACCGCATGAAATCAAGTGCGAAAGTGGTTGCAGCACTTTTCAAGAGCTGGTCTGGCATCATGACAATATCCTTGCATGACTTCCTACCGGCACGTTCTGTGGTTTCCTCTTTGTTGATTGATACCGTGGCGGTAAGGTCAATCGTTCTTGAACTCCTCTTTGACATCCTTCGCATTAAGCCGCCGTCATGGTCTTCCTCTTTTCTAGCAGGAAGACGTTTGACCACGTATGGCCGAGTCACCAATCTCAAGGCGAACGACCAGCACAAACCTTCCAGCAACGACCCAGAGGAAGCTTCGAAAAGAATGAGTTTGATAGAACATTTTTCTGCAGTCGTCTTAACAATTCTTCTGCGAGTTGGACTGCTACCAGCATTGATGCATGCTGAACGTGATGCACCAAATCTTGCCCTTAAACGAAAAACCACATTACTGATTGGCGAAGTATTGAAACTCGCCAACCAATTACTCCCCAGCGAATGGAGTGCTGAGCTGCAAGTATTACCTGATTTGTTTCACCAGGCCACTTCTTTTGGCCAAGATGAACGATCGCAGGCTGTAGCCACAGTGTACCAAGTGGACAGTGTTAACCGTACCTTGTACCGATCTGTAGGCGGAGGACCGGGTGTCAAGTCAACTCGAGCCGATGAGTTTGAGCCTACCAAATCTGCAGAACAACCGAAGGTACAGATGAGTGCCAACATGGATGAAGCGCAATTCAGAGGCCTGCTTATGGAGTGTCAAGTCTTGAACACTGTCAACTACACCAAATGGAGATGGGACCTGATTCAACCCATGATTGAGGGACCACTAACAAATTCACGGAGACTGGACGAGGCGATGAAAGCAACAAAATTCGTCCACCGTCTGCTAGGTTTCCTGCGACCATTCAAATACAGATTTTCTGACGCCAAAAACACGAAACCAAATCAGCGCTATGTTAGAGCTGGCTGTGCGCTCGTCCGTACACTGCTCTTGACTCCAGAAGGTACCAAATATCTAGCCGACAACAAGATGCTGCGACAGATTGCAGAGTGCTTGGCTCAATTTGATCGCATGAGTGGCATTACATCTACTACTCCTCTGTTCTCTCCAGAGAGGTTAGCAGACACACTTGTAGGTGGATACTTCGCCATCCTAGGTGTTCTTTGCAGTGACCAGAAGGGACTGCAGATGATGGAACGGTGGAAAATCATCAATATGTTCTATCACATTGTTGAGCTCAGAGGAAGAGATGATCTTATCATGGCTCTCCTCACCAATCTTGACTATACTCTGGACAGTCATCCCAGGATCATCCTGTCAAAAGCCATGATTTCTGGTTCCAGAGATGTCCGCATAGCTGCTACAAGAATACTTCGGAAATACGCTATTAGGCCATTGGACAGTGGTCCGAAGTCAAGTGGTAGTGGTGAGTGCGCTGCATGGGCAATTCGCCTTTTGGTTACCCAACTCTACGATCCAGAGATTGAAGTCTGCGAGATTGCCATCAAGATCCTTGAAGAAGCGTGCAACGACAACAACTCGCTCGAATACGTCGTGAAGTGCAGACCAGCACTAGACCATCTCGGCGAGATTGGTGCACCTCTTCTGCTTCGCTTCTTATCAACTTCAGTCGGATACCATTACCTTGATGGCCTCGACTACATTACCAAAGAAATGGACGACTGGTTCCTCGGTCGCAACGACACTTATGTGACTCTAGTTGAAGCCTCACTCGCCCGCGCCCTAGCCGATATTCCCGAAAAAGCAGTTTCAATGTTTGAAGAGACTCCCGAGCCCCAAGACTTTGGCCTAGTCCCTCCACACTTCTATCGCGAACTCACACGCACCGCCGAGGGCTGCGAGTTGCTCCGCAACAAAGGCCATTTCGAAGAATTTGTCTCTACAATTCAAGACTTTGGCATGGAAGAAGAAGACGCAGAAACCATTGTCAAAGTCAAGGGCTGTCTTTGGGCAGTAGGGAATGTAGGATCCATGGAGTTGGGCGCACCTTTTCTCGAGCAATCGGACGTTACGCAACACATTATAGAGATTGCGGAAAAGAGTGAGGTGTTGACGTTGAGGGGCACTGCTTTCTTTGTGCTTGGACTGATTTCTAGATCTTTGCATGGTCAGGAGATTTTGGCGAGTCAGCATTGGAATGGTACGGTGAACATGCTTGGAGAGTCTCTGGGGTATTGTTTACCTCTTGATTTTACAAAACTTTTCAATGTAGGTTTCATTCTTTTGCTGCTGTTGTTTGCGCATCAACTAACAACATCATCTAGATCCGCCAATGGGGCCCCTCCCACTTCCACTCCCTCCCATCACCTCTGATCCACCGTCCAACCTCTACCTCCACCTCCTCCCCCGCCATTCCTCCCAATGCAAACCTCAACCCCAAACATCTCCCCTCTCCCTCCACATCCTCCCCACAATCCCTCGAAATCCTCAAAGCAGTAACAAAACTCGGCAACACCGTTTTATCCAACAAAGCAGCCGCCGACCTCAACGCTCTCAAAGCGAAAAAAGCCCCAGGCCTAAAAAGTCTCGACGTCTTTTTAAAAGTGTTGGACATTTTGACGAGCCATAGGTATAAATTGCCGGCTGTGAGGTTTGTACTTGATCTTTTTGAGAGGAGTGTTTTGAGGAGGTTGGTGCTTGATGAAGAGGATGAGGATGATGATGAGGAGGGGCAAGAAGTGGATGGGAATGGGAATGGCAGGGATAGTGGTGATGATAGGGATGGGACTAATGGGTTTGAAGGGGCTTTTGGGGGTGGCGTGGGTGGGATTTGAGTGTGTGATCTTTTTTTTTTGCTGCCAGCAATGCATGGAAAACGAGATGACAATAATGGTCAAGAATTGGGAGTTTTCAAGGAGCATTTTTTTTTTCGGACTGTTGTTTGTCGGTTGAGGGCTTGTTTTCAATCACAATGCACGGAGGATGAAAAAGATACAGGCGTTCTTTTTTTTGGGTTTTCTGTTTCAATTGGCGGAACAATGGGAGATACCTAGTTGATGATGGTTTCTTCCATTCACCATGGGTTCTTCAATGTGATCATATGCAAAAAAGCCTCTTCAATTCTGTTTCGTTCCGTGCATGAATACTCTGTTCTGACTTTTCATTCTTCTTCTTCCTCATCATCCAAGTCTCTACATACATTTCATTCTCCCTATCAGCAACTCCCATCCTCTTCCTCTCTACAACGAAGAAAAAGAATTTCCAAGCCCTTGTAACTTGCTCAGACGATCTGCAACCGCATCCACCAATGCCGTTTCCCTTTGCAATAACTGCATGACCTGCGCAATCTTTTGCTTTCTAAAGTCGGCGGGTATACGACTGACACTCGCGCTCAAATCTTGAGATTCTGTGTTTGTGTCGTCGTCTTGTGTTGGTGTTGATGGTGTGAGTGCTTTTTGCTGTTCGGCGGCTTCCTTCGCGCGGGCTACGAGTGCTCGTTGGAGCTCGCCTACTGCTTGCAAGCGTGAGGTCAAGTCATTTTCTGTTGTGATGGGTTCTTCGGTTGCAAGGGAGGAGGGCTGTGCTTCTCCAAGACTGGTTGAGAGGGCAGCGACTTCTGCTGCCCAGGCTTCTTCCTTTATGCTCAGCTCTTTGCCGCCTAGTTCCTTAGCCATACGACGACGCATGGCCTCGACACGCTGGGCGAGTTCCTTGGATCGGTTGCGCGCCTTTTCCATGCGTTCATCAATCTTCTCCTTGCCAACTAGGCGAGGCTGATCGGCATCTTGACCGTCATCGTCATCTCCTGTTACTGCTTCTGCGCGCTTCGAGATTTCATCGACCTGACGGATTTGCTCTGACAACTCGGCACGCATTCTCTCACAGCGACGGAAGAGGTCGGCAGCTGCGGCTCCCAATCGGCTCGTCTCGGTAGATAGCAAGCGGTGTGCATCTGTGAGCAGTTCCAAAGTGGCAGGAGAGAAACGGACTTGGGTCTTCAAATCTGCCTTTCTCAACTGAGTGTTCCTTTGAACAGCGGTGTCTAAGAAGCCGGGAAGTGCAGAGGTAGCGAAGAAAGCCTCAGGAGGTTGATAAGGTTGACGAAGATCAGGTGCGGGAAGGGCTAGTGGTGCCTCATCGGGAGCGAACGAAGCATAGAGCGAGCGGTCGACGGGGAGGTCGAGAACAACGGCCTGAGGCTGAGAAGAGGTAGAGGTCAGGACAAAATGGCCCAGATCAGAATCGACTATTGAGACGCAAGCAGGAGCGTTTCCGGCGTCAGCAGTACGTTTGAGAATATGATCGATGGTGGATTTCTCGACATCGAACAGCACATCGAGACGGAATCCGGCGCCAGAATCGCTAGGACTGATCAGTTCATCCTCGAGAGGAGCGATCCAGGATTCAAGAGAAATGTTGAAGATGCCTGCATTGGAGCTCAAGAAGAATCCATAGCGGCTGGTGGTGGTTGGAGTAAAGGTAGGCCATGAGTTTGTGGTTTCAGGGGTAGTCAAGGTTTCGACGAGAAGCAATTCAGAAACAGCCTCCTCTTCGTCGAAGCGACGACGGAATGCAGCGCGTCTAGATGGAAGCCACTGAGCCTCGACGCCATCGAGATCTAGACAGATGTGAACCTTGCCAGAAGCAGTAGCCAAGCATACTATGCCGACAGACAGGCCGTCGTGACCAAAGAAGTCATCTTGATCCTCTTCCTGCATCAGGGCGTCATCATCAAGACGGGGAGCAATGACAAAAATATCGGTAATGTTGTCATAATCGGGTTCAGGGGTGAGATAGAAAGGACCTTGCAGCTTGGGGATGGCAGGTGGGTTAGTAGGACGGTTGTAGACCTCAAACTCAGCCAGAGTATCGATATGTGATACGACCAGAGGCTCCTGGTTGTCGATGTCGGCGAGCCATCGCTGTTGTTGATCGACAATGCGGCGCTCCTCAGGAGTGGGATCTGATTGGGAGTTGACCTCGGCCTTGGCTACAACGGCAGTCGACAGAGAAGGGATAGTGGTTGGGGTGGGCTCCCATTTGGAGGGAAGCAGAGGACACAGAGCATATACGTCTCCTTCAGTCATGGCAATCCAGAGGGTCATGGGAGACCAGCCATGCTCATCAGAGGTGGCCCTAGCACCAAAGCAAGCAGCAGCGACTTCCATTTCGACCGAGTCAGGAGAGAACCCCTTGCTGGTGCCGTACTTGGAAGCAGAGAAGTCCTGGTCTGCAGAGGTAGCATTTGCAAGCTTCTTCAAATCGAGAGCGAGCTCTGGTTCATCGAAGGAAGCGCGCGAATCACGATTCAACTCCCATAGACGGACGCAAGCATCTTTTGTGACAGTGACCAAACAGCTACCCATGTGGCCTAGGGGGTGCCACAGTGCGGAGACTACGGGGGCCTGTTCAAGCACATGTGCTGTTGGACCCAGTTGGAAAGTCTTGATGCGCAGAGGAGAGGGATCCTGAACGGAGAGATGTGAGGGATCGGGCAAGACGGCGATATGTACGGTGTGCTCGGTGAGGATGGCAAGGTAGTCGCCATGGGGAGAGACGACAAGCTGCTTGATTTGAGCAGCGACGGGCGTCTTGAGGACTCTGTAAGACTGTTGGTTGTTGTCTTGTTCGGCGTCCTTCAGCGAGACGAGGTCGGACCAGCGAATGTCATTGCCGACCAGGACAAAGATCTCGGTACCGCGGTGGGCGATGGTTCGTGTAGGGCCGGCTGAGTCTGTCTTGGTGGAGGAATTGCGCAAGGCCGAAGGAGCTTTTGTGTCGGCGTTGCGCTGGAATAGATTGAAGCCCGGCGATGGGGCTGAGAGCCACGATGGAGTGTGGCCGATGACTCTGGCCATTTTCGAGGCGTATGGATAAGTGACAACAGAAGTTGTCGTCGTCGGTCGAGTGACGAAGCGCGAGAAGAGAGAGAGAGAGAGCAGCTCGTCGCGAACAAACATTGGCTGCAAACACGCGCATACCATATGAAGCTTGGACCATCGTCACTTTGATTTGAGCCTTCACTTGCTCTGTTTACTTTGGTCCACCACGACTTTGTCGCAGTTGACATTTGTCTTCCAACTTTCCATTTCTTGTAACAACCATGGCTGCCAACATCATGTTGCGCACCACATGCGACCGTCTGGATCGCCCGAGTTCATACACCGTCGCCAAGGTACATCCTCCTCAGCCTACCATCCGGAAGCCATTGCTGACTTTCGCTGCAGAAGCGCCGTAGATACCAGCGTGCTCCCGACGACGACACTCCTCAAGAAAAGACTCCCGAGCCCGAAGACAAGCTCAAGGATGCGACCACCCTCTATGTCGGCAACCTCTCTTTCTACACCACCGAAGAGCAGATTCACGAACTCTTCTCAAAGTGCGGTGAAATCAAGCGCTTGATCATGGGTCTTGATCGTTTCCAAAAGACCCCCTGTGGCTTCTGCTTTGTCGAGTACTACACTCACCAGGACGCTTTGGACTGCCTCAAGTACATTGGCGGCACAAAGCTCGACGAGCGCATCATCCGTACCGATCTGGACGAGGGCTTCAATGAGGGCAGACAGTACGGTCGTGGAAAGAGCGGTGGTCAGGTCAGAGATGAGTACCGTGAAGAGTTTGATCCTGGCAGAGGAGGCTACGGCAGAGCCATCAAGGAAGATTACGATGTCTACAACGACAACTACCGATGAGCCATTTCTTCGGCTCAGGCATTTCACGGAGTCCTGGCGTTTTCTCTTCTCTGTTTCTTTTACCATTTCCAAAAGGCGCTGCCATTACTCTCCGAGGATCGAGACCGAGCAGCATGCATTTTTTCGTATATCATCTAGTTGCCAATACCCATTTTCTCTCTACATTATGCTTACTGCAATGCCTGTAGCACCTGCTTGACCCACCATACGTGAATTCGTGCATCGCCTGTCAACTCTGGGTGGAAGCTGGTGCCAAACACATTACCCTGTCTGACAGCCACGATATCGCCCTCTTCTCCCACCTCTCGTGCTGTTGTCTTGTTGTCATTCAGCGCCTTTGCACGACCCGGCAAGCGCGCCATGATCTCAACCTTGCCGATCGACTTTCCGCTTGACGCTGCCTTGGAAGGCGCAACCACCGTATCATCCAACTTTGCTTCTTCTTCTTGCTCGCCAGCCTGCGGCGCCAGGACCCTTTCCACAACAGGAGCTCTGATAAAGACACTGCGAAAGGGCTTGTTGCTAGTAGCAAAAGCCTCACCACCTGCATCAACCAAAAAAGGCAAGTCCAATGCTGCCTCAAAGCTCTCGACCTGACGACCGAAATGGTTGCGGTTGACACGCACGTCCAATCCTCCAATCAACTCTTGTCCCGTTTGCTTTGTGCGATTTGCAGACTCGGCGAGTAGGATTAGTCCTGCACATGTTCCCCAGACAGGCTTCCTGGATACTTTGACAAAGTCGCGGAGAGGTTCGAGCAGGCCGGATCGTGCAGCGACCAGAGAGATTGTGGTGCTTTCACCGCCGGGGAGGACTAGAGCAGAGCATGACTGTAGTTGTTCTACAGTGCGGACTTCGATGATGTGCCACTTTCGCGGTGCTGCGTTGGGTTCGGAGTCAATGTAGTTGGCTGCTTGTTGGAGGAGTTGGATGTGTTCGCTGAAGGCTCCTTGGAGTGCCAATACTCCGATGGTGATTTCGTTGCTCATGGTTGTTGCTGTGATCTGATTGTCTTTGAGTGTGACTGACACTTGCATGCGACAAAGTTGACAATGCGATGACACATTTCTTATCGATAAGACTTGCGGTTTCACCGCCTTCATCGGCCCCACCATACCATCAACCAAACATCTGGAGGTTGGTCCGACCAGTGTCAGATTGTCATTTTGCCATATAAAGTTCCAAGCAGGTCTGCTACCAAAGGGACTGTGGACGTCAGCTTGAATATGACCGATTCGAATCTGCAAGGATTGACGTGCTGGCTAATCGACACTCGAACACTATGGCCCGGCCAACACATCAAGGACGCTGTTAGTGCATCACTGCACATTAACGACTCCCATTAGTTTTCCTCTGACCCAACCAGGCTTCCAATATCCTGCACTTGTTATCTCAAGATGAGAAAGAAACCGTACTCAGAAAAATATTCATCCCCGATGCTCGAATGTCTCTTGCCTCTGCCTTGTTAAAACGCCTCTACATCTCAAGAGCCCTAAACATTCCTTGGAAAGATGTAAAAATCGCCAGGAAAGGAGACCCTACACATGGAAAACCATGTGCTGCGTTACCTGATGGTTCCTTTGCGCATATCGACTTTAACGTTTCTCATCAGGCTGGCCTGGTGTCTCTTGTAGGCTGGAATCCACCAGCTGGTAACTCGAAAACCGCTCTTGTCGGAACCGACATCGTGTGCGTCAACGAACGAGACGACTACCGCACCATCGACCAAGAAGGCTTTGACGCATGGATAGACATCTACGAAGACGTCTTCTCGGACGCCGAGCGCTGGGACATGAAATACAACATCGACTACATCACCCTGCTCGACGGCAGAACCATAGAAGGAAACCTGCTGGGCCGCATCGATCGCTGCGTCCATCGCAACAAACCCCTCAGCATAACTCTGCCAAGTGGGGAAACCCACTCCTTTTCCAGCGACCTCCTCATCGAAGCAAAACTCCGCCGTTTCTACACGTTTTTCTGCTATAAAGAAGCTTACATCAAGTTAGCCGGAGAAGCCCTCCTCGCCCCCTGGCTCAAAGATCTCGAATTCCAAAACGTCAAGAGTCCAAAGCCAGGGACGGTAGCAAGATGTTCTACATATGGGACCTGGGGAGAAAAACTCAGTGATGTGGAAGTAGTGTTACACGGCGAGAAAGTCGAGGATGTGAAAATGACGATACAGGCGTTTGAGGAGGATTTCATGTTGGCTGTTGCGGTGCAGGGGTTGCAAGGGTTGGAAGCACCGGGCTTTACGAAGTTGGATTTGGAGAGTGATGTGATTGCTTTTGCGACTTGAGAGAGTCGATGACACATATGACTACTTCATGCCTGCCTGTGTGCTGAACTTTTACCTTGCACCCCGTTCGTGTAGCAAAGAGCAAAGTGTATGCTATCACGAGGCACAACTATCCTGGGAAGCAGAGGCATGTCCGCAGAGAGCCGATTAGTTGTTGCTGCCTACTGGACACTGTCTTGTCCCTGATAGTATCGTGCACTTTCACAGCTACATGCGTCACATATATCAAAGCATATTCAAAAGTGAGCCTCAAAACAGATTTTCACTCCCATCGAGATACCTAATATCGACGCGAGGTCTGCTGCTTGGCCTTCCGCTTCTTGCTCGAATCCGAAGCATGTCCATCGGCATCCAATGCTTTTAACGTCTGCGCGGCCCCGATTTCCTTACTCACGACTCCCTCTGCCACAAGGCCCTTTCCGCCTGCGCCAAAGGTGATGCCATGTTCTCCGAAGCTCGCTTCATTGGTTGAGGATCGTAAGCTGTCTACACTGCGCTTCGATTTGTGCGATGATGGAGATGCAGTGCCAGTTCTGACAGCAGCGACGGCAGAAGGGGCAGTCGGTGCTGGTGGTGAGGATATACCGAGCCCAGTGTTTTGGACTATAGGAAGCCTACTCAAGCGTCTGGGTGTAGCTTGCTTTCCAGGTTGCGTGCTCACATCCGGTGTTTCGGAGGGCTGTTTTTCAAGCTGGCTATGTGTGTCAGGTGTGGCTGGATCGGATGTAGTACCTGCAACTTCGTCGCTGCTCCACCAACCTTCAGGACGCGAATTTGTTGATCGCTCAGTGATAGCGGACGCATCGGGTGAGATAGTGTTGACCAGTTCTGGCGAAACCTTGCCGCTGGTGTTCTTAGATTTGACTGATGAGCGACGTGGCGAGCTTACTCGGAAGGCTCGTAACTTTCTCTTGGATTCTTTTGCACCGTCAGTATCCGCAAAGTCCCAAGTGGTACTTTCTCCCTCGGAGTAACTGGGAACCGATGCAGGCAGTAGACTCTGCGGTCGAGCAGGCCTGAAAGGTGAGATCAAACTTTTGCGTCCTGCATCGGTCGAGTAGGCCTCCAAAGCATCGAGCACGTGTGGTATGACCAATTTGTGCACGTCTTCGGCCCAGAGGAAGTCGAGATGCTCGTAATGAGGGATCTCTTTGGCCACAGTATGTCTGGGTAATTCCTTGAGCATGATCTTGATATCCACCAAGCTGTCACTTCCGCCATAGACAAGAACGATGGGTGTCTTGATGTTACGCGTAGGGTACTTGGCAACCTTGTAGTACTTTGCGCCAGAGGCGATAGAGAGAGGTGCCTGGACCTCGTCGTCAAACATTTGAAAAGTCTCGTTTCTGATGATTTGGAGCCAATGGACAACTGACTTTGTGCTGCTGAAGGAGAACAAGTGCGGATAAGCTGCCAGCTTCTGATATGCGGTGATGTTCTTTGCATGCCACCCGAATAGGTACAGCAAAGACTTGTCGATGACCCATGAGAAGATACCAGGATAGAGCAACGCCTGCCACATGGTGGTACTACTCAGGATAGCCTTGCGACCAAAAAGTAGAAACAAGACCTCTGGTGATGCCTTGATGAAACTACTAACAATTCCCATGGCTAAGCCTGGAGGAGCCATTGCAGGTGCGAGCGCAACAAAGACATTAACCTTCTCGTTCAGGTTAGGGTGGATGGAAAGAGTGGCAAAGGCTTGAGCAGTTCCTTGCGAGAAGCCAACATGGGACAGCGACTTTTGACTCGTGGTAGCAAGAATGTAGTCGATAGTATCTGGAATATCATGGAAGGCGAATTGATCGATCGAGTAGTTCCAGAAAGCAGCACTGGTGGGAGAGTGGTGAACATTCTTCTTGGAGTACTTGTTGCCACGGTTGTTGCCCAGCCAGACATCGTATCCTTGGTCGACGAGTACAAAGGGTAGGCAGCGCTCCTTCTCAGTCAAGCAAACCCAAACCTCGCTGTTCATCATGAGGCCATGATGGAGGTAGACGACCTTTTTCTGAATGCTACCCTCTCCGCTGTTTACCCTCTGGTCTTCTTCGCCCCGCTTCCAGCCAAGACGGTGGAGACCTAATAGATAGCCGTCCTTGGTCTGAACGATATGTTCTTCGGCATAGTAACCAAAAAGCTCACAGAGCTCGACGAAATCCGAAGCTTGAGCAATTGGGGATGAGATGGCCTTTTTCCGGTTTCTTGACCTCCTGCCCTGGGCACCGGAGAGTTGGTTGAATATTCTACGCGAGCAATTGTAGAAGAAGCGAATGATGGGACCTGGTAGAGCTAGAGTGATGCCTCTGATGATGATTTCCAGACCAATCAGAATAAAAGAACCAAGCAGGGCCAGATACTCCTGGAGATACAGCCTCCCGATGAACGGAATGCTGGGCATGTTGGAGTGTGCCAGACGCGATCCACGAACACAAAGTGCAGGCCAGATTCGAGAGACGGTGTCTAGTGCGGATTTGAGGAAGCAAGCTGCAGAAAGCTGTTGGGTTGTGGGTCGTGGTACAGGGCCGATTCGAGACAGCAACAAAGTCGTTTCATCAACGTCATTGGAGGATGCATGTGAAAGGGAGAGTCTGTGCCTGCCTGAGTCTGTGCGTTCGCAGCAGTCTGGGGTTTCTTTCTCGGCCAGACACGTGAGCAAGGAATCATTAGCCGATCTTTAGTTAGTCGACCAAATATTGTCCATCCATCAACACTACCTACCTCTTTGTTTCTTGGAGGGTTCTATTCGCCCATACAAGTCGAAGACAATCAATCGGTATAGCTCCTCCTGAGTTCTCCGGGTCACTTTCGGGCCATTTCATCAAGTCTTCTGGTCACTTTCGGTCCCGGCGCAAACCGCTTCAACCACCACAAATATGCCCTCATCTTGCAAAGACATTCGTATGCATCGTTCATGATCGCCAATCTCGCTTTATTCTAGAGGCTGATTGAGTCTAGGTGCGGCACTCGCCGAATGCCTGCAACAAAGTGACTGTATCATGGTCCAACGCCACAGCGCCGCCGATTGCCTCCGTCCACCGCTCGTTGATACTCTTCCTACTCGATGCCAGCAATTGAAGAAAGGATACGGAGAATGCAAGCGTGGTCTGATCGACATGCGCAAGAGATTCCGTGGCAACAAACCAGTTTCTTCGAGCGTCGAGATTGAGGCTGGCGCAGACAACCCCAGCAGACAGCTTTATGCCGGAAAAAGCGCTTTTGGCGATATCAAGACGACAGATGGCAAAGATGCCCCCGAGGACGACTCATGACCAATCTAAAGAGCTAGGAAAAGTCATCACGACAGTCAGACGGGTCAAAAGACGAGTCAAGGCAAAATCTTTGCATTTGCATTTAAAAGGCGCAAACAGGTTTGATTGGGAATATACGGCGTTTCAATTGCCTGTCTACGGCACTCCACTCTACTTACATATGATACCATCCGTTTTGAAAGTACGATATGTCACGAATTCCAAGCCGATTCAAGACTCACCATCTACAAGACGTCTCTTCCCGATTAGTGCAATGATCTGTTGCAACAGATGGCGCACAACAGCACATGGATCACCATCTGCAGGACACCGACAACCATATACGGATATTTGCCGATCACAGATGCGCTGCACGACACATTCACATTACAGACGAAAGATCAAGGAGGATGATAACGTGTGCTATTCAGAGAACCCACTAATCAAAAATATGCCTATGTACCAATTCAAAACGCCAGCGGCCCGGGTATAGTCGTACACTCATCAAAAACGTCAAAAACAACAAAAACAACATCAGTCGAATCACTTGCTTCGCATTGGGCCCTCAAAGTGCCAATCGCCATCACTCGAAATGAAGAGCTGGTTCCAGAGCTCGCGGGCCTTGGTCGCCTTTTCGATGAATGTCTCCATGGTGATGCCGTCCTCGGAAGAAATCGCCGGGCGAGCTGCTCGACACCAGCGACGGGCAAGGTATAGTTCCGTACATGGCGGTTGGCATAGGTACATGCGACGCCAGCTTGCTTTCTCATACAGTACGGCTGCATCTTCTGTGGGCAGCTTGTCGCTGGGGTACATGACATTGACATCCCTGTTCTCTGGTTAGATCAAGAACTTTTTTTCTGGGTAGAAAGTCCTTACCATGTCCAGTAACTTGACGGGCTTGTCACAGATCGTGGAATGCTACTGATGTCATCTGGATTGGCATCTGGGGCCTCTACACCCTTGTCCGCATACTCTTCCTCATCTTTCTGACTGGTGACTCGTGGTGTAAAGGTAGGATATCTTCCACCGAGTACTCGTCTTAGCATCATATTGTTTCTTGGACGTGGACTGGGTCGATTGGCTTCGCAGGACAGGTGTGAGTCAAAGGGTTTGGCTTTCGGCCATGAAGGTCTCATGAATAGCAGTTGTTGCAGTTGGGGTGAATTGGAGATCAAGTCGTGCCAGAGGGTGTTGACGCGCTGGGAGACGAGCAATTGGCATGGATGCAATTCGGCCAGTATCATCTCGAGCAGTTCTGGCGTTTCGAGAACGCGCTGGGCAGCCATGAGTGGATCCATGGCGTTTGTATAGTCACTAGGTCAGGAGAACAGTGATGCTCGTTCGTAGGAAGTCAAGAGACAGGTAATATAGCCGCGGCAATGTCAGGCTAGCGATGACAAACGGGAAATTCGGAATAATGTGCTGGGCGAGCACGAGCACGATTGTGGGGAGACAGAAGATGATGGTGGGAGATTGTGGAGAGGGCTGAGGAGAGAGCTGGAGTGTTCAAGATCTAGGAGGTGACACGGCTGAGCATGTGAAAGATGAATCACGGTGACTCTGTTCGAGGAAAACGGGTTTATTGCCCTTTGAGGATAAAGAATGCAAATAGAGCAGCAAGAGCAAGATGGTAGCTCAAGGAGCAGGGCGCGCGATGATGGCACCCTCTTTAACTTCGTTTCTGCCCCCAAAGTGCTTGCTTTTCATCTTGTTGCGCGATAAAGCTAAACCCTGACATCGACATGACTGTGCTGTTGCGAAAGTATCACGACAAACCAGCCTTTTCTCGGAGCTTAAACCTCCTGAAAAACAAAAAGATAACCACCAAACAAAAGTGACAGGATGCAGCGCACGTCATGGGCATGCACGCGCATGCGGGATGCACGCGGCCGAGGCTTTTGCTTTTCAGGGTCCTTTCCCGCTCATCAGCCGATCGCAAACTGTCCCTGTGACCAACTGACCGTCTTTTTCGATTTCTGGAATGTTTCCTTGCTTTGGGGTTGGCTTCCCTTCATCCGGTGCGGAATCGACCGTGACGTTGTTTCCCCAATTTCGATACTGTACAAAGCAATCAGCTTATCGCATTGTGAGTTGTTGCTTTTCTATTTCTTTTGATGGATGACATTGGAGCGATACCTTTGTCGTTGCTGTCGCTCCTACATCAGCTTATCATTGCAAGTATAACTGTAGACAAGTAGCTAAGCTAAGCCTTGCTTGGTTCGAGAGAAGTGTTATTCTCAGAGCTTGAGCATTTGCTCATCACATAAGGCTAGGTGAGTCCTTCGGACTGGAAGACCAACAAAACGTCTCCAACCATCCGTTCGATCCGAGATCTGGATACCCGGGTGCGAAGTGTGCAGCGTTCGCCGTTCGGATCGAGACGTCAAAGCATTCTGACTCATACCTGTGCGACCTCAGATGAGAGAAGGCCTCTCGGTCACTCATTTGGATAATGGCAACAGCTCACGTTTGGGTCTTGAGTATTTCTAGAAACCGTGGAAGTTTACACGTATCTGGCTCTGATAGGATACACGACGTCTGAGTCTTATCTCAAGACGACATCTTACACCGCAGCTACCTGTACGGAGCAACTGAGCATAGTCCTGGACCCAATCAACCAATATCTCAATTGATTCTGAAGCTGTTAACATCATGCTGCTCAGACAACGTATACGCAGGACAACCTATCTTGTCTGTCAGAAGTACTTCCGACTTCTCTCTAGTCTCAAGCATGCATGCACGAACAATGTACGATTGATACAAAGAAACAAAGACCGGTGAGACTCCTTGTCAGGCCAATCACACGTGCTCTGGGAACTTGGTCGGCCTTTTCCAAGTGTTCGGCATAAAGTGACAGATATGTCTGTTGGATCTTGACAGCAGGAACACCAGTATCGTAGCCGTTCATGGCGTGGCGCGTGTACCAATCCTACTTCCATTAAAATCTGTACAGTTTTACGATATACCTGAGAGGCTCAAAAGCTCAAGACCCAAGCGTCATCCAAGCGCTGGTTGTCCTCTGCCAGACCTCCTTGTACAATAATGCCCTCTTTGTCTTCAATGTTCAATACATCGGCAGCAAACCATCCTCTAGGTTGTGGTACATCTGCACCCTCCTCCGTGACAATCTTACTCCACTTCTTGGTCTCGATATCCCAGAGCCATGCATCAGGTAACATGTTTCCAGCACCAGCATGACCCAAAGCACTTGGATCGCTCTCTCCAAATGCAGTAATCAGTGATGGTCTTCCGTGTACATTGATAGCCAGGAGTGTGCCAACGCTCCTGCAACCAGGACCTTCGTTTCCATCGGGCGAGAAGGTATGAGTGCTCCACCTATCGGATGCGATATCGTAAATGTCAATCTCACCACCCAATTCGTGCTTGCCATCAAATCCACCCATGCGATATAGCTTCCCGTTTGAGAATGTAATCGAGGTACCTCCTCTGGGAGCACCCGGTGCAGAGGTCAACTGCCTCCACTTCCTCTCATTGACATTAAAAGCCCAGAGGTCGGATAAGCGCCCAGAGGCGGGACATCCTGCATGGACATAGAGAGTTGTTGTCCCATCAGAGGCCATGCAATGGTAACTTCTAGGCTCTGGGGCTGGTTGAGAGTTGTCGGCCGGTGAAATCTCATTCCAACCAACACCATGGGCGTCAGAGAAACAAAACTGCCATAGCTTGCCTTGTTCATCTATAGGCGCCATATCCACACCACCGCGACCTGAGAAGTAGTAGATCCGATCGTCCACGACAGTGCTGGCTGTACCAACACGTGCTAAGGGCCAGTCACCTACATCCTCGGGTTTCCCAGTAAAATGTGCTTCAAATTCCTGCAGACTGGCTTTTGGTCTGCCCGGAATGAAATTGAGAATGTGAACGTTATTGTCGCGAGGCTGGCGGGGATGAAGCTCGCCTCCGAAGATCAGGGCGCGGTTGCCGAGTGTGGAAAGGGTTTGGGAGGAGCGTTGAAGTGAATCAGCTCGTCGAGTCAGAGTCCAGGTGCCTTGGATGGTCGCCATGGTCATATCCTGTGCAATTTAGAGGAAGGAAGAATTGAATTCGAGCTCCTAGAAAGTCAACATCGGGGCCTGTCGCGAATGTCACTGCCTCGATGATCCCAACGTTAGGGCTTGCCTCAAAACACCTTGATGGCCATGACGGCTCATGAGGGGAAAGAGTATAACTTGAACAACCTCGTTAATTGATAGCTCAATGATATTTCACGAATTCTGTGAGTCTTTCTCCTGTAACTTTTTTATTTTTCGCGAGGATTTCGACAGTTTTCTTGACATCCGTTCCTCAAGTTGCTATTCTTGGCTTGCGCCAGCCGCCCATAGTTCGCGTCCTCTACCTAAGCGCCCAAAAAGCTACATCACGCTCGTTCCGCGACACATTTTTGGAGCCGGCATTCTTGCAGACCACAGACAGATAGAGTCTGAAGAATCTGAAACACGATACGTATCTATGTTCCTGTGAAGCGGGCATCTCGGCCAGCCAATCGCAGCACATTGAGCACAATTTTGCTAAATATGTATCTGCTTCGTATTGTATCCGGCGGCTACGAGAGATAGTTTGTAGGAAAGAATGGAAAAGAAATGATAAAAGTCCGAAGGTTGCAGCTTCTCTCAAAAGCACGCAGCCAGTCCTTCTTTATTCGCTTCTTCTGATCTTCACCATTTCAAGAGCACTGGACTGCTCTGAAAATAATCTGTGATTAGCGCCTTTTCTTCGTCGTTCACATCACTGGTTCGCAAATTCGAGTCTCTCATTACAGATACCTTTACTTCGATCTTCTACACCATTCGAGGCACATCCTTCATCGATTTCCAATCAGACAGACGAATATTGCAATGGCTATGCGACCAATCACTCGATCACCTCTTCTACTCTTAACACTCAGCATCTGTTTGGCTCTACCTGTCTTGGCGGTCTCCATCCATGTTCTATCTATCTATCATTCTGAGCATACGTCAAACCCCTGGTGGCTACCCGTCTGGCACGCACACTTCGATACTCACGGTCTGATTGCTGTCATCGTCTGCTCCTGCATTATTTTCTCTTTCGACATTATCTCTGTTGGTTTGGTGGTTGCCGGGAATAAGACTGGTGGCAAGGTAACTTTCTTCGCTCGTTGATCTTGAATGTCTACTGACCAGTACTAGAGCAAAATAATCAAATGGGCGACAGTGGTGTTTATATCGATGGCTACAATTGCAGCGCTAATCGCTTTGATCATGCCTGCAGTTGCCAATGGTACAGCACCTAGCAAGTCGGATACCGTTCAGACCTGGACCTGCAGATGGAAGGGTGCTGTTGGTGCGCCAGAGAACTTTGGACCTTTGTGTCGAGAAAGTGTATGTATTATTGTTGCCATTCCCCCAACCTACTTTTGTATTCGTTTTCTGAAGGGTATTGGCTGACAGAATATCACAGCAATTTTCCTCCTATGCTCTCATCCCACTCTTCGTCATTCACCTATTGCTCTTGGTACAGAGCATCCAAGATGCTGTGGCTGCACCTCGACCAGAACCACCAATGCTGGACGAGGAGCTGGTCATCATTACCAAAAGTGTCGAAATTGCGACTACAGATTCTAAAAAGAGTCCAAGCATTCACTAGCAGCATCAAGGAAGGAGTTTAGGAGATGGACAAATGAATGTTGCAATTCAAGAGAACGAAAAGGTTTTAACCAGCGTGTTTGCCGCCAACCTTCAACCTGATTTCTTGTAACATGAGCCTATCATCAGTAGCTCGGCTGGTTGCATGATATTGCAACTTGAGCAATGATAGACAGATTCCAAGACATTTTTGTTAGGCGTGTGTCTATCGAAGATTGGTACACCCTCATTGAGCCGATTCGAAACTCAAAACTGTGTCGGGAGAATGCATTTGTGGTCATTGAGATTGCTGCCGGTAATTATCAGCTTGAGCCACCAATGAATGTACTTCTTCGAAGTCTCGACCTTTGACTCTGGTCTGCGATATACCCTGCTAACCGGTCTTCCAGCTTCAACTTGTGTCTGGGAGGTGTTTTTCGAAAGGCAGAAAAGGAAATGCACAAACCGATTGTGTGATTGAGAGTGCTGCTGGTTGATATGCTGAGTGTTGTATCCCAAATTCACCTACGCTGTATTTCTTGAGCTATTAAAGCCATTCACGCTTCAAGTTTTGGATGTTGCTGCCATTGAAAAGTTTCCCGAGGTAGCAGAGCCGAAGCTGGCCCTCCCCTCGCTCACAAGGCGGCGAATTTGGTTCGACTTTCCCTTGAACCTTTCTTGCACAGCGCTTTGAGGCATCTTGCGCGAACGACTTTCCGAGAAGACGAGGAAGGCCGGGAACTGCAGGCGAGAGAATTTGTTAGGTCGAGGATCGGCAACGTCAGGATTCCAGGGAAATTTTCGCTTCAGATGTGAGTTCGGTCCAACAATGCGCACTTTCGGGCGCGGAACCGTGTCCTTCTCGATCGGTTCATCTTCAATGCGGCTGAGCACAATCGCTGCATTGCCACGCGGGACCCTGAATGAGCTACCATCTTCGAACCTGGCGACAAAATTCGCCAGGGGAGCATCTCGAAGCTTATTCAGAATCTCGATGTATCCTCTCATGTCAGCTTTGTTCCATACTTTCCTGATCTTGGAAACCTGGTCTCTATCTGAGAGAAGTCTCTTGCCTTTGCGCAATAGTTGAATGGTCCAGAAATCTTCAGGAGACAAAAAACCAGTGGGAATAGGATAGAGTAGACGAAGACGCTTGATAGAGCCCTTGAGCATACAGGCGACGAGGTAAACAGCGTATGGTAGATTGATGGCTCTGTTGACATGAGCAGGAACGGCGGGTGGTTCGTATGGCATTCTGACAGTAACCAAGTCCAACCTGTGGTGTTGGCCGATCCAAGGCACATGGATGTCGTGTGGCTGTGGTTGAACGAGGACTGGGCGAGATCGGGTTTCGAGTCGCACACGTCGAACCGCAGGTCTGACATGATTATTGCATTGCTCGGCGCATTGTGTGCACAGGGAGTGCATGATGAATTCGTTGGATGAATAGAAGATAGGAGAAGTCTCTGCAAAGACCTGCTTGTTTGTTAAGAAAAGGTTCAGGTGAAGCGGATCGCCGCGAAGGTCAGTCATGCCAGTCAGAGGTGAGAGGAGAGAATCTGCACCGACAGGTTCACCATCTGGTTTTTCTGATCTTTCTGGCTTGCGGAAAGTTACTCTGTCAAGCACCAGCAGCTCTCTCCATACCATATCACGCAACTCTCGAGGAAGGCCGCGAAAGGGCTGGTCGTACGTGCGACTCATTGTGACTGTCGACAAGAGACTGATCCTGTTGTTGTGAGTCAACTCTCACCACGCATGTAGTGCTCCACCCTCAGTTGATGATGATGTTGCGCATGTACGATGATTTTTCAAACGAACTGTCTTGGTTGTTGTCTTGGTTCAAGATGATTGCGCGCGCGGCGTTGGATTTATATTGAAGTTGACAACAGCTCGTTGCGCAACCCTTGTTGCCAACGCTGGAAACGAAGGAATCACTTTCTATGTGATGCCTTCTGTTACCATCAGATATCATAAACTCGAACATGAACGACTTCCAAATTTGTCTCTCTCTAACACTTATCACGTCTGATTAAAGTCCCAAGACAGGTTTTTTCTATCGTTTGGTTCATCGACAATGTCTTTGTGTTGTTGGCACCGCAATGAAACAATATTTTATGGTATAGATAGGAGTCTCCTTCCTCATCCCGATCAAGAAAGTACTATCAACCATTTCTGACACAATTCAGACACGATTCACTCCTACAGAGAACTTCAAGTTGTTCGCTGAGCTTAACGATGAACTTGATAAGGTCATTAATGCTTACACTGCAGGCGAAACGGCCTGATCCAAGTACTGAGCTCCACAACAGGTAGAATGTGGTTCTGTGCAAAGTCACGAAGTCACGAATAGGTTGGTATATGAGGAAGATACGTCTTGACACGAATGCGTATACTGCCATGCACTGACAAGAAGAGATGGGATTTGTGATGGATACACTGTCATTTGAATGTTTGGGCTGTTATATACTGTGTTTCGACACATATCTTGAATAAGAGATACAAAAGAAAACGCTAAATGGAGTATTAAACAAAAGTCGTGAGACCAAGGATAAACAAAAATCCTGTCCCGAAAGAAGCATCAGAATCGTCATACGTGTAGGGGATTGCATATTCAGGCTTCCCCCTTCATTGTGGATTGTGACCAGCTGCCAACAGGCGTGAGATCGCGCATGTATTTGCCAAAGATGGCAGTCTCAATATCCTGAGCTTCAGAGCCTGCCTTTGCTGCTTGGTGACGGAAATAGATGCGCTTGCCCCACTTCCAAGACTCAATGCCAATGAAGAAGATGAGGGTAGCAATAAAGACAATGCCCCACTCCCACGAGATGCCAGTGTGACGGAAGACGTCGTGGTTGATGACAGGGATGTAGAGAACCGGGAAGATGAGGACAAAGCCTGCAACGACGGACGTGAACAGGAACTTGTTGCGCCAGACATCGAACATCCACTGGGTGAAGTAGCGGTCGGAGTCGGGCTTCATACGGAAGAAGCTGCGACGGGGGTCAATCATCTCCCAGGCAAGGAAGAGCGAGAACCATGTCAGCGTGGCAAAGCAAGTTGAACGGGCACGGAAAACAACATCGCACTCGGGAGACCAAGAGTTGTTGCAACCAGTAGCAGGAATGCGGCCAACATTGCCATCTTCAAAGCCGTAGAGGACAAGGCAGAAAGAGCACAAGCAAAGTGCGGCGACCCAGAGGCCATAGACAAGCATGTCGAGAAGAACTTCGAATGTGAACACGCCACGCTTCAGGCTTTGAGGAGGGCGGCGCATAACATCCGGAACGGCTTCTTCGAAACTCAAACCCATGTCAGGGAAAGAACTGGTAATCATGATAATCCACATAATCTCGACGGGTGAAATGGGGAAAACGGAGAGGTCGTCGAGATCCTTGAAGGCAAGACCAATAAGCAAAGTGCATGCCTGGGCGATGTTCTGAGAGAGAAGATGAAGAATGAACTTTTGGATGTTGTCGAACATGCGGCGACCTTCTTCGACGGCGTTGAGGATACTGGCAAAGTTGTCGTCGGTCAAGACGATATCGGAGGCATCCTTAGCGACATCAGAACCAGATTGACCCATGGCGATACCAACATCTGCGCGCTTGAGAGAAGGTGAATCGTTTACACCATCACCAGTCATGGCAGCGAAAGCCTTGCGTCTGTGTAGAGCCTCGATCATGCGAACTTTCGTGTTGGGCGCGCAACGAGCAACGACCAGTGGAAGGACGGGGAGGGCGTCGATTTCGTCGTCACTGAGCTTGTCGAAAGAACTGGCCTCCATGACAATAGCATCCAAGACCTCCTTGGACAGATCTTTCATGTGCGTGGGAAGAATACCGACATCAGCAGCGATTGCCTGCGCAGTACCTTTGTGGTCGCCAGTCAACATGTGAACGATTATGCCGGCCTCGTGAGCCTGGCGAACCGAGGAAGCGGACTCAGGGCGAGGTGGGTCGTAGAGCCCAACAAGACCTCGGAAGGTCAGACCGTTTTCAATGGAGTTACGGTCGACCTCTTCATCCTTGTTGATTTCACCTTCAAAGTCCTTGCTGGCCAGTGCCAAACACCTCAAGCCAAGGGAAGCGATGGCCTCCATGTTCTGCAAGATTTCTGCTTGGATGGCTTCGGTCATCTCGACAGGCTTTCCGGACTCGTCTTGGTAAAGATTGATACAGGAGCCGATGACTCGCTCAACGGCACCCTTGGTGAACACTTGCTTCTTGCCGGTAGCAGCTTCCTCGAAAATGACAGACATTTTCTTGACATCTGAATCAAATGGAAACTCAGCGACCTCCTTCCACATGGGCTTGTTTCCAGAGACAAAGGTTGATTTGTTCCAGCCGAATCGAGCTGCGAACACCTGAATTGCGATTTCAGTGGGATCGCCACGTGCCGTCCACTTATCGTCCTCGTCCTTTTGGACGATGGCCAGGTTATCCAAAGCAGCTACTCTGAGGAAGTGTCCCAGGTGTTCATTGTCCTTGAGTTCATCATCGTATGCAACAACATCGTGCTTCTCTTCTCCGGCTTTAATGTTTCTTGGTTCATCAGGGGTGAATTGGAGTTCGCCAATGGTAGGGTTGGAGGTCTCATCGGTCTCTCCGATCGAATAAGTACCTTTGGCAGGAATCCAAGCCTTCTTCGCCATCATCTTGCCTTGTGTCAGTGTACCAGTCTTGTCAGAGCAGATATCAGTAACACCGCCAAGGGCCTCAAGGGAACGCAGATTTCTGACGATGACATGGCGCTCAACCATTCTTTTGGTACCAGCGGCCATACAAATGGTAAGGATGACGACGAGAGACGCGGGGATCATACTGAGACCCGTGGCAACAGCGTAGATGATGACCTCTTGCTGGCTGCTGAAGTTGTTCGCGGCCTCAACGATGATAGCACAGATCACAGCAATGAAGAAGAGCAATACTGCGAGTCTCGACAGCTGCTTCTGGAGGGGAGTTCCGACGTTGATACCGAGGAAGCGACCAATGGCATCAGACAAGGTCAACGTCCAGGCTTGTGCGTATCGGTGAGGCTTAGCAGAGCCATCAGGCTTGCGCTTAACAGGTCTCACTCTCGAGTCTTTCTTGCGAAGTGCTGCGGCGATCGATCCGATCTCGGTGTACATGCCAGTAGCGTAGACAATACCACGAGCACGACCTTTGGTGACGACTGAGGAAGAGTAGGCGACATTGAGACGATCGCCGGGTCCGGTGTCTTCGTCAAATACGGCGTCGGCGTCTTTTCTCACGGGCAAGGACTCTCCAGTCAACAGGGCTTCGTCTGTTTCGAAGTTGACTGCTTCGATAAGTCTGACATCTGCGGGTACCGTGTCACCTGAAGTGTAATTAGTATTTGACAATCTTGATAGCTTCAACGATCACGTACCAGTCTTGATCTCAACCATATCGCCGGGGACAATCTCGACGGTGGGAATGTTGACAGTCTTGCCATCACGAACAGCATTGGCGGTAGGGGAGCTGAGTGATTTGAGTGAATCCATGGTCTTTTCGGCCTTGAACTCTTGCATAAAGCCGATGACGATATTCAGTCCGATAACTGCTGCAACAACGCCGCCTTCGATCCATGACTTGATCGCAAAACTGACAACCATAGCCATGATGAGTACCTGTTATCGCCGGTCAGCAAGATCGTTCATCATAGACATTTTGGTGCTACGTACTAAGGTCATCGCGTTTGCGATTTGTCGAATGAGAATCTTTCCAGGTTCAACACCACCCGCATCACCAAGCTCGTTGGTGCCATACTTGCTGTGTCGTTCTTTGGCTTCTGCTGACGAAAGACCGTTCTCAGCATTGGCCTTGATGTCCTCCGTGACTTGAGCGAATGTGAGTGCGTGAGCAGGCTTTGAGAGGCCGTTGCCATTAGCTTGGCCTGACACGTGCTGGTCAAGTGTCGTATCTTGTTGTTTGCCCATACTGAAGATTTGGGCATTAACGATGGTATATGGTCAGCTATAATGACAAAACGGGGGCCTTGCATGCCTTATATGTAGCCTGATCGCATGTCTGCTCCAGCGGAGGGCGGACTTCCACCCTTGGCACCCTTATCATCTCCTACGTATATATGCTGCCAAGTAACGACACGCACAATGGTACCCACGTTAGAGGCATTGCCGTCATCCTTTCCTGGTTCAATCCCTCAGCATGGTCTTGGAAGTTATAACTATTGTCGAGGGGTTTGAGTCAATGTCCAATTAGGTGTCGCATGGCTGGAACCATGTTGCATGGCACCAAGAAACACAAGAAACTGTCTTGGCATCTGTCATTGACCTACCTTCTCGTTATCTGTCGCTATATGAAAGGCAACCTTTCGAGCTTACATCACGACTAGAGAAACGCAGATGGATGTGTACCTATGTCTTGTTGACAGACTACAGGTGGGTCAAATGTGGTATGGCTCGTGGTGATTGAAAGACGTCGGCAGGGGGCACCGTCCAAGACCGTCCAAGACCCTGTTGAGCGCCAAGACCAATTCCGAGTCCGCGGAGTTTTGCTTTTGCCTTTCTGGAGAGCAACCTGGGGAGTGGCACACACGTGCCAACCTTGTGGAGAGATACGTGATACGTAACGACCGTGAGCTGATTGTTTCAACGACTTTGAAGGAAGGAGATAGTAGCGATGACAAGACCGAGCCCAGACTGAAGTTGGCCGGTAACCGGACTTATCACTCGGCGTGCAGCCATCCAAGGTGAGTGGATGCGAAGGGTTATGCAAAGGGAAAGCTTCTCCTTGTCTTTGGATGGTAATTATGTGTGTAGCATGGTATGGTCTCCGATTTTGACAAGCTTCCTAGCACGTGGAATGCTTGAGATGAGATGAGAAGAGAAAAGGATATGAGCAGTCGATCCGAAACTATAAATTAGGAGACCAGAAAACCGCAGACAATAAGAAGGATCTTGGGTTGTGGAAGACCTCCTCCTCAAGTATACAAGGTCTTGCGGGATTTTTGGTATATGCCGCAAGGCAGTGCAAGGCTTGGTATAGTCGCTGAGTGCTGGTCGCTGAGAGTCGAGGGAAGATATCAGTATGTCTGCGTTGCTTGTGGACTCGATCTAGGAGGCAGTGCAAAGGCCTGCATGACGATGCCGATGAAACCAGACAGGGTGGCCATCTGATCTTAGCGAGAAATGTAACAACAGTCGACCCGCGTTTGTGTACCTCTCGTCGAGACCAAGAATCGGCCGCCGAGATGACCAAGTCCTCGGCAACATCGTGTCTGGCCTCATTCGCGTCATGATAAGGCTCTCAAGGGCTGCCTACTCGCTTGTGGATGGCGCTGGTATCTAAGCTTCCGCCTTGCGCGATCGTGTTCACTGAAGGATCAGTCTAGTGGCAGCCTCCATGAGGGCATTTCTGCAAGCACGATGACAGCCATCGCATTTCTTGTTTCGGTCGCCGGAGGTGATTCTAAACTCGGGAGCTGATCCACCGAATTCTCACCTGGCCGTTGTCCACACCTCTTGCCAAAACGGTCTGCTGGTTTCGCAAAGTGAGACGTTCATGCCAAGGTCTTGCTTGTACAGAGGTAGAGTAGTATGCGGAATGACCGACAGGCCATGCAAAGTTTTTCTACCTCGATACATACATGCAGGATGACACCTGACTGCAAGGCACGTTCTCAGATTGTTGAGGATACGAGCCAGTCAGCAAGTCGCGAATGTAACTCCGTTTGGACAAAGCGCGTGCCAAGCCACAAATCTGACACTAAAGATAGCAATTTGCAGAGTGCTTTCCAGGGTTTTGTCTTCCATTTTCTGGAGCAACCACCTTTTTCGGTCATGCCCGTCCTTATCCTGATGAACCTCTGGAGTACTTCTGGTCTCGTATTGTGGCAAACGTGGCGCAGATCAGACTCTAAATACATGTTTCCGAGTATACCGGACCTCGCCAAAGGATCGAGAGGGCCCGTAATGCTACCTCACGGTATGACGGTCTAGCTGTGGATGCTATATTCGACTACGGGAGCGTATAACTCAATCTCAACGAGAAGGTAGGCCTGGTCTCTGACTAGTATATAACTTGCGGTGAGGCTCGTCGAGAAAAATATCTTTCTACTATCCACAGCAATTTCATTCTGATCATCGAACCACATTCGCTTCTGGCTGGAAACCTCTCGCTTTATCTATACTCTCAGCTCCATCATATCAGCGACACCATACCTTGAATCCAACATCAATACCTAATCGAAATGCACTTCACTACCACCTTCGCTGCTGTTGCACTGCTGGGAACTGCTTCTGCACTTCCTGGCAAGTTCCAGTTCGAGAAGCGCTCGGCCACTGACTGCGATTATGCCTACAATACTTGCCGTACCAAGTTTGACGCGAATATGGCTACCTGCGCAGCTGAGTACGCAGCCTGCCTTGGATACAACCCTTTCACTGCTGCTGCCTCGCACACTGTACCTTTCCCCATTGATTCTTCTTACCTCCACGGACCCACTGGTGCTGTTGGAACTGGCGTGATTGGAACTGGCTCTGGCTCTGTCAACCCTCCACCTACCACCTCTTCGGCTGTCGTCAAGCCTACAGATGGAAGCACGATCACTAAGACCTACACCATCCCTGTCGAGGTCACATCAATCATCACTTCGTTCGTGCCTTGCTCGACTCCTGTCATGTCCAACAGCGAGACAACCTTCTTCAGCACCTGGCTGACTGTTTCTTACATCACGACAACCTATGAGACGGTCACAACCAGCTGCGAGACCATCTACCCTACCTCTACTGAGACTGCTCCGGTGCAGCCTTCTGCTACTACCATTCCTGGCAGCACTGTTACTGGACAGGCTTCTTGCACTTGCCCTGCACCTGAGACTGTTTACGAGACTGTTATTTCTTACGTTACTGTCAACGGTGGTGACCACAAGACCGAGACCGCTGTCCCTGCCACCAACACTCCCATCCAGCCCAGCTCTTCCCTCAGCTGGTCTCACACTGGCTCTGCTAGCGGCAGTGTCAAGCCTACTGGTTGGGTCAAGCCTTCTGGCTGGGTGAAGCCTTCAGGCTACTAAGGTCTTTCTGACTGCTGTAGCTTTGACTGAGCAAGTTACACATGGTCCACACACACCTGTACCGATACGATTATCATACCTTTTCACGACACTCCTTTATGACTTATAGATTGGGAATAAAAGCGAGCAATGGTTCAGCATAGAGGCGTTAAAAGATTGTTTGTCTACAGAGTTAGTGCTCACGCGCTCCTTGGCATATTCACACAGTCTCTGTACCGAGAAGTTTTTGATGTTTATATAGAGATCTTCAAGTAATAAAATGTGATATCTTTCTTGTTACACAAGCTATGGATCCCAAACGTAAATTTGAAACAAACTTGAATCATAGATGAATTGCAAGTATGACTGTAATCAAGAAGCTTCAATGTTTCTTGAATTTTCAAAACGTGATACTGATGCGAGGAGCCTCAGAAGCAGACTTGGGAACACCATGACGAAAGAGCTTTTGTGTATGACCGCCCATAGTCAGCACAGATCCATGAGGGCAAGGGATCTTGAGATCCTCTGCATGCGGCAAAGTTTTAGGTCGAATCTTGAAGAGTCGTTCATCACCCAAAGAGATGACTACAATGTCTGCGCCTTCCTCCATGCCCACTTCGCAATCACTATGTTGTGCGGTATAGTCTTGTCCATCTTTGTACCAATTGATTACGACTTGATCGTATCCAGCATTGTCTCTATTGACGTATTTCAGAAAAGGCAAGAATGCGTCTGGAAGAGGGTCGCGAATGTTTGAGTCGTCGTGGCCTGAGAACATGTAGCTGTGGTGCAATGTCGGATTGAATTTTGGTGTGTTGAGATAACTCTTGTGCCAGCGAGGTGACTCCACTTCGCCATCTTGCATTTGGACTTTGCCTCTTTCCTCAGGGTGTAGATTGAAGAGTGCATTGAAAGCATCGGCGCCATATTTTTTTAGGTCGTCTGGGAGAGTATGCAGAGTGATGAAGCTTGCGCCATCGTCGCTGAGGTTGATTCGTTGTGCCATTGTGATTGAATTGGCTGGAAATGTTCAATTGAGATGTCTCCAAACATATCATTGAAAGCATTGGCTCTTTAACAACTTTTGTGTCCATCAGTGAGTCAAAAGTTTGGCTAGTGTTATATCAGGCTCCCAGCCAAGGCCTCTGCGGTGTCCGAATCCATTAATGATCGCTTTTTCCTTCTATTTCTCTTTCATTCTCCTTCTTTCCATCCCAGGAAGACGGTTACCCTGCGGTTCTTGGCAACACATGGAAACTGAGAAATACAACAGCCATGGCGATGATGGAAGATCAAGGAACCATAGATCATAGAACAGAATAATCGGGTAATGACCGCAGATTTGGGTATCATAATTCATCCTCATGCAGAAGACTGAGCCATACGAGCCTTTCGTTCTTCCTCCTCTTTCTTGCCGTGCACACCACGCAAAAAGTCCATCTTGCCAATGTAGCCCTGTTTGCTTCGGCCGTACTCGTCCAATTCGTCTTTGAGTCCTTCTTGATCCACATGGGCAGCCCAGTCGATAGCCGACTTTTGAACGGTATTGAGTTTGACGGCCTTGCCCATCTTGGCCTCTTCTTCCAATCTCTTTTGTTGCGCCAGGAAATCAGCTCGAGAAGGAGTGCGCAGTCGTTGGCGCTCTGGTGGCAATCCTTTGACTTCGCCAGTAGGATTAGGCTCGAATTTTGAGGCGCGGCGTAGAGGACGGCGAAGAGCGGGCTGATCATCCTTTGGCGTTGGTGAACTTGGTTTTGTCTGTTTTGCAGGATCATTGTTTGCGAGGAAGAGTTTCGCTTCGGCTGAGTCTTTGTGTACGCGCTTCTCTTCTGTCACTTTTTGGCCAGCGAAGTCGTAGGACCGCTTGATGGTGATCATGCCGTCGTCATCTTCGCCATCCTGCATGGCTGTCTTGTCGGCCTTTCCAGGCTCACCGTCTTGCTCAGGTACGTCTTCTACGAGTTTCGGTTGTTCTCGCGACGGTCGACCGATGGGTTTTGCGGTCATGGAAGCCCAGAGGGCATCGACATCGACGGTGACATTGTCAGTGTTGGCTTTTTGGTATTCTTGACGCTCTTGCTTCCTGCGACACGTATTAGCTGTATGCCTGCAGCGAGGCGACCATCAGACATACTCTGCTCTTCTCTGAGCTCGCGTCTTGATCAGACCTCCCTCGCCAGCGCTATCCTCATCATCGTCTGCTTTTGACTTTTTGGCCTTCTTGAGTTCTGTTATTGTCGCTTCATCTCCAGAGTCGAGTTCTTCGGCATCCTGTTGGGCCTTCTTTCGCTTCTTGGAGGCTTTCTTTGGTTGCGGCGCATCGTCTTCATCCGAGGACAAGTCCTCATCTTGTTGCGCGTCTACCTCATCCGGATTGAAGTCTTCATCCTCGCTTGACTTGTACTCGTCGTCTTGATCTGTGGGTATCGTGTCTGCGTCTGGCATTTTAAGGCTAAATTGTTCTTGAGATGGACAAGGACGGAAACATGAGCACGGCGATCTGTTTGCACTGTTTGGCTCATGACGCCCTTCTCCGCCTTTTGATTTCGCCTTCTGATTTCAAATGTGACATGCATCTCGACTAATACCAAGTCGCTTTCAAATGGGGATGCAATTGTTCGTTATGCCATTACTATTGTACAATGCCATATTCATATCGGCATGTTTCGTAGAGACCCTCCTTGTTTTTTTTTTTACTTCTGGAAGGTGTTGTTCTCGCCCTTGCCGAGATTCTCTTGAACAGTGCCTCCGATGGCACCGCCAGTGGTGAACTGCTTTCCAATTGCACCCTCTGATGAGAAAGGTCCACCGACCTTCTCACCAATCTGTCCGATTGAGCCGTCGGCTGTTGTTTGATTAGCCATTGCTTCATCGTAAGTGCTCATTTGTATAGACTTACCAGTGAACTGCTTGCCAATTGCGCCGTCTGCGCTAAAGGCAGAGGTACCGGTGCCTGTGGTTTTCTCGCCTGCGGGCTCGCCTCTAGGGACAGCGTCCTCATGGACGGCGTTGGAGCCAAGGTCGTCGTTTCTCAAGGCAGCAGAGGCGCCCTTGTCCATGGTCTTTGCTGAGCTGTCGCCGTCCATTTTGTGTGTATGTGCTGTGAAAGTGGTGTAAATTTTGAAGGTATTGATGGGATTGTGAATTGATTGAATGATTGAGCATTATCGACTAGATCGAGCTTTCTTATATTCCTCCAAATTCGCCAGAGCTGTTGTGATGGATTGTCGAGTTCGTCATACTTCAGGAACCATTATGTCATGACAGGATGTACGTAGTAAAGCGTCAATAGATCATCTTTACACGAGAACGATGGAAGACACAAATCGTCAAAGAGACCCTGAGCCTTGAGAGACTCGACCTTTCTTGTTGATCGATTCGATCTTGGACTGCTGTTGGTTGGTTGCGCGGTGGTGATGATGCGGGTGATCTCCACGATTCATGATCTCACAAGTGGTTCCTGGCAGACTATTGTCGCTTGTCTTAATCACTTTCTCACAAGGGTCTTGAGCAGTTCTTTGACCTCTAGCATCCAGCGTAACACGTGAAACCTTGTAATGCCACTGTTCTGCTCTGGACAGTGCCCAGTGCAACCGATTGTACTCGAGTAATGATCTTGAAACGGCAAGAGTTGTTTCGGATTCAAAGCGGCTCAATGCCGGTGACTGCATCCGTCGCACTGGCCCATGCTGGGCAAGGCTTCTAAGCGCTGCTTATTGCTACCGCGGTATCGAAAAAATCTGAGATGCATTCGCAGTTGAACAAGACAAGATGTCTTTGAGCTGAGGCTCATGACATGGATCAAATCTCGGCTAGGATTACATAGATGACAACGGTTTCTCGGACTCGGAGAGAGATTCCAACGGAGGCAATCGTTGCCGTCGGGTACTATGTACCGGGCTCGATCCAGCGACTAACCAGATTAGGGCGGTGCCGGTCTGCCTTGTAGGAAGTCCGGAGTCGTCCCCAAGCCAAAAGACCAACCAGCGTTGACCTCTGTACCTCGACGGCATATTAGCCTTCAAAAGGATTGTCCCTCAGCTGCTGTCAGCAAGCAATCGCATTGAAGCCCTCTGATCTGATTTGCGCGTTCCAACAACAGCAAAGCGACAGGCTTCGAGTGGCGCCTGATAGCACATGGCTAGTCTTGGAGCATTTCAACGTTTTCTCCTCCCAATCCGTGCTGGTGCCCACACAACGGCGTTTGAGCCATGAGCTGGCGAGTCCAAGGTCAGGCCCCAAGTCCTTCCATCAGATCTTTTGTCCGTTCCCTACCTAGAGAACTTGCTTGTCTACATGCTGGCTCGCTCCATGGTAGCAGTCGCTGGACGCTTTCGTTCTGCCACATCCATTCCTTTTCCCTTCTAGTACTCTCGACTCGTTCTTTGTCACCAATCTACACACTCTTTGTCACACATTCGACCATTTAGGCTGTCGCAGTTGCACGCAGATCCGGGAAGGTGCATCTAGCACCGCACAAGTAGCTAAGATGCTTTTGGAACGACCACTCTCGTTTAAGCGCGCCTCTGCGCGCCAAACATTCTATCCTTACCCAGACTCGCCCGCACTAGGAGAACAAGACCGCAGATCAATGTCCACAACTGGCGGAGCTTTGCCTCGGCGAGAAACGTACAGGAGCGGTGTGTATTCATTGCTTCCTCAAAAGACCGGGGAGCAGCTTGCCCGCACACGCGATGACGACGGATCCGGCGACGAAAGGGACCCAGCAGAGATTGAAGCTGCATATCTGAACCTGGTTGGAGGAGGAGGTAATCGCTCGCGAAACATCAGCTCCGAACTGTCGTTCGGCATGTCTGGCGACAAGGATGTTCCAGATTACTCGATCGAGGACTCGAAGAGGAGGACAAACTATTATGAAGAGCAGTTCCAATACAAGGGCAATGGCTTGGGCAGTGTGCGTGAGAGAATCGAAAAGGACTCTCCAGTCGTAGCCGAGCTGCGTACCAATGTCATTGTATGTTGTCGTGTGCACGTGGCCGTCGCGAGGGGGGATTGAAACTAATGCAAGGGGAACAGGTCAAGGATGAATTCACTCTCGTCACCGACATGTCGTACAATCTCAGCCAGCGCTATTCACGTCCTGAGAGCAGCATCATGGTCAACGTCGAGCACTCTGCTTGTTTGCTGCTCGCTGGCTCTTTCGAACCAGCATACATCCTCACCATCACCGCCCTTCCATCTCAACTACAGCCTGTTACCAACAAGCGCAACTCGGCCCTCATCCAATCCTTCATGGCAGACATCCTTGCTGTCCCACCAGAAAGAGGCATCCTTCGGTTCCAGCCCATTGCCGAGGAGAACCTTGCCACAAACGGCACCACTGTCTTTGGAGAGATTGAGCGCATCGAGAAGAGCAGTATAGAGTCTGATGTAACGGCCGCAAACGCCATCAAACGTGCCTGGACCAGAGGGTCGCGAAGATCAGTACATGCAAAGAAGCCTTCAATCAGGAATACCGACGATGTCCCTTCGGCACTCCCACAGGTTGCAAACACACATCTACCCACCACCAGCCACTCTCGTCAACCTAGTCAGAACCTGTCGCAGTCTGCTGTCTCCTTGACCTCACATCCGGGCCCTGCATTCATCGCTAGTGCAACATCTCCCGTGCTCGAGGAGAAGGAAAAACCGCCACCGCCTAAGGAACTGCCACCTAATAGGGAACTACCTCCCACTCCAATTGGCACGCCAAACGGCGAAGACAAGCGTAAAAGCAACTTGAACGGCATACTCAAGAACGTATCTGGTTCACCTCGACCCGTCTCGTCAAGTTCTCCCATGCCTAAACCACCGCCGATACCACAAAGCGCGTCCCCCGTCAGTCCCAAGGTGGCCAAGAGAAAGAGTTTTGTTTCCATCTTCAAGCGGGATAAATGAACATACATATAGAAGTCAACAAGAGCGAGGAGTTTGGTAGGGTTAAAGGTTGGTAATCTGCATGACATGGTGTTTTTTTCTGTTTTCTCTTCGATTATACCCATCAGTTTTAGTTTCTTCTGGTCTACAATTTCTTGTTAGTCCTGTCATATACCCCCAAACTTCGGTTTCTTCTTTTTCATCCTACGCCAGCATGCATTTTTCTTGATTCGAAAGGTGACAATTAGTGTCTCCCTTCTTATGGACAAGCTTGTCACATCGTAGCTGTAGGAGCCCACTATAGCCTTAGATAGAGTCAGCAAGTTGGATCCAAAGCTGAATGTGGCTCACCACGAGGCTCGCCTCCGGCACCTTTAGATCACCGCCACATTGCTTGAGAAAGAGAAGGATCTCATCGATGACATTAAATGTCCAATTGCTGCGCATCCAATAAATCGAAGAAGGTCGTCGAATTTCCGGTCGAGCTGTCCCTTTGTTTGTTGCTCCTTCTACACTCTTCCGATCCCGATCTTCGCACCAACCTACACTTTCTTTCCCTTTCAAGTTTCACTCGTCATATTTTCCTTTGCTTCAGACTCGACACAGCATCGTGAAACCGTTACCCATGCTGACGGCATGGCGCAAAACACACAACAGCCCTTGATGGGTGTCAGGTCTGCACAAGATCAGCTGTGCGCGCTAGCATCACAGTTCACTAGTCTAGCTGGTCTGGGTGACCATTCGGATCCTGAACTCCAGAGATATTTGGCAATCCGCATCACTGATGTTATTAGACGGGAGCTGGTCCAACGTGGCGCCATCCAGCCTGATCAACAGCCTACAATTTGGGAGGGAGGCCCCCGACTAGATTTGCCGGAGCAGTCAGCCGTCAACACACTCAACCCGGCGACTTTTGAAGATGAAGAAATCGCCATACGCACCGAGGCTATGCCTGACCGTTCGGAGACTGATGAAGAAGACATTGACATGTCTGATGATGCAGATCGGAACTACGTGGTTGGATTGTCTCAAGAGGGTTTTGCTGCCAAATTACACAAATGTATCCTAGATGCATCCGACAACAACCTCAAGACAGTCGAGCCTCAGTTCACAGCTACCTTACCGATGGTCGAAAGATTAGGACCGCTGATGGTTAAGGCACTGACCACATACTGGGACAAAGAACTGCGCCAGGCCGAAGCAGCACTGGCTGCCACAGGTGAGCCCAGACAAGCACTTGAAACGCTAGGCCTCGCAGAATACTGTCGTCAACCAGGAATTCTGGCAGAGAGGGACAACGCTGGTGACTTCGATGGTGCTGTAATGAGCATCAAAGACATCGTTCAAGCACAAGAAGATGTGACATACACAAGACAAGGCATGAAGTCTTGGGTCTGGCCGCTCCTGCAAAAATACTGCATGAATACCGACCAAAGCAAGGAAGTCGAGATTGGTAACGAAGAGCTCTTGTACATGGCTTTGGGCGAAAAATTTCCCAAAAGCTACGGAGAGTACAAGTTCTCACGACAGGACATCGAGTCTCATGGCTTGGTCTATGAGCGCCCTGAAAAGGAGACTAAGGACAAATATGCCCCCAGCAAGTGGCGCGGCCGCCGTAGAAATTACTACAGGTGTCTGTCTTGGTTAAGAACTGAAGGCCATAGTTGGGTGTTCATGGTCAACGTCAGAAACCTGGACTCACTCTTCGGACAAATCAGCGATCCGGAAGCAACCTTTGGACCTTGGATTGAGTTTTTCGGCTCGTTTCCAGCCGAATTGAGTCTTCGTGCATTCAGCAGAGCTAATGGAGACTACTCTGGGCGCCGTGAGATGCGCTTGTTCAAGAATGTCCCTCAGGCGGTACGTGACGAATGGAATGACAACCGCGTGGTTTGGGTAAGTGGTTTCGCACCGCATTGACCGAATTGGCTGACATACTTTTAGAAACACTTTACCGAGCTAGTTGCATTCCAGTCGAACACCGAAGTTATGGCTGACATGGAGAAACGAGCCTTCATCGATCTTCCCAGCATGGAGGAAACACTGAAGTACGGCTACTGTGGATTCCGTGACGACAATTACTCCTGGTCAATCACAATCAGAGACGATGAAAAAGGTGGTTTAGGTGCATTCTCGACCGTACCAATCAAGGCAGGCTCGTTCATTGGTTTCCTGCCAGGCTACTGTCGTTTCAGTCCCGAAAAAGAAAACCGAATGGAAGTGGAGGGCTTTATTGAGTCTCATTTGCTGGGACTCTTGTTCGAAGACCAGGGCTGCTGTGGACTCCTTTCCTACATGAAGAGGACAAATTTTGGCGCGGAGGGAAATGTCATCGGAGGATGGGAGCAATTCAACGATGACATGGGTCAGAACTCCATACCTTGGTGCATCGTGGTATTCGCATACCGCGACATCCCTGCACTGACACCCCTAGTATTCTGGGACCACATGAGATTTGACTGAAGGAACTTCGTTGACAAGAGACTTTGCAGTCCCTCGCGCGAGGGCTGCATCAAGAACAACCTCAGGATTGGGATGGCTGAGAGCGGAAAGACAGGCAGAGGTAATTTGAAAGGCAGGTGCCGTATTCCGCACGAAGTTGGTGTGATCTTTAACATTCTCCCACACCTGTACAGTACCGTGCAACATTTCGCCAGTCAGAGCGAATACAGAAAGCATTCTCGTGTTGCGTACCCCTATGCCGTTGCATCGATATTTAGTCATACGAAGCTTGTAATCTCTTGTTGTCGTAGCCATACGTTGACTACAGTGTTGGCCATAGACAAGCATACATAAAGAGTAGTTCAAAGTTAGGACGATGGGCGAATCAATAAATTTTCAGACCGTTCCAAGCCTGATGACTTTTCGTGTCCAGTCAATTCACGCGATAACGCAAAAAAAGAAAAAAAGAAAAAGAAGGGAAAAAAGTGCAGAGGCATATTCTTGCAAACAAGACAGGACGGAAAACAAGTTGGCAGTCTCCAAAGATTGTTCTAATGTAATTTTTATTTTGATTGACAGTTCTATATGTTTCTTTTGTTTTCTTATCTTCAAAGACAGAAAGGAGTGTACAACTATTTCGCCGGCTACAAACAACCCAAGCCTTAACAAAAGGTGTGAGTTGACCGAGCCAGAGATCATTAAGTCAGAATGGTCATTATGATATCATATCCTCCACAAAGGGGATCAACAAAGGTGTGAAAGAAAAAGAATAAAAAGGTGTTACACAAGAAGTGAAGGAGAAAGGAAACAGGAAGGTACTAGAGTGGGGTTATCCAGCATCTAGAAGAAGAAGATAGCAGCCATAGCGGCAACAGCAGCCATGAAGCTAGCGTTGGTCTTGCTGGCGGCACCGGTGTATTGAGCGGGTGTCGAGACAGTAGCAGATGCGACAGAGCCGCTGGTGCTGCTAGGAGCGTTGATCTGGACGGAACTGCTGAGGATAGAGTGGACGGAAGAGGCAGCAGGACCGGAGCTTGCAGGGGCAACGGGAGCAGATGAAGGGCCAGGAGCCTGGATCTGACCATCGCTGATCTGAGTGACAACGTTGCCAGTGGGCTTGGCAGACGAGCTGGCAGCGGGAGTGGTAGCAGGGGCAGATTCGACCGGGGCAACGGGTGATGATGCGGGCTTGCTGCTTTGAATAGGTGCAGACTCAACGGGGCTCGATTGGACGGAAGCAACAGGCGAAGAGGCGGGCTGGGACTCGACGGGCTTGCTGCTGTGAGACTCGACGGGGCTTGATTGAGCAACAGGCGAAGATGCAGGCTGAGACTCAGCTGGTGCAGAAGGAACCATAGTGCTCTCAGCGGGGTGGCTGACAATTGAGGTTGTCATGAAGATTGAAGTCGAGCCGTGCGAATCAGTAGTGGTGTATGGGCAGGTGGTGGTGTATTCCGTGACTGGCACGACAACGGTAACCTTGCCGGAAGAGCCAGGGGCCGAGTTCGTGACAGGCGATACAGGAGAAGAAGCAGGTGTCGAAACGACGACGACTGGGTAAGAGCTGGTGACGACCTGGCTGCCCGAGGCGCACTCCTTGCAAGAAATGGTGAGCTCAGTAGTGCTGTACTTGGTAATCGTGCTGGGCTTGGCCTCGCCGCTGGAAACAGGGACAGTAGGCACGACATGGCCTTGGGTAGAAGCAGTGAGGGTGGCGTAGCTGGTGTAGATGCTTGTGATAACCGAAGGGGTAGTCAAAGTGGTCTTCGATCCACCAGTCGAGATGACTTCTCCAGAAGAGCAGGTAGTGACTGTTGTCTTCACAACATCGGTCTCAGTCTTGGTCTTCTCAGAGGGAACAGGAACGGGGACCCATCCAGAGGGGACGATACCAGAAGGACCAGCATGGCCTTGAGTGGTTGCGTTCCAGATTGGGTAAGGAGCAACAGGAGTGCTCTGCGAGGGCTGCTGAGTCTTAGAGCAGCCTCCCTTGCATGAAGTCAATGTCAAAACTGAGGTCAATGTGGTTGTTTGTGTGAGCGTCTTTCCGGCGCTAACAGTGGTGAGGACTGTGGGGCAAACAGTGGTAGTCTCATAGACCTCCTCTGTTTTGGTTGTTTCAGGAGCAGATGTAGGCTTCTGGCAGCCTCCCTTGCAGCTGGTAACAACGATGAGGCTGGTCGAGGTGTACGTGAACGTCTGACCTTGCTTGATGGTGGTAATTGGGCACAATGAAGTGCTGGTGTAGTACACAGTCTCTGTCGAGGTGGCATTCTCAGCAGGCTTGGTAGAGGAAGGAACCCAGCTCGAAGAAGGGGCCTCGGTGGGCTTGTGGCAGCCACCCTTGCACGAGGTAACTGTCAATGTGCTCGTAGTGGTATAAATGCTCGTGTGTCCATTGACAATTGTAGTCGCAGGACATACGGTTGTCGTAACATATGTAATTAGGGTGGAGGTAGCGTTAGGCTCAGCCGAAGAAGAAGGAGCCCAAGAGCTGTGCTCTGGAGTCCAGCCGGTAGGCTTGATGGAGACAGAAGAGCTCGACTCGGAACTCCAGCCGGTAGGCTTGATGACCGAGGAAGATGAAGACGAGGAAGCAGACGAAGAGGTAGTCCAGGTCTCGTTCCAGTTTGAGGCGGAAGCCAGACCAACAAGGCCTGCAAGAATTGAGAAAGACTTCATTCTTTTACAGATATCCGAGTCGATGTCAAATGATTAATACTTTTGATGTGTGAACGAAAGTATCCAAGAGAGACCGTAGCGAGAGAGTCTCTAGAGGGTGGATTAGTAAAAGTGATTGGGATGATAGAGCATTTTGGAGGGCAGGAAGGGACGATTAATATATCCCACCTTCCCCAGCATGTTTACTGCCCGAACTCGAGACGCCCCATCCTCTGTGTCCGGTAGCCTACCAATTGACGTGACTTAGAGTACGCCACTGATGAGGATCAGCCGGCGCCAGCACTAGCAGATCGAGTGCGTGTTGACTAAGTTACTTGCTGGCAGACGCATGGTTGGTACAAGCAAGGTAAGCGGAGCAGCCGACTACCTTGAGCTTGGCGGAGATGAGTTTTTTTCGTATTGGAGTCGATAGTTCGAAGGTTCGTCGTCTAAGGTCCGACCCACACCATGACAAGAGGGAACGAGATCCACATGCATGCATGGCAAGCGTACCCCAGCCAACCAAGCTCCCAGCTGCAGGCAGCTCGTGCAAAACATACACTGCATGCAGCATGCAGAGCTGAAAGCTGGTAGAAAATTTATCTGTTGCTTGCCCTTCGATCGGGTTCCTGCTGATGCATTGAGCTTCACAACATGACGTTGTGCACGCTGGAGCAATCTCAGACAAGGCGTTTTCGTATGCTCGTTGACTGAACGTTTTGGCTTCGAAAAGACTCAACGGTGGGATGATAGGCGCGATGGGCTTCCATAACCCAAGACAATGAACCTGCAGTAGCGTGCCAGTTGGCAGCAAGACGAACAGAAGCCAGAAGCAGAAAATAGAAATGGCATCACGTCGATCTTGTGGGGAATAAAGGGCCGTCCACAACCGAGACAGCACTACTTGCAGCCACAAACGAACCATACAACTTTAACCTGCTCGTTCCTGTCCATGGGCAAGAGGCTCCAAGAGGCTCCAGGTGCGCCATGTCGGGATTGCCCTGCAACGACAAAACCTTGTGTGTACTGAAGGATTTTGATTCGCATCATTGTACCTCAAGCCCTCAACAAAGGCTTGGGAATATCGTATTTCCACCATGTGCTCTCCGCAGCTATTGAATTGCTGCATAGCTTGACGAGCTCGAGGACCGCGTGGCTTCCCCATACGAGCTGCTTGATCAGATGGATTCTTGGACAAGTTATGTCACATGGTCAAACTGTGCAGAAGGGATACTATTGTTATACATCGCCGTATCGTCTATACGAGGGACAAGCAGATGTCACATCCACCACTACTTTTTTCTGATCTCTGAGGTTGCATCTACCAAGCCATCCTTGGCTCGAGGCTGAATACATGTGATGTATCGTGCTTGACTAAAATGCGAAGAGATGACCATCTGAAGGATTCAAGCCACTGACGACGCCATGAGCACGCCTTGCGAAGCACGAGCAATTGGCAACAGCCATGTTCTTCTCTGAATCGTTGCCGCCATCCGCACAGTTGGGTCTTTGCTTGCGACCTCACAAAAATCCCACTGGTGGTCACGCCGAGTAGAGTTTCTGGACTTTTGCCCTATTTTGACAAAGAGTGGAGCTAGGCATGCTCGCTTCACGCCTTTGAGATTTTGGTTCGCATGATAAATGCAATTATATCAGCCAATCACGAGAAAGAAGAGGCTGCGGGTTTCCTTCGGAACAGCGCTTTTCTGACTTTTGTGCTTTCCGCCCAGCTCTCCTCGCGGTGGGAGGCTGCCTGGCTCGCAAAGTTATACTCGAGTAGTAAGAAGGGCAGTACGTATGCAGGTACACAACAAAGTTCCGCTTATCACAAGAGCACAAAAATAAAAATTGGTAGCTCACAGCCAAGCATATACGAGTGAATGGTTCATTTTTTTGTTGAGAGCTCGCGGTGATATTTTCGTGGTGTTGCTGTTTGGCCAAGCTCACCCACCCATACGATTACTCATGATATGCACTCCACGAGAGCTAACGCAGCCTGCAAGGCCAGATCAGCGCTCGATCTAGTATGTGCTTCCGTTCGTCCAAATCTCCCAGCCGACCCACCAAGAGACAAACTTGGAGTCTTGGGGAAGAGAGGGACTGGCCGAGGAAAAATGCTGTCAAAGAGTTGTGACTGCAAAGTTACGGTCCGCCCTGTTGATCAGCTATCATCCTTGTCCATATTCCCTGCAGGGCAAGAGTGAAAAACAAGATACAAAAAGTAGATTTGTACCTTGCAGAACTTTTTTGTTGCTTTCAGCCGAGCACTTGAATTCTAAGCATCATCATCGCTGTCGCTGTCGCTGTCCCATCCATCTTCATATTCTTCGCAGATCCCAACAAGTCCATCGCAAAGTGCCTCGCGCTCGTCAATCCCAATTATTGAGCGAGAAATTCTTTCTACTGCACGGATTCTTTGCGCGACTGATGTAGTCGTCGATAGTGTCGCGTGTACAGCGAGCTTCTTGACGACATTGTGAGATACAAATACTTGAGGGAAGCTGTCGATCACTGGGAAGAGCAATGCAGATTGCTGACTGTGGATCCATCTCGTCAGCATCGAATTCGTGTTCTGCCGCCATGTCGCGACATCCCAATCTCCATGTGTTTCAAACTCACCTTTCAATCCTGGGACCATGGCCGAAGCGATCGCGAGAAGCGAGGTTTGTATCTTCGATTTCGAGACTTGACTTCCATTTACCGCGCAAACTCTGCAATTGGCTGAATACGTGAATTCGGCGGTTGTGGTGTCCTCGTTCGCCAGTCAGATTGGCAGTCTTTGGCTGCATGTCTATGTCGAGATCCTTGCTCTCTGAATCATCATGGTCATGGTATCCGTTAGTGTACCCATTTATTCTGCTGTCGTGTTGTGATGCATGGCCGTTTCGTTCGCCCTCGAGCTCGGCTGGGTCTTTGATGCTCATGTTGAGTTGAGCAATCCTGCGGTTGCCATCGTTGCTTAACAGTGTCTCAATGTCAGCAAACGACGTACGTCCTTGCTGGCCTGAGCGCAGTCTAGTTGGTAAAGTCATGCTTTCCAAAGCCAGAAGCTGCAGTGCGGAGGTATGCCACTTAGATGCTGCATTCAGATTGACGTATGGCGGTAGCACGTCTGGCAACGTGGTGAGCGGGATGTACATGCTAGCCTGGCTCGAGATCTGATGAATTGACTGTGCGACATTGGCAACCTGTAAGATCTGCTTGGCCTGTGTCATGCACGCATGGCATTAGTCCGTGTATCGAAATTCTCGTGCATGAGTATACTGACTCTTGCCTTGCGTCCACCCTCCTCGAGTCCCCATACCCAAGCACTTGTCTTGCCCAGTTCGTCTCTCATTCTCTCCAGATACTTGCTCGTGAAGCCACCCCAAGCATCGTCAGCAGAGGTGACCATTTGAATTGCTTGCAGTTGATCACATTCTTCCAGGAAAGGTCGCAAATCCCTGTCCAGAAGGTCATGTTCTTTGTCAAGACTGTCAAACAAATCTTCTCCAGTAGCCCACTTCTCGAAAGGCATGAGAGCCGAGTTCAGCTCATACTCTTGCAACTGAACGATTGACTTGGGATGATAGAACACTCTATTGTAGTCGGACCAGTAACGAACAGTCTCTGGCGATAGAGTAGGTGGCTCCAGTCCTTGGTCCAGATGCTGTTGATATGCACTTTGTTGGATTTGATCTGTTTGAATCACATCTGTGTTTCCCGCCCTGGGGATTTGATAAGTCATGCTCAGTATGCATAATCAGAATATATTTGAAACATACCACATCTGCTGTGCGATCGCTGTGGGATCATCTACTGCACCATAGAGTGCATTATCTCTCCTCAAAGTACCGAATGCACCTTTCAGATCATATATTAGTGCGCGAGGAGTGAACGTCTCTGTGCCATCTTCCGAGTGTCCAGGTCGAAAATGGATGTCATGATCCACCGGAGATTCTTCTTCATCGCCATACGTGAAATATGTTTCCTGAACGTGAACCAATCAACCTTTGTTCTAGCGAAACTCGAGCGGTTCTTTGCAACGTAGACTGTTATTGAAGATCATTTCGATCTCCATGGTCTTCGGTACGGCCGCATATTGGGAGGGCTGGGAGCGTTGCGGGAACAGGAAGGCTTACCTGCGCATTCCAAAAATGCGTACCAACGTAATTGGCCTGTTGGCCAAACTGCAAGGTGATCACTTCATGCATATTGAGATCTGAAATCAATATTTTCGTCGCAGACAAATCGACGTGCGGTAAAAATGCAAAGCAAGATCAGGACGTGAGGCGAGAGCTTCATACCAAATGCGGAGATGGGCGAGAAAAATAAAACGAAAAATAAATGGAGGAGAAAAAAATCGACCACATCAGTTGAACAGATCAATACCACTTCTTTAGGTTTTCATTATTCATTATAGCTATAGGAGTAGTTCAGGCTTTACGGGTTATAATGAGAGCAGTTGAAAATGACCTTCTAGCCCATGAGCTGCAGAGGTGTTGTTGGTGGCCAGCGGGTTTGTGAGAAACTCAAGCATCTCTTGATGGACTGCAAAAATTTTCGCGTAATCTCGTCGCTCATGATATGTGCAGCGTCTTTGTCGTTCGCATGCAACTTCTCGCGTGCGGATCTTTCGTGGATACCGACCATGGTAACACCAATTGGCCATGCACTGGGATTTTGTTAGCATCTCGAGAACCAAGGATTCGTGAGGAGTCGACTTACGCTTTACCGATACTCAAACGCAGGTAAGCATCGTTGGCATCAACATAGCGTCTCTCCTGGCAGGCTCGGACAATCTCAACAATCGGACCCAAAATTCCTTCCTCGACCTCTCCCTTCTCCAGTTTTCGATATAATGGCACCATACTGTCGCGTGCCTGGACCATAGCACTGTACGCAGCTCTACCGCTACTGCTCGTTTTTACAGCCTCATCTCGGAGCGATAGCGAGACTTGCCATTCTGACAGGACCAGAGTAAAGTAGGAAGCGAGCTGTCGGTAAAGAAAGGCGCGGCCCTCGGTATCCTTGGGCACGACGTCGGACACCTTCATATCGGCTTCGGGCACAGGCTCAAGGGTGGTGGGTATGGGACCAGGATACATGACTGCCTTCGGCTTGCCTGAAGCATCGAGTCCAGCAAGCTTCCTGTATCGTCGCAGTCGCGCATTGTGTGTCTCTCCAAACAAGCGCGCAGGTTCATTCATGTCCCTCAACTTTTGCACGAGCTCTTCTGGCGGAATGTCATTCTCAGGCGCAGGTGTGGCATCACCGCTCTCGACAGCCTTTTCTTTTGGTGGTAAATCTGGTAGTCCTAGCCTCTTTCTGCGGATCCTTTCTTCTCGTTCCTCTTCTTCTTCTCTCAATCTTCTGCTCTCTTCTGCCAGTCTCTTTCGCTTCTCCTCTCTTGCTCTGTTTTTCTCTGACTCGTCTTCTTCGAGTTTGCGCTTTTTCTCGAGTTTAGCAATTCGCGCATCTTCTAATGCTTTCTGCTCGGCGGCGTAGTCTGCTTGTCGTTGTGCTTCGACGTCGGCGCGTTTAGTGTACTTGAATGGTTTCGCTGCTTCTGGCGTTTGAGACTTTGACGTCGGTCTGGATTTGGCGATCTGCGCCGACATGAGTGATGCGAAATCCATGGCGTACTATTAATGCCGTCTGTAAGTAATAGAGTGGACTATTGTTCTGATGATGGTTTGAGGCGCGACTTGCTCAGTCGCCTTGACAATTTAAGGAAGGCGCATCTTATCGCGGATCTGCCCGCTGCGGTGATGCTCAAGACCTCCGAGACGTGTGATATGTATCTATTCAACAGATTTATGTGTTAACAATTGTTCTGCTAAGCAATGGCTGTGAACGCATGTCCTTGACTCGCTATTTTCAACAATCAAGACAGTCACCAGAAAATGTCAATTCGATCTCACGATCGGTGTGAGTTCGTCACACTTCACTTCCGAGCTCGAGACACAATATCATCGAAAGGAAAACATGCAATGGTCAACAACAGTATGCCAACACGGATTCAAAATCAATACGACACTAATGTAGTATGTTGAAATATGTTAAAGAGTGATAGTCCATGAGCCTAGTCATCGTCAGATGTGCGATGATAAAAATTGACCTCAAAGAACAGGGTCATGCTAACAGCAACCGAGACTGCATAACCATCGAAACACGAATCAAACATCCATCTTGGTCGGACCTGCACCTAGCACTGCAGGCGCTATCCAACCCAGTCCACCGAGTGCCCACAATGCCAGTGCGATCAACATCTTTGTTAAAGGCGGCTCAGTCGACACGATGACCGCCCTACCTCGATTTTGTCCAGCCAATGCTGCGCCCAGATCGTGACGGTTGTCCCACACCGTCCTTTGTCCAGTCTCGAGGAACGGATTGATAGAGCATTTGACGAGACCCCACAGGCTGGTCCTACTTACTACGATCCAGCTCAAAAGAAAGACTAGAGTAAGGATAACGTCACAAGCCATAGCTGCTAGCGAAGGGTCATACTTCAAGAAATCCAGCAGACTGAGCTTCATGAAGCGGTGATAAACGTCAGACTGGTTGAGATAGAGTCGGTAGGAAGGATGGGCAGGGTTGGTGACAACGGGCCTAAAGAATATGACGTAGGTTGACCAGGCATGAAGCAACAAAGACAAGAAGCCGGTTGTAGCGAAGACCTTGATCTGGGCTTCCGAGATGCTGACGAGTCGGCGATGATGATTGTTCACCTTGGGTATAATCCAAGAGATGAGTGGGAGCATTACCGGAAGGATAGAGGTGAATAACAACGACCTTTGGAACAGCGGACTGTTAAGAGTGCCCATCATCAACCACGCGAAGGCGTGGTGGACTAGCGACACGACTCCGACAATGAGGTGTAGTACTTCGATTTCAAACCAGCTGGTGCCTCTCGATGGTGGCGTGGAAAGTATGAACACGAATAACAAGCAATGCGCACAGCTAAGGCTCGTCATTGCTACCCAGATGAAGGCAAGCATGGTGATCGTCTTCAATCGACGAACGTGAGCTGTGCAGAAATGCGTCAGTCAGCCCTCCATGAAACATAAAGGTGTGATCCGACATACACTGAGTCAGAAGGAAGAAGGCAAAGCTGATCAAGCCACCAAAGTATTGCTGCGACCACCACAGAAAGTATCCCCACTCTGGTTTGGGAGTAGCAGCTTCGCCAGCCCAAGCTCGAAGATGCATCATCTGGAACATCTGCGGCATACGATCTAGGTGTTCCCTGTGCATGTATCAATAAGACAAGGACATGAAGATTAGGTGCTGTGAGAGAACCCACTCGTAAAACCAAGGATATCGGGAATGTGGCATGTCTCTTTGATCACGCAGACTGGGCTTAGAAATATCGGTAAAATACTCATCCTGATAGTACATGACAAGGGTAGCAGAGAGTATAGCAGCGGTCATGTACGCGACAGCAAAGATTCTCCTGGATGTCTGAGGATATGAGGTGAATCGGGCAAAGCTGTCTCGACTTGAGTTCCGACGGCGAACCCAGTAGATATCAGCCAAGATCAAGATGAGACATGTTAGAAAGCCCGCCGGACTCCAACTGCCGGGGCGAACCACGCGCTGGATGTAGTCTTCAGGGCGCGGCATGTTTGACCTGGTGATATTGCAAGATTGACGAGAGAAGAACAGAGGGAAGGAGATTCATGCTCTTATTGGAGCTCTCAGGGGATGCACGTTCACATTCCATGATGATAGATGGAAACATTTGACCTAGCTTTACACAATAGACAGGCGAGACGATAATGCAGGGCAAGATTAAAGATGCATTCCTTGCATTGCGAGATGAAAGAGAGGACGGAGGGAAGGCAGAAGCTGAGGATGCACTTGCCCCGCCAGGGTCTTTGACAAGCTGTCGCGTTGCTGACGAACGCTCGAGAGACGCATGTGATTGATCCTCCAAGTGGCATTTCGCACCCATGAGAGCCTTCCTGGCTAGATTTCGCCAAAGCGTACTATAGCAAACATGTACCACTTGGTAAAGTCGCTCTATCTGCATGCGACAAGCAAAGAAGGTACACCAGAGATGCAAACACGCCGTCGCAATTTGACTTTGGCTGACGCGACCCTAAGAGTATTCCATTCTCCTTCTTGGACTCGACAACGCTGGAAAGACAACCTTGCTCGAACAGATCAAAGCCCTCTTCAGCCCGCACCTTCACCCGAAGCTCAATACCGTCCCCACCGTTGGCCAAAATGTCTCTACAGTTGACTTGCCCGACATCTACCTCAAGATTTGGGATGTCGGCGGTCAGCACTCACTAAGAGGACTATGGCAGTCATACTACAGCAGCTGCCACGCCATTGTCTTTGTCATTGACAGCACGGATGTTGGCGATGGTGATATTGAGCACCTCAGCAAGGGCCAAGATGCCGGCGAAGAGCAGGGAAGACTAGACGAGTGCAGGCTCGTGCTGGAGAGCATCTTACAAAATGGAGAGACTGAAGGTGTTCCCCTTCTTGTCCTGGCCAACAAGCAGGATCGCGAAGACTGTGTCGAGGTTGTCCGCATTAAAGAAGGCTTGGTACGCAAGATTATCGAAGGTGAAAAAGGAGGAAGTGTCAGAGACAGCAGAGTCCTTCCCCTGAGTGCTCTAACTGGCACAGGCGTCAAGGAAGCCGTCGACTGGCTCTGCAGCAGAGTCAAATGGAACAAAGAGGCGAGGCCACCAGCTCTACGTTGACTTGACAACATCCTTTCTCTGTTCTACACCCAGCACCGTCACACCAGTCAGGCCAGTGCGCTCTTGGTGTGACGTACCACCACCACAATTCGACACCGTGGATTCACTCAGTCCCGTTCTGAGGCGCCTTTAAACGAAGATTTAACCGGAAACAATCTTTATGACATAGATCATAGCATGTGTGGGAGCATCGCAGACTTGCGCTCGGATGCGAAGTGTTCACGGACCACGACACCGATCTGTGTTCTTTCTGAGGTGACCGCTTGCCAAACAAGCACGCCGGTCTTTCGATGACCACATAGGAAATCTTCGAATCAGACAGAAGTAAGACTGATTGCTATGTTGAGACCGCTGGTTGAAGGTGGATCTCTGCGCCAGGTTGATGGGCTCTACGGAGGCGATTGGGTTATTTTTTTTCTCTCTCTTCTCGGTGACTGTTCATGGTGGCGCTTGTTTTGTGCCGCAGAAGATAGTACTACCTGAGTTTCAGTACATACCTACGTAGGTGGACTCGATATTAGCTCGCGATAGGCAGTTGTTTTATCTCCGAATATAGCCGATATCTGTGTGACTCCAATCATCGACAAACCCGGGTTCGAAGACTTGGCACGTTGACCGTCACCATTCGCGACAAGCAATTAACCTGACTTCCCATGTCAAACCACAAAACCCTGCATCTAATTAACAGCCACTCGAAACAACACAACTCTGTCTGCAGCCCAAACGGTCGGGGAAAATCAAGCCGCATCTGTCACGAAGAAATTGGGTCGCTGGTACCTCATCCGACGCAGCCCCTACGGCAGGGTTGGTTGACTTGTCATTTCGAACCACAACTTTGACCATCTTGCATATCTGTCAAGCCTCCCCCTTGCAAGCCACTGTTTGACGCTCGATAGAGAAGAGATGCCCAATACGATGGATGTAAGTATCAGTGTCACCCCCAATTTTCTGCTGGAGGTTGAACGATGTCGTTTTTGGCTTGGAAGGTGCGCTTGTCTATAGATTTGGTGGTTGGAGTCTGCCTTCACACCCAGCGCTTGTGAAATCGAAGCGCTCCCAATGACGCGCCTCTTTGAACACAATTGTGAGTAGTAAACAATTCCTTCCCTTATCACCACTTGCCGTGGGGAGTACAAGAAAACTGGCTATTTCGTGCTTTGAGTTGCGCTCAGCAATTGTCTCGTACTCTTGCCCTTGCCAGCGGAACGTTGCGTTTGAACAACTTAGTGAGAGCATACCTCACACTGGTTTTGGCAACCTTGATATATCGTCAAGTGATCAGCACATAGAATAAAGGCCATCATTCACTAACAGAGTTCAGAAGGGAAACAAGGCAACACTTGACTCCACTGCCATCTCTAGAGACGAGTGACACAAATTTGATTTGTCCAACCAACCACAATGCCACGGCCCGGCCTCCATGTCTTTAGCGGGCCACCCGATGAGCGTCTAGGTCGAGAGAGATTAATGAGTTATATTCAGGATCAAACATCCGCCGACTTTCCAGACATGTCAGCCGAAGTAACGAATTCGCAATTTCACACCGGCCGCCTACCCAATGGCGCTAAGAGTCGCAACAGACCGAAGTTGATGCTTATGGGCCAGAGAAGGTACGCAAATCGACATGCGAACACAAGAACAGGTTACGAACCAGGAGAACAGAAGCGGGAAATCGTCAATCTCTGGAGTAGTCTTCCAGAAAATGCCACCATCCGAGACGCTGTATCTTGAAACGACAACGCGACCAGAAGAATCGTCTGCACAGTGAGTGTTCTGGCTTTGACAAGCATTCTCTTTCTGACCGATGCCAGCTCCTTCATGGATTTTCAGATAGCAGAACTACCCGGCCATGTCAACTACTTCACGCCCGACTTCAACCAAGCTAATATCTTTGCCGAAATTGGTGCGGTCATCTGGGTCATTGATGCCCAAGACCAATATCTTGACGCTCTCAACCAACTCATCGACACCATTACTTACCTAGCGCAAACATGGCCCGCAATCAACGTTGAGGTCTTCGTGCACAAGGTTGACGGTCTTTCCGAGGAATACAAGAATGACACTTTCCGCGACATTCGACAACGGATCCTTGACGAGCTATCAGATCTTGGCTACGACAACGCGCCTGTCAGTTTCTACCAGACTAGCATTTACGATCACTCGGTGTTCGAGTCAATCAGCAAAGTCATTCAGAAGCTTCTACCACAGCTGCCTACCCTGGAGAGTCTGCTCAACAGCTTGTGCAGTACGTGCCGGATCCAAAAGGCATACCTATTCGACATCATCACCAAGATATACATCGCATCGGATACGAGTCCACAAGATACCAACAGCTATGAGATTTGCTCCGACTTCATCGACGTAGTGGTGGACATTGGCGAGCTGTACGGATGGGCAAGACCCCAGCAAGGCGAGAAGACCGAATTCAACAACCACGCCTGTGAGAGCATGGTCACCATGGAAAAGAAGGGGCAGAACTATTTGTATCTCAGAGAAATGAACAGGTTCGTACCAGTTCAGTAACACTGCTCTCATTTGTGCTGACACGATCACAGGTATCTTGCTCTGGTTTGCATTATGGGTGACGACAATCCGATGGAGAAGAAGGTGCTTATAGACTACAACGTAGGAGTGTTCCAAGAAGCGCTCGCAAAGGTCTTTGGCTGGTAAAAAGTGATACCTTACTGTACAATATACTCTAATACCCCCAATGCAAAGATCATGTTGTACAAAGTCGCTTCGGCGTCACCAGCCTCCTCTTCAACAAGTCAGTATCCTCGAGCAGATGGTCTGGCTGCCATGTTCGTCCATTCGATTGAACAATGCGAGACGTTTACAAGACGAGTCATGGCATACGACTGACTAGCGAGTTCTGTGGATCGCATTCGCGAACACCAGGTTTTCTGGATTCAGACCTGGCTTCTTCTTCGTGACTTCCTTTGTTCGAACTTACCAAGCTTGGTCACCGAAATTCGTAATCACGATACTCCAAAGGCGAGAATGTAAGGGAGATTTGTTACCTATTGCTTCTTTGTTACACGGACAAAGAATCCTTCTGCTATCGCATACCACAAGTCTCAATGCGGGCTTGCGAACAAGCATGCCGGCCAAATCCGCCGCTTCCCAACATTATATCGTCGCTTCTTCCACGGACGGATGCGGTGAACAAAGCCGACCTTGGACTGAACGTTTTGATCCTCTAACTTTTTCACCTCCGCATCAACAATCTTACCCCCTCTTCTATGGAGCTCGAATACTTTCAATCTTCGATCACATCTCTACAAACTTAACATGGCTAATCCTGCACCGCGTTTCGCCGATATGGCTGCCAATGTCAAAGCACAGGTCATGCGTGCTTTTCGAGATTGGCCATTTGTACCTCCTGCTAACCCGGGAGTTGGCCGCCCGCAACCCATTACACCAAGCATTAATTGGCGGCCTATACCATCAGAAAACACCGTTATGGCTACGGGTGCTGAAGGGGTGGTGCATCTCTGGTGCGATGTCGATACCACCACCCAGAGAATTCTCGATCGGGTCGTTGTCAAACACGTAGTCTCAGGCCAGGCCAGATACCAGGACCCGGACAACTGGGTTAACAATCAAGTGGGAGGGGAGCCTCTGGAGTGTCGTCAAGCCAACCTGGTCTGGGCAGCCATTCCTAATCCCGCCGTTCAACAGCATATTCAATCATGCTTGGGTTGGGGAGATGTGGTTGCGCCCGATGTGGTCCCACAAACCTACCAATACAAGCTTTATCACGAGTACTGTTCGCAGAGCAGTATGAATAGGGTCATGAAGAACCAACCAAGAAAGAAAAGGCCATGTGCCAAGCGGAAAAGTCGCAAACAGTTGCCAGAACCCTTTCTTTGGTATATGTTCGAGTCTTTGGCAAAGGCTTGTGTGGCTATGGACACAACCTACAACCCAAGAGGCCTGGTTCATCAAGATATGCATCCGGGAAATAGTAAGCAGCGACCAAAAAAACAACAATACTGTTATAAAACCACTAACACTGACCCGTGTAGTCTTTTTTAGTGACCCTGATCCGAACAGATTTGCGACGTACCCAGTACTCAAGGTAGGAGTTATATAACAATCTCTTACAGAAAGGGGCTGACATCATTTGCAGGTCGCCGACTTTGGCAGCTCCCGTGAAATCACTCCTCAAGTGAGAAACCGCGGCCCAATAGTCCAGAGTGATCCTGTCTGTTTGACGTATGCAGCGCCGGTATGGACAGTCACGAGATCAGCAAATTAGAAATAGACACTGACTCTTCATGTACAGGAGAACTCATGGAACACACCGATTCCTATGCACGGGCCGTTTCCCTGGGAAGCTCCAACAATGATCATCACCAGAAAAACAAACATATACCAAGTCGGACTTATCATGGCTTCTGCGATGAGGCTCATGCAGCCCCTGCCTGAGAACAACTGGAGGCAGCCTCCACGCGGATATCGAATACCTCCAGCAAACCAACTGCACCATGATCCGGGTCCGGCGGTAGGTGTGTCGGAACTGTCGCGAGACCAACTGAACCCAGGTCCGAAGAAATATAGCTATGCACTTACCGATCTGGTCTGGATGTGTCTCAGGCATAACAGCGTCCACCGTCCTCGTGCACATCAGTTACTGCAGCGTATTCAACTGCATGCGAATTTCCAAGGAATGGATCAGATAACGGCGCCGATTGGTCCCTTGACTGCGGCCCAGAAAAACCTTTGTATAGACATGAACCCGGACGAATATGCTATTGGCAAAATCTTCTAGAGGAAAGGGTCAGAATCAGATCATTACAGCAGCAAGATTGAGGGATCAAATGTAGTTATTCTTTTCTGCTGCATAGTCAACTGTCAATCAATCAAATTTGTTTCAAAGGAGAACAAAACAAATTGTTATCATTCCAGCTAGACGTGCTATGGAGAAGCCAGAAAAAGCTAGAATATTTGTAGCAGATATGAATACACGTTGAGTTGTTATTTCCTTCTTGCCACTCTTCCTGCTGTCGTATCTCTTGCGAACAAGTCCCAAAGAAAGCCCCTTGACCCATTAAAAATGAAAGCTACCACGACCAGTCTATGCAACCTTTCGCCGTTTGTAAGGCTTCTTCCCAACCTTGTATTTGTCTGTGAGACTCATCCTGAGCTTGAGAGGATGGTTATGCGGGAATCGTCCCCTAGCTGTCATCATACCATCATCCCTGCCGATCATCTTGGCTTGTACTTCTTGAAGCAGTTGTTGCGGTGAGATTCTGGCGTCTGGATCGAACACCAAGCACTTCTTGACCAGTGTCAGTAGTTGTCTGCTGTATCTTCTCGATTTGGGGTCGTCAAGTCTCATCTTCATGGGCTGGGACGCCATGAGAGGCCTGAAACCCATGGCCTGGTGAAGAGGCATAGGGTAGTTAGGAGGTTGGACTCGCCATTGCGTTTCAAGCAACTCGGGCTCAAGGCGAATCGCACACAACATAAGCAGTCCAATCTGCCATATGTTTGTCTTGGAAGAAAGCACAGCAGGTCTTTGAACATATCCTCCTGGCCTTGCTCCTGGAGCTGACGGGGGTAGATTGGGGTCCCAGTGGTTGAAGAACTGCACAGTGTATTGTTGCGTCTGCCGATTGTAGTCCATCTCTGGTGCAGCAAAGGTCTCTGCATATGGTCCCATGAAGTACCTGTCCAGCTGACCTCCGGGATGATTGAGCGTCCGGGCACTGCCAAAATCTCCTAACTGAATTGTGACTTGTCAGTATAGCCGTTACGAAGTGATCGAGTGACTTCGGCACACCTTAGGTACTGGCCAGATTGCGAAGTGATTGGGATCGGGCTGACCGAAGAAGACTGCCACTGATCAGTATCTATACATTTAGAGGCAGGATTGTCATACTGTTGCCAGATTGCATATCCCTATTCTCAAGTTAGTGGTTTTGGTTGTCGTCTGACATTGAGACAAGACTCACCCATGCACAATACCCTGACCATCCATGGCCACAGCAACTTTGGCGAGTGCTTCGAAGAGCTAGCTTATGGGTTAGAGGAGCCCCGATCAGATGTCCAATATAGATGCGGATACTCACAGCCCACAAGAATCCTTCAGGAAAAGGTTCCTGTTCCTGCACTACTCTCGTTCTTCTTTGGCGTCCAGGCCGCCGGACCAATTTTGATGTTCGCCACTGAGATTCAATACACTCGGGGAGATTGCCAAACAGGTACTCATAGTACAGCTTGTACTGTGGCAAGTCGGGTGGCTGGTATTGACAGTCGCCCCAACCTAAGCATTCAGCAACGAACTTCTCGTCGCCATGATTGTTGCTCCACAACTCTCCGGCAATGGCGTTTGCGATAAGACTTTCCATCGGTTCTCCGCCAACCTGTAAATTTACCCAGTTGTTTGGATCGTTGTAGCTAGCGATGCCAGGAACTGTCTGCTTGACGACGACTCGATCGAGGATCCTGTTGTTCCTATCGACGCAGACCCAAACATGGACAATGCCACTGTTACCGGTAGCGACTGGAATCGCGTCATGGCTCTGCGGTGCTGGTAACCAGGTACCTTGTGCATATGTTCTTGGTCCTGAGACGATCATACTGGTATTCGGTGGTGTGACGAAAGCCCAAGCCCGTGTGAAACGTTGGATTATCCAGTTACGCACGCCATCTCCTAGGGCACCGAACGTACCTTGATCATTGTTATCATTTGGCTGGACTGGGGCAACGTGATGTGGTGGCAGTGGAGCAGCCATTTTCAGTCAATATCCTTAGCAAGATCCTCCAGTATAGATGCCAGTGCTGATCGCCGAGCTTTGGAGGTAGTTGCTGAAAACTGCAAGGTCATACTTGTGCGCATATGATTTCCAGCCTCTTTGTTCTTCTAAGTCGAAAGTGCGCCGGATGCAGTCACGTTGGATGCAACAAAGAGTGACACGGCTTCTTTGTCTGTGATACTGGGAGCGACATGCACAGAGTCCGATACCTGGCAAGTTGCAATTGATCTCGCCCAGAGCCGTGCATTGTGTTAGGAAATCGACAAAGGATTGCTGGCAGAAGATTCATGAACAGAAACGGATGAAAGCAGTTGCATAAGTAAATTTTGAAGAGTACATGAGTCGCACATCCAATCGCAAAGAAAGTCAGGGGACTCTAGAGCAGCTGCAACTGGAGAAAAACAAACAGCAAGAGCGATGAAAGCCACAAAGCCAAGAACAGAAACCGAGAGAAGGGAAGTGCGACAACAGCTGCTCGCATTGGACGTTGTCGATACATGATGAAATATCCCCATTTGCCCCAGCGCGTGCCCACATTACCTTTGTCAACCCATCTCATCCTCAAACGCCTGGCGTAGGCCTTCCTCGTCAATGAAGTCAGGTCGAGTGACAGATCGATCAACTTTCTCGAAACCTGCAGCAGGATCAAAGAAGTCTTGTACAGAGCGCCCTGCATCTGGACCGAGCAGAAAAACTTGCCCTGGCGTGTCTCGAAGCGCGCCTGCTTTCGTGGTGATTGATCGCGGGTTCTTTGGTTTGTGAGGCGTGACAGGTGCCGGCTTTCTTCTGCTGAGCGACTTTGTTGATGGAGAGTCCATATCCATGTCCATGTCCATGTCCCAGTCCTCTGGTTGTGTAACAGGATAGTCGTCCTCGAATAGGATGCTAGGGTCAAGATCGTACTGACCATTGTACTTTGCATTGTCGAGACAGGCCTTGGTCCGCATAACACCAGAATGCAAATTCACGCCCTGATCGACTCGTGCAAGGAGGTCTGTCGGTGTTGGCCTTTGACTGGGAATGAAGTTAAGACACTGTATGACTGTATCTTTGAGCAATGAGCTGTAGCCCTGCATCCTCGGATGGGTGTCTCTTTGATTGATAAAGTTATCAAGCCATCTCTCGCGAAGATTGTAGGCTTGGGATCGAAACTTCGGTGGAACGAAAGGCTGTGGAGCCATCAGATCCGCAATGATCAAAGCAGCGTTCCAAACATTAGTGGCAGAAGTCACCCTTTTGGGTATGTCCTCGAGCCTGATGCCAGGGATTCTGTCCCTCGCTGGGATGTTATTTGCGTCGTTGTTTCTGTCGAATCGTTCTCTATCAGGAGCAACATAACCCATCGACACAGCAGCTTCACATTGAGTCAGTAGTCTGACAGCTTTCTCTTCTATGCAACTGACTTACTGCTGTCAACCTTCTTTGAGTGTTCTTCCTGAGTATCTTGGGGTGAACATATCATTGCACCGCCAAAGTCGCCCAACTGAAATTGTGTTATGATTCGGCCACGTCATCTTACGGAATACAGAATCTTACCTTCGCCCAAGGGTACTTCGGAAAGTTATCTTCATCGGGCAAGCAGAGGAAGACTAGAATGAGTTAGACATAGGTAAAAATACCGTCTGAGCAGGAAAAGCTTACTGTTGCGTGGTTTGAAATCACTAGCCGTATGTCAGAGGTAGAAGATCAATGATGGGATGGGTTTGGTACTTACATGTGAGCAACAGATTCATCTCCTGTCAAGCCATGGCCAGATGGATTATCCATGGCATGCACAGCTCGAGCAAGATCCTGGAAGAGCTTCCAGAGGTACGGCTCGGGGAAGGTAAGCGAACGTACTTTATAGGGTTCAAGAAGTCTCTTCAAGTCACCCCCTGGACAAAACTCCATGTACAATCGGAGGACATTCCTCTCAGGAAAAAGTCGATGCCCCCAGATCTGGATCGTGTTCTTCGAATCCTTTGGCATTATCATGCTCATGTACTGCTCCCTCGGAATGTCTTTCTTCGGTCCGAAGAACTCATAATCGTCTTTCGGACTCGACCCTTCTTGCAAGCCCAGCTTTGTTTCACGCTCGACTTCCTTGACGACCATACGTTCGATGATTTTTTGTGTGGTTGGATCGCGCTTGATGAACAAGCCTGCGCAGCCTTGTCCACCCTCTGGATAACACCGTCAGCATAGCTTCCAACGCAAGAAGCAGATTATTTGATCTATCTCGTATAAGTCTTACCTCCAAGCTGTTTCGTTCCAACCCATTGCTCTTCGTTAGCCGCAAAACCGGGTTTACTGCGAATCAGGTTCCATCCGGAGCTCGTCATTTTCACGATCGTCTTGACACAACAAAATGGTCTGTGGCAGTCTTGCAATAGTATTTTATTTCTCATGACCTAAGTGAAGAGCTGACACTTCTTTATGCTTCACCCGACAAGCCACCGCATGCGGGCTGAATTTCAAATCCTTTTCTGTCTGAATGGACAAAGAATCCGCTGCTACAATGAAGTGGACTGAACTTCATTGTTGAAGATGGATTTACTTGCGAATGAAGGCTCAATGATGCGGTTGCAAGAAGCTGCAGTCCTCTTATTGGATGGGTCTGGTTTCGTCGCGCGATCTGACATGAAAACAAATTCATATCATCTGACCCATACCAGAGTGGATACAATGCAGACCATCGATCTACAGACCAGAAGTCATTCGACGCTTGGGCGCCAATCTGTGCTGCGCTTGGATTTGGGATCGCCAGCTGACTTCGTCAATGATCGCCTCACATTTGAGACAATAAAATCTAGTCCTGCCAGAAAAGATGCTTTTTGAGAGCACATGTTCGAGAGCTAGATTTGCTGCATGTCACTTTATTCCTCGGGCCTACTAGTTTGACTACGAGCTGTGAAGATGGGTTTTCAATCAGCACGGCGTCGCTTGGTCTGGCCATTCGCTGGGATGGCGTCTTCGTCGTCTTCAAGGACCTCCGATTCAGGACCTTGACTCTTGCGACGATATTGACCTGCTCCGATCGCAACCATCTCCTCCTCACTGTCGCTTGCGTGAATGTCCAACAATACGGGCATGCGGAACTCGTGCTTAACTTGGCCTGGCTTGGCAGGGTCGACAGTCAAGACATCGACATCTTCGTCTTCGAGATCAAGACGTCTCTTGTGCAGTTCTTCAATGGGGTGTATATCGAATTCGTCTTCAGCCTCAATGTATTCATTGTTTTCCTCGACTTCGACGAAGTCAGGAGCGAGCGCGGACCAGCGTTGTGGTGTGTTGACAGACCACAGGTAGATGCGACCGGATTCAACGCCAGTGGCTGCGACAAAGGGTCGTTGTGGATGCCACTCGACAGCGCCTAGCTCTTCCTTGGGACCTTCGAGAATCTTAACTAGACTGCCATGGCCACGCTCCCAGATGTAAATGTCGTGATTCATAAGAGTCGATGCCATGACATAGTCTCCAGATGGACTGAAAGCCACGTGATTCCAAGATAGACGATTGACGACGTCTTGGAATTTGTGCTCAACCTCAAGGCGCATGTTGTCAGGATCGAAGGAGGGGTCATCAAGGTCAGGCAGATGGATTGTGCGTATGATGCTGTCAGCCGCGTTTACCAGTAGATCACGACCAGAAGTAGTAAGACGCAAGAGAAGTAATGCCTTGCTGCTGAGCCGAGTCGAGTAGATGACGGAACAAGTGCTCGCCTTGATGATGTTGAGCCAACCCTTTGTGGTACCAGTTATTATGTGTTCACCAGATGGGGTGAAGATGGTGACGGTTGTAGTATTCTTGGGATCGTGCTTCTCGTCTTGCTCGTAAGCAGAGCGCTTTGGGGTTGAAGGGAGAGGTTTTCGAACAGTCGAAGGTTGGTCAAGCGAGGCCAGGACGGGCTGGGCTTCGAAGAGAGCGGCGGTACACAGGAGGTGATTGTGAGGGTGCAGTTCGGCGATATAGATTGGAGCACCGAGATTGACAGTACGGATGCGGGAGCCATCGTTCAAATCCCATAGGATGGCCTTCCAGTCGACCGACGAGCTGAGCAGGTAGCGACCACACGCGGACCAGCTGAGCGACTGAACCTGGCGGCCAGGGGTGTGACCACGTAGCTTACGGGCGACACCATGTGTTTCGAGATCGAAGATTGCAATGGCACCTTTGGCGGTGCCAGATGCGAGCAGGTCGCCCTGGCGATTGAAGCGAAGACAGACGGCAGCACCAGAACTGCGCAGACGGGCGATGAGCGCCTCTGGCATGTCCTGCGCCAGCACGAACGGGTCGACTAGAGCGAGATTCATGCTGGAATTGGAAAGGTTCTGTCAGTAAGACTATATCGGCATGGTCAGACGAGACTTTTGGTCGTGGATGCAGCAGTCAAGTTAGCAAACGCAGCAAACGCGACAGCACGGCATGGGCAAGAGCGACTCGGCCTCTGAGATCGCAACTCGTAAGCAGTCGTTTGCGCTGAGCTCCCACCTCGTTAGGTCTCTTCGACCAAATCTCTCACTAATATTCAAAGGAGCGTGTTCCACAAAGAAGCTTTCTTTCTCATCATTCTTCCTTTGTGACTCGGCTCAGAGACCAAGTGCTGGCAACCAAGCTGCTGGACATCTACAGCACCCTCGCACGTGACCTTCGGAGGTCAAAGCGGATCATTATTGGCGACTCCAGAGTCAGAAGCAGCAACCAGCAGCGGCGCTTTCACTTTAGCGGCCGGCGCCTTGCAACATCAACGCCCGTCATATCCTCGACCTCACCCTTGCTGCCACCACGCCCTCACCAACCGCATCGCCGCGCATCTCCCCCATTGCGCGCAATCGCCATCTCGAGTCGCGTCGCTCCTTCATCGCTCCTCGATTTCTCTGTTTCGCCGCTGTCCGCCTGCGCGCGCGCCGTTCGAAAGGCCAGTCGCTCGACACGCGCTCTCTCGCCAGAGGCAACCTTCTTACATCTACAACCATCGACCCTATCACCACTTCCATCTGTCCTGGAGATCCACGCTCAAACTCTCCGTCGACAGCGCCCTGAAGGCGGCAGCCGCTGATACGATTCTTACACAATTTCTCTTAGCTATTGCTATCAACATCCGCCACCATGAACATCCACTCTTTTCCCTATTCCAGCGCTCCGCTGAAGACCATTCAGGAGATTCAGTTCGGTCTCTTCTCTCCTGAGGAGATCAAGAACATGAGTGTGTGTCACATCGAGTACCCAGAGACCATGGACGAGCAACGGATGCGTCCACGAGAGAAGGGCTTGAACGACCCCAAGCTGGGCTCTATCGACCGCTCAGTTGCCTGTGGTACCTGCGGTGAAGACATGCTTGAGTGTCCTGGTCACTTTGGTCATATTGAGCTTGCTGTGCCCGTCTTCCACGTCGGTGTGTTTTGATCCTCGCAAGTTCATCATGTCTGACATGGCGCTGATTTGCTGCAGGTTTTGTCACCAAGATCAAGAAGATTCTCGAAACCGTCTGCCATAACTGTGGCAAAGTCTTGCTTGATGAAGTGAGTCGCCCTGCGCGGCTGAAGCTGGATTCAATGCTCGACCACCAATGCTAATCTCTACTTTTATAGAGCATTCCTGCCTTCGCCCAAGCTGTCCGCATAAGAGACCCCAAGCGCCGCTTCGATGCTGTTCACAGACTGTGCAAGGCCAAGACGACCTGCGATCCCGATGAGGCTGGTGACGATGGAGAAGACCCGAAAGACGCCTTGAAGAAGGGCAAGCGATCACACGGTGGCTGCGGTAACCTGCAACCCACAATTCGCAAGGATGGTCTAAAGCTTACCGGCACTTACACATACCCCAAGGACGCCGATACAGAACAAAAGCCTGTGGAGAAGAAGGTCATCACCCCTCAGATGGCATTGAACGTTTTCCGCAACATTTCGACATACGACTTGGCCAGAATGGGCCTCAACGCAGACTACGCTCGTCCCGAATGGATGATCTTGACCGTGTTGCCGGTACCGCCACCAGCCGTTCGTCCCAGTGTTTCCGTCGATGGAACCAACCAGGGCATGCGTTCTGAGGATGATTTGACTTTCAAGCTCAGTGACATTATCCGCGCCAATGCAAACGTCCGCAAGTGTGAGCTCGAAGGCTCTCCCCACCACGTCATCGCAGAGTTCGAGGCTTTGCTACAGTTCCACGTTGCTACATACATGGACAACGATATTGCAGGACAGCCTAAGGCTCTGCAAAAATCCGGTAGACCTGTTAAGGCTATTCGTGCGCGCCTGAAGTCGAAGGAGGGCCGTCTTCGTGGTAACCTGATGGGCAAGCGTGTCGATTTCTCTGCTCGTACAGTCATCACTGGTGACCCGAACTTGTCTCTGGATGAAGTTGGTGTTCCTAGAAGTACCGCCCGCATCCTTACCTTCCCCGAGACCGTCAACGCTTTCAACATTGACAAGCTGCAACAACTTGTCCGTAACGGTCCCAACGAACACCCTGGTGCAAAGTATGTCATTCGAGACACCGGTGAGCGTATCGACTTGCGCCATCACAAGCGCGCTGGCGAAATTCAACTGCAATATGGCTACAAAGTCGAAAGGCATATCGTTGATGGTGATGTTATCATCTTCAACCGTCAACCTTCACTGCACAAGGAGTCTATGATGGGCCACAGAGTCCGTGTTATGCCCTACTCCACCTTCCGTCTCAATCTTTCTGTTACTTCACCATACAACGCCGATTTCGATGGCGATGAGATGAACTTGCACGTTCCTCAAAGTCACGAAACCCGCTCAGAAGTCATGAACCTTTGCATGGTTCCCCTCAACATCGTCTCTCCTCAGCGTAACGGTCCCTTGATGGGTATTGTGCAAGACACTCTTTGTGGTATCTACAAGATGTGCCGTCGTGATGTTTTCCTCGACAAGGAGCACGTCATGAACATTCTCATGTGGGTGCCTGATTGGGATGGTGTCATCCCACCACCCTCTATCCTCAAGCCTCGCCCGAGATGGACTGGTAAGCAGATTATCAGCTTGATCGTCCCTACTGGCTTGAACCTTGTTCGTGGTGATGCTGAGGGCATGCACCCCCTCAACGACAACGGCTTGATGGTACATGGCGGTGAGCTCATGTACGGTCTCTTCAGCAAGAAGTCCGTTGGTGCTAGTGGAGGTGGTATCATCCACATTGTCTACAATGAAAAGGGCTGGGAAGCTGCTGTCAGCTTCTTCAACGGAGCCCAGCGTGTCGTCAACTACTGGCTGCTCCACAACGGTTTCAGTATCGGTATCGGTGACACAGTCCCTGATGAGGCGACTGCCGAAGCCATCACAGACGCAGTCAACGAGCAGAAGGCAGAAGTTGCTGTCATCACCGAGGCTGCTACTGCTAACGAGCTCGAAGCTCTGCCTGGTATGAACGTTCGTGAGACGTTCGAGAGCAGAGTTTCTAAAGCTTTGAACAGTGCTCGTGACAACGCTGGTGACCGTACGGAAAAGAGTTTGAAGGATTTGAACAACGCCATCCAAATGGCTCGTTCAGGTTCCAAGGGTTCGGCTATCAACATTTCGCAGATGACAGCTGTCGTCGGCCAACAATCCGTCGAGGGAAAGCGTATTCCTTTCGGCTTCAAGTACAGATCGCTTCCTCACTTTACCAAGGACGATTACTCTCCAGAGTCCCGTGGTTTCGTCGAAAACTCCTATCTCCGTGGGTTGACACCTTCAGAGTTCTTCTTCCACGCCATGGCTGGTCGTGAGGGTCTGATCGATACTGCTGTCAAGACTGCCGAAACTGGTTACATTCAGCGTCGTCTCGTTAAGGCTCTTGAAGAAGTCATGGCCAAGTATGATGGCACTGTTCGTAACTCCTTGGGCGATATCGTACAATTCGTCTACGGTGAGGATGGCTTGGATGCTGTGCATATTGAAGGTCAGAAGTTGGATATCATCAACTGCTCCGACAGTCAATTCGAGAAGAAGTTCCGTATTGATGTTATGGACCCCAAGATGTCTCTTTCACCCGACATTCTTGAGCAAGCACACGAGATTGCTGGAGACGTTGAGGTCCAGCGTCACCTCGATGCTGAATATGAAGCATTGTTGGCTGACAGAGCTCTGCTCAGAGATGGCCGTACCGATGACGAAGAAACTCACCAGCTCCCTCTTAACATCACCCGTATCGTCGAGAGTGCCAAGACCAGGTTCCGCATTAAGGACGGCGCTCGCAGTGATCTTCACCCGTCCGACGTTATTCCCAAGGTCCAGAACTTGCTTGACCAGATTGTTGTTGTTCGTGGTGACGACCCTCTCTCCCAAGAAGCACAATACAACGCCACTATTCTCTTCAAGGCTCTGCTCAGATCACGTCTCGCCTTCAAGCGTCTGGTCAAGGAGTACTCTTTGAACAAGCTTGCTCTTGACAACATTCTTGGTGATATCTTGAACAGATTCTCAAGATCGCTTGTCAGTCCTGGTGAAATGGTTGGTGTCTTGGCCGCACAGTCGATCGGAGAACCCGCTACACAGATGACACTCAACACTTTCCATTTCGCTGGTGTTTCGTCCAAGAACGTTACCCTTGGTGTGCCTCGTCTGAAGGAAATTCTGAACGTTGCTACCAACATCAAGACACCTTCCATGACTGTCTACCAATCTGCCGAAAACCGCCTTGATCAGGAAGCTTGCAAGAGACTTCGTAGTTTGGTTGAGTACACCAGTTTGCGCTCCATTACTGAGAAGACCGAAATTTGGTTTGACCCTGACATTCAATCAACCGTCGTTGAACAAGACAGGGATATGGTTGAGTCTTACTTCATCATTCCCGAAGAGAATGCAGAGAGTCCCGAGACATACTCCAAGTGGTTGCTGCGTATCGTTCTTGGTCGTAGACAGCTTTTGGATAAGGGTCTGTCGGTCGCTGATGTCGCCGCTGCTATCAAGAATGTGTACCACCAGGAGATGTCTATCATCTTCAGTGATGACAACGCTGATGAGCTTGTTATTCGTATCAGACCTTCGAATGTGCTTATGGAGTCCAAGGAAGATGATGATACCGCTCTTGAGGCCGATCTGATCATCGGAAGACTCGAAACCCATCTGTTGGACGAGACCAGACTCCGTGGTGTTTTGGGCGTCGATCGTGCCTTCGTCAACTTCAAGGAACGTCTGCGCGTCAAGGAAGACGGTGCCCTTACCATGTCCAAGAGCGATCCTCTTTGTAAGGAATGGTTCTTGGATACCAGCGGAACTGCTCTCAAGGAAGTTCTTACCGTTGAGGGCACTGATCCTACCCGCACTTACACCAACCACTTCATTGATATCTTCAGTGTGTTCGGTATTGAGGCTACTAGATCCGCGTTGATGAGAGAACTCAAGCAAGTGCTTTCTTTCGATGGTTCTTATGTCAACCATCGTCATCTTGCCCTCCTGGTCGATATTATGACCGCTCGCGGTAATCTTATGGCTGTCACCCGTCACGGTATCAACCGTGCTGACACTGGCGCACTGATGCGTTGTTCGTTCGAAGAGACGGTTGAGATTCTGTTCGAAGCTGCCTCTTCCGGTGAGCTCGATGACTGCCGTGGTGTTTCCGAGAACATTATTCTTGGTCAGCTTGCTCCTTCAGGTACTGGTGAGTTTGACGTTCTCTTGGACCAGCAGATGCTTAGCACTGTTGTTTCTCGTCACCACGGTATGGGTGCTGGTACTCAAGCTGGCGCCGCTCCTCTCGATGGTGCTATGACTCCCTACGATATGGGCTCTCCTCTTGCCGAGGGCGACTATGGTACTGCAGACTATGGTGCTTCCTTCTCTCCTATGGTCCAGGCAGGTGGCGACGAGATGGGTGGCTTCTCTGCCTACCAAGGTGGAAGTTTCAGCCCTTACAGTGGCGGTCAGAGCCCTGGTTACGCACCCACCAGTCCATTCAGCATGGGTACAAGCCCATCGTCTCCTGGATATGCCTCGCCATCTTCTCCTGGCTATTCACCCAGGTCACCTGGTGCAGCTCTTGGCAGCCCCGGCTACGGCATGGGATCTCCTGCCAGTCCGGCATACAACCCAACATCGCCCACCTACTCACCTACGTCTCCTGCCTACGGCAAAGGCTCTCCCACCTCACCTTCTTACTCTCCCACATCTCCTAGCTATTCGCCAACTTCACCCAGCTACTCGCCCACGTCGCCTAGCTACTCTCCTACCTCTCCTTCATACAGCCCCACTTCTCCTGCTCACAGAGGATCGGGCATTTCTCCAACCTCTCCACGATACAGCCCGACATCTCCGGCTTACTCGCCCACTTCACCTGCATACAGCCCGACCAGTCCCTCTTACAACCCTGGCGGAGCCTCGCACTCGCCTACGTCGCCCAGCTACAGCCCGACGTCGCCAGTGTACAGCCCAACCAGTCCGGCACAGCAGGGTTATTCTCCCACCTCGCCACAGTACACTCCCAACTCTCCTGGTCAAGCTTCGCCCAAGTATTCACCTACTAGCCCCAAGTACTCGCCCAAGTAAGTCACGAAGATTTTTTGAACGTATCAACATGTGCTAACGACCTTCGAAGCTCGCCTGGCCAATAAGCGAACGAAGCGAGCAGTTATCCAGCTGGGACGTACCCTTTGTTGGGCCCACGTCTTGTCACGGGCTACTGTTGATACCAAGGTCACCAACAATTCGAAGCACTTCGTAGTTCGGGGTTTGGTTTACGAAGACGATGCATGAGCAATAAGAGCACAAGCAGGTACATTGAGGGAGATTTCACAAGGCGTTCTTCTTTTTCTTTTTCTGCTAGTCTTGTTTTCGAGAGAAGGAAAGTTCTCCAAGTTTTGTTTTTCAGGCTCACAAAATTGCATATGGAGAACGAGCCGAGTGTAGTATCAGAGGATTTTCGAGGCAAAGATAAACTAAAGATGAGCAATAACACGAATGCGAATAAGCAAGTCCAAATTTCTGCTTCACTGAGTGCGAATGTCGATCGAAAACAACAAGCAGGTGTAATTATCCATGTACTTATTACAGGTTCGTTCTTTCCTTGATGTACGCAAGTTCTTCGAAAGGATCGCCATTCGAGTCAGACTCGACAACCAACCAAAAATATCAAACACCCACCCCCCTTACCATCAAGCGTCCGATGCAACGCAGGGATTCCACTCAGCAATCTACAAGATCTCCGGATAACAGACAAATGCGGTGTTTCATCAGACTGTGCAACCACTTTACATCTTGGCTCCATTCTTTGCAAGACGATCAGCTTCCTGGTTCAGAGCCCTAGGCACCTTCTTCCACAAGACCTGCACACCTCTCTCTGCCAGCATCTCGACCTCCTTGACAACATTTCGGATATGCTTTGAGTTGACAATGGACTTGCCGCTCTTCTTGTTGGTGTAGACTTGTATCTTTGGATCCCAGCGCCAGACCATCAAGTGCGAGGTCATGCAGTCGAAGAGGTATGCGGAATCAGTGACAAGGACAACGCGGAAGGGGAATGATCTTGCCCAGCACTCGGTATGACAGGCACAGAGGATGACGGTGTTGACTAGGTCACGACGAGCGGGTATGCATTGCGAGCGGATGATTTCGAGGGCGCGGGTCGCGGCTGTGAGTTCGGCTTGTTGGCTGGTTGGTGGTTGAGCGTTGTTGCGGTGGATGACTGAAGAGTGGTTGTAGGGGGAAGAAGGTCCGAAGTAGATGCCTATGCCTCCGATGGCGGATTTGGTGCCATTGCCTGGGCATGCACCATCAATGTGCACGAAGAGTGTGCGTCGTTCGGCATGGTCTGCTCCAAGCGAATCGTGGAAAGGACAATCTTGGAATACGTCCTCTGGATCTGCGAAGCCAGGAACTGCGGCCATCCAGGTGAGTCCGCACTCCTCGCAGTACGTGGAATCTTGAGTACTGAGGTTGAATCTGGCAGCTGCACCTTCCAGGATAGAGACTGCTAAATCAGCAATTTGGTAGTGATCGTTTTGGTCATCGTCGCTGCATGTGGAAGGCTCCTCGATGCTTGAACTCTGCTCAGAATGGTCGTCCAGGAAGGTGTAGTCACAACAGCATTGATGGCAGATTTGTAGGCCGTGATCCTCGCAGACCAACTTGCCATTAGGAAGCTCAACAGGAGTATCGGGGAAACCCATGGTTGTTTGACCTGAGGGATGTGATTCGAGAGATAAACGAGAAGAACGAGTTAGAAGCTTGTCGACGCTCAGGAAGAAATAGAAAAATTTGCCAATTCAGCGTACCGAGCAAGTTCATAGCTCGCTGTTTGTCTATGCTGTAACTCACGCAATGATCCAAGGCTGGGCAAACTACAAACAGCTCTGCAATCAATAAGATTTGCGCATCTTACTATAGGGTTTGGGAAAAGATATAGGGTCCACAGTATCAGCCAGGAGGATTTGGGACGGCTTTGAATCCGAAGTAGTGTCATTGGTTATGTTTGATACGCGAACAGTCGCAGTTCGTTTGTTCCGGATGTTGCGTTCGTACGCTGTGCAAGAAAGATAAACATGATAAGAAAAGGACCAAGGATGCTTCAAAACCATATCCGAATAATGCTCGAGATACTCGCTAATAACAATGCAATGACTGTTGTAAACGCATTTATGCATTTTCTGATGGGTGCTTGGTTCGTCAGATTGCAGCAGAGGTTGAGGTTGAGGCTGCGGATGGGGGTGAAAGTGGTGTGACCAACGAGCATGCGGGATCGCGCGTAGCAGGAGCGGTAAAGCATCATGCATAATACACACGCCCGGAAGCAGACGTGCCCGCAGAACCAGGAAATCTGCACACGGTCCAGACTCGCTCGTGGATCGTATGCGAGAACCCTGATGCCATTTGCATATGCGGCGGCATTGATTTGAGCCAGAACCTCAAGGCGTAGCTTGCGAGCACTGACGCGCTGCGTCTAGACATTTCAACAGGACTAGTAAATGGTCAGTAAGATCATAAGCAAACAGGTTGATGCAGAGACTCACGGTCGACGATTCGCTCCTCAGCTACGCCCATTTGGTAGTCGACCAACCCTGTCTTCTCTATACCATCGCATAATTGCACAATCTCTTGCCCAAGGACCTCAAGGTCATCGAAGTCTAGGGTCGACTGTCCGAGCGGCAACTGCTGTCCAGTCCGAGCCATTATTTGAGTCGTCTTGTGCTGAGAATGCAACACGGTCAGCCAGCATTGGTTGAAAGTATCCCACAATTTAAGTCGTTCTTGGTATTGGGTTTTGTCATCTCGATCGAGTCCCAGGGCTTCTACATTGCCTATCAAAAATTTTGAGATCTGGAGGAGTAGGCTTGCTGTTGGTTTCAATTGACGATCTCTAACCAGTGTAAAAATCTCCATAGTATGAACTTGGTATTGATTGAACAGCTCATATAGATTACCAGCGTATTTCTGTCCTATAGCTGACTGTTGAGCATGTCCCTTTGAGTGGTAACTATCATGGCCGTCGCTAGTATCGGTGAAGCCTGATATTTGGAATACTTGGTGATCGAACGAGACGGTGTCGTACAGGCCAGACCCAGCTGTCGTTGAATGCAGATCATGAAGGGGAGCTGTACTCGCAGGAAATGGCTGCGCAGCATGAGGCATGCCATAGTATGAAGAGATGTTCATCGATGGCATGGCGTGCTGTGTATAATGAGGTGAGTTGTGCGCTCTAGGAACTTGCTGATAGCCGTATACAAAATCAGCGTTCTCAAAAGATGGCGAAAGAGATTGTTGATGGGCCACATAGTTGTTGTAATTCAGTGAGGGTGATCCGCCGTGGTGATAGCCGTCATAAAGAGGTGACGACACGACATGTTCGTCTCCCAGGTATGAGGCGTACGCAAGCGGTTGCGCCCTGGACTTTGATGTGGTGTGTTGAGGTAATTGTGGCGTCTTGAATAGGCCAGCTGACGATGTCGAAGTCGTGGTGTTGTAGTGTGCTGAGATCTGAGCTGCCCGACTTCGGCTAAGGTAATGTTGATAGTCCCCTCCATTTTGATCTTCCATGGCCCAAAGAAGCGACACAGCAATAACCGCCAGGGTTGCGGGGACATAGAGAGTGTGTGCTGAAACAAGAGTTGATCTCCGGAAGTCAAATTGGAAAGTGGTGTTATAGTTCACAGAATGAATGCAATCTTCGAACACTCGAGGGGACAGCAAAGTAGGTTTGTATAAACATCAACCAGCTCCAAAAAGCTGGGCGAGACGTCGATGAAATCAACACTCTCTGGCTGCAGATGTTGAAAACAGCAGCTTGATGTTCAACACAACTATTTAGAGACGGCAGGGGTTGGGGGACTCCTTCGAGCCTAGGCGGAAAGACGCAATGACTGTGATCTCAGGCCTGCTTGATAAAACCGATGGTGGAGACCGCTACAATTAAACTTTGGTGACTATACATCGCAGTCTCATGTCAGCAGAAGGCAGATGTGTATTTTACAAGATTAGTAAAATTGTTTAGTTCGTGAGCCTGCAACGGGGGGTTGGGGTTCTGAAGAGTAAGCAATAGGAAGGAAATGCTCGGCGACCGAGCTGGACACTGTACCATCCGCCGAAAGGTGAATGCGAGTGTCAAGAATCAACCAAAGACATACTATAGCTTGATAGCGATGTTGGGAACCGGAACCGCTCTGCGGACCGAAACACGGCATCCTTGTCAGAGACGCAAATCTAGCAACAGTTTTTACTCGTCAAGGTGTGGCTTGCAGCAGTTGTGCACTACCTTAATATGGAGCAAAGCATGATTTGCAGACCTTTTCAACGTATAGTCAGCCGAGACAAGAAGGAAGCTCACGCATTGACCTAGCCCATTACCTTGTGCACTACAAGAACGCAGGAAACAGTTGACAAGCCCAGCCACGTTTCTTGAAAGACAAGACGCCAGAGAGCTGATAATTCAAGGAAAACACCCAATACCACGGTGGGCACGCTTATACCCACGCGGTTGGAATCTCAATGACGAGTACATTCGGCAGTTCAATGCACAGGCAGCGCATCTCGCCGCGAATGTGTGTAGCTTGACGCAGGACTATAAGGGTGCTCTGCTAGCCATCAGTTATGCCATCGGTACTTATCTCTATGGGGAGTATGAACAAAGCTGAGTAATTAGTTGTTCTGAATACGTCCCTTATTGTTCATCGTCGCGCACCCTGAATCAGGCTTCGAAGCAGGGTACTGATGACTCAGCGACCCTCATGGCCTCCTTATCCAGCATTATCCATGTTCGGGAAGGTGTTAGGAGGTTGGATCTTGTGCGTGGACCCTCGAAAGGCTAACGATGGACATGCCAAGAGCTCAGATATCAAACCATGCAGGGTGGTTCACGAACTGCGCCCAGGTATTTGGACTGAGCTAGAGCAACACCTACTCCGCCCCTAAGCGCGCTCAAATCGAAGGTCGTGTGAAGTACCCTTTTGATAGAGTACTTCAGCCATTGATACCGGCCAAGGTACGCGCGCTACTCAAGTAGCGTATACAAATTGCCGTAAGGCTCAACGATCCGGCTGCAATCGCTTACAAGTCCAGCAGATCGGCAATCCTGCTCGGCTGGTGACCAACCAACGACCAACCATCTCAACTCGTCGTGAAAGGATCGGAGTAAGCCCCGCCTGGAGCTCGTGCCCGCTGCCCCGCTATTGGTACTTCTAGGGCTATCCTCCGGCCTCTAACCCAAAAACGTATCAGCTACCGACGACGCTCTGCAGAGCAGTCCAGGTGATCTTGTGTTTCCTTCTTAATCGAAAGTAATCTGCCGATAGCACTGCACCAGAGAGCTTCTGAGTTTGCAAGCTCAGTACTTCGCCGGCGGCCGACAGCTGGCCTTGCCAAACGAGATCTATTATGCAGCCCAAGTTGATAGCACTACAAGAGTGATCGCTTCGACACCTCAGGCCTGACGCAACACCTCCAGATCTGGAGAGGACCTATCCACCGGGAGCGATTGAGTTCCTACCCCCAGATGCTATGCCAAAGAGTGGAGTCAGAGCTCGGCATGCTAGGTTTATTGCGTATTCTACTCATGTTCCCCACTCACGATTCTCAACAAGGATTGAAACAAGAGCCGAGAACGAGTAGTACCAGCCGCATTGAAGCGACAGGTCGCAAATCAAGCAGGGAACGAGGAGGATCGTACACAGTACGAACATTGTTCATCCCCAACCTCGGAAGCCACCTGTGATGTCCACAAACAGACCACCACAGCTACTGTACTTAATGGCACCGCATCCTAAACTCTAATGCCACTATGCAGCACTGTACTGTGACCCGGCCATCTGTGATCGATTATCGCGCACCCCGAATGGCCATGCGAGGTAGATCGAATTGTGGCATCGTCGAGTTATCCTATCTCAACCTTTGTGTCACTAGATGGACTCCGTCTAACCGTGAAGCCTATTATATTTTCGATTCCTCTACCGAAAGGAGTGTGCGTCATGTTACAAGTCTTCAGGGTGCTTAGGTCGATCATTGCGATCAAGGGGTCGGGAAGGCTCCCCGTATCGAGTCAAAGGAAGACGGGTAAGTAACCATGAGCGCTAGACAAATGATTATGCATAACCAATCCTTATAGTCCCTGGAAAGCACAAGTCCCTTCGCTCTTTCGGGCAATCAAGACCCGTGTCGTTCTCGATGTTCCTCGGAACGAAAGAATTGATTGGCTCGAACCCTTGTCGAGTTCATAACTTTGGTATTCATCATGGTATTCTGGAAATGTATCAATTCTCTTTTGCTTCCTCCTCAATGTCTCATATCCAGCCTCGGGCTCAGGGTGATGGCACCAGGCCTGGCTAACCTTCTGTTGAAGACTTCACGCCGATGTTCGTTTCAAGGGCGTGCCGCTGCCTAATCTGTGGGAGCGCTTTTCGTTCTTCCGGATTTCGTTGAGAATTCTTATGTGCGGAAAATGACTTTTGTGCGAGTTGTTCATGCGCTGTAGGTCTGCTTGGGGAAGGGGTATCTGTAATCATAATTTGTCAGCCTTGACTTCTCAAGAGGTATTTGCAAGGATGAAGCTTACGCAGGGCCCAATTCCTTGATGCTCAGCTTGGCCAGCCAAGAGCCCATGTCGACACACTTCTCAATGCTCTCGCCCTTGGCCATACCGGCAAGGAAACCACCAGCGAAGGCATCACCAGCACCAGTGGTGTCGGCAATCTCGTCCTTGCTGATAACGTGGACGGGGAAGGTCTTGACGTCGTTCTCGCCCTGGACGGCAACGACGGTGGGCTCAGTGCCCTGGGTGATGATGACGGTACGCTTGCGCTGGGTGTTCTTCTTGGGCAGGTTGGCCATGTGCTTGGCGATGGTAGGGATGTCTTCGGTGTTGAGGTCGTGAGAAGCAGCGAAGGAGCGAGCCTCGGTCTCGTTGCCAACAACGTAGTCCCAGTAGGGCGAAGTCTGGTCGAGCTGGTCCTTGAAGAACTGGGGAATGAAAGGAGCGGACAGCGAGAGCATGAAAATCTTGTTCTCGGCAGCGGCCTCCTCAGCGAGAGCCATGATGGCGGGGACCGAGACGGTCAAGTGGTAGCCACCAACGAAGTAGATCTTGGCCTGCTTGACAAGGTCCCAGTTCTCCTTCAAGTGCTCGACCTTGTAGCAGTTGGCGGCGGCGAGGTCGGTGCACATGCTACGGTCGTGGCCAGTGATGATGACACCACAGCGACCGGTGGGCTGCTCCTCGTCGTAGCGGTAGACGGCGCGGAGACCGACCTTCTTGTTGGCCTCGACCAGCTTCTCAGCGTACTTGTCCTTGCCAACGCATCCAACAAAGACGACAGAGTCGGCGGGGAGGACGTATTGGGCACCTCTGGCGGTGTTTTGGGCGGCACCACCAGCGTTCAGGTCGACCTTGTAGTTTTGGAACAGGTCCTCGTAGAGGCCCATGTGCTTCTCCTCAGCCAGGATGGCATCGTTGGACTTGAGTCCATACTTCTGCAGCAGCTTCTCGTCGCCGACGGCCTGGATGTCCAGGAGAGGGTTCTCGAGGCAGAGGATCTCGTATTGGCCAGACATTTTGATATACAATTGATGTGGTTTGAAGGAAGAAAGACCGTCTGCTTGCTCCAGATTTGCTGAATCCTGACGTTTACCATTCTTGGTGGGGTCCTCAATGCCAAGGCCGTCCCTCAACCATACAAATGCCTGAGGAAGAGCACGTCCAAAGCGTCTTCAATTACCAAACGTAAACATTGATTTTCGTTGCTCGCGAAGGCTCATATAAATACTCGAGTGCAACAAGCTTCTCGTTGATCCCCGTCACTCGCTGCTGCCTTCTCAGGTCATTACAAGAAACACTTCTCCCATCACTAAAGCTGAATCGTGATTACAACCATCATTTGTGCAATGAATTAATATCGACTAGAAGTGGTAGTCCTCTCCGCTCTTGCTGATGACAAACTCACATCCGAGCTTGCCAAATCCTTCGACGTCAAGCGCATCAGCATGCTCATTAAGCTGCGTCAATATGCGCTCGCCTACATGTGGGCCATCTTCCATCGTGTCCTTGATATGGATAATGACTACTTTGACGCCTTGGAGTGGTGCATCTGCTGGCACAGGTGTGCTTCTCTCTGTACCTGTGTGGTCGGGTGTATTGGCCTGCGATCCTTCTTCGGGAACCATCAAAGGCAAACTACCACGTCGAGGTTGCATACTAGATGATCTTGTGATGACGCTTTTGCTCCGTTTCTTGTAGTCGGTTATGTCGTCCATCGTTATGTTCAGGCCATTCGAACTTCTCTTGCGCTTCCGTTGGGCTCTATCCAAAGCTCTGGTGGTCTTTTCGTCCTTGACCAATTGTGCAAGCGTTTTCAGCTCAGCAACCACATGCCGCGGTGCAAGATGTCCAAACAATACAGCATCTGGTTGACTATCGTCGTAAGAGCATTCGATAAAGATGCCCCCAAGTAATCCCTCGGCTATTTTTGGTGCTGCTTCCGCCCATATATTAGCTAAGCGTGGGACGCGCGAAATGCTATCCGGTTCGACATCGCCGAATATCAACACTTCCTTGGACGTGTCGTAGTCCCGTATGAAGAAGGCGGTACTATCGACTACCGAATGTTGTGGTGTCGGATCGCTAGTGTAATTCCTCCCTTGCGGGCCAGGGGAGTAATAATTATGACCTGGGGTCTGTTCGCCTGGAGTCCCGAAAACATGTGGTATCGACAGATTTCGATAGTCTGAGCCCTTCAATGCAGAGTAATCTGGCTCCGAGATGCTGCCCAGTGACCCGCGCTGAGAGCGGCTTGGTAAGGGTTCCTTCATGCAGTTGCCGTGGCTCACTTTGAAGCCTTTGACCCCAAGACCCTCACACACCTCGATGTAGCCCCTACCCTCTCCTGTGCCAACCATGATATCACCGCCTTCTCTTAAGCGCTGGAAGCTGACGAAGCCAACACCTCCATCTTCGTCTGTAAGATTTGGCCATATGACGTCGTTGAAGATATGCCTCTTGATAGCTTCGACGGTAAACGGTAGAGCTGCTAACCTCTTCGGTCGCGATGTAGCATGAAAAGCAGCAGTGTTGATGGCGAACCCCGAGAGGTGATCTAGATGAGGGTGTGTAATTAGATAGGTCGAAACATGTGCGCGCACGACATGAGCTGCATTGGCACGAGCGGAGGCATGAGGAAGAGACAGGCCGGCAAAGGGACCGTTATCGAGAACAATGGGTTCTGGAAGCGTCTTCGGTTGTATAGGGTTCCTGGTTGGTGGTGACGAGGTGGGAGATGATATGCCATCCGTCTCCATCTCTTGAGGAGGCAGTTCCGGGGCAGGTGCCTCGTTAGGAAGGTTCTTCTCGAAGATGCGGGTGATGGCGGCGAGATGTGAGCCGGCATCGACTGCCAGCAGCGAGCCGCGAGCCCATTCGGTGGCCGTCGACCGCACCAAGAGACCCGTCACATTGTCTTCGCTGGGTCCTCCTCCTGAGCCCTATGAGCACAAGATGATGGTCAGATCTGTGGGGTAGCACTGTCGCGTGGGGCAGAGCAAGGGCTTACAAGACAAATGACCTGGATGGCCGCTTTGTTCGTCTGTGAATGTCTCGGCTTCATCTCGAGAGATAGCGATGCCCGTGCCCGTCTCGGGCGGGGGCTGGCCGTCGAATGCTACACTGGGATGTCGATGCGATCGGTACGTGATGCTCTGAAGAGCGCCGGGCTTGGACCCGAGCCTATGATGTCGATGTGCGTGCGACCACTTGATCCCGCTGTTTTGGAAAGGATACGAAAGGAGGGAAACAATGTCGGCCTGCGTTACAAACCTGCCTCGTGGTTGATCTAATGTGACTAGCAATTATCCGCTCACTTGTCAACGGTCCGCCCACCGTTAGACGTACGAGCTGCCCAGCGATGCACAAGAGAAGGAGGCAGGCACCAACCACCGCTGCCAAGATGGTCGCGGTCGCGGCGTCCCCGAAAGCTAAAGTCCCTATACTCTGTGATACTGTATTACACCAACCACTGGCCAGAAGCGCGAAGGTGTCGGACATGCACAATGTAGACGTGTAATCGGAAGAACAAAGCAGTAGGATATTTGAGCAACTGAGCTTAGGTTAAAGAATTACTGTATCGTTGCGTTTGCTACATTCGGTGCCTGTGGTGAAGCTTGCACATCAAGTTATTGACTGTGGGCCTCATCTTCCGAGCAGGTCAACACACACAAACCGTCGCCTGAAAAGCATTGAAAGAAGGATAGTAGTTTGTGCTACGAATTCTTGCGGTACCTTTAAGCTTGACTGCGCCTGGTCATACAGGCTTTCACGGCGAGAGATTGGCGTGCGACCGTGCTTGTTTGCTGACCAGGAGTTTGGATTCGACAACAGAATAACGAGCTTACAGCTTCGATCCCTGTTTTCTTCTCTTCTCCTTCTCCTGATCTCTCAAAAGACGACGCAGGATCTTTCCCGATGGTGACTTTGGTACAACATCGATGAACTCAATTCCACCTTTCAGCCACTTGTGCTTCGCCTTGTGCTCTTCCACATGACGAGCTATGTCCCTAGCAACCATTTTATCAGATTCTTCGAGCCCGACGGATGGTGATTTGACAACGAATGCCTTGGGTACTTCTCCTTCACGATCGGAAGGCACACCAATAACGACGCAATCATTGACCGAAGGATGGGTCAGAAGATGAGCCTCAAGCTCCGCAGGAGCCACTTGCAATCCCTAGAAGAAAACATGAGCCACCGATTGAGTATCCCGCCGCCAGCAACACGTACCTTGACCTTGATCAATTCTTTCAGTCTATCCACAATGAAGATGTGCTCATGGCCAGACTTTGGATGCTTTCTAACGACGGCCTCGTCTCCAGTCTTCAGATAACCATCCACGAACGTCTCTTTGGTGGCCTTTGGGTTGTTCAGATAGCCGAGAACGATTGCTGGTCCTTTGACCCACAATTCACCAGGCGTGTCATACTTTGTCACTTCCTCACCTTCGGGCGTGACAATACGCGCTTCGATACCTGGCATCAGACTTCCAGACGAACCAAAATACACGTCATTTGGGATCGTTGAGCATATAACGGTTGAGCTCTCGGTCACTGACGCAGGTCAGTATCTGTTTCTCGAGTATCCATGGGCATAGAGCAAAGACTCACGTCCATATCCTTGTCGAATGGCCCAACTTGGGAACATAGACTGCAGATCCTCTGCTGTTTCTTCGCCCAGTGGCGCTGCTCCGGTAAAGATACTCTTGACAGAAGAGAGGTCATATTGCTTTACCACATCTCGCGATTTGGTCATTGTGATGATAATTGGCGGCACAAGATAAAGACAAGCGATCTTGTACTTCTGGATCGCTTCAAGGAAGCTCTTGAACTCGAACTTCGGCAAAACGATGACACCATCGCCACGATAGACTCCCAAATGTGCGATGACTACCAGAGCATATATATGGTTGAGCGGTAACTGGGCTGGTCAGTCTTAGCTCCGCGAACACCATTGTCGTCAAACTCACCAGTCCAAGAACATTCTCGGTGTAATCTGATTGGTTGCCAGGCTCGATCAGCGATTTTCTCCAGGGGCCTTCAAATGTCGCCATTTGTAGGACATTGGCAATGACGTTCTTGTGACTGATCATGACTCCTTTCTGATTCTGCAGTCAGCTTGAGTCGTTCTGACCATAACAACCGAAACACATACTGGAAGGCCCGACGTTCCACTCGAGTAGCATAGGAATGCGGTCCTCGAAGCACCCTCACCCTTGGACCAGTTCAACTCCTCCAGCTTGGCCAATTTTTTCCCTTCGTCAATCAACTGATTGAGCGTCTTGTACCCGTCTCTTTGCTTGTCAACCACAGCGTCGGGCACGTCGAGCAAGTAGATGCGACTCTCAGGAATGCCCACAGTCTTTGATGCTTGCAATGCCAGGTCAAGCAGCGGCAAACAAGTGAAGAGACATTTGGCGCCAGAGTCGCGAAGCTGATGCTCTAGCTCCTGGACGGTGTAAGCTGCATTGGCTGGAGATTGGATGCCACCAAGGCGATGGGTGGCCCACGCGAGTGTCAAAGTGTCAATCTGCAAACAGTCAGTTGCCTGCTGTGGATCTAGCTCACATCTTCTAATGCTTACGGTGTTGACGCAGAAAAGGCCAACGACCTTGTCCCATTCCGATCCCTGGTTCGGAAGGAAGCCCAGCTCTTTACTCAATCCTCTCGCCAGGAATTCGACTCTCTCCTTGACTTCCAAGGCACTATACTGTTTACCTGTGAGCCCACAGGCGAATGGCGGCCGAGAGTAACCCAGAGGATGACGTCCATAGTTCTCATCCAGCATAAACTTGTTTATTGGGATCGAGTCTGGTATGTCGTCAAGAGGGAGCTTGGGCACCCAGTCTGGAGCATAGAATGGCATTTTGGTGGATTGTGCGTGGGAATTGTGTGAGTCGGCGAAGGATGGGAGGTAGGTGCAGTGGTTTTGATAGGATGAGATCCATGATGGAGTATGTTTACTGTACCTCGGTCTTGCCAGTCGCCCGGCTTTGAATTATGGCGCTGACGGCATTCATCAGCGCTCATCAGCGCTTGTTTCAAGGTGCCTTGTCACCGAGAGATGACGCTTCTCCGCATTCTGGTGCGGGGTTGTGCAAGCAGAAACAGACAGAGCTCACCGCCTACAAGCTGGAGCTCGGTCTTTCTCGGAGAAAGCTCGGCTCATCGTGCACGGACTCCCACCCATCGGAAGCAGCCTTCCGAAATCCAAGTGCTTGAGATGCGTCTTGACTCGAGCACTTGCGCCATCAAGACATCGACATCCATCTGGAATCTTTTGCCAACAGCCAGATACCTTCATCTAGTCCAAAACAAGTCAAGGTCTATCAACATCTCGAGGCTTCTCACCCCACCTCTAGGGTCAGAAAGGCTCGTTGACTTTGCACCATCAAAGTTGCAACTTGACTCATCCTCTAATTCATCCTGTATATCAGTACATCAGTACATCTCTGGTCAGTCTTTCCTTTTACCTCATCTTTAGGAGGCTCAGAAGGTCGATCAAAGTCTGCCTTCTCATTGCAAAGACTCCTCAACGATTCTTTCAAGCCTTCCTGGAACACCTTTTCGCCAATACCTAGCATTGCAACTCATCAACCACCGCCTGGCTTGCTTTGCACTCTTCTGTCTTTTGGTAAGTCTCAGAGAGATTGTTATTGACGCGACTAGACGCGTCTTGCTCATATGTTTTGCTCCTTCATGACTTGGCCTTGTATACATTTGAGCCAAGCTCAATCTATTATCACGTGAACTTAACTAACATTGTACAGACAGTCACGCACCACGTGCCACTCCTGTGTGTTCTCTACCAGCCAGCAAGCTTACGATGTATGATGTTGTGTCTATCACAAGCACTCGTGTGGCCACTAATAATTCAAGATCCGCAGATATAGAGCTTGTTTTTGTTTCCTCGAACATCTCAAGCCAGTCTCCTACGACTAAAAGGTGTTACAGCTGCTCTTAGCTGCCGTCGTTAGCCCAGCTCTGAGTGAATACTATACTTTGACATGGATTGTCATGCGCTGATTGTAGCCAGGTCGGGACCATTTCTGTGACTGCCATTTCTGCAACAGACTGTTTGAATCCGTTCTTCCATCCATGTATTAGCAAGGTATCACGTGTTCTTGTAAGAAACATGCTTTGACATGCGATCTCATGTGCTGACTGTAACCAAGATATACTCAAAAACTCTTCTGTAACACCTGCCAACAGATGTTCAGTCATTGAGCTTCTGCTATCTTGCGCTTATACAAGATACAGCACATGCTCCTTTGACAAGCTCCGTATTGCACGCGATTCCACGTGCGTGTTGGCAGTGCTCTTGGTCAACATAAACTGCTCCCAGCTCTAATCCTTCTACCAACCAACACTGTCCTCCTCTCCCAACACTACAACATCCAATAAACAGCACATCAAGCACTCAATATCATATCTCTTGGAGATACTCTTCATTGTCATCAGTACTACCATCTTTCAACATGGGCTCAAGACACGATTCATTCCTTGAATTTGAGGATAAGAGAGGTTCTTTTGATTTTGCAGATATACCTAGCTCACCTCTGAGCTCTGTTCCTGATGATTTCGAACTTCAGCCAGTCCCTCAGGATCTGCAAGACATTGCTATGTCTGACAGCTCCGTCATCCACAGCGAACCTCGACTCTCTTCCGCCCCCAGCAGCGCTGTTTTTGACACTATTCGTGTCGCCTCGCCCGGACGTACACTCCATGAGTCCTCAACATTCGTCCGCAGATCCGAGCGAAAGCGCAAAGCAGTTGCTCGGTACTCAAAGACGGTCGAGACTGGTAATATCTCGCGACCCGAGACGCCCGAGCGCCCAGCCAAGCAGAGAAGGACTTCTCAGCCTAAGAAAACTCGCAATGGTCACAGAAAGAATCTCCCAGCGGCATCTATGCCTTCCGCAAATGAGTCGCTTGTGTCAGGTGAAAAGGTCAAGGAGCCGGCATCGACTATCGGGCAAATTGAGACTTCAAGAGTCGTGAAGTTCAAGGTTAACCCTGAAAGACTTGGCCAAATTCTTGGTTCAGCACCAGCAACACCATCCCCTGCTTCGCCATCTTTGCCGTCTCCAGAACCGATTCCGCAACCGATTCCTGAATCTGAATCTGAGGTCTTGCTTCCTGCAGCTCAACCTGCTGTCGATACCAGCGAACACGACTTGGTTGCAATTTCTCTGGCCGTCACGAAGAAAGTGCCCATCAACCAGAAACCAGACCCTCATGGGCAACCAGAGATCTGGGCAGAAAATCGCCACACTCTTTGCGAAAGTCTAACTGGTCTCTATTCATCATGGCAAGGCTCTTACTATGGCAAGAATGGCGTGGCCAAAGCGTTCATGCTCGATGGTAACGGCCATGCGAGAGATCATCTAGATGAGAACGTCATTATCCTGCGAGCTAGCGGCAGCATGGCAAAAGATGGCGACAACGGCATGAAGCAGCGTGAAGATCAAGAACCAAAGCATCAGTACCACGCCATGATCAATGCTATCAGCCAGCAAAGCCCAATTGCTGTAATTTGTGGCGACAAGAACAGCCAGGTGCCTAGCAAGATGCCACACAAGTACAACTCTCTCGATTGGTACAAAGCGACTCATGTCTGGACCGAGCGAGACAGATTCAATGTCATCAAATATCGTCTGGAAAAACTCGATCCAAATACAATTGCTTGGTGGGTCCCCACAGACTTTGAACCAGTTGTCGAGCTTGGCGCACTTGGATCACCCCTCAAACAGCACTGCGATTCGTGCAGCAACGAGTATGACCAGATATACTTGTGTGGTTGGCTGTGTCTGAACAGCAAATGTGAGAAATTCTGGTGTTTACCTGATGGCAGTACACCCGATGCTACGCAGCTAATCTACGACCCTCGCTTTCTAAAGCAAAAGACTCCTTGGGCCAACGAGCAGGCGCCTATGAGCTTCCGCTTCCCCTTGTATACTACGCCTGCCATTGCAGGAGAGGACTACAAAGTCGAGAACCTTCGTGGCATGACTTGTCCGGAATGCGGTAAATGCAACGCACGTGTTAAGTGGGAGGGTTGGGAATGTACAAGCTGCGGCTTCGAACACAAGCCCCAAATCACGCCTCTACCTGCAGCTTCAATTCAGGATCAGAACTACCCCGTCTCTGATGCTTATCCTTCATCGCACGACTCTGCCCTTCCTCACGTCAAGATCTCCGTCAACTTCTCACACAATTACCGCTGGATCACTTACAAGTTCAAGGTGTCGGCTACTGAAGAAGGTGAAGTCGTTCACGGCATCGCAAACAAGATTGTGCGCGAGGAGGTCAAAGGCCCCAATGAGATGTGGGAAAATCTTCAAACCGATTGCCATGGCTTGGTGCGTAGAGAGCTGTCAAACGCCCTCATGAACTCATTCACCTTGAATTATGGTATGCCATATAAGTTCATTGCCGCGGGTGACAGTCTGCCCTTCACAGATGCGCCCTGGCCAGTCACAGAAGCTGTCTCTCGTCTAAACTGGGCCGACAGAATCACGTCAAGAGATACCGACAAAGACAAGGAAAAGTTCAATGAACTATACTTGGTCGCATACCTTCAAGACCAGTCAATGAATTACCACGACGATGGAGAAAAGGGACTCGGTTCCACAGTCGCTACTCTCTCCCTCGGTGGTCGGGCTGAAATGGGGTTCAGGCCCAAGTCGTTCTTCTTCCACGGCATGAAGAGCATCGACTACAATCGCAAGAAAATGACTGTCATGACCAAAGATGATCCTTTGCCTGAGTTCCCCAATTACGAGCTGCGCAAGCAGTATCTTGAGGAGATCAGAAATGCCGGTCTTTCCGAGGGCGAAGAGAAAGAAAGGCTTGCTGAGATGGCTACTTCACTTCGCGCAGCATACCCGCCCAAGCAGAGCTGTACTAGAGTCGAAGACTGGGTCAAACTATCGCTTGGTCATGGAGACATCGTTATCATGCGCGGCGCCCACCTTCAGAAGTATTACGAGCACGGTGTCAGCCCCAAAGGTCTCATGCGTTATGCTTTGACCTGCCGCACTGTCTTGCCTGCGCACCTCAAGGATTCCGAGCTGCCCGATTATGAAGTTGACCTTGTTCAAGACGAGTACGATGGCAGCCGAATTGCCAAGTGAGGACACCGAAGATATGATTGCAATAATCCTTCCTCTTTGCCGACCTACTTCGATACTTCGATGCCCGTACTTTTCCTTGCTACCACCACTATCTTTTCTTGTTCTCTTTTCTTTCATGAGTCGCTGATGCTTGTTCGAGATGCAACAGACAAAAAGGTCTTTCAGGAGTTACATGTATTTTGCTGTCTTTCCTTTCACATACGGCGCTAGGAGATTTGGAATGGGGGAAGATATTATTGCTTGATGATACCCATGAGATATGAGCTTTTAAAGAGTAGCTAATACCAACGAGATGAATTGCTTTCTTACCATACCTTTGTTGACTGTTCATCTTCAGGCCGTCGTACACCTTCTGTGCACTCTTGAGATGCACCGAGGCAGATTCGGATGTGCTAGAACGTAACGAACAAACGTTTGTAAACTTTGTTGATGGAGATACAACATATGGCCGCAGCATGAAAGAGGTCGATGCCAAGGAGCGTCGCAAGCATGTGAAGGGGAGGCCGAGCCGAACCTCGGCATCTCCAGACGATGATACATCATCTGCCCTTGCCTTTCTGTCTCCTGCCTACTATTTTCTTGCTGCCATTTCATTCGGTTTCTTGCAAGAAACAGTCAAAACAACTTCAAAAATGGCCAACCAGACAGGCAAAAACTCGGCTGGTTCGTGTTGATCAAAATGTACAAAATGTGCGAATGTTGAAGCTGACTTTGTTGGAAACCACAGCTATCGAGCGTCTCACACAGGTCTCGAGCCACCTCAAGTCGTCAGAAGTCGACTTGGCCCCAAATCGCGATGCCATTCTTAAGAAGAGCCCTGATGATATTGTCGTAACAGCATGCCTGCGCACTCCCCTGACAAAGGGAGGCAAAGGAGGCTTCAAAGACACACCCGCCGCCGACCTTCTCCACGGAGCTTTCAAAGCATTGATTGAGCGATCAAAGATCGACCCTTCGCTGGTTGAGGATATCGCTGTTGGCAGTGTATTGCCTCCTGGAGGCGGTGCTACTGAATTCCGTGCTGCGGCTTTGGCTGCGGGTTTCCCTGATAGCACTAGTGTGCACTCGTTGAACCGTCAATGCAGTTCGGGTCTGCAGGCCTGTGTGGAGATTGCCAATGCTATCAAGACTGGCATGATTGAGATTGGTATTGGTGCTGGTGTTGAGAGCATGAGCAGCCAGTATGGTCCTGGGGCTGTTACTGAGTTCTCGGAGCTGCTTGAGAGCCACAAGGAGGCTGCAAACTGCAAGGTCCCTATGGGAGGTCTGTATACCTGATTTCTCCTGGCTATCGTTACTTTACTGACTCTTGACTAGTTCTCTCCGAGCAGATGGCCAAGGACCGCAACGTCACCCGCAAGGATCAAGACGAGTTCGCCGCATCCTCATACGCCAAGGCCGTCGAGGCACAAAAGAAGGGACTCTTTGACGAGGAGATGGTCCCTCTCAAGGTCAAGTGGACCGACCCCAAGACCAACGAGACCAAGGAGATCACCGTCAGCAAGGATGATGGTGTCAGAGAGGGCGTGACAGCCCAGAGCCTGGGCAAGATCCGTCCTGCCTTTGCAAAGGATGGTTCCATTCACGGTGGAAATGCTTCCCAGATCTCCGACGGTGCTGCCGCGGTACTGCTCATGAAGCGCTCCACAGCCGAGAAGCTCGGCCAGCAGATCCTCGGCAAGTACGTCGCCGCATCCGTCGTTGGTGTGCCCCCATTGCTCATGGGTATTGGCCCCTGGAAGGCCATCCCCGTCGCTCTGGAAAAGGCCGGCATCTCGAAGGATGATGTTGACATCTGGGAGATCAACGAGGCCTTTGCTTCGCAATGTCTGTGGTGCGCCAAGGAGTTGCAGCTTCCCATGGAGAAGATCAACCCCAAGGGAGGTGCCATCGCGTTTGGTCACCCTCTCGGCTGCACTGGTGCCAGACAGGTCAGCACTCTTCTCTACGAGCTGAGACGAAGAGGAGAGAAGGTCGGCGTGACCAGCATGTGTGTGGGCACCGGAATGGGCATGGCTGCCGTCTGGGTCGCCGAGTAGACGAATGCTTCTGACCCTCTGTATTACTCAACCGCATCACGAAGTTTGATCAACAGAATAATGAAATGAAATGTTGTAACTGAATTCTTTCTGGTTGATCCTCGGTCCAGTGGCGCAATGTGAAGACATGTACGCTCTATGCCGCCAGTGATGCTATTCGCTGTAGTTCCGAAGTGCAGTCCTCTACTCCCATTCGCCTGAAGACTCCGTGAAGTACCCATGCTAATGCTGTTGCATGTCCGTTCTGACACACCTCTAACCTCAAAGAAAAGAAAAGAAAAGAAAAGAAAAGAAAAGGAAAGCAACTGTACAAGAATTAAGAAGAGCCGGCCTCGATACCTTCGTCAAAGACGTCGTCTTCATCATCGCTGTTTTCACTGTCGCTAGCAGGTTCCCATCCAGCTTTGGCGCGCAAGATGCGGTTCTCCTCCTTCAGAGCAGCGATGCGACGACGATAGGGCAGAGTGCCTTCTTCGTGTGCGGCTTGAGCCCCACGTAGGTTTTCGGACAGACGCAGCAATGAAGCCTGCCAGGCTTGGTGTGTGAGTTGGGCTTGGATGGTTTCGTTGCGCGATGTCTCGAGCAAGGAGTTGTAGTGTGCGTGCAGAGCTAATGTACAGGTCAGCGACGATCCTCGTGTAAAGTAAAAAAAAAAGGCCTTACCAATGGTTGCGCTTTGATGACTGTGTGCGTAGTCGCCGATCTGAAGCTTGAACTTTTGGACTATCTCTTCGGCATAGTCGATGACTTCGTTGGCTTCCTTGCACTCTGTTTCTAGTTCGGTGATTCGGGACAGGGCATCTGATAGTTGGGCTTGGAGGGCGGTCGTGTCGACATCAGAAGAAGCATGAGGGGCATGAGAGACTGCAGAGAGCGACAAAGCTTCAGTATTAGCTGGTGAACGAAAGAAACAAATTAAACGAATGGGGTATCTAAGCGCAGTGGACAAGAAGAACGGCAAAACCATGAATGACCGTACCATTAGCATCTCCATTCGTCAAAACACCGTTCTCGGTAGGCCTGGTCTACGAGGAAGCATGTGAGCAATTCGAGCATCTTTGCCATGTCCTTGTGGTTGTAATGTACCTGGGCACGCGCGAGACCGTCCTGCAGCTCGTCGTACTGTTCGCGGTTCTGTTGCAAGACCGAACTCAATTCTTGGACCAAAGACCAGATGTGCTGCATATCGCTGTGGTGGCCGGCTGATGGCATGCCACCTCCGAGGGTGTAGGGTGCAGCCGAGTTGGCCATGGCAGGGTTCTGAGCGGCCATGTCCCCAGAGTGGTAGATGTTGCTAAGGGCAAGCGCGAGATGGTGTCTGATGGAAGGATCGTTCAACGAGACAAACTCTTCATTGTCGTCAGGGTGGCCAGGTTCGAGGAGGTCCGCAGGGAATGTGGGAGGAGGTGGCAGTGGACGCGCAACAGACGACTGGCTCTTTCCTAGACTGTTGTTGATTTCGATGTCACCAGGTCTTGGCGTAGTGTTGGCGTCTCTGGTTCTGAAGGCAGTGCGCGACGAGGCGTTTGAGTCGACCGAGCTGGATCTGTCTCTGTTGTTGTCGGTGATGCGATGGGATGCTTGAGTCTGACTGAGGCTTGACTCTTGGGCGCCGTCAATGCTCGGTACACTGTCAAACTCTGAGTCTTTGGCGCTCTCCTCGGATTCGAGCTGCTCCTGGTGCTGAAGCTGCTCAAAGTTGGCGACAAACTGGTCTAGTTCTTGTTCGTGCTCCTCTTTCTCTGTAAATGTCCAGGTCAGCGATTGGGTCCATAAGATAACATGGCTCGTGCACGATGCCGGTGGCGGCTCGGCCCGCAGCTAACATACCTTCGCGTTCGCGTCTGCGTCCCTCTCTGATCATGCGCACTGCATCCACACTCACCCAAATGAGTCCTTCATTCTCTTCGCGTCCAGTTCGAAGCAATGCTCCACCTTCCAGAAGCATGCGTTGGATAGCCGCCACTGGATCATCAGCGCGAGGAACATCTGCTGGCTTTGCTCTCTCTGTCTTGCGTCTGGTCGACAAGCTCGGCTGTCTGGATGCGTAGTTCTGAATCTTGGGATCGTCCGCCATCTCTTCGCCCTGCCATTCTGACTCTGCTTTCTCCGGGGTACTTTCTTCGTCTGGCATACTGATACCCAGTCCAATGCCCAATCCGAGGCCATCTTGGTCTGAGTCGCGTTTCAAGCTTCTACCTCTTTCTTGGATTTCTGGCGCCCTATAGAAACTCGAAGGTCTTTCGGCCTTCTTGCGCAGTTTCATGCGGCGGAAACCTTCGCCTACATGCGAATTGTTTTCACGAGGCATGGTCTCTGATGCACGACCTTGTTTGGCTGACGATTTAACTGATGCGAGGTAAATCGTAGGCTCTGATTGCGTCCGGGTCACTGTGTTGTTGTCAGCCTGTTAGTGTTACAGGAAAGATCTTGTAAGTTGCTCACAGCTCGTGATTCCGATGGTGTAAGGACTGGCGCCGTCAAGATCAAGAATTGCGATTTCAGTGTCAGGGTCGATGTCCAGCTCCTTAAAGTGCTTTAAGGCCAAGCTCCTTTGTGCGAGTCGTGGTGTGAGTGGTGGTTTTTGCGATTCTTCACATCCGCCGCGCAGATGTCCACAACCTGACCCTGAGTCGATCAGGATTCCACAATGTGGAACTGTTTTTTGTGCGTGCCACTCACCTTCTTGCCTGTTCGCTGTTGTTGACGTGTCCAGACGAGACTATCGTTCCTGATCTCGAATTGAAACAGAACCGTCGTGTAGTGGAATTTGTGTTATGTCGGACGCGGCTTTTGAAGCGGCGACATCATCAACTCCAGCACCCTTCGAGATGTGAAACAAATCACTCCAGTACTGAGCGACCGCCTCAACGTACGCTGGAGGATAGCAATCTTCATCTGGTCCAAGAAGGTAAGTTTCCAATGAGATTTCTGCATCCTTGCCCTCGTTGCTTGCTTTCCGACCCTGCAATCTTCCCTGTGCTCCAGATGAATTGCTTGCTTCCGAGGGCTTTGTCGTCCTCCCGGGTCTCTGCCTGTCAGTCTCCTGTCCTGCGGGAGCGTCTTCGTCCCGATCGGACTGTGACTTCCCACTGGAGTCTCTTGTAACAGTCCTTGACAATTCAGACTTCAGGGGAATGGCCGTTCTCAGGTCGAGATGTAGCAGGTTCGTCCCAGCGTCCAGGTACGTCCCAATCTTAGCGATTGAGATGGATCTACCAGGCATTCTGACGAGCTCGGTATCATCCTCAAAGATCCACTCTGCAGTTCCCTGATCCTCGTTGCGTGAGTTGCGCACGGCATTCTTGAGCATGAAGGAGTCTTGTGCCCGCATGCCGGCCTTTCTTGTAATGATCACACCGCGTTGTTTCCTGCTCACACATGCAATGTAATCTCTACGATTACCAGCCTTTGAGGATGCTTTTGCTCTCATCCGACCTCGAGAATCTCTGCTGAAATTGTTCACATTAGTATCGTCGCCAATCCGATGTGACATGAATTATTACTAACCCTGCTTTCTGTGTGCCTTGCACGACTCTCGGAGTTCGTCTCCCTCCAGTCGAAGCAATACTGCTCCTCACCCCTTGCGTGAAAGCGGAATCCTTGCGGGTTTGATCAGAAGGACCAATTGGAGGTGGTTCTTCCTCAACAGAAGCGAGTGAACCTACATCTCGCAGTCGCGGTTGCTCTGTATTCATTGCAAGTGTCGGGTCTTCAGGAGCCTGGGTGACTTGCCAATTCTTAGGTGGAACCCAAGCAGGTGGTGGGGGATGTCTCCTTTTAATCAGCTCTTCAAGGTATGCATGTGCTTGTCTGGAGTGGAATACGTGCGCTTCCATGAGCTCGTCCTCGGACATTGACGTCAGATCAGGCGTAGTAATAATGGTTTGTCGTTGGAAAGTGGGTGGCAGAGGGCTTCTCGGATTATTCTTCGACTTTTTGCCCAGAGCTGGGAGAGTTGAGTGAGGCAACAGACTCTTGATGGCATGGCTGATTGAATGACTCCCAGAGGATGATCCAGAAGCTTCGGATTGTCGGTGATGGCTAGCGGTCTCGTGAACGACACCGCTGGTAGCCTTGCTTCTTGAGGCAAACCGGGATTCGAGAGGATTGCTTTTGTTGTTCTTCGGCGAGGGAGTGGCCGAATCATCTTGCTCCATAGTGGTGATTGTCAAATTATGCTTGGTTAGATATTCTGTACTAATGTCTGGCGAGGAATACGATGTTCTGCTATCAGGGTTGGAATTTCTGAAGACGAGGTGTGTGACTATGGAAGCACAAATGTCCACAACCCACATGAAATAACGGAAGTAACGATATTGATGGTAACTTCCTCAACAGTGCCAACCCGCGGCTTCTCAAACTCGTGATGAATACTTACTGGTAGCTAGCATGAATGCTGTCTTGCCTGGAGAGCTTACATCACTACGACGAGCCTCAAGCCAGGTCACATCGATTGTCAATCGAGTATTGGCAGCAACACAACTCACCTGCGATGCAGGTCGTTCAGGAAAACAAAGGTTCTTTATATAGCTCGCGAGTCAATCTTACAAAGACAATTGCGTTTTGGATATAGCCTCTACCAACTGCAAATATCTGTTGGATACTGAAATTTGTGAAGAAACGCTCAATCGACAGCTCTGCCAGGCTTACGACCCCAAACCTCGTCGGCATCAGACTTACCCTTGGTCTCGGGCACTGCCCAGAACACGAAGCCAGCCAAGAATGCAGCGAAAGCGGCGAAGATGAAATAAACCTTACCACCACCAAGTTTCTCGTTGACGATGGGGAAGAACTGGGCAACCACAAAAGTGGCAATCCAGTTGGCTGCCAAAGCCCAACTCTGAGTCGCGCCAACAGCATCAGGTCCAACAAGCTCCGAGGAAAGTATAAAGGGTACAGGTCCAAGGCCTAAACCGAAGGATGCCACAAAGGTCAAGACTGTGATAGCTGACAGAATAGGGATGTGCCTCATAATGCCAATGGTCAAGAGCAAGGAAGACACACCCATGCCAAAGATACTTGCAAGAAGACAGGCCTTGCGACCAAGCTTGTCAGTCAAGGGGGCACAGGATGTTGTTACGACGATGTTCAAGACTGCAACCAGGACGTTGAGCAAGGCAGCGTTCGCCGAGAGCAGATCCGAAAGTAAAGAGACGCCATACATGACTATTGAGTTGATACCGCAAAGCTGTTGTCCGATCATGATGACAACAACTGCAATGACGGCAGGGCGAGAGTCAGGATTCTTGAGGACAGCAAGGGCACCAAGCGCTTCGAAAGCTTCCTTGGTCTTTTTGCTTGCCGAGGCATTAGAGGAGGGTCCGCTTTGTTCGATACCGCCCGCAGGCATGCGGTCTTGGTTTGACAGAAGACTGTCTTCCTCATCTTCCATATCTTGCGAGCTCTCGACTCCCCAGCCTTTGACCTCATCGTCGATGTTGGCTTTGTGGCCTCTGAGCTTGCGCAGGACTCGTTTTGCTTGTCTTTCTTTGCCATGATCAGCAAGCCACTTTGGACTCTCTTGGCCACCAAGGAATAGCCCGACGGCTTGAACGGCACCAATAGCTCCACCAGCGGCGAGGATTATTCGCCACAGCGAGCCTTTACTCAAGAAGAGACCAAGCAGCTGTGCAATGAAGATGCCCATGTTGATCATGATCTGGGTGAAAGCGCCAAAGAAGCCCTTCTCGTGAGGAGGAGCGACCTCGGAGATGAAGATGGGTGCAATGACAACAGAAGCACCGGCGCCGAGACCGCTGATGAATCGTCCAATGGTCATAAGAGGAATGTCGGTAGCGAGGACCTCAAAGATTGGACCGACGACAAAGGGAATGGTGCTGAAAAGCATGGACTTGTAGCGGCCATAACGAGCTGAGAGAGGACCTGCACTAAGAGCACCGAGAAGACCCCCCAAGGTGAAGATGGATGAAACCAAGCCAAACTGGGTCGAGTCCATAGGAATACATTGCGGGAGACTTGGGACGACTGCCGATGAGATGGACTTTTTCTCGCATGTTATAACAGATTGAGGGGCATTGAACTCTGCCTGAGAGGGTGGATAAGAGGTTAGGAAGTGGATACTACCGGGTCACAGCAAAGACGGATAGATACGTACAAGATGGAAACCGAAGAGTAGAGGGCCGATAGTGGACACGAGGAGAATGTAGACAAAATAAGGCGTGAGATCCTTGAACCACGACTTGGTATCCATAGCTGATTTAAGCTTTGGCAGACGTAAGAAGGAGCAGCTGTAAAGACGCGTCGCTTTGGCCAGACGATTGGAAGAAGGGAATTGTCTCGCAGGCTGAGAGGCTTCAGAGCTTCGGACTTGCTAGGAGGCTACTGGTGTCAGACCTTATTGTGTGTCAGAGTGACATGGTCAATATCGACATGGCTGGAAGCTCGACACTGGACAGTGGAGCCGCAGCCGTTCTCAAGACGTGACAGTCACATGCGAGCCGACAGCCGCGAACCTTGCCCATTCAAGGCTGCTTGCTCTCGTTGGTTGAACAAGAATCGTTTCCTACACCAACAAAGTCGCTGTGCCATCTCTAGTCGGCCACATCATCTGCTCCCTCAGCCTGGTGTTCCTTCATCCTTTGGCCTCACCGCATATTTCGCTGTCTGTCTGGGCCGTAGTCTTTCTGTCCCTCTCCGTGTGCTTGTCCGTCCCGTCGCAAGCTCGGCCCAACGCTGGAACTCTGCATCACCGTGGGGTATGCATAAACCAAGCACAATTTAATCCGCCGCCATGATCACTTCAACCTCTGCTGTCCCAAATGTGCCTCCCTCTGTGAACGCTTCTGCTGCGCCCACCAACAATCCGCCTAGTTCTGCTCCAAGTGTCAGAAATGCAAATTCCGCCGCCCCAGGAGGCAACCTGACCTTCAAACGCAAATTACACTCTGCTTTTAATGGTATCTCCTCTTGTCCACTTGCCTTTTCTCTCTACGCCGTGCACTAGTGACCAGCTGTCAGCTAACATCTGCTCTCAGAGCCTGCAGATACCAAGATGTCGTCGATGGGATATACTAGCCAGAGGCGAATCAATGATAACTACGACGTAGTAGGTTTCATCAGCAGTGGCACCTATGGCAGGGTGTACAAAGCCCGCAACAAATCTGGGAGAGGCCACCATCCTGTTCTTAGTCGGAACTCTGGAAATCCTATTGAGGCTTTCGCTATCAAGAAGTACGTCAAACTCCATGGCTTCCGGCCGAAAGCTGACTTGTGCTACCTAGGTTCAAGCCTGACAAGGAAGGAGAATTACAGTATACCGGCATATCACAGTCTGCTATACGAGAGATGGCTCTCTGCACAGAGCTGTCTCACGAGAATGTCATCTCACTTGTTGAAATCATTCTGGAGTCGAAATGTATATTCATGGTCTTTGAGTATGCAGAGCACGACCTTTTGCAGATCATACACTGGCATACCCAACATCCTCGTACTCCCATTCCGGCGCCAACGCTACGCTCCATCATGTATCAGCTTCTAGAGGGACTGCTTTACCTTCATCGTAACTGGGTCATGCATCGCGACCTGAAGCCTGCCAACATCATGGTCACATCTGCCGGTGTTGTTAAGATAGGTGACCTGGGCCTTGCACGACTATTTTACAAACCACTTCAAGCCTTATTTGGCGGGGACAAGGTCGTTGTCACTATATGGTATCGCGCGCCTGAGCTCCTACTTGGAAGCCGACATTACACACCAGCGATCGATACATGGGCAGTCGGCTGCATATTTGCCGAGCTCCTGAGTTTGAGACCAATTTTCAAGGGTGAGGAAGCAAAGCAAGACTCCAAGAAGACAGTGCCATTTCAAAGAAACCAGATGGGCAAGATTGCTGAAGTTCTTGGTATCCCGAGAAAGGAGAGCTGGCCACTACTTCAAGCGATGCCTGAGTACCCTCAACTACAGACTCTGGCCGCCGGCAATCCTGCAGTCCAACGACCAATAGGCTTGGACAAATGGTGGGACAATCTCACTCGAAACAGTCAATACTCAGCCGCAAACATGCCAGCACCACACCGAGATGGACTAGACATGCTCAAAGCTCTGCTTGAGTACGATCCATTGAAACGACTGAGTGCTGAGCATGCGCTTCAACATCCATACTTCCTTCACGATGAAAGCAATTTACCAGCGGCTCCTCCCAAAAATTGCTTCGCAGGTGTCGAGCACAAGTATCCTCCTCGGAAGGTCAGTTCCGAAGACAACGACATTCGAACAGGCAGTCTACCAGGGACGAAGAGAAGTGGACTGCCAGATGATTCGTTCCTCAGACCACCGAAACGCGTCAAGGAAATATGAAGTCATGACCATATCAGATGATTCACAAAGTCGAAGAATTATCGAAGTTTCACTCCCCGAGAGATGTTAAGGAGGACCCAGGAGCCCGCTTCTATGTTCGGGTTTCGAGAAGGGCACATAGCCCGAGATGAACAAATCGGAATCTATTCTTTCTTTTCAAATGTAAATATTATTAGTCTATGAACAATTGTATCAAAAATTGTCGTTGTGGTTGGCTTCGAGCGCCGCAACTCATGAGGCCGTGCACAGGTGTGGCTGCTGATCGACTCTTCGTTCTTGTGAACGCTTCATTGCGTACTCGAGTGCCTTCGGACCTATTCTTCAAACATCTTGCCCTACATAATACGTTCCCAACCAGAGGACAGGCACCATGACGGACAATGAATCGCAAAAGAGCGAACAAGACCAGACACGCCTTCCGACCCAGGCCGAACTCGATAAAGTTGCTCAAGTAGACATTTTGGACAAGAATGGCGACAAGAAGCAGTTCGGCGCACTCTGGAGTCGCCATGGAGATATTCCGCGTCGAACGATCGTTATTTTTATCCGTCACTTCAACTGTGAAGTAAGTAAAGCTTATCAAATAACAACAAACGCTTCTGACGTCGCTGTAAATACTGATCAACTTGGAAGTCGTGCGCCGATTATGTTCGCGCGCTGTCAAAGGCGTTCTCTCCTGACGATCTAGCGTCTCGGCCTATACCCACAAGACTTACTATTGTGGGCTGTGGCAGTCATACATTTATACCAACTTACCTCGAACGCACTGGCTGCAAATTTGAGATCTTTACGGATCCATCGCGTGTCACATATGACACACTCGGTATGACCTGCAACCTGGGGATGGGAAAGAAGCCAGATTATATTGAGAACAGCTTCATTGGAACACTGATTGGCACCGCGAACACTTTGATGACCATAACCACTTCATCTGGAAAGAAGAGTCAAAATGGTGGAGAACTCATCTGGATTGATGGCGAGATCAAGTTCGCGAGGAGGATGCAGAACACACGCGATCATGTCGAGATTGAGGATTTGAAACATGTATTGGCCAAACAGGAGAAGAACTTCGAGAAGGACGTCGCCGCATGAGCTCAAATCTATACCACATATACTCGATCCTCCCACGACCTCAGAGACCTGGCAAACGTACTCTGTCAGCTTTGCAACATGATACTTGACACAAGTATATATATGATCAGGGTCGCTCCAGCTACAAAACAAAAGCCCCCCCCATGCCCTCTCCAGGAATGTCAGAATGCCTCTGAAACGCGCACACGTGCTTCACTTCGAATTCAGTCATGGCCATTACCAGGGGAGCGGCCGTTGACACTACTAGGCCAATCTATCTGGATCTGCAACGCCTCCTCTTGCGCGTTTCATACGATGTGGTATGCCGCCATGCGGAGGATCTGCACGAGGAGAAGGAGGGAGCCGCGAGTAGCGGCGCGCGGGCGAGAAAGCAAGGCAGCAGATTATGCAGATATCTCCATATCTGCTTCTCTGAACATCTTGATTCGACAAGTGAGCTTCTGGAAATGCAAGGATAACCTGTGACCAAGCATGATTGTGAACAAGGACCACTTGAGTGGACCCAGAGAAGCGCGGCGTGTGGCTCTCGAGAGCTGGAACGTGAACGAAGCGTGCTAGGCGCCCGGCCGGCTGTCAAGGCACGGCCGCGCCCAATCAGACAGAAAGGCTGACGATCCATCTAATTTGCTTGCATGGTGCTTTGTTGCGGGTCCGTAAACTCAAAGAGCGGTGCTTTTTTGTTCAGGAGCTGCTTCAACCGCGGCAGGATTTCCAAACAATGGGAGAACCATGGTGCCAGCACCCAAGGCGTTAGTCAACTGAACCGTTTGGAGATGTAGCCTGTCATGTGGCAGATGAGGGAAATTGTTTGAGACGACTTGAATGGCTCTGACGAACAAACGAAGAATCTCCTGAAACGGCTCTTATCCACAAAGGGTATAGTACAGCAACGGGTTCGCTCTTCCCTCGCTCGTAAATGTGGCAGCGAACGCCAAGCAGGGCAGGAGTTGAGCTTTGTCACTTTCCTGCCGCTGGCCCCCCTTCGACCAAAGAAAGAAGGGTTCTTTCTTCTTTCTCTTTTCTTCTCAGTGTGCCCATTTGCAACTACTCGGCGCCCGTCCTTCCCTTTCTGCCTTCATTTGGTGACTGCAGCCTTGTTTCATTCTTACCTGTTTGTGCGTCGAACCTTTTGCGAATTTAATAATCTCCCCAAACCCGGAAGGCGCTTTCTCAACCCGGACGCGCTCAACTGTCTAGCCTCTCGTCGCTGTGTTCTTGTAGACCAACTTCACAGTCATCTCGAGCTTGACACCTGGCCACTCATCACTTCAGAACTCTTCAGTTGCCGGACTTAACCAAAACATTTACACACACCTGTCTGTCTTGATCGCTAGCGCCAACGTGTGCCTGTTGACAGCCCTGTCCCGATTGACGCGTTGATCCTTGACATCACACCGTACAGCAACACGACAAACACTTCTCTACAGTGTAATCCATACGCATACAACACATCTGTCTGGTTGAAAAACCGACAAACATTTATCAACTCGACTACATCTCATACCGCGCTGGTTCCCCGGATCTCTCGGATCACAGCGACCGTTTGTGTAATATCAGTCCAGCATCACTTGGTGTAGCTGCCTGCTTGTCAAGCACTTCACCTAGCTTACCCTCTCTCTACTTCTGTACAAGACCCGACCTTGACGACAGGCTCCCCGGCTTGCCCATATTCTCACTGGTCCTTCGACATACTGCCAAACAAGACGCTCCGCATTTCTGCACGAAGCACATTTAACGACTCTCCGCATCATCATCTTCACTCAGCATCATCGACATCATTTCAGCCCAGATCTCACCTGGTCTTACGAATCAAACTGTAATAATGAGCATGGACGCTGGCGGTCTCGCTCAGATGACTTTTAACGGTTTCTCTTCCAACGGCCTTGGCGCCCCCAGCTCTGGCTTTGCTTCTAGAAACAGGGGAGGTCACAACCACAAGCGCCTCAGCGTTGGTCTCCCTCAGCATATCAACCCTGCCGAGAACCACGCCGACTCCAATCCTACACCTCGCACCTCGCGATCGCACCTCCTCGCCGGTCTTCGTACCGCTCCCAAGACGCCCTCCGTGCCTGCTTCCGCTCCTTACAACCAGCTAGACTACCAGTCTCAGCTGAGTGGCATGGACGTCAACACATACAATGCGTATATGCAAAGTGTTCCTCAGTCAGCCACCGCTGCTAGCTTCAGTGGCAACCACTACGGTGGTCGTCAGCAACAACAACAGCAGCAGCAGCGCCAACAACAACATCAGCACATGTATTCGATGCCCGAGCAGGTCTTGGCCCCACCTACCTTCTACGGCCAGGAGGCCGAGATGGACCCCAACGTAATGGAACAGCTCCAGCTTACCAGCCTGTTCCTCGCTCAGCGCCAGCAGCAACTCCAGCAACAGCTTGCGGCTATCACTGCTGCCGCCAACACTGCTCAGTTGCAAGGCTTGAACCTCAACCAGTTCCAGCAGCCCATGTCTCAAGTCAATGCTTATGGTCAGCAACGCGCTCAGCAACAACAGTCGCCTATTGAGGTCCCTGGCCAACCTGGCCTATACCTCGTGTACAACCCCATGACTGGCCAGTACCAATACGCAATGGACAACAGTGCCCAGTCGCCCATGTCGCCGGTCTCGCAGAACCAGAACGGCTTCTTCAACATTGACACCCCTCAGAAACAGCAACAGCCTGTCTTCCGTGCCGAGATCTCGCCGCCACCCACTGAGCGTCCTACTCCCACCGGCTCTCGCTCTATTACTCCTCCTAAGAAGACGTCTTCACCTGCGTCGAGTCTTGCTCACGTCGAGCCGCTCCCTCCTCCGTCCGCCAACGCCTTCCGTCGTGGTCACAAGAAAGCATCTTCTCTTGCCATCAACGCCCTGACAGGAACATCTGATGGCCCTAAGACAAGCAACGTTGCTACTTTCGGATCTGCAAGAACCGTATTCCCACCAACCCCAATGACAGGCACTTTCGGACCTGGTGCTGCTCGTGCTGGAGAACACCCTATTCGCCAACCTCGTGGCCCACCTCCGCTTGAGGAGCTTATCGCTCTGCCCACCAGCAAGCACGAAGGCAGCAAGAACTTCGCAACTCGTCAGCGTCGTCGTGCCCTTGACAACCTCGTTCGCGCTGGCTCATTCCGTCGTGCCGTCAGTGGTTCTCCCCGCAGTAGCCCTGCCAGTGAGCGAGAGCTCAACTTCCAGTCAGAGGAGGACGAGCCCTGCTTCCGCAAGCAGAGCCCCATTGGCAGCGAGCGCAACGCCAAGAGAAGCTCCAAGGATAGTCTCGAAGGTCTTGGTGCAGGTGGCGCCGTTCAGACTCCAGTCAGCGAGAAGGGAGACGCATTTGACATGGGCTCTTTTGCCAAGCAGCTTCCCAGCCCTATTCAGCAGGGTCTTGGCCGCAGACACATGATGCTGGGCTCCGTTCTCAGTGCCGCTGAGAAGAGAAAGAGCATGTTTTAGAGAATGAGTGGTGGACATGAGTATGTGTGATACAGATGATGCAATTCCATTCCTGGATTCAATGCGTGGTTGGGCAAGACTTTATGATTGGACACTGGGTTTGTGATGGGGTTGGTAACACGAAACGTTACAAAGGCTTTTCATTTCTATCCTCAAGTTCCGGCAAAGACAAAGACTGAGGGGCTGCGCCCTGAAGTCTCGTGCTGTTCAATTGCCTGGAGAGGGGCGAGTTATTATTTTTCTTCTTATTTTGCCCCCAGCAAATGCCACCCAACTAGCTTTTAATCGATACTTACTTTCGCATTCTGCGAGAAGACTTTCCATGCACTTTTGTAACACGATGCTTGCCGAGATGAGTGCCATGTCATGCCACGACGTCGGCCATGAAGGATCCGTTCCGGTGCCCCGCAACAGGGCTCACCTGTGCCCTAATATTTCTCCACCACCTTCTTCCTTCTCCACACCACTCACCACAAATGACCACAATGGCCTCTATCGAAAGTGTTGCGAATACAGCAAAGAAGTTGGAATGTCGTTTCTGTCAGAGAATCTATTCTAAAGCAGAGCATTTGACAGTACGGCAAAGCTCGCCGTGTATTGACTGATTGATATCTGACACACCTTCTTCAGAGACATGAACGTTCTCATACAGGCGTACGGCCGTTTACTTGCAAAGAGTGTAACCGCGCCTTCAGTCGACAAGACTCACTAGCACGCCATGAGAAGCTCCATCTTCGAAGGGAGAGCATGAAGTGTGCCTCACCTGCAACTTCGGCCCATACGCCAGCCAAATCTCACGCACTGCAGCATTTGCTGGCAGCTGATGAGGAGATTGACACTCGCAATCTTGTACCTCCCTCCGATCATGTTACCGCGCAATCCTGGCAGGAACAACCGTATCAAGTCGAACCCGAAATGATGGACATGAATTGTGCAACGGATCTGGACTTTCAATTGATATGGCCTGATTCTGAGGAGCTGTTCCAGTCAATCATGTCTACGGACACGATCTCACATATGCCAGTGGGCACTTTACCATTCCCGCAGGGGCTTGAACAGTTTACACCAACCAGCCTCGATTCGCCTTCTTCCTTTGATGATCGAGGCTCGGCTATAAAGGCTATACCTAATGGAGGTGGGCACCAGGCTGTTCATGGTGTCAGCAAGATGATTTCGAATCTGGTGAGCGGGGATGTCACATCAGATGTGCTCTAGCTAACTTCCCTAGTCGTCGAGCATCACCGCAGAGGCCGAGTCTACGTCGATTACTTCGGTGTTCTTAGATGAATGCCTGCACATGTTCTTCGTTCGCTTTATACCTACGTTTCCCGTATTGCATCGCTCCACATTCGTCTTCCGAGAATGTACACATCCTTTGCTCCTCAATGCCATCGCCATAGGCTCACTATATCTTGGGCCCAAGGATTCTATCGCGAAAGGCGAAGCCTTGTGGCGCCTTTCGCATACAGCAATTGCGACTTCAGTATGTAGTTCTCAGCAGGTTCGGTGACGCGAGTGCTGACTGTTTCTGTAGTGGCAGAGTCTGATTACCCATCGAGGGCCGAATGATCCGTGCAATGGACTTCAACTGGTTTTGGCTGCCTTGCTCGGACAGGTCTATGCAGCACTTTCAAAGGTCAGAAGTGAAGCTAGATATCGTCTCATAATCACTGACATGTTTCTAGAACCGGGTTCTTCGATCCACATCGCAGATATTCCATGCTCTCGGCTTCTCATGGGCAAGACATTGTGGCATGTACGACAACGACACATATTCGATAGACGATTTACCTGCACTGGACGCCTCTCCAGCGGATAAAGACCGCCAATGGAAAATTTGGGCTGCTCACGAGATCCAGAGAAGAGTGCTCCTGGCCCAGTACATCTTAGACGGCCTCGTCTCCTCGGCTAGTGGCAACCCTACCTCGACGCGGCACGCTGCTAACCAGCTTGGACTACCATGCGATGAAAGCTTGTTCGAAGCAAGTACTGCAGACGAGTGGCTGATCAAGATGCGATCACAACCCAGGCAGAATGTCTCATTCCGCAGCATTTTCCGATCGCTATTCTTACCAACTGATATCGGAAGACTGCCAGAGCACACCCTAACCTCCTTCTCATTGCGTGTGATCTTGGAGGGTGTGCAGTCACTTGTTTCAGACTCTACTGATGGCCCGTCTGTTGGCGTCCCAACACGCTCTGAGATCCGTAGGGCGCTGGCTCAAGTTCACGAAAGCATTACCAAGAACAATATATCCAATCCTGAAACGCTTGAGGCTCTGTTGCGTTGGCATTCCATCTGCCTTGATGCCGCCACAGACTCATCCATGCTCTGTCGCCATCTGTGTGCTCGGTACAACATTGCACAGCATGTGCTAGGAGGTAGCAGAGGTTCGAAGGCAGGACTGGATCTGGTCGCCTGGGCAAAGACTGAAGATGCCCGCAGAGCGTTGCTACACGCTGTCGCGATCCAGGATATCGTGGAGCAGCTTCCTCGCGGTCGTGCTCACGTGCTTCACATGCCCAGCTCACTGTTCGCGGCAGCCACTGTATACAGTGTCTTCTCGTTAGCAGGCCACACAACGGTCAATCTGCCTCGTATTGTGGACTGGAAGGATGCGCTCTTCACCGAAGTCGATCCTTGTGTCATCCTCGGCGATCTTGCGGGTACATCGGCGGGATCGAGCACGACGAGAAGATTCGTTCGTGGCGAGAAGCTGTCCGGCAGCGGCTATGAATCTTTGACTCGCAACTTGTTGTACGAGCTCAACTCGATGCAGAAGCTGTTCCGTTGCCTCAGCTCACAGTGGGGGGTTGCATATGACATGGAATCTCTTTTGAATTCGTGGATCTCGCTTTGTCATTGAAGGCTCCTGTCGGTTATGAGTGCATGATGACTTTAGTCTAGGAGTTTGGAAGGATTCTTTGGGTCTTGGGCGCATGTATCGTTTTAGGCTATCTATATTTCAAATTCAAATCGTCGAGCTGGCATGAATCCGGGAACACTGCAAATTCTTATACTTGTTCTTTATTTCTCGTCTTGGAACACTGTGGTCAAAGTACCGATGTGTGGGTGAACCTCGATCGAGAACTCATCGCCGTCTCGCAAGAACTCCTTAGGGTCCTTGCCTACACCTACACCGGCGGGAGTTCCGGTAAGGATAATAGTGCCAGCGGGCAGAGTAGTACCTTGCGAGCAGAAGCTGACGAGCTTGGGGACGCTGAATATAAGGTCGTCGATGCCAGAATCTTGCAAGACATTGCCGTTCTTGCTACCCTTGATGTGAAGCTTGCTCGGGTCGGGGATCAACTTTGAGCTCGCCAGTACAGGACCGATAGGGCATGCACCATCGAAGCCCTTACTGTAGCACCACTGGCTCTGGGCAAACTGAGCGGCACGGCTGGAGACGTCGTTGGCGGCAGTGTAACCAAGGACATAGTCAAGGGCTTCCGACTCGGAGACGTTCTTGCAAGGCTTGGAGATGACAACGACGAGTTCAGATTCGTAGTCTGCCGTATCGGAGGCTTTGGTGTGCTTGGGGATAATGGTCGGGTGAGGGTAAGGGTCTGCAAGCGAGGTGGCTGGCTTGAGGAAAATGACGGGCTCTGATGGTTCGGCCATGTTGACTTCTTGGGCGTGTGTCTTGTACTGTTCGTTTCCCGTCAGAAGCTGTCTGAATGCCAGGGTGAAGTCCAAGTCTTACGTTCAGGCCAATGCAGCGTATCGTGCCAACTTCCTCTTGCGACAATGGTGACAACAGTCTAGCGATCTTCTCGGTCTTGTCTGACAGCGAGCCGGGATTCAAGGCGGACTTTCCGCTAAAGACCTTGACTTCAACCTCGTCGCCCTTACGGAGAGCGAGACCGACATCAAGTTCAGCATCGACGGGCTCGCCGATCAGGATTGCCTTGGAGTCGCTGGCTGGGACGAAACGGACGAGGCGGTTGAAGGACATTTTGGTATGGGACATCTAAGATAACGAGAAAGGAAACCAAAGGTCGTTGAACAAAACAAAAGGCTTATAGACTATGCCGATGTCGCGCAATGAGTGCTATCACGAACGCATCAAGTCCCGCAAGTGAGATCCGCACCCTTGAAGACACACCTTCCTTCCCCACCTTGGAGGGGTACAGGTGGGGAAGGAGCACTCTGCCTGCTGCTCGGCCGAAACCATGCCGAAGACCGAGACAGAACAAGCAGAAGTGTCCTCAATTAACTTGGAGCTGTGTAGAAGCCCAGATCAGGGAATGTAACAATGCAAGGATATTAAGCAGATCTCAGCGCAAGTTATTGCTTCTGTTTGAGGTCCTTCCCACATATCGAAACAGCACCACACGATTGTTTGCTGGTCAGAGCTCTACAGAAGCAGGGCTGTGTGGGGCAGTCACAGAGTGTTTTGACAAGATAACCCGATGACGGCCCAGAATATCTGCTCCATGTAACTCCCTCAAGCATTCTTGTCTTCTGATTCCCAGTCATACAACTCTGAACCTGCACAAAATGTCGACCTCTAAGCCATTGGGACCTTTCAAGCTCGTCACGGTCAACACAGCACCTGAGCGTGCTTACAGGTTGATTGGCCGTGTCGTCGAGAACGTCAAGGACAAGTACACGATCATCCACGCTGGAAACGCAGATAGTAGGTTACAATGAAAGATTATAGTAGAGGCATTGGCTGATGCATGACAAAGACCAGGAACAAGTTCGCGAAGTCGTTACCAGATGCCAGCCCGACGTACTGGTGTGTCAATCCGAATACAGCCACAATATGGCATCAAGACACTGACAAGATGTGTATAGTTCACAGCATCTATGTGGACACCTGAGGAAGCCAAGAGCATTCACGCCGAAGCCAAGGAAATCATGGGCCCGCAATTGAAGACATTCGCTCTGCCTCAGGGACTTCAGGTGTCAAAAGGCCCTGACGCTGTAGTAGAGTTCATCGAGGAGAACTTGCCTGGTCTGCTCGAGGGCTAGACAAGAGAGGACAAGATATACCAATGCACATTTTCCATGTTTTTCGATGAGGATGCATCAAAGAAGTTGATCGAGAAAACAAAGTCGAGCGTAAGCAAGACCAACGTCATGGTTTGCTCAGACTGGGCCCCACATAGCTACTACAGCGTACAGCGGTAGAGATTCAATGATAGGGCTACGCGTCTCACATGGATGTAGGTGGTAACAGACGGCTGTGAATTTGCAGAATTGAAATAGGCCGAGATTAAGTGCATCGACAGGCAAGTGGACGCGGTCGAGATGGCGGACTTGTCTTTGAATTCCAAAAAGATGGTTTCTTTGGGCATGTGATTGGGCGCGCGACGGGAGCGTCGGGATGACGGCATGGCGATCATCCAGATCCGGGGCGCTCTCTGCAGGCGGCGTGAGCTTGTTTTATGGAGTTCCCTTCTGGAAGCACTCAAAAGACCGTTGACGATGATGGCGTTGATAATGATGATGCTGAGGCCCAATTGACTTCTTGCTCGTCCTTGACCGCGTCTTTCCAATCCTCCATCACCACCCCTGCACACCCCACACCACACCCTAAACAACTGCTACTCCCTCAGCCTCCCCACCGCAATCTCCCGACCATCGCAACCATGGCCGACCTGCACAAAGCTCTCGAGCAGCTGGGCCCAATCGACTGGGCCGATGTGCCACAAGACATAGGCCCGTTCATGAAGAACCTGTTCGAGAACGGCGAACTCATCTGCAACTCAGTCCCGCCTCCTCCTGGCGGCAAGGCCTACGATGCATCCGAACCTACCCAGCCCAAGCCTGACACGGCAAAGTCGTCCAAAGACGTCGTCAACTCAGACGCCCGCCCTGTCGATCCCCACCCCGAGCAGGCCGCCCTACAGAAGTCATGGGGAAAGCCCATGAAGTTGAACGCCAAAGACAACCCTCTGGGAATCTCAGTCTACAAGATGGCAGGCAAGGACAGACACGGCGCCTGGTTCGCTCGTAGGCAGGTCCTCGAGGGTGTTTCCATCACAAAGATGCGCAAGGCTATGCAACGCGAGTTCGCTGAGTCTTTGGCCCAATCCGGTGGCCCCGGTGCTGGCAACGTCCGTGGTATTGGCGGCGACCGCAGACTAGACAAGAAAGAAGTCGAAAACGTGGGCAAGATGGAGGCTCTCCAGCTCAGCGCCCAATTCCCTGGCCCCACAACTCCTAGAGAATTCATCACTCTGCTCTTGACCTCAGAGAATGCCCTGTCCGACAAGACTAGCCAGGACAAGCACCCCATTCCACGGCACTTCATGGTCATCTCCAAACCACTCACACACCCCGATACTCCTGACCGTGAAGGTTACGTCAAGGGTTCCTACGAGTCCGTCGAATTGATTCGCGAAATCCCTCTGAATCCCGTGCCCGAAAATGAGGACGAGTCAAATGATGACAAGCACGAGCTCAACCCTGTCGAATGGATCATGATCACACGCAGTGACCCCGGCGGTGGCATCCCTCGCTTTATGGTCGAGCGAGGCACTCCAGGATCCATCGCATCTGATGTCTCCAAATTCCTCGATTGGGCATGTGCCAAAGACGAGATCCCTGATCCTGATGAGGATGAGGAGCTGCAGCAGAAAGCCCAGCAAGAGCAGACTGAAAAGAAGGGCCCACCTCCAACTCCTCAGCAAAATTCGCAAGCACAACAACCTGCACAGCAGGCAGGTGGCCTCCTCGCCTCTATCGCAGGTGCCGTTGAAGCAGGCATTGAAACCTATGCTCCAGCACCCATCGCTAATTACACCCACAACTACATGCATCCAGAGGATGACACCTCAGACTCATCATCGTCTTCGGACTCATCAGATGCCGATTCATTCGCATCTGCTCAAGACCACCACCACCATGATGTAGGCGACCACCCTGCACAACATCCCGCACATGACAGCGCAGCTGTAGCCGCCTCATCAACTTCAATAGGCGGCGCCTCAACAGCCTCATCAAGAGAGTTGCCACTGGGAAGCTCTCACCACGACAAGGAGCTACGCAAGATCGACAAAGACCGCGCAAAGATTGAAGCAAAAATCCACAAGAAGCAAGATGCCGAAGCCGTCAAGCTCGCCAGCCACAAAGAAAAAGACCCCGAAGACATTGCCAAATACCAAGAAAAGTACGACGCCGCAATGGCAAAGCTATCCGAGAAGCGCGAAAAGGAACTCAACAAGCTCGAGCAAAAGCGCGAAAAGGAAATTTCAAAAGCACAGAAGAAGAGAAGTGAAAAGTTGAACAGAGACGAGGCCAGTAGAGTTGCCAGGGAGAGAGATGACTTTAGAGATCAGGTTGACATGCTGAAGCGCGAGAATGGTATGCTTAGAGAGCAGATGGCTGACCTGCAGCGTGAAAACGCCATCCTCGTTGATAAGGTCAACAAAGTTGCTGGAGTTGGTGCGCTCAAGGAGGTCCAGGCCGAAGCGCAGCATCATTGATTGTAACAAGTGCATCCACTTACGAGGTTCGAGGATTTCTCAGCATTAATATCATCTTTCTCTTTTTGTTCATCTCTGGGGGGGTTTCCCTTCTTTTGTTTGTTTTTGGCAGGCGATGTTTGTGTACCATTCGCGTTCTCTTGTCTCTTAGTACTGTATAACAGGGCGGGGGAGGGCGTATCGATGTTTCTTTCTTCTTGACAAGAATAGATCTCGAGAAGCAGACGACAACATGCGAACTTAGAGAGATTCTTGATACAATCGGCAGCAACGAATGACTTACAATATCAGATCTTCCAGCAGTTCCTGAAATCATCGTGAGTGCCTTCAAAGCTGAAGAATGAACACATTAGTGTCTTTAGACGTCACGAAGAGCAGTCTGGGTATGGTAGATGTGTATGATTCTGATATATTCGCTAAGCGGCAGTTTTTCTCATGTGCTGATTGCTGACCACTGTACACTCCTTGATCCTACAATGTTTCAGTGTACAAAGACGCATTTCCTCCACCACTTGTAGATGTACAACTCCAAAAGATCCAACCCATTCATATATACAATCGTGTTCTGTCAATCGTTCTAGTTATTCTCCGTATTGTTATTCCCGTTATCTTCAAATCCATGCTCTGGCATCAACAATCCAGGATGTGCACCTCCAAAGTCTGGGAACAGGGAATTGACATCGAATCCGCCGACAGAGTCTGCAGCAAACAAACCGCCTGCATCGTCGCCGAGTCCTCCCGCGCCGACAGAAGGTGGATCGACGTTGAAGGGCATGAACCAAGCAGAGCTTTGATCATGCCAGGTATTGTTGCTGTTCATGCCAAAATCAAAGGCGTTGAGGTCGATGGAGAAAGGATTGGCAGGGTTGGAGGAAGGGTCGAGAGATTGGTAGTGAGACATGGAGGCGTCGAGGTTGAGCATGTTGCCATACTGCTGTTGATCTGATTGCTGCTGTTGTTGTTGCATCATGGCCAGCTCGGCAGGGAAATTGGTGTTGTTCTGAGGGTTCAAGACGCCGAAGTTTGTATTTAGGGGCCCGCCTGCCATCTGCGAGACCGTGGCTGCTGAATGTTGTTGTTGATGTTGCGCTTGGCTCTGCTGCTGATTTGAGAAGCCCGATGAGTTAAGTGCGGCTGATGCAGACGTTCCTGCCGCTGTGGTAGCTGTCGCTTTTGGTTGAGCGTCTGCTTTCCCACGCTTCTTCCTCGGCGCCTTCTGTTTTGTCGTTTTATTTGCAGGACTCAACTTTGAGAAAAACTCTTCGACACTTTGCAAATCATTCTTCTGGCCCATGACCGCGTCGGAGCCTGGCTCTTTCTTAACATCTGCAGTAACGGGTTCCTCATAGTCTGTGCCGCTAACACCATGAGGATATCGGTCGAACCAATCGCCATATTGAAAGATCGTGTCCAGCGGCTTCTGGTTATTACCAGCTTGTGCACCTCGGAAAGCAGCGTCTGCATGTCTGCGGTATAAGTCTTTAAGATTTTCCGTGACAAAATGGAACATTCCCCAATGTTTCTTCATCCGCGTCAGGTACTTGATGTTCGTCGCCAAGTTTTGTTTAGAAGACGCTTCTAGTGCTGGATTCTTCGAGAATACGCCATAGATATGGACGGTACTCGAGAAAAAGGCACAATATCCGGCAAAAGGTGCAACCACTCTATGATCCATAGCTTCGTTGATCAAGACTGATATCTGATTAGCCGCATCCAGGGCGGCCCTCCCACTTTCAGTGATGAACGCCTGTGGAGTATCCCTAACGCTTGCTGACTTTGATCCTGGCGACGGCAGCGCAAAGCGGTTTGTGAAGCAGATGATCTGGTTGCAAATCAAGTGCATGAAGATGAATTGGTTGGCAATTTTCTCGCTTGCATGAGTTTCGAGATTCTCTTGTGACCAAGTTAGCGTAGATGGAAGTCCAGTTTGCCATTCACGGACAGCTTCCTTTATGGCATGGAACTCTGATTTGGTAGACCACATCGGTTCCTTGTCTCTTTCCCTTCCTCCTAGATTCATATAGCGAATCACGCGACCCCAAATGGCTACCAATCGGATCATGTATGCAGCTACGCCCATGTTCTCAGTTGCTGAAAGCGCATGTGGTCCGGGCTTCTCGTTATTTTCAGGAACTGGTCCCTCGAGTACTTCCGTTGTGCCAGGAATCTCAAATTGGAAAAAGTGTTCCTTAACTGGTAGTTGAGCTTGGATGTACTGGTCGTTGACAAACAGTGGTCGTTCGGTTCCAGATGAGTTGAAACGGTCCATCTAAGCATGTCAGTTGCTAATTCAGTAAGTTACGGTTGTTGCGATGTCTTGTTACCATGAAACAGGCCCACATCGTACGCCTCCTGATCTCCCTGTCAGTGAACGTGAGTTCTGCATTGTTCTCTGTAGCGCGAGTTGAAGTATCGTGGTCCAGGTCTTTGTGCAATTGTAGGGCGTACGCCATTCGTTGCGCCATACCACCAAGCATCCAACTTCGACCACCCTGGCACGTTCCAAATTCATGAAGACCAAGTATGAGGTAGACTATGAGGATTGTGATGTTTGGCGAATCGTATCTCTTCAAGGCGATCTCCCTCGCCGCGCTGGCCCAGCTCTCGCCTCGCAAGAAAGCAGGTTCCGTTTTGACGTCGGGATGTGATGAGAAGCGAGCAGAGATGGCGCACACAGCCAGAATGAGCACCGGCGGTACTTGTCCAACTTCAAGTTTTCGCATGAAGCTTGGTTTGTGCAGTAGGTGATAGCTTTGACCGTAGACATAGTCGAAATACACTTCAGCCAGATGGATCTGCAACTCGTGAGAGGGCAATTGGTCGGCTCCTTCCTGGAGTAATCGACGTTCGTCCTGCTCTTGAGGGCCTATTTTCAATCGAGCTTCTGCGCTAATACCAGACTTTGATTTTGACCAATCGTTGATGTCGTCGCCAAAAGCTGTGTCAGCAGCTCTCTTCTTCTCGTTCTTTGAGGGCAAGCCTGGAATAGCAGGCTTGACGACAGCTCTACCGATGGTTCCTATCCGACCTTGGTCCTCTTTAGGCACTATTTTTATGACACGCTCTTCCATTCTCTTCAAGCGCTTATCCAGCATGGCCATGTAATCAGTCCTTGGAGCAGCCTTCCTGGTAGTCACCTTGTAGACGCAAGGTATGCGAGACCGCAGACAATGCTTGCAAGCCGGCTTCTCGCCTGAACAACGGATCTTTTTGCGTCTGCAAGCGATGCAAGCCAGGGGAAGTCGCTTGCGCTCCTTGCCTGCTTTGGTCTTGAGCTCTGCCCATGCTGGTGTCGGGTCGTTTTTGTCTTTCTGATCGTCTTGAATCGGCTGTCCAGTTGAGGGGTTTGTCGGAGGACCTACGGATCCTGGATCCTGGCCACTCACGGGACTGGTCGCATCAGAGTCGGCGATGCTGCCAGGGTGCAATTGGGTGGGTAGCGGGCCTGAGCTTCCGATGCTCATGCGATGGTGGAAATGGGCGGAAGACGGCGACTGACCATCACCAAGTTCGGGAATGGTGAAATGAAAGGGAGCATTGTGCATCTGAGGAGATATGATATGGCCAGGGTCGAAGGGAGCGTTGAAGGAGGTCAGGTTGGCCTCGAGGTCAGGAAAAGAATTTCCTGGCGTGTCGAAGGACGGCGACGTGTTTGGCGACATGGACATGATTTGAGAGAGCTATAACGGCCCATGTGGGGCCCTTTGTAGTGCTGCTGCGAGAGAGACGTGAACCAGCGACGATGTCTGTTGCCTCAGAGTGGATTGCGATTGGCACGCCCGTCTCTGCGTGCGGCGCGCCCGAGGTCTCAGCAACCAGAGCGCTCGCCGCGTCGAAGACCAACAGCAATCGTACGTTGGTAAGCAAAAGCAATCCGATAGAGCCCCGCTTGGACGTGGAGATGGCCGCGCTTGCTTATAAATGATCCTCCTACAAGCGACGATGAGACGTACAGCGATTTTGTCGCAACACCAGGGCGTCGCACCAAAAGATTACTTTAATAGAAATCACTCATTTAGTGGATTCAGGGCAAGGAAAGAAACAAGCTTGCCTGTTCAACTGCCTTTACATGTTGCCGTTGTCGGGCATCTTTGGTGCGAAGACTAGACTGGACGTTGTTAAGGTTTCCTCCGATGTCTCCGGATGTGGAGCAAAGTGGAGCGTGCCGATTTCTTACTAAGTCTGTTCGAGTGCAAGACATCTTTGCTGCCATAGTGCGCTTCTAACTGGCCAGATGCACTGAATATACTGCTATGTCGATCATCAAGATAGCATCCTGTGCGGCCTCGGAGATGTAGGACCCAACCCCCTTTGCTCAAAAGCAACTGCCTTGAACGTCATCTTGAAGTATTGTATCACTCCCCGCATCCGGAGTCAACCTCCACCAAGCATCCACGTGCCCATGCTGCTTACTGCTTACTCTATCCATCCCCTTGGTGCCTGTCAAGCCTATAACAGCACTTATATGCATCAAGTACCACATGATTGGTCAACAACTTATTCGGATGACTCCCGATTTTGTATTGTTCTTGTATCATCTTCCTCTCCTTTTCATTATGCTTTCTATGCTGGTTCTGACCAATCCACCTGTTCTGTTGTGGCTGGATTGCCTGCTTGTGCATAGCTCACCTTTAATCTCAAGCGCAACTTTTGAGGAGGAGGCTGTAATATCATGTTAGCGCGCGCTTGGTCTGCAATATGTCTGCCGTGACTTACTCCTTGGACACTGATGATACGCATTTGCTGTGTTGCCTCTTCTCCACCTTCCAACTCACTCGAGCTGATGCCTTGCAACTGCAGCTTCTGGCTCTTGGGCACAGCAGCTTGCAAACCAAGGTCCGTCAATCGCTCAAAGTTGCCTGTGTTTCTAAATCGGGCCATCACTTGCACTGCAGTCGCGTTTCTCTGAATTTGGAACGTGACCAAGAGCCCGTTCTTGTCGAAAGCTGTATGGACTGGCGGTCCTTGCGTCTGCGGTGGCGGAGATGTCATTCCACCGAACAAGTCGGCGCTTTGAGCCTGTTGTTGTGGTGGTGGTTGCGGCGTCGCTGTGGTCGATGGTGTGTCGAATAGGTCCATAATTGAGCTCATGTTACCAGCAGGGGTAGGCGATGTGGTTGTAGGAGGTTGAGAAGGTATTGACACAGATTGACCGCCATCCAATATGTCGGCAAGTAGATCTGCATTGTGTTGTGATCCGTTGATGGTTGAGCTCATGTCAACAACAGGCATGGTCGAGTCACCACCCATAAGGTCTAGAAGCATGTCCTGCTCAGTGACTTGACTAGGCTTCTTCATCTTGGGAACCTTGGAGTGTCGTTTCTTCGTAGCCTCACCCAACACTCTCTGTTCTTCGCGGATCTCTGGCGGTGGCATGCGCTCTAGAACGCCCCGACGTACTTGATCGTATGCAAACAAGTGACCATACTCGACTGCACGCTGTTGGATTTCCACATCGAGGTTGGTGTTGTTGCTTTCCAAGAGCCTTCGCAATCTCTCGATCTGAGCCGGTTCCGTGAGACGAGTAGTAAGTTTCATGGCAGAGGTTATTATGTACTCCTTGACGATTTGGCCGGCGTAGCTGCTGTTGAGGATACTCGTAAAAAGGTCGACGATGTCGCTCTGCTTGACTTCTTTGACAAGCTCTTCTTCTTCATATTGCCCGCCACGCAGAAGAGCATCTCCGTACTCGCCAATTACCCAAGCACCTGCCAGGCTGAGTCCTTCTTGGGAGATATCATCCTTGAGAGTGGCATACAGCTTCTGAGCTGCATATGTTTGGAGTTCAGGAGTCGTTGCGATAAGTCGGACGAAAGAAGACAGGATTTGCTCTTTGACATAATTACCAGCCAGCTTGAGAACTCTCAGCATGGTGTCTATGTGCCACCTCTTGTTAGGTGCGAATCTGTCTGCCGCGATACCGATCTGAGAGGTCATGATCGGCTTGAATTCAGCGTCTGCGACCTCGAGGAAAGACAAAAGTTCGCGGATCAAGACTCTGACATTATCTGCGTTGATCAAAGTGAAACTTAGATCCAGAGCTCTTCTGCGGATACTGATATCAGGGTCGCGTAGACAGTCGAGGATAGTGTTGCGATGTCGCTGCACTGCGTTTGGCTCCACAGCAACGACCTTTATCAAAGTGTTGAGGGCGACGTAGCGGATGTTGTTGTCCTTATTGGTCAAGAATTTGCCTAGAATGTTGACACCGAGAACACGGAGACCCGAGTCGGCTTCAATATCCAGGATTGTCAAGACTGCTTCGTAGAGAATGGAGTTTCCTACGTTCTTAGAAGAGTCGGTGTTGGTAGCTACTTGGGCGAGGATATCGTTAATCTGTTCGCTTGTATGGGCATCGCCGCGACCCAATGCTCGCAACAGTCGGAGGATCTTGACTTGTAAGAAAGGATCGGTAATTCCAGTGACGTCGTGTTCGGGAGCATATCCAGAGCTGGAAAGACTCTTGAGGATCTTAACCAGAGTAGGAACAAGTGGTCTGAACATCTCGACTACGCCCTGCTCTCCGCCTTCTTCCTCATCTGCCTCACACAGGCTCACAAGCAGAGTCATTCCGCACAAAAGAACGCCGTGGTTGCGATCGGTCAGGAGTTGCTTGGCCTTCTCGAAGAAATGCTCTTGTAAATCAGGGACTTTATGGCAGATTCTCATGGCGCAAAGGGCTGCTTTTCGTCGGATGTATGGGTTGGAGCTAGAGAGGATAGTTTCGATATCTGGGAACAGATCGCGCGACATTTCGACCGAGGCGATGTTGCCGAGAGTGCAGAGGGCAAGACCGACGATGTACTGGTTGGAGTGCTTGAGGTCACTATGTAAATGTAAGCAAGGATGCAGCGACTAGGCAGTAGAGGATGATCAAATACTTGGACAGGGAGTTTGTGACGAGGGTGAGAACTTCTTGGTTCTCATCGAGCAGCAGCATGGTGCCTAAGTAACCCAGACGCTTGTCGGCAAAGCGAGGGGAAGCCAGCAGCTTGAGACATTCTATCTGACCGAAGTGGGTACGCTCGCCCAGAGTAAAGAGATAGAGGAGCTTTGCGACATTGTTGCGCCTGGGAGGGTGTGGTTAGCGAGGGGTAGGCGGATGGTGGGTGATCGAGGCAACGGGATGCAGGTACCTGACGTTTGAGTTGTGGCTCTCTTCGCGAAAGCTGGCTCTGATGGCAGCACTCTCTTTCTGGACGACGGCCCTCTCGTCAGCGATCGTCTTGGCCGCTCTGACGTTGCGGATGAATTGTTTGACTGCAGGCGGGTCAGTATGGGGTTGTTGATGGCAGCTGTCATTGACGCTTACGAGAACTCATGGCGACGATGCCCTTGAACTCCAGAGAGGAGTGCAGAATCAAGTCAGTCGTCAACAGAAATTAAGCCAGGTCGAGTCGGGCAGATGGTAGGCCGGAGGATCAGGGAGATGGTCTCGACTCTGGACTTTGTTGTGCACGCATGCGTCGTCGCTGTCACTCTCCTTAGGCTTCTAAGGTTCGATCAGATTAGATAACCCCTGCGCGCTGGAGCTCCTCTCCGCTGCTCTCCACTAATTTCTTTTCCTCAAATAAGCATCTCGCCGACCTTGTGCATAACATGCTCAAACACACGATGAATCATTTTTAATGACTATACACCTCCCTTGATCAGAACTAAACAGTCTCCTTCTGCTGTACAAGCGACCGGACGTTGAAGATGCTGTAATCGTATTCTATAGTATTCTTGAGGTCCGCGGGTAGCCGTTGCTACATCACAAGGCCAAATTATGCTACGTCACTATGGATCTTCCAATTCTCGAATTCCATATGTCCATCCTCCCGGCACTTCCTAGCCTCTTAGCTACCTATTCTTTTGAATGAGCACATATCACTCTTTACCTCTGTATCTGGTCGCGTCCTCGCAAGCAACAGCGTTTAGTTCTTTGCATCTTTCCAGCTTGGTCTTGTGTGCTTGGACTCTAAAGTAGCAGAAAGCCATTCTGCAACCACGCGACTCCTGACAACATTACACGACAGCTGACCTGCATATCGACACTTGCCAGTCATGGCGACCACAACTGGTAGCGACTCCAACGGCATAACCATACAACAGCCAAAACCGCGCCATCCCAATTCACAGTCATTGAGTGCGCTCCGCGAAGACGCTACTGCCGCCGCTTCACCAGCTCCTTCTAGGTACGCCAGAACTTTCATCGCTGTTCTCCCTTCTCGACGAATCACCTGACTCGTTCCAGTGCTCCAAGTACACCGGGGCCGAGTACTCCTACCAATGCTCCGCCCTCGGTCAAAGCAACCGCCTCAGCTCGTAAGCAAGTCCGCGCAGAGCAAAAGAGAGCCTTCCCGAGGATTCAATATGCCCCTCGTGTCAGTCACTTCGACCCACGCTCCGAATACTCCAACTTTAGGGGCTTCTTTGTCCTCTTTTGGATAGCCTTGACCATCATGGTTCTTACCACCATGCTGCGCAACATGAAAGAGACGGGCTATCCCTTGAGCATGCGCCAATGGGGTCTGTTCACAAAGAACATATACGAGATGGCCATAGTAGACTTGGTCATGGTTGCTAGCACTGGCATAAGTCTGCCCTTGAACAAGCTGTTCAAGAACAGCAAGGGTGCGCTTCAGTGGAAGCACCAAGGCATGAACGTACAAATTGTTTTCCAGGCCTTTTGGTTGTTGCTATGGGTCACATGGCCTTTTGTGCGCGACTGGACATGGACCGCCCAGGTCTTCTTCACTCTGCATCTTCTTGTCATGTTTATGAAGATGCACTCGTATGCCTTTTACAATGGTCATCTCGCCAACACACTACAACGTCTGTCCGCGCTCGACAATCCCGCTTCGAATGCCTCGACCGCTGCTGCAGTCAAGTACCCCTCCTCGCAGACTCCGATCGATGATATCAACGACGAATTGAAGGAGGAAGAGAACACACAGGCGGATTCTCTGACACAGTTGCGTGAAGACTTGGCCATGGAACTGGTTTCTCCATTTGGTCGTCTCACTTACCCTCAGAACCTCACGGTTGCTAACTACTTCGATTTCTTACTCTGTCCGACACTATGCTACGAACTTGAGTATCCCCGTACGGCCTCGCGTTCCTATCTTGAGATTTTCTATAAGACCTTAGCGGTCGGAGGCATCATATTCTTGCTTACCATCACCTCCGAGGAGTTCATCATTCCTGTGCTCGACGAGTCTGCCGAGCGTTTGAAACATCAGCGCGACTGGCATGAGGGCAGTCTAATATTTGCAGAGACTGTCAGCAGATTGCTCTTCCCATTCATGGTTGCTTTCTTGTTGGTCTTTCTTGTCATCTTCGAGTATCTCCTCGGTGCCTTTGCAGAAATTACTTGTAAGTCTAGAGCTTTCTACTGCGGTGGCATGGAGCATTTCCTAACATCTCTTAGGCTTCGCCGACCGACAATTCTATTCGGACTGGTGGAACAGTCTCGATTGGCTCGAGTTCTCACGCGAGTGGAACATCCCAGTCCATCATTTCTTCCGCCGCCACGTTTACTCAGCATCTCGCAAGACAATGTCTCGTCCAGTGGCTACTTTCATAACCTTCCTGGTCTCCAGTATAGCACACGAGCTCGTCATGGGTTGCATCACCCGCAAATTCCGCGGGTACGGCTTCGTAGCCATGATGTTGCAAATGCCAATAGTTTTGGTCCAGCGTTCTAGGTGGATTCGGACCAGAACCGTACTCAACAATTGCTTATTCTGGTGTTCGATGATTCTCGGTTTGAGCATGGTAAGTCTCATCGTCTCATTCCCAAGCTCTCGATGATTGCTGACTTCCACGGTAGATGTGCGCATTGTATGTTTTGTTGTAGACATGGTCGGAGATAGTTCCCAATTCTCTGAGGACTCGAATCAGACACACTCCACTCTCTTCCACAGTTTGACAGCTCAGTTCTGGCGAGGTTTGACAATCCCGTCATGAACAATGTAGTAGACAATCGTGCTGTCGTCGTCCACTGTAGCCAGCACAACCCTCTTCTTAGTCCTCCACTTGTTTGTTTGCTGCTCTTCCTCTTCTTGATCCTCGTCGTCATCCTCATTTGATGGAGGCATAATGCCAACCTTCTCAAACACCTCTGCAAAGCGTCTGAGGGTCCATTTTTCGCGCAAGTGACTTGGCAACACCCACTCGCGCTCTGCCTTGACCTCACCCAGTCCAGTCTTGCCTTGCGCCTTTTGGGTTTGCAGCAGCGCAATCTGCTCGTCTGGGTGGATGTACAGTCGTTGTGGTGGCATACCACTGACCATAGGCCGCGGCAGAGGAGTTGAGTCGATAGGAGAGGTATTGTGGATCCGCAAGTCGGTCCATAAATGCTGATGCTCGAGGTTGTGGGCAATCTGGACGGCGAGGTTGGTCAGGTGCTGTGGGTGCGAGGATGCGGAGGAGGTGGATGTGAGGAGGGTTTGGAGAGCTGAGGGCTCGGGCTCGTTTGTTGTACTAGCGTCGGCGGTCATCTTGTCTATTCTACAAGGTTGTTTTCGCTACGTCCTCTGGTGACGGGCAGGCGATGATGACTTGAGGTTCATGCGCGGAAAATTGTTCTCGAACTGCTGCAGGGCAATTTCTGTTGGCCAAAGCTTCACGCGGGGTCTTTGTTGACGATGATGGAATCAAGAGGTGCTCAAGCAAGGATGTCTGATCATAAAAGTGGATTGAGTGTATGGACATCATCTTCTTTTCGTATCGCATGGTAGACGTGTTGAGTCCTCTTGCGAGAATCTCAAAATAAAACAAACCCTCAATAACGCCTTGTTACATCGCATCTGTGCTCCCAGCCTTTCCATGCTATGCCTTTGGGTATCGATTGAAACAGATCATGAACTGACCGAGCGAGAGAATAATCAAACCCAATGGAGAACGCCAGTTTCTTGCTAGGCCTTTTTCTTCTAGGCCTTTATTCTCTTCAACTTCCTCTTCCTCTTCAGCTTGTCATCGGTTCACCGACTATGTCGCAGCCTCCACCTTCTTTGCAACTCTTCTGCCCTTCTCTTTGCTTCAATTCGGTTCTTGTTCTGCATCTCGGCTTGACTCTGCTCGTAGTCGGGTAACTCGTCTGCTGGTGGTGGCTCGTCGCCATAGTCGTGGGCTTGCCAGGCGTATGGTTCCGCCTCGAGTCGTTCTTGCCATACGCCTGGCCCTTGACGAGTGGACACAGGACTCCGAGGCTGCGGCTGCCTAATTGGCAGATGAGGCGTCGAGTGTGAAGGTATAGGGTTCCTTGCAGAGAAGTTGTTGGTGTATGAGGTATGCGCTCGTGTGTATGGTGGCCGTTGTTGCGACTGCGAATACTCGGGTCGCGATTCTTGTTGTTGGTCGCGCCATGACGGCATGTTTCCGAATGAGCGGTGTACAGGCGAGTCTGGGGTGAAGCCAGAGGTTGCTGCTGCAAACAGCGTCAAATCCAGATCGTTTGAGAAGTCGTTCTCACTACAGCGTCTGTCGACCGATTCATCATGGCCGACTTGAGTCGTTTGTTCCTCGCGCTCCAGATCTTGGAAGTTTGGTTGACTGATACATCGTGGTTCGGGGTGTTGGATTGGTGCTACCCTGCCTTGGTACTCTGCGAACGAAGGAACTGAGTTCTGAGAATGTATTTGAGGTCTAATGTGACGAAGTTGTGGGTGATATTGTGTCATGGGTGGTTGATGGTATGGTTGTGATGAGTATCCAGGTACGTCGTCTTGATATTGTGATGTGTTCCTATAGTAGCGATCTTCTAGATTTGTCTCTGTCCAGCGATCATGCGGCAGAGACCAGTCTGTATTGGGATCCATTTGTGACCATGAATCCGCAGCTACGTCACAGTATGGATGGTGATGTTTCGCGTAGCATGTCCAGTATGGAGAAGGTTGTTGGGTTTGACTTCGTTGCATGAGTGTGATGCATACAATGCGATGCTGATCGGTAAGCTAGTACAATTTCCGAGTCGATCAAATGCCCTGGTGTTGGTATGTGGAGGCGGAGTGCAGGATCTAAAAAGCCACAGGAAGCAGTGTAAGCCAACCTTGCATCTTAGATAAGGTGACCAGGTAAGCAAGCAACAAGGAAAAGGCAAATTGACATGACCAACTAGCTCGTCGACGGTGGGCTTGTGGTTTTTAAGAATACGAAACAAGCCGTGCACACCGCAAACGTACGAGGCGCTAGAGCCAAAAAGTCATGAAAATACGGATTTGATTGAAGGAATCGAGACCAGTAGTTCCTGATGTTACGAGACGAATAGGGCGTGAAGAGCAGCGCCAACGATTTCTGCAAGCTTCTGGCCTGTCAGTCAGCAAAGAGCCGTTCCAAGTACCTGACTCTGCGTGTATGTCGTAAGAGGAGACAGCCAAGTGGATGTAGACAAGAATAGACGACTTTTTTGTCAAAGGTCGGCCTTGACTTTCTGTCCAACCAAAGTCAAACACAGTAGAAAATATGTCATCGAAGGAACACCTTGTCTCTGAACAGGCAGGCGCTTCGGCAGATACGGCAAGCCTGCTCGGTCGAGTTCCGTATGGTATGCACTGGGCGAGAACCTTCAGGCTTCGCTTCTGAATGCGGCCGATTGACGAAGTGCGGATGAGCTGTGATCTAAATTTATCTCTTTGCTTGGCACATCGTATGTAGATCGGCCCAAATCCACATCCGGAGCCGCAAGCAAAACGGCCAGTCAATATTGTAGAAGAGGAATCGGCCAAAGCAATAGCTGACTCTTGTTTTGCTGCTAATTAAACCTTCGTGCTCGTGTCATGGCAGTATTTAGCGACCCAGAGCCTTGGTGCAGCTTATATCCTGCCGGGTCTCGCTCTTCATCGACGGTCTCCCTCAGTTGAACTCCTCTACTTGGAACTCAACCCAATCTCATTAGCCAAGACATGTCTCGAGAAGCTGCAATGCCAATACCCTTCTCCAATACTCTTTGAAATGTGTTTGCTCTAGCTATATAAAAATAGGGCAGAACCCGGGTCAGTGCGTTGATAGCACGAAATACGGAGGATTGAGAGCATAGTGACCCTGGCTATATTTTACTTTCCATTCCACCACGACTGACAACGAGGTTCTTATCCTTTCCTTCCTCTCTCACTTTGTGCGAAGCACGCCTGATTGCCTTCGAATCTTCGAATTTGATATTATATCACAGAAAATGAAAAAATTGAAAAAAATCCAGTTCTTCCATGGTATTTTTCACGGCGAAGTAACAAATTATATGTTCATGGTGCTATCGATCGACGACGATATTGTTTTTCCTGCGTGTTCATGGCGTTTTGCACCTGTCAGAAATATCTTTTCCATGGATTACGGCATTGAGAGTCTCAAAGCTCGAAGACATGACCACAAGACACAGCCTGTGATCAGCAGGCAAGGGCGAGGAACAAAGGTACAGCATGCAATCAGTATACAAGTTTCCCAAGGTCTCCATGCTTCTAATATCTGGACATCTTTCAATCTCGAGCCGAGCCATCGAAGGTCAAGTTCAACCATGTACGGCAGATGGAGCCACAGGACGGTTAACATAGCTAATTCCGGGGGACGCTTGAAGCAAGACACATGCTATGCCTAGAACTCATATCTCGTGAAGCGACCGCTGTTGGAACGATCCAAATGTGCACCGATATTCGAACAGACGATTCTGACAATCAACCGGTATAGATGACTATCAGTACAATACGATTGACCTTGTTGACATGCCAACGCGACAGCGAGGTAATTCCATCAATCACGGATGATGTAGCGCCCCTTTCAGACCCCAGACTAGACATGGGCGAAAGACGGTCCCTTGGACAGTTTTGAGACTTGCGCAGCTCTTCAGAGATCTGATCTACCAGCTCGATACCTCTGGAAAGGTGTTGAACGCAACTGATACAACTTGTCTTTCTTGGTGGGCACTGGTGGTTGCGCTGGAGAAGGTTTCCACAGAAGAAGCGTTGTTGAACGCCTCTCGGGCAACCCAAATGTGGAGAACGGTGCACGGTGCCCATTCGTCAGTTTGGCTGGGGTTGCTGGTTGACGGGCCAAAGGCTCGAGCCAAAAGCAAGCAGCCGTCTCTGCGATGAAGTCCTAGAGTAGGGTCGCGTGCCTTGAGGACAGCATATTGTTCACTATATCCGAGTGAGTAACCAAGGTGGTCGAGGTCAACAGAAGCTGTGACCGCCAGATGTGGAGCATCGAATCTGGGGACACGAGCGTGCAATTCTTTCATGTGAAGGCGTATCTAGAGCGCAAGATTGCAGCTATATACACGCTCAAGCCTCAAGCCTCAAGATAGTGAATGCAGAATGTGAATTGATACATAGGGAGACTTGTGAGTGTGGTATACATCTATCTCAGAGCTGATGAATGCGGACGGATGAATTGATGCTTGTTTTGCTTGCTGCAGCTGAAGATAAGCGTAGATCATCAGCTTCTGGAATACATCGTCTAATGCAGTCTTGAGCAAGGGTCGTGGAACTGCTTATTCGAGTCCAGAATCAGATCTAGGGGGTCAAAAGTGAAACCGCTTAGAGAAGGGAAAAAGCAATAACAATTAAGTGAAATCATGGTGTTGAGGAATCGACTCTTCCAGGTGAAGGCAAGAAGTTGTTGAAGCCGGGGGAAGGTGCGTGAATTTCCCGAGCTCCTTCCGATTCGTGCCGCTTAGTGCGCTAAAAATTCTTAGCCGGCCCCCTTCTTATTTGAAGCTGCGTCTGCCATCCAACTTCTTCCCTTTCTCCATCCTCTCCTCTCTTTTTGTTTTATTTCCATTCAAAAAGACATCAAAATGGCCGCTAACCAGGCTGACAAGAGCGTCTTCGGCATGCCCGTAAGTCACACCGTCAAGCTGTCGCTCGTCGGGCGAATTTGTTGAGCTTGCGCACTTCACACCTTGCGAACGAAAATCCTCGATAGATCGATGCATCCAGCTCCAAACTCCCCGAGCTTGGAGCTATCAATGCATTGACCTGATTTCGATGAATTGTCGCGAGTGCGCTCTCGTCGAATTTACGCTGTGCGCAGCGACAAGCTTATCTGTCCTTCTTGAGAAGCTCACTAACGATCACTCCAGGGCTTCGTTGTCGACTTCTTGATGGGTGGTGTTTCCGCCGCCGTCTCGAAGACCGCTGCTGCCCCCATTGAGCGTATCAAGCTCCTCATCCAGAACCAGGATGAGATGCTTAAGGCTGGCCGTCTCTCCCACAAGTACAACGGTATTGCCGACTGCTTCAGACGTACCACCGCCGATGAGGGTATCGTCTCCCTCTGGCGTGGTAACACTGCCAACGTCATCCGTTACTTCCCCACCCAGGCCTTGAACTTCGCTTTCCGCGACACCTACAAGTCCATGTTCTCCTACAAGAAGGAGCGTGACGGTTACGCCAAGTGGATGATGGGCAACCTTGCCTCCGGTGGTGTATGTTTAACCAATGTCATCTTTCTATCCCGACCACCGACTGACCTTCATCTAGGCTGCTGGTGCCACTTCCCTTGCCTTCGTCTACTCCCTCGACTACGCCCGTACCCGTCTTGCCAACGACGCCAAGTCCGCCAAGGGCTCTGGTGAGCGCCAGTTCAACGGTCTCGTCGATGTCTACAAGAAGACCCTTGCCTCTGACGGTATTGCCGGTCTCTACCGTGGTTTCATGCCCTCCGTCGCTGGTATCATTGTCTACCGTGGTCTCTACTTCGGTATGTACGACTCGCTCAAGCCCGTTCTCCTCGTCGGTTCCCTCGAGGGCAACTTCCTCGCCTCTTTCCTCCTCGGTTGGTCCGTCACCACTGGTGCTGGTATCGCTTCCTACCCTCTTGACACTATCCGTCGTCGTATGATGATGACCTCCGGTGAGGCCGTCAAGTACAACGGTACCCTCGACGCTGCCCGCAAGATCGTCGCCGCTGAGGGTGTCAAGTCTCTCTTCAAGGGTGCTGGTGCCAACATCCTCCGTGGTGTTGCTGGTGCCGGTGTCCTGTCCATCTACGACCAGGTCCAGCTCATCCTCTTCGGCAAGAAGTTCAAGGGTGGTTCCGGTTAAATGCTCTCTTCGTCAATCAATCAGAGCGAAGTATAGGGGATGAGGAACGAACGATGTATTACCTGTCTGCCGCTGGAAGACAGCTCCATCTCAAAAGCGGCTTAATCGGCCTGGTTATGAGAAGGGGAGTTTGGGAAATGATGGTTTCTGGGGCGGTTTCGAATATACCAGCCTGTTCTCGTCTTTCCTCATGTATCACAAATAAATTTCAGGCGTTTTCTTTTGATCATGACCTTTGTTCCATTGATCTCTACTTGCAAGTGATTTCTGTATGGCCAAATAGCTGTCTCGAGATTGTCCCCTGTGCAGCAAATACTCTATTTGAACACATAGCGACGTTCAGCATGGACAAGCATAGAGTCAGCACCCTGCCTGCCAATCTGCAATGACTACTTTAGATGTTCAGTTGTGCTGCAATTGGTTCGTTGAAGTCATCAATGGAGCTGCCCCATGTGCTGCCAGCTGGCATGTTAGAATGCAGCAATACAGCTGGCAAAGGAGGTAGGTAGGTATGATGGACGTCACACGTCACATGACTTGCTTCACAAAGGGACGACAATAGAAGGCGTAGTCATAGGTAGACATCCATTGACTACAAGTATTTGTACCGCTATCACTGAATCATAACACACTCACAAGCTAGACAATCATGCCACCAATTCCGATCTACGCTGATGCGCCCATCTCGGCAGCAGCCAAAGCAGATGGTATAACTCCTCAGACAGCACCCACTCCAACTCGCACGACCGATCTGCCAGCAACCACGACTACCACGAGTAACAGCAACTATCCCGCCGCTCAACCTGGTGCTGCGGCTGGTCCTGCACCTACCGGCAGCGTCTCGAGACCACCCCCACCACCACCAACTAGCACCATCCCTACGAACCCTCAAACCAATGGACCACCAGCTCCCCAGCCCGGAGCCGTGCCTATGCCATCTTCAACATTCGCTCAGTCCAACGGCTACGACTCCAACAGTCCAGCTGCTCCAAGAGCACAACCCTTGCCACACCAACTCAACATTCCACCACCTCCCACAACCGGCCAAGCCACCCATAGCACAGCTACTGCAGCATCACCAACCTCACCTACCCGTCGTCCCGTAACCCTGCCAATGGGCCTGGTATCGCCAACAATGCACAGCCGACCCCAAAGCATCTCTTCACACCCACCAGGCTACCAACAAAACCCATACGCCGCAGAAATGACCTCTGCCCAGCGAGCCAGCCTCGAAGCCTCGGAGCAAGCAGAAAGAGGTCGCAGATCCGGTCGCAACTCCATTAGTGAATGGATTAATGGCGAGGGTGATAACTTTGGCAGTCCGACCACTGGTTCGAGCGTGTATGACACTGTCTCGGGCTATGCTTCCAAGTTGGGCCAATGGGCTGGCAAGGCCAATGAGTTTGCCAGCAAGAAGCTTGGATAGTCTCGCGATCATCTTGTTGAGGCTGCCACTTCAGGGCTTGGAGATGGCGAGGCGATCAATCGGGATTACATTGGGGTTGTTTTGGAATGCGTTTGTAATGGGTTGGCTGGGTTGATGGAGTAAAACATGCATTATGACTTTTCACGTTCGCTTATGTCAGAGTACGACGATACAAAGTGTGTTATAGACACCAAACGCAATGCACGATCATTCAAATTACTGCCTTTATCACTTGAAACATATCAAAACAGCTTGATTGTCATGGGACATACCCTAGAACGTTTCTATACGCAGACCTGACTCTTTTTACGGAGTGTTGTGCACTCCTACAACTTCAATGTGACAATAGTCAGTAATTTCACAAGTGCAGGTCTTCCTAGATACAGTCCTTCAGGTCATTCTACCGAAGCAGAAAGGGTCATAGGCATCATTGGATAGTTTGTTCAGATTTCGAAGCAATGTTCTAGAAAATGTCCCAAATGTTATGCGTGAGCAGAAGCTATCTCGTGTATTGTCCATTTAGTCTCCCAGGGAACAGAAAGATCTAGTAAACACCTGGCAAGATCTTCCATCTGACAATGGCGCAGTAGCGGTTCCAGTCGTTGCCATACTTAGCACGGCAATGAGCGTCATCTCTGCGCTCGCGGTGAATGAGCAGGACAGCAAAGTAGAGCATGTAAAAGTAAGTAATAGGTGTACCCCAGCCAGCCATCTCGCCGTTGGGTCCCTGGCTGATAATCTTGTCACCAGTGAGAGCAGCAGTGTGCACGACATAACCAGAGAGCCAGGTAGGAAGACAGTAGGCCCATGACATGACCCAATCGCCGAGGTAGTTGATGTGACGGGCAGTTCCCCACCAGCCAGAGGTCAAAAGGCGGGTTCCACGGGCAGTTTCGATGTACTCGAGATGCTTCACATCGGGGTGGTTAGGGTTGGTTCTGAACTTGTTCTTCTCGCCGTTGCTGGAGCGGAAGATGTAGTAGCCTGTGAGCTGAACGGCCATGATGAAGGCAACCTTGGCCCAGCCGAGGTGAACGGCGTGGATCGAGAGGTAGCGAGCTTGAATGCTGTAGATGAAAGGAACCCAGACGAGGTCGCCAAAGGCAAGCATGCAGCCAAAGCCATCGGTAGTAATGTCCATGGTAGTCATGATGGCGGGCTCGTTCCACAGGGCATCGAGGACGTACCAGGCCTGAGTGCCGACAACAATGTACATGGAATCAGTCACAGTGCCGTAGGTGCCGTACTGTCGAGCAGCAAAGGCCAAGTCAAGCAGGATCCAGCCGAGAAGACCAGGTCTCAACTCCATGAAAGCCTTGATGTCGACTTCGCCAAAGATGGGGATTTGTACACGAGGGTTAAGCTCTCTCCCAATGAACCAATCGTAAATCATGTTGCCAGTGGCGCCTCCCTGGGCGAGCTCGCGGTTGTTGGGGTCCTTGGGCTTGACGGAGAAGGAGCGAACGTAGCAGAAGGTTGCAAGGAAGTAGCTGATGAGGATGTTTGTGGTCAGGAGCTGGACGTAGTTGTCGTTGATGAAGGTCCAGACAGGGAAGTTGGCGCCCTGGAGGAAGGTGCCAGCAGCGGCGATGGCGAGGATGAACATGGCCGAGGCGAAGGCATTAAAGCGGTAGGTCAATCGGCCACCAGAGACCAAGACAGTGCCTTGAACTTCATGAGCGGGCAGGAAGGCTTGAAGGGCAAGACTGAGAGTGTAGTAGCCAAGGGTTGCGACAAGTGATTGGGTGTTGAGGAGACCAGCGACGCCAGGCCAGCCAACTTCTTGCTTGAGTGTGTCGAGTGTGACGGTGGACGGAGCGGTCAATGATGGTGGAGGACATCCAGAAACATCGTTGCAAAGGAAGGCGAATAGGTAACAGACGAGGGGCAGGCCGAACGAGATACCAATGGCGCCCAGACTGGTGAAGGTGTTAGCGTTTTCCTTCAGGAGAATTGACGAGAGAACTTACGGGCCGCCAAACTCGTAGCCGTGAGCTTGAGCTTTTGCAGCCATTGATAGGTGAAGATTGTGGGGCGGAAAGGTGAGAAGGAGGAATGGTGGAAGGTCAAAACATCAAGATAGAGATTGGACAATGACACGGGCTCGATTGAATTTAATGACAATGACATGGTACGATTTCCTTAGGGCCATCGATCAGCCAGCCCTCGGCAGATTGATCCGAACCCCAGAAATGATGGGCGTGTCTCGATCTAAAATCCGGGTCCCGGCCGGCGGCTGGATGATGCCTGGGCGTGGCTTGTCGAGGTACGCATCCTTTAAGCCCTGTACAACTGTGTTGCAGTTCAAGATCATATTTTTACGCACACTCGACAGCTGATACCCGACCATGCATTCATCCATCTGGTACCATCTGCTGGCATACAGTCTGCCACTCACACTCGGTGCCGCTGCTTCCGACGACTCCAAGGCGAAGAAGGAGAACCACGTTCCCTGTACCATCCGCTCCCCAACATCTGGCGCCTTCTTCGACCTCAACCCCATACACGTCCTTCTGCCCGAGGACCCCAAGAAAGCGAGTAAAGATGCCCGAAACGAGTCTTGGTCTGCGCGTGGCTACGACTATGGCGCCAACTTTACTCTCAACTTCTGCGGTCCAGTAGTCGAGAATCTGACCAATGTCGTTGGTGTTGATGAGGCGAGGTGGCAGAATGTCAGCGCTTTCTACATGTTGGACGGAAAGACATACAGCATAGGGTAATTTGCTTTCCCCAGGATCATTATGTTACAGGCCGCTAACTGCTTCTCAATAGCCAACAAAGCTCCGAGCCCATCTTCCGTGGCCGCAAACTCGTCCTGAATTATACCGATGGTTCGCCATGCCCGGACCCTCCCACATCCTCCCTCAGCCCACGAGGAATTATCGGCGACGACGATGATGACGATGACCGAGATGACAAGGACCGCAAACACAAAGACGATGGAGACGACAAGGGGAGCAGAAAGGGAGGCAGCAAGGAGCCCTCGACCCACCTGACCCGTCGCAAGAACACAATCATCTCTCTGCTCTGCAACACAGACCCTCTGGCTCCCCTCAACACCGTTTCCTTTGTTGCCTCTCCCGATAGCTGCACCTATATCTTCGAGGCCCGCTCCTCGGCAGCCTGTGGAGGTATCGAGGTTGCTAAGCAGCAACTCGGTCCCAGCGGCGTTTTCGGTGTCATCGCCTTGATTGCCGTCATAGTATACGTTGTCGGTGGTTGCGTATACCAGCGCACCGTCATGCACCAAAGAGGCTGGAGGCAGTTGCCAAACTACTCGCTCTGGGCCGGTATTGCTAGTTTCGTCTCGGTAAGCTTCCAACTCATTTACCTGTCGTGATATAGCCATAACTGATGATTACTTGACAGGACATGTTCATCATTCTCTTCTCCTCATGCGCACGCTTCTTGCCAGGACGCAAGGGCTACAGCCGAGTAGGCAACAACTTCAACGGCTCCAGCGCCGGAAGACGCGGTCGTTCAAACTCGGACGACGAGAACAGATTGATCGACCAACTCGACGAGGAATGGGAAGACTAGACATGTTCTCGTCTCCTTACGGCTCCTTGACCCTTTGTAGCATTCTTTTTCTGTTGCCCTTCCACCTCTAAGCTGTCTCAAGAGACGACTCAAAATGAATACGATGATGGCGTTTTCACCTTTCTTGTTTCTGGTTTGGGTTCTTTTGGATAGAGACGAAATCTTTTGAAATGAAATGAAATGATCCGACATCATCATCTGAGTGTCTATATGTTCCTATTTGTGCGTACCCATGGTTTTCAGAAAGCTGATTGCAAAGCATTGCCGGAACTCGTGTGTGTCCTCAAAGATTCGATGAATTGTGGTTTATATAGCCTGGATATTAAAATGAGAGTACTCGCTGTTTCTGCAGGGGGGAATTTGTGCAATGAATCAAGGAAAACCCTTCTTAAAAGCAAAGATAACGCGCTCGTGAAGATGAAATGGAGGAAGATGTTCAGCGCCGTCCCAATGCAAACGAAATCAGTAACAACAAAAAGAGAGATGACAACAAACAGAGATCTCGGATGAAGTCAACCGACAGGATTCTCAAAAAGACTGCAATGAATTAGTATGCGATAGCAAACCCAAGCCGAATCACTTGTTTGCCTAATGCCTGCCTCTCTTTTCTCGCAATGTCGGAAACTTTTTGTATGCTTTCTTTTCTTTAGTCTGACCAATCCCATACTCTTTTGAGGAACGCAGCCATGTTGACTCGCTTGGATTTGATCTCCAACATCCATGGATGTTCCAGCATCCGCCAGGGTGTTGCACGTCGGTTGGGCTCTTTTTCCAGACTACATCGTCCTGAGTCAGCTCGATTTGCACATGTAGAACAGAAATCATAAACTTACCAGCACTCGATGAAGTATTTGAAGTTCTCGCTCCATCGGATGTCCTGTCCGTCAGGGGTATCGATCTCGTCTTTGAGCTTCGGAATAGGCTGGGAGACGATGTAGGTCAGGAGATCGATAAGTCCGGCTCTAGGTTGCATCTCCTCCTCCGTTCCGTCAGCTGGGAAGGGAAATCTGTGCTGCGCTACCTCAAGTAGGGTAACACCCAGACTCCACACATCGGAAGTAATCGTGTAGCTTTGACCAGTAATACGTTCCGGTGCCATGTAATATGATGTTCCGATGAATGTGTTTGCGTCACCTTTGGTGCCGAATTCTCCAGATACACCAAAGTCACAAAGTTTGACCTCACCAGATCGGGTGAGCAGGATATTAGACGGCTTGATGTCGCGGTGAATGATGCGGTGACTGTGCAGATAGGTGAGTCCATTGAGCACACCCTCAGCCACTTTACCCAAGACCTTTTCGCCTGTGCGACCTCCCAATTTCTTGACTTCGCGGTAGACCGAGTCCAGAGAACCACCTTCGCAGTATTCCATAGAGATACCGATGGTGCCGTGGGTTTCGTCGATGAAAGCGCCATAGTAGCGGCAGATGTGCGAAGAGGCACAGTTTTTGTTGAATGAGAGCTCGCGTACAATCTGTTTCTTGACGTCCGGATTAGGGTCTGTCGTGATGATCTGTGCAAGTGGTCAGCTGTCTGTACATCATTTTGCAACCAACATGCTAACCTTTAGTGCGAAAACTGTCTTTCCACCTTTGAGTATACACCTGTTGACAGCACCTCCTGCACCTTCACCCAGGCTCCCGAGCTCGACAATCCTGTTCTCCCTAGCAGCCACTTTCCAGCCAGCATCGTCCAAATCCTCAACATCGAGCGCTCTTCCTTTTTCCAAGCTCAGCTTCTCCAGATCTGGTAATAGTGCTCCCTGCATGCTGCCATCTCTTTCCATAGCAGCACCACCAAGTCCGCCAGCGGACGATGCCGAATATAACGAGCCAGCAGCAGAAAGAGGATCTTGGGAGTTGGATTGCCCGCCAATCAGTCCGGCCAGTGAAGCCGAGTAAGAGGAAGCGGTGGTAGAGGTAGAATAGTTATTGCTCGCACCATTGCTGTTGGATCTCGAACGAGCACTATCATCACTGCTGCCACAGCCCTGACCGGTCGAGAGCCCAGTGACTTGAAGTGGAGGCAGTTTTCCTCTTGTAGCCCGAGCAGTTTCTTGAGGGATTCCATGACTTCCCATGGGTGTAGCCAGACTCAGCTTTGGAGGCGCCTGGCGAGGCGGTATTTGTAGAGGCGGTACGGCGTGTGAGTTGCTAGTGGGGTTGAGGGGTCTAGCATTGGGCGAAGGTGGTATGGCCAGGCCGAGCTTAGGTGTGCGTGAGACGCTCGTGTTCCTACTGCCGGGGATGGGCGGTCTCAGGAGTGGTGCTGGCGAGGCCATGTCGACCGAATCGACGGGCGGTCGCAAGACACCCGACGAGGACGACGGAGGCGTAGACGGAGGATCTTGGTGGTCGGCCACGACGGGCAGGTAACGCTGATTGGGCTATGAGGAAGTTTCCTAGGTTGCAGAGAGGATGGTGGAAGTGACGCGCGGCGGGGGGTTCTGAAGTAACGAAGCCCGGACGAGGTATTGAGCGGCTTGTTGTATGTTCACAATGACAACCGAGGACGTGTAGATTCCAGAGGAGTGTTTCGACTTGACCAGCGGATCGAGTCAGTTCAATTCAAGACTTGGCAGGTACTCAAGGATGGAAGCTACGACATGGGGGCCCCGAAGCCAACGCATCATCCTGCCGCCGAGGGACGACTTACTAGATGTTTACAAGGTCTACTACCTTCTCTCCAACAGTGGCTGTAGGCAAACGCAAGACAAATCTAAAGATGAACTGAGCAAAAGAGGTTTCAATAACTCGCTGACCGGTCTCTCGTCAATATAGAGGCGCAGACCTGGTGTGCAGCCAATCCCATCTTTTACCGCCGGCCACTGCGGGCAGCCCCAATGGCGTGTTTCCATTCATGCAATTCACCTATCGCGCATGCACCTATTATTCTGCAAAATGCTCTGCAGCATGTGCGCTTTCATCTCTGTCGGGCACATTGACCCCCATTTAATGCATTCAGCTGTTCTTCTCTGACCAACATCTGTCGGTCAGGTCGTCGTCAGCATCTCGTCCGCGCTAGCCGCCTATCGCGATCAGCTACGTGCTCTCTCTGGCTTATTATGTGCCATGGAGGCACAAGCTGCATACTACCGTGTGATTATTTACCTCCACCCATGTTTCAAATGTCAGAAAGTTGGGCGATCACCCACCGTATCTTTGTACATCTAGGGGCAGCAGTGCAACATGTTTTTCCCGAGCCATAGGGCGTGCTGTTGCATGCTCGTGCCTCGGTCATTGTGGACATAAGCACATGTTGGGTCTCAGCAGTCAAGCTTTACAGGGTAACGCATGTATGTATTTGCGCTTGGTATCTATCGTGATATCATCATGGCTCCAATGTTATAAGTTTACAAAGCGTTGGCAGCAGTGAGCTTGCTCTTGAGGTCGTCCTTCTTGAGAGCCTGGATATCGGAGTTGCCGCCAATGTGCTCCTTGTTGATGAAAATGTTGGGCACGCTGCGCTGGCTGGTCATCTCGGCAAGAGCGTTCTGAATGTCGGCGCCGTCATCTGTACAGACGGAAGGTCAGCGCTTGCTTCTCATGAATATGCTGACACAACAGGCAGGCGACTTACCGATCTGGTCGAGTTCAAGAGCGTAGAACTTGGCGCCGGACTTGGACAACAGCTCCTTGGTGGCCTTGCAGTAAGGGCAGTACGACTTGGAGAAGACGGCTGTGAGGAGTCAGCAAGCAGGCCTCCGCCACAAAGGCTGTCAACAGAGCATACCAACGCCGTTCTGGTCGATGATGTTCTGTGCCTTGGTCTTTGCTGACGACATGCTGGCGGGACTGGTCGCGCGTGTGAAGAAGCTTCGTACGAAGTTAATGGTGGGCGACTTGTGAGAGACCGAAGTCGTAGTTTTAGTAGTAGAATTGATGGTTTGTATACGGGAGGGGTATTTGGCTTTGGCTTGCTTTATTGGAATGAGAGAGCTTACAAAGCGGGCACTTGTTGCTCGGGCAAAATATGACGTTGCTTGACTCCGAATTCATAATTCTAGAAGCCGCCGACATCTATCGCGATCATGATCTATCCTTTGTTACAAAGCCACTTGATCTGCCCGAGAATCTAGGTGAGAGTAAGGTGAATCTAGAAAAGTGATATGAAGCATATTTCTCGAGATATACAGTCAGAATGCGCACATGGATACTTACAGATGCATATTTCGGCGGACAGGATGAAGAAAGGCGGACCCTTGGAAGCTCTCGCTCGAGCTGGCTTGGCGGGACTGGATGCCATCATGAGATTATTGCCATGTTGAAACACACCTGACCTTGAATATCACAACCATGTCCAGCAGTACAATGGCTACCCCTTGTCGGTCAGCGATGCGACTGCTCTCGGCCAGATCGAGATGCATGCTCCAACCTCCGCGTCTCCAGTCGCCCTTGGCGCAAACTCGCTACTCGTCGAGATACAGCAATCCCGCAGCTCGTGCAACTGGCTCAACTCTTTCGGCAAAGGCTCCTTCTTTCCTCGATCAGCACCAAGCTGTCGACTCTGAAGATGTAGAAGCTCGTCCGATCAACCCGCTGGACGAACTTGCTGCTCGTCGCGAGTTCGAAGCAAAACGTTCAAATGCCATGCAGCGTATGCGATTCGCCGCCGTCGGTCTGCTTATGAGTGTTGGTGGTCTTGCCCTCACGCTTTACAACATTGATCTGGATGAACTGGAAAAGAGTGCCAACAAGAAGAAGGCCCAACTAGATGCTGGTCCAGGCTCAGAAGACTTCCAGGGCCGCCACGTACATATCATTGGTGCTGGCGAGGACAAGAGAATTGTAGCCGAGGGTGAACAAGAGCTGGACCTGGTAAAGACAGGCAGTGGCAGCGTCCCCTACTTTCCCCGTAAGATCTTCTTGCCTATTCCCGGCTCCAAGACTGCCAGGTCAGAGACAGCACAACCCAACTCGCGTGTCAACCCTGGCAATGTGCAAAACCAAGAGGAATACACCTTGGTCGGTCTTGGTATCCGCACTGTCTCCTTTTTGTCCATCGAAGTCTATGTCATGGGTCTCTATGTCCGTACTCAGGATGTTTCAACTCTGCAAGCTCGCCTCATCCACCTCATCAACCCCACCGCTTCTACCCTTGTACCCGGCGAGAAGGATAGCCTCAAGCAACGCATGCTCGACCCCGACACCAGTGTCGAGATCTGGGAGCAGATGCTGCGTGAAGAAGGCATCCGTTCTGCCTGGCGCGTCGTCCCCTCCAAGAACACCGACTTTGCTCACCTACGCGATGGCTGGGTCAACGGAATCAAGCGCGCTACCACCGAAATCAACAGAGTCAAGCAACAGAATCCTGCAATCGCCACCTCAGACTATGAGAATGAGTCTTTCGGCGACGCCATGCGCGACTTTAAGGGCATGTTCAGTGGCGGCCGTACACCCAAGGGCTCTGTAGTCCTCATGTTGAGAGATGCTCCTGGATCCATGGAAGTACTGTTTGAAGATCCGGCCAAGGGCACTGGCATCGAGAGAGTAGGCAAGGTTGAGGACCCCAGAATCAGCAGGCTGATCTGGATGGGCTATCTAGCCGGAAAGAACGTCAGCTCGGAACCGACGAGAAAGGCCGTGGTTGATGGCTTTGTAGGATTCGCTGGTCGTCCTGTCGGGTCAGTCGAAACGATGGTCGTTTAGACATTTGTGTATTGTATATATCTACACTTCAATGACCAACAGCATATTGGTTTCTCAACATGTTCGTTATTTCTCAAGAGGTATTCCTGCTATGCGGATCTTTTAGAGGCATTTGCAGAAGAGAGCAGGAACTTAACGTTCCATGACCGATATAACCCCAACGCCTTGCTAAAATGAAAACATGAAATCACAGTCTAAAACTACAACCTGATGTTGCCATCGTTGCTGCTGCTACCGCCAAACAGCTTTCCGAAGAAGTTGCCACCATCACTGGAGCTTTGAGCACCTTCATTGTTGTTCCCGCCCATCCATCTAGGTTTCTTAAAACCCTCCCCAATTTCTCGGAGCCAGGCTGGCGTTCCCACTGTATCGAAGGTATTGCGCATGCGCTGACCAACATCCTGGAAGAAAGCTCTTTCACTTGTATCTTCATCCTCGTCAGGCATTCTCGCAGCAGCTCTTCTTGCCGCAGAAGCACGGGTATTGTTGTTCATTCGGGATGGTCGGTTGAGGTCGGCACTGTGGCGTGGCGATGGTTCAGCTGATGACAACAGACTGGAAGATGCCAAATTTAGTTGTGATCCGTCGGCTTGGAGCTCGCGTTCGATGAGAATACGACCCTCGCGCCAAGTACCTGCTCCTGGCTCGTCATGTTCGTCTTCGAGTACACCAAAGCCGACAACATTCTTGACCTTGCCATAGAGGTTGAAAAGTGTTGCAACGACAGGTATCAGAACAACAATCGGGAAATAAGCCGAAAAGTTACCAATCACCGGAGTGAGGTTGATCAAGCGCCCAAGGAATCGGAAGAAGGTGGTACCCTCGCTGATTGTTGGATCGATCATCGTGATGAAGTTGAAACTTAGAGGGACCGTGAGCTTGGCCACCTGCAAGCTGTACCAACATGCACTCTCGGCATATGTCTGACGGCGTACAAGCGCACGATTGCCCCAGACCTTGACTTCTGTGACGGAGTACAAGGCTGCGGCACACATGTACAGCAACCACGCAGCTGAGATCATCTGACCAGCGAAACCAATCTGCCCACGAGAGCTTGAGGGATGATGGACAACACTCATGCCAACTAACGAGAGCTTCGAATCCATCTCGTGCACTACTTCTGACCAGAGCAAGACGACAGATGCACATGCAAGGAAGATTCCTGCAATAACACGAAGAGCAGGCAAGACATGAACCTGGAGATGATAGCGCATGTTTGCTGCTTTCGGACGTTGTGATGACGACAAATCGAGGAGCGACTGTAATCTAGCAGCCTGCCTGACAAGATGATTCCATTCGCCAGTGAAGCGTGCGCGCTTGTGCCGGGCGCGTTTTACTTTTCGAGATAGTTCTGCCAGATATCTCTCCGTTACCACGGGAGGAGGTGCAGGTACAGAGGCATAAGTGCCAGGCGGGCGAGATTCAGGCAGACTGGACATATCGTAAAGTTCTTCCACCCAATCTTGCAAGTCCCTAGACATTGTATTTTTGCGCTGACGTAGCTGAAGGACCTGGGTCTCAACCTGGTGTAGGTCCTCGATAGCCTCGTCCAGCTTGTCATGTATACCTGGCGCATGGCTCTGAAGCCTCTTCAATCTGGCACTGACGCTAGCATCCCTGATCAGACGACGTGGGATGGCGACAAGTCCGTGACCCATAAGATAGATGGCTAGCACCAGACCGTACGCATATGCCATGGCCATTACCAGTGCTTTGAGTGTTGTGGCTCTCGTCGTAGTATCATCATGGCGGTTCTGCCAAAAGAAGTAGACAGCACCAGCGGTTCCAAGGGATAGTGTAATGAGTTGATAGCGTGCATTGGATCGGAGGGAGTAGATGAAGCGGTCTTTTGGTTCTCTGTAACCAGAATCGCAGTATTCGCCGAGTAGAGGAAGTACAAACCTACGCCAGATGTGTTAGCTGGGTAATAATCAGGATGGATGAGGGGTTAAAGGACCATGTCAAGCAAAAGGTAAGCCAGTATGCTAGCCTCCAAGCTACCAGCATGACATTATCGGGAAGCCATATGCCTCTTTGTCCATCGGTATCGGTTCCAGAAGATGAGGCTAAGTCGATGGGAACCAGAAAGACTATGGACGATGGGAGAGCCAGAGCCAAGAAGACAGGGATCAGAAGGTAAGCGGGGGTTGCCCGTAAGGGAAGGTAATATCGAAGGAGGAGGACCACAATTACTGAAATGGACAGTAAAGCAAGCACAGCGAAGACATCGGAGCCCACGGATGAAGAGGGAGCCATATTGGTTAACAATCTGACGGAGACCAGCTTATTGTGAAGAACAGGGAGTAATCATGGTGTTGACCAAAGGGACGATAGGACGGGAGAAAAGGCCGAGCAACGATTGCGATTGAAACAGGCAAACTATGTAGAAAGTTATTGCGGCCTCATACGGACGCGTCGGAAATCATACAGCCGGTGGGCAGTGACGCAGGAGGATCTTGGATTCATCACATTGATTGCGACAGGGGAAAGGCGTTGGCAACGGTTGCGGAACAAAGAGGGCTTGTTTTAGGTTCTTGGCCAAGGAAATCATCAATCTTCTGTGCTTGCCCCGCTGGCTTTCTAAACAATCTGTTTGAACATCTCTTGCCAGCCCAAGGCACAATCACTACACAACTCCATCACATCACTTCACACCTTCACCATGTCTGAAGCCGAGAACAAGCCCCAGGACGTCGCCGCCGACGCTTCCAAGACTGACGAGACCAAGACTGTCACCGAGCAAGCCACTGAGACCGCCGCTGCTGCCGCCTCAGCCGTCAAGGACAACGTTTTCAGCATGTTCGGTGGTGGTCCCAAGAAGGAGAAGGCCGAAGAGAAGGATGAGGGTGCCGATGAGCCCAGCGGAAGCTCCAAGGCTACCGCCGCAAAGGCCGCTGACGATGTGAGACGATGCGCACTGCCCAAAGAACCACACAAATGCTGATACAAATGTAACAGGAGGACGAGGCCGACGAGAAGGAGCCTGACGTCCACTTCGAGCCCGTTGTTCACCTTACCGAGAAAGTCGACACCAAGACACACGAGGAGAGCGAGGAGCAGACCTTCAAGATGCGCGCCAAGCTCTTCAAGTTCGACCGTGACAGCAGAGAGTGGAAGGAGCGTGGTACCGGTGAGGTTCGTCTCCTCAAGCACAAGGAGAACGGCAGAACCAGACTTGTCATGCGCCGTGACAAGACCCTGAAGGTCTGCGCCAACCACTACGTTGTTCCCGACATGAAGCTCTCTCCCAACGTCGGCAGCGACCGCTCGTGGGTCTGGAACGCTTCGGCCGATGTTTCTGAGGGTGAGCCTGAGGCTCAGACTCTTGCCATTCGTTTCGGCAACAGCGAGAGTAAGTTGAACGCTACAAGTCCTCCAGCCAAAGACATGGATGCTGACATATCTACAGACGCCAACCTGTTCAAGGAGGCTTTCATCAAGGCCCAGCAGGAGAACGAGGCTCTCTTCAACAAGTCTGACTAGACTTGTCACTCCAGCACCAGCATAACGACGCCGCCATTTGTGCACACCACCAAGCAGTAGCCAGGCCCAGAATCCCAAACCCCCCATATCCCATGCACATGCAATACCTTCCTCATCCACTTCACCATGCATACCTGACGAAGACACCGGAGACGCATTCTGCATTCAGCATTCTGGGCGTTCGGCACTGTATCCCCCTCCCCATATTCCCTGTCCTCTTGGTGACGGCTTGAGATGATGATGAATGTTTCCCAAGTCTCTTTAGCGCCTTCATCTAGATAGAGCACATGATGGTTAATGTATCTACCTTTTCCGAATCTCACCCCACACTCTCTTTTCGGCTTGCATGTGTGAATGACAATATGTAGTGAAACAGGGGTGACAGTCGTCATTCTGCCAAAGGCGGTCAGAAGGATATTGGGCGTTTCCCCGCAAACCGCCCGACACGCTCACCTGTCGCGTCGGCGACGGCGCAAAAGCAGCAGAGGGTGCTTCTTATTACATACAACATCCTTGTCGCTCGTGCCTTTGGTGCTGACATTCTAGAGAGCTATATAATTACTTTGTCGCGTCGACGCTCTTGCTGCTTACAGACCCCACCGACGTCTCACCATGCCTGACGTGCGCATACTCCCGCTCATGCTAGCCCATCGATATACTGACGCGCATACAGATCAAACGCCAGATCAAGCTCGTCACTGAGCAGCACGTCTTGTGAGCCACTTCATACCCTCTCAATGTATTCGATGGTTCAAGCTCTAACAAATACTTTCCTTCTAAAGGCCTGATGTCCCCTCAGAAGTCGAGGGCTTCCCCATGCGCGAATGGAGCATCGAAGTCTACGTAGTCGGCCCCAATGACGAACAACTACCTGCCACCTGTTTCGAGAAGGTCACCTACCGCCTGCACGAATCCTTCGGCAAGCGTGCCAACCAGAGTACGCCCTTCCCACTCTGACTTGACTTGCGATATTCCTACTAGAAAGAGAAAGATATTGATACGATCGTATGTTGCAGGTCTCAAGCAAGCCCCCTTCAGAATTCAGGAACAAGGATGGGGTGAATTCGACATGTCCATCGTCCTCACTCCCTTTTCTCAGCCCAAGGGCGAGCAGACCATCTTCCACGACTTGAACTTCCAGCAAGAACGCTATGAGAGCATTCAGCAGTTTGTATGCTCGTCCTATACTTATACTCCGATGCTCGTCTCAGAGCTAATCGCTTCCTCCTAGACTTTCCGCAACCCCAAGCCTGAGCTTGTTGACAGACTAAGAGAGTCCGGTCCTGTCGGCGATGCCAATGGTGCTGCTAAGCCTGAGAAGAGAAAGAAGGCTTCCAAGACTGTGTGTTGTTCTGTCAATCCAGATTTCGATTATGACTGACCATCAAAACAGCAAGTCGATATGGAGAAGCTGGCAGAGGGTCTTGAGCGACTCGGCGAAGACGATCTCCTGCACGTCGTCCAGCTGGTGCACGACAACAAGACCGAAGAAACATACACCAAGAACGACGTCGAGAGTGAGTATCCCATACGTTTCTTTGTTGCCCGACACTAACAAGCGATGCAGATGGCGAGTTCCATGTCGATCTCTACACACTCCCTGATCAGCTCATCAAGATGCTGTGGGACTTTGTGAACCAGAAAGTCAACATCGCAGACTTTTGATCATGACGATGAAGTTTGAGCTTTCGCAATTGCTTTGATCCACCCAGGACAAGTCAGTGCCTGTCGAAGAGTGGAATTTTTGCTACCTAGACCACACATACGTATCGACCCCTCATCAGGGGCATGAACACGAAGGTCGGAGGAATGGTAGGAGGGAGTGCAGACTCAGCAGCGAGGATTGAGGAGGGCGTTTGACGACAACATAATCGATACCCATCGGAAACAACGATATGGCTTTATTTTTACTTCTCCTTGAGCTACAAGCAAATCTTTTACCTCAATACTATACCACATCTAAGCGTGAATTATACTTTCTGTGGCGTTTACACTGATTCTCGCGCTGTTACGTTGGCTCTCTGCGGCAACCAGGGCTCTAGATTAACACGACTACATCTGTTTCGCTTACTTGAGATGTAGGTTCACAAACATGATGACGATAGACGACACGAAAAATTTGGTCAGATCGTTGCTTGTAATTTTATGCGCTTTCTTGAGAGCAAAAGCAACTATCTAACCCAGTTCCATATCCAACAAACGAATGCCATTACAATGTACTTGTTCCTTCATGATGCACATTCCGCAATGTAGTCATTCTATCCCAATAATTCATCTCACGATGCAATTTAATTATTTCCTTCTCAAAGTTCGCCGGTGGTTGATCTGTAATTGGTCTGACCACGTTAGCGCTCGATGTCTTCGACCTTGATCTCACCTCCATCCATCTGCTGCTCCTCTGCAGCGGCGAGTAGCAGGTCGGCTTTTGCGCTGACATAGGCGTCGTTGAGGATGTTTGTTTGACCACTGTGTCTCCTAACTCTGTCTTTGATAGATCTTGTCTGCTCTCCGGAGAGGCGTTGGCACAGAGGTGTTTTCAGAGGCTTGCCGAGTCTTAGCCTCAGGCCGCCAGATCTAGGCTGGTGGAAGAAGGTCAGTGTTTCGGGGTTACCTTGGTCGCTGTTCATGTGAACCCTTAGAGCGCGTCTATTGCGCAGAACCAAGTGTTCGTAGTGATGAACCAGCTTTTTGGGTTCGACCAACTCTTGGGCTTCAGTGGCCTCAGTGGTGGTCTTGGGTGTTACCTTGCCCAGTTTCAGCTTCAGTTTCAGTCCACGACGGGGCTGATGGAAGAATGCGAGGGACTTGGGCCTACCTGGTGCGTCGTTGAAGTAGACCTTCAGAGCGCGTCTGCCGTTGGCGATGATGTGCTCGTGGTGATGGACGAGTTTACCTGATTGTCTGGCAGTTGCAGAGCGAAGCTGCATGGTAAAAGGAACAGGAGACATGGTTGTTTCTGTGATGAGAAAACAGAGTATGTCTGTGGTAGAAGGTATGCAATCTTACGCTGTTTAATCGGTGTTGCTGTGTATGTGTGATTTGTCTAGACTTGATGGTGTCTGTGACTTGAAGGATAGATGAAAAGAAAGAAAGGAAACAAATTGTGGGAGTTGGCTCTCCTCAAATAGTCAAACTCACGTTTCGCCAATCACCAATATCAAAATTGGTTTAGCTGCGCGCGTTCAGCTTACTTAATGGCCATGTGCTAGATCGATTCCTGTGGTGCAGCTGGTTTGAGAGAGATATTGAGAAATCTCTGGCCTACACGGCTATTCCTGCAAACCAGCGACAGCGTCTACCCAGGAGCCGAAGCCTCTGCGCTCTCGTCGTCACTTCTTTGTGAACTATGCTGAGAGAAGAAGTCATCACATGAAGCTGGGTCGACTTATTTGCACAGAAACGGGTGTAAATCGAATTCAATATTGCCAGTGTCCTCTGTGCACGAAGACTGCGGGATCTACCATTGGCAGGTTGTACTATCGTCGAGGTATAGGGCCTAGCCGAAAGTCGGAAACGCTATCTTGCTCAGCAGGGAGCAAAATCTGCGACATCGCCAAAACAATTTGTTTCCTAGCTGGAAGCTTCGCAGCTCCGTCCAAGCGACGTTTGGCCAATGGTGTCCAGAAAGTTTCGAAGGTCGACACCCTTCTCTCCTGAGTACGTGACCGAGGAGAATCTTTTTTGTCAAGATCCAGCTACACATAGTGGATACCGGAAACAAGAAATCTCATGGAAACGCTGAGCTTTGCTTCAACGCCTGATAACATAACAAGGCCATGAGGTTGGCGAGATCTTGTTGTTTGAATAGTATCCCATGGGCGTGTCCGGTATTCGAAGCCGCCTTTACTTCATCTTCTAAGCAGGTGCCATAGTGATTATTTTCCCGAAGTCCTTGCTTGTCGATTTGATAACAAGGAAGCCAAGTTACTCAGAAAACGCTCGCTGCCCTGGGGCACAGTGTTGGCAGAAAGCCAAAAGAGGAAGGCGGTGCGATAAAGTACTCACTTATCTTATGCCTCTAATCGAGATTCTTTCTCATCGCACCACAGCTTAGACATGCTCTTGATATACGGATGTGTGTCTAATGCCATGTCAAAATGCTGTTCGTTGTCCTGCAGACTGACAAACCTGGCCAAGGCACGTAAGTGATTTCCAAAGTACCAAAGTATGAATAGTTGGAAAGAACGATTATCATGGTCGGCTTTCTGAAAGGTCAGATGTCGTTGAGCTATAGCTGCAACACACCAGATCTTAAAATCCAGTTGGTATGCGAAAGGACGTCTCGGCATGCAGGAAGCCGCTGGACGAGACAAACAAGGTGAAAGGACCACGCGCTTGCCTACGACGCGCCTTCCACTTTCACAACTTCTTGAATCCTGCTTTCCTTCCTCTCACTGGACTCATCACTAAATCTCACTGGCAATTCACAATCTTCTCTCTCTGTCCATCACACCTTCGCAGCTCGTGTCGCCAATTTACCTATCATCCGATCTCGACAGCCTGTTTCATCATGGTAAGTCTTCGACAACGAGCCTCTCTTCCTCATCACAAGGCGCGCAAAGAGGTAGTTCTTCAGCAGCATAGAGCTCTCATAGCAGCGTTCGATGGCTCGAACTAGCTAGGGTAGCCTAGCCTGTCCAGCTTCTGTACCACTGTTCTTTGCTCGTCCAGCACCGATCTTCTGACGATTTTCAGGGTGCCTGGGGCTATGATCTCTTCCAGAGTGATACCGACTTGGACACAGTTGACATGCTCAACGATTCTGCCGATCTGAACAAAGTCGAGGAAAAGATCGTTGCCGACCGCGCCAGATACTCTTTCCCGTCTGAGGAGAAAGAGGAGTCCAGCGACAAGGAATTTGATGCAGATGACATTGAAGACGATGACATCTACATGACTCTATACAACCCTTCTCACCCCGTAGGTTTCGACCGAGCTACGAACGCCACACGCGTATCTACATCGCTAACACTGCCTTCTTGTCAGGACTTGGTTCAGCAGCACCTTGACAGTGGTGTCCTTACACACATGATCAACAACCTTCGTGATAAGGGACAAGGAAACGCGCTTTGCCTGCTCATCGCCTGTGCCATGCAACTCGGCTGCACCATTCCCGACTGGTGTCGCCAGGAGCTCATCTTGATCTACCAGAAGTGTCGTCTTCCACCTGAGGGTGCAATTCGCTTTGGTAAAGCCCTTCATGAATATCGCAACGGCATTCCATACCCTTTCAACTCCAAGGGCCTTCACCTCACCGTCAGCACCGGAAATCCTTCCTACAAGGAGTCCGAGATCACCTGGATGAGGCTCGAAGACGTTCCCGCAGGCGAAGAGATTACCCAGGAGAACACCACCATTGAGCGCGTCTATGGTGACTTCAACCAGCCTGTTGATGTTTGCGGCAACTGTGGCGCCAGAAACTGCGATGATGGAAGTCCTTTGAAGCGCTGCGCAGGCTGCAAGGAAAGGTAAGGCTATGCACATCATCCTTCTCACACTTGGGCCCATATCGCTTCTACCTCAGTCCTCAATAGTCTTGGCCGTTTACTAATGGACTTCTCAGACTTTACTGCTCCAAGACCTGTCAGAAGGCCCACACCCCCAAACACTCATGTCTCTGCCCAGGTTTCAGAAAGGCCCGTGAAGAGCAGCCCGCTGATGCATGCGGTAACTGTGGTGCGAAGCAGGCAAAAGATGGGTCTGCTTTGAAGCGTTGTGCGCGCTGCAGAAACAGAGCTTACTGTTCTGTCGAGTGTCAGAAGGAGCACTACCCTGCTCATGCTGTGAAGTGCAAGGCAGAAGCTGAAGAGGCCAAGGAAAACCAGAATGATCGTCGTGTCAAGGGTCTGAACGTTCTTCAGACTTGGTAAGCTCAAGGAGAGTATGGAGACGATGCTCTGCATCAACAATGCATGGCAAGAAAGATATGAGAGAAGTCTGAGGAAGTGTCGTTTGCTTGGAGCTTGTAGTCGTCAGATCGCGTCGTGAGTTGCTAGCTACACAGAACATGAAAAGAAGTATCGATATCAGCTGCTGCAATGATTTTTTGATATCAAACAAGACTTTCAAGGAAAATATATTGCACCATGCAATTTTGCACCCACACTCGTCTAAAGACCCAACTTGGTCTGGCCAGGATCTCTATGCATTGAGCATTTCCCCTTTACATATCTGACACCCATATAGTCCTTTTTGGCATTTGGACATATGGCTGATGGGCCTTTGGGGCTTCGGAGCTCGCATTGAATGATCGTCTCCGAGTCTGTACTGCAGGACTGGGTATTGCAGGGCGGTGTTCGGTATCTGGTCGAGACAACTGAGATGTGGCACATCCTCTCTTCCTGTTCTTGAGAGACTAGGACTTCTGACGAAGCATATCGGTCGTATTGCTATGCTATTTGTATGAGATGAGATCTTGTTTCTGTGGGTTGAGATGGCGAGACTTACTGCCGTGGAAGTGGCTCTCAACTGTGCTCTGGAGGTTCTTTGCAGTCATGATCAACGAGGTCTTATATCCTTCTTTGAGCCCTCTCACATGCTTGCCTAGGAGCTTGCTAAGTTTCATCATTCTACACGATTCTGCCGTATGACATGTTGGGAGATTATCTCGGGGTTTGATCGAGCCAATGAGTGTATACGATCTTGGTGTACCTTGAGCTTGCAGAGTGGTACACTCTCGAACAAGACGAAACTGTGCAACCCAAAGGCCTCAATCTGGATATTGCAACTACAAAAAGAAAGGTCATGCGATGAACTGCCTCATGCGTAGAAAAGAATACAAATGTGTTACAGTGTCTCTGAATATCTGGTGAAATTTACGCTAGCAGACCGGTCACGCCCTTCACAACTGAGGTCAGGGTCGAGGCGACGCCGGTAAGGGCACCTGTGAGGTTTGCAAGGGTGTGGAGTGTGTCGTTCTCGATCTCTCCCGTCGCGGCATTCAGCCCGATGAATACCGCTCTCAAACTGTTCTCTCCTAGAATAATTCCCTCTGGGACCTGTTCTCCACTTGCAGCATTCAGCTCAACAACCATGGCAGCCAAACTAGCCAAAGAGGTTGTTTCCTGCGGTGGTTGCCAGCCAAGTTCGTAAGGAAGTCTCTCTTCTTCGAACAAGCTACGCACGTACTCCAGTGGTGCGACTCCAGTAGTTGGGTCACCCATAGTCGACAGGTACAGAGCTGTCTCACCATAGCTGAGAATGAATTGGACTGGACTGTAGCTGAAGTCGGGATCTCTGGAGGCTTCCGTTTGGACGCGGTTGAATCTAGCTTTGGAAGCGACAGGGATGGAAGTATCATTCATACCGTTGTAGTAAGCGAGTACGGTGTCGAAGATGGTTTGGTTGAAGCTGTAGTTGTTACCCGTGGAGGCGTCAGCACGGGACAAAGAAGCGTCGTGCTCGATCAAGAAGTCGTGTCGGTCCAACATGTCCAGGTCGAAGTACAGACCTGACGTCAAAGGGTCAGGGTTGGAGCCAATTCCTGCTGTGCCGATGAGAAGGGTGAAGTCGGCGCCAACATTGAATCCTTTCTTCAAGCATTCGGTCAAGATTGGAATGGTGTATCCTTTGCCGCTTCGGGGGCAGATGTCGTGGTTTGCCAAGGTGTTCAGACCAGGACACGGAGAGCGGACTGTCAAATCATCAGAATGATACTCTACTTGGGTGATTCTAACGATTCTAACGATTCTCATACCTTCTCCACTCTGAGGCGGGTGCCAAGCGGGATAGTTGCTGGAAGCACTGCTTGAGGTGCTGGCAGCTTTGACTGAGACTGAAGTCTTGAGGGAAAGCAGACTGGGGTCTCTACGGACATTGCCCATTCCAGGGAATGCAGAGGCATACTGGGCCAAGGCGCCAATGAGTAGGACTGAGGACGACTTCATAGTGCACAGCGGATTGTCACAGAACGACAGATGAAACGAAGACACGAGGAGAAGCAAAGCACCCACCTTAAGAAGTCGAGCAGACTGTTCATCGTCATGACTCGTCGACAGTCTATTGGTCCAGCTGGACTAAGTTGCAGGACGGTCCGTCTGGTCAAAGGCTGGTCGTCACTGTACCGAATTCCAAAACCATGGATCGACATGGATCTGCAGATCCACACGTGTAAGACGGCACTCTGGCCGTAGCAGGCAATCGCACAGAAGTATTCGCACAAAGGGAGATTGCTGATTGGGTCGTGCAGTATTATTACACATAGTCCGGCGCCAATGCGTCGAACGAAATGGGACTGTTCGACCAGTGCGAGCAGTGCGAGTGCGAGGCCGAGGAGTTGTGGCTGAGAATAGGTAATTTTAAGCTCAAAGCCGGTAGACTGGCAAACATCAAATTCGACATGAAGGCTGTCAAAAGGCGCGTCCTGCCTCGGTCCAGAATCGAGTGTCCGTCATGGCTTGTCATGAAACGATAGCAAAAATCTGCTATTGGCAAGACGGAAACAACAAGAGCCGGGAAAGTGCAGCTGAGTCGCAGAAGGTCCACGAGAGCGGGTGCAGCCGAGAACAAACAGGCAGGAGCACGTGGGACGATTGACATGAGAGACAGGACCTGGGGCGTAGCGGTGGTGACAGGGCATTCTATTGCTCTCCTACGAAATGTCTCAAGACTGTCTGTGAGCAGGAGCAGAAAGATGGCAGTCTAGTAGTAAGAGAAGAAGGCGCGATGATGGCGCGCAAGAGGCTCTTTCTTGACTCTCCACAAAACGCACGGTGCAGCGATCATTGGGCCGAGAAGTCCAAGTCGCGGGGACATGGTGCTGCTGCTGCTGCAACTGCTTGGTGAGCAGCAAGCAACAAGCAACCAGGCGCGCCGCAAACCAAAACTTGTGGTCAAGCACAGGTCCATGTCGAAGCAGAGTGGCCGCGTATAGACGACGACTGGACCGAGCCGTACAGTCTCACAATGGCAGAGGCCGATGCAACCGCAGCTGGGCCTCTGAACGAACCCGCACCCAGTTACAGCCCATCTACCTCGACTCCCTCATCGACCAACGCACAGCAACCTTCTCCCGCTTTTGTTGCCCCCAGCGACTACCTACGGCCTCGCGAGCGCGCCCATGGCTCAAAGTCAAGAGGTCCCATGAGTCCCCTGGACCATGAGCAACTGGAAGGCCTGGTCAGTCGCCATACTCTACTCGTCAACTCTCTTCTAACCATTGTCTCCAGCGAGCTATCCGCGAATTCCTCAAGGCCCGTACAAGCTATGACGTTCTGCCTCTCAGTTACCGCCTGATCGTCTTCGATACCGCCCTTCTGGTCAAAAAGAGTCTTAACATCCTCATCCAAAATGGTGCGCATGCACAACCCTCATCACCACTACCATCATCGACCTCTCGCTAACATACAACAGGCATTGTCTCTGCCCCGCTCTGGGACTCAAAGACATCGACCTTCGCTGGTCTCCTGACTACCTCAGACTACATCAACGTCATTCAGTACTACTGGCAAAACCCAGATGCCCTCGCTCAAGTCGACCAATTCCGCCTTAACAGTCTGCGCGATATTGAGAAGGCTATCGGCGTACAGCCCATCGAGACTGTCTCGGTGCATCCTCTTCAGTCTCTCTACACGGCATGTCGTCGCATGCTCGAGTCTCGCGCTCGTCGTATTCCCCTTGTCGATGTCGATGATGAAACACAACGCGCCATGATAGTCAGTGTTTTGACCCAATATCGCATTCTCAAGTTCGTCGCTGTCAACGTCAAAGACACCCAGAACTTGCGCAAGCCTTTGCGGGATATTGACTGCGGCACCTATGGTGACCTGCAGACGGCCACAATGGAGACTCCTGTCATGGACGTTATTCATTTGCTTGTTAAGTACAGCATATCCAACGTCCCTATTCTGGATAGCGATGGTACGTATCTAGACCCATCTTCCCAATCGGCTTACTAACAAAGCACTAGGCGGCGTTGTCAACGTCTTCGAAGCAGTCGATGTCATATCACTTATTAAGGGTGGTGTATATGATGACCTGAACTTGACCGTTGGTGAAGCTTTACTTAAACGATCCGAGGTAATGCACTCGACTCCTTTAATTCGTATAGCTATCTCTGACATGATTTAGGATTTCCCTGGCATTTTCACTTGTACCCTGAACGACCGTCTGGACTCCATCTTCGACACAATTCGCAAATCTCGCGTTCATCGCTTTGTTGTGATTGATGAGGACAAGAGGCTCAAGGGCCTACTTACATTGAGTGATATCTTAGAATACGTACTTCTCGAAGGCGAAGGAGATGAGTTATGATGAATTTCGGTTTGATACCCATGGTAAGTTGGAAGCATCCACAAGTACCACTTTTCAGTTTCCATATGGAGAATTAGATAACGTCTGCATTTCATGTGTCGTTCCATTGCATCCCGGTCTTCACTATGAGTTTGCGTAAATTTTCCCGGAGAAGTCCATTTGGATGAAAATTGCCCTCGATATGCCAATATGTGCGTGCTCAGCCAGCCGGTTGAGTGTTCGGTGTTACACTCGGAACGTGAGCGATCTTCCGAATCGTCAACACGGGGATGTACATGGTGAGGTGACGTTCAATTGCTTTCCCCGCATCATTTTTCCGTCGACAACACCTTTTCTTCCTGCAGAAGAGAGGCTTTGCATCCAGGATCATGCCCACCGGAGCTGATAGACGATGACCGGATAAAGACCAAGGATCGTCATCTTTCAATGCCTTCTCCGCATGATTGACCATCTCTCGGGTGAACACTGCCCGGCCTCCTTGGCTACAGCTATGTATAGCATCTCGCCAGACCTCGTTCCTGCCTGTTGCCCTCTACAACATATCTTACAGCATGCGATTCTGTCTGTCGTCGTCTGGTTCTCGTCTTTCTCCATACGCTGCTGTGTTGATTGCAGCTCGCGTTGTCACCTGTCAGCCTCTAGTAGGTCATGATGGTATTTTCTCATTGGATATATCAAAGACAGCACTCGGTGCATCAATAGAACACGACCCTTCATTCGTTTCATTCTCGTTCGAGCCTGCTTTCTGGGTAGAATTTTTCGGCAACTCCACTTCACCAAATAAACTTGCCTTCGATCTGCTGGGTTGCATTGTCGACCATGGTGGGCAACCGACGGTCTTGTTCCCTCAATATGCATCTTTGGCCTGTGCTCATGTGTTTAACAGATTCGGCCTGGTGGTATTACAATGGATTCCATGATATTTAACGTGTCGGCTGGTGATCCAGTCCGTACTACGAATCCCAAAGGTGGTGTCTACCGTACGACCGTCGGACCTGCCTATTATGAGAGCTGGTCGAACTTCCCGGAAGGCACCAAATTTGTCTCTACGTTGAACTTTGGCAACGATTCGCTCGATATTGCGAGAGATCTGGCAGTTGCCTCCATTAAATATGCAAGTAATGACAGTATCAGCTTCTTCGAACTTGGAAATGAGCCTACAAACTATCCAAGCTCGAGATGGATGAACAACACAAAAGCATACGTTCAGCAATGGAAGAGCTGGACAGCTCAGATTGATGCAGCAGTCAACATGACGCTAGGAGCAGATGCTGCGGTCGAGTTTGGCAGCGAGCGTTGGTGGGCCTCGTCCGCGACAACTGACCAGACCGGACTCGAGGTTCTCCCCGATGCACTCATACCTGCTGGTATTGACTCCAAGAACCAGGTAGCTGACTATTCCATACATTCATACCCATTCTCGACCTGCGATCCAGCCAGAGCAGTGCTAGCCACAACACAAAATATCCTGAACCAAACCGAGCTGGCACGTTATGCTGACGAAGACATCTATCCCTCAGCCAAAGCTGCTATGGATGCTGGCAGTCGTTGGATCATTGGCGAGTTCAACTCCATCTCATGCTCTGGCAATCCGAATGTCTCGGATACTTTTGCGCAAGCTTTGTGGGTGATTCAGAGTGAATTGATCTACGCCGTCCGCAATGCCTCAGCTGTATATCTCCATCAGGGAGCAGCGTTGGTGTTCCAGAGTAGTCAGCAAGTCAACTCAGCAGGCCAAAATGGATCGCCAGGCTATTCGACATACGATATGTTTTATCCTCGAGAAAGCGAGAAGCGAGGTCCGGCAAGGGTTTTGCCTAGCTTTTCCAGTCAGCTCTTCATGGCCGAAGCATTCGCCATTCCAAACACTCGCGTTCGCCTGGTCGAAACTCCTTCAGGCATCGATAAGGACTATTTCTCGGCATATGCTTTCTACGTCAACGATAAGCTCAACAAGTTGGCCATCATCAATTCCAAGCCATACTATGCCAACTCAACGAGCGACTTCACGGTGACACTGGACATCTCAAAGTACGGGCACTCGAAGAAGGAAACTCGCGCGTGGCTGAAGAGATTGAGTGCTCCTCATGTCAACGAAGGCAACGCAAACAAGACCACTTGGGCAGGCCAGTCATACTCTCAGGGCCATGCAACTGGGGACCTCCTTGTCGAAGCAATTGGGCGCGATGGTTTGGTGCACGTCCGGGACAGTGAGGCAGTACTCGTCTTCTTCGACAAGCGAGATGCAAACATGGATGCGTGCTAGATTTGTTGAGTTACATACAAGTATGTGAGCTGCCATTGTCCCTCTTCTTCCTATCCTTCTTTCTGTGCTCTGCAGCATAAATTCTATGATCCGACTCTCAAGGCTGCATGGTGTGCATGAGGTCAGGCTGTAATAGCTTTAGATCAACTTGACAACCGTCTCCGAAGACCCCAACGTATCCATACTTGGTCTGTACAGTGTACCAGCCTCAGATGACACTCTTGCGTCATCATCGTATTTGGAAGCGTTCAGTGGTTGATACTGCGCCTCACTCTCACAAGAGTGGCGAGGCTTTTCAGCCGAAAGGCGAGTGATGCTAGGAACGAATCCTGCACGAATGTTTGTACGACAATTTGGGCAAGTTCGGGTGAGTGTAAATGTTTCACACATTTTGAAGAGGTGACGAACGACGAAGAAGGCGTGGATCCAGCTTTCCGAGACTATGTGTCAGCCATGATACATGCAGGAAGAACAAGATGGGGAAGTGCAACTCACAAGTTCATCAACAATGGCACTGTACCATATGTTCCCAGCATAACGACTCCGGCGCTGTTCCACCATTGCCTGCTGCCAGCATTGAGCACCCAGAACGGCAGCAGTATGCTGAGAATTGAGATGGCGAGGAACGTGTCCATGTACAAAGCCAATTGACTCCATCGAAAGTTTGCCATCAAGGAGAGTAGACCGAGGATAGCAGAGAAGAATGCAGGTACCAGCCCAAGGGCAGGAAAGACGGTGTTTGACACAATGCCATAGGGGATTAGGAGGCCCAAAGCAGGGAAGAAAGAGATAAGAGTTGTGGTGCGAAGGATACGGTCTAGAGGGCTTGGGCTGTCCATATCGTGTGTTCAAGTCGGTAGTGGTCAAAATGCTGAATATTCTTGTATACAGAATGGTGTTCTAACAGGATGATCTTGATCTTCTTATACAGATGTCTATCATGAAAAAGGAGGATACCTGCGCCTCATTAACGTGTTCTTTCGACAAGGCATCAACATTATTCCTTCTACAAGGCTCCAATGTTCGATTGGCGTACGTCCTTCGAAGTGGATCCGGGAATAGGAGATGGCCCTCGTATTTCGGAGAGCACGTCCGTTTGATGCTCAAGCATAAGCTCTCTGTACCTATTGCATAAGCCATTCACAATTTTCGTATTCTGCTGCATACTCGAGTACCCTTCCTGTTAATCATCCTTCTGACAGAGGACATATCCGCAAGACCTAATCATCGTACGGAGTAATAGGACGACGTTGGCCACCCGACATCCGCTACACCCAGTTGACTGACTCCTGACACTCGAAATGTTCTTGAGACACCGAGGTGAGAGTACAGCCAGGAGATGTCGCGGAAGTCGTACATGCTCATATATGCCCGAGTGACGGTGAGCAATCAGGCAAAGGGCTCCACGAAGCGCGCAGCAAGATGGACAGTACAGTCTTTCACGAGATGCCTCGAGTAGGTAAATGTGTTCGCAATGCCTAATGCCTTCTCGAAAGCTAAAAGATGCATTGAGACCAAGGTAATGTGGTGTGCCGCGTGGGAAGCTCTCCCCACACCGTTGGGAAAAGAGCTTCATGCACGGTCGCCGTTTCTGTGGGGAATCGAAGAACCATGAACATGCAACAGGCACAAAACGACGATGATTGCAACGGGGATGTTGCAAAACTGCTGTCGGATAGATAAGCTTATAGAAACACATGCCAGCTGCTATAGCGGTCATCACAGCTCGTCTGGGTCGACTTAAGAAAGTGCAGCGACAAGAGCTGTTCCTGTCACACCCGACAACAAAGCCACCTAGCCACCCAGCCACCGCCGCGCCTGCTAGCGAAGGCGTCTGTTGACAAAACACTCGGACCTGTTAGCTTGCAGAGATCGACAGCACAAGCACAACAAAGGCTGGAGAGATGGCGCCTACGATCAGCTATCACCTTTCCGTAATCTTGTCATGAAGGCTGGTCTAGCGTCAGGTCCCAGCACATGTCTTGCTGAGGTGGCTGACCAAAAGCCAACAAATGGCAAGGCCAATGTGAACGGGAGAGGAGCAAACCACCCGAGTGGCTCAACCGGCAGAGCAGATCCCTTGATATCGGGTCACAGTTTCCACTAATCTCTATTCACCTGGAAACGGGGCGGGTGCAGCGACAACAAACAGGGTGCAGGTCAAATGAAAGGTCCATCAATTGTCTTGCCCTCCATCCGCTTTATTTAGTATCCTGCAGGACAAATCACCCTCGTCACCTTAGCATCTCCTCTTTCTTACTCCGCCTTCTCATCCCCAATCCACCCTCGACAAGGACTTTCAGTTCGTTCTTGTTGTCCTTTCGAGTTGTTCAAGGACAGTTCGTGAGGTCTCCAAGAAAGAACACTTGACATCCAGCAAGCTGGATTTTGAAGCAAGAGTGAGTGCATATCACCAAGATTGAATGGCTAGTGCAGCGATTGATCAGGCTCTCGCAGGTCCCCATCCCTTTCAGTGGTATGGCCTTCCTACTTGTCCTCCATCAGGACTCGGCTCACGTTTTGCAGTCTTCCCGTCCACGTATAGGAGTGATACCCTCACAAAATCTACAGAGATCAAAGTAGAAGAGCAGGTCAACCTTTCCAGCTCGCACGGCGGACGGGAAGGTCACGAAACTCGCTACACCTCATCCCAGGCACCTCCGTCCCGCCGCTTCGAAGAGGAGATCAGAGTTACAGAGAAGGACTACCGTCGTCCAGGACGCAGAGAAGAGAACGTCCACATCTACGAAGGAGAGCGTACGTCTCGTCCCAACAGACAGACCAAGATCAGTATCGAACAGGACCGGTAAGTCGAGCGTTTCATCTCCCATTCTCCTCCAATGGCTGTCTGCACGCACGCAAGCCAGATCAACATCAGTCCACCGCTTTTCCTCGCTTCGGCACGCGCGGGCGGATCGGGCGGTTCAGGCACTAAAGCAGTGACATGAACCAGCTCTCCACCCACTAGCGTGTTGCCATGTCAACTGCAGTGTCCATGCTGCTCGTCCAAGCTCCTATCACTCACCCATATCCTCCCGTTGACCTGACTCTCTTCCCGTACCGTTACTTCCCCTCTTTGCTCCGACCAGTCCCACTGACTACCCCAGCTATCGTGAACCTTACCAACGTTACGTCGACGCACAGATTGACGTTCGTGATAAGACCTACGACCACCAGTACCGTACTACCCACGGTCCTGCAACTCATCTCGGGTCAGAGGTCGACATTACTGAGCGTGACTACCGTCGTCGAACCAACCCCATAGCTCAGGACTCCTACTCCCAGGACACATCCGGCTCTTACGTTCAGGACTATCCCACCACTACCTCTGCTCGAGACTACTACCACACATCTCCAGCCAAAGAGGAAGTACGTGTCAAGTCTGAGACTCGTACTACCGTCGACCCTCCCAAGAAACGCAAGTTTGATATGGGATATTACGACAACGAAGGCCAATATCACTCATTCCGTAACGGACTTTACCGTGCTGCTGACCACATTCTCCACCCTATCCACGGACCTCGTCACCACCACCAGCACCACCATCACTCCGAGCCTGTTGAAGAAGTCGTTGAAGAACGTGAGACCATCACCATGTCTGCTCCTCGTCGTTCCGCTGGCCGCTCTAGCCCTAGCAGCGCCGTCTCGATCCCGTGCCACCACATCCGCATCGGTGACCTGTTGTACCTTCAGGGCCGCCCCTGCCAGGTCATTCGTATCACTACCTCTTCTCAGACTGGACAGCATCGCTACCTTGGTGTCGACCTCTTCACCAAGCAGCTGCAGGAAGAGTCTTCGTTCATCTCCAACCCTTCGCCATCAGTGGTAGTCCAGCAGATGTACGGACCTGTGTTCAAGCAGTACCGTGTTCTTGACATCCGCGATGACGGCCACGTTGTTGCCATGACCGAGACCGGCGATGTCAAGCAAGGTCTTCCCGTCATTGACCAGAGCGACTTGTTGCAGCGCCTCACTGATGCTTTCGACGAGGGTCGTGGCAGTATCAGAGTTCTGGTTCTCAGTGATGAAGGTCGTGAGCTTGCTGTCGACTACAGAGTCGTGAACGGTAGCAGACTGTAAACCAGTGCAGGTGTGTTGATGTGTCTTGTCCGTCTCATCACTATGTCACTAACCGATGCAAAGAATGAAACAAGACCCGACCACGACTGTCGTCCTTTAGGACTCGAACAAGGCTTCGGCCAACAGAGCTGGGACCATGTAGGCTCTGAACTATGGACGACAGATGTTATGCCCTCCTTTGATAGTTTGAATGACAGCTAAGAATTGAAATGAGAGATTGTGATTATTGACAATATTTATGACCTGTGTTGCCTTTTTAATGCCTTGAATTGTCCATTGATGTGAATTCCGACCAAGCTTGCCCCGGAGTGATGAGGAGTCAGATGTTGGGGCCAAACCAGCCCTGATTTATTTTGCCCAACCTCCTTGTTTTAGCTACGTTATTGCTGATATCTTGGCGTGTATCTAGGATCATTGACAGGGAGAAGGACCTGTCGAAGGGTCATACAAGCAAGCGATGAGCACACTTTATGAACTCGTGATCAACGTGCCGCTGTAAAACCTGGCGACAAACAACTTTTTGAGAAGTATACAGGGATGTACTAGTCTGCCTAGTATTCTAAAACCTGGTACAGCACTATAACGCGTCAGCTGGTACCTGCTTTATAGATGATTGTTATGAGATGGATCATGCATGTATCCCTGTCGTGGCGACCCTGTCAGGGCCAGTCAGGCATCCAGGAAAAATATGACAAGTAAGATCAAGATCAGGAACACGTTGGCAGATGTCATAGGTGTTTGATGAGCAGCAGGACACGCGAGTTGAGGCTGTTGAGCACACTGCCACAGAGGCGATGGTGATCGGTAAAAATAGTAAGGCTGGCCGGCTTCCTCGGAGCTAGTCGCGTTCCTTGGCGCTATGACACGCCGAAAGTCCCGAATTTTGTGGGGTTAAGAGGAGCTCTGACGATGCTCCTGCAAACGGTTGCTGAGCCTCCGCCGTTCGAAACAGGCTGTCATCTGCTTCTACCTGTTCTAGCTGCAGATTTTCACGGTGCATGGACTTCGATCAAGGTTCTGGAAATATGATCAGTCGCTAAAAGTACCTTTTGAAGCAACATCGGAGCAGCAGGATGCGAGGAGGCTCGATAAAGTTAATGCAGCGTCGGAAGCACAGTTGAAGCAGGAAACACCAAAGCTCAGCTAAGTTGGAGTTGTCAGGAACCCCTTCGTCATTTCTGGTGACGTAAAAGCCCGTTGCGTGTTGTAGTTTGCCTGTCTCTGCATTTGTTCGACTTCCAACTACTTCAGCTGTCTGAATTGTCTCTTGTCTTTCTTCCTCCACTTCAAACATCTTTACTTATCCCCCACAACCACAATTGAATCAATTCAAATAGCATGCTTTCGGAAGGCGCAAGATTGATTGGCGAGAGCGGCAAGAGCTATCTAGCAGTTAGCCCGTTGGGCCAAAGCAATGTCTGGACCGCTGTCGAACAGAGCAAGGATCCGAATAAACCACTCCAAGTGGTCGTCATCAAGGAACCCGGTGAAGTCGACACACTACCAGGATGGCCCAGCTTCCAAAACGAAATGGTCATGCATGAAGTCTTCAAAGATTCGCCAGCCATCAGACAACAGGTTGACAGAATTCCTCCTACCAAAACCGGTGGGCCGCCAATGATTGTCTTGGAAATCACCGAAACCACCCTCTGGACTGCACGCACGAAACGGCCCATGTCTCTGGCCGAAATCAAGACTGTCGCCAAGGATGTCCTCGTCGGTCTTCGAGATGTACATGCTGCCGGTCTGGTATATGCGGACCTCAAGCCTCAGAACATCATGATCGATGGTTTCAATGCTGAGTCCGAAGAGAAGGACGATCATCTCAAAGCGAAGCTAGGTGACCTTGGTCTTGTCATGGAACCCATGAACGGCAAAGTCCAGCCCATCACGTATCGCGCCCCTGAAGTTTATCTTAAAGGCGACATCACCTCTCGAGTCGACGTATGGGGCTGGGCACTCATTTACTGTCATTTGCTCGAAGCTCGCACACGCTTCTCCAAGACCGGTCTCTACGACGATCTTGAAACCAAGACTGGAGCTATGGGCGAAAGGGAGGAAGCTGTCAAGAAGGCTCTGATGAATGACTACAAGCTGCAAAACGACCCTGTATACGGAAACGTCCCTCTGCCGCCAAATGACCCAAGCAAACACAAGGGTGACCAATGGGAACTTTTGCGCCAGCGTGGTTTGGAAGATGGAGAAGTTGATTTCCTCAGATGGGTTTTGAAGGCCGATCCCTATCAGCGGCCGACTGTCAATCAGATTCTGGAAAGCGGATGGCTAGACAAGACTGCAGAAGAAGTAGCTGCGGGCTTCACGCCTCCTGAGTTCGAGCATCTAGAGTACGACCCCAAGCGTGCCACTCCAGACGAGGTCGCCGCACAAGAAAAGCAAGAAGCGACCAACAACCAGCAAGACCAAGGTCAATATTTCAACCAGCCCTCGAGACCCGTCATAACGGAGAAGCGTTTCCACAGCGCTGAAGATGAGGTACCAGTCAAGAAGATGTACGTGCCTAACGACTCATTGACGGCGCCGGCAGAGCAGCAGCAAGCAGGGTCTGCCTCTGCTGCCACTTCTACCCAGTCTGTTCAGACGAGCGCGTCAGCCGTACAGCCCGCATCCTTCAAGAGCGTGGAGACGAACTCAACTCTACAACCTACCCCTTTCAAAGACGTGGGCACCGTCGTTAAGGATACTGCCGCGCCTGTCACCTCTAGCAGCAATGGCTCTACCCAAAGCACTTTGGCTGCTACTCCGTTCAAGAGTGTGGACACGACTGAGTCCAAAGCCATCGCTTCACCCTTCGCAAGCTCCACCACGGAGAGTAAGGTAGCTCCAACTGGTTCGACGGAGAGCAAGATTGCTCCGACCAGATTCACAGACATGAGTGCCATCAGTGACGCCTCGGCCCCTGTACAATTCAAAGACGTCACCGAGAGCATCCAGTCCGCTACGACAAGACCTCCTTTGAACACGAACAACACTGGAACGTTCTTGTCGTACAGATAGAGAGTGTGAGAACATGGAGATCACAAACATTCATTTCGAGTAATCATAAAGCGCTGGTTAGAGTAGCTAATGTTCAATTCATCAATGCAATCCATTTTAATACAACTAAGAAGAGAAGATTTCGAAACAAAAATGCAGATCGTGTGCTGTGGCTCCTCTCCTGTGCTGATCATGACATCGTCAAGTCTCAAAACCCAGGTCTTACTCTTCTGTGGTCTTGACCGAGTTCTTGACCCCCTCGACCACAGTCTCGCTAATGTTCTGCACTCTCTCGCCAACATTGCTGCTGACGTTCTGCACGCTCTCGCCGACATTACTGTTTTCGACTGCGTTCTTGACGCCTTCGACAACAGTCTCGCCAACATTCTGCACGCGGTGGCCAGCTTCCTTGCCAGCCTCAACGGCACTTTCTGCCATATCCACCGCTGCACCTTTGACTCTGTCGAGTTCATTCTTTGCCTGTTCAGTCACAGAGCCAAGATCTTGCGGCCACTGTTTTGTGGCCTTGAGGATTGCGTAGTAGGCTGAGATGAGGAGGACGTGGATGCGCTCTTTGAGAACCATACTAAGGCCATGGCCGAGGAAGCCTTTGATAACTTCGGCATCAACACCGCTGTACAGGCCTCTCACACCTTCAGTGTTGTAGATGTTGGTTAGCGAGCGGATAATGGCAAGTGATTGGATCTGTTGCCAGAATACTAGTCGCAGCACTTTTCGGGATCTGGCAGTGATCTTGGGGTCAGAAGATAGATCTGGTTTTTCTGGTGTGCGTTGTGTGTCTTCTGCCATGGGACGGGATACTTGGGCACGGCTCTTGGCTAGACTGAAGGGGTAGGTGACTGTTGATGCTATGGCTTTTGACAAAGCGGCAATCAAGAACAGGGCTTTGGGTCCTGGTTTATCGCGTTGAGAGCGCGGGAGCAGCGTCCTCTTCAAAAGATTCTGGAGTAAAAAGGTCAAGGCAGGGTTGAGTGTCAAAATCAAACTGGCACTGTAACCAGCCCAGAAGCCTCCAAGACCACGCTCGCTACGGATTTGGAGGAAGATGTCTTTGACGCTGAGCTTGGATGCCATGCCTGGTGGTACAGTAGATGTCTTGTCTCTTGCAGCAATCAGAGCAGCAGTCTGTTTCCTGGTAACGATCTGTTGAATAGGAGTTGTGACGAATTTCGACAAAGCTCCAGCAGCTATGCCGACACTCAGCTCGTTGAAAACAGGCAGGGTCTTGGTGCCCAATTTCTTCTGTTGACGCTGTCGGAAAGCTGTGTATGCGAGGAAGAACAAAAAGCTGTCAATGATGCTTTTTGCGGTATCTGCAGCGCAGCCATTCCAGAAGGCCTGGAGCCCGCCTTCATGTGTGTATATCTTCCGTGCTGCATCGGCGAGACTGGTGTATTCAGCATCGTCTGCTTCTTTTGCGGCCGAGGGAGCCTCGCCAGGGGTTTTCAGCTGTTGCTGGACTTGGAGACGAGTGATGACGAGATCGAGAGGATAAAGAATGATATGCGACAAAGCGGTGCCAGCAGAGCCTGCTACAGCATGGCCTAAGGCAGGGAGACCTATACCATCAGTGCTGGGAGCTCGTCGTTGATTGTCTTCCTGGATTTTGTGGTAGAGCTCGAAAGCATCCTCAAAACCATAGTCAGCAGAGTAATTCAAGCGATCGATGGCATTCATGAGGCGTGTTACCAGCTGACTGTTGTAGACGGACATGATGGCGTGATGTTTCTACGAGTCTACAGGACGAGTCAGCAGGGCACCTCAGGTCTCGAGAAGACGACTGGGCTCAAACGCACCTTTTATTGTGTCTGTCTAGGCACACGCGCTACTCTGCGGGGCAACGATACTTGAGCTGTAGTGTACTGCGGAGGTCATGCAGAAAAGGCGACTCCTTCAGCCTCTTTCAAGTCGACATGTGCAGGTGTGCTGCATCCCGAGGCCACCCTAGTTTTTCCCCAGATTCTGTCGTCATTGCTGAGACGAGCCGAGGCATGTGAAAGTCCACTGTCACAGATGACACAACAGCCATCAAACAAGACCAAGGAGAAAGAAGACATTACTTTTGATTGATATCCAGCTCTGAATCAGTGCGCAACAACAAAGAATGTGTTGGTGACGAGGCAGACCACCATGACCAGCAGTCCGTAGATCGCCAGCCCAAGACTGAGCTTGCGCAAAATGCTTCCACTGTTCCATCCACCCCTTGTCTCTTCGCCGTCTGTCTCTGCCTCTTCATCGTCGTCCTCCTTGAGCAACCGTTGGTGATGCGGTGAGTCTGGCGATGAAATCTTGTAGTAAAACAGTCCTGGAAGAATGAAACTGATCGATGTGCTTCCTGTGCTGCCCACGTATGCGAGCACTACTGACAGAGACGACACCGTCATGGCTACAATGTAGCTCAGAATGATGATGACGGTAGTGATGACCGCGAAACGTCTATCACTCATCTCACCACGCCCTCTCTGCGAATTGCTTCCAGAGTTCAAGAGCGTCGATCGAGATGGAGATCCATTGACAGAAGCATACTCCGGCTGCTTGCGCGAGGCCGGACGCCATTTGAGTACTGCGTCGACTGAAGCGCGGCAAGGATGAACTTGCAAGGGGTATGAAAACATGACAAGCACAACAATTGCTGCTTTACCGATTGTTGATGCCACCGAAGGAATGTCTGCCAATAATTAGAGCTGGATTCATAGAGATGATGAGCTTACTCGACTTACATTGAGCGACAATGTTGCCAGCGACATTGTCACCGAAAGTCAGGTAGCCAGTGATGGCTACGAGCAGATAGATACTGCCCGAGCTACCAATACTGGCCAAGACGACAGAAGTTGTCTTGAAAGGACTGTTGTCCTCAATCTCGTTGAGAATCGAAAACATCTACTAAAATGAGCATTCGATGTGAGAACGAATACAAGGATAATACTCACGTTTTGGTGGCATGTATAAGCAAAGACGATGACAGGGAAACTGGCTAAGACAGGCACAATACCCTTGTCGGGCACGATGCTGATCTCGCCCTTGAGACCCATGTCATCGCCTTTTGCAAAGTGATAGACGACCAAGACAACAAGGTAACCAATAGAAACCAGAGCAATAATGCTAGTGTACTTGAGCGAGTCTAGTCTGCGGAGGAAAGACAGAGGAATAACAACAAGCCTAGTCACATGTCAGCGGGAAGCGGAACGGAGTCGAGACAGGGACATGCTCACATGAAAGCAGTAACCCAGAAATGTCTGTCCAGCAGATAGTCGGCCGCAGGAGTGTCTGTGAAGCCTCGGACCACGCCAGGCATGAGATCGCCAATAATGATGAGATAACTAATGCCGACACCGAAACACTTGATGGCGATTGCAGCGTCGAAAATGACGGCAGCATTGGGGTATGTAATTTGGCTCAGGGCAAAGAAACTCGCGCTACCACGATCCAGGTATCTTGCGCATCTTGTTTGAAGGTAGAGACCGAAGCCAGAAGTAAGACCAGACCAGACGATGACGAGGATACCGAGCAGGATGCCCATGTTGGACAGGGCCGAGGGCATGGCCAGCACGCCGGCACCGACAATGGTGTTGACCAGGTTGATGACACTACTGATCCAGCTGGCCTGGCCGTGGACACCATTTTCCTTGCGACGCGGACGGCGCGACATGCTGGCGGTGCTGTTGGGGCGGGACGACGAGTCGCTGGGCGGCGAACGAATAGAGGCGTAGCTGGTCATTCTGGGTGGTGTACGACTGGAACTGAGGGTGCTGAGCCGGCGACAAGGACTTCAGCAGCGACAGACCATAGTACAAGAGAGAGAGTTTGCGAGGCCAGATGATAAAACCGTCATGTCTCTCATCGTTATCGTCCGGCCAAGCCACGCCGAGCGGCTTTCGGCTGCCGACTGTTCAACAGATCCCAAGAAGCTCGCCATTTCTCGTCACCACCAAACACAAGACAAGACAACATCACACCATCATGTCATCCGTCGCCCACGACACGGCCTTACATACCTTGGCCGCTCTAGAGCAGCGATTGCAACGCGTGCGTTTCTTGCTCTACGGTACCTCTACCGCAACCGACCCGGACACCAACGTCGAAACGCCTGCCGACACAACTGTAACTCAATCCATTGCTTCGAGACTACACGCTCTGCAATCCGACTTCAACTCCCTTCTCTCCAACAACAAGCCTGCTCAGGAAATCGTTGCACTTCGTAATTCTCGCCTGCCCTCCGACTCACTTCCTACCCGCCTGACCTTCTACTAGAATCTCAACTCCAACATGAATCCCCTGATATGACCCAAGATGCTCTGGCTACCCTCGTTCTCTCCCATGCGCCCTCATACCAGGCCACAGCTGCTCGCCTAACCTCTCTCCAAGATCTACCGCTCCCGGATCCTTCTTCCTCGGCCGCCCTGATCCACTTGCTTCCCCGCTTGCAACGCGCTGCCCTCAGACAAGAGAATCAACAACAATCTATCGCCCAACTGCGACACCAAAGCCTTGCTCTACTCGCCAGGTGGTACGACTCGGCCATAATTGGGATGGACGATTGCTGGACCGAGTGGGAAGCCAGACTCATGCATCAAGAGAAACTCGTCAGAAGAGCAGAAGCTGACGAAAGCTAAGACGACAACTCCCTGTGATACTTGTGACACAAGCCCTGTCCATTCAGGACAATAGTTTTGTCACCATCTCTTCGTACTGTTGCATGCCGCCATCCAACTTCTTGAGTCTCGTCTTGAACAAACGATATACTACACCACATGCTGGTAGGCCGTCTTCGCTGTCATCGCTTTCCTCCTCCGATTCACCTTTGTATCCTCCGGTTGAGACTCTAGACAATTCGCCTTCAACCACGCATCGCATGAAAAAGCGGTCATGTGTGATGAGCAAGATGGCGCCCTGGTAGTCGCGAAGTCTCAGGCCAAGTGCTTGTATGGTGTCCGGATCCAGGTGTGTAGTGACCTCGTCCAAGATGAGTAGGTGTGGTGGGTCCCAAAGCACTTTCGCCAACGCCAGTCGCACTTTTTGTCCACCCGAAAGAAGGCTTATGGGCACCTCTGAGGCCACCTTGCCAACTAAGCCGAGGGACGATAGAATGCCGCGTGCTTCTTGTTCCGAGAGAGCACCGTTTGTAAACTCCAACAGATGCGACAGAGCAGTCGACCCGGGTTCGGCCGAGGCAAGGTTCTGAAGCTCTTCGACCGCTTGCTGCGAATACAGGCCAATCTTTGCTCGAGCGTGCCTTGTGATGTTGCCTTTGCTTCGCACACGGCTACTCGTACTTTCTCGTGCATCGGCAGTCATCAAGGAGACTAAGGTAGACTTTCCTGAACCATTCATGCCCACTATGCCTACTCGCTCTCCTGGATGAATGTTGATATTGATGTTGCGCAACACGGGTGTCTGCATTTTTCCAGCGCTGTAGTCAAAATCAACGTCCTCGAGCGAAATCAAAGCTCCTGGGAAGCGGAGATCAGATGGACCGACAGAAAACATCATACGTGGCGGGGGATCAAAGTCAGGGACTTCGATACTCTCGCGTAAACTTTCGTGATAACCTGGTCTGTCCCTGTTCAGCTTGAATCTTGTGCCTTTGGCTGAAACCTCCATGCCCATTCGCTCATTCAACTTTTTCTTTCTTGAGGACACTTGCTTGAGCTTCTTGTCATCTCCTGAGCGTTTAGCCATCTTGATATTCTGCTCGATGGTTGCTTGTATGTGTTTCTTCTGCTTTTCCTGGGCGGCTTGCATCTTACTGAGGTATTTGTATGACTGCAACCTCGCAGTTTCGTAGCTGGAAACATTGCCCTTGAAAGTTTCCAAACTCTGGTTTCGCAAGACGAGAAGTTCATCCGCGACTCCGTCTGCAAAGGCTCGATCGTGTGTTACCATGATCAGCGTGACTGTTGGATCGAGTGTCTGGATGTATCTTTCTAGCCAGACGATAGCCGGCAAGTCAAGAAAATTCGTGGGTTCATCCAACAGTAGAAGGTCTGTCGATTGGCAGAGTGCACATGCTAGACTGCAACGCGTTTTCCAGCCTCCTGATAGCTGGGATACGGGGCTCTCTATTCTTTCTGCTGAGAAACCTATTCCGAGTAGTACAGATCGTGCTCTGGCTTCTGCGCCTGAGGCGTCCATCTGGGTCGGGTCAGCATATCAAGCTTGAAAATTACACGGGGAGCTATACTGCTACTAGAGATGCTTGCACATCGGTCAACATGTCGATGGCATTCTGGGTCTCTTCCTTGACTGTTTTAGGCTCCTCAACCCCGAGGTCGTTCGAGATAACTAGTTTCTCAAGCCTAAATATGCAAGCGGTCAACTGTGCTCTCGTGCTAAAGTCGGTACCTCTCACCTTTCGCAAGCAGCAGTCAACTCTTCCTCTAATTTTGTAAGCGTTTTCCTTGCTCCTAGTCCCCTCACACCACTTGTTTTTGATGCTCGGTGTCTTGCTTTGGCGACATCACGTTCCAGTTGCTCACATCTCAACTCACGGTATACTTTCAACATAGCAGTAGGGTCGTCGACGTTATCCATTGCTGTCGACAACCTACTTGCTTCATGCACTCGACGCTCGCGTTCTTTGTCGCTACGCAGAACGTGCTCGAGAACAGTTTCTTTAGGCGAGACCGGTGCCTCAGAAAAGCCATAATCCTCAGCCTCTTCCACTTGACCTAAAAGCAACACGCGTATGGAATCAGGTAATATCAGTCCTTCGGCTATTGCTCTCAAAAGTGCTGAATCATAACAATAAGCGTATTACATGATTGACGTTCCCTCGAAGGATCGGAATTTCTCTGCTATGCTTACTGGATTTTCCTACACCATTGCGGCCCACCAAGACGTAGTGTCTACCAGGATGTAGCTGCAGTTGAGCATGGCTCAAGACTTCGTGATTGCCGATCGTGATGCTGAGGTCTTTGACTGTGATCTTGGGATTGGTTCAGCCCACTCTTCCATCCTGTATTGCCAGTGCTATTACCTCAGTCGAAGCAGATTCTTGTTTCAGTGTATGGAAACGGCTCTGTTGGGTGGTAACATTTAGGACTGCTCTTTTGGCCACAACCATGATTCTGAATTGATAAGTGAGATGCCTGTGAGGCAGAAGTAGAAGAACATGGCTAGTATTTGTATGCTCAAAAACACTCAGAGATGTGTTTGACCAGGGTCACCTATGTGTGGTCACTAGATAGGGCACCGCACTGAAATAAGGTTGACTGCGGTGACCCAAATAGTCATCTCCTGAACTACAAAGTCCTACCTATCATGCTCCGAAGATCGCCTCTCCGTAAGCAAGCCTGGCAAGTGCTTGTGAGGTTTTGCAATGTAGAGCTGATGAAGAAGTGGCAATGTTGGTAGAGTGCATATAATTTCATGATGATTCCTCAATCTCTGATGTGCGATGGTCTTTTTTTTTTTCTTTTTTCTTTTTCCGTTGGTGAGATACGTAGCAGACGATGGGGAAGGCTAAGGAGGATTAGTTATGCAGGGGCTCGGAGAATATAGCATGCAGAAATGCTGCTGACGACAGCAGGGAATAAGTATCCTGTTATGGCTTGCTGGATGCGTTGTCAGCAAGAGCCGTTCTTGCTTTTCTCAGGGCGAAGAACACAAGACCTCTATGTGTCCTGGACGATCGGTCATTCGGGCTTGAGTGGACCGCGGAGAATTTCTCTTATCCACCATATCCGTTGTGTCTCGGGAGCGGGTCTGGAGAAGGGTCTATATTTAAAGATGACATCGCCCACAGATAGTTTTGGTCCACAGTAGCGTCGGTCGTGTCAAAGGTGTTTAATTCTAGCAGATTGCTCATACTGCAAGAGGATAAGATGAGGCTGGTGACAGTAGTAGTGCCTGGCACCATGCCACTTTCAAACTTGGCCGAGATGCATCGCCTGTGGGGGCGTGTCGGGCGACGTGTGTTTCATCAACAGGCTTGCGTCGACTCCTGAAACAAAACGCATCTTCGACCGCTTCTGAGTCTTCAATCTTCGTCTTCACCTTTGTCGCATCATCACGACTTTGGTTGTCCTTTCTACGACGACCACATTATTCAAGTCCAAAGCGGAACGTCCTTCGTTTATCGTCTGCTCTTGTTGACTTTCTGGCTCTGAACCCTTTTTTCTTGTTGTCCTACCGTTGCCTCTCCTTTCCCCGCCCACCACCACCAGATACGCGCGCGAGCCGTTTTGTTCTCGCCAACAAACGTCCTTCTCTTGCGCTGCCACTTCCAAGCCTTTTGATCCTTTTCACGAGCTTTCACTCTTGATTCCATACAAGCCTGCTGCAGTCTGACACGTCGCCCGGAGCAATTGTCCACTGTCACTTCCATCAACGCCGATCCACCTTCTTGCTTACGTCCAAACTAAGCGGCCTTCTTTGAACTCGCATCGCATCTTCACATGACCCACAGCTCGCTCGACTCGCCATCTCTGCAGAAAATGGAAGGCAATCGCCGCGATATGTACAGCGGACGCAAACCGAGATTCAGTTGTGGTCAGATCATCGGCGATCCATTTGCCCTCGCAACTTCTTCGATAGCCATCGTACGTCGTCAATGGACCTTTGGCTTCTGATCCAGCCGACGCAGTTTACTGACATGGTATAGATCGCCTGGCTCATCGCCTTCGTGGCTTCCATCATCGCCAAGATCCATGGCCAGTACCCCAACTATTCATGGTGGGCTCTGGTCTACATGTTCTTCTGCATCGTTGGAGTCTTGGTCACCGTCGCTTCTGACTCTGTCTTCACCTACCATGTCGCTGTAAGCAAGAGTCTGCTTTCACATGCTTGCAGCTTCCCTTGCTTACTCAATGCTAGATTGTCGGTTTCCTGGCTGCTGGCCTTGTCTTTACAACATCCTCGGTAAACTCCTTGGTCTACTCGTCTGACGGAGCACACGAAGCAGCCGCCGCCGGCTTCATCCTTCTCTCCATGGTCGCTGTGCGTCTCGACTCTCTCGCTATATAGAAAGAAGGCACTGACACTTTGTCGCAGATCGTCTGGATTTTCTACTATGGATCCCAGCCCACTGCGGCCAGTCGCAACGTGATCGATTCCTTTGCCCTCCACAGAGACAGTCGCGTGCCATCGCGCATCTCTCGCCAGCCTCAACACAACAGCTACCGTCCCGAGACCTCGATCTCCCAGCAACCACAAATGTATACATCGGCCCAGCTCAGCGGCTTCGAAACATCATCACCCGTCACTGGCTTCCCAGGAGGTGCTTTGGGAGCAATGGACAGCAACCGCGACAGTGGTGCTCGCTATGGACAGACAAACAGCTTGGCCCCTCATACAGTAGCAACAGATCGACCAAACTCCACTGCCGCAGCTCCAGCAGAATACCCGTACCGTGCGAAGGCCATTTACAGCTATGAGGCCAACCCCGACGATGCCAACGAAATCAGCTTCTCGAAACACGAAGTCTTGGAGATCAGCGATGTTAGCGGAAGATGGTGGCAGGCCAAGAAAGAGAACGGCGACACTGGCATTGCACCAAGCAACTACCTCATTTTGTTGTAGTGCCCGTGCTACAGTCACTCGTGTTTGGACATGGTTGGCCGAACAGCGTTGGCCTCTTGCTCTTCTGTTTTTCTGCGCATGATACCAGTGGTTTAGGCCGCAGTTTTCTTTTTGATGGTTTGATGTTGAATCTCTTATTCTGAATTGGCAATGGCGTCTGGGAGGATGAGTGTTTTTCTTGTTTTCTTCAGTTCAATGTGCCGGCACAGGCGCTCGAGTCTTGTTCATTTCTTTCTTGCGACGACGGCCCAATTGCAGATATGCTAGATTGTTTTTTTGGGGCGAGCTGGGAAAAGCCTCAGCATGAAAAATATGATGGACGCGACACCAAATTCAATACTCTTTTGTTTCAGTACAACATGTATGTTCAACCATGCACAAGACCAGGGCAGTCAAGCCCAAAAAATGGTTCATCATCAATAAACGGCTTTTGCAGTATGGTTCAATAGAATGGATTCAGCCTCATAGTCAATGACTCGGCCCGTCAGCTGGTGGCTGCTTTCTTATCCTAAACAATATCCGAAAGGTTTGGTTTTGTTGCAAGCGAAGTTGCCGAACTAGCATTATTACTCAGCAGCTGAGTTTTTCGCAGCGTAAAGGTACCACTTGTAGTCTGCGTGCGACTCGAGTAGAGTCAGTAGAGTTTGACTTGCGGCGACCGACGGATATCGGATGCACAGAAGAATGATGAAGTTTGGGAGTCGAGCGTGATCAGGCCGGCATGACAGTGCACCACGCATGGAAAAGGCAGACAGCTAGGCGCCGCGGACAGAGCAAAATCCAAGCAGGGATCGGTGGTTCTTCAATTTGTGGATATAAATGAGAAATAGAGTGGTTAGTCTCGCGTGCGGCCACGAGCACGAGCAGCGGTTGGCGTGCCGTTCAGTCGTCCCTCTGTCGACATGGCGGGCCGAAAGTTTGGGATCGGCGAGATTTGGTCACAGATGGGCCTGGTGGAATCCTTTGGTACTGGCGTCTGGCGGGTTGAAGAGTGATTTCATCGTGCCCCGCGCACACAAGACTTGGTTGAGAGTCGTCGTCTTCTCTGATCGTCTCTTTTTTCTCATCCTCACAGCTTGCCCTCGTCGACCTCGTTATCCCTTGGACCCAGCAGTGCTATGGCCGAGTGAATCATCCGTCTCCAGCTCTTGTGCATCCCACGTCACTTCACCGCTTCCCGCATCAATCAAGATACTATATAATAGCCCGCTCAAGCCTAGACCCACCATACGATATCCGCTATCCTCGAACTCGGACCTCTGCTTTCACCATAACAAAGACTCGGACTCCGTCCACACGCCCTGAATATTCCCACAGTTCAATCCTCTAGGCCATGGCGACAGCAGCAATGCATCACATTATGCCCAAGCTGCACATTGGCAGCAGCAGAGACAAGGATGGTCGCAAGGAGAGCAGATCAGAAACTTCGGCCAACAACCGCGCCCGCGAAGAGGAAAAAAATAGGCTTCTTGCCTGGGAAGCACAGAAGCAGCCCTTGGAGTACGATCAAATATTAGTCGAGCCCAACTCGAAGCCTGTTGGTCACAGCTCAAAGGTCTTACGGCGCGAGGACTTTGATCTCGTCAAGACGCTCGGCACTGGTATGTGACAGACAGCCCGAGTTCAAGCGACATATCACATTTGCTGACTACTTGTGGCCTCGTAGGCACATTTGCAAGAGTATGGCTTGCGACCTTGGTCACTTCGAAGAAGGAGGATGCAGAGAAAGTCTTTGCTCTGAAGATACTGCGCAAGACTGATGGTGCGTGAAGCTGCGCTATCTCTCGCCGAGAGAAGACTCTGACAAATCTTCCAGTCATTCGCTTGAAGCAAGTAGAACACGTTCGCAACGAGCGCAATGTCCTAGCTGCTGTGGCCGGCCACCCATTCATTACAACAATGGTCGCCAGCTTCCAAGACCAAGACACCCTATACATGCTGGTATGTGGTCCGCAAAATGCGCTCGGCCGTACCCAAACTGACTTCTCGTGTCCTGGACACAGTTGGATTATTGCCCTGGTGGTGAGGTTTTTAGCTATTTGCGCCGCGCCCGCCGTTTCAACGAATCCACGTCACAATTCTACGCCGCCGAAATCGTCCTCATCCTCGAGTTCCTGCACGACCACCAAGGTGTCGCATACCGCGACCTCAAACCGGAAAACATCTTGATTGACGCAGAAGGACACCTCAAGCTTGTGGATTTCGGTTTTGCAAAGAAGGTCGGAAACAGTGCGTAATCTCCCATCTCCAGCCTTCAGGGTCTTGTGCTCAAACTGTCAAACGGTTTTGGCCCTCGGCTCCTTTGGCCACGTTCTGCTGAATAAAACAGTTTGGCTGACTTTGGGACTCAAACTAGGAGAAACATACACGCTGTGTGGAACGCCAGAGTATCTTGCGCCGGAAGTCATCCGAAACACTGGTACGTCATGATGCAGCGGAAATTCAGTCTGGTATACTGACTATTTGCTAGGACATGGCCTAGCTGTCGATTGGTGGGCATTGGGCATCCTGATCTACGAATTCCTGGTCGGTCAACCGCCGTTCTGGGATCAAAATCCTATGAAAATCTATGAACAGTATGCCGAATTTCAATGGGAAACCTAAGGCACAATCCAGAAGCTAACAAGGATTTAGAATCGTCGAAGGCAAACTTCGCTTCCCCTCTGCCATGTCACCGGATGCTCGCGACCTGATCTCACAACTGTGCACAGTGGATGTGTCAAAACGTCTGGGCAACATCAAAGGCGGTGCTTCGGCTATCAAATCACACCCCTGGTTCAAAGATATCGACTGGGATGCCATGTACCACCGCAAGATGCAAGGTCCCATCGTACCGCATCTACGAGGGCCCGCTGACACACGAAACTTCGACGAATACGATCCAGAACCTCTTCACAAGGACCAATACACAAAAGAGCTGAAGGAGAAGTACGAAAGTGCGTTCAAAGATTTCTAGAGAGAAATCGCACGCCTAAGGTGGGTTGGGGGTCAAAGCATGACATTACGATTCATCACCATCCTTCCTCTTACACCTTGCTTTTAACGACCCTTTGCTTCCCTTTCACATTTTTTACTTGGATAATTTCCTCTTTTGTCAGCTTGCTTTAAAGCGAAGAGTCTGCCAAGATATGTACTCACGACCTACCTCTTATATTCTGTACAACCGCGCGAAACGAACGATAAGAGCCGGTACTGGCTGAATGCCTAGCTAACGAGTTCTCCATAATACAACAATTCTGCCAAAAACAAAAAGACCACAGCCATTACAAGCTCTACGAAGAGATGATCAGCATTGTGTAAACAGAGCCAAGCGGGGTTAATTCCGCGCAAGGCGTCTCGTGGTTCTCCAAGCCTTGGACCCCGCATGGTTCTAGTTTACCCCTCCTTACAGTCGGTTATAGACATTATATCTCGGCGCATAGGAGTGGTTGGTGGATGCTTTCCATGTGATCGCGTGCATTGTATCTTTTTCATCCCGTGTCTGTCTCTGACAATCACGACGTTTACATCTGTTTCCATTGGCTACTGGGAAGGCCTATTCAACGACCAATCAACGCAAGCATCTTCTAGCCAGTGGCTATCCATCAAAGAAGACATTAGACGTCTCAGACTATAGTGAAGCAGACAGAATACCGAATCACGAACAACTGCGGTTGTCCTCTCCAGGCTATATCGACGTTACTACAACAAGAAGGATTGATCACTTGGGTCGAGCGCCAGGCAGAGACTTGAGCCTTATAAACTTCAAGCATGCACCTCTTGCGATCTTTTCGACACTTGATAGGTATTCCTAGGCCATCTGCCCGGTTTGCAAGATGTACTGTGGCTGTCCGGAAACCCAATATTGTTCGTGGGCTTTTGACCCAGTCAAGAGATCGTGGACCTAGCGATGTGAGTATGACCATTGTTATTTAAGATCTAGGTATCACAGATGGAGACGGTGCCATGTTGTCGAAAGAGAATCGTTCAGCTAGCCACATGCTAACTTTTTCGGGCCCAGCCTCCATTGATCACACAGACTATTCCGGAATACTTTAGAGATGTGATTAGCGAGCATGGTGATAGACCTGCGTAAGTTTACATTTCCCTCTTTCTTTCTATCCGGAAATATGAGCTGAGTGTTAAATGCAGAGTGATAGCTCGTCATCAGAACACAACATTGACTTACCATGATCTGGACATACAAAGTGATGCTCTTGCACGAGGGCTTGAGAGACAAGGAGTCCAGAAAGGCGATCGAGTTGCTGTAATGCTGGGAAATGGAGTCGAATACTGTGTCGTAAGACTATTCCCTCAGTTGTGTGCTGCAGTGTCGGCATTTGTTCTGATTTCCGTCACAGGCTACATATGCACTCTTCAAGCTCGGTGCCATGCTCGTACGTTGCAAGACCATGAACCGACAAACACAGATACTGACCTGTTTCTCCTCAGGTCCCTCTAAATCCAGCCTTCAATGCTTTACAGATCACTTCAGCTTTGACTCACCTGGCCGCATCACACCTAATCATCTCCTCCGAGATCAACCTCCCCTACAAAGAACCAAAATCCGTCATGCCATTGCTCGCCCACCTAATCCCAGACATGAACAAATCAAAGATGGAGTCCGAAGCCGTACCCAGCTTGAAACGAGTCATTGTGGTTGAGAACTCGATGGGCAGAGTGCAAAGTGGGGCTTTTGGTGCTTTGAGCAGTTATGTGGATGTGTTGAGGGATGGAGAGGGTGAGAGATTGGTGCCGAAGCTGTTGGATAATGATGAGGTGGTTAATATACAGTTTACGTCTGGTACGACGAGTATGCCGTAAGTTTGTGGTGTTGGGAAACAGCTTAGGGGAGATATACTCACTTCCAGGGGCTAGGAAAGCAGCATGTTTGACGCATCGATCTGTGCTCAACAACGGCAAGAGTATTGGCGATAGGATGTTATTGACACATAAGGATGTTGTCTGTTGTCCGCCGCCTTTGTTTCAGTAAGTCTCCTCATGCCTCAGTCTACGTATATGCTGACAGGAGCCCAAGCTGTTTTGGAGCCGTTCTAGGCTATATGGCAACCAGCACACATGGCAGCGCCATCGTGCTACCATCCGAATCCTTCAACGCCGAAGCCACTCTCCGCGCAGTCCAAGAAAACGCATGCACAGCACTCTACGGCGTACCCACCATGTTCATCAGCGAGCTGGAGTTACTGGCCTCTGGTGCAGTGCCATATGAAGGCTTCTCTCAACTGCGCACAGGCATTGCAGCAGGCAGTAGCATCCCTGCAGCTTTGATGAGCAAACTCCATAATGTTCTTGGACTGACACAATTGACTATTTGCTATGGCATGACGGAAACTAGTCCGGTCAGTGCGATGACGACGACTGATGATCCGATGTGGGCGCGAATTGAAACTGTGGGACGACTGCTTCCTCATGTGGAAGCCAAAGTCGTAGATGCGAATGGGAAGATCGTGGCACCGAATGTTCGAGGCGAGCTCGCCGTAGCTGGATACTTGGTCATGTAAGTGTGGTTGACCCTGGGCAATGAGCTTCCACATATGGTATACTGATGCTGGACGCTCCAGGAAGGGCTACTGGGATGATGAAGCTCGTACTAAAGAGGCCATCCGACCAGATGAGGAAGGTACACTGTGGATGTACACAGGCGACGAAGCAAGCATGGACGAGAATGGCTACGTACGCATCACTGGCCGCATCAAGGATTTAATCATTCGTGGCGGCGAAAACATCCATCCTCTGGAAATCGAGAACGCCATCCTCAAACTTCCATCTGTAACAGATGTTTCTGTGGTCGGATTGCCAGACCAGAAATATGGTGAAGTGGTTGCAGCTTTCATCATGCCCAAGAATGCAAATGCAAATGAGGAAGAAAAGACCAAGATGGCGAGGGAGATTAAGCAGTGGGTCAAAGATACTCTGAGCTCGCATTTGGTTCCAAAGTACATTTTCTGGTCCGAGGGTTGGCCGAAGACGGCGAGTGGAAAGGTAAGCAATGGATATAAAAGCGTTTCACGTTCGGAAGGAGCTAATCACATCCAGATCCAAAAGTTCAAGCTAAGAGAGACAGGTATTGAGCTTGCAGCCAAGGGACATGGTGTACATACTTGACACTCCCTTCCGATGTGTGTATGTAGCTACGAAAATGCACAATATCAGTGAAATAGAACAGTGCCTACTGCCAGTCGAAATTTGCTCCTTGCTGTCCCTGGGTGCAGAAGACGTGTTGGACACTGGAGCACAGGGAGATCAAGACTAGTAATCTTGGATTCGAAAACTGATCAAAGCGACATAAGGATCTTTCAAGCACCCAAACCTTCAAAGGACCTTCAATCAAGACTGGTTTCTGAACCGAGACGTTGTCGATGTCCAGATGCTCGAGTAGTATTTTGATGACAGGGTGAGGGGCTCGTCGATCCGATCCGTTCTCTTCCGAGTACGGAGCACGCTTCCGAGAATGGAGACCGAATTGTGGGGGACGATTGGGAATACGAAGGCTGGACCCTCAGGCATCAGGAAATGAATCCTATTCGAACCGACAGCACGCTAGGATAAGCCACGATGAAAACCTAGAGACACATTCAAGCAGAGATCGGACCGTCTTGAACAGACTCAGGTTTTTTCACAAAGACACTGAGTCAGAGGTGATAAAAACAGCGAAAGTCAGAAGAAACCAAGCACCGACTTCGCTTTAAGGGAAAAGCTTGCCTGTCGTCATTTGACATTTGACGCGCGACGCCGCCGCACATCTCAAAGTTCGGTTCGCGGTCGCTCTCATCTTTCGCTCTGCTTGGTAGACACAAGACCAGCCATCAATCATGGGTCTCTCCAAGTCGACGAGGATATGCATCCTCCTGGCGATCGATACCATCTTCTTCCTTATCGAGCTCATCACCGGTACGACTGCCCCTCAGCCGCGGCTATCGACAGGCACTGACAAAGCACACAGGTTATGCCGTCCATTCGCTTGCCCTTGTGGCCGACTCCTTCCATATGGTCAGTCATTACACTCTTCAGAAGCTGTAGCACTCGTAGGACTGACACCCGCGTCTCCAGCTTAACGATGTCATCTCCCTACTCGTCGGTCTCTGGGCTGTCAAGGTCGCCAACCAGAAGACAACCTCCAAAATGTACACCTACGGCGTATGTACCTATACCTCCCGAATCAATCGCTCACCAGCTCATACTCTCCCAGTGGCAACGCGCCGAAACCCTAGGAGCCCTGGTCAACGGAGTCTTCCTCGTCGCTCTGTGTCTTTCCATCTTCCTTGAAGCTATTCAACGTTTCGTTGAACCGCAAGAAGTTAGCAACCCTAAGTTTGTGCTGATTGTAGGATGTCTCGGTCTTGCCTCAAACATCATCGGTCTTTTCCTCTTCCACGACCACGGTCATGGCGGTCACAGCCACGGCGGTCACTCCCACGGTCACGGTCACTCGCACGGAGACACCATCAACGATGCCGAAGAAGGCCGTGCTGCCCAGAATGAAGATGCTGATGTCGCTGACGAATCTGGAAACGTTGCCGATGTGCTGCCTCAGAGCAGAGTTGCAAACTGGCCTAAGACCAAGAAACCCTCAGCAAGCGGCTCCGGAACTAGCGAAGACGCCGAAGTCTCACAATCTGGTCACCGCCGTCAAAAGTCAAAGTCCAGCCGCTCTCGTTCCAGGGCTTACTCCGTCGAAGATGTGCCAGTCAACCCCTCATCTTTCCGTCGTTCAATCATCGAGACTAGCAGACTCCAAGACATCGAATCTGGCGAAAACACCGAGGAATCTGCTGCAGAAGACGACCACGCCGAGGAGACAACCCAACAGCCTCTCCTCAATAAGAATGGATCCAACGGCTATGGTAGCATCCAGAAGTCAAAGCCCATCGACCACAAGAAGCACAATCACAGACAGCCCAAAGAACAGACCAGTAGTGGTGGCCACGGTCACTCTCATGCCGATCTCAACATGCGTGGTGTATTCCTTCATGTCATGGGCGACGCTCTTGGAAACATTGGTGTCATTGCCTCTGCACTATTCATCTGGCTCACCGACTACAGCTGGCGCTTCTATACTGATCCGGGTATTTCCCTGATCATCACCTGCATCATTCTCGCCTCTGCCATCCCCCTTTGCCTTGCTGCCTCTCGTATCTTGCTTCAAGCTGTTCCCGCTGGTCTGAGCATTGATGATATCAAGGAAGACATTGAGGAGCTTCCTGGTATTGTTAGTGCCCATCACCTCCACGTATGGCAGTTGAGCGACACCAAGCTCGTTGCAAGCTTGCACGTCCAGGTCGACTTTGATTTCAAGGGCGAGGGATCGGCCAGATACATGGAACTGGCCCGCGCCATTCGCGACTGCCTTCACGAATATGGCATCCACTCTTCTACCATTCAACCCGAGTTCTGCCTTGATCCTGAACACGACCATTCCGCACCACTTGCCGACGATGAACACTTCGGTGGTGTAGATGGAACCTCTTCCCGTAAGACTTTGAAAGGTCAACCCAGCAACGCAAACAGCCTCCGCGCTGCTGCAGATGGATGCTTGCTTGACTGCGATGACGCATGCAATGGCAACAGCTGTTGTGCTCCTGCCTCTGCTGAGCCCACACAGGATCCACATGACCACGATCACGACCATGATGACCATGGTCATGGCCACAGCCATTAGAAATGGCCACAAGGTTTTTTGCGTCCTATTTCCAAATCTTTTTCTAGACTCTTTTCTTTTCCTAGAAGCCTAGTGTTAGTGCCCGAGGATGAGTCCGGTCGTTCTGTTGGAAACGTTTAGAAGTTCTCTTTGAACCTGGTCGGGACATATCACTTTAGCATGGCTGTTTTGTACATCACTATTCTATTTCACATTTTTTGTAATCCACGCACGCCCTCCCTGACGATATCAGTTGGAATTTTTCAGACATGTCTTTGTGTTGTTCTCAAGTCTGACACGAGTCCGTTTCACTTCACCCTCACTTCACTTTACTTTCACAGATCCGCTTAACATCGCACTCAACAGCCTAACAGTAATTCTCACTGTCTTTACCAGTGTTTCACCCTGCCTTCTCGTCGCAACAAGCACCGACTACGAGATCCGCACTAAGACACCATGGCAGCCGGCGGCAGTGGCACTGGCGCTACCAGCAAGCTTGACACTGTCGAGATGGATGCGCAGGATCTGACCCCAAAGGTCGAACTAGGTAGTAGTGATGACACCCCGAACCAACAGAGCCGCATCTGCTTCGCGCCCTCTGAGCAAGGCTATAACCATGGATCAGATCGTATGCGACCCCTTCGCACCATGCCATTCGACTCCGAAACCTGGATCGGCAACTTCGACGACCTCGGCAGCCGTGTATGGCCACATCCCAGCTTCAAGGAGTTGCTTGCACGTTCCCTCACTGGCGACCCCAAGTTCCCACTACCGGACACAGTGGCTAAGGATAGTCGATTCCAGAACCCGCGTATGCGGTGCTGTGGCAATAGCTGTTGTCCGACCACTCACAGCCCGTTTGTAGAGTATGAGAAACCTTCTCGCCTTGAGACGCTTGCATTTGAGCGCACACAGAATGTGAGATGATCTGCCGGATTAGTTCGACGTGTTGCTTTACTGACATGAATTCCAAGGTCGTCGTATACCCATTCTACGTACGCTTGTCCAAGCGCACCGGACTGCAGAAACTCTTTGCCATTGTGCATCGTCACAAGGATGGCGAGTACAAGTTCTGGAAGGCCGACGGCACTTACCACGAGTCCTATGGTCTTATCAAAGGAACTATCTCTATTTTCCAGAGTCCCAAGTCTATTCACAAAACCAGTGTCGGCAGTCTGAGCTCTTCGAAGAGGAAATCGATAAGCACACCCACCAAGCCTCGTGGTTCTGCAGCACAGCTAGTCGAAGATCTTGACGACACACCCTTGCGCGTCATTCAAAAGGCACGCACTCTCAACAGGAGCAAAGATGTGGAGCGTTTGGACGAAGATCTTTTCAGAGACCATCCTGAGCCTCCATTCAAGAAACGGGCTGTGGCAGGCTCATCCCTGGTACAGATGAGAGAAGGCGACAGTACAAAGACCTCAAATACAGCTAACTCGCGTACACCAACCCCTTCAACGAAACCCAGTGTCCGAGATCTCTCAAGAACACCAACCAAACAGTCGAGCTACGCTAGCGTACAGAAACCCACCCGCACCCTGTTGCAAGTCATCGAAGTATGCATGCTTGCTTATCACCTTACTGGAAAGGATCTCAAATTGATGTACCGCACTAATGCATTCACTATCGAGTCCGACGAAGGATCTCTAATGGATGATACAAATGGTTGTGCTTTCGAGATCAACGAGCAGCATGCACAGTACGTGTTGTCTAGCAGTCAGAAATCTCTCAAGGTCATCATGAGCAAGAGCACAACCTGGAGTATCACTGAATCAAACGAAGAATTGACTGGAGGTATCATCCTGTTGGAGTTCGGTGGTGTCAGTGCTCGTGATGAGTTCATAGCGCATCTCAAGCACATGGATGGGATCAGTGTAAGAAGCATTTGCTGTGCTGATGAGTAAGACGATTTTTTCACAAAATCAGTACCAACTGAGACTAACAGTTACCAGCCTAGTTATCGAGCCCATGTATAGTAAGCTGCTGAAGCAGCTCGCCCAAAGTCGGAAAGCTATGTTCGATGCCGGAGAAGAGCATGAAAGCAAGAGCCAGGTACCAGCTGAGCCGGACGAGTCACTTCCTGCGGGAGAGAGCTCTGAGGTCGATGGTGGCAGAGCTGCGCCCTGTCCTCCAGCCTTGACTGAGACCGCCTCTTGTCAGGTTCCAGCATCCTCTGCAGCCTCGACATGTACGACAAATTCAGTCACTCCATCGTCAGTGGAGCTGCCCCAGCCCTACTCCTCAGTCAGAACATCGACAACTACAAGCATCTCTGAAGCCGTCCCCAGTCCGACTCAGGAGACAATCAACACCTCTCAGCTTGGATTAAAAGTTCCGACTAAGGAAGATCTGATGAAGAAAGAGTTGCTGCACCTGTTGCGCGAGGTCTACATCAAATACCCGAGCGCTCAGGACGACGATCATGTCGAGGAGATGGCGCTTTTGTTGAAGGCTCCGCTCCTCGCCGGTGACAAAGCACGTGTGAAGGAGCTGAAGATGGACCTGAAAGTGTATCTGATAGCACACCATGGTTGACAATTGTGAAGGCGTGGAAGTACGAAGAAAGAGTAACAGAGGTGAAGAGGAAGGGTCTCAATTGGTGGCTCGAGGAGGCAAAGACATGTGACAGCATGTTGAAAAGTTGTCGAGGTGTTGAGTAGAGCAGGCATAGACCAAGAAAGAAGTCGCGGTAGTCATTCGAGCAGGTAGGATCTTTGTTTACAAAAGGGAAGGCGCGTGTTGTGGTGCAACAATCGCGCTGCAACTTCCCGTTGTTTGTTCCACCTTCCCACTCTTCGCACATCTTTTCCAGTCAAAACATACCAGAAGAATCCAACGCATTCTTTGTCTTCTATCGGACGAACCTCTCAAAGTACAGTAAGTAGCTGACGCATCTCCTACATGCCTTCAACACCTCACTGACCCATTCAAGATCTCACTTCGAGAACACTTCCTCTCACATTCTCGCGCAATGCCTCGCGACAAGCACAAAGGCATCTACGCGTGCCTCTCTCCATTGAGCGATCCTGGAAACCACGGCTCGGACCCTACCAAAAGCCTCCAAGTGGCACCATTTCGATCCGAGAGCAACTCGATCTGGATCGGCTACTATGACAAGCCCTCGAAGAAATATTTAGGAGTCTTTCCAAGCCTCGATGAGGTTCTCGATCGCTGCCGACGCAACACTACAGCCGGTGGTTCAAATACCATGTTTCCTCGGTTCAGGACAGGGGTACGGCTCGAAACCGGTGTTGTCCCCGATCAAGACTGCCCTGGCAGCTTTCTGAGACATGTATGCTGTGTTTCTTGTCAAGACGGAAGCGCTGATTGTGAAGAACTCATACTCAACTCGATTCCAGTCGAGATGATGAGTCCTTACCGCACCAGATACGAAAGAGTCTACCTGCTTGTCTACAAGTTCTATCTCAAGGGCGAGCAAATGGTTGCATTAGTGCATCACCTCTCTGCGGGAAAGTTCTTTTTCCAGAAAACAGACGGGACCCTATCGAAACTGTTCTGTCTGGACTCTAAACACGAGTGCGTTGGCATGTCACAACGTCGCACTCGTCAGGGCAGTGAACTTGACTCGGACACTTCCAGCTTGACCCAATTCGACTGTGCCGAGGATGAGGAACCGACAGACGTAAGACTGCCAATCGGACTCGGTAGACCGTGATCACTAACCAGTTGAGCAGGTTCATGTATCACCTCGAGTATCTCTGAGGTCCAGCCAAAGTCATCGACTCCAAGAACCAAGAAACTCAACTGTGGCGCCATCTCCACAAACTCCATTTCTACCACGAGAAATGCCAGCTCCGCCGCGTGCGCGAGGCCGTGTTGTCATCGACATGATTGATGACGACGAACCTTCACCAGTCAAGCAGGAAAACACAAACTATCCAGCGCACCTGATGGTCCCGATCTCCTACAAGACCCCAACGGCTACTCCAGCATCTACTCCATCTGTTGACCCCAGCGAAGACCTGTCTTTCACTGCGCAGTTCGGACCAGATCCCCTTGCAGAAGAGTACGGTAGAATTACCACCCAGATCTGCCAGGAATACTCGATGAGAGTATTTGCACTGGCAGAAGTCAAAGATTTGATACAGAGGATGAAGCAAGCCGTCAAGGCAGACGATAGAGCTGCGCTTTGCCGTGCTTATGGTGCTCTCCAAGCATTCTTGATCACGGTTGAATAGTCAAGACATTGTTCAATGGAAGCACAGTCTTGTCTTTCGATTGCATCGCCAGGATTTGGCCCATAATTGCTTCCTTCTTGCGTTCCGCCTACCTTTCGTGTTCGCTCCTTCGCTTTGCAACATGCGGAAAATGTCTAGTCTGAATTCATAACAACTTCCATATGTGAGATACGGAGAAATAGAGCGTGAGGGTTTGTACTTGATACGATCCTGAGCTGTCTTCAACAATGCAAAAGCAGAGTATGCCATTCGGAAAGCAATGTTTATTATCATGTCTTTGTGTACCATGTCAATTCTTCTATATGCCTATAACCGTTCAGTAGGAGCACCAATTAGCAAGAGCAACATCTCCGAGAGAAGGCGCGTCTGCTGTTGTCATGAGAAGCTGTTCTTCGCCCTTTCCTTCTTCCTTGGTGCCTTTGCCATGTATTCCTTCTTCGTACAAGATGCCCATGTCTTCATTCTCCTGTTGCTCCAACTCATCCATAGCATCGTTTCTCTCAGTCTGATGACCGATACTTTGGCATTATCGGCCGTCCGTTCCAGCTTTTATGTCTAGACCAACCCATCGCCAGAACAAGCGAAATGATGCATGTCATCGCTCATCCGATATCATCTTGATCTGGATCATCACCACTCGTACTGCCTCTCTCGCTCCGATCTCGGTTGCAAAGCCATTCATTCGACGGACAAAGCACTTCGAAGTCTGCTACAACATCGATGGCATCGACACCAGTACCCTTCGATGAAGACCATTGAAGAGGTGGCAAGAAAGATGCAGACAACGCAGCAATTACAGAGTAATCACAACAAAACAAGCAGTCAAGAAGGGCCAACCTGGGCTATGGAGAGGGCTACATCTCTGCCTCTTGACAGCAGCGAAGCAACAATCCGAGGTCACATCCAAACAGTTTGTCAATGTCTGTAATCTGAGGAGACCAGCGCCTTCCCGTACCGCGGATCCAGTGAAGAATCAGACCTCCTGTACACTTTTGCCATAGACCTCGGCGTTATACTTCAAGCTCCCTCAGAGCGAGATGGCCACGCACGATGTCTCAGTCCCTTCTTGGTGCGAAGTCTGGTGGAGGCTCTGTATTGCTTGCTCTTCTCTTTTTCGTGTGATAGTGCTGAGTATGCGTGTCAGATTGTTTCTCAGTGCCTCATCGTTCTTGAACGACACCTGAAGGGCTTCAAGCTCTGCACCTAGCATGAGTTGTGTCAATCTGCTCAGAGCCAACCACAAGCAAAATTTTAGCGAAGATACACTGTTGAATTGGTACTGGTCATGGTAGATCATGTTGCACAGCGAGGAAAGTTTATTCGCTCTCTACTCAACCCTCCTCTGCACCTTGGGAGCTCGAATCTTGCTCTTCACCCAATCGGGCACAAAAGCCTTGACACCCAATACCTGCTCCTCGGCACTAGCGCCCTTGACGACGAATCTGTCCTCAAGGCTAAAAGTGCTGGGTTCACCAGTGACTTGCAGGTCAGTCATGAGCTCCAGCCTACACATCGCCAAACCAACATTTCCAACACCGTTGATCCATTTGCCTGGCTTGCCTCTCTTGCCTTCGATCGCAATCGCCGCATCGCGTTCTGGAGTCGCAAACGTGGTGTCAGGATCGTAAGAAATCTTCTCTGGTGGTTGAGAGGAAGTGTCGAAGAGAGAAACTGGCAAGACTCGCCTTCTCACAACTCCAGTATGATGAGTACGGATTGTGAGTTCCTGACCGACATAGCAGCCTTTCTTGAAATCTATGCCTCCCATGATGTCGAAGTTGGTGTTCATAGGCAAAACGTCGTCGCGAGGGATCTCGTCTTGTCCTTCGGGGACACCACGGGTGTATCTTCGTATCGTGTAGGCGTCTAGTCCTGCATCACTCAATCCTTCCATAGAAGCATGTTGCTCCAATAACTTTGTCGATGGCAACAAGATCCTCTGGCCCAAGCCTGCCGCTCGTGCATCCACCATTGAGATATTGCCTTCTGCATCGACATTGGAGCCTTCGCCTGAACTGTTGGTATGCGGTGTCCACTTCTGGTCTTCCCTCCACGCCGCCCAAATATCCAATTCACCCTCTTCCAAAAGTCTGAGCTGGAATTTGGACCGTAGCTTGTGTCTCTTGAGATGTTTCAGCAGATTGCTGGTTTGTTGCGCGTCAACTTCGACCAAGTACCCAGGATCCTCGGTCTTGTTGTGCTCGGCGTGGAAGGTTGACCCCAGAGTTGGGTACACGAATACATCGTGCAGGACTTTTCCCTGAGCGGTAAGGAAAGCGGCGAAGAAGGGCGAATGCGATGCAGGATTGACATTGTTCGTCAATATGCCTTGAAGGAACTTTGGCGCATCGGGGCCATGAAGGGAGATCAAGCGGCGGGTGGACAGTTTTGCTGCGCCGGAGGGCGGAGGCGTGGGCGGGAGCGGTGTTGTTGTGGTGGAGTATGTGCGTTTGGTCTTGGGAAGACGACGGAGACAGACAAATGGCTGTCTAGGATTTGTGGCGGCCATATTTGCGGTCGTGACTTTGTTGTGCTAGGTGTGCAACTGATAGAATGTGTACTCCGCAGCAGCTTTGGGATTGCTAAAGATGAGTCTCGCTGACATCATCCGACTTTTTTTTGACCGAGGCTTTCGACGAAGAGCAACCTTCGCTCACGGCATAGCAAGCATTCATATTATTATGTGAATACACAATACTCTCAGCGACAGACATGTGTCTGAGTAATGAATCAAGTAGATGACTCTTACCAGTATAAATCACTGCTCACAGGGAGGAAACACATCATGGGAAAATCGTCAAGAGACATGTTGATTGATCGAATCTTGAAATGAATGACTTCTTAAGAGCTATAAATTGTGTCCTATCATTTAGACCAATGGATGTCTGCTCCGTCCCACCATATAGTCTATAATCAAACAGGACCTCTCTTGGGACCCTTGTTCTTCTCGCTCTTCACCACGCCATTAAGATAGTCAAGGAGGAATCCTTTAGCTTCCACTGGAGTAGATGGCGACCTGAGCCCATCATTGTCTCCTCCATTGCTCACCGCCGAAGATGCGCTAGCCAGCCGTGACCTGAAAAGTGACGGATCCGATGGTAGAGGTGCTCCTGAATTGTTTGACATGGCTGATCCGGATCTACTCTCAGCCTGAGCAAGTCCAGGATTCTGCTTTGCAAATAAGGCGAGGAGCGCATTACGTTGCTCTCCTGTAGTTTGCATAGGCTGCTCGGCACCTGGAGCAGATCCTGGCTTCTCGGTCTTTGGCCTCTGCAGAATCTGTGGTTGGAACTGCTTTGGTGCATCTTGCACTTGTTTCGAAGCAGACTGCCTCGGCGCTGCTTGCTTTGGCGTGGGCTGCTTAGGAGGAGGCGGTTGCCTCACCTGAGGCATCTCGGGCGATCCATTTTGATCAGCTCGAGGTGAAGGCCGTTGCAAAATAGTGAAATTAGCCGGCGATTCAGTCTTGTTGCCTCGTCGCAGTTTATGAGGAGTCTGAATAGACTCTGAAGACGGGGGTGCGGGCGAACCTCTATTGGCCGCCGAGCCAGGTCTTGGTAGAATCGACACTGGAGCACGCGGAGCATCGGGAGCAACGTGCTTATTCGCAGCCTCCGGCGCAGCTCCGTTTTGAGCAGCTTGAGCTTCTTGTACAACTTGCTTCGCTGGAAACATATCTCCCTTTGTCTGTGCAGGTGGTGGAGTTGGCTTAGCCTTTGGTAGCGTTCTTGTCAGCATGGCCAGACTTGCGTTCCTTTGTTGAGGAGTTGGTGCCGCCGGAGTGGGCGTCGTCGTAGAAGGCGCCATCGAGGCAGGAGCAGGATTTTGGGCAGTATGGAATGGAAGGGTTGTCTGAGGAGGTTGAGAAACCGGAGCCGCTCTAGGAGGGTTGGGAGACTTGAAGAGACCCAACAAGGAGTTTTGATGTTCGGATCGTCTACGAGAGTGTTGCGCGTCTCCTGTAAGCTGTTGCTGCTGTTGGGCTTGCATGTGGTTCTGATTGGGACTAGGGAAAGACATAGAACCGTTGCCATACGGCATCTGGTTATGACCAACGGGTGATTGAGAAGGTGCTTTGAAAGCACTCAGCAGATTCATGGCATGGTTGTTGAGTCTTGGAGCGGGCAACTGGGATGCTGATGGAGCAACTGGACCGTGAGCGATTGGCGCAGGATGGCCACCAGGGAACAGCTGCTGTTGCATCGAAGGATGCGAGCCTTGAGGATGTACATGATGAATAGCATGTGGAGGCTGCTGAGGCATGTGTGGCATGTCTGGTACGACACGTTGCAGATTCTCGTGAGTACTTTGGCCGAAGAAGCCTGGCGGGTGAAGGGACATGTTACGCTGTTGAGCTGGTGAGGGGAAGGGGAAGCCAGGAGGATGCTGCTGTCTGACAGCAGGCGAAGCATGGTGATGCTGATAGTGTGGAGTACTAGGCTCTGGAGGAGTGCTGGTGACCTGATCCAGAGGGGTCACTGGCGGCAGATCGTTACCTGCCGGTGGAGCTAGTCCACCAGGAGAAGGGTTACCACGAAGCATGGCCAGCAGTGCATTTGCCTGATTACCCTCGCCATTTGCTGTCTGAGGCGAGTCCTGAGATGGCACATTGACGCTCAACAAACGTTTGAGCTCAAAGGCGGCACTCGCGGCAGGAGCTTCCACAGCCGGCGAATCTGAAGGAACATCCAGAGCTTCCTCGACAACAGATTCGACCTGGGCTTGACGAGCAGCATCACGTTTCTTTTGCTGGTTGATCCACTTCTTCAACGGAGGCAAGAAGGGTGCAACCATGTATAGTTTGTTGGCGCTTACAGTACCCTGGTCAGCGTTGGGGTCTTGGTGATGAGAGATGACACGGTTGTTCTGTCTCTTGTTGGTGTATGATGGCAGATCAGTCAAGCGGTACCAAGCAATTTTCTATAGTCAGTCAGCATGTTATCAAGGGCTGCGAGGATGGCATCAAGAGACGAACGCTAATCTCCTTGCGGGTCTTTGGTTCAAAATGGGTGTCGAGGGGGACACCGCGGAAGACAAACATTCGCAAATGCTGTTCACGCATCGTCACGTCGATGTATTTCTGGTCGTCACTGGCAAGACCAGCAGCAGCAATGTCATAGCCCGTCTCTTCCCAGACCTCACGGATGGCGCAGTCAAGATCTGGCTCGTCCTTGTTGATCTTTCCACGAGGGAAACTCCATGTAGCACTCTTTTTCCAGCCCTTGACAAGGACTACCTGATCCATGTCATGGTTGAGCAGGATGGCGCCTCTGACGGGGACGCGGGTCTTGTAGGCGAGGAACTCTTGATAGGCGGCGGTGTGCTGAGAGTCGGAGAAGGTGGACAGGAGGGGGCAGTGTTGGAAGATGCGAAGACAAAAGTCCCTTAGGTTGAGCGAGGGTAGAGAGGGGTCGGTGGGACGGATGAAATCCTCATAGAACCATTGGGCCTCTTCGACCTGGAAGCAGATTCGGGCGACGCTCTCGAGTTCTTCTTGGGGGAGGTTGATGATGAAGCGGACACACAGGTCATCTAGCCAGTCGACTAGCTGCATTTTTGATTCTTGCATTTTGACCGGTGTCGCGCAGCATGTCCGGGCTCTGGAAGTGGCCTAAGTGAAGGCGTGTGTTCCCGTGCAATACAGGAAGTGACCAAGCCTCGATCCGATCTAGAGAGGCTTCTGGTTTGAGGATGAGTGAGGGTGTGGATGAATACTTGTCGTGTTAGGGGAGGGTGTGTGAGGATCGACGACCTGTCTGTCTGTCTCTTGAGTGCTTGCGCTTCAGTCGCGACGTGCGTCACTGCGAGCTCCTTCACGCCTGGCCTGTGCACTACAAGTCGACATCTCCCAGCGACAGACAGTGATATTTCATATTATAAGAATGCACAAAGGTACTCAAGCAAGAGTTGAGTTCAGAGAGATTTTCCAAAATCACGACTCTCAGTGGATGGTTCTTTGTTTTCAAACAGAATCGTGCATTTCGATAGCGTCCATATGATAGACTTTGGCGCATAAATCTGTCGCATCAACTCTTTCCAACCTTTCTACTCATCCACAACTATCGCAACCATGCCTGGCGACGACGACTTGATCGAGGCCGCTAAGTCGACTGCCATCGACTACTATGAATTGCTAGGCATTACCTTTGAAAACTCAAGCGAGTCGGATATTCGACGTGCATACCGTCGCACAGCTCTGAAATACCATCCGGACAAAAACGCCGACAAACCAGATATTGTCGAGAAATTTCATCTCTTACAAATCGCGAACGACGTTCTATCCAGTCCCGAATACAAAGCTATCTACGACAATGCCCGCCGCGCCAAACAAGAAAGAGAAGAGCGCCACCAGGCTTTTGAGGGAAGGCGTCGACAGATGAAAGAAGATCTTGAAAATCGTGAGAATGCTAGTCTGAAGAGAAAACACCAGGAAGAGGAAGAGGGCGACAAGTTACAGCGCGAAATTCAACGTTTGGCTGCTGACGGCAAGAGACGACGTCTCGAGAGGCAAGAGCAGCTGAACCGCGAGAGACTGGAAGAAGAGGAACGTCTCGATCGTGAAAGAAACGGATACATGTCACCACAAACTCAAACCCAAACTACACAAGGTGGTACTGGCGTCGCTGATATCGACCGCTCTATCAAGGTCGTCTGGTCCCAGGAAAGCGAGGCTATTGACAAGGAGCGCTTAACCTCCATCTTCGCCTCGTTTGGCAAACTGCAAGATGTGGTCATACTCAAACCCAAGAAGAAGCGCCTGGGAGAAAGCAAATCGAAAAATTTGGTCTCGAGTGCTCTCATAGTCTACGAATCGGTCGTGGGCGCCCATGCTGCAGTCTCGGACTTCAAGAAACGTCAGTCAGAACCAGATTTCAAAATGATCGACACAGTCTATTGGGCATCAAACAAGGAGCCTGACTTTTTGCAACGTCCGTCAACTCCAGTGTCCGCCTCACCAACCGAGCCAAAGTCAACAACGCGACCCATACATGAAATACCTGGCATGAATTCACCTATCACTCCGCTCAAACAGGCAGGAGGTGGCTTGCGCAAGGTTCCTTCCTTTGCTTCCTTCAGTAGTGCCAAGAATTCGCCGGTCGCTCCTGCCGCGTCGAGCCTTAGTCTAGAAGAGCTCACTATGATAAGGCTGAAGAATGCTGAGAAGCGTCGACTCGAGGAACAGATTCGCAAGCAGGAAGCCGAGGATGACTCATGATCACTCTCTCAGTGGATGGACGTACTTGACAGGACAACTTTCTGCAATCGGATAGTGCTAATTAGCTGGCGCGAAGAAGCTGGAGAAAGCAAAAAGTAATAATGATACCCCTATTTTGATACACAGGTGACGTCTCTCCACTCCCAACATGAGCTGCTTACGTACTATAAAAAGGCAGAGTGTGCTTCTTCTGCAGCATCGTTCCACTGAGAGCCCCAAGAATTCTGTGCTCTCAGTGGAGACTCCTTCAATTCGATCAACATCGTGACTTTTCATGGCTATATTTTTGATTGATTGCTTCTCTCGAGAGCAATCATAACTTGGCCTTGTCATCTACTAACGAGCCCAACTGCTCCTTCATAGTCGCAGTCATGCCCTCAGATCTTGGCCTTCTGCTTTCTCGATCCACAAACACGTGTACGAATTCGCCAACAGCCTTCACTTCCTCAACACCACGCTCAAAAACACCAATCTCGTAGGTAACACTGCTCTTTCCTAGCTTCTTGACACGGAGCCCGAGATCAACCAGCGCAGGAAATCCTACCGGAGCTAGGTAGTCGCAATGCGAGTGTACTACCAGTCCAATTAGAGGTGATGTTGGCGGATCAAGCTTGCAATGCGTCATGAGATATGTGTTGACAATGCTGTCGAAGCTATATAACAAAGGTAAGTACAGTCTCAAACTCCGGCTTGGTGAGTCAGAAAAACGTACAGGAAGTAGTATACACTGTTGTTCATGTGGTCGTACATGTCATTGTCGCTCCTACATAAACGCGTGGTCAGATATGCATTACAAGCACTTTTAGTCGACTTACCATCGTGTCCGGTATTCAAGATGGAACCCGTAATCTTGCAGTCGTCGCTTCTTCAATTCTGCGATATGTGCCATGGCTCTAATCTCGTGAGTCTCTGCTTGCAGATGAATTTACTTGGGAGGCTCGTTGACAAGGTGATGTCCAGGGTGGTTGCATGTCTACCAAACTAATCGGTCGGTACAAGGTCCAGATCGAGCCGAGGCACACGGGTAAACCACGGTTTATATCTATCGATGCGCATAGAGCGCCAGACTCGCGACTCATCCTTGATTCTCGCATGCTGCATGCATGTCCGGCAAGGCTGCATCACAAGTATCATAGACAATGCTCGTCGCCCACCAGGCAACCCGCCTTACCAAGGCCAAGTACGAACGCTCTCTTTCTCACCCACCATCCTCACTTTTCGTTTCCTTTTCTCTCCGCTTAATTGATGTATCATGTTCAGTCGCTCGCTATATACACTCAATCCATCTATTAACCAAACACAATGTTTTCAACACGGTCGTATGCGACTTTACTGCTCGTATCCCTCTCCCACCTCGCGATAGCATCCCAACAACCGCAAGACCTGGAACTGAGAGGCGAAGGCGGTGGCTGGACAAATGCTTATTGCATTTCTTCAAATCAAGACCTCACTGCTGCGACAAGCGCGCAATGTCCTTCTTGGGCGCTTATTAACTGCAACGCCATCCAAGAACCAAACTAGTCAGTTCCTCTGCCAGTCCTCCGATGTGGTGTGTTCCTTGTCGTCCATAACTAAATCCATATAGTTGCTGTACACCGAGCACCTACTGCGCCCGCGCCTTCGACAACACAATCGGCTGCTGTCCCTGGGGCCAAACCTGCAACCCCGTCGTCGCCGGAACCTGGCAACCACAACCCACCAGCACAATATGGCAGCAACCACAACCCTCCACCGTCTATGTTACAGAAGTCCATCCTACAACCACTTTAGTATATGCAGCAGGTCAAAATACGCAACAGGTTACCACTGTGTATAACGGTGTTGGAGAAGGGCAGGGGCAAGGTCAATATTGCTCGACGTTGTATGCGCACGGAGGGAATTTGCCTACAACTGAGGCAGGCACCTGTGGTACGATATTGATTGCTAATGCTGCGGTGAAGGGAGTGACGATATCGATGACCACGGTTATATGTGTGTTACTTGCTCTTGGTGGAGTTGTGTTACGGATCAGGCTATGAGATTATGAGTATAATGATATGTCTTCTGGTAGTCCTTTGGTCTTCTTGATGTGCTTTTGGCAAGCTACCACTTCCGCTCGCAAATGATGACCAGGTCACGAAAGGCAAGAGCGGCTGATTGAACATCGAGCTGACCTAGTGGCAACGACCTTGTTTTTTTTTAAAAAAAAAAAAAAACCAAGAGTAACGGCGAAACGTTCACTGACCCAACAAGACGCGGTGACAAGACTACTAACGAGCTCCAGCATCATCAATCTGTAGTAGATCGTGTATAAAATTTGATCAGCTTTCAGATGTCGAGCTTGTGATTGCGCGGCTTCAGTCGTTGGGCTCTTTGCTCTTTCTCTAAACATCGGCGAGTCTTGATGAGGACCTCCCGGCCATCAAAAGACTGGTATTTGGGAGTCCAAATTCTCAACACCACCACAGGCGACTTTTGCAAGGTAGCACTAGATTACATCTCATTTTTCTGCGAACATTCTGGTATACATCTTGCCAAAGTTTATTTCTGGGTCGTGGAGCTGTTCGTTGTGACAATAGAGGGACCTGCACAGTTTGACTCAATTTAGCATACGGCAAGGTAGAAGCATAATTCTGTAGACTTGTTAGTATTGCTATTCAGAATGCCATCTCCAAGAGACTTGATGCACATTCGAACAAGACATAAGATGTAGATTGCGAAACGGAGCTTTGAAGATTGAAGAATGCTTGACACTGCTATCTATAGGGGTATAGTAATGATGGTAATGCTGAACTTTTGCGGCCAGCCAACAAGAAAAAGAAAAAGCAGTACAAAGACCAACAAGTAAACAAAGCATACAAAAGTCTATATATATGGGACTTTTTCCAAGAAAGAGGTTATTACAAGAATACACACTCAGACATAATAGACAATTTCTGTCTTTTCCCACCAAAAGAATGTTATACAGAAGTGAAGAACAAAAAAGAGCTTAGGGCTTGGAGAGCTGCTCTTTGCGGAAGAAGGCGAAGAAACCGACACAGACTGCGAGTTGGAAGAGCAGGCAGATCCAGAAATCGGCGCTTGCGAGACCGGCTTGCCAGTTGACTGAGAAGTCAGGGAACACATCGCCAGGGCCTGTGGCGTCAGGAGCTGTGGCTCTTGACAAGATTGTGGCGACGGAACCGATGACTTGAGCGGCAACAAGAGTAAAGGTGATGTGGAAGCGGGTCAAGGTTTGCAGCAAAATCATGCCGAAACCGATGCCTTGAACGGAGTCGAGTACGCCGAGCCAGAGCCATAGCCCACGACCAAGGAGTGCTGAGGCTACGGGACTGCCAGCCCATGGTAAGTACATGCCGATGTTGCTGCAACTCCACAGGATCTGGCACCATCTGGGTGCGCCCAAACCAATGGCAAAGATAGGTATGTACCAAGAGTGTGTGGTACTTAGTTGCGAGAACCACCATAGCAGCAAAGCCCAAATAATGACGAAGAAGAGCAAGATCAAGAGGAAGACAGCCCAGCCGGGTGCGTGCTTGGAGCTCCAAAGGTACTTCCAGTTGCGACCGTAGATGGAAGCGAGGAAGTAGTTCTGGATAAATACTGCAACGAAGAACCAGACGATAATCTTACGTCTCATCACGGCGGTGTAGAAGGAGGGCACTGCACCAGGTGCTTGACGGTAGAATGCAGGTAAGCCAAGCCAAAGAAGGATACCAACAGCCCAGAGGAACACGGCAATCGGCACACCAATGGCTGTCATCGTAGATCCATAAGTAACCAAAGTCGCTGCGCCTTTACCGTTATCGCTGAGTGCAGAGAGCTTGTCACCCCAGAACCATAGACCAACGATATAAAGCTGTTGAGTTCCTTGAATCATGCAAGCACGGAAGCCCCAGGTCTTGACAGGTGCCGATCCGGTGCTACCAAAGTTCTGTGCAAAGAAGAACGAACCTGCAGCACTAGCAAACGAGTAGAATCCGGTAGCGACGTTTTGCACCCAGCCACGTCCAGAGGAAGTAGCTGCATAAGGAGCCATGCCCAACAGGAAGAAGGCAAAGCCATAGAAGAACCAGGGAAGCGCAATAGTGTAGATCAAGGCAAAACGACGGAAAACAAACCACCACACCAGCGAAGCAGCTAGGTAGATGCAAGCAACAACGTACAGCTTGCTTGCAGTCTCACCAATCTCGCCGGTAAGCAGGGTGATCTGGTAACTGTTCGCAGCAATGATCTGACCGAGTGCAAGGAAGAAAGAGTAGATGGGCCAGTCACCAATCTTGTACATCATGAAGCGGCGGATACCAGTAGGAGCTTGGTAATCTTGGGGCAGCAAGAATTGGTCGGCGGTCTCCTTCTCGGGATCGATGTTGTTGCTGTCGAATTGACCAGTAGGTGAGTTGGCGCGAGTGGCCGCAGGGGTCTCCCTAGCCATCTTGACATCGTGCATACGGTTGAACCATTGCTTTTCAGACTTCTCAAGATATTCCTCAATGCACAAGGCAGATTCTGAGTTCTTTCCATTGAGGTCTTCAAGCTTGCGCTGGAAAGTGCGGTAATACAAGCCAGTGCTGTCAGTGAAGAATGGAAGTAAATCTTGAGGTGTCTTGTCCTCCTTCTGCTCGATAACCTTATCGACAGTCAGAGTAGATTCAGCGTTTGCTGATCGGCCCAGAGAGGAAGGGAAAGGCAGGAACGGTGATGAGGCAGAGGGGCTAGCAAGTCCAGGAGTCGCGGCGGGTGAGAAGTTGTAGGGGGTGTTAGCACCAAATGGATCTTGACTCAAGAAGGGGAAACCGGATCGAGCCTCCTCTTGGGCTTGTTCTCTAGCCTGCTGTGCATCTTCTCTCGAGATGGCCACTTCCTCGTCTTCGATTCTTGAAAGGCGGTTCCTGTTCTGAGTTGCTTCAGCTGAGTTTCTGCGCGAGAGAGCAGGGCGAGAGCCAGAGAAACTGCGAGCCCTGGTTTGAACGTGGCCTGGACCTGCTCGAGTGCCGAGAGACAGCGAGTTGTTACGAGAGATTGTTGGTGAAGACTCTGCAGTGTCTCGTGCACGAGTAGGAGAAGAAGGTCTGCTGGGGTTGGGTGTGCCCCTGCCCCATGGTGTAGTAGCGCCAGGAGTGGTCCACCCACTAGGGGTCATCCATCCAGGCAAGTTAGGAGTATTGTAGCCACTGCCCCAGGGAGTTGTGGCAACAGAGATGCCACCATTACGCTGTTTCCTCTCAGCACGCTTATTATGAATCTTGATAGACTTCGACTGCAGTATCTCGAGGTCCTCCTTCCACTGGGCAACAGGGAAGCGCTGCACGCTACTTCTAGCACGCATAAGGGCTCTCGTCTCGTACTTCGACTTCAAAGCGCCATCGATAGCCATTTTGAACTGATGCATCTGGTGTTTGGTGGTCTGAGACTCGATCGTGTACCACCAACCAGGCATCTGTCCAAGACCGCCAACACGCGAACCAACACCAAGAGCACCCTTGCGTCCAAATTCGACAGCGACTAAACCGAAAGGCTCATCCCTCGAAGGAATCAGGGCAAATTCTGCGCCAGAGAAGATGAAGGGTGGAAGGGCAGTGAATTCGGGTTTGGAATAGACACGACCAGGATACTTCTTCATCATGACTTCGAGCTTGAGAGCCGCAAATTTGCCGTATAGATCGATACAGGGGCCGACACAGAGCAGCTGGACGTTGGGGTTCTTCTCGAGGATAGCAGGGAAGACGTCAGCAATCAGGTCGATACCCTTTTGCATACTCCAGCGACCGACGAAGACAAACAAGTCAGCATCGGGCTTGACTTCAAGGCCAGCCCATTCCTGAGCTTGGCGTCGGAGACCTGCTCTGGTGGACTCATAGACCTCATCGATGACGGCGTCCTTGGGGTTGGCGAGCTTCTTGTCCCATGCCGCAACATCCGAGGGGTCAGGGTTGGGCAAGGCACCAATGTTGCTGAGCCCCCAGAAAATAGGATAGCGAGCCCACGAGCGTTTACCGTACTTCTTACTGACACCAACAGCACCGAAACCCTTCTGGTGAATACGAAGAAGACTCGCGCCAGCATGCAACAGATTGAAAATTTCACCAAATTGCACATATTTGGCGACCACAGACTCGGAGAGGTTGTAGACGGAACACACCTCAGCTCTCTCCTTTGCGTTTCTCATCGGCCAAAGACCTTGGAACTCGGCGTTGTGAAGTGAAAGACACACCGGAATAGTCTGGGGCAGGAGGTACAAAGGGGCGATAGTGCCGTGGTAGTCGTTGATGTGGTAGAGATCGATAGGGAAGCGACGACACGCCTCAGCAATACACTGATTCCAGGCAGAGTAGTAAATGGCAGAGTCGAGATCGTCCATACGAGCAGGGTAGGGCTCCTTTGCTGATTGCTTCCTGAAAACAGGGGCGTCAAGGAGCATGTAGGTGATGTTTTCGAGCTTATGATACTGAACTTGGACTTCATAGACCTTGCCGAGGATGGTGACATCGACTGACTCACCAGGGGTATCAACAGGGTAGTCGATACCACCAACACAGGGTACTACCCAGATCAGATCCTGGTGTTGAAGGTTCTTTCCCATAAGTTGGGCCATCACTCCTAGACCTCCGATTTTGATCTTGATATTCCAGTCCGAGATATCGTATTCCATTGTACCGATGAGGACAGTTCTGCGCTTGACCATGGCGCCAGCAGTTACAATGCCGCCATTGTCCACAACGACATCACCTACAGTCTCGGAGCTGGATGATACGACTGTATCCTTCTCGTTCAGCACCTCGCTCTTGCTGAACTTGTTTCTGATAGCAACAGGGATGATTGACTTGGGATCAGCCAAGCCGATTTGGTTGAACTTTACTCCATAGAAGGCTTTGCGATAAGCCCAGATACCAATGAAGGCCGTGACAGGGGGTATGACTGCCAGCATGATGAATAGAGCCAACTGTCTCCAGCGATTTCCAACAGGGATGAGCACGTAGCGGAAGGAGGCATCACTGAAGTGGATGCGCCATGCCAGGAAGGGTGATTCAGGTCCATGATTGGTAATGTTAACAACCGACATCTCAAGAGAGGTTGGACCAATGCGGTCAAGCACAGTGTCGTTGTCAATATCGCCAAACGCAGCGGAGACATCTGGTACACCGTCTTCAGTCATGCCCCAGACATTGAGCTGAAACTGGGAGGGCCACTCGGTCATAAAGTCGTACTGCCAAGTGCTGTTTCCGACAAGTTTCATCTTGTTATCGAGACCAGAGTCGTAGCCGTACTGGTTGAATGAGCCATGGATGAAGAAGTGTGGGAAACGACGCATATGCTCTGAAGAACCGTAAACATCACCCTCCTGGATATGATCGCTGCTGCCTGCTGCTTTAGACCAGTACTGGACCTTGACGTGGTCGCCAGTCCACTTTTGTCTCTTGGTACCTGCCCAGGTCTGTTTGTCTAGTGTGCTGTTGCCGCCATGGTAGTCCATCCAATCGGACCATTCCGCGCCCCAAGTAAGAGAGTATCGCCACTTGTCAGCACCTGGAGCCCTGTGCTGAACGTAGAAAGCATCTTCATGGGTACCAGACGTCTCAGATGCACGCTTTGTGACTCCATTACCACTGAAAAGCAGTGTCGAGCTGTAATTTGCCTTGAAGGGGAAGACCATTGGATTGTCGATCTGACCGATGCGGAACATCAGATGGTCCCTGGAACCAGTGAAGCTGTTCTTGCTAGCAGAAGAGGCGTTGTTAACGGTGATTGTGTGAATGCCATTACCGATGTTTGTGATGTTGGTACGGTATCTCCAGAATGAGGGCACTGCACCATAGAATAGAGGCTCGTCTAGGAGGTCGGTAGTCAGGCAATCAACACTGTCGGTGTCAATGACCGCGACAGACCCATCGCCTGTAGTGGATGTGATGTTGATTGACTGGCGTACAGAGTCACAATCCATTTCTCCTGAGAAGCGAAGTTCCAGGGTCAAAGTCTCCTTGTCCTCGTTGCTTACCATGATACGCGAGTCATGGCCGATGAAGGTATCATTGAGTATCATCTTGGTCAGCGAAGGAGATGGCGCCTCCCAAACGTCCTTAGGCACAAAGGCTGCGTAACCGTACTTGGTCATATTGAGCCATGGCAGACAACCATTGTACTCGTTGGAGCCGTTGAAGTGGAGCTTCTCTGTAGAAGGCTCAAGAGTTCTCTCGTCGAAAGGGTAATACAAGTTCTTGACCGTGGTACCTGCATCGTAGGGCGAGATGATGGCTTGTCCGCTGGTACTGCTGCAGTCAAATGTATAGTTCCTAGAGCCGTTGTAGTTGCTGTAGACCAGCCAGACAGGCTGGTTACCATAGCCGCCAGCATCTGATAGATCCTGTGCGCCTTCTAGTTCTCCGCGGTAGACACTCCAGATACCTGTTTCGGTCGGAACTCCAAAGGAACCATTCAGATAGTAGTCGAAAGTCTGGTTGGACAGTTGACGAACGTCGAAGCCGTCGTTCAACACCGGGTATCTCCTTCTCATCTCATGTCCCGACTTGAGGTAGTTGTACATGGGATGGGTAGGATCGCGGTGGTCCAATGACACGGAATCATCTTGACAGCCAACAAGCGAACTGTTTACAGGGAAGTTGCTCAGGTTCTCATCGCCGACCTTGTAGCAGCCATGCATCTGCCAGGCTTGGGCCGAACTCATAGCTTGTCTACCGTAGATGTAGTTGGCGGCAGTGTTGTCGAGAACATAGAACAGTTGCTCTTCACCCCAAGAGACCATAGTAATACCAGGGACCAGGAGTGTGTTGACGAATGACCCCAAGACCTGTCTCTCAGTACCGTTGATGAGACCAGGCCATCTTAGGACGTCCTGATTAGAAACGCCGTACATATGGCGTGGGTCAAACTTGCCATTGTTTGCGTTGACAAAGTCATTTGTTTGAACCATAACGTGCCAGGCGTCCACAAAGTTCACAGGGCCATCAGCTGCAGCCAAAAGATCACCGTCAAGCCCCAGGAATCTCATTAGACCACGGTAGATTGTGTAGTGGAAGGCACCGGCATCCAGAGCCTGGTGTTGATCATCACGGATATAAGTCGAGTTCGTAGTTGCCGCTTCGGTGATGTTCTCAACGGCCATTCCTGGCTCTTTACCGCGTCCCAAATAGATGGCACCGTTGGCGTTTCCGTTGACAATCTCTCCAGGAATAAAGAAGTTGTACTTTCCAAGACTTGATGCACATTCGCGCATGGCATGGGAGAAGTTGCCTTGGCCGTCGACAGTAACTTGCATGGCCTTGTCTATACGGAAACCATCGAAGTCGAGGGCTTCGAGCATCATACACATGAAGTGTTGGAGCTTGGTCTGAACAGAGGGCCGCCAGTCTCTCAGACGATCTTGGACGCCGTTGAATTTCGACAGTTGCTTTTGCCATTCTGGGTACTGACCAAAGGCACCGACATCGCCATATTGATCGAACTCACTGTCCATACACCCAACCATCTTTGTGATATTACCATCCTCAATACGGTTACCGCCCTGGTCCCAGAAGCGAGGGTATTCGTATGGGCATTCAGCATGCCATTCGTTCTTGAACTCCCAGTCTGAGTAACGTTGACTTGATTTCCAGACGGCAGTGTGCTCTTTGAACGACCAGGGTGTACTGCTGTTGAAGTAGCCTTCGAAGGCGATAACGTCGCTCATGGTTGCCATAGTGTTGTCAACCAGGACATACATGCCACGCGAGTGAATGTCGTTGATCAGCTCTCTCCATTGGGCGATAGTACCGAAATGTTTGTCAATAAGGGTATGGTCCTACAATCTAGTTAGTTCAGAGCTAGGGTCGATTAAATGTTGGCAATGAGCATACCAGAGGACTGTAGCTGTCTGATTCCCAAGGGAAGTTGTACAAGAGACTTCCGGCTAGGTAGATGCCTTTGATGCCCATTCCCTGAAGATAGTCAAGAGAATCGCGTACACCATCAGTGTCGCCACCATGACGAAGTTGGGTACCATAGATATCATGTTCCCAAGCAGTGCCGTTGCTAAATAGCTGTCAGCTCTAGTGATATGTCTCAGCCATGTGCTAGGCCTATCTCTCCCCCTAAGCCACAGGACAATATGGTACTATCGCAATGCAGCATGCTTTCAAAATAATGGTCGATGACCATTGAGAGCGGTGCAACTACAACCTCTCTCTGGACATGATTCCGACTAGTAAACAATTCTGCATTGTGATAGCTGTCCGGAGATAGAGGATCGGACATGGGGATGGGGATGGGGATAAAATGCGTGTGGTAAAGGGACCTCGAACTCACATGTTATCGTTGCTCGGGTCTCCGTTCACAAATCGGTCCATGAAGAAACTGTAGAAGGGGAACCGCCAGTTATCCGGAGAAGGATGGTATGTGTGATTCTCGTAGATGGTGGAGTAGTCCATTGGATCTACTGCCTCCTGGTTCATATTCAGGTTCCAGTCGACATATCTCTCATCGTAGCGAAGAGCCTGGGCCCCAAAGGCGCTCAGCGCCAATGACATCAACCACTGGCCATGCATTGTGTAGTCGTAGGGTCGTCAGAGGCAATATAGAAAACAAATATCCAGCGCCACAAAGGCGGATTGGCGATAGGCAGATGTATGCTTCCTAAACGTCAAACATAAATGTCGAGCTATATGAGCGAGTGTAAAGAGCAGGATTCCTGAAGAAATGTTAAGACACGCTCCGCAAAGAAAAGGCAGAAATCTAGTGTTTATGTAGCACAAGAAAGCGTAGAAGGCAAGGATCCGGGAAAGAATATGCGGAGAGTGCAGCAAGTGGGTCCAACAAGCCGTCAATCAAGGTTGGCTGTAGAACAGGAAAGGAATCGATATACAAAGAAGGGATGTATCCGGATGTTGGGCCTCCAGAGACTCGGTCGAGTTTAGTCAAGAACTCAGAATCAACAGCAAAGGCCGCCGACGATGGGGAAGTACAGCAGCTTATCTTGATTCGCTCAGGTTCATCGGTGATAACTAAGGCGGCAAACGAGCAAGGTCTCTGCACGGTGCGGCGAGCATGGTTCAACGAACTGATACACTGACCATCAATGATGCATTTGACCACAGGCCATTGCAGGGGTTGAGATGGCAGTAGTAGGATGATCGCCGGACAGTGCAGCGGGACAGTCCGTCGGTTACTTTCAACATGTCTCTTTTTAGGGCCTGGCTGCAAGTGATTATTTTCAATCAGAGCCATGGTAACAGCCAAACGACTCAGGCTTCGCAGCGCGCATCCGATGCGCCACGCCGCAGTGTGTGCCTACAGGGAGTGTCACCCCTCATAAGGGATTAACGTTTCATGTTACCTCTGAGCTGCAAAACGGCCGAGGAAGAGGCGGTCGTGCTTTGGCAAGCTGCAAGAGAGACAAAAGGTCTCTGCAACAAAGAGTGGGAACGTCCTGTATCGATACCTTGGCAAAGCTTTGCAGACAGGACCGTTGGGTTAACAAGCCTGTTGACTGCCCGTGCATCTGCACCATGCAGCAAGGCATCATGAGCTCTTCTTCTTGTCCGCAACCCATTTCCGATGACAAAAAGTCTCCATCTCGACCGGCCAAAAAGCTTGGGCTTCGCTCTCGATGTGCGTACGTTAATCGCAGTGCTATGACTGGTCATTGACCGCTCGATAGCGGTATCGATTGATTGAGGTTCATGAGGCAAGACTGCAGATCCTAGTTAACCTTTCTCTTGTCTTGCATGCGCAGATGGCTGCAATCTCAACTCCGAATGTACTCGAGCAATGGCTGTCTCTTATTACAATGGCAGAAGACATCTAGCTGCTGACTCCTTCCGATGCTGCAACCTGTGCTTCTCGAAAAGGACATCGCAACCAGGAAAGTCACGGCAGTTTTTCCTTGCAATCAATCTATGCTCTCTTGCGATGCGACACGTCGTAAGCAGGTACGTTTCAAGTTACCGCTGCGGGTCCCACCGCAGAAGTCTATCTTGGCACCACAGGGAGGGCTAGCATCATGGTTGTTTGACTTTTGTTGCCAGGCTTCCGAGCCGTCGGGTGCGGTACATGAAGATTCGACGTTGAACTTTCACGTTCCTGCATTGTCGGTGCCGCCACGCCGCCCGCCACGTCAAGCCTCAGATGTGTGTGAACGGCAATTCTATTTCAACGACATTTCTTTTGACCAGGGAAAGCCGCGTCGCTCTTGCAGTGTCTCCATCAATCGTCATCATGCCTATACTTCTCGGCCGCCTTAGAAGAGATTTCGCTCAACTGTTGAAGAATTACCATGACGATTGCAAATCCACTTTGCCGGAATGACAGATTACCGGAGGACTGGTATCAGATCCCTATCCACTCGCAGTCCTGCCAAGACTTTGCGAAACAGTGGCTTTGACAGACATATTTGACAAGAGAACCACAGCAACAAAAGGCTCGAATCCTTGCCGAGCGGGTGTGACCTGAGCATGTTGTCCAAGTCTCAGATCCATATCATCGTAGTTGAGCTCACTACCTCTTGTGCCTTATTGCTTCTGTCACGTACTCACGGCAGGAATTGCGCGGCTGCATAATCACAGCGATAAGATGATCTCCGTCCGAATCGCATTGGGCCTCGGTCAAACTCACGAACTCAGCCATGTTCGCATAGCGCCGGCCTTTGATAGAGCCCAATGCCTCATAAGCCTTCCTGTTGACCATGACCGAGTAGCTGTGGTATTTTGCGTTGATGTTTAGCTAACAAGCGGCGGAGGCAGCACAGACAAAATAGCTCAAATTCGGACGACCTAATCTGTCGTGCTGCCGATCCAAATCCACAATTGCACCAAGCTGGTGCTGTGTCGTCCTGGTCGAATCTAAACTCACGAACGCACCGAAATTATTTGTCGCTGTACCAACAATATCAGGCAAGTAATTATCATAAAGAACGTGGTTGCACTTACACAACTTCTTGGAAATCTACCATCTCGAGTTGAGCTGTGGTTCTTAATTGACTTGCAGATCGCATATGCACGCTCCTCCCCAACTCTTACCTTTCGAGAGATGTCTCGGGTATCGGGTCGACCATCGTTCATTCCGACAAACGACTCGAGGGTTATCCCTGCTGAATCTGGTGTTGGACAATAGTCCCCCTGCGTTGCGGTCTCGACACTACGATCAGTAAGGTCATAGTTGCCGATATGGCGCTTGGTTGACGCCTGACTACAGCTCGACACCTTGGAGCTCAACAGTTGTCTTGGTAGTTTTTCCGCGATTCATGGAGTCTAATTGCATATACAAATGAGGCACAACCCCGGGCCTTCAATCTTCACACATATCAAGCTATTGTTTGCAGAAGCCTAATAAGCTATTCAGCTCTGCCTAGAGCACTCTGTGGTGGGACCACAACACATCCGAATGGTCTCGACGCAAAGCCAATGAATCTGGTGTTGTGCTGATCGCGGATCAGCGTCTACGAGCTTCTGCAAGTCTTGAACTAATATCAGTAGCGTTTGTCGAATACGGTCAGTGGAACATTCGGTGTGGTTTCTGACGATGGTTCGCGACCTAGCTGCTAACCCAGGTTGATTGAGATCATCCCTCTAGCACCTCTATAGTTGTTCTCACAACTCAGCTACTAAGATGGACAGTACGGTCGTGGACCAGACCAGAGCGCCCCTCCTCAGTAGAGAGCTGGTGAGCACTTCTGATCTGCATGATATTGGCCTGTCGGAATGAACTTTTCAAGCAGTGCATACTACAGGCTATAACTGATATCAGCATGTTCTCGGAGCATCTTCCGCCTATAAGCAGATATCTTGCAACATCACGTTATACAATACACCATGCTGGAGATCCTCGATCGAGCACGTTATTGGCATGTCTCACCCTCAAGACTCCATCTCCACTGTGTACATCTGTGCGAAGATCCGATCGCACTTCTGGCCACAACTGAATTACAAATGTTGAGAACGACCGGAGTCATTGAGATGCAAAGAACGTGAAATCCACCGCTTTTTCTCTGAGGAATCTAGCCAAAACTAGTAGAACTGTGCTGAAACATAATGTCGGTGTGCAAGCTATGTTCTCTTTTACGCTGTCGGGGTGAGCAGCTGCCTCAGTACTGCATGGCAGTCTCCCTTCGAAGCTCTTAGACACATGCGTCCGCATGCAGAACAGAGTGAAGAAGAAGGTAGCAGGATCTCCCAGCCGAAGCATCAGTGTGACCTATTGATGGGGAAGAAAAGAAGAGAAGCGGCAGCCGTTCAAAGTCTTATGTTTCGTGTTGCGGCCTTCGAAGCTCTTGTTTACTAGTCTTACACTACGGACAGAATGATTGCAGCGTCTCTCTCCCGTGAACGCATTTTCTGACATGATGTGTCCAAATCGCAATGCCAAGTAAATACTGACAGGCCTGCATCGGTCTCTCAAGCTTTTTGAGGTAGGTTGGTAATCGGTGGTGGCCTGAAACGGATTTCCGGGAAGTTGCGGGTCAGCCAAAAGACGATGACACCTCCAGTGCGCCATCATCAATCAATCGACATATTAAACATCGAAAACCTGCCACGAGAGTTCCACCTTAAGAAAACACAGGGCACCGCTTCGCTCCGGCACTCTTTTTCTATTTTATCGGGATCCTTGTCTGCTTATCAAACACAGCCACAGCTAAAGATTGAATGCGTGGCAGGTCGGGATCGCCATTTCTGTCACGTTCAGCGACAAGGCAGGAGCAAAGCTGCCGAAGATGATCGCTGGCACTTGTGTTGAGTGGCTGAAAAGTTCCGGCTTGTTATACAGAAGCGCCCAGAGATCTGGTGCATGTTTATCTCGAAACATGTAGCCACCAAACTTCCAGGCGTCCTGGTCCACCGTGCAGATTTCGCTTCTGTACTGTATATCAATCAATGCGGCTCTTAGTCGAGTCACAGAATTTCATGCGAGCCTCCTTCATAAGTCAGTATACTTCTGTACTCCCCTGCAGCGGCTCTCTGCGGAACGGGAACCCTCTTTCTTGCCAAACCTACCTGCAATATCGCTCTGAAGGTTCAGACCCCTTCATCTCGGTTTGTGATTCTGTGACTGCCAAGCACTGAACTGTCGATATCAGAAGCATGTTGGGTCAAAAAGCAAAGGCAGATCTAGCGAGGTGTGTAGACTCCAATCATCAGATTGCTGTTGGTTATCTCTCGAGCATGTAGAAGCACCGGAATCACCGGATATTTCTCCGCTAGGACCGCTACTGATGTGCCTCTCTCGCATCGCTTGTACCTGCTATCGGAGTCTAGATTAGGGGTGAGTCGCTAGCTGGTGATCACTACGGAGAAGATATCGCTCCAGCATCTCACCAGACTTCGTCGTGTCGAACACTAACACTTTCATTGGAGCGCATTCAGATACGAGACAAGAACTGATTTGGTAGGCATGCTGCATTCGATGGCTAGGCTATCAACCTTCTTTTCGCTCTTGGTAATGCCTCTCATTTGCTGCAATCCTTGTAGAGGTAGGTGTGAGAAGCAATCGCTAAGCCTCAGATGCGACCATCACCCCTCATGCGAGTTGCCTGTCAATCCACTGCTTAGTCTCGAGCATAAATTTCTCCCTCACGTCAATTGCAGCTCTAATCACGCCAGCATATGACTGGTCCGCCTCGGCTCAATTGATAGGGCATTGTATACCCTTCGATTCGCGTATACTTACTGCAGCTCAACGACCAGACCGAGGCTCGCAGTCCGGGCGAGATACGACAATCCATGGCTCGTCGACGATCTTGTCCAAATGCCACAATCTCAAGAGAACAATGGCGCAAAAAGCATCTCTGTCCGTAGACAGGCAGGGTCGCAAGGGTGCTGGGACCTTCTTTCTCTCATCCAACATGCTCTAAATCATATCAGCGACGTCAAGTCCTGAACGAGAACCTTGGGTCGCAAGTTCGAGCTGCATACCTATGACATCGACGACCTTCCCCTAGGTGTCTTCCTCGCCGAACACTTGGACCCTCGGTTTGTCCTTGTCACCAACATACATGGTCGTTGTATGGTTCTAGATCACGCTGGAGTATGATATCGATGTGCCTCGCCACAGCGTTCAACTGATAGGCCATGGTATATTCTCCAACTCGCATATACGTACACGACAAGCCGAAACTTATAGTCCACGGCACGAGACCACAACAGATTGGCACTGACTTATGGCCTTTCCATGATCTGGACCAGATCTCATGATCTTGAATAGACAACGGCGCGAAAAACATGTCCAAAAGCATGTGATCCATATCTCTGTCAGTAGATAGGCAGAGCCGCAAGAGTGTTGGAACCTTGTTTCTCCCTTCCGACCTTCCGATCGTGCCCTAAATGTCAACAACATCAAGTCCTGAACAAGTACCTTGGGCCACACCTTCGAGCTGCATATCTATGACATCGACGACATGTCTTCCTCGCCGAACACTCCGACCCTCGCTTTTCACCAACGTGGTCGGTCATTGGTATGGCAACCTTCGTCCAATCGCCAACCTGGTCGTTGACATGTCTTTCCTAGCTCAATCAAAACTTGGTTGTCGCTATGGCTGACTTCGTCCAACCACCATCTGACCCTAAGCAGGTCACTTTACAGCGTATTTCTGCGTCTATTGGAAGCTCGTAGATTGCCTATTTTGACCTGAGTAATCATGACGATTTGCTATGAATCTTGGATATGCAGACGTATGGATGTGCGCGCTATCGATGTTCACTTCTCTTTAACTCACCAATAAGTCTTGAGAGACCAACAGCGAATTGGTTTGACTTTGGCCTAAGGCTCTCGAGAAGTGGAAGCAGAAGTGACCGTGTCTCGAACATGGTTACGCTGAAGAGGCAGCTGCATTCATTGCAAAGTGAGCAACCGTGCAGGAGAGGGATGCGAATTTCACGCTTTTGAATGAGAACCGATTTCACATGGAAACCAAGTCACAGAATAGGAAAGATTGAACAAAAGCTTAAGTTCTTCGTCTCTCATAAACAACATAATGGTAAAGCTATGAATGAGGTAAAGCAAGGGAAAAGAAAACCAAGGACCCAACCATTGGCTTACCAAAGAAGAGCAAAGGAAGTTGCGGAAAGAGCAAGAAGAAGCGAAAAGTGCTAGAAGAGAAGAAGCAAGAGGAAAGAATCATCGCCTTCCATCGAAAATGCTTTGGACATTGTCCAATTACTACCGGCTCCATTTGTGGAAACGTTCCTATCGTCTCAGACTGCCTGCCGCGCGCGAGAACAATCCACGACTGGGGCTCTTAGCCTCAACTGCGTCGTTTCGCGAAGGACTCATGTTTCGTGATGAAACAGGCTGGGTGACTGCTTGCATAGTCAAGATATCATCACTAATGCCACCACCATTGAAATTGCCTGAACGCTTCGAAGGGGAGACACTACGGGCTGATTTGGAGGTTTGCTCGGATGATGAAGTGTGGTGCTCGCTCATACGCCGGAAGAGCCTTTGTGTCTTTTGAGAAAGGGCGGCTCGTACACCCCCACTGCTGCCAGATTGTGACTTGATTGGAGGTCCAGGTTGGAAGATTGATACATCGTTCCCTGCTTGCAGAGTTGTCGTGAGATTCGGCGTAGTCTCTGATCGTTCCATGCGCTGTACATTTGAGTTGAAAGACCTCGAAGTGGAATTGTGTCTCTGCAGTGAAGCCGGTGGTGCCAGGTTCAACGCAAGATTCGGTGTAGTCTCTGAGCGCTCCATCTGGAAACGCGTGTTTGCGTTGCTTTTTGGAAGCAGCGCCCACTTCTCCATCGTCTTTTGACCTTTTCGTAATACTCGGTCGTTTCCAGAATCATTGTAAGGCACGCTTCTAGCTGGTGAGGCATTGCGACGGACTTGGAATCTAGACGGCGTGCCCTTGAGGATGCTACCCCCATTAGGATACGAACTGTCTGTTCCTGCACTGCTAGTCCGAGCGCTATCAGATTGCTCATAATACTCGTCTTCCTCGTCAGTCGAAGAAAGAGATATACTATGTCTGTTGAGCCACCCAGCGCCATGCAGGGGATGCTTGTGTAGCGTGTTCAGATCGTTGACGCTCGGTGTCTCAGGGGTGTGTAGTAGCGCTGCGTGCTTTGCGGCGTTAGGAAGACTCTTGATCATTTTCTGCTGCGCATCTGCCGGGCCGCTCATGTATGAGTCTTGCAGAACACTCGTGCTTGCACTGTCTGGTGTTGGGGGCAACAACCCTCCAGCAAACGCTGAGCCCTTCAGCGAGGGCGTCCGTTTCTGGGTGAGCTGTGAGGGTGCAGTCGAATATGGCGGTCGCTGAGTACGACCAGCACCCAGATGTGCATGCGGCATATGTTTTCCTGAGCTTTGGCCAGATAATTGTGGTGTCTGCACCTGAATCCAAGACTTGATATCACTATCCGAGTCGTGCTTACTGCCAGCATTTCGTGAGATGTTGTCTAGTTGACTGTCAGGGAGAGCAAGCTCGTTGTCCTCGTACTTGCCAGAGTCTTCATTTCTTGGCAGGTCGTAGATGCTAGGGAAGCTGCTTTTGCTCAGGACACTCAGACATGGCGAATCTAGCGTGTCAACGTCTGAGTTGGACTTGTCAATGTCTTCCTTCTGCGACATCAAGGAGGCGAAACTAGTGACAGCACGCAGTGTCGGTTTTGGTTCCAGGTAAACGCTTCGCAAAGCGCGTGTGGCAGGCTTTTGGTCGCCCACAAAGGAAGGTATACGTCGTGCTGAAGAAGATCTCGTAAGTGATTTACTATCGGACTTTGGAGGTGAAAGGACAGTTTGTGGACAAGGTGAGACAGAAGAAGCGCGCGAAATCTTGGGAATCCCTGGTTGATTGCAAGGATTTTGCTGAAGATGCTGCATTTGCTCAAGCTTCTCTTCCAGGTCACAGATGATGGAGACAGCCTCTTGCACAGCTTCGTCACGATGCTCAAGCTCCTTGACCAGACTATCGTTGAGTTCGAGAAGCGTAGCGTTTTCTTCGGAGATTCGATCTGCGTCTTCGGCGCGTGATGTCAATGTTTTACAATCTTGTTCCAGTTTCGCCATTCTCTCCCTGCAATGGAAGAGTTCGAGCTTCAGATCGAAGTTGAGTTTTGACAGCTTATCCAGTTTGTCCATGCATTCGCGAGCGCCTAGGGATGCTGTAGTGTTCGTAGGAGTATGGATCTTATTAGGTGTTGTCATTGGGTTGTCGTTGGCAGACGACCTTGCTTCGTCAAGGAATAGGTCATCATCCAGGTTCGTTAATCGCGCAACAGAGTCTGAGCGACGTGAGCGGGTGTTGGGATTTGCGCGACGCGCCTGCAGGCGGTCGAGAAGGTAAGGAGATGCTGGGTTAGTCATGTCGCGTAGAATGTCGTGAGATGTTAGGTGGATGCAGTTGCAAGCATGCTTTAGATAGTTATGTGAGGGTTCAACTCAAAGTGAGAAGAGTCGATGAAGAAGCGTGGTGACAAAGAAAGACTGAGTCAAAGACATGCGGAGTGTGAGTAAATCGCAAGTTGGAACGTGAGGGTCGGTGTGTGGGCTTGGACTGGTCAGATAGATTGATTGAGCAGGTAAACTCGACCGTTGGAATGCAGTCGTCGCTGGAGCAGCAGAGACGTTTTACGCAGCATCCAGACTGAGTTTGTACGGACAGAACACGAAGAGTCAGATGCAAACTTGCGCTTGCTAATTGTCGAAGGAATACTGGGAGATATTTCCTTGAAAGACTGCCAGTCACAGGAAGGGACCATCACTTTCACCCTGCAGCCGAACGCCCATCACAATGCAACCTTCCAGAAGCCGCACGAATAACATGGCCGAACGAGCGCATCAAGGTCGCCGCTAACCACAAGCCCCCGCACTTGCCGCCCGAAAGAGTTGCATTCCGCTCTGTCTCCATCGTGTTGCCTTTCAGATGGCTTCATGTTATGATTCTATGCAGTTTTCGATGGCTTCAACAAGTGTTCTGAACAGATCTATGCCTGTTCAGAAGGTTAGTCAGGCACGTAGCTCAAGCTTCAAGGAGATCAAGATTGCTTGTGAGCCGTTCAGCAGACCGTCAACGTCTCAGACGTGGTCTAGTTTTCGATGCACTTGATTTTGCAGAATATGCCATGCTTCTCAAGAACCCCTAAACTGGTCCAAAAGTTGTCCACCAATAGTCCTCCTCCTACCACCATCACTCTCTTCAACCCTCGATCCACTAGCCGTAGCAGCCTCTCCCTCCATCCGTCTCCTCAAACCCTCAAACCTCTCTCTTTCCCTCTTTCCAGCACTAAAATCCGGAATCCTCCACGTCGCCGCTCCGGGCAAGATTTCTCTTCTGTAAGCGTAACCCACTAGCCAACCCACTGCTGCAACAATAGCAGAGCCAGGGAGTTGCGAGAGGGCGAGTTGGAGGGGAAGAAGGTAGGATGTAGATTTTGAAGTCAAGGTGATTGCTGAGGAGGAGTGTGGAGATTCGTTGGCGGAGAGTTGATATTTGTACATGTAGGGGATAGCGGCGTGGTATTGGGCGAGGAGAGCAAAGACGATGGCGGTGGGACCGGCGGGGAGGTAGTTGATATTGTAGAACGAGAGCGGTCGAATGATGAGTACGAAGAGGAGAGGTGGAAGTAGAACGGTATAAGGCAATGTCGCCAAAAGGAATGACTGCAAAGCGTGGATTTAGTTACTGGTCGCAATGAAAGTTGGACGCCAGACTTACTGCGAACTTGCGCGAACCCCAGAGACGCTCAATGATGCGTAGTTGGTATAGTGTCATGGCTGAGAACAAGACCTCGGTCGAGTTGGTATAGACCAGCGGCCAGGTGAGGAACCGCCAGAACTGTCTGTAGTCGAAGATGTGTGGCCTGGCCATGATCCAGAACAAGTGCTTGGTGTCGGTGATGCTGGCCATGAGCGATGCCGCCACTACCGCCATGACCAGATACTTGGATAGCGGTGCATTGCTGAACCCGGATGCCAGCATCCTTGTTGCTGCAACTGTTTCGTCGTCTTGCGGGTGAAGAGGTTGTGTTACAGGAAGTATGGTAGATCATCCAGAGTCTCAAAGCCAAGAGGGACAACATGTCACTTCCCCACAAAACGTCAGCCACTCCACAACTCGTCCTGTCCACCAGCATGATGCTGTATAAGAAGGAACAAGAGCTGGAGAGTATAGCCAGAAGGCAAGCAAGAAGGCAGAAATGTGATCGGTAGCTATTTATACTGTATAGTGATAATAATGTTCTGCTTACAAAATGAAGTCAGCAAAGTGCCCATGCCAGGCAACCCCAAAGCAATAAACGCCTCTCCTCTGCGTAGCGAGAGAATACCTGCCACTTTACCCAATACAAAAGAAAAAAGTGAAAAACATGAGCAGTGGGAGTGCATCGTTCATGCACATAATGCTCGGGTATCCGTGTGTTCCCAAATTCCTTCCTCCCATAATGCATTTCCGGCATTCGTTGAACCAAATCATCTTTACTACCGCCGCCTCGTTCGTAATCCGTAATCGTCAGTCTTCATCCCCAACACTAGCCTCCTGCTGCAGCTACCTGCACTTCTGCTGTTGCGTCGATATCTTCGATTTCACGTCCACGTGGGTCGACCACAATTCGGTGTCCTCTTTTGCTCTCAGGTACACCATCTCGAGCTGCTCCAAAGTCCAGCACCTGCAGTCCGTTAGCTTCTGTTACAACACATCATACCGCTTTGCACGTACCTCGATGTAAGTAAGGTTGTTTCTTTGCACTGCGGCAACACACCTTCTCTCGTCAAAACGGACTTGCCACACTCCACTAAGATCTGAGAGCAAATCTCGCAGACACTCGCCTGTGTTGATGTTCCACATCTTGAGGGTACGATCTGAGCCACTGATGACCTTCTGATCATCGTGCTGGAAACATGTGATCGCTCCAGTATGTGCTGACAAGATGGACTGACAGTTTCCATTGTCAGGGTCCCAGATACGAAGTGTACTGTCTGCAGCAGCACTGACCAGGCGTCCATGGCTGAGATCCAGAAGACCTACCAGAGATGTATGACCATCGAGGTTAAACAGGCAATTGCCTGTTTCAAGAGACCAAACCTTGACCAAGTTATCCATTGACCCTGAGATACACCGCCCTCTGTCATGATCAAGGACTACACTGTAAACCTTTTGCGTATGTCCACTGAGTCGATGGACCATATCACCAGTTGAAATCTTCCACACTCGGACGGTGTAGTCATACGAACCACTAACAAGAGTGTCGCCATGTGCTGCGATGGCCCGAACAGAGTTTTGATGACCGGTGAGTACACGCAGAGAGTAAGGGTTGTCGCTGTCGTTTGCTGGAGGCCCAGCTTGGTGAATTTGAGGGTCACCAGGACGAGGCAGCTTCCAAACTCTGAGAGTTGAGTCACGCGAACCAGTGATGATTAAGGGCTCTTTTGGCATCATGATAGGCGAGCCGTCGGCAGCTGTGCCAATCTTTACAGGCTTCAGAATTACCAGACAACGAACGGTAGAGGTATGGCCTTGGAAAGTGTGTAGACATTTGCCAGAAGGAATGTCCCAGATACGGACAGAGCGATCTGTTGAGCCAGACACAAGTGTGTCACCTTCGTACTGCAATGCCCAGACTCCGCCTTCGTGGCCCTCAAGCTTTCTTCGTAGAATACCGGTTCGGGTGTCGTAGACGTTGATGTTCGTGTCGTCGCTACCGGTCAAGATCTTGTCTGAATCAAAAAGTAAGCAAGTGACGACATGGCGATGGTGCGCGCGGAAGGCCAAATGGTGTGGCTTTGCCTCGGAGTCCATCCAGCTTTTTGCGATCATGTAATGCCTTTGGTAGATAGACTTGAAGAGATGCAAGTTAGTTAGACTTGGGAGGCCGACGTCAGGTTTGGGCACGGCTTTGGCAGCGGCGCTTGCGTAAGCCATGGGACCTTGTGCTGTCTGGAAGTCGCGCAACCAAAGAGGGGAATCGTCTTGGCGTTTGGATACCTTCCGCTTTTGTCTCTTGTGACCACCAGTGCTGCTCGTTGCTTTTCTCTTGGTTCTTGTGATACGCAGCGATGCCGAAGATCCCGCATCATCGCTGCTGACCGAAGGTGCAGCTACAGGGCTTAAGGGCTCAAGCTCGACGACTTTAGAGACCGAGCGGGTCGACCTTGGTTGTCCCAAGTCTTCTTCGTACCCATCTAGAGAAGGTGCCTGCCATGCCCAACCCTCGCGTACTGCACGTTCAATCTCGCCCTCGGGCAACTTGAAGCCATCCCTGTCCAAAAGTTCTTTCCATGCTCTTTCATCCGAATCAATCAAATGCCTCCACTTCTTCGACACTTGAGCCGCACGACAGAGACTCTTGACATCCAAGAATTTTGTGATCTGCAAGCCCAACTCCACTGGTAGCACGTCAAACGGATCACACTTCAGTGCTGGGTTGACGAGCGAGGCGACGGTCCGTAATGTCTTCTTGGTGGAGCGTCTGAGCATCTGGTACAGCACGTAAGACTGCATCTCCTCGGGCAGAGCGTCGTAAGCATCGATCATTGTGGGAACGTCCATCAGCGTCAACGGAGGTAGGTTGGGTTGGCGAGTGTGAGACTGTGACTGGACGGTGGCCTCACTGGAGCTAGCAGGGGCATCCGGCTGATCGGTCATCATGCTGTCTTCGAGGTCCAGTCTAGATACTTGACTGGCGTTTTCGTCGTCGGCATCCCGGTTTGACAGGAGAAGCTGATGGCTGCGAGCCAGGTTTGCAGCAGCTGTGACGGGAGAGAGACTAGGGCTTGGAAGGCTGGCGTCCTGTTGTGAGCCACTCAGGAGACCTGCAGGTAGCGGTCGTGGTTGTTCAAGTCGAGGGTAAGGGGTCTCGATAGGTTCGAGATCACCCTCTGCAACTGGGGGGGTGGCAGTAGCAGCATCCCTTTCGAAAGAGTGACTTGGACCTGCAACGGACGCCTTTTGTTTTGCATGCTGTTCTTGCCATTCGCGGGCTTTTTGTGTCAGAGAAGACACTCGCTGCTGCTCGCGGTCATTTGCTGGAGCAGCATCAGTGTCCGGTGTTACTGGCATAAGACGATTCGTAGATCCTGGGATTGAGGATTGTTCATCGTCGGCGAGAGGGTAGGTGATACCAGAGCGGGTTCGTGATAGGAGTGAGCGAGGATGTCTTCTACGACGGTGCAGGCTCGCTAGCTCTGCAGCCTCGGCGAGACTGGGTGGTGAAGCAGGCCTTTTGGGTGGTGGGGGTCGAGAATCCTGAGCTCGGGTAGGTGTGTGATAATTTTGGGTTGATGCCTTTTGGCTGCGAATGGTACCGTTGGACTGTTGCAGCTGTGCTTGCTGTTGCTTGTACTGAACAAACTTGTTAGTGGTGAACCGGTCAGCACATGGCGAGAGCTTAGATACCTTGTCAAGTGACGACTGAACGTTCTGTGCCTCCTGGTAGACGAGCGGGGTACCTCCAACGTTGAGAGAAAAATGCTGCAGCGAAGAAGGAGTGGGCGTAGAGGCCAGGGGATATTGCTTGGGGTCTCGGCTGAGCATGTCCCTGGGCGGGCGGATGAGTAGAGGAGGCAGGGTAACGGTGGTTGTGGTAGTTGTCGTCACAACTGTCTGCTGGGTAGCGGGAGCGAAGGCCACATGGGCCATGGTGGTATAGGGCGACATGTCTTGGTGATGGTCGGGCGACGCGGGAGCGGTGGTGAACGAGGCCTGGGTGCTGCGTAGCGTCGCCCTCGTATGGTCGTGACGGGCCGGGGGATCCATGGTGTCGTCGGTCCTCGAGAGACGCCAAGGACGGATGGCTGCTTCAATATTGCTGCCGCCGTCGACAGGCAGGAGGGTCTCGTGCAAGCAAGCCCCAGAGCGTGACGACAGATCAACGCACGGGGATGCGAAGGTTGCAAACACGCTCGCGGTGCTGAGTCGTCTGTAGGCTGGTGGCTCGTTTTGTTAGAGAAGCATCGTCTCTGGGGAAGCAGGCAGAAGCGTCGAGTATCAAGATGTCGACGATGTCGGTTCGGTTGCTGTCGGTCAGGAAACAGGCCGTTCGCTGCCTGAGTCGCTTTGTCCTTGACACTTGCCTGTCGTTTTGCGGAGAAAAGCGCCACCGCCTGCGAGCCAAGCGACCACCAACGACTACGAAAACTTTGCCCAAGCCTGCATAACCTAGTATTTTTTCTCCTTCGTCATGCCCTTCCTTGTCTTGAACCTCTGATCCGCTGTTTACCGATCACTCCTTTGATGCCTCGGAACTTGCTGCCAACATCTACACAATTCTCTACGGGTATTCGTATTCTGGGGTACAAAGCTCTGTTCTTCTAGAAGCTCGAGCGAAATACCGCCAAAAAAGTCATCACGATCATGGCTCGTCATTGCCTAAACAGGCAACAACCTCTTTTGCTATGGTTACGTATTATGACCACGAACAATTCGCTTCTTCATTGATGCTTCTCAAATGATAGCAGGGTAGAATCAGCACAAGTGCACTTCAAATATCTTTCGAAACAGATCGTATCTTTGAGCGCGTGAGCAAATAACAATGAATTGGCACAGACGCAACTGCACATGTCACAACGGTGAGTAGTTTGTGATTTACTACGCATTCGATTGCTATCGACTTGTGTAAGAAGAGTACAGGCTGTACTCAGGATCAGCGACTTTGAAGCTATCTTCTTTTTGTCCATCTCTGTCCGAAAGAAAACACAAGAAAATGCCACAACAAAGATCCTCATCATGACCACCTTTTATCCCGCAAGAAAACAAGACTTTCGATAGACAATCTGACAAGACACTCCTGCCGTTGCATCATCTAGACTCTTCGTCCAAAGCCCACAATGGCTTGATGGATAATTTGTAAAACAGACTTTACTCGTTGTCAACAAGCATCGACACCCAGTAAGGCTTGTTGTTGCCTTCGTCCTGCTCATAGTCGGCGTCGCCGAGTCTGGAAGAAGGACGGGGAGTATCAATGTGCTGAGCAAGCTGGATTCTGGCAGGCAAGGGACTGCTGTCAGGAGTGCGAAGCTTTTCAGGGACCTGTCCAAAGCCATAGGTCATCTTGCTCTGAGAGCCGACACGGCTAGGTGTGGAAGGCAGACGGACGCCGTGGCGAGTGGGTGTGCCATAGACCGAGTTGTCCAAGGGGCTGGTAGTCAGCTCATACAGACTGCGCGACTGGCTGACAGGCGTCTTGGGGGCAACAGGCTGAGGAGGAGTAGTCACCGAGTTGTACGACCAAGTGCTGATGTTGTGCATGAATCTGTTGGTCGGCATAGTACGAGGAGTGCTGAAGTCGTAGTGCTCCGAGTGAATGTTAGGGTCATGCTGGGCAACAGAAGGCTTACGTGGAGGGGGCATCTCGAAAGAGATTCGGTTGTTACCACCTTCATTGAAGATCGAACCGGACTTGCGGTGGATGATCTGTTCGTTGCTAGGCAAGCTTGTGCCAATAGTGGCAGAGTTGCGCATGACAGGAGGCACGTTAGAGCTCTGCAGGGTGTGACCGCTCTGAGTCTGAGCAAGCGAGTTGGATCTTTCAACGCGGGAAGCTTGAACCCGAGACAGCGAGTGAGATGCCTCAATACGGGAGCTTTGAGCCTGAAGCTGGCCCAGCAAGTTGGACTTATCTGCGAGAGAAATTTCCGTGCTGGCAAGCTTCTTGTGAGGAGTGACAGGCATGGTCTTTCCATGAGCATCCGGGGCAGTAGTCATGGTTCCATCGGCGTACTTGAGGACAGGCAAGATCTGGAGTTCAGGCTTGCCGCGGTCATGGTGCTGCTCAGGCGATGCAGCGTCGGACTCAGCGCAGACGGTTCTCTTGCCCTCCTGCTTAGTGACCGAGCCTGGGATCGATGCAGGCTGGATTCTGCCGTCGGACTTGCCACTCTCCATGGTTCCTCTGCGGGTGGGTCTGTAGGTACCACGACCACGGTAGCTTCCACGACCAAACAATCTGGGACCCACAGGAGGAACTGTGGCAATCTTGCTGTGCTCCATAGCACGGCGGAAGAAGTCTACAGTAGGTGCAGCAAGCAAATTCTCCACGTGAGGTGCCTCGACATAGGCCTTGACAACCTCGCGGCCGGTGCCTTCGGTGTAGCTGAGGACTAGTCAGTATTGAGTAGCTCAAGACCAAGGAAATAACTTACTACATTCCATTCCACATCTGAGTAATTGATACCTGGTCGATCTTGCCCTCGACAAGAGGAATGACCTCCTCATAGGGGACAAGCTTGTTGTATGTCCACGAGATCATCATTGAGCTTGGCGAAGTCAGTTCGAGTCAATAGCTTTTGAAAAACAAGAGCGACTCACCCTTGGAGTTTGACCCACTTGCCAGTCTCCTTGTCCCAGAAGTCGGTCTTGACATCGGGGTCGAAAGCTTGAAGCTCTGAAAGACCGCAAAAGTGCTTGCTGAGCAGTGTTAGCAATCATAGCGAATTAGAAGAAAAGGCATTGTCACGAACCTGCCGGGCATCGACCAGAGGAACAGAGTCTTCATCGAGGGGTCCTCGCGGTTGGTGTGCAGACCCATGATGCGTGTCATGACGTTCTGGTTAGTGGCCCAGAATCCAGTCTGATGGGACATAAGAATGTCATCAAGATTGGGGCATTTAATGGCAACCACTTGCGACTTTGACAAAGTTAGTTGAATGGCGCTGGTCAGGTATGTAGATTTTTACTTACGCCATAGGGCATCGAGTAGTGGTCAGGGTTCATGCCACTGAGGATCGAGCTGGCTCCTCCAAAAGTCTCGAAAGAGTAGTTGTTGTTCTGAGCACGAACCTGCTTGAAGCTGCGAGGTGCCTGCTTCTGAACCCAGACAGGTGGCGGACCTGAAGGACGAACGTATTCTACGTCCTTGGTGGCATCTGGAGGAGAGGTGGTGACCTGCAACTTGTTTGGAGCAGCGGAAGCAGTGGGTGAGGCAGGGTCCTGAATCAAAGGCTTTTCGGTCTGATCAGCAGCAAGAGTCTTGGACGGGGTCTGGGTAACAGACGCGTCGACAGCGTTAGAGGCACTCTGCTGAGGAAGGTCGGAGACGTCTGAAGAACCATCATGATCGTGTGAGTGAGGTTCAGCCAGAAGTGGGCGAGTCTGAGTTAGAGATGAGACAGTGGTCTTCTTGTCGTCGAGATCGAGAGGCTTGACCAGAGCGCCGAGACCAGGGATCATGAAGCCAGTGGGCTGAGGGTTGAATGGAACACGCGAGACACCAACGCCGCGGGAAGCGCTTCCAGTAGATTCAATGAAATCAAGGATGCGTTGGTTGTCAGTGTTGCCAGTGAAAACAGGCGGCAATTCAGGAGGCTGGAGGTGGCGGACAGGTCCATCAGGTCCTGAAAGGCTGGGTCTTGTCAGTGAGACTTGCTATGTTTGCACAGGCTGAGCAAAATACTTACCCAGCGATGTTGTTGAAAGGACTGGGGCCAAAGCTTGTGGCCATTGCAGGCATGCTTGCGTTTCCGTTGGATTGAGGCTGATCACTGGTGGTAGCAGAAGGTTCAGAGTTGAACAAGGCCTTAACAGAATCACTGTTGAAGCTGGCGCGAGCGAGATGCTGCTGAGCAAGACGCTGCACGGTTGGATTGTGAATGATGCGTCTGCGCTTGAACACCTCAAGGTAGTAATCAGTACCTTCGCCAGCAGTGAGAAAAGCGTAATCAGACGGTTCGACAGCTGAGCTGCCGTTACGCTGAGCAGTGACGATCTCGCCAGTTGCAGAATCCTGGGAAACCTCCTGAGAGTTGGAGGCCGAGGATACACCAGAGGTCGGCTTTGGCGAATTAAAGTGCGCCGAGCCGGCGGGGGTGGTTGGAGGCATGTTGAATGCTGTTCGTATGTTAGCAAGCTTCAGAGAAGACGGCCGCTCCAACAAAGACGTACTTTTACGCAATTTTGCTGGTATACGAGATGGTAGCAGAGTTGCGCATAAAGAGTTGTGCGGATTACGCGAAGCGAGTAGGAGGCACGAGCTTTACGTATTGACAAGACGCGCTGTTAAAACTGGTCGCGAAGTGAACGCGCCAGAGACTTAGAACGAGCCAGGACTAAGTAAAGATGATAAAACAACACCTTCTCTCTTTCTCTCACTTGACAAGCGGAAAGGAAAACAACAAAGAGCAGATATGCTTGAGCCAGCAAGACGGCTATCAGAGCATGATACAACACCTACAAATAGTCGAGGACTACTGGACGCCATGTTACAGGCCAATACCAACCTCACATGGATATGATTCTACAGTGACCAGCGTCTTACAGAAATGACGGTCTGGGTATCGTGGCTTTTCGTATCGATGGCATATAGGCACAGGTAGACGACCATCGGGTTCCCACCACTCAACGTGGGTTTCTGATCGTCATGGAGAGCCCGTTGTATAGGCTCTGTCTCGAGCAGACATCGTGGTGGTGAATGGCGTATTTTCGTGCGTGCAGCAAGGTAGCAAGTGAAAGTGAAGAACTGCAATCATCGAGAAGTGAAGTCCGCTGAATGGCACGGACCTGCTCTGCACCGCACCGAAGAATCTCCGCCAACTCGCATTCCCAGACTCGCGGCGACCAAGGTGTTGCACTTGACATGTACGTCTAAGCCATAAATGTGCTGAGCTCATTGAGAAGATGATATTTGTCTTCCGAAGTCCATGTGTAACATCTATCGCTGTAAGCACCCCAATTAATCAAGTAGATCACCAGGTACAGACCACCTTTCTACATCTCTGAAGCCAGGCTGTATGAGAACAATGCTCAGACCTGATCAAAATTATTCATCTGGGCATACCTCGAGTGTAAAGTAGAACCTGTTATAGTATGTGAGACGTTAATTACAGGGCTTGTGCTGGCGAATTCGGAAAAGAATGGCTGACTCCGTCGATGGACGGCACCTTCCTCGATGACCAAGGTGCCTTCTGTTTCTATCTACCTTCGTTTGATCGCATGACCCCGCTCTGGAAAGTCTCTGCAACTTCAACTAGCAAAGTATCCATCCCTCTGTCGCCTCTGTGCCTTGCATCGCCAGGATCTCATCGCGGACATGGCTCAAGTCACGGCTCAGCGCCAGATAGTGGCCACCAAACCCAAGTTGACTCAAAAGCAGAGTACTGAGACAGTTCAAGTCATGCTATACACCTCGGTCAGTGTAGCTGCTATTCCTCTTGTAAACTCTTTCCATCTGGCTAACATGGACTCAGGCTAGTTTGCTTTGTTGCATGAGGTGTGAATCGTCCTCTATGGTAGTTCAATCCAAGTGTACTGACAAGCCGTGCAGAAGTATCTTTCCCGCTTTGGCATTTGATGTAGTCGAACTCGCCGAAGATGATGAATTCTACACCTTTGAGAACCTCATGAATGGCAAACACCCCCGTCGAGAGCAGCCACCTTCACCGTCCAGCACTTCGGCAAGATCATCAGAGCCTAAAATTCCGAAGATTCCATTGCTCAAGAGAGGTCGAAGCATCCGTGCAGACCAGTTCCTCGATGCTCTTGTACGTCACACAACCTGAGATATTCTCTTCAATACTGACACGACTGCCTCATAAGAACACAGCGTTTGAAGCATTGCACCGAGGCACATTGCATGCCCTGCGAATCCCTTTCATGGGTGATCCTGATGTCAACGCAGACTCTCTCGAACTGTGGTCATTCCGTATCATCTACAAGCAATCTCCAGAGGGTGGACGTGAAGTTCAAGGACTCGAAGCCAACCTCGGTAACGAAGAAACGTTCGATCCGAGTCTTTGTGTCAGCGATTTATTGCTCAGAGTGGAAGAGCAATGCAAAACACTCCCACAATTACCTGGTGAGATGCATATTGACCTCATCACTATCCACTTGCTTGGCTGATCCAACTTTCAAGACGACCGCTATATTCAACCCAGTATCTTGTACAAAGACAACGGATGGGAGCCGAAAGGCTACGTAAAAACTCAATCTCAGCAGTCCGTTGAGGGATTTGCCGGCTGGCAACCATATAAGGCAGATCTAGGCATCATCAGTGGTCTTCATCACGAGTAAGTTTATTATCTCGAGAAACAATATCTATCGTTGTCTGACATCGTAAGTCTCGCCCTCCGCGTCTCGGCCCTCAAACATGAGCATTCGAGCACAAGACGGATTTCCCAGGATCTCCAATCTCGCAAGTCTGGTGCGAACAGAGAATCACAGCTTGACAGCAGTCCCGCCGCCCTCGCTGGGGGCGATTCTCCTATTCAAACAAGGACCACCTCTCCAACTTCACGTAGAAGGACCTCTGCCGATTCAGCTATACCAGAAACTCCTCGGCATCTTGGTCAGCCCGACAAAGACAGAGTATCTCCTGCAGATTCCCACGCTCTCACAGAAGCCACAAACAACCACGTTCTTAATGCGGCTGGGCTTCTCAGACCGAACGTATTGCAGAGTCGAACTGCAAGACCTGCCACCTCAGAGCAATTACAACAACATGATTACTCCAGTGCATCGCAGATTGAAGACGATATAAGACGCAGAAATTCACTGGAAAACATGGTAAGTCCTTCATCGTCCAGGACTTGTCACAAAACTTACAAGCTGTTCAGTTGAAGCCCAGCTCGAACCGTGAAGACGACTTTGTAACTCAAGTCCGGACAAGTGCGAGCCAGGTATTGAACGATGAAAACAGCCCAAGTCCGGAGTTGGCTGAGCACGTGAGAACATATAACTTCCTTACTAGCGAAACAGCATACCGTCTATGGATCCGAAATAGTGAACTTCAGACTGGGCTGAATACGAATGAGTCTATCACTAGCTGCCGATGCCAGCTTCATGACTCGACGGACGACATGGTATGCTTATGATTGCTTTCGCGGAGTTGTGCTAACTTCTGCCATAGGCACGATGCAGCATATGTGGTGTGCAGCAGCATTCTATCTGTCAAGGCTATCTGGGTGATGTCCGCCAACCTCCTCAACACATCTGCCACCTTTGTTTGTTCGGTCGTAAGATCGACAGAGCCACTCTTGCAAAGCTGTGTGAGCTAGCCTTGCAGCGGAGAGTCATGGATCTGCTCCTCTCCGGAGATATTGATAACACAGTTGAATTGAGTAGGAAGCTCGGTATGTATGAATGGCCCCACCCTTGTAGAGTGCTAACAAGGATCTCTTCGACAGATATGCAATTTGACAAGGTCGCAGCACTGGTCACGTCTTTGGTTTCACAGAAGTTTGTTGAGGAGCAGAGCGGACGTTCCACTCGAAACTCGCAAGGCAAGATTACATTCCCAAAGTCGGTCAGCACACCAGAGTATGTCGATTCTCTTGCGAAGCTCTTTGATCCATACCAAGTTGTGGGACATCACGTAAGCGTGCACAGCCTTGTTGACATGACGGTGGTGCTGACTGTGTAGTTTTCCGATGCTGCAGTGTCAGACGACTCGGATGTGAATGTAGCACAGACACTGAGAGCCAGATATACAATCCTCAAAGAAGTTCCGAGCATTGTAACGCCCGGCGTGTCGCCAGAGCACAAGGGAGACGTGACTGCGAACGCGAGCAAGGACACGACCCGAAGCGCAACCACCACTACAAAGAAAAGATCGAGGACCAGTCAGCCAGAGGCAGTCGAAACGAGCGAGCAAGCAACGCCGCTTCGCCAGTCGCCCAGAGTAACAACTCGCACACCAAAGGTGACGGAAGCCATATTCGGCTACTGGATCAACGGACAGAGTCTTCCATCCAGAGAGCATCCAGAAATTAAATCGAAGCGATTCAAGGGCAACTCGTAAGCACGGCTACGACTCATGTGGGATATGGGGTCCAGCCTCGGGGCTTTGCTTGAGTGATGAGCAGCACAGAGATTACAACTCATGTCGGCAGCATTATTTACGTTCGAGTGGCTCGGAGGATTGACAAACGAAGGTAGAGAGACCAAGGTATAGCTATGTGGCTTGAGATAGCATGTGCAGAAATTCACAATTTCGGTTAAATGGGAGTCAGGCCCAGTTCGAGCAGTGAAAAGCAGTCGATCTCGGGGAACGAGACTGGCGCTGTAAATTCATTGAGCATTTGCTCAGCTAGACAGCAAAGGAAGGGGCGTGCGAGGATCTCCATATTTGATCATTTAATTATGTGAGACAGTCAATTGCGTGAGAGAGGATCATGGGCTGTGCACTGGGGAGACCCATATTGATTTGCAGCGAATCAAAAGATGAGTGGAGCTGGATTTCTCGAGGTTTTGTCATGGTTCACGACGGGACAGACAAGGTTATGTTGCGCATGAGGAAAAGAACTAGGGGTTGCAGGGCGTGCGTCGCGATGCGATGGACGACGTCCAGCAACAGTGGACCCCCACGTTTCAAGCGGAAAGTTTGTCGACGAGAATCGAATCCTTCGGCGGCTCGCGCTAAAGGACCGCCGCCCCAGGCGCCCCTGATGCTGAGTGGTGGTGGGACTCAGTCGAGAGTTGGCGAGCGACGCCGACGGATCGAAAGCCACCATGGCCGGAACAAAGTGGACTCGGCGGCCACTAACCAAGCTGCCGGCATGGCGACATTGTCGAAGCGCGAGGGAGATTGATTTCCTGATTTTCGGGCTCATCTGACGGTGCACAGTCTCGTTGTTCGCAGTTGCAGGCTGCAGGTGGTCTGCAGCACTCATGATCCTTTTGTCGTTGACAGCGAGTACGCGCAACCGTCACAGCAGCAAAAGCGCCCCTGACCCATCCACATTTGGCGGATAGCGTACCGGTTTTGACGTCGATTCGGCAAGATCGCAGTGTTTTTGCACCCACAGGGCCACAGGGGACGAGGCTTCAACTTGGCGTCCAGCCTGTCAAGACGCTCAATCGCGTCGACGAGAGTTCGCAGCCGTCCGCCCGTTGCGTATCGCAACTCTGTACGCTGCTCCTCGTCCAAGCCGTTGGCCGGTCCATCGATAAGGAGGCTACAGGGGGGACTTTGTCGCTCTTTTCTTCGTCTACATAACCAACATGTCGTCCGCCGCGCCTGCGCGCCATCCCAGGCCTCTGTATTCTGCCGAACCCAAACGTAGCCGCGACCGACTCGACACGGACCCAGACGTCGAAAAACGCTTCCAAGAAAGCATAGGATATACACTAGCCACCGAAGGAGGAGACGATCCAACCATGGGTGCCTCGGGGACTCTCCAGATATGGCCAAAGTTGCACATGGAGCCATACCAGAACATGCCCGACCTAGACAAGGCGAAGTTCAATCGCCTGCCCAACGCTCACACCGACCCTTTCCTCACACAGCCCGCCAGACCCCGACCAACCTTGCACGCTGCTGCCAGTCAACCGGATCTGTATTCATCGTCGCGCAAGAATGCTATCATGACCGATGCCGCCAGACCTCCACCCATGCCGCAACAACTTCAGCGCAGCCACAGGGTCGATTTTTCTAGACTTTTCTCAAGACACAAATCCAAGAACAAGGACAAGGAAAAGGAAAGATCATCGAGGCCTCCAACTGCTCACGTACCTGCGCTGCCGTCATTGCCTCTACCGCCCCCACCACCGGTGCCTGTCGCTACTCGCTCTCGTCAAGGTAGCGATATCTCGTCTGTCCGACCTGCATCTTCAGGAACCTCGAGTCAGCGTATACAGGCCACTGTTTTTGACCGAAACGCTACCGAAAATGCAAAGATCAACGTGCGCAGGCCGCCAAGGGGGATCAAGCATTGGTTCGAAGGTCTGGACTCATCCGATGACGACTTGCCCGAAGTTGTTACTCCTGCCGAAACCATTCATCAGTCTGCTTTCAACCCAGCACTTGGTCCAGGAAGATCTAGAGTTGCACCTACCTCGCGTGTTACACCCACGTGTGAAGGAGCATCATCGGATTACTTCCACTACCAGAGCTCTACCCACGCAAAGTCGCAGCATCAGAATCTCCAAGAACGCAGCATGCTGAATCTCTCATCAGACGAAGAGGACGAGCACTCAGAGCCTCCATCACCACCCAGATGGGCAGACCACTCGACTACGGCAAGCGGACCCGCATCTGACTCAGTAAGCTGGAACAAGACTGCTGCTACGAGACAGTCAACCTTCAGCATGCAAACAACAATGACGTCTGGCTCTATTCCTATCATCCATGCCGACAACCTGGAAATGGCTTACCGAACTCCTCTACCTCCTCTTCCTGCCCAATACCAACAGTACAATGATGTCAACCCTGTCCCTGCTCCTCTGCGCAAGCAAAAATCATATCATTTCTCGTCTCCTGGGCGCACCAGAGCAACAAGCATTACATCTACCGGCATGCAAAGTGCCACCAGTGCCTCTAGCAATGGACAGTCTCATGTCATGACTGTGACCCAGGAGGAGATGGCTCTGCTCGAGATGATGCGTCGCAAGAGAGCTGAGATGCAGGCCCAGTCTAGCCATCCCGCTCGAAGACAAGATTCATCCAGCCAACCCTCTCAGTACGATCGCAAAAACTCAGCCATTCGCAGCACCGCCTCATCGACTTTCTCAAGGGGCAGTGCTATGAGTATAGGTCTCATGCTTGACGCTCCTGAAGGCACTGCCTTTCCTGCACCTCCAAGCAACAGGGTCGTTCACGAAACACAGGACATGAACTATTTCACGCTCGATGAGAGAGACGAGAGACGCACCAACAGATCATCAGACATGTCTACTCCTCACTCGGACATGCTGGCCGAGTTGGAGGCGCCTTCCGAGCAGCTGCAGGCTCTCTGCTTCCAAAAGCCAACCAAGTCTCCAAGCTCGAGTCAAAACAAGCTTGTCCCGTTTGAGAACACAGCCGATCCCTACCGTCTCGCTCCAGATCTTGAGCTGTCTTCTCTCGACCTCCTGCCGCTTCCTGCACGCACATACTCTCCCTCCCTCACTGGTACCTGCAGTTCAGCCATGACCCCTGAGTTCAGTACCCACGGTACAACCAACTTCAATGTTGCTGGCAGTGATAGCGAAACCAGCAGCGAGGCAGACAGATACCGCAACAGCGTCAAGACCATGGACAGTGTAGACATGGATGTCATTACTGCCTGGGGACGCTTGGGTGGCCAGTAAATCACCATCCCCCTTCACCTTGCAATCTGCTTGAATCTTCTCATTTGTCCATATGATCTTCGCTTCAGCCTCTTTTATGTTTTTCTTTCATGAGATCACGATCTAAAATATTTGGGGTCTGTCGATCAGACGGGAAATCTTGGCGTATAATTTTTAGTCTTCTTACTTATATACTATGTCACTTGTGTGGATGATGTCTTTTGACGACGCATTACTGCATGCAATCAAGATCTTTCTTTCGTACTGTCCTCAATTGAGATCCACCGTTCTTTTAGCTGTGTGACAAGTGCACGGTGACCTCGACTGGGCTGTTTGTCAATATCCAATACAAATCCAACTTTCAGGTCCGGACAGTGCATTGCATCAATGCGGTTGAGATAAGCAAGGCAACAGGAAGGGACTCAGGCACCAGAAGCAAGTACTGGACTACATCGTTCCTGCCCATTTTCCCAAACTTCTTCTGTCTGCCATCGGTCAAGAATTCTCCATCGGTCGTGACTTCCTAACCGCAAAATCGAAACCTCGTTGACGATCTTCTGCGTTGCACTTTCCCATGTTGCTGATCTAGCTTGTGGCCATGATCACTTTAGTTTCGCTCCTGCGCAATATTCATGGATCAAAGCTAACAACAACGCTGGAAACCCATTCTTCCTGCTCACGTCTTGTCAATCCACACCCCTGGAGCGGGCCTTCTGATGCGCCTTTCCTCGCTGCTTTGGTCAGTTTATCTGGAATATGTCGCTTGTTGCGTCGCAGGTTCTCCAAAACACCTCAAACGCTGGTACCCACGACCCCAAGTCAAAGTCGCTAGTGGTAGTACCCTGTCCTTCAAGTTGCCAAGCGATATCGCCACCAACAGCATGATAATTATTGGTTATAATCACGAGTCTGACTTCTAAGACTCCTTCTCTATCGATATACCGAGTTTGAACTCTTGTGGAGCCGTATACCCGACGTTGACGTCTTTCATCCGCGACGCCATAAACACCAGCCAGTTCACAATGTAATCAACACCGCTTTCCTCGAGCAAGCACGATTTTACCGAGACTTTTCAATTCTGGCCCACGAAGATTGCCGGCTGACCGAATAACACTGGCATGTCTCTTTTTGTGAACACGACCGACCTCATCCTGCCCTGGACTACTTGATCTTCCTGCCAGACGTCTTGACGACCCATGGCAAGCGCATGATATAGAATACTACCATGCGAGGTTAGACATGAACAGGTCGGTTAGCTCAGTTGGTTAGAGCGTGGTGCTAATATCCACCCATGATATACGGCACGCCAAGGTCGCGGGTTCGACCCCCGTACTGACCATCATCTTCTTTTGCTCGTCGAGGACATCTTCCGGCGTTAGCCCTATCATTTTCGGTTGTGGTGAGCCGGAGAAATCATTTTTGAGGCTTCACTCTCGAGGCTTAAGGGTTTGCAGGCTTTGTGTGGGGCTTGGCATCTAGCTCATGTTTTTGTGATACTTTGTGCATGATTGTTATGCAACAAATGCTCCTGGAAAAGCCAAACATAAACGGTAGACATCTGCAGGCGAGAGGGCGAGAGGTGGTACACAATTTTCTTATAACTTTGGTCGACATACAAACACACACTAACCCGAACGACAACAAGACTTTGTGCTATACAGTGCACGGTGCAAAGACAGAGATGATGGACACGAGTTGGAAGAAGAACGGGCCCTTGTTGAAGTCGGGCTTGGTATCATATATACAAGTCATCACAGTTCGTATCTATTACACAAAGAATTCATGTTGAAAAACAAAAAGAGGTCAACCAAAGAACGAACTTTACTCGTCGTCAATGGTCTTTCTGGAGCGGCCCCTCCACTGCACGTAGGCTACAGGGATGATACCCACACCAACCATCAAAGCAGTACCAACACCTGCACTTGCCTTGAGTCCAATGTTTTCAAACATCTGGGGGAACCAGAAGGGGCCGATGAAGCCCCAGATCTGGCGAACAAAGGTGATGAAGACACCGACACTGGCAGCTTCTTCTGGATGACAGTCGACAGCGTAGGTGATGAGGACAGTGGTGACAATCTGGTTACCGACGGCAGCGATGGCGGCACCAACGAGGGGTGTGACGTTCCATTTTTCGGTGTCTTGGGTTTGAATGAGGAAGACAATGTAGCCGACAATGCCAAGAATGAAGCCGGAATACGAGAGCCAGAGACGGTATTCAGGCATCGGACGGTGGCCGGCAGGCATCTTGTGAGTCTTGCGCCTCATCCAGAAATCGGACAGGACACCTCCTAGTTGTTCGCCGATAACAGAACCGATGATGATACTAGCAAATTGGTAACCAATCTGCTGAGCGTTGAAATGGTACTTTTCCTGGAACAGCTGAGGAATCTCGACAGTAACGAGAACTGAAGTGAGTAGGAAGACCATGGCGTATGCAGCAGCAGGAATCAGGACCGTGGCATGGCGACCCATGCTCAAAGGTTGAATGAAGTCCCAGGCTCTGAGTGGTGTAGGGTCAATGCGTCTGAAGCTCCAGTATTCTTGCTTGAGATCAGATCCGCGGTGCTCGACACCTTGGCGAAGGTATCTTGTCTCGGGACCGAAGAAAATGTAAAGGATGAATTGGACACCGTTGATGATAGCGAGGATGTAGTAAATCCAACGGTAGCCGATGTTGTTGGCAACGAAACCCATGGTGAAGCCTCCCAATGGGACACCAAGGGTAACCATCAAGGTCCAGATACCCATGTACTTTCCGCGCTCCCTCTTGAAGAAAGTTTCACCGACGACACCACTTCCAATAGCTCCAGCAGGACTGATGAAGAATGCGACTAAGGCTCTGCATGCGGCCATGCTGGCGTAGCTATGACTGTAGGCACAACCGATGTTGCAGACTAGACTGCAGATTGTGGAAATCAACCAGATCGGGCGACGACCGTATCTTACAGAAAGAGGTTTCCAAAAGAGAGGAGCTCCTCCCAGGATTGCAATCTGTAAGGATGTGAGGTAAGAGGCTCTCTGAATACTACAGCCCAAGTCGAGGTGGATGTTGAAGTAAGCGGGAATGATTGCTGCAGCCGTGAATGTGCCCATCATAGCATGGAAGGCGACCAACAACAGGTTGATCGTTTTCTACGACGTGTCAGATCTTGTGTGAAATTGCAAAGAATGAGTCACTAACCTTCCAGGTCGCCCAATTCAGCGGATCAGCATCACCAAAGCCGGGCATAGGATCCAGCTCCAATGTGCCATGTCTCTTCAGAAGGTATTCGCGATGTCCTGGGGAGAGGTTGGCTGCATCGCCAGCAATATGTGTTGACCATGGTGCCAGACCACCTGTCTCAACCTTTTCGAGATAGTCTCGTCCAGGGGCAGCGACACTAGTATCCGTCTCCGAAGGCTCGCGAAACTCAGCCTTGGAGTCAGAGGTATGTTGCATTTTGTCCATATCACAACTTTGATGAGAGAGGTAGGTATCGAAGGAAAGTATAGGTGTTGGGATGAGCCCTTTTATCCCCTGGCCAGCAACTCGAAACGGTTGGCCTCAATATGAAAAATTTGTGGAGAGAGCAATCGATTCTCTCCGCTTCCCCACAAGCGTCCTTGCGAATGGGTGTCACTGTGGTCCTAGCGAGTAGTATGTACCCACTTAGTGCCCAAATATGATAGGGCAAGTGGGTCTTCTGGTTCCAATGCTTCACCGGATTGTCCGGGGTATTGCTAGATGGATGTTTGACAGATAAGAGTTTCTTTGACAACGCATATCGGAAAACATCGTCTTGTGCATCTTGAGATATTCAGTTTCAACAGAAATCGAATGTGCTGAAAGATGAGGCGTTCCAAGCAAAGTCTGTCGCGATCAAGCCTCCCAAGCAATTGTGCCACCGCGGCTCAAGTATCGTTCGCGCGTAGGGGGCGCTGGAGCCAGATCTGGGCAAAAGAATATTATCCTTGTTCGCGGCTCTTGCTGGTTCCAGAGGCGAATCTAGGGCAAATGTTTTACGCCGTCACACACGCTAGTCTGCCTTGATTTAACTCCGAGCTCCGAGATTGGTTGTCTGCCGCGCCCAACTAGGGGGTTGTGGTAACGAACCCCATGGTGGCCCCCGTACCCCACTGGTTTGTGTAGAGGTGCCATTAATATAAGACACGGACTCTGGAGAGCAATTTTCATGGGGAATTTGTCGTGCAGACTGCAGTGAGGTTCAAGTCGAGGGGTCTCGACCGATTGTAGAACTTGGGGAATGGACAACCTACCTGTGTGTTTTTACCCCTGGGCCTGGGTGATTGCCATTGAGATGAATTCCAATGTATAAGATGGCGCCTCCCCTCCCGGACACATACTCGAAGTCAGGTGGTCAGCTGTGGTGGTCTCCAGAACAGACGTCTTCCGGCTCATTTCTTCTTTGGAGCTGCGCAACCGTGCAAGTTGCAACTCCTTCTGCGGGTCACTCCCTAAGTCGGACGTCCGCATCAGGCCCACTGGTAGAGTTGCCGTTTCATCAGCAGCTGCCGACGTTCAAGTCATCCAGTACCGATATCGACGACCCAGGCCGAAAATCCGTGAAGGAAGGAAAAAGCAGCAGTGTGCGAAGGACCGGCAGATGCTCCAAAGTCGAAATGCCGATTTCTTCTACCGAAACAACGCTGGCAGGCACGTCACAATCTCACGTGCCTCGATGATGTATGCTCTTATCATCCGAAACTCGAGTGCAATTATCCGGTCTGATGCGAGAAATCAGACATACCATTCTTTCAAGTTTAACAATCGAAATCGCATTGACACGGGACCAACGAGGAAGCGGCGATCTGTTCGGTGACGAAAGGAAGAAGTCTGGAAGGTACAGAGAGCTTGTCAAGTTCGAAGAAGCGGAAGACTTCCGCGGGAACTTGTTGCCAAAATGGTGGGGAAGGTTTCGTCACAGAATCTGGGGCCCCAATAATGCCCAAAACAACGATCGCTGGCACGGTAGTTGCGACTTGCAGCATCTTGCGTGTCGCGCCCTGTCAAGATCCTCCAAGCCCGAGGATAAGGAGAAAGCAAATCCGAGTAACCGAGAGCTTTTGCAACTGCCGTTCAGGAGCCAAGTCTCGAGTCGTTCTTTGTCCATGTAGCCTCCTGTGACACCACGGCAGTTGCAACATGGCTCATTGCCGAAAGCTGCATCTCGCTGGTATTCAAACAGAGTATTGGTGTAAACAGCTGTAGAACATATAAGGTCCCTGCTGCAACTTGAAGATCAGAGGAGTATCTCTTGTGCACCACTCTTCCACACCCTCCCTCTACATTCTCTTCAACTGAGGCTACTCACACGATACACCAACCCATCACTACTGCCAGCCGAGCATCTTGAAGTTTAACACATCATGATCATCGGCGAGCTACTGCCGCTTCTGGTGGCATACTGGCCAATCGTGCTCGCAGCATCAGTAGCCGCATATCTTCTCAACAACAAATTCTACAAAGGCCTAAACAAATACCCTGGTGCTCCGCTAGCAGCATACACAAACTGGTGGCGCTTCTTCGAAGTATGGGGCCAGAAGTCAGAGTATACTCACAGGGAACTGCACAACAAGTATGGAGACATTGTCAGACTCGGCCCTAATGTTTTGTCGTTTGCCGACCCCAAGGCTATCAAGACCATCTATGGCTTGAACAAGGGAATGACCAAGTCGGACTTCTACCCCGTTCAGCAAGCTGTCTCAAAGGGCAAGCGTCTGCAATCGCTGTTCTCGACCACCTGGGAGGACTACCACGCCAAGTACAGAAGATGCGTCAACGGTGCTTTTGCCATGTCCTCGCTGGTCGAGTACGAGCCTCTGGTCGACAGCACAACCGATGTTTACATTGAGCGTACCAAGGAGCTTTACTGCGGAGAAAAGGCACAGAGATGCGATTTCACTCGCTGGTTGCAGTTCTATGCCTTTGATGTTATTGGCGAGTTGACTTGGAGCAAGCGTCTGGGTTACATCGAGAAGGACGAAGATGTCGATGGCATCATCGCCTTCTTGAACAAATTCCTCTCGTACGCCGCACCTGTAAGTGGCTCTTGACCTATACCTTTGATTGAACATCACTGACAATATTTTCTAGATCGGCCAAATGCCTTTCCTTGATCTTCTTCTTGAGAAGAACCCCCTCAAGCTTCAACTCGAGAAGTGGGGTCTTAACAAGAAAGTTTTCCCTGTCACCAAGTTCGCACTCGACCGCTCAGGTGAGCGCAAGGACGAGATGCAAAAGGTTCGCGAGACTGGAGTTGTAGAGAAGCGTCCTGGCCGCGGTATCGACCTTCTCACAAAGTTCAACCAAGCTCAGCACGACCATCCTGAATTCATGACCGATGCTCAGGTTTTGGCAGCATCGACCAGTATGGTATTTGCTGGCAGCGAGACTACCGCTATCAGTTTGAGCAGTGTCTTCTACCACTTGGTCAGACACCCCAAGGTCTATGCAAAGTTGATGCAAGAGCTTGATGAAGCAGCTGAAACCGGTGCAATTCAACAACGCGAGAACAACAAGGTATCCTGGGCAGAGAGTCAGAAGTTGCCTTACCTTGACGCTGTCATTCAAGAATCATTCCGCATGCACCCTGCCGCTGGTCTGATTCTTGAACGTATCACTCCCAAGCAAGGCATTGAAATCTGCGGCGAGCACATTCCCGGCGGCGTCATCGTTGGCTGCAACTCCTGGGTCCTGCACCGCCGCCCCGAAATCTTTGGCGCAGATGTCGACACATTCAGACCTGAGAGATGGATCGAGGCCGATGCCACGAAGCTCAAGGAGATGAAGGCCACCATGTTCCAATTCGGCGCTGGCGCCAGAACATGCATTGGCAAGAACATCAGTCTGTTGGAGATTTACAAGCTGGTACCTACCTTCCTGAGAACTTTCGAGATCGAGATGGATTGTGATGACTGGAAGACAAGAAACGCATGGTTCGTCCGCCAGAGCGAGTTCTACACAAACTTCAAGTTGAGAAATGTGCCTCGCGAGGTTCCTGTATAGATCAGATAGCAATTCTGTAATGATACCCAAGTCCTGTTTTCAAATCTGTCAGTCAATAATGTCAATACCTTGAGTGCTCGGTGTCAAGTCTCCGTAGGGCCTCGGCCACCAACCGTTGAAACCTTGATGGCAACCCCGCTCTCCCTGCTCTTTGAAAATACAATTATATATCAACCCCACACTCCCTGACTCTTGTGACAGTCAAGAATCGATTCGACAGAGACATCATGCCAGACATCACTCTGTACTTTCTGCAAGCTTCTCGTTGCATCCGCACAGCCTGGCAACTCGAAGAACTCGGCCTCGACTACAAGGTCGAATTCACAGAACGCGAAAATGGAAAAGCTCCTCAACACTTCAAGGACAACTCTGGCGACGCATTGGGAAAGTTTCCTTTGCTCAAAGATAGAGACTTGACAGTAGCGGAAAGCGGTGCTATTGCTGAGTATGTTGAGAGTCGTGCAAAGTCTACTCGGGTGTTTTGAGATTGCTGATCAAGACACAACAGATACTTGTGCGAGAAGTACGATACCGAGAATAGACTGCTTCCTACAGATTCAGCCACACGCGTGCAGTGTCTTCGCTGGCTCCATGCATCGGAAGCCACGTATGCGCTGCACGCGCTGGCCATCCTCTACACCCGCTGGTTCGGCGCCGACAACCCAGCCGCAGCCGAGAAGATCGAGGAAGGCATGGCAGTAAACGTGTGTAAAGACATGGACTTCCTGGAAGCACATTTGAGCAAGAGCAACGGAAAGTTTCTGGTTGGAGATAGTGTTACAGTGGCTGATTGCATGATGCACTTCTCGGCTCAATTCATCCTGACAAGGCAATTGGGGACGAAGGGGAAGAAGTGGGAGAGGATTGAGAAGTGGATCGCCGACTGCGAGAACACGGAGAGCTACAAGCGTGCAGTCCAAAAGACAGGCCACAAGCTGTAGATTCCAGCTATACACATCTCCAAATAAGATATCAGATATACCAACATTTCGCTACATGAATTGATGCGACAAGGTGGAAGAAGCACGAAAAAGTCACGATGATGTCAAGTACGTTTTGCCAGGGTCTCGAAGCTTCCCCCACTCATGCCAAGCCTCTTTCCAAATGAGACCACGAGATTGCGGACCCCTCATTCAGACCTTCTCTTCCTCCTTCCATCTACCAAATCACACTTCTCTCCAAACCACCTCTTTCTATACAAAACCAAACCGTCAAAATGGTCGCCCAAACCGCCGAGTTCAAGAAGGCCGTCGAGGACAGCCGTAAGCTCCAGGCCAAGCCCTCGGATGACGAGCTCCTCCAGGTATGAGAGCAGCAGCTTCGAGTAAAGAGGAGACACGCGAGACTGACTGTGGTTGGTGTAGCTCTACGGACTGTTCAAGCAGGGTACTCAGGACCCTCCTATCGAGTCCTCTGACAAGCCCGGCATGTTCGACCTCAAGGTAACGCCTACACCCTCTCCCCACAACAGCTACCCAGCAACAAGAACAAGTCACTGACACGTCTCTTCCACGACAGGGCAAGGCCAAGAGAAACGCATGGCAGAAGCTCGTCGACGAGGGTGTCACCCCCGAGGAGGCCCAGAAGAAGTACGTCGCTCTCGTCGAGTCGCTCAAGAAGAAGCACGGTTACTCTGGTTAAATAACGACTTTTTTTCGTCTTTCGAAATACCCCTTCTGTCATGAAATAAAGAGAAGCAATACCATACCATATTCTGCATAATACTGCCCCTTGCTTGGTCGCCATCCTTACGTGTTTCTTCCTTGCAGCCATACAGCATACTAGCCAGCCTCAACCAGCCGAGCTACGGGCACCTCGAGCCTCATTCAGCCATCTTCGATGCATCAGACGTTATTCATCAACCATAGCGAAGCTCCAGATACCATCGTCACATGGTTGGATTGTACGTTTGCCACATAACGCCCTTCCAGTCGGGTTCATTGTGGGACCTTTCTGCACACCATGGCACCTCGTTGGTAGCATAAGGTGCAAGTGGCAGATCGTATGGCATTCTCACACCAATCATTCTGTCGACCCCTACCAAGGTGGCGTCCACGTCAGGGTCGTCTTTCTTGAAGACAGGCACCATAGACGCTTTCTCTTCCTTGTCAGCAAGCCACTGTGGACACACGAGGACACCAATCTCGAAACTCGAGATGTTGACTTCTCGATTCTTGTTTGCCATTTCTCCCCAAGCCTGTTTCGACAGGTTCGCTGATGTCACTAAAGTCCAGTCGATCTTGTTGCAGTCGCTGTCAGAGAATCTGATAAAGGTCTTGATATGTGGCGCAGCACGACGGCGACCTGCTTGTTGCACGCTGTTTCGCTCTCCGTTTGTGTCACCTGCCCAAGTGCACAGCAGAGGCTTCATGTAGCTCAGCTGCTTTTTCTGTACGTCCGAGTCCAGCTTCATATGTATCGAGCTTCCAGATTGGTAGCCGTCTAACGAGCGACGGATCTCATCAGCAGTAGGGAAGATGACCCGAACCGATGCTGGTTCTGACCTTGGTCGTTGCCCAGTAGTAGTCGTTCTTAGAACATCGAAAAAGCCATTCAACCATTTTTCGTACAAGGTACCGATCGATGATATCTGGACATTGATCTGAGCCCTGCTTGCTGGTGTAGTCGCCGGAACTTCTTTCAGGACTTGCTCTAGACTAGGCCAACCCCAAAGACTTTGTTTGTTGTCGGCGGTATCAGAGCCGATTTGCTGCTTGCCCGGCACACTGGCAATGAGGGCAGCCTTGATAGACGAAAAATCGTATCGTTTGAGCTGGTCAATCAGAGGACGGGTAGGATCTCTGAACTTGCTCTTGTAACCTTGCAGATAGCTGAGCAGCTCTCGTTTGAACCGAGCACCAGAGCCTATGGGAGCTACTAAAGTCTCGTCGTCTGTACCGGATAAAGGTAGAAGTGGTGACCGCCAGACTGCTTGGGTGAGATTTGTCCAATCTTGGGTAATCATGTTGGCCGTATGGATGATGATCTGTGCGGTATCGTCATGTCGAATCAAGATCATCATCTTGGAGTGATGTGTTCCATAGGCAGGTAACCAGATATGCATTGTTTCAACGTTCGGATACTTCTTTGCTGTGGCTTCGAGATTGAGTCGAGAAGGGTTGTTCGGCTTGTGAAAGCCATGGATAATTTTGGTCTTCACCGTATCACGGACATCTTCGTCAAGGTGGCTCATAATAAAATCAATGTCCAACAGGAAGTTGAATTGCCATTGCTCTTTGATCATAGGATCTCCAAGAATGTCCGAGAGTGTGACTGTGTCAACATTTGCTGAGGCCGGCAAGTCGCGAATTCTGGTCAATTGGAACGGCGAAGATTGTGTGGTTGTAGACTTTTCTTGTTGCTTTTCTTTGCCTTTGTTCTTGCGCGAGAGAGGAGGAGGGCTGATAGGTTTTATGGGCGGTTGAGCGAGGTCGGCAGGCCAATTCCAGCTGTACTCATCTTTTGGCGGTGACTCAGTGCTTGCTGTCGAATCGCTCAACCGCATCTTCTTTCTTGGTCGGTCACTATCTGGAAATTCGGCCATTGAAGGTGGTACTGGTATGTTGGTTGGTAAATGTGATGGTTTGAGTCAAATTAGGTTTGAGGTCGTTGAGGTAGGTGACCCTGTCAGCTTCGTGCCTGCCTGGCCGAGCCCAACTCGCGCCTCAGGCAGGCGGCGACTTTTTTTTCGTTCTTCCACATGAAACGGACACAACAGTCTTCACACTCAGCCTCCAGTAATTTAGCGCCAATTCTGTGTAGTTTCCAATGGAAGCAAAAAGGTGATGCCAGAAATTGGTAGAAGTATTCAGCTCGATTATTCTGCATGATCTACCATGACTTTTGTCGTCTATCTTCGTTTAGATGCCTGTACCATCCTGTGCTATCCATGCTATGAATTAAGAAAAATGAAGGGAGAAGGAAAGGGGAATCAACGCCTCATAAAACCATATCGCTTTGAAAAACATCAAATGCGGATTGATGCAAATGCACACCGGGTACATTTATTGGGAAGAACCACCAGAGATGGTAATGACCTGGCCGTTAACCCAGCTGCCGTCTTCGCTGGAAAGGAAAGCAACCACACGGGCGACGTCCTCGGGGACGGCACAGCGGCCGAGAGGGCAGTGATCGGCCATGAGCTTCTCGATCTTCTCGGCGGGCCACTCGGGTGTACCACCAGGGATGTAGTGCTATAAGATAATTAGCGTCGAGTTATCAGAAAAGTGTTGATGGTATAGCAAGAGTCGAAAGCCTGTATACAATGGGAGTCAAACTTACCCAAGCGTTGGAGGTGAACATGTCTGACTTGATACCACCGGGAGCAACACCGTTGACGGTGATACCACGCTTACCGAAGTCGGTAGCGAAGGCCTTGATCATACCAATAACAGCCATCTTGGAAGCGTTGTAAAGGACGTGGTCACGAACACCCAGAAGACCAGCAGCGATAGAGGACATGAGGATCAGACGACCGTTGTCCTCGAGGTGCTTCCAGGCAGCTTGACCAACAAAGAACTGGGCGCGAGCGTTCAGGTTGAAGACGTGGTCGTACTTCTCCTCAGTGATCTCCTCAGTCTTGTCCCAGGACTCGGTACCGCTGTTGGACATGACAATATCGATCTTGCCAAAGTGCTTCTTGGTCTCCTGGAACAGACGCTCAATCTCAGAGACCTTGCTGACATCGGCCTGGATGGCGATGGCCTTGGCACCGCTACCAGTGGCCTCGATCTCTTTCACGACCTCATCAGCGGAGGCCTTGCTGCTCTGGTAGTTGACAACGACGCTGGCACCGCGCTTTCCAAGCTCAATGGCACAACCACGACCAATACCACGGCCAGCACCGGTGATGAGAGCGACCTTCCCGTGGAGAGAGGCAGTAGGAACAGTGACGACGCCTTGAGACATTGTGTTGGATTCGAGATGTGGTGTATTGAATGGGACTGAGATTTGGTGTAACGGTGATGCAGCGAGTGTTGAAAGTAGATGTGATGATGGAGATATAGAAACCAGCAGACCATGGACTCACCAGCCATTAAATATCACTTACCAACGTTGAGCTCTATCACCACGAATACTCGAAACAGCTGTTCTATCCAGAGTCCCGATACAACGAGGACCGAAGTGTTGAAAGTCAAGGTGGGGAGCCGAGATGTTTGAGAGACCGAGCACTGCGTTTCGAAGCCCCGAAGCGGAGCGGACGGGGACGCCCTCAGGCACAGCGGACGTGAGACATGTCTTCCTAGCAAGAAGTCCGACGATGGATGATGAGCATTGATCTTTCGGTTGCGCCAAAATAGATGCCGTCGGAGAATTCTTGATGCAAGGCGACGATCTTGTCCGTTCGGTTCGCAGGGGCCGCAGGGTAGAATTGGTGAGGCAACTTTTCTCGTCAGGGCCAGGTGCGGGGCTGTCTGTGGCTCCCAGCCATGAAGTGTACAAGGGTCGGAGCGAACTTGAGCGAACTTCCCTTCTACATCCCAACGGTTCGATATTCACAATGTCGTGGCGGACAAAAGATTCAAAATGATAGCAGACATGTTTCATTCTGAGTGTTGCCTTGATGCACTCATTATCAATCTGCCTACTTCATGCTTCTCCCATTATGAACACCACGGTGGTGCGGCCTTGCTTCTACTCGTCCTTTCAAATGCGCTTTCCTGGACTCCGAGCAATGGCTGCCATCCCAAACATCTCCCCAGTATGCATGAACAACGAAGAGAATCAGCCAAGGAAGCAAGAAAAGGGAAAAGGAAAGCTAAAACCGAAAAAGAAAATGGTAGAGACGCTGCCGATAAGCTTGCGTGTTCTACATGTGAATATTAAGTGCTCATTTCGTCGTGGCATCATGGTAAAAATCGCCTCCCAAAACAATCCTGCCAGAAATGACTGGAGCTAAGGGAAGCATGCTTGTCGCTATACCAAATCAAATCAATTTGTCAGCTTCGAAGCAAAGAAGAAAAAGAAGGCCATTCAACAACAGTGTTGTTAAGATCAGACGGCCTTGAGGGTATCGTTTCGAAAGCCAGTATCAACCCGGGAACGCCAAAGGATAAAATTTGTTCGGTCATAAAGACTTGTGTGCGTTCATCACCAGCCTTTGTAACCGATAGAGGTGGCACGCTGGTAGACGGGAAGCTTGAAACCCTTCTTCATCTCAGTCTGGACGAAGAGAGATGCGCGCTTGAAGCGGCGGTCCTGGTACTTATGGAAAACGGCGTTGTGGTGAACATCGGGAGTCTCGCAACACTCAACCATGACAGCCAAGAGCTGGCGGATCTGTGCGTAGGTGTAGTTGGAGTAGTAGACGTGGGCCTGAGTCCATTCACCTTTGCGCAACATCAGGCGGGCAAGGCAGTGGGCACCTGCAGCCAGGAAACTCGGCGTACAGCCAACAAAGCGTTCGTCCATGATGGTGATCTCCAAGAAGTATTTTGCCAAGGTTCTGGTCTCGAGGTCGTAATCGTCGGCCTTGCTGATGCGGCGCAGGAAACTCATGGGACCAGGCCAGCCAAGCTCAAAGGAGAGCATGCTGAGCATGTAACGCTCAGCCTTGAGAATCTCATCCTGAGTATAGCCTCCGTCAACCATGTAAACCACCTCCTGGACCGAGGGGCAGTTGACTTCCTCGTACTTCGCGGCAAGGAAGATGGCAGTGGCACCGACGAGCTGCAGCTTGCCTAGTGAGATGACCTTGCAGGAAAGAAAACGGTCAATGTAGTTGACAGCCAGGAACAGAGTCTCGGGCAGCAGGGTGAAACGTGTGTGGACCTGGATCATCCAGTCCATAAGCACGGACCGCATCGACCATTGACATTCGTTCTGGTAATCCATGTAGTGTGCATTCGGACGCATGCGTTCCTGCTCGGTGTGAGTAACTCGAAGTCTGACGATCAACAGGAATAAGACATACCTCGAGAGTACGCATGTACTCGAAGATTTCATCACCATACTCGGCAACCATGGATGTGTCCCATTGATCATCCTCAATGTCCTCGGCAGTACGTGTGCTCTCGACGACTTGTCTAGCCTCCTCAATCTCTCTCAATGTCTTGGCAGTATGCTTTGGGCACAACACGACTGTGGCTCCTCCAGTTGTGTTGTCTGTGACACCACCCCGCGTCACCGTTTGACCTGCTTCATAGAGTTCCTCTTCATAATCTTCGTCATACTCATCGTCGTTGACGGTCATCAACGACTGACTCAATACGACGACCTTTTCCTCAGTTTCTGGCGCAAACTGCTCCAGCGCGTTGGTATCCACGATGACTGCCTCCTGGCTGGTCAGCACTTGAGGCGGCTGGACAGGTGCAACCGCAGTCTTCTCCTGGGTGTTGTCGAGGACAGTGACTTGTTGTTGAACTTTGGATTCGTCAAGAGTAGCGTCAGGTGCAGGTTCTGCGTTCTCGTCGGGAGTAGGTGCAGCTAGATCTCTGAGAACCGGTGCGCTCTTCTTTGGTTGCACTTTGCTGATGGTAGGGAGGGCAGCGGCAGGTGCAATAGAAGTAGTGATGTTCTTGACAGCGAGAGGCTTCTGAGCAGGCTTTGAGAGCTCGAGAGGGTCGAGGTAAATGGCAGCTGCCTTGCCATTGTCATGTGCTTTCACAGCATCGACTGCCAGTGGAGCTGTCCTGATGGTGTTGCTCACATCGGCAAAGACAGCACGCTTGGCAGCAGGACGCACAGCACCGTTCTGCATCAGGGTAGGTAGGGTGGTGGATGACTTGTTGCGCTGGTGAGTACCCTTGGCTGTGACTGGATGCGAAGGAAGAGCGTTCTCGTCATGGACGCGCAGAGGGCGTTGAGGTCTTTGGGGCTATTTGAGGTTAGCGATGGGTTTGAAGGATGCTTGTGAATGCAGGTTCGGAGAGAGTGTTTTTAGAGCAAGAAAGTAGCATGTGGGTACACGTGTTGGTGGACGTGTTCAAGATATGCAAGGGCATATTCGTTACAGCAAAACAAACAAAGCAGCGTAGGGTCGCATCTTGAAAAAGAAGCATAGAATAGTGCGGGATTAGTGCAGGAAATCGAGTATCAAGATTACCTTTGCATCCATGATAGGCAAGTCGAGACAGGTCGGGAGCAATGTGCGGTGTAGAGACAAGTCAGAAGCGCGTCGCCGGCGAATCTTCAAAGTCTGCGGGATAGCCGTACGGGCTGGCACGCGTGTGGATGAAGAGACAGCTGGAGGACAAAGAGGACAGCAGTTCAGCGCAGGCTCATGGCGAAGTAAGAAGGTAGTCGATGGTCGAGGAAGATCCTAACATAAGATTGCTAGGAAGCCCGAATGTCAAAACATCCAAAACGGTTCCATCAACAAACAGAAGAGCTGCATAACAGGTTCGCCAAGCCGCTAGCGTCAACTCTAACCCTGTCCAATGTAAACAAGGCCTCCTTCACGTCGTCCTGCAAACCTACAAGATGGCATTTCCTCCCCGAATTTCTCACAAACGATCGAATTTCCGATTTAATTATCATGCATCATATCTTGTCATATGCTTGATTATATCGGCTATATTTTTGGCCCAACCCTCCGCTAATTCAACTCGAAGCACGCGTCCCTCCTTTTGCGACTTTTCGAACGCGAGTCTACACCATCGCACGTGATCTTCAAGATGGGGTCCTGGTTAACCCATCGCCTGGACTCGAGGATAGATACCATCAGAAAGCCTTTTGTAAGTTCTCGAACACCTTGACAGAGATTTCTTGAGCCTTGTTATCATGCACAAGCTTCGATCAGAAGCAAATCATGGTTGGTAAGACACTAGATGTAAGGCCCCTCGATGAGCTGTGCCAGTGTAAGGTTAACCTTCTGCCCTTTAAGCAACGCTCGTTGCTGGACGAAAAGAAAGGGGAGCTCTCTCCCGTCTCTAACTAATTGTCCATCCAAATGTCGCTAGAACCGTCGCGCAGATTGCGACTCATGCTAGAGACGAATTCCCTAACAGTCGCGACCTCGGCACGCTTGCAAGTTGCGCCGGCGCATCTTGAAACCGACATATTGCAAGCAGACCCAATCTCATTCTTGAACTCCACGGCCCCTTGCCAACCTGCCATCTATCAAAAGCGACCTCAGCCTCTCTCTACAAAACGGTCACCAACCTCGATTCAGCTGTGACAGGGATGAGTCCTTGTAGACAAAGCTTCCACCGCGGGCAGATCAGCCTCGTCATTCCGACGGCAATTGTCGGCATGGTATCCGTAAAGCCGTGGTAAATGACTTGCGCACACGCTGCGCCCACAAACCACGCACAAGATGTCAGGCGCAAAGTCGTTCTCGTCACCTGCTTGTCATTGATTTTCGCTGCCGCACCAAGGATGTTTCAGTCTCATCGTTCGTAGGCGGTCTGCCTGGAAGCCCTTATAGGCGATCTGACACAGACCCATCCTGAAGGTGAGGTGTTAGCTCCACCGTATATTGCAACTCGGACCACACATTGCTTCTGCGCGCATTCCACACGGCTTGGCAGATCCGTCGCATTCGAAAGGAATCGAATAAGTCGGTGTTCGCGATTAAGTGGATTAGTTGCACGGCTTAGCGCCTCGGGGGGAAGCAGTGCAAAGAAGCGACGTTCAGAGTGGGCGGTGCGTTATCAAGCACTTAGGAGGAGAGCAATGCGAGCGAGCGGATCTGCAGCGCTATATGCTTGTGTTATGCGCGTCTACATGAACTGGGCCTTTGAGGTCATTGTATCGGTGTACGAGTGCATTGCGCGGAAAGCAGTTTGGGAGATACTGGTATGCGCTTGCGTAGCACAGATTGGATGACAGACTCGAACACAAGCACGCAGTTTGACAAAGATGGCAGACAGACTCGAAAGAGCAGGGCGATTCGGCCGTCCAAGAGTCAGACACCGCTCTTATATGGCACAAGCGGAACTAGACGTGGGCAAGCGCAAAGCCTCTAATTGGCTTCCACAAGCCGCCCACAGAGCAGCGCTGTTGACGAACCTATAGACAGACAGAGTCGAGCCTGCCATGTATTCAGGTGAGGCATGCTGTGCAGGAGGAACCAGGCTGCTTGGATCTGCTTCTCTCAACAGAGCAATCTTGATAGCAGTATCCTGATATGGAAGCCAGACCGGCTGCGGCTGTGTAAATGGATAGACGGCCAGGGCAGCCAAATGATGATTTTTGAACAAAATTCAAGTTGTTCTAGCATTCTTGATTCAATGCGATCACAACAGTGTCAATTGTAAAAGAGAAACAAAAGGTGTTTCGCATGATGAATGTGGGCGTGATGTGTTAGTGGGCCGGATTCTCCGCCTGGGCTGAGAGGGACAACCCAGTAGCTTTCGCACTGCGCTCCAAGACGACTTCCCCCACCTCACAACCTTCTTCTTCTGTCCCAAACCTGGTTGTCTGCTATCATCTCATTGTATCTTTCTCATCTCGCATCTTGTTGCGCTCTCGTCTCTCGAGTCGTCGGCCATTGCTCGCTGCAATCCCGGCTCTTCACCATCGCCCACCACTCTTGGGGTGAGCGCTCAAGCGTACAGATAACGAACAGACATCCTGTCCACCAGACGTATACAAGGGATCGCCAACGTTTCTTGATCCAAGGCTGAACAGCAGCCACGGTGGTTGCTTGCTGAAAGCGCTCGAATCGGTTCGTCGTTGACCCTCTCAGGCGGCTCCCCAGCGCCCGCCCAGTCCCAACCGCCATCAATGTCTTTACGCCAGCGCTATCTAACCCCATGATGCACCATCTCTTCTGTTCCACTCATGTCAAAGGCCAATCGAGAAATCAAGCGCTGACCAAACCGCTATTCCAGCTCTTCCACGTCCCTTCCCATCCCGTTGCGCCGACGACAACGTCACCACCACGACACCCGCATATCTTCCCACACACCTCTCCCAGTGCCAGCAAGAGCCTTGTCTACATCTAAAAAGCCCACAACAACCAAAAGAAGCATCAATTATGGACGTTGGTGACCTCTTGGCAAGAGATGCACCTCGGGCTACCGTCGCCAGCGAGGGCAGACCATCGAGCCGTCAGCACTCGACTCGACATTCCTTAACGTCGCAAACACCTCAATATCACGACCATATGTATGATGGTGCAGCTGATGCTGCCCCACGAACGTATGCTGATCCTCCTCGCTCCTCACGCACAAAGCAGCAGAAGCATGTCACTTTTGAACTTCTCCTACCAGAAGGTCAGAACCGTGAGCACCGTGCTCGTCTTCCCATGCGCGTCATGATCTCTCCCCATGACACTACGGACTCGATCATCACAACGGTGCGCAATTTCTATGGCCTGTACGAGGGACCGGGTGTCAGCTTTCAGGACAAGGAAGGGCGCATCCTAATCGCGACCTTTGAGAACTTCGAGCACAACATGGTCGTCTACGTACGTATGACTGCTCCTGATCCAGCTGTGGCAGCTGCTACTAGTCAGATCCGTTCGGCTACGACGTCTCCTCGCAAGCCCAAGTTGGCTGCTCCAATTGACATGCGCCCGCCATCGCGCAACTCTCGTCCTGCGTCGCGCGCAGCTCCTGGAAGAAGCCTCTCTCCTCAATCAAACCGTAGCCATCGCAGCATGTCCAAGCCACAATCTCGCAGCGGCTTCCGGTCCAAGGACAAAGAGAGCTTGTATGATGATATGTATGCTGGTGACACTGATTATGACAGTGATGGTGCGCACAGTCGTCGCTCCAAGATCGAGCCTCATGCGAGTGCAGAGATCAGTGTCGAGAACATTGTCGAGGGTGGCAGGAGGAAGCGGGCTAAGTTTGACAGCTCGGTATGCGCTAGGGCTCCGCTGTGGTCCCATGTCTGGTCTAACCTTGTCCCAGGAACTTCCTCTCTTTGTGCCTCCTCAGGTGCCAGCGGCGAACTCCATCTCGTCCATCTCCCCCCAGCGACGCCCTGCTAATGGCGACATCGTTGCGTCTCCCTTCTCTTGGTCCAACCAACGCAACGTCACCTACCAGCAGCCTCTTCCGTCACCCCAGAGCTACACTGGATACTATGGCAACATGCAGACCCCATACAACAACACGACTTTCCGCAGTCGTCCTGTACCCACCTTCCAGCCTCGCTCGTCTGTTGGAGGTGGCGCCATCTTGCCAACTCCTGAGCCCACCAACGCCAGTGTCATCTCGGACGAAGATGTCGCTCTGCAGCTCATGCGCCTCGGTGATGCTTCCAACTTCTCCCACGGCCGTACCTCAACCTCGACTATGGATGACGGCCTAAGTGGCAAGGCAGATGCTGCTTCCTCGGCTGGCGAGGAAAGTGACGCTGTCGATGAGGAACCCTCTAAGCCTCAGCAGCCTGCTTCGCATGTCGCTGGGCCGCGCAGGAAGAAGCAGCGCGTGCTTGACGATGTACTTCCAAGCACTGACAGCATTCAGTCCAGTGGGGACGATTACTCTGAGGTCGATAGCGATGTCCCAGAGTATGATGAAAATGGCGTTCACGTCGCTCGCGCCATGTCCAAGGCAAAGGGTCTGCCTAATGGCAAGCCTCGCGACAGTGTGTCTTCTATTAATGGCACCAAAACCGGCAAGAGCCGTGGTCCTGGACCGGTCAAGTCCAAACCAAAGTCGAACTCGACCTCGTCTTCGGCCAAAGTGCCGATCTCGCCAGCCTCTCTTCCATCGCAGTCTCGTAAGACGTCGGCTGCTTCCACTATCAACTTCCAGCATCAGCTCGGCGCTGACGAGGAAGATCTATCAACCAAGCCACGTTGCCAGAGATGCCGCAAGAGCAAGAAAGGTTGCGACCGTCAACGTCCCTGCGGACGCTGTAAGGATGCCGGCATTGGCATCGAAGGATGTGTCAGCGAAGACGAGGGCAATGGTCGCAAGGGACGCTATGGTCGTCATATGGGCGTGCCGGTTAAGAAGACTGAGCTGGCTTACGACGCTTACGATGCTGTCCCGATTACTGCCGCTGGTGGTACTGGCGAGTTCCTTGCGCCTGCCCTTCCTGACAAGAACAAGAAGAGGAAGCGTTGAGCTACTAGCGGTCACCTGACCAATTTCGTATGTTTTTTTTTTTCTATTGCATTGGGCATTTGGAGTACATGTTGGGCAGGGGAGTTTTGATTCTCAACCACACATCCGCAAGATCTCTTGGGCAAGCAAGCGTTCCTTTTACAAGTTTCTGAGCTGGTCGTCTCTCATTTTGCTTTACCAGACTACATGCATAGCGCGTACACACACATCAAATGCTACTTACCTTTTACATCATTATCGCCTTTTCTGTGCGCCGAGGACTGTGATAATGTGGCTGTATGAATGCACGATGCTTTTTGAATTGGAGTAGTGTCCATGGAAAGACGTGATTTTAGTGCATCTCCATGGCCAACGTCCAACGTCCTGATCAGAAAGCAACTGTGCATTTCTCTGCATAGTAGTTCTATCAATCAGTGACCTGACGGTTGGAGAAAGATGCTCACCATGTTCAGAAAGATTATCATTGTCGTTTTAGGACAGTTCTGGAGGATGATACCTTGAGATAGTTGTCAGAAGTCGGTCAAATGATGGTGATGGTATTGAAACTGCGTATCTCGAGTTTGGTAGGAGCAGCTGGAGTAGTGTGAAACAACGAAGCTTTGGTTAAATTGTCATGTTTCTGTCCTAGCGATATGCATCGAGCCCAGGTACAACTTAAGACCTATCCACAGATACTAGCAGATTCGAGTCATCTGATTCATTACACTAAGAGTGGTGCATGACCTGGGAGTCAGGTGTGAGAGAGCCTCAGAGAGGTTGATATTGGTGACAGGGTCGCGCCAATAACAAAGCGAGATAGAAAGGCTTGGTCCCGTGCGGCAACTCGTCATTGAGGCTTCGAGACCTCGACCGCCGTGACCACCTGCACTCATCCTGATAAACAACAACACTCTATCGAATCGTTCACCGCCTTTCACTACGCGTTCATTTGCTCAACACTTCACCTGCGATAAACACCATCACCGCTCGCAGCCCGAAGCACCACAATCTCGAGCACACCTCACTCGCGCAAGGCGCCCCATCGCACAACATGTCTTCCTCGCGCAAGAAGCTATTGAAGGTCTGCTCTCGATGGAGTCGAGAATTTAGTGTCGCGTGGTGTTCTAATAGCCAATAGGTCATTATCCTCGGCGATAGCGGTGTCGGCAAGACCAGTTTGATGAACCAATATGTACGATACCCCTCCATCGACTGTACCGAGCAGCAAGATTAAGAGCAAGGAACAATGAGACTGATGGACGTGATGCTCTCAGGTCAACAAGAAGTTCAGTGCTAGTTACAAGGCCACTATCGGCGCAGACTTCCTCACAAAAGAAGTTCTGGTCGACGACCGACTAGTCACCATGCAGGTGCGCAAGCCATTTCTCTACAGAACTCGTCTACCCCAGTCCATCTAACACAATCGCTAGCTCTGGGATACTGCTGGTCAGGAGAGATTCCAATCGCTCGGTGTCGCTTTCTATCGTGGTGCCGACTGCTGTGTGCTCGTCTACGATGTCAACAACTCCAAGAGTTTCGACACCCTCGATAGCTGGAGAGACGAGTTCCTGATCCAAGCCAGCCCTATGGACCCTGAGAGCTTCCCATTCGTGAGTTACCACTTCATGTGCAAGTCTTGATCAAAGACGACGCTAACAGGCAGCAGGTCGTGCTCGGCAACAAGGTGGATGTGGAGGAGAGCAAGCGCATGGTTCGTCATATGTAATTCGAAAGTGAGATGTATACGGACTGACTGTGATACAAAGGTCTCATCGAAACGTGCCATGGCATTCTGTCAATCCAAGGGCGGTATCCCATACTTCGAGACCAGTGCCAAGGAAGCCATCAATGTCGAGCAAGCCTTCGAGGGTAACCCATTCCCGAAATCTTGTCGCAACTTGCACAGTACTAACATATTTCAGTGATTGCCCGTAATGCTCTGGCCCAAGAAGAGAGTGGCGACTTCAACGCAGACTACCCCGAAACAATCCCCATCAACCTCGACAACGAGCGTGACGGTTGCGCTTGTTAAACACTTATCTTAGCGTTGTCGATTTTCGTTTCCTTCATGCCATTCGTTCTACCACAGGCGTTTCTATTTTTGCATGTGGGATGGCCTCAAACACTCTATAACCAGGGGCTCTGTCTCATTTCCTCGTGCACTGACTGCTTCATTCGTCGGTACCTGCGGTGTGAATATAGTATATATACCTATAATACACCACCTAGTTCTATGTATACAGGTTCTCTTCCGATGACTGATGGCGCGAAGTCGATTTGATGCCTCGGCAACGTCATGCAGTGACTAGGTAGTCTGCTATGCCCTAGATCTTATGACTCGTTGTCGGATTGTCTTCCATAGGATTCGATTTGATATCACTTCGGCATATACTGTCACTCTCCTTCGAGCTCTCTTTACCATCAATTGTGAATGTTCTCTTCCTGTGCTGATGCTCATCTCTCCACGATCGCTTTGTTACGCACGATAGGCGCTCGTAACGATGTCATACAATCTCGATACCTTGCCCCACAAATTAAACGTTCCTTGTCCGCGAGCGACCAGTGACATCCCCGTTCCTTGCATCCCTCGACCAAGCATCTTGATTTCCTGCACCCACCTCTTGGATATCTCTTGGCAATATAAATGGTCCTGGCCGCACGACCAAAAGCCTTTTTGATGTCGCGACTGTTGGTCGAGTTCCTAGGAGTACCAGCCTGCCTCCAGATGCCATCGCCATAGTCCCTCAACAAAACAAAAAAAAAATAACGCGATTCGTATTTCGCAGCCGAGGTCAGGATGGACAACACCACAGTCAGAGATTTTCAATCGCCCAGCGGGACGGATAGAGTAACTTTTCAGGAATCAGAACCAGTCGGACGAAATTCTATGGCAGTTCCTCGCAGTCCAGAGATTCTTCCTGGTCGCCAACAACGATTTGGAAGTGTCGCATCGGGAGCGTCATTTGAATCGAACGAGACCACACGCCATAGACGATTGTCCAGATCCAATACAGTCAAAACTTATCATGAACCTACTCGACCTAACTGGCAACCTGGTGCTGAACCTGGAATTGATACTGATGCCGAAAGAGTGAGTCCGCACCTGGAAGCTTTGCGTGCGCGATGCGACATCTTGGTCGCGGACTTTGGCGCAGAGCAGCTCGAAACAGTGCAAGTTGAGAACAATTCTCTCGAAGAGATTTTGACTGAGAAGAGACCGCCTCACTTGCCTTGCCGCTGGATCTCGGTCAATGGCTTAAGTTGGGATGTCATCAAAATTCTTGGACAGCACTATGGACTGCACAGACTGGCTATCGAGGATTTGATTCACACACGCACTCGCACCAAGTGTGACTGGTACTCTGATCATGCGTTTGTGGTGTTGACACTGCAAAAGCTCGTTCGCATACACTCGCATTCTGACTCCGAGGACTGTGATTGTTCTGACGATGACAAGGCGATTTCGTACGACGACATTGACGGATCAAATGACCACTATCCAGAACGTGAACGTGTGCCTTTCTGGAAGAAGCCTTTCAAGAGGTCGAAGAGGGCCCAGTCTTCACATGACCTGCCTAAATATCGTGATCCCGAAGGACTGGACAAGATGGGAGATATGATCCGAGCACACAGTTCAACAAGGGATGGTGCACCACTACAGAACATCAGAACGCTCCATCGTTATGAGAGTATGCAGAATCCTGAGCACACTCTGTTCATGGAAAAGCACTCTGCCCTATTCGAGGAGAATCTCGTCGTCAGTGTAGAGCAGGTCGCGATTTTCCTACTTTCTGACAATACTGTCATCTCATTCTTCGAACATTCTGGCGCCGATATCGAAGAGCCCATCCTGGAACGATTGAACAGTCCGGCAACAATGTTGCGTCGTAGCGCAGATGCATCACTGGTATTGCAGGCCGTCATCGATGCCATTGTCGACTTGGCCATTCCTGTCAAGGAAGCCTACAACAAAGCCAGAAAAGATCTGCAAATTGATGTGCTGACCAACCCGTCAATGAACACTTCCAAAGCCCTCCATATTTTCACTGAAGAGATTGACATGCTGCAAAACCTGTTCAAGCCCATCATCAATCTTGTCAATTCGCTTCGAGACCACAAATCAACGGAGCCTTATCCTCCGGAAGCAATGTGGGATCTAGAGTCGACGCCACGGAAAAAGAAGAACGAACACCGAAGACCACAACCCAAAAGGCTATATACTCAATCGCCTACAAGTGTGGTTGTGAGTGCTTTGGCTCATGTATACTTGGGAGATGTGCTGGATCATTGCATTACCATTATTCAGTCGCTTGAACAGATGGATGCATCGGCTAATAACTTGTCATCGCTTATGTTCAACACTATCGGTAAGTTCTCCCTCAAGCGACTTTGTCACAATCAACAAGAATCAAGATCCCTAACTTTCCCACAGGTGCTCGCACAAACACAAACATGTCCATCATCGCCCTCGTAACCGTCTTCTTCGCACCCCTGACCTTCCTCTGCGGTTATTTCGGTATGAACTTCCAACACTTTGAAGGCATCAGACACTCGGACGCCTACTTCTGGTACATTGCTGTACCAACGACCCTTGTCTTTATGATGTTGATTGGAGGTGGTGTTGGGTACAGGACTGTCAAGACTTGGGCGGCGAGATTCCATCTTGCTAAGGCGAGGAGAGGTAGGAAACAGAGGCAGCAACAACTTAGAGCTCGACAGAGGCAAAAGGCTATGATGGTGTAAGTGATAAAGTGGATGGATGGGAAGGTGTAATGTTGTTGTAGATAATTAGAGCATTGGGCTAATGCATGGTTTTTTCATGATCTGGTTGGTGCTGAGGACGAGTGAGTCGCGTTTATTTGCCATGACTTGTCGGTTGAAACATTTCTTGGTCGCCTGTCACTAATGTAGTCGCGTAGCAGTCACTAGGCAAGTCTATCATGATTCGCATCTCATAATCAGCTCACTGGTCTTAAAGCAGTGTCAAGGTATGATTTGCAATAGATAAGACATGTCGACAGAGAATAGTCTAGGAGCAATCATAAGGACGTTGATGACACAATGGCTAGATGAGGAGATGAGGGACGAGGAGGCTGTTTCCTACCGACCTGCCATACGGAAGACTTATGGAAACAATACATCTAGAGCCATAATTAGCGTGGTATTGGTGGAAGCGAGTGTCGGTAATGTGTTTCTGGTTGTAGAGCTGTCTTGGCTACAAGTGCTAGTATCTGCTTGCGAAGCGTAGCGATCGCATCATTGCTATCGCCTGTCGTAGGTCAGGATTTGGAACAGAGGCTAAGCGCTGAAGAAGCTAGAAGTAGCAGCATCTTTACAAGACTCGCATGTTTGTCAACAAGGGCAGTTTCACCAGACGAGATAACCAACCAAGGAAGGAAAAATAAGGAAAGGGGATCCTGAGACTTGATAGCTTCTGGGCCATGTCAACGAATAAAGACAAGGCCTCATAGATTTTGTTGTAGCTGCTGCGGATCCACCCATCCCTGAGTCTGTGAGCGGCTGCTTATCTTCCTAGACTTACGGCTGGGACTTTCTTCGTATTGCAATACTTGTCCAGTACTACAAGGTGACATGGATACGAACCGATTTTCGATCGGCATAGAGTATGCGACGGTACTGCTCGGTACACGTGTGCGCTGCAGGATTTTTCTTGCAAGAGATTAGTTCGGTTAAGAAAGTTGTTTTCGGGCTTCACAGGAGATTATATCAACTGTGTGAGTGGATCTTGATGGTGTGGCTCCATGGAGCGAGATGGAGCAATTCTTCCGGTTTGCATGAACGGGTTAGGGCAGATCATAACCAACTCGCGGTAGTGGTTTGAGACAGTCAATATGTTTGTAAGGTGACTCTGACATCCTGAAATAGCTCGGATGATCCTTGTCCGAGAAATGGATGAGGGGAAGTATACATAGAAGAGATACATGGCGGATTTAAGAGTCTTGAAGACATTGAAGGATGCTGGTGACGAGTAACAGAGTTCGAACGTTGTGCCTGACAGGAAGAGGATTCCGGAAGTCGGGATGTGTTTGTTGCTCGGCGTAAGCCACCAAGCAGCCCTGGACGCCTCCCGCGTGTTTGGCTTGACTTTAACCGCATGGACTTGAGTTTTTGCAGACGTCCATTGCTACATCGAAGCTTTTGTGTGAGCATGAAGCTTCTATATCGAGAAGTAAGATTTCAGCCGCTCGGCTGGCTTGGGTTGCAGCCGCGGGCAACAAGACGTCGCGAACTGTGCGATCGCATGAGCTTGATAGAGCGAGAGGAGCTTCACCGTATGGTTGTTGTATGCCTCGAGGTCGTCTTCTCGCTGTCAAATCTTCCGAAAGCTGGCATTATCCACAGAAGGGCCGAATGCAGAGCTGGAGAAAGTCGGGAGAACTGGAGATTGAGCGTGGAGGGAAGTGGGCTGTGGGGCTCGAGAGAGACTTGTGCCATGGAGAAAAAACTGGAAAAGGTGATCGACACTTGGATGCAACCTCTCGCGACAATGGTGTTGGTGCTACCATCCAATGAGAAAACGCGGTGTAGATTGAAGGATCCCGAGTATCCATCTGCTCACGCATTCCACAGCATTGGCAGTTACTCCGGACGACGTGAGTTGTTGTCATGTGCGCCGGTTGATTCACTTTCCGTGCTCACGACCTAAAAAGAGAAAAGGTAGGATGCTCTTGCCTCAGATGATATATAGTGAGGCTTCCTACTCTTTTGACTGCGAGTTTTGTTCCACGTGCTTCTCACTCAACAACCTATTCTCAATAAATACTAACGACACCTGGATTTCCCTCACCATTGGGGGCAACCGATAAGATGGTGAAACAATTTGGAAATGTCAACTTGATCGCTGCCATCGCTGTCATCGGTGGTGGCCTGTTCGGTTTCGACATCTCGTCGATGAGTGCCATCATTGCTACCCAGGTATGTCTCAAAGATGTTTGCATTCTGCGTTGTTTCTCACACACTGCCAGCCATACAAATGTTACTTCAACCAGCAAGGATTCAATGATGCTGGCCAGTGCATTGGTCCCAAGGCCGATGTCCAAGGTGGAATCACTGCCTCCATGGCTGGTGGCTCATGGCTCGCTGCTCTTTGCTCCGGCTACCTCTCTGATCGCCTCGGTCGTAAGTGTCATCCGTTAAGCTTCATGTGATAACAGACTCTGACTGTTCTTGTCTCGCATAGGCAAGATCGCAATCCAGGTCGGAGCCGTCATCTGGGTTATTGGCTGCATCATCGTCTGCGCTTCTCAGAACATCGCCATGCTCATCGTCGGTCGTGTAATCAACGGCTTCTGTGTTGGCATCTGCTCCGCCCAAGTTCCTGTCTACATCTCTGAGATCGCTCCTCCAAGCAAGAGAGGAAAGCTCGTCGGTGCTCAGCAATGGGCAATTACTTGGGGAATTATGATCATGTTCTACATCTCTTACGGATGTTCTTTCATCAACGGTACTGGTGCCTTCCGCGCTCCTTGGGCCCTCCAAATGATCCCCGCCATCTTGCTCTTCTTCGGCATGATCTTCCTACCTGAATCTCCCCGCTGGTTGGCATCCAAGGATCGCTGGGAAGAGACTCGCGCAGTCCTTGCTCTAACCCATGGTCACGGCGATCCCGACAGTCCCTTTGTTATGCGCGAATTTGACGAGATCAGAGAATGGATCAAAATCGAGTCCGAAGCTAAGAACGCCTCCTACCTGGAGCTCATTCGTCCTCGAATGCTCAACAGAACCATCATCGGTGTTTTCATGCAAATCTGGTCTCAATTGACTGGCATGAACGTCATGGTAAGTTGGCCGCACCTTCCCCAAAGATTTCCCAAATCTCCCCCAAACACCCCCCAAACATCCCCCTACACCCAAAACACATTACCAACATCCCCTTACACCAATACCACGCTAATTATGACCAAAGATGTACTATATTACCTATGTATTCCAGATGGCAGGCTTGTCAGGAAACAACCTTCTCGTCTCCTCGTCCATCCAGTATGTCATCAACGTCGTTATGACTGTTCCTGGACTACTTTTGGTCGATCGCGTGGGCCGCCGCCCTCTACTTCTGATCGGAGCTGCGTTCATGGCTTTGTGGCTGTTCGCCAATGCCGGCATTCTCGGTGCACATGGAACATACCCTGGTCCTGGTGGTGTCGGAGGCAACACACCTGAGGCTTCAACCGAAGTCACAGGCGCAGCTTCCAAGGCTGTCATTGCTTGCTCATACCTCTTCGTTGCATCATACGCACCTACTTGGGGACCTGTACGTATCACCGATAAATTTTTGTTCATGATACAACGGCTAATAAATTCTCGCTTTAGGTCTCCTGGATCTACCCTTCAGAAATCTTCCCAAACCGCGTTCGTGGCAAAGCCACTGCTCTTGCAACCTCTGCGAACTGGGCCTTCAACTTCGCTCTTGGATACTTCGTCCCCCCTGCTTTCATCAACATCAGATGGCACACCTACATCGTCTTCGGTGTCTTCTGTGTTGCAATGTGGCTACACGTTTTCTGTTGCTTTCCTGAAACGGCCGGAAAACCGCTTGAGGAGGTCACCGCTATGTTCGAGGACCCTAACGGCATCCGCTACATTGGAACTCCTGCCTGGAAGACTAGCACATCGACCTCAGTCACATCTCGCCTGGAGAGAGGTCAGGATCTTGAGAAGAAGCTCAGTGAGGAGGAGAAGCCTGAGACACATGAAGTCGCTCCCAAGGAGACTGTCTAAGGAGTTTACGACGTTGCTGATGAGAATGCATTGATATGATGATGCAGACATAATCTTCACGAGCACAAGTTTGCTCTGACAGCACCGGAAGTGCAATGTCCATACAGCATGACTTATACCCTCTAGTAATTACATATCATTTCCTTCCTAGTCTGCTCGCACGACACATAATGAAAGTGACAATGTTGATATCTGCTTAGTCTTGGTGCAAATTTCGCGCTGAGTACAGTATGGGGACTTGTCAAAAAGTCACTTCAGATTGCTAACATGCGACAAGTTGCAGAATTGAAGTGAGAATGACCTTGTCAAGAAGTAGGACTATCATCTTCATGAACATGAAACACAATTGAAGATCAATGGGGCATCAATAGGGTAGCGTTGTTTCGAGGCTCTGATTAGGTACAGGCGAGCTCCATTAGAGCTTTGGATGTTCGAGTCAAACAACGTTTTTCTGCAGCCACTCCTCCCAATCCTTTTTCGTGAAGCTGCTGGAGATGCTTGGTTCGTTGAGTCCCTATGACATAGATTAGTATATTACATCGAACTGCTTCATGTGTGCTTACATTGAACATAAAAGTAGGCGAGACGTGAACGCCAACCAAGCGACCAGCCTTAATAAGTAACTTCAGATCGTTGGTCACCTGGTTGCCAGAGTTCAAACTTCCATCTGGACCAGGCTTGTCAGAGATCTCGAGCTGACTGTAGATTTTGCTCTCGTCGAGACCGACAGTAGCGGCAAGCTTTGCAAGGCGCTTGTAAGTCTGGTTTCTGGTCTCGTTGACAACATTGACATCGAAGTAATCGGTTTGCTTATCGAAGAGGGCAGCAGAGAAGGGCCAGAACTTGGAGGGATCGGCTCTCAGGACTGCTACGGCCGCCTCGTGGACCAAAGTGGATGAAGGGTGCCATGGCTGAATCTGCTGGCGGAAGATGACTTGCAAGTTGTTCGAGTACTTCTGCTCGATGATGGGTGCAACTTCCTTGTAGAAGGTGTCGAACTGTTTCTTGGAGAAAGGGCACACGTAATCAAGGACTGTAACATACATCAGCGTGAAACCAGATCATCAGTCTGATCAAGACCACATACACAGTTCCAGGGTGTGGTTGGAACCAAGGCTGGTTGAAAGAGCCTGTCCGGCAAACTTGGGAGCAAGAGCCATGTCTGAATCTGGTTGATTTAAATTGGACCTCGAGAAGTTGCTTGAAACGCTTAGGTCTTGAGATACAGTACTGCCGACAGAGGAGACGGAAGCCGATGGTGGAGAAGGAGATCGCTCGAAATCTGGTGGAGGCTGCTTTGGATAGCCAAGTAGGTTTCCTGTCAGACGGGCGACGAGTGGTCTTTCTTCCGGATGTAAAGTGTAGTAGAGGTCGGCGTTGGCTTTATGTAGACCTTCTACTCGTTTGCGTTCACGCTTTTTTATTGCCCGTTCTTGTTTTCGTTTCTGTTTCCGTTCTTGCTGTTCTTTGGAGCGAGCTTGAGCTGCTTCTGTTGAGCCGTAATCTGCCGGAACAAAGTCTATTACGCCGGTAGAGTGGATATTCCTCTAGGATGAGAAGGGTTGATAAAGTGAGCTTAGAAGGATGGTAGAGTTTTGTGCAAGCAGGATCAATGCTTATATCTACCCTCGTGGTTGACGAGCTTGAGCTTAGCAATGACGTGAGCGTCGGAGTTGACGGAGTTTATCAAAGGAGCTCCCTCCGGCATATAGATCTCGTCGCCGAGAACCAACATATCCACCGATGGAAAAACCGTTTGAGGAAGACTGTAGACTCTCTAAGAGAATCCACCTGTGCTATCCGTATTTTGACAAGGAAGTCTTTGCACATACGGAAACCGTGACACTGTAGACATATGTAAGTGGCTTGGCATGCGTCGGATAAGGCAATCAGTATGTTCGCTATCACCTCGCGTTCCGGCGCGTCTTCCTTTGCCACACCATCTTCTCTCGTACTGTGAATTGAAGAGATATGGAATCCTTATGACAATGTCGATACACGCTCTTCCACAGACGGCTGTACGCACCATCCGATCTGGTCAAGCTCTGACGGATCCTGTTTCTGTGGTCAAAGAACTCATTGATAACGCTCTCGACGCGCGAGCATCCAGTATCGCTATCGAGATTTCGGCAAACACTCTCGACGTAATTCAAGTTAAAGACAATGGCCATGGAATTGCCCCTACCGATAGACCACTTGTGGCTAAACCATACTGTACCAGCAAACTCAAGGATGAAAAAGATCTGGCTCTCGTAGGTTCAACCTATCTCGGTTTTCGAGGTGAAGCCTTGAGCAGTGCATTGGAGATGAGTGATGAAATGACCATCACTACAAGAGTTGAGGGTGAAAGTGTTGCTACTGCTATCAAAATATGTCAGAATGACGATCCAGTTCAGGATCGTGCCACTCATCCACCTGGAACCACAGTTCGCATTGCCAACTTCTTGAAAAATCAGCCAGTGCGAAAGCAAGTCGCCCTGAAGGCTGCGCCCAAGACTTTGACAAAGATCAAGCAGTTGTTGCAATCATATGCCTTTGCCAGACCAGCTACAAGGCTGTCATTGAAGGTTATCAAGGCCAAGAACGACAAGGATAACTGGACTTATGCACCAAAGATTGGTGGTGGAATCGAAGATACAGCTTTCAAGGTCGTGGGAAAGCCTTGTGCTTCTCAATGCGCTTGGGCCGAACTCGAGTACGAAGGTTTCACAATACGAGCATTTCTTCCTCGTCCTGACGCACATGCTCTGAAGATCAGTGGCCTAGGACAGTACGTCTCGGTTAACGACCGACCTCTTACTTCGTCCCGAGGTATCTCCAAACAGCTGGTCAGAATTTACAAGGAAAGTCTGAAAGAATCGTCATCCCTAGGTGATGCCAAGGACGCCTTCCTATATCTCTCACTCTCTTGTCCACCCGGTAGCTACGATGCAAACATCGAGCCAGCAAAAGATGATGTTCTATTTGGCGACGTTGACAAAGTTGTGGAAGCTGTCAGAAGACTGATGTTGATCTCCTATCCCGAGAAGGATGTCTCAGAAGAACCTGCAAATGCTCATGGGTCTGACAACGACAGTCGCGAGCTGTTTGCGACGCCAGTACCAGGAGAAAGATCGAATAGAGTCGAACCAAAGGGCAACATGTATGATCTCGACGAGGATGATCTCACCCTGTTCATGGACTCGGTAGATCAGCCCAGAAATGACGTTGTCGAGGAAGATGAGCAACCCGAAGCTATCAGAAGTGCCGCAGTCTCAAACCCATGGATAACTGCCAAGATGAACGCCTACAGTAATAAAAGAAACAACGTCAACATACAACTTCTGACGCCAGCCAAACAAGCGTCAAGCTCTACGCCTGAAGCAAGTCCACCTGCTCTCGGTATACATCGTCCACAGGAAGACATTTTAGCATTACCGACACCTCGACAGTCGTCGCCCATGTTCGCTCCATCAGAAAAGTCTGAGAGTGTTGGTCCTCGCCGAGTGATAGGCCCGTCTAACCTTCCTCCTCCAATACATCACATGTCACCAATGCGAGATAGCATTGAAGCCTTTCAATCCTCCCCCGTGCCCAATCGTATGACTCTTCCTCCTCAACAATCCTCAAAAGGTACACCATTGGAGATGATACCAGAAGCCGCACCAAGGAGACGAAGCCCTCCAAAACAGCAACGACAGTTCGTTAATAAACCCTTTGTGTCACCAATTGACCCTGAACGCGACGCGTGGTTTCACTTTCCCGAATCGCAAACTTCGAGGCAGTTCGCGCGGAAGGGACGATCGCATAGGCAAAGTGGAGCGAGTCTCGTTCCAAATGGGGAACCGCAATCTTCAAGTGCTACGCCTCCTCCCAATAACACAGACATTCGCGACTTCCTCGGTAGAGGTCGAGAACAGCAGTCTGCTACCCCCACAGCCAATGCTGCAGCAGACGCGGACATCGAGAACGTGTCGCCAGACGAGAGTCGCCACGAGCCGCAACCTAAGGGGTTCGTCAAGGCTAGTAAACTTGACCTCGCCAGCACTCAGTTCATGCAGCCTATACGACCAGCTCCAGCACCAAAACCCAGACGCCGTAGAACAAAAGATGAGCGTGCGTTGCAAGAAACATCTGGTAACGGTAGAGTCAACGATGATGAAAGTGGCTCCGAGTATGAGGATCGTCCTTGTCGCCGTCGTACTGGAGAATCAGACCCAAAACGAGTGCGACGTATCAAGTCCTCCACCTTGTCTCTCGAGAAAGTACCAGAAGATGTACAGACTCAATCCTGGACTACTAATGTGCCCGCGACACTTGACATTCTAGCTGAGGACCTGCAGAACATCGAGGCGGATGGCACTTTCGTGGCGTGGAACGCACCAGCATTTGACACCGAAAGCGAGGTGAAGAGATGCTTCTCAGAGGGTGATGTGCAGCGCTGGACTCTTACAGTCAGTCAAGCTTTGCTCAAGCTTGAGCCAGAAGGCGAATTGGTCCGCGATCTGGGCGATGTGGTGAGGAATGCCATGAGCAGATGGGGCTCGATCACTGCTGTCTGAGCAGACCAGATGTTTTACTTTCCTTCTTCTTGTTACTCGCTGTTCTTGGGAGATCGGTTCGCTTCTTTTGCTGAGGCATATACTCTTGCTGATGAGAGCGAGGTCCTTTACTTTACGATACAAGAGACTCATGGTGTCAAGGGTTGCTTTTGTTCGGATGTTTTGCTGGTATGATACCCCTGAATGTTTTGCTGAGGAAACGATGTTCGGCACGCTGTGATGTGTATGTTGTTGTTGGCTGTATGTATATAGTATCGATCATGTTATCAGGCAGCTAGAAGAAATGATACAATGGTATAGTACACATGATACATGATGCACATCACGAAGAAGTCGATTGCTTGATGCAAGCAAGAATACAAGACGAGCATTGACTGCCTGTGCTGCTCGTCTTCCTTGACGCGTTGCAGGAGAATATGTAATCCATGAGTGCGCTCTCAAGAAGGAATTGTGTGATTTCCGAAAACCTCCGAATTGGTATAGTCCATCTCAATATCTTACAACACATTCATCTCCATCTCTCATCTAAGCATCCAAAGCCTTTTTAGCCGCATCTACAATCTTCTTGACCTCTTGCACACCCTTCTCAACAACCTTCTCCATTTGTGTGCCTGCCTTCTTCAAGTCATCCGGTCTTGCGGACTTTGACAATTGCATCGCCCTCAGTTTCTTCTGTTGTCCTTGTCTAGCATTTCTGACCGAGTTGCTTGCGACATCTCCTGCTTTTGCTGCTGCTGCAACAGCTTGTTTGCGCGACTCGGCGGTAGGTGGAGGGATGGGGATGTTGAGCAGGAGAGGATTTTGACCGGTAGGGTCGGCTTGGGGAGTGAGATTTAGGTTTGCGGATTGGATGCTTGAGGTGACGGGTTTGAGATGCTGTTGATTAGCATATCAGCATGTGTGTTTCCTTTGGAGCCCATAGAAGAGGCAACGAAAAAGGGGCGCATACCTCCTGCTCGCCAACCACAACCTGCACAACTCTTCCTTTGGGAACCACTTGTGCCAGATCCCCAAGTTTCACGGGCCCACCTTGTTTCAGCTGCACGCGCAAACTCTCGAGTACTTGTGGGTTGAATCGTCCTCCCTGTCTCAATTGTGAGAGATCGCTTTTGAGTTTCTCGACCGCATCGCTGATGTCTGACTCTAAAGCGCTAAAGTCGAATGGATCTTCTGAGCCCGCTGTTGCTGCTGAGGAAGAGGAAGAGGAGGACGATTCGGCGCGTGAGGCTTCGCGTGCTGCTTTGCCACCTTTTTTGAATGTGGCGGGTGTGTTGCTGAAGGTGCGGATGGTTGGTGTGTAGTTTGGTGTGGTGGCAGTGACCAGAGCTAGAGGACTGCGAATAGCTATCATCAGTTTTTGTAGAGAAGACAATGCGATGACGAGACAATATACCGCAAGCTACATTGTCTGGAAATAGTAATGTCACGCGACAGCAGACGTGAGCAAAGCAACTGCGTTGATCGTGTTGGGCGCATTTTGAAGCGAATGCTTGTTTCTGTTGTCGCAACTGGAAACCTCGAAAGGCCGAATATGGAAAGATGCTTTGTGACGTCGGCACTGCCACAAGCCGAGACGCAACCCTGTCCTTCTGGAAATCTTTACAAGGCATCGATGGATCGACGAACGATCTGCTGCCGCTGCAGAAACGAACATGCAAGCGCTCGGGTCGGTCTTGCGGATCTAATTAGCTCCCAGCTAGTGTATGGTTATGTCAGGAGGCTCAACCTCAACATGGATCACGATCGTCTGTCAAGGTCTAGGCTTTGTCTAGAAAACGTTCCATCAATGTATTGCTGAGGCTCATTAAAAGATTGTCTGATTGTGTACGCATGAGTAGCTCGGCCGTGAAGACTTGTGAGAAGAGAAAGAAACAAAGTAAACATCATACACTCTGTAACGGTCCAAAGTGCAGAGGCTAAACAAAAAAGACATGCGCCAAAAGAAGGGAACCTGAAAACCTTCAACAAAAGCAAAACCCGTGGATTAGCGTCAAAAGGGTGCAAAAAGTAGTAACTCCATGACGAATAATGTGATGGATGGGGATATTTGTAAGAACACCAAATGAGAGAAGGCTCATGAGCCCAACAGTCGTAAACTAACAAGTAAAGCGACCAGTTGAGGCACGCCGCCTTGTGAAAAATTCAAGTCGCTCGTGGGGAATCTTTTATGCGTGATGCAAACGCAGAAAAACACTTTCCCACCAAACCTCCCAGCTTGCGCCGTGATTCATACCCTACCAATATGTCTTTGTGTAGCAGGAAAAGATAACGCCAACCTGATGCCCGGAGTGTAATGAGAGGTTATGATTGTAACGCCTGTAGCGCCGCAATCCATGAGACCAAGGATTTAGATGCTAGAAAGATGAATCGAGTGTGATGACGATGACTGAGAGGCTTAACATGATAGATCATCGTCCGTTGTGTCCGTTGAGTGCGTGTTGACCGTTACCGTTGGTGTAAGAGTTGCCGTTAAGAGAATGGTCCATGAAGCTGTTCATGCTGCCGAATGTTGGTTGATATGCATACTGACCAGACGAGAGGCTACGATGAGGCTGAGAATAGTTGTTTGTGCCTTGCTGAGAATAGTTCTGAGGGTTGATGCCTCTGTACTGAGGGGCATATCCACGACCGGCGTTGTTCTGCATGGACGGTGGCACGTGGGATTGCTGACCGTGAACGCCAGGAGGCATAAGACCAGGAGGAGGCCCTGCTGCAGTAGTGAACCCCGGAGGAGCACCCATACCGTTGCCGAATCCAGATTGGCCTGGATGAGAACCCATCGCCGCGTGATTTCTGTTATCGCTTCTGACACCCAGAGGGTTCTTTGAGAAGCTGACACGAATGCCTCCTTTGTAACTGTTGTGCAGTTGTACACCATACAGCTCGTGAAGAGCATGAGATGCGTAAGAAGTATCCTCGAACTCGACAAAACACATGGGGCCGTTCTGTTTTGTACGGAAGCAGAGTCGCTTGAAGCCTCTGCTCTTGGAAAACAGAGACTTCAGCTCGTCCTCGCTGGTGTTTATCGGCAGATTTCCAACGTACAAAGTGTTGCAAGGGGGGTTCTGGTCAGCAGGATTGGCAGGAGGATAGTCATGCTTCAGGTTTCTGTTCGAGTAAGTGCCATTTGGGCCTCCACCAGGGCCTCTGGTAGGAGTCGGCAAGGGTGGTGAGCGCACGGCTTGCGGAGAAGCGAAATTCGAACCCGGAGGAGAGCCCACGTAATTTGAGTAAGAGTGTCCATTTGTGGTACTGTGGTTGGTATCGAGAGAAAGGTTGCCAAATTGAGGGACAAAACTACTGTAGCTAGACGAGGGCTTAGGACCGTTTTGAGCATAGCCAACAGGATCTTTCAGAAGCTCGCCAGTTTCATCGTCGTCGATACCGTCATTGATGAGAGACTTTCCCGAGATGCGGTTGTGATCACTGTAAGCGTTGGCGACCGGAGACTGGGGAGAAAAGAGCCCTTGGAGGCGGTTGCTGCTGTCGGGAGCAGGGAATTCGTAAGCATGTGCAGTGGAGATCAAAGGAGATGTCAAAGGCGAAGTAATGCTCTGTGTGTTCATGCTTTGAGAGGCCTGAGAGCCGAGATTCTGCTGGAAGCTGCTGGTGAAGCGAGAAGACTGACGACTCAGACCATTTTCTGCCGATGTCGAGAGAGTCGTGCTGCTGGAGCCACCAGAAGTGTTCTGCTGTCGCAATGCTGTTCCGTCGACAGTGTTGCGTCTCGAAGCATTGTATGCAGATTGTGAAGTAGGAATGAGTTCGACGATCATGGTTGTCACTCCCTTGTCCATTGATTTTCCATGAAGATGCTTCTTTGCTTCCATAGCGCCGGTTTCCGTGTGGAAGATGGCGACTGCGCTGTTGAAACCCGAGTCCTCCAAGCTGGTCGACTCGGATGGTTGCACAAACTTTGCTTCGTCGAGGTCAGTAGCAAAGATGAGCATGCTTCTGAGCGCATCTTCGGTAAAATTGCGTGGCAGACGTCGAATGCGGATCATGTATCTGGCTTGGGATTCTGAAGGTTCCGAGTTTCTGTGATTGTTACGTTTTTCCATAGTGGGCGACAGGCCTGGCAATTGAGAAAGAGTGTCCGGGCTTGTGAAAACACCTAGGGTCTTTGCGCCATTCGCTTGACCTATAGGAGAGAGACTACCAAGGTTGGGCAAGGTGGGCAACCTCGAAGTCGGAGGGCTGTATCTCTTGGTGCGTGGATCGGCCATTGCCTATAAGTACAGCAGCGCATGCGATATATAGCGTAGGTTAAGCGATGAGTCAAAGGACGTCAGCAGGACGAGAGCGTGCTGTGTCGGTCGTTTGAGCGAATTAATGCGATTAAGCCAATAAGCTTGCGATGAATGCGATGACAGGTCAGGGTTGATGGAAACCAGACGAGGCGTGGTGGGTTGGGGATGCGACCGAGTTGCGACGAAGCTTCGAGGGGCAGATCGAGGTTGAGGGCGCGATGCCGAGAGCGACCGAACTGCGCTGCGCCGGTTTGCGTCCGATGCGTGCTGCGACACGAGGCTATGCGGACAGACGATCCCGAGCAGAGACAGCCAGAAAAAAGTGACGGACCAAGGGCAGGCGCGAGGTGTCGGGAGGGCGAGCGAGCGAGCAGCACGGCGACAGCGACGGTCGGGGAAGATGAGAGAGATGGAGGAAGGGCTGGGAAGTGTGGAGTCGAGAGGAGAGTGCGCGCCGATAAGGCAGTTCACATCCTTGCGAACACGGCAATGGCTGGAAGTAAGACTAGCAAGCCTTAGTGTACCGCCTGTCGCGCCATCATTGACACCTCGTCCATCTCAATTGGCACCACAAAGGCCTGCATACTACCCACAACCTGCCACAACCAAGCTGTTGCTTTAGCCTCAGCCTGTGGAACACGACGAACCGCATCTACCCAACGCAATCTCATCACAGTTGCGCTCTGAATGTAAAGCATATAACGATTGCGATTCTGCTTATGAACTCTAATTCCCGCCGGAGGCAGCATCCCACGAACCTTGTTGGCCCTCCTTTTGGCTCTGGTTGGCCAAGACCGCGGTCCAGGGACATGGTGAGATGGAATCGTCCCCCGGATCTCCTTTTGAGCAGATGAGCAATCATTCGTGATGACCGTTGCTGCTCGACAGTTCGACGACTCCTGGTTGAGACCTTTTGCAAGTCCAACCCGAGTCTTGTCTCAACGCAATCGCGTCTCGTTTCAGGGGTCGAGGCAGAAAAAAAGTCGCGGCTGTCGTCAATGGCACGGCCCATGTTCTTCCAACCTGGTAGGCCGTCAGCGTGCATGAACTCAGAACCTCTACTTCCGCCAACCACTCAGCTCTCCAACAAACATATTGTCGGTTGGCGTCGGCTTCCCGATCTGGGTCAGTTTGTTGATATCTATTGACTATTTTAGCTACTAGGACAGCACGAGTTGTCAGTGTTACGCTCGGAGTTGCGACCAAGGACCGACCCGAGACCGTGGTTCCTTACGCGAGCTTTTTCTGGGGATGATCCAGTGGCTTTTTACACGTGCGCTCGGAATTTGATATGGGATCTGGCAGGCCGCTGACAGAGACATCGCATCGCAGTAACACACAATAACGGACGACATGCAGATTGCGACCGCCACCAAAAACTCATACACATTAATGCCTAACTGACTGCCAGGCAGTAAAGTGCATGGCGGCAGTATCTTAGATTAGCCATAACGGTGTCCTGTTTGGTGGTACAAGATGGAAGCCTACCGGACTTCCGGATCAAGCGATGTTGTACCCAGCTGGTTCCAACCACAGACAACTCGACACAAAGCATCATTCCGCCGTGACTTCGGACGGCAAGCAGTATCACCGGCTGTACTATGAAGCGCCTCGTTTTGCGAGGAAAAGATCCGACCACAAATCCACCAGTTGACCATAGACGAACACCGCGGCCAACGACCCCTTGGCTGGCCATAATCCTCATTGGATGCTCGGCCGTGCTGCAACAGCGGCTTGATATTGATGCGCCTCGATTAAGGCGATCAGGGTTGCTGGATCACGTTGCGGCATGGCAAGCCAATAGAGAAGAGGCGCGTTTCATTGAATAAATCATCTGGTTTACCCGCGAAGTAGTCTGCCATCAACAGGCCATGTGGCTTGAGGATACATGCGATGCACTGAGTGGGTACTGGAGGACAAACAGTATGCTTGGATGCTTGATACTGCATGAACTGAATCGGAAAACTCTCCGCGATTGAGGATCATAAATCTCTACTGCAACGATCTTGTAGAGACAAGAAAATAGTAGAAAGAAGTAGGTGGGTATTGTTAAGTATTCATGATTCGTGAGTAGCCCTAACTAGTGCGATCTGGCAGACTTGTAATAGTCAGCTCCTGTTCAAAAGATAGCTAGACAACAAGGGTGCCATACCTACTCTTTTGACTCCTTCGAATCCTTTGAGTCTTCGGCAGATGATGGAGGTGCTTGAAGAGTGACTTCCAGAACATCCTTTGCACCGTGAAGGCTGATGAGGGAAAGGATTGCTTTGCAGTTCTCGCCGGTGAGAACAGTAGTCTTGGGGAACAGCTTGCTGTCTCTTCCTTCGGCTGCCCAGCGGACCTTAATTTCGGTCACCTTCTCAGCCTCACCCTTCTTTTTGTATTTAGCCAGGGCCTCGGCGCAGTTGACTGATGAAGAAGTAAGTTCCTGGATGCGATCGCTCAGGTTTTTGATGCCGAGACCGGCGTTGATGAGCATGACCTCGTGCCTTGACGAGTTGCCGATTGTAAACACGATGGGGAATTCTTGGGCCATGATGGAGTGCCGTGAAAGTGAACGAAGATTGTGGATTTAGGAGATTGAAAGATTACACAGTAGCAGAACAAGGAAGGGGAGCGGATTATATCCTGAGTGGTTGTTCACGCACCTCGACATCCCTGTAGCACCACTGACGTATGAAAGCATGGCTGAGCCTGCTTTCTGCATTTCAAAACCGGTCCCACCTTGCATTCTCCACGAGGACACCTGTGCAGGCTCTTCGATACGTGGTTGCTGAACTAACATTCAGAGACATCAAAAAATGCAATAAGCAAGAAGATTTGGGCAAAGAAAGAATGGTGCCGGTAAACCTTATGTTTTCGTAGATTGTCGAGATGTAGCTTTGCTAAGAGAAGGAAAGACTTGGGAAGTCTGTAAAGATCGTGTTCGTGTTTAGTCTAGAATACTCATGTCTGGCAGCACACGATTTGACTCTCTATCAAAATCTCGAGTAGCATTTCAAGCTGGAACAATTCGAGATAAGTCGTGCATGTGAAAGTCAGTCTTGAACCCTTTGCTTTGAGGCTCGGAGCTGCAACGGTTGCCAAGCAAGTCTGACGAGATGTAAACCATCGCTGTCAAGCAACTCGACCTAGCAACATCGCCAGACTCCGAGCATTCGAGATTTGTGCTCCGTACTCGCAAAAGGAATCCTTATCCATCCACAATCTTTGTTGTTGACCGAACGTCAATTCCACAAACTCCTTTCAATTCAAGACTCGACTTGCGACACACATCCAGAGTCAGCATGGACCGAAGCCTCGACGAGATTCTCGAGGAGCGCCAGGTTCGCCAAGATTAACTTTGTCAATTCAGCTCTGCTCTAACATATAACAGAGCACCCGTGGTGGACGTCGCGGTGGACGTGGCCGTTCTGATCGCGACGGTGGCCGCGGACCTCGACGAGACTACGCTGAACGCGAGCGCGACTATCCCAGAGACGGCATCAAAAAGGTCTGTATCCTAGTCGACACAAGCTTGCACCGACTCCGACTGACCCTTGGTTGACTTACACAGGTTCTCCTTCCTTCCTCGTGCTTCAATCATTAAATCGACACCAATCAACATGCATCGACAAACACCAACCCTACATTCGATCCGCTGACCGTAAATCTATCAGTCATTCCCCAGAGAAGACGCTAGAAACATTGATCGGTGAGCCTTTGCATATCTGAGATGCTTCCGCTTGCACCATGCTGACCATGGTCATAGTGACTGGGTCCACGATAAGTTCGAAGACGATGACTGTTAGTTCCTCAAACCATACAACCCCCGACCACATTCTGATTCAAGAATAGCCCGCCGCCCTGCTAGAGGCTCGCGCAACGATCGCTACGACAGAGAACCTGCAAGAGATGCGTGCGTATCACCTCCAACAACTTTTCAACGACCGATTCTGATCAAGACTACAGCCCCGGCTCTTCCACCATCCGTGTTGAGAACATCCATTACGACATCCAGGAGCCAGACTTGAGAGTATGTTGTTGCTTTTGGTCTCAGTATGCGCCATTACTAATCCCATACTTTAAAGGAGTTGTTCGAGAGCATTGGACCTGTCGAGTCACTACGCCTTCTTTACGACCGCCATGACCGCTCGCAAGGAGTTGCATACGTCGTATACCCTAGTGAAAACCTCGCCAGACGCGCCTGCCGCCAGTTCGACGGCCAAAATGCCATGGGCCAACCCATCTACCTGAATATCCAAGAAGCCGCCCGCCCTGCTCGCAACCCCTTTGACAATGTCGAAAAGCCTTCCCGCAGTTTATTCGATCGCATCGACAGCCGTCGCAGTGCTAGTCCCAACTCGCGCAACGTCGATCGCTACGTTCCCCCTGGCGGTAGAGGTCCCCGCTCGCGCAGTCCCCGTCGTGAGGGACGTGGCGCTCCTCGTGAGACTGGACGCCGTCCTGGTGCTCGTCGTGAAAACACTGATCGCCGTGGAGGTGGCCGCGAACGTGGCGACAGACGTGGCCCGGGACCCAAGAAAGACAATGATGGAAGACCTATGGTACAGGGACGCCCGAGAAAGACAGCCGAAGAGCTTGACGCTGAGATGGATGACTATTGGGGTGGCGGCTCTGCTCCCAATGAAGGCAGTGCTGTTGCGTCTGGCGAAAACGAGCCTGGCCGCGAGCCTCAGGTTTCGACAATTGCTGGAGGAGAAAACAACAACATGGGCACCACATCCACAGCTCCGGAAGATGACATTGACCTCATGGTCGAGTAGAGGATACCTTGAGGATACCTTGATCACGAAAAGTAAATCATGAACCTCCTCTCGTTCTACACAATTGCAACGCATAACATGAAGAAGGACGAGTATGGAAAAAGAGATTTGGAAAAGCCATCTGGAGTTTTCTGCAGCTTGTATCTTTAGTGAAATTGCATGTCAATCAACCACTCCTCGAATGTTATGTCACTCTGCGCTATTAAAGGCTCTCCAAAGGCTAGGCTCATATCTTGGTTGCAATTATGCATTTTGGCAGCTTATGATGTGTGCTGATGGACTGGCAGTAGAGTTCTCAGAGTGTCACTTGCACTCCCGACTGCAGCGAAGAGCAGAATGTCCACGACCAAAACGCATAATCGAATACAGGAGGAGAGACATGTCCATTGAGAGCTGATAGACTGTCGCTTTTCGGTGGATATCTCTTGGTTTCCTCATGGAATTGTGCATTGTTATAGGCATATGTTAGATCGTTCAGTGCACGAGGAGGTCATGATAGTGGAAAGAAGGGATGAGGCTTTGTTTCTATCTCTCTGGCCACAACAATCATTTGGCTTTCCAAATTGTCTCCGTCGTCTTCAAGGGTACTTGATACGGCTCGTGTTCTGGATTCTGTTCCTGTCTTCATGATAGAACAATGTCCTGCTCCCTCCAACGCTCATACTTGCGAAGGTTCTTTGTTCCTTCGATATTGGAGTGTCCTATGTCCTCCTCTTAGTACCCTTCAAGTGATGTTCCGCGATGAACTCGACGAGAAGTGTCCTGAGGCAGAGCAATGCGTCGTAAGTTCGAGACGGTTTGCCGTGAAACATAGGGAGATGAATGCCTTCTCTTGAGTTTCTTGCTTTGTGTGGTCCGCAGCCCAGACTATGTGTCTGCTAGGCTGTGTCTATCTCCACAGACCGTAAGACTCGTTTGTAGCCTTCCACAGCTTGATGGTGCCGTCTTCGCTGCCGGTAGCGTAGAGCTTGCCGTCCGGAGAGAATGCGCTCGTCCATACGGGACCGTGGTGACCCTTGCGTGTTTCTGTCGTATTGTTAGCAAATCTCGCTGCTGCAGCTGATCTGAAAGCCACTTACCAATCTCGGCACCGGAGTCGAGGTCCCATACACGCACAAAGGTATCTCTAGGGCTGCCGGTCACGAAACGACGCTGACTTCCACACACAGCCACACTAGCAATTTCCTGGTCCAAAGTCTTGGAGTCAAGCAAAGCACCGGGACGTGCGCCGTCAAAGAAGTAGACGGTCTTTCCAGCTGCGACACTAAGAGTGCCGTTCGCAGAGCCGTCCAGAATGCTAGAGTTGAGTTCGCAGGAACCAATAGTTCCCTCGACCTCGTGTGTCGCAACGGCAGAGCGTGATCGCAGGTCCCACCAGCGCAACTTCTTGTCGTCGCAAGCCGTGGTCAGCACATTAGGGTTTGCGGCTGACCACACGATGCTCTTGATGGTTTGGCCGTGCTCGCCAGCACCGACCTCGTAACACTCGTCGCCAGAAGAGGCACCGCTTGTAGCACCTGCGCGCGTCAGGTCCCAGATACGCAACTTCTTTTCCATGCCGCCGGTGGCTAGGTTGATGGGTCTGTCTTGCAGAGCAGGGAAAGCGACAGCGCGGACAATGTGGTTGTGCTGCAGAGTGTGCAACTGCTCGCCAGTAAAGGTATCCCAGACCTTTGCGCTGAAGTCGGCCGAGCCAGTGGCAGCAAGAGAACCGTCTGCGGAGACACGAGCAGACCAGACGGCACCCTTGTGACCAACGAAGGTACCGATCCAGTCGCCAGTCAGACCATCACGAAGCATTGGGTTGTTGTCTTTGCATGCTGAGATGAGGTAGTATTGAGGTTGCGACGAGGATGTAGAAGCCGGACTCAACGCCGAGAAGGATATGTGGGTAATGGGACGAGAGTGGCCATGGCAGGTCAGAGGGACTACTTTGCTGGTTTCTAGGTGGCTCGCCGGTCAGTGGTTGGAAGGGAAGGCAGGACTGGTGCTGGACGCAGTACCTGTAGCCATTGATGCGAGATGTTAGGATATGAAGTAGCGAAGAAGAGGAAGACAGCAGCTACTCGAGAGCGAGTCGGAGCAGGAAGTGCAGTAGGTGATGAGTAGAGAAGTAGAGGAAGAGAAGCAGTCCGTCCTTAAACGAAGATTTGAAACAACGAGCGGTTTGAAGAAGGGTATATCGGTCTAAGCAAGCAACAGCGTAATGACGATCGAGACCGAAAGCAACAAGAGATATGCGACGAAGTGAAACTGGAAAAAGAGTCAGGTCTGTGAATCTGCAAGGAGAGAGATGGTGAAAGGCCATCTGCTCCACCGATGTAGGGCCACCGCGGGGTTGACACGAGGAGCTGCCCGCCTCCAAACGTTCTAGGTCCATTGAATCAGGAACATCCAAGCTACATATCAAAACAACACCCTCTCGATCAAATTATGTTCTGGACTTTGGGCTCTATCTACGGCGCTACTGCCGTCGCCTTTGGTGCTTTTGGTGCTCATGGTCTGAAGAAGAAAATCTCAGATCCCTCCAAGATCGCTGCTTGGAACACTGCTGCTCATTACCAAGTAAGTACTTTACCATGTTATATTCTCGAATTAAGATCTGACATGCCATAGCTTGTACACTCTGGCATGATTCTTTTGACTGCCGCTGTCGCCCCCAAGAACAAGGTTGCTGCTGGCCTCTTTGCCGCAGGCATCACATGCTTCAGTGGTTCTATCTATCTACTCACTCTTGATCCTCAGAGATTCAAGGCTCTCGGTCCTGTCACCCCAATTGGAGGTCTGTTTCTGATCGGCGGTTGGGCTGCTCTCGCAATAGGTTCGCGCGGGAAGTTCTTGCCCAAGACTGCATAGATGTATGCGGTATGAGACGCCTCATATCATTGATGGACCTTAGTCAAGGCATACTGTACATATAAATTTTCATGTATTATATTCTTCTCTCATCACTCTCTCCAGATAATCAAGTACGGTTACTGCAAGGAGGAGACTTTTTGTCTAGATTTCTCTGAAAATGATGAAAAACTGCTCACGCGCGCAAAATCCCTTCGAATTTGCCTATTGCTACATACGAATCTCAAATGCGGCGCGCATGGCGCAAGAGAAATCGCTCGAAATTTACATAGACACCAACCCGCTTACATGTCCTCGGAGGCGGTGGCACCAGTGATAATCTCGACCAGCTCACCGGTAATGGCAGCCTGTCTGGTACGGTTGTACAGAATCTGGAATCTGTTGATCATGTCACCAGCGTTCTTGGAGGCGTTGTCCATGGCGTTGCGGCGAGCAGACTGCTCACAGGCGTGACCCTCGGCAAGAGCCTAATCATCATCAGTAAACATATTTACCATACTGAAAAGGGGTACATACCCAGTAGAGGGAGTTGGCGAGCGAGTATTCGCGGAGGTTACCAAGGATTGAGTCGTCAACCTCGAAGGAAGAGATGTTGGCTGAGGGTTGTGTTAGTCGAATGACAGCTTGTCCTGAAGGGAGTATCAAACGCACCAGAAGCCTTGATGGCGTCCTCGGAGAAAGCCTCAACAACGGTGGGCTCGTACTGCTGGGCGTTCAAGAACTTGTTGTAGAGAATCTTGACGCTCGAGTAGTTGCCGGGAAGCTGAGTGATCTGGTCGGCAATGGCGGAGGCATCGGCGAAGGTAGGAACGTCCTTTCCGACGTTGGCGAAGCTGAGGGTCATGTTCTTGGGGTTGGATCTGCTGAGCTGGGCCTTGCACTTCTCACCGAGAACGACGAGCTCGAAGCTGTCGGGGTTGGGGCCAAACTCTCTGCGGACGTAACGAGAAAGACCCGAGTGGATACCACCACAGAGACCCTTGTCGGAAGAGCAGACAACCAGGAGAGTCTTGCCCTCAGCCTCGACGGGCTTGGTCTCGGCCTCTTCGAAGACCTGCTGGGAAGCCTGGCCGTAGGCGCGGGAAGAGGTCATGGCACGTTGGGCGCGGGTGAGCTTGGTCGAGGCGACAATCTTCATGGTCTTGGTGATCTTCTCGATGTTGCGAATGGACTTGAGACGACCCTCGATTTCACGGAGAGTGGCGAAGTTGGCGGCATTGGGAGCCTGGGGCCTACAGAGGCACAGCGAATCAGTACATTGACCATTGGTTGGGCTCGTCGTCGCATGGATGGGCGCGGAGGAAAAGCTGTTTCGGCGGTGGTTGAGGAGGCGGAGGGGCGTACCTGAGGGCGGCGAGACCAGCCCTGGCGGTGGGACGAGCGGCGCGAGACAGCATGGTCAGGCTATGGGAGCGGAGAGGTGATTGAGGACGAAGTGAGATGGCGACGGCCTTCGGGAATGGACTGCGAGCTCTTGCTGTCGTTCAAGTCTCCCACATCCGCTGTCCTTGGCGGAGACACTCGGGCCACCTCGGATCGCTTTGCTCTTGCCTCTCTAGCCGGCTGCTCTCACGTGCAGAGGAAGCAGGAACGAGAGTTCTTTCCTTTCCTTTACTTTGTGTCTAGATTCCATCTTGAATTCCCTCTTTATCCTATCTCTCGACTTCTACTACGCCATCAGAGTCCTTTGTGACCCTCTTACCATCTGAATCCATCAATACCAACTTTTTCAGCATTTCACTTCCGCGTTTCCGCGTCTCTCTCAGCTCTTACTTTTCCTGGAGCAAACACACGCGTCTTTGTGCTCAATCGTCGAGGCTACAGACATTCAGCACATCGCGTTTTCTACAACAGCTCAGTACCTCGACTCGGCCGCCATCTGCGTACACTGTCAGAAAGCCCTGGCCCTTCATCATGTCTGACTCGGAAGACGACAAGCCTCTGATCAAAGGTATGCAGCTACCCGTCTAATTGTTTGCCTTGCAATTCCGTCTCTTCTTGGACTCGCCTCACTTCGACATAATCTCACACCTTTGCCTATCACTTGCTTCAGCTCTGTCCCTTACCTTCAGCACTTGCAATTCACTTCAGCTCTCGTCTCCATCTACGTCATATACTTGTGCCTTATTTCTTTTTCCTTTTGTTACTTCTCTATCTTCCATCTTAGTCTACCCTTCGACACTTGTCCTCCTTCATCTCTTTAGCTCAGGTTCACACCACTTACACCTCGACCAGCCAGATCCAACGAACGCGTCAAAATGGACGACACCGACACCAGCATGGGCGAGCTGAATCCTGGGGTCTCACTTCGAATGGGTCCCGTTGACGAGATGGAAGTCGACCCACCTGCTACCAATGGCAACGGCACCAAACGCAAGTCATCTATGAACGGCAAGAGCTACAAGGATGCGACTGAATCCGAAGATGACGACGATGTCCCATTGGTTCGTTCACCAACACAACATGTCACGATCTACCAGATCTAACTTATCGCACAGACCAAGCGCAGAAGGACATCCAAGAAGGCTGCTTCCGATTCCGAAGACGAACCTCTCGCCAAAAAGACTGGTCGCAAGCCTCCAAAGGTTACCGCACAACAAATCGGCGAAGACGACGACGACTCCGATGTGCCACTCACGAAAAAGCTCGCCAAGGAAAAGGCCGACATTGAGAAGAAGGCAGCGACACAAGCCAAGGCCATCCGCGCAAAGAAGACCGTAAAGGCCGAAGAACCTGAAGACAGCGACGACGTTCCTCTCAAGAAAGCTAAAGCTGCTCCAAAGAAGAAGACCAACGGTGTCAAGAAGGAGGAGTCTTCTGACGATGACAAGCCACTCAAGAAGGCACCTGCAAAGCGTGCAGCTACCAAGTCACAGAGCGCCACCCCAGCTGCTTCCGCAAAGAAGGGCAAGAAAGCTGCAAAGGAGGAAAGCCCAGAGGACAAGGAAGACGTCGAAGATGGAGAGGAGGAGTATAAATGGTGGGAAGACACCGCCAAGGGCGATGGCACTAAGAAATGGACCACTCTGGAACACAATGGTGTCGTCTTCCCTCCGGAATACGAGCCACTCCCGAAGAACGTCAGAATGCGCTATGATGGCGTACCAGTGTCACTGCATCCCGAGGCCGAGGAAGTCGCTACTTTCTTTGGCAGCATGCTCAACTCGACTCACAACGTTGAAAACCCGACTTTCATCAAGAACTTCTTCACCGATTTCAAAAAATACCTCGACGACACTGGCCATGGAACAAACGACAAAGGAGAGAAAGTCAAGATCTTGAAGTTCGAGAAGTGTGACTTCAAGCCTATCTTCGAGCATTTCGAAGCCGAGCGCGCGAAGAAGAAGGCCATGACTGCTGCAGAGAAGAAGGAACTCAAGGCCATCAAGGACAAAGCCGAAGAGCCCTATATGTACTGTCTCTGGGATGGCCGCAAACAGAAGGTTGGCAACTTCCGTGTTGAACCTCCTGGTCTCTTCCGTGGACGTGGTGAGCACCCCAAGACTGGCAAAGTCAAGACTCGCGTCAAGCCGAACCAGGTTACTATCAACATCGGAACGGAAGCCACTGTACCTGCACCTCCTGAAGGTACCAACTGGAAGGAGGTCCGTCATGACAACGAAGGCACATGGCTCGCGATGTGGCAGGAGAATGTCAACGGCAACTACAAGTATGTCATGTTGGCAGCGAACTCCGATGTCAAGGGTCAATCAGATTTCAAGAAGTTTGAAAAGGCCAGAGAGTTGAAGAAGCATATCGACAGAATTCGCAAGGACTATCAGCGCGAACTCAAGGCCGAGCTGATGGCTGACCGTCAGCGCGCAACTGCCATCTACCTTATCGATCAGTTCGCGCTTCGTGCTGGTAACGAGAAGGGCGATGACGAAGCTGACACTGTTGGTTGCTGCTCTTTGAAGTTCGAGAACGTAACTCTCAAGCCACCGAACAAGGTCGTATTCGACTTCTTGGGTAAAGACTCAATTCGCTTCTACGATGAGGTCGAAGTTGATGCGCAAGTCTTCAAGAACCTAAAGATCTTCAAGAAGGCTCCAAAGAAAGACGGCGACGATATCTTCGATCGTCTCACTACCAGTGCATTGAACAAGCATTTGAGCAACTACATGCCAGGCCTGACAGCCAAGGTCTTCCGTACTTACAACGCCTCCTGGACAATGGCAAGGCTTCTTCAGGACATGAAAGCAACCGGAACACATGCCGAGAAGGTCAAGGCTTACAACGACGCAAACCGCAGAGTTGCCATTCTCTGTAACCACAAGCGCACCGTCGCCGCCGGACACGCCGCTCAGATGGAGAAGGTACAAGACAAGATTGATGCTGTCAAGTATCAGCAGTACCGTGTCAAGCAGATGATGCTGGCGCTCGAGCCCAAGCTCAAGAAGAAGAAGGGCGCTGAGTGGTTTGCTCTCCCCGAGGGTCTCGACGAAGAATGGCAGAAGAAGCACCACGAAGATCTCGTTGAGCAGGAACGCCAAAAGATCACCAAGAAATTCGAAAAGGAGAACGAGAAGCTCAAGGCAGAAGGTGAGAAGGAGATGAAGCCCAAGGAGCTTGACGAGCGACTCGAAGCCGCCACCGAGCTGGAGAAGAAGCTCAAGAACGAACTCAAGACGAAGAAGGTCGAGCCCGAAGGAAAGGGACCCTCTGTCGAGAAGTACGAGGGCCAGATCGAGAAGCTTGCGGTCAGAATCAGCAACATGGAACTGCAAGCCGAGGACAGAGAGAGCAACAAGGAAGTCGCTCTGGGAACTTCCAAGATCAACTACATCGACCCTCGTCTCACCGTCGTCTTCTCCAAGAAGTTTGATGTTCCCATTGAGAAATTCTTCTCCAAGACCTTGCGCGAGAAGTTTGCCTGGGCTATTGCTTCCGTCGAGGAAGACTGGGAGTTCTAAGCGCGGCCGTCTTGGTCAACAACACGAACAAATCTTTTCGACACATTCTTACATGTCTTTTCATATTAACGAGGTACTCGGCAGCGGAGGTCATGAAGAGCGGCACGAAGGACAAGAACCCTGACGACTTTGAACGTCCACGTCCTATCGAAGCTCTGACCGCTATTTTGCTGTTTCCAAAGGCGACAGCAGTTATCATTGAGCGGGAGCAGGAGCATAGAGAGGTATTTTGACGTTTTGCAATGTGACAACGATGCTGCCGTAGCAGCCAAATTCACACTTATTCAATATCTTGCTGCAATCAAGTTTAGCACAAAAAGAAACAAGTTGAGCTCTTTCCAATTCTCTTCCTCTTCTCTCATTCGTAAGTCTCTTTGTAGTTGAAAGTGCGTAATCATTTGTGCAAGGATATTTTAGTGGCTCGACGAAACGCCAAAGTACCACGGTACTGTAGAGACTGAAGGAGGGGAAGGACTTGTTCGGTCCAGCTCTGTTCATCTACGATGAGGATCAAAAAAAAAAAAGAAAAGAAAAAGAAAAAGAAGCAACTGGACTATCAACACGATATCTAGAAAGCCATCTGCATTTTGATGGTCGACGACGTTACGTACAATCTACGAGCACATTTTTGACCCATCTAATTCGAAGGTACGGCCGTTTCTGAGAAGATACGTTGACATAAGAGTGACGAAATAGCAGGTTCCGTTTGTCTTGTTCATTGTGAGTTCAAAGGTTGTAAGGATGTGTTCTGGTATATAGGATATGACGATATGTATAGACATTTAGAATGCAAAAAAAAAAAAAAAAAAAAAAAAAAAAACCCCATCCCTGAGAAGATGAAGGAAGAATATGATGGTGCAAATTTCCGAAAAAGGGCAAGTAGAACTCAAGGAATAACGCCAGGCTGAATGTGAAGATGCTTGCTTTGGCTGATAGATTGGTCTTGTGAATGCTGGGAATTGAAGAATCAAGGCCACCACTTCATGCGTTTGTAACTGTCGATCACGGCTTCGACTTCCTCCTTTGTCAATTTTTCATGGGTGTACCTGGAACAAGAATTAGGATTCTGCTTCGTTAAAGGGAATGGGCCTAGGTAGGACTTACTTGAATCCAACAGTCTGCTCAAACTTGGTGCCGTTGAGGCATAGGTCGGCTTCGCGCAAGAGTTCCTTCTCCATGAAGGGACTCAGAGGTCCTGTGCCACCTTCCAGACCAGCTGTTTGTTGCAATTCGGCCCATGGGTCCAGAGTCTCGTCGTTCACGTCGTCTACAACAGATTCGAGGTTGAGACGTGCAAAGGTGTTGATGAGGACGTTTTGGAAGCCAGTCTCAATGCCAAAGAGAGCCTTTGTAATCTCGGCCATTGTGCCTTGGCTCGTGTCGCCCTTGTCGACGACATTGAAGACTGAGGCCGAGGACGTGGGGCCCTTCTTGGGTGAGGGAGAGGTGGGTGTGGAAGGGACACTGTCGGCAGCTGCGCCGCTTTGTGCTTGGTTCGCGCGCCAGTCTGCAGCAGTCCAGCATGCGCGAACGACATCGTCGATGTGGACAGTATGGGTACGCAGTTCAGGACCCCATAGCCATTTCAACTCTTTCTCGATGCCTTGGTATACACGGGCGAGGGCCAATTGAGTGCCCATCCATTGTCCGGAGTAGGGGCCGTAGACGTTTGGTAGTCTGAGGATGACGAGCGGCAGGTTCGGGATCTTGCTGAGGTCTTCTTCGGCTTGGAGCTTCCACTTTGCTTGCTTGAGCGAGGGCTTGAGTTTGTCTGTTTCTTTGCGCGGCGGGTCGCGTTTGCTGTCGTATACATGGCCGGTGGAGAGCTCGAGGTAGGCTTTGACTTGGCGACGGGCAGCCTCTTTGGCAACGTTGAGGGATAGCTCGTAGGACCGTAGCTTGTAGACCTCGTCGTCTTGCGAGTGACGAGTCTCACCTCCGCAGTTGAAGACATAATCGAACGACTGGCCGTCGGGCAGGTCGAAGACGCGGCTCAGTGATTGTGGTCGCGAGGCATCGGCCTGCATGAAGTTGGCGCTGCAGGCATCTTTGTGTTCGGGGGCCAGCGAGGCCAGCTGTGGCAATTGCTTGTCTACTATCCTGAGTGTCGAAGCAAGCGAGTTGGTGTGGATGTAGTTGGTCAGGAAGCGTCCAATGTAACCTGCCACGACCCAGACGTTAGCAAGCTACTGGGCCCTCTCAATCTTATCGGGCTTCTTACCAAGGCCTCCAATGATGAGCACATTTGGTTTGGTGGCGGCCGTCGACCCCGCCGTGTCACCCATCGAGGTCGCTAAAGGGGGGATTGAGGGGCCCGAGAAGGCTTCAGCAATACCAACGAGCAAGCAATTTCACAGAGAGCTCCGCTTGTCTCTCGTCTTGCAACTGAGCAATTGAGGCTCAAAATACGGTTATCGAGCGATGAGTACCGCTACTACTGGCTCCAACGGTCCGGGCAAGCCTGTGGTACAAAGAATTGGGAAAGGAAAAAAGAGGTCAATCGTGAAGCTAAAGGACAGGCCAGGTAGGTGACAAGCTACTTTGGTCGCTACACAATTGCTTTCTACACATAAAAGGGACCGCCCCCGACCGACCGACCACAGGCCACCATGTGGATACAGCCGTAGAGGCTCAATCGCTGCAAATCAAAAAAAAGGTACGCACCACTTCCAACTCGTGTCACGACGCAGTTGCTTTTGGAAAACGCCATCGTGTCTTTGCTTGACGCATGCAAAGGCAGGAACCCTACATTCCCTGCATCATGCTGCCCTACCAACCGCTCTCTTCATCCAACCCCCTTGTCTACCCTCTGCTCAAACCTGGCATCCCTCCATAATCTTATAGTTAGCCTCAGTTGCTCAAGCTGAGGCACACCGGGTCACGCTCGGGCCCAGAGCGATTCAGTTCTTGGTCCTTACGGGTAATCTACTACCGAGCCAGATATTGCGATCTTCTACCAAGATTGACTTTGCTTCGCTCTGCCTTGTGCGCTCTCCTGACTCGACAATAACCGTCTCGGCCGCAAGCTGTTCTTTTGATCTTATCGCTCCGGCTCCGGCTCCGGCTCCATGAGACCTTCGAGTACCGCTACCTCTGTTCCCAGCACAAGACCTAGTCATCGAACACAAACACATTACAACCATGACAAAAAGCATCTGCTGATACATCTCGTGACAGCCTCAACCGCTTTTAATCAATATTTTATAGCACAGAATCTAATACGCTGAGGTCTAGTATACAACTTGAATTGTGAAATATTTCTTGTTTTAACGACAATGTTATGTACATGGCCAGTCGAATACAACTGAACGTCCTTATGTAGCTAAGCTATGCTGAGCTTTCTGTCCACACCTGTGTCTAAGCAAAGCAATTGTGGAGGCGCATCTCCAGCTCTGTTCTTACTAACAACCTCGTCTCTTAAGCCAGTGCAGACCACATCACTCGACAAGCTCCTTGCAGACCAAGCAGTGTACTGGTTCTTCAGTCTCCTCGTCGGTCTTCTTGTCAGTTATTTCAACCTTTGGGGCTTCGGACTCTGATGCCACGATCTTTGCCCTGATCGTGTCGTCTTCTGCAACAGCGTCTTCGGCTCTTTGAGTAGAGTTCTTGTTAATTGACTTCCGAGCTCGTTTCTTGCCGTCTGTTTCCACTTTGACTCCATTCTGTTGACTCTTGCGCTGGACGATGTCTTGGGCCAGACAAGAAGCATGAAGCCATATTCCACAATCTTGGTTACTGCATTTGATGATGAGATTGTCGGGATTCTGTGGCCGTTTACACTCGCAGATCAGACGCAATGGCTTTTAAAGTTAGCACGGCGTCGCAAGCTGTGGAAACGTGAATAAAAGACTCACCGATAGAACCTTGGTGTCGTAGTTGTAAGTTTGTCGCCAATAATACTCTCCTTGTGCTGGCATGTCTGCATCGTCATTGGCCTCATCCCAGTACACGACTTTCAGCGGCCCGTTCACGGTCAGAGCATCGATGATATCCATCTTGTTGCCTGGCACTAGTTCGAATTTGCCGTGATATGGCTGCGTGCTACGTGCCTCTGCGGGTAGTTCCTCGGGGTTCTCAAGCCAGGTGCAGCGAAGGAAGACATGATGCTCGTCCGCGGCTCGAACCTCGTGAACCTGGGCCTTCCAGTCCCGATCGGAGTCGTTTCCCGGCTTCACGAGCACACAATCTCCACAGGAATGAGTCTGGTTTCCTACTGTGCTGAACAGAGTTAGTAGAAATTTTCAAATACGATTAGATTATAAAGCATACAATTTCTTGTATTTGGTCATGCTCATCCATCTGTCCATTGGCTTGACAGTGTAGCGAGCCGGAAGATAGTCTCTGCCATTCAGGTTGAGCATGCGCTCTGAGACGTCGGGTGGGTTCTTTGCGCCCTTGCGCGTAGGAGGGTTGAAGACATTGAAGATCGGTCCATCTTTCTTATCGGATTGATCCAGCCAGCGTAATAGCTCTGCTTTCTCGGGTTCTGTCAAGCGGCCTTGCGCGGGCGATTGGGACTCTGATGGAATGTTGTCGGTCAATCTTCTGCGTTTGACTGAGGATGGCTCGTCAACCGAATCGCGTTTCCTGGTCATTTTTTGTTTGGCAAGCACCTAACGACGACTCTGCGCTTTCATAATCTCGGTGTGAAATCTGCTTCCTGTAAATTCAGGTATGGCAACAGGACGGTGATACAATCTTGTCGCGTGTGAGATGAAGACGCGTTTCTGATAGCTGCCCGTGCGCGTCACCCAAAAGCCACCTGATTTGGAAGCCGCACCCGAGAAATAGGCGTGCTACCAAACTATCGAGTATTTGTGATGGGCAGTGATTTTCGAGATGAACTTGACATTGAGCATTTCCAGGTTCTAAACCAGAACACTGGCCTGAGTCGGCGATGCAAGCGGTCGAGCGATCTACCAAGCAACACATGTTGCACTACTGCCAGTCCAAGAGCCAAGGCGTGTATATCAGCGCATCAATTGTGAGTGCGCGCATCATAGCCATGTTGATCTTACGATGGTCATTAACAACGTGTCTATCCAGACCAAGCATTTTCGATATTACATCCTCACGGAGGGCTATGCCAGACCATTCCTTTTCAGGAATGTAGAGCACTATTCTAAGCTATAGAACGAAGTATATGTTCAGCGTGAGACCGACGTCTTTCGTTGCACAGCGTCCTGCTCTGTTATTACGCATATTTATAACCAGCTGGATGATTTTCAGGGCCCTGTGTCCTTGCAGCTCATTAATGACTTGCAGCTTACTGTTGAGTGGCAAGCCCCTATCCACGAGCACTGATTGTTTGGGCAGCCGCTCTCAGTCCCAAATGACAATCGATTTCTCAGCGGCCGCGAGGCTTTGATAAAAGTGGCTGCGTTATTGGGCAGGCCAAGCAAGCGGGTCGCGCGCATGCAGCGCTATTTCCGACTTTCCAAGTCCCATTTTGGCTTGTCAGCTGCAGCACAAGCTCAGCTGGACACGAGATAAATGCCGGGCAAGCAAGCAAAGCAAGCAAGAGAGATGGGTCCGCGGGCGTCATGAATTCTGATCAGTGTCATCCATGTGCATGTCTTTGATGGCGGGCAGGGACGGGAGCGACACATCAGCAACTTGCGCGGATGTTGGGGGATCTACGTAGCTGCTTTTGGCAGCAGCCGCCGTCACTTCTCCGCGAGTTTTGGAACCGTCCAAAACCTAAGCCAGTCGTCATCGATGAACGGTTTGATGTGCCAAGTCTGTTGAATATAGGACTAACAAGATCCAAATATCCACCTTCTGCCCACTTGTGCCCTGTCGTCGTTCTCTCCAGATTTTCCAACTCCGGGCCCAAACACTCTTTGGCATCCCTGCAGACCCTGGTTTCGTCTGACTATTCAGCACTCGTTTTGTTGCCTGCGCGAATCCGCCTGCAGCCGGTCTCCGTTACAAAAGTCCCTTGCAGACCCTCATCAGCTTCTGGTGTCACTGAATTAGCCGGCCGCATTCCAACCTGCCTCACACAATGCCTCGCTCCCGAGTAATGTCATTCATGACCCAATGGGGTACTCCGTCGAGGAGTTTTACGCCAGAACCCAAATCTCAACCATCTGAGGACCCTTTCAGCAACCACCCTGCTAGACCTCCCAAGATCGATACCTCCTTCGCCTCCGCTACAAACAAGACCGTCGATGCATCAACCTCTCCCTCTCCCAGCACCCAACAACGTTTCCGTTCGGACTCGCGTTCAGAACGCGGCTCCCGACCCATGTCTATGGTCTACACTTATCAGCCGCCGATCATGGATCTGGCCCATGACACACTGCCAGAATTGCAGCCCATCTTCAGTTTCCTCAACAGCCACTCCAACAAGCTGTACCAAGAAGGCTACTTCTTGAAGTTGCACGATTTAGACTCTCGTGAGCAGACTCATACATAAACTGTTTCCAAGGTACGTGGCTGACTTGTTTCCAGGCGGACGCCCAAGCGCAGATCGAGCATGGACAGAGTGCTTCGCTCAGCTGGTGGGCACAGTGCTCTCGTTGTGGGACGCTGCAGCACTGGATGCGGCAGGTGAAGACGGCGAGGTCCTGCCTACGTTCATCAATGTTAGCGACGCTTCGATAAAGATGGTAACCAAGATCAAAATTTTGTCAGGGGACATTCAGGTTACTAATCAGCCGACACAGATCGAGTCGCTTCCAATGAATGGATCAGCAGGAGGCCAACTCCAGAACGTTCTGAGCATCTCGACCGCAGCCAACAACCGCTACCTTCTTCACTTCAACTCTCTTAACTCCCTTACACAATGGACTGCTGGCTTTCGCCTTGCCATGTACGAACATACAACCCTACAAGAAGCCTACACAGGCTCTCTCATTGCTGGAAAGGGAAAAATGCTCAACAATATCCGCACTATCATGGAAAGGAGCAAGTTTGTCATAGATGACTGGGCACGTGTGCGCTTCGGAGCAGGTACGCCTTGGAGACGCTGTTGGTGTGTTATTACACCTCCGAGCGAGAAGGAATGGGGAAAGTATCAAAAGGCATTGAAAAAGCGCGACACGTACGATCGTCGGGTTGAGGTCCCCAAGGGCGATATCAAGTTCTACGAAACAAAACGCGTCTCAAAGAAGACACGGCCGATCGCTACCATCAAGGACGCATATGCTGCATACGCCGTCTACCCTCAGTCCAAGCCTCTTATCGACCAGTCCACGCTGATCAAGCTTGAGGGACAGATCACCATCCATGGCGAGAGGGACACGACCGCAGAGGGCTTCCTCTTTGTCATGCCGGAAGTGCATCCCGCAGTCAGCGGTTTCGAGATGATGCTTCGCTGGTTGTTCCCTGTCTGGGACATCTTTGCTCTATACGGCCGTCCCAACCGTCTGATTGCCGACGCTCTTGATCAGCGCGGCCTCATGTTCGCCATGCCTCGCGACAGGAGATATGGCTACCTTGACATTCTTGATGTTTCTGGTTTGATCCACACAAAGGGCAGCCAAACATGGTCTGAACAGGACTGGAGAAAGGAATTGAAGAAATTGACGTCGCACCGCATGAACTCGGCGGATGATACACCTCCACAGGCAAGAGGAAGACACAACTCGCTCTCGCTCAATCACGGAACGGTCCGCTTTGGCGATGGCAGCTCCACAGATACCTCGCCATCACCAGCTAGAGGCTCTCCAGGACCAGGAAATGGATCCATTCAATTCGGTCCTCCACGCCGGGTTGGAACAACGCCGGTAAGCATGGGCAGTCCGGGCCGTGGACACAATCGTTCGGCCTCAGATGCACTCGGATACAAGCGGTTTCAGACCGAAAACCGCTCCCGACTCTCGTACGAGGCGACCAGCGACCTTCAAGAAGACAGCGCGCCCGAGCCGCCAATGCACGGTGTTCCCCTGTCGGAAAAGAAGACTGCCACGGTGCTCGAGCGTGTACCATCAGAGGAGACGCCGTACGAACAAGAACGGCGCCTTGAGCCGGCATTCGAGGAGCTAAAAATACGGTCAGGCTCTCCTCCGACGGGTCCAGTGGCGTCGCCCCCCAAACTCATGCACGGGCCAAACGCTAGGCCCACTAACCTGAACCTGACACCTGTGCCCGAATTACGCAGGGCCAATTCTGCCATGGATGCAGCGACGCTGCAACAGCTTGTAGAGGCCAACAAGGCCGGTGCTACACCGTATCACGAAAAGGAGCAATTCGACTTTACCAGTGCTCCACGAGAGGTAGCTAGTGTTACCAACCGGACTCAAAGATCGCCTGCTGACCCCTCGTTTCGCAATGAAGAGGTAAATCTTGCTCCAGGGCCCTCATATCAACCACCGAGTACCCACCGCCTACCCCCCATCCCTGCATCACCCTACAGCCATCCTGCAAAACCTCTTGCAGCTGCCGCTAGGGTTGATCAAGACGCTCCTCCTCCTCCTGTCCCGCCACACAGCAACCTTCCCTCAACTGCTGTCTCCGCGCGAAGTCTTGCAAGTCCTCCACCACCAGCCATGGCTGCTCCCATCAGCAGAAAGCCCGTCCCCAAGTCATCAGGGCCTCAACATGCAAGTCCTCCGCTGCAGAGTCCTCCGCCACAAAGCCCTGGACCACAGAGTCCTACCCTTTCGAGAGTCTCGAGCAATGACAGTCTACAAAATGAAATTATGCAGCAAGCTTTACTTGAACAAATGCTTCAACAGTCACCAGAGCCTGTGAACAGAGTGCCAAGCCCTGTCAGTAGCTCTGATGATGACTCGGTCGTCGACTACTCCAGCGTGAAGAGTTTGTCACCGCCAAAGAGAAAGCCTGTAGAAAGAAGTCGAACGGGCCGACTCAAGACGGTTGGCAACCCCGAATATGAGACTCAAACACGAAGTCGCTTTGATACGGAGACTGGAGTCCCCATCAACTTTGGCCCTACACTGAGCTATAAGCCAAACGGTCGCCCTTCTACAGGTGGTAGCTTACCTGTCGAACCACAAGAGGATAATGAGGATGTGCAGCGCCCGTCCTCGCGTTCTACAACACAAATCGATAGCAAGAGAAACTCGGCCCTCGACACACGCAAACAGAATGGAGACACAAATCTCGAGAGGCGCCGAAGTGTCGCTTGGCAGCCAGCAGCTGTTGCTGGTGAGTCCGTGGATCAAGGTCTCACTGCCGAGCAATGGGTGCAGTATCGAGCTTCTCTTGCTGCAACACCGTTGACCCAGTCAAGAGCCACACCCGTATTTGGACACAACAGAGACCACTCGAATGCAAACCGCACAACTAAGACACCTCCACTCAGTCGCCCTGCATCTCGTCTTAGCCGTACCTTATCTGGAGATTGGACGCAACAGCTGAACCGCTTGTCTCTTAATCGGACACCTTCTGGTGATTGGAGTCAGCCAGCAAATCGCATGTCGTTCAGCAAGACACCCCCACCTCTTAGCAGGACTCCGTCTGGTGATTGGAGCAAACAAGCCCCATCCCGTCCACTTTCGAGAAACGCCGGCGCACTCCTGAACCCTCCCAGTCCTGGCAGAACACTGCAACTTCAAGGATCAGCTTTATCGGCTCATGAGCAGATGCAAGTTGCTCGAATGACGGGCAGTTCTATGATGAACCTGACTGAAAGGGAAAGGCGCAAGGACCTCGATGATTTGGATGCTCCAGGCTTGGTTGGTGCCTTGGCGGCTCGCGAACGACAGCGAAACTTCAGAAGAGATGGACTTCGAAACAACGCAGTGCAGCAAGCGATTGCGGCACGTCAGCAACAACAACTGCAGGACGAATTTGATGCCCAGATGAGAGCACAAATTGAGGCGCAAGAATATGCTCAGCAACAGGCTGAGCTCCATGCTCAACACCTTGCTCACCAGCAGGCGCAATACTATGCTCAGCAGTACGCACAGCAACAAGCTCAACAGGCTCAGTTACAGCAACAAATGGCTTTCCAACAAGCACAGCAGTATCAGATCCAGTTGCAGTTGCAGCAGCAACAAGCGCAGGCCAACTACCCATACATGGGTGGGCCAGGCACAGCTCAACAACGATCTTCGCAATACCTGGGAAATATGAGTCAAGTAGGAGGATGGAGCAATGCAGGCTCGCCACAACCTCAGCAGGGTTATGCGCAGTCCTACTTCGGTCAGGGCGATGGACAATACAGACAGCAGAGAAGATATTAGCATCGAGGTTGGTGGCTTAGCATAGGTGCTCGGTCAGGTGGGAGGTTCAATGGTTTGGTTGCATAGCATTTGGGCGGAGTTTTGTATACATTCCAGGAAAAGCATTCACCATATTATTCTTGCCATATGTCCCTTGATTCTCTGTCTTTCATCCCCGTCCGAAATGATGGTGCTCCATCCGTAGCAAATGGCACGAACAGACAAGACCTGCTCGTATCGGGTTGTTGCTTTCTGAATTCGAAAGGGAGGTTGTCACAAGCCATCAGAGTGCACACTCATGACTCAAGAGATGGGCTTAGCAACTGGAATAACCTTACTGAGATTCTTTCTGTGATAACTACGTCTTTTATGAAAGTATTCTGCATCTCTATCGTCACACCATCACTGTCTCTTGCAAGTGGAGAGACAGGAGGACATAGCAAAAACTCTGAGCAGGGTGCCGGTAGCGACAATATGTGGTGAACCGTGCTCAAACGGTTCCCCGCGCTACGAATTTTAAGGTTGGCTTCTCTCAAGTCTTTTCACACCCTCTCAGGCTCTCACTTTCACAGTGTGTTTCACGCACGCGACATGAACAAAGATTCGATCCACCTCTTGTTAGTAATAGAATCCTAGTTCGTCTCGGTACGTGGAAGCAACATGGTCTCTCTGGTACAGGCGCCGAGCATGCCGCCATCCCTTCCGCAAAAGAGTCTGAAGAGAGACGCCTCGCATCTGTCGTCACCGGCACCAGAATCCAGCCAGAGCAAGAAACTGCGAGTGGCGTTCGACGACAGGGTCGACGTTCGAATCATGGACGACTGGACGGCCAAGCCGTTGGATCTGGTCAAGGACGAAGTGAGAAGTGCACTCGAGGGCCACCTCAGGACCGGCGCCGACAAGGACGATGCCGCATATGAACAGCTTAGGATGATCTTCATCAGCGCCCAGCCCTCGCGGTCCCACGACAGCGGCCCTGTCTCATCACACACTGAAGCACCCAGCACCGCCACGCTCAAGAAGTATTTGGTCGCCCTGAGTGGTCGTGTGAGCGATCTCAAGGCCTGCGGCAAGCTGGTACATGCCGTTCTCGACGTCAACTGGCTCGGCAGAGACGATGCCTTTGTAGCTCTCTATGTACGCTTCCTCGGTACTCTAGGAAGCGCTGTGCCTGGATTCCTCAGAACTGTGCTTGACCGCATTGTGGGACACTTTGTCGAGGGTAAGCTTGCTTGCCTCTGGCTATCGTGCGCCCGTTCGCTGACATGCTTCCAGTTCCATCATCCCTAGGCCGCATCCCCAACGAGCCTTACGTCTCCAGACAGCACATGGTCGTCCGAGTACACAACGCTCTTCGATACTTGCTGCGTCTCATCCCATCCGCCAACAGCGGTCTAGCCGAGTCCCTCCGAGGCCAGTTTCCAAACCACAGAACTGCCACCCGCCAAGGTTACATTGCCTTCGTCAAGAATGCTCTCAAGACCATCGAGTACGCACCTGAGCTCAAGGCTGAAATCCAGACCCTCATTACCGAGCGCCTGGTCAAGCTCGATGTTGAGGTACAAGAAGAGTTGGATGATCTGGAAGACGAGGTTGATGAGGGCCGTGTGCTTGGACTCTCTGGTCTGTCAGAAGAAACTGAGGATGGAGACGATTTGGACGACGACAGCGATGTCGACTCGGACTCTTCGAGCGAGATTAGCATGACGCCTGAAGAGACTCATCTCCGTGCTCTGCGCGACACCGTCGCCAAGCTCGATTCAGTGCTAGATCTCCTCTTCTCACATTACACTCCCACCTTTGCCAGTGGCAAGATGTACGAGGTCAATGATGCCTTTGAGCACCTGATCTCGCAGTTCTCCACCTTTGTCCTGCCTACGTACCGCTCGCGCCATACGCAGTTCCTCGTCTTCCACTTTGCCCAGATGTCACAAGGTTATGCCGAGCGATTTGCCGGCGTTCTCATCCGCCTTGCTACTGGCCGCAGCTCTGCTACGAATGGCTCTCTGTCTGCTGCTGCCTATCTGGCCAGCTTCATCGCTCGTGGCGCTCGAGTGAGCAAAACACTCATTCGCTCTATCTTCACAAGACTTGGCAATCATCTAGACACATTGCGTCGCAACCACGAGCCTGCTTGCCAGGGTCCTAATCTCAGCCGTTACGGAACCTTTTATGCGATTGCTCAAGCTATGCTCTATATCTTCTGCTTCAGATGGAGAGACTTCATCATGACACCAGACGATGCAGATGTTGAAGACTACGACATTTTCGAGGAGGGTGAACCAGAATGGCTTCCTGGCATCAAGGAGTGCTTGACTCAGGCCATCTACTCCAAGCTCAACCCTCTCAAAGTTTGCGCACCCGCCATTGTTCACCAATTCGGAGCGATTGCCAACCATCTTCGCTTTATGTATGTCATTCCTTTGTTGGAGACCAACAAGCGCCTGCGTCTGTCTTCCTTCCGTTCCATGGCCGCACCTGCCAGCAGGGACATGGGCGCTGCCCGAAGAGAGAACACACTCAGTCATCAAAGTGGTGAAGCTCACCATCAGCTGGATGCCTTCTTCCCCTTCGACCCTTACCAACTGCCCAAGAGCAAGAAATGGCTAGAAGGCGACTACATGATCTGGAGGGGAGTGCCTGGCATGCAAGATGACGATGACGATGAAGATAGCAGTGATGAAGATGAGGACGAAGATGGATTTGGTGACATTGGTGATGACCCAGAATACGAGAGCGAGTAGAACTGACACTGGTGTGGATTGTCGAGATACGATATGACTGATTTAGCGCGGAGTTTTGGGCTGGTATCTGCATGTTGCTCTTTATGCATGTGCTGGTTGTGTTTTCGTTTTTGGCGCAGTTCAGCGTGGGTGGATAGGTCACGAGGCGTATTTGATTGAGCAAAGTTCAAAAAGTAGGTCGATCATTAATGGCAAAGCAGTCTGTGACTAGATGACAATGAAACTCATTCTTAAAAACATATTGGAAAATCCCTTGTTCAACAGCATAAGCTTATACTTGTGATTCCATCCTGAACGCCTTCTCCATAACACACTCTGTTTGTTTTGTTCGTAATCCGTCGAGGATGGTTGTTTGATTCGTGTCTTCGTCAAATGAGTGGGTTCTTGTCCTCTACAAGCCAAGTGGATTTTTAGCATTGCCCTTGCCAGCGTTTCGTTGCCCACTGCCAGGAGGCAGCTTTCCTCCAGGCATCAGAGTCTTGCTCGACCCTGGACCACTCAAACCGAGAGGATTGCCGCCAGTGGGCACGCGAGGACCTCCAGCACCAGAAGCATCCTTGATGTTGTTGCCATAGCCTGCCACACCCTGGCCCCAATAGCGTGTCGTGTTGGTGATGCTGCGAAAAATAATAAGTATGGTTTGTAAGTAAGTGTCTTGGAAGATAGTTTGAGGTAATTACCTGTCACCGATGCCACGACCAACATTGTTCACACCATTGCCCACGCCATAGACAATGTTACCAGCCACCTTGCCTGCGCCGGCGACATAGCCTTGGACTTGCTTGCTGAGCCAGTTGTCACCCATTGTTTCTTGATATGATTCTTGGAAATTGCCAAGGAGTAGATAGATGGAGATAGATGTCTTGAAGCCAAAGGAAACACAAACCAGGTTTTACGATCCAGAGATATATGTGGACACGGCTGGCAAGAATGCCTCTTGCATTCTAGAATCGTCAGACCAAGGTTCGTGTTGCATCTGACAAGGGTATACGTCAGATCTGATAAGTCGGCGTTATCTTAGCGGCATCTACTGCCACGCTAGCGCCTCGGCTCAAGTGTCCGCTGCCGGTTGATCGTCCACTCTTTCGACAGGGCTCACTTCAACCATAGGTATTCAGCACTCACAAATTCGACCCGTCCAGGAAGATCAAGACGGACCAAAGGCCATTCGACCAAAGACAGAGCAGGCTGTTGTTGTCCTCAAGAACAATCAACGATCTGTATTCCTTGTCGCTGGAAAGGAGAAGGCTGGGGAGGCGGAATATGCATCCTGGCGCAGGCGCATCAAGTTGAAATATCATCAAAACAGAGCCAGACCAGCAGAAACGATTTGCCAACGCAATACCTGGACTGGAAGTACCTGGACAAACTGAAAGTGGGCCAGAAGTGCACCTCCGGCACTTTCTCGACAACAGCGCACTGTCTGGCCCCATAAAGAAACATTCTGTGGATCTCAGGGCAGCGCACCTGGGACCATTTCAGACATGAATTCAAATCATCTGGATCCTTTCTCTGCGGTCGGCGTCGGTACAAAGCAAAAGCAAATCCAGGATGCAAAGGACATGTACCAGGTGGTCGTTGACCGCGCTGCAAGAACAAACACAGCCGTTCCAGACTATGAGTTTCTTGAACTCATTGGCAAGGGTTCCTTTGGCAGAGTGTACAAATGGTGAGCTTTGAAAGTCCCGGTAATGTATGGCCTTGTCTGATGTGTTCCAGTAAAAACAATGCTACCGAGGACCTTGTGGCTGTGAAGATCATTGACGTCGATGACCTGGACTACAAGCTCGACCTTGACCAAAAGGATGAGGCCATCGAAGACTTCCGTAAAGAAGTCAAGACGTTGAAACTTCTCAGAGACAGCCAAGCGAAGAACATCAACTACATCCAGGAGGCTTTCGACTTGCATTCTCAACTATGGATTGTCAGCGATTACTGTCCAGGTGGTAGTGTTCATACGCTTATGAAAGCCACTCCAGGCCCTGGCCTTGAAGAGGAGTACATCATCCCGATTGCTCGAGAGTTGGCCGTGGCACTCAAATACGTACATGATGCCGGTGTCATTCATCGAGATGTCAAGTGCGGCAATGTTTTGATCTCCGAGGATGGCCAGGTCCAGCTTTGTGATTTCGGTGTTGCAGCTATCATCGAGACGGAGGCGTCAAAACGTTCGACCATCATCGGAACGCCATTCTGGATGCCCCCTGAGATGCACTCCATGGATGTGGCAGTTCAGCAAGGTTATGGTACCGAAGTTGACTGCTGGGCGTTTGGTTGCACTGTATACGAGATGGCTACGGGAATGCCGCCGAACCACAAGTTTCATCCTTCGATGTTGAGGACAGTGCTGAAAGCCGCACCACGGCTTCAAGAGGGCAACTACTCACAGGGCCTGCGTGACTTTATTGCCTTCTGTCTCGAAGAAAAGCCTCAAGACCGTCCCTCTATGAAGGCTATTCTCGAGCATCCATTCATTGAAGGCACATCAGCTCAGTATCCTACATATACCGTGAAGGAGATGATCGATCGTTATTTCCAGTGGGAAAGAAGAGGCGGCCAGAGAGCTTCACTGTTCAATCCAATGGGGGCTGCCGCACCTCAGCCGTCGGAACAACGTGATGACTATGATGACTGGAACTTCTCCACCTCTGCCGACTTCGAGAACGACTTCATTAAGCGTTACAGTCAACTCGGGATCGCAGAGACTGACTTCGCAGCCACAGCCAACGGCGCCGAAGAAACAATGCCAGCTCTCAACAACGTCACAAAACCTCATCCCAGAAACCCCTTCTTCGAGGCGCAAGAAGAGGCCAGAGCCAAGCGTGGAGAGCGCTCGATGGGACGACTCTTTGACACGAACGCAGACCCCTATGATTACAACACACTGATGGAGGACGAAGAACAACCCATCTCAGATCTTCCTCTGCGCAACCTGTCCAGCGATCGTGCGGCTAATAGGGAAACCCTGATTGACTTGGACATGGGCGCAGCGGGACTCGATTCACAGCCAACCTTCAACTTCGACTTCAGCGATGTGCCAACACTCAAAGCAGCAAGACCCAACCGTATGTCATCGACAATGCCTGACGATGACGAAGACCAGAACGACTTCTATGACGGACAAGACCAAGACACACGCCGCGCCACCAAAGACTGGCAGTTCCCCCTCAAGATGATGCCTGCCGACAACCCGAGCAGACGCACACAGGATTGGACCTTCGCCATGGCACAGCCCCCCGTCGCAGACCGCAAGACTCAGGACTGGTCATTTGCAACTGCCCAGCCAGCAGCTGATCGTAAGACAGCAGACTGGTCGTTCGCTACAGCTCAGCCAGCCACGGATCGCAGAACACAGGACTGGACCTTCGCAGAGATGGCAGAGCCTCTGACAGCAGAGCCGGATCGTCGCACCGCAGACTGGACATTTGCGACAGCTGAGCCAGTTGCCAATGAACCAGATGCCGAACCAGACTTCTCCTTCCCTCCTATGAAGGACGAGACGGACATTGCTCCTGGCTTCAGACCTCATCTTACTCGCACAGCTACTGAACCTATCGGACAATTCAACGACTTCCTACACCCTCCGGTGGGCTCGGCGTCTCAGGATGACTTCGACATCCCCAGCGTTCGCGAGTCCAGACCCATCATCGACCTCGACTTGGGCATGACTTTCGAACCTAAGTTCGACTTGGAGACCGCCATATCCCACCACTCACAACAGCCAAGCGTCACAAAATCATCGCCTGTTATCAGTGCAGCAGGCTCAACCGAGACCTCACGCAATCCTTTCTTCTTGGATGAAGTCGAGCAGCCCAGTGGCGATGAAGTCAAGCGCTCTTCGCATCGTCAATCGCGCTCTGAACCGCAACTTCTCGCATCAAACAATAACCTCCACGCCCGGGGATCAAGCAATGTGTCTCTGCTACGTCACTCTAGAGACAGAGGATACTCTTATTCTTCTACAGCATCGTCAGATGTTCAAGGCGCAAGCTGGCCCCGAGACTACAACCGTAGAATGGAGGCACACACTAGACAACAGCTTCTCGATGGTCTTCACACATCTGCAATTGCATCGCGCAATAGCTGGGCTCGTTTCGCCGCAACCGACTCGTTCGATGACACCGACATTGAGACACCGATGGCTGATCCTGGTATTCGCATACCAGGAATCGACGACGCCGACTTCCCACTCGCAGGGCTGAAGCCCTCACCACGTATCGACGCCTTCAATGTGGATACAGACCGGGACGAGAGTACATACGGTGACCTTACGATGCCTCGCAGTAGAGCTCGCGCAGACACAGGAGGCACTACCAGCACAGGTACCGGCTACGATTCATCGAGAGACGAATCATACATGCCACATGTACGCACCAGTCGCTTGTTGAACGAGTTTCCTCGTCTTGCAGCACCCGACGCAGAAGTAATGGTCGACGGTGCAGACTCGGAACTTGTTTTCAATGAGTTGGACAGAATGTTTGCAGATCTAGAATCAGGGCTCAGTCTGGCTGCAGAGGTGTTTCAGCGCCGTGACAGAGACATCTTCCGTGGAAGGGACGAGGGAGATGAATATGAAAGACAGGCAAAAGGCTTTGGCAGCGAAGGAGAAGGAATGATGTAACGCAGGAAGGAACGACGAATGGTAGCTAGATGATTGCTCTACAGCGAAGATACCCACATGGCTTGTAAGATAGACGATAGCTTTGTAAAACACGATACCAATTGCAGCAGCAGCTTTCAAGCAGATACTAGTATACAGCCGTGATGGTGATCGAGTCAGATGGAGTTAAGATCGGAGATTGGTGAATTGCGGAAAATGTCGGTCCTTAGCGCGTCCAATCCCCAGCTTTTGGTGCGCTTGGCGACGAGAGAGACGTAGAGTATGATGGAACAGAGGGTCTCTGTTTTCTGCCCACCTTATTTTACCATACAGTGCCTGCCTCGAGCGCTATGAACAGGCAGCCCTCGAACGCTTGACGAACCTCGTGCGAACACTTAACCAACCACACGTCCCTGTACGGACCGCCGAGCACGTTGCCCACCCGGCGCGCGCATACGCCATCCTCAGATGAATCCAGCGCATAGAGACGGCTGGCCGCCCAGAGAAGACCACGCTTCGCTCCATCGCACATTTGCGTAGGTCAAGATACTTCAAGACCAGACTGGCACGAGTACTGACGAGGCCTCACAGCGCAAATCCCCCACCTGCTCATCCTGGTGCAGCTCCTTCTCCACGCACAGGCGCTCTGCCCCCTCCATCAGGTACAGCCGACTCCGAGTCACTGACTGACCATCTGCTTACAACTGAATCAGGGCCTTTTGCACCTTTCCAGCAGGCCCCTCACAACATCTTGAATCCACCTTCACCTCGCCATCAGGCACAAGCAGCCTTCCCTCTCGGCCGCGACATGCCCGATCATCGCGACAACATCCACATCAAAGAAGAGCAAGACGCTGTGCGCCGCGATCAACAGCGCGAGAGACAACACATGGAGCAACTTCCTCCTCACCAAGCCCAGAGAGGGCCGATACACCTACATCAGCCTGTCGCTGTACCTCCCAATGCCGTACATGGCCCCAATGGCCTGTTGGCCAACGCTGCTGGCGGACATGGTCAGGTGCCAAACGCCGTCTTCAGTGGTGGCCCCGTACAGCCCGCAACACAGTCTCAGGCCATGCTTGTTCCTATGCAACCTGGTAGTGCTCAACCCGCGAACGTCGGTCAAGGCCAGCAGCCCATCCTGAATGTAGGTTCACATGTCATCCTCTCTGCATTTCGTCCTACTAATTGTCTCCAGGACGCGCTGAGCTACCTTGACCAAGTCAAAGTGCAATTTGTTGATCACCCAGATGTTTATAACAGATTCTTGGACATTATGAAAGACTTCAAGAGTGGAGCGTATGTGTCGGTCTCCACATCTGATCATTCTGAGGTGCTGACAAGATACAGTATTGATACACCCGGTGTCATCGAACGTGTCTCGACTCTTTTTGCCGGCAATCCTGAGCTCATCCAAGGCTTCAACACCTTTTTGCCTCCTGGCTACAGAATCGAGTGCGGCACTGGCGATGACCCGAATGCTATCCGGGTCACGACACCTATGGGCACCACAGTCCAAGCCATGCCAGCACCCCGACCTATTTCACCTCGCGCTGCGGCCCCAACACAAGATGGGAACAACCAGGAAGGTTCTTTGTTCGCCGCTGTGAACAGACAGGCCAATGGCAACTGGACACCTCAAGCAGCTGGCCACTCTCACGTTGTTCACAGTCCCAGTGGCCGTCCAGTAGGCACAGCTCCCTTCGCTTCGCAAATGGGTCCTCAGCAAGCCGCTGCGATCGCCGAAGCTCAAGCTCGCGAACAGCAGGCTTTGAGCATCCAGCAGGAACAGCGTGTCTCACAACTCCAAAATGCTGTATCTGCTGCAGCTGGTGACAACCTCACCAGGGCCGGCATGATGTCTCCGAGTGGTGGTGCTGCCGCTCTTGCTCAAGGTGAAATGGTTATTGGCCCTGATGGGCAGCCTCTAGGCCATGAGAAGGTCAGGCCGCAAGTCGAGTTTAACCACGCTATCAGCTATGTCAACAAGATCAAGGTTTGTGCACCGCTTACATGAGTCACGATTATCTTGCTCACATTTTTCTCAGAACCGCTTCCAGCAACAACCAGATATCTACAAACAGTTCTTGGAAATTCTGCAGACTTACCAGCGCGAGTCAAAACCCATTCAGGATGTCTATGCTCAAGTGACAAGGCTTTTCAACTCAGCTCCGGACCTTCTGGAAGATTTTAAGCAGTTCCTTCCAGAATCTGCCGCTCACGCGAAGGCAGCCGCTGCCGCAAGAGCACAGCAACAAGAAGAATCTGTCATGCTCAGCAACGTGCGTGGTGATCCTTTCTATCAGGCTCCTCAACCCCACCAGACTCCCAGAGCCGAACACCGTCTTCCTCCCGTTGGAAACTTTGCTCCCACCCCAACTGTCAACAAGGACAACAAGAGAAAGCGTGGTGACAGACAAGGAACTGTCACCAACGCAGGCCCTGAGACAAATGGTCTCGCAAAAGCTCCAGCTTATGGTCAGATGGCCAACGTCAACAAACGCGCCAAGCAGGCTCATGCTGGTAGACAAGTCATGCCATCTGACATCCCTCCGTCTTCGCCGACCCTGGTTCCTGCACTTCCTGAGCCTCTGCCGCCAACCCAGAGCACCCTTGCGACGCAGGACGAAATGAGCTTCTTCGACCGTGCTAAGAAGGCGATCGGCAACAAGGCCGCCATGAACGAGTTCCTGAAGCTCTGCAACCTCTTCTCCCAGGACTTGATCGACCGTGCTACTTTGGTGCACAAGGCTCGTGGCTTCATTGGCAGCAACCCCGATCTCTTCCAATGGTTCCAGATGTGGGTTGGTTACACTGGTGACGATGTGACCATCGAGAACAAGCCTAGAGCTCCTACAAGTAGAATTTCCTTGAGCAACTGCCGAGGACTTGGGCCAAGTTACCGTCTCCTCCCCAAGCGCGAGCGACTGAAGCCGTGCCGTGGACGTGACGAGCTTTGCAATGAAGTGCTCAACGACGACTGGGCCTCGCATCCAACATGGGCATCTGAGGACTCTGGTTTCATCGCTCACAGGAAGAACGTCCACGAAGAAGGACTCCACAAGATCGAGGAAGAACGCCACGACTACGACTTCAACATTGAGGCTTGTGCGCGCACGATCCAGCTGCTTGAGCCCATTGCACAGCAGATTCTCCGCATGAACAACCGTGAAAAGGAGGCTCTTGAGATTCCTCCCGGACTCGGTGGACAGAGCGAGACAATCCACAAGCGCATCATCATGAAGCTTTACGGACGCGAGAAGGGCCACATGGTTGTCCAGTCTCTCCACGCTCAGCCTTACAAGGTCATTCCTGTGCTGCTGAACAGACTCAAGCAAAAGCTTGAGGAGTGGAAACAGGCTCAGCGTGAGTGGGAGAAGGTCTGGCGTGATCAGACACAGAAGATGTTCTGGAAGAGTTTGGACCACCAAGCTGTTAATGCCAAACAGGCCGACAAGCGTCAATTCCAGACCAAGACTCTTTTGGGCGAAGTCCATACCAGATATGAAGAGACAAAGAGACAACGCCTGGCTGGACAGAACCCGCGCAACCACCCTCAAATGACCTTCAAGTTCGAGGACACGAGCGTAATCATCGACGCATCGCATCTGGTTCTCCTGTACGCCGAGCAGATGCATTCCACCGAGTTCCCAAGATTGACCTCTTTCATCCGAGAGTTTATCCCACTTTTCTTCGGTCTCGACTACGAATGGTTCGGTAACCAGATTAGAGCCAAGTTCGGCGATACTCCTCACATGGATGTTGGTGATGATGCCATCTCTGCATTCGACGACCCCATCAATGCAAAGCCTCGTAAACCAACAACCAAGAAGGGTGATCTTCTGCGTGGCGTTCTCGAGCGTGGACGTAAGAATCGTAAAGATGACGGCAGCAATACACCTCTCAGCCGAGCTTCGACCCCCGACAATGCATCAAACGTGGACGAGGAGATGAGCGACAGTGCCAACGTGGTTGACGATCTGAAGTCTGACATCGCCTTAGATACCTGGGCGTCGCATCCTCTGGCGGGTAATGTTCACAAGGACAAGGAGCTATATCTTAACCAGATGTACTCACGCACCAGGTTCATGCTCTACGGCAATGCGACCATTTACTGCTTCATTCGCGTCTTCATATTCTTGTATGAGCGTTTGAACAACATCAAGCAGGCTGAAGCCGAGGCTCACATCACAGTCGATCGTGCCATGGCTCCCAAGCCAGCTACAGAGCTCGGTATAATCGACAAGCTTCCCACGGACTTCTTCACGGATGTCAGCGAGGGCTCCAACTTCTACCGTCAAATCCTTGGCATGTTCGAAGACTTGATCAAGGGAGACATGGATATGGCACACATCGAAGAGACACTACGGAGGTACTATCTGCAGTGCGGATGGCAGCTTTATTCCTTCGACAAGCTTCTCGGCGCCTTGGTGCGTTTCGCTATCGGCATGCTCGGCAGCGAAAGTGGCAAGGACAAGAGTTGGGACATTCTCCAGTTGTTCCGCAAGGATCGGGCCAAGGATGAGACCTCCTTCCAGGACGAGATGAATTACAGAAAGCAGACCGAAAAGTACACCAAAGACCTTGACATCTATGGAATCCAATATGTAAGTACTACATCAAAGCTTGTTTGTGACAGATTACTGACAGACATACAGGATCAAGCAATATCTGAGGTGCAAATCAGGCTGATCAAGAAGGACGATCCTACCATCGACACAACCTCGATGCTTCAGGAGGACCTCTGGCGTGTTTATGTCACCAACCTTCTCAAGCTTGCGCCGACGCCTGATGTTCCTGCGACGAGACGTCGTCCAGTAATGCACAGAAACTTGCGCCAGCTCAACATCGACCCTAGCACGCTTACTAGCGAAGAACGTTCGGACGAATACCGCAGACTCTGTGACTCAGCCATCTCGTCAGAAGGACTTGAGTTCCGTGTCGCAGTCGAGCTCTACCGCATGTACTTCATCAAGAACACTGAGGAGTACGCGTACCAGCCAGCAGCGATCCGAAGCGGAGGCAAGGAGGGCGTTGAGGAGGCAGATTCGACAGCGCGCTACCGAAGTGATCGTAGCCAAGACACTTTCGTCATCAACAATGCGGCCATGAAGGGGCTCAGCAAAGAAGATGTCGAGGGCAAGAACTCTGGATTCAGCGCTCTGGTTAAAGAAGGTGGCGTCACAGTGTCATCAGGAACCGCCGACGAGGACGAAGAGATGGAAGATTAGTCCCCTATCCGTGAAACAGTCTTCGAGGACACTTCCTAGACCATGGCAAAGGGGCAGGCGTTGATATGATGACTTTTTCCTACATTCATAACTACATTCTTGCATTACGAGTATGCTATTGGCGCCTCACTTGGGTTGGAAGGGGGTGAGCAGAATGGAAGGAGTCTGGCACGGAGCAGATGGACCTTCATGATTCTTCTTTTCCTTTATGCAGTAATGTAAATGTATAAGTTTCTTCAAACTCTGGCTTGAGACCTAGAATATCAATCATCAACTTGTACTTGGAGTAGTAACCAACAAGCAATGGTCGGTGTTGGAGTGAGGATGGCAAGTTCCGAAAGGGTGGGGAAATTATTTTCGTGGCACTCGAACATCACGGCGTAGCAGCGTCCAGTGCCGCCTCTCGATACGTCTTGGGACACGCCATCTCTCGTCGACCACTATCACAATACATTGACGATGCCGCCTCGTGTCGGACCTCGGGCAGGTCAAATCGCTGGACCCCAACAATGCCTAAGAACGACTAGCAATGCACGCCAATCGGTAGCAAGCCAGCGCGACTTCTCGCAAACATCAGGCCAACAATTCCACGCAACATGCAAGAACGATACACGTCTTCGCCGTAACATGTTCTCCTGGTTGAACGGACCTGGTCGCGTGTTCCGTGAACCTCTGCAGGGCTCGACCAACTACCTGGGTGCATACGACCGAAGCGGAAACTTGATGCGCTTAAGAGCTGGCGCAGAAGAAGAAAATGACCAAGAGGACAAGGTGGATGTGTCAAAACTCAACGAGGAAGAGAAGGCCAAGTACAACCAAGAGAAGGAGGCAAAGGCAGCAGCGAAAGCAAACGAGCTTCCGCGAGAGAGGCAATCCGATCTTCGACCATACCCCCTAAACAACGACTTCCGCAGTCAAAGCGTCCTGAGCGAGGAGCTGCGTGAGGAGATCTACAAGAAGATTGTCGACGAGAAGGTTGATCTGTCGACTGTCAGTGCTTTGTATGGCGTCGACATGCGCAGAGTGGCTGCTGTTGTGCGTCTGAAGACTATCGAGAGAAACTGGGTTTCAGAGGTATGTCATGCTGCTGTTCCTCCTTCCTTTCCCCTTGCACTTTCAATGATGAGACATACAAAAAATTCGATTAGTCTTTATGACACCTACATGGATACAACGCCTATTACTCTGATCTACCCAATCTCAGTCAAAGAACCACAGAAGCACGACTCACAACAGATGCTGACAAGCTGAACAGGGCAAGAAGCTGGCTACACCATACCATGATGCTGTCCTGGCGATGCTGCCGCAAACACGCTTCAACCGCAAGCTCCTCGAGGATCCCAAGAAGACCATCTCGCACGAGTCGATCAACGATCTTCCCGTCCACCCTTACACACGCACACAGATCTTCTACCCAACATCCGAGTCTCGCCAGTTCACCCGCGCAGATGCAGCAAAGGTATTCTCTCCTACGCTTCTGCCTGCCGATGAGCGGATACCTTTGTCCGAGTTGATCGACATTGAAAAAGACGCAATCAACAACCTACCACGCGAAGAGCGTACAGCGCGTATTCGCGAGCGTACCGAGAAGAAGATGCGCGCAAAGGAGGAGAAGGAGCGCAAGCAACGTGAGTGGGAGGCCAGAAACGTCAAGATCGTCAGCAACCAGCGCTGGAACTTCCGTTTCGAAAGCATCAGTGTCGAGGATGCAGGCAAGGATGGTCGCAGCAGCCGTGGTGTTGGATGGAGATATGGAAACCCTCACCACGATCGCGAAAAGGGCGAGATTAAGCTGCCCACAAGAGTCGAGTAAGCGCGACTTGGTCCGTGGAAGTTGTACGAGTATTGTAATATATTCAAATATCCATGATGGGAGCCGAGTGGCCTCGTGGCTGGCGCTTGCATGTGCTCATTTTTGTGCATTGTACTTTTGTAGCATCATCAGGTCTCACACAACTCGTCATGTGAGAATGGTCAGAACAGCATGTGCAAAAAACGTGCCCATGAGCCAGTCAGAAGAAAGCAGAGTGAAATCGAGTCATAAAGGTAGAATGGAGCAGGATAGCAACTTCCAAAGCAGCCTCGGTCTTAGCAGCAACAACACGCACCTTCCCGACCTGCTTCACCCTTAACCTATAAGACCATTCTTAACCCTTCGACAACGCTTCATACAATGAGCCTCCTAGGCTACCTTGGGGCGGCGATAACGTCAATTCTGGTGTCGATACCAACGCTGCATCTGCTGGCATCTGTGACGCATGCCCCGGTGCTGTCCTTTGCAGCCCGTAGCATCGCATCCTTCAGCGCCCTCGTCTTCTGCGCCTGCTATGGTGTTGTCGCCTCTATTGTTCTCCGTCTGGTCGGCTATGGCGGTCTGAGCCAGTGGACTACTGCTCGCTCCTTCAAATGGACCATGTGGTTGCTTACTGGTGTCGAGTTCAAGATCACCGACAAGTATGCCGGCCTCAAGGTGCGCCCCGGTGTCTTTATCGGAAACCACCAGACGTGCGTCCTTCTCTCTCTATTCCCTGTCTTCAGTCCTATTCAAGCAATGGCTAACCTGATCTGCTGACAGTGAACTCGATGTCCTGATGCTTGGCTGCATATTCCCACCCTACTGCTCCGTCACCGCAAAGAGCAGTCTCAAATGGATGCCCTTCCTCGGCCAATTCATGGCTCTCTCCAAGACCGTCTTCATCAACCGCACCTCGCGCTCCGAAGCCATGGCTGCCTTCTCCCAGGCCGCCGAAACCATGCACTCAGAACAACAATCCGTCTACATTTTCCCTGAGGGCACTCGCTCCTACGCCAACACACCCACCCTTCTCCCCTTCAAGAAGGGCGCTTTCCACCTTGCTGTCCAGGCTCAGGTCCCTATTGTCCCTGTGGTTGTCGCAAATTACAGCAATGTGTTGGATGTCAAGAATAAGATTTTCAACTCTGGCGTGGTCCCAGTCTCGGTTTTGAAGCCTGTGGAGACTAAGGGCTTGACCAAGGATGATGTGGATGGTTTGGTTGAGAGGATACAAAAGGATATGGCTGAAGAGTTGGTCAGAATCACTTATGTCGCACAGAAGAAGGGCGTTGCTGGTAGTGATGCTTCGGCTCGTGCTTCCAAGAGCTCTGGTGTTGATGTGGGCATCAGTGGTTGAGATAATATGCCCTATTATTGAATCTGAGGACATATGCCAACAGCACAGACACGAGAGAAGTTGCTGGTGCTTGGTGGACTGATCGTTCTTGAAAGGAAGCATGTCCCGTACAACTCTTACAGGAGAAAGGACGAAGCACACCACGACCAAGACCCGGCGTGGCAGGAGCTTGGTGAATGTTACGGCAGACTTCACGAGGGGGAATTCGAAGTTGCAAGATTCTTCCAGTTGCTCCTTACTACGTCTTCTACCAATCCTCCTTAGCATAAAACTGCATGACACATAAACCTATATAGCAAGGAACCTACATTCGTCCAATTGCTTGCTCCTTCCTCTCGCTGTCGATACACTACCGTGAGCTACTGTGCTCAAGATACCTTCCAAACATTAATGTTGTTGTCTGATCGCCTGTCTGATCTTCGACTTGTGGCATTTTCCAACACCTACATTTGCACTTCCATCCTTTCCAACCTTTTTGTTCTCAGGAGCTTTTCCAAGCATTGCTGTCATTGTTCCATTCTCCAATTTCCTATATTGCAGAAGCTATTTCTTGACTTTTCATGTTTCTCTGACTAGCTGATTTCCTAAGCTTCGAGGAAAATGTTGTTGTCATGCTATGTTTGAACTCGAGTTTTCTCAGGCTTGCAGAATCAGAAATTCAGAGTTATGAGCAGAGTCTTTGTGGTTGAGCTTACGTTGCTGGTCTGAGATTCTGACTGACTGCTGTCAGACTAGGATGTCTTGAACGCACTGAACAGTGCAGGCCTCTGTGACTGGCTCTCTTTAGAGATACACCGTGACCGGCTCTCTTTTGACTCCATGACGTTGCTGGGGAGTTTCTCCTCATTGGACAGAGCGAAATAATCAGTGTCGCTTCGCAACACTGAGAATGCATGGCACAGAGCTGGCGAGTGGCCTAAAGTGGAAACATAAAAACCTTTTTCATTTATTCAATTCCCACAATACGTGTAAAGCGCCCCCGTTCTTGCCGTACAAATCGGGATCAATAGTTCCTGCCTCCGATCTAAACCTCTGTATCCGTCTGCGGTGATGCTGGCTCATCAGCCTCATCTGCTGCAACGGGTGCTGCCTCTGCCTCTGCCTCCTCGGTCTCAACACCGTCCTCTGCTTGCTCCTCTGCCTCTGCCTCGGCCTCTTCATCACCAACATCGATCAAGTCTTGGCTTTTACTGCCTCCGTCCTTCTCGAGCTGAAGATATGAGTCCCACTCAGGGAAGAGGTCTGCATCGCCCTCGCCATCAGCGGGCGGGATGCCCAACAGTCTGGCAACCTTGGCCTTGCCACTTGACTCGAGTCCTTGCTTCCATAGCTTGGCAATCTCGGGCGCCCGGCTGGGGAGGTAAGTCTGAGCGAAGAGCACGGCTTCGGCGGTACGGTCTGTGCGAATCAAGAGGTCGATACATGCGTTCAGGTCGCCAACTTGCCACAAGCAGCTGAAGGCCACGTTGCGAGCGCCAGCGTCATCGGCCTGTTGAGCCAATTTCCGTAGGCCAGCCTCGTTGCAGCTTGAAGTGTAGAGTAGCAACAGACTGCCCATATCCTTGGCATGAGTGAAGCATTCCTCTGCAAGACGCATGTTCCAGGCTGTGAGTGCGGCATCACCAACAGTCTTCCACTTGTGCTCGACATCGGCTTCACGAGCAAGCTCAAGAGCAATTTCCAGTTGGTTCAGGCTGAGTGCAAGTTCGAAACGGTGCTCAGAATCAGTGGCAACCTCCAAAGCTTGCTCCTTGTAACCTTGGCCCTCGAGGAAGCGAGCAATCTTCGACTTCTGGTCCTCAGGGATATCGGTGAGCATTTCGTTGGCGGCATCAAGATCACCACGCAAGACAAGCGTTTGATACTCGATGACTGATAGCGAGAGAGCGAACGAGACAATCTGAACATCCTTGTCGGCAACGTAAACACGACCATCGCGGGGAATGTAGCCGAGAACGTAGTGAGGAGAATCGAAGTGAGAAATGGTGTAGGTTTGATCACCAACAAGGTAGTTCAAGCGGTTTGTGCTGTTGGTGTAGACGAAGCAGTCACCAACCCATTGACCAGTGCGGACGCTATTTTCTGTTAGTCAACCCTCAAAGTAAATCAGATTGGGGATAGCGTACCTCTCGTTGACATCAGTGACTACCTCGAAAGCGGCCTCGACGCCATCTTCGTCAGCCTCTCCTGCCTGAAGAGCAGCCTGGTAGTCCTCACGCGAGAAGCGGAGGACGTAGAATGTGTCTTCGCAAGCAAGAGTAACAAGCTCGCCGCTTTCTGACCAGTAAACCTGTCAAGAGTGTGAGCTTTTGAGCAAAACATGTTTGTCAACAACAACGACTTACGTTCTTTGGGTCAACTTCAATTCTGCGGACAAGCTGGCCTGACTCCCAATCGAAGAAGCCAATACCACCCTGGCCCTTGACACCGAGCAAGACACCACCGCTGAGACCCTCTGCCTGGAAGCCAATGTCGAGGACTGCCTTCTCCTTAAAGTTGCGGAAAGTCTTGACAGACATTGAAGATTCGCGGATAGCATAATCCTTGTCGTTCTCCTTTGAACCCCAAGCGAAGTCGAGAGCAGAGCCGAAGGCCTGGTTTCTCAAAGCGAGAGCAGTGTAGATGATGTATTCGCCATCACCGCAAACGGCGACGAAACGACCATTGGGAGAGTGAATGAGAGTCTGAGGGTAGATTTCGGTAGAGCCAAGATCCTTGGAAGGCAGAATAAGAGGCGAACCGTCTGTCAAAGATTTGTCTCCACCCTTGATGACAGCAGTCAGAATATCGTTGTGACGGGCCCAGATGATCTTTCCAGAGTTGTCCATGGAAACAGCTGGCTCCTCACGACCCATCTTTACAACAACAGCACCGTCGTCGAAACCCATAGCAATGCCTTGACGGCCACGCTGGTAGCTGACACACCATGCACGTTCTAGACCATAATTGAGAGATTGTTCGAGACGGTATGTGTTTGCGTGCCAGATCTTGACAGTACCATCTTCAGAACCAGAGATGATGACGGGTAACTCAGGGTGGTAGCAGGCGAAAGAGACGTTGCTGGTGTGACCCTCGAGGGTTGCAATCAGAGCCTTGGTGGTGTAGTCCCAAATCTTGACAGTGCGATCGTCCGAGGTGGTAAGCAGATAAGGCTTGTCGGATTGAGGGTAGTAGTCGACGTGGTTTACACCCTTAGTGTCGTGTGCATCGAGGGTGTAGTTTGCAGTGCTTGAGCCCAGACTCCAAATCTTGACGGTGCGGTCCAAACAGGCCGAAGCGAAGGTGTTTGTGTCCTTGGGGTTGATGGCCAGACCCATAACATAGTGGCTGTGGCCCTCGAAGATCTGCACGCACTTCCATCCTCTCTCCCAGTCCCAAAGCTTGATTGTCATGTCATCTGAGGCGGTCAGCACGAAGGGCTGTGTGGGGTGGACGACTATGGCGCGGATGTAATCGGGGTGTGCCTCGAACGAGGTGATCTTCTCGGAAGTGTTGTAGTTGTAGACGCGTAATTGAAAGTCGTCGGAACCACAGACAATCCAGTTCTTGCGCGCAATGAAGCGACCAGCTCGTACGGGTACGTCGGTGAGTTCGAATGTCTTGACGATGGCTTGTGTCTCGTATGACCAGATGTATACATGACCTGTGACTCGTGTCAGATTCGTCGTGCGGATATGGTTGGCGATGTGGCATACCGCTGTAAAGGGTTGTGAGGATCTATGGTTGGTCAGTCAACAATGTCTCTGCCTCGAGGGTTGTGTCTCGTGTGCTTACCCATGGCTCGGTAGGATGGAAGTCGATGCCCTTCACTCGCTCAGAGCGGGCAAAGAGTTGTCTCTGTATGTCAAGATGCGTGTGAGCCGTGTTCATAGTGGTCGTGTTGAATGTTGGCTGGGTGTTCTAACCTTCACGTCCAGGCGCATTCTGGCCACTGGTCCAGCTTATGCAAGGGGTGGTGTTCTGGCTGTCCCGGATAGTTCCTTGCTCTTGTCTCGCTTTGTCCCTGACAATTGCGAAGTGACGATTTAAATTAACGACGAGATACAATTCAATCTGGATGCTGATGGTAGCTGGAGCTGTAAACTTGTCCACTCCCTAACTCCACCATCAAGCACGGACCACCAACCCCTGCTTTCTGTTTCTGGGCTGCGACTTCTCCTCGAAGCCTGTCTCCACTCTTTCCATCACTCAATCAGACAATCATTAAAGCACAAGAACGTGGACACGATGAAGGCACCGAAAGACAATTCGGGATTTATTGTAGCGTTACACAAGTGTTATTGGTTTTGATAAAGAGGAAGGAACAACTCTAAGCCTTCCTTCTTGTTTCAATGCCTAGATTCCAACTCCTGGCTCATCGACATGCGACTGGGCGTGGCAGGTCTGCTCGTTCTATTGCCGAATGCAATATTCTCTCTCAGCGCAATGTACTCACTGTCCGCATAACCCAGTGCAGCATGAATTTCTGTGCTCTTGAGACCGCGGATTCTCTTAATCTCCGCTGCCGAGTAGTTGACCAGTGCTCTGCCCACTTCGAAGGGTGCAGGGTCTTCCTTCTCATATTCGAACGAGCCCTTTGATTTGCGCTGCACCACCACTATCCGCACGGCTTCTTGTTGTGCGAAGTTGCCCTCGACCTCTACTACGCCGGCTGGCAGTAGACCAGCCTTGTCAGCCAGTGCTCTATGTGCGCCTTTGTCGATGTAGACTGTTCCGTGTGGCGCTAAGCCATATAGCAGCCAGAAGTATCGGTCTCTGATAGGATGAAGATCGGGAATGAAGCGAGTATGTAGTGGCGGCAAGGAAGGTGTATCGAGTTTGGGTGATACGGTGCCATTTGTGCTTGACACTTCATTGACCACAGCTTTCTTCACGAGCGAAGGTTCCTCAAGAGTCAAATTGCTTGTCGAGTTGCTTAACGACTCTGAGCCGTCTGTTGAGCCCTGCCGCGATGAACGCTTAGCTGCCAGTTCCTCTGCCTTTTTCGATTCGGCATATGCGACAATGTTGGCGATGTTTCCAGGCTTGTCTGAGCGGGTAATGATGGTAGTCACACCAGCAGAGGTTGCTAAGCGAGCAGCAGTGATCTTGGTAGCCATGCCGCCAGTGCCTACCGAGGAACCGGCACTCGAAACGTCTGCGACCAAGTCTCCGATATCCTCGACAACCTCTATGGCCTTGGCGTTGGGATTCGAGCGAGGGTTACTGTCGTACAGACAATCCACATCTGTCATGAGGAACAGGTAGTCGGCCTGAACCATGGCAGCAGTGATGGCGGAAAGTGTATCGTTGTCACCGAACTTGATTTCAGCGACTGACAAAGTGTCGTTCTCGTTGACAATAGGAATGACGCCCATGTGGATCAACTCGATGAAAGTGTTCTGAGCATTGAGGTATTGAGTACGGTCGGCAATATCGTTTCTTGTGAGCAGGATTTGAGCGATTGGCTGTCTTCTGTGCATGAATAGCTGGTCCCACAGACTCATGAGCTTGCACTGTCCGATGGCAGCCAGGGCCTGGACTTGAGGGAGGTGTTTCGGTCTGCGTTCCATCTCCATGTGACCTAGAGCGACGCCAATGGCGCCGGACGACACAATGACTACTCGGTGGCCATCCTTTTGTAGTTTACAGGCTGTTTCGACGATGGTGGAGAGGATTGAGAGAAGAGGCTCGTGGCTCTTTTCGTCGACAATCGACGAAGTGCCTGTGCGTAAAGGTTAGCATTGACTTGCGATTGCGATTCAAAGTAGAGATACCAAGTTTGATGACAATAGTAAGGTGTTTCTTCATGGTGCAGGTCCTTCTGTGCAGAAGCAACCAGCAGTGTTCAGATTCACATGTCTGGTATAGACTTGGGTGACGGGTGAATCATCATTTGTAGGGCGGAAAATGGAAAGGCGGGGCGGCATCGCTGCCGTCACGGCCGCTCGGCCAATCGCGATCCATGTCTATTCTGAGGTCTCCGCTCCGCGACCATCGAAGAAGCAATCTGCCATCCCAATCACTATACCCAAACCACACATCAGGACCATGTCGCAAAGCAACACAAACTCATTACCCGAGACGACGACGGCAAAGTCGCCGGCCGCTCCAACACCAGACCAGGACTTCTACAACTGGTCCACCTTCTTCAACATCTTGACTGGAGGCGCAACGCCGCAAGAAAGAGAAGCCTACTTCGACATCAAAGACACAATCAACGAGGAACGCGACATCAAACGTGCTGAAAAAGATCGCCAATGGCTACTCGAGTACTCGCCCATAGTGAGGTTCATGCGCCACAACATCAACCTGCTGGGCCATGACTTGAACGAAACCAACATGCGTGTTAAGCGCTGCACTACACAACAGAGCGGTGGCTTTGACCCAGAGTTTGGTATTTTGTTGTGCGCCAACAAATTCAGAAACAGAGGACATATGGAGGATACCATGGCCCATGAGATGGTGCATGCCTATGATCATCTTAGATTCAAGCTGGATCCTCTGGACCTCAGACATGCTGCTTGTATGGAGGTATGCTAGATTTGCTACACTGCCATACACAAGAGTGCATCTAACACCCATTTTAGATCCGCGCATCGACTCTGTCAGGAGAGTGCCGTTTCGGTCGCGAATTCTTCACTCGCGGGCAGTGGAACATTACACAACAGTTGCAAGAGTGTGTACGAAGGAGAGCCACTTTGTCAGTCGCCAACAGACCAAGCTGCAAAGACAATGCCCATGCTGCTCGCGTCGTTGACGAGGTCTGGGACAGTTGCTTCAACGATACCAGACCATTCGATGAGATCTACAAGTAATCTGCTTCTAGCCATCTATCGTCGTATCTCTCCTCTCTCTTTCTTTTGCATAGCATCTGCATTGATACCCGGGATTTGTTCTTTTCATATCGATTTCCCAAAGACACAAGATCAAGTACCGTTACGTTAACAAGACTCGAAGTTCACTGTAAAACAGAGACCAATATCTCTTTGAATTTCCAAAAATTGATTCGTACAGAATCTTGACAATGCAATAATCGACGTGGCTGCAATTATGAGCACTCCGTAACACCCCTCCATGCATGTTGCCCCGTAGGCTTGCCTTTGAACGCCCATGACAACCCGGATATCCTTGAGAAATGCAACCTACCTTGAACTCCCTCGATCGTAATTATGCTCTTCAAACCCTGTCTCATTCGCTCGGACGTTGCTTGTTGCTACTGGCAGAGGTTCTGTTGTATGCTCTCTCGCCCTTGACACAGTGCTTGATGATCCAAGGATGTTGCTCCACTTCATGCAATGGGATTCTCTTTTCTGGGTCCAGCACAAGCAACTGCAATCCTGTTAGAAATCTGATCATCGAATCTGAATTCTTGTATCGAGCATACCTTCTTGATCAAATCTTTTGCCTCAGCGCTCACAAATGGAGGAATAGTCATTTCTCCACGAGCAATGCGCTTTTGTGTCATGGAAGGAGTATCCTCGAAAGGCGCCTCTCCCACGAGGAATTCATACGTCAAGACACCCAAACTCCACAAGTCGACCTTCTCGTTGTACCAGTTCTCGTCCTTGCCGGGCTTCAACATCTCTGGCGGGAGGTAATCGAGAGTTCCGCACATGGTGTTTCTCCTGTTGTTGGGAGCGTGCACCGACCAGCCAAAGTCACTAATCTTAATTTCGCCGTGGATGCCAACCAGAATGTTCTCAGGCTTGATGTCGCGGTGGATGACGTGCTTCTTATGCAGGTATTTGAGAGCAGCGCACATTTGGGCAACATATGAGGCGGCCTTCCATTCCGGGAAGCGTTGTTCGCGACGCAGATGCTTGTAAAGCTCACCTTTGCCGGCGAACTCGAGAATCAAAAAGATGCGCTTGCTGTCGTGGAAGTGACCGAACAGGCGAAGGATGTTGGGGTGGGCAAGGTTGGACTGAATCTCAATCTCTCGGCGGACTTGTTTCTCGACCTTTCCTTGCTGAAGCTCGATCTTGTGCAGAACCTTGAGCGCGCAGACGAAGCCACTAGAGCGTTCTCGCGCAAGATAGACTCTTCCGAACTTGCCCTTGCCGAGGGGTTTACCGATTTCAAACATGCCGAGGTGGAATTGTCTGGGTGTCGAGGGCTGTGGAGGAATGGACGATAGCATAGTCTGTGGATCTGAACGGCGGGGCTCCGAGTCGGAGGATCGTTGTGCGGCTTGGGAGGGAAGGGTGATCTTTGCAATGGTAGCGGCAGTGTTGGCGCCATTGGCAGAGTATAGCGAATTCTTCGCAGCGTTGGCAGGCAGCTTCTGCAACGGGAGCTTCAACCGGTTGGCTGCAGCGGCGGCCCCTAGACTGGAGATTGAGATGGAGCCCTGTGTATGGTGTCAGCCATAGCTCTTGCTCGTACACTCACATAGAGTGCAAACGCCGGCGCCGTACCTTTGATTTGTGTGAGTTTTGATCGTGGTTCTCGTCGTTGACTGAGATGCCCTCGAAGCGGGACTCTAGTGACTGAACGTCCATGGTTGCAGGCAAGACTTGTTCTGTCCCAGTAATTACTGTGTGGTTAGTGAAGTTGGTGTTGATCGAGGTCGGACGATTGATGGTTTTCAGAGAAGGAATCAGGTTTATTGTTGACAAAACAAAGATGGCGCCCAGCAACCAACGCCAAGCCTTCTGTACGAATCGCCGCTTATGGCCGCATCACTCGCATCGACATCGAGATTCAAGCCAAAAAGAGCTTCTATCAGATCAAATCAGATCAGATCGTTCTGCGGACAATACAAGTGCTCTCCGTCTTGATTCATCTATCCAAAATACCATGGCTTCCAACGGAGAGCAGTTGGACCTTCAGGGTGTCGACACTATCGTGTCGCGCAACAAGCAATGGAGAATCAGCACGCGCAAGCGACCTATCCTCAAGGCCGGTCCCATAGATGCCATGAACGAAAAGCTCGGTATTCCCGTGCCTGAGATGATTTTTGGTGACAACCTGGTTGCTATCGAGCACATTGCTTCTGGCTGGGCCATCGAGTTCAATGCTTTCGATGCTCTTGACCGCGTCTCCAAAACTGCCGACGGCATGTTGCAGGTTGCATATTCCAAGGAGTGGCAGAGAGACCGGTATGTACTGCCTGGCTTCTGCAATAATGTCAAGATTTAGAACGCTGACCTTTTCTGTACTCTTCAGTCAACATCATCACGAAGGCATCAAAGAAGTCGTCAAGCCATTCGATTGGTCATACAGCACAGACTTCAAAGGCCGCACTCACAGTCCAGATGCCGCTGTCGTCTGGCAGCCAACTGATCAGTCCAAGGACCCTATCAGGACCGATCTCCTTTCTCGTCCGGATCCTATACTTTTCTACGACGATGTCATCTTCTACGAAGACGAGTTGGCTGACAACGGTATCGCAATCTTCAGCTGCAAAATCCGTGTCATGGCCGATCGTCTTCTACTCCTGTGTAGATTCTTCCTGCGTCTTGACGGTGTCATTGTACGTGTCAGAGACACGAGAATCTACATCGAGTTGGCTTCCAAGACCGTGATTCGACAGTACACTGCCAAGGAGGAATCCTACGATGTTGTCCAGTCCAAGCTGCAGGTGCACAGAGAGAACATCCCTGAAGTTTTACGTGATGCCAATCGCATCGCCCCTCTTCTGCGCACTGTTGAGGACACTATGGACAAAGTTATCATTCCTTGATCTACACGAACAATCTTCATCAGCTTCCTGGTTTCAGCACCAAGCAAACGGCCTGGCCAATACAGATCTTCTGTGGCGAATTTTCCGAACAAGGACAAAGGTTTCCGCTCCACCTTCTAAAACTCAAGCGCTGAATGGAACGTGGTACACAACGTCCCTACGGCTGAGGCGTAGTCCAGCATCTACTCTGCCCTCTCGCCCCCACGTACATGAATCGTTGCGTCTCAAGGTTGATGCTTTTTCTTGCGTGGCATTCGACACGACTTGCTCCAGTCATTGCATCTACCCCAGTGACTCCGCCATCATTCGGGAGAGACCGTGACCATCCATCTTCTCTTCCGGCACTATTCGGCACGTCAATGTCACGCTATCAATTGCATGACTGTGGGTCTTTGCTCGTGACTGGGGTCTATGACTGAGCCTAGGACTTGGTTGCAAATCATAACAAGGCGCATATAGATTAAGTGCGCGGAACACCCCACAACCTCTCGATCCTTCAAACAGTTCATGGAGCGTGTCTCTGTATCCATGTTTCAACCATCGCAGACGTATGAAATATCAGATATCAATTGCTTTTTCAAGGTCCCGCAAATCCCCGAAGTATTGAAGTATCTCACAAGCTAAAGTCAAGAGGAGCAAGCAGGCCAAGAAAGCCTTCGCGAGCTTCTGGTGGCTCTAGATAGGCCAGTGCGGTTGCACGTTCAAACATCTTCTTTTTGCCAAGGAGCGGAGCCAATCCTGCTGCAAAATTGCTTACCCATACCAAGAAATGTGGCGTAGGGCCTCATCTGATGATGACCACCGTCTTTTGCCGGCTGGCCACATGTCCACTCTACCAGCTAACCAGAATCATAAAAGTTTTGAGTTGTTGCATTGCCTCCGACGATGTCACACACTAGCATCTCTAACACGAGTAAGAAGCAATGACCTGGCCAGATCTTGCTAGCTCAAAGCTCTGCGAAACGGACAGGAACAGCGTACTGCTTGACGAATCTCCTTTTGCTGCTCGGCATGCCGATGTTGTAGCACCGCCGAGTCGGGAAAGAGCCCAACCGCCTGCCAAGGTACTCCTGTTCGGAATCTCCACTCTGCAGCCCGCTGCGTACCATTAGACTACCTACCAACACATGGACTTCCCTTGCTCTGGACGTTCACTCACCGCCTGCACCTGATCAGTCTACCACTGGCTCACTGTGTTAGCCTTGGTATCAAAAGCCAAAGTTATGTTTGTTGTGCCATGACACGACTGAAGAAGCACGCGTTGGCTAAAAAAAATCATCGAAGCACGTATCGTTCGGTTAATGCACAGACCATCGGGCCCGGTCTGAGAGCCTAAGACCCACAATATCCCCGGGTTCTCCGCATTGATAGACATGCCCCAGAAAGAAGAAAATCATGGAATATCGCTTGGCTGGATGTACTATTGCAGCGTTCGATGGCTCCAGATAGGAAGAACGTCTTGCTGTGCCAAGGCCTCAACAATCTAGAGCCCTAAGTTGGACGGTAATCTACCGGGACACAATGTCAATACTTGCACATGGGCTTCTCGCCGGACGGCGAACGCTCCATATTTGCAGCCGCTCACCACCGAAAGTTAGAACGATCCTACCGAAACAAACAGGCACACCACCGAACGCCACGACCCTTGGCGATTCCCCACGTTCTCCTTGGCATATACAGCGGATCGGTTATACACTCCCCACGCTGGGGTCTGGGGAATGGGTTTTCTCCAGATCAATCGATTTGGGCTGTGGAGTCCGCCTGGAACGGTCAGGCCGTTCGCCATTCGACGGAGAATGGAATGACAAGGAGATACCCTGGGGTACAGAGGCTGAATGGTATAAAGCAAGGCAGGTCCTGCTACCAGTCCTCCACCATCCCATTCCTCTCATTACCTTTCTTCCTCTCCTCCTCTTACATCCTCTCAATTCGCCAATATGGGTGCTGGAGGCAAGCCAGTCAACATCTTCACATTCAAGAAGAATGGAAATGAGCCCCCAGAGGTCTTGAACTGGAAGCTATGGTTCGCCGTCCTCTCTTTCGGTATCATGGGTGCTGCCCGTGGTATCGATGAGGGCTTGATTTCGGGTACCTTCGCTACCAAGCACTTCCAACATGCTCTTGGTCTCAACAAGCTCGACACAGTAGACCTTGCCCAGGTCAAGGCCAACGTTTCCGCCATGGTTCAGATCGGATCAGTCGGTGGTGCCCTCTTGGCCTTCATCCTCGCTGACCGTATTGGTCGTCTCTGGGCCACTCGCCAGCTCTGTCTCGTGTGGATTCTCGGTATCGTGATCTTCATGACCAGCACCGTTCGCGGAGGTCGTCTTGGCCAGGTCTACGCTGGTCGCTTCATTGCCGGTCTGGGTATCGGCCAGACTACAGTCATTGCCCCTGTCTACATCTCAGAAATTGCACCCAAGAGTGTGCGTGGACTGTGCACATGCGTCTTTTCTGGCTCCGTCTACATCGGTATCATGCTTGCTTACTTCGCTTCATGGGGTAGCTCTCTTCACATCAGCAAGACCTCGCCTAACTCATGGGAGGTTCCGACCTCAATCCACTTGATCTTCGCTGGTCTCATCTTCATCCTCTCGTTCTTCAATTACGAATCACCACGTTACCTCATCAAGGCTGGCAAACGCGACCATGCAGTAGCAAACTTGGCTCGTGTCCGTGGACTCCCAATTGATCACGAGGTTGTGCAGGGCGAAATTGCTGAAATCGAGCACCAACTTCACGAGGAGCAGGAAGCTACTATGGGCCAAGGTGCTATGGGTTATATTAAAGAGATGTTCTTCATGCCGAACAACGCATATCGACTTTACATTGGCCTCGGAAGCCAGATCTGTGAGTTTTTGCAAGGGAATGATGTTGTCATCGCCGAATATTTGCTAATTTTTTCTTCTCAGTGTCCCAGTGGTCTGGTGCCCAAAGTATGACAGTCTACGCTCCCGACTTTTTCGCTCTCCTTGGCACCAAGGGTCAGAACGAGAAGCTGTTCGCCACTGCCATTTTCGGTGTTGTCAAGTTCGTCGCTGCCATTGCCTGCGCTCTCTTCCTGGTCGACTGGATCGGTCGCAAGCGTTCTCTCAGCATCGGTATTGCCTGCCAGGCCATCTCTATGGCTTACGTCGCTGCCTTCCTTACCGCTGTTCCTGACATTGAAGACAAAAACTTCAAGTTTTCTAAGAGCCAGAAGGCCGCTTCTACTGGCGCCCTTGTCATGATGTATCTGTCAGGATTTGGTTGGGCTATGGGTTGGAACTCAATGCAGTACCTTCTCAACGCTGAGATCTATCCCCTGCGCATCAGAGCCATCTCCTCCTCGCTGGTCATGTGCTTCCACTTCGTCAACCAGTACGGCAACTCACGCGCTGTCCCTCTTATGCTCCTCGACCACAGCGAAGGCGGTCTCGGCCCTGCCGGTACCTTCTGGCTCTTCACTGCCATCACTATCATCGGTGGTGTCTGGGCTTGGTTCACCATCCCCGAGACTTCTGGCAGATCCCTCGAGGGTATCGACAAGCTGTTCGAGCTTCCCTGGTACAAGATTGGTCGCTACGGTGCCAAGGAAGCCGAGCTCAGCGACCAGTACGAGGCCGAGGTGCTCGACGAGAAGAAGGCCAACGTCCAGATCATCGAGCGCGTCGCTTAAGGCAGTATTGCGTTGCGGATTTCTTGTTTTACGGGAGTGGACAAGCTGTTTATGGAAAGCCTCTGTCATGCTATGAATTGTATATACCTCGTGTCACGAAACACTCATGAACATGTGTTTTTTCTCGACTTCACTTTCGTGTCCGTATCTTTCCATCTTAAGTATCGAGTATGTGGTAATTGACCGGTACAATATGTTCCGATCATAAGCATAGCTACAAAGGTACCATCGGTCGACTATGGTCCGAGGTGGCCTGTACACCTGTAACTTTAATCCTCAATTACTCTCCAGCATCTAGTACAACCAACCCCGCACTTATGTGATAGCTTTGATTGTAACAGCGATTCTATCTCTCTCTTAATCTGTTAAATTACACAAGATGGCTACTCAGATGTCCAATCTTTCGTGTCTTCTCTACGATCCTCATGATGCTAGATTTGAGAATCGGGAAATGCCTAGTATAACAGATCCTTGCGATGTGATCATTAGGATCGCTTATGTTGGTGTCTGTGGTAGCGATGTAAGCTTTTCCAGTCATAGGTCTCATACTATCCATGGCAGAAAAAGCGCATTAGAAACATGATGTTTCAGAAGAGCGTCTAACAGAATCACCAGGTTCACTTCTGGCACCACGGCGGAGTCGGTCTAAAGGTCTCTCCCACGAACCCTTTGACGATGGGTCACGAAGCTTCGGGGACGGTCCACAGCATTGGCTCTGCGGTGACCAATCTCTCACCTGGCGACAACGTCTGCATCGAACCTGGACTCCCCTGCTCTCGCTGCAAGTCATGCAAATCTGGTCGCTATAACTTGTGTCCCGAAATGGCATTTGCTGCTTCCCCTGGACCTGGCCCTGCTACGCATGGGTGCTTGTGTGCTTACTATAAACTTACGGAAGCTTTTGTTTACAAGCTACCAGCAAGTGTGAGCTTGGAAGAGGGCGTGCTCGTGGAGCCTTTGTCTGTTGCTGTGCACTCAATCAGATTGGCAGATGTCAAACCTGGGCACAGAGTTGTGGTGTTTGGAGCGGGTCCAGTAGGCATCTTGTGTGCTGCTGTGGCTCGTCAATTCGGTGCTGCAGAGGTCATCTCTGTTGACATGAATGCGACAAGACTGGAATTTGTCAAAGAGTTCGCTGCTACTGGTGTATTCACGCCAAATGCGAAGGCTGATGGAGAGATCAATGCTGCAGCAATCGTTGAGGGATTCCATCTCGATCGTGGAGCTGACATAGTCATTGAAGTCTCAGGCGCCGAGCCTTGTATTCAGATGGGCATTCAGGTACTGGCACCAGGTGGCACATTTGTACAAACAGGATGTGGGAAGCCAAATATCCTGATACCGATGACCAAACTTGGTGAAAAAGAAGCAGTCGTCAAAGGATGCTTCAGATATGGACCTGGTGATTTTGAATTGGCCATTGGCCTCCTGAGGGACGGCAAGATTGATGTGAAGAAGTTGATCTCCAGGACTGTTTCGTTTGAGGAGGCGCCGGATGCTTGGGAGAGTGTAGGCAGGGGTGAAGGAATCAAGACACTCATACGTGGTGTGCAAGATTGAGAGGATATGGTGATGATGCCTACCAATGCTATCGGAAGAATGATGACTGTTGCGAACAATAAATCCAATCATATCTGTTGTGAACAACTGGTGCTAAATCGTTTCGAGCCATGATGAAATCAATCAAACCTTTCACAAAAGCTTTTTTCTGATTTTGTTCAGTTCTTGTTTTTGCACACTACGATACACTCAATATGATGCCTCATCCAACATGAGTATTCTGGTGGTCTGCACAAGCTTGTTGCTGTCTAAGAAGACAATACAACGCATCATTCGCACGATCATTCAAAATTCTCTTTGACGAGCGCAATGCAGATTGTGGAGGACTTTGTGACAGGCTCGACCTTATGTGAGGGGGAATCTCTGCAAAGTAAGATTGTTGTTGCGTCAGAAATGGTTGTCTTCCATACAAAAAGCCTTAATGGTCTAGCGGTATGATTCCTGCTTTGGGTTTATCTAAATTGCAGGAGGTCCCCGGTTGAGGCCTTTCTTTTTGGCCTTTCTAGGGATATCCCTTGCATGCTGCACTTTTGCTACACACGATCACTATTGCAGCCGTAGACTTGCACAATGATTTTATCAGAAGGGAGAACTGTTCACAGAGAGAGTCAATCATGACCTACGTGTTTTCGAAGGCCTTATATCTGGTTAGGAAACTGTTGTGAAGTTTCGTGATACTGTCACAACGCGAAAGGACAAGATTTCTTCGTCGACTGTGACCATCGTTTCTGCGTAAGGTAACATCCTTGTTCGTGTCCGTTACTACACTCTGCGAGCTGCAGAAGAAGCAGTGGACTGACCTGATGTGAGTGCCTGAGGCAGGCACGGCATCTGCCGCGGGTGAGGCGGGATCCGTGCGCGCATCCAGCAACAACGTCAGAAGGTCGAGGGCGAACGCGACAGGAGCTGGGATAGACTCCAACCACAAATACCACCATGCTGTTGAGGTATCTGAGTGCGGCCGCTCTGGCTTTGCAATCTGCAAACGCTTTCAAGGACGCTTCGCCTTTCGTTCTCTACTCTACCAGCCAGTAAGACCGACCAGCAGCCACCAACTTATCATGAACGCATGCTGATCGGTATAGATTGGACGCCAAAGATGCCAACGTCAATGTCATTAGCGCACAGAGCCTGCAAGAGAGCGTCGAACACCGAGTAAAGGGCTGCCCATCCGACACATACGTTGTTGTGTCGCAGCCCGGCATTTCCACCAACGACCTGACCATCTCCAAATCTACACCGCATCTGCGCCGCCGCCTGTCAGGCAAGGACGATAATGTCAAGTCTATTTTCGCCGCGAAGAACGTCGTGGGAGATGTCGATGGAATGGCTCTGGTAGCTTCCATCAACCGTCAATGCCACACCAAGTCTACTCTGCTGCTGGATGGCGAGGGTATGTCTTCCTCACCTTGTCAGCTTATAGGCAAAAATACTGATTGCAGGACAGACGGAGAGATTCCTACCGAAGCATACGACACTATCCACGTTAGCTTCCCTACCCTGCCTACCGCCGAGGATGACCGTGAATCTGCTCTGCTCCAAGCCGACTCGTACCTGAACTCGCTGCTCGCAACCCTCGACTCCTACACTGTCCTCTACGCTACTATGCCCAACCTATTCCCTGCTATCAAGCCTCAGCACCCTGAACAATATGAGATGGATGAGCCATACCCATCAAACATGCACACCGACCTGAAGCGTGACCTCAACGCACACATTGTCCGCGCTAGCAATGCTTCAAATCCCCAAGCCGACTTGCCCTTGTTTGAGAAGTACCAGTTCCTCTCACCTGGTACGTCTTGCTGTCTCAGCCATTGCCTCATCAATCATCGAGCTAACTTCTACTGCAGGAATCTTCATGGGTGGTGTTGTCAGTATCCTTCTCTTCTCCATCCTTTACGTTGGAATCAGCGCCATTGCAAACCTTGAGGTCTCGTACATGGCCTTTAGCAAGGAAATGGGTCCCGCCGCCCAGAAGAAGCAGCAGCAGTAGAGGAATTGTTGATCCAAGTAGAGAGATACCACCATTGTACTTTTGTCCTACCTTTTCATACCATTCATGTAGATGCAATACATTTCAATACGAACTTAAAAACTAGTATCCGTGGCTTGCAGAGTGTTCCATTCAATGACTTCGAGAGCTGTGCTTTGTCCGGAATCTCAACCTCTTGCTCTACAATCACTAAATCTTCCATGGAGACCATACCCAGACCAGCACTCACCTTTCTGATATAACCCTTTGTCCTTGTTGATGATCATGCTCTCATGTACCTCACGCTTGCTGTGACAAGATTCTTTCAAAACTCTTGCGTCGATGTGTGCAGGTGATCGTTCTAGGGGCAGGGTGTCACCATCAACCATGAAATCCAAGAACATAGCATCTACTACCGCTATGATTCAGCCTAGAGCATGCATTTTAGGGGTTCAAGGCACGAGATTTCTCTGCGGTTAGATCTAAACGTTGATTCAGTCGCTTCTCTGCACTGTAGTGGTGGAAAGAGTAGAACAATAAAAAGCATGATTAGTCTTGACCTTCAGTGTGCTTTAGCCAGATGACACCCAAGTTTCGAATAACAGTCTACAGTTGTAATTGCAAGCCAGATAGAATGAGTCTTTGGGTATCATATTGCCATTGAACAGGAGAAGCTATCACAGCATGTGAAAAATGTTAAGCGAAGTGGATTTCATGATTCAATATTCTCATTCTGGAACTTGCTATGAAGTTGTTTATCATCAAGGTCGTCATCTGTATTGCATCTTGATCAGCATTCTGTAGCAAATGTGCTGAATGATTTGCTTGATAGAGAAAAAGGGAGAAGTGCAGTATCAGATCAAAAATAATTCTCAACAATAGTCTTCAGACAGGGATAACTGTTTGATAATATGTCTCATCATTGCAAAGGTGAAGGGTGATGGGGAGTGTAAAGAGGTAAGCAGAAAGAACAAAACGTACGAGGAATGGCAGGGAAGAGCGCAGTGTACACGAGACACAAGACACACATTCACAAGTTATAGCGGGGAGAGAAAGATTGACGAAAGAAGCCGGTGGATTTGCTTTTGCGGCCTATGGAAGAAAGCGCCCTTTTGCTGGAAGAAAATGGAGCAAATCCGTCCCCGAGGAGGGTCCTTGACCCTCAACCGAAGTTCGACACCTGAAAAACTCCCATAGAAAAGCAGAACCAGCGTTAAAACCGACGGGATATCTTTTCTTTTTTCTTGTTGTCGTCGTCAAAAAATGACCTCAATCCATCCGGACAAATGCGTGAGTCGTCATGATCGAATTTAGTCGGTGCCACCAACAGCGCGGGCTGATAGAGAGTTAGTATGGTCGGAAGCGATTGTAAAAGATAGTCAAAACGCACTGTAGACGAGGCACTTGGAGTGGCTGACGACCTTCTTGATCTGGCCCTGCTCCTCAAGATCGGCGAGCGAACGGCGGGCGAGGGAGCCGTTGATCTTCAGTCTGTCGACAAGGGTGGCGACAGTGACGAGGCGGTAGGACTGAACCTCCTTCTGGAGACGGTCCGAAGTGGCCTTGTCGAGGATGACGGCGTGCTGGGCCTTGTCCTTGACTGTGTGCGCAACATGTCAGCGAAACTGTTCCTTCTTGCGGTTCCATAGCGCGATGTTCGGGAGTGTGTTTTCGTGATTTGGAGTGTAAAGGGACACCGCTCCGAGATGCGGTGTATTCAGGTTGATGGATGGTTCGTGATTTCGATGACTCTCTGGGATGTGTATGGTGTGCGCATGGATTGGATAGAGGAGGCGTGCGTACCCTTGCCCTTGGACCACTTCTTCTTTTGCTTCTTGGCTCCAGATGCTGCGGGTGCCTTCAGATGAGATGTCAGTGTCTGTCGTAGTAAAACATGTCGTCTGCGAGGGGCCGTACCATTTTGTCGGATGTGGGTGGTAAGAGGGTTGGAAGGCTGGAAGTCGCTTCTGAATATCAATCCTTGTGCGCGCAGCTTTTCGAATGTGGGCCGTCACGTGTGTGCGCTTGGTCTGTGCTTCCCTCTCCAAAAGTCGTTTAACACCACCAACACGTCTTGTCCCGAAGGCAGGAGCGACTCACTTCTGTTAGTGAGCAACTCTTTGCGCGAATTGCTCTTTCTTTCTCTGTAAATTTCTCCGTGCCAATGTCTGCATAGATTCAGCAAGAAGTAGTAAGTAAGCACTCGCTATGTTCGTAGCAGACATCCGCCAATCAATCAATATCCTTGGCTTGGCAGCCTTGCTCTACTCCCATCGGCTGTCATCCAAAACAACCACCTTTGTCAAGTTCGGGATCATCTCGTACGCTTGCCGGAGCATCTGTGTGAAACTCTGCAACTTCGTCTATACACGACTTAGCTGCACCTCCTCGTCATCTCTCAAGTCTGCGGCTGGTGCTCATAGCCTCTGGCGGCTAACCGCTGCCTCTCAGCCTTAGCACTGCCATTGACCTACCTCCGCCTCTGTCTTTACAAGCACTTATATCCCTCACCTCACAACCTCTCCACTACATTCGTTTTTGCCAAAAATACATACGATCGCTGTCCCCAACATAATCACTTTCGAACCCGTCTTCGCATTGTCACTCGCCCTTCCCGTACTTCTTCGTGCCGCATCACAACAAGCTGTCGATCCTGAAACAACGCTCTGAACGGAACGCACGTCGCATATTCTTCTCCCGCAAAGGCATTTGAAAAGAGCGTCCACTTGGTTATATCCAGCCCTGAACTGTGCGCTTCTGCGCTCGCACGAAATGCGCTATACAACTTTGAGTGCCAAAGAACCAGAAATTGTTCGAGTAGGTCAAAGAGAAGGAGCATGATTTATCAGGCACTGACCATGCTCAGTGGTACTGGCGGATAGCAGCTTTATGTGCGTCTTGTCTGATACTGGGAGGGTAAGATACGAAACAAATTGTAGTTTGCGGATGTCGTTGGCTGACTCGATAGCTTTCTCGTAATTCCTTCTATATTTGACTCGGAACCTCAACTACGAGTATCGAAGACGACCTTGGGCGGCTTCGGCATTGGTCTGCTGGCGCTTGGCTTCTCTCTTGCGGCGCTCAGTAGCTTCTGCAGTCGTAGCTGGGCTTTTACTGCTGAGCATGTTTTGATACCCTGCATCTTTGCATGCCTCATCGGCTTTCTGAATGTGCCATACTGCTTCGTCGTCAGCACTCGCTTCCAATGGAATGTAGCAGCTATGACCACCATGATCGGCTCCGCCTCGACAGCGTTTCTCTTCACAATTCTCTACTTGTTCGCTCGCCGCAAATTCACACAACTAAAATCCGAGCAGAACACATTTTCTGACGATGTCAATCTTTTACGCCGACCTAGCAATACGAGTGCCTCAGGGTCATATCATACTCAGAGTTACTTCAAGAACCACATTGCAAACATGCACCCCACTGTGCGTACGCCGCCGGCTGCGACACCACCAGATGAGCTGTCACTTGACGATGTCGAGCTTCAAAGACGACGCATGTCAGATCTATTGCACAAGCCCGAGCCACAACCATCTTCAGCGTCCAGCCCGTTCAATCGTATCGACTTTGTTGTGGACGAAATAGACTCGCCCTTGAATGGCTACTACGCGCCCACTGGTGGAGGTCATCTGGCAGCTCACTCGCTCGAAGATCCATCATGGCGTTCGCGTAATGCAAGCTGGGTTACGAACGACTCGCGACGTAACTCTTCTCGTGAGGAACGACGTCGTGAGATTGAGATGGGTAGATGAGGACTGACAAGTGCTCGAGAGGACAATTAAGCAATGCTTCAGACTCAGAATCAGCCAGAGCCATTTCTAAACAAGCAGAGCGAGATTAGAACTTTGCGACATCGTGGTCTGGAACTAGGTGTCTATCACAGAGTATTGTAGCATATGTTCTGTCGGCTTACCAAACCAGGGAATATATTGTATTTATAATGGACTATAATGATACATTCGATCAAATCCTATGACGTTGGTGACTCTCGCCAGAACAAGAAAGGAATTGTCAAATCAGACATGAGCAAGTGTGGCGTTTCACAAAGGTCATGCCTAGCCACAGAGCAACAAAGCCGTACCCTTAGAACTCCCTTGTTTGCGCAAAATTCCTTTGACTGTACAACAAGAGCGCCAATCTTGCATTGTGCTTGTCCGACAAAGAACTCGAAGGCATTGTGCCTTACACCTATATGAAATGCCATCCATGTGTCTTTCTGGAAAGCCAGATTCTCGAGCTGATGATACACACAGTAAGTAGAAACAGGTCTCGCAACTTGCTAACAACAGATCAGAAACCTAATCGCGATTCGATTCAGTATGTGTTGGGGTGTTGAAACAATCTGGAATTGCACTTTATGTCGCTGTAAAACTGCTGACGCTGTGATCAATTGGCAAGGCTGCCATCTCGAGGCTTCCTCGGAAGTGGACTCCTTCCCAATTTGTCCGGCACCAGTTGTTACCCAGGAACATCAGCGCCGCGATTGCCACTCATGTCTCATGGAGGCCAACGACGGCGGCAACCCTGACGATATGTTTCCTGAACCTTTCGACCACCCCGGCTTCCCTCTTCCTAAACCTCAGATCAATGTAAGTGGGATCGAGCTCCCAGAACCGACAGCTTATGAGACAATCCAGGAAATAGAGAACCTCGCGGGTGATGATCTGCCTAGTTACGATCAGGCGATCAACGAGCTACCCAGTCCGCCTTCTTATGAGCTGCTTGTGGTGCAACACGCGGCAGACTACGAACATGTTGTCACAGAGGCAGTCTACACTCAGGCAGTGGAGCGTCACCAGGGGCTCATGAAGGTTGCTCAAAAGCGTAGACAAGACATTCGTGAGTTCCAAAACAAGGTCCCGCGGCACGCTGTTCACATTGAAGCCCTATTGGACCTTGCTTACGAAAGGATCGAGACCCTCCTTTTCGAACAGGAGCAAACAATTTCTCGCATAAGCTTACTGCAAAGGCTTCTCGAGTCCATCATCAAGAAAGTCGTCAGCATTGGAGGCTCGTGTTATCCTAGTCCCTCAGAGATGACTCTGCTCAAGTACAGAGGTGAAGCTATCATAAGAGAACTAGAAGAAAAACACATTCAGCGCTTTATGCTCGCAACCCCTGAAGAATGGGATTCGAGGATAGGAGAGCTGCTGAAACATATCGCTAACGAATGGCGTGAGACTCTTTATGCTAACATTGAGGAGCTGTTGAGGGTGGGAGAGTCGAGGGCTTCATCGAATGCTGCCTGTGCAAACACTTCGTCAATTTGATCCAATTATGTTTGTTTGCCTCTGGCAGGCGATCAGTACAGATGACAGTATGTATGCTTGTCTTTGGAGTTGTGGATTCTAGTGTAATAAAATCAGAAATTAACCGTTTGGCATTCACAAGTTAAGTCTGTTCGTGTTCCACATACTTGTTTGTCTATTAGTGCAGGACCAGTGGGATTTAAGAAAAGTCGTGCCTGTGAAGTTGAAAGGATCATCTACAGTTCGCAATGCTAGGTGCCGGATGTATCAGAAAAGGCTTCATGCGGAAGAAGTGAATGTGATCAGACCGCTTCAAGACTTCGAGCTACAATCGATGTTCCATACAATGACAAGCTTCGATCAGATTATCGCTTTGTCCTTTCGATATTCCTTCTTTCACGATCAATTCTTCTCTTTCTAGGTATTTCAAGTCATTGCTCACACAACAATATCACAAAGAGAGCCAAGCGACATATCTACAGTGCCAGAAAGGCATATAACCAACAGCATATCTGCCAGAAACTAAGATCACCAAGCGATACACTTGCACAAAAACAACTTACCGCCGCAAAACTCCTACAGTCGAACGCAAACAGCATCGAAATGGGTAATCACGGTGGACCCTCTAAGCCACCACCTCCAAAGTGTCCTAATTGTCGTCAAAGATGCTATTGGTCGTCTTTGATGCAGGCTTGGATGTGCTACAATTGCTCTTGAAGTGGTTTCTACTTTAGTATGTTAAAAAGGTAAGAGGTTTAACAAGGTAAGAGGTAAACAAACACAGTGGTGTCTCTCTTTCCAGATCTGGTAAGTCTTTTGTGTTACACTCTATATTACCGAGTTACTTTAAGTTGCTTTCGTGGAGTAAAACATATTTCTTCTTGTTGAATATTTTAAGCCTCTCCTTCTTTCCAAGTAATTTGTGCATGTTCCCTATGATACGATGTTTGTTGTGCAGACATTTATGTCTCGCGATGATGCCCTACGACTCTTGACCTACCCAGATGGAATGTTCAGTAGATTCATGAACATACTTGAGAACGTTGACAGCGTTCAACAAGAACGTCTGTGGAAACAGAAAGGAGCGATCGAGCAAACCGAGATCCAGAACCGAAGGCAAGAACCATCAAGGTCAACACGGACAAGAACTCTTCCGTTTATCTCTGAATCCGGGAAGGTGCAGAGGAAGGAAATGACCTCTCGCTTGGCACAGCAGAATTCAAGTCAGTCAACAACCCAGATTGCAGCCACACCGAGGCAAGAACGAGTCACGATACAAGAAGCCACCAGACCACCTCGTTCACCACCCGAGATATCTCCCACAGCTGGCGATAACACCGAGCCGCTATTGGGCTCGATTGCAGCAAGCCACGAGTTCAACGTACACCGTACACAAGAGACCGATCCCCCGAGGAAGAGCCCAGTATGCAAAAGTGACGATAGATCTAGATCTAGACCACTATATCAAGAAAAGCCATCGATTATACCCTTTCCCATCACGTACCGAGATCCGACAGATGCCCTGATTTGACGGCAATCGGCGATGTGCACCAAAAGGTGTTCGCTAGATCGCACGCAGACTCGGGCATAAACAAGGCCCAGGAGCCGCCAGCCGACCAGCCAGACTGCAATACGGTTGACATGAAACGTGTCTGCCGCGGTTTCAGGCCAAACGGGGCCCGTCTCCGTCGTGTAACATGAGAAATCAGGGTCTGCTGGGCGAGGAAATGGCTTGCATGCAGGTAGGCCCAGGCCCATGAGGCTCAACCGGCTCTAGGCCTTAGTCGTGCATAAGTAACGTGCCATGCTTATCGTGACGAACATGTGGTACTTGCTATGGATTTATGCATCAGCAATTTGCAGCACCTCGGAACGAAAAAGCCATTGGGATTACAAGGAAAGGGGCCAGATTGTTGCGAGGAGAAAATAGAAAGCGTTGTTGAAAAGAACGTGGATGAGGTTCGAGACCCTCGGTGGCACGTCATGGGCCTCTGCGTCTCGACCAGTCGGAAGACGTCTAGATGGACGTCCAACCACAAACGTCGTGTCTGGTCTCTTGTTCTCATAGAACGAGTCAACCAAAAACACAAAGAACAACAAGCACGATTCAGACAAAGTAGACAAATACTCAAGAGTCAAAATTGTAATCGATTAAGTGTTTATCTTAGCCAAGAAAGTATTCATCCGTACAAGAAAATGGCTAGAGCCTAGGTATGGTCGTAGGTATCTAATATGCTAGTTCGTGATTCTCGAAGCACTCCCCCCTTTTCGAGACATTGTCGTGAATCCGAGAAACGCCGAGGGATATTCCATTTTGTGCTTCCGCATCTGTCATAGTTGTATCCCATCCGAAACTCCAGAACGCCTCGCTGCTTGCTCAAACAGTAACCCGACAAGAATAGTGAAGTAGAAGAGAATTGAATCCAAGAAGGAAAAAAGAGAACAAAGTGAAGAGAGGTCTGAAGGAAGAGACGAGAGAATTACTCTCCACCTTCGACCTCACTGCCGCTGCGAGCGCAGTATTCTAGAATCAGACGTTGAAGGTCCATGAGCTTGAATGGCTTGGTCATGAACCCTTTCATGCCGACTTTAGCAGCCCGCTCAAGGGCACCATCGGTGACGTCTGCTGTTACGGCCAGAACAGTCGGTGTACCGCCACAAACACCATTCTTGCCATGGCTCATGGCGAGAATTTTCTCGGTAGCCTCGTACCCGTCCATGAAGGGCATCCAGAGGTCCATGAGCACAACGTCAACCGAGGGGTTCTTGGACATCTGGCGAACAGCCTCAGCGCCGTCGTAGGCTTCGATCACTGTCTTGTAGCCAAACTTGTTGAGCATACTAACAAGAAGCTTGCGATTGATCTTGTTGTCCTCAGCGACCAGGAAGTTCAGCGGGTACTTGGCAGCTAGATTGCGGTCGATACCGTTGATCGATGCCGATGACTTGCGAGCACTCGTACTTGGTTGCTTAGGTGGGAACGATGGTACGGGAAACGAGTGGTTATGCTTCAGTGCTGGAGGGCTTCTGACAGCAGGTGCTGCAGATGGTTCAGCGGTAGCAGGTTTCTCGGTTGGAGATGGCAGGTCCGCGGTCGAATTGTCGCTTTGAGTACGAACATGTGAGCCGGTGAAATTGGGCATAGGAGAGGGGCGTCCATCTGAGTCTATTGAGTTTGACTGGCGCACTCTGTTGTGTGATGGTGTTCCGAAGGGCGACGGTGGGCGAGTGGTGGTATCACCGGCCCTGAGAGGTATTCTCATCTCAAATTCCGAGCCCCTCCTGGGACCAGTAGTATCCGCGCGAATGCAGAATAAATCTCCACCGAGCTTCCGCGCTAGACCTTTAGCCACAAGAAGACCGAGACCCAGACCTTCACTTTGACGCGTGAGAGAAGGGTCTTCTTGTGAGAATGGCTGGAAGAGGCGAGGAAGGAATGCTGCAGGGATGCCAGGACCTGTGTCTGTACACTTGATGACGATATATCGAGCTTTTGGGCTCAGTTTTGCTAAAAGGGTAATGTTGCCTTGCTCGGTGAATTTAGTAGCATTCAGGAAAACGCAGGAGATCAGCTTAGCAAGGTCTTTCTCGTCGGCGAGTATGGTTTCTGGTACGGCAGTATCCACAGACCATTCGATCAGTTTCGTTCTGGGCTCGCCCTTTGCTGACCGCGTGCAAACCTCAATAATTTCGCCGAGATATGTTTCTTGAGCAATCGCGGACTCTGGTCTTCCTCCGACCTTCAAACCTTCGTTGACTACGTATTGCAGCACCCGACGAAGGTTAGTGTGCCTAACACCCGGAGCGATGGCGCGGTCACCTTGTAGAGAAGCCATCATAGGTCGAGGACTCATAGGCATTGTGGCACGAGCGGAATGTTCGGGGAGATCTTCAGCTTCCTGAACACCCAACTTCATACCCTCAGTGGGCGAGGCTTTGGCTGCACGTGCTGCAGCAGTGGCCTGAATTTTGGTCGGACTTCCTTCTGACTCGTTTTTGGGCTCCTCACGACGGCGCTTATTAGGTCTTGAGATTGGTAGATCGCTTCCGGCAACAAGAATTTCTGGATGGGAAGCGTGGCTGATGTCAGGAAAACCGTCCAGCGAATCCTCATTGATGGGCGGCCCAGAAGGAATGCCCAGGTTCATGTCATAAGCATGTACGACATTATCGGCGGCCTCGACAGCACGACGCGAGCTATCTATTGAAGGATGAGTACAAGAAGCATAAGTCCTAGGGCGGATGAAAACTCACCTTGAACGGTTTCGATGTTTTCCTTGAGCGTTTCGAATACTTTACGAACTTCTGCATTCGTCTGACCCTCTGCAGCTTCTTGGACAGTGGCATACATAACATCAAGCATACCGACTACACCTTGCATTGGTGTCCTCAATTCATGGGACAAGCTCTTTGCATAGGGCTGTAACGACTGGGCGGCGGTAATGACTTCATGGGGGATGACACGGGGTGGCTCTCTGCTGGCGGTTTCTTTGTCTTTGAATTCCGAGCCTTGAAGCAGGCGTTCCAAGATGAGATCTTCCAAGCCGTGCAGGAACATTTCGATAAAGGCCCACGAAAGTTTTCTCTTGGCGGCACCCTCGACAGACCAGATGACACCGAAATGTGCGAAGCACTTACCGTCAGCGAAGAGAGGAATGCCAATGTAAGCTTCGGCGGAGACAGGTAACTTGTTGGGGTTGTTGGCGAACATTTCGCTGACCTTTTCGGGAACGACAAAGACTTTGTCATGACGCATGTAGGAACAAGGGCAGCCGTATGCATGGTATTTGAAGCCTTTCTCGACACCCTGCAGACCCTTTCCGTCGTTGTAGTACCATGCACTTGCCATCAAACAGGATCCAGGCTCTCCAAGAGGCGGCATCTCAATGGCAGAATCTTGTTCGTCGACCAGAATACGTTTAGCGATGAAAGAGAGTTGTGCTCCTAGGATCTCGGCCATGCGCTCGGAAACGAAGGACCAGAAATCGTCGTTGTTGAGTAGCCGTAGCTTTGTCTTGAGGATGACCAACTCTTCTAGGATGTTGCTCTCGACACTCGAGGGATACAAGCGTTCCATTCCTGGGCGGAAGTCCGGGTCGCTGTCGTGGATAACTACATTTGGGGGCAGCGGTTGGCCCAGACAGATGGACTTTCTGGGTATGAAGTCGGGCTCCATGGCGGGGGGTCCACGTGGCGCTCCAGCTCAAAGGATGGTTGTAATGGTAGCGACGATGTGGTAGCGAAGTGTATGGTGCAGTACAGTGTAGCGTAGCGTAGGACGACAATAGTGGACTCAGTGTCGGCGTAGGGTGGACGAGATGGTGAGATGAAAGGATGGTCGTAGGGAAGCCGCGTTGGGAAAGAGGGCGTCAGAGTCAAAGTCAGAGTCGAATTCAGCGCAGCAGCGCTTTGGTAAGCACAATGAGAGCAGGACACAGACTTGACCGGCCGAACAGTTTGAAGTCCGAGAGTTCTCAGGGAACGGCCGCCTACGCAAACCGTCCGTAAGTCGCGAGGGTGTGCCCTTCTCCACTCTCGACATTCTAGATCGGCGACGAGCGTCTAGCGTCCAGGGCATGTCTTGGCCAGTTACGAGACGTCATTCAGCCTCTGCCTGCAACGAGCCCCGTCCGTCCAGTTCTAGAGGCCTGCAGACACTTCAGTCCATCCATGTCCAGATTCTGCACATATCAAATTCGACAACCATCATCATGTTTTGCAGAGATGCACATCCGTCTTCTCCATCTCTCTCCACCATCACTGCTCCTTGGCTCCACTGCGCATCAAAAGCTTATTCGGCGACACCATTGGCTAGCCGTTTTGCGCGACAAAGAGAGAAAAGAGCTACCCAAGACCCGCCGTGCCGGTCTCCCGACGTCAGTGGTCGCTTTCCAGAGGACCAGCACCTTGAAGCAGACACCACCGTTGAGTCCACGCGCTCCCTAAACTCCCAGAGAGAACTCCTTAACGTCTCTTGGGACTGTCGCCTTTTTTTGCTCCACGACCATGTTCATCTTTTCTTTGATGAGCTTGGTAGATCCTGCGACCATGTCGATCGCAGTAGATCTTTTGCTTGCTTGCGTGTAATTCCACGCGACCGACCTTCTGGCCACCATCTAACTTTGTTCAATACGGCCGTCTCTTCCTTCGTGCTTCATATGACCGGTTAGTTATATCATATGACCGCTACATACATGCATCCGCCTGCTTCCTTGACCAAGATTCTTGCTGTTGCGGCTCAATGTTTTCGTGCTGTCTCCCTCTAGAACTGTGTACAGAAACACACAGTCTTGGCAGACATCTCGGCAGGTCTGAACGACTCTGCTCGACAATGCGCTGATCTCAATAATATGGTCTGCAGCTTCCCTGCTTGAAACAAACTTCCGAAATGGCCTTTCCGACGTATGTATGCCTTATCTCTGCTTGTGATAGTGTGCAGCAACACTCTAAGCCACCTTCAAGGGTGAACAAACTTCTTCCACAGCCGTACGCGATCGTCGATCCATGTCGCGCTGAAGCCGAGACGTTGCAACTCGTAACAGAGTGGATAGCTTTGTACGCTGCGCCCTACCTCCCTACAATATATCATTCACGCTTCCATAATCTTCTAAATACTCGTCGTCGATCATTCATTGGTATGATCTCCGCAGCTCTGGATACCCATAAGCACCAAGTAAATGCCCGGCATCGGCGGCATGGTTGTCAACGCATACTAGCATTGCAACAGTAGCTTCGGGCTAGCTTGTTTCGGCGGACTCGCGCTCCGCAACACCTGCTTCTCTTTGCGGAACGCCGTTGCGATGCCAAGTCTGATTAGCCAACAAACAGACATTCGCTCGCACCACTGCCTTGGTTTGGAAAAATTGAACATGCCGGCACTCATGCCTCTTCTGAATTCTTGGATACGAGAAAGAACTTGTATCATTCACAGACACAGATGATATCCTCGAACTCTAAAACACGTGCGATATCGTTTTCCCTGGGTGGGCCGTGCGAGGCGTTCACTGTTGCCGTATTCTTGTCAGGGGCGTTCAGCACTCGTTCCACGTCGCAATGTTGAGCATGAAATCGTCCAACGCAGACGAGCTGTCGAGGATCTAGGCACTTATGTTGTAAGATCTCTTCTGCTCTCATGGCCTTCAAGTAGAGATTGACCCGAGCGCTACTCACTTTTGACACAGTCCGGTATTTGGACTGACCAAGACATCACTGCATCCTCACAGATCTGGGATGCCAATCTACAGCCTCCTGGGCGTGCTATAAATGTCACCAACGTCTTTCAGGTCGCCATGCATTCTCAGGCGCGCCACATCCTTAAAGCCTCCAATGGCGTAGATCACAGATTCTACTAGCCGCGGCGTCAGTCGTAACCGGCCGCATTATTACAACGGGCAAGATCTTGCCTCGTTGTCCTTACTGCACCGACCAAAGCTGACTTGTGACTCCAAAACTCCTGGATCGACCACCTGCACTCAGCTGCGGAAATCGTACAAGCTTGGTGGGTCTTTGATGCTAGGTCCGAATAGGAAGTTGGATCTGACGATGCTACAAGTTTGCGCTACCACGGCTGCTAAGATTGTTGCATAATATATTAACAAACTACCTTCGTGGGCACTAATGTGATTTTCGGTATGCAGTTTCGATATTCCCAAGACAAGATACCCGACCCGAAGCGCCACAAGTAGCATAGCTCAAGTGAACCCAACAATGTAACGTCAAGAGGCAGGAAAGCAAAAGCTTTGCAGAAGGCATGTTGAAAAGATGGACAACTCACAGAGACACGACAAGAATCATCTAACGTCACGAGTCTTTCCACCGAGGACTGCCGTAGGAGATCAAGACCGGTAGAAAACAACGTTGCACATGTATAGAAGATTGAGGCTCAGAGCACACAAAACCGTTTCATCTGTAAAAATGGCGAACCATTGAAACAAAACAACAACGGCGCAAGCAAGCTTCCACACCTTATATCAAGAACACAAAGATTGCAATTCTGCCCTAGCAGAAAGAGTTATATGAAGGGAAAAATGCGCAAGACTTCTTTCTCAACTGATGAGAGTTTGAGAGTTTGATACTCGGAGTAGAACGCAAAATACACTTTTCGAAGCCCGAGACGAGGACAAAATAACGACTCCAACTTTAGTCTGTTTACACGTTCTGATCTGCATGTGATGTGCCTTTCACAGACTAGAAGGTTTGTATGGTTACAGGGGGCAGGTGCGACACTGAGATACAAACAATCAGGCTCGTTATTAAAAATCCTTCCTGAGCAGCAACCATGGCTTCTACATGTTCTCAGTTCTCCGAGTCTTGACTCAGGCTGCAATATTTGCGCCACTATTGAATCTTGTTGCGCGTGAACTCGCCGTTTGTCATTTGCGAAGACCCGACTTCAAGTCGTACATTATATCTCGAGTTGAGTCATGCTGGATCCTCTGTTGTCCTTGTAGTGAAAGACCAAGATTCCTGGTGGATCTCCCATCTCTAAGCTCGACAGAATGGTCGCTGTTGCTGTTGATCCTTCATGTGCTACAGTAGAGCACGAGTAGCTGAAGCTCGCTAGCCAGGCCTCTGTTTTGGGCATGAAAACCTGAACAGTTGACAGTCGCGACCTCTCTTGCAGAGAGAGAGAGAGAGAGAGAGAGCGATACGAGTGTGCCATATGACGGGCGACTCAAACTCTCTATCTCCTGCCTCCTCTTCCTCCCCTACCACCACCTCTGCCCCGACCTCCCTTGCCGCCTCTCCCGCTGCTCTTTGGTCCAGTAATGCCCGCTACATCTCTCTTACTCAGCTTCAGCGTACCACCGCTGAATCTACCCACGCTTGGATTTCCAATACCTCTTTCCCTCTTATTACCACCTCCGAATCCACCTCCCTTGCCATCTGTTCCTTCCTTTCTAACTCTTTCAAGAATGATACCATTCTCCTTGGCCTCTCGCCTCCTCTCAATCTCCTTGTTTTCCTTCTTCTTCTGAATGCCCACTCTGTGATGTCTGGGCATATCTTTTTGCGCAAAGATAGAAGTCTTGGAGCCGAGTTCGAGGAGACGGAGATCAGTGGCTTTATGGCGGTTCTTGCCAGAAGGATCGGTGGAGAGAGATGAAGCGTCTAGGAGATGGGATTCTTTGAGCAGACGTTGTAGGGCGAGGTCGTTCTTTAGGTCGTCTTGTTCTGTATCGCCTTCGGTGTCTTCGTCTTTCTTCTTTGTGGGTTGCTTAGATGTGTTGGGTGTGTCTGAGGAGGTGGGTGGCTTGGAGGACTGTTTGGCGCAAAATGACATGATCAGCTTGTGAGTCTGTAAGAACACTTGTAGGAATGACAAAGTACCATAAACGCTTTCAATGCGGCTTTGTCTGCTCGGTCGCGCGAAAAGTTGGACATGTTGTGCTCAACCACTTCAACCTCGTCTTCGTCATCTTCTTCCTCTTCCGAGATACCATCCCAGGCTTCATCCTCATCTTCCTCGTCATCCTCCTCTTCAACTTCGACTTCTACTGGTTTGTCTTCTTCTATGGCCTTGAATCGCTTCTCGAAAGCGCGACGGAATGCATCATTCAGCGCTTCTCTATCTTCGGCATCCGATTCTGGTTCTGGTGCTGGAGGCGGTGGTGCTGCTTTCGCAATTGTGGCTTTCTTGGACGGTAGTGTCGACTTGGATGTCACTGTGCGCTTGCGCTTCCCTAATGCGAGCGACATTTCTGTTGTATATGATAACAATGATGCGAGGTTGGTTTTGTGGAAAGAGCAAAAAGAATAATTAAAGTCATTAGGGTCTCGGGGAAGCCAAGCCTTCTTCTCCGCTCCGCATGGCCAATTATTTCTTCTTTCGAGGCGATTTAATTAATTGCTTTCACTCGTCATTGAACATGCAGAGCGATTGTTTTTCCTTTGCACAACGTGAACTATTGCCCGACCGTCTAAGCCTTCTGAAGCAGTATCACAAAGTATCTCTCTTGCCTGCCATGTCTTGTCATGCCATTCCTTTTACACTCGCTTGTCGTGGCTTCATGCAAGGTGCAGCACTTTTGTGCCGTCTACACGATTTCATTCTTCCTTGGGAGGAGGGATAGGCGGGTTATTAGGCACAATCACTAGGCCTGTTTCCCTGTGAAACGTCGTGATATCGAAGCTTCAAGGCTGTTAGTGATACCTTTCAACAGTGGTCATTTTTACTTACACTTGATCCAGCTTGTAACCAACTCTCTTGGTCGTGGACTGCTGTTTGAAGCCCCAAGACTCCAGGTATGGCACCACCCATTCCTTGGTCTTTTCATGTTCGGAGTTCATAAAATTAATGAAGATGCGTGAGACGAGACGCTGAGTACCGATTCCAAGTTGCTCTTCGACATCGTAGCCACCACGCTGGAGGTAAAATTGGTCCAGCAGTCCAAGGAGCTTGTCGATGAGACATTTGCTGACTCCTTTACGTCTGCATCTGGGGTTCGAATCCACAAAGACGCCAGCCTCGACAGCGAAACGCAAAGCCGTTCGCGGGCCAGCGAATTCATCAGCATAAGCAAAGCCGAGAACAGTGTCGATGGCAGGTCGATCCTTGAAGCGTTTCCTTCCCCCGTAACCCCTAGGCGAACAGGCGACAAGAAACGGTAGGTGGCCGCTTCGCGCACTCTCCCATCGGCCCTTCATGTCCATGATGCTGATAGGCTCCAACTCTGGGGTGCACACGCTGTGCTGAACATAGTGATTGTAGATTTCGGTAATCTGAGGAATGTCGCCAAGCTGGGCCATGCGGACGAACAGATTGAGTACGGGCTTAATTCTGTTGTCAACCATTGGTGCTTGCTCAACGAAATCTGCTTCCTCAAGCGGTTCGTCGAGCTTTTCCTTTTCTCGTTCTGGGCCAGCCTTTCTTCCGAAGCGAGCCATCATGAAGGCTTTGGGGTCTTGCAGATACTGGTTCATCCATCCCTGGCTACCACGATCGTTCTCGCGCACTTCCTTGTCTTGTGGTGTGTCCTCACTAGTGTCGCATCCCTTGTGGGCGGGATGGGTTGGTGGGAACTGAGCTGCGGCATTGTTATTCAGATAGGCATTCCAGAACGGTCCGCGGCCATCCAAATCAGACTGCTCTTGGGGTTGAGGTGCCTCTCTGATATGTTGCTGCCAGAAAGTCTGGAGGGTTTGACCAGGTTCGAAGACTTGAGGAATCCATGCTCGAGGAACAAGTTCGGCCATGAGGGTCTCGTTGCATTTCAGCGGCAGGAAGTAGAGCTGACCACTAGCAGCCTTGGTTTTGCCGACGTTGAATACAAAGTTGGTACTGCCTCTGACACGAGATGTTGCGCCAAGTGGTTTGGGCTCCACCTCGACCTTGCTTTGCCATTGTGCAACTGTTCCTTGGAGATTGCGATTCTTGTAAATAGGACGTTCGGACCAGATAGGTGGTTCAGCGTGCTCGCCTCCCCAGGAATAGAATAAGTGGGGATCGAGACTGTCGCCGTAGTCAAACTGTTGTGTATCAGGAGGGGGAGTGAGAGAAGCTCCGGCTGTCATTTTCTTGAGCTCCTTGTCGCTGATCCATGCTGACTGCTTTTTGGGGCGTCTTCTTGTGTGGTTCATGTCTGCGCACTTGGAAGAATGATGAATCCGAGTAGTCGAGGTTGGATGAGGTTGAAAAGTTGAAGTCGCGTGCGTCAGTCGCGGTTGCCTGCATCAAGGAGAGTGAACGACCAAGTCCAAGACTGGAAGTGACGAAGCCCTCGCGCTCCTTACTTTCAGCCTGCTTGAGATCCGTGCAAACGCTGTCTGTGACAATTCTGAATTTTTGTCAGTGAACATTCACTTATTTCAATCACTTTTCAGCGATGATGGACTGATGAAATTCCGAAGCTAGGGCAATGAGCAAATAAGCTCCATTCAATATCGAATGTAGATGGTTCATGAGGCTGTCAGCAGCGATGCCATTACATCGATGACATTGGATATCGATACGACTCGCAGCCTTTCGAACAGTTGCGCCAAATGTGCTCGTGCAGATGCCGTCTGACAGCAGTTCCGGCACCGACCTAGCAGATCAGAGCTCGAGACTTCCGAAACACTGCGATCAAGTCAACAGACTGCATTGGGTGAGAAAAGTTCGAATTGGACAGAGACGTCCCTAATAGGGGCCTGTCTCGTCTGCCTTTCCTGGCATACTCGCGTTCTTATGGCATTGATGCGCTTTCGCTCGAGAGCCTTTATACCACTGGTGAGTCTCCAACACACCACGCGGCCGTCTCGCACTGCCATTCTCTGGCTGATCTTAACGACGATTGCTCAAGGCCTTGATTGCCCACCTCGCTTCCACGCGAGGCGAGGAAGTCAAATTCAGATGCCACGCTCGATATTGACACCATGAACGTATTCTCTGGAGCAATTTCGTCATTCAACGGTATCGCAATGAGTGGCTGGTCTGAGGCTGGACATGGCACATTGGTTGCAAAGAGATGGAGAGGAGTCTGAGCAAGATTACCCTGGAGGATCTGGGGAAGCTTCCAGACAGAGGAGGTCGACGAGTATCTTGGGTGGGGACGACCTTTTTGGTACGAAAAGAGGCATACGTAGAAATCACAACATTCGGTCATAGCTCAGCATGTACACAAAGACAGAGTGTGAGTTATTAAAGTACGAATATCTGGACGATAATTTCTACACCTTCTCCCAGCCGTAGTACGCAAAAGCTCATGACACGGAAAGTGTTTCGGGGAATGTGATAGATCTGAAGTACATGGCACTCAACCCACGAGGTAGATATAGAGTGCATATAAGCCTTTATCCTCGCCTCGAAGTGTGGTAGTCGTGAACAATATCCAAGATACTCAATAGTATTGGAAAGCACGTGACCTGCTCTTATTCTTTCCTGTCTGCCTTTTGACTCTTCTTCTCTTTCGTCTCCCTATACGCCATTCGGACCAAATTTACGGTCACTATGTTGTCAATACTTCGCAAAGCACGTCTCAAGGACAAGGAGATGCGGATATTGATGCTGTATGTAAATTTGGAAAAGTGTGGGTGCGACTGGCTGACCATCATATAGTGGACTTGACAACAGCGGTAAAACTTCGATAGTGAAAAACATCATGGGCGAAGACATCAATACGGTCTCACCGACTCTCGGCTTTATTATCAAAACAATTGACTATGATGGGTGAGGTTGCCTAGGCATCTTGGAGCAAGATGTGGAGCTGATAGCTGAGGTAAACAGATACAAGCTGAACATCTGTAAGGGAGACCAGGGTTGGGTGCGAGGTGCCGACAGCAAAACTTACACGGGAGACAGGGGACGTCGGCGGACAAAAGACGCTTCGGACATACTGGAAGAACTATTTTGAGAAGACGGACACACTCATATGGGTGGTGGACGGCACAGACCGAGAACGGATTGACGATTGTCGACAAGAACTGGAGGGGCTTCTTCTGCAAGAGGTAAAAAGGCTCTGACACGGTCAAACGATGACAAGTGGATACTGATAGGAACGGCAGCGGTTGATGGGAGCAAGTCTGCTCGTGTTCAAGAACAAGAGCGATGTGGCAGGATGCATGAGCTCGGAGGAGATACGCAAGGTTTGTGGTTCCCTCGCCAGCCGCAGTGGGGTTCCAATGTTTACCAAGCACGATACTGACTCAGAGAATCCACGTAGGCCTTGCGACTCGACACAATTCACACGCACAGGTGGAACATTATGGAGTGCAGTGCATTGACTGGGTTGAACCTTCAGGAAGGCCTCAAATGGGTAGTGCAAGATGCCAAGGACCGGCTCTTTTTGTACTGAAGCGCTTAGGGGTTATGTATCGAAGCTTCTATAGGAGGGATGGAAGACAGCTAGGGGCAGATCGGACATGGAAATAGATCTCTGGTCAAAAGCATGAGATAGGGCGAGCAATCAAAAATTATATGAGCTGTACACAGACAGACTGCAGGGAAGTTGACGGAGATGTTTCAGAAAGGCAGGCGAGCTGTGATTGGTCGAAGTCAAAGGGCCGCACGGCGCGTCACAAGTGCGGCCGGGACGTTGGTGGGTTTGGGGAGGGCCGGGTACACAAATAAATGTCAACAAGACGAGAGTGCCAGTGTTTAGTCGTTGGTCGACTGTTGAACCCTCTTCCTCCATATCAAAGTCGCCAGACGCTTTCCAATCGCTGATCCAACCATTGATCGATTATGGATTAGATACCATCATTACCTGGACCCTATACGATACGACCCACGATACTCATACACCATGGACGATACACCCGATCTCGATACAAACGCCTTCTTGGAGAGTGTGCGTGAACTCAAGGAGAAGAGACAAAGGGAAGACAATGAGCGTCAGGAGCAATTGGAGGCGCAGATCGCAAGTTCACGACTTGCTCGGAAGCTGGGTGCGTCACACGAGCCTCCTCAACCACAACTACACCGGCCCCTACTGACAGATACCGACCCAGAGAGCGAGCGAGGCATGTCGTCACCCTCAATGTCACCGTCAACGAGCCCGCACAGGGCTTCTCCTAGCAGCGCCGTACCCTCTCGTGCCAGCACTCTTTCGCGCCCACCCCGCAGTCGCCCCATGTCTGTCGATATGGGCTCACCCACCAGGGCCTCGTCGGTCAGGCCCATGAGTATGATGTCTATCCCCGAGAAGGGCACTCCTCTGCCTTCTCGTGACTCGCAACGCTTTGCTGCGCCAGACAGCGCCGATGCTCTCAGCCGTACCATGTCCAGCGCGCAGAGCCGTCTGGATCGACCCAGTTCGCCGACCAAGGGCATGGGTGGCTTTGTGCAGAGTGCCATGCTGAAGCGCAACGACAGTGTCAACAAGAGATGGAGTGTCACAGCTGGTCCATCATCCCTGGCTCGTAACGATTCAACTGCCAGTTTCCGCAGCGCTGCCAATGCTGATGACACTCCTACTCGCCCATCATCAAGCCATAGTACCATAAGCAACCTCAACATCGGCCCCGACTCAGATAACAAGGAGGAAAAGCCTGAGAGAACAACCACCACTAGGCACTCGCGCTCGAGATCGATGGCTTCCTTCTCGGGCCAAGAACCCATTCCTGAAGGCCTCATGTCTCCACCACTCAGCCCAAACAAGAGATGGAGCCGTAGTCCCACCAAAGCTAGTTGGCTTGAGAGTGCTCTTACTCGTCCAGAATCTCCCAAGCCGCTTGCATCACCACAATCGACTCAGCCTAGTTGGATGGCGGACCTTGCAAAGGCAAAACAGCAACGCGGCAACGCCGAGGCTTCACCATCGCAGGAAAACATCGATGCCGCAAAAGCCCAGGACACGCCTACCTTTGGCCAGGGTTTACTAAAGAGATCGTCTATGAGAAACACTCCCACACATTCTCCCAGCGCATCCAGAAACGTCACACCTCCCACAAAGGCCAAGCCTATCTCGCTTGCAGGCAAATCTGCTCTACCAGGAGCCTCCACCCCTTCGCTCGATTTGACGCCCAAATTATCCGAAAAGACAGAACTAGAGAAGCAGGAGCCAACCAAGGAGGTATCGAAGAACGAGGAAATCGAGCAGAACATCTCTAAGGAGCAAGAATCATTGGACAACCATCATACCGACAAGAGCAAGGAGAATACACTGAAGAAGGAAGAACCTGCCAAGCCGACACCCTCAAAACCGACCGCACTCTCCTCTAAGTTCACAGAGAAGGAGCTAGTCAAGCCAGCTGCTCAGAAACCGAGTTCGCTATCATCGGTTCCTCATCTGCCGCCTAAGCCGCAAGCTCTCGACCCTGTCAAACCCGCCGCTTCGTCATCGCCTAGGTTCCCTACTTTGAAATCTCCAGAATTAAGGTCAGGTGAATTCAAATCACCCGAATTGAAACAAGAGACCACACCGAAGACCGATTTCCGCTCAGGCTTAAAATCACGAAGTGGTACCATTGGCCCGCAGACAGAGCAGGAGCCGGAGTTCAAGGCTTTGTTCGGCAAACTCAAGAAAGCTCAGACTGAGAAGTACGTGGCACCTGACGAGCTAAAGAACAACATTCTTCGCGGCAAAGCAGGTCTGTCTCTCAGCGCCGGTCCACAGAAAACAGAGCGGCGTGATGAGCTCAAGGAGAGTTTGTTGAAGAAGAAGGAAGAAATGACTAAGGCAGCTGCGGAGAAGCCTGCACCAGAACCAAAGGTTTCTCCAGCTCCTTCATCTGTGCCAGAGGCACTCTCTGTTCGAAAGCAGCTTGGCCGGTCAAACAGCACACTCAACATTCCTGCTCCTGCAAAGTCACATCGAGACATTACGCCTGAGGCTCTGTCATTCCACAAGAATCTTAGAGGGAAGCCTAAGGCACCCGTCCCCGAGAAGAGAAGTAGCGTTACCGAGAAGGCTGAACTCAAGCGCGCTTCCATGGAATCAAAGCCATCTTCTGTTGCTGATGAGGAACCCGCGGAATCAGCACCCAAAACCGAGGACAAACCCGGACCGGAAACGAAAGAGCTTCCTAAGCCAGAGACACGTGAGCCTACCAAGCCAGCAGCACAAGAGCTTCCTAAACGATTACAGCAGGAGTCTTCTAAACCCCAGGTGCAAACGAGACCTATGTCGAACAAGATCGCCGACAGATTCAACCCAGCTCTAGCAGGACTATTAGCGCGTGGCCCGCCGAGTACGTCAAACACTCCGCCATCAGGAAGTCCCTTCTCCCCTCCTGCAATCAGTCGTGTGTCTTCTGCGCAAGATGAGCCAGGCGAGGGTACTCAGCTCACTCACATGACCAAGAGTCGTGCTAAAGGACCGAAGAGACGCAAGCCGAAATCAAGTGCGCCGGAGACCACTACCAAAGCCACGCCTGCACCCGAAAAGCGCGTTTCTTCTATTGCGGCTACTTCTGAGAAGCGTGTCTCATCTATCGCGTCTGAGCCTGAGAAGCGTGTTTCTTCTTCCCCATCAGTGCCGGAAAAGCGTATCTCCTCAATCAACCTGCCATCACCAAGTTCGCCCACGACTAAGACTCCTGTGCAACCTCGACCCAAGTCTGCGGCTGTAAGAGCTGCATCAATCAATCTCTCGAAGCCACAAATCGGCGAGGCAGAGAAACCCAAAACTCCCACTCCGACAAAGTCAATGACATTCCCTCCCGTTCAAGCAGATAAGCCTACGACTCCTGTGTCAGCGAGATCCTCTCTCGAAGTGGCCACGACCACCGGTGCAGAGAAGCCCAAGCCCATCACGTCTGCAAAGCCAGCACTGAGTACACCTGCTTCCGCAACCACTGATAAGTCGGAGTCGCCTGCCCCTTTCAAGCTGCCCCTTCGTACCTCTTCAGCTGCTTCCCCAGTGAGCAAAGAACCTGTATCTGGCCTTGTTTCTCCTACGTCTGCCTCTCGCCAAGCCTCTGGTTTCAGTCGAGCACTCCCAGGCAAGGCTCTTCCAGGAATGGCTACTGCTGTGTCAAGGTCACAGGACAAGCCTCTACCATCAGTGAACGCGACTGAGGCGGATAAGGAGAACCAAAGTGTTTCATCAGTCAAGAGTGCTGCCTCGATGTGGGGAAAGACTGCACAGACGACACCACAAAAGCGTGCTCCCATAGAGCTCCCCACTAAGAAGGACGAAGAGGCGGCGATGTTATCTGCTGGACTCCTCTCCAACTCGCCACTCAGATACAACGCGTCGCCGAAGCTGGGACTTGGTATCACAGAAGACACTATTAACCAGCCAAAACGGACTCCTAATGGTCATGATCAAGTACAGTCGCCCGGTAACGGAGCTCCACCCAAGCCAGCAAAGAGTTCGAGAATCGTCAGTGGTCAATTGAGTACCAAAGGTAAGTCTTAGCATTAGCAAATTCATCAACATGCAAGCACAAAGAGAAAGAACTTGGATTTACATTCGTCTTGATTTATTTGTTCAAATTCTGATTGCTTTTGAGCAGTTTGATTACTTTGTGCCTTGGGTTCCAGACCAGAGCCCACGGAAGTGACAGAGAGCTGACGTGTGTCTGGACGTTCGATAGACCTACCTCATTTGCCCAACATGCTTGATCTCCCAGCTGGACGCGAATTGGCCAACTTCTTCGGCGACGTGCCTCAATCAAACAACCAGTTGCAGTTGAACACTGATACACAAACGATTCTGGGATCCCGCTCCGGAGAGTCTGATAAGATCAAGACTCTACGGACCTCGATAAAAGAGATCAAGTCTGATGGTACTCTAATTCCTCTACCAGCACAACAGGAGCACATCTTGTTTGAAAGCTCTATGTACATCTGCACCCATATCTTCTACACTGCCAGCATGACGAGGATGGCTGAAGTGTACCTCTGGTGTGGTGACCGCATATCCGAGTCGACTATCCTGGAGACCCAAGCACATGCCAAACGCATTGCCCGAGAGGCTGGTGTCGGTCAGAAGTAAGAAATCCCCTGTGTTTAAGCCCACTCCCATAGAGCTAATATCGTACCTAGGTCAACACAACTATACATTATCGACCAAGCTCGTGAACCCGCGAACTTTTTCCAAGCACTTGGCGGCATTGTGATTACGCGTCGTGGTTCACGCGCAGAAAATCTAAAAGAGCCATACATGCTTTGTGGTCGTCCACATATGGGTCATATTGCATTCGATGAGGTCGACCGCAGCAAGAGCAGCCTTTGCTCTGAATACCCATACATTATCGCCCGCCCTATTACACTCCAGGAGACAAAGATTTGGTTGTGGAAAGGCAGCGGTTGTGGAGCTACTGCCATCGGAAGCACTCGGTTGATCTCTATGGACCTCAATCCTGGAGGTGGCTTCACCGAGATCGACGAAGGCAAGGAGACAGCCGAGTTTCTCGCAGAGATTCATGATACTGGCGACACCAGTATATGTCAGTCGCCAGCACTCTGGAAGGGAAGATGTGGTAACTGGGAGCATTCTTCAGTGCGCCTGTTCAGGATCGAAACGAAGGAGAAGCCTAAGCAGACCGCGGCCTCACTGTTCACGAGCTACTTCTCCCGCCGTCCCTCGTGGAGTGCGCCGAAGTCTCCTAACACCGATCGACCCAACAGTGATGGGTCAAGCAAATCCCCCAATACTGATTTCGAGGCATCAATCTCGGAGATAGCACCTTTCACCCAAGACGACCTGGAGCCAGAAGGTTGCTACGTCCTCGATGCCAATTCTGAGATTTTGGTCTTGCCAGGACCCTTGCTTTCACAGCAAGGCTTGTGGCAACACGCGTTCGTACAAGCATGTCTGTTCGCCCATGACTATGCTATTCTGTCTGCTAGCCTGGAGGATAGGCCCGCCATTCCAAAGGCTAGAGTTGTTTTGGGTGGTCTGCTGAAGGAGGTCAAGGTCAAGTTTAGACGATGGGAAGAGCGAAGAGGCCTTTGGGGATCGGGTTCCTTGATGGCTGGAAGAATCACTAGTGGGGAATTAGGTATGATTGATGTAAGAGATGTTTTGGGTGTTTGTTGCGGGCCTTGATTTGCTGCACTGAAGGTTTCGTGCGAGGCGTCAGGATCGGATCTCTGACATTGGGCTATGTGGCATGATGAATCTGGAATACTGAAGGGGAGTTCTTTCCTTTTGATGCATGGATTACGTGGCAGGCATTTCGGTTTGTCTTGTTCATCAGCATTCTACATAACGTATGAGTTAAATTATCGATTGTTCTTTCCAAATTCAGTTCGTCGAATATCGTCTGCGCTTCCTGAGTTTAGGTTGATGGCCTTCAACTTCACGATTTGGTGCCCACGATTGGAAGGCATGATGACGACAATCTCTGTACACCCTTTCCTTTCCTAAAAACAACTTAAGACACCTACAGTTCACCCAACTGCCACCAGTCTTTTCAACATCCTTCGCATCTCGACTCACCACGACACATCGTACCGACCGAATCTACATCAAAGCTCGTGTACCTATCACGAATCATCATGTCTATTGTTTTTACCAACACGATGACGAGTATTCAAGCCGAGCGACTTCTCTTCCATCCATCATACAAGCAACAGCGCAAGGCCACGCCAATCAGTGACGACAACCAACACATGATCGATCAACAAGAAGTCATAGGCAAGGAAGAAAAGTCGTGTATCTCATTAACCAAAGGTATCTCTGGAAGCCATGTCTCATGCCCGCGAAGGTCCGTCATTATTATCGCCCTCCCTGGCAATATCCCAAGTGCTCGTGTAATCCCCGCTCTCAGCTCGAACCCTCGAGACCATGATGACAGGTACAGCACTCGGCCTGCTGCTCTGTACCGGAGGCTGGTATCCGTCCCATCCCTTATCTTGTCCATCCATCACAGTATCCATAATCGTGTCCTCAATATCTGGAATGACCAAATCCATCTTGGGCACAGGCGGTGCCGTTGCAGCAGATGTTGGACGTGAAGATAGCGTTTGTTGGCCCCGCTCTGCTTTCTCGAGATCTTGTAGATGATGATGGTTTTTGTTGTTGGAGCCCGTAACTTGCGAGCCTAGTGTGGTCCACTTTGTCAAACGGTGCAGCAGAGACGTCAAAGAAGTCATCGAGGCAGAGAACCAAGGCTTCAGTGCCGGTGCGCAGGATGCGAAAATACCGAGTCCACACTCGAGAAGTTCGAAGAGGAGGATTCTTCCTAGACCATCTATACTTTGTCAGCACTTATTTCTGGGTTGAATGTGATAGATATGGTGGAATTATACTTACAGCTCATGTTGGTTTCGTGAGTCCAATATGCTATGTAAGGCAAACGACAAATCGTCATTGCTGCTGCCAGCACACCCAGGCCTAAGATAAACCAAGCCATAACCATATTTCTTGTGCTCATCACTGTTTGCCAGAGGATAATACCAGGGATGATCGCGCATGCGAAGTCTGCGAATATGGTTGTGCACGCAAACGAGTATCCAACAGTCAGTACTACAGCTCCAGGAAGGCAATATCCAGGGGTATGGGGATGGTGCCAATGTGTCCAGATTGCTGAATAAGGCACACAATAGCAGAAAGATCCAATGAACATGACAAGTGAAGAGCAGCTGACAATGATCAGGATCCAGTGTAGTGCTTTTTTGATCTTCGGAGATGTCGACAGACGGAGGAACGTGTAGCAGACGCTGCACTTGATCAAGCAGGTGGCTAGTGTATAGATTGGTTTGTACATCGCAAAGGTCTGTTTAATTATTGATGTCAGTCTCTGATTTTTCATACTTGATGCTCAGCTCTCGAGAGATGTAGATACATACCTGAACACCTTTCATCTGGTTTTCCAAGCTAAGGACCTCGTCGGGCATACCAAGACCGTACATGAATCCCCACAACGTGACTGCACAAGCTCCAAGATGGAAAATGAGTGCCGCAATGATAAGCCAGTCATCGATCTTGAAAGCACGCCTTGTAATACGCACGTAGCAGCGTAAAGGAACAACAATGAGTGGCAACACGATCATAGCAATCGTGACACCGAAGATGGATGTCCATTTGTCGTGCCACTCCATGGTTGTGACAACCAATCTCCTAGAGAAATCTCGGGTTCCAGTAAATCTCAACTCGCTTGCAGACTTTGTAATTATAACTGAATCATTGAGCAAGGGATGATACTTCGTGCGGCGCAGACCTAGACCCTTATATTGAAGTCAGCTGAAGTCTACTTGGACGTTTAGTCCATGACCGTTTTGCCATCGTGCGACTTTAAAGTTATTCCGTTCTTCGCTGATACTCTGCTATTTGAGCTCTCCGTGTTTTCCCCGCGGTATGTCTCACTTACGCTCTCTTATGTGACCTACTTCTTTATTTGGGCACTGGTGTCTAATGTGAAGGCTTGCGGCTTTCAACCTTTGGGACTTCGAGGCAAAAGGTCAAGCATCCTTGCCATCAACGGTTTCCTCGAAGTGACACGACAAGTGGCTGTCTTCAGCTGCGCTTGGTGCACAAAAATACGATGATAACATGATGTGTTCAGATGTCTCAGACGATCTCCGTCGTCCATAAGCGATATCGTGCAAAACAGGATCCTACCTTCTGCAGATCTTCGAGAATTTAGACGAGTTGAAACAAACAAAAGAAAGATGCTAGTTGAGATTTTCTGTCAGTTGAGAGGAGGAACACAAGTCCTTCATAAGCCGTTGGCGCTGACTCAAACGTCTTTATTGCGGTACAAGTCAAACAAGCTTTTTGACGAGTTGACAACCACCCTTACAGAACGATGAATCACCTTCACGAGGGAGATGCGATTGGCGAAAGAGGCCTCGGTAAGCGATCGAGGAAGTCCGTGAACTCCACTTGGAAGTGTTTATGACTGGCTCTAGAAAGAAGAAGCCACTAAGGGACATGACATATCACCCGTTGGCTAAAGTATTCGTTTTCGGCTCCAGGTGAGATTAAATGTAGATCCGAGCAAAATCGAGGCTATCACACGTGGTGCATGTGGACGAGGCAGGCAGAGGATGATGCTCTGGTCTTATTACAGAGGAGATCTTAGACGTGCACCATAAACAGCAAAAATTGTTGGTTGGCGTTGTTCGATGGTAGCTCGGCCCACAAGCTTGTGGCCTCACGAATGTGCCATGTATTCTGCTGGAATCTGACATCTAACTGGCGACACTTCAGTACTTTTCTTCATTGTTGTTGATGAGTTTTGGGGTCCCCCTGAGGCATCGGCGTCGGCGTCGGCGTCGGCGTCGGGCTTTGGGATTTGGAGTCCAAGCGTCGTCAACTTTGCAATACGCCAAGCCATAATTTCTCTACCAAAAATCGCTGTTCTCGACACAATATCGACTGCCACCTTCTAGGACTCAACGAGAGGCAAGATATGCGTCCTGACACGTCCATGTCGATGCAAAAAGAGCAAAAGATCGACGCCTGTGTGATTCGAACACACGCTCCGCAATCTCCGAAGCGTGTTCTTTTCGCTTCGCGAAAAGAACGCGCGTAGGAGATTGCAAAACAAGGATGAAAAATTGAAACCTAGTAAGCCAAGTTATAAAGGACGATGAGAAAAGTTGTTTGCACAAAAAGAAATCATGGGTTTCTCAATCGACTATTAAGTTTGTTCGAGTTGAAGAATCGCATCACCCTATCGATGCGACGCCCGCCAAGACGCCTAAAGAAAAGGCAAAAACAGAAGGCGACCAGTCTGTGTCGAGGCTTCCCGACGCTTAAAGCACCCAAAACACATGTAGCATATACGACGACCTTTGAAGGGAGGATTGCGCATCGAAAAATTGACACATTTACTCTAGTTACAACTCTTGAAAATTTATTTAACATGGAACATTGCCACGGAAGGAGAGACAATGTCTCTTCATCACCATTCTCTTCGACTAATGAATATCATGATGTTTCTTCATGATGTTTGGTCTTTGGAATCGGAAGACACCTGGAGAAGCTCAGCTTAGGGACCGAGGACCCTGGTTCTGCGTTGCTGACGCTGCGAGGCTGCGCGACTTCTGTACTTGAGCCTGCACATATCTGCGCGTCACCTCCTTCGAGGCTAACTCTTTCGAGTAGTGTCGATGAGCGAGGTTGGCGAGTAGAGTTAGTGGACAAAGGAGAAAAAGTGATCTACAAACAGAAACGAGAGCAACAGCACAGAACCTTTTTTTCTAGCAATGAAATTTGCTACACGTTATCAGACTTGCAGCCAGTTTGATCTTGCCTAAACTATATGAAAATCTATTACTACAGCATTCTTTGCATCTACTTGTCGGATGGAACTTGTACAAAATTGTATTTTAGCCATTATTTCCGCAGAGCAACGCTTAATGCGACTGACCCTTGCTCATACTCGAGGACCTATCCTTTCTCCATACGAGAAACCGCAAATCCGTAAACGCCTCGCGAGGAGGCTTCGTTGCCGGGCGATATATACTGCTTTCATGCTGCTGTTAGACAACAGTATCTCGAGAAAACACTGACTGTCTGACGAGGCGAAATCCACATGATGCTGAATAATTCACAGGAACCATCTATTTGATCGCATCATATGCTTCCCTCCCGAATTTGTGGACAACACTCAGTTGTAGTCATGAGACCTTACTAGAGTATGAACGCGGGTGCTGCCGAAGCTGCGACCGCGAGTTTGTCCCCAAGCCCCGAACCACCCATCCCATACCAATCGTTCATAGCTGATCAGTGTATTTTACTCCTCGCTGTCATCGTCTATGTTGTAGTCGAGACAACCATCTTCTTGTCTTGAGACATTTAGCTACCTCATGAGCCTGTCCATGCCTCGTCCTTGCGCCCGCCATGCGCCCCCAAATGCTTTTAACGATCGCTCGCGTCATGCAAAAAGAAGAATACTGTCTGGCGACGCAAGAGGAGGATATGGATTGAGTGCGACAAGGAGATATCGAATTGTACATTCAGATCTTCAGGATCTGGTCACCGTCGGTTCTTGACACGATGCGCCTGCACGATTCGACTCTTCACCTCGCACCTCCACCACTCATCAACTTCAACAACTCGATGTTAAGGTCATCGCAGACAATAATACTATGTGGCAGCACAGCTCGGAGTCTCAACACCATGTTCACGTTCTACATCGTCATGCACGCTGTCGCTAAACAGTTCTTCCGTGAAGCAGCGCAGTCGCCGTCAGGTTCCAAGCCCGTCTCATTCCTTGTTGCTTGCTGCCTGCTTTGTTTCCATACGCTTCTTATGTGTTGTGAGACAGTGATCAAGCAGATGTCAACAGACTATGGCGTCTTTGTTCACGTCAAACCAGTAACAACACGTCCATTCTGGTCGTTGTGGTAACCGAAAGTCCTGTTGCAGCTATTGGAACCATCTGGAAGCTCCTGCATTTGTGTTGTTTCGCGTTTTGAGCTTGGTACTCCAGTATCTTTGTTGTTCGACCAAACACCCAGCAAGTTCTTTCGTGGGGAGTTGGAAGATTGGATCGAGAGCAACACGTCGTAGGCAATACATAAGCTCGATCAACCCTCCCACTTTTGCCAATCAAGCACCCACAATTCCTCTCTCATTGCTTCATCCCTATCTCTTTTCTTGCCTCACATCCGTTTTCCATCCGTTTTCGTCTTCTACTTGCTCTTTGGTCATCTTTCGGTCGCCCATCATGGCGCCCAAAGCAGCCCTGCTGGTACCATCAAAGCGCAAGGCCTCCATTCGTGAGACGCTCGAAAAGGTACGTTTTGAAGGTGGTCAGGTCAAGTTCGACTTTATCGAGAATCTGGAAACCAGAGCCCGCGAGTTACGCACCTTCCGTTGGCAGGCCCCAGCCACCCAGAACCGTCAGGATCGTCATATCTATCTCTACCTCGAAATGATCAGAACTCTGGAGGGCCTTCCCGAAGACATGAGCCACGTCGACATTCATCCCCATGCCTTCCCGCAGGACCATGAAAAGCTCTTCCAGTATCTCGAGATGTTTCTCATCCTCTGCTTCAAGACTACTCAGCCACGCTCGAATTACGGCGTAGCAGAGATCGCTTGGGGTACCCTTGCCACGTTTCGTGCAAGCATGCTGTATTGGGTTGCCCGGATCTATGGTCAGCTGAAGCGTGATCCCCCTACCAACACAGCTGCATTCAATCGCATGACCACTACCATGAACGGCCTCAACGTCCAGGACCGCTCTTCCGTCGACCCCATCTTTGCGACCGTCAAGACCCATGTCGGCCTTACTGAGATCCGGCAATTGATCGAAAGCGACATGATGCGTACAGCATGCATTGAGAACGCTGAGCAACACCACCTTGCCTGGTGCCTTGGACGTTTTCTTGCTCTTCGCCCTGCCTCGATAGGTGCAGAGTCTTTCACTGGGCCTGGAAACACCCGACACCAGCCTCATCTTGTCTGGCGCGATGTCGTTCTTCAACGCGACCCATCTGACAAGGGTCGGTTTACTGCTGTCATCACCATCCGTCACTGGAAGCATACAAGAGATGCCGATGCTGATAGGTCTGGCCCCAAGACCTACACACTTGTATCACCCCCCGCCGACCAGCTCATATTCAGTGTCCCTCATCGCCTGTTGGTTATCGCTCTCCGTCGAGGTATTCTGCTTGACTACAACACCATCGAGGATCTCCTTGCTGGTGACCTTGCCAACATTACCATTCGAGATGATCAGCTGGATGAGCCCATCTTCTACGCCTCAGGTCCCCGTGGCCTCGAGCTTGATACCAGCAAGCCCCTGAATGCGCACGCACTCACCGATTACATCAGAGAGCGTGGAAAGACCCTCGGCTATCCTCACCCAATCACGTTCTATTCTATCCGCCGTCGTGCTGCTACAGACCTGTCTGTCAACTACTCAAAGGATCTGAGCCGCGAAGTCATGAATCACACCACTGATAGCCGCACCCTTGAGACTTCTTACCTGGACATTAGGCAAGGATTCAATCCTACAGCTGCTGGTCTGGGTATCCAACTTGGTGCTTTCGGTCATGACCCCGCCATCAGTGGTCCTTCATCGCTCGCAGTAAACACCTTGGATCCCGCACGCTTGCTCAGAACTCAAGGCGAAGCTCTGAACCTGGTCACTCGAGAGCTGATGGCTTCAGACCCTGATAACTCTGCCATTGGTACTGATGAGTACAAGAACTACCGCCGTCGTATTCGCAACCAAGCATATCGAATCCTGGTCACTGCGCAGACCACAATCCAGGCTCGCGAAGATACTCTCGATACACTCAACGAGCGTTCACTACTCGCTCAAGCGAGCCTATTCCACGATGAAGTCATGCGTTACGCCAAAGACTCAACGCTGGCTAGCACTCTGGAGGAAGTACCTGGCGAGGACCGCCTGGATGAAGCCCAGGAGCAGCTCTCCTCTGCAGCCCCTGAGGACGAGGAGGAAGAAGATCCCGATAGTCTCTTTGTCGGAAGCCAAGAAGATGAGCCTGCACTTGAGGAGCCCTTCGGAGAGGACATCACTGCCCCTGGTTCCGCATCTCGACCTGGTGACTCCACCCCTGGTCCGTCCGCTCCTGGACCCTCCGCCCCTGGTCCATCTGCCCCTGGACCCTCCTCACGACCTGGAAGCTCTATCTCCTACGAGCTCATGGCAAAGATGTCCATGTCTCTTATCACTAACAATGTTCTCTCTACTCAGCAGTTCTGGGAGACTCGAGACAAGAGGTGCCCTGCCTGTAATGAGGACCCCACAATGTCTCAGGAGGACAAGGACAAGGAGTACCGCTCTCTGTCTGTGTTGACCTCTCATATGAGCTCGAATGTTCACAGTGGCCTTGAGAGGGTCAAGCGCCAGCTTGAGATTAACGCCAAAGCTCTTGCGTCCGGCAGGTACTACTGCTTGTACTCTTGTGGCAAGAACTGGGCCCGTAGAAGAGATTGCATCGAACACATGGACAACAGCACTGAGGCCACGGACGGCGCTGAACACGATGCTGCCAAAGCCGCTGATGGATGGTACGATGCTGGATTCAAAGGCACTGGCTCTATTCAATACCACAAGGAGCTTGAGCGTAACCGCAAGCGCCTCTACCTGCACACCGGCCTTGAGTTCGAGGAGATCCCTCAACTCCAGCACTCGATCCCTCATCCCACGGACCCGGATATTGTTCTTGGTGACTTCGCTCCGTACACTATCCCTTCTCACCTGCAAGATGAGATCGTTGAGCTTTCTCCGGATGAGCTCGCTGACCCTCATCGCTCGGGTTGGCGTGCTTCGCTCCAGGCGGACATTGACGCTGGCCACATCATTGAGTACGAAAACATTTCAGATGTTCCTCAGATGCCTATTCCTCCTCGCCTGAAGTGGCATGTCACCGAGACAGATGAAATTCCCACTATCCTCAAGAAGAAGCGCAAGACGGACAAGACTGACAACGCTGGCCAGACTGGCCAGGCTGGCCGCAGAGTCTCCTGGGCTCCTATGCAGTAGAGACGCCATTGTTACACTACACGGTACTACACAGACTGACCGCAGACTCTGCAGCTTCTCTCGCGAGCCCCTCGAAGTCCCCTTACCCCCTCAAAATTCCTTTGCCCCCTTATGGTTCCCTGTTCTTCAATCACAGTATCACACAGTCATTACCGCTGAACACTTTTCATTCTGCTGCTCATCACGATCAAACATTAGCCTAGCCCATAGATCGAATCTGAATACACGAGCTCCACATCATTACCTGTTTTTTTGTGACCTTGTTGTAATTGTACAATGCATCTTCCTGCCAATGACTACACTGTGTTTCCCTTTTCACTTTCTTTCCTATGCAAAAGCATATTGCGTGTGCTATAAGAATTCAAAGTATCTTTAGGAGGCAGGATAATCTCCACTGGGAGTCGAGATCTTCACCCCCTTCTGCGGTATGCCTCTGCTTCTGACAACAACTATGTCTTTCTACAATGTTCTGATGCGCCTGGCTATAGTCGAAGTAATGGAGTCATACGTTTCTGCACACGAAGAGCACAAGAACCTTGTAAGCAAGTATTGACAATAATTATTAGTGGTCGATCAGATGAGTAACCACACAGTGACTGTGAAATGGAGCTTCGAATATTCCTCTTTCAAAACTGCGGCCTTTGGTCTGAGGTCTCATCATTAGAACCCAGATATGCAGGTGCATCATTGATTCGCTAGAGATACCCAGCACAGTGCTAAACGCCGCACAACACTTGGGCGATAAACGCACGACTCCGGGACCAGCGGTGTCAATCTTGCGGTAGTCTCGCCAGAGCTTTCGATTCGATTCGCAGGACCAACAAAGAAAATGTGCTGTTGCCTAAACTTCAGGAGAAGTATGATGTTGGAAAGCGCGCGAACTGATTGTCCGGACCGAACGGGCGGGATGTCCGTGCATTGACAGTCGCGTCTCACGCGCTCTTCCACCCTGTTTCTTTCTTGTTCGGTTTATGCCTTGAAAGATCATATCAAACAGAGACTAGAAGCAAAGCCAGGCACTTGCAAGAATCATCTGTGCCCAGGAATACACAAAGGCCAGTAGTACACTCCGAAGTTGAGTCTTGCTTGTTGGCCAGGTTGCATAAGAGATGTCAGTCACGTACTGATGCCGCGCAAACGAGACACACTCCGGACTCCTGCATTGTAGAAGATCATGGCAGGTATCGAAAGACCCAGCTCGTAGCTTCGGGAGCAAACAGCATTACTTTGGTTCTCTTTGCTCGATCTTTCGCTTCTTCTTCTTCTTCTTCCTCTTCCTCCAATCCAAATCTCTTCCATTCTCTCCAAACACTCAACTCATCGCTTTTCAATCTTCTTTCGACAAGCAAAACATCACTCTACTCAATCAACATGTCTTCTGAATCTTATGGCTCTCCTCCCCGTCGCCCTAGTGCCAAGGCTTTGGGCAAGCGTCGCGCTGATGTACAGGATGATGTTGAAGAGCAGGCTGCTGAGGAGCAGGCTGCTGAGGAGCAGAACACTGAGGAGCAGAACACTGAGGAGCAGAACACTGAGGAGCAGAACACTGAGGAGCAGAACACTGAGGAGCAGCATGGTGAGCAGGGTGAGGAGGAGAACATTGATGAGTCGCAGCTTGAGCTTGAAGGTCTCCCGGCTCGCGCCCCTGCCCCTGGCCTGGCCACGACTGCGAAGTTCCAGGCTCCCGCTCATCCTGAGCACCTTTCGCCTTTCGAGAAGGTCATGTTGAATAATCAACGCCTCATCCTCGAAGTGATCTCTGGCATCAGCGCCAAGGTTGATTATCTGATGACCACGTCCACCGGGTAAGTTTTCTGTTCTGTTCTGTCCTCCATCTCCTCTACAGCCTTCTCTTCCCATTTGTTGCAACCCGCTTCGTTCTTTGTCATGCCCTCCCTTCTTTGCGCCCTGCCGACCCTTCCCCAATTTCTCGCTATGCCCTGCTTCTGCCTTTGGCTGTGCCCTTCTTTCTTCTTTCAGTCTTCCTTCTCTTCATCTTCCATTGTGTGATCGAACAATAGACTGACCATCGTGGTGTTCGACAGTACTAGGGGACGTACTCCCAGAAGCTCACTCGGCAGCGCCAGAGGCCGCCCCTCGTCAACCTCTGCCGCCAGGGCTACTGCCACCAACGCCGCCATCGTGGCTGAACTCGACAACATCGTCGAGAACCAGTACGCCGAGGTTCTCCGCCCCGTCCTTGCCGCCCACACCAATGCCAAGGGCAAGAACTTTGTGATGGGTTCCGGTGTCAACCAGATCAATGCTTCGAATGCCTACTTCAACCGTCTCCGCGACACTCTTGGCGAGGCCTCGGAGGAATGGACTTCATTCGGGTCTATGTCTGAGGATACTCGTATGACCCTGTTCTTCAAGGTGTGCAAGAAGTGGAGGGAGGCCAACAAGGCTGCTAGCGCTGCCGGCGCCGCTAGCGCTTCTGGTACTGCTGGAGGTGCTGAGGGTGAGGAGGGCGGTGAAGGTAACGAAGGGGCTACTGAATCAGCCCGCGTTCCCTCCTCGGACAATGCGACTGCCGCCAGCAGCCGTCCTCGTAGACATACGACCAGTAAGTTCATCCTTGGAGTGGTCCACATCCGATATCATTGCTGACTTGACACAGTTGTCCCCCCTACTGGTCAGCAGGATGACGACGATCAGTCTAGTCCTACTGCCGCCGCTCCCACCCGCACTACTACTGGACGTGGTGGACGTGGACGTGGCCGTGGCCGTGGCCGTGGTGGCGCTGGTGGTGGTGCCAGCTCCGCTGCCACCCGCTACATGTTTTTGGACGGTGCCTTCGACGATGACTTCACATTCGAGGCCAGGCAGGAGTTTGACGAGGATTATGGCTTCGATGTCAAGCATGAGCATGATGACGACGAGGGTAAGTACGACTTGACCGATGCTGAGGTCGACTTCAAGGAGGAGTTTGACGAGGTCAAGCACAACCTGGCTTTCAAGTAGGGCCTGACCTTCGCTGAGCTCCTTTACCTCTGTTCTGTCGTCTGTCGACTCGGTTCTTGATGAGCTCCCCTGCGCTATCTCTGCCATTCACTGACCTGGTCTTTGCATCGGCACACTTGATCTTCTTTTCCTTTCTTTTTTTCTTCGTCTCTGCATAACACTGTCTCTACCGAAGCAAGAAACAAGACTTTGTATCCCTCTTCGACTTGCCATGAAGGCAGTCAAGAGATTCTTAACCTTACGTATGATGGGACCCCATGGGCATTTCCTTGGTGCGACTTCTTACAAGAACACCACAACAGAAATCACAAACATTATTTACTCCCAAGCCATCGCAGTGCACAGTGAAGTTGGATTGTTGAAGTCTCTGGTCTCCATAAGTCATAGAGACATCTTGACAGACTTCATAAAGACATTTCGGTCTGCTCAAGCCCACCAAAAGCCTGTTCAATGTACTCATCATCAAGGTCGTTCCTGGTGAAGCAACAGAGGCATCCTCGGCGGTCGCTCATCTTGGATCTACCTTAGTGATACCTCCGGTTTGCTTCTATCTCTATCGAAGCTGGCGGGAGAAGCAACCGCTGGCCGTTGGATGCGGACCCCTTGTAGGTCTTGGGGCCAAATCCTTTATCCAAGACTGTGGGCTTTGGGCCAGATCTGTCTTTGTCGGCGTGATGGGAGTGCTTCCAATAACGGATAGTTATTGTGGCAGTCAAACGACTTCTGCAGCCAAGAAGCGCTGAAGTTTGATATCACGCCGAACAAGATGAGGTCGGTGACGGAGAGTCGCGCAGAACATGTCAACTTGGGTGGGGGAAGGTCTTGTCTACTTGCAGTCAGTCATGGTGACGATACGCCTTACAAACTAACTACGGGTACGGGCGCATAAGTTTCTCTTTTGCATGTCGCCTGCACTCACATGTGGACACAAAAAAGTAACGGACGCGCCGATGCAAAACAAATCGACGCCTAAGAGATTCGAACTCTTGCTCCCGAAGGAAATGCCTTAGCAGGGCATCGCGTTAACCACTCCGCCAAAGCGCCTTAGAAGATCCCGAGATTGGTCAGAACTCGAAGCAGGATAAACAAGTCCCGTCCACTTGACAATATAATCCCTATGATCAACAGCAGAACCAGAGCCATGCTGGAGCTGGTTGATCTATGAGTGGAAAAGGAGTTTGTCTTTCACGCGCAGATCATTAGCCAGGCAAGATTGTTGCTGTGAATGGGTTCTCGGCCATGGAGCGAAGGCTTCGATTTCTTAGTCCAGCCCAAACTTGTGGCCGACAAAGGGACGGCACATCCTGACAAGGGTGAGAACTTCAGTCGGCGACCTCGACGCATATGTTCTAGCCAAACAGGGAAGGCTTCGCGCTCACTATCCACTGCTGCGCGGGTCGCATACCCATATGCTCATTATCATGAGGCGATCAAGATCCGCAATCTCAAGCCACAATCCTTCTCTTGAAGCAAAACAGCTTAGTGAAGAGCCGGGATGACATCTATCCTCGACGTGCATCGAGGTTGTGCCGTGAAGCTCAAATGGAAGGCTGGTAACACAGGGACTTGACAGCCTACGAGGTGCAGAAGAAATAAATCCAGCTTGCCGTTCGCTGGCCTATATCCAGTTCCGTGCCAGCCGTCTGCTTGAAACCACGAGATAATCTACCATGCAGCTCGCTTTTCCAGATCGATGTCCTGGCTAGCATGCCATGTGTAGCTCATCTTCGCATAATTCGCTCACTTAGCCGTCTGTAACTTATGGCATGACGCGTACACAGTATGTTACAGCTTCCTATAAGCAGTCTTCTCTGTCCTCCATCTGACATCCTCATTCTCCCTTCAAAGCGGAAAAGTCTGGTCGTTCTTGCTGCATCACTATGCTCCAAGCACTCTACCTGTTGTCCTTTGCGGTCTTGTCAAGCGCCCTTGGGTATCTGGATTATGGAAAGCTATTCAGTACGAGCTTTGGATATCCTGGTGTCAATGCCAGCTATGATTATGTCATAGTAGGGGGTGGTACAGCGGGTCTGACATTGGCGACAACGCTGGCTCTGAATGGCACTTATTCAGTCGCTGTCGTGGAAGCTGGTAGCTTCTACGAACTCGACAATGGCAACTACAGTCAGTATCCGTCAGGTGTCATTCGCTCTACAGACCCAGGCCCCAATCTCAACGCCGTGAATGGCCTCATCGATTGGAGGTTCTTGACAACGCCTCAAGTGGGATTGCTCAACCGTACGGTTCATTATGCACGGGGGAAATGTCTTGGAGGCTCCAGCGCCCGCAATTACCTGCTATATCAAAGAGCAACTGTCGGTTGCTTCGATAAGTGGGCCAAAGAACTAGGGGATCCTTCGTACGAATGGCAAAGTGTATTGCCTTACTACCAGAAATCGGCTCATTACACGCCAGCCAACACCACTACCCGAGCTGCAAACTCTTCGCGTGGCACTGTGGACGAGACAGCAGTGTTTGGGAAAAATGACGGACCTGTTCAAGTCACTCTGCCGAAATATGCTGCTTCATGGTCATCCTACTTCCCTTCTGGATTTTCTGAACTTGGTTTGCCAGGGTTGGAAGGAACCAACAGTGGAGTCCTGAATGGATGGACCTACATGACCATGTCTGAAGATGCAACATATCAGACACGAAGCTCTTCAGAAACCTCCTACCTCAAATTGGCGTTGGAGCAAACTTCCCTTACTGTCTACAGTCATGCTTTGGTGAACCGGATTATGTTTGATGATACCAAGACCGCAAGAGGCGTGTCGGTTGACATCGCAGGCATGAAGTTCATGCTGAACGCAACCAAGGAGGTCATCGTATCGGCCGGTGCCTTTCAATCGCCACAGCTTCTGATGGTTTCTGTTATTGGACCGGCATCAACTCTAAGAGATCATAATATCCCTGTCATTTCGAATCTGTCTGGTGTTGGACAAAACATGTGGGATAACCCACGTCTCACTCTTTCTTTGGAAGTCAACCTGGAGACCGGCACGACATTGACTAATCAGCCCAAACGAGCTCGTGAAGAAACTGAAAAATACATCGTCAATCGCACAGGGATGCTAACCTCAACTGGTGCCGATTTTGCTGGATTCGTAAAGCTGTCCAACGATTCTTACTCGAATCTTTCTACAGAGACAAAGTCTTCTCTGGCAGAGACGTTCCCATCAGATTGGCCAGAGGCAGAGTTCTTTGCGTCCTCGAATGGTGTTGCGGGCTTGGCTCACGATGGCGCAGGCATCTTCATTGGACTTCTCGCCACATTCAGTCGTGGCAGCGTGGCTATCAGATCGTCAGACATGGCCGACGCACCTGTGATCAATCCTGCATGGCTGACTGACAAACGCGATCAAGACCTCGCAGTTGCTGCATTCAAATACGCTCGTCGTCTTGCCAACACCACATCCTTGCGTAGGGTCATTGTTGGCGAAGAAGTTGCGCCAGGGCCTGCCGTCCAATCTGATGCACAGATCCTTGAGTACATGAAGAACACCACGGTCACTTATTACCATGCATCCTCAACTTGCAAGATGGGAATGCAGAATGACAGTACAGCCGTGGTAGACAAAGACGGAAAGGTCTTCGGCGTCAAGAATCTGAGAGTTGTGGATGTTAGTGCCTTGCCCCTGCTGCCACCTGGACAGCCGCAGGGTACTGTATACATGTTGGCGGAAAAGATTACTGATAGAATACTAGAGGAGGCTTGAGTGTCGTTTTTAGATGTAACGTAAAGTCTAGAAAGTCAACCAATAAGAATAGGGTATATACAACTAAATACACAGCCGAAATGCTAAACACAACATCAAACATTCACCTCGCTACTCGCACTCGTACTCGACGGACTTGTTTTCCGTACACCCTCCGCTGTCTCCGCCTTCTCGGCCGTTTGTTTTCTCCTCAGCTTGAAGATAGAACCTCCACACCAAATCACTGTCGGCACCACACAAACAAACGAGACACAGCCAAGCACCAACGTCGTGGTACCCCAGCCAGCTCTCTGCTTGACTAAGCCTGCAAGCAAAGGTCCAGCCAAAGTTCCAGCTGCATATGCCATGTTAAACAACCCATACGCTTGAGCAAACGCACCATTCTTGCCAAAGAAGCCTGCTGGTCTTTTTGCACCTTGAGCATCGACAGCATATGATACTTCTGCCATCAGTGGTGTGAGCGATAGAGTGATTCCAAGACCAATCAAGGCTAGGAGTGCGCAAAGTAACACCTTTTGGCGGATGTCGTTGTGATCGACAAGGCGCATAAGAATGAAACAAGGACCAACGATGATGAAGCCACTTGCCGCTAGCCATCTGACGCCGTGCTTGTCTGCATATCCACCGACAAGAGGTCCAGTAAAAGAGGGGATTGTGACGGCCAGAAAGATCAGTCCAGCACCGATGGAGTTCCAGCCCCAGATTTCGTTGACATATAATGGCAAGATTGAGTCGAATGAGGTAAGCAGCGCTGCGCTGATGAAGCAGCCGAATAAAGCGGCGTCGAGTCTGTATGACGACAGTAGTGAGAAGACTCTGGGGAGCCTGCGTCGTTCGTGTGTCACCGCAGGTATCTCAACTTCGGGTGTGTGACATTCCGGGTCAGCTTTGTGATCGTCGGTGCTGCCTTTGTGTTCGGTATCTGCGGTTACTTCAAGTGCTTTAGGCCCCCACTTTGAAGCTACTGATTTCTCAATCATCAGAAGTCTGAGGATTGCATCGATGCCTAGAAGCGCAAATGCCATTGCAAAGACGGCATAGTATCCAGCACTGCGAGAAATTGTAAGTAAAAGTGTGGTTTCTTCCAACACTCAATACAACGAACCGTTCAAAAACGATGCCACCGAGCAGCGGACCGAGCAAGTATGCCAAAGACATGGCAATTCCAACATAGCCCATCGCCTGTCCGATTGACTCGGAGCCAACAGTATCTTGCAATAATGCCAGACCGACAACCCAAACCACGGCTGCTGAAAGTCCCTGAAGGATACGACCAACAACGATAAGAGCAAGACTGTTACCAACGACCAAGAATATCGTTGACCCAGCTAGTGCCAGCAATCCAACCATAAAGCTCCATCGCCGCGACTCGAACCGATCAGCTACCCATCCACAAATGGGTGCTCCGATCAGTAAGGCGCCGCCGTATACAGCCAAGAGTACTGATATCATGGATTGGACATTATCCTCCGCTATACCAGCACGGCCGCTCAAGGCAAAAGGTAGGACTGGCACGATGATTCCATAAAGAAACACGTCGGTGAACACCGCAGCAGCAACGGTACTGATAATCAACCAATTCGAACTTCTGATCTCGAGAAAGGTGGGAGGAGTGGTGTCGGTACCCGTCAACCAAGCAAACATGTTTGCCGTCAACGATGATGATGCCGTATAAGTTATTCTCTGGGAAGTCTTCAAACGAGATGGTAAAACATGCTAAGTAAAGACAGAAAGAAGAGACGAGAAGGGGTGTAACTTAACAAAACATTGCTCGCAGGATGAGTCTCCTTCTCTTTTTGCCAACAACGTCCTCTTAGCCTCGATTATGCGCGTGAGTCCTTGAACCGCCTCACCAGGTTGCCCGTATCTCGGCTTCCGCGCACTGCGGAGAATTATTTCGAGGGTGAAGGATAAAAAAAGTAAAAAATATCCGAGGCTTCGAGGCGTCATGATCCGCGTGCACCTTCTGCATGCAGTATCGAGTCTACGCTTGGCACTATCTCTACCATCTTTGGAAACCAACCTCAGCCTTCGAAAAAGACCATCAAGTATTGTTAGGACTGGCGCCTGAACAATATGTAGATACTGTTGCCCAAAACGAGAGGATAAGGCTTACAGGCTGTGTAGAATCTATTCTTCTCGTTGTCGTGTTGTTGGTGACATGAAGGTTGTCAAAAGATGCGGTGAGATATCTCGGGAAGCCGCAGCTCGTGCAGGTTCATTTGGTATACCGAACCGCGAGATGCTGCATGATTGATGCAGTTGCGCTCATGTAGCGCTGCACGTTCAGGAGGGGCTCAGCAGTTATGCCAGAAGCGGTGGACTCTACCATGGTTCGAAGTGATGCGACAAGTGTCAGGTTTAAGTGGGCTGCTCTAACTTGCGTCCTTACAGGCTGTTATTCGCCGAGATGAGAGGCAGGTCAGGCGTTGCCTTGTAATGTCTAAGGCGGAAAGTGGAAAATGGCTAGTGATCGAGGTAGGAAACAACAGATGTCGCGATCTGATGAGAATCACAGCTGCATCCGACAAATTTAAAGGACGTTGTGACAAGAGACGACAGTTGACGGAAAAGAAGCGGAGGGGTATCATTTAAACAAGAACAATGTATATACACACAGGCATCACGTCTGCCTACTAGCAAGACCGACAACATTCCTCAAGGTGCCGAAGGGCAAGACATCTCCGATACGCTTCTGGCCAGTAAAAAGCATGACCAGACGATCAATTCCCATGCCCCAGCCGCCGGTGGGAGGTAGTCCCCATTCAAGAGCCTCGAGGTAGCTCTCATCCACCTCTGCTCTGCCGTCACCTTCGCCATCCACTTCACGATATTTGAGCTGCTCTACAAATTTCTCGCGTTGCGCAAATGGTGAGTTCTCTTCTTCATACATATTGGCGTACTCGTTGCCTTGAATGAAGAGCTCGGCACGAGCGGAGATAAGTTGGGATGTTTTGGGGCAGACATATGACTTCGAGAGCGGCGACATAACAGCAGGATGCTCGGTGATAAAGGTTGGGTTGGTACACAGAGGCTCGATGTATTGACCAGCCAGAGCATCTAGGAGGCGCGGGAGTGTTGGTTTGGCAGGAATGGGAATGTTCAGCTCAGTGAAAAGGTCCAGAACCTGTTGTGGTGCATCGTCCTTACTGAGGTTCGGTAGCTTCTTGCCCATTTCTTTTTCCACAGTGGCTATGAAGGGCAGACGTGGGAATGGTCCTTGAAACAGATGAGCCTCATTTGTGTCAAAGTTGACAGCAGTGTCAGCAAGATGCTTGAAACTATCTTGGCCCAGCATGCGCAGTTGCTCATGCAGCCCAGACAACAGGTCCTCGGTCATCTTCATTAGATGCTCAAGGTCGGCAAACGGCATATAAGACTCGCAAATGGTAAATTCAGGGTTGTGTGTTGCATCCACGCCTTCGTTACGAAAGGCTGGGCCAATCTCGTAGACCTTGCCCAAGCCACCAACCACCAACCGCTTGAGCCACAATTCCGGGGCTATGCGAAGGTTGAGGGTGGTGTCTTGCATCTCTGTAGCGATAGTCTCGAAGGGTCGGGCTACTGCGCCACCGGCACCGGCAGTCAGCAAGGGCGTGCTGACCTTGGAGTAACCCTGGTTATCGAAAAAGGTGGAAATGCCACGCTCGATGACCGACCTGACCCTGAGTGTTTGTACAGCTTGACGGTGAACCAACATATCGACATGGGGTTTACGAGCGCGTGTTTCAGCATCATCAAGTTGAGCAGGAATTTGATGAAGTGACGGGGACATGAGCTGGGGGAGCTCGGTCGCAAGAATACTCTCCTCTCCACCTTGAGCCTTGTGTGGATGACCAACAAAGGTATACCAATCACCTCGACGAATGACACGCTTGAAAGCATTGAAGTGCTCACGAGGGACGCCGTTCTCGTCGAGGCGGGAGAAATTACAGATAGCTTGGGCGGCACGATCATCTTGTTCGATGTCGATGAAGATCAACTTAGAGCCGGCAGTGCGCACAGAGCGGACTCTGCCGGAAACGACAAACTTATCGTCAAGCTTGGTAGCGCCATTATCTAAAGTTGCACTGCTCTTTCTCAGATCGTATACGGAGATTCTAGGGACATCATGGCGCTGTGGCAGGCGCGGCCAGCAGTCTTGCAGCGACGTGTTGGCTTGCAGCTGAGCGATGCGCTTCTCATAATCACCAGTCGGCGAATCCTTGACGGGTTTTTTCGCGGCTAGCCTGGTATACGCAGAGAAGCAGCGAGCATGCGAGGGGATCGATGTTGATCGAATGTCTTTGAAAAGGACGGGCCGCAAGAAGCGGGAAACTTCAGCAGGCCTTGGCATCTATGGTAAGACTATTAGCCCCAGCACGGACAAGGTGAATTGGCTTGCAGTAGTGTGTAAAAACTATAGATCAGGATAATCGGTATGGTTGTGAAATCAACCCCCCGAAGGAGTCATTCGCAACGGTTCTTAATCAATTTTGCTCATCACGGAATGTGAACTGGGAAGGTGCAGAGGAAGATGGAAGGACTTACCATGTGTCACAGCATGTTGTGTGGTGAAGAAGAAAGAAAGAAAGAGGAAAGAAGGAGCAGTCAGAAGTTCCTGCCTCGCAAGAAATCAGAGCTTCCGCCATGTGCCTTCATGTGGCCCAAGCTCAGATGCAACTTTCTACTGACGATGATGCGCAACTCGCAATCCGAACTGTCAATTCGCACACTTTTTGTCTTTTCACAAACAACAACTCTCTCCAACTCATATCACAATGTCTTTCCTCTTCGGTGGTGGTCGCCCCCAGCCCTCTTCAGCAGAGAAGATTGCTGCTGCTGAGGCCGAAATTGACATGGTCTCGGACATGTACAACCGGTACACACCACACAGCATCTGCTCACATCATGGTCGCGTGCTAACACATTTCACAGTCTCGTCGAGACCTGTACCAAGAAGTGCATCCCCAACAGCTACCGCGAGGGTGACCTTAACAAGGGCGAGTCTGTCTGCCTCGATCGTTGCGTCGGCAAGTTCTTCGAGGTCAACATCAAGGTCTCCGAGAAGATGCAGGGAGAGGCTGCTGGCAAGCAGGGTGGTGTTGGCGGTTTCGGCATGTAAAGCGCGCCACTTCGACAACCATCGTTACCAAAATCATCTTCACAACCTTTCGAAAACATCGAGGCGAATCATCTACCCGCCACCCTCTTCGATACGACCATACGCGCGCACGTTGAAGCAAGAGATGGAACAAAAGGAGGAAGCTTTGGAACTCTTCTCCGTTCATGCGCTCATGAGCAGCGCCGCTGTACCATATCTCTGATACCCAAAATCACCTCTCCAAAAGAATTTTGTATGAACGACACGAATGTACAACAGTCGATTATGAACCTCTAGAAATACTCTTTCCAGAACCGGAATTTGACATCGTGACTAGACTCGTCATGGCACGCCTTTCTGATTCCTCTTGCTGCCATGTTTGGCCCGCAGAAATACACTCCCACTTCGGCCCTCCTAGACTCTAACCCGCTGATATACGTCCCGTTCTCGATCGAGTCCCTCATAGCGCCTAGCAACCTCTGGAAATCAGGTCTACCGAAATTTGTCCTGGAATTGAGTTCTGTGAGCGGATCTTTGGTAGTGCCAACGCTGTTCAACACGATGTTGTTGGCTTGATCAACATCCATCTTCTGTGTCAGGTAAGTGTGAATCTTCAAAAACTCGTCTGTCTCCTCATTAGGTTTGTTCTCGTTCGGTGGTGAAGACATAGACAGCGATTGCATCTCCAGAGATGACAACAAGGCCTGGAACCATTCGAACGATGTGGTTGTTTTGCATACCCAGATGAACTCGACTCTTTTCAGTCGTTTGGGTGGGTTCGGTGATAGTCGCATGTGCCAGATATTCTTGAGAATGGAAGCCCACGGCGTGACGCCAATACCCGTACCAACTAAAATGGCAATCTCATGGTCAAATACGTCTTCGGCAGGCGCTCCATAAGGTCCATCAATGCGAAGTCTAGGCATTTGCTGGCCATGCTGTAGGGCAACTTCGTACATTCCCATAGGATCCAATTCTCCATACAAGGCAGCTTGCTCCGGTCCAGCGCCTAGTGCATTAGAGAGCGATCTGGTAAAGTCTCCCACTTGACGAACATGTACGCTGACATAAGGATCGAAAGGACAAGATGTGATGGTGAAGGGGTGCCATTCGTGTTTTGACACTTCCGGACAATTCAAAAACAGCCACTGTCCGGCTTTGTACTGCATGCTGGGCTTGCGAAACTGTATCTCCACTGCATCTATCGCAAAGTCAGTACAGCGACAACAAATGCTGCCTGTCTCCTAATTTGCTCACCGTACGGATGTTTGACGACTTTGATGATCTCTGTCGGCCTACGAGCACGGATCTCTCGATATATTCTTTCTAAAAAGTATAGCCCACCACCCACTAACTCCCATCGCCAGCCCTCGTATCCAAGACAGTGGTTCCAGAAGTATTTGCCAGCAAAAGGCGACACCGGCTCAACAGTATCTCGAACAAAGCATCCAGTAGCATGGCTATACAAGGCCAGTAGAAAAGGCACAAACAGATGATGTGTGTACCAGAATGTTTCGTATGACTGTTGGCGAATCTTCTGATGTGCTGTGGTGTACATGAGAAGCATACACAAGAGCATGATATGGCCTGTCACACCGCCAGCTTGAGTATAGTGGATCTGAACAGCAGCTTGTCTTCGAAGTTGCGATCGCTCAATGTTGAAGAAATTAACGTAGTGGCCTGCAGTATGTACTATCGTCCAGAATAGTAGTGAGTATGCAACCTGTCTGTGGAACCACCGCGACTCATCCAAGGCGAGCCATTTGATCTTTGGTCGACAAAAGCGTAGGATGTTTCTGCACATAGGCAGCATAATCAACGTAGTGTCGATGCTGAGGACTAATGCTGCACCTCTCGATATCCATACTGAGAATGTTAGTAGGTTGAGAGGCTCTAGTGCCTTGGTGGTCTGTTGTTTCCACCTGATGGTCATTAGTTTGCGTATCGTTAGCAGAGTAATTGTGACATACCATCCTATGATGAACAGTGCGAGGTGAAATCCGTGGAACAGAAAATAAAAGCTTAGTTTCCTAGGCGTAAACAATGATCTCCATGTCTTCTCTTCAGCATATTCAGGCATGTTTGAAAGTTTCCGCTGTCCGATTTATGAGAATGGGTAAATCACTCGGCTTGCCAGCAGCAGATCAGAACAACGACATCAGCACACCAACATGTTCCGCCGTGTACAGAGTTGAGAATTGCAAGAGGCATTTCGCGATGCAATCATCCAATGGCTAGACAAGATAAAATATGACAAGAATGCAAACCTCGCTTGGACCGCTCGAATCACCTGGTCACGCAGAGCCTATTGCATAGCCGCCCGGCACCCACCTTGATGACCAGGACCTGCATAGTATCTGCAAGGTTTACGCTGAATCACAAAACCTGGTGGTTGGCCCTGAAAAATGCATGTGTCGAGGTGGTGAATGGTTGTAGGACGAGAGTCTCGGCGCGTGCTCAAAAAGGTGATGGAGACGCGTTGATTGGATGCGTAACCGCTGGCACTTCTGCATGCTACTCTGCTCGTTCGTGTACATGCCTTGACGGATGTGCATCTTAATGTTGATTGTTCGCTTCGAGAGCATTCTTGCAGATTATCTTGATGGACGAGAATCTCGATGGTAAAGTTGTCCGAGTCGCATCGATGGTATGCCACGGTGTACGAACTTCAGAGACCCGACCGTAGCGGCGAGGGATCATCAGGCAGGTCAATCCAATGCAGCCGAGGTCATGCAAAGATTCGCAGGTGTCGTCGATCTCTCGCCGAAAATATGTTTGCTAAAGGTGGAGGTTGATTCGAGGGCAGCTCTGGCGCTTCAAATCCACGAGAAGCCTCACAACGGCCTCCAACCACCCATCTCACGCAACCATAAAGCCGAGCATGTCCTTTCGGCTATTCTAGATCCTGAAGAGCCCTATCTGCTCCTTCGCATTCGTCTTTTATGATTTTGAGCAGAAGCGAGAAAGACATGCATCCCGCTTTTTGTTAAGCCACACCCGCCCAATATCACCTGCATCTCTTCACTCCCTTGTCTCGTCATCACCAATATTCGCCTCTCCATATTCCCATCCCACCATCAGCTTCTACCCTCCCAGTAGACAGGTCGCTTGATACTAAACAACTGGCTTCCCGTCACTTCCTGATCGCACTGAGTCTGAATCATGTCGGCTTCGACCCCTGTGTCACCACTCCACCGGTAGCAGAAGGTCCTGACATCAACATACCAGAGTTTCACCCTCTGTTGCTGGCCAACAACCCACAGCATGGGAAAGCTCATCAAGAACCACTTGGCCCGTCTCATCATCATGACAGCAGCAATATGTAAGGTTACATACCTCTTGCTTTACCACGACCATCTCACTGACTCTTGCCTCCAACCATAGATCATATCGCCGCCAGTCTTCATGGGTTCTTCTGGCCCAAATTCTTCTTCGACTTTTTGACAAAGAACTTCGACCCTGCCGTCAAAGCTGTACCGATACTACAAACCATCAATCTCATCTTCGCCCTCATCAACCTGGCTTGGGAATGGCCGCTTGAGTTCTTCGCTGGAACTGCAATACACCGCTCGTTGGAGCTCAGAATACTGTTATTACCGCTGTCAAGCTTGGCAGCTATGTTGTTGTACCAAGGGACCAATCCGGCACTGTACTATCTCATCGGCTGCGGAGTCTACTTCTGGGCGTATACTGAAGGCGAGGTAAATATTGATCTCGTAGTGTTGTCTTGCGAGTGTTACTGACCAACACAATAGGTGATTTGTGCAAAGCCTTGGACGTTACCGCGAAGACCAAGTTATCCGAAGCGAATAGAACAAACATGACTTAGTCTCCGATATGCAATTTTGTTTCAACAGATCACGTCGTCTGCGGTGGAGTAAGACAGCTCACTGCAGAATAAAACGTGATAGCCGTCCCGGTCCAGTTGACTAGATGTGTCTAAGGCTCAGAGCTAGAGGTGCACATCAGAAGCCTGTGGTCATAAGAATCTGAGACACCCGCCGATGCTGTACAAATAGCGCCTTCGATGTTGGCGGGCGATGTATTGAATCGTGAGGGGAAGGCAGCTCGGAATTAGATCACCTTCGCAGCGAGCAAATCCTTCTGTTCGACGTTAGCTTGGAGGCATATCTACAATGCCGTGATATGCGAGTCTGGATGTCCCTTTCACCCCGTGTCTCGAGGCTTGCGACACATGCACAGGTGAGATCGCCGTCGACGAAACACGGGAAAGACGGCCTAGATGAATGCAGCGACTCCAAGCAACCCCTGATCTACTGCTCGCCACCAGGGATCTTGAGGGATGGACTGTCGTGGTCAACAGAGATGTTATTGGGCAGGGTTGTTCCAGAGCAATCTTGCTGTATGTAGAACAGGTCGGGGACTGTTTTAAACATAATTCAAACAAAGCTTCGGTTTGCTCGCTTGCGTCCATCCCCTTCCGGACCAGGTAAAATGAGAGCGACGAATGCTTGAGCATTAAAAATCGATCTTCGAAGTCGAGGAGTAAGAGCGTTCCCACGGCCGTGCATCTCATGTGAATGTGATAGTCGTCGCTATAATCATGGCGTACGGTCGGCAGATCTGCTACGAGGCTCAAAGCAGCCTACGTAGCACGAACGACTTAGGGGTCGAAGATGGAAGACAAGGTCGCACGAGCATCACGCACACGCTCACCAAGGCTGCTGACGTGTTGCTAGAGGCGTGGCGTTTTCGCTATGCTTGTGAGCATGATCTAGAAGTAGATTCGCTTGTTGTAAACTGGTGTCGCATCAAGCGGTTCCTTGGTATTAGATGCCTAGATGCAGGTGCAAGGAAGCGCTTCGGGCCTTCCGTGTTTGCCGTCGTCGGCGAGATTCACGCACGGCAAAGTCAGCATAGAGGACCGACTGCAATGCCCGTTTCATCGGACGGCGACAGCCTATCTGTGGCTTCCCAGGTGATGAGAGCACAAGCACACGTGCGTCCAGTCGAGAAACAACGGGCGCGTGGCCGAATCACTTGCCGTTTCAGCATTTCAGCAAATTGCCAATGCGGGAGGCCAGCCAACAGCACTTCGTCATTGCTCTACGAGGAAAAAGACGTTTACGCACTACCCTTCGCCCAACACTCGACTGCTATAGACTGCTGTTTCTTGGACGACGCCCCTTGCCGTTGGAGTCATCAAGAGGCAAAGACCCTTGATCATACCTCTGTGGGTTGCCAATCGCTGGCGCGTTCTCGCGCGTTGAGCCCCGCCAGCCATCGTGCTACTACAGCTACAGCATTCCGGGCAAGAGCATAGCGAGCTAGTACCACAAAACGTGGTGAATGCTGTGAATCGAGCCGATAATACGTAGCCATTCAAGAATTTAAAGTAATCAAGATCCGGATATGGTTGTCGCGGGATTGGTAACGGTGCAGCAAGAGCAGTTCTATAAAATAGAAAGGGCGCGCATATTCCTCCACTCAGCAAAGGAGCAGAGCTTCAATCAATCCCAAGCTGAAACACGCGAGGGAAAGGGTTCTTACACACTCCAAGACCCAATACTGCTGCAAGGTGAGTCCCTTCCATTTCCGCCCTCCTTCCACCATGTTCAAAAAGGGCTGGGTACCTTCCCTCTGCCTCTTTGCCCGTCACGCGCCTTCCCTATACTTCACCTCGCCTCTGTCACTCTCTTTGTTTCTTGTTTCTTTCGGCCGAATCCTTGTGCACTTGATCAATACAAGTTTCTTGCTCGACAACAATACATCTTTGTCATTGTCGCTGTCAGGTGCTATTGATCCAAGACTTTGAAAGTCAGAAGACTCGAATCTTCGACATTGTTTGCGCTTCAAAAACCTTCCATTCGCTCTGTTGTTTTGAAAAAATCGCCTATCGCTTTCACACTTCCCATATCGACGACAACCATCCAAATCTTTCCCAGTGCAGGCACTGATACAACAACCTAGTCTTTTACACCCTTCAAGCTCTCCTCCTTTCTCAAACTTCGAACAACCCATCATCTTTCAAATCACCATAATGCGCGCAATCAGCCCGGTCTCGCTGATCAGCGCCGTAACCACCTTGGTTACCTTACTCCTGGTGCTATCGCCATCACAGACGTTGGCCTCTCCCGTCTCATCGGTCAAGAGGGCCTCGTCTTCATCCTACTGGCTGGCGAACATCCAGCGTCAAGGTTCTGTGGCATTCGGTAGCGACTCATCCTACGCCGTCTACCGCAATGTAATGGACTATGGCGCCAAAGGTGATGGCTCTACAGACGATACAGCAGCAATCAACGCAGCAATTTCTGCCGGCAGTCGTTGCGGTTGGGGCTGTGATAGCAGCACAGTCACCCCTGCTCTCGTCTACTTCCCTCCTGGTACTTACATGGTTTCTCAGCCTATTGTCATGTTGTACTACACTCAGCTCGTTGGAGACGCGCTCAACCTGCCCACTCTGAAGGCTACTGCTGGTTTCCAAGGCATGGCTGTTCTGGACTCTGATCCTTACGACAGCAGCGGTGCAAACATGTTCACAAACCAGAACAACTTCTTCCGTCAAGTCCGCAACTTCAAGATCGACTTGACTGGCATGCCTCAGACAGCTGGTGCAGGTATTCATTGGCAAGTCGCTCAAGCAACCTCGCTCCAGAACATTGTCTTCAACATGATTCCTGGCTCTGCTTCCAAGCAAGTCGGTATCTTCATGGACAATGGTTCTGGTGGTTTCATGAGCGATCTCGTCTTCAACGGCGGCAACTACGGAGCTTTCTTGGGCAACCAGCAGTTCACCTCGCGTAACTGGACCTTCAACAACTGTAACACTGCCATCTTCATGAACTGGAACTGGGCATGGACCTTGAAGTCGGTCTCGATCAACAACTGTGGTGTCGGTCTTGATATCTCCAACGGTGGCTCTACCAACATCCTGATTGGCTCTGTCATCCTCATGGACTCCAAGTTGACTAACACTCCGATCGGTGTCAAGACTTCGTTCACGTCCAACAGCGCCCCTGCCACTGCCGGTACTCTCATCATCGACAATGTTGACTTCTCTGGCTCGCCTATTGCTGTTGCTGCTGCTGATGGTAGCTCAATCCTCGCCGGTAGCAAGGTTGTTGCATCATGGGGTGAGGGACGCCAATACTCCGGTTCTTCTGGTTCACGTGTTCAAGGATCTCTTGCTGCTCCTTCCAAGCCTGCTGCCCTGCTCGACAGTACTGGCAAGTTCTTTGAGCGATCCAAGCCACAGTACGAGAACATGCCCACCAGTGCATTCATCAGCGTCAAGAGCTTCGGTGCCAAGGGTGATGGTGTTACTGATGACACTGCTGCCATTCAAAAGGCCATGAACGGTGTCAATTCGAACCAGATTTTGTACTTTGACCATGGTGCCTATGTTGTCAGCAGAACCATCAGCGTTCCCAACACCATCAAGATGACTGGTGAGATCTGGCCTCTGGTCATGGCTACTGGCAGCTTCTTCAGCAACCCTGGTAACCCTCAACCTGTCTTTGACATCGGAACGGCTGGCCAGTCCGGGGCGGTCGAGATTACCGATCTTATCTTCGAGACCAAGGGCCCTGCTCCTGGTGCAATCATGCTGAAATGGAACATGGCTTCGGCACAAGGTGCGTCGGGTATCTGGGATACTCACGTGCGCATTGGTGGAAGTGCAGGCACAGGGTTGCAGAGCGACAAGTGTTCCAAGAATCCATCTTCTACTGCTGTCAACACTGGTTGTGAGGGGGCGTACATGCTCTTCTGGGCCGGTACCAAGTCTGCAGGTGTTTATCTCGAGAACACCTGGTTCTGGGTTGCTGACCACGAGCTTGACCTCGCCGACCACAACCAAATCAACATTTACAACGGCCGTGGTGTCTATATCGAGTCTCAAGGTCCTGTCTGGCTCTATGGTACCTCTTCGGAACACAGCATCTTCTACAACTATGAGGTTCGCAACGCGAAGAACGTCTTCATGGGCATGATCCAATCCGAGACGCCATACTTCCAGTCCAATCCCAAGGCGCCCACTCCCTATGTTCCAGAGCGTCCCTCAGACCCTACCTGGTCGATCTGCTCTCAGCAGAACCCATCGGCACCTTGCTACAAGTCCTGGGGTCTTCGCGTCATCGACAGCACCAATGTCTTCATCCACGGTCTTGGTCTGTACTCGTTCTTTGAGAACTACGACCAAGATTGCGTCACCACAAACAACTGCCAGCAGAACATGATCGGCCTCCAGGGTAGCAACAACAACCTCAACATGTATGCCGTTACCACAAAGGCTTCTGTCAACATGATCACTTTGGACAACGGTGTGTCTGCTGCTCTTGACGCAGACAATAGAAATGTCTTTGGTGCCACCGTTGCCTACTACCGCAAGGGCGGTTCTTCAGCACGCGACTGCGATGACGAGGATGAAGAAGAATAATAGGCGATTTCACGAAAGCTTGGGCGCGCTTCCTTCTTGCACAAACAACACTCTGCTTGCTATTTTCACAACTCCGGTAGATGTGGGAAACAGCAAGCCACGAATAATCGACAAAAAAAACCATCCGGAATGATTTTTTACTAACGACACAGCATCTAAAATACCCCGCGGGCCTCGGAAATGGAACAGAGGCAGCATCGGCGTTCTTTGTTTTTTTCTTCTTTTCCACTACATACAGGGAAAGTGATGACTCTTTGCATCTTTGGGAGGAGTTTTCTTTGATAGACCTTGAGGGTCAACACATCAGCATATGGCAGGGCATTTTGGACAGAACGGGTCCAGGTGGAGGAGAATTAAACAAACAGAAAAACTTTTGAAGGGCAGGCCACCCCTTTTTTGGTAGTTAGATGTAGTAGCATAGCAAAGGACAATCAACAGCACACATACCAACCAAATCTGCCACGCTCGAGAAGAAGATTTCGTCATCTCCTTGTGTTCATCGATCAGGAAAGCTCTCTCTTTGGTCTTTCCTTCCTTCTCTCTAGTCGTTCCTTCCTCCTCTATACGTACGTTCCTTCCTTCTCTAGTCGTTTCTTCCTTTTACATCTTTACTTGATATGTCTTTAGAGAACACTTGTTTTTAGCCATGGGACGGTGACACATTTGAATTGTTTGGCTAGGTAGTGCGATATGCTTTGCTGCCATGCTATATACTTGTTTACGGTTGACTGCCTTTGTCTGGACACTGGAGCTAGATTAGACTCTTTGATGAGAGAAGGCAGAAGCTGCTGGTTTGATGAACTGGTTCGTTTCCAGTCGAGAGCACGACATGCTCGCTACTGCTGTCAACTCTAGCGTGCTATCTGTATGGTGCTGACGTGACATCTGGACCAGGCATCATGTTATGTCTGTCTGAGTGTGTGTCGGTCTGAAAAGTATATCCATCGAATGCGGTGCAGAGTTACGATATACAGCGAGGACTTTGACTCATGCATCTGCAATCGAGCAGGTGATCTCAAGTCTGTTGGTAAAGGCCAAACTTGACTACCTCGACTTCAAGCGTCTCCATGTCCAGCAAGACCATCTCTCCGGTATCCTTGAAGCGCGGCACAGAGATGATTCGGCAGCTCTGGCCATCTGGACCTTGGATGACTGTGGACCCGAACCTAGGCTGGTTGCCTACAATGTAGATGTGAGGAGTCTTTTCAATGACAAAGCGATCTTTGTCTTGGAAAGGATAGCACCCTGCAGTTGTTAGCGCTCTATTACACACATTGGTGTGTTTGAAACCTTACATAACGTATCTGGGGCAGTGGGCGCGCATAGCCTCCAGCGTAATGTAGCTTCCATCATTTCCAGTCGGTCGTCGCCTTCGACATATTTGAAAACATCGTCGATGGGCTGACCTCCAGTAGCAAGGACTCTCCAACCATCCACATCACCCTCCCAAGGGTTTGTGACAGTGTCGAACCAAGCCGAGTCTTCAGAGTTGGGAGCGGCCATGTAAGCTCTGCTTCTTGGGAAGAGTGCAGAGTGCATGGGTTGTTGAGGTAGTGATGTGTGGGTAGGATCTTGTTCGCCAGGAATGATGGTGATGGGTATTGAGGGTAGAAGTGATTCCAGCAGAGAGTCCAGGCGGTCAGTCGGAGCAGGGTTGTAGGCGGAGGCGTCGTAACCATACTTCTTGACAGCAGAGGGCTTCTTGGTTGGCAAGTCTTCTGGATTGACAACAGGGCTTGCTGACGACAGAGAGTTGCCAGCAATCAATAGTCGCGATATACTCGATATCTTGTCCTGTTCAGCTGGTGAGGCCGACTCGCCGAGGAGATACTCGACGAGCATATCTAGAGCCATTGTGTCGCCAGAGTCACCACTGACACCCAACGTTGATACAATAGCAACCTTGCCAGCCTTCTCTTTCTTTTCAGCCTTCTTTTTGCTTGCGCCGTCGCCCTGGACCAGCGACCAACGTTCGGGTTGCGGTGCCAGCTCAGGTATTTTCAAATCGATGACCTCGAAGTCACCATTAGCGTTCTCGGTTCCCATGACTGCCACGATGCACCCTGTCACTAGCAGACATGAGCTCAGGAAACTGCCTGTCAAGCGTAGTCGACCAGATTCGTCTTCGAGCATGATTTGGTCGCCTTCTCCAGAGGTAAACTTTAGACGGGGCGGCGGCGCAGCAATCCAGTGCTACGAGACATGTGAGTGAGGAAACGACAGTGGACACTTCTCAAGGCTTACATGTTTGGAGATGTCGTCGAGAATGTTGGGCTTGAGTGGCATCTCCATGTAGACGGTGCCGGCAACCCAAACCAGTTCACCTTGTCGGACATCCAACACACGATCGACTTTGTGCACCTCATCTCCACCGATCTGTTGTAGTATAGTCTTAGTACTCTTTCTGTAGTCATGTGTTGAGGCTGCTGACCTCGAAGCCTTCCCATGCCTCGCTGGCAATGCGCTCTACGGCAGGCTTGAGAACGGCCAATCGGGCAAAGTACATGTCGGCATATTGCTGTTGGTAATGCTTTTGTTCGCCCTTGGCCAGATGGAATGATCGGAGGGGGTTGTAGGATGACGGCGTGCGCTCTAGAGTGTGGTATTTGTCGTTCCTTGCAATCTGGTCAGTTTTTTGCTTGTCCATCTCATTCTGATCCAGTCCACATACGAGGGCGGCTGCAATAGCGCATCTACTGAATTTGAAGGCGCCATAGCACTATGCAATGTATCGCAACAGTGTGGAGGACTAGAAGCTTGTCTAAGAGCTGCATGCCCGCGTCAAGAGGAGACGCGTTTCGACTTCCGTCTTTGACGCGACACAATTCCACTTCCTAATTTGGACGACTTCCTTGAATCTCAATCTTGGTGGTCATCATTTTCATACATATAAATACAGAGAGGAGTTGTCTATTTACACAGTGGGTATATGGCGACAAATTTCACTTTTCAACTTTTCACGCTGCCGCTGCGGCAATCTCTGCCTCAGCCTCTACCTCGCCAGCAGCTCCACCACCTAGCCCAATCTCCTGCACCTTCCACCCTTGTGCCTCATCGACGAAGCTCTTGCGTGCACCGAGAACCGCCATGCTGCTATTGGACATGCCCTTCACTAAGAATCGTTCCGCAGCATCGCGCACCTGTTCCTGTGTCACGTCCAAGAGCTGCTGTCGTCGTGTCTGCTCCATGTCTGGCGTCACTCCGCTCACGAATCTGGTCATGCCCTCTTCACTAACACTTCTAGGAGCATCTAGTGCTTGGAAGACAGACAGCTTGGCATCTTCGAGGTCGCGGTCACTCCACTTTCTATCCACTGCCCACTGGCCAACCTGGTCCAACACCTTGATGGTGTTTTCGGGGTTGGGGTCGCGGTAAGAGTAGAATCCGAACACGCCATCTAGTGCGCGAGAATAGGCTCCACCTCCGTATGCGCCACCACGCTCACGAATCTCACGATGCAGATGCTTGTGTGTGAGCAATTGTGCGAGAACTGCCAATGGCGCCCCCGAAGAATCAGTATAAGGAACCGTGGGAAGGGCAAGACCAGAGTAGTAGACCTGGTATGGGAGAGGGTAGAATGACTTGACGTTGCGAGTCAGCGTCAGGCCCGACTGCGATTGAGATGACAATTCAGACGATGAGAAAGTGCTGCTGAGGAAGCCTTCGAGAGCAGCCTCGTTGATGCTGGTAGACTCGGCACCGCAAGTGATAGCGACTCTCATGTTAGATAGATTGGCTGCAATGAGCTGCTGAATGGCCTTCAGTGGCTGGATGATGTCGTCGCCAATCTCGGGAAGGGATGCGAGCGAGACCATGTGCTTGATCTGGCTGATACCTCCAGTCTGCTCGAGCAAACTGCCGTGTGGGCTGATACCAGCCTCAGCGACACGTCTAGCATAGGCGTGCCCTGACTCGGCGATTGTATCAACACCACCACTAGCAGCACTTTGAACCAACTCGCGGAGAGAGGCTTTAGCCTTAGGTCCATCGAAGTCAGTTTCCAGAACGATTGTTCGAATCAGGTCATACAAGGCGGGGACGTTCTGGTCGAGGGCAAATCCGGACAGACTCAAGCCCTCTTCGCAGACCTTGGTGTCAGTAGGAGATGTACATGCGTGGTAACCGAATGAGACGCCACCAGTCTTGAGCTTGATGAGATCCTCGATCTCTTCCATCGACTTGGTCTTGGTTCCAATGCGCATGAGTGCATCACAGAACAGTGGCACAAATGTGCGCAGCTCTGTGGGTAGATCCTTGAAGATGCTGAGGGCTCTGAAGTAAGTCAGACCGTTCGTTGGGGCTTCTCTCCATTGCACCTGGACATTGTTGAGCGAGCCTTGACGGGTTTCAGTGATAGGCTTGGTGCGAGGAATGTCCTTGACGTGGACGGACGGCAGACAGCTCAGATCCTGCTCCTGCATTTGTTGTTCGACGAGCTCAAGCTCTCTCTTCTTCAGCTGATCGTAAGCCTCCTGCTTGGAGCCAAACATCTTCTCGGCCTCTGCTTTCTTCGATGCGAGTCTTTGCGCTTCCTCCGCGAGAAGATCCTCACCATAAGTTGCAGAAGGCTCCATGGTAAATGTCAGAGTATTGTCGTTCAACAAGTACTTCTCCAACAAGCCCTCGAGATAGCCACCCTTCGCACACTCTGCCTTGAAAGTATCAACAGTCTGTTGCCATGCCAGAGCATCAAAGACATCTACACCATTGAACCAGCCAGGCTTCAATCGTTGTATAATCGACATGCCAAAGTTTGCGGTTTTGTGCTTCAGGCTGAGCTCGAGCTGGTGCAGAATACCATCAATCTTTGATTGGTCGAAACCCTTCTCTCTAACCTGACGCAAGGTTTCCATGACGGCCTCCTTGACCTTGGGTACATTTTCCTGCTTGACACCATTCAGACCGACGGAGAACACACCGCGCTTGCCAGAACCATCGAATCCGGTGTTTGGAGAGAAATCAGGGCCAAGTCCAGCTTCGATAAGGTTGCGGTAGAGAGGTGAGCCATAGCCGTCCATCAACAATGAGGAGATTATGGAGAGCGAGAAGTTCTCGAGAACATTAGATGTGTCTCCCATCAGCCAGGTAACAGAGGTCTTGAACTGAGAATCGGCAGGGTTCAGAGGATCTAGAGGGCCCTTGACGGTGATGTAGCGAGGTCCACTGTCGAGGCTTTCGGGAACCTTGATGTCCGAGTCTATCGAGATGCGCGAAAAGTTGTCCAGCTCCTTGCCGATAGACTGAAGGTGGTCAGTAAGAGGCAGGTTACCGTAAGTCAGGACCTTTGCGTTGCTAGGATGGTAGTGGTCGGCATGGAACTTCTTGAGCTGGTCGTAGGTTAGATCGGTCATCTTTTGAGGATCGCCGCCAGAGTTGTTGATGGCAGGGAACAGGTTCTCGTGGAAGCGGATGTAGTATAGATATTGCGAGTCAGACATCTGACCCTTCATTTCGTTGTATACAACGCCTTTGAAGATGATGTCGTCGGAAGAAGGATTTTCGGCTTGGGGGTTCTCTGGACCAAGACGCCATCCTTCTTGGGTAAAGTCGTGCTCTTTAAGAAGAGGGTGTAGGGTAGCATCGAGATAGACACCCATGAGGTTCTTGAAGTCTTGCGCATTTGTCGTGGCGAATGGGTATGTGGTATGGTCGGACGAGGTGAAGGCGTTCATGAAGTTGGAGAGCGATCGCGGCAGCATCTTGAAGAAGGGGTCGCGGACAGGGAACTTCTGACTGCCGCAAAGAGTGGTGTGTTCCAGGATATGAGGGACTCCAGTGGCATCCGGAGGGTTCGTCTTGAAGCCAATAGAGAAGACATTGTTCTGGTCGTCTCGGGCAATGTGCAGATAGTCAGCACCAGTACGCTCGTGAGTGAACTGAAGAGCAGTAAGTTCGAGTTCCGGAACGTGTTTAGCACGCTTCAAGGTAAATCCGTGTAGCTGATCTCCAGGCTTGGGATAGTTCGACAGGTCAGTCACGGAAGCATAAGTTCGTCGCAAAGCTGGTAGGTCGGTGTGGGCAAGGCGAGTCGGCCTGCCCGCTAGCCTGTTGACTCCACGCAACATGTTCAAGCAGATCAGAGCTCCTGACCTTACAAGCTTCAGTTTCGTGTTAAGGAAGGAACATGAATGTCTCGATGATCCGATTCAAAGAGCAGTCGCGAATGGGGCACGGACCAGGTGGGCGAACGGCTGGTTCTTCCGTCCGCACCTGCCTCTCTTTGCACAGCGACGAGGCCGAGTCTGATAGTCTGCCGGCACACGACGAACAACTGCGAACGAGTGCTCACGGGACTCGGACTATTACTTGGACCTTCCACTCTGTCTGGACATCCGCCCATCCATTTCTATACCAGCTCTGCCTGCCCACCTGGCATTCATAGCAAGCCCTGTTCGAGACCCCTCTTACTCATCTGGATACACCCACGATCTCACTACCCTCTGCTTCATCGCTACGTCGATATCTTAGTCGCCATTAGATATTACCCTTCCGATCTCCTCGTTTGCGCCACAGAGACAGGCACACCCGGATTTTCGCTGTGCCCGCCTGTCTCAGTGCGCCAATATCGACTTCCTCCTTGCGCAGAATTGCCCCCGATGCAAGGGTCATCTTTCCGTCCACTATCTCACTAGACTATTTCTTTGACTCTTGAGCCATGGCCCAAGTCGCCTCACAACACCAACCTCACAGCTCACGCGCTTCGCCTGCCTCTGTCCACGATCCCCGCGATGATGCTCCATTGCCCGCCGCTCCTCCACCGCCGCCGAACAATGCCTCTGCCAACAAGAAGAACAAGCCCAAGAAAGGTGCTGCCGATACAAACGACGCACATAAACAGCTTCAGGCCAAGATCGCTCAGCTAGAACAGGATGCTACGGGACGGGCTGAAGAAGATGCGGAAATCGGTGTGTGATTGGTCATTCTCGTCTATCATATCCATGTGTATACTGACCATGACAGATCGGGAAGTTAAGAAGGCCAATAGGGATCTGCAAAATCTCCTCCAATCCATGGATGGCCCGATATCCAAAATGGAAACTGTACAACGAAAATACTCGGAACTTCTGGCAGAAATGAAGAGGACTGAACGAGAACACATCAAGGCCAAGAAGCGAGGCGATCAATTGCAGAAAGACAAGGATACCCAGAGGTCAGAGCTCACAAAGGCCAATTCCATGAAGGAGAAGCTGGAGAAGCTTAGTCGTGAGTTGACAAAGGAGAACAAGAAACTTAAGGTGCGCAACTGCTGGATACTTTCATCGTGATGCGGTTTATTGATTGCCCGATGCAGGAGGATCTTCGCGAGTTGAAGGAAAGCGCAGCAGACAAGAATGAAGAACTGCATCGTCGGCTCGAACGAATGGTGGGCGACGTTGAGCAAGTGATAAGCGATCGTAAACTTCCAGAACGACCGACCGGCGAGATGGAGGAAGACAAGCTGTACGTCTCCTGCGCCTCCCCAGACCTTAGTTGTCTCTCACTGACAGCTTCGTGCCAGCTTCCGAGAAAAGTTCAAATCTTTCGTCGAACAATACGAAATGCGCGAAATCCAGTTCCATTCACTCCTCCGAAGCAAGGAGCTCGAAATCCAATACCATCTTGCACAACAAGAACGACTTCGCAAGCAACAGGATGCAGAATTGAACAAGTCGCATCAGTTGACCCGTCAGGTATCTACCTTTTCCCAAACAGAGAATGAACTGCGCAGTCAGCTGAATATTTATGTGGAGAAGTTTAAGCAGGTGAGACTTTTTTTCCAAACATGCTGCCCTCGTCCATGTCTTTCTACCTCTCTCGTAGAGAGCTCCCGCCCGTCTCTACTACCATCAGTACAACCGCCACCGCCCAACGACCAACTCTCTCCCCATCTCCAACATAGGCAGTACCATCTCACTCACTGACCGCATTAGCAGGTCGAAGACACCCTTAACAACAGTAACGATCTGTTCCTGACGTTCCGCAAAGAGATGGAAGAAATGAGCAAGAAGTCCAAGCGTTTAGAGAAGGAAAACATGCAATTGACACGCAAGCAAGAAGCCACGAACAAAAACATCTTCCAGATGGCCGAGGAACGCACCCACTCACAGCAAACCATCGATCGCCTACACAAGGAGAACGAGAAGCTGAAGAAGCTCTGTCGCGCCATGCAGACCAATGGTTACGGACGCTCAGACATGGTCAACGCCGCCCCTGGAGCTCCAAACCCAGCCCACCACCCCGACGAAGAGGATGAGGAAGACGACCTTGCCGAGACAGATTCCGAATACGACGAATATGACGAGGATGAGGAGGGCAGCGTTGAGGCTGAGTACGATGATGACACAGAGGACGAAGCCGTCGATCAACGACCTCGCACATACGGCCCAGTGCCACCACCCCCTCCGCCACCGCCTACAGGCGAGCTGGCTCAGGGTGCGAACGGCAAGGTTCGACAACCTCCACAGCCAGTGAATGGTGTGAAGCATTGAAGCAAAAGACAAAAAAAGCAACACATCCTATCATGGGTTCATCCCATCGCACCGTTTGTCTTATTCAAACCCCTACTTTTCTCGTCACCAATGTGAGAATACACCTTACTATATCCATGAACGTTCTGATAGACTTGCTCTGTTCACAACCTTTTCTCGCTTTCTGTTATCCTCCATACCCTATATTTCCTTCCAAGCGTGAGGCAGATACACTATCAGGCGTCAACCAACAGACATTCCATTGTTGGTATCCGACGAGACAACCGCGCAAGATCAATAATTCCGTTCTTCTCTCCCCCTCTTCCCTGACTCTCTTCACATCTCGTCGCATTTAGCGACCCGCGATGTTTTATCATTGCACGGGTCCTGGTGGGTCGTAAGATGGGAAGAAGCAAGGTTCGAGAATGAGGGTTCGTGGAAGCTCTGGCTATTACAGACCCGCCTGTATTTGAGTAGCACGCTGGCGGACTAAGTTTCAGAGTACATTTTCCGGTTGTATATATCGTTCGTCTGCACTGAGTAGACTAAGGCATGTTGTAAAATTGTGCCCAAGCAGAAAATAAGAAATGAATTCAGTCACTCTCACGAATAGCTTCAGTGGTGTAAATCCACTAGCATCTTAAGTTTCGTGTTTAGACAGGCCACAAATATGCGTCGAGGCCTCGCAGGCAAAAACAAAGCCTCGAGTCTTATGGACCAAGCACTCTGACTTCGATCTGATCCTAGATTGAGTGACTGCAAGGCATAGCAAATTAAAGACACTTGTTGGCAAAAGGGATGTCGCAGCCAGGAATCGAACCAGGGTCTAGCGCTTGGAAGGCGCTAATGCTAACCATTACACCACTGCGACGAGGTAGTCACTCTCGAGTCACCGATGACGTAACTCCAAATCGCGACCATATATATAGTCGAAAAGTCTAGCAGCCTGACGGAAACAACCTCGACATGCGCTTCGAAGACATCTAGCTTGTGGTTTATGATTGAGCAGAGCGTGCCATAGGCGAATCTCTGTCAAAATCCAGTGGTACGTTCTCATTCGAGCCGCGCAAAGCCAAGGAGTTCAATGTCAAGAGACGTCGCATTGTGCTGTGTATATACGCTAGCGAGGCTGGCTGTGAAGATAGCCGCTCATCGCAGTCTGGATGCCAAAGATCTGTTAGGAACACAGCCAACATGTTGAGCATGGTCGTTTGTGTACATGGTGGTCCAGGAAGGAGCTAGGTACCTTTCGCGCTTTCTGTTGACGCTTGCATCAATAGCTACATCTCTGACAGCTCTTGAACTGTGCTCTCTTGCAACACAACATCACTCATCTACCCAGCCATGAAGAACGGTCGAATGAAGGACTTTTCCCGTTTCATTCCTGTGATGAAACAATGAACCCAAATCCAAAGACTTCAAATATCATCGAGAAGAGCCAATGCAACTAGATGCCATTGAGACTCCAAAGGCAAACACCTTAGACACCATCGTGGTAATCTCTCCATCAGACTCCTCCCCGCTTGACGTTCCTAGCAAGAAGACGATGCACACCACTCGCAAGGAGAAGAAGCGTCTCCTCCATCGCCCTCTACACCTCCGCACTTCCCAACACCCCCATCACCTACTTCATCCACAGATACCCCTATGAAGAAGAGGGGTCGCAGAAGAAGGAAGGCTACCATTCTAGACATCTCCGATGCCGAAGTCTCAGCACACGAGCCGCAACACTCGACCCGTCAGTCCGATCAAAAGACAGAAGACCCTCGTAAGGACCTATAAGTCGATTCGCGTCCCCGCCTTGTACTTAACATCACTAACCTTTGGATGACATCAAGTGCCGCCATAAATGAAGGACTGGAGATGCGATGGCAACTGACCCTCGAGAGGCTGCATCAACTCAAGATGAGCCGTAAGTACGCTCGGTGATGTCGACCGACGACGCAGACCACCAGTCCATACAGTCGACCAAGGACCATGACGAGGTAGCACTCGAGCTCCGATGGTACACTCTGGCCGTTGGTAAACCCTTTGTTTGCAATATACTAGCCGCTGAGTATAAAGCCGGACACTACTATCAAATTGAGGTCATGCTCGCCAGCGTCCTGGCAGCGCTTCATGAAGATTGCGACGATTCTGGAACCCATGCAATGCAGTGGTGGGCTTTTAAACCCGACGACACAAACGTACCCTAGCTTGGGGCTGATGGAAGATGCTCGTTGGAGGATGTCTAGACTGATAGACCAGAGGAACAGGAAGCAGAACGTGCTGCCGCCATCAAAGTCCACGACAGCATCAGACACCGCAAGATGAGGGTCACCAATGTTGCAACCGATAGGTACCTGTGCACCCATGATGAGTGCAAACGCTCTGTGACTCAACAAGGTTTCGCTACGCAAGAGGAACTCACCAAGCATCTATACCACCACGATCACGGAAGTCTCAACCCGGGCTATAGAACGCTTTGCCATGACCTCAGATACGGTCAGGTGGCTGACGACAGGGCAGGACTGGCCAAACACGAAGCACAGCACATTGACGGACGATACCCTTGTGGCGTCTGTGGACTCCTCTCTGGCGCTGCTCATGCTCCGACCAGGCATGCCAAAGAGAGATGCAATGATGAAAACGCCGCAAACACTCACGCTGCCTTTGCAACCAACAACCGCCGCTGGCCTCGACCCATATGTGACGTATCATATTTTTTCATCATGGCTTGTCTCCCATAGTACATGCACATTTCCACAACTCTGTAATAGCATTGCCTCCCCGTGTTCAAAAGTATGCAACTTCCATCATACTCCGACCACAACACAGAGTAAGGTAGACGCTATGAAAAGGCACAATCTCGATTGAAGACGAATGTTGTGTTCATAGAGAGACCATATTATGTTGCCTCTCAGCGGACACTGTCCGTTTTCCTAGTAGTGTCATGCATTCCCACAGCTATAGACGTTACATACTTTTGACCCTGGGGAGGTGGTAAAGAACAATCCCATTTCTACCCCTTTCTATCACATATCCCTTTGATTCAGCAAAGCTCATACAAGCCTTTTGCCCAAATATCACTCCTTCCAACTTCCATGCGGTTCCAATGGTGTCTAAACACCACACACTCCCAACAAGGATTTCCCCAGTCCAAGCCTTTACACTGCCCCTTTTTGCAGCCCACACATCTAACCTTCACTTTCATAGACAGCTGTTCCTTTCCTCCTCGTCTTGACTTGCGAAACACTCTTACTGCTTTGCTAGCCATATGCAGTTTGTATAGCAGGACGACAACGTCGATAGCTGTTGCTGGGTTGTAGATTGTGCCGGTGTGCAAGGGTACAGCAATATTGATGATGACCGTAATGTGACAGAATTGGTATATCTCTTGTGTGATTTTGGGGTGTGTATGGAAGAGGCCGGGGAGACGGTAACCATGGCGGCGCTTGGAAATGTTGTGTTCTTGGTCTGATATTGCATAGTGGTATACTTGAATGCGCAATTCTAAGGGAAGGTCGAGAAAAGAACAGGGTGGTTGCTTCTTTGGCTTGTTCTTTTGCTTCCTTCTTAGGACTAGGGTTTTACTAAGCCACGGCCGTTCTTTGGGAGTTGTTGCTGATGACTGAGATTGCTTTTGAGGGTTGATGTGCATGATGGATGGCGTGAAAGTATACAAGGACTGAGAATGAAGAAGCATGAACCTCTCGATGAACAAGACTTGCTAACCACAAGGATGACTGTTAAGCAGCTGTGACTCTCGCCCCCAGTCATCCGCATAGTGCTGTTCTACCGAATATGGACATAGACCGAATCAATTTGAGCAGGATTCTTCGACAAGCCTCGACCATCAATTCCGAGAACACCATAATTCTTCTAGCTTAACAAAATTCAAACGACCGACCCGCTAGAACCAAATTTTGCATGTTAGGTGCCCGAAAGTTCCAAGACGTACACTCTGGGAATGCCTTGAATCCGCGGCATTCTTGGTTCTCGCCACAGGCCTACACGGCGGAGTAACAGTCCTCAGCAGTGCTCTAATAAGGTACCATATCTCGCCCACATCTCTTGCCAGCCCTCGAGCTCTACAATATTTCTGCATGTCCAACAACGACGGCTTCGTCGCCAGATGTCCAGACCATCGCAGTAAAAACACTTTGTTCGTAGATAAGTCGTCAATCCCTTCCTTTCTTTATGTGCAGCAAATCTCCGGGCTTCATGCAACGCATTTTTCATCAGGCGCTTTATTATCAACAGAGCAATGACTCGAGGGGCTTTGAAGAGCGCGTATGGTATAAGCCAATATCCAGGAACCTGTGACCATCTTGTCTGCGAGATGTTCGGAAATTTGATATCGACGATTGCGACAAAGGTACAATATTGGTAGACCTCGCGAGCGATCTGGAGGTTTGTGTACATGATTGAGGGGAGGCGGCTCCGGAGTACTTTTGGTACGCCATGGGCGAGGATGTATTCGTAGATGACGATGCGTATCTCGAGAGGCAATTTCAAGAGCGGGAATATTTGCGATTGAGGAAGAGGTTTCTTGCTTCGTCGAGAACGATGGATGAGAACATTTCGCCGATCAATCATCGCTGTGTGCTGGGGTGTTGTGACCAAGACGATGATGAGAAAGAGGAAACAGCGAGCACCAAGAAGGATGCAAGAGCGATCGCGTGCCTGTTTTGTTTAGGTGCTGCAGAATTTTCGAACTTCAGAAACATTGAGTGGAAAGAGGTAGATAGAGGTAGTTGCGAAGGCACGAGCTCAAACTGAGTAGGAATCGTCATATAGCTACAAAGCTAAGGTCTAGAATACAACATCGACACGAACTACGTCAAGCCTCCCTGTAAGCATTAGCGCACAAGATAAGTGCATGAAGAAAGTCATGACAAAGAAAAGAGACTACTCGACAATCTCAAGATCACCATCACGGTGCTTGGCAAAGACGTCCTTCCACTCGTCCCAGATACGCTTGAGCTCATCCACATATTGCGCATGAATCTCGTCTACGTACTTGGAGTCAGGTCGCTCCTGCTTACGCACCATAATGGGTCGACCAGCGACAATATTGAGCGGGCGTCGGTAAGGCATCATACCAACATCGTAGTTGAAGACACCACGTGCGTGGAAAAGTGGGATGGTGAAGCCCAAAGCCTTCTTGACCAGTAGTTGAAATTTGTGGATGGTGGGGTGTGCTTGAGGATCAAACTGCTCGTAAAGTTCGTTCTCGCCAAATGCCAGGACAGGCACGAGATCAGCACCGGTACGTATGGCAAGCTTGACGAAACCTTTGCGACGAGCGAGTACGAGGCGCAGGCTGTTAGGCTGAGCATCGAGTGATTCACGAGCACCACCGACAACAATAGTGATGGCACGACCCATTCCTTCGCCGTTGGGACCGCCCTTGGAGAGAATGTTTTCGCAACTCTCACGAGAAACTGAGGCCAGACCAAGACGCAAAGCATAATCGCGGTAGAGAGGGATACGGAAGTTCGAGTCAAGGGTCAGCAGAGTGTTGGTGATTCCCGGGAACAACTGCGCGAAGCCAAGGGCCTCGGTTGCAAAGGCGACAAAAGCGCCGTGGCTAATAATACCGTGCGGGTGGTAGCCAAAGACGTACTTGCGGGTGGCAGGTAGCTCCTGAGAACGATGAAGACGAGCAGGGAAGTATGAAGCGAAGAGAGACCACACTGGAAGGCGTCGCAGCCACTCGGAGCGATACTTGAGGGTTCCTGAGGTGCCAGCCTTGGAGAAGAGGACGTAGAGGAGGTAAGGCAACAGCAACGGCCAGAGCACAGGAATGGCGCACAGGACGAAAAAGGCTGCAAGGAAGAGGGCAATGCTCAAAGTATGAACAAGGACCATACCTGTTTGGAGCCGACGCTGAAGCGGAACGTTGAGTGGCGCCCATCTTATGCTGAGATGCATGTTAGCCAGATACAATGGGTAAAGAGGGTTGAGAGAACATACGCCGACGACTCCCAGCCTGCTCCAGCTCTTCTTCCGCTAACAAGTTCATCCCTGGAAGCCTTGGTTTGCTGCTGTTTCTTCCGGGTCTCTTCCTTTTCGTCTGTTCTCAGAGCCTCCTCGTACGAGTCGTCAGGCTTCACGCTAGTCAATTGCTTGCCATCAGGACTCTCGAACTTTTCGTATACAAGCTTCTGTTGCTGGCCATCTGGACCTTCCGAGACAGGCTTCTTCGAGGCCGTGGACTTGTTTGACTTTATAGAAGAAGTGCGTTTATGAGGTCGACCAAGCTGGGCTGGACTCTTAGGCGACTCGTTGTGACCCTGTCCTGTGAACTCCTCGCCATTTGCATGAGGTTCATGGCCCTCGCCGGGATGAAGATCAATGACAGGGTGTGCATCGGTGTTGACACCCTCCTCTGCCATATCTGCCCACGACTTCTCCTGCTTTTGAGAGCGGGTGCGGCGGGGTTGGACGGGTGTCGATGGTAATGAAGGTTGTTTCTCCTCCTCATCTAGCATTTCCTGGAGTGGGCGAGGCTCGATGCTGCCTTTTCTCGAAAGCTTCCTCGTTGGGGGTGTTTCCTTGATGAGGTCTTCGTCGATTGAATCTTGGCCATTTTGGTCGAGAGCTTCGTGAGCAGCATCGGCGAATGACTTGGGTGGGAGATGATGTTCCTGCCGCTCCTGCGGATCGGCGGGCTCTGCGTTCAGAGACATGTTGTATGTGAAGCTGGATGGCAATAAGAAAGTAAATGCATTGAGCTCTCCAGGGGAAGATTGAGCTCACCCAGACACTTTGCGCGTCATTGCTAGTGACGTACCTCAGGCCTAATGCCCCAGCCTTATGTCGCACAGACTGCCCGCCTTCTTGCTGCCAGAGCTCGTCGATCCCGTGAACGCGCTTTATGCCACTCTCGTCTTCTTGCTTGATAAGTTTCAGGAACAATGCTTTGTCTCCTCGAGGCACAACCCAATCGATGGCGGCAACCGCACATATATGCGGTACTGATGCAGCGTGTGAGCTGATCGATTCGTGATATCAAATGAGAAACATATACCACATTTTAGCTTGAATCAAGCACTGTCGCAGTGGTGTAATGGTTAGCATTAGCGCCTTCCAAGCGCTAGACCCTGGTTCGATTCCTGGCTGCGACATCTCTTTTGCTCCCTGTGTTCGAAGCTTGCAATTTATCAAGAGTATCTTTTGCTTCTTGTTCGTTGAACGCATGTTTAGTCGATAATTGATGCGTTGGCCTCGAGGCTTTATTTGTGACCTCGAGGCTCCAATCCTTGAGGCTCTCATCCTCGAGGGTGCTTTTAGTCGGCCTGCCAAGCTTCCGCCGTCTCTCAACAGATGATCATGAACAAGACAGCATCACAATCACACGTTCCTAAGCACTGAGCTCTTCTTGGTGATCTTTCACTGAGCTTAATTGCGCGTGCGTTGGCACCTTGCAAGACGTGGTACGTTTCTGTGCGTAAAACTTGATCGCGCAGAATATGTTTGGCTCACATTTGTATTGGTCTGATGCTGTACTTTTGTGGACGTGGATGAGATTTCGATAAATTTGGATTATTCCACCATCAGCGATCGATACGCAGACCAATACCCTCAGTCCTTCAATGTGCTATTCTGTGTACCTCTCGATGGGTAACATAGTCAGACAAGTGTTGACGTGCTTGTGTTATTTAGGATATAAGACTTTCTGAGATGTTGATTGCATCACCCTGTCCAGATGGCTGCCTGAGGCACAAAAGTCCTCCACCTGAGCTGCTGAGCGTATTTGACTCATTGATGAGCAAGTTTCTTAGTGCTACGCAACTTATGTGAATGAGTCGCCAGGCGTACAGCAGTATGTTATCTTGGCATTTGTCGCCTTCCATCGGTTGCTTCCTTCCATAACTCGACGAAGTTGTAACGTATATCTTCATCGTCACGCAGACCATTGGAAAACATCCGGATCACCGAGTACCTAGACTCATGGAGGCAATCGACAACTATGTCGTTCAACCAACAACAGCACGTTCACACACCATCATCATGCTTCACGGACGCGACAGTGTCGCTTCGGAATTCGCAGAAGAGCTCTTTGAGAGCCAGGCTTCAGATAACCGTACCCTTCCTCAAATATATCCCGGCTTCAAATGGGTGTTCCCAAACTCTGGGCTACTCAAATCAGAGCGATTTGATATGGAGTTGCCTCAGTGGTTCGACATGTGGGGCACAGAGAAACCGCACGACGAAGAAGGAACGAGCAGAGTAGGTATACAAAAGGCAACAGCCAGGATTGTGGACTTGATCAGAGCCGAGTCAAAACTTGTGCCTCTAGATCATATCTTCCTGGGTGGGATCAGTCAAGGAGCTGCAGTCGCCATACACAGTCTGCTTCGAGGCGGTTTGCAGATTGGTGGATATCTGGGCTTCTGCACTTGGCTGCCATTTCATGATGAAGTCAAAAGCGAAGCTCTTAGCAGCACACCAATTTCCCCAGAACACAACAAGGACGACGAAGTCATCTCGATAGACAATGGAGAGTCCATGAGGGAGGTTCTGCAGCATCTCGGCCCGAAGGTGACATGTAGGACGTACGGGACCGGTGGCCATTGGTTCAATGAGCCGAGGGGGATCGATGACCTTATCGCATTTCTCACCACGTGCGGTGTGTCGAATACAGATTGAACCACGACACGGGAGTCTCGTTATCTGTATAATTAAGAGATAAAAAGTTACCCAGGCCACTTCTGCGTGAACTTACTCCGAGAAAGGAAGACAGAGCCTCCTTCGTTGTGTTGATATCAAAGGACTTCGTTCGCATTGAGTACTGAACGCTCCTTCCTTCGTCTTGCAGTCAAAGAGTCATTCCAAGTCCAGGATCTTGATCAAGAGCTGATCTGTCAGTAATTGTACTGCGGACGTCATTTCTGTCGTTGTGAACCGGTCTATTGCAAGCCATCAACCAAGAGTCATCACCAGTTTGGCGCTCTCAGAAAAACCTACCGAACATCGAGCGAAGCCACAGATTAGGCATGTGTCGTCTAAGTGCGCTCCAATAACATGAGCGGAGAATGGTCATCCGACTCTGCCGCACTGGTCCGAGGTTTGGGTGCTTCGCCGCGATGAGCGGCGTTTGGGCGGCTCAAAATGTCGCTCGCATCGTATGCAAGGCCGTCTAGATCGATCGCGGAACCAGCTGCCGAATTCGATATGCTCTCGCAACTTTGGGAAGAGGCCCCATAGTGCTAGACCAAAGAGACTCGAGACCTGTCTTGTTGATGTAGAACAAGAAGCGAAGACTCTATATACCCCACTTCTCGAAGGCCATTATCGCTGATCTCCCGTTTCCAGAAAGAGAACATCTCGTACTCGGTGAGAACCTTCCTGTCGCCAAATGCGGTGCATTAGCAATCTCGATATGGCGGCGGCAACAGTAGCCGGAGCGCTGTCCATATCAGGTCCTTGCACCATTGGTGGTATAAGCGGATACGATACGACTCGGGCGCATGTATAGGCTCGAGTGGTATTTCAGAAATTCAGGTAAAACGTCTTTGCATGAGAAAACCAGGCGTGGCTGTCTTTACGGGGATGTATAGGCGACAACAGCAAGTCTGCCCGCGAGAACACCCTTTCTCGGAGGTTTAGACGAAATCATTGCAGTTGTTCACAAGAGGATCGGAACCGCAATGAATGTGTGGATGCGCATCGTGCCGAGGCTTAGAATTTCGACTTCGTCTTCCTTGTGTATACGAGCTCTCACAAGAACGTCATCCCGGTGAATAAAGCATAATGTTGTGTAATTAGCATTCTGTCAGAGAGACTTCTGGCTTGACATATGCAAGACGAGTCAGCAACCTAGACGACACGTGAACGACGGTCAACGACTCAAAGCTCCTTGAAATGACTTCAGATGAGGCTGCTTGAAATGAGGCTGCTTTTTTGTCTTTCCGCGGACGAACAACGTGGTCTTGACAGCGCACAGCAGAACGATGCCTTGTAATTATTTGGAAGCTTTGCCAAGAATTTGATATCACACTTCACATAGCCCCAACTCAGACGCCTATACAGGCAGGTACGTACCCCCACTCGTCCATTGCTTTGATGTCCCAAATACAATTTCCTAATCCAGAACTTTGGGTTAGACCGAGAAAAGACCCCGTCGAGGTTCTAACACCTTGGTGCGCGATCGAACCATGGGCCCACGGGAGCACGGGTGTCGGCAGCGAAAGGCAGAAATTTAGATTCGTAGACGTTGTATTGCGTGCCTGAAGATCGGAGGGCAAACAGGGTGAGAAAACAAGAGTAGTGCTAAAGTGTAAAAGTCATGTGGGAAAAGGAGAGAAAGTTAGAGTTGTACCGTTGCTCATTCCTTGGTAGGGGAGCGACAAAGCGCGCGAATTTCTTGGTGGGTAAAGTTCAAATTTTGAAAAGGCATGCACGGCTCAAAATCGCATCAGAGAGCGAGATATACTTTTAGGGTTACAGGAAACCTTAATCAATTATCCATCTATTGTATTTCAACGTCGAGCTGTGGAGGAGGATTTGCAATTATGTTAGACAACACTGAAACGAACACCATAGGTAATCGATTTTCCTTTCCAGAAGTTTTCGGAAAAAGTAAGAGGACCAGAGAGAAAGGTAACAGGAACATGTTTCGTTTTGATGATAGAATCTGATTGACTTTTGAGTATGTGTAAGATGTTCTAAATCTAGTATCTAACAAAGATGATGGCAGCCAATAGATGTTGGTCAGTGATGAAAGAAAACAATGACAAGATCGCTAAGATGCCCAGCAAATAATTATAAAACAGTGAAAACAATTAGCGTATAAGGCCTGAACTCGTAAAAGACCGAGATAGACGGTACGCGACCCGTGGGGAAGGATATCATGCAAGGTGAAGCGAAGTGATGCAAGAAAGGAAATGATGCAGCGGACAAATGTCTATGCAGCGTCAAAGGTCTTGACTCTGCAGTGTCGTAGCTTGTCAAGTACGCTGAAGTCAACGCCATGCTGTCTTGTGCAAACGGCCACGGCATCGAATTCGAGGTCCAAGCGGCTGGGGTGGAAGCCAGCATGGTCGAGCTTCTCAAGCCATGGAACCTGAGCTTGCTCGACAAGAGGGTCGTGGAAAACGAGACGCGAGCAACCCAGACGTTGCAACTCGGTTGCGAAAGCAAGACCAGGAGAGTAGCTAAGAACACTCTGGCCAGGCTTGAAGCCAATACCAACGACAAGGATACGAGGGCCAGTAGGGCAGGTAGCACGGGCTGCGCAGCGACGGTGAAGCTTCTTTGCCAAAGCAGCAGGACGGTTGCGCATGAGCTTTGTGGCACGCTTGAGGACGGGCAGGTTGGGGTTGTTCGAGAAGAGGTAGAAAGGGTTGACAGGAATGCAGTGACCTCCAACACCAAGACCGGGACGGAAAGCCTGGTAGCCGTAGGGCTTTGTTGCAGCGGCATCGATCATCTCGTTGGGATCGATGCCGTGAGCGCGTGCTGCATCGGACATCTCATTGACGTAGGCAATGTTGACCATGCGGTAGCAGTTCTCGAACAGCTTGGTCATCTCAGCAACCTCGGGCTTGCTGACAGGGACTACCTGCTCAAAGACACGAGCGTACAACTTGTGGATGACTGAGTTCGATGCAGGGGTGAGTGCGGAGATGATCTTGGGGATCTGCTGGGCAGTAGGGAAGGTGCGACCAGGGTCAACACGTTCAGGTGACATGCCACAATGAAGAATGTTCTGGTAAGGACCAAGGATCTGGCGGGTGGTGCCAACCTGAACACTGCTCTCAATGACAATAGTGTTACCAGGCTGAACGTGCTTCAATACCATGGCCAGGGCGCTGATTAAATGGCTCAGGTCGACGGTGTTGTCAGCCTTGAGAAGAGTGGGAACCGAGATGAGGTAGGCAGTAGCTCTGTCCAAGAGGGACTCATCGTTGGTGAGGGTGACATTGGGCATGTGACCAAAGATGGGCTGCAGTTGTGCAAGACGCTGAACAGAGATGTCGAAGCCAATGGACTGGTAGCAAGTACCAAAGGACCTGAGAAGGTGCTCGCCGACATAGCCGACACCAACAACGCAGACCACATGGTCGTGATGCGTCAGGGTGCTGTATGGTATTAGCATATGAATATAGCCAAGGGTGACTGTGGTACCCACAGATCGAAGCTGTCGTTGCGTTGCATGGTAGAGAAGCTGTTGTTGCGGGACATGGCTGTCGGGGGCTGTATCCGAAGATGATTAGAGTTGAATTATGATTAGGTATTATAGGGAAAGAAGAGGAGGATTAGTCGAGAGCCAAGAATATGAGATATGAGATAATCGAAAACCGCCAGGATCTTCGTTGCCCGGTGCACAAGAAATGAGATGATGATGGAGAAGTGGGACAACGAAGATCCCTCGAGATACTTATACCAAGTGTTGCCCGAGGAAGAAAATGATTTTCGATATAGACCAACGGATAGGCCCCGCCAGAACATCCAGGTCCGTGGGAAGAGTTTGACAATAGACACTATCTAGTGAAAAGAAAGATCGATAGTCAAGTTTCAGCGGTGTTGTATAGAGTCCCCCATAGAGTTCCTTCTGGATGACTGGCCTCGCTCCAGATACTGAAACCGTTGAACAGAGAAGAGGTTCCCGTCTGTCGGTCCGCTTACACTTGACAGCTCTGAGGCGAGTTGTGGCAGGATAGGGACGACTGCCATGACCTTCAAGCATGTCACCGTTGACCTTGGCATGCGAGTTCGTCTGTCTGTTGCAACGGCGTAGCGACTCAGACATCCAGCCCATCGCTGTAGCAGAGACCTTTTCCAGACTTTTACCGAACCATGTGGGCGGTGTTTTCCCTACAGAGACAAAACAATCAATAAAATGCTCCAGGAGTCCAGATCGAGCCAATCCGATGTTCACAAAGCCAGATAGTTTATTCGTGTGATGAACAAGAAGCACCGTGGCCAATAAGTTGATAATGACGATTGCATGTTGAGCCAATTTAGATCTTATCCATATAAGCAACGGCAGCCCAGCCAACAGCTATTCAGTGATGAATGTACGGTATGACTCCTGCTTGTAACTGTTGCCGATGATATGAACCTCATGTTCTGATGCTGCAGGCAACTCACGTGTGTGTATAGTATCTAGTGTCAACGGTATCGCACTAGCGTCTTGTATTCCACAGTGCCGGACGCGGTGTAACGGCTCGCGCGAGTGTATATTCAACGCCTTGAACGTGAGGAAAAGAATTGCGAGAGCTTCAGAATGGCCACGGGAGATCTGCAAAGCAAGTGAAACTCTGATTCTCGCCCTACCTTGCAGGACTCGAAGCCAACGCTCGGCAGGCAGGCAAGTACAACCAACGACTTGCAAGCACATAACTTATGTTGGATGACTTCTCAAGATGCAAAGATAGGCTGTGAGCCTCGACATTCGAATGTCAAGAACGTAAATAAGCATAAGTTCTCAGCTGAGGAACAAGGTGAGGCGCCTTGGAGGGCATGCTTGGGCGTGTGTTTGTCAGGGCCTCGCTTGTCAGCGGCTTTTGGCTTGTCAACGTCCCCCTGTGTGGCAATGTTGCTTATTCTCCCATCACCACACAGCCATTCAAACGGCGATTACTGTTGAGCCACGATCTTGATGGTTTTAAGCAAGTTCATTTCGGCGTGAATATTCGAAGTCAGTGGTGATGGGAACAAAGCCCTATATGAGCTGTGTTCCATCAAGCATCCATAGCCCTGCAGTCAACGCTAGAAAGGTGGCAGCGCTGATCGTCGCGTGGGGTCTTCGTGGGAAAAGCTTGGCATTTTTCTGAACGGCCCGACGCGCTCGCCGGCGGCCGTGTAGCGGCATCTCGAGGAGAGCTCACCTTTTTTACGTCATTTATTTGAGCGCCGTTTAGACGACCTCGCTAGCGGCTCTCGAAAAGGCTCGAGCAGCTTTCGCGAACCCGCTTAAACCTGTAGCTCACAAAGACCCTGGCATCAGTGCGTTCTGGATATCGCGGGCTCCCACCGGGATCTTATTCTACCGAGTGCCGTTGGGATAGACAGCCTCGACCTCTTTGGTGTGATCTGTTTGCTGCTCTCGAGCATGCCTATCTGTCAGTGTCCAATAAGATCAACGTCGCGGCTCCTTCGGTCGCTTACACTCACCTTGTGTGTGTTTACAGAACAGCACTCAATTCGAGCAATAGGCTATGCCATGGTTCTTACCAGAATTGTTTATCGTGATCCGGCTTCATTACCAATGTTGTTCATGTCTGGCCAACATAGATGAACTCAATCTCCCATGTGTGCTATGCTTAATCATGCGTTATGCTGAGCTTGGTTCTTCCGAATTACAATGACGGACCGCACCGGATGCTTGTGCATTTGCCTTTAGCGTGGTGGAACTAGTATAGTCCCTTCTCGTTATAGCAATGCTCCGTATAACGATATTCTCGATTAAGCGATTATTTTTCGTCAATCATTAAATTCCTCATATAATTATCGCTATTTCTCACCTTCTCGATATATCACTACCTCTAGAGCTAATTATCGCTATATTAAACATGCTATAGAGCCTCGCCGGCGATGCATAATTACTACTAAGTAGTATAGAGCTTTTCGTCGCTACGCGTAGTAGCACTGCACACTTAATTAGCTATAGCTAGCTAGCTAGTTTAAGTAGCAATTTGGCTATTAACCGTCTTAAGGAACTATCTCTAAGAGCCTCTTAGCGCGCTTTAGCGATCTCGATAGCGAGTATACTAGCGAAGGCCCTTTTTAGAAGAGGCTTCGCACGTAGCACTAGCTAGAGCTTAAGGTATGCCTCTACGAGTGGTAGCTTTAGATTAAGACTTAAGTACTAATATCGAACAACCTTCTTAAAGCTACTATGCTTCGCTTCTAGCATTAACTACTAATTTATCGCGACATAGAGGTACCTTAATTTAGTACTAGCTAGCTCGATAAATTTAAGAGGAGGTATGGCATTATAGAGAGAATTTAATATAGCAAAGCCTTGTTAATTAATAAGGCTTTAATTACTAAGTAGCTAGTCGCTATATAGGTAATAGCCTCTTAATTCTATCCTTCTAACACATATAATTGCGATGAATCTAGCCTCTTTTAGAAGATTACTCCTAATAGAGGCTAAGCTATATAAGCTATTACTAGTATAAAGCTTAAAAAGGCTTAAATAACTATCTACTTCTACTATAATGTAGATAGTAGCTATAAGCTACCTCTCTAGTTTATTAGTAAGCATAAGAAGCCTTAAGCTTTTAGTACTACTAATATTAATGTTAATTTGCTTAGCTACTACTAGTAGCATAATAGTAAGGCATGGATAAAGACTAATATTATAATTAAGAGGCTCTACTAGTTTAATTAGCAAGTTAGTAGCCGAAAAGTTCTCCTACTAATAGATAACTTCTTAGCTTATATAGCTACTATAGAAGCTATTAGATTAATACCTCTATAAAACATAGTTATCTACTAGCTTCTACTAAATACTATATTAAAGTATTAGCTACTAGATTAAGGTATTATCTATGCTTAGAAAGCTTACTACCGTAAGCGCTAGCTATTATATATGGTTAATTAATTTAAGGCTAGTAAAAACCCTCTTAAAACAACTAATATACTAAAAGCTATTTGCTAGTTAATACAAGCATAGTAGACTATTTTAGAAGCTACTATTACTAACTACTAGTACTACTTAACGCTTATTCTAAGGCCTTCTATATAGCAAGATACTATAGAAATTAGAGAGGTAACCTCTAAAGTTAGTAGCCTTATAAACTAGCTTTAGCAGCAGTAGCGAATTTAATTAGCTATGTTAATTAAGAGCTTTCTTAATCTAGCCGAGGAAGCTATTTAGAGCCTTATAGTAACTAGTCGAATAGAGGAGGAGATAGCTACTTAATTTAATCTATAGGAGGACCATAAATTAGAGGAGGAGCTTAAAGAGCTACTACATGTACTAATTAAATTAGCTATCGAAGCCTTATAGCTACTACGACTATACGAAGAGTAGTAGAGTAAGGCTTTAGTGCTAGTTATCGAGTAGCTAAGTAAGTACGAGGTAGTGCTACAAGATCGACGGAATAGAAGCCTTCGTTAAGCGCAAATAACTAGCTACTTCGTATAGCGTATATAATGCCAAGAGTCTTCGATTAAACGATAATTACGATATAACGATACCGAGGTAGTAGATAGAAACAATCGCTATAACGAGAAGGGACTGTATCACCTATTCATACTTAGCATAAGCTCTTTCCGGACTACGGGTCCAACCAGATTTGTATAAAAGCACACCCAATATATACATCTGGTTAGCCTGGTTTAGAGACAATGCCTGTTGACGTTATTCGGTCGTGATGTATACGATCGGTATCACTCGCAGGAAACTCGCAAGAAGAGTTCCTGACACTAGCAGCGTACGCGTGTGCTGTCAGTCGCCAATACTGAATGGGAAACGTTCCCTCATTCCGAACTTGGGGATATGGACATCTCCGAGGGTCCCATATCGCTCGGGAGTTCACACAACTGGGTCCAGTCCAGCCCTATCCAATGTTTTCGAATCCCGTGTAGATCTGGTCCAGCTCAAGCGATACGCACGAATGAGTCCTTCTGTGTGATCTACGGGACCAGAACCTTCAGCGGGGACCCACGTGGAATCCTTCGCTCCTGTAGAGAATCCCAAACTTACGGAGGAGAGTCGATGCAGGCGAGAGTCGGATACCGGAATGAGGGCTAGCATGTCTCCTGAGTAGTGGGGCTGTCCAGTTTGAGATGTTATACCTGAGAATGTCCTATTCGATGCTAGATGTGTCTCTAGATGGAGAGATTGCAGACCCGAAACGTTATATATTGAAAACAGTCAGGCCCAGATTGATAGAGACATCCCCAACATTGGTATTGCTCGAAGAGAGGACCACGTAAACCCAATACAAGTGGAAAGTCTCATTGATAGTTTTCTAAGATTCTTTGATGTGATGATTTGTGTCGTCAGCTACGGAACCTCGTGGAAGACGTACCTCGCACATGGCAGATCTTCGTGTGTCGTGACTCTTTTGGGTATGACAGTTCAGGAACAGGTTGAAGTTGCTGCTGTTCTGGATTCATTGATTGATCCTTCAACGGCAACGTCGATTGCCATGAGGTTTGCACAGTACGGCAAGAGATAGCGAGAGACACGCATGGCGAGAAACACGTGTGCTAGATGTTTCGGCTCGACTGAGTCCTGGATTCAGACAGTGTACGATGGCCAGCGAGTCAGCGAGCTGTTGTAGCTGTCACCAGATCGGCGACGTTGTCGGGTGAGTGCGGCTCTTGAAGTGTCAGCAGTTTGGCGCACACGACTGCTTCTAGACCCGTGCCGTATATCGTAGCAAGGGTTCGCTATTGTGTTTTCCTTTCGCACGCTGCTTGGGGAGCAATGTCGTCTTGACAGCGCAAACTCGGTATCCCTGTGCGAAAGATGTTGAGGTCAACCATGCTTGTGCCTGAGGAGATGAACAGAGAGCGATCGGCGAAATTGCAATAGCAAGTGCATGCAAAATGTTAGCTGTATATGCAACAAAATATTTGGTGTCCCGGTACATACGGCCACAGTCAGCTGAAAACTGGGCATCCCGTCCGCTCTGCCATACATAAGCAGTTGAACGGCAGATTAGTACTACGGTGGGTGACCACCTGCTGCTGTATGTTTTGTTCATGCAATTCGTTTTTGCTCGCGAATGATAAGATGCTCTACGTTGGGTTGTGGCTAGATCGTGGTGTCTGCATTGCTGATGGACAGAGATTTTGCGACTTGTCTCTTCATCACGCTTGTATAGACCTCGTCCCACACCGGACGCCGATGTTGAGAACGATGGCTTCGGAAGTAGATCAGCCTGGTCAAGATTTCTGGCCATACTGTTCGCATCGAATGTGATGTTAAGCACGCTGGGGCAGATTTGAGCCGCCCCTAGATTTGAGCCATCCGTAGATTCTAGCCATCCGTAGATTCGAACCATCCCTAGATGTGAATCATCACTACAAGTCGCTTTCTCATAATGTAACAGGTCTTTTGACACCGTCGTGTCTCTACGATCAAGTAACGCTACGGTATGAAGTCTTGATATAATGGAATATGAGTTCTCGTTCTGAGTGTCTATTGTTCTATGACTTTTAGAGCTAGTCGCACAAGACCCGAGATGTTGTTGTCCTGCACGAGGCTCTTTGCTTGGGTGAGCTCTTTCTTCCATGATAGCCATCTATCCTTGGTATAACCTCTCCATTCTTCGTCCTTGAACTTAGAGCCTGGCTTTGCAACCTTGCCACTATAAGTCTTGTTGCTGTCTGAGAGACCTTTCAGTGTAGGTCCGGCATACGCAAGCCATACTGCAGCAGCACCAACGGAAGCATCGGTGGTGTTCTCACCAGGCAAGTTCTCCCAATCCTCCTCGAGTGCACTTCTCAAACTCCAGATGCCGTAGAGAGAGTAGTCAAGAGCACTGTAACCTTGTCTCTCACCGCCATGCTCATTAATTGCCACAGCAGTCAAGCGTGCAACAAATGCATTGACATTGATCCATGCATCCCTAGTCTTTGCATCCACTTCTTTGTGATATGGAAAGTTCCAGCATTCGCGGGCTTGTTGGCCGAAGAAAGGAAGACCCTGCCAGACTTTGCTGCCATCAAAGTCGACCTCTTTACTATCGGTGTCTTTGAGTACAGAGGCATCGGTGATCAGAGATTGTAAAAGCTGCACAAGCGAGTCTTGCTGTTTTGAAGAATATGATTGCTGACTGGAGAGGTGAAGAAAGCTGTTCCATAATCTGCGTAGATGTGGTTCGAGTTCGTCCTTGGAGAGCGAAGACGTTGCGCACGCTGTGAGGCTGTCTATTGTGGCATCTGTCGTGTCTGAATTCACTAGATACGAAGAGAGTATCTTGTACTCTTCACAATCGGTGATCTGGGGTGAGATGTCCATTTTGTCGTAGCCTGGGTTGATGTTTCAATGGTCGCAATGAGGTATAACGTGAAGTAGGTCGCAAGGCACAAACAAAGATCAAAGTGAGGGAAAGAAGAGGAGATGTGTCTGTTACTGGCAATTGCTGTTGCCTTGATCTTACTCAGACCTACCTATGACGAATGATGACTGACGGATGAATGCTTCGAGAAGGTAAGCCTCATGCTCGTGCGTGCCCTGTCCCTGAGCTTTCAGGCTTCATTGAAGATTAATATGATCTGCAAATCTTACTACCGAGCACTTCAAGGCTTGAGCGACATACACTTCCACATGGCTCGTATCATTGGCTGATAGTGTAAGAAGCCGACAAACACAAGAGGCGACGTCCGACGTGAGGAAACACGACCCGCCTGCCAAGGATAGCATAGCACGAAGACGGCGGCCCGTGCCTCGTCGATCATCCAGCAGGAAGCGGAGGCATCACAACCTCCTCTCTTCTCTCCTCTGCAAATCATTCATCTTTCCTCGGCCGAAGCATGACTTGTGCCTCACAAGACGTGCTTTCTTATCAGTAGATCATTGGCTGTTTGTGATTTTGTAGGAGCACACTCCTCGGGGACCTCGGCATACCAGGACAGATGTTCAGGGCAATTTACTCAAGTAGGAAGGCAAGTATGCACGACACTTTTGAGCCAAGTTTCTACTTCCAACCTTGACCGCTGCTGAACACTACCGGTTTGATGTGCACAGCTGCATACCTGGAGATGCCCGAGTAAAGTCAGCGATTGGAGGGAATTGGGAGCACAACGCTTGCCATGGACTATCAACAACCTGTTACAGCACACGCTCTCGCTAATTTGGAAGTTACTTTTGTGCCCTGATACTCCTACCAATGGACGATAAGATAGCAGGAACGAGGCACATGGTCTTCGGATATATGGTTATCCAGGAGACTTGATCCTCCAACAAGAGGTAGGAAGTCAAATACCAGCCTGATCTCTGCAGTGCGACGAGACATCAGCTTCCTCTACGACTCTCCATTCGCTTTGAGTACTCAATTGCACATTCGCTGTCCTACATATACCTTCCGACTGAATCTCCTCCATCCCACCACCCATCCACACCTATCGAGATCAAGATGCTCTTCAACTCTATCCTCGCCACTGCCATGCTGTTCGCAGCCTCTGCCGTTGCTCTTCCTGTCGAGCTCGAAGCCCGCCAGTCATCCACCACTTGCGGCAACACCTACTACAGCGCTTCTCAGGTTTCGGCCGCCTTCAACGCAGGCTACAACGACTACCTGAACGGCGTCACCTACGGCAATTCAAACTACCCTCACCAATACAATGACTATGAGGGCTTTGACTTCCCTGTCGATGGTCCTTACCAAGAGTTCCCCATCAAGTAAGTTACTCATGTCACCAGACATGGTTTGGGCTGTATACAGAGCAATTCCTAACGTGTATATTAGGACTTCTGGAGTCTACACTGGTGGCTCTCCTGGTGCTGACAGAGTTGTTTTCAACACTAATGGCGAATACGCTGGTGCCATCACTCACACCGGCGCTTCTGGAAACGACTTTGTTGGTTGCTCTGGCACTGATTAAACGACAATGCTTCAAAGTCTTTGGAGCATAAGATTATGAATACACATATTACGAAACCAAAAGCTTGCGTCTTCGCCCTTTACCCATCACAATCCTCATCACGCTATAAGAAAATCATCTTCTCCAAAGCATCTATTGCAACATCCCCGTGTGTTAAGAATTGTAACGCGTATAGTTGTATGTAGAAATGCACAATACTAATAAGAAACAGAACAGTGTCCACTGAGAAGCGACGAGTTATAGACTTTCTGTGGATACATTCCTGCTCCTGAAAATAATCGTGCCTTGTTATAGTGTATGTTTTGCTCTGCGTCGTAGCGGGGGTACGGTGAAAGTCATAGACTTTGTACGTTTGAGTATCAAGTGATGTTTATCATTCGTAAAATTGGGTTCTATCATTGCCTCAAAAGACTAAGCCCATCCACCGCCCTTGCCACCAAATCCACTGCTCTCCTCTACGGGTTTCCTATTTCCACCCCTTTGGCTTTTCTGCTGTGCAGCTTCATGCTTCCTCAATTCCTCCGGAACCCTCGAGATGGAACTCTTACTCAACATCTGCTTCAAATCATAAAGAACGTCGTTATCCTCTGGACCCAAGAAGGTAATCGCAACACCGGACTTGCCAGCACGACCGGTACGACCAACACGATGGGTGTAGGATTCGATGTTTGTGGCCATGTTGAAGTTTATAACGAGAGACACGTCTGGCACATCGATACCACGACCTGCCAAGTCGGTGGCGACGAGGACTTCGGTCTTGCCTTCGCGGACGGAAAGCAGTGCTGCTTCTCTCTGTTCTTGTGTTTTTGAACCGTGCAGGGTGACGGCTGAGTAGCCCATTCGTTGGATATCCTTGGCCACGGCATCGCAGTTGCGCTTGATATTGACGAACACAATAATAGGAGGTGCAAACTCTCTGCTGGAAAGGATTTCTCGGAGTCGGTTTTTGCGCTTGTCTTCGCCGGAGACGAATTCGACGCGTTGCTCGACTGTGTCGACTGCTTCGCCGACGTTTCCAATTGTCACGATGGCAGGGCGACGCAGGTATTTTCTTGCAATACGTTCGACGGCGGCGGGCATGGTGGCTGTGTACATCATTGTTTGACGATAACGGCCTCGTTCGCCAACGTGCATCTGCATCGCTTGACTGTTTTCCGCTTCTTCGCTGTCTGGCTTTTCGTTGCCTACGGGCAGTGCGTCAAGGATCTTGTTGACGGGCTCTTCGAAGCCGAGATCGATCATGCGATCGGCTTCATCCATGATGATGTAGCAGCATTGTGAGAGGACCAGTACACGGCGTTCGATACAGTCGACCAAACGACCAGGAGTAGCGATGATGATTTCGGCTCCATTGCGTAGATTGTAGGCTTGTTCTTCTATCGAGTGACCACCAACGATAGACACACAAGTGAAGCCTAGAGGTGTTGCAAATTTCTTTGCTTCGATTTCAATCTGTTGTGCCAGTTCACGCGTCGGTGCAAGAATGATGGCGTAAGGACCGTCGTTTTTGGTGAGTTCGTTGAGAGCAGGCAATTCAGAAATGTAGACGAGGAGAGGTAACAGGAAAGCGGCAGTCTTACCGGAACCAGTCACGGCAACACCGATCAGATCGCGGGCCTGTAGAGCGACAGGGATAGCTGCTCGTTGAATTGGCGAGGGATCCGTGTAGCCAACTTGATCAATGACCTGCAAAAGTCGCTTGGGCAAACCAGACTCCCGCCAGTAACGCATAGGGTTCGGGATAGAACCACCCTTTGTACCAATGTTGAAATCTTCCTTGAAGATGCGCCAGTCTCGTTCGCGCATCTGAGAAAGTTCCTTTTCGCTCCAGTGCTTGTCGATGGCGTTGCGACTCTCGTACGCCTTTTGACGTTCCTTCATTTCCAAGATCTGCTGTGCTCGCTGCCTGCCAGTTTCGGGATCGCGTTCCTCGAGCAATTTGGCGTACTTCTCGGCAGCTGTCTCGTCTGCATCAGCGTAACCTCCCAGTCGTGCAGCAGGGGCAGCTCTGTCCTTGTATAGCGGGTCGGTGTTGGCACTAGTATCCTCCTCTGCGTTCCACTCGAAATTGAACTTCTTCTCAGTCGTTCGCTTGCGCTTCTTCTTTGCCGAGAAATTTGATTGATTCTGATCAGCGCCCATATATCTTTGGCGGATTGAAGCTTGGGCAGCTTCTTCAGGAGTGAGTCTCTTTGCAGTCTGGTTGCCATTCACAATGGCAGTCTGTTTGGGAGGAGGTGGTGGGGCCATGTCATAGCCTCTATTGTGTTGATCCTTGTTTCTCCAGCCAGCAGGACCCGAAGGAGGTTGACCACCTCTTTGACTCCTGGGACCAGTGGGTATGGCTGGGCGACCATCCATGGAACGATTATTGCCCGTGTTGATCTGGGCATGGGTACCATTGGATTGTGGCTTTGAGAAAGAATCGCGCTCAGCTTCTGATCTCTTCTTGGCTTCGGCAGCTTCTTTGTCGAGTTTCTCTTGTGCTATCCTTTCTCGCTCGGCACGCGACAAGAACTTTGGCTTCATGGCGGCGGCATCTGCGGCCTTCTTTCTTGCTAGGATCTCCTCGATGTCCAGTGGTTGACTCTTGGGCTTGACGGTACCCCAGCCTTTCTTTTGCTTCTTCGAGGGCATCATTGAGGGGCCAAGTTCTTCGTCATTAGCGTCGGGTGCTGGTGGTGGAGGCACATCGACGACAGGCGGCGGCGGAGCGGCGACATGTTCTGAAGGAGGCGGTGGCGGTGGTACATCTGACGGGGGAGCCGGAGGAGGGTCCATGGCGAATCTGTAAGGAGTTGTGTGTAAGAGAAAGTGTTGGTCAGAGAGAAAAGAAGATGGTTTCGTGATTCGCATGTGATCGAGAGTGCAGCCTGCCCGCAAAAGCTTCCATCAACCATCGTCATTCCAGAAACACCTTCTCCTCCGCACCTTCTTCCGCGCAACAACACATACATGATGAGCGGCGCATTGGGTCTAGGAGGCTACTCTAGTAGTGAGGATGAAGATGACAATATCGCGCCCGTCTCTAAGCCGAATCAGGTACACGCCGACAGACAATCGCGCGCCAAAGAATGGATGGCTGCTAATCAAGTCACATACTAGGCCGTCGCAAACAAGACAATTGGTGAAGCTCTGCCTGAAGTCGTGAATTGCATGTCTATATCCTACCATCGCCTATCTTACAACCTGCTAACTATCTTACAGCGAACAACCATAATGCAGCTCCCACCATGATCGTCGAATCCACCACTGAACCGCAACAACCTCCTCCTACAACCGCCTCAGTCCAACAAGCCTCACCTGCTCCGCTTGGTCCGGCTCTTGGTCCAGTTGCTGGCCCAGCTGCTGGTCCCTCGCCTATGCCAGAACCTCAGCCTCCATCAAACTTGGCTGAAGACGATGATGCCTCTGCTCCGCCATCACCCTACACGGCCAATCGTCTCATGCTCCGGAACCTCACCATGCCGCCAGTTCCCAACTTTCAAATACCACCATCACCACCTGGTTCACCACCACCAGACACGACAACCAAGTTCGCAAGATTTCTCGACCTGAAGAAGAAAGGAACCCATTTTAACCAACGACTATACCACTCCTCTGCTTTGCGCAACCCTGGTCTCTTGCCCAAACTACTCGACTTTGCCGGTATCAGTCAAGAAGACCAGTATGCAACACCATGGTCACAGGGTGCGGTTGCGACAAAATTCCCTGATTGGGCCTATGCCGACAAGTTGGTCGCAGCCCATGAGAAGATTGCAAGGAAAAAGGAACAAGACAGGGCCAAGAATCCAAGAGAGGCCGTCGATTTCGTGCCAGCAAAACAGGAAGCGCCTGCTTCAACATCCGGAAGAGTGGAGAGAAAAACACAAGGCAGAAGAGGTCTCGGCTTCGACGAGAGACGAAGATCTCGTTCTCCTAGATGAACAACACATATCACAGACCCCAGAACTTTTCGAATCGCATCTTGATGCCTTCCCAGCTGTTGAGTTTGGGACGGACATCAAGATAGAAGTTGAGAGATTTGCCAGGCTTGCCCTCATTCTTGCCAGCATAAAAGTCAATGACATAGTCAATGTGAGTACCGCAACGATCGACGATCCAGTCGTGTCTGTCGAAGGGTTTGGAGTAACCCAGGAGGGAGTTGAAGCGTGCTCGAGGAGTCAGTTCCTTGGACTGACCCATGAAGGAAACAAGGCGAGGACCACCACATCTGGTAGAACAGTTAGTTTATGTGATGGCAATCTTGACTAGTGAGATAAACTCACGCTTCAGAGCCTCTGCCCTTCTCCCAAGCCTTGATCTCCTTCCAAGCCTGCTCGTTGACGGCGTTGTGGATTGGTACAATGGTGCGCATGTCGGCAGCGTCAGGATCGTAGTTCTTGCGCTTCATGGCGTTGAAGAACATTTCCTCGGAAGGATAGACCCAGTTTCCACTCTTCTCATCGACTCCAGACTCTTGCTCGTTGTTTGCGGGACTGTGAGTGTTGGTGGCAGCGTCATGACCTTCGGCGGATAGGGCTCTCGGAATGGTCGAGATCTCGCGGAAGGTGTCGAGAGCACCCCGCTGTGCTGGCGACATCATGGCCATGTTCTTGGGTAGAATGGCCAGCCATGCGCCATGGTCGAGAGAGTAGCGAGTCTGGATAGGGACCTGGCGGAGGTCATGAGGAGGTGTGCTGGTGGGTATCGGCGGCGATGGAGTTGCTTGTGGCGGAGGTGCTGGAAGATCTTGTGATTTTGCCTTTTTGGCGTGGTCCAGCCATGCCTGGCGAGTTTCGTGGTCGACTGGACATGCGTCGGCTCCTGCAGCAGACATGTTGAGTGTGTTGGACGAGTCTAGTTGCGGTGACTATCACATGTCGAAACAAAAAGTCCATGAGCAGCGAGCGCGGCCAACGGCGCGCCAAGTCTCCGCTCCAGCCATCATCCAAGCTCCAGCGGGCGCGTCACTGCGCTGCGACTCCCAGTAGCTGCCAATAGCATACAATCAACCATCGACCATCTAATTCTCGTCACATCTCTCGTCTCTCTTTTGAACTCCCTATACCGACACTCAACCTCCCACATCCCGCACAACACTCTAATTCACAATGAACCACTTCCCTCACGGCTGGGGCAGAGTAAGCTGCATTCCTTGCAATCATGCGCCGCTTCCATACTGATTGCCTGTTCAGCCTAGAGACGATGTCTACGGCGCTTACGACTACTCGCACTTTGGCAACCAAGATCACGCAGGTCCTATCCAACATACTCAGTCACCCATCGTCACCGGTACCTCTGTCATCGGCATCAAGTACAAGGACGGTGTTGTCATCGCCGCCGACAACTTAGGTACACAATCTCGGCCATTCTGCTTAGTACAACATCACGTCTGACTCTCTTTCAGCTTCATACGGTTCCCTTGCCCGCTTCACCGATGTCAAGCGTCTGCGCGTCTTCAACAAACAATCCGTCGTTGGCTTTGGTGGCGATGTTTCCGACATGCAATACCTCGATCGCCTTCTCGGTACCCTCAACATCAACGAGAACTACCAATCCTCCGACGATGCCACCCAGCTCTCAGCAAAGAACCTGCACACATACCTCAGCAAAGTCATGTACAAGCGTCGCTCCGACTTCAACCCCTTGTGGAATGCCATCCTCGTTGCAGGTCTCGATGACAACAAGAAGCCCTTCCTGGCCAGCGTTGATCTTCTTGGTACCACCTTCAGTGCCCCGACACTTGCTACCGGTTTCGGTGCTCACCTCGCACAACCCGTCCTCCGCCGCGTGGTACCCGACGAAGAGGCAGCAGCCAAGTTGACTCGGGAAGAGGCCGTTGAGACCATCAAAGAGTGTATGAAGGTCCTCTTCTACCGCGACGCAAGGAGTATGGATCAATACAGCATCGCCGTCATCGACGGTCAATCAGGTGTTGATCTCAAGGAGTCTGAGAAGCTCGAAAAGCAGAGCTGGGCATTCGCAGAAGGCATCAGAGGTTACGGCACCCAAACAGCATAGATGATGGAACTGCACGCGTAATTCGGCATCATGACATGAACGGCGTTTTCTCTTTAAGCAGAACGGGGGTTAGGCTTTGCACCCATGTATACTACCAACAAGTGGATCTTTTGCACGTCCAAACATGCACACCCTCTTCATCTGATGCTATTTTCTGTGACTCCTTCGGAAGAATGACCTTCCTGAATCGACTTTACTCACCGGACAACACCCCGGTTAGAAAACAGTACGTTTCTGTAGCCATTCATGTGACAGATGTTCGCCCACGTCGACGCCGAGCTTCAGCCATCAGCTTGACGACTTCTCGACCCGCGAGTCATTTCTCGTTTCATGTGCGAATACCTGTTACAGACCTTCTATCCTTTCTAATAAACAGTCTTCTCGAAGCTTGGAAATATGCCTTCGCCATTGAATCACCATGATTGCGCAAACATAGTTTCTGACTGAGACCATCTCTCATCCACTGATTCAAACACCGCATTGGTCGACTATTCTATGTCATGAAGACAGCACTAGTAGCACACACTCTTGCTCGTCCTCGTCAGTCGCTGTCTAGGTTGAGTACCTTCTGCGCAGACTTTCCACTTGTCGGTCTGTGAGACCTTCCAAGTTTTCGTCAGTTTTCTGAAACTGGCACTTGCCATGGCGCCTCGCACCTTCCAACGTGCTTCTTCGATTATCGAAGCATCTCATTCTTCTCGTGTCAAGCTTCCTTATGAGCTCTTTTGCCACAGTTGGAAGGCCTTATTCTGGTAAGTCTGGTAAGCTTCGTTGCAGGATGATACTCGTGCTCGGCGGAGTTTGACACATGCCTGGATATTCACCAGAAGGTCTTGTTCCCGACCATGCTGAGTAGACAGCTGAATCATGCCTAATGAGTGGAGGGTTTGTTTCCGTCCCATATATCCTATTCTTGATCCTTCGTCCTACCTTTTCTCGAAGCCTTTTCGTGATCCAGACACAACAAGACTTCAGCAAACATGAGTGATCCGACAACGATACCGGCGAGACCACCACCACCGGGTGTCACCAGCAATCTCACCAATCCCGATAGTACGGGATACCAACAGACGATATGCAATATTATCTGTGTCATATTTGTCACCATTTTCGTTTCGATGAGGATATACACGCGCATCAAACTGGTCAAATGTGTCAGTTGGGATGACTGTGAGTATCCCAGCCCTACTCACGATAAGAGACCTTCGTATAGGACAGTCTATTGACTAAAGAGCAGATCTCATGATTCTGGCAGCATTCGTGTTCTACCTCGATGTAGTTTGCTTCCAATATCTAGTCAAAGTTGGCTTGGTGAGTACAATTCCTCTTCAATCTTGCCCTATATACTGACAATGTACAGGGTAAACATTTATGGAATGTCAGTGTTGCAGACTTCTCGCCCGCCTTCCTGGAAGTTTGGACTTTTGCTGCCATGATCTACTCGGTATGCATGCTGATCGTCAAGATGTCGGTCCTAATGCTATACCGACGATTGTTCCCTATCGAGAACTTCAGATACTTGTGGTGGATATGTGCATTCTGCACTGTGGGTTATGGTCTAGGTGCCATCTTCTCAAGTCTCTTTGCCTGTGTGCCTGTTAGAGCTAATTGGTGAGTGGTTGCGATATCATCTAAGCAACAATCTGTACAAAAGTTCTGACTGATCTGCTTGCAGGGACCTGGCTATTCCTGCCTCGAGATGTATCAACAAGAAGGCATTTTATATTGGCAATGGTGTGATGAATATCTCTAGTGAGTCTTCATCTTTGTGTCAATACTGCTTCGCCGACAGCAAAAGGCTAACAATTTCACTACAGCGGATTTGATGATCTTGGCTCTGCCCATACCAATCGTATGGAGATTGACTCTTGAGCTCAGACAAAAGATTATTCTTAGCATTGTCTTCACGCTAGGCTCGATGTATGTACTTGCCCTGCACAGCTGTTAGTGATGCTGTACTAATTCGGTTGCTATAGTTCCTGTGTCATCAGTCTGGTACGCCTCCTTAGCATCGTCACCTGGATTCGCGTAGGCGACGACGATATCACATATACACTCCAGAGCATCGTAGTCTGGTCGTGAGTCCTATCTCTCGTCCCTACTTCCTTCAACAACAAGTCAACTAACACAAATCCAGCGAAATCGAACTAGCAGCTTGTATTCTCTGCGCCAACGCGCCCTGCCTGCGTCCATTCTTCAATACTCACCTCCCCTTCCTCTCTCTTCACACCCACCGCTCCTCCTCTTCAAACGAAAAATCGAACCCTCTCGGCGGAGGAGGCAACAATTTTCCTACTACAATAGGCGGAAAGCGTTCACGCGCCATCTCGCCATGTCCTCTCTACGACGACACGGATGGCATTTTCGACGGCACCCAAGACGTCGAACTCGAAAACTACGATATCGAAATGGCTGCTCCTTCTACATCCTCCTCACCAAATAAAACCCCAATAACAACAACACAAACGACAAGAAAACACTCTTACGCCAAACACGGCTATAAGCCCTCTACAGGAAACATGACTATTGTTTCTGTTTTGTCGCGGCAAGCAGAGAGCAGAAGAGGTAGTGTTTCTTCTTCTTCTGAAGACAGTACTTTGGGAAAGGGCAGCGTTAGTAGAAACCATAGTTTGAGGAGTATTAGAGGCAGAAAAGGTACAGATGAGAAAAGAGGGAGAGCTAGTAAAGAGGAAGAGGGCAGGATTGTGGTGCATACGACTTATGAAGTGAACAGTGTTAGGGAGGATGTTTGAACCTACTGGGACGGTTGGGATTAGCTGATTAATGTCTTTTTTTCTTTCGATTGTTGCAGGTACAATCTATCTTTTTCATGTTCTCGACTGCAGTGGTGAAAGAACAAAATATACACTATAAAAAGGCATAAATGTTATCGGTATCAGATGCGTGCCCACGGAGAGCTAACAAGTCGTCGCTCTCGGAGGACACCACTCCTTTCCATAATGATATTGTGCATTTTCACAGCTACAGAAAACTAGCACATAAAGGACAGAGGACATGACTGTTGCAAACGATCCATCGTTCAAGTACTGATATGTACATCACAAACTGATCATATTCACTTTTGTCATCTTTAAAAACACAGCTCTCTCCTACCCAATTCATGTCATCAGACTGAATCTCGGAAGCGCCAGCTGGGAGCAGGTCGCGCGTCCTGATATCGAGTTCTTCCAGCCTGGCTCACGAGTACCCCATTCGCGTCGAGTGCTGTATGTCAAGGCATGAGACGTCGACACTCACGTCCGTGAACAATAAGGAATAAAGCTCTTACGATGGTGCAGTCATGCAAGGTGGATAGTGGTGTATTAAGGAGAGCAAATCGTGATTCAGTTAGCTGTGAAAAAGTATGTCGATCTATACCCATATTATTATGCAACCCAAGAACAAAACGCTATCAGGATCTAATGTATTAAAAGACACCATATACCATGCTGCTACCATGCCGGTTGCTGACGCTAGATGCTAAACAGAACGCAAAGTCGACTTTTTATATATACACAAAAACAACAAAGAAGTAGGTTAGACAAGCAATTCAACAGAACCACTTATACACCTTCTTCCACCTCGGCCATTGCGCCTGTTCAGCCCTCTCTTCAGCAACCAGCTCAGCAACATTGATTTCTCGGATACCAGTGTGCAAATCCATATTATGACTGCGGATAAACGGCGTCTTGTAATAAATCTTGTAAGGAACGTAGAAGAGAATGACGACGGGTGCAGCGAGGTAAACCTCAAAAAAGCTGATCAGTAATTCGCTAGTCGTCATGTCGGCGTATCCGATCGGTGCAAAGCCAGTCCAGAATTGTGCAATCAGAACAAGAATGTTGAGGATCAGACCAAGCCAGGAGCCGATGAGACCAGGTTGGGATTTGAAGGCTAGTTCGTCCAGACTGTGGCCTTGCACTTTCCATGCTTTGCGGAAGCGGATGTGGGCGAGACAGATGCTGATCCAAGTAAAGATGGAGCTGAGTCCAGAAAGTGCCAGCATCCAGTTGAAGGCGTCGGTCTGCTTGTCAGAGCCAGCGAGGAAGGCAAGGAACCCGAGCGCTGAAGAGATGAGAATCGAGACAATCGGACGGCCCTTGCGGTCGATGTAGCCAAGGATTTTGGGAGCCTGGCCTTGGTCGGCAAGAGCTGCGAGAGTACGTGACGAACCGTAGATGGAAGAGTTGCCGACCGAAAGAACGGCAATCAAGATGACGGCGTTCATTACAGAAGGCAGACCTTCGATACCGGCATTCTTGATGGCAATAACGAAGGGACTGGCCTTGGCGTCTACGCTGCTGGTGCCATTGATCAGACGCTTATCGTTGTAGGGTACCAGGAGGCCAACGAGAGTCAACGAAACCAAGTAGAAAAGGAAAATTCTCCAGAAGACTTGCTTGACCGCAGTGGGTAGAGATTTGCGAGGGTTGGCAGTCTCGGCAGCGGCGAGACCGACCAGTTCGGTTCCAGCGAAAGCAAAGGCGGCGGTCACAAACACACTACAAAGACCTTTGAAACCGTGGTTGAAAGCTCCCGGATCTGGAGATGTACGTTAGTCTAGCTCCTGCACGCATGAAAGATTTGTACGTACGGTGCCAGTATTTCCCACCAATATAACCGCCATCAGGACCACCTCCGACGTTAAGAATGACGCCTAGGATGATAAATCCAACGACTGCAATGACCTTCAGAATGCTGAAGACAAACTCAGCCTCACCGTATCCTTTCACACCAAAGAGGTTGATGCCGATAATGACGAACAAGAAGATGGCTACCCAAGCATCTGGGTTAATCTTGTCGTTCCAGAATTGGATTGTGATTGTAGCAGCAACAACCTCCAGAGGCAAAACAACCAGCCATTGCAAAGCATAGTTCCAGCCCATAGCAAAACCCCATGCAGGATCGAGGAAACGTGTCGAGTAAGCCGAGAAGGAACCCGCGATGGGGAAAAGAACTGCCATCTCTCCAAGGGCGTGGACCGTAGTGTAAAGCATGAACCCGATAATACCATAAGCAATGATTAGTGAAGCAGGACCTCCGTTGGCAAGAGCTGATCCAGATCCGACGAACAGACCAGTACCAATCGAGCCACCAATTGCAATCATCTGCAAATGACGACCTTTCAAGTGTCTGGATAAGCCCGAATCTGCAGTCGCTGCATTCGCCTGCTCAACATCAAATACTTTTCCGTCTGCGCCGACTACTCCTGGAGGTGTAGCGTGTGCATTTGGGTCGCGCTTGAAGCTGTCGATGAAGCGTGCTCCCCATGATCTAGGCTGGTCGTAATCGTGGCCAACCTCGGTTGCGGAGTCTGAAGGTGAAGAATATTGCGCGGCATTGGGGATAATCCCCTTTGCGTCTTCCATGTTGTTGGTTGTGTCGACTATTTGGCTGCGATTATTCGAGCGAAACCTTGAGACCAAAGTGGAGATGAAAAACAGTAGAAATATGTCGAGTTTTGCGAATGCGACAGCGAAAATCGCAGGCTGTTGTACAAAAAAGCGGAATGCACCTTCAACGAGTGTCACCGACCCTTATTAACGTCAAAAGGCTTAAGGCCCTGCAAGCCGCTATCTTTGCGGCGCCACCGGTTTTGTAAAGGCAACTACGACAGACAACTCAGTCGCGCCGCTGGCAACGAGAATGACCTCGACTTGTGATTCGAAAAGGAATATGTGTGACACATTTTCCTGACACGGAGCGACTCGAAATTGATGAGATCGACCCTCCACTGTGCTCCACAGCGTCGAGATTTCAGACAATTCACCCATTGATAGGCACGTGAGTCCTTGTTATTTCCATGTTTGACTCGGGTAAAGTCGCGGTTGGCAACGGCCTTTCTACTGGGTGGGCTTCAACCAGATCGTCACGGCGACAATCCTTCAGTCGTCTGGTATCGATCGATACCAATCATTCGTGCGCTGACCAGCACTTACAAACATCAGCTGCGTACCGCAGAGCAATGTCCAGACCAATGATTACAGATATGATCGAATGCACCAGTGTCGAATGCTTCGATTGTTGGTTGCATGCATGTTGTGTTCATCTGCCGAGTCAAGAGACTTGAAAACCCTTGGACCCCAGCCCGTCGCAAAGTGGACCAAGCTTCTGCCGGCAATGGGGCTCGTGCTCAAGCGGCTTGCAGGACAGCTGCAGTCGAAGGACGCACAAGACATGCAGAGAAGTCTCGAAAATATCGCTGCCGGTCAGTCACTGGCTGAGACTCTTGAGTTGTACTCGGGCTGAAGCATAGCCACACGGTGTGTCCGATATCACATGCTAGATTTAATCAGACAGTTTCCTTTGGACCATGAATTTGGACCATCCACTACCTGATAGGTATAAGCTGAGTTACAGTCCTGCAAAGTGAGTAGTAATAGGATGCCTCTCGCAGATACGATGGCTGAGACTCCGCGCTGCCTGACCATGGTTGGCAGACACCGGCTTGCACCCTCCACAACTCCACCACCAAGAATGTCAAGTGTTGCCCAACCCCTCGTCCTCTATCACCTCTGCTCGACCTTCGCTTTCCTTCCTAATCCTCTCCCTTACATTCATCAGAGCAACACCAAGCAGATTCTGTCCCCATTCCTCACGCGGAACCGCCATCGCTTGCTCAGCATCAAACCCAATCCCCCAAACCCGATCAAACCTCGATGCCTCCACCAACTCTCTGTCGCCCGTCTCCAACAACAACCTCTTCAACGCCACTGGCTCTCCTTTTCCCCCCATCTTCATCCCCTCACCATTATTCCCCTGCGTAAACTTCAAATAATTCCCCCTTTCCACCACCTCAAGTTTGATTTTCTCCCAAGCTTTTACGTCGAAGTTTTGCACATCTCGTCCTAGTTGTTTTTGTTTGCGAGGTGATGTTGTTGCCATAATCGCTTTTGCAGAGGCTTCATCACCAGCAAGGTGAGCTTTGTTCCACATCATGTATTGTTCGGCACAGCTGAATCCAAGACCGGAGATTGGATCTGTGAAGCGACTGCGGTACCATTGGCAGAGGAAACCGTAGGGTTGTTCATCGTCTTTGAAGAAGAAGATGGGTGCGCCGACTGTGGTTCTTGGTGGTAGGTCTGGCTTTTTGGTGGGTTCTGTGTTGGTTTTGTTGGATTTGGATGAGGTAGGCTTTTGCTTGTGGCTTTGCTTGTTGTGTTTCTTGCCCATGATGAGTTGCTCGGGACAAGGGTTCGACTTCTGATGTTATGGATGGAAGACTACCATATGGTAGTGCTTTTCTCGATAAGAGGAGGGAGTAAAACATCTCGACATAGGTGTTAACTATTTGCATATCGCTCTTACTCTGCAGTGACTTAATGCGGAATTTGAGGTTGTTTCCTCAGAGACTTGATTGCTGCCTGAAGCATATATTCAGATTCAGTAAGAACGGGTGGCCGTCCTCGTATCATGAATTGTTCTTCCCTTCTCGCAACATCGCTTCAACTGCTACTTGTCTGAATTCAAGATAATGATATGAGATTGGTATCTTTAATGTGGAGACCCTATGTTCAGCAATTCACTTTAAAATAAGAAGGCAAAACCTCTGGGGACATACGAGCAAGCAGTGGCAATGGCAGTGAGAAGAAACACATCTCCTCTTACTCCTCATTCTTATTATCGCTTTAATTACTAAAGTACAGTTATACCTTCCCATGCATACCCAAACACTTTGTAGCATTTTCTGTTGGTACAAAAAAAAAGAACATCATGACCTATTTCTCAGCGCCGCTAATGCCCAATCCCTGACTTCTATCCCCTTCCTCCTCATCTCCACTAACAACTTGTCTACTCAAAACATCTTCAGCGATGGTTTTAGCATCCCTGCTCAAAGTCGGCGATAACTCAGGTTCCTCAGAGACTTCCTCATCACCCAAGTTAGGAATGATAGTAACATCAGCATCTGGATCTTCCTCTTCTTCCTCTTCCTCAACTATGAAAGCAGTCCTATCTTCTTCAATAGGCGAGAAACTTTCCACTTCTTCTACTTCCAACTCTTCTTCGTCTTCTTCGACTAATCGCATACCCTGGTCTTGTAAGGTAACTTTGCTGCCGAAAAAGTCTTTGGGTTCTTGCTGTTGCTCCTCTTCTTCCTCGTCTTCTTCGGCTATGGTGATTTCGTTGCTCCGTCGTCCTTGTGCGCTGGTACCGCGGCTGTTGTCGCCAGAGTTGTTACCAGAGCCTCTACCCCGTGCACCAGGCGTGTTGCCAAGGCTGGGCCCTTTGAAGACGCTGCGTTTCTTCTTTGCAAAGACGGGATGCATGCCTGGAGATGCAGGGCCAAACGTGTAGCTCATGGGTGAGTTGAGGGCTTGGGTGGTCAAGGTGGGTAGAGAGCCAAGGCTGCCAGGTGGAGGACGACGGGCAACTCTTATACCAGAGGGGAAAGTGCCGGTGACTGAGGATGTAGGTGTAGAAGGAGGTAAGACCACGACACTTCCGCTAGTGTGAGGTGACCTGGATATAGCGCGGGAATGTGTGCTGAGAGATGGAGAAGCCACTGAATTTGAAGATGTGGTGGAAGCGCGAGAGAGGGAGTGGTGGTGGGTGTGAATACTGCGAACAGATGAGACTGACGAAGAGGTGGACTTTCTGCCGCGCAGGCCAGAGCTGCGACGGTAGATGGAAGAGCGGGGTGTGACTGGTCCTGGGGATAGAGACGGTCTGTTCGCAACATGAGTCCGAGATCCTGTGGAGCCATAGGATGATGCAGTAGATATACGTGGACGCACGGGATATGTTGTCCGTGTAGGCATTTCAGGCCTTGGACTCTTGTGCGGGTCCGTTAGAAGGTCATTAGCAGAACCTCTTCGTTGACTCGATGGCATAGAAGCTTTGCGAGCAGTCGCCAGTTGAATTTCAATATTCTCCGGGCTGTCCTTCTTGTGCGACCTCCCACTACTGGCCTTGAACCAGGATTTAAGATGAGCGAGCTGGTCTTTGAACGGGCGTTTGCGTAATTTCTGGTGGAATGGCGGAGGGGCTAGTAGGTCATTCTTGGTGTGTATGACTTGCAGTAGTTGCTGAGAACTGCCTCTGCTCGCAGCACGCGGTCTCTTTGGCGTATCTTTCGGCGGCAAAGCGGGACCACAAGTTGAGGGAGTAATGGAAAGCGAGCGACGACGCTGATCCTTCTCTACAGGCGGCGGTGGTCGCTCGTCGGGTTCGGGTGTTTTGCCTTCGGTGACTCTGGGCAAGTCGGGAGGAGCGGCGCTGGACCTGCTCACACCGCGACCTCTAGTCTTGGGCGAGATTATGCTTAGTAGCGCTTGCTCTTCCTCAGTAATCTCTCTCAGACTTGGCGCATTCAACAGACGACTGCTGGATGCGCTCAATCGTCGTATACTCCTCGCTTCTGCCTCTTTCTCTCTTCGCTTCCTCAACCGCCTTCTCTCCTTGCGTTCTTCTTTTTCAAGCAGCAGACCCCACCAGCCAGCCAGAGGGTCGCATCTTTGTCCCAAAACATTCTCAATAACGTGATCGATATTGACACCAGCACTGCGCATACGTTGGAGTGTCGCTTTCTCGACTTCTGTGCTGAACGGCGGCGGTTGCAAGACCTTGAGGATCTCCTGTTGCTGAGGGGCGTATTCTTGCAACCAGGGATGGCGAAGGACATCAGCCAGCGGCGGTCGTAGCAGAGGACGGCGTGACAGAAGTTTCGACAGAAGGTCCTTTGCGCCTTCTGGGACGTGTTCCGGGTACTTTGGGTCTTCCTTCAAGATGCGCTGTTTTGTATCGTTCTCGTCGTCTTCATCAAACGGCAGTTCTCCACACAAGAGAGCGTACAAGATGATTCCTAGACTCCAGACGTCCACCTTTTCACCAGCATATTTTTCTCCTTTCAACATCTCTGGCGCGCTGTAGCAGACGGTGCCGCACCATGTTTGCAGGTAACTCGTGGTGCCTTGGTATTCGCGCGTGAAGCCAAAGTCGACCAATTTGACATTGCCGTGCTTGTCGAGCAGGATGTTCTCGAGTTTCAAGTCACGATGGACACAAGATTTCGAGTGGACGTATGAAACTGCGCCAACCAGTTGTGTAAAGATCTTCTGAACCTTGTTTTCTTCCATGCGACCATGTTCGAGGAGGTGGTTGTACAACTCATCGCCGGGACACCATTCCAAGACTAGCCATACCAGCGACTCGGTGACTATGACTTCGTAGAGACGAGCAATGTGGGGGTGGAGGAATTGACGGTGGTGGTGGATCTCGCGTGCGAGGTTGGCATCGTCCTTTTTGGCCGACTTGAGTACGACCTGTACGGGTCAGCGTTGTTGAAGCGTGTGCGAAGAATGGTAGGGCCAGACCTTTGAGCCATTGATGAGCTTGTGCGAGGCCAAGTAGACCTTTCCGAATGAGCCCTTGCCTATCAGGCGGCCGACGGTGTAGTTGCCGACAGTACGGAGATCCTTGCTGCTGAATTCGCTGTTGGGTCGTGTGAGTAGTGTCCAACCTCGACAAAGCAAGAGCGGTCTTACTTGAGAAGCTCGCTGTAGGAATTGGCAAGTTTGGTCTTTTGGTCGTGGAGCTCCGCTTGCGCTCTCGCGGCGGCGGGTGGCATACGTCGAGCGAGGTATGCGCTTTTCTGTCGCGCAACCCCTAACTACTGTCTGTCCGCTATGCTGTACAGTACAGTTGTGTCAACATCCGAATCTTCCTCTGCTCGTCGCGCTCTTGATATTAGCTATTATCGATAATGCTGGCTGGTGGCTGAAACGGGTGGCTGTTGACGTTGCGCCGCTGTCGCTGTTGTCGTGTGTCTAGCTGTAGTCGTTGATGTCGTCGTTGCTATGCCAGGATATGATGATTTGTCGTCGTCTTCTCGAAAATGGCCAGAGACTCGGGGCCTCGTTGTCGTCGTCGTCAATGCATGGCATTCTTACGCCAACCTCATCTCCGCCCGGTCCCCTGCCGCTCTCTTTTGTGATTCGGTGATTGCTGTGGGGAATCGACATCACCACATTAGAAACATCACCCCATCTGCAAACCCTATCAAGCGTGTGGCGACCTCTTCCTTGTTCATATTGCACTTCAGATATACTGGGACAATTCGCTGTAGTTTGAACGGACATTCTGTGCCGACGGCTCGAATACGATGTCTCATCCTTTGTCTCTTGGCTTCTCCCGCCTTTGCATGACACTTGCATCACTTCCTAGCTACTCCTAGTTTCTTCTAATGTCCGCTATTGCCTTGCGTCTGTAATCGCTGTCCGCAAACAGTGCCTCGATCAAGTCTGTCACTTCGTCTGCATCGAACTCAAGTCTCAGCTCGCCTTCCGTCCATAGATATTTGATGTCTGCGAGTGAGCTCTCCAGCAATTCTCCCAGATACTGGAACTTGAACCAGTTTGGGCAGTAAATTCCCGTCATGTCACTCGCCTCTCCACCTTCTGGATGCTCTTGCATGAACAAATCCTTGACTTCTGAAATCTTGTCGCAGAATTGGCGAAGCTTCTTCGATTCCTCTTCACCAATGTCCTGTATCTCTTCAATCTCCATAATCATCTTGCTTATCGTTGTGCTGAGTAAAGATCCTGAAGACTGCAACAATGCGGATCGTGACAGAATCGGTGTCCATTGCTTGTGCACGTCACGCAGTCGTCCCTCAGTGATGCTTACTGCACTGTCGCACGCGCTTGCGAATGGTTCGGCATTGCAGTTGGAGAAGCCTTGAGCTCCGTCAAGCATATCTCGGATGATTGTACGCTGCGACTCCATCTCAGCACTGTATGCTCTCTTGGCGAATGTCTCCAACGCTTTGATGTCATTGTCCAGTCTAAGTCGTGACGATGGTCGTAGGTGATTTGGTAACGTTGATTTTGCGTCTTTCTCTGCTTGCTTATTGACGAAAGTTCGGATCTGATCAGCCAATCGAGATGCATCGTTGTAGATCAGCATATTGCCAGAATCCAGTTTGCTGTAAGCTGTTGATGCTGTAGCCCGATACATGGCGAGTACAAATGTCGGCAAAGTGTATAGTGCGGAGGCTGCTGGTCCTATGGGTGATCCTGAGTAGCTGTTGCAAATGTCAGTACACCCACCATATTAAGAGCTGATCAACCTTACCTAGGATCTGTCAAGGTCTCGGCATCCGACACAACTTGCATGACAATTTCGAGCATACCGTCCGGCACTGCCGTCACTGTGTAGGTCTCTCGTAGCGTGAGTTCCCTGTCGCCAGATTGTGTAGATTGATCCGTCGGAGCAGCCTTTGTCATCTTCTTGGGAGAGTCTGGCTTCGGTGCTTCGTCCGTGGCTTGTTCATCGTCTCCCCAACCCCAAGCATCTGCTGCATCGTCTTCCTCTTGATTTTCTGCATTGTCTTTCGATTCTGTGGGTGCTTCTGCATCGTCATCATCCATGTCCCAGGCACTGCCATCATCGTCGTCATCATTCGTTGAAGGTTCAGGCTGTTTGGTCTCGACTTCTTTCGTCTCTGGAGTGTCTTCATCCCAGTCAGCGGCCCAAGCATCATCTGCTTCGTCAACGTCAGTACCACCCATAATAGCATCTCCTTTTGACACAGTCTGCGTCTCGACTCTCTCGACAGTTTTCCTGTCTCTGAGCCCAGAAAACAACAGGCTTCTTGCTGCACCAAGTGCCGTTTCCCTGCGTTTCGAAAGCCATGTTCTTGGAGCATTCTGTACCCAGTCCTTCAACAGAGCAGTACTGGACCAGTTGAGACCATCGATCTGTTCGGCAAGTCTCGATACACGATCCAGGATTTGTTGAAAGACAGGCATCTGCTCAATTTGTACAGGGACAGTCTGGTCGAGCCAGGTATATGTGAGTGTCTCGAACAAGAACGGTAATAGCTTCTGGGACAATGGTTCGCAAATAGACTTGGGCAGATGAGTTGACAAGAAGTCCAAGGCTGTCCAGATGTCATCCAATGTAGCAATAGTGTCGGGTCTAGAAGTTGACTTGGACACACTGATAGAACCGTCACTAACTTCGAACACTGTGTGTTGGCCAGATTTTGTGGAGAGACGTGGGTTGAAGAGGGCGAATTCTATGTCACGTTTCAAGCGCCTGATATAGACGTCCAGGCCTCCAAGATATTCCAGCGTATCCACAATCAGTGTCAAGTCGACAGATGGTACATCAGGGATTTGGTCTCTGATTCTGACGGAGCGAGAGTCGGTATCGCATTGTATGAGCGACTGGGCGAGGGCTGTTGTCTTGTCCAGGAAGTTTGATTTGAAGCGTGAGCTGCGTGTTTGCAGCAAACCGACCGCTCGTGTATCCTGAACGGCAGATAGAGCAGTGATAGACTCATCACATTGCTTCAGGTGATCAAGGGCAGTGCGTAAATCGTTGTTGACGTATGCTTGGTCGGCGTTGTCCAGTATGCGACATGACGACCTGATCAAGTCCAGAGTGGTAGCCAGGGACTCGTTGAAGGCGACCTCTTTCTCAAGCAAGCGAACTTTGTTCGCAGCATCGTGTGTCTTCTCTTTCAAGGCCTTGCCAGCTTCGGCTTGAGCTACAATGTCCCGTGCTGTCGCCTTGGATCGTTCAATGTCGGCTTGAAGCTTTTTTGCTTGAGCGATCCATCCGTCAACGTCGGGCGCGATATCTTTACTCAAACTCCGAATGTCTGTCTAACCACGAGACGTCAGACACTAACGATACATCAAAGGTGTCCACTGCATACCTTGACTTCGTCCCGAGCTTTCTGGAGATCGGCCAAGAGGTCGGGGATGAGGGCGGAGGGTACTTCGGCTGACGAGATGTCAGGCTCAGGGTAAGCGCCATGCTCGACGCTGTCAACGATGGCCTGCTTGAGCTGGTCGTTGGTCGACATTGTCGCGACTGTATTCTCGAACCGCTGACGTTGATGCAACAAGAAAGCTCCAGCCTGTCAATAGACGTGCGGGTCGGTCCGCTGTTTAGCGTCGTCGAAGGCGGTGTCTCGAGACCACACGTTCTGAAGACAGGACGACATGTTGGAGGCGAGCCTGCTGCTAGCCATTTCCAACATCTCGTTTGCTTCTATTCTGAATTACGCATAATCTTGCAAACTCACTCTCTTGTTTACACACCTGGCAATCTCCCTTTTTCATCGGCTTCTCACAAAGACTGCCGTTGCTCAAAAGTCTTACAAAACCATTCCCGCGGCTTCTTGCTGCTGTACCAATTTCATCATGCCTGCCGCAAAGACTCAGTCCCATTTCAAACCCATCCAAAAATTCAAACTCGATTATGCTCCTATCGGTATTGCTCAGTATGAATCCGAACGTACTGGCATGCGTGTCGTCGTTGTGGACCAAAAGGGTCCCAAGGTCTATGGTTATTTTACTCTAGCCACCGAAATCCATGATGATTCGGGTTCGCCGCATACTCTTGAGCATCTTTGTTTCATGGGTTCCAAGAGTTATCGCTACAAGGGCGTCCTCGATAAGCTCGCCACTCGTGCTTATTCCAACACGAATGCCTGGACCGCCACTGATCACACCGCCTATACTCTGGAAACTGCTGGATGGGAGGGTTTCGCTCAAATTCTTCCCGTCTACCTCGAGCACGTGCTTGTGCCCACTTTGACTGACGCTGGATGTTACACCGAAGTTTTCCACGTTGATGGTACTGGTCATGATGCTGGTGTCGTCTATTCTGAGATGCAGGGTGTTCAAAACCAACAGGGCGAGCTTATGGAGTTGCAAGCAAGACGCCTGATGTAAGTCACCTCGTATTGGCGCCTCTTGTCGTGTGAGCTAATTCAGATTAGGTACCCAGAAGGCGATGGCTTCAGATACGAGACTGGCGGTATGATGGAACAGCTCCGCGTTCTCACGGCTGACCGCATCCGAGAGTTCCACCGTGAGATGTACCAGCCCAAGAACTTGTGTCTGGTACTCATTGGTGAGATCGACCAACCCGAGCTCTTGCAGATTCTTGATGAGTTTGAGGGCACCATCATGGACGATATTCCGTCACCTGAAACCCCTTTCCAACGTCCTTGGGTCGAGTCCAAGCGCACACCGCCACTCAAGAAGACCATTGTGGACACTGTGAAGTTCCCTGAAGATGATGAATCCATGGGTGAGGTGCTTGTTGGCTTCCTCGGTCCCGACTGCAATGATCATCTGCAGGCATCCGCGCTGGGCATCATGCTTATCTATCTTTGTGGCTCTTCGGTCTCTGTTCTGGAAAACACCTTGGTCGAGAAGGAACAGTTGTGCAGCATGATCTATTACTCAACTGATGTGCGACCCGACATTGCTTTCTGGTTCAACCTGAGTGCTGTCGAGACTGAGAAGCTCGCCGATGCCGAGAAACGTTTGTTTGAGGTTCTCAAGGAGACTGCTTCTAAGAATCTTGATATGGGCTACATGAAAGACTGTCTCAGTCGTTACCGCAGACAACTGAAGTTCAAGTGTGAAAGCACAGGAGACTTCTTTGCTACTCCTATCATCGAAGATCACTTGTTCGGTAACAGAGACGGCAAGGATCTCCGCGAACTCGAGACTCTCAAGGACTTGGATGTCCTTGAAGGATGGTCAGATCAGCAGTGGAGAGACTACCTCTCGAGGTGGTTCGCAGACGCCCATCACGTTTCCATTCTTGGTGTACCTTCGAAGGAGTTGTCTAAGAAGCTCAAGACTGATGAGAAGGCCAGAGTCAAGGCTCAGAAGGAGAGACTCGGCGAGAAGGGTTTGAAAGAGCTAGCTGAGAAGCTGGAGCAAGCCAAAGCTGAGAACGACAAGCCAATCCCAGATGAGGTTCTGTCACAATTCCCCGTACCTGGAACCTCGTCCATTCACTTCATTCCGACAACCACTGCTAGGGCCGGCAGAGCTAGACAGATGGGCAAGCTCAACAATGACATCCAACAGATTGTCGACAAGGACGATTCTGACATTCCTCTCTTCATCCACTTCGAACACATCCCTTCAAACTTTGTTCGTACGAAGCTGGTCATGTGCACTGGTTCGCTGCCTACAGAGCTCAAGCCACTTCTTGCAGTGTATCTGTCAAACTTCTTCATGACCCCTATTACGCGCGATGGGAAGCGTATTGAATTTGAGGATGTAGTCACTGAGCTTGAGAAGGACACTGTCGACTACGACATTACCTCAGGCCCTGGTAACGGCGAACTTTTGCAAATAACTTTCCAGGTCGAAGCCGAAAAGTACTCAGCCATGATCGATTGGCTTCGTACCACTCTCTTCAGTTCCATCCTGGACAAGGAGAGACTACAAGTTGCCATTACCAAAATGCTCGCCGATATTCCTGACGAGAAGCGCAGTGGTATGGACATGGCTACAGCAGTAGACTCGATGATCCACCTTACCAGAGACTCGAGTAGCCGCTCGAGAAACACTCTCGTTAAATCTGTCTATCTCAAGCGCCTGAAGAAGCACCTGGCCAAGGATCCTGAGTCCGTGATCTCTCGTCTGAAGACATGTATCGACACACTCCACAAGCCTTCCAACTTCAGAGTCTACGTCGCAGCAAACATGCACAACCTTGCGAACCCTGTGTCATCTTGGAAGTCTCTGCTCAGCGACCACAATGACAGCGCTCCCCTGCAACCACTCGACTCCCGCAAGTCTAAGCTCAGCGAAATTTCCAAGAACCCTGGCAACACAGCTTACATTGTCCCACTGTCCACCATCGACTCTTCATACGCACTCCTCACCTCTCGCGGTCCAGATAGCTGGTCTCACCCCGATCTGCCTGCGCTCATGGTCGCTCAATCCTACCTCGATGCCGTTGAGGGCCCTCTGTGGACAGCAGTCCGCGGCACAGGTCTCGCCTACGGCACAGGCTTCTCTCGCTCCACCGATGTTGGCCTGTTGACTCTACGTATTTACCGCTCTCCCGACACATTCAAGGCCTTCACGGCCGCCAAGAAGGAAGTCGAGAACTATGCCACTGGCGCCACACCTTTCGACAAATTTGCCCTCGAAGGCGCAGTCAGCAGTATCATCATGGGTTTCGCAGACGAACAACCCACCATGGGCAGTGCAGCCAATCTATCGTTTGTCAATCAAGTCATCAGAGGCATTCCCAAGAACTGGAATGACGAAATGTTGGAAAAGGTTCGAAAGGTGTCGGAAGAGGAAATCAAGGATGTGCTCAAGAGACTTATCATGCCTATCTTTAATCCCGAGACTACTAATTTGGTGGTTACTTGCGCTACTATCATGGAAGAGGTAAGGTTTTCTTCTACAACCAGTTCAATGAGATTCAATTGCTGACAGAAATCACAGAACCTTGTCAAGGCTTTCACGGATGCGGGTTTCAAGCCTGAAGTCAAGTCTCTCTCAGATTTTGAAGACGATTACGGACTCGAGAACATTGAAGGTGATGATGACGAAGAAGACGATGACGAGGAAGAAGAGGAAGATGGCAGTGAAGACGGTAGCGAGGGAGAAGATGATTCCTCTGAAGGTGAAGATGATGAAGAGTAGATTGCTTCTATAGAACACCTTAGACGCTTCCTCTATGACGTCCTCTGAATCACGCAGCAGTTTCACATAATCCCAACTGCAAGTTGCTTCTGAGGCCTTTCTCTAAATCGATATAACTACCCTCATAATCTTGCTTGCTGCCAGAACTGCGAGAAAAAGTACAGATTGCAATGGTTATCACACAGGCAATTCGCAGCGCTGACGAAGAAGGCTGATTCGCCAAAAGTCATGTCTCGTAATAGGAAAAAAAAAACATTTGGCAGGAAAAATCGTCCTTTCAAAGCGGATATCTACGCATGATGTATGCCGGCCGTCTGTCACTCCTCGCATTCGAATATGATTGGGAACGAGAAATTGCAGCTACAAGGGTTTTGATAGACAAGTGTTAAAAGTCATGAAGAGGGAATCAGAGCTGTATCGGTTTGTGCATGATCTTTGGATGTTTCGGACTGAAGTAAAGTTTGATCTTTTTCATCTCCATCTGACCTTACCTACATTCGATGAGGAAAGAACGACCATGATCACTTCCAAGGGCAGGAACGAAAGATGAACAAGGTTGAGAAGATGGAGTGGACCAAAGAAGAAAAACCAAGAAAGGGAAAGAACACCTATATTTAGCGGTCACGGTGACATTCCTTATGAACTTTCAAACATACAGGAGGCTTGGCGCTCTTCGACCTCTTGAATTGTCCATCTTGGTTCAAGGCACATCATCGATCCTGAATCAAGGTGAAAGATATGAGTGATTCAATGCAATTGTTTTTTCAGATTTTTTTTTTTGCTTGGTTGATGTCCATAAATTTCGCCAAAAAGAAGAGACCTTGATGCGCTTTTGCAGAGTATTCCTTTCTCTTTTGATTTCCTTGCCGCTCAAATGCACAGAATTAATGATCAACCAGGCTAGCCTTTTTCTCCGAGAGCAGCCAAGACTTGAATAGCCCGCCAAGGAACCCCAATCGAAGTAAGAGAGCGCAAAGATTTAGAGATGATTTGTGGTGGTCGTTCGATGCCTGTTGGATGACCCAGCTAGTTTTCTGAGCGTGGAGTCAGATGTATAAGACCGGAGGATATCGTTTGTGCAAGATTCGACGCTCATTCGGCTTTTCTGTTCGCAGGTTGATTGTGTGGTATGGTGACTTTTGGCGTGGTGAGTGTTGATGAATAAGTTTCGATACGTGGCTGAAGAGCAGGCGAATAGCTCACAGAAGCTCTTCACAGGTCCAGTCCTCGTACCAACCATCAGGCAGGTATCTGCGCACAACCAGGGGAATCTTCTTCTCGCGCAACTCCTTGATGGCGATCTGCAGGGGATCCGTCTCGCCCTCAACGTCGACCAGGACAGGTGCGTTCATGCTGTATGCTTCGTCAGCCCATTTCCCTTTCATTGTCTCTCCTTCAGTCCCTCTTATTCATCCTCTCCCTTCCTGCTTCCCATCTCTTCAACCCGACCTACAAGTTTCCTCCTCTTTCTGTTTTTCAGCGTGATTCAACTCACCTAATCTGCAACGCCCTCGTTCCCAAAACTCTAGCCCTCTCATACTTGGTCATGTACGGCGTAGTAGTCCTCTTGTCATTATCGATCCTCTTCTCCTTCAAGCCCTTGACTCCCAGATTTGCGTTTGCGCGTGCGGCAGCATTGGGGTCGCCGCTTGTGACAATGTTGGCATTGTTTTCCGGGTCTTCGGTGCCGCCGGGGGCATCGTCGTTGTTGTCGTCTACGAGGTCTTCGACTTCTTCGTAGTCTTCTTCGAGCATGTTGGCGTCGTATTCTCTGTGGCAGGGATGTTAATGAGGGGCATGGCGTGGGTGTGGGAGGGGTTTGGACGTACTCGCCAGCGCCAAAGTCACCGGCGCCGTCGTCGCCGTAGTCGGACATGTTTGCTGTGTGGTGTGTGGTGTTGTTGCGAGTCGAGGCGAGGAAAGAGTGATCGAAGTAGGCGCGCAAAGGCGATGGCGTGAGCAGACCGAGGGTGGAGTAGGCGTGTGAATGTAGTAAACTGCTTTCGAGGCTGTCGCAAACTAAACTTGTTGCTCGGAACGCGCGACTGCAAAGGCGGTGACTCGACTTTGAGTGACGCTTGGGCCATCCATCGTGGCAGAATATCTACCTTGACCCCAGATTTCAACAGACGACATCTCGTGCTTTCCCAATTGCCACTCTTGCTTTGGATATGCCTATAAATATGCACGAACTGATTTTGTTTATATGCGGTTCCATTGAAACAGCTTTCGGTGTCGGGCTCTCAGTGGACGTAGCACACTGACTGAACTCTATTGTGACTTTTGATAGCTTGTTTGGCATGATAAATCGTTCTTGAGATGGTTGGTTGTACTCCTTGTGCTCCAAGGTCTCCCAGATCGCCGACCTGCACTTATCATGACTATAAAAATGCAGAATGTAATCCGAAAAGAAGATTTATCCATTGAGATGGACTCAAAATCGTGCTCTCAATGGATGTTGACGGTATCTGGATACATTTGTGACTTTTGATGGACCATCAGGAACGCTCAATTGTTCTCGAAACACCAGTTTTTATTCCGTTCTTGCCCGATTCTATACTCTATACATCATTCATGTCTCATCTCTACCATAACCCACCCCAATTACTTCCTGCCACGATTCAACAACAAAATCAGACCTTGGGCCTCGAAGCAAGGACGGCGAGGGCGCCCTTGTTCTTGGCCTTGACCTCCTTATCATGCCTGTGCTTGGCACGGCGAGCAGCCTCCGACCGCTTGCCTCTCCTGACGCGAATCACAAGGTCATGGTCAGACATGACCCTGCGACTCAGGTACGAGAAGGGCAGGGGGTTGGGATAAGCCCCCATGATTTCGGAGGTGTAGCCCGCAGGCAGGTGCTTGCAGAACTGGAAGGGGCGGTCCAGCTCCAGGCCCAGAGCATCTGCGAGATCCAGATTGTCTCTGATCTCCACCTGCTGAGACTGTATACCATCAAAAGTCAGCAATGTGTTCCAATTACCACGGGGGTCCAAGGAAATGTCGAAAAACAAGGGCAAAAGTGAAAAGATATGATAGATAAGTGATCGGAAAAGTGATAGGAAAATGACAGAAAAGTGAAAAGTCCTCCAGAATAAGTAACTTACGTGGATTATTGAGATGCTCTGACCCTGGGCAAGGAACCCTTTCATTGCCTGCAAACTATAGTCGGAGTCCAGCACACGATTACTTTCTTCCTCCTCACCAACCAGATACAACCAGTGACCGTGATAACCTCCACTCTGCCAGCCATGGTTGTAGTGAAGTTGAGCAGATTGAATGTTCTGCGTCAAAGCAGAAAGAAGGCGTTCCATCTGGGTCCAGCCGATTTGCTTCCAAATGTTAACATCCTGGTAAATCTGGGGCCAGCCTCCTTCGTATTCGAGAAAAGTGACAACGCGAATGCGATATTCTTGTCTGGTGGGCATAGGAACATTGGCGGGCTCAAAGAAGGCATTGGTCTCAAGCGCGTAGAGACGGTCGATAAGACTTGCGACGGGGTGGGTCTGCCAGGGATCGAAGTCGAGAGGTGCAAATCTGGAGAGCTGCTGATGAAGATACTGTCCGAAGCGTTGCTTGATCGTTCTGTCTTGCTGTACAAGCCATTCAATGAGGCTTTTGCGCTCACGAATCAAGGCGGCGGTGTCGTGCTCGATCTCATTCTCGCGGTGGGTGTCGACAAGAAACTGAACCCAGCCAACCTGGAGCTGCAGACGGAGGAAAAAAACAAGGTCCGGGTACTCATTGTTGTGACTCTGGGCATTGCGCACATTGCAGTAGAGTTTGTAGAAGATAGGGTCGTTCGTGGCGGCAGCATTGAAGGTATCAGTCAAGAATTTGATGCGAATCAAGACTGGATCGACATGGACTGGAGCCGGATAGATTGGAGCTGGATGAGCGGCAGGCATAGGCGTATGACGAGGAGATTCAGATAAAGGATGTTGTATCGTAGGAGCTCTTTGGGTCGTAAGTGCGTGCAGAAGATTGTTGTACGATGCGCCGGACGACAAGGCTGATGGTCTAGAAGCGCCAGGAGTAGCCATGGTTGTTCTAGGGACAGGCACGGCGCCAGGAGGGTAAAATGTACGTTGTGAGTTGTCTGACATGGTGATGCGCAGTTTTGCGAGTCGCACAGAACTATAGGTTTATCTGCAGTTAGATTGTACAGATCGAATTGATGTGCGCCGATGAAGTGGTGCAGAAGTTGGAAAAGACAGATGAAATGGTTGTGCTTGTGGTGAACAAGTGAAAGCTGTTGCGCTACTGTTGCAGAGGCTCAACCGAAGTGATTGCGGCTTCTGTGGCAGATGATCACAGTCGGAGCCGGTGTGCGTAAGTGAAAAGACCGGAAAGCGCAGTGAAAGATGAGCAAAGAAGCTCTGAATCGGCGCACTGTTCAGAAGTGAAAGGTTTATCGAATGAAGTGGAAGGTAGGAATGGCAGAGACGTGGGGAGCGGATGTTCAAATAGATGCTCTCACAAGATAAAGTCGTGGTGTCCGAGTTTTCTGTCTTGTAGGTGTGTCGTCCCAGAACGCCTTTTTCGCGAGAAAATACTTGGATGCGCTGAGCAGACAGTATATGCCAGACCATGAAACCATGAATATGATAGGCAAGAACAGAATTGGCTGAGGTTCAAGAGGGGAAAAAAAAAGAGACCTTCAATTCGACCCTACCTTCCGTCGGCCACTTCGCTCTAGCGACGGCGTGTCAGTCAGAAAGGTCAGATATTCAGCCATAGCGGCCACGCCTGGAATCGAACCAAGAACATGGCGCGAATGGCGAGCCATTGCGCCACACGGACCGCTACATGAGATAAATGAATTCTGTTATTTATGTCTTTCAAGTGTTCCGTATCAGTAACACGCCAAACTAGAATGAAGTCCACTTTGAACCAAAGAACCAGATCGCAGGGCAAAGGCAAGTGCAGCGTGCCAGATGGTAGCAAAAAAAAAAAAGGACCTCCCACTCTGCCTCACCTTCCGTCGGCCACTTCGCTCTAGCGACGGCGTGTCAGTTGGTGAAGCGAAATGTTCAGACATAGCGGCCACGCCTGGGATCGAACCAAGAACATGACACTAACGGCAAGCCATTGCGCCACACGGACCGCTACATGAGATAAGTCGATTCCGTGGTTTATCAACCCTTGAGTGTGGTGGTTGTCTTGGCGACATGGCGGAAATTTTGTTTGGAAGCATGTGACCATCAGCGACAAGAAACAGAAAGCTTCTGAGTGTCCGACTTGGACGATACCAGCAGTGGGAGTCCTTTAGACATGATTCTAGTGCCGTAATCATCCAGCAGCCTGTGCAGTCATCTCGTTGTCCGGATTATCCCCTTGTAGCAACATGTTCCCCATGGCCCCAAGCAATTGCTTGACTGACGAGCCTTAGGGATAGACTATGGACCCCTGGTTCTCATCGTTTGGGAACCATGGGTTGACATGAATGTATCGCCAGCTATGCCAGGCGATGATACGATGCTTCTGGTGAGCAAACGAGGCCGGCAGGATTAGATCTCATCTCGACTTCAGTCCTAGTTTCTTTCTCAGGACCGATGCCTCAACATGGTAAGCCAGCATGAGATCCAAGAAGATATCAAGTCGAAGTGTCCAAGGTTCAAAACAGTTCAGGCGGTCTAGCCAGTCCAGGAGTCCAGGAAACTAGTACGAAGTTTTAGCATGTACTGGCAAAGCCTGATGGGCTGAATTTCCAAAGGCCATCTGAATAGTGTTATCAGTGACCGAGCTCAGCTGGAGCCCTGATGGCTTTGGATGAAGAGGTTGGAAGAAAAGATGGGTGGAGGTGCAATTTGGCTTCAACACTGCCAAGTGTGGGGAAGAGGATGTTGAATCGAATCAGGCAGGAGCCATCAGACAATTCTCTTTCTATATTGACACAATGACGGGAGAACAGATCTTGAACAGAAACATCATCACGTGGTACGGAAGAGTATTAAGGTGTAACAAACTTTTTCTGACATGGTATGAGCTGTACAATACCTAGATCACCCCTACCTTTATCAAACGCCAAAATTCCCAGCCCCACAAGAAAACCAACAGCTATGCAATTACAAACGTGCGGTATGATACATCAGCAATTCGTTCATGCATCCGTGATGCAACCATGGCTGGCATCCTGAACGATCTTGGCGTACTTGTAAAGAGTACCCTTTTGGTACTTGAGAGGAGGTGCCTTCCAGCTGAGCTTTCTTTGTTGCATCTCCTCCTCGGAAACATCAGTGTCGATAACTCTCTTCTCAGCATCAATGGTGATGGTGTCACCGTCCTTGATGAGAGCAATGGGTCCACCATCCTGAGCTTCAGGGACAATGTGACCGATAAGGAAACCGTGGCTACCACCGCTGAAGCGACCGTCAGTCAGCATGGCAACATCTTTACCAAGACCGGCACCCATAATGGCAGAAGAAGGTCTCAACATCTCGACCATGCCAGGTCCACCCTTGGGACCCTCGTAACGAATGACGATGACAGTCTTCTCGCCCTTCTTGAACGAGCCACTCTCAATAGCCTCAATTAGACCATCCTCTCCGTCAAAGACTCTGGCCTTGCCGGTGAACTGAGTACCCTCCTTGCCAGTGATCTTGGCAACACTGCCACCAGGAGCGATCTTGCCGTACAGGATCTGGATGTGACCGGTCTTCTTGATGGGGTCGCTGAAGGGACGAATGATCTTCTGGCTATCGGGCATGTCGGGAACATCTTTAAGGTTCTCAGCCATAGTCTTACCAGTGACGGTCATACCACTGCCGTCAATAGCACCCTCCTTCAAGAGGAACTTGAGGATAGCAGGAGTACCACCGATGTCGTAAAGGTCGGCCATGACGTACTTGCCGGAAGGCTTGAGGTCGGCAAGAAGAGGGGTGCGGTCACTGGCAGCTTGCATGTCGTCAATGGTAAGGGTAATGCCAACGGAGTGAGCCATAGCGATCAAGTGAAGAACGGCGTTGGTAGAACCACCAGTGATGTTGACGACGGTCATGGCATTCTCGAAAGCCTTGCGGGTCATGATGTCTGAGGGGCGGATGTCCTCCTTGAGAAGGTTCTTGATGGCGCCACCAGCAGCCAAACATTCGAGTTGCTTGGCCTTGGACATGGCAGGGTTGGAAGAAGAACCGGGAAGAGACATACCCATGGCCTCAATAATGGAAGCCATGGTGTTGGCAGTGTACATACCACCGCAAGCACCACCACCAGGGCAGGCGTGCTTGATGATGTCCTTGCGCTCGTCCTCGTTGATTTCACCAGTGATGAACTGGCCGTAAGCCTGGAAGGCCGAGATGATGTCGAGTCTCTCGTTGGACATCTGACCACAGCCAGCAGCAATGGTACCACCGTAGACCATGATGGAAGGTCTGTTGACTCTTCCCATGGCCATGATGACACCAGGCATGTTCTTGTCGCAACCAGGAAGGGAAATGTTGGCGTCGTACCACTGACCACCCATGACAGTCTCGACAGAGTCTGCGATAATGTCGCGAGACTGCAGAGAGTAACGCATACCAGTTGTACCGTTGGACATGCCGTCACTGACACCAATGGTGTTGAACTGCATACCCTTGAGACCAGCTCTTTGAACACCCTCGTTGACCTTGTTGCTGAGGTCCATCAGGTGCATGTTGCAAGGGTTTCCAGAGTACCAGACAGACGAGATACCGACCTGGGCCTTGTTCATGTCCTCGTCAGTGAAGCCAGTGGCGTAAAGCATAGCCTGCGAGGCACCGTGGGCCTTGGGCTGGGTGATGATGGCACTGGTCTTGTTGAGGGCATCCTTGTCCAGCTTGATGTGTTGGCGGATCTTGTCCTCACCAGGACCGGTGGCATATTGTCTGGACGAAAGAGTCTGGGCGACAGAAGGGCTATAAGTAGCGTGTTAGATTATTCTTGGCTGTATGAGGCTTCGTATGGCGTTGAACATACGCTACGCGCAATTGTGCGCGCGAGATCCATGACGACCTCGCAGCCTTTGCTCCAATACGCGACGACAACATGATTGTCACCTGCTGAATTCAATGCTTGGGAAGAGAGCAGGAAGAGGCGGCGACGGTCGAGTGATTCTTAGCTCTCCAGGTCAACTTTCCCACAGCTACGCGAGTCAGTCAGCGTAATCGACGTTCCCTCGGTTTGATTGGCCACTGCCTGCGATGTCGGAACCACTCCCGCTTTCTCTTTCTGTCCGCAAAATAGCTGCTGAGAAAATGGTCAAGCATTCGAGCTAAATACGTATCAATTGATATCAGTGTTTTCTCGACATAAAATTTGTTATCAATTCGAGAGAGCTTAAGCAGTCAATGGCTGCTCCTTTATCCGAAGATGAGATTCGCCAAATTACCTTGAATGGCGCAAATCTCGTTCCTCGTCAACTTGATCAGAATATTCTGCATGACGAAGTTGCAAGGTAAGACAGCTACTTCATTAATGTTTCCTATACCTTTGTTCAGCACTTTGTTATACAAACTTATGCGGAAGCTGACTCGATAAAGAATTACCAATTTGTTTCAACGCATCTTTTCGACTCTGCGGGCAGACCTCACAAACCAGCACAGAACAGCCGCATGCAATTTACTTTCCAATTTGGTTGAAAAATGTGCTTTATCACAGGAACACGACTTCCTTCTCTTACTCTGGCGAACTGAGAAATTCTGGCACCATGCTTTCTGGATCTACCTTGACCAACACCATGCTCTCAACGTCAAACCATCACGACTCCTACTGACATCTCTGACCTCTGCTCTTACCAAGTATCCAGACAAGTCCATTTGTGAATCCGAGAAGACGGCCTTGCTGGAATCACTGGTCCAACATGTTGGTACTCCTTCCGAGAATGCTCCCACGAGACCTGCCATGCAAGTTCTAGCGCATTGGCTGTCCAAGAACGTCATTTTCGTCGACGAGTTGTGCCACGCCTTTGGGAAGATTTCAATTGAAAAAGACAACCAAGTATCACATTCGGTCCAAGATGTGCTCGCAATCGTCTTGCGCCTTGCACCATATGAAGATTTTGCCTCATCCGCCGGCTCGCTGGCAGCTCTGATACTTCAAAAGGCACGACCTACAGATCAAAGTTCCGCCCCGCTAGCGTTGGGTAACCACTACGCTTCTTCATGGTCTTCCACTGTACTGGACATTCTCAAACAAAAGCCTGAAGCTCTTGGAATCCTTCGGCTGTATGTGTTCCCTGAAATATTCCAGCAAGATAGGCCAAGCTTTGTTGCTTTTGTAGATCAACTAGGCATAAGAAGCATCCTTGGTAGAGACCAGCCTTCCGAAGTCTCACTGCCGCTTTCTGCATCACAATGCGAGGAAGTCCTATTCTGTGCTTTGTCTGTAGGAAGCAAGCTCGGCTTGGTCAAGGTCGCAGATGTTGGTCAAACTACGGAGAGTATTGGGCTCTTCTTTGAGAAAGATGTTTTGTGCATTCCAGACGTCCTACTTGGAGATCTATTGCTACGCACGTCTGACGCTGTGCGGATCGCCGGTCTGGCAATGCTTACAACCTCCACTGTGACCACCCAGCCATTGTCTATCGGAGCGATGAATTCTCTGCAGAAAGGTTTACCTTTTCTTCATGCTGACGCAGATTCTGGATTCAGGAGCGAGCTTTTTAGCCTGATCAGACATCTCATGGATCGTATCAAGGCTGCAACAGCAACTCTGACAAAGCCTCCAGGCAAGTCGAAGAAGAATACAACAAAAACCCCTGTCGATTCTCCGTCAGTATCGACCCAGTCCTCTGAGCTAGTCGCGGCTCACAAATCCTTCGTCGAATGGTATGTCGCGTTCCTCAAAACCGAGTTGCGGCCAACAGCTAGCTATCAGAGACACATATCGGCACTCAAGTGTATCTCGATTGTTTCCAGATCCGGTGTTGATACTCAAATTTCCGGCCACCCAAACACAAAGTCTACAGGCGCCACGGTGCTCTGGCCTTTTACATTGAATGTGGTTGATGATGAGATGACTGATCTGTTGATTGATCTGCTTCTTGACGCTTTCGACGATGTCAGGTCCATGGCTACGGAGATCTTGAGTCTTGTAAATTCTGACACACGGCCGCAGAACGGTGTATTCGATACACCCATGCTAGTCAAAGTCCTTGCTCGAGCTCAGAAGATGCTGATTGATAGTGGACGTGCTGACCATGCAGATGGAGTCGCACATCTCTACAGTATCTTGTTCAACCAATGCTCACACTTGAACCACGACAGCGAGCAGTGGTGGGCTTCGAGATATGGTATCCTCGGACACCTCGTTCACGCAATCGAGCAGACGGTTGAAACTGCAAAGGCGGATATCAGTAGAGCGGTCAGCAAACATCCTCTGCACGGCCTTTTCATTAGCTTGAGGTACGAAAGTCCTTCGGTAGTCGCCTGGCTGTATGCTAAACTTTCACAGATACATCATCGACAAGCCTGGCTTCTACCAAACAATGTCTTCCGATCCTGTTGTGCTGGCGGATCTGCAAAAGCTTTACCTCAGACTTTACGATATTTTCCAGGCTGTGTGGATGTCTGTACATGATACACTTTGTAAGGACACAACCGAAGGCCTTGCCGCCGAAGAGCTCGAGGAAGAAGATATCGGAACGAAGGATGTGTTGAGCTATTCGTGGCGAGCTCTCAAAGAATCCAGGTAAGGCTTATTATGCAAGAAGCGAGCGTGCGCGCGCTGACAGTGTAGTCTGCTTTTACGCTCAATCGTAAAGAATTGTCCACTCGACTCCCCCGAACAGATACTTCTTTCATCTCAGCAACTTCGCCAGCTAGGCGATCTCACATTCACACAACTCGCCGAGTTGCGCCATCGTGGTGCTTTCTCAACAGTAGCTCAGACCTTTGTCGTATGCTGTATGCGCTCAAACAGTGGCACAAACACTGTGAGCCAAACCCTCGAGGAATGGTACAAGGTATTTGGAATTTCTTCACAAGATTTGTGGTCCGTGACTAACTTCCTGTAGCGTGCGATTCTTTGCATACAAAATCAGACTGCGATTAATACCCGCCGCTCGGCAGGATTGCCCTCTTTGATGATTGGCATCGTCGTTGCAGACACTAAAGGTCTTTTGTTCAGCAGAGCTATGTCAGAGCTCACTACCGAGGGCACAAGACCTGTCAATCAAGCTGCAGAAAGCGCCGGTGGTCTATCGCAAGTCCACGCTCTAAACTGTATCAAGGATATCTTCAAGAATTCGAAACTGGGCGAGCGATCAGAGGCTTACGTGCCACAAGCACTCAGCCTTGCAGCTGGATGCTTATCTTCGGATACGTACGTTAAAATGCAAACTCAAACGAAAAGCGCTTCACTAACTTTCACGCTAGATGGGCTGTCCGGAACTCCGGGCTCATGCTCTTCCGAGCTCTCATGGATAGACTGATTGGTACCAACGATGCATTCTCGGATGAGGATACACATACACAGAACCGACTTTCCGAAGAAGCAATCACGAGCTTGATGCAAATTGTCCTTCAGTTACTGACGACTGATGCTGATGTCGACCAAGCAAAGGCCGAAGTGGTATTTCCCGCTTTACAATTCCTCCAACGCGTACAACCGCCCTCGAATCTCGCGGAAGATATTAAGTCTTCAGTATTAAGACTTGCATCAAGCCGGCAATGGCTCGTTCGCGACAAGGCAGCCAAGACATATTCTACTCTGGTGCCTGCTATAAACCGAATTAGTCGTGTCGCAGAGTTGGTTCGACATAAATCACGAAGTCAGAACGAGGCACATGGCGTTCTGCTTGCAGCCAAGTATCTTGTCGAGAGACAAGGAAAGAATTTCAACACAGAAGGTCAGTCAGGTAGGAATTTTTGGACTGCAGAATTGCTGACAAGCGCAGATATGGATGCAGTGGTAAATGCCGTGCAATCAAGGATTGATGATCTTTTCTACGACAACGCATGTTCGTTTACACAAGCCGCGTTCATAGACGTACAAAATGCTTTCTTCTACGCGGCTATTCAGAAGCAGCGTCATCTTTTCGGTACGTAGTGCATCATCCATGACTAGAAGACAACACTAACCTTTTCAAGTACCAGGCACAAGATGGGCTACCACTGAAGACATGAACATCATCCTAGACCTGCCCCGAGATCATTTCGCAGCATGCTCATTCCTTCGACAATCTTTGGCCTTGTCACTGATTCACGAACACGCCTTATTCAGCGGACCCTCCAGCGATAACTCGGCGGCGGACTTGACAGCAAGACTAGATACTCTTGCGCTGCTCGCGATTCGCGACCCTGACGCTTGCACAACTGCACTACGTGAAGCTGCTAGAATTGGTTCTACTGATTCTGTCTATGCCACACAAACCAAACAGCTTCTGGTCAGTATCTCGGCCAAGCTATTGCTCGATGGTGATGTGGATATTGAGGTCCGAGACGCTGCCCAGGAAGTCCTGATCAACTTGCTGTCTCAAGGTGCTGCAGAGGATGTCAAGAAGACTGTCTTCACAGACTTGAAGCAGGTGTATCTGCCATCGGGTGTCACAACGCCGCTTTACAGCGATAAGCAACTCATATTGCAGGGAGCATTGCTTAACTTCCGTGCGCAGGATCATTTACTAAGGGACCACCGACTAACGGAAGACTTTGAACAATGGATTGTGCAAGTCCGCTATGCTCTGCAAGACTCGAGTGTAAGTCGAACCAAGATTAAGGGCCATCAAAATTCCGCTGACAGTCTTCTAGCCATTCGATACTAGATACGCTGCCGTGATAGCCACGCAGCAGCTTGACGAGAAGTCTCTCGCCTACTTCAACTCCATCGATTCAAGCAACACTGTCCTGCAATTCTGTCTGGCAGTCTACGACCTCTGCAACGACGACGACATCGAGATCAGAACCCTCGCCGCTCCAGTCGCCACCAATATCCTCAACACAGGCAGCGACAAGAAGAAAGCCGCCATGGTCCCTCTAGCCGCAAACCAAGGTTTAGCAGAATTTATCTCATCAGCATTCAACAGCAACACCCTAGCAGCTTCAGCAGCAATTTCTCGAGCAACTGCCAACGCCGTCACGACTTCCTTCCCCGACTCTGTCAAAGCCTCACTCGCCGCAAAGACTAAACCAAACTCCTCCCTCTTCGCACACGAGAAACACAATCTCTTCATTGACGAAACCAGAGAGGCTCGCTTGTGGTCCTCTATCGCTGCACGCCTCCACCCAACCGCTTTCTCCTTCCGTCTGATCATGAATCTCTCCACATGGGTTATCGACGGTCTCGACGTTTTAATCGCAGAAGTTGAGACCAAACCCGATACACCACTGGGCTGGAGCAGAAAAGCTGAGGTGTTTGTTTTGGGCATGCAGGTGTTGTATGCTGCTCAACTTGTGTTGAACTTGAGCAAGAGAGGTGTTGAAATGCCTGTTCGGGCAAGTGCTGTCGTTAAGAGAGTGGAGATGCTTTTGAAAAAGGGGAAAGAAAATGGAGTCAATGTTTTGTGGTTGCAGACTGGCAAGGAAATTCTAGAGCAGCAGATTTGATGATCTTGAGATTAGGGGGTGTATCGTAAAGCTAGGTGAGGTAACTATGCTATGGATTTAGAAAAAGTTGATTACCGCGATGAAATTCTACTTTGCACTACTCAACCACTACCGGCCTCAGAATTTTATACTGTATCTTAATCTTCCTGTTTTGTTTTTGCTATATGAATCTTTTGATTGCGCTTTCCATCGTGTACTCTATCTTCTGCTCGTTGTGTACATCTCTCCTTCCAAGTTGCAATCGCATACTACTATAGGACCAACACGCAAACACTGTAAAAGGTTGCGTAGAACGAGGGGCGAACATGTTGAGAGACATTAATGATTCTTTGCGAATCTGCATACTTGAGAAACACAGGTTTCGGATATCGGCGAGGCAGCGTCTACCTCGGCTCTAATACAGGAATCTTGTTGACTTCCACCCGAGCTTCTTCCCAAGTCTCTAGACTGCGTTGCGCCCACTCGATATGACAGCGTGCGAATGCCAGCTGGAAGAGACTTTGTTAGTGATCGATGTACTGTGGACTGGACATTGGAGTGCGAAAACTTACCATGTATTTCCTCAGGTCTTCTTCCTTGTCGCTCTGGAAGCGTTTCAGGTCTTTGAGAACAGCACCGCTGGCATCCTTGACGTCTTTTTCCGAGACTTCCAGAGCTTGCTCAAGCTGCGATATATGTAAGCATGATACAGTGATGCATGAAGTCGATGATCCTTACCTGTGTCAAACTTTCTTTCGTCTTGCCAATCTGATCTCTCCTCATGCGCTCAGGATCAGCGTCCACAACATTATGATATGCATGAGTGAGTCGCCCAAAGATCTTGTTTGTTACAAAGTTGCCGCTAGCGCCTCTCTTATGTTGCGTAGGACTAGTAGGTTGTTCTTGGTGAGGAGAGCCCTGAGCTGCGCTCGGAGCACTGCCCATCGTGGGAGGGAAGTCCGAGTCGATACTTGCTGTGTCATCCTCTGCGCGCCTGGGTAGCTGATCTCTGGCTGGGTTGCGTCTAGCAGCGTTACTGCCAGTACTCATGCTACGTTGAGGCGGTGAAGAACCTGAGTTGTGGAGGTATTGTTCAATACGCTTGGCCTCGGCTTCGCTTCTTTCTAGAGAGTCGAGAGATGTCCTCTTCTTTTCAAGTTCGTCACGAGTCATCTCTTGTTGAACACGCTTCAAAACTCTGTATCTCAGAACGCCCTTGACAATACCAGCAAACTGAGCACTCTCACGCATAGGCTCAGCAAATTGAGCTGACAAGCCGCTGGAAAGATCGCGGGTCTGGATGTATGTAAAATCGCAAGCCTGGCCGATCTTCTCAATGGCGGCAGCAACCTCAGCAGACTGTTCGGAAAGTGAGAAGGCATTGTAACGGCCACCTAATTCCATAAGATCATCTCCAAGCTTGTACAGATGCTGAAGAGTTCGCTGGTTGACCTTTTCCATGGAGCCTTGCAGCAGGGTTTCCAGCTCGCGCGATGAGTTCTCGAACTGAACAAAGTAGGGGTCGAGATCCTCTTCTGACAAGTGTTGAGATTCAGGAGGAAAACGGCCGAATACTTGAGGACCAGGAGACGAGTGAGCAGCAGTCGATGGTTGTTGCATTGGCGGTGAGCTGGGTGTACCGGATGCGGTAGCGTTGCCAGATGAGCGTAGTTTTGCTGAGGATGAAGGGACGGGCAAGAAGTTGTGACCAGGAGAAGGGTTGGCAGGGTCGAGCGGAGGAGCCTTCAGATTGTTCTTGGGGATATTCACAACGGGGTGGGAGTGGAGGACCTCGTTCCAGCTCGCGTTGGGATCGAGGAAACGCCACCAGACATTGTCATCGCGGACTTCTTGCATGCGACGGCAGCGGTTGAGGAAGGTGGTCAGCATGCGCTGGCGCAATTCGATAATGCCCAGATCCTCTTTCGCCTTGGTAGGTTTTGAAGCGTAATCGGTGATGGAGTGTTTCTCAGGAATTGGTGGAATGATGAGGGTTGGATGCAGGGCGACCAGGGTGGCTCTCAGCGAAGCGAATTCACTGTAGCGTCTTCGTACTTCGATGTCCTAGGAATGTCAGCGATTGTGGTAGCAGGTCGGGCGGCAGATTGGCGTACTCCAGTGCGAATAGTGTAGGTGATGTAGCTGCCTCCGCCTTCGGTGTTCTTGCCTGCGTGGACGATTTGGATTTCTAGGTCGGGGTTCTCATAGAGGATCTGCTCAATGCGACTGTGGTAGCCGCCTTTCTTGGGCTCAATTCGGCGCGACTGCGACACGTCCTCATCGTCGTCATCGTGGTGGTCGCTGCCCTGTTGGTCGTGGCCAAAGGGTTCATCGTGGTAGGTTGACTCTGGTCGGTGGTATTCGGGTGTAGACTGGGGTGGACTGCTCGCGCCCGAGGGTGGTGTCGAGGGGGCTTGACGGAAGGCTGGTACGATAGTTAGAGGTGGTGTATGGAGTGGTGGAAGGAGACTCAGGTGGTGTACCGGGAGCATCGGACGTCTCCGAGTCGCGTCTGTTGAAGGAGCCGTAGGGGTTGTTGTCCTCGTCGTCCCACATTGCGGCTTGGTCTTCAGAGTGTGTCGAGAAGGTTGAGGAAGGATCGCTGCTATGGCTATGGCTGCTTGGACGTGCCTGTCTGGGGAAGCTGCGTGTTGCACCTTCCGACCTCGACCCTCCGCGCACCTGCTGGTCAATCTTCGGCAATCACCTACGTCACCAGCCAAGCCCTATCAATAGCTATCCGCCATGCTTCCAGGCCCTCGGGCCAAGGTCGCTTTACCTTCTCCATGTCTGTTTGCTGACCCTTCTCTTTACCATGCAACATCTTTGTGGACGATGCTCACTGGTATCTATTCAGAGGACTGACAGTGGTCTGAGTTCGTGATACTTGAATACCAAACATCGTTTTCGGTAATCCGACAGACAGCTTGATTGGGCAAGTTAGCCGCCGTTCGTGAAGCTCAGAGGAAGGTCAGCCGAAGCAAACTAACCTCGTGTCGTGGTCTGCGTTTGCTCTTTTGGTCGATGACTCTTTTCCATAAACCCACCCCTTTTGTCTTCAATCACTCTTTCCGATTCCTTGTAGACAAGATACCCTCGCTTGCATCTCTTCAAACTTTACAACTTCGTTCTCAATAGATAATTAGATTCCTTCAACACTTCCATCAATGGCACCAACAATCTACGTCGTTCGCCATGCTCAGGGCCACCACAATGTCAATGTAAATCTGACCTCTAACTCATTGCTTTGTGTCGCAATATCTGATCACCTCTCAGAACCAACATCATCTCCGTGACCCACATGTCACAGACCTCGGCAGAACCCAATGCACAAATCTCAGCAACACTTTTCCAAAGTCATCACTTCCTGCTTCTCTCACAATCATGGCCTCACCCCTAATTCGTACAATCCAAACCGCTTGTCTCGGCTTCGGTGACGTGTTGAGAGAGAGACCTGATGTCAAGTTTCTACTCGTACCCTTCGCCCAAGAGATCGCCAATCAACCCTGTGACATTGGCTATCCTCAAGCAGAACTCAAACAGAAGATTGCAGCTTGGCTAGAACAAGAGAAGTTCGGCTTTGGAGTTGAGAGAATGGACTGGAGTCTGGTTGAGGAAGGCTGGAACTCCAAAGCTGGACCTTATGCCGCGTCTCTTGAGGCAGTCACCGGACGTGCTGCTGCCCTTCGCGCAACTCTGTATGCTTATCCCTCGGAAGCCGTCATTCTAGTCACCCATGGCGCTTTCTTACACTTCTTCACCGGTGATTGGGCGTCCTTCGATGGTGCCAAGGGAACTGGCTATGAGAATTGCGAATTCAGAAAGTTCGCCTGGGAGACTGAAGATGATCAAGGCATTCACTTGAAGGAAGTTGGTGGTGCAAAGATCAAAATGGGCAGACCTCCTGGTGTATATGCTCATGTTCTTGAGGGTATCGAGATGGTGGAAGGTCAAAATCCTAGGCATATCAAGGTCGGCAAAGGCAAGATCTGAGCATGACTATAGCACAGTGCTCCGGTTCTCATCATGGTTATATTCTTAGGTAAAAGAGAACGCGGATCAGCAAATAGATGGACTGAAATAGCCAAAGTTGCTGTAATACTGTTGAAAGCAGTGGCTTTTTGCTAAAAGTTCTTTCCTTCATCCAGAATCTTCTTTGCAACTAGAAAGATCCATCTTTCTCGTGTCAAGTCTCTTTCTTCCCAAGCATTTGCTTGATCTTTCCTGTAGCCTTTGTTCGTGTTCTCGGATAAAGATCAGTTGAGAGCACTTCTCTTCACTGTACCATCCGCGTCCTTCGTCAATCTCTGCTCCTCTCAACCGCACTCATAATCCTCAAGCCTTGCTGCCGGACCTGCTATCGTGTCTACTTCCACCACGACCTCCTCCTTTACTACCCTCGCTTTTACTAGCAGCCTTACTCCCATGCTTACTTCGTTGAGACTTTTTGCTTCCATGCTTGCTGCTTCCAGCCTTACTCCCTTCTCCATCAGCACCTCCTCCCATCTCCAGATCAATACTTCTGACCTCAAGCTCACGCTCCTTGCGACGTTGGACATTCGCACGATACCAGATTGCGAGCTCCCATCGAAAGACCTTGATCCAGATGTACCAGAAGAAGATTACACCGAATGTTGTCAAGAAGAGAGCGAGGGCGATTGAGCCGGCTGGGTTCATTGTGTTGGGAAATTGGTGATGATGGACAGGGTTGGGGATGTGTAAGGGAGTGTTTGGTTGAGAGAGTTGTTTGGGGTTTAAGGTTTTGTGTCGAGGTTTGCTGCTTCGTTTTATGGTGTTTTTTCAAGGACAGTGGTTTGCGGCTGTTATTGATGAAAGCTGAGGTCGATGTGCTTTTGTGTTCCGACGGTATTGCGACTCTTTGTTGCGCTTGATACAGCAAGTATCTTGATGCTGGTCTCTCGATGTCAGAGATGCCGATGGGAGACGGTGATGTCCAAGTTCACTCGTGTTCGCCGTCAGCTTCTCTTTGCGTTCATCTTGTGTATATATAAATGGAAGCGCTCACCTTGTACGGGTAACGAGCGAATGATATGAACCGCTTTCTGAATGAGTGTGTTTTGTAATGTCAATCTCTTGTAGTCGATGAAACTCAAAGCTGATAACTGCGGCCTTGTGCCCTCGATCGCGTAATAAAGGAATGTGGGTGTGCTGGAAGGAAAATTCGGGTCACGAATGTTTGTTATGACGGAGATTTGGTCGAGCGCAGTCGTTCAGTCACTCTCATCAAACTTCCGTTGCGACATACTCGAACCTGCTAAGACCATTATTGCAAGATGAAAACTTTTATCCAAAAGCACGAGGTCAAGGAAGAGTCTATGGACTCATCAACTTTGGCAACAGGGCTGCACTCTATGGTGAACTGTGCACCTCTAGCCATAGCCATGAATGCATCATCATTTCCAAGGCTAGACTAAGTATAGCAGAAGAAACCCAGAACTCATGGCTGGCAGTAAATGCTATTCTGTTCCATTGGAAGACCCTTTTGCTTCATAATTGGTATGCTGTAGCCTTCAAGGTAAGGGTGTATGACGTGCAATTCCCAACGAATGAGGTTTCAAACACCTTGTCAGAAACAAAACGTTGGAAGACCGGCGCCAGAGTCGAACGCAAGCAACCAGAGAAACAAAAACAGAATCAACCAATCATACAGGCGTACAACCACTGGACTAAAGCGTCTTAGTGACCGAAACGGGCAAACATGGTTGGTTCCGTTGGAATTGAAGTGATCTGGCCACCTAATAAATCCTTGCCCTCGGAGCCTCTGATGAGGGTGAGTTATGTTTTATGGGAGACAAAGTAGGGGTGTATTTCCATCTTTTTGGCTATCTCGAGCTTTATATCGCTCTTGCATCTGTGTCACGTTGATGACGGGAAGATATAGTGATGAACGTTCGCGTTGCGCAATTGACCCTCGACTCTGTACATGTGAAAACTGGTCCTCGACAACCCTTTCTCTGCGAATGAGCTCCCTTCCAAAGATCAAAGCTTGAGTATCGAGTGCTCAGTCGTCTTCCCTGTCGGCGGCCATATGCTCAGATCATTCCAACTCTTCTTCAACATCGTTTTCATCATCCTCATTTCCGTCTTCGTCATCCTCGTTCTCGTCTTCGTCTTCCTCGTCTCCATCACCTTCTTCTTCATCTTCGTCGTCTTCGACCTCATCTCAATCTTCCACCTCAGATTCTTCATCCTCAGAAACTTCTTCCTCCGGATCCGAATCACCTCCGTTCAGGTTGTTCATGCCATGACTAAGGTACTCCCAAGATTCTAGTTGCTTTCTGATCTGCTTGGCAACATTACCCGTGTACTTGATACAGCTATCGTCTTGGTTGATGAGAAGGTCGATGAAGGTATCGGGACTACCTCCAACCACAGGAGTAGCGATGGTGCAGTTTCTGAGCGTTGAAACGGTCGAAAGCAACTGAAGAACTGCCTTGAATTTGCGAGCAGAGCTGAATCTGCAGCTGACCAGGTCGATCTTGTTGATGGTGCGAGTGCGCGATTTGGACAGCAGGAGCTTGAGGTTTTCAGCTTTGATCTGCATTTCTTGGAGGTGCAGTTCCTTGAGACTGATTTTCTTCATCCAGCCTCTCAGCGACCAGGTATCCATGACTGCGGAGAAGATGCTGCTTTTAATGGAGAGACGCTGATCATCTTTCTCATACACGACGTTAATAGCTTTGGTGGAAGGTGCGTCGATTTGGGTTTCGATGCGGACGCTGATCTGCGGGTGTCTCTGGAGATAATGAGCCATCATGCTTGGGAAATCATAGTGACCCCAGGCCACCTCAATGTTAGGGCAACCAGGACGTGGGTACAGCATGACTTCGAGAGCCTCGACGTGAACACCGGCTCTCTCAGCAGTTTCGGTGATGGTGTCGAATGCATCCACTTCGTCTGCAGCAACATTGGGTCTGCTGAAATCGCCACTGTCCAGCTTTTCTTGCCACCCCAAGCATCTCTCGTCTTCATCATCATACACATCAGTGATACCAATGGTGATTGAGTTTCCGTATGCTTGTACATTGCTGAAGGCGTCTTTGAGGTCGTTGTAGACATCAATACCAGTCTCGACGTCATGGTCTTCGATGACTGGAAGACGTTGGATCCACCTGTTGCAACCGTCGGGTTGAACGCGAATAGCGCTCAGAACGACTTTCTTGATCAAGGGGCCAATAGCAGGGCTGCTGGTCATTGCTTTGAACTTTTTGACTGCCGATTCCGAGTTGAAAAGGACGTATTCATCATCGAAGCAGAACGATCCGAAATGAGGATTGGCAAGGGACCTGATCTCTCTGTTCGCCTCACGAACGTGGATGAGTTGCTCAGGGTAAAGGCTCGCAAACTCGTCGATGATCATTTTTTTGACTTCAGCTGGACAGTGATTCCAGTTAGCCATTTTGATGGGTTTCGCTCGGCGATAACAAATGGTTTGATGCTAACAATCAAGATAGCGTTAGTCAAGTCACTCTCAGTGGAACAGAACGGCAATGCAACAGTATCGTGCATTTTAGCATGTTGAAAAGGGGGTGTTCGCCGTGAAGGAGACTAACAGAGTTGGAAGCTCGGTCAGGTCGTCCGTCAGTGACGTGGCATCAGTCGACCTCAACAATGTATACTGGACCTCTCATCGATAGAGTAGGGGGTGGGCAAGCCTTCTGGTGAAGGGCAATGATGGATCACTTACTGTCTGCTGGTTGGAGATGGTATCTCCCAAAGACTGCGTTGGTATGACCTGCAGTCAGGTTGTTGTTGAGGAAGAGGAAGGAAGCAAGCTCTGGAGACATAAAATAGTATCGTTCAAACGAACTAATAGACGTGTAACGTGTTTTCACGTGTCGTTTACGTGGGAGTCGACAACGACGAAGGACGACGTCGTCGACCCGATGATTGGCTACGACGGTGCCCGACGTCCGGAAGGTTCTGTACTTGGTACTGCCCTATGTCGTGGTGGTGCCCTGCTTGTATCTCGGCATACGTGCCTCCTTCATACCACCCCTACCTTACCTCACGAACTTCTCCTTCATATTGAAGCACACCTCGAGAGCCTGAAGTGTCGGTTGAGTATTGGGCTCGTCATTCAATACTAAGTTAACCATGGTACCAGATCCCCATGGAAAGGCCGATCAATCCGGTCCGCCTTCTCATTGCCAATCCAGCGCCAGATGCCTTGCGCGCCGTCCATCTCTGCGTCTCCATGAGTCATACCCTTCAGCTTCTCCAGTCGTGCCTCGCTTTGCACTTTTTGGAAGAATAGAGGTGTCCAAGTCTTGCCTTCTTTTTCCTCTTGCTTCCTCATCTCGCGCTGACCTTGCTCGACCCTGCTTTTTGCGTCGATGACTGCTTGCATGTTGCCAGAGTTCAAAGCGGATATTGTAGGACCCCAAGCTTTTCTGCTTTCGTATGGGTCAAGCATGGACTCATCTGGAACTTGAACGGGAAGCGGTGGGTGAGCGTTGGTATCGAACTCTTCAATCACAGAACCAGCCTTCTCATCGCGAATGGTAAACACGTCGTTCCAGGTGCCCTCTAAAGTGTAGATTGGATGTTTACGGCTACTGTCATCGGCAGAGTAGACCGCCGCGTGCAGTCCGTTCTTCTTGCCAGCCAGTCCCAAGAAGCGCTTGCCAGAGAAGTCGACAGTCGCGACAAAGCCGGATGAAGAGACGATATCATAGCTACCGACCAGTTCTGGGTAAGGCGTTCCAGTGATCAGTCCGGACACTTTTACCGAAGGCAGAGGAATCAAGTAGTCTTCGTTCCATTTGTCTAGATGGATGATCGCATGGCCGATCTGCTTGATGTTGACAGTGCCGGAGAAAGTTATGTTTTGACACGCGTAACCTTCAGCCTGTTCCTCCGTGAGCATCTGCAAGAGTCTAGAGATTATCAAGCTTACCCTGACGCCTTGCTCATCGTTCCATAGGTAGCAAGCAGTGACTGGCGGATGATGGCTGATTAAGGTCAGTACGTTGATACTTTCTTGATCTCATCTACGATAGCAGAGACCAACCTGACTTGTTCAGAGATCAAACACGTTCTACCTTCTCCATCAGAACCACCCCAAGCCCCCATGAATATCTCACCCAAGAAAGCGTTCAATGGCTTTTTGACACCCGCACTCTCATCCCTACCTGCATACTGCTGACGCTTCAGACTTGCTAAGAACCATTTTAACACAAGTAGACAGCGCTTTTGAGCATCGGATTCGGAGACCGGAGCGCACAATAGTTGAGGTCTCTCGCACCAATAAGACGGAAACTCGACGGTTGATTGAGATGCCAACAAAAAGGGTGGTGCGGTGATATTTGACAGATCTCCTTTGATTGTTGAGATAGATGCAATGAATTCTCTCAATGTTGATCTGTTGCCGTCGGCCATGGTTGCTCTTGTGGTCCTTGCTGATGATCTGTTTATAGGTTGTCGATCAGGGTTCAGGGTCTGGATGTAGTCGCTCTGTCCTTTCTTGTCGAGAATGACCCTGACAACGGTTTCTATGGTATTTTCAATATCTTCCAGGAGAAGTTATATAATCGTTGTCTTGAGATGTTGGAACAAACATGAGTTGGTAGTCGTCGTCGTCCTCGAGTCTTGATGATGACGACATCCGAAGGAACGTCGCTTGGCAGGAACGACCTGCGGAACTCTCGGCTATGCCCTTGTCAATCTCCCAAAGAGTCCTGTATGTGACTGGGTTCAGAACGAGCAGTGGCAGCGCCGTCAGCGTAGTCTGAAAGTATAGAGTTCCGTGGCACGGTGCTTTCTTCGAGGCTGTTCAATGTCTAATCTGAATTCAAAACCTGCTCACGCCGAAGACGGTCAGGTTGCAGAAGGTAAACAACATGGTAATTAGATCGCTACTTATATGAAGTCTCGAATCGCTACCGCAGTATCTACTCGGTCGACTCTTTGACCATGGGAGCTGAGACCGAACCAGAAAAGCGACCAAGAACCTTCTCTGTCCAAGCCATCCATCCACTCTTTCTGCCCGATCTAGCCTTGATACCAAACTTCTGTCTGATATCTTCCTCCGTGAATGCCTTTGTCTTTGTACGCAACATATCTGCAAGCTCTTGCTTCGACATCTTGGTCTGATCGCCGATTGGTATTAAGCAGTTTTCGGCAAGGTAGAGGTATTGCTTCTGAAGCACTCTGACGGTCAACATCAGGTAATCGATGTTGTGGAAGACGAGCGCACGGCCATTGCTGTATGCTTCCTTACTCTGAAGGAAATGGACAGGTGCATCCCTCCAGTGACGGCGAGGATTGAGATGATGAGCAGTGTGATAGCCATCGTTGAAGCAGAAGCGGTTGCTGGGTACATCAATGAGAGTGATGCTGCTTCTGAAATCCGAATCAGGATCCACTTCGTCAACAAGAGCGTGCTGTCCCCAGTTGCCGACCATGAGTCCGATACGCATGATGCTGAACGGAAGCAAGAGGACAAACATGGATGCACCGAAGTTGACTTTGGTCGCCATGAAGTAGAAGAAAGCGTAGTTGGCCATCTCTGATACACCTGATTGGAGTGCCAATCTAGACTTGCCCTTACGGAGGAAGTACAAAGGCAGTTCGGCCCAGATGAAGAAAAGGAAGCGTCCGACATAGCATGCAAAGTCGAATGGCGAATCGCGCTGGTAGCGGATAGTTGAGGAAAGGTCGTCCGGTCCGTTGCCCTCGACATGGTGGTGCTTAACGTGGTGGTAATAGTATGAATCCCATGTGTGGCCCATAAGCGGTTCCAACACATAAGGGAAGGTGAGATCGAACCATGCATATTTCTTCTTCAGGACACCTCCGTTGTGGATGTGATTATGCATGAGCAGAGTAAAAGCGCCGGCACACCAGACAGTGTATACGGTATGTATCACACCATGATACCAATGGAAATCATAGTAGAGGTATGCAGCGCTTGCCAGATTGACAGTCATGTACAGGATAATATGCGTTAGGAAGACGACATCTGTCGGGTGGCGCACGATTCCCATGGCAATCTTAGTGTATGGCTTGACCAGATACTCGTTGATCGTAGGATTGAGATCCTTGTCGTCCCATGTTGTGAAGACAGTTGGTACAAAGTCTGGACTGTTAGGATCATTGATTGCAAGGAGTTGCTTGATGTCCTTATCATCATCTGCAGGATCTTGACCTGCTGGTGCTGCCAATGCTTGTAAGTCCTGGAGGAGGTTCTTGGAAACGACCAAATCAGGTCCTGTCAAGTAGGGATCAACGGTGCGAGCCATTGTGTAAAATGGGTTATTGCGGGTGATTGGTCCGGTCAAAGCTATTCGAAGACGTGATGAGGTCTAGAGATCCCGCTCGACTTGAATTGAGATGGATGCAATATTCAAGAAGTTTCAATCTGTAAATCCGAGAGATCCGTATCGACAATACGGCTAAAGAGTGATAGATGTGCTTCGTATCGCAAGGGATGAGAGGCGAAAGAAGACCAAACTTGACGGTTCGAAAAGAGTGAAAGCGCCAATGCGAGCGCACAGTGACAGATCAATTCAATACCCAAACGACAGAGCAATTGACCTTGTGAGCGCAACAGGGAAGGAAGAAACAGACGAGATCAAGGAAGGCATGATGTTGAATGGTCAAAGGAGAGATTTGCGGGTCTGGCCGCGTCGCAGGGTTCAACCACGATGCGCCCGAGCCGCCTCTTAAACTTTTGAATCTCCTGATGTTTCAAGAGGCGTGAATGGATTGTTTTAAGACGATAGATATGGTGCTTCTTGCCAGATTTGCTTGTGGTAAATCATGTGTAAGTAGCAATTGACAAAATGAATTGGTATCCAAGGGAAGAGGTAAGAAAATTAGCGGCCCAGTCACCTGAGAGATCGAAAGTTCGCAAGCAAAAAGGATCTCCTCTCTCTGAGTCGAACAAAGGACCTTCTGATGACAATCAAGCAATTACAGTCAGACGCTCTAAACCAACTGAGCTAAGAAGAGATTATACTTTGAGCCCAATCTCAAACGTATATAATCCTCGCACTCACCAGCAAGTGTTGGTCTCAATGGTATACTAGAGCTTTCCGATCCTCATAGAAGTCGCTCAGAGGATAAAGGAAGACTTCATCTGTCCGCAGCACCCGCCACTTATCGCATACTTCGAAAAACTGCCAACTTCTCGATAGCATTCTTTGATGTTGGCAGATTATCGTCGAGATTAACAAAGTTGGTGAACTTCTTGATCAAAGCAATACTCAGAATGGAAAAAGTTCCTTGGCTTCTTGGTGTACATGGAAACAAGCTGTCGATCTCATAGCGCACGGGACAGTGTATCTGTTATCATACCATAGACTCTTAGAGGCATAAGACCCGATGTGGACGATGCTATAGAAGAATCAAGAAAAAAAGATGGTCAAAATTGTTGCAAGAGGTGAGACCCTGGCAAAAGCGGAGATGTGGAGAGAGTTTCGTCGAGCATGACGCCAAGGCGGCGGTAGAAAGAAGAATTGCCCATGTCGACCATTTTCACCATGTCAATAACAACACCATGGCAGATTCGAGTGAGACCAAGCCGGTTACGGCGCCTGTTGTCGATGACACATCCAACACAACCACAGCTGAGGGCAGTGCAGAGCCAAAGCAAGAGTCACACAGCGACCGCAAGCGCAAGCGATTCCAAGACGACGGACTCAAATTTGGTCGCGGTGGTAAGAAGAGAGATATGGGCAGGAACGCGTGGTCGTAGGTATTGCTGATGCGTGATATATTCTTAACAAACACTGATCACCTCTCCAGACGCGAACAGCCCGATCGAAGAGCTCGCAACGACGAAGAAAAGAAGAAGCCGCGTCCTGAAAACTCAGTCCTTCCTGCACCCTTCGCCCAGGATGAGATTGCCGCAGAAGAGCGCAAACCAAAGCGCAAGGTTGCCGTCTTGATTGGTTACAGTGGTACTGGCTATAAGGGCATGCAAATCAACACAACCGAGAAGACGATCGAAGGTGATCTGTTCACGGCCTTTGTCAAAGCTGGTGCCATCTCAAAGGCCAACGCTGATGATCCCAAGAAGTCGGCACTTGTCAGATGCGCTCGTACCGACAAGGGTGTTCACGCTGCAGGCAACATGATCTCGCTTAAGTTGATTGTCGAGGACCCCAATATCGTCCAAAAGATCAACTCACACCTTTCACCACAAATCAGAGTCTGGGGAATTGAAAGAACAATCGGCAGTTTCAGCTGCTACCAAGTCTGTGATAGTCGTTGGTACGAATACTTGATTCCTTCACACGCCTTCTTGCCTCCACACCCGAGCAGTTGGATGGCAAGAAATCTGGAGGAGGCTGCGGATGAGGCTGGTGACCGTGAAGGTTATGAATCTCGCCAGGCTGAGGTCAAGGACTTCTGGAAGACTGTTGAAGAGCGCGATATCAAGCCTATTGTGGACGCATTGGACGACGACATTCGCGATTTGGTCCTACAAGCCATTCACGAGCCTTCCGATTTCAATCCTGATGGAGAACAACAAGACAAGCAGGAAGAGCAGGTCAAGCAGACTGCCGATGTCAACACATCAGCACCAGCAGATGCCGAGGCCAAGCCTGAAGCTGCTGCCGAGACTGCTGGTACAACCGATACTCCCATGCCTGATGAGCCTGCCACTCTCGAGTCGACAAACATCCCCACAGAACAGAAGAAGCGTATTGAAGCTGCTGTTAAGCAACTCAAGATCGCCTACAACACTGCCCGTCGTGCATATCGCATCCCGGACGAGCGCATTGCTCGCGTACAAGCCGCCTTGGACTGCTACGTTGGCACACGCAACTACCACAACTTCACCATCCAAAAGACATTCAAGGATCCCTCAGCTAAGCGCAACATCAAGTCCTTTGTCTGCAACCCAAAGCCTATCATCATCAATGGAACCGAATGGTTGTCCCTCAAGGTCCATGGTCAATCTTTCATGATGCATCAGATCCGCAAGATGGTTGGTATGGTCGCCTTGACTATTCGTTGCGGCTGTCCTATCGAGCGCATCGTCGAAGCCCAGGGCGACCAGAAGATCAGCATTCCCAAGGTTCCTGGATTGGGATTGTTGCTTGAGCGTCCTGTGTTCGACAGCTACAACGAGATTCAAGCTGTCAAACACGATAAGGAGAAGCTTGACTTTGGCAAATACGAGAAGGAACTTGAGGAATTCAAGCAAAGGGAGATTTATCAAAGAATCTTTGCCGAGGAGGAGAGAGATAACACGTAAGTTCTAATTGAAGTTGGTTGAATTGCAAGATTGCTAACATGATTGTTCAGATTCCACCTCTTCTTCAACCAGATCGACAACTACAAGGAGCGCCACTTCTTGTACCTGACGTCAAAGGGTCTGGAGGCTATCAAGGGCGCTGGCAAGCTAGATGAGCAGCGAGCAGCCAAGTCGAAGAACGATGGTGCTGATGCTATGGAGATGCAGTAGATGTAGTCTCGCATGATGTCAATAATAACAACAGTTGGCTGGCTCTCAATTCGTGCGCGTATGGCAATACGGTCTAATCGTAAATGCAAAAGTTCATACAACTCAATTGAGACACTCTCTTTGTAATGTCTATGCACCTTCTATCCACGTTTCTTGATCTCGGGATTTGTGGCTTGCAGGATTCGACTTGCATAGCCGAGGCTCTAGGCAACAGCAACTGATTGCTTGCATAAAGCTTACCTTATGTGCCCAATCTTGGAAGGCCAATTTATCGACATATGTTTTTGTGGCAACCATGAATACCTCAATGATAAATAGACTAGAAGAACTCATCGTGCGCAATAACCGCAATGCATCTCACGAGACCGCAGCCGCCGTCCTGCAAGACCTTGGAACCGCATGCATCTCATTCGCCATTCTCGATCACCACAACATAACATCTCACTGCATAACATCAGGCAGCGAAGATACATCTACCCTCTTCCAAGCCTGCTCAATCTCGAAATCTGTTTGTGCGCTTTTGATCTTCAAACTAATCGAATCCGGCCATCTATCTCTGCACACCTCGATCTCAGCCTATCTACCCAAGGAAGAAGTCGATAAATTAGAGACACCAGAAACTAAAGGAATGGCAAAGTTCATCACGATATCTATGTTATTGTCTCACACTTCTGGACTGGAAACTAGTGGTGTCTATGGCTTTCCTGGGTATGATCTCAGTCGCAATGCCAATGGGCACTTTCGCGCTGCGTTGCCGGAGTTGAAAGAGGCGTTGGAAGGTGGTTGGCCGAGTAATACTTTGCCTATTCGGCTTAAGGATTGGCCTGGTCATAATTTCAACTACTCTGGCGGTGGCTATGAGATTTTGCAGCTTATCATTGAAGAAGTGATGAAGAAGCCATTAGCCCAGGTGATGCAAGAGTACGTCTTTACACCACTGGGAATGAAAAGGTCGACTTTCGCTGTCCCTGACGACGAAGACTTGAATACCAAAAGACAGCAGGGCAAGGGTAATTATGCAAGAGCACACTACAATGGCTACACCGCTTGCGAAGCACCTCATCGAGTGAACCCAGAACAGTCTGCTGCAGGATTATGGTCAACACCAACCGATCTCTTGATCCTGGTCTCGGCAATCCAAAAGTCTCTACACAATGAGAGTGGACTTCTTCCTCAACACCTTGCCAAGCAGATGCTTGAGGAAGTTATGTCGACCATGGCTCATGGCTGGTTCGTCACAAACACTCACTTCGGCCACAGCGGCAGCAATGTGCCTGGTTGGAAGTGCAATGTCATGGCCTCTCTTGATGGAAACCAAGGCTTCTGCTTCATGGTAAATTCGCTTGAGGGAGATCCGGTTGGTTATAAAATGGAGGCGGCTATGTCCTATCTGCTTGGTTGGAAGAAGGCAAAGGAGTTTCTGTACATGAGAACATGCATTCCTTTTGCTGATGTCTCTGCTACTCCTCCTGACACAGCTGTTATAGAAAAGTGGAACGGGATGTGGAAAGAGAAGGGAACGCAATTCAAGGTAGAGTTTTTGGCGCAAGAAGGAGTCCCATGCTTGAAGGTTGGTCAGATGCCGGAGCAGTGGTTGTGGATCGCTGCTCACGGTGAAGAGGAGTATCAAGATGGAGGCAGAATTGTTGCAGATCTGGTGTGCAGAGGTGGAATGGAAGTCTTGGTGAGACTGATTGAGAGTAGCAATAGCGAAGCGTTAATGGAAATGTGGAATGGCAACACCGGAAAGAAGGTGGTGATGGAGAGAGTATCGTAAGCATACACAAACCAAATTCGAACTGGTTCCTTCATGGCTCATACAGTACGTAGCTTATCCAAGAACTGACTCAACACCACCTGAGAACGTAGGCCGTCCCTGAATGGCTCTGTCGTGGGTAGGCGTCTTTCGACGTTGCGTCAGTCGATGTGTTGGTTTGAGTTAGATTCGCGAGCGCTTTCACGCAGGTAACAACATCAGCTTCTGCTGCCTCAATCTACCAAACCCATCCACCACTTCAACTATGTCTGAGCCCAGCCGTCAGTTCGATATGAGACTTAGAGATTTGTTTGCGAAGTGCATCACATGGCAAGACTTTGCTGCTTATCTTCAAAGCAACCCGCGCGGTGATGCTACAAAAGGTAAGTGCAACTATGGCGCCCCCTTCCAGGGAGAAAAACTGACAAGATAGAAGCGACGCCTGTGACAAAGCTGATAGACCTTCCTACAGAACTTCTCCTGATGATAGTCGACGTTACAGAGAAGTCTTGCCTTGCCAATATGCGTCTGACCTGCCGTAAGCTTCAAGACATGACCAACGAAGCGTTCGGATCCGCATTCTTCACAACTCGCTATGTCATCGCGTCAGATCTCAGAATATGCACCCTACTGGAAATTGTTAGGCATCCCTTCTTTGGTCGTTATGTACGAGAAATCGAGATAGCCTCTGATTTTCTCTACGGCCTTCCTGGCAGGTTTAATCCAGACTATCTTCATGCCTTTTCCAGTACCATGCCCCGAGTGTTCAAGAACATTCAAAACCATCACGGTAGTGTGGACTTGGTATTTTACGAGTATCCGAATGGTCTCCTTGAAGTATCCCCAGGCGATCTGGCAGAGGTGTTCTATGTGGTCACGAGGATGGTCAAACATTCTCAATGTACCTTGGGACGGGTATGGCTATCTGGACTAGATTGGCGGGAAGAATGCTCCGAGGTGACTGTGCGTATGTTTGCAGAAGCTGATGGCTGGAGAAGGTTTCACCGACTGTTCAGATGAAGGGGTCATGGTAATTCATCAGATGGGTTTGGTCTTTTGACTGAATGTTGTTTGAATGATTGTCGTGTGGGTCGACCACTCCACTCATACTCTCTGCACATGGAACAAGACCTCCAATATGGAGCTTGTATCCTGCTTATACAGAGTGTAGAGCGTTAGCGCTAGGAGTTGCAAGACAATAGAAGATGCTGTCTCACATGCTTCAAGAGCCTGCATCGATGCTGATCATGGAAGCATCTCCTCGAGGGTCTTTGCAGTAGTCAATCATGACGATCTTTCTTGTAGCCCAATACCCTATCTCTGATTCGACAAGATGGTCTGAGGATCGAATGAAAGGCTCAAGAATATCAGAGACTGCAAGTAGCAAGACCTGTTGCAAGTTTTGGTAAACGAAGCCTTTTCTGTTCGAATAGGAACAGAACGCGGAACTCGCCAATGCAACAAACATTGATACTTCAATAGCTCCTAATTGGTTCTCCACTGACTGTGCGGAGACTCTAGGTTACGAACAGACTATAAGACAAGCATGTCGGTGGAGAGAGTTGACACTCAGAATGCAGCAAGTTCTCAAGTACTGTCTCCTCCACTCTCGGGTCAGCACGGGTGAGTTTTCATTGTGTACATAGCAGACTAAGAGCATAGCCAAAGATCTAGACGTGGACACATCGACAAGGAATCGTGTGCAGCATGATCGACCGGCAAGTCCGGCAGGACTGGGTGGTGTCCAGTGTGAGGGAGTCGAAACCGGGTTTCCGGAAGCATATTGTACATCGAGCAACAGTGAGTAGATCATGAGGACTGCTCAGTGAATGCTCGTCGATAATGCGTAGCATCCTTTGACCCAGAACTCTGTTGCCACGATGAAAACCTAGAGACATAGGGATCGATGCTCACCTTGACAACCACAATGTCGTACTTTGTGCATGGATCAAACTACTACGATGATTGTTTAGCAATCTTCATAAAGGTCGACGGTCTGTCTGTCTTGCTACGAGTTATGTTGCTCGGGTCATTTTGGTGTACATGCATCGAGAAAGGATGTTATCATAACTAAACATAAATTCATACGCTATATACAGAAGAGCACTTGATCCCAAGTTCGCCACGGTCAAGCTCTTGCGAACGCAATTCTATCTACGCTCGACCAACTCTACCTCGATATTATCATTCAAGGTAGGAATGTGCACTGATGCATGGTCTGCCTCCAATGCCCGTTCCTTGGCAGAAAGTACATCAGACTTTGTCTCGAGAGGTGCATCGACGACCCAATTCATTCTTTCGCTCGAATTGCGCATAAAGAGGCAGACGACAGCAGCAACTACACAGCCTGGAAGGAAAGATAACCAGACAATCTTGTAAGCATGAGCCTCTGTCTTGTGAAGCGCGGCCAGACCAGCACCAAGAATTTGTCCGTTGATCCCAGGGATCTTGTCAAGACCTTGACCAGACATGTAGAAGCCAATGAGCTGACCAATGTGAGCAGGATTGAAGCCTAGGGGAGCTACGGCAGCGACTACACAAGATATGTTAGCTTTGCTTCAATGGCCAAGGGTCTCGATTGCCACGTACTAATAGCCTCGGGGATTTGAGTGTTTGTGAGAGAGCCGTAAATTGCATTTGCAATGCCCAAGCCGACGGTACCACCGAGCGTGCGAGAGGAGATGGTAAGAGCTGAGGCGGTACCAATGAAGAGTGGAGGAGTAGAGTTCTGCAAATCGAAAGTCAGTTTACTGCTCGGCAGTTCATAGGGTGTCCATTGCTTACCTGAACCCAGACCATGATCAAGATCAGAACAGGAGCAAAGCCCAAACCACCAATACCATTGAATGTGAGACCAAGCTTTCCATCTGTACCTGCAAGAGCAAGACCGATAACAGAAGCACTGAAAGAGATGAAACCGACAAAGATGGGCCACTTAACGTCTCTGAAGTTGGTAACATAGATGGATAGGAAGGGCGAAACAACAGTGATGACCATGAAGAAGGGAAGAAGGTAGGCGTTGGCCTTGATGGTTCCAGGCTGCTCCCAGAGGCCATTTACTTGGGATGGGTAGATGTTGTTCATCAAATAAAAGAGCGAGCCCTCGACAGCGATGAGAACCATGCACAGAGGGAAATTGCGTCCGTTCTGGAACAGACGATGGTCCAAGAAACCAGTCTTGGTACCCTTCCATTCTGAAATCGAGTCAGCTAAGGTCTGGCTGTTGGAAACGATCGAACCATACCATAGATCAGGCAGACAATGAAGAGGACTCCACCAACAACCACAGGAACAACGGTATGAGTCTTGCTGGCCCAGCCATAGTTGGAGTCACTGCTCCAAGCAAAGCCCATCAAGAAAGGGACAAGAGCTCCCAAGAGGAGAATGTAACCGATCCAGTCGAGAGCTTTGAGTTTCTGACCGAGAGACTGTTTGCTGGCAGCAGTACGTGGCGGGGGCTGCATAGTGAAATGGTCAGCTCAGCAATCAATCAGACGACAGGTTACTTACGAAGTAAAGTGCTGCAATGCCGATGATGACGAGACATTCAAGGATGAACTTGATGCGGAAAACCCATCTCCAACCATTGACAGGGTCCGCAGCAGTCGCAGCACCGATGGGGAGAAGGGCAACAAGAGATGAAAGTCCAGAGACCCAACTGACGATAGTTTGACCGTAAGCACGGTAAGCCCCTGGAATGACTTCGGATGCAACAGCAAACATGATACCGGATATACCAGATGCAATACCGGAGAGTGCTTGACCAGCAATAACAGCAGTCATACCGCTAGCAGTCATGGATACGATAGAGCCAACGGCAAAGAGGCACCAAACGATGAGGATGAGGTATCTGCGGCCGTACACATCCGAAATGATGGCGAAGATTGGGCCAAAGGCGATGGCAGGAACGGCAGCAGCTTGAACGATCCAGATTCTTTCACTTGCTGTACCCCCTAAAGCTCCAGCAATGGCATATTGGTTCGCGGCAGGTGCAATACCGTAGTATGTATTCTGGCTGTGTCAATGATTGTGCCATGTGTGACGGGAAGGAGAGCATACCTGAAATGTAGCTAGGGCGCAAATCGCAACAATAGCCCATGCTCTCCAAGACAAAGGCGCCTTGTGGTCAGGATCCTGGCCCATGGTACCAATGACTGTTACTTGTTCATCTTTGCTATCGACAGCGTATGTATCGACTACGTGCGAGTCGGGGAAGGTCGAGACTTCCATATGACTGGTGTTTGACTTGTCCATAGCGGAGGAAATAGTATGGAACGAGGGAGATATGGAAAAGAGAACTTCGTGTTGCCCGACTTAAGCAATGCGATGTGGTAGAGGTTGAAGACAGATGATTGACCAAGTGAACCCCGGCTACGAATACTCTGGGGGAGTGCAAGGGGGATCTTTATGGGGTTGGTCCCTCCACAGATGAACCGATTCATCATGTAGTCTTTTACTGAGCCCTACCGTTCGAATAGTGGACAAGAGATGGGGAAGCTTCGTATCTTGTGGGCGCGTCCGACATCAGAAGTCTGGGGAATAGGTTAGGGCAAGCAGCTATCCGTCACTCTGAAAGTCCATCATGGGTATTGCGACGAGCATTTTGAGAACAGACTTTTCTCTTTCTGGCCAGTCGTCCTGTAGAGAGGCGACATTCAAGCCATCATCGTCTAGCTTACCGCGTTTCATATGTCTGTGGTTCAGAACATCCCACATTGTGGTATAGTGGTGCGGGATGTGGACACGGGTGAGTTCGGGGATGTAGGTAGTCAGCAATAAGTTGGTTCCTGACTATGGCCAGAAGTCATCTGGTCAGTCCTCATTCTGAGCCTGGGTGATGGCCATGACTTTTGTCACGAGAAGCCAACTCCATGTCTGGACCCCGCATCACGCCCGCATTCGCAAGGCAGGTGTGGGGAAGTGGATGACAATTGCCGACCCCCGTTCTCAAGCATTATTGCTGAAGGGGCAACGAGAAGAGGTAATCATGCTTGACACTCGGAGAAGGGATGCAAGGCAGTACATAATAAAGCTCGCTTTTACTGGATTCTAGAAGGACTAATCGGAGGTCAAGTCTGCTCCGAGTGCGGGGAAGCATCTCGGTTCGGAGCAACCGTTTCGGAGTTGAGCCTTCCCTTTGTGACCTGGGCACGATCAAGTGCGCATGTATTGCTATTGTCTGCTAGAATTGCACACAGATCAATGTTCTATGATATGCAAAACATGCATCGACTCTCCTATCTGTTCACGTTCCTGAATTGGGCAGCTCTTGATCGATTTTGACCGGCAACTTTTGGTCCCGAAAAGGAGTTCAATCTGCCGAACGGGGCTCATCCCCAGTTTGCTTCGGCGACGCCAGCGGCTGAGTTCGGACGAGCCTGGAGCCTCTCCATAAGGCAACGGACCTCCATCGGGCGACTGACACTCGTTAATCATAAGAAGAGCCAAAGTCATCTCGAAAATACCCCGTCCTCTTCTCCAGATACTATCTGATCATCTCTTATCAAGAAATATCTCCAGCATCGCAACAATCAGCATGGCTACTGCTACTGTGACCAGCGCACCTATCGACAAGGAGTGGAACGAACCTCCTAAAGTGACCGTTCAGGCTGTCCCACCTGTTCAGGTCCATGACACTCCAATTCTCAACGTCCTTGACGAGTCAGTCCACTATGGCGACTTCCGTGATGGTAAGCTTTGGATCTTGTTGATGTACTCTCAGAGCCAATACTAATCCTTGCCTAGATCTTGCCCGTGATGGCTACTGTGTAGTCAAGAATGTTCTCGAAAAGGAAAAGGCTCTCAAATACGCCGAGGACATCAAAGACTGGCTCGAGAGTTTTGGACTCGGCTACAAGAGGGATGACCCCTCTACTATTCGCGAAGAGTGCCTCCCTATTATTCACCAAAAGGGCCTTGTTCAAGCATACGGTGCTACTCACGAATCTTTCACATGGGGTGTCCGTTCTGAACCAGCTGTTATTGACGTCTTCGCGAAACTCTATGACACTGAGGATCTGATCTGCTCGTTCGATGCTGTCAACGTATCGCTTGCCAACCGTCAAGATCTTCCCGCCAACGGTGCCTGGCCTCACCAAGATCAAGACCCAGAGCGTGGAGGTCTACGTTGCGTTCAGGGTTTCGTCAACCTCTTGCCCAACGGTCCTGAGGATGGTGGTCTCCTTGTCTTGAAGGGTGGCCACAAGGTCAGCGAGGAGTACCACAACGTTTTCAGAAATGAAGAACGTGGCTTCAGATGGACAAACGAGATCTACTTGTTCAAGGAGACTGGTCTCAAATGGTTGGCCGACAGAGGTTACGAATGGGTCAAGGTCGATGCCGAGCCTGGTGATGTCGTTCTGTGGGATTCTCGCACTCCTCACTACAACGCTTCCCCCAAGCAGAACACTGACAGATTTGTTGTCTACGTCTGCATGTTGCCAGTCTCGACAGCAACTCAGGATGACCTCAAGCTCAAGAAGAAGCTGTTCGAGGAGCAGCATGGCCACAGCCACTGGCCCATGGCTCTTCAGCCTTTCATCAAGGAGTACCTGACGCCCATGCGTAATGGCAAGCCTGATCCTCTCAACACATGGAAGCCTCGCCAGCCACCACAGCTTAGCGAGAGAGGCTACAAGCTGACTGGTATTCCATACATCAAGGCTGAAGCTTAGGCTTGATAACCGCTTTTGGTCTTTTTTCATCCTTTTCATGCATATATTCCCACGACATTCCATAGTTCATGTTTGTCCATAGCATTTATTCAAAATTATGATTTTCATTCAATCAGTCGTACAGCCCTGCGACCTCAATGCTTAATTTCCGTGTGCTAGAGAAGTCACAGGTAGCGATACAATTGCACAATATCTCCAACAAGAACCCGGCCTCCACGGAAAGAAGTGCATTAAAGGCTATTCCAATGGCCAGCCTCACATGTTGATTACAATTGTGCATTTCGACAGCTTATGATAACCCTTGTACCTCAAGAGTGAGATAGGGTCAATGGCAGAATTTTGACTGACCTCAGTGTACGGGGAGGGCGTGAGATCAAGCAGAACGCGTCTCATGGCGTTCATCCAAAATCATGATCTTCGTTCAACTTAGCATACCGCCATGTGGCCTCAATAGTTCCTTCGCGTGTGCTGAAGACACTGTTAGGTAGCTATAGAAATGCATGATGCTCGAGAAGAGTGTGGTTTTCGCAGAAAGAAGACCATGGCAGGCTATTTCGATGGCCAGCCTCACATTGTGATTAACTGTGCATTTTGACAGCTTATAATTAACCTTGTACCTCGAGATGCAGGTAGAGTCAATCCAATACTGGATTGAAAAACCAGGACTGACCTTTGTCAGCACACAGGGAGAGTGTAACGAGTAATATGAATTGAAGCATGCTGCCCGCTAGCAATTTCGAGGTGGGAGACGAAGGCGGCAATTTCATGCTGTGTAACATTCGGCGCGACTGCAGCCTTCTGCAGTTTTACGTGCCGCAAAATTACATCACGACCCATAGAAATATAAATCCCCACCTGCTACACCACTATTCTTTTCCTTCAACAACTCAACTATCCTTCGATCAAGATGGGCACTCGTAACCTCATCCTCGTCTACTACAAAGGTCAATACTGTGTCATTCAGTATGGCCAGTGGGACGGGTACCCTGCTGGGCAAGGCCTGACCATCCTCAACTTCCTCCTTGACCCTACGAACATCCAAAAATTGGAAGGAGTCCTGGATGATAGCGACAACCGCATCATCGTCCTCAGCGATACAGAGCGAGACGCTTACTTCGAGGATCTCCACCGCAAGCAGATCGAAACGAGAAGTTTCATGCCGATACCTGCCATCGAATCTCTTTCTCGCGATACTGGAGCAAAGATATTGAACATCTTAGCAAATGCTACGGAACTGGAACCTGTCAAGATTCACCTTTGGGGCATCGATTTTCTTGCGGATGATATCTCTATGGAGTGGGCCTGGGTTGTTGATCTTGATAAGAAGGTTCTGGAGGCGTTCACACACTGGGACAGATATAAGATCGTGGATGAGAGATCGAGATTTGAGGAGGTGCTTGGCAGTGAGAAGAAGTTGCCGGGATTAGTGAAGAGGTTTGGTTTTGATGAGCTGCCCAAGGACAAACTCATCTTTCTCGGAAAGTTTGAAGAGTTGCTTGTGGATGAGGAGCATAGATGGTGATGACCAAGAATGGCAAGTCGAGGTGCTGAGATCGGTAGAGTCACTCAGAGACTAAGCATCGAAGTAGATCTTGAGAATTGACCTGCATGGTTTTGCAACAAGATTATGTGCACGCTGCTGAACCCCGACTCAGGATAGCCAATCTTGAGAGAGATGTTCTTGCATCAATTCTGTGCGCTCAATCACGAGATAGCTACCGTGGACTCAGGGCGAGTATGTCAGGAATCAGTCAGAGCTGATGCTATGAGCAGGTAGCTACAGTAGACAGTCATGGCTCATGAAAATAACTTCGTGTTCCTCTGGTGATCGAGCAAGATGGCAAAGAATCCGTGCAAATCTGCTTTGTGAATTAGTCAAGCTCATCATATGAGTATCCAATTTTCCAATATGGTTCAGGGGTACTGTGAGCATTGAATGTGAGTCGTCATGAGAGGGTTTCATTACATCGCTCATAATTCTGTGCAATTGAATTGTGACGTTAGTCAAGGTCGAGAAGATCGTATATCCTTGTCGGGAGTGCTGATTGCCGCCATCGTCTTTGTTGTGGTTTCCAGGCCGGAAAATTGAGCAAGCCATCGAGCTTGGGCTCGGCATCAAAACAAGTTCTTCCTCGACAAGTTTAATTGTTAGATCTTCTTCTACCCAAACATACATTGCGCGTGTTCGCACAGCTCCAACATCCATCCTCCATACAGCAAAATCTGTCACCACGTCCAAACGCAAACATCTTCTCCGACACACTCTTCAGTTCAGTGTTGTTTCTCACGCGGCTCAGCTCTTCCGCGTGAACGTTGCGAACACTCTCTGCTTTCCCAAACAACACTTCGCATCCTTATCCGTCAGTGGCTTTACACGCTCTCATTTCTCAAGCTTGTACCTCCCGGAGCGCATAGCCACAAGCAAGCAGATGGATACAGAAGCTCTTCCATCTGACCTTGTCGCTGCGGTCATCCGCCTTAGCAGGATCCCGCGTGCGAGACGTGCTCTCTACGAGCTTATCGATACCTATCTCCAGCCTCCTCATGGTAAGCATATAGTGTAGATGAGCATGCTATCTGAATGACGCTGACATCATATAGGCATGTTGGATCTCCCGCTCGAAATCTTGGAGCATGTGGTCACTTTTGTGGGCCCAGAGGGTCTCATTGCTCTCCGAACAACCTGCAAGAAGCTGGAAGAAGCGACCAGGAGTAGATTTATCGACCGCTTTATCGAGTGCCGCCGCCATGTCCTCAGCATCTACAGTCTCAAGGCTTTGATCGATATTGCCGCTCATCCTCATTTTGGACGATTCGTCAAGACAGTTATTCTCGATACCACCTGCCCCTTCGAGCACGACGGAAAAAGATACGTCGCCAGCACCCAGTCCTTCAATCATCATGATGCCTGTAAACTTCTCAAAGAAGCATTCCGCCAACTGAAAATGCATGGACAAAAAATCGCCTTAGGCGTGACAGACCGCAATCGAACCAGCCACGGCATCTGGAAGCTTTTTTCACCACGATCCAAATTCCATCTTCTTAAGCAGGATAGGAGATTCGTCTTCCTTATCGTTCGCATCTGCGCCAATGAGCTCGATATCATTGTCAGCAAATGGGTCTTCGAATTAAGGGAGGTTTGTCCAGCCGCGACCAGAGACAAAACTGTTCAAAAGTTCGCGAGCGAGGCTCTCGATGTCACTAGAATTCTCTCGCCCTCTAGATCACTCAAGTTCAATGTGTTGCAGGCGCACTTTAGCTTGCACATAATTGAATTTGAGTTGATCTGGGACCATGAAGAAAGGAGTCTGGAGATGTCTGGGCTCGCACAGTGGTGTCCGCGCCTTGATAGAAATGTGGCCTTTAACCTACTCGAGGGCCTGGACTTGGTAGCAGCAGCAAAAATCACCGAGTTGACACTGTCAAGCTGTCGTATTGCTTCGGACATCGATCATGACCAGTTCATCAAGTTTATCCAGACTTGCTCTAAGACTCTGGAGAGGGTGAAACTCTCGGGGATCGTCATTGCACACGACTCAAAATGGAGCCCAGTACTCCGGCTTCTCGCTCGTGCTCCTTACCTGGCGAAGTTCGAGTTGGTAACACTTTCAAGACAGTTTCAGGCTCGTGTCAGCTCCGAGAAGCGGACCGTTGTGGTCGTGTATGTTGATGAATGGTCTGGTCATGGTGGCAACATTTCCGCCGAGCTGGATGATTTGGCTGCCGCCGTCGAAGCAGACGAGTCTACGTGGGAATCGCTTAGCAACAATGATCCGAAAAAGTGGATGTACCGCATGACAGGCCGCAAGAAGACTCCGAACACGCTCGATGCCGAGTCTGCCAATGATAATGGATCTTTCACTTTCGCCAACCTCCAACGCCCTCGATGAGGTCCTGCTCCTACCACACGCACCGGGGCTCAACAAGCGACAACATCACTCTGAAGGGAGGGCTGACATGCGCGGGGAAGTCAATATCTAGATGCCATGATTCAGGAAGGGAGAGAGAGACAACAAAAGTTAGGTTTAAATGCCTACTGAGTGTGGGTAAAATGGCAGTCAAGCTGCGCTTACGTCCAACGTGGCAGTGACAGGAGCGCAAGCCTTTCTGCTCGGTTGAGTGCTGAAGGATGGAATGCTTCAATCACCTAGTGGTGGCCTTGCCAGTTGCAAGACGATATTCCAATCAAGACATGTCTGGCGTGCTTTTTTGTTCAGTGCTGAGCATGCCACAGTATACTCCCTCTGTTGTAAAGCTCGGACTCGAAACTATCAGAAGGCACGGAAGTATAGAGTCTGCTGACGTGAAGAAGAATCACTCCTTCAATGGCAAGTTTGCCGAGGAAATAAAGGTTTATGAATTCGGATAGTAAATCTCGACCTGCTGCTGTTGGAGACTGTAACACTGATACTTATGGTCTACTGACCTGTTGGAAGCCAGTCGACTCTCTATTTGAGAGCCAGAGATCATGCTGCTGTCCCAATGCGCAAAGTTTTCGTGCCCGTATGGCTGCCAAGGAGGAACAATGGAGGGACAGCTTCTGGTGACAGGTCTGCTGACAAGGTAAAGGGCTTGTGTCTCATGACAGTGAGGTTCGAGGGCTTCAATCGAGATAGGATCCATCCATCACAAAAGTATCATTGCTTCGAGATAAACTTTTCCAGAATCTTCGCCCTCCTCCTTGGGTGCAGATGACAACAACAATTCATCGAACAGAATAAGATTAATGTCCAGGATTTCCCAATGGCAGTTTGCTAAGGAAGAAAAAACAAGTTTGCTTGGAAAGCGAAGGAAAGGAGAAGAAAAGTGAAGCGAGCAAGTCTCGTCACAAGACATGCGATTGTTGAGTCTACCGAGCGCGACATTTCGATTTTCCTCTTCGACAACAAGTTGCTTTCTAGACAAAACATTCATCTACACACGACACAATCATGGAAGGGCAAATTGAACAATCAAAGATCATGCAGGACATCGCAGCCTTGGAACAAGACAACCTTGCACAATTTCTTGTGGAGGCCTACAAGTTGATTGCGCAATGTTACAATCGCGAAGAAGATGAACAGTGCATCGAAGGATGCCATTATCTGCTCAGCACATATCGGGTCTCGCGTTTCTTCTCAATGAAATTATACGCACTCATTAGCATGTCATCCGAAGACTGGCATGACGCCGAGCACTATCGCGAGCGCGCGGAGCGTCTTTACACCACCTTGATTAATGAGTTGCCTGAGGACGCAGAGCCGGGTCAGGATTTTGTCAGCATGCGGAACGATTTGGACGAACTTGCGCAGTGCCAACTAGTGAACAAGCCAGACGTTGACGAAGACGAGGACGATGATGACGAGGACGATCAATACCCTGAACCATACCCACAGAGTCTAGTGGTGCCCGACCTCGTCGCCATAGTCGGCAGAGATGGTACACAGGAAGAATATCAGCGTGTCCAATACCTCATCGAAGACTGTGAAGACGGCGACGAGATCTACGACAAGAGAGAATTTACTGCATATGCAGACGCACTTCAGCGAATCCTTGACAGCAGCAACGTTCCTGCTCTCCTCGCTCTGAGATTGTGCATTCTCATCTCATCTAATGTACCTGATCGAAAATTAGCCAAGGTCAACTTGGAGATAGCTGAAATACTTTGGGAGGAGCAGAGAGACGAGTGGGAATCTCAAATGCCGCCCGATGTCGACACTTTTATGCAAGCTGCGCGCGACGCATTGGACTTACTTGTCAAGAAACACCAGGGTGCCGCCGAGAGCTGAGACAGTTTCGCAAGCTGGTGACACATCGGGAGACGCAACAAAGTTGGACCTGCTTTACCATCCAGGCTACGTTCTGATGCTGCCAGATTCATTCCTGGTGCAAGCGCCCTCAATAATCAAGACTCTGTCAGTGGCTTCAAGTTATCTGACAGCTTGTACATTACTAAGACGCCAGATTCGCAGCGGAACCAGAACCAGGACCAGGACCAGGTTAACAACAGGTCTTTCGGTAATGATAGTGCAGGTGAAGCAGGGGCCAAGCGCCACAAATAGGAGCTCACCATGAATGAATAACCGCCTATCGATGATGAAGAACAAGCAAGACTTGAGCATCCAGAGCAAGAAGATTCGCCAGTCTGGTGATGTTTCGCTAGACAAAGAGCTGTCACAGCTCCCTGATGATATCAGAGGAAGCCGCAGTCCAGCGTTTCAAGCCAGAGAGCCAATCAACCAAGCAGTCTCTTACGAAGAACATCCCTCCAGCCAACAAATCATTGGAGGCGAAAGAGCCACTTGCATCGGCTGTCAGTCCGTTCAAGGGCAAGGACTTGTTTCAACATACCTCTACCGACCCCGAGTAGGGCTGGCCCTCAAAGGTCGAGCGGGCGTTGTGTCCCACCAAAGCCACTGCTGCCAAAACTGTTCTAAACCCTGCCGCCAACACATCGACTCACAGTCTTACTATTCCTCACGCTAGTCATCTGCACTTCGACCTTGACAATCCGTCTACTGCGAATTTCGCCTCAACCCACACTCCTTCCGGAAGAGGACGCACTGCGGTGACGTACAGCCTAGTTCTCTGTTCAGGGTATCTGCTGCCGAACCCTTTGCGACCGAGACCTCCGACGCTCAAACGCCCACAATCTCTTGAGCCTTCTATATTCCGAGCAGGGTAGCTGGAGGTACTGCGCGTGGCTCTGCCCGTCGTCAGCTTCCTGTTCCTAGAGCTGCAGATGGACACGCTCAGTCTGCGTAAGTAGTTTCCAACATATATTCACCGAGGCTCAAACTGACAAGTTGTAATGGCAACACAATCAAGAAGGGGGAGAAGCAAGACTCCCACACAAAGTGAGAAACGACGAGGGCGATCCATCTTCATCCAAGCCTTGATCTCCCAATCAAGCTTGTCTACTTGTTACCACGATCTTTGCTTGTGGGACCCAAGGCCAAAACTCGACTTCAAATCAATCTAATGGTCGAGCGCGATTGGTACAGTACACTCCCATGTTCGAAAATGTTATGGAAGGAAAGAGAGCGGAAGTGGGGATTCACAAGACAACGCACACTCATACACCGCCAAAAAAAAAAGAATTGATAGACTTTCCCTAAATGCATACCAGTCTGCCCGACATGCCTAGATGACACTCATCTCCGTCATATGTGTCATTTCACTGGACATCTCACTAGGGGCGACACGAGTGTTGATGAACAGTGTGCCATGAATGGGAATAAGCAGCCAAAAGATACATATGGTCAATGCCTCTTAATCGTTGCAGATAAACTCATAGACAGTCAGCGTGCCTAGAATGAACGTCGTATAACTATCCCGATCTCGATCTTTATTTAGCAGTGTCACGGAGAGTTTTCAATAACCACCTCAACGTGCCCACAGGCTGATGTCGTGGCTGGCAAAGTTGGAAATATTTTTCGGAGGGACCGTTATAGGTAGGTTGAGGCTGCGTCGGCCAAGCCGGCCCAACGCCCTCGCCTTTTCCACGTTTCAACGTGTCCTCCTCGTTGAAGCAGTTACGATCGTGGAGTGCAGCTTCCAACAACGTCTATTCTCGAAGACATTTATATTGTCTTCATTTGTTTATCGCAATTCACCAGATCCCTGACGTGGAGACAAGGCCAATTCGAGGCCACTCTATATCCCCTTCCATCTAAATCCGCGGCGATTGACACGAGGCGCCAAGTGGTAGTAGTGCGGGTCGACTCCAAAATTGCGGCAGGGCACGTCGCTAAAAATTGTTAGGGTTTCGTAAAAATCCAATTTGCAGACGGGAAGACGGAACCCTGCACCAATTGATCGACAGGTACAGCACGAACAGTGTGGAGGCGGTCGAACTCGAACTGGTACCCCCCATACCTTTGAATTGATTGCGAAGGATTTCGAAGGATATGTGTCAAGATATACACGACCTATCCAGGGTGCTGGTGTTGCTTGTATGAGTTGTACCTGTCAAGCCGCATGGCTCAGGCGCCGACGTCTCAAGCTGAGACAGAATTTTCGCACCCCACATAAGCCACACCAGCGATACGAATCCTTTGTAGTTGCTCCGTACACATGATCGTAGGTAATTTTGATGTTCGCCGACCGCCGAGGGCGGCCCTAACTGGCTCAAAGTCAATTTATGCGTCAGAGGCCTGCGGATACGGGACTAATTATGTTTCTACGAGGATCCGTCCATACTAGCGCAGGTACGGTTCCTTGGGCGAATTGGCTGCAGATCAGCCTCGCCCATAAACATGCGATATCCCAGCTGCTCAGACAGTCCTGCTTTGCTCTTCGTCTTCTTCCTTCTCTGTTTTGTCGATTATTCTTCCCGTTATACTTACGGGCTTTTCTTTCGTTAATACTAACTTTTGCCGACTGTTCGGCCTCCACTCGTTATGAGATCTTTCATTCCGGCCCTTATCGGCCTCGCAACGATTGCTGTTGCCCAGAACAGCACCGTTGACTGTGTCACCGCTTACACCAAATGCTACGACTTCGATCTTTCGAATGACAACATATGCTCTTCTGAAGCCTCTGCATGCAAGGACTCGTGCAGCACTCAACGCTCGAACTGCATGTCCAGCGGTTCTTCTCAAAGCGTGTGTAACTCGCGTTATGATACCTGCATCGGTGTGAACTCAACCAGCAACCTCGCAAGCTCTTGCTTGGCTCAAGTCATCCCCTGTTACGCATCGGCCTCGCATGATTTGACCAACGCTTGTGACTCTAAAATCGCGAACTGTTGTTTTGACAAATCCAGAGATATGTATGATGGTCACTAATGCACTGTCCAGGCAAGCAGGCGTGTTCAGCAATCCTCGATATCTGCAACAGTGCAAACGGTTCAGAGGAATCTTGTCAAAAGAACTATAGCGCATGTCTTGGGGCAAATAACGCTACCGCCCCTTCTTCGTCTTGCATCGAACAAGCAGAACAAGCCTACCTCAACAACGTCGCCGACAATGATGTGAGCATCCCTTGATGGAAGGAGTTAACACTAGCTGACCATATTGCCAGGCTGCTGCCCTTACAGCCACTTGCAAGCAAACTTGGTGAGTATATTTGTCGACATAGAAGAGGAAAGAGGCTAATATCCTGTAGTGGTGTTCTCAAAGATGCGTGCATGACAAGTGGTGACGACAGCCAATGTGAGGAATCATTCGAAAAATGCCTTGGAGCCGGACAGGTCACTACCAGCAAGGTTCACTGTATCTCCGAGGTTGAGGCTATGATCCAGGCAGGAAACAATGACAACGATATCGAGGCCCATAACGCCCAGTGCAAGCACGTGACACCCGTACTACTTTTAGAGGATATTGCTAACCGTTGAGAAGGGACTTCTGTGCTCGTGGCAACGACATCCTGTCCGGCAGTGGAAACAAGGCTGACAACGCAACCGCTCTGTCGTGGTACTCTAGCTGCGTTGGCGCCAAGAACCTTCCCACTCTGACTTCGAGCTGTGTCTCTAACAGTGAAGCCTCATACCTCAACGCAACTTCCGGCGACAATGCACAGGACTCAGAACTTGCCACATGCAAATCACAGTGCGGATACATGTATTCGACCTGCTTAAGTTCGGGGGATCCTAGCGTCAAGGCGGGCTGTCTCGCATTTTATAGCGCATGCACTTCAGGCAACTCCACCACTTCCAGCTTGAACTGCGTCGCCGCTGTTGAGCAATGCTACCTCGACGGCAAATCTGATCAGGAATGCGATTCTGAAAATGCTCAATGTAAAAATGAATGTACTAGAGCACGCTCCACATGCGGCTGTAAGTCGAGACTTTATCTCTCTTGATGATACCCACTAATGACTTCATAGCGAGCGGTGACTCCAGCATTTCAGCACAATGCGATTCGGCGTACGAGTCTTGTCTCGGTACCTCTCAATTGAAGCCCTCCATCGTCGACTGCGTCTCTCGTACTGAGGCATGCTACACCTCTGGCAAATACACTGATGCTGAGTGTGATGCCCAGAATGGTAAGATGAAAACTCCGTTACACTTCTTACTTTATACTAACCTGTATATTAGCCATCTGCAAAACAACTTGCTCCAGAAGCGTAATACCCCCGAACTGAATTTGACTTTTTAGAAAGATGCTAATCTGTATATCAGATGGATACTTGCACCAGTGGTTCGAACTCCACCTCTGTCCACTCGGAGTGCCTCACCCACTACGAACAGTGTCTTGGTAGCTACGAAGTGTCTCCCATCTCGACCATCGACTGTGTCAAGGATGCTACAACCTGCTTCCTGGATGGCAACGCATCGAACAATTGCTCGGCTTCAACGGCTGTTTGCAAGACCCAATGCAGCAGAATGGTATGGTTATCGAGTATGAAGTGATGATCTAGGCTGACTTTTTGAACAGAACGATGTCTGCCTCTCCAGCGGCGACGCCTCTGTGAAGCCTGGTTGCCAAAAGCGTTATGAGAGCTGCTTGGGCGAAAGCGTAGAAGCCGAGGAAGCTGCTCAGAACATCAACTGCATCAAGAGATACACTGACTGCCACGCTCCCGGTTCCTTAATTCCTGACAACGAATGTCAACGTCAAAACGCGGATTGTGAGTAGATACATATCTGCTTCTTGGATACCGCTAATATTCTTCCAGGCAAAAACACATGTAGCCAATGCATGTTTCACCCTGTTGTCTTGTCTGAAGGTTCTCAAAGCTAACTCAATATAGTGCTTGATTCTTGCGGCTCATCAAGCGGCAACGCCTCAACTTCGTCCCAATGCCAAGGTATGTCCAATCAAGAGACCGGAAGCTGAGGTGATGCTAACAGCAATCAGGTGTCTATAATGGCTGTCTAGGCAACATCGCTACTAGCCTTGTTGATTACCAACCCCTGGACTGCGCCGGCAGAAGGAAGACTTGCCTTTCCACCACAAACTCGACAGCAGAGTGTGATCGTGAGGACGCCATCTGCGGCAATGCCTGTGCCACCACCCTCTCAACATGCTTGACAAGCACGACTGCTGATGACGCTGCCTGTAACCACGTTTACATGTTGTGCCTCAACAAGGACAACTACAAGGTCACCAGCATCCCCGCCAGCCTGAAGCCTACCGCAAGCCTTCCCTCCGTCAACACTACTGCCAAGGCCACTGCTGCTCTGACTACTGCTCCCGGATCTGGTGCTTTCTCCACTGGTGCTGCATTCGTTCCTGGTCCTTACAACAACGGCAGCTCTTCCACTGCTGATTCTCAATCTGGCGCCGTTTCCGTTGCTACATCCACCGAGAGCACTGTTTACGTTACTGATGTCGTCAAGACTACCGTCACTACATGCCCTGTTGGCCAGACGTAAGCCAATGCCTTGTATTTTAGTTCATCTTGAAAATATGCTAACAATTTCTCAGCATCACCTCTGCTGGATCTACCACTGTTCTGACTGCCCCTTCGGTTATGACCACCTCGGTCACTGTTAAGAGCACTGTCTCGACCACTAACCTCCACACCATCACTGTTCCCGTTGGTGGAAACAACGCCATTCCTTCGCAGACTTCCACTTCGCTCGAGAGCACCGTCTACGTTACCGATGTTGTCAAGTCTACAGTTACCACATGCCCCGTCGGCCAGACGTAAGATTCATCTTTCTTGATCTGATAAACCTAACTAACATTTCCTAGTGTCACCTCTGCTGGATCTACCACCGTCCTGACTGCTCCCTCTGTCATGACCACTTCAGTCACTGTCAAGAGCACTGTTTCCACCGTCCTGACCCACACTGCCATTGTTCCTCAGTCTTCTCCCGTCAGCCCCGAGCAGACCACTCCTGCATCCGTTGAGGGTCACGTTGCTGTCCCTTCGACTGTCGTTCTCTATAGCACCAAGGAGATCACCATCACTAGCTGCGCTCCCGAAGTGACTAACTGCCCAGCACGCCAAGTTTCTACCACTGTCTTCCCTACCGCCATCACCATCTCCAGCGTTTGGTCTCGTGTTTCTTCCATTCCCGCAGCCTCTTCGCCCGCTGGATCTGCCCCCGCTGGATCTGCTCCTGCTGGCTCTGTTCCCGTTGAGTCTGGCTCTGCCGCTTCTTCCGCTGCCGGTTCATCTCCCGTCAGCCCTGAGACCACCTCGGCCGCTGTCACTATTCCTTCGACCATGTTCTACTACAGCACTGCCATCGTCACTGTGACTAGCTGCGCTGAGGGCGTTAAGAACTGCCCAGCCTCTTCCACAGTTGTCGAGACTTCCGTTGTCCCTACCGCATACAGCGTCACTAGCGTCATCTCTTCGTCTTGGACCCCCATCGAGTACACTAGCCCTGCTGCCGGTGTTCCTCAGGAATCCGCCCCTGCTGTCTCTGCTCCCGCTCCCATCGCCCCCACCTCCGCTCCCTTCGCCGTTTCCAACAGCACCATGATGTCTGTTGGCCCCAAGGGAACTGGTATTGTCGGAACTGGCTCTGGCAGCAAGGCCACCTCCACCTACTCACCTTCTCAGTACACTGGCGCCGCCAACAAGGTCGGTGCTGCTGGTCTGGCTGGTGTTGCTGCTTTCGCCGCTTTCCTTTTGTAAGCAGTGTGTTAATAATCTTGTACAAGATTTGTTGATTTGAGGCGCTGCATTTTAATATTCTTCAACCCCGACTTTCTTTCCTTTTCCTATTTCTATCTTTTGTATATACGACTTACTCTATCTTTATAGCCTGATAGTCCAGGCACTTTTTACATATAGAATCCCAGTTGACCTCAGAAATATTGTTGCATTGTCTTTTATCATACGTTTTTGAGTCAGGATCGAGGCAGGTCATGCCCCGCCCTTTTTTCGTGGTGGGGTTTGGTTGCGCCTGCCACTTCCTCTTCCTTCCTTTTCTTCAATCTGCTAGCCCTCACGTGTCGTCTCGATTTCTATTGAATCGCTCTTCTACGCTGTCCCCAACTTCCCATCACCGAGCGACAATTGCTCCATCCGATCATATCGTTTCGAAGCGCTGGCGCGAAGATGGCGGCTAATGTTTAACTCGAACTATCCCCGGCGCTTGGGCGACGCGCCCGAACGATGAATATGATTGACGCAACCAAATCGCCAGCAGTCTGCTAATATGTCTGCGACCGTTATCACGCAGTAGCTCAAAGACAGAATACGCTGGGTTGCCGTAGTGCGATGACATTCGTCCTCGACCACTATCCCTGCATGCTGACAAGTATCGGGCGGTTTGGATGCTATTTACGGTAGGTACAGACCGGAAAGTGATGCGGTGCACCTACAGGCAGGCTATCTGAGTATGCTTGTGTAAATAACGTAAGTATATCTGACGAAGTCTTCCCGGTTTTGGTCCCAAGTTTTGTTCATCCTCCTATCATCTTGGTCTCGGGTTTTATTCCTTGCGGTCCAACCTCAACGACCAGCCGGTGGTGTGCAGATAAGGAATGTCTCCTGTGCTTTTGATCATCCTGTTCTTCCGCGGAGCATACGCAAGTGTTCCAAGGTCACTTAACTATGACACGACTGTTGGTCCTGACGGTATGTGCACAAAAGGCAAAGTCTTTCTCGTTGACTGACAACGAAAAGGGCCGTGGAACGCTTTGACCCAAACAGTCTCCTGGCCGGAGCAAGTATGTCTTGGAGCAGTCGATTTTCTGGATGACCTGCTGACTTTTTATACCAAGAATACTACTTTGCTCCCTTCCCTGACCAAGACCAATCTATTCGTCCATACAGATGCATGCTCCGACCCTCGTAGTGCTTGCCCTCAGTCTCAAACAGACCTCTGGACTGGTTCGATAGGCCCATGGTCTTGGATGAATAGTACTCCATTCAGCGCCTCGACATGGGACACTTCCCTTGGTCCTCTGAATCTATCTGGGCAAGCAAGCTATATCAGCGATAGGATTACTCTCAAAAGCTCCGGGCAACATGACTCATACCTTGACTTCACCGCCAATGCCATTGATCAAAGTATCAACGTCAATTACCTATCACCAAATGTATGGTACACACTGGATACAGGGTTCCTCTCATTGTATGGCGGCGCAGCACATTTTGAGTACAGTTCTGTGAATGGGAGTGACGTCTCGTTGAACACCACTTTGCCGTTGGCGTATGCGCAAGATGCTATTCCTTCCGCGTTCTACGGTCTTCATATTGGCTCAGCTTCGACTTCAAGCTCAGTACCTGGAAGTCTCGTCATTGGAGGGTATGACAAGTCCAGATGTCTCACAACTCCGATCGTATCGAACACGGACACATTCGAGCTGACTGATGTTGGTCTGGGTGTCGCCAGCGGAGACTCTCCATTTCCCAAGGATGAAAAGCTGCCAGTGCGCAATCTTCTACAAAGCCATGGAGTCAGCAGCATCAAAGCATACCCAAACCCAGGTGTGCCATATCTGTACCTGCCTCCGGAGACTTGCGCGGCAATTATTGAGCATCTTCCAGTCGGCTTCAATGAAACTCTGGGTCTTTACATATGGAACACATCGGCCCCTTCGTACCGTAATATCATGACTTCTCCTTCCTATCTTTCTTTCAACTTCAGTTCGGAAACCTCCACAAGCACGATCTACCTGCCTTTCGCACTTCTAAATCTCACTTTGGAGTGGCCGCTTGTCAATTCTCCAACTCAATACTTCCCATGCTCACCATATCAATCTCCGGATGGCAGGTTCCATCTTGGACGTGCATTCCTTCAAGGGGCTTTTATGGCGCAGAATTGGCAGACAGGACAGTTGATGCTCGCTCAGGCACCAGGACCAGACATGGCTGACTCGTCTCTGATCACCATTTCTGCCAATGGCACTTCCTCAGTCCTACCAATGATCAAGGCACCATCATGGGATTTGACGTGGGCTTCCAAGCTCACAGCATTCCAGCGTAATGGAAGCGATGCTTCGGAGCACGCCAATGGTGTTGGCCACAAAGGACTATTGCCAGGAACACTAGCAGGTATAACTATTGGTGTTATAGTTGCTGTGACGCTTGTTGCTGGAGTATGTTGGGCTTGGTTGAGACGACAGAGGGCGAAAGGGACCCAGATTGACAATGAGAAGATGCCTCGAGGGCTTGTGGAAGTTTGTGAAACGGGATCTGTGGCATCATCATTGCTGCCCATCGAAGTCTGGGCCCCTGGAAAGCATGGGCTGACATTGGATCCTATCGAGCTGGACGTCACTGCCATCAACGAACTTCATGGTACATCAATGGAAGGAGATAAGAGAAGATGAGCCACCTGCACTTGTGTTCTTGGCTACATAGCGCATGTAAGATGTGCAAATCTCCATGTACTTGCGATAGTCTGTAATCAGAAAATCGTAGCTCGTACCACAAAGACCAGCAACACTAGTTCCGACGCTGAAGCAATGGACTACGCTGTGAGCTCTAGGTGCTCGAGTTCAGTTTGGCGAGTTCAACTTCTCATAGGCTTTGCGAATGGCTTCCCGGAATTCAGCCTCTATCTTGAGGGCTTTCTTGAGACGTGTATTTTCCTGCTGAGAGGCTTGAAGCTGAGTCTCAAGCATCTTGATTTTGGCTCTCGAGTTCTCTTCTGTGGTCATTGTTGTGTTGGTAGCATTGTTCGAGTCATCAGGTGCGGTGTCATCGAGCTGGGAAGTAGAGTTCTTGTTTTGAGTGGTCGACATGGTTGTTAAGATAGCTAATAGCGATGTCAGCCGATTCGACAAGAACGTCAGTGGAATACATACACCGTAGCTCGGGGAGAGGCTGGTGTGCGCGCAAAGAAGATGATCTTTAAGTGAAGATTGACGATGGCTGTGGACGTTTTGATAGAGTGCTATATCTGGTCAGTCTCGCTTTACAGATGAGTTACATATTCACCATACCAGAGAAAGAAGCGACGAAGGCGGAAGTCAACAGAGGCGCACTGTGGGACAGGCAGGTCCTGGAGAAGCTGCAATGGGACAAGCAGTCGACAGTCATCATTGATAAAGGAGTAAAGGATGTTTTCGTAGTGTTCGAACAAGGGTTGATTCACAGGAGAATAGCTCACTTATCGGCCTCCTCCTTCACTCGGCTTCCTCGTCAAACACAACATCTCGTGCTGACCCACAGCTCTGTCTTCTTCTGCCAATGATTCCTTGCCTTTGGTTCTTTATACTTGAGCGTGAAAGATAGGAAGAAGAGGAGGGAGAGGAGAGCAAGTAATTCATACCTATATAGTACGCCAGGATAGATGATTGGCGTCAAATTGAGGGTCACGCGCATCCATGTGCAGACTGCTGCGAAGCCAATTGATTTAGGGACACATGAAGTACAGCAATATTAGAAAAATTGAATTGTATAGTCCTTGCTGTTGAGAACTAAAAATTCTTTTGTTCGTACAGTCTTGTCCAGCTTGGAAATCCTTCGCCTATACCATACTCATTCCCATATCTGTCATCCCTAAGTGCGCTGGATAACCAGTGTACAGACTCTCGCATTCTTCCCTGCTCTATCAATATCTCCTACTTCCTTATCAATCGAAGTATATGTTCAGTCACGGGAAATGTCCTCGCTATCGTCATGGGTGCTTCTCTTCTCCGAAGGTGTCATATTTGTCTCGGGTCGGCATTCACCAAGCCAAAAACTGATGATGGTCTGCCTTCTGCCTCTTCGAAATCATCGCCAGTCTTGAGATAATCAGCAGAGTGATCGGTCGGAATCGTGTAGTTGTTCCAAGCTTGAGTGTAGGCTTCCAACTTTGAGCAACATATTTGATGCTTTGTTGACGAGCTCAACACGAGTCTCTCAGCCATGGGCGGATGTGTTCGCTCCGACAGCAGAAGCCTTCTAGGTATCGGCCAATCTCTTCTCAGTCTCTAGTAACCTCTTCCGTGTCAAGGCGAGTTCATTGTTTGCTTCGGCAAGTTCCAGTCGTAGCTGTTCAATGATCTGATCTTTCTGAAGAAGGAGATTCGAGTGAGGATCTGTGGTCGTTGGCTCGACGTGTGGAAGTCTTCTAGAGATGGGCTTCTTGACTCGTGGTTTCGAGATAATCGCTGGCTGGATGGATATTGTTGTTACTTCAGGAGTGGATCGCGGACGAAGGATTCGTTTTGAAGTGTTTGCAGTCAAGTCTTCGCCGGAGCGCTTGCGTTTCATGGGACTGTCTGATGCCATTGTGTCTTTTTGATGTTTGATTTGCTTACTTTGAAATACAAGTGTCTATGTATGTTGTTTGAAAAAGGTGGCCTTGTTGATCAACGGCCAATCTCCAGGGTGACGCGATTTCGGCAACGCGAATTTGGCGCGCAACGTCATCACAATCCTCCCTTTCTTTCCAACTGTCAACCACCACGAAGACGTTCCATATCTCTCTGTCAACACTTTGACGATTATGAGGTCTAAGCGATTTGCAGCACAGTACTTTGTGAGTATTCACTAACTGTTTCCCCGCTTGGACGGCAGTACCTCAAGGCTTCTTCGACTTCCTCTTCTTGATCGAAATCCTTCCTGGGCTCTTTCCTGGACTCTTGCCTGGGCTCCTTGCTGGGCTTCCTATCTTCTCTCTCATCGCAATCTTCAGCTTCTTCATGTCTTTCACGACGAACCCCTCCACAATCTCGTCTATCATCTTCTCCTCAGCCGTCTTTACCTTCTCGGCGTCTCTAGCTATTTCCGTCCCACCAGAGAGATTCAAAACTCTGTCGCGATAAACAATTCCCTGATCTATCACACCCGGCATCCATTCATCCGCCTCTAGTTCTAAACCGATTGCCATGTTGCGCTTTATCTTTGAAGCACTTGAGTCGTCTTCGAAAAGGAGACGTACACCGACGGCCGCGAATCCTGAAAATGCTTGACCTCCGAACCTCAAGTATCGTTGATTCCAAAACTCATCGTTGAAGAAGTCCCGTATATACTGCGTCCGTCAGCATTTGCTTGTTATACCTTACGATGGCATGTATACTACCTCCATCTTCATTGCGTAAAAGGTATGATACAATGGTGCCTCTTCTTCGACAGTCCATCTGGATTTTTCATCATAGTACTCGCCGTCGTGGATACCTGGCCACTTCCACGATACCATACCAAAAGGTGTTGTGAGCACTCTTGGATTGGCGGAGTTGGGCTCCATTATCACTCCTTTCTAAACACTGTCAGCGGAACTGCGGTCAAGCATGGGTATGATGCCCTCCAAAAGTGAGTCAATGCGGTTCAGTATACATACATGGACTGCCGCTTCCAAAGCATTCCCCTCTTCTGCGATGCGGCTATCGTTGCAGAAGGGATTGTTCGCCTCAAGCAGTTTATTTGTGTTGAGCCTATATTCGAGCGCTCGATTAGCAGTCATCCCTAAGCAATCACAAGGTCGAAGAAGACGTGCTGATTACCTGAAAACATGGCCTAACTCGTGGATGATGATTGTCGCCAGCCAGAGCTGCGTACGCAAGAAAGAGGACATATTTTGCGCTTCAGGATTGTAGAGATCTGCACGCAACGCGCTGCCACCCGCGATGATGTATCGGAATTCATCGTCGAGGCCGACTCTGCAAGCACGCCTGGTACACGCTTCGATGTTAGCCAACGTTCAAAAGATTCTGGGGCATTCAGAATGCACAAGGCTTACGTGGTTATTCCGCCTCTTAGCCCAGGCTCATCCATCGGATAAGTTTTCGCACAGACACTATCCAAATTCTTTGTATCACCCCATTCGAAGTGTACGAAATCTACCAGCTTCTCTAGCTCGAGAGCAGTCTCTCGTCTCTGCTGAGGTGTCGATCGGCCAGTATAGTATACGTAAACATCCTTGATTTTCTTTGTACCCCTTACCTGTGTCCAACGCTGACCGAGGGACCACAGCATATCAAGAACACTGTCCATCTCCAGCATCTTGGTTACGATCCTCAGGGTGGGCTTCAGACATTCGTACTCATAGTCGGATGTGAGTCGAAATTGGCTACGACGCACAATTGGATGAATGCCATCGTGCTTGCCCATATACAGTCCTGGGGCAGTTCTCAGTCTGCTAACTCTTGCCGCGACCTCCTGATCAATTCTGAATTGGGGCGATATGGGTGAGAATATGCCGGTGCCTGTGTTGATACAACCCAATTGCAACAATTTTGAGGGTGTGAGATACCTAAGAAGTGGGTTATCTCCGAACCATGGTTGGCAAGGATCATAAGCTGGGGTGTCTCTGTTTAGTTCAGGTATTGAACGACTTTGCCTAAGTCCTGGGTAAGGGTTTTTGCCGAGAGCCAGTACAGAAGGAGATACCTCGACTGTGTATTTTCTCCTGACCCAGCCATGTTTTGACGCTGCGTCTTCAAGGGCGGGTTTCGTGCCTATTAAACACAGGTCTGGGTCGAGGACCATTAATTTCAGTTCGTCCTTGCTCAAGGTGCTGGGATCGAAACTCGAGGCATCGAAAGGGGGTGATGGCGGTTTGGATGTGCGCCCTGGAAATAACTTCGGCATGGGCATCTTCAAAGATTTTGCTGGCTCATCGAAGTCGAAGCTAATGAGATTTTGCAACACGAGATGACACAGGTGGGTCAGGCTGAAAAGAAAGTGTTTGTTGCTCAAAAGCCTCTGTTGACCGGATTCGGTGGTCAGGTACAAAGATGTGCATACTATGTGCCACTCAAGCTCGGGGTTTGAATCATATCTTCTTTGTTCACTGAAGCAGCTCCTTGCATCAAGCTTGCCTAGCATGCAACTTCGATTTGCTCGACGACTGAACAACCCGAACAAAGGACGAATTGCACGATACTCAACTAGGAAACTGCCATCAGGAAGCGACCGACACCAACGAAAGGCTCAAAAGCATTACGCTCAGCACATTGGCGAAGACATCTTATCACGGTCGCACAGTCGTCGCAGATCATGCTCGACTCAAGTGGATTTGACTCAGGACTTGATAAGGTATCCGTGTAATCCGACTATCACAGTCTGACTGCGAATCACATCACCAACCCCTATCATACTACTTCATCATCCTCATCGTCAGGGACGTCGTCATCGTTCTGATCTGCATCACTTGCATCCCCCATCTCAATATCAGAATCACTCATCTCTTGACCCAAAAGAGTCAAAATCCTATTCGGGTAAATGATTCCCTCGTCCACATTCGGATACTCGGCATCGGAGTCAATCTCGGGGTCATCTTCCCATGCGCCTGACAGGGGATCTTGCTTTTGTTTGACTGTGGGACTTTCCAGATCGTCATACTTGAGTTGGTCGATTAGTGAGACCCGCACGCCGACGGCTTTGTAGTTGTTTACGGCCCCGTCGCCGAATCGGAGGATACGGTTGTCCCAGAAGTCATCGAGGAAGAATTGATGGACGTACTGGTTTGATCGAGTTAGCAACGAAACATTACCGAGCATCGAGTCTTGTGTTCCCGAGGGACCTACGCTCATAGGCACGGCATACAAAGTATCGTATCTGAAACCATGTTTTGCCGCACTAGCTTTGATGGCAATATCTTCTCGGCTCTCTAGACCTGGCCACCTTTGTGCAGCAATGCCAAAGGGTGTTGTGTCGATACTGATGTTTGTGTGAATCTCGATAAGGATACTGTTTTTGTTTATCACTGTTTCTAGGGCGAAACCTTCTTCGCCGGCTCTGTCGTCGTTGCGGAAAGTACTTATACCATATGTCTCTGTTGTTACGTTATTCTAGATGTTGAAAGGTGAGTTAGCATGGTTCTTTGCGACAAGATAAGGGCTTGTTGGCAGGGACGTTGATGGGTTTGGCTTGCAAGCTCAGAAATTACTTACGAACCAAGCATGAGTCAATTCATGAATTATGACGTTTGCTAGAATCAGTTGCGTTCGCATGTACGCACTTGCATCTGAGGCTGCTGGATTGTAGTAAGAAGCCTGCAAGCAAGGTTAGCCCAAAGTTGGACCGACATGGCGAAACTGACTTACATTCAATTGCGTTCCACCAGAGATGATATAAAGCAGGTGAGTATCGAGTCTGATATCGCTTGCACGCCTGATTGAACTTGTCAGCGAATATCCTTGAAATGTATGTCTTCTTCTGGCAATTCGCCTACCGCTTCTCCCCTGGACGAAGCCCTGGCCTGTTGACATTCACAAGTGTCGACCCAGGACATTCGCGTTCGTGCAGCCATGAAAACGTCACATAGTCGCAGAGCGCTTTCATCTCGCTTTTGGTGTGTACTCTCTGCCCCACTGTAGATCTACCTGTATAATAAACCCGATGCTTTTGTTTTTGAGCTTTCAACATCTCCGTTCGTGGCAGTTTTTGCATCGGTTGCCCTAAAGCAAACCATAGATCCAATACACCATCCATCTCCAGCATCTTGGTTACGATTCGGAGAACTGGTTTGAGGTATTCGTACTCGGCATCTGAAGTCTCTTTCCAATTTGTTCTTCGTAAGCAGGGGTGGATATCTTTGTTGTTGCCGATTATGGTCATGATGCTTTTGTCTGTACTTGCCGATGCTAGTGTTGCAGTATCGACTCTGAATCGTGGTGATACTTCGATCTCAGAGTTGTCATCAGTTTCTAGGTTTATACAGCCTAGACGCTGTAACTCTTCAGGCGCTTCATGAAACCCACAAGTCAGCAAAACCCTCTCGATGGCTCTCTCTCACCCCTCACTTACTGACAAACTGCAGAATCCGAGATATCCCCATCCAAGGCATTTGAACATTATATCTCGGCGTCTCTGTGCCCAATTCTGGAATCCATCGTCTTTGTCTTAGCCCAGGATACGGATTTGTTCCTAGTGCTTTGACGGCAGGAGAGACATATGTCGTTTTCATGATTCGGTAGTATTCTCTTGCTGATGTGGCGGTTTCTGTTTTGGGTTCGTTGCCATCGGCTACTTCTATGGGTGGATCTTGACGCCATAGTGATCGTTGGCTGGAGGGTATGGAGAGGTAGTTGAAGGTTAGAGGGTTGAATGCAGATACACCAGAAGGCGGTGTCTGGTCGACATGCATGTTTGAGCTATCTGACATTTTGGCAAGTTGGATTTTGTATGGTCTAAACCGAAAACGCAATGACTTGATCTCGAACTATAACACAAAGTCTGAAGAACAACTCACGCAGAAACAAAATAACATTCAGTTCAGTTCGGATTCAAGGTTTCTTCTCAGACAATTACGCTGCCAGAAGCCTTTGTAGTCCGGATTGGAAACACAAGGCAAAGACTACATTCCACATCCGCTTTCGGCCCACCAACTAGAGTCCAAATCGAACCCCACCAATTCGACCATTAAGACATCAAAACAACCAAAAATATCCTTCCGTTTTGCGCTACAAAGCATACAGCAGTATGGTGTACGAGCAAAAAAAGACAAAATAAATGTGCTCTCCATCAGGGAATCGAACCCTGGTCTCCCGCGCTTGACGAGATTTTACTCTTGACAAGCGGAAATCATGACCACTAGACCAATGAAGATGAGCCAGCTGAGCTGGTATTGGTTTGATGGTGGGAATTTCAGATTGCTCGTACATATACCTACCTTTAGATTGGATGCAGGTCGCAGAGTCTCGAAGTTACAGTCATGCGACAAAGCAGGTCGCGAGGCATTCAGACTTTGACAGATCAAGCGACCGTAGCGGCATCCCCACCCTTGAAATACTTGAGCTGAAATCAGATACATGATTATTGCAATGCGCATAAAGCCTGATAGCAAGTGTCCAACGAGTACGGATTATAGACGTGTGGACTTGGAAGAATCGAGGCTTGTCAAGTCCGATCCGCTGAGGGTACAACCCTGCCTCAGAGGAAAATTAGCAATGTCAACATGACATACCAGTATGAGCATGGTTCTCGTTCTCGGTATAAATCGCTATCGGTACAAATAGTAGATCTTAAATAAATCTGGTGGTCAGAAGGTGTCACTGAGTGATTTGGCATTGAACAATGAGTCCGTTCGTGCTATCAACCTGAGACCATAGCGCTCGTTGGACGAACTGCAGCAGAAATTGTAAGAAGCACAGGACTCACTTCTCTTGGACGATTTTGACTCGACTCGCTCGATTTGATATTGTTTGAGCTCAAGTTCTGTTAGAGCAGGCGCGATCTCGATTAGACAAGAGCAAAGTGGTCGCCTTCTTCGACTCGCTCCTTCCTTTGTTCTCGAGGTTCATAAGCTAATCAAGCGCAGCTTCTCCATCCGAAAAGTCGTTTCTTCCCAATTCGGCGTAAATTCGGATCATATACCAGGCGCTTTGGCTGAGTGGTTATAGCGATAGACTAGAAATCTATTTCCTTCGGGAGCGCAGGTTCGAGTCCTGCAGGCGTCGTTCTTTTGGCTCTTTTAAGGTCAGTTGAACCCTCCTTTTGGTTGTTGTATGAGGGGGAAAAAGAATGAGAGAATTCGGGCCAGGTTTGGTTGAGATGTGCTGGAATTTGGTGCATGGATGCATAATTTTGTGTGGAGAAATTTGGCGGTGCGGGACTTGGCAGAACTCGATGCGCGATCAATCTTGAAGGGAGAACGATTGATCGAAGTGGAAAGATGTCATAGTGTGTGATTTCATATCGTTCGCGATGCGAACTTTGCTCGTTTTTTGACCAGGGAGCTTCGATGGAAAGGCAGGAGCGATCGAAGCTGTGAACTCGTGTCAAGCCGACTTTATCAACTTTATGCTAGTTTTGATACCCGTGCACAACACTCGGGAGAGGCTCGACGAAGACTTGGTCGATGTGGTCTCCTGCACATGTCGACCGGCGTGATTTTGGTTTTCGAGAATGATTTTACACGCCTTATTCTGGAAGCAGCGTTTTTTCCGTGGACATGTGCGAACGAAGAACCCGGATTCGTACCTTGGATTTATTTCTTATTAAAGAGTCAGCAAATCAAAGGTTCGCAGAAGAACCTTGACAGGCTACTCGGACCTTCGCTCAATCCTGTCCACGCGCTTATACATAATGTCGCTTCTCACTGTGTACTTGACACCTTGAACCACATCATCTCCCGAATGCCAGGGGCCTCTGTGCTGAAAGATGAGAACCCAGCCAGTCTTGGGCAAGACATCATATCTCCGCATCATGTTGTGTGAATGGATGGTGGTTGCGTCTCCCTGAATGTGTCGTCGTCTGTGGCTGAAGTGTTGTTCATCTTGCCGTGGCCGTTCAAGTACAGATGGAACGTGAAGAAGGATCTCTCGCTTTCCGTCAGGGGTCTGATAAGCACCGTCTACGTGTACTGTGTGATTTTTAGTCAACAACAATGACACACACATACTCTGCATGTGAAGCTCAACAAACCTCGGAAGTATTCTCCGCCTTCATATCTCAAGAACCTCAACCTCTCATTCAGCCGACTTGCTTCCCACGCGTCACCTCTCATGACAGCACTTCCATTAGTGATTTCTGCCTGCCTGTCCGATCTTGCGATCACCGGAACAAACGATATGATTCTGCCCCATATTCTCTGAGCCACACCTGACGAATCCCAAATCAGGCGGCCGCATCTGCGTTGGTCATCCTCCTGTCTTTGGAGTCCGTTGCCAACTTGAAGTATAGCTCTTTTCCAGGTGCCACTTGATTCTGCGGCCGAGAGAAGCATAGTACATTCCGACGAAGTAAGGGCGTCGTCAATAACGAAAGCTTGAAGATTGGCGTATTCCGGCAGTGGTGTAGTAGTAAAGTTAACTTGGGACACTGTGGTGCTGGATGTGGGCGTCGACAGAAAGTCTGCAGGAAGAGATTGCATTGCGGCTGTCGTTTATGTTTGGTCAGAACCTCGAGTAGAAGTCCAGGTCCCTTTGCATACATGCTCGAATGCTGCTGCCTAGACTGCCCAGACTGCCGCTTCGTGCATATCGCTGCCCTGCATACGATGTAAAAGTAGCTTTGTGTTCTCGGCTGCACGCATGAAACCACTGCGTACGATCATGTGTAAATTTCGCACATTCAAAGACTTTACAATTCTGCGAAGAGAGTCTGCGCCGACTGATAGAGACTACCTGATGACTTGCGAGCATTCTTCGACACACACACTTGAATGGAGAAGCCCGTGTCTTGATTGAATTGGTTGTTAGGTTGACGAGAGATGAGAGACTCTCCATTGATCCATGAACTAAGACCTACAACCAAAGGTCTACCAATTGAGCAACTGATGTTTCCAGTGAACGAGAGTATAGATACTGCCAGTGTTAGACAAACGGATGCGTATCGTTTCTGCCGTGGTTGAATATTCCGGAGATGTCGTTGATGCAGAGCGCCAACTGCCAAGTCTGGCGGGAAGGTTCATCGTCGCGTGACGTAGGAGGTGAGATTACCAAGCCCCTTGAGACGGCACGTCCAAGATAACAGCAAGTTGGCGACGTGGTTACAACCTCAACCATAAAGAGTCGACGTCCAGCAATGGAGAATCAAGATGTACGCTGAAAGCCAGACGTTGATGGTTGATGTCGATCAGTCTGTACCTGCAGATTGCCCTGGACTTGACCCCGGAACCCCAGATCTCCTGAACACGAGGGGTCCTCATCTCCTTGTGTCTCGAGCTCACTTACGCAGAAACCAGGCTTGGCCAACGATGACGACTATCAACACAATTGAACCCATTGCGACCATACCATACTTCCCACTGCGACCGAGTCTACCCACTGCAACCATCCTCACCGATCGCGACCATATCTATCCATTGCGACCACAAGTACCCAGCGCGACCATCTCACTCCTACTCCCTCGGATCAAGACCTTCATCCAATGACTTGCTTCAGAGTCTCGAGTCCATCTGGTATGCTCTCAACCATGACAACAACGTGATTGATGGCCATCACAAAGATGCATAAAGAGTTGGGCACATTGTATTCTCGGTCTACAACTCAGCCGCTCTCGACCGCCGCTCGTATGCACCATTTATGCCGAGACGCTCTACCAGCACAAGAGTCAAGAGTCAAGATGATTGAAACACACCTCTCGAGAGCTTCGCCGCCACTTTTCAGGCGCCCGCGAGGCTGCGACACACCGTGTATGCTCTGACAGACCCCGCGCATGCACGAATCTGTCGCGTGCCTCCTTACTCGAACCTCTCCGGACGGGCGGCCAGCCCAATCAACCTTGGTGTCGTACATGGTATGCCATGCGCGGCCGCTGTGCACGCGCATTGCACAGGATGACTTTCCCTCCTTCTGCCATCTTCTCCAGCATTGTTGATCATGCAGATTACCCGAGGTCGTTGTAACCTTCCTATCTCCGACCATCCCTAGCGCGGAGAGATGCTGTAATTTCCTGTCAAACAGCAAGCCTCAGCGGTGCCTCAATATTCCGAATGTCGTTTGGACCTGCTACGTAACAATCGTCTTGGTGCCTGAGAATCCTGGAGGAGGCTTGAGATAGGGCGCGCGACAGGCACCTATGACACAGTGGTGGCACTCTCCGAGGTCTGAGCTGCCTGCCTGTGCGCGCTGTGCCTCCGAGGAACCTGCTGAATCCTGCCATACAGAAACGGCACCGGCAAACGGATCCCACTACTCTATGGATTCTGAATCCTACTCCCCGCCAGGCTCCCAACCCTTCCCATATCTTATGCCGACCTTCAGTATACCAGGCGCTCGCAAGCCATTCCAAACGAGTAGGTATCCTGATTGTTGTGTTGAACCCTTGGATAAATTAAAATGTTAGCCAAACACGTGAGGCGCAATTAACATTACGGTTCCGTTGCTTAGCAGGAAGCCAACCGCAGCCAATCGGTTCGGCAAAATTTTCAAGTCGGTCAGTGGCTTTCTCCTACACGCCTCCGCACATCTCGGTCCAACTCCGTCTGCCTATACTCACAACAAATTTTCAAAGCTTTGCGATAACCCTCATGCGAGATAAACACCATCGTATATTTACGAACCATGCGGAGTACCATGGAAGCTGATCCTTCTACGACTAGTAAAACAGCCCCAGATAATACCCCGGGCATTCGATGTGTCAAGGTAACGAGGGATCAAGTTACCGTGAAAGGCAAAGGACATGAATCGTTCCTGAATGACGAACGCCAAGACTACCGAAGGAAGAATTCTAAACCACGCCGCCGTCACGCGCTGCGCTTCCGGATATGCTTGACCCACTCGGTCCGCTTGTCTCACTGGACTGGTATTGGTCAACCATCCCAACGATTGGCCGTATGCCATCAAAATCCTCCCCTCTTGGCGATCCACAGCGTCAGTTTACTAGTTCGGAGGACAACGACGTCGTCGTATTGCCGCATGGGCGAAAAATTGTTGTTACCCTGCCATGCCCATCCGCCGCATAAGAACGTCCCTGTACCCAGTTTCATACAATGTTTCTCTTTCCTTTTTCTAACCACCTCTACCTCTTTTGCGACTACCTTCGAAGAGTGTCTTGGAATTAATCAAGAAATACTCGTACTCCAACAACATCCAAGCATCGTCCACTGTTGCTACGTGGTGATAAGACTCATCTTCGCCTCTGTACGACTCATACCCAAGCGACCTTGAGGACTTTAATTGTCTTCTCCTGAGCAACCTCGACAACACTTCTTCTGCCTCGCGCCTTCACCATCGACTCGAAACTGCAACTCCCTTGCGACTCGACAGCTTACCCTCAACTCTGAAACTCATCCCTTGCGCCATCACATCTCGAAGTGAAACATTAAAGCAACGACTGCACGTGCATTGCTCGCAACTGACTCCTCGAGTGCCCAAGCGACTTTGTATATAACCCGAAGATCCCTTGCAACTCAAACCACCACAGCAACTACCTACCATCAGCAACAAAACGTTCGCACGTAGGCTTGTATCAACTTACCTTAGCGAAAATGGATTACCTCAAGAGAACCTTCTTGGGCAAGGACGACAGAGACTTCATGCATGCCGTCGTACCACTCCCATCAGAGAGACGCCTCTCAAATGAAGTCAAGCCCGAAGAGCAATTGACCAACGTCAAGACCGAGAACGGTTCTATCGGAGAGAAGTCAACACACAGCCAAAACTCGGGAAAGTCAACAACCACCCTCGAGTCCCTGAGAGCCGAAGTCAACTCTGATCTCGAGGCTGATGGCCACAACACTACCTATGATCGTATGTATAACCTTGATACTCAAGAGATTAGTCTGCTTTCGATCTTACGAACAAACCATTCTCTGCTTACCAACTTTTCATCCAACGACTAACACGTAACAGGCAAAGCGAAAGTCATCAACAAGGCTATTCAAGACATGGGTATGGGCAGATACCAGTGGCAGCTTTTCGTCCTCTGTGGTTTCGGCTGGATGGCCGACAACCTTTGGCTCCAAGGTGTCGCCTTGACACTGGATCCCATCGCCGCTGAATTCAACGTTGGTAGCAACGAAGTTCGCTACACAACTCTCGCCCTCTTCACCGGTCTCTGCATTGGTGCCAGTTTCTGGGGTGTCATCTCCGACATTATCGGTCGTCGCTACGCTTTCAACACCACTCTCTTCCTTGCCGGTTCCTTCGGTCTCGCCGCTGGTGGTGCCAACAGCTGGATCGCCGTTTGTGCTCTTTACGCCTGTATTGGACTCGGTGTTGGCGGTAACCTTCCTGTCGATGGTGCCCTTTTCCTCGAATTCCTTCCTGGCGAGTCCAACTACCTCCTCACTCTCCTCTCCATCTGGTGGCCTGTTGGTCAGTTGATCTCTTCTCTGCTCGCCTGGGCTTACATTCCCAACTTCTCCTGCGCTGCCGGTGCTGCCGTCTGCACCAAGGCCGACAACTGGGGCTGGCGTTACTTCATCCTGACTCTCGGAGCTCTTACCTTCTGCATGTTCATCGTCAGATTCTTCCTCTTCAACCTGTTCGAGTCTCCCAAGTTCTTGCTTTCTCGTGGTCGTCAAGCCGAGGCTGTTCACGTCGTTCAGGGAATTGCTGCTCACAACAAGACCACTACTTGGTTGACCGAGGAGATTCTAAACCAGATTGGCGGTGACCCCGATGTCACCGAGGACGCCAAGCTCAGCACTGTCGACATCATCAAGCGTGCTGCCGGCAAGTTCTCTACCCAGCGTATTGGTCCTCTCTTCCACGGCTGGAAGCTTGCTTGCACTACCTGCCTTATCTGGTTCGCCTGGGCCACTATCGGTATGGGTTACCCTCTCTTCAACGCCTTCCTGCCCCAGTACCTTGCCAACAACGGCGGCGGCGGTACCAACTCTGTCTCGGAGACCTACCGCAACTACGCCATCACCTCGATCGTCGGTGTTCCCGGATCCTTCCTTGGCTGCTACACTGTCAACCTGAAGTACATTGGTCGCAAGGGAACGATGGCCATCGCAACCGCCATCTCGGGCATGTTCCTGTTCCTCTTCACCACCAGCACCAACTCTGGCACTCAACTCGCATTCTCCTCTCTTGAGGCCTTCTTCCAGAACATCATGTACGGTGTCCTCTACGCCTACACACCCGAGGTCTTCCCCGCCCCCAACCGTGGTACCGGTACTGGTATTTCCAGCTTCTTCAACCGTCTCGCTGGTCTTTGCGCACCCATTGTTGCTGTCAATGCAGCTGGTGCTAACCCCAATGCACCTATCTACGCATCGGGTGGTTTGTTCTTTGCTGCCTTCATCGCCATTGTCTTGCTACCAATTGAGACAAGAGGCAAGGCTACTTTGTAAGCAACAAAGAAAAGTGTGTTTTAGCATGGCTGTTGGAGCGAAAGTGCACGGCAGCCCATTTTTATGAAGAAGGCCCAGGTGGCCTATGATGGCATTATTATTATATACCCCTTACCAGTGAATTTACAGTTTCAAAATATTCTCATGTGTTTCGCCTACTCGATGTTGTGTTGTGAATGTGTCTATAGGTCTGTATCTGAGCTGAGGCAGGAGCGAGTGTCGCAGAGACACATTGAACTGCTGCCACCAAAATCTGTCAACACTCACATAGGCACCTCATTGACGCCCCAAGCAACTGGGATATCAGACTCTGATCTAGGCGCAATCTTATGCCCAGAGAAAGCGACATCCTTCCACTCCAACGAAGCACAATTCAACGTGCCTTTGAACTTGCGACAATCGTTGCTCGGAAAGATGATATAGCCCAGTCCCGACTCTGCCTTTTCTTCTTTTGTTGCCATTGACTCTAATACTCCATTCCACCGCAGCCAAAACTTTGGCTCTCTGAAACTGTTCTTTTCAAAGGTTGAGAAGCGGTCGGAGGGTTGGTGTTCTGAGTCTTGTTCTTCTTCGTCACTTTCTTCATCGCTGTTTTGATCTTCGTCTTCGTTGTCGTCTTCTTCCTTTGCATCAACAGGTTCCAACCTCTCCAAGATCCCCTGTAAACTCTTTCTACTCGCCGCCAAAAGTACTGCCGCCCTTAGTACTCCAGGCAATACCATTTCCCCCACCACACCAGTCCCACATTCCGTCAATCTATACAATTCCAACACTGCCTCTTGTTCGCCAGAAGATACACCATCACCAGAGGTATAGAGTTTATACCAAGCAGGACACTTAACAGTATAACTTCCAAATGTCTTGCGCACGTCAAAGGTGGTGCGTTTTGATTTTCCGCCGGTTGATTTGGAGCCAGTGTTGCGGGATTGGCGATTATGCATGTGGCGAGAGGAAAATGCTGTTTCTTGCCATGAGTCGTCCATGGTCTTTTTTTTTTTTTTTTTGGCGAGATGTCTGTGAGTTCTGTTGTACGAATACGTGTAGAGTATCGATGCGTTCCAGATTCCAGAACGAGTTTCCCGCGGTCCGAATGTATAGTAATTATAGCTTTTGGCCTCGATTTCTCTTTTGGACTCGGCTACGCGAATCAGGTTTGGAAAAAAGATGTTAGGTCAAAGGAAAACGTAAACAGTAGAAAATCCGTATTTGGAAATTATGGAGGCATCGCGATGGTTGCGAGATGGTCGTTTTGACAGAGCCATCGAGAACGTCATGCCCGTTTTTGTTCGGTCCGAGCGCTTTCTTTGATGGGGGGCGATCTTCGGAAGGTGCACGACCATGGTCGAGACTTCCTTTCCTGCTTGACATCACTTGGTTACTGTTGCTGTTCAGGCTGTTCAATTTTGTCCAGTTTCTGAACGTAGATACACTCGAGTACAGGAGCAGCGGTGTTGTCAGAGGCACAAGTTTTCTATTGGACAGCCATCAAACAGGACAAAAGCCCTGACTATATTCTGTTATTCATATTCGCGTCTATGTATGCTCCCTGTCAATAAACTGTTCTTCCTGACAGTCCGGAGCCGCCAACAGAACGACCTTTTGGATCAAGTCTCGCAAGACTGACCTTGCGTGAATAATCCTCCGCTCCATGGCCATCAGGGCTCTCCTTTGCTAACTGAGCTGTTTGTGAATGAAGGCTACCTGAAGCTCTGCCTCATGCGCAATTCTGCCAGGCCTCTCAGGCCTTCACTTCATTTCATACCATATCCCAAGAGCGTCCCGTCATGGTCCAGATAATAATATACCTCGTAAATCCGTGACTTGTCATAAGTTGAAGGCCAAGCTCAACTATTCGAACATGTAGAGGGTAGGATCATCCACCTTCCGCTTACTCGTGTGGCTAGCTGCTCTCAAATTCCCATCTCGATTCGATCATTGCATAATGCCTAACATTGTACCAGGACCTTTAGAAGGAGATCAAGTTCTGGCCACCTCCAGACAAGAAGCCAGAGACATTCTTCTGCACCGCGCCGAACTTGACAAAGCCACAACTCTCACTCTCAAAGTGGTTGAAGAGCGCCGCGAGCGTAGGTAAGCGTTTGCCGCCACACTTGCCGGTCTTGTTGGGGCAGTGGTAGAGAGGGGCTTGGTGGACTGGGCTGCGGATATGCTGATCAAGGCCTCTGGGGGTGCTGAACTCGCGGTGGCAGATGTAGCACTCATAGCCACTGCCATTGTAGGCAGAGCTCGGGTTCCAGGTTGAGTTGATGGTGTTGCCATCGTGCCATTCGAGAAGACGTTCGGTGATGACGCCATTGGGGTCGCGCTGACGAAGAGCACGATGGATGACGCTGCTGGAGAGGTTCTTGGCCTTAGGACAGGAGGAAGTCTCCAAATGGTGTGAGACTCCACTGGCCGTGACGAAGGAAGCCTTGCAGAATGGACAGCAGACTGAGCTGCCTTGGTGAATACGAGACTTCATGTGCTGATCAAGATTGTTGGCATTCTTGAAGTAGCGATCGCAATCAGAGCAGTGCAGATGCTTGTAGTGACCTTCGGCATTCTGGTGATTGTCGCGAACATAGGCAAAGCGGAAGGCAAGGTCACAAGTCTCGCAGCTGTATGGATAGTAATAGTGCTGCTTGGCTCTCATGTGGTCATTGGCAGCCCGTTCGGTACTGAAGCGCATGTTGCAGGTCTCGCAGTCGTAGGGCCATTTCCAGTGGTCCAAAGCTGTCATGTGTTGGGTACATGCATGCCAGGTATTGAAGCAGCGAGTGCAAGAATCACTCTCGAAGCTGCCCATGTTGAACGTATGTGAGCAAGACTTTGTTCTGTACCAAAGTGGATTCAAGAAGAGGGATCAAGTTAATGAGAAGAGGGGGGAAGGAATTGAGAGACAGAGGGGAAAGCTGGGGGAGATAGCTATCGAGAAGCTATCGCAAACGAAGGAAAGTGCTTATCGGCAAACAGGAAGGGACAAGGGTGGTTTCATCTCTTCGGCTTTGATCTCCGCTTTCATTAAAAGGGCTTGGCAAATGCATATATCGCATCGTCCATAGCATGTGTTTGTAAAAAGGACGAGCCTGTACTAACACAAAAGACTTCAGGTTTGGGGTTGTCGCCCAAAACTTCCTTAGAAACTTCATACGGCTTAGCGTTCAGAGCGCAGAACGAGTTCATCGTCCATCGCGAGAAGCTGAATACACCGCCTTCAATGATGGTCATTTGGACGGCCAAAAATCATCCAGAATGTCGGAAGCCGTCTCGCAGACGATGTAGCTCAACTTCGGAGAACGATACAGCTGTCAGAGATTCAGAGTGCTTGATCGGCGTATGGCTGAAAGACACGCAGCAATGACTTTAGCCTGGACTTCTCAGGCTGAGGAAACTGGACTTTCGTTCTTCGCATATTGGGATTTGATCTGAAGTCATATTTGGTACCCGCGCAGCGTCGTACTTGCTTGTGATTGCAGACACGGGTATGTGCAGCTGCACATGCCTTCGCCGAGTTGAACCTACATGCTGCTGTGAGTTTTGCACTTTTCAGGTGCACCTTTAAGCTTCTCCAAGCTTCAGTTCGGGCAAACGGTGGCACCACTCGTATGATGTGGTGATATGATGGTCTGGCTGTCACGCGTGAGATCATGACATTTCATGGACTGTGTTTTGTAGAAAGAAACGTCAAGACCTGAGGGCTGAGAGAAAAGGTTCACACTTCAAGCTTTGACCACGACGCGGTGTTGTCGCCATGTCACACTCTTCGTCAATGGGCTGGTCTCCAATATCCACGCTGCCAAACACCGATGAAGACGTGTTAGCACATGGATCCAGAAGCAGCTGGCACGGGATCAGACCGAAGAGTCGTCTCATAATCTGCCGGAATGGTTCACGGCCGTGCTGTGAGGCTGTGACGAGACGAACTTCTTTGCAGTGGTCGTGACCTCCAATTCTTCGAGTCGCGGCATGGTCTCATCAGCTGAGCAGAGACAAAGGATATGTGTCTCTCTCCCTGAACATGGTATCTGGTTCTGAGAAGGTCGGATGTGCTGAAGTCCTGTTCTTCAGAGTGCTTTGACAGATGTGTGTTAATACTACTTGTTGGAGAACTGAGGGTATCTGCGTGGGGCGAGCGTTATACGCGAACTTGGCTTGATATGTCTGGTGGAGATAAGGCAAGAAGTTAAGATACATCCAGCAGAGGATGGAGAAGCAAGTAAGAAAACGAAGAGTAGATGCCTGCGAGACCTTATAGCGGACGACTGACTTGACACAAGACTTCGTTGGACTTGTGTTTTATTGTTTTTTTTTTGGTTATGGCTCTAGAAACACATGCTATCAACACGTAACAAGTAAGGAGAAGCGCTAAGAACGCGATATACAATGAGAAACAGAAACGACAAAAGCAGAATACCTCCAACGCCTCCATATTTTTTGTGGTCCACAATCCTCCTCAACGTTCGGTCTTGAGCATACCGTCATGACTCCTTCCGGGTTCTCTCACCGACAGGTATGCCGTTCTGAACGGCATCTGAAGTGGCTCCAGGCAAGGATGGTTCAGCCTTTTAAGCGTCACCACCGACGCTCTTGCGACCCTTCTTCTTCTCCTTCTTTTCCTTCTTTGCGCTGGCGGGAACCTCAGCGGGAGTAGAGGCAGGGACGTCCTCCTCCTTGGCCTTGCGACCGCGCTTCTTCTTGGGCTCCTCGACGACGGCTTCGGCGTCAGTAGTCTTGCTCTTGCGCTTGTTGGAGCCGTTGACGGCGGTGAAGGCACCCTTCTTAACGGGGCTAGAGGTAGGGAGGGGAGGAGACGAGGCGGGGGGAGCGGCTTTCTTGGTGCGGCTACCCTTGGCAGCAGACTTGGGAGTCTTGACTGGGGGAGGAGTGGGCTCCTTCTCTTCCTCTTCCGAGGTGCTTTCGTCGTCAGAGTCGTCGGACTCAGCGGCAGCAGCGGCTTGGGCAGGCTCCTCATCGTCATCAGCATCGGGGCTACCAGCAGCGGCAGCACCACGGTTGGCCTTGAACTCTGCGAGCTCCTTGTTGTAGAGGTCACGCGATGCGACGTAGGCGTCCTTGTATTTCTGGTGTTCAAGTCAGCGATTGTGCTAGTACGAGCTGTCTAGAATGAACACACCTGCTTGACCTCCTCAGGCAGGGCGTTCCATCTCTTGGTACCCTCGGATGAGATCTCGCCTCTCTTCTGGTCAGGACCCAGCTCGGCGTGGATCTTCTCGCGGTTCTCACCCAGCCACAGGAGGTAGGCAGTGAGGGGACGCTTGGGCTGGTTGGGGTCTCTCTCGGCCTTCTTTCTCTGCTTCTTCTCGGGAGCTGCAGGAGGGCCTCCACCGATGGTAACGAGCTCGCCAGTCTGGAGGAATCTGCCGAGGTCGATCATGCTGGGATCCAGCTCAACGGTACCACCGAGCCATGCGTTGGAATGATCAATATAGGCGGTGATGGTGTTTTTGAGGGCATTGTCGAGGGCAACCCATGAGGTGATGAGCTGTGGTTGCTGTCAGTGTCGAGTCTTGGAGTTTGTGTGGTCGCGACGCGCTCGGTCGAGGTGGGAAGACGCGTCTGTCGCAACATGACACAATTGCGCCCAACATGCGACGACCTCGAGTTTAGTATAGATCGAGTCGCGAAGATGAGCGCGTTATGGAGACGACGCGACAATCAGGAAAAAGATACGTACTGCGTCGCGAGTGCGAGTAAACTCGCCTTTGTCAACAGTGATTTGCTGGACATCTGGCTCGGGCTTGGGCGCGGCCTCAGGTTTGACTGACTTTGCGCGAGGCATTGTCGCGTCAATGTATTGGTGTGATGGATGAAATAAAAAGTTTACACAAAATGGTGGAAGAGAAAAGAAGAAAGAAAGAGGAGGCTGGATAGCGCGTGTGCGTAGGGCGATCAAGCGTGATTTTGTTTGGGGATTAACCGTTCACTTGACCTTTTGACCAGCATTGACCAACTTTGCTTAAACCCAACTTGCTTGAACACTCCACCCCTGTCCATTCTGTCATTACCAAAAGTAATTCTGTTCGCCAATAAAAAATAGAAATGGTATCATCGCAACTGTACACAACCCTTCCGTGAACGCCAGTCATCCTGTCAACGTCTCTCGAGTAGTCGCAGAAACCAAACGCTTATCAGACATATTGAGGAGGTCCTTGCGGTGGTTTGTATTGCTGAGGTGGAGCTCCGTAAGGCTGCTGCGGTTGCATCGGAATTGCTTGTGGATTGTTCATCATTTGTTGAACATCTGGTCGATGCCTGGACTTCGTCAGTATAATTCTCCAGGGCATGAGAACGTGAACATACATGACGTCTTGATAGAAGTGGCAGATGTGGCAACCAACCTCATGGTATGGCTTGAAGGAGAATGGAATGACGGGCTATCGGCTCGTGTCAGTACTGTAAAACAGTGCAAATCAGAAAATACTCACGACAAAGCAGAAGGTGAACCACTCCCATCGCTTGTAGATTTTGGCGCTGAAGTTACCACAATTCTGCATGTTTGTCAGTCGTTGCTATGTCTATTGTTGTGACCCCTGCAACATACTTGGCATTGCGCTGTTATGTTCTCGTACCCCTGTAGCAGGGAGTTGAAGGTATGGGTTCCACAGGTGAAGATGAAGGCCATCTTTGCTGATGTTGTGCATACGTCTATGGGAATAGATAAGAGAAAATAGAGAGAAGGATGTTGTCGCTCGTGTTATAGAACATTGGATTGCGTCGCGCGCTTGTTTCGTCGTCATCACATGCTCGCTGAGCCATTCTTGGTGGCCAAGCGCCCAGATCCAATTACAGCGTAGAACAAGTTGATACAGTCGCGAAGCTTGATTCTTTATCGATTCAAATATACTATCAAATCACGGCAGGACGCACAACTCCATGCACTATGTATCTAGTTATCAATTGACCAGAGTCATGACCCAAATGGTTCGGCAACCTTCGGCCAGTCAAACAAGAAGCTTTGACTTTGACCGCATTTGCGGCTTGCAGCGGTTGCGTCTCTCAGCAACTCCACACAAGCCATCGCCGCGAGACCACAACTTTTTTTTGAAGCCGCGTCTCGTGCCATCATCGTATATCAACAATGTCGGCCTCGCTTCCTGGCAACCGCGCCCTACCGGCATCGCAGTATGATTTGAACACATACTGGGGTCGCGTGAAGCACTCTGCCAACTTGTCTGATCCAAGGTAAGGAATTGACGTGTGCACGTCACTGAACTTTCATGTCCTTTGTCATCATTTCGTATCTTATGTCTCGTATACATTTTGGAGCACCTTGATCTTTCGACGCGAAAAGAAGCAACTCTGTGAAAGCACGCCTTGTGAGTCCGATCGGCTAATCAATTTTCAACAACAGAACATTGTTCACATCCTCTGCTGGTCTCGAACATGCAAAGGAATTGGTTACATCCTACAAGCAAGGCAAGATCCAATCCATGACTCCCGAGCTGTGGCAGGCAAAGAAGCTCATCGATGCCACCCTTCACCCTGGTATGCTACAGTCCTCAATGCTTTGGTGGTATACAGTTGACTGAGATATCAGACACCGGCGAGAAGGTCCTCCTTCCCTTCCGCATGTCGGCTTACATCTTCTCCAACCTGGTCGTGACAGCCGGTATGCTCACTCCCAATCTTACTACCGCTGGTACCTTGGGCTGGCAGATTGCCAACCAGTCTCTCAACGTTGCCATCAACTCCTCCAACGCCAACAAGTCTATTCCTCTCTCTACCTCAACCATGGTGCAATCCTACTTCCTTGCTGTCGGCGCAAGTTGTGGTGTTGCTCTTGGTCTTAATTCAATCGTTCCTCGCCTGAAGCGTGTCAGCCCTAACACCAAGATGGTTCTGGGTAGACTGGTGCCATTCGCTGCTGTGGCTAGTGCAGGTGTGCTGAACGTATTCCTCATGCGTGGAGAGGAAATCCGCAAGGGCATTGACGTGTTCCCCACTGAGACCGAGGCACAAAAGCTCAAGCGCGAGGAAGCCGGTCAACCTTTGGAATCGCTTGGAAAGTCGAGAAAGGCAGCCACTCTTGCTGTTGGCGAGACTGCTATCTCCAGAGTCATTAACGCTACCCCTATCATGGTTTTGCCTCCTTTGTTGCTGGTTCGTCTGCAGAAGACTCAATGGCTGCAGCAGAGACCGAGAATGGTTACTCCTGTCAACTTGGGTTTGATTTTCGCTACTAGTGTTTTCGCCCTGCCTTTGGCTTTGGCTATCTTCCCGCAAAGACAGGCTGTCAAGGCCGATACTCTGGAGGCTGAGTTCCACGGTCGTGCTGGTGATGATGGCTGCGTGGAGTTCAACAGAGGTATCTAGAGGAACAGAATCTGGACTTCTTTGCTTCAGGTTTAGGAGAGATCGATATTTCCGGAATTTTGGGGTTTGGTAGGATTGATAACTGGGATAGATTCGTTTGTTTAGAAAGTGTCCTCTGATGTGGCATTACACACTCTCCATTGCCCTTTGGAATCCTGGTCACTCAGCTCAAATGTGAAAGCGTGTTGCGACAAACCAAGCCTCCTGAATGTTGCCAGAAATCTTGCAATCACAACACGAAGAAAGGTGTTGCCAGGCAAGTGCTTGTGTGACTGAGTGTGTTGGACAAGCTTGTTGATCCGCAACACGTTACAAGTCAACCCGCGCATATACCAACACCTCGTCGTCACACAGATAGACAACACCAGAATAGGCAGCACGGCCTTAGCTGGAGCATGTGTTGCGCGAAGCCCACACGACCAGCTTTACCTGCGCAAGAAAAAGAAAAAGGAGAAAGAATGTCACTCCCTTGTCTCGGATCAACACCGCAGAGCATACCGAGCATGGATAAACATCCTACAAGGTCAAAAAGTGCAAAAAGAATCGACGAACTAGGGACTCGAACCCTAAACCTTCAGTGTTCTTCGTGTTACCGAAAACTGACGCGCCTTTGAATCAGGTTAGTGTGACGCTCGAGCGTGGATGAAGTGAGTGTACATACTACCATTGCGCCCTAATCGGGGTTAGTGGATGTAGATAAATTACAAGATGCAATTTTACTTACAGCCCGCCATTGGACTAAAGAACCATTTGGTTGGATCAAACCAAGAATTTATTGTCTATATACTCTAAACATCTTTCTCTTTCCCAACACCGTGTCGCCGCATCACTTTCTCACCAACACTGTCTGCAAACAACACGCTCGTGTTGACTCTCGTCTTTGATGTCTTGAGTCACCGTGTTGGGGTCGAAATCCAACACAAGAACATCAAAACTCGTCGTGTTGTGTGCGGAGGTTTCCCAACACGTCAACTCACATCGGCAACACTACAACACCGAGCGCGATATTTGGGAAACGTTCATCTATCATTCACACTTAGATCGAGTGCAACACTGTGTTGGAAGTGTTGGAGGTGTTGGATCTAATGCGAGGACATCTCGAGAGAGTGTGGTCTTATTCTTAACACGGTGTTTGCGGACTTTCACGTGTTGTGCCCTCGAATGTCTCCAACACCAGCATGAATCTACCAGCAATAAGACTCTCCAGATGCTGATACGGCATCTGCAGATATAACATACAAGTATAACAATGGTTCTAGAGACTTTATCGATATGAAATTGCATTGGGGATGGTTCAGCGTGCTGTGCAGCTATGGTCTTGATGTGAAAATTCGGCGTGACATTCTGGCTGACGACCAAAAACTTCATCCTTGGATGACAGCATGCCCTAGTCGTTCAAGGCTTCACGGTCCGAATTGAGCAAGTTTCTAGGATGAATTGACACATACAAGAACTTACTCCGGACACCATAGCCTCGCCAACAGGTAGGTCATCCCGCAGGGCAGGGTCGTACGGCCAGCAGAAGGGTCACCCTGTCATAAATCAGAATCACCATTGCAGTAATCAATTCGCGATATCAAACTCTTGATATTATAGCTACGAGCCTTGGGCAAAGTGCTCGATAGTAGCAGCCTCGTGAAATGCAAGAGATGGTGTGAAGCAGAGAGAAATATGCTGTTGATGAATTGGTGTAGTAACTATGATATCGCGCACAAACTCGGAGTGCAACGATCTCTTGTTTCCACAGCATAAGAATTGTGTCTTCCTGCTCGCCTGTATCCAAACCATCACCCAATTCTGCGGCAGATTAGGTCTTGCACCGTGTGTTTGCGATTCTCAATTGCGGACCAATCGGCAGTAAGGACAGAGTCTGTCCACCCATTGTTCGGCCCATCTATGCTCCTTTCAAGGGCACTCAGTGTTTCTTGTTCCTGAAACGTGGAAGCCTTGCTTCAACAGCTTGAGTCCTTGATGGGATGAGATCGAAGCCTGGACCAGCCTGCTGTCGATTCTATTCACCAGCATGCGTCTGAACACATCGAGCAGCGCGATGACTTGTGTTGATTGTATTTGTTCACTCGGGTTTCCTTGCAGTCTCACTTCTTTGACGACTTCTTGTCCTTCTTGCTCTTCTTTTCTTTCTTTTTGTCATCTTTGGCAGAGTCTTCGGACGCTGGTTCGGTAGCAGGCGTTGTGGTACCGCTTCGTCGGGCCTCTTTGGCTTCAAGGTTCTTCGCTAGCCGTTGGGTGAAGTATTGTTCTAATGTGACACCCTTTGCTGCAGCGCGCTCTTCGTATTGCTTGCGCTTGTCTTCGGGCAGACCGTCCAGGGATTTGTCCTTCTTGCTCTTGCTCTTCTTAATGGTCGCTGCGTCGGAGGTGTCTTCGTCGGTGGTCGCTGACTTCTTCGCTTTCTTTGCAGCACGGCGGGCCTTCTTTTCTTCGTCGGATGATGATGCGGAAGTGGATTTTGATCGCTTCTTCTCCTTCTTGTCCTTTTTCGCCTTCTTCTTTTCCGTCTTGTCTTCATCTTCATCATCCTCAGCTTTCCTCTTGACACCCGTAGCAGGACCAACAGCAGATGCCAGCGCAGCAACCTTGGGATCAACAACACCTATCGTTCCCGGCACACCCTCTCCTTGCACGAAACGTCCATACAAGCCACCCCTCTTAATTCCGTGATCCTTGACATTGGCCAGGATACTCCTCTTGCCAGTTCCAAAATCTTTCAAACTGCTGTCAAAGGCCTTCAACCACCATTGACCCTGAATGACATCGGCCTTGTTGATTCCAACTCCTAGCACATCGACTTTCTTGCTGACGAGAAGCGGTTTGCGAAGACCTTTGTTGTTGTTGTCGAGCGAATGGCCGAGACCGCGCCAGCCTTGCTTTTTGAGAAGTCCTGCGGCGTCCATGATACGGTGACTCTGTCTTCCGGTAAATGCAAGAGTCTCGAGCGCCCAGAGTCAGTATCTCTGTTTATTTGCTTGCAAAGACGGACGATGGAGAAAAGCGTCGGGATTATTTTTCTGCCGCTTGCGATCGAGGCTTTTGGTCTGACCGCCTGCGAGCGGGCCGAGCCCTGCCTGGAACGCGCTTTCCTTCGCGTGCTTTGCATGTGATAAACTCTTGCTTCTCCTCCACATCGCCATTTCTGATATACTCCACATTAATCGACCAGTGAACTATCGATTATAATGTCAGCAATACTTTGCAATTCACTGCGATCATTCAGACCTGCAAACTGCTTGTAAGTCATATACAAATACTAGCATCTTGCTACACATCAAAGTCCAATGCAGACTACGACGCGTATGGCAGTATGCTACCGAATCGAAGTCACATCAATCAACTCCACATCCTTCATGTGGTGGTGGATCTGTACTGACTTGCTTAGCTCCCGTTTTGCAGCTCCAAGATTCTTCTCTCATTCTCAACATCTCCTGGGCCTCCCTACAGATCCTACACTACGAAGACTAGCTCTCGACAGAAATGCAGAACGAAAGAGATTACGTTACGCAAATGACCCGGAGTTTCGAGAGAGAGAAAAGGCGAGGTGTCTTAAACGCCAGCGAAAGAAAGACGACGAGACCAGGAAGCAGGACGTGACTCGTTGGGTTGCCCGCATCCGACAAAAACGCATTGAGGATCCCTTGACCAGACTGTATTCTGTTATCGATAGATGGGTTCGGAGTGTCATCGACAAACCCGTACAATGGTCCACACACAGGCCGGTAGTGCACGCGGAGAAGGTCGGCCTTCGCTGCGAGGATTGTACTCGCGAATCGTTCAGAAAGGCTGCATTGTGGGTATGTAAAGCTTTCCTTTTGGTCCTTGCGTACGAGGCTCATCTGGCAAATTCGGTGTTCTCTCCTCGATAAACTTGGCCAAGACAGATTCTGACCATTAGTTCAACTATAGTGGCACGACGTACACAATCCAGAGAAACAACTTTGCAGGATGTGTTTTGTCAAACGATGGCCAGAAGGATTGCCCCATGATTACGAATATCGCACCAACAAGAATGGCATGAAAAAGCTGTACAAGAAGGACACAACAAAACCCTGACCGATCCCTGGTATGAACAGTGGCTTTCGAACAATTGAAGTGATTGGAAGATTTTCAGTGGCCGTACTTCCAAGGTACAGCATACGCGTTGGGTCTGTTGAAGATATCATGACGGCACTTACATGGATCTTCACCTTGGTCAAGAACTTCATTGCTGTTCTCACAACAATCCCGCCAAAATCAACCATAACCAGTTTGTCCATGACGCTCGAGCGTGAATGAACACGCCACAAGCTGATTTTTCACTCTGAAAACGAAGCTATAGACACGGAGAACACAAAGTACACATGTCACCAAGCTCTACGGTATCGACTGCTGTCCACAAGCACTCTGGATTGTGTGTTCTGTTTTACTCTCACTCTTGCACCTCGAAACAACAGATAAAGAGCCACCCGGCGTCGCCCTGTCACGCGTTGGGGAAGAGTGCAAGCTTTACAACTGTCTCCATCGCGCACCTTTACCATAGACTTTGTGCATGCTCACCCCTGCCAAGTATTGCTGACCGATGCAGTTGTCACACCACAGCTTGCAGGAACGGTGTAACTATGGTTTCTTGACAAAGCACGTTAGTGTGTGCAACTTTTGATGAAGGAGTAGATGTTGCTTACGGATCAGACTCCCAAGTCACGCTTCCATCAGAATTCACCTTGATGAACTTGTAGCTGAAAGCTTGGCCAGCGGGTAGATTGACAGTGCCGGACCTATGTTATCATCAGCAACCAGGAGTGGATTATTCTTCGGTTCAAGTAACCCTACCAGACAGGATTACTAGCGGAATATCCAGCAGAAGACAAAGCAACAGCATTCGCAGCATTCCAAGATCCGAGCTGAGGAATTGAGCCTGAAAGCTTGATGGTTTGACCATATTGGGTAGTCACTTTATCAGTGAAGGTCACAGCAACTGCGGTAGGAGTACTGCAACCACCAGGTACCGTAGATGTTTTGATGGTGGTTGGTGTGCCTGATGTAGAACCTGATCCTCCACAAAGACCACCACCACTCAACTTCGAGGTCGGATAGAGAACCCTGGGAGCACCAGCATTGATACTGATAGCAATATTGCCGTTCGAGTCCGCAGTGTACGAACTGCAAGATAAGAGATCAGTAACTGCTTGACCAGCTGTGAAGCCACTCGCCGATGACGAAAGCGTAAATGAACTACTTCCAGAAGAGCCTTTATTAGTGAACACACCGACAACTTGAGACCCTGTCGTGCCCTTCCTCATGACAATCGTAGAGGCATCAGAGTAAACTGGGTAAGCTTTGTATGTCAAATATCCCGTATCTTGCTTGATGGCTTGTTTCCTAATCATGTTGAGCGTCGCAATAAACGGATACAACTGCGCAGAAGTGGAATAGCCGGAGAGCCAAAGTGCTTCTCTGTTATCCGGCACACTGGAGCCTGAGAAATGCTGTTCTTGGCCTTGGTAGATGATGGGGATACCATCAGCGAGCATTGTGAATGCAATAGCATTCTTCGCAAGTGCGTAGTCGGAAGTCAGGGATGCAAAGCGTGCTACATCATGGTTTTCTAGGAACGAGCCTAGAAGTGTTGTATCTTTGCACGCGGATTTCAAGGTATTGATGCCGTTGTAGAGATTGCTGATGCTGCCAGAGGTTGATTGGAAGGCCTGTGTGATCCAGTAGTAACTAAGACACAGTCAGTATTGTGTCTCTCTCGCACAGGAAAGTATGTCATACGATGGGTAGTTGAGCATGCCGTCTAGATAGTTCTGATAATCGCAGAAGTAGTTCGGGTCGCCGTCGTAGACTTCACCGACTGCATAGACACCGGCGGCTTGTTGGAATGGTTGATAGAAGGCTTTGTCGACGGATTTGGCAGAGTCGATTCTCAGACCATCGACTGGAGAGTGTTAGCGAAAGTCCATGCTTCAGACATCTCATAAATGTACTGGTGTAGTTTGATACAAGCTGTTTTATCCAGGTATTCCACATAGAGAGTACATTGGAGTCTTCGGTTCTCAAGTCGGGCAGGGAAACTGTGTTGTCGCCAGCCCAGCACTGAAAACAAATCAGTCTTTTGCAAATTGTTTCTGCAAGACAGAGAACATACCTGCTCGACACTGTCCTGGTTGCTGTAGTCAATGAGACAGAAGGGATGGTAGTATGACTGTTTGTTGAAGGGATTGTATATGGAGTAGTCGACGCAGCCACCACAGCCATTGTATCCCATATGATTTGTGACGATGTCAACCATCAGATACTACGAATTGTGAGTCTAAACACAGCTGTTACTGAGAGATTGATCTCACCATGCCACGACTATGAAGAGCCTTGGAGAGTGACACCAAATCGGCAGCAGAGCCAAAGTTGGTGTTGATTTGGTAGATGTCTTGTGCCCAGTATCCATGATACGAGTCACCATCTTGGCCTGAACTGCGGATGTTCTTCACAACAGGACTAATCCAGATCTGTAACGCATATCAGAGCTGTCATGATGTTCAACCAGCTTCATAAATACGAACCGCAGTGAAGCCCATCTGCTGGATGTAGTCCAGCTTGTTGATGATACCTTGGAATGATCCACCACAATACTCGTTGACATTACAAGAAGCAGTTGTTGAACCATCGGTCCTCGCAAAACGATCGGTAAGAACCTGATAGATCGACTGGCTTCTCCATTGTGCAGGGGTCAGGCACTGCGCCAATCCTGTCAAAAAGAGAAGGGCGAACAACAATCGAGGAATCATATCTCCGGACCTGTGACGTTCGTGTTCAAGTCAAAGGGCAGAGCATAATACTGTTGGGATAATGGCATGTGTTATGGCCATGTTCTTATATTGTTGGTCGTGGCCGAGGTTCCATCACCGTATCGAAAGACTTGAGAAGATCTTGTCTCGAAGGAGTTGTGTATACCTTGGTACCATTGACCGGTAAGACTAGCAGAGTGATGGAGTGCTGATAGTTTCTTGTTCGTTGCCGTTGGTCTCTCAATCTCATTGTTCAGTCGCCCTCCTTCGTTACTCAAGTCCCAAACAGGAAGTTGGCCTTCATCACCGTCGGAGAATGTGACAAGAAACAAAGCTATGTCCGTGTAGTACATGCTGTGTGGTCACCCGCCGGTGGCTTGAATGGCTTGCTTTACCGATCGGCTCATTCAGGCACCTTCTGAGGCTCAGGAACAGATCCTTTCGCTTCGAGAAGCAGGGTTGATAGTGTCAGACGGAAGGACGCCCGTATGCAGCATTCGGGGCGACTACCACGTGGTATAAGGAGCAAGAAGCATTTTTTCAGGAACTGATTGGCAGGTCGTTGAAGGACTAACTTTTTGACCCCTCCTTTTTCCGGCTTTAAGTAGTCTCGTGCCTGGTCTTGGTATACCAGCACAAACGTGAGACAAGTCAAACTGCCCGGTTGGCATCCAGATGAAGCAGGTCGCAGGTTTTAGCTCTCTGGTAGAGCCGCAGCTCGTGCATCGTTGATGAGTTTAAAGTTCAGCTATTTCCGATCCAGACACGTGAATAGCAGACTTCGGTGTTATTCTCGACAACGGAGTTCGGCTGAATTACAAGGCTGATATACTCGGTCCTCTTCTTTGCGAATACGCAGATCGTCCATGGTTGACGACCGATGAAATGCTATAAGCGAGAACTAACGCACCTTCCTCAAAGAGCTCAAGGTTAGAGCAAGCTGAATGGATGCTTATACTGTGCTACTGTAGGCCACGCCACGGCTTTGAGACGAAACAGAGCTTACGTGCGAGAGCTCCGCTCACGCTGTAACTCATGGATAGACATGGGGAAATTGAGATTTTGGAGGAAGGTGAAAGGAGGATGTAGCGAGCGTGATGTCGCCGCATGACATGGTTTTAGTGTCAGGAGGTGCTATAGGATGACCACCATAGCATGTGGTCTAGATTTAATGGCTTGCACTGCATGGAAGCACTGATGATTGGCAAAGTGCGTTGGTGATCACCATGCGAAGTGTAGAAAGTGTAGACCATGCAGGGAGAAAGGGCAAAGTCTGCAGCTTCCCGAGACCTCCGTGCGGGAAGACGGGTGTGGGGTGTGTGGGGTTCATGGTGGCATCAAACACGCCCTGTTTCTCGCAACCTCGGCTCGAGTTCTTGCTTCATGTGCCAATAACCTCATCGCAAATTCTTCAAGCGAGCTCAGGAGGGCGTTGATCTTCGCTTCATGTAATTTCCTCCCGCCGGACAATGCTCACGATGATCAATTGACGATATTCGCTCGCTTTCCTCGCAGCCTTACCGCATTACGCCACTATGGATATGCACAGACAAATAGCTTGAGCAGGAGCGAACGTGCTCCAAGAAGCTTCGACAGAGCTCAAGTCTATTGATTCCTCGCATGTCTCTTGCTCTAGTCTGCAGGAACGCTCTGATCATGTTGTTCCTGCAGAAGTCCGACTTCCTGACCTGAAGCGGGCAGCCTTGGTAAACATATATAAATCAGTCTTCTGCTTGAACCAATTCATCGTCAACAGCACGATTCTTTCCATCATGCGTTTCCTTTCCACTCTTCCTCTGCTCCTCGGAGCTGCTTTCGCTCTCCCTTCGCCTGAGGACATTCAAGAGCGTGCTACTGGCTCTCTCTCTTCCTGGCTCTCGTCTGAGAACACTGTTGCTCTGCAGGGCGTCCTCAACAACATCGGCGCAGGCGGCTCCAAGGCTTCTGGCGCTAGTGCTGGTGTTGTGGTTGCTTCTCCTTCGAAGTCGAACCCTGACTGTGAGACTGTATGTCCGAAGTCGTATGAACCATCACTGACATCGATCCAGACTTTTACACCTGGACCCGTGATTCGGCTCTCGTGTTTAAGGCACTTGTGGATCAGCTCATTGCTGGTAACAAGTCTTTGGAGCCTCTCATCCAGCAATATATCAGTGCTCAGGCCAACCTACAGACTGTCAACAACCCAAGTGGTGGTCTCTGTTCCGGAGGTCTTGCTGAACCCAAGTTTGAAGTCAATCTTACACCTTTTACCGGTGCTTGGGGTAGACCTCAGCGTGATGGTCCCGCTCTCCGTGCAACTGCTATGATTGCATACTCCCGTTATCTCATCGTGAGTCAAGAACCATTAATTTGCAGACGACATGCTTATCTTTCTTACAGGCCAACGGTAACACTTCGGCCGTCAACAACATTATCTGGCCTATCGTGCAGAATGATCTGTCATATGTCACCCAGTACTGGAACCAAACTACCTTCGACCTGTGGGAAGAAATCAACAGCTCGTCCTTCTTCACCACTGCTGTGCAGTACCGTGCTCTTGTTGAGGGCAACAGCCTTGCCACTCAGCTTGGAAAGTCGTGCCCCAACTGTGTTTCTCAGACGCCCCAAGTTCTTTGCTTCCTTCAGTCTTACTGGACTGGCTCCTATGCCCTTTCCAACACTGGAGGTGGTAGATCCGGCAAGGATGCAAACTCGATTCTGACTAGCATTCACGTCTTTGATCCTGCTGCTTCTTGCGATTCGACCACATTCCAACCCTGCAGTGACAAGGCTCTTGCCAACCACAAGGTCGTCACCGATTCTTTCCGCTCCATCTACAGCATAAATCAGGGTATCGCTCAAGGTTCTGGTGTTGCTGTTGGCAGATACCCTGAAGATTCTTACTACAACGGAAACCCTTGGTGAGTTTGGTTCTTCACGCAGTGCATGGCTCAAGCTGATCTGATAGGTACCTCAATACTTTTGCTGCCGCTGAGCAACTGTACGATGCTGTCTACCAATGGAAGAAGATTGGCTCAATTTCGATTACCTCGATCTCTCTTCCTTTCTTCAAGGATGTCTACTCGTCTGCTGCTGTTGGCACATATGCATCCTCGACTACTACCTTCACCTCTATCATCAATGCTGTCCAGGTCTACGCTGATAGCTACATGTCTATTGCTGTATGTCTTGTATATATGTTGACATGCTTGCGCCATCACTGACAATTCTTTGTAGCAAAAGTACACTCCTTCCAACGGAGCACTTTCTGAGCAGTACAACCGCGCTGATGGTACTCCTCTCTCAGCAGCCGATTTGACATGGTCCTACGCCGCCTTCCTGACCGCCTACAATGCTCGTGCTAACGTCGTTCCTGCTTCTTGGGGCGCTTCATCTGTGAGTCTTTTCACCTGCACCAGAACTTTACATCCCACTGACGCATCCCTTCAGGCCAAATTGCCCAACTCCTGCTCCAGCGGTTCTGCCACAGGTCCCTGCTCTGCAGCCACAAACACCAACTGGGGCAACCCCGGCACTCCCACCACCAGCAACCCCACAACCACAACCGGAGGCTCCTGCAAAACAACCCCAACCTCCATCGCCGTAACCTTCAACGAGCAGAAAACCACCTCCTACGGCGAGAACATCTACATTGTGGGCAGCATCCCCGCACTTGGAAACTGGAACACTGCAAATGCAGTCGCGTTGTCTGCGTCCAAATACACCGCTTCCAATCCTGTTTGGAGTGTGACTATTAATTTTGCTACTGGTACTAGTTTTGAGTATAAGTATATTAAGAAGGCACAGGATGGAAGTGTTACTTGGGAGAGTGATCCTAATCGTTCTTATACTGTCGCTGGAAACTGTGCTGGTACTGCTACTGAGAATGATAGTTGGAGATGAAGTATGAGGGTGTTTTGTTGCAGGGATTTGGACACTCTTCTTGTGAGGAGAGATCAAGACTCCCTGAGGATGTTGCCATGATATGTCGGAGGAAGTTGTGAAGGAGGAATTTCATGATGCGTCAACACGGAGAAGAAAACATATAGATGGATATACTCGCAGGGTCATTCATCATACATAGAGTCACAATCACAATCATCTCTAAATAATCTAATTTCTAAAGCCTGCTTCTACCCTGAATGATGCCGTTGTTAGGGTCTCATGTCGGAGACGGGGTTGTTGCACAAGGTATAAACAATCCATGGGGTTTTCTTACTTGTAGTCGCACCCGAAGTCTGAATCTACTTAGCATGCTAAGGACCTGCCACCTCAACAATCATGGCCAGCGTGATGATCATTACCAAAACATGATCTAGTGACAGAAGTATTAGGCGCAATACTACTAATACAATTTCTCTGCGGAATTCTCGATCTTTGTATCTTTCTTACGACAGACCAGAAGACTGTGTTTCAGAATTTTCTTCTCAGGCGAGCGATCTATAAGTATCTTATATCATGGTTGTTGAGGTGGTCTTGATCAATAAGGTGGTAGACCTTCCCCTCGCTTGAGGATTTAGACTTGGGGCCAACTAGATCGAAATTCAAGGAGAAGAAGTATTCTTGTTTGGACTGTGCTCTCGCGCTTGTATAGCTCTGCGATATCTTGTCTGAAGGTATCTAACTCAAAAGCTCCCATTGCTGGTGGTAAAATGTAGGGTTGGGTATCAATGCATGCGTTCTTAGCTAGCCATGTCTCTTCTGTCTCTTCTCTCAGTTGTGCAAGCAAGCCGCAACCTCTCGAGCCTCTCCAGGTAATTCAACGGTGAAGATCTTGACTCCTCTTTCTGTCCAGTCTTCTGTTTACAGCTCCCAACACAACCTTGAGAATACCATCAGCAGTAAGGTGTTCGCCATCCGCACCTTTGAATGGCACCGTATCAACCATATCCCTCAACTCCACCCCCGCAATCTCGGCCAACTCATCATCCAGCGCACGCAAATGCGCACGCGCACCTTCATCCCGACCGACCTGGAAAAACTGGATCCCGACTTGCCAAGCCGGCGCATCGAGTTTGTCGAGTTTCTTTGCACAGCTGATGAGTGGGGCTTCCACATCATCACTGGGCTCGCCATCAGTGATAACAATCAGATTCAGCGGTTTGACAACTTCTGGACCTCGTTGCTCACATTCACGAACGTACGGTCTGAGGATTGAATCGAGACGTTGGCCAGTAGGTGTACCACCCCTCGGTCTCACACTAGAAAAGATCTCTCGGACGGTGGCTGCTGAAGTGACGTTTTTGTGATACGGACTGGCTGGGTTGTTGAGGAAGATAATGTCGATTCCATCTGCGTCGTGAGAGACACATATTGGTGTGATGGATTCCAGCGCTTCTTGGGTTTCGCGCCAACGACTTCCTGCCATGGAGCCTGAATCATCAATCAAGAAGATTGTGTCGAAGGTGCTGAGGAAGGCGTAGGGGTCATCTGCTGTTTGGGATTGTGGTGATGAGATTGCGATGGAGGGGATGGGGGCGGCGTTGGAGACTGGTGAGTAGGCTGGAGGTGCGGTGCCTTGATCCAAAGGTATGGGAGCTGGTGCTGAGTATTGGCTCTTCATGGTTTCTGTTCTTGAGGGTGTGCTGTAAGGATCTTGGATTGTGGGATAGGCGCGTGAGTTTTGCTGGGTGCCTCCTCCACTGCTGGTCGAGACTTTGCGTTTGATGCTGCCTAGAATATTGCGCATTTCGTCTGCTCTGATGATATGTGGATTTGAGTAGGTGGAATTTGGATCTTGAATTGGTACCAAAGGTTGCGAAAGTGTTTAAAATGGAAGGAAAAGCAAGGTCTTAAGTAGAAGAAAGTCCAAGAGCTTGTGCGCTTGGCCGTGTGATGTAAGGATTCAGCTAGAGGCAAGAACTGACTACCAAGATGACTCAGGTCACGGTCAGGTAACAAGACGGATACGCGGAGAGAGTTTGAACCACTTGAGGTTGTTCTTTGTCTTGGTTTTATGCTGGACCGTTGGCATTATAACTTGCTCACCTCCGGACACCGCAGCAAACCTACCAGAGGGCTGAGCCTAGCCGCGCGCCTTCTTAATTTGCAAGTTGCATCCGTTGCTTCTCAGCCATTCATCACGAGCGTTGTTGAATAGGAAGAGAAGGAGCAATTGACGGTTGGATGTTGAAGCTTGCACAAACGATATGAGGCGCAGCACTTGCCAAGGCGCAGCCCAAACTCAGCCTCATGGCGATGCAGCCTTCCGAACCAAGACCGATCATGCATCAATGCCTCGATACCCCGGCTCTCAGGCACGAGCAGGAAGAAAGTAAATGTTCATGTTCTCTTTCATTCAGATGACAATCGTCAATAACTTTATGCAAATGTACCGTCGTCATCTCCCGATGCCATATCATCATCATCCATATCCATATCACTACCGTCCTCACCAAGACCCTCGAACACCATGAACTTTTCGTTCTTGATCTCAGCTGTGAGAGCAATGTCAGCAACATTTCAGGCAGAAAGAGACAAAAGGCAGAAAACTTACTTCCCCACTTGACAACATAGCCAGGTTGAACCTCACAATCCGTTAGACGAGTCTTGTCCTCATCCTTGGGACCGCCTCCCTCGATCTTACACCTCTTGCCCACGATGCAGCCGGTGAGTGTCACGTTCTCGCCAACTGTACATCCTTCCATGAGCAAACACCTTGTCAATCTTGCACCATTGCCAATACTGCAACCAACACCAATGACGGACTCTTTGATGTTGACTCTGCTGCCAATTGTGACGTTCTCGGCCACCAGAGAATCAATCTCGCTGACTCTTGTTTGCTGTTGAATCATGTCTGGATGTGCGACCTTTGCGGTGTGTGCAAACGGTGATGGTGTAGTGCCAGTGGCTGTAGCTTCTGCCACAGACGGTAGTTTTGCGAGGCGGAGTGAGATGCTGAGGAGGAGGGAGGAAGTGTCGACGCGACGAATGAGGGGTTGAGTAGTAGGTTCAGTAACAGGAGGCTGGACATAAGCGAGAATAGGAGGGACCATTAAGGGATCCTGGGGCTCGTCGTCTGGTTGTAGGTTTCCAGGCACACGCGATGCAAAGGTTTCTGGTGAGCGCTTGAATGCAGATGAAGGAGGCTGTGTCATGGATGTTGTGCTCATAGCAACCAAGTCGACCTCTTCGTCGAGTTGCATACTGCTCGCCATCATCAAGTCATCAGCGTCTTGCGTGGAAGGTGCGTCACTCAGAACTTTGCGCAGATTCAACTTGTCAGCCAAACCCTGCTGCCAGCCAGCCTTTGCCCACCATCCGATAACATCCTCCGATAATGAGTCGAAAGCCTCGTTCTCCTTGATCATGTCTTTAACCCAGAAAGGAAGGAAGTAAACATGGGCATCTCTGTGCGAAGTCTTAATCTTGACCTTTCCGTGCTGGCGTAGTAGGGCGTGACGTAGAGGGAAGCTCTTTTGTTCTTCTGTGATATCCTTGACAGTACTGGTGGGAATGCTCAAGACGAGCTTTTCGACATGAGGTCGGAGGTGACCTTCCGGAGCAGGAACAGCAGGGCGTGGTAGAGGGGTTGTCGCAACCAAGTCAGTCTCGTCGCCTTTCTGGCTGACGCCTTCAAGACCTTTTGTGGGATACCACACAGCAAGACCTCCTCTGCGACCGCTCTTTTCACCACCAATTGTCATTGGTACAGGCTGGCCATCAACCATACCACCAGTGGCGCCTCCAAGACCAGCCTCGAGCACCATCCATGATTGCAACAGAGCGGAACCCTCGAGCTCGCAGATCAGATCACAGGGCAGAATGATGAAGTCAGAGACGATGGCTTTCTGAACTTCAGGAGTACGGAAAATTTCGGCGGTTCCGGTGGTTTGAGTCAAGTCCTTGGGGCAGAGCAGTTCTGGCTTGGGAGCAGGAAGGCTGGTGAGGTGAGGATTTTGGGCGAGGGCGGATTCCAAAGGAGCAGCGCTCTCGGGTGGTGTGATCAGAGTAATGTTTGTGACGCCCATACGGTAACACCAATCCAGAGGGTACCAGACCATAGGACGGTTAGCGATTGGCACTAGAGCCTTGGGATAGTCTGCGACATTCGAGGTGAAGGTGTTGAGCGACAGGCCAGGCCCGCACAGAATGAAGGCCTGGAAGCCAGCGTAGGGCATGTTGGTGGCGTGTGGCATGACCTGTGTGGTTGTTCCTCCTCTTATCTCCAAGATCAAGTCGTGTCCAGTCGTCTAGTTGTGTGCGATGCTCAAGGTGAAATGTGACGCATCGCAAACAGAATTTCGCGACTGAATCTCAGCCTCCCGCACTTCGACCACGCCAAGAAACGTGGGGTAGGTGTATACCGCTTGGACGCGACCTCGACTCTTTCATGTGACAGTTGAATCCTTGATGTGAAACTGAATGCAATGGATCGATATGATGCTGCCCGGCGAAGGCAGGCCCGTCCTGGTAGATCAGCATTAGGATACTGGCTGCCTTTGGTCGTTACTGTAACCATTGCGACGGCCGGCTTAGCCGCTTGGATCTGGAGCGAGCGCCAACAAGACGACGACGATGATGATAACGACCGACACGATGAAACAGAAGACGACACATACGACCACCCCCTCGAGTATCCTGACCATGTACCACAATCCAGAGACGATGCACCCGATGCTCCCGACCAAGGCTTCCTGGCTCGCATGACTGGCCGCACACCGTCACCTCAGCAGTTCTTCGATAATGCCGGCCAACGAATCCGCTCAGCTGTCGGCTTCTCTGGCCCCAGTACTGTCGAGAGGCAAAACGAAGGACCAGACCCTGCCTTCTCAGACAACGAACACTGGAACGAGGAAGCAGAAACAAAGCGATCTATGAGACCTGCTCCTTCAAGTCACCAGACCAACAAGCCCAAGAGAGCTGTAGCCATAGTTCTGAACGGAGAGGACCAACATGATGAATCTGCATACCATACCGATCACGCTGTAAGTTTAGCATCACGCCCTCGCAACAACAACCGCTAAACATGATCTAGTCTATCCTGTCTCACCTCCCCGAGCACATCGACCCTGCAGCCACGAACCTCTTCATATTGATCCACGCACCCAACCAATCACATCTTCCCGAGCTCCCGACATCCACATCCACCTCAACCACCCTCTCATCCTCATATGCATCTGTCTCCTATCCTGCCTCGTCCCCCAAGTCGCTGTTTGACTCACTCTGGCAAAAGTCCTTGTCTCTGGTAGATAAGCCTTCGCAAGTCTTGCCATTCTCAACCCCAACAGGCTACATACATATCCTTCGCCATCTCTCACCTTCGCTCGTCTACCTATGCGATATTCCCACTCTCTCCGGCCACAATGGCGAACATGTTCGACAACTCAAAGGCTGGGTTGGTCAGACGATTCTCGTAGTCGGGGACGATGGCGCCGGCGGCCTTTTAGACACAGAAACTGAGACCGAGGATGAAGGATCACGAAGAGGCAAGAGCAGAGAGCAGACGATCGACAAGTGGTGGGAGTCCTCGGATCTCGTCGGTCTTGGAAAAGACGTTGAAGTTGTGGACATAGGACGAATGGGCGAGGATTGGTGGAGAAGAGTCGTGAGCTCGAATTAAATACCCAGACAGTGTGCAATAGACTTCGTAAATCTGAACATGCTGGTGTCATCACTGAGGACCTGCTCATCTTGCTTACGAACCGGAACATGTTGGGATGTCATTACTCAGGAGGAGGCGTATTGTGATACAAAGACCAAATTGCTACAAGAGTATTCCTACAAATGTGTGTATATTGAAGAGGCAAAGACAGAGTATTAGAGTACTGCAACAGGCAACAAGCACAAAGGAAAAGAGATGTACGGAAAGAGACATCTGAAACTCTAGAATCCATGCTTAGCAAACTCCTTCTGGGTCCAATCCCACAGTTCATTGGCGAGTTTGTCATTCTTGAGTATCGCTTGGGTGTATTCGCTGCCTTTGGGTGTATAGAAAGCTCCACTTCTGACCTCTGTGCTGTTTGCAGTGCTTGCCCACAATTGCCTTTTAGCGCCGTCGTGTACATTGGTCAGGAATGGAGTCAAAAAGACTGACATCGCCCGACCAACGTAAGGCCTCTTGAACATGTTGTCCCAGATGCCAGTATTGACGACCCCAGGATGAAGAGCGACAGACTTGATGGCTGGATACTTTTGAGCGCATACTTTGGTGAACAAGTAGTTTCCGAGTTTGGATTGACCGTATTTGGCTATGGATCCAGTCTTTTGCATTGGAGTCTTCAGGTCGGCAAATATGATGCCTTGCTTGGGGGCTTGTTTGAAGATCTCAGAGCTGAGATTGATGATCCGGACGTCACTGTTGGGTTGTTTTGCTGTTTCCTGCAAAAGTGGAAGCAAGAGTTTGGTGAAGAGAGTCGGTCCCATATAGTTCGTTCCAAACTGAATCTCATAGCCATCGGTGGTCAGACCTGAAGAAGCATTCGCCAAACCGGCATTGTTCATCAGGATGTCCAGACGGTCGTTTTCGGCGAGTATGAGATTGGAAGCCCGTTTCACAGATGCGAAGGAAGCCATGTCGATTTCAAGGTAGTGGATCTTTCCTTTTGCGGTTGGCACGTCCTTGACAATCTCTTCGATGGCAGCGTTTCCTCGCTGACTTGTTCGGGCGGCGAGATACACTTTGGCGGGATTATGTTTGACTAGTTGATGTACACTTTCTTTGCCGAGACCGCTGCTGCCGCCGGTCACGATGATGACCTTTCCTGATAGGTCAGGGATGTCGCTCGTAGGATTGAAAGACATAGTTGAGATGGTTTCAGTGGTGAGCCAGATCTGTGACGGCTCAGAGACCTTTTGTCTAAAACTGTGGCTCCCAAAGAAGGTTGGCTGGCAGCTTCTGATTGTCCGTGGACCGGTAGTCGAGGAATCTGATTAATGATGGGTTTGAAGAGATGACTCAACACCGGCAAAGTTTTGGATTCTTTGATGCGTCTCCCATGTTCTTCAGCAGGTGTGACCAATCTTCTTAGACCTACCTATGCTACAAAAAATGTCGATGGCAGCGAGACCATGATGGGCACAGAGCCGGAAGCATGATATGGTGCCCCATCAGACTCGACGTTCTTACGTGCGAAACTCGTAGATGTGTGTTCTCTTTTTCCTAGAACGCTTTTTTTTTTCCTTTGGAGCGACTAGCAAGTGCATTTGAATTCTTGCCATGCATCTCGCAATAGAACAAGCCTTGTGAGGGTGATACGTTGAGATCTCTCGGCATGACGCTTGACTGCAAGGCTGATCGGAGGAATGATTGCCCGACCATTTGCCATTCTCGAACATTTCCATCTCTCTTTTCCACCCGTCAAACACATGCATTGCTCCGAAGTCCTTTATGCAATTATCCCATGCAGAGTTTTACGGCCGTTGACTCATCAAAGTCGCGATAAGATGTCCCTCGAAATATCCTTCCACAGGCTGCTCTCAAGCCCTGTACGAGAGTTTGTTGACTGATCATCACGTTTATGGTAATTCTTGCGAAATGTCAGCGACTGCATGCTGGATGCGCATTGCCAGCCCAGCTTATCCCAGCTGCAATTGAATCGACTCGGAGAAACGACAATACCGTCGGAGTCTGTTCACTATTCATGGCAGCGAATTTTACAGTCGCCTTGCCATCTTGCATGGTTACCCCGTGTCATTTGACGGCTGAACATGTTCGTGAAGATGTATTCAGCTTACAATCACCTGCAAGAGCAGCTGAAATATAAAGTGATAGAGGATGGTGCCGTCTAGGGACATCAAACACAACCTAGCTTTCTTTCATCGTCCATCTTACCATCATCACTACTTTCAACATTGATAATGTCTTCAACCTCCGACAAGCCTGCCCCCAACACAGACCTCGAAGATCAACGCTCGAGTATCTCAGATCAGCAAGAAGCAAAGTTTGAGAGGGGCATACCCGACTGGAAATGGTATCTTGTTTGTGTTGCTATCTATGTTGGAGCCCTACTATACGGTATGAACTTGTTGATCTTCTTGAGTGTCTCGACATAATGGCTGACTATCTATCCAAAAGGTCTCGATACCACCATCTCAGCAGATGTACAAGCACCAATCCTTGAAACGTTCGGAGACATTGAGAAACTCTCATGGGTTGGTATTGGTTTTCCTATGGGAAGTGTGTCAATCGTTCTGCTGGTTGGAGCTCTCTTTGCACTATTCGAGATCAAATGGATGTTCATCGGCAGTCTCGTATTGTTCGAAGCTGGTTCTGCACTTTGTGGAGCTGCACCTGATATGAACGCGCTGATCGTTGGTCGGGTTGTAGCTGGTATGGGTGGCGCTGGCATGTATCTGGGGTAGGTTGCAAAGCTCAGACGCATCTTGAGACTGTCATATGCTAACGTTCGACCCTGACAGGGCGTTGACTTACATCACAACCTTCACGAGCAAGAAAGAACAACCCATCTACAACGCCTTAATCGGCCTATGCTGGGGCACAGGTTGTATCCTAGGGCCTGTCGTCGGCGGAGGCTTTTCCGACAGCTCTGCGACCTGGAGATGGGCCTTCTATATCAACCTACCCTTGGCTGCTGTCATGTCTCCTGTGTACCTCTTTCTTCTGCCAACTCACAACCCAAGGCCGGACACCAGTGCTAAGCAGAAGCTCGCCACAATTGACTGGCTGGGTGCTTTCCTGTTTGCCGGCATGTTCTCTATCTTGCAAGTTGCGCTCACATTCAGCGGCTCGTTGTGGAAATGGAACGAAGCTGGCCCAATCGCGCTCTGGGTTGTCTTTTTCGTCTTCCTGGTCGCCTTTGTTGTGCAGCAAGCCTTCTGTATCGGCACCGTACCTTCGCGCCGTCTGTTTCCTGTTCACTTCCTGAAGAGCAGAACTTTGGTACTACTTTATGCTGGTACAGCGGCGTCTTCGACTGGGCTTGCCCTCGGTGTCTACTATATTCCCATCTTCTTCCAGTTCACAAGGGGCGACTCACCGATCAAGGCTGCTGTCCGACTACTACCTTACATCTGCGTCTTTGTCGCATCAGTCATGCTCAGTGGCGGTCTCCTACCAGTCCTTGGTCGCTACCAACCTTTCTACATCGTTAGTGGTGTGCTATTGGTCATCGGTGGCGCTCTGATGCATACCGTCCATCTAGACACTTCGGCATCGAAGATCTATGGATTTGAGGTCCTGATGGCTTGTGGAGCAGGCTTGAGCATGCAAGTAGCCTACTCCGTTGCTGTCGCCGTTGCCGATACAGTCGACACTCTGAACGCAGTTGGTTTTATTAACGTGGCTCAGATCGGGTCGATCAGCATTGGCCTGAGTATTGCTGGTTGTCTGTACCAGAACATCGGGTTTGACAACATCAAGAACGCCGTATCGGCATATCACTTTTCAGATGCTGAGATTAGAGCTGCACTTGGTGGTGCTCATTCTGCTATATTGGCTAGTGGAGACTTGGAATTGATGCGTCTGGTGCTCGAGGCCATCGCTTCTACACTCAGAGATATCTGGGTTTTGAGCATTGTGGCTGGCGCAGTCGCTCTTTTGAGCGGTATGTTTATGAAGAGAGAGAAGCTCAATCTGGAGATGACCGCAGGAGGTTGAAGGAGAAATGGATCCGACAACAACTGTTTGTGACCAGTGCCCAGTAATTGAGGAAACGGTAATGAGGAACATATTAGGATAGAATAACGGCTGGAGCTTTCTTTTTGGGTCAGGAACAGGCGTTTGACAGGTTTTACAGCGATAATGAGAAATGTTAGATTGTAGAAAGGAGAGTCATTTCATGTTTGGAACCACTATGGGAAAGGAAGGAACGCTCAAGCGTGTGTATCATGCTAAGCCATCAAACTCCTGCCATGTTGTGTATCACGTTTCTACACCCGCTTGTCCTTCGAAAGAACATTTCGGACACAAGACTCCTTCACTGACCGAAACGCTTGGCGACAGTGTCCATCACAGCCTCAAATTCAGACTCAGTAGCAGCTTCCTTCTCGTTGTCTTCATGCTCAGACTCCTTGTGACCACCGCCATCAACTTTGTTTCTCTTCTTCCTGTCGTCATGGTTGACGAATCCGAACTTGGTTTCGTTGGAGATGGAAGTAGAATCGCTAGTGGTAGATGAACCAACGAGCTCAGGGGTCGAGGTTTTGTTCTGGGCTTGCTTGGCTTTCTTGAGTAGAGTCTTCTTCTGGCGCTTCGACAGTTTGGGCTGTTCAAGAGGAGTCCCAGTAACAGCAGCAGCGGTGTCGCCATGACCACTGCTCAGCTCGCGAGTCTCGGCGGTGGCGATAGGAGTAGAAACAGTATCCTGGATAGCCAAACCAGCAAGACCCTGCTCAACACCATCCTTCTCCTTACCCTTCCACTCCTCGCGCTTGTCCTTCTCAGCTTGCTGCTTCTCCCTCTTGCGCAGATACTTCTTCTTGTTCTTTGCACGCTTCTTCTCTTTTTCCTCTTCGGTAGGGTCTTCTTCGTCGCTGTCAAGTTCCCAGATGCGTTGTTCTTGTTGTTCAGGCTGTTGTACTCTTTCGAGTTCGAAACGGAAGTCGGGGTTGCTTTCAATTACGTCGGCGATCATGGAGGAGAACATTTCGTTTCTGTGACCTTCCCGCATCTGGAAAGGGTTTTAGTATGGAGTGGTCGGAATAGTGATTTGGAAGGTACTTACGTAGTACTCGCGAATCTTGGAGATTGGGATGCCACGGAAGGTCTCCATGTTTGTGAGAGTTGACAAGGACTGTGACAGCACGCACAGTGGTGGGAGTTCTTAAGAGATGGTGGCTCGGAGGGTGTTTTAATGGGTATAGAGGTGACTGACGCTGGGCTATCAAACGACAACACAAACGAGCAAACGCCGAGGCACAACACAGAAATTTCAAGAACGCACCGGATAGATGACTATTGTACAAGTTGAATTTCTACAAACTGGATCAGACCATCATTGTTGTGTCGATTGGTGGTTGAAAGGAGCAAGCGGCGAAACACTTCACTCCTTCCAGATGACCAGCTCAAAGGGTCGCTGTGCCATGTGCACGTGCCGCCTCTCTCTCAATAGCTCGACCCCAATCCTTCAATGAAAGTTCGAGATCTCCAAGCATCTTAAAACGTCGAGTCATGCCTGTTGAAGCACTACCAATGCGATCTTGTGGCAGACAGGGAGCTGCGTCGTAGTCCTCAGCACCATCGTCCTCTGCCTCGTCCGCCTCGCTTTCCGAGTCGTCCTCCTCGTTCTCTTGCTCAGCCACCGCGTCAGTTCCAGCTTCGCTGTCCTTGCTTTCATCCTTGAGTAGTTTCTTCTTCAGGGCTCTGTTCTTGTTTTTGTTGCGGTTGTGATTGTTCTTCCTCTTGGCGATAAGCTGCTTTTGTAGGCGTGCCATAGTGATCTGAACAGACTGCAACCAAGTATAGGTTCGACGCCAGTACTCCATATCTTCCTCTTCTCCAGATTTTGCAAGCTTGATGATTTTCAGCATGGTTTGCAGATCGCTATACTTGCAGGTCGGGTCTCTGTCGTGCAGGAACGAGTCGACCGCATTGTTGTATGTCTGAGTGTAGGCGGCAATTTGATCCCTTCTCGCCAAGATTGTCACACTGTACTTTCTAAGGCCAAGGTCAAGGATTGGTTCCAATTCCTCGAAAAAAGCCAAATGTTTGAGTAATTCAGTCTCAAGTCGCGTTTCTCTGCTGATGACCTAAAGCAAAGTCAGAGTTGGAGAAGATTGGGTAACTGATCCAAAAGGTTCCGTACCTCTTCAGATTGGCTTTGACGCTTTCTTGATGGACATATCTTGTTGGGTAGACATTTCGGCTCGCAGTGCCATTCGTCTGGTTGACGAATCAGGTTGCGGAGTTCGGCGTCGTCAAAATCTTCTGTGAAGGACTCCTCCAATTCTTTGAGTCTGAGAAACAGCTCTTCATGCACTTCTTGCGGTGTTCGCTTCTCAGTGACACTGCCTAAGGCAGAAAGCCAGAGACCAGTGTCCTCGTCAGGCTTGTAACCACGGCATTGATAAAGCAAGTACTCTTGATTGGCAATCCATTTCAGGGTCTGTAATCATGTCAGCAAAGGATGTTAATGCGCGGTAGACGCAAGTGCGTACCTCAGCCTCTAGCCAGTCTCGAGTTAGAAGGCCCAGCCAGATGACAAATTTGATTCTGCGAAGCGTTGGTGTCTTTCTTCCGTTCGCCTCGATTGTGGTGCGCAATTTCGAGATGATTATGTCCAAAGGACAGTTGGGCTGTTTCATCGTCTGCGCGGGATACAGAAGTCGGTCCAGCCAGCTGTCGTCGGATTCTTTAGGATGCCTGGGAAAGTTCGAGCTGATGACCTTTTCTGCGTGCTTGAACCATCGTAGCTCCTCGAGGCGCTCAGGATCTAAGACCGCAACGGCATCTTTAAGGTCTTTGATGTTTTGAGTCTGAGTCTCTGCGACATTTTGAGTCTCTGTGGCATTCTGGGTCTCTGCGGTATCATCGGTCTTTGTGATATCTGCAGTCTTTGCGACGTCTACAGTCTCCTTGGCTTCCATGATGCTGGTGGTGTCCTTAGGTGTATTAGAATAGGGTCAGATAGTGTTGGAAAAACAGAACAGTGAACGTGTAAGCGACTGCGTTCGAGTTGATGCGGTCAGTGCAGCTGGGCGTCACACGGAACCAGCAGGAAATCTGTAGCCGCGACGACCATTGCGTTGACTCATGTGATATACGAGTAAACAAAGTCTATACTAACGGGGCTTATACTTAGGGGTCTCCATAGAAGATCTAGACGAGGTCGATGGCCATACTGTCAACATAGACGCGAATCAGACGGAACCAGTTTGCAGACCGAAGCACTATACCGAAGCTGCTTCAAGATATTGGCAGGTAGTAGTTCGTCCTAAGAGACTTTGTCCCCATAGCTGATTTGCTTGACAGAAGGGAGTGCATCATTGTTTCTTGATGTTCGATGATCGTGATGATGTCTTCCAAGTCTGCATTGTATACTATAGAACTAGCAGTCGCGACGCCGAATAGAAGGTCGTCGTCGGGAGATGCTGACTAACCACCGACGTCCCGAAGTTCAACCGTGCACAAGTCTGAGCTCCGAGCCTCCGAAGTTCTCAAGCGACATAAGGTGACATGGCCTGACGAGCTGCATATCAAGTAGGAAGTCATTGATATATGTTCTAGTAACCGCCGTGATGTTCTCTAATCTCCATGTTAGGTCGGCTGGATGCCTCGTCTGTTTCTCCTTACCACCGTAGCTCTTGCAATCGCTTTGTTATTCGCCTACAAGTCTTCAAATATGGACAATGCTGGTAATGACCGACAGTGGGCTGACGGTCCATGTGAGCTCGTGCATACACCACAATTCCTGAGTAGGAAGGATGATATATGGACAAAAGGCGCGACACACATGGCACTACTTCACAATGCCATCCTTCGAGGCTTTAATAGCATCTATCTTCAAGCGCCCCATGTCAGAGTCGAAGACTATGCTGCCTTCGTCGGATACAGTCTCAGCTGGTATCGGTTTGTCAAAAGTCATCATGATGATGAGGAAGCAGAGCTGTTCCCGAAAGTCGATGACATCTTGGAAGAGCAAGGCATATGGAACGAGACACACCAGGAGCACGGTATATACAAAATTCGCAGCACTAAGCTGACTTTGAAGCTGATAAAAAGCAGAGTCGTTCCTTGGAGGCCTTACAGACTTCCATAACTACCTGATCAACCTTCCCTCGACCTCGTCGTTTGATGGCATCAAGCTTGTTGCCATCATGGATACCTTCAAGGATCCCTTCACACACCACTTCCACAACGAAATCTCCACCATTGCTTCTTTCGCAACCCTACCAAGCGCCCCTCCTGCCAACTCTCCAGAAGCATTGGCTGCCGCAGCGACGTTCAAAGCATGGGGAAAGAAAACTCTCACCAAGGCCGGCATGACGGATGTTGTCCCCTTTGCTCTCCTCAATTTGGACAGAACATTCGAAGATGGCATGTGGGCTGCTTGGCCCCCTATGCCTGGCCCCGTGAGATGGATGATGGTGAACATGTTTGGTAGCTGGAATTGGGCTTGGTGGAAGTTTGCGAGTTGTGATGCGCAAGGCAATCCTAGAGCGCTGTATGCGCTCGAGAATGAGAAGACGTAGTGGAACGTGATACTTTGTGGATTTTGCATCATCATATGGAACTTCCGATCTCTCATATTGCTATCTACCAATTCAAAGCACTTTTTAATTCCGCCTTTCTCAATCTCGCCATCTGTTTCTGTAGAGTTGCGCAATAACCTTCTTCTGTCAACGATCGCTAGTGGAAATAACAATCTTCTTCTCTTGATTCCTGATCCTGAATTTCCACCTTGTATCAAGCCCTAAGGCACATGTCGTTGTAGGTCTCATTTTTCATGAGCAAGAACACCCATGGCAGTACTCATAGCTTGCTGCGAGTCCTCCTCGGCCAAGAGCCATTCATTGCCCTTTTCAGCGACCATCTCCCAGAGATCACGGTACTCAGTTGCGAAGGTCTTCAGCCATGCAAGTACAAGAACAGTGGCCCACAACTCCTCCTCTTGGAATCCTCCAGAGCGCTCCATCTTGGTGATCGCGGAAGCGAAGAAGTTACGAAGACCGTCGTTCCACTTCCAGTGACCATCAAAGCACTGGAGATCGACAAGGGCGCGGACGGCCGCCAGGGTATTGTCGATGGGAATGGTAGTGGTGTCTTCTGTGTCAGAAGGCGCGCGGAGAGGAACTTCTGGAGATGTCGGATAAGCGTTGTTGCCTGAGGATTGAGCGAAGTATGCGATGGGATCAGCCGTGCGGGCGAACGAAGGAGCTGCGACGGGTGCAGATGGAAGAGGTAGTGGCATAGGAGGAGCCACATTGTGAGCAGCAAGCTCTCTCAGCTGATCGCGCCTGATAGGTGCCTGAGACATCGAGGTCGATTGTGACTGGAAGAGCGTAGCACTCTGGAGCTGAGGCGGAATTGATGGTGACATCCGAGCCAGCGACACCCCACCACCACCACGACCTCCGCCACGACCCACGGATGAAGCACTACAGGGGCTTGAGGCGTTAAGTGGTCTATATGCAGTTGACTGTGACATGCGCCTGCAGCGCTTCTTGACGTGGTGATCTCTGTAGCCATGAGCTCTTTGAAGATCAGTGTCCATTTGGACTTGGTCTTCACTAACGCATTCACCATTCTCGTTGGGCTCGACAGCAACGAAAGAGCACCATTTGTTGGCGACTTGATAATCAAGACCAAGACGAACGGCTTCTCTCTCGACCAGTTCATCGAAACGGGAGGAGTGTTTTTCCATGACCAAATCGGAACCTTCCTTTGCGGTGGTCATCCAGCCTCTGCCTTCTTCAAGCTCTTGGATGGCTTTCTTGGCCGAGAGGACGTTGATTGTGTAGTTGGGGTCGTCCATTCTCTTGACCGGTATCTCCAGCACCAGCGGACCATCGGGACAAGTACCGTGCAAGAGGACAGATTTGGGAGTCTTTCTTTTATCCTGTAGAAGAAGATACACAGTAGTGCGACTGAAAGGTAGTAGAGGGGGGAGGACATGAGGAGCTTGAATAGACTCAGGTACAGCAATGTTGGGGAGATGAGCATAGCGATCAGTGTTCTCATCAGGAGTGTCACTGAGGTCAACAGAATTGTCGAACAACGAGATGGTCGTCTTTGGCCGGTCTGAAGAAACATCCACCACTTGCTTTGGGGCCAGGCTCTCGACCATCTCGAAGTCCTCGGTCTCCTCATACTTGATTTCCAGATGGTAGTCATTCACGTGGGGATACAAAGCGGCCTTGAGCATACGGACAACCTTGAAATCCATGACCTCATCGTCAGTGATGAACTGAGAGATACCATTACCAGCACGAGCAAGGCCTTCAACTAAAGTGTGAGAGACATCATGGCCAACACCGAGCACGAAGCAGCGAGCATCAACTTTCTTCTGATGAATCTGATTGTTGACAAAATCAAAGAGCTGAGACTCTGCATAGATTTCACCATCAGTGAGAACAAAGAGCTCGAGGGGCATATCAGAAAGGTGCGACTTGAATGCGGCCTCGATAGGTGGCATCAATTCTGTGCCACCGTAGCTGGCACTGAAGCTTTTGACAAACTGAAGAGCATGCGTATAGTTTTCCTGATTGTACGGGACGCTCTTTTCCCAAAGAAATTTATGGCTTGATCCGAAAGCGCAGATGTTGAAGCGGACTCCAGTCGGCAAAGACTTGAGGAACGTCTTCAGAGCAGCGACAAGAGCAGTGTTCTTGCTGCCTTGCATACTGCCACTCTGATCGGCGATGAAGATGATTTCTGGTCTGATTGACTTGAGATTGAAACGTGGCACGAAGGTTGCCATAAGAGCTTCACGACCAGGTATGGAGTGCTTCTCGAGGATGGCTTTTGGAGAGCTGATGTCGTCGACCAAGACTTGTAGAACAAAATCCGAACCAAGCTCGGTTGTGTTGTGAGTCAATGAGACTGAAGCCTTTGACATGTCGGAGGTGGGCTCAGAGGTGGTAGAGAGGGTGCCGATGTCTAAGGCGATGGAGTGATCAGAGGGACACTGGACTTTACGCACGGTGGAGCCTTGCATGTCAATGTCGACAGTAATTTTCATGCCCTTTCCGATGGCAGAATCGAGTTTCAGAAGCTCGCCAGGATAGTTGCCGTAACGAGGAGCGATCGAGGTTGGAAGGTTGTAGCGCAAGCCATCAATCTGAGCATCGTGCTTGAGTTCACCTCCATAGGTGATGTCGACTTGGATAGAGGCGTCAGCGGGGACATTTCCTAGGGTAACTCCAAAGACACCAGTAGGGAGGGATTCCAGAAGGCCAGCGGTTTCTCCTCTGCTGACGGCGGCATCGAAGGTCTTGCGAGCTTGTTCCTTTTGTTCGACATGACCCTTGATGACCTTTTCGCCGACGGTACAAGTAAAGGAAGAGACAGCTACACCATCATACAGGGGGAAGGTATAGCGAGTCTCGGGGAGTTGATCTCCAGAGGGGTTGTGGAAGGTCTGGGAGAGTTTGGTGATGAAGTAGAGAGGGGTGATGGTGGTGTGGGAGTCCAGGTGGACCTGAGGGAGATAGGTGCGATTGTAGTAAGAGGTGGTGTAGTAACAACCACAAATGTGGTTGCCGAAGACAGACATGATGTTGAGCTCTCTTGGAGACGAGATGAGATGAGATGGAAAGATTTGAGATTTCAGATAGGTATTTATACGTGGTAGAAGGAGTTGAGAGATGGAGTGTTGCGGGCGTTTGCTGCCTGATCTTGCCAAGCTCGCTGGATCAGAGCTATACGAATGAAAGACGTTTACAATGAAAGAGCAAGACCTACGTGTGTTGCGGATAGCTGCCTTTTGTAGCGAGTCACTTTTGATGTCACGTATTGCTGCCTACACTCAAAAACGTGATGGAAAGCTTTTGGAAGACATGCTTGCGCAACTTATGGTCCACAAAGACCAGTGAGCACGGAGCCGCTGCGAATAAAGACATGGTGGCAAGCATTTAAGACTGGCCGGCGAGGAAACAAGCATCTGCGGTGTCTCGAAGCGAGCAGAAGTTGGAAGCGGCGGCTGGGTCACCCGATGCCAAGACATTTCTCCACGTCTTCTAGAAGGCCCGAGCTCGGGACATTCACATGCGAGTGACGAGGGAGGAGCGACGGCGACGCGACGACTGACAGCGACAAAGACAAAGCAACAAGATGGCGCCAGCAGTCATCAAGGATGAGGCTACATCGACGGCCAAGCGTAAAGCCGAGTCGCCTGACGACTCCATAGCCGACAGCAAGCGCTTCAAGTCATCGACCTCGCCCACACCCACTCTAGCGAATGACACCGGAGACGCCATCCAGTCGACAGCACCACGCATCGTACCCTTTCCCGAGAAACCCGCCGTCATCGAAGAGCGCAACGGCGAGATCGAGTTCCGAGCTGTCAACAACGATGGCGACCACGAGAGCTACATCATCCTGACCGGCCTCAAATGTATCTTCCAGAAACAATTGCCTAAGATGCCCAAGGACTACATTGCCCGTCTCGTCTACGATCGCACTCATCTTTCCATGGCCATCGTCAAAAAGCCCCTCGAAGTTGTGGGCGGCATCACATATCGCCCTTTCAAGGGCCGCCAGTTCGCCGAAATCGTCTTCTGCGCTATAAGCAGCGATCAGCAAGTCAAAGGTTACGGCGCACACCTCATGTCGCATTTGAAAGATTACGTCAAGGCTACCTCGGATGTCATGCATTTCCTGACCTATGCCGATAATTATGCCATTGGTTACTTCAAAAAGCAAGGCTTCACAAAGGAAATCACCCTCGAACGTCCGCGCTGGATGGGCTACATCAAGGATTACGAGGGAGGTACAATCATGCAGTGCAGCATGTTGCCCAAGATTCGCTATCTCGAGTCAGGTCGTCTGCTGCTCAAACAGAAAGCCGCTGTTCATGCAAAGATCAAGGCCGTCTCAAAATCCTTCGAAGTTCACCCTCCACCAGCTCAATGGAAGGGCCTGAAGAAGGGCGATAGTCTACCAGCTATTGACCCTCTTTCAATAGCAGCTATCAAGGAGACTGGCTGGAGTCTTGACATGGATGCTCTAGCCCGTCAACCCCGCCACAACCCCAACCACTCCCAACTCATGCATCTCCTCTCCGCCCTCCAGAACAGCACTCACGCATGGCCCTTCCTCCAACCCGTCAACAAAGACGAAGTCCTTGACTACTATGAAGTCATCAAACAACCCATGGATCTCAGCACCATGGAACAAAAACTCGAAAACGACGCTTACGAAACTCCCGAAGACTTTATCAGAGATGCCACCCTCATCTGTGTCAACTGCAGACGCTACAATGCCGAGCAGACTCCTTACCACAAAGCTGCCATCAAGCTGGAGAAAGAATTGTGGAAGAAGGTCAAAGATGTGCCCGAATGGAGTTACATCGAGCAGGAGCACTTTGCAGAGGTTGGCAAGTGAAAAAGCACAATCGTGTGTGTATTTCCTGTATTGTCTCACGAGGTTTGTTGTAAATTGGCGCTGTGGTCTTGTTTGTATTCGCTCTTTTTCTTGTCTCTGGCTTTCGCTTTCTCTTCAATTCCTGCGATACCCCCTGATTGTTTTCTTCGCGTCTTTGTATCATGACCTCCAAAATCACCAGCTTGAATTTGAAACACTATTCTGCAATTAGTCCTCGTTCCAAGTTTGTGCATTCGACCTCGGGAACAGCGAACAATGTTCAGTGATCGATAGCCTCGACGATGGCAGCTCCGTAGCCTTCTATCGTGATCCGCACGACTAAGCGGAACAGCTGCACTCAGGTATAAATACTACCATCACACGTGACATGCTTCTTCCCTCGCAACGACTTCGAACGAGACTCTGCACGCGAGCATGACTTCCTCCACCCAATCCACCGCCATCGAGAACCAATCCACCTTCTGCCTGTGGTTCCACTACTGCTACGTGGGCTGCACCTCCCCCTGGCACGGGCAATCTGATCCCCAAACCACCTACCTCCTCAGCAACTTTGAAACCGATCTCAATGCCGACACCTCCAAGATCAACGACAAGGATGTCAAAGTCTGGAGACTGGATTTGTTGAACAACAGTGATGGAGATGCAACCAAGAGGTCTCCCAGAGCGGAAGATGTGGTTGCTGAAGAGGACAGAATGGAGGGATATCTCAATTCTATCGAGGAGTGTGAGAAGGTATTTGGTGAGTTATGCCTCTTTGTGTTTTTGTTTCTTGACCCTGCTATTCACCCCCTGATTGTTCTCTCACGACTGTACACGGGCATTGATCAGAGCTGTCAAAAGACACAATTCCATCAATCCCCAAGCCCCAATTCACAGAAACCCCGGCTAAACCCTTATCGTTGCAGGCCACACAACAACCCGCATTCCCTACTCCCCTACCTCTCCAAGAGCCTCAGGCACGCACATCTTCTCCCATCCCACCGACATCATGTCAAGCCTTCCTCAAGGTTACGCCTTAATGCACAGGAACCGCAGCAACACAAACAACAGAACTGGAGATTTACACCTTTGGGGCCATCCTTCAGGATTGGATTACAACTCTGCTGCTAAGTTTGTGGTGCATTTGAAGTGGTTGATTGAGGGCAGGGTCGGGGAGTGTGAGTGTGGGCCTTGTAATGGGAAACGTTGAAGATGCAAGAGGGGATGGAGATATACTGTTACAGAGATCAGAAGAAGAAATGGGAATGCAGAGATTGAGGAAAGGGCGAGAGTCAAGAGGCCAATAAGAAACCCCGACGCCAATGTTATCCTGGCACAAACTTGGTTATTTGATTTGTTGTTCAATTGAGTTTTCCATCACATTCTATGCTTTTGCTGTCAAAACCTACGTACAAAATAATCACAAGCGGCTAGAAGCAGCACCTTGCCCCTTCGGCATTTTCTTATCAACACCCAAAGCCTCAACATCCTTAGGTTTGTAGTAATGCGGCGCAACCTCCGAGAGCCACTCTGGCTGCAAAGGGAAACACGAGCGCATGAATTCCTTGCTGGTAAGCACAAGTTCGTGGTAGATGGTCCACTTCGGGCGGTTGCCGGTAGCAGCCAAGACAGAAGAAGGATGTAGCCAAGTGGTTTGGTTGTTCTTGACAGTGCGGTAGCTGTCTCCTCCTCTTTGTATACGCGCGGCATTGGGGAAGAAGCCTGCAGTGAGTGCTTTAAGGATTGGTGGGATGTTGCTGGCGCCGCAGGAGCTTACTGTGACTTCAACACGATCACAAAGCTTTGCTAATTGATCGCGCACGTCTCTTGCACGTGTGAGACTGCGCTGCTGCAAGAAGTTCTCCTTTGCCCAGACTTGAGAGAAGTCTGAGTCGACCCATTGGTTCCAGATGTTGAGATAGGTGAGATGGTCGCCGCCATCTTTGACAGTGAAGCGCTCTCTTGTTGTATCTGCCTGTGTCTTCTTGTCTTTTGGTCGATAGAAGAGTGCGCTTGCTTCACCAAGCATGGAGACAATTGACAAGACTTCTTCCACACATCCTTCCTTATCAGCTGCAAGGATTGCTTTCGCTAGCAAAGGGTCCGTTGGGAACTCGGCCATTTGTCGACCCACACGTGTAAGTTCACCTTTGTCATTCAAGGCTCCTAGAGCGTACAGCTGTTCTAGCGAACGAATAAGCATGTCGGGAGATGGCGGATCCAGGAACTCAAAGTTGAGCAAGTCGTTGATGCCCAATGACTTTAGGAGCAGAACCACACTCGTCAGGTTTGTTCTCTGGATTTCAGGAGTAGTTGATTCCGGCAAGTCGTTGTAGAAGGCCCACTTGGTATACAGACGGAAGCATTTGCCGGGGCCTGTACGTCCTGCTCTACCTGCACGTTGGTTTGCAGAAGCACGCGAGATGGGTACAGCAACCAGACTTTCCATGTTGGTGGCTGGAGTATATCGATTTTCCTTGACATAACCAGGATCGATGACATATACGATATTGTCAATTGTTAAACTCGTCTCAGCAATATTGGTCGCCAAGACGACCTTACGAACCTTTGGTGGCGTCGGTTCGAAGATGCGGTTTTGCATATCGGTGGGCAAATTTGCGTAGATAGGACATATCATAAGTTCGCCAGCAGCAGCACCAAGTTTTCGAGCAGTTTCCTGCAAGGACTCATTTGCTTGCTCAATCTCATCTTGTCCAGTCAAGAAGACCAAAATGTCGCCAGGCATAGGTTGAGAAAGATGAATCTGGAAAACTGTCGTGATGGCAGCTGATAAGTAGTTGGCTTCCGGTTGCATGCTGTAGTTCATTTCAACATCGAAAGTTCTTCCGGGGATGTTCATGATCGGGGCGTCGTCAAAGTAGGATGAGAACTTCTGTGCATCAAGAGTGGCAGATGAGATAAGAATCTTCAAATCTGGCCTACCACGCGCAATGTCCTTGATCAGACCAAACAGGATATCGGTGTGCAGCGTACGTTCGTGAGCTTCGTCAATCATCAAGGCGGAATATTTACCAAGATCTGGCTCTGTCAAGAACTCACGCAACAACATACCGTCGGTCATGTACTTGAGAATGGTCTTATCGCTGGTTGCATCCTCGAATCGAATAGAATATCCGACTTCGTTACCAACCTTGACACCCATTTCTTCAGCCACACGTGTAGCGACCGACATGGCAGCAACCCTACGAGGTTGTGTACAGCCTACAATCTTGCCACCCTTGGTCATACCGTGCTCATGGAGATATTGCGGTAGTTGAGTAGTCTTTCCTGAACCAGTTTCTCCGACGACGATCAGGACTTGGTATTTGTCAACCGCAGCGAGGAACTCGTCTCGATATGTGTACACAGGCAAAGTCTTTCGCTTTTCCTCGATAGTCTTTGCTTTTCTTTCAGCAGCAACGAGTTGTTGGGCGAGCTGACGTTCCTCTTGAGTCTGTTGCTGCATGCTCCCAGACATGACACGATCAGTCATCCACTGGATCTGCTGGTCCTGGTCAAAGACATATTCGTAGTCGGCCTCGTTTACTCGCTCGGTGACCATGATCTGAGCTTTCGTTTTGGCGAGCTGCTCATTCTCCCATTCTTCGTGTTCTGTGACGAATCTTTCTCGTCCATACTCGTCTCGATCAACATGACGACTGTTCAATGCATCTGACTTGGCCTTTCGGCTTATTTTTCCTTTTTCTGTAATGTAGTCGTCCGGAAGCGCATAGCCTTCTAGGTGGTCATCTATGCGCAGACGCTCTTCTGCAATTTCAAGAGTTCTCTTGTTCTTCTCGAATTCGGCCTTCTCTTGAGCTGTGAGCAGTGGGTTCTCACGAAGTTCCAATTGTTCCTCGGCAACTTGCTTGCGGAGAAGAGCGAGTTCCTGAGCTTCTCTCTTCTTGAGATATTCCTGACGAGAACGTAATCTAATATCCTCAAGTTGTGCCTTTCTTTGCTTGGGATCGTCGGCTAGGGCGCGTCGAGATGCTGAATCATGCTTTGAGCGGTCCTCAACAATCTTCTTGGTACCACGTTCATCCTTCTCTCTCAAGCGCTTCTCGAAAGCAATGCGCTCCTTGCGATCGCGTTCTTCTTCGTCTTCTTCAGGCGAGGCTGAACGTCGACGAGGAGAGGCCGAACCGTCGTCGAGTCTTGGACGCTTCGAGGCCGACGGACGTGACTGCTCATCCTCTGCTTCCTCCTCTTCCTCTTCATGTTCTTCATCGCCCCAACGGTCGTCAAAGTCGCCATCGTCTCGTCGGCGCAAACGTTTTGTATGACGCTCACGGCGATCATGGCGGTCGGAGCGGTCTCTTCTGTCTTCGGTACGGTCGCGACGGCGCGTGGATGGTGGAGGAGCAGGCACGGGCTGTTCATCTTCAACATTCATGTCGAGCAGGGCGTAGCGCTTCTTGGAGTCCTTGGTCGAGGCATCTTTTGGTCGTGATGAGGAGGAAGATTTGTCGGATTTGGGTAGGCGGGCAAATAGCTGGTGACTGAAAGTGCGCAAGTCCTTGTCGTCGGCATCAATCATAGCCTGAAGCTTGTCGTGAAGCTGGTCGGGAGTCTTGACAGAGCTGGCAGTCTGCTGGACAAAGTCGACAATCATGTTCTCCGACCCGCCGACCAACTTGATCAAGTTGTCTGAAATGAAGGTCCGTACGTCCATGTTGAAGCAGGGCCAGATCCGAGGTCCAGTAAAGGATGGGTGTGGAATAGAAAGACAAATGTTTTGGGCAGAAAGTTGGTATAGATTCGCGAATCCGCCAAGCGTGCGTCACTGCTGTCGAGTCGTTCTCACAAACACATCAGATTATTTCGAGCAGTCAGAAAGCAGCTTGTAGAGGGCACACCGAAGCAGCATACGTTGCTCGCACAATAAGAAAGGGCGACGGAGGCGGCTTACTGTTGGAGCACAAACTCCACCTTGATCGCTGCCAAGCATCGCATACCGGAGTTCCCAAGTTGTAGCTTCAAGCGTGACGCGACCAACTTCGTCGTCCACCAGCCATGTTCACCTTCACGCCGCTGTTGGGCGCCCAGTCCGAGTCGGCTGCGTCGCAGTCGCTGCTGGAGCTGGATGGAGGCGTCAAGATCCTCGTCGATGTCGGCTGGGACGAGTCTTTGGACGCCGAACAGCTCGTCCACATTGAGCAGAACGTCTCGACCATCTCCCTTATTCTTCTCACTCATCCGACACTGAACCATCTAGGCGCATTTGCGCATTGCTGCAAACACATCCCGCTCTTCTCCTCCATCCCCGTCTATGCCACAACCCCTGTTGTCTCGCTTGGCCGCACTCTCACCCAGGACCTGTATGCCTCGGCCGCACATCAAGCTTCAATTGTTCCACCCTCAGCTCTCGCCGAATCGCTTTCCAAGTCTCAAGTGCCCGCCAATTTTCTGCTCCAGCCCCCGACCGCCGATGAGATTGCCTCGTACTTCTCCTTGATCAACCCTCTCAAATACTCCCAACCTCACCATCCTATTCCCTCGCCCTTCTCTCCCCCTCTCAATGGCCTCACTATCACTGCATACAACGCCGGTCACACTCTAGGTGGTACTATCTGGCATCTACAACATGGCCTTGAGTCTATCGTCTACGCCGTCGACTGGAACCAAGCAAAAGAGAACGTCTTATCGGGTGCTGCTTGGCTGGGAGGTGCTGGCGGTGGTGCTGAAGTCATTGAACAGTTGCGCAGACCCACAGCCCTGGTCTGCAGTACAAAAGGTGCCGACCGATCACATCTTGCCGGAGGCCGCAAGAAGCGTGACGATGCACTGCTCGCCCTGGTCAACCAGACCATTTCTAATGGCGGTACTGTTCTAATTCCTACAGACTCTAGCGCTCGCATGCTTGAATTGGCCTACATTCTGGAACACCACTGGCGACAAGGTACCAATGGTCCCAATCAGGAGCTTTACAAGAACACGAAGCTGGCCTTTGCCGCAAAATCAGCTTCTGCCACATTGCGATATGCTAGGAGTATGATCGAATGGATGGATGATGCAATTGTGCGTGAGATGGAGGCCGCCGTACAAGGAAGGTCTGAAAATACCCAAAAGAGTCAGACTGGCCGCGACGAAGACACTCCCTTCGACCTGAAATATTTGAAGCTGGTCGAGAAGAAGACACAACTACACCGCATTCTTGACTCTGGCAAGCCAGCTGTTATCCTAGCAAGTGACAAGTCCCTCGAGTGGGGCTTTTCTAATGATGCCATTCGCAAGATTTGCAACGACCCAAGGAATCTTGTCGTCTTGACCGAAAGAGCTGCAAACCCATCACCAGACGACAAGGGTATCGGTCGTTTCTTGTGGGAATATTGGCGCCAACAGGTCGAGTCACGGGATGAAGACGCAAACGTTGTCGAGATGTCGGGCGCGGAAACACAAGTACGCCACCTGGATGTAGCACGTCTCGAAGGCGACGAGAACCTCCTCTATCAACAATACTTGGCTCGCAGACGCCAAATGCACAGCACACTGCAAGGCGACAACACGCTCACAAAGGAAAACGCAGCAGAGTTGGCTGATGATGGCTCCTCTACCAGCTCTGAATCCTCTGATGAGTCTGAGAATGAGCACCAAGGAAGGGCACTCAACATCTCTGCAACCATGACACACAGACGCAAAGTAGGTCTGACAGATGCTGAGCTCGGAATCAATGTTCTCCTACGACGCAAGAACGTTTACGATTATGATGTACGCGGTAAGAGAGGACGCGAAAAGGTGTTCCCCTATGTTGCCAAGCGCGGTCGCGCAGATGACTTTGGTGAGGTGATTCGTCCGGAAGAATATCTTCGTGCAGAAGAGAAGGACGATACAGATGGCCAAGACGCAACAGAAGCCAAGACAGAAACTGCTGTTGGACAAAAGCGAAAATGGGATGAAGTCGCACCTCGGGCTATTCAAAACGGTCGGACTGACAAGAAGAGCAAGACCGATGAACGAGACTCTACAAACGCAAATTCGACAAGTCAGGATCATGACATGAATGGCGACGCAGCCAGCGAGTCAGAAGAGTCTGACTACGAGCCTGAAGAAGCACTACCAGAAGGACCTCTCAAGGCTGTGTTTTCCAAAGTTTCTTTACAATTCAACCTGAGGATAGCCTACATCGATTTCTCTGGTCTTCACGAAAAGCGCGATCTGCAAATGCTTATCCCCCTCATTCGACCAAGGAAGCTGATTCTGGTTGCTGGAGAAGAAGCTGAGACGCTTGCGCTTGCTGAGGATTGCAAGATCTTGCTTGCAACTGGCGAAGGTAATGCGGTCGACATCCTCACGCCAATCATTGGTGAGACTGTTGATGCTAGTGTCGATACAAATGCATGGACACTTAAACTCAGTCGAGACCTGGTCAAGAAGCTCGCCTGGCAAAACGTCAAGGGGCTTGGCATTGTGGCTGTCACAGGTCGTCTCGAGGCCGTACAGAAGATGCTCGCTGCTGCGGATAGTAATGGAGACGAGGCTATTAAGAGAAAGAAACAAAAGATGATTGAGGGTGGTGACGAGGCCGATGCACCTGACCAAGCCGACGATGTTGAACTTGAGACGGAGCCTGTCCTTGATGTGTTATCAACCAACCCCTCAGCCAACAACCAAATCACAACACAGCCACTACATGTTGGCGACCTTCGTCTTGCTGATCTGCGAAAACTTATGCAAGCTTCTGGTCACGCAGCAGAGTTCAGGGGTGAAGGCACACTGTTGGTTGATGGTACTGTGGTTGTCCGCAAGACTGCTAATGGCAGAATTGAAATTGAGGGAGGCAACTACATGGCATATGCTGGACGTCGGGAAAGTGCATTCTTTGCAGTCAGACGCAAGGTGTACGAGGGTCTGGCTGTCATTGCTGGTAGTTGAGTCAAAAGCTTGCTGTAAGATACCCAAATTCATCATTCTCAAACCGTTCGTGATTTGTGAAGGCACGAAATCTTGCTTCCTTTCCCGCATAATTCGCTCTCGCTTGTGATCGCGACCAACTCTTAAGATCTGTGAAACTGTTGACTGCTAGCGCATGCTCAATCCACCAAAGTCAGGAAACTACTTGATCACGCGACAATCATATGCTTCTGTATTCACGTTACGCTGGCCACACCTTCAAAATGGCTTAGCACACACACCATGGGACAGCGCATGCGAGTTGACACGAACCTTCCGAATCTATAAATCACCCGACACTTCCTTCTTCGAATACAAACCTCTACCTCAACATACACCAGTGGTCTACTTGTTCGAATATCTACTGCTCCGCCACACACAACAGCATATCAATCAATTGACAATTCCTACATGAGCAACTCGAAACCCTACACTTGGAGACCATTCAACTATCAACCTGCCGCCCTTTCACCAGCCCCTCTGATGCCAATCTTGCTCGCCATGCCCGTATTGGTCGCCCCCTGTGTTGCCGTGCCCGTCAAGACCGCACCACTCAAGGACATGACAGTCGCTGGCTCCGACACAGCAGCCAAAGGCAAGCAATTGGTTACTACAACCAAGACGACTGCCGCCATCAAGGGCACATCTTCCAAGACGGTGACAAAGACTGTTTCCAAGGCAGCATCTTCGGTTGCAAAAGTACCCTCAAAGCCTCCCTCTGCACCCGGAACATCAGCATCGAAGGCCCCACCCTCCAAACCATCCTCTTCAACACCAGCAAAGTCCTCCACCTCCAAAACATCCAAGAAATCTTCTTCTCAAGCTGCTGCAACTGCAGAAAAGACTTCTGCCACTGTGGTTGCAACCAAGACTGTAGTCTCTGCCTCTACCTCTTGCAGCAAGAAGTCTTGCGCCAGTGCAGCAAAAGCATCCACAACCTCTTCCAAATCTACACCAAGTCAAAAAGCAGCAAAATTGAAAGCGGTAACTGCACCAACCCTTCCTCTGCCAGGCATGAAATACATCTACCCTAAACACCATACCTGTCTTCACATCATCCTGCGCACCAAAGTCTGGGAAACCTCCCCTGTGCCTTCCAACCTGGTAGCCAAGACTTTCTACGTCCCTTGTGTGATGAGCATCGCAGAACTGATTGAGCAGTTGATGGGTGTAGAAGGAGATAAATGTAAGGGTTGGGCACTTACAGAGGTTCAAGAAAAGGGAGATGGGGCTTTTGTTAAGGGGGGATGTGTGGAGTTTGGGTCTGAGAAGGCGAAGAGGGTGCTCGGAGATGTGGGTTGGAATGAGAAGATGGGGGTTGAGAGACCGCCTGTTTGGATGGTTTTGCACAAGGTCTGAGTGGAGAAGAGTGATCCGAGGATGAAGGGTCATTTGTTGTGAGTTTTTGTGGTCTTGTTTTGATCTGTGGTTTTTCTTGCTTGGGAAATTGCTTGACTATGATGTCTAAGGGAAGAATGTTTCCCTCTATCTGCTGTCTTGCTTTTTTGTGTTTTTACCACTGGGGTTTCTGAATCTACAAGCATCATAACATCTTCTCCTTCTTTAAATTCTTTGATGGTATCTTGAATGCAAGATAAACTCAAGTCAGGATTCTCTTGAGAGGCGCAAAGATGTACTTAGTATATGTATCAAAGGCTAAAATGTCAGAGCCTGTTCTGCTTCAACTTCAACATGACGATAGAGAAACTCACGTATATCTTGGAGTCTCCCTTCTCCTGTTGACCGATTCGGAGTTTCTGTGCTTCTCCTTGCATTTTTGTGCAAAATAGTCAAGAATTCTTTTTATTTCTGAGATGAAGCGTGTACTGATTGAATAACAGATCTGCAACCATTAAAAGATCAAAGGAGCAGGGTCAGGTGGTCATCAACAATTGTCTTCTGATCGACAGAGAGAGAGAGCAAATGAAAGGTGAATTGTATGAAGAGGGTTAGAATAATATACAAAGATGGATATGAGGAGGAGAGCAAGAAAAGAGAGAGGTCCCCATTTTCTTTCATGATTGATGATGGACTAGAGCCTCGATTTGCAAACAAAAACACTTTCAGGCCAGAAGAACGCTAGACGCTTCTTTTTTCCATACACAAAAACAAGAATGAACGCCTGGCTGATACAGTATGAAATGCTTCCCTTTCAATTGTGGCAGAAGAAATATTCCTAGTGCTTGGCACGAGTGTCTTCGAAGCTTTCAAGCACGCTATCCGTCACGCTTTGAGGCTCATTGGATGGTTTTTGTGTAGGAGATGATTCTGAAGAGGCAGAGACTTGCTTAGGGGCCATTGTGCGGGCCTGGCTTTCGTTGACTTTGCCGTAGACGCCCATAGCGGTGGCGATCATGCTGCCAATATCTCCAACATTGCCGGGAACAACCACGCTGGTACCCTCCTTGGCCAGCTTGCCGAAGGCATCGACGTACTTCTCGGCAACACTGAGACTGACGGCACCTTGGGCGCTCTCCTTGCCTGAAGCGATCGAGTTTGAGACAGCGTCGATTCCAGCAGCAGTGGCCTTGGCCTTGAGGAGGATGGCTTCGGCTTCACCAGTGGCCATGTTGATTTGCTCAGCACGCAAGGCCTCGGACGCCAGGATGACACTCTGCTTGCGACCTTCGGCGATGTTGATTGCACTCTGACGTTGACCCTCGGATTCCAGAATCTCGGCACGCTTGCTACGCTCGGCAGTGACTTGACGGTGCATGGCTTCGACGACACCAGCGGGAGCGTGAATATCGCGGATCTCATAACGCAAACAAGTGACACCCCAGTCCTGTGCAGCCTCGTTGATGGCTTGTGTGATGTTTGTGTTCAAGGCAGCACGCTCTTTCAAGACATGATCGAGAGACAGCTGACCAATTTCGGAACGCATTGTGGTTTGGGCGAGTTGTGAGATGGCGTACTCGGCATCTTCAACACCGTAGCTGGCCTTGTAAGGATCAAAGACGCGGGTGTAGAGTACGCCGTCCAGCTCGAGAGTAACGTTGTCGGCGGTGATGGCGCTCTGGGAGGGGATCTCGATGGCGGCTTCTTTGAGACTCTTGACGTAGGCGATACGATCAATCAGAGGAACGAGAATGGCAAGACCGGGCTGCAAGATGCGGCTGAACTTGCCCATGCGCTCGACGATCCATGCTGTTTGCTGAGGCACGAACTTGACAATGGTGTTGGCGGGTAGTGATGAGCGCTGGAAGTAGCTTGTGGGCTCGCCTGAGCCGGTAGAACGGGAGAAGAGCGAGTCGGCAGAGGGAAGGTAGCGTGGCGGTTGCGAACTAAAGGCAGCTCTCTGAATGGTGAAGCGGCTGTTGGCCAGGACGGCGAGCGAGCGGCGCGAGACTGCTGGTCGTAGTGCGCCCGACCGCGCAATGATACCGATGGCGTTTTCGGCCATTGAGGATGTGCTTGAATATGCTGTGTTTGTTGAAGTAAGTGCGATGGTCGAGTGGAAGGTGGACATCATCGCCGCTACCTACTTCAAACACCAGCGTGGGGCGGGCCAAAGCTTCCTCTAAATTCCGTCATCATCGCTCTTTCCTCTGCCAGTCCTTTCTTGTCAACTCATTTAAGCAGCAAACATGTCGGAATACTGGAAGTCGACGCCTAAATACTGGTGCAAGTTCTGCTCGACCTACGTGCGCGACACGGCTCTCGAGAAGAAGTCACACGAGGCCACTCCGAAGCACCAGAACAACATCCAGCGTTCCTTGCGCGACATCCACAAGAAAACAGAACGAGAGGACCGTGAGAAGCAGCGCGCCAAAGATGAAGTCGCTAGACTGAACGGCCTGGTCTCTGGCAAACAACAATCAAATCCCTCCGTCGCCTCTGCCTCGCAATCTTCTGCTCCCAAACTCAAGTCCACCGCCCCGACCGGTCCTGCTTCTGTTGCCGAGCGCAAGCGCCAGATGGAACAGCTCGCTGCCATGGGTGTCGCTATCCCTGAAGAATACCGTCGCGACATGTCTATTCAAGGAGAATGGTCCACTGTCTCCGAGACTCCTGTCTACTCGCGCCCGGTCAAATCTACCGACGACGATGAAGATGAAGATACCAAGGCTTTCGGCGTGAGGAAGCGCAAACTTGACGACGAGGAAGAACAAGATCTAAAGTTAGCCCCCAAAGCCTGGGGCTCACGACTGAAATCATACCCTGGCGCAAGTAGCAATGCCGAAGAAGATCTAGATGCTTTGCTCTCTAGCGCCACCACCAAGAAGGAAGTCAAGTCTGAAGCGACAGATCTGCTAAAGGAAGAGGCTGATCTCGATACTGCTAATTCCATTGCTGCTGTGCCAGACATTGCCGAAGCTGCTTCTGCCGAGTCTGAAGTCAAGGCGGAACCTAAACAAGACCAGGACGCTCCCGTCGTCTTCAAGAAGCGCAAATCCAAGCGCTGAATAACTGGTAAGATGGCTTCAAAAATGTACACACAATTTCACCAGCGACGTTCTCACACATGTCGGTCTTAAACCACGCCGACATTCCTGACTTTGCGCTGTAAGCTGCAGTCATGCTCGACCCAATGGCAAGCATGGCTATCCATATCATCACGCTATACTACGAGGCATGGGCATGGCAATGTGTAGCCGGTACTTGTCAGATGAGACTTATAGCAACATCGATCTCAATGACCACGCGACAGCATGCCATTGGCACGAGACCAGCTGTCAACATGGCGATCATACAAGAGGCACGCTAGGCAGGCATAGAAAGGCGACGACAGATGCAGGGGGTTGAAAGTTGGTCATCGATCCTTAGGCATCAAGCATTCTGGTTGAGCAGCAGACCAAGACATATCAATCACATAGGCGAGAAAGGTCGAGGCTGTGGATCACTCATTATTTCGTGCGAAGTCGATGTGTCTCTTTCGATGCCCTCGTTGGTGCTCTATTAATGAATTGCGTAGTGCGTATATGAAACTTGATGAAACACGTAATATCAAGCTAGTTAGATCGACTTTGAACGCGTCCGTGTCAGAGAGAATTGGTTGCTGGCCTTGGACAAGATCGCATCGACATTCTTAAAGTACATGCATTGCTGCTATGAACAATGGTTTGAAAAAAAAATGTAGTAGATACTGAGAGAAGGGATATTCGGCCGAGAGGAGTGACGCCATCTTTGATTCATGTCTTGTATAGGGGTTTGGAAACGCTCTCGCAGCTGCAGACCAACAGAACACATATAAAAACCATGGCAACCCAGATGTTCAGTGGTTCGCGGACAAGCGAGCCTGTTCATCCGCGAGAGCCACACTGTTACACGTTGACAGCAAGTGTGGAATAGGAGACGAAATTGTAGGGAGTTTGCGGCATCGCTCAAGCAACGCGGCTGCATCGACTTGCGGAGATTAATATTGCCCTGGCCGCCGTGACCGAGGACGGCATTCTGGAAAAAGGCCCTTGATCCGGGTTTGGAGTGTCGCATATCTGTTTGTCTCATTATCCGTGTCCAGCAAACACTCATCGACATCAACATCAACACAGAGTCGCTTGAAATGGACGTGTCTTCGAGATCCCCCTTTCTACGTCCGTCGTCTCCTGGCCTGGATGTGCATCCCTCGCTAGCTCTCTACCCTAGTGGGTGCCCTCCGCTGGACGCTCGTTCCGACCGCTCAGTGTCGACGCCGTCAACAATCTCTAGCAGATCCGTATCCTCATCGTCGGCTCGTTCGGAATCAGGTCGTCGCAAGAATGGCTACATGCGACCACAAGGCACCGCCTTTTCAGACTCTGCCCGCAATCGCGACAGTGTCATGAGCTTGGGAAGCATCGCTCACATGCAATACTACTTTGCTCGTACCGGCCTTCTCGACGGCAAGGGTGCTCAATTTGCAAAGCCAAAGAAAGGCATCAAACAACTAGACACCAACGTTGCCATATACACCACATCAGAAGATGGCTTGGTCGAGAGTCCGAAAGATACCAACGAAGAATGGTCAGAGCCTGTTATGCTGCCACCGACTGTCTCAACATATGCCTACAAAGAGCCAAATGTACCGCCCCCACCAGATCTTCCTGTGCTTCGCCAGCAGCTTCGCGAAGCCCTGGACGATGCTCAAAAAGTACTCCAGGAGTCGGCCGAAGGTATCACATACGACGATGCTACCCGAGAAGCGATTGTCGAGTCCGTCCGAGCCCCTACAAACCCCGACGAACCTCCAATTGCTCAAGGCTGGCACGAGATTATGGGTCTTCACATGCTTGATATCATCACCCTGGCTATACGCGCCGCAAAGACATACTACACATCACACCCGCGCCCCCAGCAACTCTATGCGATTCAGTCCGAGCGTAAAATCCGTGGAGATCTGTACGAAGTCCTGGATGTTCTGAAACGTGCAGCTGCCAGAGAATTCCGTGGAGGCATCAAGGAGGAAGAAAGAGTCGGCATAACTTCTTGGATCGATAGTATCAACGACCTGCTGTCCAAAGAGCAATTACACGAGCAACAAGAGCAAGATTCTCGAGCCAACTGCGCCTGGCGTCATGGAGACTGGACTGGTCGGGAGCGCGAAAGAGAATGGCTTTTCATGTCGTCTTTTGACACCAGCTCGGAGCCCCTTCCACAATGGACCGAATCTACTCCTGAAGAACCATCTCCATTCTTGCAAGCTCTTCAGAGTGGTCTACGATTGGTGCAGCTTCACAACGAAATGGTCCGCCGCTCTGAGCGACCATTTGGCGAAATCAAGACTTTCTTCACAGACGTAGCAAAGCCATATCGATGTGCTGAAAACTTGCGCTTCTGGTCAAAAGCTTCAGAACTTCGATGGGAGACCATCCTCTCCTTCAACGTGCTTCACGTTGTACACGGCAAGGACGCAGAAGCTTGGAAACAGTTTGACGAGACTATATTCAAGTGGTGCCGCGGAGTAAGAGAGGAGATATCGAAGGAGTGGGCAGCTTCTGAGTGATCTGCATAATTGAAACCTGACTTTTGAGTTGAGAGGCTCCTGGCGTTAGTGTGGTAAGGTGCCGAATTTCGGTTTTCTTCTTTCCTTTGTTTGAATCATATTACTTCCAAGTCACTTAATGCCTCCAGCGCAAAACCTAGATACCCCAGAGGCAGGCTGTTTTTGTTTCTCTTCTTTCGATTCTAGATCGCCCTTATTATTCGGATCAACTTGGAAAATTACAGATTCGTATCCTCGATTGGCGCCCTCGAGATGCTGCTCACTGTTTTTTTGTCATCACAACATCTTCAATTAGTGTTACCGGGTTGTTCGGCTCTTGTCATTGATCACTGCCGTGTTAGGAGGGGGTGTATCCATGTCAAGTCTCACATTGACACCTTGGCGCTACGCAACTCCTAACTTTAGTAGAAACGGCAGAATCAAATCCCGAACCTGTATAGCCAAGGATCAGGTGAGATCCAAATGGGTCTCTGAATCGAGAAGTTATTGGCTCCGTTGTTCGTTCTTGCCCAGGGCCCTGCATCAACCCCACACTCTCCCCGCAACATTACATTTGGCAGGAACAGTACGTACTCAGGGATTGTGCTCCAAGACGTTCCTTCCTCAGACATCTCCACTATTGCCCCGCGAAACTAGTCAGGACTTCAAATTGCTGGGATCCATCATGACTTCTAGCAATTGACGAATCGATAGTTAACTCTGCTATCGAAGCTGGAGTCACTTGTCCCTCGAGCTAAGATACGTCTACATCAGCAGACACGTGTAAAGCGCTTACGAACCATACGCCTCTCTGGGTACTTGAAAGGTCTGGAAGATCTGTCCCACCAATGCCACCCACATACTGAGCCTGATCAAGCGCATCGTGCGGGGAACAGCTACGTCCCCTGTGGCATGGCTCATGAGGAGCTGTTGCAGCTACCGTCATCTGAAGAGACACGCTTGGGTCAATGGGAGTACTGATCTAGCTCAAAGACTCGATGGCGCATACGCTCATTGGATTGGCACTACTAGCCCATGGAGATCGGATCCCTCTTGGGCACAAGCAGGTCTACTGCTAGCAAGCATGAGCAATCCTGCTATCCACTGTGCTGGGTGCACATCTGCCTCCTGTGCTCAAGGCTGCTACAAGAACCCCGCTCATGGTGCCACACAGTAATATCAGAAGCTATACAGATGCATGCATGCTTTCCAGATCGGAGGTGTGGTCATGGGGATACTCCCGAATATCATCTCTCCGTGGACATCACTTGCTTCTGAACAACACTGTGCATTGCTATAGCCATCTTGACGGATCGTCGCGCATGGGAAAGGCAGAGAAGTTCCAGCGAGAATGCCGACTACGCCTTGATTTATTCTGAATGCTTTCAGAGCTCACTAGCTGCATGGAAAGGATGATCAATACAAGGGTATTCTCATCGTTGCTCACCCCACGCGCCTTAATCATCTCTAGTCGCCGTTCAAATGTGGGTTTGTACGTGATACGTGGATCTCCCCTCACACTTGATCCCATATAACCGAGTCTTTCAAGGATCAAGCGGGGCTGTGTTTGGAGACGCGTAGCTATTGTGGGACCAAAGATATATAGTCAGGGTGGTAAGTGCCCTCCGAGAAGCACCAGAGTTGCTTCCATCAATTATCGAGAGGAAGCTTGAGATCAAAATTGAACATCATGACTATCCCAGACGAGGTTGATATCATCGTTACTGGCGGAGGATCATGCGGGTCAGTCTATGTTTCTTCACTGTGTTGATTTTGTTGTTGATTTTTTTCAGCTGCGTCGTCGCTGGTCGATTGGCCAACCTCGACCATAACCTCCAGGTCATGCTCATCGAGGCTGGAGAGTCCAACCTCAATAACCCTTGGGTGTACCGTCCTGGTATCTACCCTAGAAACATGAAGCTCGACAGTAAGACAGCTTCGTTCTACTACTCCAGACCTTCTGAATGGCTGGGTGGCCGTCGTGCCGTGGTGCCTTGTGCTCACATCCTTGGTGGAGGTTCTTCTATCAACTTCATGGTAAGTGAAGAGAATACGTACAAAGCTTGAGCACAATGCTGAAAGCTAGACCAGATGTACACTCGTGCTTCAGCCTCTGACTACGACGACTTCCAAGCCAAAGGCTGGACTACTAAGGAGTTACTCCCTCTGATGAGAAAGCACGAGACTTACCAAAGAGCCTGCAACAACCGTGACATCCACGGCTTCGAAGGCCCCATCAAAGTCTCTTTCGGTAACTACACTTACCCTGTTATGCAGGATTTCCTTCGTGCCGCCGAGTCCCAAGGTATTCCCGTCACCGACGACTTGCAGGACTTGAAGACCGGGCATGGAGCCTGCCACTGGGAGAAATGGATCAACAGAGATACCGGACGTCGTTCAGATTCTGCTCATGCATATATCCACAGTACTCGTGCTCACCACTCAAACCTTCATTTGGTCTGCAACACCAAAGTCGAGAAAGTGATTATGGAAGGAGGTAGAGCTGTTGGTGTCAAGGTCGTGCCAACTAAACCACTGTCTCCTGACCAAGATCAAGCCAAGATCTACAGGGCAAGAAAACAGATCATCGTTAGTGGAGGCACCTTGAGTTCTCCTCTTATCCTTCAGCGCTCTGGTATTGGTAGGTTTATCCCTTGTCTTCCTCACATAAGTGTAGATACTGATGTAATGTACAACAGGCGACCCTGAAAAGCTTCGTGCTGCTGGAGTCAAGCCACTGGTCGATCTTCCTGGTGTTGGTCTTAACTTCCAAGACCACTACTTGACTTTCTCAGTCTTCAGAGCTAAGCCTCATGTCGAGTCTTTCGATGACTTTGTTCGTGGTGATCCTGCTGTTCAGAAGGCAGTCTACGAACAATGGAATGTCAATGGTACTGGTCCTCTGGCTACCAATGGTATCGAAGCTGGTGTCAAAATTCGGCCTGATGAGAATGAACTTGCTCAGATGGACAAATGGCCTTGGTGAGTTCCCATCTAGCCACAAGACAATCAAACACATGCTAATACACATCGATACTCAGTCCAGAATTCCGATCCGGATGGGAGAGCTACTTCAAGAACGCCCCTGATGTAAGTCCCTTCGCATCACTGCTTATCATGGCACGTTTTCCTCTCTCTTCACACTGCTGACGCCCGTTCCGAAACCCGTGATGCATTATAGTGTCATCGCCGGATGGTTCGGAGACCACATGTTGATGCCCCCCGGAAAGTTTTTCACCATGTTCCACTTCCTCGAGTACCCCTTCAGCAGAGGCTTCACCCACATAACCTCTCCCTCCGCCTACGACGCCCCCGACTTTGACGCTGGCTTCATGAACGACAAACGCGACATGGCACCCATGGTCTGGGGTTACATCAAGTCCCGCGAGACCGCTCGACGCATGGACGCTTATGCCGGCGAAGTAACTTCCATGCATCCCTTCTACGCCTACGACAGTCCTGCACGCGCCATGGACATGGATCTGGCAACGACCAAGGCTTATGCGGGAGAAAACCACATCACTGCGGGTATTCAACATGGAAGTTGGAGTATGCCGTTGGAAAGCGGAACAGCACCTTCTCCTTCCTTCCTCAACAGCAACAAGCAAGAGATCCGCAAAGATCTTGTTTACTCCAACGAAGATATAAACCATATCATTGAATGGACAAAACGACATGTCGAGACTACTTGGCACAGTCTCGGAACCTGTTCGATGGCTCCCAAAGAAGGAAATTCTATTGTCAAGCATGGAGTGCTTGATGAAAGACTCAATGTCCACGGTGTCAAGGGATTGAAGGTTGCAGACTTGTCTATATGTCCTGATAATGTGGGTTGCAATACTTATAGTACTGCATTGCTCATTGGTGAGAAGTGTGCTATGCTTGTTGCCGAGGACTTGGGATATTCGGGTTCTGCTTTGGACATGAAGGTGCCTAACTATCATGCCCCAAGAGAGATTGCTGGATTGTCTCGTCTATAGACGACGACTCTATGAGGACGAGGAGGAGTCTGTTTGGTTGTATCTACTGATTGATAGTTTGTTATTCTTATGAATAGTTTCAATGCTAGCTCGAAACCAAGTTTGTTGATTCGCTTTTACGTTACCGTCTCTCTTATCTTTTTACTTCTGCAATTCAATTATTTTTTTCATGCCATCCATCAATGTGAAGTTACGTGAATGAATGTCCCAGGTCTCTCTGAGAGCTTTGTGTGTGTGAGTAATCTTCTCTGCTCAGAATGTATCAGAGTTTGTATGGTCAACATGATCGCCGCATCTTTCTTGATCATTGCCCTCTTTCCACTACAATGGGTTACTCCTTCGTTCTTCATGACCGCTCCTTCCTTTTCTATGATTACGTCGTGCCTTCCTTTCTTTGTAGTCAGTCGCTCCCTCCTTCGTCATGGTCGCTCCCTCCTTCGTCATGGTCGCTCTCTCCTTCTCCATGGCCGCTCCTTCCTTTTCCGTGATCACGTCGTACCTTCCTCCTTCATAGTTGCTCCTTCCTGCTTTGTAGTCGCTCCTTCCGTCTCCATGGCCGCTTCTGCCTATTTCATGTTTATGTCGTGGCTTTCCTCTTCGTGGTAGTGCCTTCCTAGATCCCTTCTCAACCCATCTTTTCTTGATGAAAATCCTCTTGGTTCATCCGTCCATTTGGACACTGCTTTTTTCGAGCTATCTGGGTATATGAATCAGACTTTCCACATTTGGTGCACTGGTATCTTAACTTGGGGGCGTAAATCACATCAATTATTCATATTTAGGTACCCATTTCGTCCTCAAACTACGCATAAAACCCCATCAATTTCATCAGTCATAAACCATACCGCCATAAGAATATGTAGAAATAGAAACAGAAAAAGCACTCATAGGTGTATCCAGCCCCTTCCACACCTTCCCTCAGGATCAAATCATACCTCCACTCTCCAACCCTGAAATGATGCTTTGGTTGCTTCGTCTAGGGTTATCAATATCCATAGCTCCACTCAACACTCTGACAACCTTTTTGCCCTGTTTGGATCCGGCAACAAGCACTTGTGCAGGACAAACCACAATCTCGTCTTCTCCTTCGCCAAAGTCATCGCCCTTCTTGACGACCAGAGGGAAGAGGACAATCTTGACGACTGCCTGAGTACGCTCTAATTCGTCGTTGCTGGTGTAGTCGCCAGAACGTTCGTTCATGAGTGCAGCGTTGAAATGCACTTTGCGAACTAAATCGCCTTGGGTGTCGTACTCGGGTTGCAGGGGTGGCAGCATGATGTACTCCGCTTTCTGGGAGCGCATCTCGATGGACAACTCCACGGCCACACGAAGAACGTTACGTAGTGATGATAATATCTGTGTTTCGAGTTGTGCTGGAGGTGGAAGCAAAGCAGATAAAACACTAAAGATTTCTTGCGCGACGGCTTCAGTGTCGAGATTGCGTTGGGTTGCAAAGGCTGGTCGGCGTGACAGGAGCGTCAAGGTAGTTGCTCTCCATTGTGCTACTGCGCGTGCAGGTCCGACTTCAGAGAGTATCTTCTCCAATGACTTGAGCTTCTGTCGCTGTTCTCTATCCATGCCGAAGAGGTATCTGGTAAAGACGTACTCCCAGATCATAGTCATGACAACTGACATGAAGACGTCACGTCGGCGAACACGGTCTCCAAGCAGCTTGTCGACATCAGATCCATCCAGTATTGCGTTGTCGAGTCTAGCTGCGACCTTCTCATCGGTCAAGTCCGAGGTAAGACGGCACATGCGATTGTCAGAGTACTTTGAGAAGCGCAAGACCCATTGCTGAACATGCTGACATAGCTTCTGGCATGAGGTATCGAAATAATCCTCATCGCGTATCGTCAGCCAATTGTCGCCCTTGGAAGCTAAAATTTCACTCTGGAGGAGACGAATCTGTTGGCTAGCAACATCGAGTTCCTCACGCAGCTTCCGAATCTCAGCATTCCTGTCTTCCAGAGCATTGGCAATTTCTTGTCGGACAATGTCTTCCATGTTATCACTGAGCTCATGATGTTGTCTCTTGAGACTTTCGAGCTCCTGACTCGTCTGCTGCAGCTGTCTATGAGCTTGGCTATGTTCACTCTGCAAGGTCGCATAAGGAACATCGTTATTGGCTGTGAAGCTACGGTTGACTTCAGAAAGATTGTTGTTGACCTCGGTCAACTTTGCAATTTCTCTCTGCAAAGGCTCGAGCAATGATCGAATCTGTTGAATCTCTGCATCTTTCTCTTGAAGCTGCAAATCACGTGCTCTAAGCATATCTTGCAGTCCATCATTGTCACGGATTGATGGGTGGGCAGACGTGGTTTGGTCGATGGCATCCTGTAGGTAACGGTTCTCGGAAGCGAGCTGGTCGAGTCTAGCTTCTAGGTCAAGAATGTGCATGCTTTGGCGTTTGCGCATGCTAGGCGGTCGCGTCGGAGACACGGTCGGCGAGCTGCGGAGATCACCCCAGCCCTCCTTTATTTCACGTCAGTTTTTGCTACAATACAAAACATTTAGATACTTACATAGATGTTTGCCATGTCCGAAGGACGGGAAGCACCGTGGCCGTTGAACTCTTCGTCTTGCAAAGGCGGTGTGGGGGGAGGTTCGATGGGGATTGTTGTTGGTGGTCCATGCGTCGAAACATCTCCCCGCCTCGTGCTAGCCGCCCTCAAGTCACCTGACAAGCTTCTATTTATCCTTCTTAGGGAAGGAGCAGCAGAGTCCTTGCTTGCTGAACTCATCGATCGGGCTTGCTCCCTGTTGCTACGGAGTGACCGATTTGAGTCCACAGATCGCAGCATCGGAACTCGGTCGTCCAAGCTGCTTCTATCAGCACCGGGTATTGCCTCTGGCTGGGATGAATCGATCTGTGCTCGGAACGAGTGTTGTGGTGTCGCGGAACGTCTTGCAGCTTTGCTAGAATGTCCTGGACCAGGAGATCCAACATCATAGAGACTCTTCTTTCTGGTCAAAGGCGGTGACCGATCGGGATGAGGAACAGGCGGTAGAGGGCCTGGCAAGCTTGCTTGCTGGCGGGAAGGACTTGGTGGAAGAGGCGCTGGAGGAGTTGCTATTCTTGATGGTGTTGGCGGCAAAGGCATGTGAGGTACTTGTGAAGGACTCGGTGGTAGAGGTGCAGGTGGCGTTCGTGGCCTGGAATTCGAGTTCGAGCCCAAGAACTCTTCAGGCTCATGGAACCTGCTGGTCTGCTTCTGAGTAAATTCTGGTAACAAGTCTTTATCCTTGTCGAGACCAGCCATGTTTACTGGAGACTGGAAGAGATACGAAGTTCTGTCTTTGGTGGTTGACTCAACGGGCGAGATAGGTTCAGCTTCTGCAATCTGCTCTTCTGTCTCCGGAACGAGATTGGAGGAAACAAAAGGATCATTCTCAAGTACTGCTTGATCTGGGTTCGGGATTTGCTCCATAGTAGGCGACTCTAGTTTGTCAAAAGACCATGTTGCTGGCTCCTTGTAGATTGTAGCAGGAGCTGGTAGTCGTGGAGAATCTGTGGTTGGAGCAGCATTCGCATCTTCTAGCGTCGGTTGCGGTATGTCTTTGGCCATCGTCTCAATCATAGATGGATCTGCTGACTGCTGAGGGCTTAGTTCTACAAACTCCTTACTTGACTGGACTAGGTGATCAATACTGACTGGCAGAAATTGCGAGACTTCAGAGGTGTGAAAGAAAGTGGGACTGGCTGACCTCTTTGGCGATGCACCGGTCGGTCCATCGACATCTGTTCCAATGGTTGGGATCTCCTCTTGAGCTGCCTTAGGCTCCTGAGTAGGTACTTTATCAATTTCTGCAGGTATTGATTTCCGTATGTCACTTTCTGAAACCTGAGATTCGGGCTTGTCTGTGGGTGCGGGTGCCTCTGAAGTCGTCATCTCGGTTCGGGTGCTCTTCTTGCCTTTCTTCTTCCTCTTGGGTATGGCAAAAGAGAACTCTTCTGGTTCAGCCTGAGCATCCTTAATATCAGGCGAGAGGTTGGCAAGAGCATTGGGTGCAAACCCAGATGCAATCAGGCTGGCTGTCAAAGCATCAGAGAAATCATCGTTCGTAGACCCTTCTGTAGGCTGAGAGGTTTCGATTGAAGGCGGCTCCCTAGACACATCTTGCAAAGGGCTTGCATGCCCGCTTTGACCGGTGCTCTTCTTTGATCTTCTTTTTGTCGTTGTTGTGACTTCTCCAGGGTCAGCTTCTCCTACACTCGTAGGGCTTGCCCGTCGATGAAACACAGGATCATCGATGACAAGGCTGGGGTCGAAGCCAGAGTCTTGCAAACCTGCCGCCAAAGTTGCTGCGAAGTCTATGTCTTGAGATACGTTAACGAAGGTAGAAGCCGGCTCTTTGTCTTTTGTTGGCGCGGCTTCGTTTTCTTGGATGGCAGGCTCCGATGATGCATCCTCAACAGCTATGATATCTCCAGCCGACGAAGTTTCCTCTCGACCGCACTCTGTGGGATCCAGCTTGACGTCCGAATTTTCGGACGTTTGATCACTGCTGTGAGCATTCTGAACCTCAGAGGCGTTTTCTGTCATCGCTACGGGCTCTATTCCTTTTGGTAGCTCGTCGATGATGGATGCTTTCTTGTTCTTGCGCTTTTCTTTCTTTGACAGCTTTCGAGAGAAGCTCCAGTCATCATTGGCATCAGGGTCGACCACGGATTCGGGTTCTGCCCCTGACGGTACAGATTCAGTAGCTTGGCTAGTCGGCGGAGCTGATATCCCCTTGGCTTCTTCTGCCATTGCAGGTTCGACGACTGGCTCTTGTTTGATGCTCTCACTAGGTAGATCATCCTCGAGGTTCTGAAGCTTCTTGGCTTTGCGTTTTTCCTTCTTGGACTTTTTCGTCGGCAGTTCCCATTCGTCTGCAAGGGCCGTACTTGGCTTTTCCTCGGGTATTGGCTGAATTTTGCTTTCTACCATCGTAGCCATTGGCATGTCTGGCTTATCTTGCGGAGACTCGATGGGATCAGCGGCAGATTTCTCGGCATCATTCGAGGGCTCTGATAAGGACTTGTCATCAAGCACTTCTGTCACTACAGTCTCCTGCTGAAGTTTTGCGTTCTTGCCTTTCTTCTTCTTTTTGGAGGTCGTCACTGTGAAGAAGTCATCTTCTTGTTCAGGCACAAGCGTCTCAGGAATTTTGTCTTCAGGAGGATTGGTCTCATTATGGACAGGCGCAGTGGCTGGAGTAACCTTATTGTCGACGACTTGAGGATCTTCATGCGCCTCGACGATCTTGGTTTTGTCATTGGCCTCGTACTCCGGCGGCACCTGCCTTGAGGAATCGTCATCGCGAGCAGTCTCGGCGATCTGTCCCGTCGGTAGACCCTCTATATCTTTGGCAGCTGATTCTGAAGTGTCCGCATCCGCAGATTGTGGATCGGATACATGTTCCAAGTCGTCGATGAGTTGAGTTGTGATCTCGGTGACTTCTCTATAGTCGACAGAGTGTTCAGGCGCAGACCCCATGGAGACCTCTAAATCCTGAATGAGATCTTTACCTAGCAGAGTGGTTGGCTCCAAATAAAGTCCTGTTTCAGTCTCTGAGCCTACCTGAGCAACAGGCTCGGTGCTGGGCGTTTGAAATGGCTCTATAACAGATCGTTCGACACAGTCTTCCCTAGAAGGCGCGGTAAGATCTGCACCTGATTCCGGAAGCATTGGGGACGGATCGTCGTTCTCGTCATCAAAGCCTGTACTCTTTGTCTTTGTTTCCTTCGCCTTCTTCTTAGCCTTCTTGGACAAGTTGGCTGTGAAGGGTTCGGTGTCTTTGGTGGGCTGTCCGGGAACAACGTCATCCGTGATTTCGGGAGTTTCTTGATCGAGAGTCTCCAAAGGTTGAATGCCTTCTTCAACGATCGGTAAAGATGGCTCGGTTTCAGTAATCTGGTTGTCGACTGGATCTGAGCTTTCGAGAGTGGGCTCGACGGTCTGCTTCAGTTTCTTGGCCTTCCTTTTATCCTTCTTTGACATCTTCGGTGGGGCAAGATCAGCGACAGCTTGAGATTGTTCCTCTGACGCGGATTTCAGAACAGGTCCTTCCTCAGGCTCGAGCTCGTCCCTTGCCGTGGGTTCTTCGACATTCTCGGCAAGAGTCTCTGTCTTGCTGACCGGTTTCTCTCTGCCTAGAGACTCTATATTCGGCTCAGCCGGTGTGAATCCATTATCTAGAGAAGCAGTGTGATCTTCAGCCTCAACAGAGGGCATGTCTACAGGAGATTCATCGTTGTAGACTAGCTCTCGCTCAGGAACGACAGCAGATTCCTGAGCTAAGATCAATTGGTCAAGTATACCCGGCGCCTGATCTTTGACGTCAGCAGGCTCAGGCTCGATGACTTGCGGTGAGATCTCTTGGCCATCTTTCTGAGCATCGTTCGAAAGATCTGCAGGTTCTTTGGGGTCAACCTCAGCCGGAAGGACGTCTCTTTCGTTGAGATTTGTGGACTCTGGCTGAGCCTCATGTAAAGGGTTTTCCGTAGTGTCGAGGTCGTGTGCAGCAGATGTAACGTTAGCGGTAACATCTTTGACTGTCGCATCTGGCTCGACAGTATTGCTTTCTCCGTTGTCGATAGTTGTGTGGTCTGCAAAATTTATGGGCAACTTTTCGTACTCGACTTGATCTGGGGACGAAGTCTTCACATCCTGTTGTGCTTCTCCTGATTTGTCCAGTGGAGTAAACAGAACCTCGGCCTGTGGCTCCCCAGAAGGCTCTACTTCCCTTGAGTCTGCAACTGCATCATGCTCAGTTGTATCGGGGAAGTAGCTGGTCACGTCTTGGTTCATCGTGGCTTGCTCAGGCGTATCCTCAAAGGGGGTTGCTCGTCCTGACACCGCGGCTTTCTTTGCTTTTCTTTTCTCCTTCTTCGAAAGCTTCCTGGCTATTGGCTTTTCCTCAACGACTGCTTCTATCTCGGGCAATTGCTGTGGTTCCGAAGGAATACTAACATCATTGGTCTCAGATGACTCAGCCTTGAGCTCGATTGGAAGCTCGCTCGCCTCTATGGGTGCTGTTGGAGAGTCTAGGTCGGCAACCTCATCCTGGAAAGGCTCGGACCCAACTTCCTGCTGCTTGGCTTTCTTTGTCTTTTTCTTGTCTTTCTTCGATTTCTTGGTGGAGATCGTCGTGAAGGCAATGGACTCAGCAGTAGCTTGAAGTTCAAGTTCAGCTGGGGCGGCGTCCAGGACGTCTGATTCGCTGCTGGTTGAGGGAATCTTGTCGCTTGTTTCCGGCTCGGGCAAGGATTTTTCTTCCGTAGCGGGTTCAAGATGTGCGTCCATGTCCTTCGGCAGATCTATCTCAGGAGTGCTAGCAGATCTGTCAATCGGCTCTATTTGTGTTGTAGCAGAGGAGGGTTCAGGTGTTGGCTCCGGAGGAGGTTCAACAACTCGCTCATAACCCAAAGGCTTGGACTCATCCTGGAAATCTGTTTCCCTATTCTTTGCATCATCAAACGCTGGTACTGCAGCGTCTGCTTGGGAAGCCACTTCACGAGTCGTGCCACCAGCAGTAGTGTCAGTCTGGTTACTCAGCTCCAGAGTAAGAGGCTCGTGCACCAAGACAGCGGACTCGTCCTGCGTGTTCTGCGTTGGTGTAACAGATAGATCTCTCAGCAGCTCATGTGGTTTCGATTCAGAGTCATGTTCTTGAACAGCAGGTGATGGCTCGGCTTCGCCCGCAGAAACAGCAAGTTTTTGTTCTGGGCTTTCCTCAAATGGAGTGACAAAGTGCTGACCCGCGAGCTCATCGGCGGGTGTCGCGAAGTATTGTGCAGTAAGGTCTTCTGCAGGTGTTTGAAAGACGTCTGGCGTGACAGGTGTCTGCTCGATGGCGCCGGAAACCTCGGGTAGCTGTATTTCTGGAGGTTTTGTGGCTGGAACGTCTTGAGTACTGTCATCGATCTCTGTCAAAGGTTGCTTGCCTTTCTTGCCCTTCTTTTTCTTCTTTTTGGAAGAAGGCATGGCCCACTCATCCTCGGCAGTAGCAGTAAGAGGCTCAGCATTGTTAACAGGCTCATCAATCCTGTTTTGCTCGACCTCACCTGCAGTTGCACTTTGTGCATCAGGCAGGACGGGTATGACGGTTGCTTTAGGGCACTCTGCGTCAGGCTCAGGGACCTGAGATACAGCTTCAGAGAAGTCGTCTTGTCCCGTCGCTTCTAAGATTTGAGCTGCAGAGAATCCTGTGTCTTCGACAACGCTTGTACCTGAGGCCGGCTCATCAGCCAAAACATCAATGCTAGAAACCTGAGTGTCGGCGTTGCTCAAAGGCTCGGGCTCTGCTACCTCGATGGTATTGGCACTCTCGATGATGTTGGAGTTGTCACTTGGGAGATAACTGTGGTCCAGGGATTTATTCTCGGTGATAATTGGGGACGGTGAGGCCACTTCTGATAGTGCTTTCTCTTTTGCTGCCTTCTTGGCCTTTTTGCCTTTCTTGCTTTTCTTCGACGGCATAGTCCAGAGATCTTCAGCTGGTTCGGGGTCTTCGTCCGGTTCGGATGCATGGTCCTCTTCTTGAGGTGCATGTGACATCTTCCCTAGAGTATCCAAGACATTGTTAGAAGCATCTGCTGCATTCGAATGTTGAAGGTCGGCAGTAGATTCTTCCATAGCTGGCGCGTGCTCAAAGGTGTGGGGTGTTGCTTCAGCAGACAGTAGGTCGTCTTGAGGCACAGGTCTAGTGCTCTCAACAATCTCCACATCTTCTGTCTTTTCTGTCGATACCTGTGTCGTCGGTGGCAAGTCCCCTTCAAGCTGTGGTTGACCGGTAGGGACCTTCGTATCCTCGACAAAGCTATCCTCATTTTGGATTTCTTCAGTCGTCGCCAGAGTCTCAGACTGATCTACCTCTCTCGGATTTAACCCTGTTACGTCCTTTGAGGCGTCCGATGAGGCGTTTGATTCGTCAACAAACTCAGGATGAAGCATCGGCTGCTCAAGAAGCCGCTCGAAGGGCTCTTGTGTCAGAGCAATGGCCTCTTCCGGTTCATGTTCAGGTGCCTTCGACTCAGCCATAGAGTCCTCAGTTATCTGGTTTTTACTACCTGGCAGCCAAGAGAACCAAGACGATCTTATACTCGTTGCTTCTGGAGCAGTATCTGATGGGTTTTGTGGCTCCTCCTCAAGCACTTCTCCGGATTTAGGTTGAGTCTGTTCCTTGAGAGGCGCTTCCGGTACATGCGTTGATTCTGTAGCTAGCTCCGCAGCAGGATCGACAGCTTCCAACTCGGTCATATAGTTATGGATCTCCTGGGGAAGCGCTACTTGTTCAGGTGGCAGCTCAGCATGTGGGTGAGAAGGACTCATTGGCTCCGCCGCTGCGACTTGTTGCTCTTTTGTGTCAATCTCTGACGATGGCTTTATAGCATCTCCGGGCATCTCGTCATCGGGTCTTTTGTCCTCTCTGTCTTTGACAAGCGCAGGCTCGGTTTCTGCAGCTAGCTCCTCGGTGTCATGCTCTTTTGAAGTAGCTGACACAGCTCCAGCAATGACAGGGACCGCAATCGATAGAGCAGCTTTCTTTGCCTTCTTCTTGTTCTTCTTACGTTCTGCCTTGGACATAGTGTAGACTGGCTCTTCGGTCTGCGCATCATCATGAGAATGCATATCATCAAGAGGCGTAGCAGATTCGACAATATGCTCGGTTGGGCTGACTGTCTCTGAGGGTGCGGGAACAGACTCTTGTCCCTGGGCTGTCTCTTCGAATACTGTTCTCGTCTGGCCCTCTTCAATTTCGACTTGGGCTTGAACCTCTACAGGGACCTCTTGCTGAGGCTCCATATTCGCAATCAGCTGTGGCTCCTGGGGTTTCTCGCTTGGTGCTGGCTCAGGATCTGGCTCATCCAAGACCACAGATTTCTGCTTTTTCTTGCCCTTCTTTGACTTTTTGCGTGACAGAAGTGGAGAGCCAGGCTCGATTTCTGGAGTTGGAACTTCGCTGTCTTGCGCTGGACCAGAAGTTTCTTTTTCGGTAGGGGTCGTCGATTCTGGCAGAGGTACAAGGCTGGCATTATCGGGGCTTTCTTGGTTTGGCTTTGCCTCTGGCTTGAACCAAGTATCAACAGCATCTTGTGCATCTTTTTCTCGCCTTCTTGCCAGCTCGGCTGGAGTTTCGCGAACAGGGCTTGTGAGTTCGGAGACGGAAGAGGTTCCTAGTTTGGGTGCTTTCTTGTTCTTATGCTTTTTGGTTAAGACTGCGGGATTCGAGCCAGCTTCTGATTCTTGCGGTTGCGTGGTAGGTTCTGCAGAATCTTCACGGACAGGCACCTCCGTACTGGGAAATTCTTCGTCACTCATCTCACCCCATACATCCGTTGCCATGGGATCTTGATTGACAGCAATTTCAGTGTCCGCGCTCGGCGATATGGTGTTCTCAGCAGAGATCGGCCCAGTCTGTTCATCGCTTGGTGGAGGAACTTCTTCTTTCTGCTTGTCATGGTGCTCGTTCTCGGCTTCTCGGCGCAAGTGTTCCTCGCGCTCCATGTCACTCCATGTGTAGTACTCAGGCTCTAGATGAGGACGAGACTCTAAAACATGCTTAGGAAACTCAGTCGCTTTGGGCGTGGTCTGCGCGGAATCCAGAACATCCTCAGGTTCATCTGTGTGGAATTGATCAAACGCAGGTGCGCCCAAGTCGTCCTGTTCGCCGGGCTCGAAGTCTTCGGCTGCAGACTGCCAATCCTCACTGCTTTGCAAGCTAGATGAGCTCGCACTACGACTTGGAGGTAGACTTGGCAAGTTTTGTTCAGCTTCTTGCTCCTGAGGCTTGCGTGTGCGTTCGAGCAGGTACAACGGTCTGAACTCGGTCGAATGCATGAACTCTGTGGATAATGGTCTCTTCGCTTTCGGAGTTATTGGAGATGAGGGTGACTGCGCAACAGAAGAGCTGAAGCTGGCTGAGCGTTCTCGTGGAAGACCAGGAGATGTTGGTGGGCAGCGAAACCTCAACGGAACAGCTGTAGATGAGCTGATTCGTAATGGAACAATCGGCCTCGCGGGTGTCATGTGTTCGAGAGGAGGCGATAGTGATTCTGATGGTGATGGACTAGATTGCGCCTCCACGACCTCTCGATTTGCTTCATCAGAGTTGGCCGGTACCGCGACATCTGGAGAATCCTTCAGCTCGTCGGAGACTGTTGGGGATGTGGTCGATTCATCAGGTTGCTCCACAATCTCGATCTCGTCACTTGTTGACCGCGAGATAGGCTCTTGTGATTGTTCGACTGATGCTGGAGCCTGTGATGATGACAGGACATCATCCACGGGTAGAGGGGTGGGCTCTTCATCCTCTACCCGCTCCACTAAAAAAGACTTGTCCTCGTCGTTGATGATCTTGCTGCCTCGCGAGAGCGATCTCCTATCGTCCAGGTCCAGATCTCGATCACGATGTCTATGTCTGCGCCTTGATTCCGAGGCCTGGGACTGAGTATCATTGAACTCCTTCTCTGGCGAACGGCTGTGGTCCCTACTGCGATGCTTGTGGCGTCGCCTGGACTCCGACACTTGAGAGCCAGCGTCATCTTCATCTACACTCCCATCACGATGGTGTCTTCGTCGGTGTCTAGAACTGCTTGAGTGTCTCGATGAAGCTTCGTCTTTTTCGGCATGTGACCGAGATCTGGAGGTCGAGCCTCGGCGTTCATTGAACTCATCGACTGCATACTCGGAGCTATGACGGCGATGATGATGCTTAGATCGTTCGTCATCGCCATTGGTACGTTTTTGCTCATTGCTGAGAATATCATCGGACGTCTTGCGTCGGAAAAGACTCAATATGCCACCCTTCTTCTTGCTTCTGCTTTCGTCCTCATCTCTTTTAGAGCTGTGGGAACTACGGGATCGAGCTGATGTTGCATCCTCGAAGCCATCGTCGTCACGGTGTGACCGCCTTTTGTGTCTACGAGAACCTTCGAAGGGCTCAGACATTGCGACTGATGCGCTTCTGCGAGGTGAAGTTGATCCTTCGCGTTCACGATGCGACTTTCTACTCTTGCGTCTTCGACCGTTCTCCTCGTCGCCAACAGGAGCAGAGACAACAGAGGCAGCGCCACGTTCAGATTCAGGTGAAGGAAGGTCCTTCTTTATTTCCATATTGGTATCCTCGACAGGGTTCTCAAGATCGTCCCAATTCTCGTCCGATTGTGAACGCGCAGGCTTATCATGTTGTGCAGTATCCAAAGGCTCAATATATTCGTCCCAGGTCATAGCAGATCGGAGTGGAGATCCGATAGTAGGATAATTCAGCAGACTGTTCCTCTTCGACTTCTTCGGCCTCTTACTGCCAGGAAGCATATCAAGATCATCAAACGCGTGACTAGGCAAGGATTGTCGTCGCTCGTATACCGGTGACGTAGGTGTGGATCTTGATACAGTGTCTCGAGGTTGTGACTGTGAACGACTCTCGCGTTGGCGTTCGACTTCTGGCTCGCTCATTCTTCTAGTTGCATATCGAGAGCTGTCATTGTTGACGAGAGCACCAACCGCAGCTGCAGCACCAGCCATTGCACCAGCGACAGCATAGCCTGAGGATTGTTTGGCATTGCTGAGATCATCTGGTAGCCCGGATTTCAAAGTCGAGTGCTTTTGCTTCGGTGCAGGGTCATTTTCTGTCAACTCGGCATGAGTCTGGTACGTAGGTGATGCAGCGCGATGGTCATGAACCGGCAACTGTCGATCTCTGTCTTGATCCAAAGATGTTCTTCTTGCTTCATTGTCTCGCCTCCTTCGCTGCTTCCCGGTCGTGAAGTAGTCATCCTGGTCTCGGTCAGAGAACTGTGATGGCTCGCTCTGTTGCGAAGGTTCGTATCGGCGAGGAGCTTGTTGTTCTTGCATGACCTCGCGACTGAGGTTCTGGATATCTGTGTTGAACGTATCCTCAGATTGAGGAGCCGGAGTTGTATCCTCGAAGCCACCAGGAACATGAGGCATTTGGTTCTCAATCTCGTCCACATCATCGATCTCACCCTCAATGAACCCTTGTACTGGGGGTGCGCCTTCGGTACCTGGTGAGTCCATGGTGAAGGAAATGTCGTCGACACTCTCGACAAACGGTTGTTGATATAAGCGACCCGAAGAGGTGAACAGCGGGTCTCGGAAGATCTCCTCAATTGGTTCATCTACCTCATCGTTGCTTGAGTTTGCATTATCGGTCACATCCCTGCTATCACTAAATTCTGCTTTAGCTGATTCTGGATTCACGTATCCAGTGCGCGATCCATACTCTCCATGAGGCAGCTCAGAACTGATTTGCTCTTGCGATGATTGCGGAGTCGTGATCTCGTAAAAACGAGTCTGGTCTTCACCCCAGCTGACCTTACTCGACTTTTGTGGTTCAATGTCAGTGTCAGACTTCTGGCTGGGTTTGCGAACATCTTTCTTTGAAGCACTGATTGGCGACTTATCGCCTTTGGCCGAACCGGCGTAGCTTGCAGGTGGTGTAGGTGCAATCACATTGAGCTTGGGAATATCCCATGGTGCCGTGCCCTTGAGGTCCCGTAAGTTGGCAAACTGATAAGATGGCTGGTATGGAGGTGGTGGTTCCTTGGGCATGGATGCAGCCTGATCTTCCGTCATGTGATAAACACGGTAGTCGGTATCGTCATCGATAGGTCCATGGACTTTGGTTTTGCCTTTTGACGGTTCGAAGAGCTCCTTGGGTGCAAAAAACTCGGCTTGAGATGGTGCAGGATCCTTGTATTTGTCCTCAAGATCAGCAATGATCTTTGCAGCTGCCTTTCTAGCGAGCTCTTCATGTCGAGCTAGCTCGCTGTGACTACGCCTGCGAGTGAAGAAATCTGGGTCGATAAGGTCATCATCCATAAGAGGTTGACCACTGTGCTCGTTCGAAGGCTCGTACGAACGAGTGGTGTAAGGCATGTTCGTAGAGCTGTTTCCATCCTGTTGAGATCGGTCACCAGAATAGCCTTGTGATCTATCGCCAGCGGGTGTAGAATTTGTGGAAGGTCCAGCACGCGAATCTGGTGAAGAGATCTGTCCCGTAGCTGCCATCCGATGGGATTCCCAAGCTTCACGCTGCTTTTTCGCTTCCGCCTCTCGAGCTTGCTCGGCAAGTGCGTTCTTCATGAACTCCTTGATCTCTTCTTCCCTTTGGCGATCTTCTTCCCGCTCTCTGGCTTCGGCATCCGCTGCTTTTTGCAGTCGAGCTTGATGTTCTTCGTCTTGGTCGGCAAGGAACTTCTGACGCTCTGCTTCTTCAGCATATCGCCTCGCGTTTTCAGCAGCTACTCGTTCCGACTCTTCTTGCATTGCCCTTGCGCGATCGAGACGAGCACGCTCCTTGTTCTCTCTAGCCTCTACCTTTGCACGTTCTCTACTCTCCTTAGCATCGTCTTTACGTTGTTGACGCTCTTCTTTCTGAGCTTGCTTCTCGGTAAGCTCGAAGCGGACATTGCTAGGACTGTCGTCTCTAGCTCGACTTCTACCATTGGAGAGAATTCCAGCTGCAGCCGCGCCGGCCAGTCCAGCTATTGCGGCATTGCGCATGGTGTGGCTTGATACAGGACTTGATTGTGTGCGCCTCAACTCTGTGGGTATAGTAGGACGGGTGGTCACCCGAGGACTAGGCTGATCAAATTGAGAGGCATGAGGCGGAGTCTGGTCGTGCAAGATGTTAGATTGCAGAGGCACAACAGGCTGTGGCTGTTGTATCGGTATGCGTTCACTAGCATATTGCTTTTCTGGGAATGCCCCGGGCATCGATGGATCGCTCCGTGTTTCAGAATACATCGGGCTAGAAATTGGTACCGGATGCACGTATTGCAGTGGCTGCGATGAGGCTACACTAGGCTCTTTGCCGGAGTAAGTATCCTCGTGATAGTCTTGTGACATGTCGTCAGCAGTAATCTTCTTGTTTGGCTTGCGACGCCAGCGCCAGCTCCATTTGTCAGTACCAGAACTTTGCGAAGTAATTGACTCAGATCTGCGTTGCCATCTAGGGACCTTGCCATCAAAGTCACCAAAGGCGAGGCCAGAAGAGACACTCTCATCATCGGTTGCTGACTCCCAGCCATCTTCCTCACTGGTGTCTGCTTTGCTTCGCTGTGTGCCGTAACGAATGTCCTGGTTGCGCGGTCTTGTACGATTTGACTTCTTGCTGCCTGACTTGCCTCGCTGTACTGCGCTGATAGCAGCGGCAGTAGCACCGATACCTAATAAAGTAGCCTTGAGATGCTCGTCTGAACTCTTTTTGGTGACCCTTCGTGATGTGCTACCATTCTTGCTGGGACGACCACCAAAAGCGAGACCAGAGTCAGCGGACGACGAAGATGAATTGGCAAAGTTGAAGAACCCCTTCTTGCTCTGCTTGGATCTGCTCCTGCTTGGTTGTGTGGTGAAGAAGCCAGTAAACATACCTCCTTGCTGTGGTGAGGATGAGCGTGAAGCTGTTGCTGACGTGCGCTTCTGCGAACCAGAGAGTCCTAGGATCTGAGCCAGCGATGGACTTTGACTTCTGGATCGGCTTTTGTAGCCTCGGCGGGATGCCGGGTGTGGTGATTCATATTCGACTCCAGGGCCAGGATGACGAACATGGATCTGTTCCTGGCTTGGCCGCGAGACTCCTACACTCACAGAGCCTGAATTGGTGCCTTTATAACGGCCGTCTTGACTACGTTTCGACTCAGACCTGGTGTATTCTGGTCGTCTGGCTGAGCTCTGAGTACCAGTTTCGAGGCGGTCACTCGATTCAACGTACATCCTTCTGTGGTCGTTGATGCGCTCTGATCTGCTTTCATGACCCGAAGAAGAATTGCTAGTTACCTCTCTACGTCTCGAGACGTCACTCTTTCTTCCCGATTTGACACTGTAGGTGTCGTCAAAGTCTCGAGAGTTTTGCCATAAAGACTTTCCGACCTTTGAAATGCCATACGCAGCGACACCAGCACCCAGCCAGCTGGTTTTCTTGCTACGACGTTCGCTGTCTGATGAGTGATACCTCGCATCCTTGTCAATTCTGCCATACTTGGACCCGTTGGTGTAAGAGCGACGGAGCGAATCACTGGAGCGTCTTCGCAATGAATCAGAAGACCGTCGACCTCCTCGATAGTGCTTCCTGGGAGCATCCGTAGCGGTAGATCGAGGGTCAAAGCAGTACTTGCACACACCGATGTACTCAGTATACTCCTCCATCTTCCGCACATCTTCGTAGTCTTTCCACCAATCCACAAATCTGCTGATAGGCCCTTTGTGCTTGTGCTGCATCGCCATACTTCCAGACGTGTACGGTCTAGGAGAGGAGTACATCTTGCCACCATTGTTACTGCCGAAAGGAGCAGAGTGAGTGTGATGATGCATTTTGTGATGAAAGCTTTGAGAGCCTGCTACTGCTGCTGCTCCGGCGGCCGCAACATGTGGCAGGTTGTGGTTTGTCAAAGGTTGCTTACCATATCCCGGAAGTTGGCTGGGCGAAGGTGTGTTGTAACTCTGATTAGTGTAGGTGGTTGCATAAGGCTCAGATTGAGAGTGTTGATGACAGGCTTCATGCGAGGTAGAATGTTCTTGAACAAAAGCTTCGGTAGGACGATATGGCTCCTGGTGTGTATAGTTCTGACCAGAAAGATCGGTCGCAGCATTGACATTGGCTTGGCTGTCAGTCTGACCAGTAGTGTAAGAGTTAGCAGGATAAGAAGGACTGTTGGAAAATGTTGTCTGTCCGGTGGGGCGGTGGAATGTATTCTGAGGGGCATTAAAGGCTTGCACGGGTACATGTTGGTTTCCAGCCTCAGAAGGTTGCATTGAAGCCTGAGAATAGTACTCGGCGGCAGCTCCTGGGCCTGATTGGGGAAATTGATTGATTGCCGAAAAAGTAGGTTGAACTCGGTAACCATTGTAATAAGTAGCAGCAGCATCTTGAGCCATAGTGGGGTTGAATGCAGAACGCGCAAAGGTCGAAGGATCCTGACCTGGGAATTGGTCTTGCACATGGGAAGATGTACCGAATGATGTTTGTGGCTCGTCCTTGTAAGGCAACGAGCGTTCATTCGACTCTATGTTCTCGGCCGGGGAGTGATGTTCTAGACTTTCATTATATCGCGGGCCAGCTTCATCCTTGTAGGCTCTGTGAGAGCGTGGAATCTTGTCTGCATGAGCATCTCCTGGAGGCAAGTCTTCTGCATGCGAATATGCATCTCCGCATCCGTCATCTTGCATACTAAGAGTCCTGATCGCTTCCTCTGTCAGTGATCGAGGCTCAAGCTGGTGGAGTCGATCAGAAGTAGTGTAGTAGGATGAGGGACCAGAAGAATCGTTCACGGGAGATCGAGCCGAAGTCGAATTTCTGGGCTCAGTCTTGGAAGAGCGTTCGTCATTGCGAGAGTGTTTGTGATGTGCCGACGAGGATGCTACTGATTCGGGACGTCGGCTTGATCGATCTGCCTTCTTGCGCTTAGACGAGGATGTCGAATTCTTGCTACTGAGTGATCTGAACATGGTCGACTAGGTATGCGTACCGGACGACGGTACGCGCTCGCAAAACAACGAGAGGCTTCACCGCAAGAGCAGCCCGAGTTGCAGGTAAACAAATTAAGACTTTTGAATTATATCGATTATCGTCGAGTCTGAGGTGATTCTAAGGTCATGATATCGTGAGTCGTGAGGGATGCGTAAGAACAGCAGACGAGAACCTGAGGCCAAGTGCAGAAATCACACAAGTGCGACCAGAGACGAAGGTGTTTGGTCCATCAATTGTGGCAGGCGCTGGGTCGTCGCGTTTGTGCCTTCCCCATGCACCTCGCAGCTCCTCTTTACCTGCTTGGGTTTGGTGCCCGACTACTTTCCCAGCCTCCCGCATTTTGGCAAGCCCACCCGTAAGCAGGGCAACCGGGAGCTTATCGAGGGTGAGTCTTGTCGCAAGTGCCGGTCAGCATTCTGCATACGAAGAGCAGACCAGAAGGATTGTGTGAGGAGAACTTTGAAGATTTCTTAAGCTCGACGTCAAAGGTATGAACGTTTCGCGGGACCCCATTTCTCGGGCTCAAGCTTTGGAGTCAAAACGGCCCGCGCGAACCATCACTGGTGCCTATGTACATGCCATCACGTGTCGTACTGCAATTCACTGGATATGATAAAAAGTTGGGGAAGATTTGGTTGTATCTGGAGCGGACTGTGACGCTCTTTCTTCTGCTCGACCTATTTCTTATCTTATCGACTATGGTCGATGTACCGCTATGTCTGACGAAGATGCTGTCATGGTGACTTTGTCTCATGTGTCTCCTTCAACTGCGTCCAGATGCTGTGTAGGTTGTGTCATTGACGACTTGTTCGTAGGCTCTGGCTGTTGCTGCAAGATCGCTTCAAGTTTGTCGAGCAATCCAAGTAATGTTCTTTGTACTTGTGTCAAGAGCTAGCGGTTTTGCTGTAGCTGGGTATCTCGTGGTGCCATTCAGTGCTTCTGTCTGGCGGTAGTGTTTGGCGAACGCAAGTAAAATTTCGAAATCACGTTGCTCAAGCGACTGGCGCACCGAGCTGAGCGCGCAGAGCGATAATCTGCTGGCGCGATACGGGGTCGAGTTGGTTGATCTGATCCATGGTCATAGCCAAGACTTGAGCAATGAGATCTTGCTGACTTGCTGCTGCTGCCTGTTGAGGTGGCGGTGGTGGTGCGAAAGCAGGTTGTTGGACTGGTGGTGTAGGCTGTTGGTAGTTTTGGGGAGGGTATCCTGGGTAGCCGGGCTGTGGAGTAGGAGCGTAGGCGCCCTGAGGAGGCTGAGGCATAGGTGGTGGAGGTACTGGTGCCCCGGCTGGGAACTGTGGGTTCTGGGGAGCGGAGGCCTGGACAATGCTGCTGAGCATGCTCGTGTCGACAAGGCCGAGAAGGAGAAGGGCCTGGAAAATGGCGTAGGCGAGTTGGGGAGCTTGGCGCAAGAGTTCAGTTGCTTGATTGGGATCCGACATGACGAGACTCTTCATCTGCGAGATAATATCAAGCAGTTGAGGAGCTGGGATGGCGCTCAGTGTCTTGGAGATGGCATCGGGACATGTCAGACCAGCGGGCAAGTCTGTGCCGGGTGGGAGAGGAGGCAGCACTGGAGGCTGCTGGTTTGAGCCGTCGCCAGGATGTGATTGTTGCATGTTGTTGGAGTTGTCATTGTTGTTGCCGCCTCCGCTGTTGTCGTTTGACCAGTCGACGCGCAACTTGCGGCCCATGATTTCGTGGTCATTGAGGTTGCGCACAGCCGATGCAGCGGCATCTGGGTCTGCGAACTCGAGGAAACCAAAGCCCTTAGGTCTACCAGTCTCCTTGTCGTGCACCAGTCTGAAGTTGTTCACAGAGCCGACTCTTCCAAATGTGTCGATGATCTGTTCTTCGCTAACACCTGGATCTCAGTCAGTGTTTGTCGCGTATTAAATAAAAGGGTACACGCGTACCGTAAGGAATGTTGCCGATAAAGACAACTCTTCCATTCTTTTCGGGCGCCATGTTTGGTGTTTGTGATGCGATGAAAGATCGTGAGTATGCCGAGATGCAGCTCGAAGCGCAAGTCACTCGCGACAAGCTCGCTCTGGCTCCCGCCGTTCACAGCCTTGGCTTACGACCAGCAACCATGTGAAAGTATATGATTTTGCACAACTCCTCTTGATCACTTGAGGATAGAGGATCAATTTATCTCATGATCAGATAGCAAAGAAACGCATATTAGTCAGATGTTGTTACGTATTGTCACATTTCGCAGTTGCACAGAAGACTGATCAACTCCGTATTGCTCACGAACTGGTTGCACCAGCCATCCAGGTATATTGAATATTGGCCTTGGTAGGCATTTGTCAGCCACAAAATCATGACACATGCACGAGAAATTTGCGTTTACCTCGTAGAGATCCAGCAGAGGCTCTCAGATGTTGTGTGGCTGATGTTGTCGTCGATTCGATGCTGGAGGTTGTCGTCGAAGGGGCGACCCTGTATACTAGCTTTTTGAGATATCGAAGACGGCTCATTATCACATGTCTCAATCCTTTGCTAGGTTATGCAAGTCTGCAACTCTCCTTCGCAAACACCCACAGGACATAAATGCCATTTAGAACGCTTGCAATTGCGCGTTCAACATAAAAAGTACATTTCCTGAACACTGTTTTGTACAATAGAATGAAAGAGCAGCCACATAGGACCCGGCTATCTCTAAGCCTAGGTTCGCAAATGCGATGCTACCGCTGCATAGGCTTTCTCATGAGCTGAGGTTTTCAGCAACCCGCTTGGCCTCAAGCAGATTACTCTCAGCCTTCTCGTTCCTCTTCATGGCCTGCTCCTTGTTGTGCTTTGCTCTTTCGTCGATCTTGCCCACCGCATGCTTTCCACCAGGCAAAACTCCCTTTGGCAACTTTTGACCCTTATTTCCCATCAGTCCAGCCTTTCTGGCACCCTTCTCGCCCTTTCCAGCTGCAACGCCCTGTCCAGCCTCAATTTCCAGCGCTTGCAACTTCTCGATAGCGGATTCTGAGCCCTGTGCAGCAGCGCGGCGCAAACTGCGTCGTTCGAGTTTAGATTGGCGTTTGGCAATGTAAGAGGCTTGCGATTCCTCCTCACTAGGGACGGGTGGTCGTTCGGTGATGGGTGTGCCAAAAGGAACGAGGATCTCTGACACAACGTGGCGGACATGTTTGGCGGCACGGAAAGGTCTAAGAGCAACAACGTCGCCGATGTTGAGCGAGGAGTTGGGGTCGTGGACTAGGTGGTCTGAGTGGTCCTTGAAGTGCTATGATTGAGACAAATTAGCACGACCGTTCTTTGATAAAAGTACCAGACTTGAGCGCATGGGATGTAGAAGAGCATATTCACCTTTCTCAAGTAATTGTTCCATTTTTGACTGGGTAGTCTGACTTTGACTGTTCTGTCCATCTTTCCAGCGCTGACAACGACACCAACCGGTCGCGACTTTCCAGATGTGCTTCCATCCGTCTCTTTCAGTGCCAGTGTCTGAGGTTGAGCATCCTGAACTACTGGTGTAGTGATAGGCGTTGTGAAATCTGAAGGGACGGGAACTGTTGTCGAGGCGGGCGCAACCTCAGTGGCAAAGGATCGTGTACTGCGCCAGGCTTGAATTGAAGGGCGTGTGCCTGCGAAGGCCCTGAAAGGAAGGCTGAGTGTCCTGCTGGCCATAGTCGTGCGATATGCTGGTCGAGACCTTCACGATTTCACGAAAGTAGATTTCCAACTTGTCGCAGACGCCTCGACGCACAGACCGCATCTCCTTCCGCAGCACCTCCGCGTACACAGCAGTAAGCCATGCTCGACAGAATCATAGCAGAACCAAGGAAAATGACATGACAAAACTTCGGGTGGGTTTGTGAAAGAACAATTGTCACTCCTCAAGTGTCTATAGTGTCATCAATGAGAGAAAACTAACATAATCTACAAGCCCATGTTGACCTTAGCCACTCGCTGCCTCTCCTTACGCCGTGTACGCCAGCCCATGCTATCGTCAATGAGTCAAATTTGACTTCCGAAGCTCCTCCCTCTGAAAAGTGGTAGTGGCTCTCTTCGCGTCGGGTCTCCCTGAAGTTGAGTATCTGAGCCGACGCCGAAGGTAAATTCTTCGTTGTCTTCGCTTGCAGTGCTCTACTGCACTGTCTCCTCTTGCATCTTCCCATCAAGCTGCGATTGCTTGACCTTGAGCTTCTTCTCGGCCTGCTCAGAGATTCTAGTAAGCTCGTTGACAAAAGACTCGCCCCACCAAGCACTAGTGTACTTGTTGACGTATTTGGCGAGCTTGTGGTAGTTGTTACTTCTCTGCTCATCTCCCATGGTCACAGCGTCGTGGATGGCATCAGCCAACTCTTCCGTGTTCCAGGGGTTGACAATGATGCTACCGTTGAGACTCTGAGCTGCGCCAGTGAATTCGGACAAGATCATGGAACCGTGACGCTTTTGCTGAGTTGCAATGTACTCGTACGAAACGAGGTTCATGCCGTCACGGGTCGACGAGACAAGACAGACGTCACTGACAGCGTAGAGTGCAATAAGTTCATCGAACGAGACGGACTTGTGCATGAAGTGGATGGGCATGAATTCAATGGTTCCTGTCTCTTGTTAGATGCTTGTCAATGTTGACGTTCTTGAGAAACATACCGAATTTGCCGTTGATTCTGCCGACCAGTTCGTTGACGACGGCACGGAGGTTCTGGTACTCCTCTACATCCTGTCTTGAAGGAACAGCAACCTGGACCAGCACAACCTTGCCGATCCATTCGGGGTGTTCTGTCAGAAAGACTTCAAGTGCATGCAGCTTCTGAGGAACACCCTTGATGTAGTCGAGACGGTCAACACCGACGATCAGCTTGACACCTTGGAATTTCTTCTCAAGAGTTTGGATGCGCTCCACGACCTTGGGCTTCTTGAGACCTTCCTCGAACTTCTCAGGGTCGATTCCGATAGGGAATGCACCAACTGTAACGACCTTGCCCTGGAATTCGACTGTATTAGGTGTTGTCGGGAGTTGGCTGTTTTGAGCGTTAGCGACATATCATAGTTTTGCCAGACCCATGCAAACTTACAGGATTCTAGAACAACTGCTGAGGAAGTGCCTAGCATAATCATAGGTGTGGAATCCGACCAAATCGCAGTGCAGGACACCGTTGAGGATCTCGTTACGGACAGGCAAGATTCTGTAAATCTCGCTACTGGGGAAGGGAGTGTGAAGGAAGAAACCGAACTTCACGTTGCGCTTCGAGTCGCCAATTTCTTCGCGGAGCATAGCAGGAAGAAGCATGAGATGGTAGTCGTGTACCCAAATCAAATCATTGTCTTGGACGTCCTTTGCGATTTCTTTTGCGAACAGACGGTTGGCCTCGCGGTAGGCGTTCCATGCAGACTCGTCGAAGGTAATCTCACCGGGGTGGTAGTGGAAGAGAGGCCAGAGGATTGAGTCTGTCGCACAATGTCAGCATAGTGAAACATAAAAGCATCTTCAAGAGACATACTAGAGAAGCCGTTGTAATGTCTGTCGGCCAGCTCATCATCCATGAAGATGGGCACTGCGCCGTACTCTTTCCATAGTCTGTCCTTGACCAGACCGATCTCGTTCTGTGGAACTTGGATACCAGGCCAGCCATACCACTGGAATTTTGTAGTTTTTGCGAGTCCTGAGAGGCCACTGACTAGACCGCCAGAAGACATTGAGAAGTCGTAGGTAGCATCATCGGAGCGCTTGATAGTGATGGGTAGACGGTTGGAAACGAGAAGGAGGCGACCCTTGCCATCGTTGGCAGGCTCTGAAGGATTGGACATGGTTGTGCTTGTGCCTTGTTATAGGTCAAACTGTCTGTCGCGACAATTAGTATTCTTACAGGCGCAGGTTGACAGTTGTAGTCGGAAGCGAAGGAGTGCCGAGTGAACAGCCACAATAGACGATCACATGCCAATGGGTACTCACTTTAGCAACGTTGGGCAGTAACAGAAGGATCAAGTTCGGTAGACCAAAGGCAACGAGGCCTTTTATTGTTGGGCGATGTAGCAGGAAAGCTGTGATGTATTTGTGAGTAAAGCGCCGGGTCTCAACTACAAGCTTGCTTTGGACGCTTGGGCTGGGCTGGTGTGGAGCACTGGAGAATGCTGCGGCTGAAAATGCCTGTCAAAACTCAGGGTGGCTTGTTGGCAATTGTGTCCTTGGGGAGCTACAAGAAAAATTCACGGACAGTCACAGAGCATGTTATATTGGCCTTGTAGCAGGCTCTCCTGTCTGTACTCGGGATAGAAATTCTTGGAAATGTTGAGGATATTCTCCACGCCCTTGCCAACTATGGTAACATCGAATGTTGTGGAAGGCCGTGCGAAGTTACAAAAAATGACATCACCCTTGTAAGAAAAGAACCTTGGAAGTGCTTGCGAATTCGCGATTGCGATGTGGCCTGCAGCTAAGAGGGCAATCCGACCCGCGAACGAGAGTCCCAATAACCAGCCGGGGTGTTGGTGAGCATTCATAAGAGTTGTAGATGTTTCGTGGAAAAAAGTGAAGCAGCGGGCCGGACGAGGAAAGCACTCCGAAACCAAGCAATCCGAAACGTGGGGGCAGCTGCGCGTGAACTGCTTTGCGACGCGTCTTCTATGCATGCTGACAGTCCCGCCAACGACGATCTGATCCAATCGCACAACAATGTCTTCCGAGTCTGAGCTATCCAATGCAGCACCTCCTTCGAATGCCATCTTAGAAAAGACTCTACGCGACATTGTTCGCAAAGCCGAAGTCGACCCTATAACCGTCAAAAGAGTGCGCACAGCTGCCGAGGAGCGTCTAGGACTCGATGCTGGTTTCTTCAAAAGCCATGACGAATGGAACGAAAAGAGCAAGGAAATCATAGAGGATGCTTTTGTACGCTGCAATGTACATCTTATGCATTCAGGATCTGTACTGATCGTCCAAGAACCAACCATCTCAGAAATCCCCTTCGCCTGAACCTACCCCGCCAAAGAAGGCACCTTCGCAAGCAAAGACCACAAAAAGAACCTCCACAAGCAAGGCAAAACCAGCACCTAAGCGTCAAAAGCGCGCCGTCTCAGAATCAGAAGCAGAATCAGAACATTCCGACTTCGAATCTGAAGAAGAGTCCAAGCCCAAATCTAAACCAGCTCAGAAGAAGTCGCAAACGGTGGACTCAGACGAAGAAGACAAGCAGGAAGACAATCAAGATGCGGAGATCCAAGAAGAGGAGGTTGTTGCTGATCACGATTCCGAAAGCGAGATGTCGGTAGTCCTAGACGAGGCACCACCAAAGCGCAAGAAGAGCACGAGTGCCGGCCCGAAGACCAAGGCACAACCCAAAGCAAAGGTCGCCAAAGCTGCTGCTAAACCTTCCGAGCTCAGCGAAGAGGAACAAACGATCAAACGTTTGCAGGGTGAGCTTGTAAAATGCGGCGTTCGAAAACTCTGGCATCGCGAGCTGGCTTCGTACGACACATCAAAAGCCAAGATAGGCCATCTGAAGCAGATGCTAAAGGATGTTGGCATGACTGGAAGGTTCTCTGAGCAGAAGGCTAAGGCCATCAAGGAACGCAGAGAATTGGAGGCCGATCTGGAAGCCGTTCAAGAAGGAGCCAAGCAATGGGGCAACGAGAAAGACAGCGGCGAGGACGACTCAGAGGCTGAAGACGCACCTAGGCCTCAACGCAGAGCAGCTGCAAATCGTTTTGTCGATTTCGGCGATGATGATGACGATGACGATGATGAGTAACGAGCAATTGGTTTCGAAGGAGTCGTTGGTCGCTTCATCGTTGTGCAGTAGATCGCTGGGCAACTATGCTGAAAGCAGCGACTGAAGAAATGAACAAAACCAGATTGTAGAACTAGATGCATCCTTATAAGCATGAGTTTTCACAGCAACTTTTCTCCAAGGACACGCAGCAAAACGAACAGAAATCTGCATCGTGATAGCGGGAGCGTGATCAGAACAGACTATGAAGGGAATGCGGGGAGAGTAATGGCAGGGGCAGTTGCAGGTGGACATGATCCATCAAGGAGCAATGCCAAAGTTTAAAAGGGGCACAACCAGTATCAACAGATTGTGTATCGTCTTGTGAGTGTCGTGATAGTAGTAGGTAATACTGCAGAAAGTGGTGAAATGGTGACTTACAGCATTTCTTGAATATGCGCTCTCTTCTGCTTCCGTACGAGCTTCAACAAAGAGTCGGCGAAGGTTTGGAAGATTCGAAGGCTGCTCTCATTTAGCACATATATCGGAACCAGGCATGAAAATAAGATACCATGATACTTGTGAGGCTTGTGCTCGTGGTAAGAAGATGAAACCGAGGAGTGGAGGTTTTTGCGAGGGAGGTACGTGCATTAAAGTTATTCAATTATGCCTTCTCCACGTCAGTCACAACTTTGGCGGGCACCTGTAGGGAGCATCAACAACCTTCATTTCATTGTCCCTTCCACCATCAACAACAACGCAACTTCGACTTCTGCCTCACCGCCCGATAACTTACCCTGGACCTAGAGAAACATATTGACAAGAGCTGGGATATACAAATACAACGACAGGATGGCGGTAAACCGGCTCCGCAACGCACTGGCGGTGCCTCGCAAGGGCGAGACGTACGAGCTTCGCGCTGGTCTGGTGTCGCAATACGCCTACGAGCGCAAGGAGTCCATCCAAAAGACTATCATGGCTATGACGTTAGGAAAGGATGTATCGGCTCTGTTCCCGGATGTGCTCAAGAACATAGCCACTGGGGATCTGGACCAGAAGAAGCTGGTCTACCTATACCTCATGAACTACGCCAAAAGTCATCCCGACCTCTGTATTCTGGCAGTCAACACTTTCGTACAAGATTCAGAAGATCCAAACCCTCTGGTCAGAGCACTGGCTATCCGTACTATGGGATGTATCCGAGTCGATAAGATGGTGGATTACATGGAGGAGCCGCTACGGAAGACATTACGAGACGAGAGTCCCTACGTTCGCAAGACTGCTGCTTTGTGTGTGGCCAAGCTGTTCGACCTCAACCCGTCCATGTGCCTGGAGAACGGCTTCTTGGAGACCTTGCAGGAGATGATTAGTGATTCAAATCCTATGGTCGTCGCCAACTGTGTCACCGCACTTGCCGAGATTGGAGAGGCAGCGCCAGAAACTAACGCTTTGATCGTGACGCCTCAGACACTGAAGAAGCTACTGCTCGCCCTCAACGAGTGCACGGAATGGGGTCGCATCACCATTCTGACCACCCTGGCCGAGTACAGGCCTACCGAGCAAAAGGAAGCCGAGCACATCTGCGAGCGCGTCGTGCCCCAATTCCAGCATGCCAATCCTAGTGTCGTCCTGGCTGCCGTCAAGTGTGTCTTCTTGCACATGCAGAACATCAACCCTGAGCTCGGCAGGACCTATGCTAAGAAGATGGCGCCTCCGCTTGGTATGTGCATGCAGTCAGAATCTGCCTCGCCTTGCTAACATGTGTCGCATAGTCACTCTCGTATCATCCCAGCCCGAAGTCCAATATGTCGCTTTGCGTAACATCGATCTCCTACTTCAGAAACAGCCTTCGCTCTTGTCGAAGGAGATGCGCGTCTTCTTCTGCAAATACAACGACCCGCCGTACCTCAAGTTCCAAAAACTCCAGATCATGGTTCGTATTGCCAACGACTCAAACGTGGAACAGTTGCTTGCCGAATTGAAAGAGTATGCTATGGAAGTCGATATGGATTTCGTCAGGAGAGCCATCAAAGCCATTGGTCAGGTTGCCATTAAGATTGAGAACGCCTGTGAGAAAGCTGTCAACGTCCTGCTTGAACTTATCAACACCAAGCAAGCATACGTTGTGCAAGAAGTCGTGGTTGTGATTAAGGACATCTTCAGAAAATACCCCGGCTATGAGGGTATCATCCCTACATTGTGTCAATGTATCGATGACTTGGACGAGCCAAATGCACGTGGAGCCTTAATCTGGATCGTCGGTGAATATGCCGAGAAGATTAGCAATGCTGGCGATATTCTGTCTGGCTTTGTTGATGGTTTCGCAGAAGAATTTACTCAGGTGAGTTTTGCTGAGTTGAGTCTATTCCAAACATTCGCTAACCATTCGACAGACGCAACTCCAAATCTTGACAGCTGTGGTCAAACTCTTCTTGAAGAAGCCTGATCAAGCACAAGGACTGGTACAGAAGGTTCTACAGACCGCAACAGTGGAGTGCGATAACCCGGATATTCGTGATAGAGCATACGTCTATTGGCGACTCTTGTCGAGTGACCCTCAGATCGCAAAGAACATCGTCCTCGCACAACGACCGGCCATTACTTCGACAATCTCGACATTGCCCATGCCGCTGCTCGACTCGCTCATGCCAGACCTTTCAACACTTGCCTCTGTCTACCACAAGCCGCCACAGACTTTCCTCGGCCAAGGTCGCTCCTCCGCAAATGCTTTGCAACAAGCCGCCATCGAGGAAGCCGCTCAGAATGCTCGCGAAAACCCTATCGCTGCTGCAGCCGCTGCCGCCGCTGTTTCGGGCCAGGTAAGCACCGTCGTGCAAAGCCATGCCGAGAACTTACTCGACATCGACTTCGATGGTGCAGCCCCAGCCAGTATGCAAAAAGCACCAGCGGGCGGCGCATCAGGTCTGGAAGGTCTCGCTGGTACGCCTATGCGTGTTGCCAGCCCAACAGTTAACGAGCCTATGGGTGGTGGCATGGAAGATCTCATGGGTATCTTTGGCTCTTCCGGTGGCGCTTCTGCCGCACCTCTTGCAGGCAACTCCGGCTCTGATGACTTGATGAACGGATTTGCGAGCTTGAATATGGAGGCTTCACAACCGCCACCACCACAGACCCAACTGCATGGTGGAGGTGGCAACAAGGCTAATGAAGACATTCTCGGCCTGTTTTAGACGAATGGGCTCTAGGAAGTCATATAATCTGTCCCTTTAGCGAAAGTTGTTGTGTCCTTATAGACCACATAAATGTTATTCTCAGTCGCACTTGCTTCCAAGCATTGATACTCTCGTGTCTTTACAGTTTGGTGACAGGTAAAAATTCAAACATGTAGTGCCTGTTTCCACGATCATGTATCACATCTCTATAATCATTCTATCCTCTGCTCTCGGCGATCAAGTCACTTCGGATATAGCCCGGATATAACGATATAAGCAAGCTCGCAAACAAAAACTTCGATGTAACCAGCAAGCAGGGTCACTCTTACCGATCCAACAGCAAAGCGACCCACGAAGACATGACTTCAATCACTTCAAGTCAATCTCTGGTTCTGGATCTCCCACCGAGCTGCATCGAGTTTTGTCCAACATCTCGTGACTATTTCGTCGTTGGCACATATTTTCTGGAGAAGAAAGAGCAAGATGCAAGTGTTGAAAATGCTACGGGAGAGGAGGAAGAGAAGAGTGAAGATACAGACAAGAAACCCCAAACTAGAACTGGTTCGTTGATTTTGTTCAAAATCGAGGGTGATGAGGTGTAAGTTTTGTCCTCTTTTCTTCTGCTCAATCTCGATTTCTTGCTATGAACGCCATCTTTTATCTTTTTTTCCAAGTCAGATATCATTTTTCAAAAGGAACAAAGCAGAAGAAATCAATTTGTATCCTATCACTTTCTTTTTGCACAAGGACCAAGAGGCTTACTCTAAATTATCCCTCCAGTAAACTCATCTCAACAACACCAACTCCCTACGCCATCCTCGACATACATTTTTCACCCCACGATCCTACACTCCTAGCAGTGGCAGCATCAACGGGAGCTGTCCAACTCTTCCGGTTCTCTGCTTCGTCTCCCGCACTCTCCCCACTTTCCACGTATCAGTTCTTCTCACCAGAGATTTTGGTCTTGTCGCTCGCTTGGCATCCTACGTCTTCACATATCCTGGGCGTCACGGCTTCGAATGGTGGTGTGTATACTGTGGACGTTTCCGTAGCGGAAACAGGAGCACAAGACACAGCCAAAGAAATCCTGGTCCATGAGTTAGAAGCTTGGACTCTTGCTTTTTCGCATACGGGAAAGGAAGTTTGGTCTGGTGGCGATGATGCTACGTTGAGATTCTCAACTTTACCTCCCTTCTCTACCTCTGAGGAAGAAGAAAACTTCCTCCCAACTCAATGGCAAGACCGTCGCGCCCACAACGCAGGCGTAACAGCCATCCTGCCCCTGGCCAACGAACCCAACATTTTAATCACAGGAAGTTACGACGACAACATTCGCATTCTTTCCTGTCCCCAAATCGGCAGGAAACAAGTTCTGGCAGAGGAAAACCTTGAAGGCGGTGTCTGGCGCCTTAAACTCCTTACTTCCTCACCCAACGATGGCAAGTATATGGTTCTGGCATCTTGCATGCATGCAGGTACGAGGATCGTTGCTGTGACGAAGGATGAAGGTGGTGAGTGGGGCATTGAGGTATTGGCGAGGTTTGAAGAACACAAGAGTATGAATTATGGTAGTGATGTGCAGCCGGGATCTACAGATGGTGGAGAGCAGACTGTCATCTCGACGAGCTTCTATGATAAGCTGTTATGTTTGTGGAGGTTTGATCTGTCTTGAGAGCATTGGACTTTATGGAAGCAGCAGCTTATCATCACGAGAGAGAGCAGAGGCCTGCTGATAGAAGGCATGATGGTTCGAAAGGCACATGATTGTTCGCTTAGAAAAGAGACACGAACAGCCAGACACTAAAAATGCTCAGACAAAACATGGTATAATAAAGATTAGGGGTTTTGCTATTTCAACTAAGAAGACGCATAACTCATAAGCTCATGACAAAGGCACTGATCGCAACTCAAGGGACATTACTACTCAACGTTTTCGAAAACCACATTCTCCCAACTGACAAGATCTGCTCCGTACCTAGCCGAGGACACGAGCAGCTACATTGCGAGCGTGCTCAGAGTCGTTGTCGCCGGTGACGGACGATGTCTCGGCAGCAGTGGTATGAGGCTGAGTTTCGGCGTGAGTCTCGTATGCAACTGGCTCGTGAGCAGTTACAGAAGGCTCGGCCGAGGTGGTGTATTGCTCGGTGGGTTGAGTGTACTCAGAGTGCTGGGTGGGGTACTCGGCCTGCTGGGTGTACTGTTCAGAGTGTGCAATGTGCGATCCTGCGTCGATAGAGCTGGAAACGTCGCTAGCGTGACCTTGCATAGGGGCAGCGGGCATGGCGCCGACACCAAGGCCACCAGCATTGGAGTTGATGGGCTCGACATCAGGAGTCCAGTTTCTGAGTTCGTCCTCGGCAACGTTCAAGACCTCTCTTGCGTGCTCAGCGTGAGTGAAAGCGGGGTGGGCATCTCCGGGAACAATAGGAGTGTCGTCAACGAGGTTGAGCAACTTTCTTGCGTTCTTGGCCAGGAGAATCTGCTTCTCGGCGCGCTCAATGATGGCAGCAGTGTGAATGTCGTAAGCCTCCTTGAACTTCTGGCGGGTGATGTTGGTAAGCTGAGCCTCGGCGACGAGAGACTGAGCCTCTGCGCGGACAAGCTCCTGCTCGAGGGTGACAATCTTGGTGGAGCTGGGCTCCTTGTACTTCAGCTTCTGAATCTCGTCGGAAATCTAGACGGATAAGTTAGTATGCTTGATTGTCGTGTGACACACAGAAGTGCTTACCTTAGCCTTGTGGTCGCGCGAGGGCTGAACGGAAGACTCGGTGTTGCGAATCTGCTTGAGGACACTTCTGCTGTCTTCGAGACCTTGTGCGAGGACATCCTCTTGCTCAGCAATCTCGGCCAGCAAGACACCAAGCTTGTCCGAGATTTCGGAGATGGCGTCGTCGCCAGTCTCCTCACCCCAGTCGCTGAGTTGAGAGGCGATGTTGGACTGCTCCTTGGCTGCGGCCTCGTATGCGCCAATGGCGTGGTTCTCGGTCTTGATCAAGCGGTAGAGCTTCTTGGAGAGCTCGGGCTGCTGGATACCACGAAGACTAGCCATGGTGAAGCGGTGCTTGCCGGATGACTTGTCGCTGCCATGGTGGCCCTTTGATCTTATGGAAAGGGAGCGGTTCCTGTCCAGGGCATTAGATACGAACAAGAATAGCGGGGCGGCCATGGCGAAAGATGAATGTTACTGACATGATGAGAATAGGGAAGCTGAGCTTTCGGAGTTAGGTATGTTTGAGTGATAGGTTTAACAGAGTCGCAGTTGCAGTTTACGTCTCTGTGTCGGTATGGAAAGAAGAATTGAAAGATAGGAATGTGCAGAGGAAACAAAAGATCAAGATGCAGCAGGCGCGCGACCCAAGAGACGACGACGTCATGCGTCTCACATGCTCGCCGGCCGTTGTCAGCCAATTTGAGGGTCCAGCCACTTGCGGACATGCTTGCTTCCGATTCCATACCGGTGCATCCGGCATTCAATATCCTCTGTCGAGTCTTTGTCCTTGAGTTCGACCTTCGCTAATCGTACTCGTACTTGGCTGTCTTATGTACAATGAATGCTCTTTGACCATTTGGAGGAAGGAAAAGAAAACGCCAGCTTAGTCAACATCCACATATCACCAACTCTGCACACTCGCATTCATTGTGTATACAACTGCTCAACAGCGTCCAATAGTTTGCTTCTCCTCATATACAATTCTTCGTTGCTCTTGAGCCACCAATGATGCAATCATCGCTCGACCACTCGAATGTCGCGGTGAGGGTAGCTGACTGAAGGCTGGCTCGAGCGGTAGACGTAGCGGACAGAAGTGTCGCTCGAACGATAATCGTTGCCGTAGTTGCTGTATCGACGACGGTTTCTGGGGAGTGGAGAGGTCCGTCTAGCTGGCCCGGCATGGTAATTTGATACATGTCTTGCTGGCTCGTCCCAGCTGCGACCGACTCGCTCTTCTTTGCTCGTGATGATACACATGCTGTCTTGATGCGACGCCGCTGCTCTGTCCAAGGTGTAGAGCTGATGGTTTGTTTGTTGGTCGCTCTGCAATAGTTTGGTAATTAATTGATGAGGAGGGTGCTGCAGGACAAAACTCGACCATCGACTTCTGGTCCAGGAGATTGCAAAGTCGCCAATAGCTCTCGAGTTGTCGACGATACTTGCCGTCCTCACACTCATGTGGTTGGCATTATGACGCGGCTGATCCTGGCCAAATTAAGTGGCGTCAGGTCAGCTACTTAGAAGACATGTCTTGTCACCTCACGGGAGGTAGAAGTACAGATTTGCAAATCATCGCATTGAATTTGGAACTCTACTGGTATGCATGCTCTCCGCGATGGTCCAAGGTCGGCTGCAGCGTGTGCTTGAACATGAAGCACCACGACTTTTGTCAACTTTCACTCCACAGCTAATGTGGCCAACCTTCGCCTGCTCTGCTCTGGTCCATCGTCTCTTCCTCAGCTCGATCAAAGGAGTCGGGGATGCTCTTTTCTGGAAAGCTTCTCTCAGGAGTCTCGCACAGATCGATGTAGACACCGCTTCCTGCTCTGAGTGCATCGACCATTGCATCTTCGTTCATAGGCTTACCAAGGTCTCCTTCTACAGTCTTGTCTTGGTCTTGGTCTTGACTGTGAGGCTCTGATGGCTTCTCGATCTCTGAGTTCTTGTCTACCGTTGCCGTAAAGCCAGGTTCAGGTCCATCTTTGATGTCCTCCGACATCTTGGTGTCTTGTCCAATGGCATTCGTCATGATAGGCAAAGTACTCATGACCGTGACCCTGGCTTTGCAAACAACGGTACGCTTCTGGTTCTGATTCAGGGTTAGGCAAGTCATCTGGAAAAAAAGTCTGTCATACTGCTCACCTCTTGGTCATCCTGCTCCAGTCGGCAAAGTTGTGGAAACAGAGACGCCTTGACCCATCCTGCCTTCTCGGCAAACATGCCCTCCATCTCTGAAGGGTCAAAGAGGCTCCGCTCTCCTTTGCCCATTGCCGAAACTAGGTCGAAGCTGAATTGCCATTTTTGGTAATCCAGCATACAAACGGTCTGCAGGAGCGGTTCCAGAGCATCCGAGAGCTCTCCACGAATGCTTTCATTGATCTTGAGATCAGTCAAGATTTCAATGATCCTTTGGGATTCGTCCAGGAGAAACTTCAATACCAACTCTTTTGCAGTATTCATCGAGCCTTGGCCATTGTCGGTGAGAACTTCGTTGGTGAGTGAAAGCCATTGTTTGATCTTCTTTCGCTTCTCTGGATCTCTAGGTTCTGTGAACGGATTAAACCTCTCTCCTGTTCTTAGAAAATTACATGTGGAGCTTACCAGGGATCTTTTGATAGCACTTCGTGGCTGCCCTAACTAGTTTGTTGTGGGGCCAGCCGAATACCATCTCTGAGTTCACAACATCGACAAGAACCAGGGACACTGCCAGAATGCAGAGATTCATTTTCACCTCCTTGGTGTTGTCTTTGTTGTCGGGCAGGTATTTGTCAAGGTATTCTTGCCAATATGCGGGGCTGGGTACAACATCTGGAAGATGGTTTGTCAGCCTTTATCTCGGAGCCAGCCCATACGACTTACTGAATCCTTGTTTGCGGAGAACGTTGTAAAAGCATTCTTTGATGGCCACAAAAGCACAGCTCATGACTTCATGAAATGTTTCATCTGATATCTGGTTGTCCAGCCTGGAGGAAGACGCAACCTCTTGCTTGAATTTGAGATTCTGGTCAGATAAGTCTCTACGCTCCTCGTCGTCTTCCTCCAGTAACGCGTTGTACTGTTGATCTTTTTCCTCGAGTTGCTGGTCTTTTTCCTCGATGAGCAATTTGTACTTTTCGTTCTCCTTGAGCAGTTTTTTGGCTGCGGCGTTTGTTGTTCTGGACTTTTTCTGCTGCCACAAGACTTTCGTGCCTTGCTTAGACTTGCTGATCTTTGCTTTGTGGTTCTTCGATCTTGTGTTGACGCGTTTGAGCACAGCGTTATCCTTCTTGAGAACTTTGTTTTCTTCCTTCAGTGCGAGCACCTCTGCTTGCAACTTATCGAATGCTTCAACATGCTTCATACTGGCACGTCTAGAAGCTGTCAGTTGAGTGTTGGCATTTGTGTTGGAAAGATGCGAGTCAATACTTAGTCTCAGGTGCGATTTCTATCTCATGCTTCTTTCGAGTCGTAGGCGGCATAGTTGTGTCGACAATCACAGAGAAAAGCACAAATTTGGGTATGAAAAGGTGAACTAGAAAGAGAGGAGAGAAGTGGACTTTGATCATTTGGAATGAGACAAATATTGAGTGAACTTCAGAGACGAACATCGAGTGAGCTTCCGAGACTTTGTTTACCACTCACTCACACCAGAGCTCGACTTTGAGATCACACTTTACTTCTGCCTCCATCCCACTCTCCGCCTCTCCTCTGTTTCACCAGTCACTCTCATCCTATCTTCTTCTAACTCACACCTACCTACACCAACATCGTTATACCATAACACACGCTTGTCTACACCACATCAGAGCTCACCCTTTCAACTGTGTGATCCGCGCTTAAGATCTCACTCTTTTTTGTGCTGTCACTAAGGTCTCTCTCCAGTCAACTTAAGATCTTTCAAGAACAATGGCCAGATCTCGCCGCGTGTCTAGAAGGGACGACACCATAATTGTGTCAATCGACCTTGGAAGCACCTATTCAGCGTATTTACTCATCTTAACTCAAGATCTTCGACGAGTCCACTAACACGATTACAGCTCCGCGGCCACTTACTCTGGTAAACCTGACCCTCCTGAGAAGCTAGAGCCTATCATGGGGTATGTTAATTCCTGTGTAACCATCACTAAGGATCAGCTAACGTGAGCATAGTTGGGCGGAAGGCGATAATTGCGAAAAAGTCCCTACTCTTCTGAGATATGAGGTCTCTTCTTCAGAAAACGTTCCTCAAACCCAAAAATCACGTAAGCGCCGCGCTGGCACTGACGAAAGTACCCTCTTTGTCAGCCAGAAGTCCGCTGAAGTCGTCGAATGGGGCTTTGAAGTGAACCAAGACAAAGAGTTCATCCAGTTTGTCAAGCTCTTGCTTGATCCCAGCCAGGAACTCCCCCAGTACGTCTCGCGCGAAGAGCTTGAGGCCCGGCTCAAGAGAGCTGGCAAGACCGCTGTCCAAGCAGCTGCAGACTACCTTGCCAACCTCAAAGACCATGTTTCGGAGCAGCTTCAAAAGCGCTTTGGCGAGAGGATGTACACCACAACAAAGGTTGAATACATTCTTACCGTCCCAGCCGTCTGGTCAGACGCAGCCAAGGACGCAACCATGAAGGCTGCGGAGCTGGCTGGCATGAATGAGGCTGACAACTTGTCCATGATCACTGAGCCTGAAGCTGCCGCTCTTTGCGCTCTTAAGACTGTGGCCGATGTCAGCGCTAGGGAAGATGACGTCTGGATTGTCTGCGATGCCGGTGGTGGTATGTTATCAAGAAAATTTCCAAAGCTGCAACGACACTTTGTATCGCAACAATGATGCTAACCCTGCTCTTTGTTTACAGGCACCGTAGACCTGATCTCCTACGAAATCAAGTCACTCTCCCCATTCCTCATCGAAGAAGCTGTCTCTGGCAATGGTGATGTTTGCGGCAGCGGCATGATCAACATGCGCTTCCAAGCCCATGTCAGGTCCAGAATGGGTGCTGCAGCTCTTGACAAATACATCGACAAGAACGAAAATGCTTGGGCCAATTGCTTGAAGCATTTCGAAGACTATACCAAGAAGAGCTTCAACCCTCAGAAATATCCCGACAAAGTCTACCCCATTCCACTCTGGTATGCGCCTGACGAACCTGATGCCGACATCGAAGATAGCCATATCAACTTGTCGACCATGGACCTGGCCGAAATCTTCCGACCCGTCATTGAATCTGCTTTGAAGCTTATTGATGACCAGTACACAGCATTGATAAAAAGAAAGAAGCAACCCACCGGAATCATTCTCGTCGGTGGCTTCGGAAAAAACAAACATTTGATGCAGAGCATTGAGAACCACTTCAAACCGATCGCACCTACGATGGAAGTTATCAGACCCGGACACTCCTGGTCAGCTGTTGCTGTCGGTGCCGTCATACATCGTCTTGAAGGTGCTTCCTTGGTCAAGAGCCGCGTTGCCAGGAGTCACTATGGTGTCCTCACCCGTGCCTACTGGAGAGAAGGAGTGCACAGCAAAGAATCCAAGATCTGGGATGCTGACGAAGAAGCCTGGTATGCCGACAACGTGATCCAATGGTACGTCGCAAAGGGCCAGTCCATGGTTTCTGGAAACTACATTCCCATGCCTTTCTACATCACCAGCAAGGAAGCCAGCGAAAGCGAGATTATCACGATGATCATCAGTGATGAAGACGAGGCGCCTCTTGAGTTCAAACCCACAGAGCAGACCCGCAGGCTTTGCGCCATCACCGCTGATCTAAGCCAAGTACCTCGCAAGACTTGGAAGTCTGCCAAGACAAGCAAAAACAAGAAGTACGTGTACCTTCAGCACAGCGTGGGTCTCACCTTTGGCCCGGGTGGTCTGCAGTTCGACGCTAGAGTTGGCAAGAGCGTTGTTGGTACTGCTAGAGCCGACTACGAGCAGTAAAGCTCTCTTTCTTATGGACAGACACCCCAAGACATACGCTTGAGCAGAAGGATAAGGCAACACTGGTCACGATACCCTGGCGGTACAAGTGGTCAAGTTTAATACTGCTTCTTCAGAGACACACCGGTCATAAAGGGCTTGTATCAATGCAGAAACGAAACTGAGGAACAAGATGGGGAACTCGGGAGAAAGCAGGATGAAAGGCATGAGAAAGACACCGGAGAATAATGGAAATTGCGACTGAGATCACTAGGAAGATTACCTCCGTATACTCGTTCAAACCTTTTCATTACCATTTCCATCCACACTAACAGCCTCTTCCCCACCACTGCCAGTATCTACTCCTTGACTGATCCTCTTCTCCTCTGTCCTTACGCACATCCATGTGACTCCTGCTGTCCAGATCGCTAGGGCGATAGAGCATCCTATCATCGCCCACATACCTCTAGTAAACTTTGGTGCATAGTTCGCAGAATAGAAGACAATACTCCACCAAGCGTTCACAGCTCCACTAAATGAGTTCATAGAGGCTATGACAACAGAACGAAGGCTGTCTTCTTCGTAGCGAAGGGCGTCGTTCGCCCAGGCAAAAAATGTTGCTTGACCTGAGTAAATTAAGTCAGCAGGCTGCGGTAATCAAGCAATAGGAGCGACTTACATGCGTAAACAGAGCCAGCCCAATAGTATGCCGCAAAGGTCGATGCTGTGGTGGCAGAAGGTGCAAGTATCATTGCCGACGTGACGACGCCAGTGATGCCAATCCAATACCCAACGAGATATCTCTTACCGCCCAGGAAGTCTGTGAGTGTAGCCCAGAAGAGTGTAGAGACAATGCCGACTGCCGGAACGCCGGTGGGATAGTTATTGAGTTGTGAGACCGTATATTTTCCCGGATGTGCTTTCATGTATAGAGCAAGCAGAGAATTCGAGGAGAACGATTCCGTCTCGCCAGCGATAACCCATAGCATGACGAAGCCATAGAAGTACCAAGAGCCGAAGACACGCTTTACGAAGGACCAGTTGAAAGGTGTGCGTTCAACGTGAAGAGGGACACGAGAGCGGGCAAGCTCGCGCTCGGCTTCAGAGAGATAAGGCACGCTGGTCGTCTGCGGAGTATCAGGAAACAAAAGGAAGCCATATACAGCCACAGGTACACAGATGAGTCCATCTATAATGAAGAGCCATCTCCAGCCAGCTAGTCCTTGCAAACCGTCCATGGAAGAGTGAATGCCAGTCTGGATGAAACCTCCAATCATAGTACCAGCTAGACCAGATGCCGTGAAGATACCACTACGTTTGCCGAGTTCGCGTTCAGTATACCAGGCTCCCAAGATGTAGTGTGTTCCAACGAAGGTGCTGGATTCTGCCAATGCTTGGAAGAAGCGGATGGCCATAATTGATTGTGGATTGTGAGTGGCAGCCGTGACCATAGTCAATGCACCCCAAACGAGCAGCATCGAGGGAAAGAAGATACGAGGTTTGATGTAGTACAAGGCAAGATTGCTCGGAATTTGACCGATGACATAGCCTTGTGTGTATTAGCACAATAATCAAGAGCAAGCAACTTTGACGACTTACCAACAGTAAACACAGTATTAATCTGTGTAAGCTGATTGCCCTTGAAGTTCAAATCTTCTTTCATACCACTAACATATGCATTGGTAAGGTTGCTACGGTCAAGCTTGGAACTAAGTCAATACAGAAACATAACTACAAGATACAGAAAACTTACATAGTTCAAAAAGTACATCAGACAACAAAATGTCAAGATGAAGAAGTCGAGTTTTTGTACTAGTTTTCGCTCTCCTTTTGAAGTGCCACCAGGGCTCAGATATTCTCTGAACCTTGAAGCAACTGCCATTTTGATTTGATGTCCAGAGATTGGTGGATAGAGTAAGATCAGTGTGTAATGTTAAGGGTTGTTCGTAACTTCATGACTTATATGGCCAACGCAATATATATGCAGGCGTATCAAGATAGGCCATGGGATTGATTGATTGTGAATGCTTCGTTATCGCTGCTGATATCTCACAGGGAGCTTTCCAAGTCCAAAGAGAAAAAGCGCTCGGCTGAGATCAAGGTGGTTTGCCAAGCTTTGCGGGGGCGCAAGATAGGGCAGGAGGGGCAGATGTTAGTGGCAGGGTTGCCCGGAACAGGAGGGATCAGCGAGATAGGCCTCGGGCAGTGGTCATCACGTGTGTGGTCCATCATCCATAAAGGTGTTTGATCTGTAGCAGTTACATGGTTACTTTCAGACTACAACTAGATTTACTCATTCGGCAAACATGACGCGCAACTGGCAAGATATCGCAAAGGCCAAGCGAGCAGCACTGCTCGAGTCTATCCCCACAGAATGGCGTATACCAGCCGATCTAATGCCTCCCGAGTCTCAACTGGATGTGACGGGCTTTCCACAAGAGAGTGGCTTCTTCACCGACGACGAACTGAAGTTCACTTCTACCAAGGTCCCAGAGCTGTTGCAGCAGATCCACAGCGGCAAATGGAAAGCAGTCGATGTTACATCAGCATTCTGCAAAAGGGCTGCGGTATGCCATGAACTCACAAACTGTTTGTCCGAGACTCTTTTTCCGGAAGCACTGGAGAGAGCAAAAGCCCTCGATGACCATCTGCAAAAGACTGGAAAACCTGTTGGTCCCCTCCATGGTCTTCCCATCTCGCTCAAGGACAACTTCAATATCATTGGCAAAGACTCGACTATTGGCTTTGTTTCCTGGGTAAATCAGCCGGCTACGTATAATACTGTTCTGGTCGATGTATTGACCAAAGCCGGAGCGGTGCTCTACGTCAAGACGAACGTTCCCACTGGTTAGTGCTATCATGCTTCCAACAATTTGACATTCTCTAGCACATGGAGGACCTATCATAGGTCAATATGAATGCTTGCTAATTCTGGTACCTTTAGCGATGATGATCGCAGAATCCGTAAACAACACGTTTGGTCGAACCGTAAATCCTCAGAACAGAAGCCTCACGTCGGGAGGCTCGAGTGGAGGAGAGAGTGCATTGATCAAGTTTGGTGGATCTGCTATCGGAGTAGGAACCGACATTGGTAAGTCGACGGCAGTACAGACACAAACTCTCTTCAAGACGTGACTGATGAAATTTAGGTGGCTCGCTACGTATACCAGCGGCTTGCTCCGGTATCTTCACACTGAGACCTTCTTTCGGCCGATTCCCTACAGGTAAGTGCCACTGTATGAGCTTATGCTCTGGTACTGACGTTTGCAGCCAATGCAAAATCAGGGCTGGCGGGACAAGAAGCAGTCAACTCTGTGAATGGGCCAATGGCGCGTACTCTGAACGACATCGAGTTCTTCGCAAAGAACGTTGTAGATACGGAGCCTTGGAAGCTTGATCCAAAGTGTCTGCCCATTCCGTGGCGCTCTGTTGATGTAGGCCGAAAGCTCAAACTGGGAGTCATCTGGAACGATGGCATGGTTATGTGAGAACACGACTGCATGGTCGAAAGTGGAGTTGAAGCTGATTATGAGATTTTAGGCCGACTCCCCCGGTCCGTCGAGCGCTCAAGCATGCTGTTGACAAGCTGCAGCAAGCCGGCCACGAGATTGTTGTGTGGAAGCCGGAGCTGCACTCAGAAGCAGTTGATATGCTTGTAAGTAATCCATCCACCTGCAGTTGAGACTTGTACCTAACGAGGACGAAAGGCGCAATTCTTCGTGGCGGATGGAGGTAAGTCGGTCAAAGAGATCCTGGCCCCAGTGGACGAACCTTTCAGAGAAGAGATGCTGGCGTACAAGGACGCGACCGAAATAGGAGTGCATGCACTGTGGCAGCTTCAAGCAAAAAGAACGAAACTGTGCAAGGATTACCTCGATCGATGGACCCAAGCAGGTCTCGACGGAATCTTGTGTAAGTGCGACTGTACCAGCCCATGATCTGGAACTGACGTACGGATTTGATAGGCCCAACAACACCTTTCGCGACAGTGGAACACGGCAAGTTCAAACACGTAGGCTATACAGTATGCTCTCCAAGCCATTGAAGTACTTACACAGGTCTTGTCGCTAACTTTCAAACAGGGCGTGTTCAACATCCTTGACTATTCGGCTGTATCGTTCCCCAGCGGAATAGAGGCAGACAAGCAGTTGGACAAGGCGGAGTCGGGCACTGAACCATTGTCGCAAATCGATGCACAGATCCAGGCAGAATGTGAGTTGGTGGTTGACAGTTGGAAAGACGAAGAAGCTAACTTTGGGTCAGACAATGCAGAGGCAGTGCATGGAATGCCAGTTAGTCTGCAGCTCGTTGCTAACAGGTTGGAAGAAGAAAAGGCCGTGGCAATGACGAGGGTGGTCATGGAAGGACTTGGGATCGCGGTGTGACGCGTGTGACTTCAAGATTACCATTTCGACGCGACTGGTATATAGACAGAAGCATGATCGAGTAGCATCTTCCAGCTATGAAGGAAAAACATCTTTCTGTATCGATGTGCTCGGGTGAAAACTATGTGGTTGTCTCATATAAGGGAAATTACCATTTCAATCAGAGGCGTCGAGTGAAGCAAGAGCAATCAAAGTTTCGAGACAAGCTGCAAAGTGTTGGCTGGCCCGGATTTGGCGGGGTTGTCAAATTGCTCTCAAAAGACCTTCGTTTGCTCAGAGTGACATATCTCAGACACGGCCGCCTTCACTCACACGGCGGTTGCCTTATTTGATGCGCCTGACCAGAAGTTCAGCTCTTGTTCCTTCGTGGCCGTAGTCTTGCCAGCGATCGTCGCCAGACGTGCCAACCTGAAAAGCCAAAAATATGTTCGCTCTGAGGTCGCGTTCGTCTCCCCGCCAACTTCGTCACCCACTTTTTCCCTGTATTCAGTCCACAGCTAACATTCTCTCACAACCCAGTTAGCAAATACCTCTTTGGTAACGCCAACAAAGAATCCATCGTTGAACTGCCCCAAGGCCAGTTGTATCTTGTTCGACCCCGATCGCTCAAAGGCTACTCGGAACTCATCTTCAAAGACGCTGCTGCCTCGATCCGCCGCACCGGCCAAGAATACCAGTACCAGCTTGTCGTTCAGCGTGTCTACGAAGAAGGCGAAGCAGAGCTCGTAGGAGAAGACGGCACACAAGACGACCGACTAGACGGTGTAGCCTCGGACAAGGACGAAAAGACTTTCCTGCTTGACGAAGGTCTGCACTTCCGTGTAGACATCAGAGACGACGGCGAAGTCGTTCTTGGCTGGCTCGACCTTAGTGGTGACGACGGAGACTTGTTTGAGTTCGTCTGCGATCCTTCAGCAACCCCCGAGACCGCCTCTTCTTTTGCTCTCGTAGCTGCTCAGTGCCAGTACGAGCGCAAGTATCGCAAGCCCCGAGACCTCGCTACCGACGACGAACTGCGCGAGTTCAGTTTCGACCACGAAGAACCCATCCCGCAAGCGAGTCCAGTCCAGAGCCCCTCGCGTTCGCCCACCATCTCGCGTTCTCCAACCATCTCTCCACCGCCCACCACTCCTCGCATGCCATCCCTAAACAAGTCCAACTCTGGAGTCAAGCGCAGCGACGCCATGCCCAGAACATCTACCAGAGCTGGTAAGGCTCCTCTGCGATCCTACGAGGAGGCCCCGACCATCGCTCCATCAGCAAAGAAGGCTCCTGAGGCCCTCGAGACCCTGGCCGATCAAGATGTCGAGCTTCACCTCTTTGACTTCCAGTCCGGTACTTTCGTAATGCAAGCTGAGAGTGTCAACGCCACCGTCACAGAGATCGGCAACTGGAAGTACTGGCTCCAAATAAACAGCGACGATCGAGACTGGCTTGGTCAGGAAGTCGTTCCTGAACTTAACCCCGTCTTCAACTTCGAATACCTCTCATTCATCTTCAATCACTACAGCGATGATGGAAATGCCTACTCATGGCTTCTGCGTTTCAAGGAAAGGGAATCTCTGGAGGAGTTCCAACAAGGCTTGATGCAGGCTCTCTGGGAGCACTCGAACCAGACCAAGTGGCTCAAGGCAAAGGATACCGAGAGAGACTACGTCCTTGATGCTTTCAATGACCTCGTCTTGGAGGACAAGGATGATCAAAGAGAGGCCGAGGCTCGTGAAGAAGACGAACAAGAGGAAGAAGAATACTATGATCCAGAAGAGGAGGATGACGACGGACAGAGGAGCGAGCACTACGACAGTGATGAGTCGGAAGATGATGTTATCACCAGAGATGAGGATGGAAACGTCAACTCTCAACTCGCTGTTGGCTACAAACACGACCGCTCGTTCGTTGTCAGAGGTTCCAAGATCGGTGTCTTCAAGCACACTCCCGACAACCATCTCGAATTCTCCACAAACATTTCCAAGGTCGAAACACCTGGCGGTAAAGTCTTCAACCCCAAGAAGATCATGCTACACGCCGAGGATCGCAACATGATCATGCAAGATGGTGACAATCCCAACTCCTTGTTCCGCATGGACCTTGAGTACGGCAAAATTGTCGATGAGTGGAAGGTTCATGATGACATCCCTGTCAACACTTTCGCTCCAGAAAAGGTATACCGGTGCATCCCATCTCTGTTTGAAACCCTATACTGACTAGCGCTCAGAAATTCAGTCAAATGACCGGCGAGCAAACCTTCTTGGGTCTGTCCAACAACGCCCTGTATCGTATTGATCCTCGTCTGCAAGGTGACAAGCTCGTCGAATCAGAGCTTAAGCAGTATGCGACCAAGAACGGATTTACCGCTGCAGCTACCACCGACAAAGGTTACATTGCCGTCGCTTCAAGCAAGGGCGATATCCGTATGTTCGATCGCCTCGGAATCAACGCCAAGACACACATTCCTGCCCTGGGTGATCCGATCATCGGCCTTGATGTGTCGGCTAACGGCCGTTGGGTTCTTGCTACCACTCGCACGTATCTTTTGCTTATCGATGCTCTTCAGAGCGATGGCAAGAATGAAGGCAAGCTTGGATTCGAAAAGTCATTCGCTAAGGACTCAAAGCCCCAGCCACGTCGTCTGGCGCTCACACCTAGTCATGTCGCTCAGTTCCAGCACGAGACCAAGGTCGCTTTGTCCTTCACGCCCGCAAGATTCAACACTGGGCCCGACTCCGATGAGACAACCATCATCACTGCAACTGGACCTTTCATTATTACTTGGAGTCTCAAGAAGGTTCTTGCTGGACGCAAGGATCCTTACAGCATCAAGCGTTATGCTGAGGATGTCAAAGCAGACAACTTCCGCTTCGGCAGTGACAAGAATATTGTGGTGGCTCTTCCCAACGAGGTCAACATGGTTGCCAGAAGAGCTTTGCAAAGACCAACTCGTGAGAGCATCATGGCCACTCCTAGAAAGACTGGCCGTGGTAGCTATCTCAGTAGAAACGATATTGTCAACAGTCCTTACTAAGGGGATAATCTTCAAATCACGACGAAACGATTAATCTTCACTTCATGGGGACGGCACTTTGAGGGATACAAGGATCGTAGTTAGTAGTTAGCTCTCTGATCGTAGATACCACGAGATGTTTCTGTCTCTCCAATCAAGCTTTACAAGCCTTAGTATTTCATTTCTGAGTTCACTGTGAGAGCAAGATTGATGTAGACGCCTGGGCCTCGGAGCTCCTTCCGACTGGCTGAGCGTTGTTGTCCAGTCCGTGCGCAGTGGTGGTGACTGGTGAATGCTTGTTTAACGACTTCATTCGTTGCAAGTCTCTCGACTAGAACGCCTTTGGATGTCAGATTTCGCACTCAATCAAGGGGTTTCTTGATCCAGCAAATGGCCAAAGTTCACCTCCGCAGAGGCTTGACCAGATTTGGGATGTCTTTGCTCCGGCAACGCCATATGCGCAAGGCGACAGGCGCACGTCTTTCCTGCTGGCATCCATAGCAAGCACATTGGCTTGCAGACTCGATGATGGTTTGTTTGAAGTAGAATAAGACGAGCCTGCAGGTATCGACAACCGCGTCAGACCTACCTTGAGCAGCCACGCGCTGCTCATATATGTTTCTGCTTGTCATGACAGACAAGATCCAGTAACCAGGAGATATATACCCACTGACTATTGAGCCTGTGGCTTGGATCAGTAAGGAAATACAGGTACATACAAAGCTGTAAGTGACAAGGGCCTCAAAGAGCAGCCGGAAAGGCAAGCCTAGATGCAGGCGCGACGAAGCTGAACCAATAAGGCGAGGAGCTAAATCGGAAGGCTCGTTGCTGACCACAGAGCGTCTCAGAACTATTCGGTAAGGATATTGCGCAAGTTTGAGCTTGTCAAAGCCGACACCGCAGCGACGACGACTGCTGTGAAGATTGTGTCGCACAGCATACGCAGTCCATCACGTGGAGTCCCTGTTTGCTGGAAGCCTTTCTGGCACTTCCCCGACCGCAGTCTGACCCAACGACCAAGGCAGTGGTGCGAGTGGTACAGCATCCGAAACCGCTCGTCCGTGTCTCTCGAACCCCCCTTTTGCGGCTTGCTCATTGCGGCTTGTTCGGTGCGGCTTGCTCGACGAGAAAATTCTTCGTGTCCACCAAGGCTGTGAAGACATGGGCTGAAAGGCTGGCCCATCTCATCAACAACCAACACCATGGATATCAACTCAGTTGGCTCTGGTGACTTCTACCCCGGCGGTATCCCCAAGGGAGCTGACGCTTGGGAGAAGCACATCCTCGACCAGCAGGCCATGTTTGGTGGAAGCAACAATGCCCCTCTCTTCAGACGCCGCAAGACGGTTGTCGGCATTCCCAACTTCGGCGAGTTCTTGCGTGGCTATGAAGACCGTGCCAACGAGCAACGTCGCCGTACGAGTTCGAGAAAGGACAGTCGTCAGACAGCAGACGAAGACAAGGATGAACTCTCTCACAACAATATCCATTTTGGCGCCGACTTTCTGCCTGCCTCCTTCTCGTCAACTGCTTCCTCGATCGCCACCAAGCTTTCGTCACCTCGCGTGCCCATGTCTAAGAAGCAATTCGCGCCAGGTTCCCGACACAGCCGCCACGGTTCAGCCTCGAGACCCAAGCTGCCTGAATCATTCATGAGCGCCCCCGATGTTCCCCGCCCTGACAGCCCAGAGGCATTCAAGAGAAAGATCCATGAGCACAAAGCCAAGTTCAATGCCTCTCAGAAGCAACGTACCCAATCACGTCCACGTCACAAGTCACTGCTCAGCTCCTGTCTCTTCGAGCACCCCCCTGCGCCCGTTCCTGTTCCGTCCACTCAGCCTCCTGCCGACGCGAATGGACCTCATCCCGTTACCATGTACGCTCTCTGGCGCCAGGACTGCGATCAGCAGCTGAAGGACAAATCTATGATGACTCACGTGCCTGTTCCGCCTGTGCCTACTTGCTCAGAATGTGCCAATGCCACAATTCTCGGCGGTCGACTTGTGCCCATTGCCTGCGGTCACAGCCTCGACAAGGTGTTCCGTACCGGTATCACCGAAAGACCCGGCTCGTTTGCCTTCAGCAAAGCCTACTTCGCAATCCTCAAGGGCGAACGCCAGCGCTGGCACACCGACCGCTTTGGAGCTTGCAACCCCGACGTCAAGTCTCGCGTCATTTCCGATGCACAGCAGCTCTTCATCCTCATCAATGACCTCTTTGAGATTGAGAAGCTGCGCATGGTGGAAATGGCTGAGATGATCCCCGAGCACGTGCCTGCCCACCAGCCTTACCACACCCCTGACTATTTCAAGTTCAGACCCGATGAGCGTCCTGCTTGGTAGACATGCTCAGTCTCCGCGACAAAGCGGATACACCCATGCAGCAAGAGCTTGTGCATAGATAAGAAAAAGTTGAGAAAAAGCTGGCTTGGGAAGGAATGGAATCTATGTCTTGCACAAGAACAAAAAGGAAAAAAAAGAAAAAATGGAGGAGCAACATTGCTGGTCAATCAACTCTTCACGCCTGACGACACAAGCTAGGAGAGGGATGGGGGTTTTGCGACAGTGATGTTTGTGCTGGCACATTATCTTCTGTTGCTTTGTGGTTTGCTCCCTGTTCCCCCCTTTGCTTGCCTTTACTTTTCACTTCTCGTTAAATAATTGCCAAAAGAACAAAAAGAATTAAAACGAATGCTTCTATGACTTTACATGCTTTATATATCACTGTTGTTGTTTGTTCTCTCTTGTAGGCATCTGAATAGGAACTGCTCTTTCCTGCTATGTTCTCTGCTGGTATGGATCACGCCTTCCTCAAGTCATGAGATAGTCCTGCAAATGAGGCACCTTTCCATTACCATCAAGCCGTCAGTCACACCTTCTTCCTCCAATACACCACCATATTTTTTCCTTACTTGTTCTTCAATCTCCAACGACCAAACAAGCACAGACATCTAGAACGAAAAAGAAAAAAAGTACGTGGTGGAATTGAGATTCTAATGATGATTGTGAAAGAGTCACACCCAGCACAACACAGCTCCAAAGCAGAAAAAAAGAGGTTGATGACTGCCGTGAATCAGACTTCTGCCTTGTCGAGGACGCAAACTTTAAAGATGTATAGTTGTGATGCACTGGGGAGTTTATTTCTTGCTGTGGCTATAGAGCAATACGTTAGATTGCCGTCGACTAATTCGAATCAAGAGTTCAATAGCAGCATCGCTCAGCGACAGCAGCAAGACCCGTCTGTCAAGTAAAGTACCAATAGGAAAACAAACCGAGAACACTCTACAAGACTATAGAAGAGCTAGAGCTGTACGAATCAAAACACTCATCACTCTTTTACAATGCTACAGAAAAGGGGGTGATGCTGAATCTGACATTGCAATTGGGTTTCTGAACTCGTCGATGGGATGCATCTACATTCAACGAGACTTCTTCGACCCTCTGCCTCCTCTGCCTCTGCCCTTTCCTTTTTGACCTCCACTGCTGCTGCTGCCGTGTGCACCTCCACTCATCATGACTCTGACTTTACTAACAGGCAACACACCGATAACCTCCACATCCTTCCAGTTCTTGATGAGCTCGAGTTCTCGGGGCCAGATGCGTTCGGTATCGGTCATGGACTGATCAACCCATTTATTGACAGTACCGGCTTTGGCCCAGCTATCCATGATTTCACGGATTGCTCTGCCTTTTTTCTGTGCTCCGGGTTGGAGCTTGACTTTATACTTGTACTTTGCCAGTGCAGCCCAAGGAGCACAAACGGGGATGGCTTCGAGGAGTTCGTCGCCAGGGAGGGGTGTTCCCACATAAGCATCCAACTGCGTAACAGCATTACTTTCCTCTTCATCCAGCGCCTCAATTCCCTCTTCCAGATTCAAGCGTCTGATCTCTTCAGCCTCCAGACCTTCACGCTGCGTTTTTTCGTGCTGGGCGCGACGGCGTTCTTTTGCTGCTTCGGCGCTCTCTGCCTTTTTGGCTTTTTCTTCTTCTTCGGTGGCGCGTTTTTCTTCTGCTGCTTTGGAGCCGAGGATTTCCATAGCTAGGCGGCGGTCTTCTTCGTCTTGGTCGGCGTATTTTTGGGCTGCCTTTTTGGCTTTGCCTCGTTTGCCGCGGACGGGCTTGGTCTGCTTGGGCTGGTTGGAAGGGTTCTTGGGAGCGTTGTTCTTGGCTTTGGCTGCGGCCTTCTTGCCTGACGACTCCGGTAGTACAGGCTCTGACACTTCTGGCTCAGAGGCTTCTTGCTTCTCGTTGGACTCCTCTTCGCCCTCAGACTCAGAAACAGAATCTTCATCTGCTGGCTGCTCACGCAGTTTTTGAGCTCCCTGAGGCTGCAGAGGATTCGAACGTTCTTCAGGTGTTCTCGCTTCCTCGCTAGCAGGAGATGCATCTCCTTTTTGTGCATCAGGGAACTCGTCATCAGACTCGTCAGTCTTGCCCTCATCCTTGACATCAGGGAATTCATCATCACTAGCCTCATCCTTTCCAGCGTCTGGGAAGTCATCGTCAGATTCTTCGTTAGCAGCGGCCTTTGAGTTTGCTTCTTGAGTCAATCCACGGACATCGTCGTTCTGCAATCTATGTTTGACATGTTTGGCCTTGCTTTGTTCGCTGATTTGCCAGATAACGGCAAAACCAAGGAGAAGCTGGGCAGGAGGAAGGAAGTTCTTCTTGCCACGGATCATGAATCCACCAGTAGTCAGGTATTCTCCGGTAGGAGCAGTCTTTGACACTTGGTCGGCATTTACCCACCAAGCAGACATGACAGCCTTAGAGTCCCAGGCACTCGATGTGCAGACTGACAAGTTACCGGCCTGCGACAAGGTCGACGGAGGAATTTCATATTCAGCTAGTCCAGGGTTGTTCTTGATGATGACGGATGAGGCACCGTGAAGATCGGCATGAACGTAAATATCTCCCTTCTTCAGGTGACGGCGATAGAGAAGCTCGTTCTGTTGAGCATCTTTGCCACCAAGAACCAGATAACCATCAGACGAGATGAAATAAATGAACTTCTCAAACCAGAGCTGCTTGCGAACAGGGCGAAGAACAGCCTTCTCTTGTTTCAGACCCTTCTTCAAATCTGCCTGAATTCTTTGTTCAGTGCTCTTCAGTGCCTTGGTGGAAGCTTGCTCGGTCTTTTCCTGCTTGGTGGCTGCTACACGCTTTTGGTCGTAGTATTGACGCGCATTTGACCAACCTGACAGGCCGAGATCAATGTCGACGGCAAGACGCTTGTCTTCCTTTTGGTTGCCCTTTGATGACGTTTTCTTGTCCTCGTCCTCACTGTCCGAGTTGTCACTCTCAGTCACGTCACCCATCTCTTCCTCTTCTTCGTAAGAGTAATCAGACAGAAGTAAAGTAACAGTGTTTTCCTCGAGTTTAAGAGGAAGCTTGATGATCTCTGCGACGGCATTGTTGCGACTCTGCTCCATCTCGATCAAACGTTCGATCTCGACCCAGTCCATACCTTGAGCAATGAGACCATTGACGGCTGCGGTAGCCTCTTCGACACGATCCAGGTTAGCCTCGATAGCTTGAGCTTTCGTGACGTTGAGTTCCTGCGTTTGCTGAAGAGAACCGATACGACGGGCATGTTCTTGACGGGCGGCCTCGAGCCTCTTCTTTGCCTGCTCTTCTCTTTCGCTTAATCTAGATTCAAGCTTCTGACCCTCAATGGACGAGAAGAATTCATCTACAGTCTTGTTGAAACCGGTGAATTCCAGGAAGACATTTTCAGAGTTGTTCTCGAGCTGCTTTGGCTTGAAAGGGTGAAAGTCGTCGTACATCAAGCCCTTGGTCTTGTCCTCGTTGCTTTGACCATCTTCGTTGTTGTCTGCGGCAGCCTTCTTGTTACGCTTGCATACGATGTAACCCGTAACAGTTTCGGCAGATGTGATGTCAGCGAGAACCTTAGAGGCCTCCTCAAAGACAGCCATGAGTTTGTCGAGCGTCTCTTCATTTTCGAGGACCTCAGATGGTTGCACGTTCTTGTCGAAGCCAGTAACTTCGAAGACGTGATCGAGAACAACAGGAGGGAACTCTGTGATTGAGACGGCTAGAGCTTTGCGCAAAGCATCTCCAGGCTTCTTCTTGATCTTTTTGGTGGACTGGTCTTGGGCCTGACGCTCAATGGCCTTCTCTAAACCAGCGCGGACTCGCTCTTTGGTCAGGGGTGGAACACCTCCATAGTTTTGACGCAGCTCGAGGTTGTATTGGAGGCCCAGACGGTAGCGCTCGTGCTCTGCGCCCTCATCGACGTTTCTGAGCAGACCGATGATGTTCAGCTCATTGTCGGTGAGTACAATGTTACCGCCAGCATAGAATTCGAGGAACAGATGGTATTGGCCATCGGAGAATTGAATGTCGATAATGCGGTCGGTACCAATTTGGGAGACGGAGGTGACTCGGCGGGTGCGAAGGTACTTGCGGAGACGGGTGATGAAGGGCGAAGGAGCGGCAGCAGTGGCTCTAGCGAAGGTGGTGAGGTGGCAGCGGAAGCCAGAATCTATGATGAGCTGCTCGCGACGCTCTGGTTTGGCAAACTTGAACAGGAAGATTCGCGACGAAAGGTCGTAGATGTTGGAGACGCGCAGGCTCACTAACGCCGACGAGAGCTCATGAGCAATGACTTTGACGTCCAAGGACGAGAATCGCTGCTTCATGGTTGTGTATCGAATATGTTTGTGTCTTGTTCAAGAAGAGAATCAAAAGAGGGCGACAAGCAGCTGCCCCACTGGACAAGTCGATTACCATGACATCACCGAAAAAAGACCATGGGTGGTTGAACAATTGAATTCATGGTCAGATTACTGACTCGTTTTGGTCGTCTGGTCCGTCTATCTCTCAGTCCGGCCACTAGAATGTTATCCCACAAAGCATTCGATGATTCGTCGTGACGCTTGTCATGCTGCCGCCATATAACGCCTATAACTCCTTTTGCCAGATGCCATGACCCTGCACACTCGACTCTACCCTCTTTCTTACAGACCCTGTCGTAATCTCTCACCCAACTTCATCTTGCCAAACTGCCATGCCTTGAGCAGACCCTCTTCTGAGAGGTCAATGCCCTGAACACTGCTGATGTCTTGGACAGGGGGCTTGCTGACACGCGATGCAACAATGACGGGATCCGTCTCGAGCACAATACCGTCATCGATAATCTCGTCAATGGCAAGTGAAACCAGATCGTAGTTCTCGACAATTGTGCGCTTGTCGACGGAGTTCCTGCAGTCAGAGTGTTAGTCTCCATGTCCTGAACCAAGGTAGTAGTCGGACTCACTTGAGAAGGATGTTGAGAGAGTCGCGTAGAGCCAGAACAACAGAGTAGAGCAGGATCTCGTTCTCATCGGCGCCTCCGACAACATAGAGCATAACATCGCTCTCCATCTTGAAGACTACAATTCGGTTGTCGTAGAGGATAATGTCGCTGTTCTGCTTGGCAGTCTTCTCCAACAGTCCCTTCTCGAAAGCTTTCTGGTCCTTGAGTTGGGGGTAGGGGTTTGCGCCAGGGAAGTCGTTGGCTGCGGCATTGGCAGGAGCATGAGGAGGAGAGTAGTATTTGGCGAGGATGCGCGACGAGTCGTCGGCTGCCAGGATCAAGACGGCATTGACCGAGAAGAGCGACATGTTGGGCGACATGGTGGGCGGTTGTGCTGATTTTGAAACGCTCGAATGACGAGTGTTATAGAGATGTAGTTGGGTGTTTGGATGGTGGCCTCAATTCAGGGAGCTCCAAGCGTTGGTGACAACTGACAGCAGCGGCCAGGTGTCCCACGACTTTTGCAACGGGGAAGATGAAGCGACCTCTTCCTTCACATGCAAGCTTGCGGAGTTCTGCCTCTCCTCCGAGATTTAGAATTATTTGAAGAAAGCCATTTTGGACGTTCTCGCTCCTGCCACAAGAGAAGGGAAGGAAACACTCGATGCTGCGCGCGTCTACGTTGCAAAAGGCAGGCGCTCTCGCAAAACATGGACTCGCCGTAGCCGCTCGACCTGACGGGCTATTTCTTTCCCGACTTTCTGCTCTTTCCCTCACGCGACCAACTCGCTCATATGCAACCACTCCCAAACACATTCGGAGACGACAAAAGGCTGCACTCGAGGCTGAGCGCCCACCTGCCTTCCTCCGTCATGTCGAGCTTCTCCGACATGCTCTCGATGCAAACGACGTACGACAAATAGCTTCTGCCTACAATGTCCTCCGCAACAAGATCCCACTCGGTGATCAAGATGTCGCAGACATTGCAAAGGCTCTGCACACCTCCCTCAGACTGCTTTCGCAATCTATTCGACGATCTCGCATTCCTGCAGAGCTCAGCAATCTCGCCGACCTCCTGGTCCTCGACATTCAGGCCAAAGTCCTACCTCCGAGCTACGATGCTCACCTGCATCTCTTGAGCTTCTACAAAGAATCAGCTGCTTTCGACAAGGGAACCGCCTTCTGGTCCTGGTTGGTAAAACAAGGCGACGACTATGTCAACGCAAACTTGTATGGTGTCGCCCTCGAGCTCTTTGCCTTCCAGGGTCGTCCCGCTGAGGAAACCGAACAACTATATGAGAGCGCTCTTGATCGCTTTCCTGGCGTGTTTCTTCAATATCATCTTGCACACAACGCTGTCATCGCCGATCGTCGTCAGCCTACCGTCATATCAGGCATTCCCAAGGCTCTTCTACAAGGCATCCTGACCGCTCGCATCTTGCGTGGTGATGCCAAAAATGCTTACCTTACGCTTGACACCGCCTTGAGACTTTTCCCTACCAGAATACCTACTCGATTTGTCACTCTCTTTGTGCAAGAACGTCCTCTTGATGAAGCCTACAAGGTCTTCATGCTCGCTTGTCAAGCTGGTGCTACTCCTGGTCACGATGCTTTGAAGATTCTCCTTACAAGGCTGAGGAAAGTTGCTGCTACAAGCCCAATTGAGAATGCTTCTCTAGTGCGTGCAATGATGATGGCTTGCTACGCACACAACATCTCTGGTGCGCCTCTCAACAACAAGTCCCTTAACGAACTTGTCATAGCCATCACTGTCCTATTGAAGGATCATGCCTATACTAAAATGTCTTCCGAGCAACTGAGGCCCATAACTGATGCCATCAGTGGCTTGCTTAGCGATCTCTTTGGCATTTGGGCTAGTGTAAACTCACCTCCAGGTATAGCCTCGTTCAACTCTATGATTGCCAATCTCGCTGGTCGAGGTAAGCGTAAAGACATCATCGATAATGCTCTCGAAGCTATGGAACACTACAACCTCAAGCCAAATACGGTAACTTTCCGTTCCATTTTGTCAGCCGCGGGCGAAATGGAAGATTCTGAAGGAGTTCGTTCAGCTTGGACCAATCTTGTGGCCGAACGTATTGAGAAAGGTGCTGCCTTGGAACTTGTAGACTGGCAAAACTTGTTGAATGCTGTTAGGCGCATCAATGATCCGGACTACCTGCAACAACAGCTCTTCAACTTTCAACACATTGTCTCTCCTCATATCCTGGACCAAATGAGCACTGCGCTCCAGGCTCATAATTTCTCCAGAAAACTCAACCCAGAAAAGAATGATTCAAAGGATGATCTGACGACAAAAGCAAAATCGATGAGAATCCTTGAACTTCTCAAGCGGGATATTGAGTACTTGTCCAACAATGTACAAGTGAATCGCAATCTCTATACCGAGCCAATGTCGCTCTTGTTGTTGAATCGCTCAAGCGTGTACACGAATGTGCCGGAAGACTATATTCGTACAGTCTACGATGAAATGACAACAGACTCGTCAACGACTCTCAACATGTTCCCACCATCGACTTCCGAGTCGAGAACAGATATTGAGGCAGACGCGGACGCGGGCGCTGTAGAACAGACGCCAGCTATGGGCCCAACAGGATATCCACTTGATGAACTTCGATACCAAAATTGGAAGACGATCAACGAACTACTGTTCGATGCAAAATTGCATGACAAGAAGTACATGGATGCTGTTGACGAGGCCATCAAGCTTGGTACGCCACCTCCTAGCCGCGACACAGAATTGAGTCGTGTGCCGACACTGGACGAATTTACAGGCTTGTGCGACTCAGCAACCACACAAAGTAACAACTCACAAAGCACTATAGCAGGTGGTGAGAAAGCTGTAACACTCGATGAGTTCCGCGAGAGAATCTTCGAACTTCGTGGTCGCAAAGCTTGAAGCAACACATTGCAATTCATTATCGTCATTTCTGAGAAAGCGGAACTTGGATGAACAGCGACTCCCTGGACCAAAACGCCGGCATAATGATGCCATGAACCATTAAACCCGATGGAAAAACATGGAACAATGCACTGCGTCCAATCAGTACTACTGATGTCGCCTTTGTTGAGCGACTGTGACACTCCGAGAAATCCCGAACCCTCTCCTCTCCAAGAACTCCAACTACTTCCTTGATCGGTGATCCTTTGTAATTATTCGGGCATATAGTGTGTGTCGAATGATGGGTTCCAGCCCTGACTAGTCAGATCATCAAGGACGATGAGATGAAAAGGCCTCGGTCGGCGACGGCGGAGGAGCGGGCGTCTCGTCTTTCTGAGCAATGCGGATCTTGAGATCCTTGGTGCGTGGCTGTGAGGCTGAAGCTGCGAAAGCAGCATTGATATCTTCGTGTGTGAAAGAGTCGGAACGCAGGATCAGGCGCGGACGGCTGGCAGCTTGAGGGTGTGCAGGAGTCATATTGACTTGATGTGATGGTCTTCGATATATGAAGCAAGAGGTCGAGCCGAATGCAAGATGGCAGCTGCCCCCGGAGATGAGAAGCAATACGACGGAAGGCTCGAGTGGTCGGTAAGGATTTGTCGACTTGACACGCTATCTGTGGTTTGGTGTTGGAAGATATTCGATACCGTCAGGATTTGGTGTGACCAAAGCAACCTTGATGGAAGATTTAGGATAAAAAGAAGAGATAAACGACAAGTGCTTGACGAGCGAAGAGCAAAGCCCAAATAAATATCCCAGATCTCCTCTCTTTCTGTCACATTTTCCGCCTCCACCACATCCATCATTTATCACCGATTCAGGATAATTTGCACACCGCCAGCTTTGACAGGCGCACCATCCTTGCAACCTTTTGGCTGACAGCCGCAAAAGCCGTTTTCCGATACATACACCACAGACGCACACCTTTATCTCCCCCACGCCTTCCCCTTGCCCTGCTTTGCATTAGATCAAACGGAGCCGGGGTCCCGCGCCCCGCGCCGTCCCATTTCTGTGACCAGACTGTCGGGTTTGGGGCGTTTCTCGGTCCATGTACGAACGTGGGCACATAGGTTCGATCATCACGTCTCTCGTGTTTGACCATGTAGATCAGATCACGAATCGTTGTTGCGTTTCTTTGTCCAAAGACATGGCACGACACGCGGTACCTGTGATTGGGGGCTCAGGGATTGATGTAGTTTCGTGAGTAGCTCAGCTCAGCTGTATAGCAGGTACGAATTAGCAACGACGGGGTTTTAGAAGTGCGGGTTCTTTTGCTTTTTTTGTTCTTGACCGCAAGTTGTTTTGGTATAATATGCATCGCGGCTGTCTTTTATATTGGAGGCTTGCGGCTTTCTGGGAATTGATTGATGATACAGCGATCTGGCCGATCACGAACTCTAGAACTTCTTCATCTTACTCCGAGTAAGTGGTTGTGTATAGTGTGATTGCTGGCTGTGATGTGTCTATGGTTGATCACATTTTATTATCCGCCCAATCAGTTAAGACGAACACATCTTGCTGCAATTTATGAATCGTGGACATGATTCGAGACTGCCTCTCATCACCCCATCTTTTTTCAATTGATACCCTGATCGGCACTGATGCGGTGGCCATCACCACTACATGCAAGATTCTAAATTGGATGGACGCGTTTGGGGCTGTATAACCAGGGGAATGGGATTTTGTTGTGTGGCTGCATGCTTTCCTTTCCTTGATTCGTGTGATGATCATGTAGTTATCATGCAAGACGGGTAATTTGCTCTGCTTCAACACCGGATAAGATTGAATATCAAGCTGAAGCAATATTCGCGAAGATGCATTCTAGGCGATCGTCTTGCAATGGACGAATTCTTTTTGCCCTATCTCATGGATGCACAGCAGAAAGATCAGGACTTTCCAAGCTTGAACGTGGTAGCAAGAAAATCAGATACTTGCATATTCTTTGTGCTTCTGTACGCGGCTGGCACTTTCTAGAATCCTGGATTTGTGATATGCAAAGTACATGTACAGTGAAGCAATTCAATCGGTAAAGCGGACCGAGGGACCGCTGAACAGCTCATCACCCATCATCTTACACTTCTCTTGTATCTTGACGATCGAGGTTTTGCTATGTTCCATCGCGATGCCACTGGCATGTCTACACAAGCGGTCCACTTCCATCATCGATGCCTTGCTTGAAATGCACATACGTTATGCCTCATCCTCAGCCACATAAAACGAACCAGCAGAAAACAGGCCACAGCGCAACGAATTACAAAAGCTGGGGGCCAAAAATCTGGAGAACAGGGGCAGACATGGAGAGAGCAATATGGCGGGGTGCATATGTTGCAGGGAGCCGTTTTGCCTGCATCTGTGTGACCGTCAGGGCAAGAGGGGGCAAAAAGTACACGTTCATCGAGAGTTACATGTAGAATGTGGATCGGTGTAACACGGGGATTGGAGTCCGGGGTTTGGTGGAGAGATGAAGGAAGTTGTCAGGAGAGGAGGCTGATACCCAGGTTGATGGGTACTCAGGGTTTATCTTGCATTCTTGACTCATGGTATGTTGTCTTTAGACGTCAGTTTAGCTTGGAATGATTATATTAGTAGGTGAATGAGGAAGAAGATTAACTGTCATCGCATCAACAAGGACAAAGATATAAAACAACTATTAGAGCCACCAATAGTACGTCGCGAGCAGCTATTACCCTTGTAGATCGGTCTCAAGCAATCGCATATCAGGACAGATCTAGTTCTCGGAAAAACCAACAGGCCCTTCAATATTCTCTGCCGTAGGACTGTTCGCCCCTTGATGCTTTTTAGGTAACCATGAGCCAACACATCTCGAAAACCGCAACACATATAGGCTCTTAGGCTCGATGGAAAACCAGGTTGACAGGCTCGGCAGGTTGAACCACAATGTCAATCTTCATTTTCGGTGGCTTAGCCATCTTGCACTCGACTCGTGAGTATGTCTGCAAGATGCGAACGACGGTGTAAGCCACTTCGGTCAGAGCAAATTGCTGGCCTGATATTCTGAGTTAGCTTGAACTTCGAACGATGCCCAATAGTGAAAGCTTACCGATACAAATGCGTGGTCCACCATTGAAGGGAATGTCTGTGCAGAGTGGTCAGTCTGAGCTTGTTAATTTGATGAAGGTATACTCACATGTCCACATCTTTGGGTTCCATCCGTCCCATCGATCAGGCTCAAAGCTGAGGTGGTGAGGGAACTTATCAGAAGCTGGAGGATAGATGTCTTCACGGCGCTGTAGGAACAAGGTCGAGTAACCGACGGGAGTATTGGCTATATATGTGTTAACAAAGTGAGAGCGAGTTTCTCTCTGCTGTTGACTTACCAGGAATACCAATAGGCTGGGTACCGTCAGGGCCACCTCCACGCGGCAGAGTCGTGTCTTTCAAGGAAACTCTGACATTGAAAGGTACGATAGGGTATAGTCTCAATGTCTCATTGATGACATGAGTAAGGTATCGCATATTCTTCAGATGAGCGTAGGTAGGCTTGTTGTCCATACCCACGTGCTCCTCGATCTCGCGACGTAGCTTGGCGACAATGTCCGGTCTTCTGGAGATCTCGCTGAACAACCATGAGAGCGTGCATGCAGTAGTATCACGTCCAGCGAGCAATACAGCAGTCAATTGATCTCTCAAGACTGTGCGATCGCGAGTGAAGCTAGCAAGCGCATACAAGAAGTTGTAGCCTTCGTCTGACTTGGACTTCTTCTCGAGCTCCTCTGGAGTCAACTGTAGAGTCTGTTCGATGAACGGCTGTATAAACTGTTCCATGATATTGAGAGATTCGTAGAACGCCTTGCGTGGCACAAATCGGTTGAGCGGTCCAACTCGAGCAATGGTTGATTGGACATTCTGGACTGTGGCAAAAGCATCAGAGAAACGATCCTGAGGGTTCTCCAAACTGTTCACACTGTGACCAAGCAAGAAAGCGGTACTGGCATCCAATGTGAATTTGAAGAAAAGATCCATCGCATCCACAGTCTGACCATCTTTGGAACCGCCGAGCATGGGAAGAAGAACATTCAAGTGTTTCTCAAAGACTGCTAGATCAGAGACACGATCCTTGATAAATTGAGGCCGGATGAGTTGACGAGAAGCGTGCCATTGCTCTCCGTCCGTGGTAAAGATACCTATCGAATGTGAGTATCTTTGAATTTATGCTATGTTGAGTGTTCTTACTATCTCCCAAGAAATCATGCCATTCGGAATTGAACTGTGCGCCTTTTCCATAGTCATGGAATTGAGTGGCCAGGATAGCTTTGATATTTTCCTCATCTGCAGTCAAGACCAGTCGCGTTCCTACGGTCCTTATCTCACGGGTAAAGGGATGAACCGCTGAGGTGTCGGCAAACGTCTTGTACCATCCTGCAAGAAGATCGTGGTTAAATTGGTCTCGCACGGTTCTAGCTACAAAACCGAGTCCAAATGGCACCCAGGAACTGATCGTCTTAGCGTGAGCTCCCAGAGATCGGATCTTGCGTTCTTCTTGTATTCTGGCAAATACGTGTCTTGCGAGGAAGAGGAGTAATATGCCGCCCAGGCCAATCAAAATTGGGCTGTGGTTTGATGATGCGGCGTCGGACCGAGTGACGGCCATGATTGCCACGAGCTGTCCCACACGACTGGTTCTGCTTTATGAATGCTGTATACTGTGGAGAATGTCCGGGGCCCTCAGGGCGTCGATATAGGGGATACGAGATTGATTTATATTCGAGTGGATTGTAGCTATAAAGTCGGTCGGGGTCCACGGGCTGCTGATTTCCTGGGCGGCCTAATGACTCGCTCGCAAGCATTTCCTCATTCGGTCTCAAGCCCGCACCTTCCCCTCGTTCCTTGCATCATCCATTTTATACCCCTCACTTCTTTCATCTACACGAGTCCACGACGTCTTGGAGGAACAAATCACAGAGCGCATTGGGTACCATTCTGCGTACAGAATGGCATCTGGATGGGCTCGGCGCCAACACCTCTCGCAACTAGTCGCTCTCGCATCTCGCTCAACCTCGGACTTGCGGTTATTTGACTACGATTCTGCCCATGCTCGTCTTTGGCGCCACTCCAGAGGACTTCGGCGGCTGCACATGCGCGTGGCCACACTTGCCTATCGACATTGACAGGATCAGTTTGTTCACTCCAGATGTGGACTTCGCCGCCCAGGACAAGATGTGTTAGGTTTGCCGGGACGCCATTCAGCGGGTCGTAGGCATACATCAATCTCCAGTTGTGAAGTGGCGCACAATAGTCTTGGTAGGGATAATATGTCTGAGCGACGTCAGGGTAAAAGTCAAGCCATTGGCCATGGCCACAATCAAGGTACTGATGGAGTTTTATCAGCTTGAGAACACAGTACTCTGAACATAGAAACACTCACCCAGTAGTTGTAGTTGCCAACCAGAGCTTTGTGGCCTTTGCTGACAGTCTCAGCGACTGCCTCGTCGCTCTGCCAGGTCTGGACCACAACGTCAGATCCTAAGGTCAGGTTCCAGGTCAACAGCATTTCTTCCCATGCAATGGGAGTCAGACCAGCAGCTCGCACTCTGGCATGAGCTCTGTCGACGAAGGCTTGCATCAATGGCTGAAGTATAGCAGTATCGTTTGAGCGCACAGTATCGTCGAGGTTGTAGGCATTTGCATTGACCTCATCACCACCAGTATGGAAATATGACGAGTAAGGCAGGACTCGTGGCAGCAAATCCTCAAAAAGAGTGTCCAGGAACTCGGTCACGGCCGAAGAGTTAAGCTTCAAGGTTCCAGACGGTGGCTCCGCGGCGTATGCTGACCAGTCCTTCTCGTTGAACGCAGCTATAAGTTCCGGGTATGCGTAGGCGATGGACGAGGTATGGCCTGGCATATCAATCTCGAGGATTACCTCTACACCTCGTGAGGCACCATAATCTTGAATGTACGCCATTGTTTGAGGGCTGTAAGTCAAGCCCTCACGGTACGAACCTTTCTCGGCCAACATGGGCAGTGCTGGAATCTCGATTGGCCAAGACTGAGCATCTGTGATGTGAAGATGCAGGCGATTGAATTTGTTGTATGCGAGGGCATCGATCATCCGGGTTATGTCAGCCGGTCCATACCAAACTCGCGAGACGTCCATGTTCAGGCCCCTATGCTGGAACTTGGGAGCATCTGTTATGTTCACTGGGGCATAAGGTGTGTAGACTGCACCGCTGGAGTGCTTGTAGAACAGTTGAGTGAACGTCGTCAAGCCATGTGCAATGCCGATCGATGATGCGGCGGTGATGGTAGCTTGGCCATTAGTCGCAATGGAGACTGAGTAGGATTCGTCAACATCGCCGGCCAGAGGCTTCGTCACATTTGCAGGGTCGGCATCAGTCTGTTCTAAGTATACTGTTTTGATGTAGCTGCAAGAAGTGTTGATCGCAGGCTCGAAATCCGAATGGCGAGGGTGAAACTTCCATGGAACGAAGTTCTGTTCAAACAGAATTTGAGTGGTGGACTTGATCGCTGTAGAGATGACCTTCTGAGACGACGTGTTGTGGTGGCCATAGTTTCCCTGCTGCAAGATGAAGAGGTTAAGATCTTGGTCAAACGGCATCTGCTCTGGCTGGGGCAATGCTACCTGTGGGGCACCATTATAGACGAACTTGACTGTACGATCCACGAACAGCACATCTTCTCCCGTCGTCATACTTGATGGTAGCGGCCATATTGCCAGAACTTGGGTGACAAACAAAGTGATAAGGAGATAGAGCGACATGGCGAACGAGAGAACGCGAAAGGTTACCGCAAACGTAGTCTCCACTCTCTCTGAGCAACTTTATATACAGTGTGAGGGATCTCGACAGGAGTAGGAAAAGAGAGACATCAAACATCCCTTGTCAAACCTTACAATCTATGTTTCATTGTGCGTACGACGAGGTTAGCAGAGATAGGCCTGCTGCAGGCCGAAGGGGCAGGTGGGGTTGGGCATGGCGTCGCGCATCAAAATTTGACTTTGAGCGGAGTCGCGCCTGCTGTTTGATCTCGACAAGGGCGCCTGTCGAAAGTAATCTTTTCCATAGAATGTGGTATAGACAGACGAGCAAGCCAAGAAGTTCGCGGTGCGATGGATACAGCGATGAGTTGATGCGATCGCCAGAACAAGCTGTATCTAAATTGTTGCTTGTCATAGCACAAAAGGCAATACGGTGACCTTCGCCTGATTCTGTCTCGGATACACTTGAGACAATATGCATGCATCCAAATTCTTGTGTTCTTAGGTCAACAGGTGGTTTGATGGTTGGCCATACCAGCTGAGGTGTGAGCTAGTAAGATGTACCTTTTAGTATGATCACTGATCTTCATAACGGACGAGATTATTGTATTATGCGATAAAACTCAGCCACGCCACCAGTGCTCGCTATGGATTGACACATTCGACGATGGTGCAAGCCAGTTTGATCGTTGGTAAGGTGATAATGGCTAAGCCTCTATGGCTGACTTCGATGCGAACGTAGTAGACGCTAACAGACAGCCAGGGTTGCACAAATGGCAATATACAGCCACCTGCCATACCCTCAAAATCCCAACCAGTCACGGAGTATCTGTCTATCTTTGAGACGTCTACCAAGGGCAGACTCATTTGCAGGTATCCGCATAGCAAGACTCAGGTTCCAGTATGACAGCGAAACATCACGATACAGCCACTTTGACTATGCTTTACCGGCCTCACATGAACAGCTTCCGAAAAACCTGCCTCGGAACCTTTAGTGACCCTTAGAGGCTCTCGGATCCACAACAGCAGTGGCACTCCAGTCACATCCATAGACTAGAAGACAACTAACCAAGTTTTCAAGATGCCAAGAGTGAAAGAGTTCGTCAGATCTCCGCAACCCCGACTTGACCCCGCGTTGCCCTGATTCCGTAAGGAGTATGGTCAGTACCCATGACTCTCATAGTAATACACGACGACTCCCGATAACGAGAGATACGAGTACCGGTATCCGAATGACCAATGTCAGCAATGCCCACTACCACAAAGGGCGCGGGGTGACGAGGCGGGGTCGCATATACAAGATGTATAAAGGTCTGGCATGATCGGGCTTATGTTCAAGCATCAAATCATCGACACAATGGGACTTCCTACTAGTCAGAAAGCAGCCGTCAAACAAGGAGAGGGCAAAGCATCCACCGCACCGGTGCAGACCGTACCTGTCCATGAGCCAGGCCCTGGTCAAATCCTCGTCAAGATCAACTGGACTGGTCTTTGTGGAAGTGACAAATCGCTCGTTTACGATGAATGGGAGTCTCAAGGCATAAAAATGCTTCCTCAGACCCACGGCATTGCTGGTCACGAGGGAGCAGGAGAGGTCGTCGCGGTTCATGACGACGTCAAGGACCTGTGGAATGTCGGAGACAGAGCAGGTGTCAAATGGGTTGCCAGTGTCTGCAAGAAGTGTGAATTCTGCACTAATGGCACTGATGAACTCCAATGCCCCAAGCAGCTCAACTCTGGTTTCTCGATCCAGGGTACTTTCGCAGAGTACTGTCTGACAGATGCCCGATATGCTACAAGGTTGCCAGAAGGTGTCTCCGACGAGGAAGCAGGCCCTATCCTGTGCGGAGGAGTGTAAGTCGTGTCTGCCAACCTGTGAATTCTATCAACCATGCTGATTTTGCGCAGGACGGTATGAATGTCCAGACAGAGTTGTAAGCATGAATTGACGCTAATCTTGACAGGCTTATACTGCTTGCAAGCGAAGTGCTGTGAGACCTGGCCAATGGATCGTTCTGCCTGGCGCTGGTGGTGGACTAGGTCACCTTGCCGTACAATATGCAAAAGCTATGGTTAGTCGGTTGACAGTGGCATTGTTGCAGCTCGTTGACTTGATGGCACAGGGCATGAGAATCATCGCTGTTGACGGCGGAGACGAGAAGGGCAAGCTTTGCAAGCAACTTGGTGCAGAGCACTATATCGACTTTCTTGCCTGCAAAGACGTGGCTGCTGAGGTCATGAAGCTTACAACTTATGGCGCCCATGGTGTTATCGTCTTTGCCGCTACTCGAGAGGCATACGGGTCGGCTCCCAACTTCCTTCGGCCGGGTGGCACCGTGGTAGCTGTCGGCTTGCCCAAAGACGAAACAATTATTGCAGGAGCATCGCCCTTGACGCTTGTCCTGAAGAGACTCAACATCGTTGGATCTGTGACGGGCACTCTGAAGGAGGTGGAAGAAGCGCTTGATTTCACGGCCCGAGGCTTGGTCCGACCCATCCTCACAAAGGGAACTCTGGAGGATGTTGACCGCTTCTTGCAGCTCTTGGAGCAAGGCAAGCTTCCAGGCCGAGCTGTTCTCAAGGTTGCTGCTTGATCATGAATCAAGTCGCGTGTCGCTTGGGCTGCATCAAAGGATATTTGGGACGCCTGTTTTTGGACGGCTTGGAACTTGACTCCAGTAGCCGAGTCACTTGGAGACTATGATTCGTGTATTATGATTCATGTAGAACTTTGTCACCTATCCTTGAAATCTCGTTTATGTTCCTTGCGGCTATTGACATGCTGAGCCCTTGCAGCAGGGACCTGCATGGGGTTATGTCACTCGCTCTTTTTCAACTACGGTGGCAAGCTTTTCGGCAGTCGAGGTAGAGACATTTTTGGTGACTACGGCGTCTTCTCGCTTCCGAGAAAGTGTACTTTGCTGAACGATAGATTTTTCTCTAGTAATGCCCGCCTTGGGCCAAGTCGGGCTTCTGATATTCCGGTCTTGGCGCACAACGTAGGGTTGACTTTTCGACGACCTCTCGTTGTGGTACGGACGCTGTGCTTTTTGGTTGTCTATGACCTCAAAGGTTACACTCTACCGTCACGATCTCATTGATTATCTCAGCTGATCAGCCTGAACGGATGATTTGAAGAAGCAAGAAATACAGAGTTATCCTTACCGAGCAAGGCCGATCATAAATGGATCTCTACGAACGTCTCGCCAGGCCTCTCGCGTGTCGAAACGTTGTCGGCCACCACCGATGCCTGCAAAATTGCTTTCGGGACCTTCACGGGAATCGGGAGCGGTCGCGACAGTGGACCGACTTTACTTTCCAGAATGTAGGTCGCTCGTGTTTGAATGGAAACTTTTACGTCGCAAAACTCGACCCTCGCACCGCTAAGCGCGACGTTCGCCTCTTTATTGGTCGTGTTCCTCTGTCTACCCCAGCGAAACAGAGTACAGACTGCAGAATGGCACCTTTCAACAGATGATCAATTCTGCTTGTCGTCCGGCCCGTCCAGGGAGGCAGGGTGGACCATGATAACGGGTTCTGGTGTGCAAAAGAAGCCCGTCATCAGAAGGTTACTCATCAGTAGTAGGTTACATTTTGTGTCCTAGCGTTGATGTAGGTGTTCATTAAAGACGTGAAAAGCCCCCATCGCGCCTCGTAGCTCTTTATCGTTTCTTAGCCTGACGCCTCTTTTGCTTGTATCTGCTTGACATTTGGACGTCCGACCATGGATCACGAATCATCTGCAGCTGAGTACGTGTCTATCTATCACTCCTGTATGAATGTGCAACATGCCAGTGGTAATCTGGTTGCACAAGCAATGAAGCTTCTCGAAGCCTCTTGAAGATCATCTGCTTGCGCGACGTGATACTGCTATTGTCAACCCCAAATCGCAAGCATTGGCCTGAGAATATTTTTGCTGACACAAAGTCAAGGCTGCACGCTACTGCCGTCGAGCCCCGTGTGAAAGATCACAAAGACATGGCTGGTGGTATGGAACCAACAAAACCCGAATATCCTCACGAAGAACACGGAGAAATTGCAAGTCTCAGCAACGATGGCGAGGAACCAACCGAAGAAGAGAAACGAACACTACGAAAGGTTTCCGACAAGCTTCCCTGGGCCGCATTCATCATTTGTATCATCGAACTTTGCGAAAGATTCACCTACTACGGTCTCTCTGGTCCCTTCCAAAACTACATCGAGAATAGCTACGGCGGTAGAGTGCCTGGTGCCATTGGACTCGGACAAACTGGTGCCACTGGTTTAACCGATTTCTTTCAATTTTGGTGCTACGTTTGCCCTGTGCTCGGAGCAATCGTTAGTGATCAATACCTTGGAAAGTACTGGACCATTTTCTACTCTGCTATCATCTACGTTATCGGAACCCTGATCTTGTTCCTGACTTCCCTGCCTGTGGCAATCGAGAACGGTGCTTCTCTGGGAGGTCTCATCGCCGCCATGATCATCATCGGACTCGGCACTGGTGGCATTAAGTCCAACGTTTCGCCTCTTATTGCTGAACAGTACCAGAACACCAGCCAATTCGTCAAGACTCTGAAGAGCGGAGAGCGTGTCATTGTCGATCCGGGAAAGACTATTCAAAGAATCTACTCCATCTTCTACATGATGATCAACATTGGTTCGCTCTCGTCTATCGCGACCACTGAGCTTGAGGCCAACATCGGATTCTGGCCTGCTTATCTGCTTCCCTTCCTTATGTTCCTTGTTGGATTTGCTGTTCTTGTTGCCGGCAAGTCTAAGTACAAGGTTCGTGCTCCTGCTGGTTCCGTCATCCCCAAGGCTTGCAAGGTCATGTGGATCACCATGATGAACAAGGGCAATTGGAACGCCGCCAAGCCTGAATACTCTGAAGAGTTCACTGGCGGAAAGAAGTACAAACTGAACTGGGATGGCATCTTTGTCGAGGAAGTCAAGCGCGCTCTTGTTGCCTGCAAAGTCTTCTGCTTTTTCCCTATCTACTGGGTCGTTTACTCTCAGATGCTTAACAACTTCATCTCGCAGGCTGGTCAGATGCAGCTCCATGGCATTCCCAACGATCTGATGCAGAACTGGGATCCCATCACTATCATCATCTTCATTCCCGTCATGGACTACATCTTGTACCCTGCACTTGGCAAGCTTGGATTCCAGATGAAGCCCATCACCCGTATCACTTGGGGTTTCTTCTTCGGTGCAGGTGCCATGGCCTACGCTGCTGGTGTCCAGAAGCTCATCTACAACGCTGGACCTTGTTACGACCGTCCTGGTGCTTGCGAGGCAGCTCTGCAGCCTGATGGATCTTATGCTCCCAACAATGTGCACGTCGCCGTTCAAGCTCCTGCCTACCTCCTGATCGGTCTTTCTGAAATTTTGGCCAGTATCACTGGTCTTGAGTATGCATTCACCAAGGCGCCTGCAAGCATGAAGTCCTTCATCATGTCACTTTTCCTCTTGACCAGTGCTTTCGGTTCAGCCCTTGGTATCGCTCTTTCGCCTACCGCTGTTGACCCTAAGCTCCTTTGGATGTATGTTGGCCTCTGTGTTGCTTGCTTCGTTGCTGGTCTCCTCTTCTGGATCATCTACAGCAAGTACAACGCTACCGAAGAGGAGATGAATGAGCTGGAGAAGTACACAGCACCAGCCAAGTCAGTTGACGTTGCCGATGAGGAGAAGGCTGCGGCTGCTGAGGCTCCTGCTCGCGAGAGAACCATCCCTGAGTAGGAAATTAGGAATAGTGTATGATTAGTAGTTTCGTAACGGATTATGTATATATAGCTCAATGAAGAATCCATCTATGATATTCTTGTCTTGGTCGTATAATTAAGTGAAGGAGCATTGCACGTGTGCAGCCACAGCCAGCCGCCGGGTCATGGATGACGCGCCTCGGCTTGTCTCGTATCGCCGTGGCTGCAAGCGCCAGAAGCCAAAATCAACAACGAGCCAAAACATAACTAGCTTAGCTATCCCGCCTTGTCTATCCCAGCATCAACTACTGTATGCCGGCTCAGGCAGTTGGATATCTTGACGCCATGGTTTGAGCGGGCCGCTGCAAGAATGATAGACGCCTCGACTCGACTGCGCAGAGCGATCCTCTTGTCCGATGCTTTGCTGGTCAAACGCATCATTCGCTCCAACCCTGGCATCTTGCAGAACCCAGACTTTAAAGACAAGAGCAACACGAGTTTACATCTCGCCGCCCAAGCTGGTTTCGAGGAAATTGTGGTAAGGGCATTTATCCGGCGCATTCAACGGCGCTACAACCGTTATACAAGAGAGCACAGGGACCAACACACTGTACTGTAGGAACTTCTTGTCGACGCTGGACACGACCATGGAGAGATTTCGCGCAATGCCGACTGGGATACTCCCTTGATGCTGGCCGCCCGACACGGCAATGTCGACGTCGGTATCCTGCTCGCCAACCGCTTTCCACGCTCCATTCCCGTTACCAACAAGCTAGGCCTGGACGCAGTATGTGCACCATGACCACTCTTTGCTCCATGGCCTTCACTGACTGTATAACTTTCTAGCTCGCTCTATCATGCCTTAATCCTGCATCTACACCCCTAGTATCTTTGTTGTTATCCCACCCAGAATACCCCGCCTCAGCTGACGGCCGCGACAACCACGGCGACACACCACTCCACCACGCATCAGCCTCAGGCTCCCTCAAAGCCCTTCGAATCCTCCTTTCCGCAGGCGCCGACCCAACAGCCAAGAATGCCTATGACTGGACCCCCCTCGCATACAGCCAAACCGTAGCCGCAGAAGTTTACTTCAAAAACCTCGTCGCCGAACTCGAACGCAGAAAAGCCGAAGACATGCGCGGCGAGAAAGAGAGAAGGGAAGAAGCTTTGAAGCGTAAATATGCCGGTGTGCGTGTGGTCACTGAAGATAGCGAGACTTCTTCGCGGCCTAGTGATGATATGGCGAGATCTGAGAGTAGCAACTCTATTTCTAGTCCTATTGATCAGAGAAACGCTTTCACACCCACTGCAAAGAGCAATCCGTGGATCAGTGGCGGATTTGAGCCGAGAGCACGAGCGTGGAGTGGAGAGTAAGATGAGGTCAGCATAACAGACTCGACCCAACAGACAACTATTGTAATGAAGCCTTGATAATTTTCTCAATACCACAGTTCAACTACCAATGACTGGATATTCCAGCGTCTTTCGAGAACATGAACGCTAGCAGCTAAATGTCTAGAAGGATGTTTGTCTAAGATATCCATTTCACCTGTCTGTCCATCAGAGAGGCTACTCTTCCCATTGATTTGATCAAAAGGTTTCCGTCTAGCTACTTCAACGATGTTCTGGATCCAAGGATGCCCAACGCCGCAACCATTGTTGCAATGTTTCACTCTCTCAAGCAGTCGATGACTCTCCGCCACAGAAGACACTCAAACCAAATCTGGCGAACGACCATAGAAGCAATTGGCATCGCAGTTGAATCTTTCTGGCAAAACTACCTGTCAAGCGAAGACGTTGTTGCGCAAGATACTCTTGACATTGAGCAAGCAGAAACCACGATCGTAGGTAGGGGATCGTCGTTCTTGTTGATGTCGATAGAAGCTCCGCTTTCGATCTCGGCTCCGATATCTTGAGAATCTCGGTCTCGAGAGCACTGATGGAAGGGAAAACGCCATGCCAGCAGTCTTGAATGATTGGCCCATATACATCGTTCGATGTAGGTGGGAACTCCTTTCGTACAAGCTTGAGACGCCACACGGGAGACTCGAGCTTGAGATCGGAGAAAGGTTCAAAGCCGAAGCGGATGTTGTAAATACACGAGCCTAGTGAGAACTGCTCAGTCTCAGGACCAGCTGGCAGAGTCTCAAACTCCTCGTCGACTTTGCAGAAAGGCAGTGTGGCAAGCTTCAACTCTTCTCCAATTGGAACGGTCCCATCGAAATCGGCAACTACAATGTTGCTCCATCGATCCAGAAGGATGTTGTGCGGCCGTAGATCGCCGTGAGCATAACCTAGCTTCTCAAGCCATGCTGCCGCACTGACAAGCTGTCGTATCCAACGCTCTTGCAACTCAAGACTTGGAGTTTCTGAAGAAAGGCGAGCTGCGAGAGTTGTTTCGAGCCTAGGCATAAAGATACCTTCAGGTGTACAGAGAATGCTTTGCAGAAGATGAGGATGTGGGTGTAGATTCAGAAACTTGTAGACTTGTTTCTCCTTCTCAAGTCTCTCGATGTTTTCTTTCATCCAAGCCCTAGAATGATTGGTCTGGTTCTCATCTTCAAACATGATCGGGATTTTGAAGACGATCTGGCTGGTGATTTCGTGGACGGAGCCTGCACCCCCTGTAGATAGGTGGTTGTTTGCGCTTAACGAACGGAAAGGATGTCGCATAGTCAACATGATGACTCTGCTGACCGCGCTTTGTAGTTACAAGAAGCTCGGAGGAGTAAACAGTTCTGAAGACAAATGGGAACTCTGTTCTTGTGAATAGTTGATCTATCGCGTCAATCGCTTCGACAGTGATGCTGCTAGAGTCGGGGAACACGACAACTGCAGCCGCTAACCGCTCTGCTGCTGTACCACCGTGACACATGCAAGGGGTACTTGATCTAGAGAAGGAGCATGCATGACGGCACGTGATTGCATTTATTAATTGCTCGAGGCTGGAACGAATCCTTCTCTGGCTCAATACCCCTGACGTATGTCAATACTAATCTGCCATTCGAACGCTTATGTATGGTAGAGCAGACGGTACGTCAAATTTTAGCTGACTGTGGCCTTACGTACTTTCGAGGAGAATTTCTGGATTTAGAATCTGTCTCGCGAAGAAACACGCATACGCAGTTACAGCCTAGATTCGATTTGGGAGGCTGATGTGATCTTATGTGAAGCAACCACATCTTCCGGAATGGCATTGAGGCAGGCAGGTCCCAAGAGGAACGGTACGAAGTTGCTCGAGAATGCATTCCGAAGCCTTCTCGATGGCAACAAGGTGTAGGAGAACAAACAAAACACGTTGCCTACATCGCATCCGATCATCCTCATCGATGGCAACAGTGAGCTCCAATCACCACGTTGCTAATCCCAGAACATCCCTCTGCTACCGTAGAAACTAGTTTTGATGGGAGCCCCTTTGGTGTACCGGCCCCTCGCTCTACAACGGTAGGCCTGTCCTACAGATTTTGGTGAGAGGCCACTTTTCGAAATCGAAGATTTCTCTATAACGGCATGCCGCTCAAAACGAGTCTTTATGGTATATGGACTGGTCCTGCGCCACATTGTGCGTGGATCTGTTGTTGCACCCACTCGAGAGAGAAGCAGACAGGATCAAGAATATGCATGCTACATTCATTGATACATTCAGACATTAGGATAGATAGCTATCTAGGAAAAATCTCATAACGATAGTCGAGAAAGTGAAAAGAAGTACAACCCGCTATTCCCATCTCCCACAATCTAAAAACCTCTGAAGCTTCAGAGAGTGCTCACTCGCATACTCCATCCAGATCCCATTTACTGGAATCCAATCTGAGCAGCAGAATCGCCCAACAGAGGAATGTAGTTATCATCACCAAGTCTCAACGACCAGTAAACATCACCAGTAAGAGCGACCTGAGGATGAATGAAAACATTATCAAGAACAGAGCCAGCAGAGTTCTTAGCCGAGCACTTGAGCACCGAGGAACCGCTGCAGGTAACAGGGATGTATCCATTAGCCTTGACCTTGTTGGCGGGGAAGAACATGACTGTGTATGCCAAGCCAGTGCCAGGGAAGAAGCTGTTGTAGACTGCCATGATGTAGCCGTATTTCTTGTCTTTGAGGTAGCCTGTAGAAGGGTCAAGGTAGAAGCCGGGGGTGATGGCAGAGCCGTGGAGAAGGCCTGAGTAGGTGTAGTAGTTGATGTAGACATTAGAATAGCCTGAAGCGGCAGTGGAAGAATCGAACTCGAGTTCTTGTCCATCGGCGCTGGTGCCTGAGGAAGAGACGCGGAGTTTCAAGTTTGCGGCGGTGGTAGCCGCAGCAGAAGAAGAGCTAGTAGACGAGGTCGAAGAGCTAGTGGTCGAGGCACTGGCTGTGACGGTGGTCACGATCGTGGTGATAATGGTCGATGGAGCAAGGGTAGTGGTCGCATTGACTGTAACAGTCGAGGCAACAGTGTTTTGGCTGACTTGCATAGCGCAAGCCGAAGAGATGACGGTAGCAGGATACTTGGTCAAAACAGAAGGCGTTGAGATATCGCGCTTGGCAGGAGCAGCGGTAGAGTTTGCAGAATCATCAGAATCGATGGACTCAACGGGCAGGTACCAAGTGACGTTCTTGTTGGAATCGTAAACGGCAGGGACGGCGTTGGTTGAGTTGGTCGTCAAGCCGGGGAAGTAATCGGACTCATCGCCATCATCACGCTTGCGCATGGCAGGTGCGGTAGAAGTGGCGTACGCAGTCGAAGTAGCCACGGGTGCGACTGTAGAAGTGGCAGTGATGGTGACTGTAGGAACAGTAGAGTAGCTGAGGTAAGAAGAGCAGAAGGGCTGGAAGACCGAGCTGAACTGAGAAGGATCGGACTTCATCTCTCCAGAAGCTTGGTAGATGGCGCCAGTCTTGTCGCCCTTGGTGGGATCGACGCCTGAGCCTGATGTGCTAACATAGCCGTAGCTGTACTCGACGATAAGCTTGCCACTAAAGCATGGGAGTCAGTCTATGCTAAAGAGATATTCACGATTGACGAAACATACCTGCTGGTGGATGAACCAGAAGAGGTGGCGTACTTAGAAGACCAAGCCTCGGTGTACAGAGCACAATACTGTCCCTGAGGGTGCTTGTTGTCGTTCAAATTAAGGATGTAAGTGTTGAAGAACACACACTTCTTGGCGGGAGTTCCGTCGGCAGAAGGGTTGTCAATGGCGTACTGAGTCTGAGCATCGCAAGCGGCACCGCAGAGTCTTGCATCGAAAGGACCAGAGAAGATCTTGCTAGTGATGAAAGTGTTGTAACCTTGAGCATCAAGAGGGGCGTCAATGGCGTGAGTTCCATAGTAGATGGCATCAGAGTAACCAGCGACAGCAGCGATGGTGTTGTTAGTGTAGCCGTTCGATCCAGCAATCAAGACCTGAAATTGGTTGCGATATTGTCTGGATTGAGTCAGAGAATGTGGTTCTGTCAGACTTCGACGATGCTTACCCGTAGTTGTTGGCATTGGCCCTGCTCACCGGTCCACCCCAGAAGACACACTTGATGTAGGTGACGGAAGGAGGGTTCTCACAGCCAGATGCACCCGAACCAGGATCGACCGAAGGGTCTCTCTCGAAATACAGGTTGAAGGAAAGGCATCCATAAATAGCATCTGACATGGGGTGATCAGCAAGATCTTCAAACGATGATCTACGATCCTAGCTTACCGCACTTAGCAGCACATTTGGCGGTATCGAAGGTGCTGAGAGTGGTGAAGCCAAGATAACCGTATGCGCTGTGGTATTGTTTAACAGTGTAATGACAACGATTTGGTTCGCTCGGCATACCTGTTGGAAGCATTAACGTTGGTGAAGGTGTTGGTGTATCCGCTGGGAACAGGAGCATTGGAAGCGATGGAAGCAAAGGCAGGGTTCGAGGCAAAGGCAGAGGGAGTATCGGGAGAGTAAGTAGGGGCTCCGGTTGCTCCAGGAGCCAAAGAAGTACAAGCAGCGCCTCTCTTCTCGATGGCGGTAGCAGTGGCAGCGGCATCACTGGCAACCGAGGTGGCTGGAGCAGTGGCCTGAGCAATCAGAGAGGTGTAATCGTAGGACACAACTTGAGCTGTGACTCCGACAGCAGGGTCATAGGTCACTGGTTCAGGCGCGGCAAGAACCATGTTGATATCAATCTCCTGAGGGCGAGCAGCAGGCATGGCCACCGCCAGGGCGGCGAAGCCTGGAATAGCGAGTGTGATACGCATCGTGTCAAAGACCTTCTGGAAGCTGAAACGAATGAAGCCGGGGGTGGTCGAACAACAGCTATAGAGGGCACTCGTGGCTTTATAGCCTTCTAGTCTATACTCTTACATGACGAGCATTGGAGAGCTACGATCCCTGACTACGAAACCCACACCAAGATCGTGAGTTGAACTGTCAGCAGTGAGGAGACTAAGCATCACGTTAGCGAAGCATAGATCATGAGGACTTCGCTTCCGGGGAACCAGGAGATAAACGGCTTGGTCAACTCGCGTCATTGCATACCAACTCATGGTCGCAGACTGGTGAGTGCGGTATCGCCTACCATCATTCAATAGGACTTAGCCGGTATAGATGGATCCAGCAACGCACGGCTCTCCGGCTTGTGGACACTATTGGGCTTGGACACGCTAGCCATGCAAGAGAAAAGCTACAAGGAGTGGTATACCGATGTAGATGACCTACCATGCCGAAGAGAAAGAAGCGTGGCTGACTCCAAGGGTAGGAAGATATGAGGCCCGAGCAGCGGATGGCGCTTGTTTCCCGCAGCCATGTCGTCGGTACAACTTCCAAGCTCTTGCAGTCACATCGGCCGTAAAAAACTGTACTGTCGCGCTGAAGGTTCTGGCGCTGTCCTTACTTAAAGGGCTCTAGGTACAAGACTTCAAGATAAGTGCTTGCCGGCCTAGAAATCAGGCTTTGCGGTGGTGTCATTGATCACTCGATCCATGAGAAGGACAAAGCCCTGAGGCGCTTGGTGAGAGGTTGATGCTCGTAAAGAAGGCTTCGAAAAGAAAAGAAGCATCGAATAACCCCGAATCATCACACGGAACATCGAAGCGATCCACGGCGCTGGACATCCGGCATTTGCAAAAAGTTCGGTCCAAGCCAGCAAGGAAGGAGCTAAGAAGCGGCATACCATGGCGCAGATAGGTCTTCCGAGGCGTGAGTAGAGTGACAGCGTGAGGTTGGATCCTGATGAGCGTGGTTGAACGTGCCAACGAGGAAGCTAGCCGCAACGGCCATGCAGGATCTGCACTGCGGGAGATTTGCAGCACTTGTCGCTCGCAGCGTGATACAATAGGCGACATCTTTAACATCACCTCTGGTCAACTCCAGTTCTTTTGGTGGTGTTGAACAGCTTCAAAAGCAGGAGTTCTCCACTGTTATGATTGTCGTTGAGACCAGATGCATCTGTTGCACTTCGAAACGCGGCCTGGGCAAGTCTTGGACCCTCATCAGTGAGACAATCGCCGTGTTTAGTTTTCCAGCAAAAACCCTCCATGATGACAGAGGTTAGCTTAAGCCTTACACTGAACAAGGTTGCTGCTACCGGAAACTAGGGCGGCCATATAGTTCGGCGCCACGCCCGCGTTCCTACATAAGCGTCCCACCATACCAAGTGCAATAATGATAGGGAAGGAAATGATTGTCCATTACGTGCGTACAAGAGGAGATAAGTAGAAGCATGTGCGCTAGCCTGATGCATCATCAACGTCGATGGCCTACTCCTGAAGGCCGATTGTGGATAGTTGTGGAAGGCTTACACGCAGATCGGGCCATTTGTGGTCAGGTTCGTGTGAGAATTGGGCAAACACCAGCTCCTGCTCTCGCCTATACCTTCATTCCTGGACTAGCTTTTCGGTAGCACGACTCGTGGGTGCGCCATGCCGTCAACCACGAGTTGCAACTGTATACCACGCCAGGCGCAAGAAGAATGATCAAGTGAAAGAATGAATACATATGCCTATTCTAAACAGTCAAAAACACCATGGCTAATAACATTCCCTAATGCAAATCAAAGACCCAAACAAAACACACCCGTGTCAGATTCCAGCTTTTTTGTGCAGACTCAACTACTCGTCGTCGCTATCCTCCTCACTCTCGCTGCTTTGGTCAACGGCCATGACATCGCCGTTTTCCTCGGCATCTTCGTGTGAAGGATTTGAGACCTGCAGCACAGGCATCATAACATCGAAGCCACCGGTACCAATTCTTCCAATCTTGCCGACGACGATACGACCGGAAGGACCGCTAAGGTCGTCGAAGTCTTCCTCCATGACTGCGTCGCGAAGGAAGCCAACAGTGGTCTCGAAACTCATCTTCATGAAAGGTGAAGTGTTGCCCTTGATGCCTTGACGAGAGAACGCCTGGTAGCCACCACCACGTGTCATGTAATCGGCGATGAGGTTCAAGTGACGCTGGTCGACACTGATACCGTGACCACCGAAGACAGCAGACACCTCGCGCACGATGGACGCACGGCAGGCTTCCACACCATACAGACGAAGCATGGCAGCGATGTCATTGGTGAAGAAACGGTTGGGGTTCAAGACGCCCTGGTGGAGTCGCATGGCCATAAGGTTCTCACCCTCGGTCATGATAACATCAACATCGACTTCCTTGCCGGTGCTTGGATCCTTGTACTTGTCCTGTGTTAACAAACAGCCGGCAAGACCAGGAATGGATTGGATGAGAGCGTCGCGAGCGCAGTTCTCAACCAAGTTGAGCATGAGAAGCTTGGCAGTCTCTGCAGCGTACTCAATGGTGAAGGTGCATGATGCGCCAGTCTTGTCGTCGAACTTGAAAGCAGACACATCGTTGGTGTACTTGCTGCTCTTGATACGCTCTTCGCGCTCTCTCGAGTTGTAAGCAACCTTCTTGATGCTAGCACTCGAGTCCTCCATCTCAGAGTCAGAGTCGTCGGAAGTGTTGGGGCTGCCAACAAAACCTTCATCCTCTTGGTCTTCTGGAGTAGTCTCGCGACGACCACGAGCAACAATCTCTGCCTCGTCTTCATCAGGGGCATCGTAGCCGCCTTGTGTCTTGTTCGACTTGGCCTTGTCACGAGTGGCATCGTCATCACCTTCATCATCAGAATCATCGTCTCCACCCTCGCGTTCACCCTCAGGACGGCCAGACTCCTGCTCGATCGTACCGGCAGATTCACCAATCTCAGGCATTGCGTCGGACTTCTTGAGTGTCTTTTGGTCGCCCTTCTTCTTAAGCTCCTTGCGCACAACAGCCTGGAGTCGGGGCAGGAACTTGGTCTCGATGGTGCGGGCAACGTCCTCAACAGTGATGGCGTACTCCTTGGTGTATTCATCCGAGGGGAACAATTGCAAGCGAACTGTGTAGGACTTAGCTTGTTCGTATGCAACACCCTTTCCGATCTTCTCTGTGACTGTGACCTTGTCAAGAACCTCAGCAAGGCTGAGTCTGCTGATGCCCTTGGCAAATTGTTCACTCTCTTCCTTGGGGATCTCAGGGTTGACGTGCAGAGTCATGGTAGGTGTGGCGATAGTGGCACTGGCAGTCATGACGATTTCACGAAGACGAGGAATACCAAGTGTGACGTTCTTTGCGGCGTGACCAGCCAAATGGAAGGTGTTGAGTGTCATTTGTGTCGAGGGTTCACCGACTGACTGACCAGCAACGACACCAACAGCCTCACCAGGTTCAACAATTGACTTGAGGTATCTCACATCAATGATGGCCTGAAGACTCTTCTTGCTCAATCCAGAGACGCCCTCAATGTTGCGCTTCTTGTCTTTGATGAGTCTGTCAGGATTCTCGTCAATGTACTTCTTGGCATCGCGCATGAGCTTCTCAGAAGTGCTACCGGCGAAGCGGGCAGGCGAGTAGATCGACAAGGCTGGGTCGCTGGCGCCAAGGTCACCTGTCTTTCTGTACTTCTTCTCGGCAGTCTTGTTGTATTCAGCAGCCTCATTGCTCATGATGCGACCGAATTCTGACTTGATGCCAAGGTTGTGGAACATGGACATGTGGTTCTCAGCAATGAACTTGAAGTCGGACAAATACTTGGCCTTGCCAACATCGAGACCATCTTCACCGTAGATGAATTGGATGATCGATCCGTCAGCGTCACGGACAGTAGTGTCGTACTCGGACTTGAGACCCTCCATACCCTTGATCAAACATCTCTGCAGATAACCGGATCTGGAAGTCTTGACAGCGGTATCGATCAGACCTTCTCTTCCGGCCATGGCGTGGAAGTAGTATTCTTGGGGTCTCACACCAGTCAGGAAACGATCAACAATGTAACCACCTGCTCTGACACTCGTCTCGAAAGGCTTGAAGCAAGGCAAAGTTTTACCACTGACCATGACAGGAACTCTACGACCTTCCAAAACTTGTTGACCGAGGTTACAAGAAATCTGGTTGGCGTTGACACCAGAACCCTTGGCTCCAGAGCCAGTCATGGCTTGCATTTGATTCTTGGGGAAAGGCTTGACCAGACCAGCAGGCAGACAGGTTGAGGTAACGTCACCAGAGACCTTGGCAGTAGTCTGGTTCATGACAGTATCCAGACCTGCTTGCTTGGAATCTTCACGAAGGACAGCTTCAAGACGTCTGCGCAGCTCTGGGTCGTTTGTGTCAGGATTTTCGCTCTGCAGAGACACATACTTGGCAGCGACTCCGAGACCGGCGGCATGCGACTTGCTAAGTGCTTCTCTTCTCATGCTCTCACCCTCAGGGGTGAAGATCAGATCTTCGACACCGCAAGAGAAAGCGCGCATATGGAGCATCTTCGTCAAAAGACGACCAAGCACACTCATAAGCTTACCAGCAATGGTGTGTCCGTAGGTCTCGTAGATGGCGTTGACAACACCGCCACCGCTGGGACCGATTTGTGCCTTGTCCAAGATACCACACAGCAGCTCACCATCCTTGAAGATGACGACCTGCTCTTCTGAGTTGGTGCCCCATTGCTTGGCAGCAGTAGAAGATTTGGAAGTCATAGTAAGACCAGGGAAGTCCTCTGGTGTCAGGTTCTTCAAGACAGATGAGACTACCTGCTTACCAGTCCAGAGAGGGCGGGGCTTTCTGATGGCAGGCGGTACAGTTTCGACACGTCCCGAAGTGGTGTGGTTGTTCTCAGGTCTCAAACCAGCGTAGAGCAGCTGATGGTAATCTTCACGGCCGAAGAAAGTATCGCGGTTGGTCAACCACACGCCCATGGAGATGTGATCCTGAATAAGACCACGAAGAGGTTTACCAGCAGTACCAGACAAATATTGGTGGTCGTTGTCGGCGATACTGATGGCCTCTGATCTAGCAAGCTCGTTCTGGGGGAAATGCAAGTTCATCTCGTCACCATCAAAATCGGCGTTGTAAGTGTTACAGTTGGCGTAGTGCATACGAAGAGTCTTCTCGCCAGGCAGAACGCGGGCTCTGTGACACATCATTGAAGGCTTGTGAAGAGTGGGCTGTCTGTTCATGATGACAATATCACCATTGTTCAGATGGCGGTGAACCTTCTTAGTCTTGACACCACTGACATTGGTGCTCGAGGGAGCCTGAAGCTGGTTGGCTAGAGCGGTACGCTCCTCGGCATTCTTGATTTGCAAGTTGATGACTTGGCCATTCTCGTTCTCGATGGCAACAGCACCAGGCCAGACATAGGGACCGTTGATGACAGCTTGTCTGAGATCGTTGTAGTTGTGATCGTTGACAGGCTCAGGGTATGTCAGCTTGAGAGCAAAGACCGGAGGCACACCGATCTCGTTGGTTTCGATGTTAGGATCGGGCGAGATAACGGTACGGGCAGCAAAGTTGACACGCTTTCCCATCATGTTCTTTCTGAACAAACCCTCCTTCTTTTCAAGGCGCTGCTTGATACCATCCTCGTTTCTCTTTCCAGCACCACCTTGCACAGGGTTACGATCGCGATCCAGAAGAGAGTTGACGCCGTCTTGGAGACGAATCCAGGCATCCTGGAAGTCGGCGTAGTTTCTTGGGCGTCTTGCGTATTCGTTCTGAATAGTACCGTTAAGCTCCTTGTGGATCTGAGTCATCTGGTCGCAAACATTGATGATGTTCTTGTAGAGGGAGTTCTCCTGAGCTTCGGCGATCTCATCAGCACCGGTTCGGGCTTCAGGTCTGAATCTGTTGGGAGGAACAATCAAGTCCTTGATGAAGAACATTTCAGCGCTAAGAGGAGCGCCTCTGCGACCCTTAGAACGAGGAGTGTAGATCATGCCCAGAACTTCGGCGTCCTGCTCGAACAATTGGACAAGGTGTGCGTGCACTTGACCTGCGTTCAAGTAACTTTGCTTCTCTTCTTTGTCGGACTTGGAGCTAGTGGTCGCTGTCTCGGATTCCAGAGCATTTCCTCCTGCGACTTCTTGCTCAATGTCGAGCATTGAAATATCTTCTCCTTCTCCTTCTGACTCTGCAGGGGAATCCTCGAGATCTGCGACGGCTTCGTCTTGAGCAAGACCCTGCTTCTTGGCTTGAGCCTCGCGCTTCTTCTTCATGAGGAGAAGAGGATCTTGAGCCTTGAAACCTGCCTGGACCATGGCAATTCTGTCCTTCTCCGACAAGGGTTTCCTGAAAATCTTGACGAAACGGTCTTTTCTGTAGGTGGGCGAGATACCGTTGCAGTTGCTGCACTTCTTGCTCTTTGTGATGGAATAGAGGAACTCCTTGACGATGGCTCGTCTTTCGTTTGCGACGGCTTCGATCTTGGTGTCGGCCCAGTCGTTACGCTTCTTGCTGAAGCCAGCTTGCTTGAGAGCGTTCTTGACAAAAGCGTTTCTGCGAGCGATGATGCCCTTGGTATCCTCGTCCTGTTCATCGTCGGAGTCGTCCTTGCTAGGTTTTGCCTTAGAGTCGGAGGCGGAGAGGGTGATTTCATCGACATCGTAGCACTCCTTGAGCAGACCGTACTTGACAAGAGTAAGCTTGCAGACAAAGCGGTTGACTTCGGCACGGGACATCTTGAGCTTGTGGCAGTAGATACATTTTGCGCGAAGGAGACGCAGACATTGGTCCATGAACGTGGGGTTGTAGACATGAACAGGAAGCTCAATGTGACCGCAATGGCCAGGGCAGCCAAACTTCAGGTTGCAAGTGGTACATCTATAAACAGCGGGTTAGCCTAGCTGCCCAGCTTGAAGCAAGAGCAGAGAGCCAACTCACGAGTTGTCGCCAAAGTTTCCGAGCGCAGCATCGTAAAGACCACCAGGTACAGGGTTCAACAGGGTATCGAATGTGGTAGGGTTGGTGATGCGCTTGACGGACAAGGCGCGGATCTCGTCCGAGGGCAGGAAAGCGAACTCGACGCCGCCGATTTGCGACGAGACGGGTTGTGAAATATTCATGTTGGCGATGTATTCGCTAGCAAGCAGCGGTCCACAGCTTGAAGCAACACAAAGTCGTCGTCGGCCGCAAAAGACGACGGTGGCTAGCAACAAAAAAGTTTCCCGATAGCAACTTTTCGATCTGGGGAAGGAACGTCGGCCCTGCAACGGCAAGTCCCGCCGCGCTCAAGTTGGTCGCGCTTTCCCAAAAGTCCATCGTCACTTCCAGACTCTGGCTCGGCTTTGTCGTCCTTGGCGACTCGAACTTCTGCCTTGAGCTTGTCGTCGTCGACCCGCTGAATCTGGACATCGCCCACCACCGCTTCCATGTCCGAGAAGCGCCCTTTTCCCGGTGACGGCCTGGACGACGGCCATGATTCGAAACGTCCCCGGTCAGCCCAAGCATCGCCAGCGCCGGACAACGATGTCGAACGTAAAAGGCGCGAAGTCGCTGAGCGCATCGCCGCTATGAAGGCTCGCATGGCAAACAAAGGAGGTCCCGCTGCCACTGCGTCCGCTGCAGCACCCGCCGCTGCTCCCCCGTCGTCGTCCGCGACCGACATGCAAGCACGTATTGCTGCTATGAAAGCTCGTCTGCAAGGCAATGCCGCTCCAGCATCACCATCTCCTGCGCCCGCCTCTGTATCTCCCTCTCCCGCACCGTCCTCTGAAGATGCCAGGAAGGCACAGATCCAAGCCCAACTTGCTGCCATCAAGGCCAGAGTCGCGCAAAGGCAGCAGCAACCAACACAGACCGATATCCCTACCCGTCCTGCCGCTCAAGCCCCAGGCTTTGCTCAATCCCCGCCTGTTCGCGATGATACTGCTGCACGCGCAAGAGGTGGTTTGAATGTCGGCTTGCATCCTAGTCTGTTAGGTGGTCCTTCGAGGTCGGGAAATAACAAAAAGCAAAAGGAGGAGCCTGTGAAACAAAATCCTTATCTGACTGGCGAGGATCAGACTGCTGCTATGCAGACCGAGCCGTTCTTCGACCCTTCGTTGCAGAAACAGAAAGAACGCAAGTCCAAGCAGCTGCTCTTCAACCAGAAGGGTAAGTTCATGGCACAGGCTGAAGCCTTACGGCAACAGGCGAGGATCGAACAAATGGCCAAGGAAATGCAAGAACAAGCGCGGAAAAAAGCTATCGAAGAGGCCACGGAGAAATCTTTCTTGGTTCCTGCTCCACCAGACATTGAATGGTGGGACGAAGGTCTTGTGACTGGCGGCAACTATGATAATCTCGAAGCTCCGAACAAGATCAACATGGAAGTCATCACAAGATACGTGCAACATCCTGTTCTACTTTCCGCCCCTCAAGACGCCAACGTGCCGGCTCCGAAGGCCATGTATCTCACCAAGCAAGAGCAGAAGAAGGTTCGACGACAACGTCGCATGGCAGATCACAAAGAAGAGCAGGCAAAGATCAGACTCGGCCTTAAAGCGCCACCACCGCCCAAGGTCAAGAAATCAAATCTTATGCGCGTATTAGGCAATGAAGCCGTCAAAGATCCTACTGCAGTCGAGGCTCGTGTCAACCGCGAGATTGCACAGCGTGCCGAGGACCACGAGACTGCCAATTCTGAGAGACAACTGACCAAAGAGCAGCGCCTTGAGAAGCTGGCTGCTCAGCAAGAAGCTGACGCCGCTCTTGGCATGAAACTATTGGTTTTCAAGATCGATAACTTGAGTTATGGAAAACACCGCTTCCAGATCAACAAGAACGCCGAGCAGCAAGCCTTAACAGGCATTACCATCTTCCACCCAAAAATGAATCTAGTAATAGTCGAAGGCGGCTCCCACAGTATCAACGCATACAAAAAACTCATGCTCAACCGCGTCAAATGGACCGAGAACGCCATGCCACAAAGTGTGCGTGAGGGCAACACAGAAGCCAATGCTGCATGGCTGAACGCATTCGACGAGGATGGAAAGCTCAAGGACAACACATTCAACAGATGTCAGCTTGTCTTTGAGGGCGAGGAGAAGCAAAGGTCATTCAAGCGCTGGATGCCATACAAGGCCTGTGAGACGGATGGCGAAGCCAAGGACGTGCTCAGCAGGTACAAGATGGAAAACATGTGGACGTTGGCACAATCTCCAGCGTTCCAGTAAATTTTACGAAACGAACAATACGACACAAAAACAGAGATACCACTTGAACAATCAAGAACAGACGGAGAAGAAGATCCGATCCAATAAGCTTAATGCACTCGCAAAGGACAAACTGTAGAAGGGGCCAAAGTGTGAACATCTGAACAAAGGTGGCCGCCAGCAATCATCCCAAAGTCTTGTCCATAGTAAGTCTTTGAGAAATTTCTCCGATCAGCCAAGAATATTGCTTGACCCATCGTCCCATGCATACCCTACCCGCGACTTGCCTTGAATCCCTCAAATTCGTTTCTGTGTATTTTTGCATGAATGCGAGTGTATCAGTGGCTAGGGGCTGCTGCTTATTCATCTTTGTTAGGCAGTAAAGGTATATAGGCCAGTGTCATACGCAAAAAAAAAATAGAAACAAAATGAGTAACAGGAAATCGTATTTTGCTTTTTTCTTCATATCCTAAGTTATATAAGATATAAGGGGGCATCTCTGTCCCGATGGTCCCCATTCCTTATATATCCCCATCCTCATGCCTCTTCATTCCTTCATTGGTATCAAAATTTTTGCAGGAACAGGCATGAGCTTTCTGTGGCTTCGAATCTAGCAGTAGGAAACCATTTAAGCAGCCTCTTCATGGATGAGCTTGGTAACCTTGCCAATGGCAATGGTCTGACCCTGATCACGGAGGGTGAATCTACCCAAAGTGGGGTACTCGGCGAAGGTCTCGATACAGACACCGGCACCGTTGTTGCTGGTGACCTTCAGGCGAGCGATGATGCTCATACCCTTGGTGGCGAAACCAGGAGCCTTCTTTGACTTTCTGCCTGTGCCCTTTTCGAGCTTGTGGAGGAGGGCGTCGAAAGTGATTTCTTCGGTGGCGGCGTGAACTGTTGAGTGTTAGTGAATAATTCTTGGGTAAGCTATGATGTTGGAAGAACTTACCGTGCATGACACAGTTGAAACCGGCAGAGAGAATGGACTTGATGTCGAGGAGGACAATCTGTGCTTCAAAGGTTGACACACAGTTGACGGGACGGCGAGGCGAGCACAGCACGAAACCGGGCATGATATCTTCTTCTTCGATACCCTTGATACGCAGGCGGATCTGGTCACCGCAAGTGGCGTTGGGGATTTCATCTTCGGTCTCACCGTAGAGGGCTGAGATAGTGGTCTCGACACGGTTGGGCATCATCAAGTACTTGATATCCTTCTTGATGACACCAGACTCGATCTTGCCCTCGATCATGGTACCCAAGTCACGGTACTTGGCAGCGACGGGCATCAGGAAGGGAGCGTTGAGCTTACGCTCCAGAGCCTGCATGCTATCCAGGTAGTCGAGGAGCGAGATGGAGTCGTTCCAGGGGCAGACGTCCTTGGGAACGGGGTTCTTGATACCGAGGGTGGTCTGAGCGGAGATGGGCATGAAGTGCAGGTCAGTCTTGGGGTTGTAACCGACACCCTTCAGGAACTGGGCGAGCTTGCCAGTACATTCCTTGTAACGCTCCTCGCTCCACTCAACAGTAGGGTCGTCCATCTTGTTGACAGCGATAATGAGCTTGTTGACACCCTGAGTCTTGGCCAACACGGCGTGCTCACGAGTCTGACCACCCTTCTCGAAACCAGTCTCGTATTCACCCTTTCTGGCGGAGATGACGAGAACACCGATATCAGCCTGGGAGGCACCACCAATCATGTTGGGCACAAAGGTCTTGTGTCCAGGAGCATCAAGAATGGTGTAACGACGCTTCTCGGTCTCGAAGAAACCCTTACCGACCTCGACAGTCTTACCCTTGGAACGCTCCTCCTTGGTCAAATCCAGAGCCCATGACAGGTACCATGTCTCTCTACCAGCTTCCTTGGCATCACGCTTGTACTTCTCCATGGTACGCTCGTCGACCATTCCACTGGCGTACAGGATGGAACCACCAAGAGTTGACTTTCCGGCATCGACGTGTCCAAGGAAAATGACGTTGACGTGCTCCTTGCCGTACATCTCCTTGAGAGTCTCCTCATCGACGTCAGCAGCCTGCTCGGCAGCAACCAGATCGGCCTGGCGGGCTTCAGCACGCTTTTCAGCGGGAGTGGGCGAGTTGCGGCCAGATGAGGGGGTAGGTGAGGTGCGACCAGATGAAGCAGCGGGTGAGTTGCCAGTCTTCTCCAATGCTTTGGCAGCAGTAACGGCCTTTCCGGCACCAGCCTCAGCCTTGTTGACAGTCTCCTTGACTGGTGCAGGCTTGGCAGGCTCAGCGTTGAGCGAGAGGACCTTTGTGCCCGCAGTCTTCTCGACCTTGGGGGCAGCAGGGGTGCCCAAGCTCAGAACCTTGGTGCCGCCAGTCTTCTCAACCTTGGGAGCCGAAGCACCAGTGTCAGATGCGCTGAGCGAGAGAGTCTTGACAGCAGCCTTGGGAGCATCGGCGGCGGGCTTGGGAGCGGCAGTCTGGTCACCTCTCTTAGCGATGACGGGTACTTGGCGCTGTTGTTGTGCGGGTTGTTGGTAGGACTGGTTGTATTGTTGACCGTAGCCCTGCTGGCCGTACTGGCTGTATTGCTGGCCGTATCCTTGCTGTCCGTATCCTTGGTTGCCGTACTGGTTGTATTGCGAGCCGTACTGGCCGTACTGCTGGCCGTAGCCACCATATTGCTGTCCGTATCCTTGACCAGGGTTGAAGTAGGCCTGGCCAGGGTTGAAAGTAGCAGCACCGGGCTGGAAGCTACCCATGCCAGGGTTGAAACCACCTCTCTGCTGTTGTTGGTAGGGCTGTTGCTGCTGGGCGCCCATGTTCAGGCTTTGCTGGGCCTGTCTCGACAGGTCCTGGTCCTGCTGGGCGTCCGGTGAGTCTTCCCACGAGTTGAGGTCCGACATTGTTGCTGTGTGAAAGCGATCGGATTTAAGGGGGAATGCGACGTTGGTTCGAGGGCGAAGGTGAGTCGAGCTGCACCTGGTGTTTATGAACGAAAAATGTTGACAGCCGCAAGTTGCAACTCTTGGTGGGGTCGCGCCTGCCTCACACACACCGGCTGGCGGCGACTCGATTTTGCAAGGACATCACTTCCGCATTTACGTCACGTGCGTCTTGGGCATGAACCAAACATTTTCGAAATCTCCCAGCCATCTTTTCTTCTGGAACAGAACTCTGTGCTGCCTTGAGCTGACGACATTGCTTTTGACGTATTATTGCTAAATTCTTGTTGGGTATCCATTGCTGCCCGTTCGAGCTGACGCGGTCGCTCATCACAACTCATCTGCGTCCACCATCTGAACCACAATACCAGTCGATGCACCACCTCCGTTGCAGATGGCAGCACATCCGTACTCGCCCTTCTTCAGCTGATGCAACAGCGTCACCAAAATTCTTGAGCCCGAGCTTCCCAATGCGTGGCCGAGAGAGATTGCGCCACCTCTGGGGTTGACGTTCTCCATACCGAGTCCAAGAATCTGGTGATCCGTGTAAGTAGATATTCACGACAGCACACATTGTTCACTAGACGTACCTTGGCGTTTGCCTCGATGACGGCGGCAAAGGCCTCGTTGAACTCCCACACCTTGACCTGCTCCTTGGTGATACCAGCTCTCTCAAGCACGATGGGAACCACCTTGGATGGTGCAATGGGGAAGTCGATGGGGTCGACTGCTGCGTCTGCTGTGGCTACAATGCGTGCGAGCAGCTTGTTGCCCTTGCCGTACTTCTTGGCAATCTCCTTGTTACCAAGAACCAGTGCAGAAGCTCCATCTGACAGGCCTGAGCTGTTGGCAGCTGTCACGGTTCCCGAGCCAGACTTGTCAAACGCAGGCTTCAGCGTGGGCACCTTCTCGAGCTTGAGTCTGTAAACACCCTCGTCTTCTGAGACCACTGTGTCACCCTTCTTGCCCTTGACGGTCACCGGCACCATCTCTTCCTGGAAGAGTCCCTGCTTGTAAGCTTCTTGAGCGCGCTTGTAACTCTGGATGGCGTAGTTATCCTGATCTTCACGAGTGACACCGTGGTCCTTGGCCGTCTTCTCAGCGCAGTTGCCCATGTGGATCTGATTGTATACATCCCACAGACCATCCTTGATCAAGCCATCATCGAGCTTGATGTTGCCAAAAGGCGGAAGTTGAGATGATCGCGGCAGGTAGTATGGCACTTGACTCATGTTCTCCATTCCTCCTGCGACTTGTGCTTCGGCGAGGCCAAGTTGGATCTTCATGGCGGCTATTGAGACAGCCTTCATACCTGAGGCGCATACTTTGTTGACAGTTGTTGATTCTACCGAAGAATCGAGGCCAGCAAAGAGGGCTGCCTGTCTTGCTGGTGCTTGACCGACACCTCCTTGCAAGACCTGGCCCATGTAAACATCGCGGATGTGTTCGGCAGGGACGGATGAACGGGCAATGGCTTCTTTTATGGCGATAGAGCCGAGCTTAGGTGCTGACACCGAGGCGAGAGCTCCGTTGAACTGAGAGTTGCCATTAGACCAGCCAAAAGATTCTCAATTGCCACAATGATATACATACAACTCCAACAGGGGTTCTGACAGCGCTGAGAATGTATGCATCTTGAATCTCCTTTGCCCGGGATGTGGAGGAGCTGAATTGTCTACAGCTGCTGAAACATGTCTGACGAGCAGAAAGTGGTAGGCGACGCAGAGGAGTGCGAAGTGTGACGGACGACATCTTGTGAGACTTCGAATATGCGATAGAAAAGAAGAAACAATCAAGTCACCAAAAAAAAGAATGGAGGAATGGGACATCACATGAATGCTGCAACTGTTCGCCGAGGTGGACGTGGGAGCCGCGGGGCAGTTCCGTGCGAGGCCTCCGTCATTTTAGTGAAGCCTCGGCTGTCTTCGCCGCGACTCTTGTCCGCGCCCTTGTTGGAGCCGGTAGCGCCCTTGGTCCCTTCTCCTTGTGTTTGGAAGGCCATGGCCGAGCACTCTCTGTTCGTTCTATCGCAGGTGTCCTGACAAGAAGGCTTCAGAAGCCGCCCGGGCGCATCCCCATCGGCATGCGACCGGGTCCTGGCCCTGGCATATGGGGTGGCCCTCCCGGCGGCATCATGAACGCGCCGCCAGGCATAGGCGGCGGCTGCATCATTCCCCTTCTTCCTTTCGACTCTCTCCTTTTCATCTCAGGATCAACGCGACCACCAAAGACCGGCTCTTGTACAGCAACGCTCTTCTCACCTGGCAGCTTGAACTCGACCAGGTTGAAGTAGTAATCCAGCACCTCTGGATATCGTTGTAGACTGTTCTTCCAATCTTCATCGATGCCTCGTTGGTATGCACCCTGCGCAGCAGACATTTGCACGCGTAATTCGTGCATCTGAGGCGGTGAGATAGGTGGCCGACCTGCGTAGATTTTGTAGAGTTCGTAATATGGTATGGTAGCTAGGTGTGCTTCGTATTGCTGCTTTCTTATATCGACCATCTGATTGAATGTATGGATTATCCACTCGCGAGCATGGCTGAGTACCCAGTGTCTGAGATTCTTGAGTATCAGTCTCGAGAAGTTTGGGTCGGTATCATGGAAGGAACGTGCCTTATCTGTCGCATCTCGATGCATGCCATCCAGCGGTGACTGGCCTCGTCCAAGGCTCTCTTCAACCTCTCATCTTCGTGTTGGCATTTTTTTGATGGCGGTGCGCCGCAGACGGCGCATGATGCTTCCGCTTGCATTCGCTGAACGTGATTTGACTACAATAATATCTTGTGCTCAGCCAAAACGTGTGCAAGATTCGAGGCCTTGCAAAGCCGTCGAGACTCGAGAGAGAGGGGTTTGGGCTGCAAGAAGGAAGACACAAAAGACACAACAACAATTGTTTCCCAAGATCATGCAGGGTAAATCAGCCTAGCCGAACTGACTGATTACTCTATTAGTCTTTTGTAAGGCCGATTTCTTCTGCTTGGTCACGTTCGTGGTTGCCGATTGGTGCTTCGCAGAGTGATGAGCTGTTCTTGGTGAATCCGCTCAGAGGAGGGTCTGTATCGATCCTGAACATCAACAGACTTCTAGAGTAAACGAAAATGAATATTAGCAAGGACTGTCATGCTATTTGGTGTACATAACAAGATATTCAGACTTGCGATGATTGATCAACTCGCACAGCAGGGTGACCTAGACAGCATGTGGACTTAGCGGTCATCATGTTATGCCGCTCACTACACCCTAAGCACAAAAGTCGGAAAAAAGTCGTAAGATGAGTTATCGTACATTTCACACATAGTGTAGTTGATATACGTCATTAAAACATGACAAGGTGATGGAGAAGCAGCTCGCTAACACAAGTGAATCAAATTACTACCACTGGATGAGACAGCAAGTTCGCAGGATAAAAATGATAATGATAAAAGACTATAAAACAACAACTACATAATAGTACAAATCAAAGACTAAGCGAAACATGAATGCAGTCATCTGACTCGGGGATAACCCAGCATCTAGATATAGACAGGAACAAGGTCGATATCAGCACAGCTCGAGGGGTTCTCGTAGTCATAGTAGCTTTTTGGTCGTTAGCACATGGGTTCGACGAGATGAACTAGATTAACTTACTTCCACTTGGCAAACAGCTGTGGGACACCGTGCCACCATTCACAAGCAAGCCATCCTCCGAACTGGTCTGTACCAGCGGGTCCACTTGGGGCCGAGTTCCACTGAAGGCCACTGGAGTTCATGTAGAAACCGCCAGTACCTGAACCTCCATCGATGCGGACGGGTTCCCAGGCAGCGTAGAAGTTGACGTCCTGAACGTAAAGATCATAAGGTAAGGTACCACCAAGATCGAACAGCTGGTTGAAGAAAGGCTGGCCATCACTCTGTGTGATGTTGGTGGCATTTTCGAAGCCTTTGGCGGCGTATGATCTGTTGGAGTAGAAAACGCCATCGTTCAAGCCTGCTCCAGTGTGAGAGGCGACAAGCCAGAGATCGTTGAATCTTTCTTTGCCCTCTTGGCCAGGCTTCAACAAAGTACGAAGCTCATACTCGCGTGTAGTGTTGATGCCCGCCAGAGCGGTGCCAGCGAGAGCAAAAGCAGAGACGATGGTGCTGAAGTGCATGATGGATGAATTGATTGATTGGTTCGTAGATTGATAGATTGGTTGATTGTTGTTCTGTTTGTGTTGAGAAGATGAGATGAGAAGATTGTTGATGATGATGAGCCAGCAATGTGAGCAAGAGACTGCTTCTTTATATGCCTGTATCCTGTAGTTGGAACGTCATTGTGTAGTAGACCTTTACCATCACCACACCAGGAAATAATCTTGACCTGTATACTAATTTTACAAACTCGTAAATATCGTGGTATGCGAATCCTTCGAGGGACAAAGACAGGAATGGATCGTCCAAGCTAATTCCTGACTTCACCGTCTGCTTCTGTAGATCGTGAGACAATGCAATAATGGTAATACCAATCTCTATAACGCGACCAAGTACTTGACGAAGCAGTGATTACTGGCGTGTTTGACATGTACTACCGAGTGAGACGTTCAATTGCTTCTGTATCAGCTAGTCGCGTTGGTGAGAGGAGTTCGAAGCGAGCAAATACTCGCCTACAAGCTACAGCAGTGGAGTGGCTGCCAAGCTCAAGAATGGAAGCTTGTCATCGTCGGCATCTCGGCACTGCAACTTCCTCTTTTACACTTCCGGGAACTGAAAACACAAACAAGCACTCTGATTGAGCCTGAAAACTAGCGGTGGCGATGGTGATCTTCAGACTTGAGCTGAGGTCGAGCCGGTTGTAGTCAAAATTAACTTGTCAAAGTCACGCGCAGCTGAGGCTAGTCGCGTCCTCCGACGACTGCTCTTGATGATTGATCTTCAGTCCAAAAATAGCACCTGCGGTAGCTTTCAATCCTTCTTTGTCTCAAGATGGACCACAAAGAAGCCTTTGGCAGGCGTAGATCAAGAAACTGTTAAGCTTCTTAGACATGTCTTGCGTGGAGGCCTCGTATCTGTGGGGTATGTCAGATCATTTGATGCATCTGATCAGGATGACCTACCTTCTTGGCATGCGATCATACATTGTGATGCCCCTCTATACTGATCTAGGGATTGAGAATCTATTTTGGTACCATCTCCTCGCAAGATATGCAATTGACCTAGGTTATGACGTGCGGCAACGAAGGCCGCGGTCATGCCTGAGATGAGCCAGTTGGCAAAGAAGTCTTCGTGCCATGATATGGCAAGAGATGAAATGACGACAAGGGCGAGCGTGTGCCCGGACTTGAGGATTCCTTCGCTCGGCCAATCACTCTCACCAATCTGATGTTGGAAGTGTCGACATGCTCAGGCATAGTTGAGTTTGCCGACATGCAAGAAGAATGAGAACTGAAGGCGTGGGTGCAGGCATCGGTAGAATCAATGGAGGCTGACAAGCTTGTGTTGTGTCCTTCTTCATGCAGGTGAAGATTCAGGAAGGAAGCAGCGCTGTGTGCAGAGTCACTTCTGAAACACAGGACATGAACATTACCTGAACCCAGCTTGATCAATTCCATTGTCGCTCTATCATCGCATCAATATCAATCCTATATCCATCAACAAGCTCTTACTAGAGTAATGCCCTCTGACAGTACACCGGTCGTCAGGCTGCTACACTTCAACGATGTCTATCGCCTCGAGCCTTCGGAACACGATCCAATTGGGGGTGTCACTCGCTTCCAGAGCCTGTGCAACTACTATCGACATCATTCGAGATATCATGGGCAAGCGGAGCTCATCACGCTCTTTTCGGGAGACGGGTTCGGTCCGAGCCTCGAGAGCAGTGTAACCAAAGGTTTTTTACCATGTCCATCGTAGTGTCCTGGACAAAAGCTGATATCCGTTATAACAGGTGCTCACATGGTTCCGATCCTGAACAATGTTCCAGTCGCTGCTGCCTGTGTGGGCAACCATGAACTGGATATGGGCGTTGCTCAATTTGAGTATCTCGCAGCTCAATGCAACTTCCCTTGGCTACTAGCCAATGTCACAGACCCAGCGCTGGGTGAAGACATTCCTCTAGGACACGCACAAAAGTCCATAATGCTCACGTCGTCGACTGGGGTCAAGATCGGAATCATTGGACTCGCTGAAAAGGAATGGCTCGAAGCTGTCAACTCTCTCCCCGCCAATCTAGCCCACATTGACCCCGTCGTAACAGCACGCAAGCTGATACCAGAACTTCGAGCCCAGGGAGCAGAGATGATCATTGCACTGTGTCATCAAAGAGAGGTCCATGACAAAAGGCTGGCTGAGGAAGTGCCAGAAATTGACATCATACTTTCTGGTCATGATCACCATTATCGCCATTCAAAAGTACATAACACCCACGTCTTGTGCTCTGGTAGTGATTACAAGCAGCTCAGCTATATCGAAGCGTCAAGAGATGGTAGCGAATAGGGCTTCGCTATCACACGTCGTGATGTTGACAGCACCGTGGCCGAGGATCCAGCTACCGTTGAGCTGCTCGATAAGCTGTTTTCGTCGCTCCAGAACAAACTGCAGAAAGTAGTCGGCTATACCGCTGTGCCACTCGATTGTCGTTTCAGCACTGTCAGGAGCCAGGAATCGAACATGGGCAATTTTGCTTCAGACTTGATGCGCTACTATTACGGTACAGATTGTGCAATGATTGTTGGAGGTACAGTCAGAGCCGACATTGTCTATCCTCCAGGCATTCTGCGACTCAAAGATATCGTGGACTGGTAAGTGTCTTGAGCAGTATCAGCAATAAGCATATCGAAGAATTTTCGTTGACGCATGCTAGCTTTCCGTTTGAAGATCCTGTTGTTGTGATTAAGGTCAAAGGTCAGCAATTACTCGAAGCACTGCAAAATGGTGTGTCCAAGTATCCTGCTCTGGATGGCCGCTTTCCGCAGGTTTCCAACATCAGCTTCACGTTTGATCCGTCACGAAGCAGTCATAATCGAATTGTTGCAGTACAGATTGGAGGAGAGCCACTTGATGTCAATCGAGAATACTCTCTAGCAACCCGGGATTTCATGGTGAAGGGCGGAGGTATGCATCCTCTCGACATGGTGTGTCATGATTGATCATGCTGACACAGTTTAGATGGCTATACTTGCTTTCGTACACAGTCCAAGGGAGGATCTGCTATCTCTGTCGTAGATGAAGAAAATGGCATACTCCTGTCAATGCTACTACGACAACACTTCTTGTCATCATTGACAGTCGGACGCTGGAAACACTGGGGTGCAGCACTTGGCCAGCATTGGGGTACAGTGCATGAGCATCTCCGACGCACAGGCTCGGTGGTCGAGCGTACGGATACCAACCATACTTTCAGGAGAGACAGCAGTGATGCGTCGGCCCGAAGAGCCAGTGTCGATATTTCATCTGGCAGAAGAAAGAGTAGCGCTATCTGGGACAGACCGCCAGTGAGAATCATTGAGCCAGCTGAGATGGATCTCAGCGAATCAGAAGACGGATCTGAGGTGACTGCTCCGGTGCTGCCCAGAGAGCTATCGCCGGAAGAACACGAGCTGGTGGTGGCAAGGAAGGCTATGCGAAAGTGGTGGAGACTAGCTGGGTTGAACAAACGACATGCGATGGGCTACGAAGCAGGCGAGGAACTGGGAGTTGGCTGGACAAGAGGCATTTCTCCACAACTGGAGGGACGCATCAAGGTGGTCTTGGGTGTGCTTTGAAGTGGCTTGATAAATCTGGGAACCTAGCATCCGATACTTTTCCCTAATTCTACGACTCTTTCGCAGAACATCACTTGTGAAGTGGTATAAAAAAGATGAGTCTATCGGCATTATCGTCGTGAGTTGCGTAGTGTATGATGCGAGTTGCTTCATCTCTTCTTCTTGCTGACGACCTTGGTGAAGCCATCATCGTCGACCTCGGGCTCCTGTCTCTCGCGCGGTGCGGGAACAAGAGCAGGAGCAGCATCGCCCATCTCGACATCGTCATCGTCGTCGCTCTCTTCCTCGCTGCTCTCATCGTCATCGTGCTTGTGCTCGACGACTTGCAAGTTCTGGGGGACTCTTCCTCCACGCTCCTCGAACCGTCTCTTGATAGCCTCAACACCAGAGAAGTTTCCTTCGGCAGTCTCCTTTCTAAGCTTCATGATCTCTTCTGCGACAGGAATCTCGCTCTCGTCTTCACAGTTAAGGTCAAACTCATCCTGCATGACCTGCAGCAAGACGGCTTCGACGTCGAATTGATCCGTATCGGGACGGTCGGCGAAGAGATCGCTAATGGCACCAGCGAACCAGTCGCGCTTTGCAGAGCTGTCGGGACCGCCCCAGTTGCTGGTGACGGCGATGGTGAGGGCGGGCCAAAGGCCTAAAGCGTACCAGATGCCGAGATCGAAGTTGGATTGAATTGCTTCTAAGGTTCGTTAGTGCCTGTGTTCAAGGAGGTCGTGGCGGGTTCTAGTACCTTGATCAGCCATGATTGTATTTTGATGTATCGAGGACCGTGATGGACAATTATTTCGGCGCAACGAAATTTTGCGCTTGGACCACCAACTCTCACCTTCTCCAGATTTCGGGAGAGGTTGGCAAGTGGACCCTGAAGCAGCCACCTCGTCACGATCATCGTGCTCCACAGGCTTCATCTCCGTTGCTGCACGCGTTGCACCTGCCCGAAACAAATATACATACGGCTCACCCGGCTCCTGCCTCTTGCGCACATGTCCAGAGTCTTTGATGCAAATATCGCCTCCTAGAAACGTCCACACTCACGTCGCTTCTTTCTAATCAAGGTGCTATGCATTCATGACAAGAATTGTCAGAACCAATCGCATATACAACACCACCAAGGAGACACTTAACCAAAGAGATTCGCCATGGTCTTGAGCACTCTCGGCGTAGCTGCCGACGTGACACCTTCGGTCATTGAAACCTTCTTCTCACATGCAAGACACCGGAACATCTCACGCGACACGGCATGTATGCTAACTCGATGCACAGTATCTCAATCGCAAACCGCTCAAAGGCAAACCTACCGCCCATGTTTCATATCACGAAGGCCTGCGCCTGATTCGCCAATTTCTCAACTACGCTTCTCAACACACCGTCGAAGACATCCAAGCCTTCACTGGTCAATGGGTTCCCTCCCCTACATGGGTCAAGCTTGACGAAGTTCCCATCTCAGATGCCCATTTACAACGCTCCGCAGAGCTTGTCAAAGCACAGCTTGGTCCCGCAGGCCTGCAAAGAGTCGGAGGTCAAGAGTGGTGGCAATGGCGGCGGCCTGACATCGCCCTGAAGGGCGAATGGATCGAGATGCGCCAGGACTATAACGACCGAGTGGCTGCCAACAACAAGGGTGACCGCATCATTCTCTACATCCACGGTGGTGCCTACTACTTTGGCTCTGTAGATGAGCATCGCTACCAGATGCAGCGTCATGCGCGAAAACTCAAAGCCCGTCTGTTCGCTCCGAGATATCGCCTCGCTCCTCAGTTCCCTTTCCCTTGTGGTCTACACGACTGTATCGCTGCCTACCTCCATGTCATTGAGCAATATGATCCCTCGACTGTCCTGCTAGGTGGAGATTCGGCTGGTGGTGGCATGGTCATCAATATGCTCGTTACCCTCCGCGACCAAGGCATCCCCCTTCCTGCAGGAGCCCTTCTTCTGTCACCATGGGTTGACCTCACCCACTCGTTCCCTAGTGTAGCCGGTGAAGGCACCTTTGACTACATTCCCGCCAACGGTTTCCACCACAGGCCTTCAATGGCGTGGCCACCCCCGAACGCCAACGATCTGAGGGAGCTCAAGTCTCCAGAAGCCGACCAACCCCGCAAGTCAAAGGAGGAAAAGAAGAAGCTAGAAAGGGAGGCCACCATGGGCTTTTCCGTCCACGACGTACCCGAGCATGAGAAGCATGATCAAGCCACCCGCCCACGTGCTAAAAGCATCCCTGGTGGCGAGCATCTATCGATCGAGCTGGATGGCAAGCTGATTGAGCTGACTGACCAAATTCAGATGTACACCACTAATGACATGCTCGCCCATCCTATGGTCTCACCTGTGATGCAGCCATCTCTTGGTGGTCTGCCCCCACTTCTCATTCAAACAGGAGGCGGTGAGCTTTTACGTGATGAACAGATCTACATTGCCCACAAGGCCGCCAACCCTGCTGCATATCTTCCCAGCAAGAAGGTCATGGACGAGTTTGACCCGAAAAGGGAACTGGTAGACAAATATCCACCAACACATGTGGTCTTGCAGGTCTGGGATGACCTTTGCCATGTTCCGCATACTCTCAGTTTCACCCGACCAGCCAAATACATGTATCGTAGTGTGGCGCAGTTTGGTGCTTGGGCTCTGGCTCGTGCTCAAGACCAAGCTATCACCATTCTTGATGACGACAACATCAGTGTCATCAGTGATCATTCGAGCCATGAAAGCGAATCCGATGTTGATCGCGGTAGAACCGTCGACAAGAAATTTCCTGATGCTTTGGGTACGCCGATTCGTGCTCATACAGTCACCACAGCTTCTGGGTCTGTTGGCAAAGCTGGAGACCCCTTGCCTCCGTTCCAAAACCATATGATCCGTCAAAGAGTCGACAGGCATGGCGTCACATATCCACTTGCTGCAGTATCGGACCTGAAATGTCTCCAGCTCGATCCCGACACCATTGGCATGATCAAGCCTGGCCCTGTCCGAAAATGGATTGCAAAGAAGTCTGACTGGGACGTCAAGTATGGCAAGGATAAGCGTGCGGTACAAAAGCAACGTATCAAGGAGATGGCTGAAGGGTATGATACTTTTGGGGCTGGAGAAAGACCGCCACCTACTGCTTTGGCTGGCCGCCGTAAGAAGGATATGCCAAGTCAGAAGGCACGCAAGGGCAAGTCATGGGGTCTTGCAATGTGGTCAGGCTGGGGCTCCAAGCACGATGAGGACACTCTTGACCGTGAACACAAGGTCACTCGCGCCTCACAAACAGTCGTGGTACCAGAAGCCGGCGCTGCAGTCGCAAAGGTAGACCCTCAGCGAGCAGCCACATTGGTTGCTGACCCAGAAATGAGAACCTCGGCGACTTTTGAACGCAGCATGAGCCCTAGCTACCGCACAGTCACGGATCTGGGTCAAGCAGGTCCTCGCTCTCGACCCACCACCTCATCAACCAACCCACCTCCACCACCAGCCAAGGACTCACCCAAGGGTAAAGAAGCCATCAGAGATGACGAAGCATATCTCGCTCCTTACGGCATGCACACCAAGGTTCCCGGCTCAGAAAACACGTTCCTAAGCAACAACAGCGCTCGCCCTCACAATGGCGAGGTCGCCTATCCTTTCAAGCTCAAGAACGAAGTCGCTACTGCGAGCACTGTGACTCTGGACTCTGCCGATCACGTCAGACCAATGGGTAGGAATGACGATGAGTCTGTAGCTGAAAGCTCACGACCCCCTACCAGAGGAGGAGCTAGCTTTATGGATGGAGCCGGTGGAGACATCATTGCAGATGAACCTGGCGTCGGTGTGTACGAGACCGAGACCGGATCGAAGAGTAAGGAGAAGGGTGATGGAGTGGATGGTCCAGTGAGACCACCCTTGGAGTCCTTTGTCACTGCAAAGGAGTTCTGATTCTGAAACAGAAGAAGTAATCGCGAGGTGTATTGTTTTTAGGATGAGATACCCCCCTGTTTCCTTTTTTGACAGTCGCGAGTATTAAATAATCAGTCCCAGAAAAGTTGAAGATGCGCACAGTGAATACTTGATCTTTGCATTCAAGTCCGAAGTAGAGATGAAGGATCAAAACGCCTTACTTTATGCTATTGCAAACGCCTCAAGAATCAGAAGACACAACATCCTTCCTTTGTTCTGATGCAGGGGAAAATAATCTCGCCGTAGCAGACACATCGCCGTCTCAGGAACCACCCTCCTCGAAATGTTGAGAAAGCCCAAAGCATGCCCCAAACCAACTCCGACCAAAACATGTTGGAGATTGGCAACGTCCCGTCGAAGAGAGCCTCCAAATCCCAAGAATGGAGAAAAACACCCAACCGAGTCGTTTTATGCTGTGTATGTGTTGGTGACAAGCAGAAGCAAAAAAAAACATGCAAGTCAGTTATCAGGTAGCCCAGCGCCTTCACTCAATACCCTAACCCTCTCCCTTACAGCTTCAAACTCCCTGACCGCTTCTGCATGTTTCTCACACCCGACATTCCAATACTCTCTCACGCGCTCATCTTCCTTGACAGCTTGTGCATAACTCATAAAGCCTTCGCCAGTAGACGCCTCACCCACAGCTTCTAGTGCTCTAATACCCGCCCTGACGACTTTAGCAGCAAGGTCTTGACGTTTGGCAAAATGGGTTACGACGACAGAATTGTACTTGTGGAATTTGTCGAGGTAGATGGAGAAGGTGGTGCAGTAGGTGGACCAAGATGCGCGGGTGAGTTTTGTGGGTGTGGAGGGGGCACGCGGCAGAGGTGGAAGCACGAGGTTTTGGGGTGTGAAGGTGGGGATGCTGGTGGAAGCTTTGGAGGTAAAAGGGAGGGTGCTGCTGATATCTGCTAGACCGTCGAGGCCTTGTGAGGGTTGGGGGTCGACGGCGGCGCTGAGGTCGTCGAGTTTGACGTTGAAACCCTCGCTCTCGCGTTTGTTTGCCTTGGTGTCATCTTGACGGAGTTGAGTGGTGTCGACTGGATAGATACGAGGCTCTTGTGTGGTGGAAGGTTGGGGTGCAGCAGTTTCGTTGGCTGGTGGAGCATCATCGACATCCATCTCATCTGGCGACTGAGTCCGAGGAGCATTCTCTTCCGCCTCATCTGCTACCGTGGCGGGCTTTGGTGTGTTGACGGGAATCTTGTTGGCAACTCTCGAACCCTTTCTCACCGCAGCCGAATTGCTTCTAGAAGTCGTCTTCGACTCTGGCTTACCAGGTGACGCGGTGCGCAGACTGTTAGGATCAAAAGCCCATGATGCATCCTGGAAGTGCTTAGCCCATTCTTCGGGAGAGTACTTTGCAGGTGGTGGGGGAGGCGATGGAACAGTTGTATCTTGCGCAGGTGCAGATTCAGTGTAGATTGACTGTGTAGATGTCTCATGGAAAGTGTTGGCCCTTGACTGTTGGCGGAAGGCTCTCGAGGATTTCCGTGAAGGTGTGGCAGACTTGCGACCAGTCGTGGCTTGGGCGGCAGCGAAAACGTTGTTACTGGTAAAGTCACCGGCCCACTGCTCAGGCACAAAGGATGTATTGATACTGTCTTCACTGCGACTTTTAGCCATGTTCGGCCTGAAGGTGTCGGCGTTGATAGGTATCGTGAATCTGTTGCAGAAAAAGTCAGCATCCGACTGATGTAATGAACGATTGTCAAGACGATACAGGTCAGTAGCATCGTCTTTTGTGAAGCAAGTCTTCTTATATGGTGATTGTGGCTCAGGGGTATCATCGGTGGTGAGGTCGATGGGATCATCAGATTTCGACACGTCCAACGGTCTTTCATGGAAAGTTGGTTGACTCTTTCTCACATGATCAGACGGTCCATTGTCCGTCAGATCTATCCAGGCGCGTTGAGCAGCCGAATGGCTCCGTTTGACCGGAGGAACAGAGGACGGGACAGCCCATCGAGGAATTGAGTCGGGGCTTTTGTTGTGTTGGTAGATTCTCCCAAACGGATAGACAGGAGAGGGCATCTTTTCTTGCTTTTTGGAAGGAGGGGTAGAGAAATGGTTGGCATACATTGTTGGTTTGTCCTTTTCGCCAGCATTTGTTGCTGCGTCTGGACCAGAATTGCTGCTTGTACCGCTCTCGCCTGGAGCCTTGTAGGGTACACCATTCTTGAATTGTCGGCTGGGTGGATTGGGTGTCTTCTTAGGACGTGTGAACGAGCGTGTGAATGGGTCAGCGGGCTGACCGGTCGTCGTTGATTCAGGGTTCTTCTGTGCAGTGTCAGGAGTCGTGGAAGCGGAGTCGTCTTCAGTCTCAGAATCATCGCTTGAGCTGTAGACGACAAAAGGCTTTCGTGCAGTACCGGTACCCGCCTTGCGTGTTGACCGACGGAAAGTTGACGCTCCTTCTGAAGCCATGGGTACATGAGGCGTGCTGGCTGTGCGACGAGCTTCCTCAGAGGGACCGTCTGAATAGTTCTTCTGAGACGCAGAGCGCGGCGGTGGAGGTGGATAGTAAGGCGGATCTGCGGATTTTCTCCTAGATGATGAGTAGTTGGCTGTACTTCCTGCCTGTCTCTCGTCGCCAGTCGAGGTAGGATCGAACCCACCCTTCCTCGGTGTGCTAGAAGAAGCTGAAGCACCTGCTTTGCTTCCACCAGCACTGTTGTATTCGGCCCAAGCTGAGCGGAATCCACCATAGCCAGTCCCAGTGGCAGGTCTCGGCGGAGCCTCGCGGTAGTTCATACCAGCACGAATGTCCTCCTCGGTGGGAAAGCGGGTATCCCTCCTAGGTGGTGGATTGGGCACTGGTCGTTTGGGAGATGTTCGTGGCGGTGGTTGCGGCGCGGCACCAGACGCCTGCGACTTCATGTTCTGCCATGCGTTGAAGACATTCGCAGAATCTGTCGGGTTCTTCTTGCTTGTAGGAGCTGGTTTGGGGAAGTTTGTGAAGCGGTCGGCTCCCGAGGCTCCTGATGTAGTGCTACGCCATGAGGCAGTCGGGTTTGGCGTACGTCTCGGCGGCGGAGGGAAGTTGGATGTGGTCTGATACATGGGGTTCGTTCCGGTGCTCCTCGGTGGCACGTTTGGCTTAGTGAAGGCACCACCTCCTAGTCCCGCCTTCCTGCGGTCTGCATCGTAGCGAGTCTTAGAGACTGGATCGTGGAGGATCTCGTGCGCGGCTTGGATAGCCTGGAATTTGGGTACGATTTCGGATTCTTTGCCAGGGTTGCGATCGGGATGGTACTTCAGCGCTGGGCCATGTGTTAGCACGAGTTGGTCGAGTAAGCAGGGAGAGTGTTACCAAGCTTGCGGTATGCCTTCTTGATGTCTTCGACTGAGGCATCCTATTCCCGGCGTCAGCGAGTGTTGCCGGAAGTCAAGTCTTATAAGCAGACGTACACTAGGCAGTTCCAAGTCCGCATAGTAGTTGCGTTTGATGTCGGCCTTCACCATGATCCTGGCAAGGCTGTGGCTTTACAAACACGAGGCGTAGGCGTGGTGCGATGCGATGCGATACCATCAAGGCCCTGCGTCACTGTCCGGATTGACAAGACTTCGATGCGCGTGGTTGTAAGAAGCCAGGCAATGAGATGAACAGTAAACCGAGTCAAAGGTGAACTTAACAAATGAAGAGCGGCCAACGGTCAAAGGTGCGTGTCATGCGTTGGCTCTCAATCTGCGAAGGCCGAGCGCTTGATTGTAGCGTTGCGCAAAAGCTCGTAGCCCCTCCAAACATGTGAAAGCCGCGATGTCTTGTTTCAGCTCTCTGCGACAACGACGACAATATTCTCTTTCTTATTTATAGTTTTCGAGAACGATGGTCACAATAGCTAGATTTGCGTATACATAGACATCGTGAACAAGGAATGATATTCTACACCAATCAGAGACCACGCACACGTCGTTGCTCGCCCTGCGGTCTGCAGCTGACGACTTCTTGGTTGTTGCTTCCTTCCCCTCGCCGCCCAAGCAACCAACAGCCAGGGCCAACCAACGACCACGCCAGCCTGAAGATTGTAAAGTATTAGCTACAACACTGCCTTCGTGATGTAGATCTGTGTAAGCGACAATTCTTGAACTTTCTGGGACCTGCAAGTTGATTACGCTCCTTCTACACCAACAGCAAGTCGAACTTTAGCACTGCACAGAGAAGTGAGACAGTAGAATTGGTAGGTGTTTAAACAATACAATATGAGATTCTCTAGACAGACCACCTGCGCCTGCGTCTGTATCATCACGACCAGAAACCACAAGATAGCAGACAAGAGCTTGTTGAGACCCAACAGCATATACACGCCTCCGCCATGTACAAGACAAAATTTAGTAAAAGACACTGTAGGGACAGCACAGAAACATGTGTGAAAGAGCTGCAGAGCCCTAAACTGGCGCACACGGAGAAACCGTCAAAGAGAGGCTCGAAAGATAATAGTTGTCAAAGCGAAGAAATTTTTAGCCACTGGAATAGGGACAGGCATACCACGCACTCCAAACAAATCCATCTCATCAACATATGAGTGAAGTAACGAGAAAAACTGAAGAAAAAACAATGAAAATCTTTGACATTCGCTTGAATCTCGACGAGAGAATGAGGGGATATGGATTTTGCGGTGATGCAGGAAACAGAATCGATGCTGCTGAAAGTGAAAAGCTTAGGATAAACACCTGCGGCATTTGTTCTCGTCATAAGGTCATAATGTTGTAACCAGAGCGCGCGCGATTAGAAAGCAGAGTCATGTACAATTGCCCCAGACTCTCTTTGGTTGGGGACTGTGTGAGCGGTTGTTTTGTGATAGTTGCTAATTTTGTGTTGAAGATTTGTGAGGGCGGCTTTATCCAGAAAGCAGACGGTCCGGACTCAATGGTATCGATTAGAAGACAGCTGCCAGCCCGCTCTTCGAGTGTCTTTTGCTGAAACGCGGCTTCCTACTCTTGACACTCTCGTTGTCTCCCGGTTCCTTGCGTAAAGTGTTCCGAACCGAGTGAATTGACTGCTGTTCGCCTCCACCATCACCGCCACTCGCACTGGTGGGACTAGACATGGTTGATGCCAAATCGCCATACTGAGACTCGCCCGAGTACGAGTTGGCCATGGATTGCGATAGTGCAACATCCTTCGCGCGGCTGATGGCTTCCATCCACTCCTGGGTAGAATACTTCGAGCCCTCCGGGTCAGATGTAGTTGCCCGAGGATCCTCGAAGGCGAAATGCTTGTCCCGCTGCATTGCTGTTAGTTCAGGTGTACATGCGCAGGAAGAATAAAACTTACAGTATCGATGACAAAGGATGTCAAACCCTTGTTGTCTTGAATAGTTTTCCAAGATGTTCCGTTAGCAAGCAGATTGAGATCAAGCTTTGCCTTCTTCTCGTCGCCCCCAGCAGCAGCTATTATGACACGTGCACTGGAAGTTATCATAACAAGTCGTTGGCGTTTCTTGGTCGTTGCTCCTCCAAAGAACCTTGAGAATTTTCTTGATGCTTCCTCGGCACCTTTCGATGTTGGACTATGCGGAGCTGGGGACGAGATGACGTTGAGATTGCCCAGCTTGATGATACGTTCGTTGTTACGAGTTAGCACGGGTGACCAGTCGATGTCAAGCTGACTAGGAGGAGCCAGCTCAGTTATAGCTCTAAGTTGTGGCCGAGGCATCTGCTGTACGGATTGTGCTGTTGGCGGTGAAGCTGCATGTGAGCTTGGGACTGTTGGGATACCAGGTATAGTGGGTGCTGGGGCTGAACTCATGGGGTCTCCACCATTAAGCCTGATGGGCTGAGTTTGAGTGGGTCCAGGCATGTAGCTTCGAAGGCGTGGTGCTTTTTGCTTCCACAAAGATTTACCCCACTGAATACCTTCGAAGAAAGGATGTGATTTAATGTGTTCAATGGGCAAACGTTTCGAGGGATCGAGGACCAGCAGTCTTTCTATGAGATCCCGCGCTACAGCAGGAAAGCCGTCTGGGAAATGATAGTCCAAAGCGACAATCTTTTGGAACGTCTGGTACTCGTTGCCAGCCTTGAATGGAGGGCGACCAGCGAGCAGTTGATACAGAATGCAGCCAAAGGCCCAGAGGTCACTTGCTTTGCAGGCATTCTTGTCTGTCAAGAGCTCTGGACTGACGTACTCTGCAGTTCCAACAAAGGATACCGCTCTCTCTTGCTCAACGCCGTCCAAAGGATCACCAGCACCTGAGCCGTCATTCGTGCCGCCAGCGGACTTGATGTCGAGGATCTTAGCGGTTCCAAAGTCGGTGATCTTGGTGTGCATTTGCTCATCAAGCAGAACGTTCTCCGGTTTAAGGTCTCGATGAATGATGCCTTTCGAGTGCATATACGCTATTGAGTCGAGAATCTGGGCGCCATAGAACCGTGTGCATTCTTCATCGAAAGTGCCCATCTTTTTCAAGTGACCGAGTAACTCACCGCCATTGGCAAGATCAAGGACAAAGTATAGCGAGCGCTCATCTTGGAATGTATAGTATAGACGGACGATGCCAGGGTGTTCCGTCAGCCGGTTCAGAGCATCCTTCTCAATATTGACGTATTTGACCTTCTTTTCCTTGATTATGTGGCGTTTATCGAGAACTTTGACAGCATACTCGCGATGAACTTGACGATCGGTTGCTGCAAGGACTGTGCTGTATGAACCCTCTCCTAGAGTGCGACCAAAGTGAAAGTCGTTCACGCCCTTCTTGACGATTTTTGAAATAGGTCTTCCGTTTTGATCGACTTCTTGTCTAGTAGAGACTGCAGCTCCGCGCTCTTTCCATTCTTCACTGCTCGGTAGCGGGCCTCCCTCGATGCTATATACAGAAGCTGATGGGCCAGGGCCGTACCCAGAGGTGACACGCTTAGAGCTTCTTCTGGGTGGCATGACATTTTGGCCGTCGGGACCACGGTAACTCCGGCTGGCAGATCGAACTGGAGGGTGCCCAGCCATGGCAGCGGCTGCAGCTCGTGAAGCACTTCTAGCCAGTCCAGACTGAGAAGATACATCATCACGGTATCTGTAGGAGGAAGCCTGCGAGAGGGCAGAAGTGCTCGAAACGTTCTGATGTGTGTACATGTTGGACATGCGTGCGGATGAGATGCTTGGGTTTTGGGGATATTGAGGAACCTGGGCCTCATACGAGCCGGCACGTTGGCGATAGACTTGATCGGAGTCACTCGAAGCAGCTCGGTATGGTCTGGTAGAACCATAGGGGTCGGCGGAGGCTAGGTGACTGGACGCATAGTCGGAGTGTGAGGGAGCGTTGGAGTGGTACGAGGCAGCATATTGGGAATGCGAGTCGTGATCAGGTGGGTGTATGGAAGATAGTTGTGACAAGCCACGCGAGTGATTAAGGTTAGTTATGGTGCTGCCCGACGAGTGCGAGGAGATGGTAGGTCGGTCATCTGGAGTCGAAGGGGTAGAGCGAGGTTGCTGATTGGGACTCGCAGCAGGGTTGTTATTGTTGGGAGATTCGACGGACAAAGCGGTGGGCGGCGGTGTATGCAATTGTTGCGTTTGCGTCTGCGTCTGATACGGGAGCGTCTGGGGCTGCTGCTGTGTCGTGGGAGTGTCTTGATCGTCGTCGCTGTCGGGATTGGCTATGCGCAGACCACCAAGCGAACGCGACAAACTCAAGTCGCCGTTCATAGCTTGTCTATAACGATGCTTGCTGGAGGACGAGTGACTGAGCCGAGCCAAGACCAGACACGACCAGGCGCGAGTCTGTCTGGCTACGAGATATGCGGTGTATCCGACGAGATGGTCGACTGGTCGTGTGCTACACGGGACACGAGAGACGACAACCGGCTTGACAGGAGGCTTCGTATGTGCATACAGGCAGGTACAAGACCGGCAACAACGAGACTGGAGGGAACCAGCTTTAGTCCCAGGTCGATGACTTGAGATCCTCTTGCAACTTGCACGCCCGCCGTATGCGTGCACGGACCTATGACCCAGCTTGGGCCAAGGACGCATCAAGTCTCTGTCTGCATTTTGTCATCTGAATCTCCCCTGAGCTCAACATCAGAATGAACCATTTGCCGCTGTTTGAGACAGCACTGATCTTTGTTGGGCAGGCAAGTCGTCGAGTCGCTGATCGACCAAAACGTTCGCTGCTGTTTTTTCTCCTTGCATATGTGGCCGTGAATCCCCAAGCCTCTTGAACGTGCGTACAACGAAAGACGCTGATGTTGGTTATCAATGACATGCGCCTCACTCCGCCTGATATTCATTGGGTGTCTTGCTCTTTTCTTAGACCAGAGGGTGCAGCTGAGTCTCTGTGGTACGGGAAGTGGATCATTTCACCTCTCGAGGATGCAGAGTTGGTCGTACCTGCCTCAATTGCTCTACTTCCCATATGGCTTCGCCGTGCAAAATCTTAGGCAGTTCAACACTGTCTTTGAGGCCTCTGACACTTGCCAGTCTCAACACTGCCTGTTTCAGAACCATCTATCCCATGCCTGATTTTATGTCTTTGTAGATTACATTATGCTTCGCAACCGACCATCAAGAGTCCCTCTTGGTATGACTGATGTCAAACAGATGGACCAACGCCTAAGGCTCAAGCAGGCCTCGCATCCGCTTGTTGCACAGGCTGATCGTACTCATGTCCATCACCAACAACCGCACATCCGCTATCCGCCACAGCCCCATTACAACCTCCGTGAAGGTCCTCGAAGATCGAGAGATGCAAGCCTTGTTCAGCTTGATTCAAATCGCCATGTTCCGCAGTCTGCCGTTCACGATTCAATCGACTCCATCGAAGACAGTGATTCTGATGAGACTGCATCTGCAACAATTGAATCCGTCGCTCGTCTTGTTCATATAGCAGAGGTCAGCCCCACCATCACTCAAGTCCCTGGCTACGACCCGCCGGCTCTGGTAACTCTTCCTTCTGAGAGATCACCAATACATGACAGCCACTACCCTGGTGCCATCAGAGGTAATCCTCGAGATCTGAGTACTTCTCCTGTACCTCCCAGATATCGTCATCACGGCCGTTCTATAATCAGCCCCGATACTCGCTCAGGCCATTCGTATTTCCGCCAGGACATCAACCATCCCTATCAAAGGAACAGTGGCCATAGTGGACGATATCTCTCTTCACGAGGTCATAACCCTCACGCCGTCGCGTTCGCGCCTCGTGTACGTTTCGACTCGGCTCTTCAGGAACTCTCTCCCCACCACAGTTCCAACTTGGCCTCTCTTGACCGACGCGGAGGAACGCTCAGGGCAAGACGGTCTTCTTCCCGAATCTCCAATTCTAGCCGTGGTGAGCCGAACCACCAGACTAGGTCTAGGCCCATGTCCCGTTCCAGAGGCCCTATGACCAGAGGCCCTCGTCGTACTGGTGCAAACCTCAGGCCACCAGCTGCATCGTCGATAGACACGGTCATGGACCGTTACCCGATTTTTCCTTCAATGTCGTCCCAGCCCGACCCTTCAAGATCTGATTATCTGTCCTTTCCACAATCTGAAAGTATACCTCAAAGAAGAGGCATACCCAATTCACCCTCAGATCTCATTGTCACCCGTATGCCGCACCCACGGTTCCGGTTTCCTTCGGCTGCGGAGTCTTATAACTCAGGACGCTCTCGAGCTTCAAGTAACAGTCTTTCGACTACAAACATGATCGCCGCTCTTGATAATGCCTCGAGACATGACTCTCTTGGTTCTAAATCTTGGGACGAGCGACAAGGCCTTCGTCTAGGCATTGTACGCTCCTCTTGTGCGGGAAGCTCGACTTCATTACTCCCTGGAGGTAATGTATCCAAGCGTGATGGTGGGCTTCCTCCGACGCACTCACCCTTAGACCGATTGACCCAAGAGTTGCAGCGTCTGTCGACAGGACTGGCAGCAGGATCACGGTCTTCATCAAGTTTCTCGCGTGTGGCATCTAGAGAGGGACACCTGTTAAGCGGCAATGTATTCTACTCGGACAATGATGATGACGAGACAAAGGAGAGAAATGCCGGGATTTGTGAACGTCCTAGTCGTCACGATCTGTCGGAGGTCAAAGGGCACAACATGGACAGGCAAGATCACGAGTCATCTCGTCAGCCTCAGCGTCCCCAGCGTGATCTAGGCATAACAGCACGGATTGTGGATGTTGAGGTCGACTGTCAGAGTGCAACAATTCGGCCACTCTCAGTGTCACCCTCAAGCCAATCTCTGAGCTCAACTTCTAGAATTGATACCTCTGTAATGGACAGTTCGCCGCCAGGAACCTTGCCTGCTATCCCCCCGGTCACACCCGGCCGACCACAGGCGCGGTACATGAGAGCTCCGTCTACGTCTTGTTCCAATCTTCGACCACTGACAACTCCGAGGGTCAGAGTTTATGATGATGGCCAACCAGCTAGTATGCAACCGCAAACACCAGCAGACCTTCATCATCGTTTCCGAACACCAATACCTACCACGTCTGCCAATCCTGCAGTGTGTCAGATCGCGCGTCCGTTCGCAAGGATTCAGCCTGTGGAACAATCTCCACCCATGACGACTCGCAACGCTCATCGAAATACATACCCTTCCTTTCAGCAGGCAAATCCAGAGCCACCTGCGTCGAACTCGCAGCCATCTAGTCCCTACTCCCCCAATCTCGATCTGAGGACTGCTGCGGCTATCACCGCGGTCGAAAGAAGACGAATAGCTCGAGCATTCTCCGATGAGAACGTGATTGATACGAGCATCAATGGTATGGAAGCTGAGAGGGAGGCATTGCTGAGACGTAGAGGAGACGACAGTACAAACATTCTTGATGAGACACCTCCACGTCAGGGCAGGTATGAACGTATCATATCGTGACAGAGTCCCGCAGGCATCGGGCTTCCGATGTACAGGGTTGGTTGCACAGCAATATTTTTCCTAGAAGAGAATCATGTGCAAGCAACAAGGCCTGCAGGACATTAGCCAGGTGTATGCGGTTATAAAGTGTATGGTCTCATTTTTCAAAGTAGTCATAACTCCACAAGACCTGAGGCTCGACTAGGTGAGGGACTTTATCGAGCTTATGAAGTTTGACCTTCAAACAATTGCGATTCTGGCCGTCAAATTCATGAAATCAGTCCTCTTGCTTCACCGAGCACAATCAGCTCTTTATGTAGATCATGGTCGCTTCCGCTTGTCCCAGACGATAGATGTTTGATTATTCTTTCATTTCCCTCCATTTCGTGAAGCTCGGTCGGCAAGTCGGCGATCTTTATGGCAATGCATTTCAAGGTGTTAGCATCATCATGTCCGCACGAGCGCTCCGTCATCATGCATGATAACGCTGCGGCTGGGAACATAAACCAAACAGCCAATCGCATGATGCACGTTTTGAGAATCAAGCGAAGATATTATCGCGCGGGCTCGTGCAAGAAGAAGTTTTTGCGACAGTGATTGAGAGCGACGTGACAGTCTCGGCAGGGATCAATATTGTTTGATAAGGTGACCTCGTAAAACAATCCCCTGACAGTCGTCTACTGCAGTGATCTACACGAAGGCGCTCGTGCGTCGCTCAAGCTTTCTCACAGGAATTCTAGCGATCTTCGAACGCGGCGTTTCAGCTTTGTTGAACTACGGAGCCGCCTGCCCGCTAGGACGCGCAAGACGTGTGCTACACAACCTGTGACATCGGCAATTCGCCTTCTCCTCCATCATTGCTGCATCAATTCTCACATCGTCACTCGTTCTTCCTAGGACTCTATCTCCATCTCCACTCTTGTGTGGAATTCATCTCGCCGATTTTTCCTGGATTACTGTTTTCCTATGACGATTTTCTGGTGAGAAGTTTCACCGGTCAACTCAAAAACATGGGCCAAGCGACGCCAGCTGCAGGACGCGATGGACTCGTTGCATACAAACAGGCCCTCTTGAATCTGGCCCAGGCTCCTCGGTGGAGAGGACTCATCATCGGCACTGTTTCGTTCTTGCTTGTTTTCTGGATATGGCAAGCCAACTCAGACCCTAACGCGCCTGGTTCAAAGCTCTACAATAAAATCTCAGGCCGACCGCAACATCAGGATTTTATGTGGAAGCCACCACCTCCGCTTGAGCCATCTGAGATCACAAAAGATCTTGAAGAGGGGAGGAGTTCGTCCGCACCCATTGGGCTTAAGAAGGAGAATCCTCAATTCCATCTTCTGATCCATGCACCAAAGATCACGAGCAATGTCTGTCGAAGCTTACTGTCATCTTTTCTTCTGGACTATCCAACACCGACCTTGATAGGCTACAGGCCATCTCCACCTAACGAGACTGTAGAAGGAGATTTCTGGCTCGACTATGGTCTTGCGGACACCACCGAGTATCTCACACAGCAAAATCGCATCTCAGACGACGATTTTATTGCGATCGTTGATGGAGAGAGCACTGTCTTCCAACTACCCTCGGAGGCTCTATTGACCGAGTACAATGCTCAGACGGAACAGGCCAATGCAGAGCTGGATGACAAATATCGTGACATACCAGTCAAGACAGCCAACAAGCAGAAGTTGCAACGCTTCAACCAATCAGTATTCTTCGCAGCAGAATACGAAGTTGTGCAAAAGCCTCACAATGGCTTCTTGAGCAGGTTCAGGCTGCCCGAAAACAAGTTGTCGACACATCTCAACGACAATCTTGCAGTCGGCTCTGGCTCAGGACTTCGTCATCTGTTCGAAACAGCATTAGAGCAAAACTCTCGCATTGAGCGCACTGACCGCGATACTTTCAACACCATGTTCGCACAACAAGGACTTCTTCGCGCGTCCCAGGCCAAAGAGCAGCGCGAGTTGAAAACATGGCTATCTCGCAACGTGCTACCATCCAACAAGAAACTCCAGAAAAAGTTGGCCGAGGATTATGCAGCAGCCAAACAAGATCTGGGCATTGGTCTTGACTACAAGGCTACTATCTTCCAGACCATTCCAGCTTCTGCTCAACATGTTGCCGACAGCGTCATAACATTGTCCGAGCACCCTACCTTCCCTGTTCCTAAGTCTTTCAAGAAGCTACCAAGTCCATTCAACCTCCAAACCTATACACCACACCTCAACTCCACCAGCGCAATCCTCGTCCAGAAACAAGAAAAGCTGCCTTATACATTACACTGGACAGATATCCCTCTCTTTACCAACCCAGTAACACAAAAAGTGCCCTCGCTAATCTCCATGTTACCTCCCAAAGCCAATAACAAAGCAGACTCAGCTTCAAGTCTGCTCACAGCCCCAGACACCAATATGCGCGAACTCTGGGAGTCGATGTGGTTCTTCCCTTACGCACGACCTCTGCTCAAACAATACCTTTCCAAATCCACAAGTAAGGAGATTGCCTCTGAAGCTGCTGTGGGCGGAGAGCGCTGGTATGATTCCCGTGGCGGTCGTGGCGGTGTTTGGACCGTCGACAACGAATGGCTTGACGCTGCAGATCTGTGTGCACCCTTCGGCAAAGAAATCTTCGAAGATGGGTTCAGAGGTTGGAGTCATGCAGTTCCTGATGGCGTTGAGCTTTCGAAAGTTGAAAAGACTCCTGATGGAAAGGGTATTGTGATTGGTGAGCAAGTGAGGAATGGACAGATCCATAAGATTGTTGCTGTTCAGTCTGAGAACTAAGGCATTCGTGGTGGGGTCTAGAATGGCATAGTATGCATGCGTCTTTTCCTTCTTTAACTCTTCTCGGATCTCCAGATCCGAAGAGATAGCTTTGGCGTTTGTGGCGTTGTAGTTGTTGCTGGTGTACATAGAATCTGCATAGGCAATCGACTGGGTCTTATTTGAGCTTACAATTGTTTCTGCGATAACTCGAAAGACAATTTTGCTTGTAAGAGATTCTGCTTTTGATGGAGTGTGAAGTCAGGAGTAGATGCTCTTGCATTGACACTTTTCGAGATATCCAAGGATCCATCGGAGTGGTCCGACAATGGTGATACGAAAAGTTCTGCCGTGACTTGGGAGTTTTCCTGCTATGATGCAAGCTGCAACGCTGTCAGGTAGTTCATTAATTATATGTTGTACTTTGAGACAAAGGACGATGCTCCGGTGACGGTACAAGCAGCAAGTCGAGTCGGATGTCGAGAACATAAAGAAGCTCCCGATTGTAGTGGCAGCTTTTGGCTTGAAGAAGAGGAATATTGGTCTGGCAAAAATCGATAATATATACAGGCGTCATGTCTCTTTAGTTCAAAGTCCCTCATACATACCTTCTCAAGATCCGAAGGCAACATGGCGTATACGTTCTTCGGAGTCGCATTCCGCTTGCTCACCCTTTACCTCATTGCCTTGATCATCGGATCGATCTACCAAGCTATCTCACCGATGTCAACTCATAACAGAGGCGAAATCGTCGACTATGGAGCCGAATAGATTCAACATGGATACAAGAACTTGCAAAGCGTCTGGCCAGGATTCGACTATTTCGTCCAGACAATGTATCAAGTGATTGCACAAACACTGCTCATAATGGCGATACGATACAGCATCAACACCGCTGTATTCATAGGCGTGTTCATCGCTTTCGCCCTTTGTTCAACTATCGTTATCTTGTGAGCGGGCAGTATTTGCGAAACGAGTCGCATTGTCGTGTCATGTATTGATGAGAAGCATGAGTGTGTCGTTGGCAACAAAGAAGATGTGGAGAAAGGAGGCAGAGCGCCAAGCATTGAGATAAGAATAGAGAGGCTCAGCCCGGAACCCCGGCAGCCGCCTGCGCCACGAATGATGGCAGCAACGCGGTTGCCTGAACCAACGAACGCCTTATTTCCGTTGCCATTCCTATCTCTTCCCTCGACCTCCGCTCTTCGTCCCTCGATAACTTATCACGCCGAACACCTCGCATCTATCATCGAATACCGTATATACAAGTCGTCGAGGAAACCCCTACCATTGCCACGATGCACCGAGAAGTGCTCCACCATCTCGCCCGCCGTGGCTACGAAGCCATGAGCACCACCGAGTCTCGCCAAACAATCACAACCGATGCTAGCCCTCTCGAGATGGCTCCTCTCATCTTCACTGGCGTTGTCTTCGCCTTTCTCCTGGCTTCGATCAGATACACCCTCGGAGGTGTTGTCGCTAGCCTGGCCATGATCGAGGACCGCCAAACTACCGTCGTCGAAACTCGCATTCTCGCCGTCGATGAGAAGGAGGATCCCGATGCTCCTCTGGACAAGGCCCGCCTTATCGACGAAGAAGTCATGGTCATCAATGAGATTCCTCTGACTTCCAGCATTCGCAAAACTCTCAAGCACCTGACCTCGATCGGGGGCTTCAGAGCTCGCTGGAGAGGAGCTGGCGCTGCCATCATCTACAACCTCGTTCACTCTTTGACTGTTAGCTTCATTGCCATGTTTGTTGCCGCCTTCACAGGTCTCCCTGTTGTTGGTCGCATCCTCGCCAACATTGCCGCCAATGTTCTATTGGCCCGCATCCACATGGTCTGGACTCACACTGTCATCTCTGAGCCTTCTTCCTTGACCTGGTCTCAGCGTCTTGCCCAGACTGACAGAACCATGTTCCGTGCTTTGGCTTTGCCTACATTGGTTCACTCCATTGCTGAGCTTGCCACCTATGGCCTGCCCGTTGCCATGTTCCTTTTCGTTGGTCCTGAGATCACCAGCGACAGGGCAAACGAGCAGTTGTTCGTCAGAGCTGCCACCTCTCTTTCCGCCTTCATCTTGCTCAATGTCCTCATCCTGCTCCCTGCTACCGTGACCCGTACCCGTATCGAGGCCAGCTTCCTGCCTGAGGACAGCAAGACTATTGTTCCCTTCGACCGTACTTTCAACGGTGCTACCAATATGATCGCCCTGGACAGCCGTGCTGGCCGTAAGAGCCTCTTCATTGAGGCTTGGCGCTCATTCGACATGGCCAGCAGAATTCGTTTGGTCAAGTTCTTTGTCAAGGAGGCCGCCATCGAGCTTTTCTTCTCTGTCTGTGCTGGCATTGCCATTGGTGCCCAGATGTTCGCTCTTGGCCTGTACAAGGACAACGTTGTTGTCAGTATGGACGGCATGTAAGAGTCAGAGCTACCTTATTCGATACATCTCCACGACATAGTCCCTCATTCCTCAAATTGTAAACGGCGTTTGTGTTTATATTCTCAGTCAATTATCCTTTTATGACTTGTTCTTGCTCCCTACGTTCCCTATCTTGCTTATAGAAGATCGATGATAGCCAGTATGCGAGATTGTCCCCTTGCAGCTTTACACATCCTTGATCTTTATCACAGCCATCACGCTGCATCATTTGATAAATATGACAAGTTTACAGAAATTCAACATTTCTATCGTAGCGAAACAAACTCAATTTCATGACCGCATTAGAAATGTTATTTGTGCATCTCAACTACTCCAACGTCAAGCCCTCACAATTACTTGGTAGCACCAACAACCTTTTCCTCGTAAAGAATCTCCGTCTTGCTATCCAAAGCAGCACCCGCATAAGCATCAATCTTGTACTCGGCAAACTGCCTCGCAGAAACACCTTTCGTGAACAACAAGTCCATTTCCTCGTATGTGCGGTCTTTGGCCTCGGGAAGTCGGAAGTATGCCCATACAAAAGTGCAAAAGGAAGTTGCGAACCAGAAGAATGCGGTTTTGCCTTTGAGGTTCCACTCTGTGGGGTTCATGAAGTAGGACTCGAGCTTTTGAGAAGACGTCAGTGGAGAGATAAAAGGCAGAAAAAGGGGTAGGAAAACTTACAGTCGAACACACGATATTCATCAACGCATACGAGTTCCTCGCCAAACAAACTGTTTTGGCACGTACGCGGATAGCAGAAGTTTCACTGACGATAGTATACGCTACCGGACCCACGGAAAGCGAGTAAGTGAATAGCCACACCACCGTCAGAGCACCTGCAACCCATTTCACATCGTCGGATTTGCTTGCTGAGGACACGATGCCGATGACTAGGAGCAAAGCGCACAAAACTCCCATGCCAGTGGTGTAAATTTTTCTTCTGCCCACGTGGGCGAGTATGAACCAAGAGGCGATTGTGCCGCAGAAGGCGACTGCTGTGCCGCCGAGACCAATGCTGTAAGACACAGTGTCTTTGATACCTGCTTGTTGGAAAAAGTAGGTTGGCGTGTAAGCAAAGCAAGAGCCAGAAAACAGCTGTCCCATAAAAGTCATACAGCAAATCTCCGTTCGACGGCGATCGGTGCCTTTGAAACATTGAAGGTAAGATGTTTGTGACGCTTCGTTGTCGAGTTGGGTCTCGATCTCGACGGTGTGGACCATCATTGCTAATGTTCCTTTGATTTCGTCTTCGTGGGTGTTTGTTGAGATGCGCTTGAGGATGTGTTGGGCTTCGTCGAGTCTATTGTTGCGGACCATGTACCAGGGCGATTCGGGAGCAAAGAAACAGGCAATCATGAGAGGTACGGGCCATGCCCATTGGACGGCAAATGGGATGCGGTAGGACCATTGGTCGGTTCTTGCGACAAGACCCTTGAGGACACCGGCAGCGATGAATTGGCCAATGGCCCCTGCGATATATCAGTAGCTGCATATCAGGGGTAGAAGCAGACTGCTTACAGCACAGGTTGACATATGATGTCAAATATCCTCTGAGTTGCAAAGGGACAATCTCAGAAGCATAAGCCGGTCCAATTGTCGCAAAGACACCCCAACTGAAACCGCACAGAATCTGACCAACAACGAGGACTGGCTTGTTAGGTGCGAAGAAGGTAATGAAGATGAAGGCGTTTAGGAAGAAGAGAGCAACGATGATCACTTTGCGGTAACCATACTTGGCGGCGAGCCATCCGTTCAGGAAGATACCAGGAACAATACCGACGTTACTAGCGTTACTGCTCAAAAGTGAGTATTTGCTCGGTGATTCGCGGAACCTGATCTGGCTTACTTAAGAGCGGTCTGCCACGGACCAGAAAGTTGGTAGTCGTCAGTAGCCGCGTTGTATGCACCAAACTTCTTGGCAAAAGATGGATAGGCGAAGAAACTCGACATGAGGATAGTGTCGTAGCCTTCCATGACAACAGTCATCGACATGACCATTGACCAGGCAATTGCTTTCCAGTTCTTCTTGATGACTTGCATAAGCGGTGTGTTGTGCTCAGCATCAGAAGCATGCTTAGCATCAACAATGGCATGGGCACCAAACACCTCTTCGATCTGCTGGGCGCCATGCTTGAGCGACTCATCTGCTGTGTGAGATGCCATGTTGGTCCAGGCACCTTATCCACATGAACTCCACGGACGAAGAAAAGGCAAAGTTGAGGAGTGATCCTCCAAAGAAGCCATAGGGCACCAGCATACATTTATCGTCATGGTACTTCGAAGATGTACAGGTGCAGTACCTGTTACCCCAGAGCGAAACCCTAGACAGGATTGACTGTTATGTCGAAACGGGGGACGCATGACAAGGCGAAGGACTACTAGCGTGTAGTCGTGAAGGATGCTGCAGATTATCCGGTGCGTCCAGAGAAATGATTTGCTAAGGATACGATGAATAGTGGAGGATCAACGAATGGTAGTTGATTCCACCAATCAGCCATCCTGCCCCAGATCAACAACCCCGCGTTTGTTGCAATGGCGTGGTTGATGGTTTGGGGTTGGCATGATCGTCCTTGCTCACTTGCAGCGCTCGCCTATGCATGGATCGTTGTTAGCAAGCCTAGAAACCGCCTGACCGGCCAATTTATTGGTGGTGAAATTTGGCTCTCGTGTCTTCACGTGGTCAATCATGCTGCATCTCGATGATTATCCAGGTATAGCCGCGAGATCTGGAGAATCTCTGCACCGACTCAATCCTCTCAAAACGTGCACGCAGTGAAATTCCTTAATGCTTAGTAGTGCTCCAGAGTCAAGGTCTCCAGAGCGTACGAGCAATGGGACGACTCTGGATATAGAAAACCAAAGCAGAGTACACGTGAGCGAATTCGCTCCCGAGATTGCTGCACAAAAGCCGCATTCGGTGCTGCACCCAAGCACTTCACCTATGTCATCCTTACCGGAGTGATTTTTTTGTGAGTTAGTAGCCCTAGACAGTGATTTCCCTTGTAGACAGAGACAGGGGTCTAATTCATAAAGGACTATCTTCCTTCTTCGCCACGTCATCTGAGATGGGCTTTTCTCTTGGATCAGACTTTCTAAGAGAAAATCATTGGGCTCTAAAACTACGTTAGAGGTGTCGGCGGATGAGCTAAATTTGATGCTGCTGGTGTTACTTTACAATGCAGGCTTTTCGGCATACCTTGTTAAGAAACCCTGAAGGCAGGTTTCTAGACCTTGGAGCACACAAACACAGTACGCTATGCTTCTAAGAGAGCTTGTGAAATCAATGATGCTGTCAGAATACTAGGTGCTCTTTGACCTGAGCAGCATGCTTAGAGAGAATTTAGAGCCAATCTACAGGGCATCCGTGCTAGTAGTATTATGTTTGTGCTGCCATTTCGCGCTATAGCGAATAACCTCAGAGTCGTTGGGAAATTGCACTCTTGTGGTTATACCACTGTCAGATATGTCAATCCCTTGATTATGTTACGTGTACCAGGCAACCGTGCTGGGAGATACAAGAGAATTTGAGATCGGGGGGGGCCAAACAGTTGGAAGCAGCATTCTCCGGTATTTTTGGTCAAATGCTTCCTGGTTATGCAGTGCCCATCTTAGCCTTGATGAGAAAGACCACTGGCATTGGCCAGGTCTAGGAGCCTGTACACTGTTCTACTAGCTTGTATGCCGCTCTGCTAGGAGTCTGGTTGATTTGATCAAGCAAGGTTTAGCTTTGCCTTGTCCAGACATGCAGTGATGTGGTTGACAGAGGCGGAGTGACGCGTCTTGGGAGGAAAAGTGAGACTTACCGTGTGAAATTGTCAAGCTGGTAAAGGCGCGTCTAGTCGTCACTCGAAGTTCCGACGCGTTCATCCATCTTTGTTTCTCGGCGGCGACATCATTTACGCATCGCACGACATCATCTCGACGACGTCATCAGCCATGGAGGTCCACAAGAAGATGTTGGCGAAGAAGCTCAAGGCCCTCTACAAGATCGTAGAGCACCAGAACCCTCGTCTCCATTTGTCTCTCACCATCCGTTACTGCGACGAACTCAAGCTCCCTGACCACACCATTGTCGAACTCAAGATGCCCGAGGACGTTGGCCGCTTCATCAAGGCTGGCGAGCACATGACCGAAGCTGAGAGACACGAGGCTGGCATCGATCGCCTGCTTACCACCAACGAACATCTCGCCCAACCTTCCGCCTACAACCCCATCAAGACTCTAGGAGACCTCAGAAAGCTTCTCAAGTCGGGCTATGTGCGTAAGCCAGAGAGTCCCAGATGCGCTAGATGGGACGAATGCATGTTCGAAGAGCTGAAGGTCCAAGGCTTTGTCATCCAGTTGAGCATCGAGGACTTCCAGTGGGCTGTCGATGATGTTTGGGGTCCCGCTAAGGCCTGAATCAACAAGACTGTGAGTGATGTTTGTTGCCGTATGTTCGATGACCTCGTCTGAACGTAGACAGCTCCAATCTCAGCAGAAATTGTTCCGACTGAAGCTAGGGCAGATCAAATAATCAAAGGTATGTTCCCTTCTTGGCACAATAAGACAGCCTGTCTTGTACTGACATCAAACATCGATAGTGTTCGTCGACGACAGACAACACATGCATTGCCGAGTTCAATCCGGAGTTGCGTACCAGTCGACAAAGAGAATTTGCATGGAGCAAACAGTATCGAGAAGGGGTGGATGTCTTTCGGAAAGTCGAATGTGATACGCCCATAGCTTTAGCTGCAGCAGCAAACAAAACCGGTCGGCGTCGCTGGGTCGTCGTGGCCGTTGTTCTCTCACACTTGTCCTACGACACTCATTTCCACTCGTGATGCTGTTGCTTTCCAAGTAAGGTTGAATAAAGCCCTCCTCCGACTGGGGTCGGTTTATTGTCATGGTTGAATTGACGAAAGTGAAGCCTGGAGATGGCTGAAAGGGAGCGGCATCGACGCCATTCGTACCAGGCCCGGCTGGTCACAATGTCAGACAATCCTGGTCCTGCCTCTTCATATACGAAGGTGTCAGCCACCAGCAGTCGTGCCGTGCTCGTGACCAGACGTGATCGGCTAATAACAATGTTGTAGCACGTCGATCGCTCGGTCTGTCGGCTGATGAAGGTGCCTTGCCTGCCCTCCAGAAAACTTGGCAAAATCTCCACGCGGGGACCCCATTCCTTTCTCATCTTAATCTCCTGCTCTTCAACGCCTACGGATGAAGATCGCGTCTGTTTAGAATACAGATGAATCTAATCTGTCTTTCTACAGCAACAGTCAAGCTTCAAGAATGCAGCTGTCTACCACCCTTGGTCCTGCCACGCAAGCCATGCAATTACACTGGGTTGCATGAGAAGGAAGGAAGGCCAATGCACCTGCCACTGTAGGATCCCCGCAACGTCATCCGATACCATGTTGCATGTGCTTTGCTGGACCTGGCGATCCTTCCTTCTAATCAATTTTCCCAGAGCGGGGTCCGGCAGAGCTTCAATGTTATAATACCTGCGCTTGGCCTCCCTGCAGGTCTGTGTTGTTCAACTTGTTCATCACTCTCTTCTGCAGTCTCTTGTCGGGTCAGATCGACATTCGAACAAGTCAAGTCATGTTCTCAGGCAAGCTCGCTGCTTTGGCAGCCCTTCTTCCTGCCACAGCTTTTGCTGCTAGCATTGCAGGCAACGGTTCTTCAGTACTGCCCAATGGCAAGTACGAAATCTCGTCTGAGGGCATTCGCGCCAACTTCGTTCCTTACGGCGCAGCCATCTCAAATCTCTTCATCCGGGACGCTCACGGCATCGAGCGTGATATTGTTCTTGGTTGGGATAATGCTACCTACTACACCGAAGACAAGCTGCACCCCCATTTCGGGTGAGTATTCTGTATACAAGGTCAATTCAATAGCTGACAGGTTCATAGTGGTGTCCCTGGACGTTACGCCAACCGCATCAAGAACTCTTCTTTTGAGATTGATGGCACCACCTACCACGTAACCCCAAATGAGAACGGGGGTCTCGATACTCTACACGGTGGACCCGACGGCTGGTTTGTGATACTATTCCCTACCGAGTTGCAATCAAAGTTGACATAACACTCAGGGACTGGCGTAACTGGACTGTGACTGCTCACACTACCGACTCTATCACCTTCTCAATCGTTGACCCCGATGGTGCTAATGGCTTCCCTGGCGAGGTCATCAGCTACGTTACATACACTTTGACTCCTTAGTAAGAAGAAGCGTGAGGCGTCTCAGAGATTATGCTAACAACATACAGCCAATGGCACTTGAAGATGGTTGCGGTAGCAACTACCAAGAAGACACCCATCATGCTGAGCTCCCACGTAAGACAACCGATTGAGATCATCTGACATGTATGCTGAATTCAGCTCAGGTTTACTGGAATCTTGACGGTTTCCAAAACCCTAACGATCCCACTGTCAACAACTACACCGTGCACTTGCCTTACTCTGGCCAGCGTGTCGCAGTCGACGGCATTCTCATTCCTAACGGTACCATCTTGCCCAACAAGCAAGGCGACGTGTTCGATTTCTGGTCTTCGCCCAAGAAGCTTGGTGCCAACCTGACTTCTCCCGATCTTGTCGGTGGTTGTGGCAGTGGATGCGTTGGTTACGATACTTGCTGGCTCGTCAACAGAGATCAAAATGGACCCTACGATTGGCGTGAATCTGGACCTGTCGCTACTGTGTCTAGTCCTTTCTCTGGTATCCAGATCGACATCTTCACTGATCAGCAGGCCTTCCAGATTTACACATGTCCTTCGCAGAATGGTGAGTCTTCTTCTCTATTTAAAGCTGAACCACTTCTAAACTTCATGAACAGGAACTACCACTATTAAGGAGACCCAAGGTTTCTTCAACCAGACCAACCAACCGCGTGTTGTCCAGAAGTACGGATGCATGGTGATGGAGGTTGAAGACTGGATCGATGCCATCAACCAACCTGAGTGGCAGAGAGAGAACAGGAACATCTTTGGTCCTGGCAGCGACCCTTACGTTCTTCAGGCAACATACAACTTCTCGGTCAACAAAGAAGTTGCGTCTGGTTCTAACAGCACATCCAGCTACTAGAAGGACGAGAGATGTTAGTGTAATGACTAGCAGATCAACTAATGAACACTTGTTGAAAGATGTTAGACCTTTTCAGTACGTGACACTGGTAATCAGACCACGTGCCAACTGATCAAACCTCCGCTGATTGGGCGCCATATCTGTATACATGACTCGAGTTGTAAGTGACGGCGACGACTGAGTTGGTTCATCATATTTTCACAGACGCAACTCGACAGCTGATCTATTTGCTGCGTTGAACGCTGCGCACTCTTTTGCCCACCCATAAACTCTCGTCACTATCTTTCCACAACCAATAACCATTTTTCCTTTGTGTCCCTCGGCAACTACTTCTCGGCGCATATCTCTTCTAGCGGCGTCCAGACACCATCGGTCTTCGAAAGCTAATCTAGAAAAGTCAGATTCTTCCAGCAGAGAAGGTTAGCCCTGAGCAGCCATCCAAAGCAACTACAGAAGGACTTACAAAGAGCTTAGATCGTGGCATTATAGCCCTCCTCTACAGAGAAATTGCTCTCGTCTAGCATACTAGACCATTCGCCCAGCCTCAGAACCTGGTCATCAGTCTCTGGCACTTGGTCATAGACTGCGACCAAGATGAAGACTAGCGAGAGAGAAGCATGGCAGCTAAGAGCAGCTTACCAGGGCGCCTTCCCGGGCACTATTGCTGCAGGAGAACGACTCCACATATTGATGGGCATCGAAGCACAAGCTTTTGATGGCTATGGACAGCTCATCGTACTACCTTGGCACATGCCTTTTCCTGAGGAGCTTCACCGTCCAGATTCGAACCGTCTCAGTGTACAGCTCAACACTGGTACGCTCCCGTACAGAGACGGTAGGATCCAAACGCTTCACCAGTCTGGCAAGAGAAGAGCGGCTCCATCAAATCAACTCGAGCGTTCGCTGCACAACAAGACCCTTGCCCAGAATCTGTCTTTACGCGCGCCAGGCACTTCTATTCCTCTCAATCCCAGAGACATGAACCTACCTCTACAACTCTCTGGCATCAGACCTTCAATCACGAGCAACAGCGTGATGGACAACATGCTCAAGCGTAAGCTATCTAAGATCAAGCTTCCATCGGCCCCCAAAGACAACCCACTGAGTGGTGCGGTGCCCAACCTGGCCATCCAGCCAGCTTTCCAGCACAAGCTTCGCATCTCCAGGCCTCTAACCAGCGACACTGCTATGGCTGATGTGCAAAAGGAGCACAAACACCCAAAGACATCCGAATACAAGGAAAAGTCAGAATCGCCATCACCTCCTCGTCGTCGCTTTATGCCGCCCATCGAAGCAGTTCTGGCTCATGGTTTCAACAACATTGACTTGGTTCGTCAACCTCAAGTCACCATCCCCCGCTCGCACGCCTACGACCCATGGACAAGTCTTTCCCTCAGTCACAAAGTCTTGTCTCCTACGCCTGTGTTCTTGTTGAATATGGCTCCTTTCCAACTTGACGACAGCGAGGAAACCCACTACTGGAGACCTTCACTTCCTATGCTTTTGTCCTACCATCTCGCCAATCCAGCAACGCTGATCGAAGAGACGCCCATCCAGAGCCTGACTTTCCATCTCCCTGCTCCAAAGCCAACTCTAGCTTCTACAGGAAACAGAAAGAACCCTACCAAAGCAGCACACTACAAGACCGAGGGAGTAGAGACAGGCACCGACATCAAAATGATTAGAATGATACTGCCACCACTTTTCAACGGTGATGGAGTCAGCAGTGAAGAAGTGCCCTACACAGATTGGTTGATCCTTTGTCTCAGCGATACCACGCCTATTCAGCCTCCCTCCACAAGCACAAGGGTCCTGCGTTCTGCTTCCAAACCACCCAGACAGTCATATCTCCTCCTCGCCATCCCTACTCAAGCAATCGGCGAAACTTCTTCTGTGGTAGACAGTCCCAGCCTCTTGCCTGTAGGAGGTGCGGCAAGCAAACAGCAAACCATCACCACAGTCTTGAAGTTTACCGGCAGAGGAAGAATGCCTTTGGCATTTGGTGTGGGAAGGGATGTCAGTTTTGCGGACAAGTGGATCGGAGAGTTTGGATTGGGAGTCGCGGCTTTGGAGGTCACTGTGGCTGGTACCAAGCCTCCTTGTTGGGCGTGAAAAGGCAAGAAGTCCGGTGTGTGGTTGCTCTTTCCCTTCATGCTGTGATTGTTTGCTTTCCTTCCTTCTCGTTTTTCTTACGATCGCTCTCACTCTTTCATATTCAGAGTATCGATATTGCTCTCAGGTTAGTCAATGGAACAAGAATCCATTATTCAGATCATTGCCAAAAACAAAACAAAAACGAACGGAAAGCTCATTTTTTTGTTAACAGATCGATCATCTTGGAGTATCCTTGCATGCTCTTGTTCTATATCTCTCTCCACAATCACTGTTGTTGTTCAGCAGGTGTAATTCCATCTCTTGAGGCTTTGCATCTAACAGATACTTGCAAGTCATGCATGGCTCAAAGGAGCAACCCAAACTAGTGACAGTGACAACCCAGATCGGCGTACGTCTTGGAGGTTGCCATTTTCGGATGTCTTCTGTGCCTGCCAGGCGATAGATCTCTCGACACTCGAGTCGTCGTCGCCTTCCTTCATTTTTTGATAGGTCTGAGATCGAAACTTTACGTGCAGAACATCACGTTTCAGTATTGCTTCGTTGATGATGGTCCCGTCATCCATATTTCTTACATCCTTCTGCTGTACTAAAATCCATGCCTTTCACAGTACTCCGACTTCAGCTAAGAGCAAAATGTAGCTCCTAAAAAGGCACGATTGTTCTGGGACACAGGGCTCAGAAGTCGAGGTGATGATATGCTTTGTTCTCATGCAAAAGCTCGTTAATGCTAGTCTGTTATGCTAAGAAAGGGGAAAGAAAAAATGGGTATATCCCGAACGCCAACAATGCCAAATGCTAGAATATACTTATTGGGGACTTCAATCTCCTGTCAAGTCCAACTCCTCAACACCACTCTTTCTATACATTCGTCGATCTTTGGGTGTCGGTTCGGTCAAATCGACTTCTAGAATCACTTCTTTCCAGTTACCAGGTAAGCTATCTCGAGGTTGGACGAAGCGTTTCTTGACTCTCTTCGCCGGTGTTTCGAGGGTCTGCTGGCTCTCTGCAGCGGAGGTCAATTGCACTGGCCTAGCATTTCTGGAACCAACATCTCTTGTTGAAGTTGATGCAGAGACCGAAGAAGAAACTGTTGTGGCGGCTGTAACCTTCGTGGCTGTAGCCTCGACTTTCCTGTCGCGTAACTGCTTGTTGATTGGAAGCAGAGCAGACGCTGAAATTACTGGCCGATCGAAAACTGGAACTTCCTCTGTCAAGCCCGGTTCATGAGGTGGAGTAGGCATAGAAGACGGGAGGTCCAACATCCCCATTTTTTCTTCGGCCAGATCTGGAATGGTCGGATTTGGGAAAGGGCTTGGGCGTACACTTGATCTGACACTTGGCGTGGGCATGCTTGAAAGCACGACTGCTTCTCGCATCTGATCAGAGACTCGCTGATTCGCGCCGAACCTAGGTAGACTTGGCAATGACTCTGGAGAAGCCAAGTCAATAGCCTCAATATCGAAACCTCGAGGAGTGGAGGGTCGTAACGAAGGCGACCCCATGTCGTCGCCACCTGTAGTTGGTGCTGTCTGATGACGTTTCAGAGGTGACCGTTTTCGCCTTCTCGTCACTGTATCAGGCAAAGGCGCGGCGATGTCGTGGTCAACTTGGGCAGAAACTACTGCAGGTTGGCTGAACTGCTTGAAATGGTCTTTCATGTCAAAAGATCGCGTTGGTGCTGCTTTGGGTGAAGCTGGTTTTGCAGGGGATGACGAAAGAAGGTCGACTATTTCTGGAGGTTGAGATGTTTTCCGAGCTGGCGAGACCATCCTCGGCCTAGCTCTCCTAGGTGGAGATCGTGGCTCAGGCGAAGGGCGCTTGGAAGATCGTTTCTGAGGAACTATAGTCTCGAGACTGAGGTCCATCTCAAGTATTGAAGGTGTTCCACTCGCCGTGCCACCGCTCAGATCGAGCTCAGCGACAGCTGCCCTAGCTCTGAAAGAGCTACTTTTTGGTGCTGCTGCCTTTGCAACAGGCTCCTTCTGACTGTCTTTCGCAAGAGCGTTGACGCTGGCCAGATCCAGCTCATCACATTCTGAAGATCTAGACTTGGACTGTACTGTACGATCAACACCAGGCTTGGTGGCCTTGGTGAATTGATCCAAGGCACCTCTTTGCATACCGCCAGTCTTCGTTGTTGCCACGGGTTTGCGACTTGCTATTGTATCGTTGGAGTTAGCTTTACGAGGTCGTGGGGGAGGTCTCGATTTGGGTGCGCCAGCACCAGCCTCCCAATCTTGGACCTTGAGCGGTGCACCAAGGCGTACGAATGTGTCGAGAAGCCATACTTTGTCGTGCACAGTCGGGTCGTATGTTGATGGACCTCGCTTCTTTTTTGGTGAACCAGGACATTCACCATCCTCAGTTGGCGATGGCTCCGAATCAGATTGATCCTCATCTTCGGGAATTTCTTCATCAGGGTCTTCGATGCTGAGATCGATGTCGATCAGCTCAATGGGCTTGAAGCTGATTCTCAGCTCGGGAATGTTGTCGGTCGTTGGATGTAAGCGTTTGCCGTGAATGGCATTGATTAGAGTCGCTTCTCTGGCCTTCTGTGCCGACAGACCAATTCCATTACTATCTGCAGCCTCACCTCGCATTCTGAGCTCTCGGACAAGCACAGCAGGGGCGAGGTTGCGGATAAACTTTTTTGCGCCACCAATACAACGCCAGTCGAAGGCATCTCCTGCAAAGTCTCGAAGACTTGGATAGTCTAGTGGCATGTCCCACTTGAGGGTATCCTTGAGTTTGGCGATTTTATCTGGTGTCGAGATGCATGGATGGGTATAGTAGCTAAGAACCTTCTGATCAGGAAACGTGTCTGGGATGGTCAGACCAGGGCGCTTCTGACGAAAATGCTTGCTTTCGTTGGTGCGGATCTCATGACGCAGCTTGTCTCTCCAGGCGTTGAGTCCATCAGTATCTTTTCTGTCGAGGTTGCACAGCTCATTTCCAAATCCAGCTCTTGCTGCCTCACAAGCTAACTTGGGACCACATCCAGGAATACCTTCGGTAATGTAGTCACCTCCGCTCATCATGGCAACAAGAATCATGCCATTACGATCCAGACCACTGGATTCCTTTGTGGCATCGGCTCGGTATACGTTGACGTGGGTGGGTGTTTTACTACTCTTTTGTTCTGGGGTCCAGCTTCGCAAGGTCATTCCACTGCCGAACATCAAAGTATCGACATCTTCACTGAGAACGGCATCGACGATGCCCTCTCGCTGTAGAAGAGCACATTCTGCCTCGGCTTCACCAGGGGCATAATGGAGAGGAAAACCAAAGTGTTTGAGAAGTTGCTTAGCCAAAAACTCGGGTACGCTAGACACTCTGACGTTCGGACCTCCGACCTTCTTGTTTCGTTTCCAGGTGGGCTTGTTAGGACCATCGAAGACGAACAGCGGGTGGATGTTGAGGGACAGCAGGCGCAAGAGGCGATAGTAGAAAGTTCTCAGAGCAGGATTGGTGCCACCTTTGCCGGATTGGATCTGAAACAGCCAGATGCTGATGTCGATGGCGAGACGGAATGGACGCGAGTGCTGAATGTAGTGTTCGGCGGCGAGTTTGCTCACGGCAATGCGTTGACCGGGGCCGATTTCTTTATAAATGCTGCAGAGGCTGTGAGCTGAAGCGCCAGGCTGAGAAGCGACATGGTGCTTACCCATGAATACCCATACTGATTGCTCAGCCGATCTTGAGCGCAACCAATCCTATGTTCTATCTCACATCCATGGCCACTCGGCCTGTCATTTTTCTCGTGGTCGAGTGTTTCTGTCGCAAACTGAATTACCCAAAGCAGCGTCTGCCTCAAGGCGTTGCCATGGCAGCTGCGGCCCGCTCCGCGTTGTCACATGACCTCTTTACGCTGTTCCTCCAACCTTGGTCTCGCTTTGTTTTATTGCATGTTTGAAGGTTGGTGATCTCGCGAGACTTGAGTGCTTGTGAGTTGCATTTATACACCGAGAGGATCTGGTCTAGGTTAATCTTCTTGTTCTCCGTCCATTTCCCATCTGGTTGGAGTCGCGTTACATCACTTTATCGGACTGGGTGCGATTTGATTGTTTACTCGCTACGCAAGGACCATCACTTTTTGTTTGGATTCATACACATCTGCATCACTACCTAGTGTGGTCAGCCAACCAGTATGAGGTCCCGTTTCCCACTGGAATCCGCGACAACAAGCGTGACTTCCCCTCTGCAATATCACGATCGAGAACCTTTGGCTTCCAAATCTACCAACTACCACACCTCGCCTGCTGTCAAATCTATGCTTCTGGAACCAAAAGACGTCCAAGGAAACAACTGGCAGTTCAAAGTCACCGTCCAAGCTGAACAAATGCCTCCGACAGCAAAATCAACCACAAGAACACAACTCATCTCGTTAAACGATACCGAGAACACTCAAGTCCCGGATCTTTGTCCCGTCTCTCAGCTTGGTGACCACGCTTCAACCGATTATTCTTTATCAGAAATCGACTTTCACGGACCCGAAGACCGTCCGCAATCTGGCCATCATCCCGCAGCTATTGACTCCTTGTCGCCCGAGCCAGTGCGGCCTCTTGTGTCTCGCAGGACCCCCGTGAGCGCGCGTCTTGGTTCTTCCAGGAATCAATTTGGTAGCAGTATCAGATCTGCAAAGCATCGCGTAGAACCTGAAGTCACAGATGGGCCGCAATTTGAACAAGACGACGAGGCAGATGCCGCGCTCGGCGCTTGTGCTCCTGGCGATGCAACAATGCTTGAGAGCGAAGAGTTCAGTATGATATCTGTCGACTCTTTGCCGAGCCGAGTCGCCGGTCACTCTTCGCCTTCGCAGGCACTTCAATCTACCGAAGGCGAGGCTTCCGTCAATCGTTCATACATGCCTTCGTCTCCTCCAGCCTTCATTGCCAACAGAGCGACACCTGTGCCCGAAGATTCGACTCCAGAGAACCCTAAGGCCCCACAACCATCGCAAAGCCATGATATTGATATCTCGACACCTTTGAGGGAGAGTGCACGCAAGTCTGGAAGAGCCTTACAAGATGCACTGAACGGACCATTTCGCGAATCTGTTTCAAGAGAGCTACCATCCACTCGTGAATCCATCTTCAACGGCTTCAGCTCTGGTACTAGACGCCAGCTACAACAAAGTCTTCGCGCCGGACAGAGCTTGGCTTCTCCATCAGCTATGCAAAACGTGCCAAGGCTCGCACCTAACACCAACGCATTGCCCAACTATCTATCTCCCTTCCATAGCCCAGTGCGACAGCAGGAGACTTTCGACTCGCTCCCTGCCCGTATGCTCACCCCTAACACAGATGACCGCTCACATTCTTCAGCGAGCATCCAAGCTCAAAGCACCGTCGAGTATCCTGAACTCGCTCAGGAGTCCCGAAGAACCAGCCAAGCTGGTGAGGAGCCCGAGATGAGTTATATCGATGTTCAAAGAGCATCAGCTAGCCACATGCAAAGCCCACCTCGCTCTTCACCAGCATCTGAGCATAACGCGGCTGAGCAGCTTCATGACAACATCATCGAGCCAGAAGCAGAAGAAGATGGAGACGATGATAAAGACATTTGGCAAGAGGAGGCGAGCCGTTCTTTGATCGATGAGCAGGGCTCTCCTGAACAGCCCGATCTGTTTCTGGATAACCTCGTTGTGAAACCTCGGAGAAGCAAGCTACCTGGTACTCTGCGTCGCACATCAGGGGCAAGTTCTGCGTATAGTGACCCTCCTGCACCGCAAGGACGCCAGAACCGCAAAGTCAGTGCCTCTACCATGGGCTCCAGAAAGAGTAGTGGCGTTATGACACCACCATCATCAGACGATGGCAGTGTTGTCATTGTCGGGAGATCGAGCGAACAACTTGACTCTCCAGCGAAGGTTGCAGCAGATGAAGATCTCAGTCAGTCTGAGTCTGGTGATGACACCGGGATGTTTTTCCAGTCAAATCTTCCGTCTATATACAACGGAAAGGCAAGAAAGCCTGTCGCAGACTCAGCGAAGAGCAGTTTCGCGCCCAGTAGCCCACTCAGAAACACTTTCCTTGAGATCAGCCCAGAGAAAAACATCCAGAATTCTCAGAGCAGCGCCAACCAGAATTTATCGGCTGGGCCTTCGCCTCTTCGTCGGAGCCTGGTCAATTCTAGCAACTTCAACGACAGTCAAATAAGACGGCGAGAGGATAAAATTGATACCTCGGAAACACAGACAGACTCCAGTCTGGCTTCTGATGCTCAACAGATACAACGAGAGATGAGGGGGAAATCCAGTAGAGCTGCAAGCACTATCTCAAGTCTTACCTCCGGAAGCCAAGCAAGAGGGTCGAGGGGACCGGCAAGCGCCAACACAATTGACCTCACCATCAGCGACTCTTCTGAACAAGATGTCTCGACGATATCTTCTAGGTCAAGGAGCTACCAGGAAGAGCTGAATCTCGATTCGCCAATGCGTGTCAAGGTCAACTTCAATGATGATACTGGAAACTCGACACTCTTGGAGCCCAAACGACAGTATCCACCTCTGTTTGACAATGTCCCAACATTGACGAAACCCACCAAAGATTCACCTGGAGACTCACAGCCCAAATCACCATTGCTCAAACTAACAGAATCCTTCTGGGAAGCTGTGACTAAGCCTCCGGTTTACGCATCCCCAGAGCGAAAGCCTGCTGTCATGCTGGAGTCGGCACCTGTTGCTACCGTGCCTGATCACGTCTTACGCCTGCGCCGTAAATATGGTCTTTTGCCTGATACTCATCCTTTCATATACGCACACATTCGTACACTCCATCGTATGCTGAACTCCACACGCTCTCGATCTGGCAGCAGTATCGTACCTCGTAGCGGGCCTCTAGGACATGGTCTATCACGCCTACTTGGCAAATCGAGGACCAACGAACTGGATCAGCGATTCGTGTGGACCCAGACACATCTTCACGTTGTCGACTCCTTCATGTCTCTACTTCTACCACAAGAAGAGCGTGATCGCCTGCAGTATGATACTGGTTCTTGGGGTGACGCAGAAGCGCTGAGACATCGCGGTCGCGACTCCAAAGGCAGATATGGCGACGAAGTGGTGTTCAATGGTGTCAAGGGTGGCTTGATCGAAGCCTCATGGGTTGCAGATGTACTTGCTGATATCGTGTTCAAGGAAGAGATGAACGCTAAGAAGAAGAGAGTTGCTGAGATGTTGGCTCGTGCTGAGAGAATGGAGATATAAGACTAGGTGTATGACATGTGTCACGATTGGGATGTTATGGAGTTGGTCAAATGGTGCTCGGTCCAGTGGATCACACTTTCGTATCTAATTTGGCGCAGAGTTTCTGCTGTCTGTTTATTGTTTATGAGATCAATATTGACTCTGAATTTGTTTCAAGTACTTAAGTCATAGTTTGTCATGTCGAGATGATAAGATCACGTATTTTGGCACATGGAAAGATTTTGTTTTTTCTTGAACATACAGTTTGTATTATTTTCTAAAAGCACCGAAAGCCAACAACCCGAAACAATACAGAGGGACAACCAGCCATCCTCCAAGACAATCAAGAACAATTAATGTTAGGATCCCATAGCAGCAATTTGTGCAGAGATAGCTCTGTTGTGTTGGAAAGCCTCCGAGTTGACATGACGAGAAGCAATGAGAGTAAAGAAAGCAACAAGTCGCTCCTGAGCAGCTTGAAGAGCACCAGGTAGGTAGTTAGTAGGTTGAAGAGCAGGTAGAGGGACATCAGGCTGAGGAACAAGTCCATGACGAACGCCAAAGTTGTACTGTTCAACCCAGATAACTCGATCACCCAGTCTGCGAAGCGCAAGAGAAGCAGCTAGAGAATCAGTAGAGGGGCGGATACCTTGACTAACCTCATTACAAACCCTTTCATCGAGGTCTTGAGCCCAATAGACCATTTTGTCGGGTATGATCATGCCCTGAGCGCGATGGAGGGATGGAATCATTTGACCACACACAGCCTGTGCGAAAGAGACAGCGGGCAAACCCAGAGACAAGAAGCGACCTTTGCGCATCTCTCTCATTAAACTTCTGGGATTGTGGTATTCAGGACTCATCAAAGCCCCATTGAGTCGAAGAAAGGATGCGGCAGCATCGGCAGAGATCGCAAATTCAGGGAAGGCACTGAAGCAGACTTCATCATCGGGACGAAGGATCTCTTGCAAGTACAAATCAGCCCATCCACGAGCAGCAGGTGGCCAGTCAGTCTCATTTGTTAAGTCAAAGCAGGGAGCAGCAGACCAGTTGAAGTAAGTGTACTGAGAAATCTTCTGCAAGAAGACATCAGGGTTCCAGAGACTAGCACGACCATTCCTGACCCAGTCAAGATAAGCGTCCAACACAACGCCCCAAAACTTAGCATCTGTAGTCGCCGCAAACGTCAGAACTTTCTGAACAAGATATTGTGCGTCATCATAGACAGAAAACCAAACTCTTTTACCAGTAGCCTTGCTGGTAAGGATGAGAGCGTATGGGAAACCAGAGAGACACTCTCCCATTTCAGTCTGGAGCTCTTTATCTTCAGGGGTAGGCATCGCTGGAATAGATGCGGGCATCCAGTCGTCCATCCATTGATAGTTTTTGAATTCATTGAGCAGATCGAGTTGGATTCTGCGATTCAGTCTATTGATGTTTTGTTGATTGGTGTCGAGGTTTTGGATCTCAGTCTGAGCGTTCATCTTGATGGAAGGTATTCTCGTATGAATATTCAAGTGGTCTGTTGTTCAAGTATGTTGTGACTTTCAAGAAGCCACACAGAAGGCAAGTTATATACGGATCGAAGTGCCAGCATGCGTCGAGTTGCAATCCGTACATGGACAAAAGGAATTGTGTTGGTCTATTGTGCAAATAATGAAATGCACATGGAATTTCGATCAGGATTCTTTGTGGATGAAGCTGACAAAGAAACGCGAACAATGGACACAGTTCAAGGAGATTCATTATGGGCCGATGGAGAGCAAGACACCCATGGCAACAAAGGAAATCGCGAAGCTCAGGGGTTCCTCGAGACATCGTGGCGTACCTTCTTACAATGAGACGATGAGCTTTACCAGTTGATCAGACAAGCAGAAGGGAGTGTCACTTCACACAAATCTCTCAAAGATTTTTATAGTCGCAAACCCGCAAATCGTGTTCAGAATCGAGTCATCGAAATAGATGAGTCAGCAGATAGGGAATAAAACTATTCAATTGCGATCTTCTGTGTTAAAAAGCCCTATAAGAGTATCAAGAAACCAGCACTCTGTTTCAAGATCGGCAAGGGGCGTCCCAAGAAGGAAACCCACTTTCGGATGAAGGTACAGGGCTTGGAAGTAAGAACCAGACCTTCTTTCAAGAACGTTAAGCGAAATGGCCAACGCCTCAGTAACGCCTCAGCGACAACCCAAGCTGGCGCCTTGGAGGAGAAATGAGATCGAGTTCAGAAAAGAGAGCGGTCCACCATCGTCTCTGATAAAGTAGAAGCTCTATATCAGCAAACGTGGAAATACTAACCACATCACTGACGAGAGCATAAGCAAGATCAAAGGGCTGTCATGTGAGTCAAGGAACATCTATTTAGAGATCGGGACAGCGACCACAACGGGCTTGCTAGGCGAGACAGTGTTTCTCATGTAGTCCAGAGTTGGTTGGGGATTGACATTGCCTAGGTCCAGATAGTGACGCATGAACTCGTCAAAGTACCACCAGAGATCGGGATGCTTAGAGAAAGACTCAAGGTAGGCCGTCATCAAAGCCAAAGCAGAAGTGAACTTGAGCGTGTTGAGACGAGCACCAGTTTTCGGACAATGCATGTGCATGAGGTAAGGCACACCTGCGGATGCTCTGGCCATACGGATCCATTTCTCCTGGTATCCAGCGAAGAAGAAGGTTGGACAGACAGAGATATTGACTGGGAAGAATTGACCACTGTTGTCAAGGTACTCCGGACCAGGGACTGAGATGGGATCAGCCCAAGGCTTAGTGATGTTGGCATTAGTGCTAGAAGATGTCAGCTCGTCATCAAGGACCATCTGGAAGCCGTACCGATTGGAAGTTCCAGCCTCATGGGCGAACAGCTCACGATCGTGCTGATCAAAGGGAAGTCCTGGGGCCTTTGCGACCTCTGCAACCCCTTGGATGTTGTGAGTATTGACCGCTTCAATGCGAATGTAAGTCTGAAGGAACGTCAAGTACTTGTCAGCCTCGCTGAGCGCAGACAGGTCAGGAATTCCGCGTTTCAACCAGCCAAAAAAGATGTCTTTCATCAGGCCAGCATGAGCGCTGGAGTGGTGACTGCCTTCGAGGAGATAAGTTGCGACAAGCATGAACTCGTTCTTGAAGGTCTTTGTCATGAGATGCTCACCAGTGCCGACCTTAAGCCAGGAAACCTGGCATGGTGTAACGCAGCGGCCAAGCATAGCATCCCACAGCTGTTTGTACTCAAAGAGCTGTCCGTGAGCAACAGGGTGCAAAATAGCCCAGAGCTGTTCGAGAGTCGGACTGGTATCCATTTTGTCGTGAGTAAAGACAAAACGAGGGAGAGAAGCATACCATCAGGGAGTACTTGTATGTTTGGTAGCTCAAAGTATCGAGTCGCTTCTGTGCTTGACTAGACAAAGAGATGTGTTGAAGAAGATAAAACTGAGTGGTAGTGAGATCTAAAAACAATGAAATCAACACCTCTTTCAAGGTATGTGAGAGCTAGAAGGAGCTGGCTTCAATTCAGGCAGGAGTGTTATCTCTCCGTCCGCGATGGGTCCGCTTGGCTTTCTGTTTGCATTGTCCAGTATATGAAGTTATGGGTAGCTGGTGATGGAACAAGACTGGCTACATGTTGCATCCGTTTGTCTCAGGGCTTGAATTATATCATCCGCCAAATGTACACGTAGTTTTACTGGGAACTTTGGAAGGGAAGTTATGTCAAAAGAATAAAAAAGATTGTATTGAGTATTGACTCTAGAACCAAACGTGAGAAAGAAAGAAAAAAAAAAAAAAAAAGAAAAGAGGAGACCTACCAATGCTAAGGAAAGACTTACTGTTACCAGTTACTGCTAATGAGCAATTACTGTTGGGTATGACCACGATGCACATTCTGCTGGTGACGACGAAGGTCAGAGGGTCTGGTCAAGCGCGAGGAACAACCAGGAAAGTTACAAGCGAAGACTCTACGAGCTTCAAGACTCAAGCTCATGTCGCGGATCTCCTGTGGAGGGGCGTCATTAGCTGGTGGGAGGGGCGCAGGACTTGGTTCAGCAACGAGAGGGGTGTCCGGCTCAGTCTCGAGAGGCAAGTACTCACCCGGCGCTCTTCCATGAATCCAGTATGGTGGTGCATATAGGTCGTACAACACAAGGTCGTCTGTATCAGCCACAGTGTCAGTACCAGACGTTTCTGTTTCCGGAAATCCTGGATTAGAAGCCGGATTGAGTCTTGGGCCAAGTGTGCCGCAGCCTCTAGTATGATACTCAAGGTATGAGATGATTGTGATGTTTATGATCTTGTGATAGACTGTGTGATTTTCAGTCAGATCCGACATGACCTCGTCGACCAATTCTTTCGGAGACGGAGGATTATGAGAGTTCGAGTGGGCGTTGAGCCATCTGATGAGGTACTGACCATTGAACAAGAAGGCATAGTGGTGCGATCGTCTTGCAGGTCCAAGTACTAGGAGTCTAAGAAAAGCGTCAATGGCTTGAATAGGATTGGTGTGGTAAGTGAGAGTCTCAGCCCGTGTTCCAATACGTTCAAGCTCGTCATCATATCTCACGATCATGACCTGGGGGTCATCTCTTTGCCAGAGCTCATTCACCAGGGCTTGGCGCGCTTGTCTCCTACTTGTGCTGTCCATCTTTTTGGTTGCAGGTTTGGTCTGATAGCGCAAGCATCAGTGGCCATTCAGGAGGTATTTAAGTGTTATGCGACATCGTGTTGGTGCTAAGATAGTGAAATATCTTTCATAACTTGAGAAGAATGAAACTTTGTGCATCACAAAGACATTGCACAAGATGGAGTAACCTGAACAAAGACAGAGCATAAGTTGTCAATGAAGAATCACGTATGAGTGCATAATCTATTGTCACCAATTTCAGAAAATCGATTGGCGAGTTTATGAGATTCAAGAAGCTGAACAACGCGAGCTGGTGTTGGTGGTGGTAACATATTGACATGTGATTCGCGAGTCATGCTGTTTACTTTGTTGCAAGTGCATACGAGTCATGTTGTTTACGCCAAACAAAAGCCGGGGCAAACAATAAAATGTCAGGGCAGCAGCAGCACATGGAGAGACAGACACAACACGACTAATCACATACAGCAACAATGGCACCCTCGGATTTGATTGACTTCGAGGTCATTGAGGGACATAAGGAGAACATTCAAGCACTACCAAGTGGCCGATCAGCAAGAGCTTTGGCAGCCCTCTACTCGCCGCCATTGACTAGCGGACAACGAACCTCCCTCTCTAACGATGCCCACGATGGAGAGTGCAAAGAATACGAAGACGAGCTCGCCTTGATTGACGAAGCAGACGACCCTCTCGACATCTACGACCGCTACGTCAAGTGGACCCTCGACACATATCCATCGGCACAATCAACACCACAATCGCAATTACTACCCCTCCTCGAGCGTGCCACCAGAGCTTTCCTTTCTTCATCACAATACAAGAACGACCCGCGCTACCTGAAGCTCTGGCTGCACTACATCCGCTTCTTCTCGGATGCCCCACGAGAGACATTCGTCTTCCTCAACCGTCAAGGAATCGCAGAGTCGCTCGCACTCTACTATGAAGAATTCGCTGCTTGGCTAGAGCAGGCCGGCCGATGGACACAGGCAGAAGAGGTTTACAACATGGGTATCGAGAAGGGCGCTACACCTGTCGCACGTCTGACAAGGAAGTTCAACGAGTTCCAGCAACGCAATGCTGCTCGTCCTCAAGATGTCCCCGAACCAACAAGCCCTGCTCTTCCCGTCGCTCGCGCGGTCCTTGGTGCCAAAGTCGATCCCTTCGCTGCTGCAACTACACCACAACAAACAGCCAAGTCCACTACTTCAAAGAAGCCTAAGGCTGGAAAGATGGCCATCTTTACCGACGAAGCACCACAAGATCAGAGCGCTTTCGGAACTCCTGGCGAGAAGAACGGTTGGGACAGTATCGAGTCGATCCAGAACAGAAAGAAGGAGAACACCATTGCGCCCAAACCAATGGCTGGAGAGACGTTGAAGACGGGCAAGACAAACACAGGTGTTCAGAAGATGGCCATTTTCAGGGTAAGCGATTCATTCCCCTATCCTCTTTTTACGTTCCAAATATTCACGAATGCAGGACTAACGGGCTGGCGACGTTGTTGTGTATTCCAGTCATCTTCTACTGTACGACATGCATACGAATCAAGTAAACATGCTTCCCAACGAGTCATCAATCTCAAGACGGGTAGACCTGAATGTGTATTCGTGAATCTTGAAGCTGTCTATCCTGACCCCAGCGACCCTTCAATCGAGTTCTGCTTCGAAGAACTAAGAGCCAGGCATCGCGGTTGGCTGGATCGTGATTGGGCTGCTGAACGAAGACAGGCTCAATCTACTAATCAAGCACAGAAGACTGCGCCAGTTAATCAACAACCGAAGGAGCAAAAGCGTGGGTTCGCCATATTTAGCGACGCACCTGCTGGCGAAAAACAATCAGAGCAAGAACGACCAACAAGTCAACGAGGCTTCCAAATCTTCCAAGATGATTCCGAGAACAAGCCATCACCTGCACAACCCGCACCTCTTACAATTGACACTTCTCTCAAGGTCGTTCCTATCAGAGATGAAAACGACGAGAACAGACCTCCATCCAAGGCCGATGTTGAACTTGCAAAGAGAATGCGACGCGAAGAGCGTGCGAACCGAACACGCAAGATCAAGGTCATGGACGTCGAGCATGTGCAGGAAAAGACTCAGACCATCAAAGTCAACATGGACTCACCCTCGGGAAAGAAGCTACGCAAGAAGAAGGTCGCTGAGCCTACAATGACCATCAACACAAAGGAAGCCATGGACGAGATTTACGGCATCTTCAGTCAACCTGTAAAGACTGCTGCAGACGAGGAGCCAGAAGAGTCAGAGAGCGAAGAAGATAGCGATGATGATAGTGACGATGACTATAGCAGCGATGGAGAAGACACAACTACTGGCCATGTCTCGGCTGCAGGAAGCGAATATGGTGACGAAACTCGACGAGAAATTCTTGCATCGCAACAATCATCCAAGGAAGAAACGACACAAGAAGAAGACGACGACGATGACGAAGATAAGACCAACGTCAGTGCTTGGTCTGACTACGACCAAAGCAAGCCTGTGACTGAAACTGCAACCTCTGCACATTCTAAGGACGAAGAAGAGTTGTCGACACCGATAGAGGAGATACCTGCACCATCTTATGGAGAGAATGGTGAGCAAAAGACGAAGTACGTCCCATTGCCACCTGAGGGTTATGAACCTGTAAGGTCACAGTATAGGGATCCTGTCATCGTTGCTCAGAACCGTCTACCTTTTATGACTCCCATTGTCGAGCATACTGAGTCTTCTATTGGTGCTGCGACCATCCGTGCCGAGCTGGAGAAGGGTTTTGCAGCTAAGACACCATCAAGACAGAATCACGGCAATGCAGACATCGAGGAGGAAGACGAGGATGAAGATGAAGATGAAGACAGTCTCATGAGCAGTCCCTTCCAAGTCCTCAGCGGTGCAGACCTCGAGAACAAACGCAAGATCTTACAACCAATCCGCACGAAAACGACAAAGGGGATAGTATCTCTGAACGAAGACGTCGCTGCTAAGCCAAAACCACTTGCCCTTCGCCCAGCAACGACTGCAGAGCCCATCAACAAAGGTCCCATCATCAAAGATCCTCAGATCAACCCTGTAGATCCAGAAATCCGTGCAACAATCTTGTCACAAATTCACCCACCATTGAGCTCATACGAAGGCTACTATGAACACAAAACCATTCAGCACGCACGCACACCCGAGATCCGCAAATACTCAAAAGCAGTCGGCAAAGGCAAGACTGCAACAGACAAGAGCAGTGCATCGCTACCTCCAGCTCCTATCCTCGCTTTTGCACACTCTTCCAGCAAATACACACTCAAACGCGAACTCGGCGCTGGTGCCTTTGCTCCTGTCTACCTGATTGAAAACCACAACCCAACTCCCTCAGCCGAGAACACCAACAACGAGAACGACGAAAATGCACCTGTGATGGGTCAAGGTGCTTTCTCTGCCATCCAACGCCATACCTTCGAAGCACTCAAAATGGAAGACCCACCCTCAGCCTGGGAATTCTACATGTTGCGACAAGTGCACCGTCGTCTGGGCGTCTCGCGCGCAACCGAATCCGTCATCCACGCCTACGAAATGCACATTTTCCGCGACGAAGGCTTCTTGATTGAAGAATTTAGAGGTCAGGGCACCTTACTCGATCTCATCAATGTGGCTAGGGCAGAAGCAGGAGGAACTCTAGACGAAGCACTAGCTATGTTCTTTGCCGTCGAGTTGATTCGCACGGTAGAGGCTTTACACTCCAAAGGCCTTATACATGGAGACTTGAAAGGCGACAATGTGTTAGTTCGTCTCGAAGACACGGCTACTTGGTCATCAACCTACGACCCTTCCGGCAGCAACGGTTGGAAATCAAAGGGTGTTTCTCTGATCGACTTTGGTCGCGGCATCGACATGCGCGTCTTCGCCCCTGACGTCCAATTCGTTGCCGATTGGGAAACTTCCTCAGCAGACTGTGCAGAGATGCGCGAACTACGTCCTTGGACCTACCAAGTCGATTACCACGGTCTCGCGGGCCTGCTCCACTCCCTCCTCTTCGGCAAATACATGTCCACGATCGCCGAGAAGAACGGCGGACTAGGAGCAGGAGCAACCAAACACTACAAGATCAAAGAAGGCTTGAAGAGGTACTGGCAGCAAGAGATTTGGGGACAAGCGTTTGAGATGCTTTTGAATCCGCAAATGTTTGTCCAGCAAGAGGAAGGTATGAGGATGCCTTTGTGCAAAGGACTCAAGGGCTTGAGAGAGAAGATGGAGGCGTGGTTGGTCGGGAATTGTGATAAAGGTGTTGGACTTAAGACGATGGTTAGGAAGATGGAAGAGGCTGTTAAGGCGAGGAAGAGGTAGATGCTTTTGTTTGTTCTTCTTTCCCCTCGTTTTGACTTTCCCTTGAGGTGTGGTCTCGTGGTTCTCAATTAGACTCCTGGGGATGACTTTTGGAGTTTGGAAGGGTTGGTCTTGTTCTGGTTATGCGTATATGATTGACAATTTCTCTCGCTTCTGAAGACGGTATTTGAGGATTCACTTTATGGTCTCCCCTGCGTCCCCGTGATAAACTTTACCCGGAATGGTCGATTGAATATCTTTAGGGCTCTGCGTCGTATACCCATCTGGAATGGAAAATGCTTTGCGGGAGGTATCGTGTGATCAGTGTCATGATCGATTCTGATTCTAATCGAGCCATTTATGTTTGAGCTTATCCGATGCATCATCTGCAATGCATTCGAGCCTCTTCTCGTCCAGGCTAAAAGAAAGAAAAAGTAAACTGAGGCCCCCTGCCTCGAAAGCAAACGCCGTCTTATATGCAGTCATGTCGTAAAAGTGCCGATTCGCGTCTCTTTCCCATAATGATGCAATGATCAAAGGTCAGCCATCATGTCTTCGTCCTGGTCACCGTTCTCAGGTGCATCCCACACATCCATCGGATCTTCGTAGCCTTGAGCACCGGCAGTCTCGGCACGCTTGCTTCTGCGGGTAAAGTCTACAAACTCCTTCTGAACTGCAAGCCTGCGATCAGCTTCACGGACGTGTTTGGCTAGTCGCTCGATGTGAGCGGATTTCTCCTTCAAGAGAGCGTCTTGGTCGATGGCGGGTTGATTGGGGTTGTTTGAGAGGAAGCGAAGAACAGGCTTGGTATCAGCGCCTGCAATAGGTGGAGGAAGCATGGCGTTCAGGTGGCCATCACGAATCATGGTGCTGAGAAGAGTTGTGGTAGCTGGCGGAGTAAGATTGAGGTGGAGAGCGACTGTTTCGATGGGAAGTGCAGCGTAGGTCTTTTGAAGGTCGATGACACGGTAACGGCGCAATGAATCGGCGACCTGGTTAACAATGGCTGTGTTGCCGTCCTACAGAAGTTAGCCATGGAGTCCCCTGAAGCAGTTCTTTGGACAGTCATACCTCGTCCCAGATAGCAGTCGCAGCGGCAATCTCAGCATCTAGGCGTACGACATCACGCTTCTTGAAGATATCTGCAAGGACTTCGTATGCCTTGGACAGACTGGAATACGTCTTGATCATCTGAGTGTTGATCAGACCTTTGGTGAATGTGAGAGAGCCAGTAGACAGCAAGCTGACGAGGATGGACTTTTTGTAGGCCTCAACCATCAAAGGAGTTGCAACGTTCTGGGTAGGTGAACCAAGGATAAGCTCGAGGAAGAGACGGGCGCGGGTATAGCGATGCAGGCCGATGTAGACGTGTGCACCCAACAAGTAGTATTCATGAACGTCCGAGGCAGTCAGAGGTGCCGAGATATGTGATGACTTCGTGATGAAGGTGGCACTGATTTGGTGGTCGGCGCATGGCAGGCGATCGTCGACACCCTTTTGTGGGTCAGTAGGGAGGTTGTAGATGTCCTTGTCGAGGATGGGCAGGGCTTGACGAGGCAGACGGGCCGACAGACATAGTCGCACGAAAAGAAGGTGGTTGGATGTAAGGGTGCTGGACTCATAGTCTAAGCGAAGGATGGCGGTTGCGATGTAGGGAATGACGGATGCCTAAATCAGGCGTTAGTCAAAGGCAGTAGGCATTGTTATTATGATCGTACGTCTTTAGAGTGGTCATAGTAGTTCGCCAGCCAGGTCAGGAGTTGCTGCATCTCGGGGCCGACATAGCGAGCCTGGACGGGATCGAAGTGTGTGAGGAAGTTGGCAACCAGCGCCACCTGTTGCGCCAGGACTGCCTGTTGGGCGTATGCGAGGAGCACGGTCAAGTAGCCGATTGTGTTTCGAGTGGGATCCAGTAGCTATCAGGCCAAGTCAGTCTTGTGTCAACAGGAGGATTGAGCAGCGACTCACATCTACCAAGGGCTTGCCTTGGACCTGCTGCGGCACATCCTGAGCCTTGAGCTTTCGCATGTAATCGACCAGTCTGCGCAGGCTCGTGTCGCACTTCTTGTCATCCAGAGGGGCGCCATTATCGTCAACCAGCGGGTCCGACAGCAGGTAGCTCACGAGGTCGGCCATGTTGTCTTGAATGCTTGATTGTTTTGTAGCAGCTGGTGGAGTTTACGGATGGATTGAAGCACATGCGACCCCGATGACGATGCGGAGCCAAACGCGTCCGAGCTTCCTTTTGTCCCTTTTTATCCTCACTTATGCCCTCCACTCTCTTTCACTAATGCATCCAGCTACCGCAAATGACTACCTAGTCTTCTTGCTTGTCGGGACTGTTTTTCCACACCTTGATGGTTCCGTCCAGGCTGCACGTCGCCACCATACTGCTGTCCGGACTGCTATCAACTCCAAGCACCACGTCGTCGTGGCCTTCCAGAACCTGCAGTACTGCCTTGGTATTGACATCCCATATCACTGCTTTGCCCTCTTCGTCGCCGCACATGGCGAATGCTGACTCTTCTCCATCCTCCTGCTCGTTAAAGTATGTTCCGAAACACGCATTGATGCTGAATTTCTGGTTCTTGTGTCCCTGATATGTCTTGATACATCGACCTTCGACGTACTTCCATAACCGTACACTCGAGTCGAGTGTCGCCGCAAGCACGAATTTGCCATTGGGGGAGAAGCGTACCGAAGTGACGGGCGCGTTGTCTTCGTGCACTAGTGTCTTCAGACATTGTCCTGTATTTGAATCCCACAGTCGGCTGCACCAAAATGTTAGTCGATGCTCCATCAAGTATCCTTGGATGTGCAACTCACATGAGGCCATCGCTCGAGCAAGATGCCACAAGCGTTCCGTCCCGTACAAAGTCGACTCCAGATACTGGGTCTGAGTGAGCAGGTAGCGACCTCATCACTCGGGCTGTCCGCACGTCCCACAAAAAGACTGCTTCGTCGTATGATCCGCTCACGAGCATGTTACCCTTCGGCGAAAAGGCGATGCTGTATATGTAGTTGTGGTGACCAGTCAAGGCTGTCGGCATGCATTTTCCCTGCTCTTGTCATCAGCCGTGCTCTGCGAAAGCACATGTCTTGTTGCGTACCGTCCTGACATCCCAGAGTCTGATGGATTTGTCGTCGGAGCCCGATGCAAGGACTATCGAGTCGGGAGCCCAGGATATGGTAGAGACACCGGCGAGGTGGCCTTCGAGAGTGTGCACCAATGTTCCTGTCTGGGCATTCCACACTTTGATGGTGCAATCGGCGGCTGAGATGTGTCAGTCACTGGCGATAGTGTGAAGAATTGTCGCGTAGCTCACAGCAGCTGGCAACCCATTTCCCATTTGGCGAGAACCGCACAGCAGCGACACCCCTCTTGTGACCTCTTAGGGTCATGTACGGCTTGTAATGTACGCCGAATGGTCGCGAGTCGTCTGTTTGTTGGTCTCGTTCGCGCGGAGTCTGTGAGTTGCTGGCGATAGGTGGTTCCCCTGTATCCGACTCTTCTTCAAAGGCATAACCATTTTCGGCATCTGTAGGTGTATTGAGGTCGAGCTTTTGGTCGTTGTCGAAAGAGGATTGTGGTGAGTTGGAATCGAGTCTGCGACGCTTTGGAGAGGGCTCTGGCCCAAGGACATCGTCCATCAAGCCTTGCACCTGGTCGGCGATGCTCATAGTGTACCGCAGAAAGGCAGGCGTGTGCTGTAGAGACCAAAAATCGGTATGCGACAGGTTGCGACAAGAAAATGTTGGTGGAGTCTGGCTTTCACATGCGAATGTTTGGCTCTTCTCCAGAATTGCGTCTCGAAATGACATCAATCAGAAATCGAGCTGTCTCTCGTAATTTACTTATCACAATCTCCCATCTTACAATTCTACAGACTTGATCATGGACCAAGCAAGACAGACACTGGAGCTACCGAGCTCGATATGCGTCTTCTCACTTAACTGCTGGGGCCTCAAGTTCATCTCAAAGTACCGCCATGAACGCCTTGTAGAGATCGGCAACCACCTCGCCAGAGTATCGCCTGCTCCCGAAATCGTCGGTCTGCAAGAATGCTGGACTCAACAAGACTTCAACGCCATTCGTGAGCGAACGAAACACATCTTACCCTATGGAAAGTTCTACTGGAGTGGTATCTTTGGCGGCGGCCTGGCCATCCTGTCCAAATGGCCCATTGAGGAGAGCACCATGGTCAAATATCCACTCAATGGCCGACCTGCCGCCTTCTACCGTGGCGATTGGTATGTTGGCAAGGGAGTAGCCTGCGCCCGCATCCGCATTGGTCCTGGCAAGAAAGATATCGTCGAGGTCTTTACTACACACTTGCACGCTCCGTACGAAGCCGAGCCCAACGATTCCTACATCTGCCATCGCACTGCCCAGGCTTGGGAGATCGCAAAACTCATGCGTGGCGCTGCCGAACGTGGCCACATGGTCCTAGGTCTGGGCGACTTCAACATGATCCCACTATCACTGGCTCATCGCTTGATCGAGGCTCATTCTCCTGTCAAGGATGTTTGGAGAGTCATACATCCCAACTCTGCCATTGGCGCTGCCACACACGAGGCTGAGAAGGCGAGAGGAGTTCCAGTCCCTTCGTCTGATGAGTGTTTGAAAGAGCATGGAACTACCTGCGACAACAGGTATAACACCTGGCGCTGGAACAAAGGTGACAAGAAGAAACTGCTGGAGAAGAGACAAGACACACCAGTCGACGGCTCACAACCAGATACAAAAGCCAAACGTCTGGATTACATCTTCTTTGGTGGCGATGCCGAAGGCCCAGCATCACAATGGAGCATTGACAGTGTCAATGTAGGAGTTACCGAACGACACCCAGAGCTCCTCTGCTCGCTTTCCGATCACTTCTCTGTAGAAACAACACTTACACGTTCGTCCAATCCATCAAACGCACTGCCACAATCGACTACTTTCTTACCTGTCGAGACTTATGACCAAATCCTCGCCATGGTGCACAAGTACGAGGCTCGCGAACGCAAGCAGCGCAAGTACCGCTTATACCATTTTGGTGCCGAGCTTCTCATAGCCATCGGATGTCTGATCGCCGTCTGGTGGTCACCACGCAACTTTGTAGCGTTCCTGCTAATGCTACTAAGTACATTGGGTCTTTCAGCAGGCGTGATTGATGGCCTGATGGGCGGGCTATTCGTAGGAAGCGAGTTGCGCGCGCTCCGAGAATTCGAATGGGAGATTACGAATGCGAGGACCATGGCTCTTGCTGCTCAACAAGCGTTGTTGAAATAGGTATCGCGGAGTGATGATCGATAAAGGCTATTGAGAGTACTTCGTCCCCTTGAGTTTTTTTGTGGTTTCTTGGTCTCAATCGTCGATGCATCGAAGTTGTCGTCTACCTTACACAATTCTAGCTCAATAATTACTCGAGCAGCTTGGATCTCACATAGTACAGTACAGAAACATAATAATATCCGGAAATGATGACGGTTCCTATTCACTCGTCCTCTTGTTCTTCAATCTCTCAATTCTCTTGGAAAATATTTTGTTCTAGGTCTTTTTTTTTTTCTCCATGCGAGATTTGAAGGATTATGTGTGATTGCCCTTGCATTGCATATTTGCATGGCCTCGACATGGGGGGGTATCCTGCAAGCCATATATCATGAATCGCAACTTGCGTTGCCCAAATCAGGGCATTGCTTCGTCTTAATGCCTGGCCTCTCATGGGCTTTTTCAGCTGCCTGCTGCACAGCCGAACCTAGGTACTCTAGATCCTAGCAAAGATCGTGGCTGCCGCCTGGGAACGCAGTTCATTCTATCGAACCTTCTGCATCTCTATTACCCACCATGAAAGCAGAAGCAACAAGTACTTTTGTTCCCTCGGAATTAAGTATAAGCTCTAAGAGTTTGCAAGGAAAACCCTTTGTGAGTTCGTATGTAGGTTCGTATGATGGACATCCTCGGCACCCTCGGCGTAAGTTCAAGCTTTCAAACCCAACTATCCTTCCCGCTGTCGTCTGTAGTTGCTTCCTTTTTGCCAAACCCTTCCCATCTTTAGAACCTAACAAGCAAAAAGTTTGGTACAGGCAAGTGGAGTTCACAAAACAGTTTTGTGGAGTACATTTTCGCTTGTATGGTGGAGAAAAAAAGGCGAATTCTCAGACAGTCCAAACCAAAGCTTAAAAGCCATATTTGCTGTTATACACGGCTTAGAGTTAGTCAGCTTGGTGCAGGTGAGGAAAGGAATCTCGGAAACAAAGTGGAGGAGCTTGTTGCACCTGCATGAAATGAAACGAGATGCTCCATTCCTGCAGGATGCGAAAAAAGATTTTTTTCTTCTCGAGGGTTCTGCTTTCATTCCATTCCTACAGGATTCAGAGGAATGTCAATTGGGCTTTTCTTGCTTTCGACAGGGGTTTGAAAACAGCGTCGATTGGGTCTAGAATGTGCAAGACGCTCAAGGAGGAAGAAACGAAACAGATGATGCTGTGTCAGAAGTCCACGTGAATGGTCTCTATCACACCAGAGTCGAAAAGACCTATGTCAAAAGAGACACCACACGTGCTGGTGATACACATCACAAGACTTCCGCAAGACTTCCTTATCACATGTGACTAACTCACTATCAAACCCATCACTCCATATTTCTAGGGCAGACTCCCTACGCCGCAAAGCCGAGCAAGAAAGACAAGCGCAGCCAGTGCACCAAGCGCTTGATCGACAGCCCAAAGAAACGCAATATAAATTGGATATCCAACAAAAAAAAAAGCCCCAATTCCGATGCCCCCGTACTCGCACCGCATTGTATGCATACGCAAGCAAGAGCAAAAAAAGTCAGAAATCGCGCAAGATGATCATAGGGAAACTCCTTCCTTTGCCCCAACATTTTAATATATTGGCCTTACCATGGAGAAGGGTCAGGTTTGGGTGGAGAAAGACTCCCCAAAGGGAGGCCTGAGATACATCATAAGAGCAATCTTATCGGACAAGAGGCAGCACTCAATCTAGGTTCCCCAGAGTTGGTGTGAGTTGGGAGGAAACATGGGACAGTTGGGAAAATCGTAATACACGTGCCGCTGTCATCTCATTCCTTGACAGCGTCGACGATGTCAGGGCAGAGCACGTAAAAGCGATACGAACAATAGCCGCGCGCTTGTGTTGACCAGCGGTCATGGAACCGGTGTTCGTCTCTCGTCAACCGAGCGCCGGTCTATTCCCTGGTGCCGCTGCGTCGGGCAGCGACGGCGTGCCTGTCAACAATGGTCGTGCGAATCATGAGATCTTCCGTCTTCTTCTAGCAAAGAGTTGCAAGCAAGGAGGTTGGGACTTGTGGGAAGTTGGGAACGTATTGGAGACTTTCCGACAATTGGCGCCAAAGTCAGACAAAGTGCTGACATGGGTATGTATCGATATGCAGGTACATGGGGATTCAGGGTGACTTTTGTTCAGGTACAGTTCAGGTAATCGGAGTACAAGGTTCATGAGCGGAACGATGGGATCCAGCAGTTCGGCGACTGGACATGAATGTGAAGCACAGAAAAGAGACTCGAGGTTGGTGTTACGAGTTGATTTGTGCGACTTTGGGCACCTCTGACGTGCCTGAAGATCGCAAGCCGAGGCTTTTGTGCGTTCCTGAAGATCAGAAGTTAATTGCGTAGATGGTCGTAGATTTTGTCTCTCACCAGTCTTCTGATATCGTTGTACCAGCACATATTAGAGCTTCCCTGGTACTGTCTTGACCGCATGATGTTGAGCAGCGAGATCTCGCCGTTCGGTGGACGAAGCATTTTTGAATCTTGCATAAAACGGTCCTTCTACGATGTGCCAACAGAAACGGGTTCGCATGGATTACAGTACCCAGCATGAGCTTTGTAGTAACGGCTCTGCATGTGTTGAAACGCCTTGAGCCTCCAGCTCAGCTCTCCTACCATAAGCGATCTTAAAGCTCTTGGGGATAAGTCTCAACGACCTGCGGGCGTATGTCCGGCTGGCTGGGCAAATACATGAATGCCATAGACCTAGCGAGAAGGATTCGGACCCTGTGGTTTGTTGAAGGCGTTCGTGAAATAACAATATCCCGTCACCCCTCATGGCGTTCCTTTCACTTTTTGTGGAGGCAACTTTCATTCACTGTCCCGCTGTCGCGAAAGCCACCATCAACTCAACATGGCAAAAAGAGTGCTGAAAACCTGTGACCATCGACGGCACAGCCGCCAGGGCGGCAGTAGACGAGAAGAGGCACGACGCGGCTCACGTTACGAATGAATCGACAAAAGATAGTGATCTTCACTCAATGCAACAGAAAGAGCAATCGCGGACCTACTTGCTTGCTGTAGCTGTTCAATAGGCCGAGCAGCGTTGGGATTCGGGGAAAACTCTCGCACTGCCGCCAACATTGCCTGACGTGTAACCACAGCTGCGTGCGCATGTCAGATGTTGCTGCCGCTGCTGCTGATGATAATGAAGATGGCGCTCCACTAGGAGTAAAGGAAGGAGATTTTGTTCTTCTTGTCAGCGAGTCGCTAGCTTTGCGAGGCTTTACCCAGAGTTCTGGGGAGCGGATGGCGCTTGTCGGCTGTCGTGGCCCAGTCCGCGCCATATATTGGTGATTATCTGGTTGGCTAATGTGGTGGCATGGAGAATCAATTTCGCCAGGCAAGCAGGACACGACGACTGAGTCTCTTTCGTGCATCAATTGCGGGTTCAGAACAACAAGGTTCAGTGCGTGCTTCTCGCTTTTTGGAGTCCTCCCTGTCCGAGATTGAGACAACAATGGGTTGTCCTGCCACTGGTGCTGTTGATCCCACGTAGATAGGCGGCCTGATTTAACGGATGCCACCTTGGTTCTACACGGCAGTTGAAGAATGCCATGTGAAGCTGCGAGACCATGCTCCCTGACACCTGTCTGCTCTGATCTTGTCCTTAATCAGTAATGCAGCCTGTACAAGCACAAGCCGGTGGATTGCAAAGTGACACCAACGAAAAGCCAGCTCGTCCGGCTCGTTTTCCCGTTCGTCACAGCTCAACAGGGTGCATGTGGGCGCAGACCGTGCATGCGGCAGCTTGGACCTCCAAATTGTGTGGTACTCACCAAAACCGCCGAGTCTCGATGTTTTCCTGAGTCGCAAAGACCCATGAAAGATCCATAGTGGCCTAAGCACGCAACTTATCGGGCTGTTGGACAGCTGCTAAATCGATGACTCCACAGAGGCATCGAGGAGATAGGTGTGAGTGTCTATAGCGACAGGGAGAAAAGCACAGTGTTTGAAACAGCACGGCACGATTGTTCAAAGCGCTCGCTTCAGCTTCCGGCTGCCGTTGATGTTGGACGAGAAAGAAGGTTTAGGGTCAACGGTCTAGCGGAGACCTGCAGAATGGAACAAGTTTGTTTGACTCTCCAACAGTCTGACAAGAGTCGAGGAGAAGGCGATGTGGGTTTTTGGCTGAGGGCTTGCAGGAAGCAGCAAGCGGCAAGAATGGTGGTACGTTAGCGGCACTGTGGCGCCAGACCCGGGCAGGAACAGATACACAGACACCTGATGGCGTTGCGGAACAAGGCCCATGGCGGAGCATCGACAAGGCCCATAATCGACAAGGCCCAATTTGAGATCAGCGCCCGCCGACCGGTGCACAAAGCTTTGGACCCAGGAAGCTTGGGTCCGATTTGGCAGAGCGTCCCCATGCCCCATGCTTTCGCTCTCATGCTGTGTGATGACTGTGGATAATAATAAAGAGCACCTGAGTAGCGAGGACTCGACATCCGCCGCGAACCATCAAAACAGTCGCCACTTCCCACCTTGATGCCATTGAGGTTTTGTTTGTTCCTTCTTGCAATTCACAAACAGGCTCTTTCCTTCCTCATCCGTTTCCCCACCTGTGTCGCGTGCTGGATACATAGCCAAACATTCTTTCAAAACACTTCCAGTCCTTACCCATTGGCCGTGCCAGTTTCTCTTCGAAACATAACCTTCCACTCATCGACCATTGCAACAACCCGTCCTAAACTTGCCTGGCAGTAAGAAGGGGCGTTTGCCTGGACGTTTCATCTAGCTCCCGCACAAACCGTCCTGTCTCTCTCTCGGAAAAGCGTTTGAAGCTTTCTCTGTCTGATGACATAGCGACAATCCATTCCACCACCACTCTATACAAAGCAGAAACATCTCGCAGTTGCCTGCTCCCCGAGTCCCACCACTCTCAAACATGGACACAATGGAAAACGCGTCGCACTCGCGCAACGCTTCTGCGGATCACCACTCTTATGCACTGATCCTTGAGCACATCCTCAGTGACCCAGCTACCTACGAACTACCTCTACGCACCATGTACACTATCAACTCTACCCCCGCCGCACGTGCTGGACACTCTCTCTCCCACACACGCACACGTGAGAACTCAATAGACTCGCGTACCAGCGAGTCACCAACTTCCCCAAATTTTCCCTTCCGCAACGACACGGCCACCGAGTCACTGTCAACAAACCTCATGGCACAAATGGCTAGCCTTCCGTCGCAACCCACTTCACTGCCGCCTTCTTTCATTACCGCTTTCCTCCGCAAGGCTTTCTCCGCCGACCTTCGCTTTGTTGACTTCCCTCAAGCTTTGACTGGACTCGACTACCTCAAAGACCTAGAGACTAGAAGACGCAGAGAAGTCGCTGCAGCCTTGGAATGTCTGGGCATCGACCGCAACACTATCGGCGCTGCGGAGGAGGAGCTTTCTAGACGCTACCCTGGCGTGCTCTCATGGTTTCGCACACTCGAAGAGAAGGAACGCAAGATCGAGGCTCTCTACACACAAGTCTACGTTGCTCTTCGCCGCTGGGTCCTCATCAACGAGCTCTCATTGACTCCCTTCAACAAGCACAACTGTATCGCCATGCTTAACACCCTCTACCCTCCTATTGTCTCTTCTCAGCCTACATCTAAACTCACTCCTGGAATCTTAAAGAAGCAACGTGATACCTTCTTCAAGTACATCCAAGCCGTCGAGAAGAGTGGTCCCGCTGTCCTGATCAACCTCATTCAGCAAGGCAAGAAGCCCACCGACGAGAATGGCTGGGCATCAACTCGCAACACCCTTGACATGTATCTGCAAGTCGCCAACAGTCTCATCTCTGAATGTCAAGAAATCCTCTACACCGACACAACTTCTATCATCGACTCGGCCGAGACCAAACGCAAAGGTCGCAAGGTTGATTCTGGCATAAGCTTCCCCGAATCTGACCACCGCCGCCCTTCATCTAGCAGCAGCAAGAGCAGCAAGAATTCCTTCTCCGAAGATGCTCCAGTCAATGAGATGCGTCGTAAATCATCCTCTGGCATCCTTCGCACCTCGGGTTTGATGAAGTTCGCTCGCGAAATGAAGAATATGGGCTTCAACAGAACTGATGTTGATGAGATGATCAAGCCATCTGTCCCTACACCTACTCCTGCTTTCCCCGAAGTTGAAGCACCTGGCCCCGATAGATCGTCCAAGAGTCTGCGCAAGATCCGCAGCTTCAGCAACCTCGGTGGCCTACGTTCTGGCAACTCCAGTTCGACTTCCTTGGCTAGCAGTGGTAACCGCAGCGACGTTCCTCACTTCGACGCCGATGAGATGAAGAGACAGCGTCTCATCTACGAAGCTAATGCCGCAAAGCAGCAAAAGCCTTGAACTCTGCTGTCCTCACCATACAACCCGAACATAAAACACTCTGTACAGTAACGACTTTCACGACCTCCAACCGCCAGCATCTGCGACCAATGTTTCTTTTGTTCCAAACTATACCCCTTTGCTGTTGTACAAATTCTTGCGATCGGTGCCTATCTTTTGCACTTGGCACACATATTGTCGATCACTGTTGATGATCACGCATCACGTTCCTTTTCCTTCATGTTTTCGTTCATCGTTGTCCTCGTCACGGCGTTTTCATGATACAAGGATGGGAAATTGGGAGGCTAGCATTATCGGAATGGAAAAGGGGAAACCAAAAAGTGATTGACTTTGGAGTCTCTGCTTTCCTCGGAGTGGTGGCCGGCGATGCCACTCTGACCGTTGTTCTGATACATGCATTAATGAGTTAGGAAGAGGAGAGGGCCCACACTTTTTGCAGATTCGCCATGAAAAATGTATTAATATCTCTCAAACTTTTCCTCCATGACTTTTACACTTCGCCATCGTCGCCCCTTGATGAGTTCATGCATCCTTCTTGACTATTGTTTCGTTGTTGTGGACATCTTCGTCCGACCATGACTCGGTTTACGAGTCGTCGTTTGGCTTATCTGAGTTCACAGCCCAAGATTTGTCTCATCTCCTTGGTTTTTTCCATACTCGACCGAGGTGGTTTTAGATCTGTAGATCTCACATCGCAAAATCTATTGCGACTCGGTCCGATCTGCCGATGAATATCTTTGAGTCAGCGAGCGATAGAGTCGACGAGTAGTTTGCCAATGTCAAAAGAGGTATTCTGTTCTTGTTCTCTAAGTCATGTTGTAGCTGGGAAGACCCTGGCAGCTCATCAGCCGCAGCGGAAAATCGTATGTCCATATCTGTTAGACTTCACCTGCTATGAGTCAGCTTGTCAAAGACACGCCCTACCATCAACAGTCATACGAGTTGTGTATAAGTATCGAGGAAACAGAGTCCAGGTTGATCTCATATATTTTGTGTATCCTTCCACTCGTTCTCAAGAAAAATCATTGATCAGGGCCTTCGATTCAACTGTTCAACAACCATAATCACACTACCAAAGCTTCTCTTCCTCGCTTGACAGATCTGGTCTATCTCAAGATGGCAAGCTTGCAGTACACTACCCTGGACGTTTTTACAACGAAAAAGTTTGCCGGCAACCCATTGGCTGTGTGCCATGTACCAAAAGGCGTCACTCTCACCCAAGAGCAAAAACAGACCATTGCTGTCGAATTCAATTACTCGGAGACCACTTTCCTGCACCCGTGCTCGAATGAAGGTGATGAAGTTCCTGAATGGCCACTGGACATCTTCACTATCAAGTGCGAGCTACCCTTTGCTGGTCATCCTACCATTGGAACTGCGTGCCATATCCTGAGTCAAACAGACAAGACCAAGGGTAGATTCAAGGTCAAGGCTGGCATCATTGAACTCGACTACAAAGATGGTGTAGCAAAGGCTTCCATCCCTCACAACACCCATATCCACTCTACGACCGACTTGTCTGCTTCTGCTATGTTGAAGTGGCAACCTGGCCTCAAGCCCTTCTACCAGTCTGGAGATCTGAAGATTGATGTCGTGAGTCCTGTCAAGGGCATGAACTTCGCCATGATCGAGCTCAAGAGTTTGGAGGAACTGGCAGCAGTCACTCTGCCTGGTACGGAACTCAACTTTTCTCTTGATGCAGACTGGAACGTCGGACCATGCTTCAGCAAATTCTTCGTCCGCATGCCTGACCAGGGCGATGGTGTCAGAAGACTCAGAACCAGAATGATTGAAGGCAGCTTCGAGGATCCGGCGACTGGAAGTGCTTGCTGTGGGCTGACAGCGTACTTGGTATTGAAGGAAGGCATCCAAGACGGAAAGGTCAAATTTGAAATTCTGCAGGCTGTTGAGATAGGAAGACCAAGTGAGATTGGTGTTGAGATTGAGGTCAAGAGTGGCGAAATCAAGGCGGTTGTGCTGTCTGGAAAGTCTGTGAGCGTTATGGAAGGCAAGATCTTCTATGAGTAGTAATATAAGGGGAAACGGGCAGTAGCAGGCACTAAAAGCATCAATCAATCAGGTTCGTGACTAAACACATGTATATGAATCGTTAGATTGACGTACCGCAGTAGCCCCTTCCTTGTTGGATGTTCAGCGAGTTATAGACTATGAGAATGCACAATTCTGTTTGAGAACAGTACAGTGTCCTCGGGGAGCCATCAAGCCACGTGCTCTCTCTGGATGATGCTATGTGACGGCAAGATATTGTGCATTTGGGCAGCCATAAGCAAGGACGGACATCCGTTCAGGGAAAGAGCTCAATGGTCGATCCAAGACGTACCTTCCACCCCTAGCATGATTCGCTCCAAAAAATCAACACAAAGCAGTTTCAGACTCACACTCACGCGCTTGTTTGCGCACCTACGTTCCGCTTTCACTCCGACCGCGCAGATAACACGATCATCAGTCTCGCGTCGAACTCTCACAACATTCATCGGCGTCAACAGTCTCTCCTGGATATACAGCCCATACGGCCTACGGTAACAGAGTCTCGATAGTCTCTATCCGCTTCACGCTGACGTTCTCTCAGCTAGATCACTCATCAATCAACAACCTGCTGCAGCTATGGCTATGAGTATTGCGCGGGACAACTGCCTTTGGCAGGTCAAACCACCGGATCTCAAGGAGAAGAGTCTCAACAAGCTGGTCAGCTACGCCATCGCTGGACTCAGGACGTGCAAGCTTAGATCTTCGATTTGTCCTTGCCAGTACAAACACATCGAGGCCCTGAACCTTACTTCTGAGGAAGACTATGACGACCATGACTGGACCCCTTCTGGAACTTCTCGTCCTGCGCGCTCAGAGCTTGTAAAGCATCGAAGCATTTGCAAGGAACTATACCAAATCTTGCATGAAGATGATCTGCTTCGCAACCTATACCTTACCTGGTCGAATGAGGCTCTCATCACCTCTCTCAAGCAACGCGGTATCGCCTTGCCTCGCTCTCGAAACAAGTCCGAATACGCCTTGGCTCTGCAGCGCGCCGACGCAACTCGCACTTTTGCATTCATGAACTTGCCTCAGGAAATCCGTATGATGGTCTACGAAGCAGCCTTGAATTCTGATCCTGCGGATGACCACGCCAACCTGGCACGTTCTAAGTGCTCAACGAGACCAGCTCTGCTCCAAACCTGCCGCCAGATCCGCGAGGAGGGAATCGCAATTTTTTACCGAATCAATCGCTTTGTTCTGTTCTTCAGCAGTCAGGGACTCGAGAACAGATCTACATCCTGGTTGAAGACCTACGTGGACGCCGCCCATTTTCAGCACTTGCGTCACATTACTCTGGCTATCTCACGCTGCTGTGGCTGTATGACTTCGCTGATCAAGATCGATCTGAGCTGTCGTGACCCGCTGAACTGGACCGATGAGATCATTGAATCTGAATGGGTTGGCCGTCATCACGTTTCCTGCAAAGAAGTGTATCAGCCACTGGGAGAGATCGCCTTCATGCAAGAAAGAGCCTACCATAATGCAAAACCTTCCCAGAACGCTGATTTGCTTGCTGCCAGCACTGATGCCGCTCACAAAGCCATCGGCAGGCTGTGGGAAGCATGTGGACGGGGCCGCAAGATGAGGCCTTCGCTTTCGGGTCTTTTGGATTTCATCAAGGCCGTGCAGGAGATTGACAAGAGCTTGACAAGAGGATTCCGGTGAACCGACTGTCTACGAATCTTGGAGCTGTAAACCAAAGATGGACGATGGATAACACCAGCCTTGTTACTTGATCTCATGGCTGAAGGTTCGAGGTGAAAACGTGTTGCTGCATTGCGGTAGAGGTAGATCGAGATGGCATTGGGAGGGAAATGGTGGAGAAGAGAACCGGCCATGAAGAAAGCCAGTCAGTATTTAATCCCAGCAAATTGCTAAAGAAAGAAATCCTAGCAGGCAAGATTATCCTGCTGCATAGTCAGCTTGTTAGCTAATTACAATCCTCCCCACTTGGAAGACTCTCACAACATACTGAAGTAATGCATACACTTTCCCAAAGGGTGTCGTTCTCATATAGAGAACCTCATCGAAGACTACCTCTATGGCCACGCTCGTATTCAAAACACAATTGTGCACTTCGATGGCTCATACCTCCTTCATGACTCGGGATATAGAGAGGTCGATTGTAAGATTGTGAGGCTCTTTAGCACACGAGTAGATAGTCAGATCAGTGCACTCAAAGTTCTCTGGCTTCAAGATGGCTGTGTGTCGGCATAGCTTGCTTCGTTGCCTGGTCACTAGGGAAGAGAGAAGGAAAGCACAATTTGAGCATACAGCAGAAGCTGGGAGAAAGTGTATTCACGGATACTTTGGAGCAGAGAGATTAGAAAGCGAAGATACCATTCTTGATACAAAAGAAGTTACTAGAGCAGTAGGTAGGTAACAAGAAGACGGAAAAGAAAAGTGGGGGAAAAGAGTGCAGTGCAAAGCAAAGCAAACCCAACTTGCAGAAGAGCAGAAACCTCGATCAAACCAAAGAGAACGCCTGAGCGATTCAAAATATCACGAAATCGGAAAAAGGAAAACGATCAATTTAATGCTTCAGTCAATGGTAATGTCACTTCTTTAGACTTCCATGTCGAGGAAGATCCACTTGTCACTTGTGCAAGCGACGCCCTTTGACCAGCGGTCCAAGGTAGTAAGCTCGAAACCGACCCAGCCAAGGTCGCGAGTCAAGTCTTTGAGGTCTTCTTGGTCGGCAGAGCGATCAAGGCAGACGACGAGGTTGGAGCAGCCAAAGTCTTCGCTACCAGCCAATTCGAGAAGGCACATGAGGCTGTGAGGCATGGTCAGCAATAAATCAGCAGGCAGAGATACAAGCAGAACATACCCATTCTTGAGATCAGGTCCAATAACCGACTTGTCGAAAAAGACAAACAGGGTGCTTTGTCCATTCTTGTCGGAGACAAAGCCACGGAAGCGCAATCCAGCAGAATACTCCCAGATCTCGACCCACTCACGCACAGCATTGTTGGGAACAGCCATGTCGATAGCGCTGTCGGTCGAGGGCGAAGGAGAAGGCAGAGGTGCACTTTTGTCGATGCTTGTCTTGTTGTTGTTGTAACGCATACCCATCACAAGCGAGTCCTGAGCGACGGTGTTTCCCTCACCAAGAAAAACGGTGTCCAGTGTCTCGCAGAAGAGTCTCTCACATTCTTCCGTGATGGTGTATGCGGCGCCTCCGCTGCGCGAGCGGGCCTTGATGCCCGGGCGCTGCGGCGACGACGAAGCCCTGTTGGCGGGCGTCGTCCGTGGCGACGGTGGCGGTGACGTGCTCACCTCAAACCCACCACCCCGCTCCTGTCGTGGTGTTAGTCTGATTTATAGACGATGCAGAGTAAATACGTACCGCCTGCCCCGCAGGTAGAGTAGTGGAAGCCCTTCAGGGCCATGTCGACGGCATCGACGGTGTAGGCGCTGGCCTGGATGTTTTGACGGGCGGCGACTTCCTTGGTCGCCTGGTAGTAATTACTACTACTACTAAAGTTTTGATTGGAATAATTCGCCATTGAAAGGGTATGCCACGGTTGCGTGCCGGGGCTGGACGGTGATGGGTAGGGGTGTCTGAGACGAGGCGTAAGGAAGACGTAGAGTCTGTCGAATGGCAGCGAGAGCGTGCGAGGTTGGATGGAGCGAGTCGTTTGGTTGCGGTTGGAGCGGACGAAGACGGGCAGGGCTTGTACAGGATTTATGAATCGTCGTCGTTTGACACTTCGAGAAGGCCCTAGCCGTGCACCCCCGCCCACGTGATCGTCGCGACTCACCTATCAGAAACTCACTTGACGACATGACACTCAACTCAAACGGTTGCCGTTTTGGCCTGACATCTCCTTCACAAGAATCATTCACATGTAGAGTAGGCACAATGACATTCAGTGAAACGCATTCGTCATTTGTTATATGTACAGTGGACGAACTCGTCCGTGGCTGATTATGCAGCCAATCTCCTCAGAATAGAAAACCCCTTCCTCCCAGTAGTGCCCAAAGATGAGAGGCCTCCATTCTCTGCATGCCCCAACGCCGACGCTTGATGAAAGATATTTGGATCCAGCTGAATGTGTCTGGTATCCAATAGAAAACATGTAAAACAAAAGAAACTTCTGATCTTGTGCTGTGCAGCGTCTCACATTTCGCGGTAGTCGACCGAGCGCTGTCTGCGGTTGCGAGCTTGGTGACGATGTGGGTTGACAGGGCGCCGGATGTATGCACCGTCATCGCCTTCTGCTCCTTGCTGTTGCATATTGTTGTTTGCGTTGTTCCAGTTCTGGTTGCCTTGCCATTGCTGGCCTTGACCTTGTCCATAGCCTCCGTTCTGGCCCATCATCTGGTTGTTGTAGCCGCCACCATACATGTTTCCTCCGCGTTGTTGCTGTTGTGGGAATCCCATGCCGTTCATACCATTCATGCCATTCATTCCGTTCATGCCGTTCATGAAGTTCATGCCGTTCATGAAGTTCATGCCTCCCCATCCCCCGTTCATCATCATCTGGTTAGGCATACCCATCATGTTCATCGGCGGCATACCCATCATACCAGGGAAGCCCATACCCATGGCTGGGTTGAAGCCGCCCATTCCTGGCATACCTCCTTGTTGGTTGGCGAGAGCGTTCATGGACTGGATGAAGTTGTTCTGGTCAAATGCACCGCCCTGTGCTGGTGGCTGAGATGCGTTGTTCTGCTTGCGCATAGCTGCAGGACCAGTAGGGATTCTAGTATTGTCCAATTCCTCCTCGGCAGGACGCTTCTTCGATTCGGTAGCAGCACTTGTTTGTGGGGTAGATGTAGCGGATTTCTCTCCATTTACTGAGGCTGGCTTTGGCGAGTCTGACTTTCTATCGGATGTGTCGGATTCGTTGGTGGGCTGTTGCTCAGTTGTTGTTGTTGATGGTGGTGGGGTAGCAGACTTCTCCTTTTCCTTCTCAAGCTTCATCTTCGCCTTCTCCTCTTGATAGGCCTTGATCTTGTCTACGGCCTCTTCGTCGGGGATGAGATTGTCAACTAGTGTGTTGTCTGAGGAGCAACCAGGGCAGACAAAGTCATTTTCAAGAAGAGCATTCTCGATACAGTCACGGCAATAGGTCTTCCCACAGCAAGGAGTTTTCATTGGATCGACGAACATGCGTTTGTCAATAGGACATTCCAAGCCTCTCTCGCTCAATTCTTGGCTGTCTGTGTTGGCAGCTTCGGCCTTATCAGCTGCTGCTTTGGCCTTGGCCTGGAACTTCTCCCATGCAGCCTCATCCGGCTTAGCAACGACCCATTCTCCGGTGGCAGTGTACATGACACCAGCAGGCAACTGTGAAACATCGATCGTTCCATCGCTTGATAATGCGGTAGGCTTTTCGACGACCTTGAGGAAGGAGCGTGGAATACCGGTAGTACGTCTAAACTTGGGGCGACCGTCGAAGTTAGGGTCATTGTTGGTGGGACATGCTTGAATCCAGTGACCCTTCTCACCACAGCGATGGCAGGTGTAACCTGGAGGAAGAGGCTTGTCTGGAACATTTGCTGTCTTTTGGAAGCCGCCAGTACGGTGGACAGCCTTTTGGTTGGCCATCTCTTGCTGTTGCTGCTCCCACTGAGCACCTCCTGCCTGAAACATGGCTGCAATCTTCTCTTCTTCAGTCATATTCGGGTTCAAGTCTTGAGGGGCGCCATTGCCCATAGGTGTTCCGGATGCGGCGGCGGGTTTGGAGGATTCGATACGGTGTTGATTCTTTGCCATGACGGGCATTTTGCCGGAGACGTAACGTGCAGCTCTACCAGCACCGGGCTTGGTAGCAGGAAGGCGTCTGGCGAGAACAGTCGTGCCACGGGAGATGATAGATGTGTCATCGTTGTATTCTTGATGAAGTTAGTGATTTGCGATTCGACGACATACACTTGGTGGTTATTAGCTTACCTTCATTAGTGTCGAGGTTGTAGATGTTAAAGTCGAAGTCAGTGCCATCGCCGAGTCTGCTCATGTTGATTATGTCTCGCTTGAGCTCAAAGACAGAGATACCAGTGCCATCAAAGGTCACTCTCTGCACATCCTTCTGGTTTTTGAACCTGAAGAAAACGGAAGAAGACATGGTTAGGGGTTACCGCAAAGGACGAGTTAACGTTAGAAGCAGTAGAGTAGTAGTAAAGAAACCAGATGGATTCCAGGCTCAGATTGTCAAGGAAGGACAATAGGTCTTATTCAGATTTTGCCTCGTGCGAATGCCGACTATGGTAAAATGTTTTTTCTTGACTTTTTCTTCTTTGGAGGTTTAGGAGGTCTTCTCGACACTAAACACTATTGGGGGATACAAGATCTCTGAGTAAAAGGGAGAAAGAGTGTATTGGTGATGTGTGTGAAGACTTCAGGGCAAAGGTTTTGTATGTGAATATGCAACATGCACAGTCGCAGGCTTGTCCCTCCTCTCAGACCAATTCCTCAAACACTTCCACTTGCTCGTGTGAAGATCTTGCGCGGCTGACTCACTGGGCGACAATAGCGCGTTGCTGGCACTTGTCGAAAGGCGCACCCGCGGGCGTTGTAAAGACGTTTAGACGTGAATATTCGAGACGACAAAGACGGTGGCCGTGGTGGATGACGGCTGAAGGGTGAGTCGTGTGCGTATGTTGATGAAAGACAAGAGAAGGATGTCTTGTCGGCGAAGTCCAAGCTGAGGCGCAGGAGCCTGGATTTCACTTAGTCAGCCGGTTGCCGTCGGAAGAACTTTCCGAGCCTTTCCGAATCCGGACAACAGTGGCCTTTACTCGCTCTTACTCTCTCTCTCGAGTATGCAAGCTCTACCATGAATAGGGAGTGCTCACTTCTCAGATGCAAGATACTCGAGTCTGAGACTTATTAATGGCGCATCAATGATCGGATATTGCAATAAATGGCTGTCTCAATCGTAATCAACATTCCGTTTCAAGCTCGGCTCTGTCTCATTCTTCGATGAATCAACCATTGTCTATTGCTTTCGTTGTCTGTCTACCCGTTCTCAAGGAATAGTCACAACCACCTTTCCGACCGCCTTGCTGTCTTCCATATATTCATGGGCCTCGCCTATCTTCTCCAAGGGGAATGTCTTATCAAGGAAATGCTCTGGCTTGAATGTCCCAGATTCGACTTTCTTGACTACTTCTCCAACAATTTTCTCCACACCTTCAGCCTCCTCCTGCCCAGGCTCTAAACTGTAGAAAGTCATCTTTCGCGTAGGTGGAATGAGAGCAGGTGTAAACTCCTTCATGGCCCACTGCTTAGTCAGAACACCTGTAACCACAACTGAGCCATGTTTTGCCAGATTCGGCAGGGCGAGGGACTCAATTGTATCAGGGCCAACGAGCTCCAGGAGACAGTCGACACCACTGGGTGCTAGCTTTTCCAGTTGATTGTTGAGCTCCTCTTCGAGAACGACATGGTCTGCTCCAATCGACTTCAGCTTCTCAGCCTTATCCTGCTTGCGCGTTGTGGCAATGACAGTACATCCGTGGTCTTTCGCTAAGAGTACGGCCCAGACGCCGACACTACTCGTTGCTCCATGGATCAGGGCAGTGGCTCCGTTGGTGAGTTGAGCTGCTTCGAACAAGGAACCATATGCTGTCCACATGGACATTGTGATAGCACCAAGAACATCCCAAGATAGGGAAGTCTGTGGAAGTCTGAACAGACGTTGGGCCGGGCAGATGACATACTCAGCGTAGGCTCCATCAAATGCTTTGCCGCCTCCGTAGATGAATCCAGTGCACAGCTCTCCCTTCTTGAACTTGGTTTCAGAGCCTGCTTCTTCGACTGTGCCTACAAATTCCTCACCTACAATACAAGTCAGTATCGTTTTGGAACGACATACTTCGACTGACCTACCGAGAATCTTTGGTGGGTCAGGATGATATTCATCAACAAACATTCCGAATTCGGGCGGTGCTGGTTTGTCACCATTCCGGCCACGAAGCTCAGCACGGTTTAGTCCAGCAGCCTTGACTTTTACCAAAACCCAGCTTGGTGATGGGAGTGTAGGCCTAGGATACTCTTTATCCATTGTGAAGCATTTCGATGGAGGACTGGCACCAGGCGATGATAGCACCGCCGCGGTCATCTTACCGCTTGGTGTGTTGTCCCATGAAGGCATATTGGTCTTGTGAGTTCTTAGCAGTGTCCGTATCGAATATCGAGGTTGATGGATTCGACAACAGAGAGGTGCTGATGTACATATAATGAGGTTGACAATACTGTGACATCATCAGTGGGTGCAAGCAATGCATCTTTCATTACATGCGCTCTTCTAAGGGCCTGTAATTCGACTTCCATGAGATGTACAAGGGATGAGATGGTGACTGTTCGACAAATCATGGCAATTAACACAGTAGAACCTACGTCGTGACCAGGCAATATTGAAATGGTCTTCACAAACAGAGAGAATTTCCTGTGATTCTACATATGATATGGCTCAGATACTGATTGGTCGAATCTGCTGTAGGTGGGCAATTCGACAAGTCACAGTCACCACTCGTGAGTATGCTCCAGGCGCGATGGAGGAAGCATGAATATATCTGTTGCATACGACCATTTGAAAAATAGTGCACAAGTTAATGTGTCTTCTCGACTGTTGGGAACGTGTGCTGTAGGGTTTAGGTGAAATCATCGCTCATATTTTGCCTGAAACCATGGCTGTCGCACATTGACTGGAGACATAACGTAGTTGCAATCGTATAGTGGATTTGAATGTTTATGGGGTTCGTATCGGGACTCGAAGAATTGGAAAGACAGATAGCGCTTGAGAATTTTTCAGATATGTTACATGAAGAGGTAGAGGGAGTCTATTGGCGATCGAGGGTTGGCGCAGAAAGAAACGTTTACTCGTCGTCGTTCTCCATGTACTTTTGCTTGAGGTCCTTCCATTGGCGCTAGAAAGAGTGTTAGCAGTTGAAGTTTCGCGATGGGGTCGAACGATTGAGGGACGTACGCCCTGGTTGATGGAGTTCCAGACGCTGTTGGAGGCGTTGTCGAAAGCGCTACAGATGGGTTAGACCGGAACGGGCATGAGGTAGCATTGGTTGGGGAGGTAGCGTACATCTCCATGCCGAAAGCGCTGACGAAGACGACGCTGAGGAAAACGTAGTTCTTGCGGAAGATGGTGCTGTTGGATAGAGTCAGAAGGTTGACGAGAGCGGCCGAGGTTGTGGATCGAAGACTGACTTGTACACACTCTGGAGAGCCTGCGATAGACGTTAGCAGCGAACCAGACAATGCGCATGAACGGGGCCCTTACAGGAGAGGCCATTGTGAAGGTTGTATGTGTGAGAATGCGACTCGACGTGAATGTGGTGAACGTGCAATTGCAACTGGCGACGACAAGGGAAGCCGCCGCTGGACGAACCTCAACTTCGATGGTCAGCACGTCTTGGCAGTCTGTGCGTTGGCATTGCGCTTTCTGCTTGCTACATCCACCAAGTCGCACCTACCAGATCAGACCATTGATTCCGGTCGTTGTTTCTGAAGGCTTCCAATCACTGGCATCAAGATGCCCACTGAAGCCTCCAAGGTTTCTCGCGCTGGTATCGCAACTTCAGCGACTGGCGAGCGACACATCCCCTCATCTATTCGACCTGATGGCTCCGTAAGAAAGGAAATTCGTGTACGCCCTGGTTACCGCCCTCCCGAGGATGTCGAGCTCTACAAGAACCGCACCGCCGAAGCATATAAGAATCGTGCCAAGGGTGGTGTTCCCGGCGCCGACTCTGTTTCTGCCACCCCAGATCCTCCTTCTGCCGCTGCCAACAAGAATGCAAAACGTCGAGAGGCCAGGAAGAAGGCCGCAGCTTCTGCTCCAACAAAAAACGATGCGCCTGCTACAACCACACCCACCAACCAATCTCTTACTTCTACAGAACCCGCCAAACAGACTGTAGACCCTGAAGTCGAGAAATCAAAAGAGGCCAAAAAGTTAGCAAAGAAGCTCCGCCAAGCACGCGAGCTTCAGGACAAGAAAGAGAAGGGTGATTCTCTACTTCCAGAGCAGTTCCAAAAGGTCATCAAAATCAACGAGCTTATTCGTCAGCTTGAAACTTTGGGTTTTGATTCGAACGGAGACAAAAAGTTAACAGAAGCAGAGGCGTGAAACACCCAAGACTAATCCATCTCTATCACAATCGCCATGACATTTACTGTGTCGTACAATCCGAAGGGCGTTTCATATCGGACATGAATCTTGTCTGTCCGGACTTGCAACATGCTGCCTCTTCCACCACCAATCCTCGAAGCCACTTGTCGACGCAGTTCGTCAATTGCTTGGGCTTGCGACCAAAACTCTGCGCTATTGTGCTCTCCGGTCAGCTCAACGACGATAGGCTTCTCGTCAAATTCGGCAATCTTGTAAGGTTCAGAGAGATCTGTTTACTGTCAGAGGGCTTGCTTGCTTTTGTTTGCCGAGTGAAAACTTACTGCACTCGTGTCCGAAAGGTATGACCACCAACCTGGTTTTCGAGATGCCGTACAATGCTCGCTGTTCCAGCACAGCGTGGATCTTCTCTGCCGCGGCAGATACCAACGTTGATCGAGACGCTGTTACTTGGTCGACTAAAGTGTATGGTCTTTTTTCCGTCTTCGTCTCCTCAACATTGCGTCCCACTAGCCCGCTCGAGGACCTTTCTTCATAAGGCGGTGGTTGGTCGGCCATTTCAAATCGGAGTAGACGAAAGAACTAAGCGTTGTGTCAAAAGTGCTGCTGATTCTCGAGAATCGATATTCTAAAGGTTCAGGCTGACGTCTGCGCCTCAATATTGTTTGTATGCCTGAACAACTCCCAAGGGCGTGCGATCTCTGTGGAAGATAGTTGGATGGATCTGTCAGACTGTCAGGTGCCTGAATTTACCTTCCAGGCGTCTTCTCGAAATCCTTCGACTGAGCCTACTTACAGCCGAGTGCTTGGCACCAATGACTGTGGAGCATCTTCAACTCCACCTCTATCATGCTCAAGCCAAGACAATTCTGAACTTCGTGTTGCCGTCAAATCCGGAATCTTGTGCCGACCATATACTTGGCCAACAACGCCGTGCCATTTACGTACTTTACTGAGAACGAAAGAGCATCTAAATTGTCGCCTGACTCGCTTCAACACCAACCAGGCATCATCGTGGTCAATATCCGGAACAACGGCATTACTCCAAGGCTGTAGGATGTGGCTCATCCATAGGCATGTCGGCCTTTCATGAGTGATTGGGTAGCTCCGCCATGCGAACAGCAGGTCAGATGCGCATTATGACTGGTTCCGTCCAACTATATAAGATAGAAAATACAGACCCTCTTTCCACCATCCACAGAGTCACCCTCGTCTTTCCTCACATCCACTACTCACACATCAACGTCAAGATGGTTTGGGGATATCATGCTGCGGAGCCCAACTCCTACCTCGTCATCACTGGCGCAGGCGTCAAAAGACTGAAGCTCACCAAGAAGGCTATGGTCCTTCCTTTCCAGAAGGTTACAAAAATCTCAGTCACACCTTTCCATTTCACAACCGACCTCCAGGCCATGACATCGGAAAAGTTGCAAGTCTGTCTACCAGCCGTCTTCACCATCGGCCCTAAGGACGACCCCGAGTCACTGCTGAAATATGCCGGCTTGATGACAGACAACAATTCCGATGCTGGCGTTGCTAGCCGCGAGCACATTCAAGCCATCATCATGGGCATTGTCGAAGGCGAGACAAGATCTGTCGTCTCCAACATCACCATGAAGGAGCTTTTCGAGAAGCGCAGTCTTTACAGGACAAAGGTTGTCGAACATGTTCAAACTGAACTCACTCAATTTGGTCTCCACATCTACAATGCTTCTATCAAGGAGCTTCGCGACATGCCTGGCTCTCATTACTTCGAATACCAGTCGCGCAAAGCGCATGAGGGAGCTCAAGCCGCCGCGAAGGTAGACGTAGCACATGCTCGTAAGTACTGTATTATACCCTATAAGCAAGGCGGGAGGCTCACGAGGAGTTACAGGTATGCAGGGTGAGATTGGTGAAGCCGAAAACGTAGGCAAGACCAAGCAAGAGATTGCCAAGATCAACGCAAACACCGCCGTTCAAGAGACCGAGCGCAAGATCGAAAAGGCAATGGCGGACTCACGCTTCAAATCTCAAGAAATCGAGATAGAGAGGAAGCTGCACATTGAACGCATCCAAGCCGAACGTGCCGCCGAACTCAGAGATGCCGATCTCCAGAAGGGCGTCCAAGAAAGCAAAGCCCTCATGGAACTCGAGCGCATGAGAGCGACAACGGTCACAAAAGCCAAAGTAGCAAAAGAATCCGCCGCCGAAGAAGCAGACGCCCAACTCTACAAAGCCCAGCAAGCAGCAGAAGCCCTCGCCTTCCAACAATCAAAAACCGCCGACCTCGAACTCTACACTACCGAAAAACAAGCAGAAGGCCATTACCACAAGAAACAGCGAGAAACAGAGGCGAAATTCTTGCAAGACAGTAAAGCTGCCGATGCTTCTTTGTACCGCAAGCAACAAGATGCTCTCGGTGACTTTGAGATCAAAAAGGCAGAAGCTGAGGCTTTGTATATTCGTCACGAGCGCGAGGCGGCAGGTATAATCCAACTCGCCACCGCGTACGAGAAACTCGGCAATGTGTTGGGAGGACCCCAAGGCGTGCGTGACTGGATGATGCTGCAGAACAACATTCCCGTGCAGCTCGCAAAGGCAAATGCCGAAGCCATTAGAGGACTGCAGCCGAAAATCAATGTCTGGACTACAGGTGCGCAGGACAGTGCTGCTGTAGACTCGTTTGCGCCTATCAAGAACATTATGCAGAGTCTTCCTCCGCTGTTCTCGACTATCCAGGATCAAACTGGTATGTTGCCGCCGACTTGGTTGGCGCAGATGCCAAATGGCAATGGACAGCGTACGGATTCTGCTCACGAACTTCCGCTTGCTGTGGAGAAGCACAAGGGTATTAATGGTGTTTGAGTCAGATGCCACAGGTCTCACTCTCTCTTGTTTCTCCTGTTGTTTGGTATCTCGCTTTTGCTGTAGCCAGGAGACTTGTTATGTTACAAGTCTGATGGGTTGTTCTCACTACATTAGTCGTCCTCAGTAGGGTAGTGTCACGATAGAGTTAATATCGAGTATCCATCATGGAATCCACTTTCGTCCCATCCAGAAAGCCGGTCACACTTGTTGTTGCACATGGTAGTAGCCCGATAGAGCGGCGATGTTACGAAGGACATGTTGATACCATCAAACGAAAGACTAAATTAGACACGCCATGAAGCGAAGATGAAGAAGAACGCCGTGATAATCAGTAGAACCCCACAATCGTCAAACATGTCTGCCAGTTTCATAAAGGCCAGAACACATATATGCATGCATTATTCTTTTCGTTTTTCGTTGCACTCTTGCTGACGAGAGATCAAAAAGCAGACCGGGCCCGAAGTGCAAGAGCAAAAGACGATGATGTGCAGAACATGATAAGAAACAACAAATCCTCCACGCTAAGCATGACAAGCAAAGGCGTAAAGGGTATATTCCGAAATGCTGGAAGAGAAAAGAGACAAAGGAAGATGCTCAAGATGGTCCGGAAACAAGCAAAGAAAGCACAAGGAAAAAAGGCTCGAGCTATAAACCTCCTCTCAAAGAGAAGAGAAGATGTCCATAGAGCACATGGACATATGCAGAGTCATGACGCTTGAATGTGACGAGTTTATGACCAGTATCGGACAAAACTGGTAGAAGGCGTCGGCTTCCTGACGATCACGTCGTTGAATGACGTGAGGCACCATTTATGATCATCCGGGCTTCAGACAATGGCATCGACGGAGTTGAATGAACCGACAGACCCGATAGAATCCCCGGTCAGGCCTTCATTTTTGTAAAGGTCATTCCCTTCGCTCTCAGGAAACAGGATGCGGTCAATCGCTTCGAGTATCAAAATATCGCTGACTGCAACATTGGAAGCCTGTTGTAAACGGCGAATGAAGGCGATTGTGCGACGGAGCAAGGCTTGTAACTTGTCCCTGGGCACCAGCTCTTTGAGCCATTCGATGTTACAGCTGTACACTGCTGCAAGAACAAGCATATTGCCAAATTGTCTAGAGAAAGTCAGCTACCTGTCAGAGTCATGGGCAGCACCGCGAGATCTTACGCATGAGCAGTTCCCATGATGTTGGTGACTATCAGGCGACGCTCGAAATTTTCCACTCCGTCAAAAGCTACAGTACTGCGCATGGCAGCATCGATACAAATGCGACACTTGGACTTAACCATTTCCTCGTCGTTGTATTCCCTGATGGCAGTGAATAGCGCATACTCGGTTTCCCGATGTCGTCCGTTGGCATCTTTTGTTAGCTCTTCGAGGGTTTTGCCTTTGTCAAGTTCGTACATGACATGTAGAGCATAGTCGAGATATGGCCGGGTACAGACGTAGCAAGCCCCGTAATACTTTCCTCTTAACCGAGCGGCGACAATATCAGAAGCAGGAGGGTCGTCGTCCGACCAATGATACTCGGGCACGATCTGTCGCCAGCCTTCCAAGTCATCGGTTTGCTGCCAGAGAAGCTCGGCAAGCCTTTGAGGATCTTCTGAAGATACTGCTTGACGTCAGTATTATCTCGGTGATCGAGTCTAGAAAAACATACGTTGTCCTCCATACACATCTGTGTGTATCCTGTTCAGCTTAGTGCGCAGATAGAGTTGAGCTGAATAATACAATGATATGATGTATCTCTCTCGCTGCTCTTCCTGGGACAATTGATCGGCTGGTGTCATGAGTTGCCCAGGATAAGTGACTGTGTTCTCGAGTAGATGTAGGCCGCTCCGAGGATAGTCCCACTCAGCGAGGATGTCACTATCGCTCCATTAGCCTGGTCAGCTCGACCGGAGCTTTGAACATACCTCTCAAGCTGTAAAGCCGACCAGAAAGTGAGGATAGTCAGATTTTCATGTTTGTTGAAAATTCGCCCCATCTGTTTGTCCTTTATCGTGTTGTTCAAGCCGTCACTAATATAGTGTAAGTAAATGTCATAGAGCGGCTGTCGTGAAGGAATCTCACATTTTCATGCGATAAAGGCAAGTCCGTGCAGCCGTGCTTATCCAGCTCCAACTCTCCTGAACTCTGGCCAGTTGACCTTTGTATAGACCAGCAAGGAGACGTGCTTGGGCAGCTGCAAGCTCATTCGAGTCTGTAAAATCGCCAAGAATAGAGGCAGCCTCGCGATAGTAGACAAAGCCAGCAATCTTTTCATGATTTTGGGCTTGCCTTTTGTCTGATGTTTGAGTTCCGCTGCCATCCCAGGACTGAGCACGTGTGACTCCAGCGGAGGAGTTGGCGACATTGCTAGGTACCTGTCCCGGAGATAAAAGGTTCGATTGGAGATGAGGTGATGCCATTGTTGTGTGAGAAGGATTAGGCTTGCTCGTCGACGCAATTTCTTGTACAGGACCAGGAAGGGGGTCGCCAGTCTCACAGATCTTGCCCAAAGCAAGGATCAGGTACACTATGGCATTGGTAAGATTCCTTTCTGGCGCGCGCCTTGGCTGTGAAGATGAAGAGCTGCTTGTTTGCTCTCCTGGTAGAGTGCCGGTGGCGAATTGTTCGCTGCGGGCAACTTTTCTGCGTTTGGTTACCCGCTCACCAGTGCCATTCGTGACAAACAATGGCGAGTGATGACTCTTGACTTCTGCGCAGTGCTTTGGAATAAAGGTTTCCTTTAGATATTTTCCAATCCGCTCAATGTCCAAAAAAGGATGCAGCCTGTGAATATTTTTCTTGTAGGAGTTGAACAAATTTTCAATGGTGTCAAGATCCATGGAAATGGCAGGAGAACCAGGAGTAAAGGGCTCAGACCGTCGAGGATCATTTTCAGGGGTTGAAGCAAGATAATCGTCTCCATTTGAACTGCCTGCAGGACTTGCAGCGCCAATGTTTACCTGCTCATCTTTCACACGCTCGCCAGCACCGTAGAGACGCAGTATGCCGCGATCTTCGCCTTTCATAACGTAATTCTCGCTGATAATGCATTTGTTGGTGCGCACGAAAGGTTGAATGGAAGGCCAACGAAGCAATAATTTGTGCGCCGCTGTGGTGTGATCCCCAATTTCCCATGTCTGCTGCTGCTGAATGACCGTCAGATCTTCGACATTGTTGCTGTTTATAACCATAGCATCCGAGTTCGCCTGACTGGACGGATTTGGCGTATCAACACGAGCCAAAGGCGGTGGCTGAATGGCAAGACGCTCCTCAACAACACCGAGACGATCGCCTATTGCTTTGATGGACGTCAAGACTTCGGTAATCATGTCGGAAAGAGCTTGGTTGTTCTTGTCGGCTTTTGTTGGATGCGCATCCTTGTAATTACACACCAGACCTTGCTCCTTGCATGTTACACAGGGACGATTCTCATCGCACTTCGACTTACGCTCACGGCATCTATCGCAGGCCTATTGGTAGAAAATAAGATAATATCGACAAAAGTCAAAAGACATTATAGCCTACCTGACTGGCGCGTGAACTTTTCTTCCGCAAGTTTGGATTCGACATGTGCATGGCTGGCATGTACTGTGGGTAATATCCTGGTGGTGGTTGACCATAAGGATCCAGCATGGGGCCAACTATATAGTTGACATGTTCACCTTGTGGGGGTGGTGGTGGTGGCGGCGGCGGATGCTGCACATAAGCAGCTGGATGGTGTTCCATAGGTGGTCGGGTACTCGATGGTGGTCCGGGATGTTGCGATTGGGCTTGCGGCTGAGGCTGAGGATGTGATTGCAGAGGGTTACTCGACGGGCGCGGGTACTGAGGCGGCGCAGGAGGGAGATCTGATTTGATGACAGGGGCTCCGTGTACAGCAGGTGGAGCGGTATATGGATGTTCAGCTCTCTCCGGACCCTCGGAGTGCGGCGCAGGGTGTATGATGGTCGGCGGGGGTTGCTGGCCTTGGTACTGATGTGGTTGTGAGGGAGGAGGAAAGGTGTCGACGCTCGGTAGACTATGTGGTCTAGGTGGAGGGTAAACCTGTTGGTTGGAAGGAGGAACGGAGTGGTCGGATGGGAGCGAAGGACGGTGGTAGTGCTGGTCAGGGCCACTAAGGGGCGCACGTCGATGATCCATCGACTGACAGCTTTGACTCGTAGACGGCTGTCCGTGTCAGTGGCGCTCTGACGGTGCAAGCGTGCACGCAGGGCACCGCAGGACAGGTAGGTGGGCAGATCAGAGCAGATCAGAGCGGCAGTGCCAACGGCGGCGGCGGCAGCAGAGACGATAGTAGAAGTAGAAGCAAAGCAGGAGTCCTTTAACTCTAATCTTCGGACGCGCAGATACGGCGAGGGTCGGAGATGAGCTGAGGATCGCCTGGTCGAAGAGGTGGTCCAGCAACGTGTGGGCTGGCTCCTGCTCAGATCAAATCGGATCTGGTAAGGTCAAGACGCAGCGGCGGTAGTAGCGATGGCGAGTGGCAGGGGGGCAACGTGGGCGAAAGCAGCGTGCAGGGTAGTTGCAACTGGCGATACTGAGGTGTCGGGTCGAGTATAATGACTTGTGCCTAGACAGGCTTCCTGGCAATGAATGACGATGAGCTGTCGAGGTTCGAATCTTGGTGACTAGCTTGTCCCCTGCAAGATCCAGTGCAATTCGCTGGGCCCGTCAAACGCTGGTGCGCCGGCCGCGATCTCGTTTGTCGAAAAAAGTCGTCCTTCCTACGGATCTACGCTACGGGGCAAGGGCCATGAGCATGATAGACACGACTGTGGTCCCGACTCCCAGATACACCCTCTGCTTAGCGCCAGTGTCGGGTGCTCTAGCTTCCGTCTTGGAAAGACGCCCAAGGACTGATGACAGACCCTAGATGCATGGGGAGTCTGCGCTGAATAATATTAACAACGACTGTCATGCAGCTCTAGTGTCTGCGAGGAAAGAGCTCCCAGAACTCCTCAGTGCCCGCCCGCCTTGAGCTTTGTGCGAGTCAGGGACGTTGCTGCCAACCTCGTTGACTCGCGTCCACCAAAGTCAATTCAAACCTTCATTTGGCACTTTAACTCCATGACATCTCGTACGCTCATCCACCAATTTCACGCACCGCACCCGAGCGCAATCATTTCTGCCGTCCTTGCCAGGCCAGGAGCTGATTATCTCTTGTTTTCTGATGACTTGTCCTGGAACACACCCGTTTCTCCGGGGCGAAGCTTGATTGCAATCGTCAGAGATAACTACTCATGCCGAAACATATGGACCCTGGTGCGCGTGGCTGGATGCACTGGGCAGTACAAGACGACCGATAAAAGGCAGACTCCTTACGTGTTTCCACCAAACGGCCTCACATCTGCTGGGATTGCTTGGATCTATGACCTGGTTCGCTCAAATCTGCTTGGGTTTGACCATCTCAATCCTGATATATTAATCCAACTGCCATGTGCCTTCTCCGAGGCGAGCATTGCTGTGCCTTCACCGCAATCTATGCTGCTTCAGCTACATGCCTAACAATAACTTGCCGTTCTTTGAATACTAATCAGTCGAATAACCACGCAAGGTGAATACAAGTACTTTCCTAAACAAGAACACCTCGATGCAAGAACAATTGACGCCTCCATGTCAGATCGGCCGTTTACCTTCCCGGATCCCGGACATCCAAACCTGCGGTGTGAGTGGTATGACGATCTCCCACTGCTACCGACACAACCGGTTTCATAATATGAACCCTGCTGCCAGGAATTCCTGGTCACGGCGGCTCCCACCTGGATGGCATGATATGCCAAACTTTGGCTTTGCAATTCAGGGCTCTAGACAAGACTTCTAATTTCTCGCACTCGCTCCAGCACTCCAGAATTTATCACGGCGAATCGCAGGTGTATGCCCGTAATTTGTGTGACCAAACGCTGCTGCATTCTCATCGCTACAACTTACCCGGAGGATTCTCTTTGGCTTGTGATATTGGTCTAGCTTTCTTAGCGCAAGGTGGAGAACCGCGCCTGCGGATTTTGGGAACTCTTGACATGCAACGGGGCGGAGCGTCGCGCAAAGTGGAGACAGAGTTCACCCGTTCACCGTGAGCTCGCGAGGCGGGTCAAACTTGCAACTGGCGCGCCTGAAAATCACATCGTTCCGAGCTGGTCCTTGGTACAATATCTGCGAAGCGATGCTTCTTCATAGGGCTTCGTTGATAGCGCACACTGCGTAGAATATGCTGAGAGCTTCACCGCTGTTAGGATACATGAGACAGGGGATGCTGCAAGAATACAAAAAACCTCGTATCTGGGATGCTATCTCTTGCGGGTTCTAGAACCATGATACGACCGTGACAACGATACTCGATACGAAAGCGAGCTGCCACCACGTTGTGCAATCGCTGCTGCAACTAGCAAGTGTAGGCATCACATCTGAAGCAGCACTACTTCATTGGACATTTCTCACCTCTGTCGCACTGTCGCACCACATCATCACTGCGACCCAGCATGCAGTTTCGTCGACTAATTGGCGATTTCAAATCGTTTCACAGCAGCGGCCAGCCACCCCCCGCATAGATGCATATTCTTTTCATGCAGGCTAGAGCAATAGGATGGAGATCTGCAGACCGCTTGAATACATGACAGCCTGTCATGCAGAATATAGCAATTGCCTTCGTATAGCGTGCCACTTGGACTGGATCCGGTGCTCTTGTCCGGTCAACCCCGTCACGCCGTCTACTCGACCGTCAAAGAACTTTCGTTCTGTTCCTGTACTAATGACGGGCTTTTTTTTTGTCTCTACACACTACTTTGGTACGATGGATTCTGCTTCTAGAAACTGTCGAAACTCAAAAAGATTACTCAGTCAATGTCGTGCATGATGAGGGCGCATTACTTTGACCTTGTGCGAGCAGCCGCCGACGGCGAAAAGAGGTGGCTCCACACAATATGCACTGAGGTACTGCATTTGTCGAATTGCGCAGATTGCCTGCAGCCAACACCTGTTCAGTTGACCGGTCAAGCGCGTACCCAAAAAAGCAACACGCCGAGTTCGAAGAACAACGTATTCGAGTAAAGCCCATTGGAGATGAGTAAAACGCAGATGCGCCTTTTCCCTCTGGTCTGAGACTTGCATGGTTAGTGTTATCCATTCATCTTCGAGCTTCGTGCTCGTGTTTTTGATCGCGAAAGGTCTGCGTAAACGCAGACCTATCAATTGCCGGTGTTGCCGCCGCCGTCTCGTGTGCGTGAACCAAAGTTTCGATCTTGCCCCTGACCAAGACGACTGATCCATCGGACAATTTGTTCGGCTCGATCATGGCCGTCTCGCTCAGGGCCATGACCACATCCTCGGGAGCAATCCAAGTTTGCTGAACGATCTGGTCAACAGTCCAAGATCGATTTGAAGGATGCGATAAAATGGTTCGACAGATCGAGGCTGACCAGTATGCCAGATAAGCCTTTCTTCCGAGACTCGATAGGGCTGGTGTTTTTGTCAGCGTGGCGTCCCAGATAGCAATTTGGGAAGTTGGGTTTCTCACGTTTCTCCGGACCACCAAGTCTGCCTTCACGCCGACTCAGTTCGTAGCTCACGCCCATAAGCAACTGGCCCAGGCCACGTTTCTGCCAGGGTGGAAAGACCAAAATGCAAGCCACATTGTTGTTATCCCAGCTCATTTTCTCCTTGCTGAAGAAGCCCACGACTTGTCTCTCGGCGGTTTGCGGATTGGTGAGCACGAGAAGGTAGTATCGAAAAGTGGTGACATCGTAAAAGACGGACTTTGTGTCGAGGAAGAGCTTTGCGAATAGCGAGAGGTTCTGGGAATACAACTGCTCAAGGTGTTAGCTAGCTACCAGGCAAAATTCTTGAATATGATGACCGCTGCGTACTTTATGCTCTTCCCCGTCAATCTCGTATATCGATTGGTCGGCAGTTTGATATATCAATGTTCCAGGCGGCGGCGAGTCTCTCAGTGGACAAACTCTCTGGATCGTGTCAGCTTGGCCTGGCAGTCGTGTGCCAATGGAAGGATAGTCGTACTCTGTGCGCAAGGTATGGCATAAGCTCTTTCGAGTAACGAAAACAAAATTCGCAGACATAGAGGCGCTCAGCCTTCCTGCCGACGAGATCTTCAGGGTAGAATGAAGGATACCATGGCTTGATCTGAAGGTTTCCCAAGACGACATTTAGGACATTAGGCTCGGTGGGAGACTTTTTGGGCGTGTGGTGTTGTTGTTCCTGCTGGGGTTTGGGGGACACTGCAGCAGCGGCCATGTCGTGGATTGACGAGTATGTGTGTGCGAGTCGTTCGCATCATTACTGGAGCTGAGTGCAGCAGCAAGTCATGCTGGGATCCTCGTGTTCATGCAGTGCGAGATTATGCCTGGTATTTGTATCACAGCTTCATCAATCTACTCATCATTGTCGTTCGCGACGCCGAGGTCTGTTTACGCCAAGACATGCCTGTACAGCCTGTACAGCCTGCAAAGCACATGTCGGTGATATTTATTTGTTTCGGATCTGAACTTTGATTGACTTGCTTCGTGCTATTATTGCCTCATCGATCTATGTACACGCTGAAGCACGTCAATGGTACATTGCTTTGACAGGCGGTTCAGCCTCGTTTTGCCTTTCTGCAATATGCACGCCATCTCAAACACAGACGCCTTATAATTGCGTCCTTGTATTTGTGCTTCTATAGTTTTCTATGGCAGCGAATATGCCTTCTGGACTGGGCTTCTCGGCACACACATGCGGCTCATATCCGAACTCTTTGATCAGATGATCGCGTGTCGTAGGACCAATGGTTGCAGTGAACGTTGTGGTTGGCGATGAATCTGCCATCTCTGAATTGTAGCGGCCCCCCTCGTCGAGCCATCCTAAGCAATCGAGCATTGCTCTGCATCCTTGAGGTGAGAAGACTACTACCCACTGCTCCTTGACACCGGACGCAGCATTCTCCGCGAGAGCATGAGCAAAGTCGACGTGGAAAGATGCCATCTCGCAAGTCTCGTAGATGACAACCTCGTGAACCCCGATGCGAGCTTCTTGAGGCAAGTCAGGGGACTGGAGGGATTTGGGAATGATGTCCCTGCGCACTTCGCCTACCAGGAACAAAAGGGGAAGCTTTTGATCTTGCCTTACCGTTTGACTGGTGGGAAGGCTGTTGTAGTGGTCCAGCATGAAGGCTGACAGGGCAGCACCATTACCGGTCTCTTCTCCAATGATTGGGCATTTCAACCCTAATGACCGCAATCCTCTGGCAGTAGCTGGGCCAACAACATATAATGGTAGAGCTTCGGGCAGGAGTTCATCTCTAGTGTCAGAATCTAGTGACTCGACTATGGATGAGAACGCCTCGACAGCACGTTGTGAAGTGAAGATGATGCCGCCAAAACTTGACTCGGCAGTCGCAGCAGCAGTATTAGAGTTGAAGCCCCGGTTTGAAGTTATGTTCTTCAGCCAGCTCAGAGCATCCTCTCTAAAGCGGTGTTCAAGAACTGGTAGAAAAGTTGGTTGATAGTTGTTCCAGCCAGCGAAGATCTCTTGATAGCCATCAGCCGGGATAGACTTTGTCTTGAGCAGCAGCACAGGGATATCTGATGTTGTGGACGCCATGTCGAATATATGTTGATGGTTGGTCGAACTGTCAAAGCGGGAGGAACCGAAAGATGGTGGTTGAGAAGAGACCCGAAGGCACCCGAGCACGGACGAAGGAGCCCCGGACACGGACTGGGCATCTGACAAATGCGAAATATAGAAAGACCGATAACATGCCTATAACTCAGATTCCGTATCCGATCCTCTCGCAATTTGGCTGCGCTGTGACAAAGACGACCGGAATGCCGCCTCAACCACTAGACGCGACGCCTGAGCAGAAGGCTCAGGGTGACCAGGAAGACAGAACACCCAAGCAGCTACCCAAGGGCGTGGTCTTGGGTCCGGATGGCAAGCCGTACGTCAATGACAACTAGACAGGATACTAGATCACATACTGATACGAAGTGACAGGTGTCGGTCATGCACTTCAGTGTCCTCATGGTTCGCCATGGCAAAGCAGGGCACAACGAACCCATCCAAGGTCGAGACCACGACACCACCAGCCCAAGCAACCGCCTCGCTCGACATGCCGGCCGACTGTCCACCAGACGTAGAACAGCTCGGTCGCTCAGCATGGACACTACTTCACACTATGGCAGCAAGCTATCCGGAAAAGGCTTCACCGGAGCAGCAAAGAGAAACAACTACATTTATGCACCTATTTGGAAAAATGTACCCTTGCTGGGTGTGCGCCGACGATTTTAGAGCATGGATGAAAGATGGCAACGAGCCACGCGTGAGCAGTAGGGAAGACTTTGGACAATGGATGTGCGAGGCACACAATGCGGTCAACGTCAAGCTGGGCAAGAAGTCGTTTGACTGCAAGAAATGGGAAGAGCGCTGGAGAACGGGCTGGAAGGACGGACGATGTGGTTGATCGCGCTTTCTGTGTCTATCCATACACAGTGCGAGGCAATATGCTCCCCACGCCACTCACCAAGGTGGAAGCAGCAGCGTAGTTGACAAACAAAGCGAGCAAGAACGGCACACGCTTTGGAGCTCCACGCGCCTTGTGAGCTCTGTCTGCCTGTGCCGAACGCAACCTTACTCAACTGAGAGGGTCTCGTGCGTCAGCATCGCAAAATTCAATGAGCGAAAACACGTCCCAGTACAACTAATGGTGACGTAACCGGGAGCTTGGTCACGAACCTCGCGTAAGACTCGCGTTTCGAGACTAAAGCGTTACGATAAATACTCTTAGAGGTTCCTTATATACACTCTTCAGCTCCTCACTTTGTTCCTGCAAGTTCTGGACAATCGATCCTTGTTGACATCACCAATCGTCAGCTCCATCACGCCATCATAGAAACCTCATCCAACCAATTGCACTTCTTCCTAGCTCGACACCTCCTCACACCCCTTCCATTCATACCCACATCATGCCTGGCACACGATCATCTGCTCGTCTGGCTGAAAAGCAGTCCAGCCCTCCTTCCGCCTCCCAAGAAACCAAAGACAACAAGCGCAAAGCCGAAGACACCCAATCTTCTCCCTCTAAGAAGGGCCGCAAGGACACTGCCGAACAAAAGACGATTGAAGAGACGCTTAAGCCTGCTGAGAACAGCAACGGCGACTCTGAATCAAAGCCATCGGGCGAAGCTGGTCAGACTGTGCAGCCTGAGCAGAAGCCCTCTGCCGACTCAGGCGCATCTGAGCAGCAGTCCTCTGAGCAGACCAAAGCTGAGGCCAAGGACGACGGCTCCATCAAGCAGGTTGGCGAGTCCTACCACGGCGAAAACAAAGAGGGTGAATCAAAGAGTGATCCTGAGAAAGCTCTCAAGGATGCTCGTGGTGGCCAAGGTTTGAACACCATTGAGCCCGAGAACCCCAAGCCTAAGCCTGAAGACCTCCCTATTGTATGTACCATCCGATCATCTTCCATCTCATCTACTGACATGTCCAGGATGACATTCACCGCGATTTCGCTAAGGACCCTAATGTCCCCATGGAGGAGAAGCCCACAGCAGACGAGGACAAGCCTACAGCAGATGGCAAGGATGGTGCTGTAGAGGAGAGCAAGGATCGCGCTGAGCAAATGCCCAGCAACATCCAAGAAAAGGGTATCATCTACTTCTTCACTCGAGGCCGTGTCGGCATTGACGACCCTCAGAGCGTTCAGGACCTGCAGCGTAGCTACTTCGTCCTGCGTCCCCTGCCCAACGGCGCAAAGTTGGGCGATGGCGCCATCGAAGACGTCAAGAACAACCGTCTCTTCGCTCTTCCCAAGAAGGTCTTCCCCAGAGGACCTAACGACAAGTTCATGGTCTTTGTCGAGAGGGCAAAGGCTTCTATGGACGAACTCAAGAAGGACTTTTTCTCAAGCTCGGAATATGAAACTCAAACTGCAGGTAACAGAACCACACACCCCATCACTCCACTTGGCGAAGGCGTGTACGCCCTGACGACTACTGGTACCCGCTCTGAGTCCCACCTCGCCTATATGCTCACCATCCCTCAAGAGCCCGGCCAGATGCAGGAAGATGTTGGCATCCGCTCCAAGGGCAGCTTCGTGCTAAGTCTCAAGAACCCTACCGTCAAGGGTCCTTCATACGCTACTCTTGACCAGCCCGCAGAGTTCCCTCAGGATGTCATCGACGCCTTCCACGGCCGCAGTTGGATGCCCGCTCAATCCAAACACCTTGACTACGCCAATGCCCAACTACTCATGATTGGCGAATCTCTCGACGACAGTCACGCACTCGAGGCCACATCCAACGACCAAAAGTCAGACAACAAGGAAACACCACAAGAAGAGATTGAGAAGCTCGAGCATGAAGACGAGTTGCGTGTCGAGCACCTCAAGGGAGATGACACGGTATTCGCCGACCTGGGGCTTTCTCACAAGGAGTACCCTAGTGTTCCAACCACTTGGTAAACGGTGTGATTTTTCAACCCCTGCTGTAGTTTTATATCATTGTAATGAAGAAAGGGAGGGGGAGAAGGGACTTTGCTCTAGGCTCTCTTCGACATAGGCGCCAGGGACGCGTCGATGAAGGATAAAAGGTCTATGCCTTTGCTACTGAACTTTAGAACGACATAACGAAAGAGAAAACAACGAATCAAAATGAAAGTATTTAACTTCCATCATACTCCGACCACAACACAGAGTAAAGTAGACGCTATAGAAAAGGGAAAATCTTATTCCGAGACAAACTCCGTCCATAGAGAGTCCATCTTCTCGTCGCTTCTCGGTGAGAACTTTCCGGTTTTCTAGTAGTTCCATGCATTTCTTCAGCTATACGCATAACATCTTTTTTTTTGAATACAGAGAGTTTCCATGCTTGCAATCGAACCTGAAAGCATCCATTTGACTAGTCATGCATCTTTCCCGACACATTCCTTGCATAGTGGTCTCACCGGCTCGTCACCCATTGCGAGTAGTGACCTTGGTGTCGAGCAGGTTGCTTCGTGATGCACATTCGCACCTGTGGCTGCGAAGCATAACCAGAAATCATTCCTTGACGACAGATTGACAGTTCTGTACTCTCGAAGATGACACGAAGAGAATGGTACAGGACTAGAGAGGTACAATAATGCTTCCGTTGTCTGAAGATACCTTTGATGGAGATGATAATTGGTTATATTTTCCAGTCTATAATTCAAGACAGGGTCATCCCAGCATCATCTGCTTTTTCTTCCTTTTACCTTTTTTCTTTTCTCTTCTTTCATCTTCAGAGACCGTCCTACACGGCAGTATGTCAAGGTAATCACGCAGATGTATTTGAACAAACGTATGACAGTGCGAAATGATTTGATCCTTGAATTCTTCAGGCTGTACTATAACTTTGCTTCTGGGATACGCTTGCTGATGCTGACAAAGGAAAAAAGGTAGACGAGAAACAAGCAATTGAAGCAGACAACTCCATCACCCAAATGTTGAACCCCTTCCTCTTTTAGAAGACAGTGTGATGATAGAAACGGAAAAAGACGTGCTCGAATTGCGCCTAAAATCTCTTGCGAGATGGGAACGCAACAACAGAGAAGAGAAAGCGACAACTCCCTTCAGATATTCTTAATCTCATATTTCTAGCTTTTTTGTGTGTTTGTGTTTTTGCTGGCTGTATCGTGCCTCGAATCAGAGAAGCCAACGTTGGCTGGTCTGGTACCATGGGGTCTTTTCGTCGGAAGTTCTTCTGGTAGGACTGGAGTCGGCATTGGAAGCGGCAGACTGGTGCTGCTTCTTCTCTAACTCGAACCCGTCCGTCACCTTGTTGGAATCGAACAACGTCTTCATGATGGGTAAATTTCTGGTCCACGATCCAGGTTCGGCAGAAGGGTCGATGACGGGGGTACGCGGAGTGTGGACGCTGGGACGAGGGGTGCTGTTTGAAGAGCAAGTAGGAGTTTCGATCAAGTCGGCAGCGTTCGCGGCGAGAAGAGGCGAAGAGTCGGCGGATGGGTAGTAATCCATGGCGGTGGCATTCGGCTTGGGTGGATGATATTTGGGCTTGTCCAGAGTACAGTCGCTGCGAAGAAGATTATGTTAGCGACCCGGCTCGAAAGCATTGGAATCATGATAAGTAGTACTTTTAAATGGCAAGAGATATATGGCAAGAGATAAGAGAAAACAGATCCAGAAGATAGAGAAGTTCGCAGCTCAGGAATTACCGCATGATCTCCTCAAAGATGAGCTCTGTTAGACATCACAGTTAGCAAATTTCTAGTCAGTCTTATAGGGCGGATCTTACGCTTGAGCTGTTCCTTGGTGAGGTTGTCCTTGTTCTTGTCAAAGTCGAAGAATTCTTCAGGGATGGCGTCTGCGGTGGGCTCGTCTTCGGGGTCGTGATAGGGCTCGAGGTAAGGGTGTCTCAGAGCTTCCTCAACCGTAATGCGCTTAGCAGGGTTGAAGGCGAGAAGTTTGTCGAGCAGGTCAAGGGCAAGATCTGAAGTCTTGGGGAACATGGCCTTCCATGGGATCTTCTTCTTGAAGGGCAAGCTGCGAATGTACTCGCGGGCACGGCGCGACTTGATGCCGTAGTAGTCTTCCATGGTGGGCGTGCCCAGAACGTCGAGGATGAGGGTGAGCTGGTGGTGGTAGTCCTTGCCAGGGAACAAGGGCTTGCCGCTCAGCATTTCGGCAAGAATGCAGCCGACCGACCAGACGTCAATGGCCTTGGTGTACTCCTTGAAGGTAAGCATAATCTCAGGAGCGCGGTACCAACGGGTAGCAACGTATTCGGTCATGAAACCCTGGTTGTCTTCGGTCGAGGCAGCTGAACGAGCGAGACCAAAGTCGCAGACCTTGAGATCGCAGTTTGCATTGAGGAGCAAGTTGGAAGGCTTGAGATCGCGGTGCAAGACATTGGCAGAGTGCATGGCCTTGAGAGCGCGCAGAGTCTGGTAGATGAAGTACTGGCAGTGATCGTCGGACAGCTCCTGAGTGCGAATGACACGGTGCATGTCGGTCTCCATGAGCTCCTGGATGAGGTAAACCTCGGTGAAGGTCTCGTAGCTGCGCGGCTTCTGGATGTCGAGAATGGAGATGATGTTTTCGTGGTTGAAGTAGCGGAGAAGTTTCATCTCACGCAGCGTGCGCAGACAGAACATGGAGTGGTCGAAGGGTGTGATCTTCTTGATGGCGACCTTTTGGCCCGACGGCTTGTGCAGTGCAGAGCTGGGAGCGTTAGCCTGGCTCTGTACACATCAATGGGCTATGTTTACATACCACACAACACCGTAGGCACCCTCGCCTACTACGTCTTGAATGTCATACTGCTCTGACACGTTGAAGGAGATCTTGCGGGATCCGCTCTGGGGAGCTGCGCGCGACATGGTTGCGATCTGACTGGCGGTAGGGCTGTCGACGTAAAGAGCGAGATTATACAAGGAAGGTGCGAATCAACTGAAAATGGTCAGTCGAGGAATGCAAGGCGGACTTCTGCATTCTTTCTTTCACTCACTCAGCTACTCACTCCAGGCCGTTTTGAGAGATGGAGATGCGGGAAAGAGGGTCCAGCCGTTCTTTCTTCCTTTAAGGTCTTGTTTGTTCTTTGTCGGCCGGCTGATTGCTCAAGTGCTTATTCCAGCTCCTGGATTTGTTTGCTTCGCTTCTGGTTTGGACGTAAGAAAGACAAGTCACCCAACACGAAGGCCGAATGCAAGAGAGCCTTGTCGTCCCATGGCGGGGCACCAACTGAAGCAGCCAAAGCACAGTCCCGCAAATACGCGCCTGTTTCCGATCCTCCTAGACCCGCCCATTGGCCAAAAACAGACTTCCTTAAATTAACTCCTCCCCGTCCCCTTTGTCGCATCCAACTTGGCACCCACTGCTTGAAACAGACGTCTCGTCTATATTGATACATCACCAACTATCACATCCTTACCCGCAAGTCCCGACCAACCGTTTATAACGTCTATCGATTGCATTTTTGCCTTGTCTTTGTAGAAACCAGCCATGTTTTTTCTGTATCTCTATCCGATTACTGTGCATCTATAAGTCAAAAAAGGAAATTGCACAAACCTCCCGTATAAGCGCCATGCTGCATGAGTCCGCACCAAATCAAAAAACCCCTTGATCATCGCAATCCCAAATTGTCATTGTCAAGTCATCTCGTCCTGTTTAATCGTAGTTTTCACATTATACCGAAATCTTCAGGACCTGAGCGGGAGCCGCAATCCCATTCTGCCCTTCCCCTTACTCCCCAAAGAGGGTGATTGTGGCTGCATCATGGCTGTTGGGCTCGTCGCATCTGGGTCAGAGTCATTCTCCACCAGCGTCCAGCTGTCTTCAACCTCCACCTCTTCCTCATCTTCCGCATCCGTGTCGCCTTGCGCCGCTCTAGCCACACGTTGCTGGACCAGTGTCTTTGCATACTCCATGTCGCGATACATGGCCTTGATAGCTGTGCCGACACCATCTTCGGATCGAATCTGCTCTCCTAGGACCCTGGCTTTCTCGATCATGCGTGAATCGTGCGTCGCGATCCATATGGCCTTGCCCAATGTGTTCTCCGTCAAAGTCAGGACCTTCTGACCGACTCCAAGATCTTGGACTTTGCTGCCAAAGAAGAACTGGTCGCCGAAGAAAGGCTTGATGATAGTCGGGATGCCAGCACGAAGACTGGCACCAGTCGTCCCTGCTCCACCATGATGGACAGCAGCATCGACCTGTCGGAACAACCAATCATGCGGAGCAGATGCAATCTGGAACATAAAGTCCGGCAACGGGACTTCGAGGGCTTTGGCATCCTTCTTGTCCATACGGTCGGACCAGCCCTTGGAGAGGATGCAGCGAACGTCCGCCTTCTTGACAGCGGCGATGATATCCAAAGTAAGCTGCTTGGGATCAGGAACGACCACTGACCCAAACCCGATGTATACAAGCTTTGCCTTGTCTGTGCGTGCCTTCTTGATGAAGTCGAGAAGCTCCTTTTGTGGAGTAAAGTTGTCTGCTTCATCGAGGAACCAGTATCCTGTCACTCGGATCCACTCGCCAAAGTCAAGAGGCGGAACAACCACGCTGGGCGAGAAGTTGTAGAAGAACGGAACCTTGTCCTGCTGCATCTTCTCCATAGTGGTGGCTTTCAATCCCAGCTCTTCTTTGCGCCATCTGTTGATTGTCCCTGACGTGGCTTTCCAAAATATATTTTCAAAGATGACGTAGGTCATATAGTTGTATGCACCGCCCATCCTGTTGTTCTGCATGCCAAAGGCATGAGGGTAAGCGCGAGTCCTGGTCCAGGGCATGGTGAAAGCCCTGAAGTAAGGAATCCCAAGAGCTTCAGCGATGTGAATTCCTGCCATGGCAGATGGACTCTCAATCAGTATATCTGAGTCCTGACAAGCAGTCCAAGCTGTTCTGAGGAGACCTCTGACAAAAGGCCAGAACTAAAATTGTTAGCGCGTGCTCAACACAAGTAGCTGTAAGCCCGAACGTACCTTCTGGTTTGTTTCGTAGAGAAAGGAGGGTGTAAACATGCCATGATCAACGCAAAGCGCCATCAACTCTGCTGGATTACCTTCGACTGGTGCAAAATCGATGCCGTGACTCCTGACCCAGTCGCCAAACTCGGCATGAGAGGCGATCTTTGGTCTATGTCCTTCAGCAAGCAGACCTTTGCAGAGGGCTATATACGGCTGCACATCTCCGCGAGAGCCAATGGTCAGGCAGGTAATCCGTAAAGATTCCTCGGGCTTAAAGTTCAGCACTGACGCTGCTGGATCGTCAAAAGAGATGGCTGGCGAGTCGTTATCTGTAACAATGTCAGAGGACGACACAGCAACCGAGGGATTGCTTTCTGTACCTGGCTGATCGATGCCACGAGGAAGCTGGAACTCGACGCCACCACGATCACCTTGACGAGCTTCCTGCAACAAGAGGTTTTCTGCAGCTGCCGCCTCAGCGTCCCTCTTCTCGTCTTCTGTAAGCAGAACCGACTCCTGAAATGGCTCCAGGGAATCAAGCGAACGTAAGAGAGTGACTGTACAGTCGTCGCGTAGATCTTGCGAGCCAAATTCGAAGAAGATCTCCTCGTGACCTCGGATCACAACGACCATTCCTGAGTAGCCAAATCGGAACCCTCTTTCCTTGTCAACATCCATGATGTCTTTGAATGGGACGACAAGCTAGAGAAAATTAGCAAACTCAAAGGATCAAGGACGAATCTGGACTTACCTTTGTCCAGTTCCCAGGCATGAAGCTACGGAAACATAACCTTGTGCTACCAACGTATAGCTTGCCGTACAAAGGCAAAACTCTGTGGAAGAAGCCAAAGAATGTTGCCACAAGCTTCTCAGAGTCTGGGAGAGCGAAATGATTTCGGAAGCTCTTTTCGGCCTCGCGAACAGTCATTTCATCCTCAGAGTCTTGGACCTCCTCTCCGGGCACCAGCTCGTCCGCCTCGGCATAGTGTTTCTTACCACCAGCAATCATGCCAGAGAACTTGTCATAGTATTCCATTGGAGAAGCTCCGAACAGACCGCTGACACGTTTGCCGGAGTTGTACAAGAAGCCCGAGGCACGTTGAATGGGAACAGCACCGACCTTCATCAAGCCTCCCAAGGTCGAAGAATCCGATTGTTGCATGTCTTGTAATTTTGTGTCTGCCATCTTCTTTGTTGAGGTATTCGCTCCAGGTTCTTTGCCAACTCCCTTGGCTGAAGCAAACGGTACACCCGTTGCTGTGCTCCCCTTTGCATCATGCATGGCAGTATTGTCAATGTGATGTTTTCCAATGGTTGGCTTATGGAACATGACGCTTCCGCTCAGTATGTGGCTGCCCGAAGCATCCGTGCCGGTTGCAGATTCTGACATTTCGCTATCGTTGCCTTGATCAGAGGATGACACATACGACTCTGAAGCATCATATGGAGACTGCCCCCACTGCTTTTGCTTCTGGCCGCTGCGCTGTCTTGTAGCGCGGTCTGCGTTTTTATCATTGTTGCCCTGAGTAAGGTCAAGTGTAGAACGTTCCAACTCGCTACTTGATCGAGCACTTCTGGATGTGAGGCCCGAAGCTGGAGACAGAGTTGCCATGACATTCTCATGAAGACTACCGGGAGCAGGACTCATAGAGGGTACGCGAGATCTTCTTCCGTGCACTGAAGATGATCGACGATCTGACTTGGTGAGGACCGGTGAGGCAGGTCGGCTTGCGAGCACGCGCTGTGCGCTTGTCTCTTGGGTCAACCTTCGCAGCACACCAAGTGCCTCTTCACCAAATCCGAAGAAAGAGAAAAAGTACTGAATGAAAATTAGCAAAATTGTAGCGGTGGATAGGGCGTTGAGAGACATACCTCGTCGACAGCAAAGGTTTCATCATTGTCGATGACTCGAATCTTAATGGTGTCGGCAAAGTCTGGATAATTGCTTTCCTCAATATCAACAACATTATCGACTGGCAGACAGATCTTGACACTGTCACTGTTGTTGCGTGCTCGGAAGATGACTTTCTGTATTTGCTTGACCCACTCAGTTGCGCTTGAAGCAGTCTCTGCCTTGAAGTGGTATGTTTTGGCATCTGTGACAACAGAGAAAGATGCGCTCTCCTTGTCCTGTCCTTGTATCGGCGTGATGTTTGCTGAGACACCGTAGCGCAAGTCTATGACATCTCTTGGGGAGAATGGAGTTGAGGGGTCCTTGTAGTACGACAAGACATCGCCTTTGAGTACGAACCAATACTTCTTGTAGCGAGGGTTGCGTTGACCACGCTTTGTAAGGTAGCCAGACTTGACGGTAACACCAGTCTTCTTTTGTAGATAGGCATAGAAGCAGATATGACGTTGTGTGATATAGATGAAGCCTTGCAGAAGGACACTCTGAAGATACCAACAGGGATACTTTGCAACGACTTTTTCGGCTTCATCGAAGTTGAATATGTCTTTCAAGGCGTCCGGCAAGGCTACCTGTGTCGTACTCGATGACATGTCTGGGACAGGACTCGACTTCCTGCTGGCGGGCTTCTTAATGGTGGACTGCGAAGACTCTAGATCTGCCCTCGGTTGAGGAGTGGATTCGGGCGCATCGATGGGCTTGGAGAAGCGAGTAGGAGTGGTGGTAGAAAAGGAACTTGTGGAGGCGGGCCGCAAGCCGGGTAATGACTGTACCAGGTTATTGTCAGAGACTCGTTTGAGGTTGTTGTTGCGGAACAGCAGGTCGCGCCGTAGCGGGAGTGTTGAAGGTATGGTGGGTTTGTTGGATCTTGTCGGCGGAGTAGGGTTTGTATCGTCGCTATCACTGTCGGCCTCTTGGAGCATGGACCGCATGGTGTTGGCCTTTGATTGCGTCGCGGCAATGATGCCAAAGACGCTTTGATGCATCAAGGCCATGTCTAACATTTGTGCTCTATCCACCTCTTGGTTCAAGTCGGGATCTTGATCTGCATCATCGTCGAAACGGAAGCGTTCAGGCAGCTCCATGGACACTCTTCGATGAGCTTGCGGTATATTGCGATGGGCGGACATAATGTGTAAGAGGTCGAGGTCCAGGGTAGAAGTAGACGAGGACGACCCTACTTGAGTTCCTGATGCCACAACGTGGTCGAGGCACGAGGATAGACGGACCTGCACGCGCCCCTCGAATCTACTGCTGAATCTGGGGTTAAAGCTCGTGACGGATCGATGGATGAGAAACAAGAGCTGTCTTTGTCTGTTCAAACATCACTGTACTGACTGGCGTGTTTCGCTACTACATATCGCAATACAGCACTGGGTTGAAGCCTCAAAAGGTCTGTATGTCGCGGATCTGCACCTTGATAGGCCAGTGATTACTCGACCACCCAAGTGGTCGGCCGCTGCCGCTACTCACCGCCTTTGAGCACGTGCCATCATCATCATCTGATCACTTGACTCTGGGTTCTTAAGAGTAGGCAGACATGGCATGAGTCAACAAACAATAGGCTACGCATGGACAGAATAGAGACAGGTTGATGTAGAATTAATACAAAGTTTATGATGAAATGATCACATGCATATGCGCGGCGGCCTGCCGACAAACTGTGATACTCGATTACAATCAATAAGCAACGCTGATGCGACTAACTACTCTCAGATCCGTCTCTCTCGACATCATCACTTAAGCCTTAGCCTTGGCGAGACCAACGCTGTTGCTACCAAGGTCGTAGACCGAGTAGTACTTGCGGAGGAAAGCATCACCAAGGATGGCAAGAGGGCCAGCAGGGGCAGGGATATCGAAGCCCATGAACGACGAAATACATGAGCCCTGGACCTCAAGAATGTAGTCGTAAGGAGTGATGGTGAAGTTGTAGCCGGTCAGAGTGAAGCTGAGGTCAGGGAGAGAGTCACGCTTGTCACACTCGACCGAGTACTGGCCGTTGTAACCCTTCTTAGCACCAATCTCCTTGTTCAGCAGCTCAGCAAGAGTGCTGGGGAGGGCAATGAGCGAAGTGCCGGTGTCGAGGATGGCACCCATGTTGTCGAACTCAGCACTCTCCTTGCCGAAGGTGATGGCGTCGAGGTCGACCTCCCAGTAGGCCTTGCGTCTCAAGGGGAGCTTGGTGAGCTCGCCGGTGTAGTGGTCCTTGTTGACGCCACCGAAGATGGCCTCAGACTCGGCCTCCTTGTCGTTGGTGTCACTAAGGTAGAAGGCGAAGACAGGCTCGTCGAGCAGGTCTTGAGCAACCATCTCGTAGAAAGGAGGAGGAATCTTGTTGACACTGATGGTGTCGTATCCAAGACCAAGGATACCGTCGAAGCGGCCGAAGGCGAAAGCAAGACCAGGCTCCTGGGTGGCTTCACCGAAGAGCTGGTTCTTGATCTTGATGTCACCAATCTGGACAGTGTCTTGGGAGATGTAACCCTCAACAGCGCCTGAGCCGTAGCGAATGGCAAAGTCGGAGCCGTTCTTCTTGTATGTGGAAGAGTCGCTGTGGTCGTACTTGTTGTGGAGGTAGCAAGCGATGGAGCCGCACTCGGATGAAGGAACCCAAAGGTTGGAGCTGCCGGTGTCGAGGACAACCTTGAACTCTTGAGGAGGGTTGCCGATAGCAATCTCAGAGAAGTCTGCAACATGATTAGAAGGGCGGATTGCGCAGTAATTCGAGGCTTGACATACACTGAGCGTTGAGGAAGTTGCTAACAGCGACGGGGTGGCCAGCCTCAGCGTGCACCGAGGTTTCCTTGAACATCTCGTCGATGTGCTTCTGGGGGCGAACACCCATGTACTTCTGGCCAAGAGCCTGAACGTGCTGGCCAATGTTTGCGCCCTCCTGCGATAGCTGTTAGTCGACTGAGGCCTGGAGGTTGAACATGACGCCACTCACGAGCTGCTCCGAGAGAGGAACCTTCTTGAGCTTCATCTTGTGGACACCAGCCGAAGCCGAGCCAAACAGCGCACCGGCTGCCATGAGAGAACTGCCCTTCATCTTGTTGTATCTGTATGGGGTTGAGAAATGTGTGGAGGGAAGAAAGATGGAGGATTGTGGAGGACGGATGGAGAGGTAGTCGATGGATGAGCTTGGTCGGACCAAGACGGTGGTGGCTGCGCCAATGCGCTCGTGATTGCTCGATTCGAGACGTCATTTATCAAGGTGCGCGGCCTGTTCGTTACCTAGGCCGAGTAGCTAGGCTCCCACTTTCGCTGAGACAGGGCATCGGCGCATCGAACCATTGCTCCCGTTTCCCGCGGCCAATATTTGCAATTGCAATATTGAACGATATTGGCTACCTATATACTCGTACTTCCTGCCTCTTGGATTTGTTCAACGATATACAGCACAAATACGCATCCAAGAGTGGCGGCACAATTTCACAAGAGGCTGGGCGCCTGTTCATGGGGTCGACTTGTGCCTGCATGACCAGCCCAATCCTTCCTTCCGCAAACTCCGTTTCGAAGTCCATCACCTGCTGCAAACGGTAACACTGGGCAACCACACCTAGGCATAACCATCCCTCACGGCAACGAGTTGTCGACTCTCTGTGGACATGCCTCTGCTTCCGAAAACAATTGTGCATTTTTATAGTGTATATTCCACTCCTAGCTCGTACGGGGAGGAGGCATTGTCAGAAGAATAGCCCGAGCGCTCGCGTGCTCTGCTCAAGTCTGGTGCAGCCAATGACTCCATAGTAAGCTGTCACCAAGTTATTATCTATACGATGTAATCAAACCTGTTCTTTCGCGCGCAAGATTCTCTGTTGGTGCGAGAGTCCATAATAGCTTTTTCTATCTTTGTAGCTGCTTTCAAGAACATACTGCATTCACATTGTCAGTTCTGCAACCAGTCTGACGCCGAGAAGTATGGCGCCTGAATACGAGCAATACGGGCTCACCAATCCCCGACTTAACATGCCAGCAGCTTCAACCTTTGTAGACATATGTACACGTACCAATCAAGAATTCAACCTTAAGCTCTAGCCTTCAAATTGAGACCAAGCAAGACAATAGGTATGTGGATTTCTCAGTAGTCATCTCGTTGACTGCTTCCAACTCGTGAAGAATAATCTGCGAAAATTCAACGCAAGCAACCATTGCCAGGTAAAGTTGCGCAGACTTTCCATCGTCCATACGAAAGTGCAAACATATCGAAGTCAGTGAATGTTGAATCTGACACACTCCATAGCTAGAGATGGTTGCTTCGTACACCTTTGAAGACCTTTCTGGTCCAACACCAACTGTGTCAGACAACCCATACGACGGCCTCATAGAAGCTTGCCACGACAACGCTGTAGGTAGACTGCTAAACTCGTGGACCTCTAGACCTGACGACATGTAGATTGAGATTCAAGCTCGCTATGAAACTCACCGTAGCAACCGAGGTGCACAACAGAAGGAGAAACTCACCTCTTCAGACTTTGCAGGTGTCACTGTTGACACCATCCTCGCGAAGCTAGAAGATCAAACCATCGAACCTGGCTTCAAGGACCCAAGACACTGCCTTGTATTCTGGGCTCGTCCTCCACCGCATGTCAAGGCTGTCATTGCAGAAGTGCAGAAAAGACTCAAGGCAGTCCTCCCCAGTAAGTATTTGCTCTTTCGAAATCACAAGCACAACTAGCTAACAGCGAGCCTGCGCACATTCAGATCTCTGGACAATGCCACAAGACAACCTGCACATGACAGCTCTAGAAATTACTCATTCCTTGACCGCTCCCGAGATCGACGAGCTAGTCGAACAAATCCGCCCAGGAATTCCTTCCATCACAGACTACACCTACAACCATCGGGCTCGTGTAGTCAAACCATCCCTCTCCTATGACGCTCAAGCATTTGCCCTTTCTTTCCTTCCTGCAGCCGGCGAGCCCTGCACCGCAGATCCTTCCCGCAAACCCTCAGACGATGACTTCACATATCACCATTTGCGTCGCGATCTCTACGCCTTGAGTTCCGCCACTGGCGTCAAGGTTGCGAGTAGATATGTCGTGCCCTCTGCTCATCTGACGGTAGGCCGTTTCATCAAGACCTCTGACACAGAGACTGCAGAGGGCAAGGTCGATCATGCGCGTATGCAGGAGCTCGTAAAGACTGTTGACGAAATCAATGAATGGCTCAAGGCCGAGTTCTGGCCTGTAGAGGGCAAGGGTATCAAAGCTGGCGGCGAATGGATCGTTGGCGAGGGAAAGGGTCTTGACAACCGCAAGGGCGCGCTTTGGTATGATTTCTCGCGTTTGAGCCATGTATTGTCTCATTTTGCTAACCCTGTTCGTTTGTTTTCTAGGTATGGCACTGGAGAAACTATTAGACTAGGCAAGGGATTCTAAGTGATCATGTCGCTTGCTGCATCCACGGTGGCTGCTTTCCTCATATGCATGTGCAACCACAACTTCGCATTAACATTCGCTAGAAAATGCCTCTGACATAGAAAGATGTCTTGCTTACACCAAACAGAAAAAGAATAGACAGCATTCATCATTTGATGCAATCCCTTTCACTGTGCAGATCGGACTACATTTCTCGTTGATCAGATCTGGTCATGAATCTGACATTCAGTGGTTCAACACCTGCCCTTGATCTCATAAGCACCATGATTCTCTACATTCCATCCTTTTGCTTTTGCTGTACAAGTGTTCCGTACGTAGGTGCAAGGTCAGGAGATGCGGATCTGCTAAAGCTTGTACCAAGAGATAACGATCTTGACTCCATCCTCTGATTGTTACATGCAGATACAACGGTTGTTGATCAGGTTGTTTTATGCCTCGAAATGATTCGGAAGTTCAGGCTAGCAGGAGGACAAGAGGTTGGTGGACAGGTGCTCGAGCACAATGAATCATCGGTCGTACGGTTTCATGATATCTAGCAAAATAACGAGAAGCATATAAACTCCAGTCCTCATATCATCCCATCTGCCAGTGCTATGCGCAATAATAAAAAGAGTGCCATACCTCCAATGCAGTGTCGTCAACATAATGTACTAGAGCAGAGGGGTTCATATAACAATGATCGCTCCCTCGCAGTCTTGCACCTCGACTCTATTCGGCATCCATCATCTCACATGTCGAGCAGTTCCTCAGCATAGGTGTCCAATTCAATGATCCTGAATCGGCCATCCCACTTCTTCTGCCAAGCTGCTTTCTTGTAAGCCAGACTAATGTTCTTGCTCCAGCTGACAAGCTCTACCCTCCATCCCTTCTTCAAGGCACGTTCGGCCATCTTGAGGAAGCCTTCCGAATATTCAGCCTGTGCAGCATCGCCAGTAGCCAGCACCATGGTAGAGGGAGTCTCGGTGTCAACAATGGATTCCATCATTTTCAGGTGGATGATCTCGTCGACTCCTTGCTCGATATACCTCTCGGGAGCGTAGACAGGACCAGTGTTGCTCGTTTCTGAGCCACTACCGGCGCTGTCTCCTCCGGTGCTGGTACCGTTCTTGTAGCTACTGCTGCGTCTGCGCCACTTCTTCTCCTGTTCCTGGAAATATTTCTGGCGCTCGGTGAGCTCTCGCGCTTTGAGCACCTTATCCAGAATGTTGCATTCGTAGCCGACACGTTGAGCCACATCAAATGCGGCCATGTGGGGCTTTGAACCAACCAGGCATCGTTTGGCTACAGGTCTACGACGCTCCATGAGCAGAGCCAATGCGTCGAAGGAAAGGTCCACCTTAGGGACATGAACGTTCGGCGGAATGTTTCTTGCACGCTTGAGCTGGTCGTGGAAACCGATGAAAATGTTTGAGGCGTCAACAAAGACGTGAATGCCCTTGGGGTCATTCGAGTGTGTGATTGAGTTGGCGGGACTGACGAGACTGGCTCTGTCCTCATAGAAGTCACCAATGATCTTCAGGAGTAGAGCCCAGTTGCGGTCCTCGCCGGAACGAACAGTTTTGGGCTGAATCGCCGAACAATTGTTCTTGATTGGTGTTTCACTGACTTGCTGAACCTTATGGAAAGGGTTTGCATTGGCATCAGTAGATTTGTAAGGGGTTGAAGTTGTGCGTGTGGGTTGCACAGATGCAGGAAGCAGAGAGGAAGTCTTAGTAGCGAATGGAGTCGAAACTGGCCATCGCTTCTTGAACTCTTTCTGGTGCTTGGACTCTGGTGTTTTGGGGAGCGAGTCAAAATGTAATGGCTCCGATTGAGCTGGTGTGGATGCTTTCTTCTCAGGTTGAGGAGTCTTCGTCGAAGTGGGAGTGTCTTTAAACACGGGTTTCGAAATTGGTGTCTTTTCGGGACTTGAAGGACGGTGGGCTTTGCCAACGAGTTCGGCAGAAACGATGTGAGCACTGGCCTTTCGTGCTGGCGTGTCGTAGAAAGAGGGTATGTCAAGCTCGGGGTCGTCAGCATCGCTGGTATACTTCGCAGCACCAGCGGCCAGCCTTTGTTCCCTCTCTTTCTTGTTCCTTTTCTGTCGTTGCTTCTTGGTCAACTTCTTTTCGTCTTCATCTTCCAATGGCGCATAATCAGTAAGATCGCCGAGATTGACTTCATCTCTCCACTTGATGCCGCCCTTGGCGATACGCTTGCTCGGGGTACCGTATGCAGCACCGTCACTGGCATAATCAGCCTTCTCGGGCATGCGCTGTTGAAGGGTTGGCGAAGCATTGACAGGCTTGGGTGCAGGTGAATTGACAGGAGTGCCTAGATATTGCCAGATCTTGCCAAAATCTCCTAACGAGACGCCTTCATCCACGGCGTGGAAATCCTGTAATGGTGAGGCGAGTGGCAGTGAGGAGTAGCCATTCAAGCTGTCATGCTTGGTGATTGACGGACGTCGCGGCACATCCTTTGCTTGAGCATTGGAAGGAGCATTAGTCGGAGAAAGTGTGTTGATCAGCTCGAAGACATTAGAGAGGTCCCATGGTTTGGTAGACTGTACAGCAGCCATGAGGCGTGAGAGTAGGGAAGTAGCGACGTGTGTCTGAGCTGTAGTGGGGGTCGTAGAGTGGCAATGAGAGTGGGCTAGATATGGCGGGCGCGAGAGTGATAGACAAAGGGTGAGCAAGGCTCGAGGAGGGTAAAAGTGTTGTTTGTGCGAGCGAGAGAGCTGCTCATAATAATGTCTTATCGTGTTCTAGAAGGCGGAAAGGCAAATGTCAATTGACCGCTTGCCAATGTAGTCATCCATTGCCCCACATCAACATCAACCACTGAACACATCAGACACCGCCACCCGAGACCCTGGCGACAAGCACTTGCTTTTATCTTTGTTTGGTTCCTTTCGCAAGAACAATCCTGCCTGCTCGCATTGCATCTTGCAATGGTTCGCTATGCTGAAGTGTGAAATTTCATCTCTCAGCTTGACAGCAGTGCCAGATTTATCATGGCTTCCATCCCCCATCCTGCATTGCAAGACACTGTAGACGAGTACACCAAACCACGAACTCACGAAGACCAACACATCACGTCCATAGCTTTCTACTATACATAGCATGTATCATCCCAACCTAAATCTACAACTTATTTATTCAGAACTTGACTCTTCGGTTATCTCGTACAAACATGCTTGAAGCCTCGGGTCTCAAATCCACCCCAGACAAGTCTCTGTTCACACTCCACATCTCCATACCATTCCCTCCACCAACCACAAAAACCAAATGTCCGCCGACTTTTGGGCCGGCTACGTATCCGGAGCGGCTGGCATAATAATCGGCAACCCCCTCGACATTGTCAAAGTAAACCTACAGCGAGGAGACAGAGGAGCACCGTTACTCGCACCAACTCCAGCACAAACAACACCACCAATCCTACCAACTCCCTCAACAGCAACACCACCAACCTCGCAAACAACCAATGCAGCCAAAAACCTCTCTACCTTACTCAAAGGCACCGCTGCCCCGATCCTCGGCTATGGCGCCCTCAACGCCCTAATGTTCATAACCTACAATCGTTGTATGGAGACTTTGCATCAAGACCCTGCTCGTCCTACTTCTCTTTCCAAGACCTGGCTTGCTGGTGCTTTGGGAGGGTTGGCCACTTTCCTCGTTTCTGCACCTACAGAATTGATAAAGTGCAGAGCGCAGGTCAGTGGTACAGAACACAGTTCTTGGCACATAGCAAAGGAGCTGTGGAAGGAGAGAGGGTTGAGGGGTTTGTACTGGGGTGGTGCGGTCACGAGTGTGAGGGATAGTGTGGGTTATGGGTTCTAGTAGGTCTTTTCTCCTTCCTGCTTTTCTCAGCAAAGAAGGCTTGCTTTGTGGGAGGAAATTTGCTAAACACATGTGCTAGTTTTTGGTCATATGAGCTGAGCAAGAGAGTCTTGATCTCGGAAACTCCGGATGCGGAAAAGCCAGAATGGATGACCATCCTGCTCTGTGGTGGTATCGCAGGCGTGGTAACTTGGGCGTCTGTATTTCCATTAGGTATGTTAACCCTCTTGCTCAGAGTCTCAAGGGCAACAGATGCTGATAACTACTTTTTAGACGTCATCAAGACCAGAGTGCAGACGCAAGGCATTTCGAGGCCTCCGGTTGGCATGATCTCTAGTGAGCAGTCTGAGTTGCTTCTGCCTAGAGACTCGGGTCGATTGAGTACTGTGCAGGTAGCAAGACAAGCCTATCGAGAAGAAGGCTTATCTGTCTTCTTTCGCGGGTTGGGTGTCTGCAGTTTCAGAGCTTTCTTTGTCAATGCTGTACAATGGGCAGTGTACGAATGGATGATGCACATCTTACTACCCTCAAAGGCTGGGCAAAACTCAAACAAACACGACTAGACGGCGATAGACCAAGACTTGACTGTCATGAAGAATACAGAGAAACAAAGCTTTTCATTGAGAAAGAAAAAGAAGTATACACTTCCAACTATCTGTCTTGGGTAATGAAAAGGGTACTTAGTGATCATTCTGAGATTGAGCAGTGCATCAAAATTATATGAAACGCATAATGCCATCACTCATCAGATGCTCCTGCGGGTGCATATAGAGCACTGCAAGTTTGGTCGTTAGGCAGCATCAGCAAGAGAGATGCTTGTAAAGTTGCGGTCCAAGAAGATGTTTTCGTGATCATCGTGTGATAGGCAAGCAGCGGCTTTACATAATTTGATCCTGAGTAAGACCCATGGGCATGCCGCCAGTCTGTTCTTGGCCTTGCATGGGGTCCACTGCAGGCTGCTGGTTGGAGTATCTGACGTAGGTCAGACCAAGAGGGCGACCACCATATTGGTATCCAGAGAACTTGGCTGGGAAGCTGTTAGAACACATCGCATTTGTGCGTAATGAGGCACGACTTACTGATGGCAGTGCCGGCATCTTCTGCGCTGCCGAACTCGACGACACCAGTGCCGCGCGAGCGGCCATTAGGCTCGTACTGGATCTCAGCACGTTCGACCTTGCCGATGGTTGTGAAGAGCTCGACCAGATCCTCGTTGCTAGTAGACCAGGGCAGCTGCGATATGTCAATAACCCATTCTCAGGCTGGGCGTTCGAGAACAACTTACGTTACGGACGTAGATGACAGGTCCAGGCTCGCCACCGGAGGTTGCAAAATCGGTGAAGGGGTTAGGAGGAGCGGGAGCAGGAGGGGGACCACCGTGGAACCCGCCAGGAGGCGCACCACCGAAACCGCCGCCAAACCCTCCACGACCACCGAATTGTCCACCAAAGCCGCCACGGCCCATAAAGCCACCACGACCACCAAACTGTCCACCGAAACCTCCACGTCCGCCCATGAAGCCACCACGGCCGCCACCGAAGCCGGGCGGGCCAGCGAAGCGGTCTTCTCTGACTTCAAGAATGCGACCGTTCCAGTCATATCCGTTGAACTGCTGAATGGCGACCTGAGCGTCGTCAGGGTTGTCGAAGGCGACGATACCTGAGCCCTTCATGCGGCCATCGGGAGTGACATGGACATCAGCACGGACGACAGTGCCAGTGTGAGCTACAATAGAGGTCAGTACATCGTGCACAGACTATGAGTATAGCTTCGAGCTCACCAGCTTGACGGAAGAGGTCCTTGAGATCTTGCCAGCCAACAGTATAGGGAAGCTTGAAACAAAGTCAGTATCGTCACATCGTTACCAAAAAGGCTATACAAACGTTGGAGACGTAGATCTGGCGGCTTCCGCCCATCATGCCAGAGCCACCGCCCATAGCATCATAGCCGCCGCCAAAGCCACCGCGCATGCCTCCTTGGAAGCCACCGCGCATACCACCACCTTGACCGCCGCTGCTGAAGCGGGGCTCTGCTTCACGGTCCTGCGAGATGAGAAATGAGCTATGATAGTCAGTTTTCCAAACAAATAATGGCAACATACCTCGCGAACGTAGACCAGTCTACCCATGAGGTTCTGGTTCGAGAGAGTGTTGACCGCGTTTTGAGCTTGATCTCTGGTTGCATATTCCACAATTCTGTGAAAAGTCAGCGATTGTTGACAAACAGAGAGCATCAGATGAAACTCACCCGCATCCCTACAAACACCCGGAACAAAGTCCTTCCGTCAATCCATTGTCCTCAAAAAAAGCCATAGCCAGGGAAACCAGCCAAAAAATCATGAGCCCACCTTCGACATTCCATTTGGGAGAAGCAAGACATCGGCGAAGATCACCTCACCAGCTGCGAGCGGTCAGAACCAATTCAACCAAGTTATTGTCCGGTATTTCTCACCTTGACGCATAAAGTCCTTCAGATGGTGCCACTTGACATCGTAGGAGAGGTTGCCGACGTAGACACGACGGTCTTGTTGAGAGTGTTCGCGCACGTTCTGCATCATTTGTTCTTTGGCGACGACACGCTCTTCGAAGTTTCTGGGAGGAGCAGCTGCTGAGGCACCTCCTTCACGATCGGAAGGATACGCGTTGTTATTGGCTGCGTAGTTGGGAGCGGCGGCGGATCCGTTAACGGGCGAGCGAGATCTGCGTTCGTCTCTTCTGTAGTTATCACGCGAGCGTGAGCGGGATCTGGAATCGTAAGAGCGACGGCTGCGACGAGGGCTGCGAGAGCGGCGGCGCGAGCGAGATCTGTCACGCTGGGTGGGATCAGTATGTAGCCTCAGCGGTAACTGACGAACGGATCGACGAAGAGCTGTTGATAGCGATAGCATTGGTGTAGAGTAGGTGGGTGTGAGACAATTATGGAAGCTCAGCAGCAGAACCGACTTTGGTCACTCGACTTGAGAGCTTTCTGATGGAGATTCTCATTCTCTGAGGGGTGGTGTGAAAGAGCGGACGAGTGAGCTGTGGATCTCGAGTGATGGGCGACAAGCGACGAGCTCGAATGAGAGTCGAAAAGGTGATCAAGTGAAGTGAAGGCGAATGCGATGCCAGGCGCAATTGCGATGCAGCAGTCCAGAATCCACAGCAGGTGCTTTGTGCCTTGGCTCAGCGCGCCTTCCCAGCATGCGCTGCGACAAGTCGGTCGGTCGCAACTGCGCAATTACCCAGATCCGACGCATCGGCATAGAGGTCCATCGCAGCTTCCTTATCAGACGAACCTCCTCTGAGCGATACATCGCAGTGCCCACCCACTGCTACTGCCACCACCAATGCCAACGGTCGCAACACATAAACAACAACATGGGAAGCTGTGTACTTACACTCTCGCGGGGACGGTAGGAATCGGAGTCTGTTTGCTGTGCGATAAGCCTTTGGGGGACGAAGGGAAGGAGAGATGGGGAGGGGGTTATGGAACATACCACCCATTGTACGGCAACGGAAGGGTAGAGGTTGAGCTGTCAAGCGCCGGAGAAGTGCAGAGCACAGCTACAATAACGGAAGGAATGACAGGGGTTTGCCTAAAGCGCAAGTCTGCGTTAGAAGATGCACCAATGAACGTGAATGGACAACGAGTCTTGATGATGGCTAAACCGGCCAAGTAGTGTAAAGGCTACCGAGTATCGTCTAGGTACACCACCACTCAAGATCGCCCGATTGATGCCGGCTCGTTGTGCCCCCTCTCTCGACACACACACACGGTACACCACACACCAAGGGTCTCCTCAATGGCCCACACGAACAAGCCTTGGCCGAGACTCCCATAGCCCACGAGTCTCAAGTCCGTCGCCCAACCATGTCACCACTTGGGTGCTTTTGCACTCACCTTGATAAGATAGCGCGGGAGCGGCAAGTGTTCGTAATGCAAGCCTCCGAAAGTTTCTGAGTTCGTAATCACACACAAGCAAGTTGAGCAGATGCTGGTGACGTTCGTTGATGTGGAGTGGTTGTGTTCCCGATGCAAGAAGAGTCGTGAGATGCGATGCGCGCGCGCGAAGGTCTCTGACCAGGCACACCACGCTCGTCGACGTGGAGAATGCCAAGCCAGACATTGCTCATCATCAGCTCAATCCAACCGTTCCTCACGACGAGCCGTTGCACCCAGCTGAACACTGAACACGAACATCACGTTAAACATCAGTCAAGATTCTGCATAGTAATCAAGTCTCTGCAGAGGTCGATGAGACTTCGTATTTAACCTCTCTGTCTTGTGAAGGTGATGCCAAATATAACGCATTCACGAAGTGTTCGGTTGTTGAGACGCCTTTAACGTAAGGTAAGGTAGGCTGCTCTGCACATCACCTACTCAATAAATTTGAGCCGTGCTTTCGTGCTCGTGCCGTTGTCGCGTATCAAACGTGCTTCAATAATGTAGAGCTCAGGATTAGTCTCTCTTGGTCGACGGCATCATCTGCTTAAGCTGATGGCATTGATGGCTGTATTGATGGCATCGAATATCTCATCGATGGCATCAAACACAGCTGTCAGGCTATTCATGAGGCAACCACGGATATAGTCAGCTCGGCGAGCCTGAATCATCCTCAGTCTTAGAATCTCTGCTCCATCCTCCCCGTGTGCTAAAGACAGTCATGGTGCACCTATAGAAATGCACAACACGTTCATGAAGAATGTGGTCTTGAAGGAGAGGACCCTATTCAAGGCAATCTCAATGATTACCCTCGAATATGAGATACAACTATGCATTTGGTCAGCTTGTAACAACCTGTATAAATCAAGATGGAGCTATGGTCAGTGCTAAGCTATGACTGTGCTGAGCACACGGGGAGGATATACGTTTCGATCTCATGAACCATTTCCGACTTTTCGAGATATGTGTGTCGGCTGTAGGGCTTCTGGTGCTCTGCTTTCTGTCATGAAAGATGCAAAAATATCGCTCATTCACGAGAGGTAGTTGAAGAAGATGGTTGATAGGTTCAAAGGATGAAATCAAAGGCTTCATTTGGAAATAACTTGGGAGCCTTGGTTGGATCGTGAAAACCATGACCGCCAGATGCAAGCCCCCAGCCGGACACCTGCTACAGGTCATGCTTATTTCTATATTACAAGCTGCATTAACAGCATAAGCGACTTAAACGATAGTCTCAAGCTTTCTGGCGTATTCGAGTGTGTTCTCGATAACCTTGTCGCTGGTCGCAAGGATATCCTTTTCGCCCTGTGCCAACTCTTCTTGCTGGGCAGGGAAATAGATGCGACCCTCCTTAGCGACCCAACCACGCGAGTGTGCGAACTGAATGACAGCGCCTTCAGAGTCAAGGAAAAGGAGGTTCTTTGCGTTCGAGATAGGAAGGGAGGGGTAAGCGCGCTCGCTGCACGAGGCGATCTCGGATCGAATTGTGTTGACGAGTACCTTGAGTATATGTCAGCATGTGGCCTAATCAACGAGACAGAAGATATTGTGGCGATACCTCTGAGAAAACGGCGAATTCAGGGCTGGGTACTCTTTCTCCCTTTGTCTCACCCCAGACGCGGTCGTAGCTACCCTCCATCAAAGCCTGCTCCAGTCTCATGGGATATTGAATGAAGGCATCGTCGTCCAAGCGCTTTCTGCCACCGAAAGCCATTTCGAGACCTTCAATGACAGTGTGAAAGCCGGCGTAGTCTCCCTGGCTTAGCAAGAGTAGTAGGTAAAGACCAGTGATCTTGCTCTGGTTGCCGTGCTTGTCGTGAGAGCCCCATCGTTCGTGAGGTAATGAGTAGAAGGGCTGGAGTTGTTGGAAGTAGCGTGTGAAAGATTCGGGATCTCTTTGGCGAATTGATACGAAGGCGCCGATTTCGAGGACCTCGCGAGCCAGAGCGAGATGTTCGTGAGATGTGGAAGGACTGGGGACGAGGGCGTGTAGTTTGAGGAGCGAGATCTTTGCTTGTGACAACAGGGCGGAAGCGTTGCTGAGGTTGCTCTCAGACAGCGAATGGAGCTGCTGAATTGTCTTTTTGACGTCGCTTTCAGACATTTTGATTTAAGCGCGGGTGTCAGTGTCAAGTTAGAGGTGTGCGTATGTAGATGAGGCGATGAGGAAGAGATGGCCGTGAAGGAAGGGATGTTTCTTGATGATAGTCGCACTCGCCGCTTGTGAAGCTACTGAGTGTGACGACGGTGGTGAGCTTGGACCATCGACCCTTCATGCAATCAACCACCAACGCGCCCTTGCTTCCAACAAATCACTTTCATCAACTTCGTGTTTTCACAAATTGGTCTATTAAATGATGCCAAACACGAATCATATGGGAGAGTTCACAGCACTTCGCATCTTCTGATCGTGTCTCCACGACCACGCCCTGAAACAAGGATGTGAGGACACCACCTATCACTGATGCTTCGGACTCTTCTTGCTTGAGATATGTCACTGTATACAGCACCGCTCTACACCTTACCAAGATCGAGCATACATGAGTCTAGTGCATTCATTCAAGAACAGACTCGCCATAGACAGCGTGCCACAAGACCTTCCCCTCCGGCTGTCGGGTGAGATGGGCGGAAACCCTCCGTGCCCCTCCGTGCTTGGTTGCCGGTCTGGCGTCTCGACCAACGGCATCGGTTCCTCCACATCACATGCCATTGTTTGGAGAGTTACCGTAGGTAGAGAAATAATACCATTCTTCTCTTCGTAGCCCCTCTTTGTCTTCTACCTCAGCAGTCCCTGCATACTCTCGTCTTGGTCCACCTTGACACCTACCGTCATGCCTTCAATTACTCTCAGTTTGCGAACAGTTGGACATTTGGCTAGGAATGGTTCCAAGGTATTCAAGCATTCACTGCCATGACTACTTACAAATCTGACCTTACTCAGCCTCACAACCTCCTTCGCACTTTCGCATCCTCGGCCAAGAGATCAGAAATCAACAAGGTCTACTCATCAGCTGAAGAAGCCATCAGTGATGTCAAGGGTGACAGCACACTCCTCTGCGGTGGTTTTGGTCTCTGTGGTGTACCCGACACTCTAATCAATGCCGTCAAGAACAAGCCTTCGATCAAGGGACTAACAGCCGTGTCAAATAACGCCGGTATCGTTGGATCAGGCCTGGGTCTACTTCTTGAATCCAAGCAGGTCAAGAAGATGATTGCCAGTTATGTTGGAGAGAACAAGGTCTTTGAGAAGATGTACCTCACTGGCGAGATTGAGCTGGAGCTTACGCCACAAGGAACACTCGCCGAGAGGTGCAGAGCAGGTGGTGCTGGTATTCCTGCCTTCTTCACACCAGCAGCCTTCGGAACTGTCGTTCAGACTGGAGAGCTCCCTACGGTGCACAACAGCGACGGATCTGTCGCTCAATACTCAACACCCAGGGACGTCAAGGTGTTCGACGGCAAGAGCTACGTCATGGAGGAAGCAATCAAGGGCGACTACGCCTTCATCAAGGCATGGAAGGCAGACAAGCTTGGCAATCTCATGTTCAGATTTGCGGCACAGAACTTCAACGGTGCCATGGCTCGCAATGCAAAGGTCACCATTGTCGAAGCCGAGCACATCGTTGAGGTTGGCGAGATCGACCCAGCGGCAGTACACGTGCCTGGCATCTATGTCGATCGTGTTATTCAGAGCACAGAACCCAAGAACATTGAGAAGGTTGTCAACGCAAAAGACCCAGCCGAAGCCCTGAACGCATTAGGCAGTGGCGACGCTGCAAGCAAGCGCGAGCGCATCGTCCGACGAGCAGCTAAGGAGTTCAAGAACGGAATGTACGCCAACTTGGGCATTGGTATGCCAATGATGGCTCCAGCCTTCGTCGATGACAGCATCGAGGTCCAGCTTCAGTCTGAGAACGGTATTCTAGGTCTGGGAGCCTACCCTCAAAAAGGTCAGGAGGACCCTGATCTCATCAATGCTGGTAAAGAGACCGTCACATTGCGTCCTGGTGCCGCAGTCTTTGGCTCTGATGAGTCGTTCGCCATGATTCGCGCTGGTAGGATTCACATGACCATGCTTGGAGCTATGCAAGTATCAGCCCGAGGAGATCTGGCAAACTTTGCTATGCCAGGAAAGATCAAAGGCATGGGTGGTGCCATGGATCTGGTTTCCAACCCTGAGAAGACGAGAGTTGTGGTGACAATGGAGCACACCGACAAGAAGGGTGGTCCCAAGATTATGAAGATGTGCGAGTTCCCTCTCACCGGCAAAGCTTGCGTCTCGAGAATCATCACCGAGTTGGCCGTATTCGATGTTGATTTCACAACTGGATTGACATTGATCGAGCACGCAGAGGGAGTCACAGTGGAGGAGATCAGATCTAAGACGGAGGCACCATTCAAGGTGTCAGAATCATTACAGGTCATGCAGCAGTAATCGTATCGAAAAGCAATTTCTTCAATGATGAGACGGCACATTGGAAACGAGCATGATGAAATTTGAATATTTTACAAGTGATGTACAGGTGCTCTTCGGAAGACACAGCGTTCTATCGCCGAGTCAACATGAAAGTAGCGAGAGAAACATGACCATATAACGCCAACCCAATGCGTTTGAGAGAAGCAGAAAAGGCATTGATCTCGTTGCCTTTGCGCCGTCATAGAAAGCTTTTGCAAAGCATCTTCTGCTCAGCGGTTGCCGAGGCCTCTATTGCCGATTCTTCCCTCTCTTTCTCTTTTGTCTCCCCTCTCGTCTTGTCTGCCTCTTCCATAACCCAGTCAACTAGTCCTGTGTTTTTTGCCCCCGAGATACGAAGGCTTTCAAGGCACAACAACAACACCCATACTGCCGGCCTGGGCAACCACACTCCTTGCCACACCCTCGAGCGTCAAGCCACTCAATCTCTCCTCCGAATGCTTGATCTTTGCAATCTCATAGACATGCTTCAAGCTCACCGTCCCCACAACACCGAGACCTCCGTTTCCTGCCGTCAATTGACCTCCTGATGCTTTGCCCACGCCCGCAAGTCCAGCTCTAGAGTTTGGTCCCGCAACGTTACCAGCACCGCGTAGTTTGTTTTTCTTGGGCTCGACTCCGGCAGCGGCTAGCAATAGGGATGCGGTAGGTGGTGTGCGGAGTTCGAAGGTGAAGCTGCGGTCTGGACGGACGATCACGCGTGCTGGGATGGGTGTGCCGGGGACGTAGTTTGCAGTGCGAGCGTTGAATTCCTGTACTCTACTGTTAATTTTCATAATTTCGTTTTCTTCAAATATCTTGCTCCTCTCTTTGTATATGCGGGTGAGAGAAGAACGAACAGCCTCACACATACCTTGCAGAAATCCATCGACTTTACACCTTTGGAACCCAGAGCGGGACCGACTGGCGGCGAGGGCGAGGCTTGTCCAGCACCGACGATAAGTTTGACGATTTGGTCTGTTTGGATTGCTTTGCGCGCCATGGTTGTGTGATATGTGTGTGATGCGACTCAGAAAGTGATTTGCGCCTGCTTGCAACTTGCGATATCTCGGAGGTCTCGACGTCGGGGAAGTTTTTGTGGTCTGTGCATGGGTCATGGTCAAAAGTACTCTGTATCTATTTGGGTAATAGATCATCTCTACTCGTAATGGCTGCAAGAAAAGCAAATGTTGGAACCTGAATCCATCGATTTCAAGAGACAGATCGGAGGGCCAGCAGTCTGTCTGCAATGAAAGCCTCATCACCAGTATAGTCTGATTTACGTTCTGCTCTGGGATGGTGGTACGGGTTACGAGTCATGCTTGTTCGTAGGTATGTCTTGCTGTTGCATACTATAACAAGGACAAGAGGACCCTTTTCACCAAAACACGTCTTGGGACTTTTTTTTTTCTTTATGCGGAATTGCTCTCTAGCAATCAGGTGTATACCGAAAGAAGAATAGGAACACATGACAGTGACATTGATACGTACTAGAAGTAATAGCCATAGGTATAATTGAGCACGAGCGGGCGTTGGTTTCAGACCGGAAAGACAGGGCGGGCGCGTATGGATTCAGCCAAAACATGAGCCCAAAGCGTTGTAGAGCACTGTGAGCCCTTGTAGACCCTTGTGCATCTTGTCGCAGCACTCACTGTACTCTCACACCGCCCACATATCGCCCATTCTTACTGCAGTCACTCTTTGCGCCCTCAGTGCTCTCGGCCCTGTCCTGCTGCTTGCCGAAGGATCGTCACTTTTCCTTCACTGGAGTCTCATCCTTCGACCCCTCGCACCAACCCCAGCCTCAGCCTCGACCCATTCACTCCGCGCCGATCTCCACGACAACATACAGACAGCCCCGTAACACTCTCGCCGACCTCGACATCCCCTTTTGCTTGCAGGCTTCGAAAGATTGGCCAGAGGTGCCGAGTTTGACAGATCGCGAGACGCCCCAGGGCGTATTCACTTGGCGAATGTCAACATGAATGGCCTCGCTTCCTCCCCAATGGGCACCATGTATGTGCGTGCACTCTACGACTACGATGCCGACGACCGCACCAGCTTGAGCTTCCGCCAAGGCGACATCATCCAGGTTATCACCCAACTCGAGAGCGGCTGGTGGGATGGCATTATCCGCGGTGTGCGAGGATGGTTTCCCAGCAACTACTGCGAGCTCATTGCTCAGCCAGGCGATGTCTCTGCCCAGACTGCCCGCATATCGGATACGCATACTCAGCCTCACGCACGCAACCACTTCGAGGATGTGTCCCCCGAGTCTTCCTATCGCCATACAGACGCTGCCCAGGATAGCCAGGAGGAGGCTGCATTCTGGATTCCACAGGCCACCCCAGATGGCCGCCTGTTCTACTTCAACACTTTGACTGGTGTCAGTACCATGGAACTGCCGCTGGAGAACCCGACACAACAAGCCGAACCAGGTCCCCATGATCGATATCATGTGCTTCAGCACGACCAGTCCCGTCCTCCACCTGAGATGCTTGCACGTGGCTATGAACGTGCTGAATCTGAGGCCGACTACGAATCTGCGAGTGAAGCCGAAATGGCGCGTTCGGGAACTTCTTTGGTAGGTCTCGTGCGTATCTGAGACAAAGAAAGCTCCTCTAACCTCTACTTCCTTCCAGCGAAATCGGGGTTCATACGTCTCAAATCCGCTCTCTCCCGCAACTTCGTCCGAGTCGCTCAGAAACGCATCCCCCCTCACCAGATCCCGCACAAATGTCGCTGATATGTCCAGCTCAAGCTATGCCACCCACTCCAACATGTCCAACGGCACCGGTATGACGTCCTTTATCAACAGCCCCGGCACGCCTGCACAAAAGGACGACCTAATTATTTCACGCCGTTGTTTCGACGACTCGCAGACGGTTCTACTTACCTGGAACACTCTGGTCGAGGACATGCGCCGAGCCGTTCAGCGTTATCGAGAAGCGATTGACAACAGCCACAAGAGCGAGTTCGTGAAAAGAGCAGAGGATATTTCGGATCACCTTCGTCTTTTGCTTGCAGCAGGCTCCGGCACCACTGACAACCACTCTGGTAACCCTTCGATCATCTTGACTAACAAAGCCTTGTATCCTCATTTCAGAGAAATGATGTCAAGCTTCTCCAAGCTGGTCTTGTCTTCTCATTTTGCAGCCGCTGATTTCACTACACCGGATTCGTATTCTAAGTGCTTACAGGAGGCTGAAGGCTTGTTACATGGTGTTTATGGCTATGTCGAAGTTGCGCGCCAGCAGCGGGGTGAAGAGATTCCGCGCCTTACGCCTGGCTTTGTATCAGGTATTCGTTCTGGTGGAAGTTGGCAGAATAATGGTCTGGTTCTCGGCGATCCATCTGCCGCATCGCAGCCTTTCCTACAGCAAGATACGGACACACTTATTGAACCCACGGCTCACCTCGATCAAACTTTGCTGGAACGCGTGGACGAGATGAGAAAGAATGTCTCTATCAGTATACGTCGTCTGGACAAGCATCTCGTGTTTGAAGAGAAACTGGTTACACCTAAGAAGCACAAGAAGACCAGCCAGCTGATTTCTGAAGATGCTGGTCGTGTCATTGAGGCCTGTCGACCGTATCTTGCCGTCATCGAGAGTATCAACTTGGCACCACTTGGATCGACTTTCAGGAACCCTCAAATCATTGATTTCAGTACACAGAAGCAGAAGTTCTACGACAACTCATCAGAGTTGGTGGTCGCCTGCCAAACTGTTGCCAGTCCTCTCAGTGACGAATGGTCTGATCATAGAGGCAGTTCGCTCGAGGAGCGCATAACCCATGTCAAGCTTGTTGCGCGTGAACTTGATGGTTCTGCCAGCCAATTGCAATTCACCCTTCAATTGCTAGCGGAGATGATGCCACAAGACTCGGCTTCGATGACGACCGAAGATCACCGCACCTCTGACAATTCTTATGCTGACGACCCTCGCGGAGGATCAACTTTGAGGGGTAAGCCTAACGGTATGGGTCCTGCTAAGAGCTTCGTGGAAGGCCCCGAGCAGCCTACTGTCGAAACACCACGTCTTGCAGACAATTCAAAACTGAAACGCTTCTTTGGCGAAGTGCCTGCGCCGATACAACAACAAGAGGACGTTCCAGACTTCCTCAAGCTCGACCATGAAGGCGAGATCGCTTACGATACCAAAGTGCATCCCCCTCAATTGCGTGGCGGTACTTTGACTGGTCTGGTTGAACAATTAACGCGACATGATCGTCTGGACTCGCCGTTTAACAACACATTCCTTTTGACGTATCGATCTTTCACGACTGCTAGTGAGCTTTTCGAGATCCTTGTCAAACGATGGAACGTACAGCCTCCCTATGGTCTCAATCCAGTCGATCTCGAGACTTGGGTCAACAAGAAGCAAAAGCCTATCAGATTCCGTGTAGTCAACATCCTGAAGAGTTGGTTTGACAACTACTGGATGGAGGAGAACAGCGACGCAAATCAACAGCTCATGCACAGGGTCTACTCGTTCGCGAAGGAAACGGTCGCATCTGGCAGCACTCCAGGTGCGGGTCCTCTGATGACAGCGATTGAGCAGAGAATGCGTGGACAAGATGCCCCTGGCAAACGCTTGGTCTTGACACTGAACTCCGAAAAGACGCCTACACCGATTATCCCGAAGAACATCAGGAAGCTGAAGTTCCTGGACATCGACGCTCTTGAATTCGCTAGGCAACTCACCATCATTGAGTGCAGACTGTACTGCAAGATTAAGCCTACTGAATGCTTGAATAAAACGTGGCAAAAGAAGCTCGCACCCAACGAGCCTGATCCAGCTGCTAACGTCAAGGCTTTGATTCTGCACTCGAACCAGCTCACCAACTGGGTCGCTCAGATGATTCTAACTCAAGCTGATGTCAAGAGACGTGTGATTGTCATCAAACATTTCGTGGCAGTTGCAGATGTAAGCTTGCGCCCATTCAATGTACAGAGATTCACAGCTAATGATTTCTAGAAATGCCGTCAACTCAACAACTATTCCACACTCACATCAATCATATCAGCATTGGGCACAGCGCCCATTCATCGCCTGGGTCGCACATGGGCCCAAGTTAACCAGAAGACTCAAGCTACTCTAGAGGTCATGAGGAAGTTGATGGGCAGCACCAAGAACTTCTCAGACTACAGAGAAACATTGCACAAGGCCAACCCCCCTTGTATTCCATTCTTTGGTGCGTCAACAATTATCGACTATTACATGGCTAGCCCTAACATGTTAACAGGTGTTTACTTGACTGATCTTACTTTCATCGAAGATGGTATCCCTGGGGTGATCAAAAAGACGAACCTTATCAACTTCGCCAAGCGCAGCAAGACTGCAGAGGTCATTCGTGATATCCAACAATATCAGAATGTGCCCTATCCCCTGCAGCCTGTTCCGGAACTGCAAGAATACATTCTCACGAATATGCAAACGGCGGGTGATGTACATGAGATGTACGATCGCAGTTTGGCAGTTGAACCTAGAGAGAGGGAAGATGAGAAGATTGCCCGGTAAGTTGATACTGATCCTTGCAGAAATGAACATCACGCTAATTTGAAAACAGATTACTTTCCGAATCGGGATTCTTGTGAGCTGCCCCACAAGAGTTGGTAATGCTATGCTCTCTCAAAAGAGAACAGATGCATTGACCTTGGTATCAAACAAATTTTGAGATCTAGAATCTCACTCAACATATTTCTTACAACAACGACCAAAAAAAGACTGGTGCCGGGCATCAGCACGTCTGAATATTCAAACACAACATGGCCCGAGAGGCAACAGATGTTCCAAGACTGCGTCAAAGAGAACAGATGTGCATGATTGTTCAAAGGATATCACTGTCACAAACATACCCAGCGGCAGCAGAAGCCTTTGAACACCGCACTGAAGGCTGCGTTGGGCATCAAAAGGCAGGACAAGAGGGTGTTTTTCCGGCGTTAGCGCGTTGAAGGTGCTGTGCAGGAATGGGTCAGTCAGGTATGGGAAACGAATTACGGACGATTTTGTGTCTAGTGTTTTTTTTTTTTTTTCTTCGTAGTTGCATGTGGTGCGTGGTGGGTTCCCAGACAGCAAGCCAGAGAAGGAGGCAACAAATGGAAACATCTCGACAGATGCTACATACATTCTATCGATACAAATACCCATTCGAGAACCGATTGCCATAATAATCAGCCCACACCTCATCATCTTCGAACTTTGGATCTATTACATCCTTTGCTTTCCTCACCACCTTAATATTACCATCCCAGAATCCTTCTACTGTTGGTTCTTCTTCTCCTTTTGCTAGACGGGATTGATATTCTGTCTTTGTTGCTTTGCGAAATTTGGAGAGTTGTGCTATCACGTCGATTTCTGGTTTGGGGCTTGAGTCGGTGGCGGGTTGGGGTGGGGAGTGGTGGGAAGATGATGATGGAGAATTAACAGAAACTTCCATGCCAGACATGATGCTTAGTGGTTTAGGTGGTTCGAGAAAAGTGTCCAAACTATTCGTCTCGCCCTCGCCAAAGAAGGAAAAATCTGTTTGGGAAGCTGCCCATAAAGCCTCACTATCTTGGTCTTGAGTCATGGATTTAGTGCCTCGGTGTCTCCATGCACTAGCTGCTTCGTTCTTCTTCTGGTCCAAGGTGTATGGTGCTACTTCAAGAACAACTTGCTCGAGAGCAAATGATTTGCGAAGCAATTCTTTTTGGTGTGAGTGGCTTGTTCTGCGACCAGGTGGGAGGGTCCAATCGAGTTGGGCTTGGAGTTTTGCTAGGGAGGTTTCTTCGGCGCAGGAATGGATGAACGAGATTAGTCTTTGAGGTGTTTCTGGTGTTGGTGTAGATGGTGGGACTTCGGTTAGGACTAGGGTGGTCAGATGAGGTAGGATGCCAGGGTGGAAGCTCTTGGCCTGGATCAGGTGTGCTTGTAATCGACTCTTGCGCTCTTTGACGATTGAGGAGTAACTACGACCGATACCGTGGGAGGGAAGCATTGAAGTAGGAGTCAATGTCTCCTCGAGAACAGGCAGTGAACTGTCGTTTTCTCGCTCAAGCGTGATTACGTGTAGACCAGATTCATGAATATCTTCCGTCTGAACAGGTATTGGAAGATCTTGGCTTCCCCTTCGTGCTTTGTGTGCCCCCGCGGTAGGCTTTTCGAATGCTGAAGGTGTCACCACAATGGGGACTGCGTCTCCAGAGACCTCGGTTGGAAAGGACGTGTCACCCATCATCTCATAAATTTCTGTATCGTGATCCAGCTCAGCGACTCCAACAGGGTAATTCGAGGTATCGGCAAGTTCGCAGCGTTGAGGAGGCGACTTGTTGATATTCTCCTGCACTGCCGGTGGCTCTTCAGTAACCAGACTGTGATCAATCCTCAAATACGTCAGGCTGTGACTTGCTGACTCGGCCAACACAGGGACCAGCTTCGCTAGGCTGGGAAAACTCATACTGAATGAACCATCTCGCGAGGTCATCGCAGGTAAAAGACTACCAGCGTCGAGCACATGCAGTCTCCCAGACCTAATCAATCCTGAAAGCCCCTCGACAGTGAGTTGATTGTCCGAAAGATAGAGATGAGTGATGCCGCTCTCTGGGGCGTCTTCGATAGCTAAGCGTCCAACAAACTTATTCGTGAACTCGTTTCTTAGGAAGGCTTCAAAGTTGACTCCTCGGTAGGTTGACAGCATCTCAGCACCCAGGTATGGCAGTAACGAGGGTGACATGACGCGACCATCGTTATCTCTCCGCGGCGGCAGTGTGAAGCACTGCTCGAGCAAGACACGTACACTCCGATCTGTCAGTTGATTGTTCCGAAGATCCAAGCTCCGAAGTCGAGTTTTGATCGCATTTGCCAATATGAGCACGTCGTCATCTTTCAATGATATACCTCGCAGCTTCAAAACCTGCAGACCACGGAACTGGCTGAGTCCTCTGAGCACTTCGGGGCTCTTCGCAGGATAAGTCCATGAAAGATCGAGGTATAGCAAGGCATCAAAACGTCTGAGAGCCTGCTGCAATCCTGTTGCAGTGACATTGCTACATACTGAGGCGTCCAGCAATCGCAGCCCAAAAGGTGTCTGAGCAGGCACTAGCTGGTTCCTATTACCAGAGAGTCGTGTATATCTCAGTGCATTTAGAGATGCATGTTCGAAGAATGGCAAGCCGCGAACAATTAATGACTGCAGGTTCGGCAGACCTTCGAGTACCTCTCTTAGCCAGTCGGCATGTGGTCCATTATAGATCTCAGCATGTGCTGGAGGGAGATGAAGTGTATGTGTCAAAGACCGGACAGCACGTCTAGCCCAAGGAAGGGTACGAATGAATCGAGTCAAAGCGACTATCACGAAACGTATGAGTCCTCTGATCGATGGCCAGATTGTTAAGACGTATTAGGGGGCGATGGAGCTCACCATAGACTCTGTCATTCTCATCTCCAAAGTGAGAGGCAGGATTGCCCCACAGATGAGGAGCGAAAGTTGCATGCCATTGCTGGCATACCAAGGCGGCAGAGCAAAGGTCTGAGGAAGGGATGTAGCCGGCAATGAGATCCCAGGCATTTACTGTAGTGGCCTGTCCATAAGACGGTGGATTTGCTTCCATGACTGAATCATTGTGTTTTCGTGTCTCTGGGCAAGACCGAAGAGTTGGACCTTCCAGGACTCTTTATTCAGTGGATCGCGGCAAGGTGGAAGTCATGCGCCTCCTCGCCAAGCACAGTCGATCCAAAAAGTTTGTCACAAAGCGCCCAATGAAGGATTGCTGTCGAGTGACAAACTTTAGCCACAGTTGGTGGAAGGATTCTGCCTCAATCTAAAACTAGACAGTCTTCGAAGATCATTCTCAATATCGCGGTTTCAGGCACTTAATTTACAGTATATACACAGACATCGCACAATATGTGCCAATCAAGAGGCTTGCACCTTCTTCCTATCTTGCCTCTTCTTCTCTTCAGACTTCTCCTGTTCTTCGTCGATGAAAAGCATCTCCTGTGCACTCCATAGCTCAGAGTACACCCCTCCGCTATCAACAAGACGCTCGTGTGTGCCTTGCTCGGCTACAACACCATCCTTCAGGACGATGATAACATCCGAGTCGTAGATAGTGCGAAGTCTGTGGGCAACGAAGATACTTGTTCGTGCCTTTTCCTTGAGAATGCTGTTAATGTTTCCAAGGAGTGCTTGCTCTGTATGCGTGTCCAGAGCTGAGGTTGCTTCGTCAAAGAATAGGAATGGCGGGTCCTTCAATAGCAGACGGGCAATGGCAAGACGTTGCTTCTCACCACCCGAAATCATCATACCGCGCTCACCGACCATAGTGGCGTACTTGTCGGGGAACTTTTGGATGATATCGTGGACCTTCGCACGTTTGGCAGCAGCTTCAACCTTCTCAGGAGAGGCTTCGAGATCACCGTACTTCAGGTTATGCTCAATGGTATCGTTGAACAGAGGTGTGTCTTGAGGGACAACACCAATCGCCTTACGAAGGCTCTCAATCTGAACGTCGCGGATATCTTGTCCGTCAATCAGGATTCTACCACCCTGGACGTCGTAGGAGCGGAAGAGCAGACGAAGAATGGTAGATTTACCACATCCACTAGGGCCGACAATGGCAATCTTCTTGCCAGCAGGAATCTCAAGATTGAGGTTGCGCAGAATTGGTCTGTCAGGGCGATAACCAAATGAGACGTTCTCGAACTTGATACCTCCACCCGTAAGCACCAGAGGCTTAGCATTCTCGGGCTCCTTAATAGCCACATTGACCTTCTGAAGGTTGAACAATGTCTCCATATCCAGCAAACTCTGTCTGAGTTCGCGATATACTGAGCCAAGGAAGTTTAGAGGTACCGAAAGTTGGAAGACAAGCTGATTGATCATGACAAGATCACCAACAGTCAGTTGACCAGTGGCTACACCATCTGCACCGTAATACATCATGGCAGTTAGAGCGCTAGAAAAGATCAGGTTTTGTCCACTGTTGAGGAAAGCCAGTGATGTGGCAACCTTGATGGATGCATCCTGATAGTTCTTGAGCGCGGCGTCATATCTCCCAACCTCGTAGCGCTCGTTGTTGAAGTACTAGAAGATGTCAGAGGTTTATCAAGATGTATCCTTCAGGCAAACTCACCTTGACGGTCTCGTAGTTGATCAACGAGTCCACTGCGACCGTAGCACCTTTGTTGTCAGCGGCGTTAGCAGCCTTGCGGAATTTGGTTCTCCACGATGTGGTCAAGATTGTGAAAGCGGAATAGCCGACCATAGTAGCAGCTGTGATGAGAGCAAATTTGAAGCCATACTGCCATGTCTAGAACAACGTCAGAGACACATGAAGAGAAACCCTTCAAGACAAACTTACAAGAATACCACAGACCAACGAGATCTCAAGGGCTGTGGGGATGATGTGGAAGACCATAGAGGTCAGGAGGAAACTTATACCTTTGGTACCTCGATCAATGGCTCTCGTCAGACCACCAGTCTGTCTAGATAGATGGAAATTCAGGTCAAGTTTTAGCAGATGCTCGAAGACAGTAGCCGCAACGCGGCGAATGGCTTTTTGTGCAACGCTTGCAAAGACTGCGTTACGAACTTCTTGGAAGACAGCAGCACCTATCCTAGTAGCACCGTCTTGATGAAGATCAGAGAAATGTAAGAAAACAGGATATAGTGCGTGATCTTACAGGCAAATATGGTAGCGCCAGCAACGGTGACAGCGGTACCACCGACTGCAGCAAAGTCTATGTTCATGGAATCTACAATTGACTTGAAATAGAAGGGTACTTGGACGTTCAGAACCTTTGGATGCCATTAACACGATGGCACGCGACACGGGGAAGATGGTTGATAGGTACCTTTGCGCCTACGAGGAGAGCAATGGACAAGCTGACTCTGAAACGAGTGCCAAAATCATCTTTGGGCCACAAGTATTGAGCCATGTCCTTGATGATGGCCCAATCGGCCTTGCGCTGTTCCTTGTTGGAAACAGTCTGCTCTGCCAGGAGTGAAGGTTGTTTGGCCGGGCCAGCAGCCTTCTCTTTCTGTACATTGGTGGTCTTGGTAGGTTCTGCAGCTGTGACCTTGGTCTCGGGTTGAGCAGTCTTTACGCGAGAGTCGTCCTTGAGACGCCATGGTGAGGTAGTAAAGACGCGGACGGTAGGACGGATACTTTGCTGGCAGGTCGAGATACGGGAGAAGGCGAGGGAAGGATGGGCCAGCTTATGGCAAGAATAGATGCCTCGAAGGGCACAGGCGGCCGACATGACGGGACGGATTGCGTATGGTTGTTATGTTGGATGGCTTAAAACACCATGATGGCCAGCTTCTCGTAAGAAGAAAGGAAGATGCAGATGAGTTGAGGGTCCGTAGGAGGAGAGGGGATCGATGGGCGAGACGAAGCAAATGCAAACAAACAGAGCGACGGCGAACAACTGGCAAGCAGAAAGAATAATGGGCGATTAAAGATAAAGGTGCGAGTGGGATGAAGCATCCTGTCCCACACTCAGCACAGACAGGCAAGCACGTCACTCACATCGGCTTCGGGTGGGCACGCGTTGCTGGATTGGATTGGCAGCTGCGTCTTGACATTCTTGCACCATCGCCAGTCGCGCAATGTCTACTGCTATGCGCTGTCGTGCGCAACAGCTGCTCCGTTGCACTCGCCCAAGCCATGCCCTGCGCTCGCCGCCGCGACGACTCGTGCAAATCGCGGCCACGCCATCGTCGACCAATCCTACTGTAGCCTCTGCTGCTGCTGCAGACAGTGTTGCTCCTGGTACCTCTCTTCGCGCCTTCCATGTGTCTTTTCCAGCCTTCTGACATGTTAATCAAGATGCTCAGTTTGAGGTCTTGGGCAGCCCATTTTCTCTTCTTTCCGCATCCATCTCTGCTTCGCAGAACCTTTATACTCGCAAAGGCTCGCTAGTTGGCTTCCACGGCAATGCTGAGAGTGTGAGCATGCCCAATTCTACCCTCGTTACTCTTCAATACTCATCCTCAGCCTCAGACCGTATCCTCGCTGTCCGTCCTCGAACCTTTCCGTCGCGCCGCCTTCGGCATTCCTTTCCTCTACCAAAAAGTCACTTCGACTGCTCCCTATACCGCCCTGATCTCGACCAAGTCTCCTCTCACCACATTTTCCGTCATTCACCTTGATGGTCGCCTTGACTGGATGATCGCCCAAAGGAATGCTCTACTTGCTTGGACTGGTCACACTCTTTCCATCAAACCTCAGATCAACACTTCCATGAGCCTTGCACACTGGGGAAGCTCTCGCGTCACTGGCCGCGGACTCCTCTGTCTGTCGGGTAAAGGTCAAATTTACCAGCTCGCTCTTAAGTCTGGCGAGGAGTACATTGTTCACCCCAGCAATGTCATTGCGTATAGCATTATGCAACACGCTCCTCAGCCATACCGCTTCAGATCTTCAAACTTGCGCTTGCAAATTCCGAACGCCTTCTCATACCTACCTGACACCAGGTTCTTCAAGGTCGTTCGCCAATCAACCGTCTGGCGCGTCCTGGCCAACGTCTTGTTCAACATTCGCACCTGGGCTCGCCGCTCAATATGGGGCGACAGAGTAAGTTACATAAAATCACGCGCATTCTTGTAGCCTTCTGACTCGATTTTTAAAGATGTTCCTCCGCTTCCAGGGACCTGCCAACATCCTTGTGCAAAGTAGAGGCGCCAAACTGACTGACGCCTTTACTGCTCGTGATGTTAACGAAGCTGGTGATGCTCCTGCAGGTGTGCTCCAGGCTGGAAAACCTGCCACACCCACACTGACCGACACATCTCCTTCAACTCCTGTTGCTCCGACTAAGCTCAGCTACGCAACAGTAGAAAGCGATGGCAAGGTCACCATCACTAAATCATAATGACTCGCTCCTTTCTTCCAGGATAACCTTTGTACATTTATTTCTTGCATGATCATATCCCTTCACCTTCTACATTCGAACTCCAATCCTTCGATCAGACTTCATGTCGACCTGAGATCCTTATAAAAGAAGACTTCATCGACCAACCTTCCATCCTTGGGAGACAACCCATATCTCGGAATCAGTCCGAGACGAGTGTAGCCAAGTCGAGGGTACACGCCTTCTGCCGGGCTGCCAGCCTCAGTATCGAGAGTCTTGTGCAGTCAGTTTTAGCTAGACCATCAGAAAAGCACTTGTCATTTTCTTACTAGCAAAGTAGTCCCTCTTAACAATGCCACCTCCTCCAGCTTTGACATGAGCCGCTTTGCGATGCCCATCCTTCTGTAGCGTGGGCTGACCAGGAGCTTTTCGACGCTGCCTCTGAACGGTCCCGTCTCAGTAGCCTGGCTTCCAAGAGCAACATAGCCTGCCAATTCCTCCTGGCCACTTGCAGATACCACCATCTGCATGAAAATGATTTTTGTGCCTTCGGTGACTCTAGCAACGTTGTTCTTCCAGTACTTGAGAACTCTAATATCAGGTGTTTTCGTATCCGCGTGTTGGAACGGTGGATGGAATGTCGCTAGAGTGCTGTCTGTTTCAATACAGTCCTCATGTATGAATGCAAATGTTCGTATGAGGTAGTCATGCTTGACAGGGTCAAAAATGACCACAGGTGGAAGTGCCATAGTGTTGTCAGAAGTCCTGAGTATCAATTTTCCATGGAAAGTGTAAATTTTGTTATACACGTTGAATTACCCCTGGAGGCAGGCAGCAGCGAACACGGGTTTTCGCTTGGCATGTTGAGCGCCGCCTCATGCTTGAGGAACAGGGGGTTTCAGAGATCCATTCTCTGATCTGGTCAAGATGAAAACTGCGTACCATGCTATTATTCTAGAGAGTGTACTCTGAGTAGTATCTTATTATAGCAGATTTTATATAGCCTAGACCTGCCTGCAAGGTCGCGTGCAGCTACCAGATCTGCCCACGCATCTTCTGCATGCGACAACGTTTTTGATGTAGAGAAGTACCTATGGAGCCGACGTCCGAGATTCGAGATCAAGTTTCAGAGTCCACATTTCTCGAGGTTAAACAGGATATTCTCTCCGCGGGCATGAGATCTGCGAGTTTTGGGGATCGATGTGCGAAATCTGTCGGTCAACGTCATATGGCCAAATCCCTGATTCCAGACGGGGGCTGAGTGGCTTGTTTATAAAGGTCAACACGGCGCCGACTCCTTATGGGTTTCAATTCTTGGATCGTCGCTTCAGCTCCTGGCTTTTGTCGCGTGTCTGCTTGTCTACTTGAAAACTCTGGTTCATACTTGCAAACTTACAGTCGCTCCTCCTGCGCATAGTCTTTTCGCCAACGCGTCCCTGAACACAAGCAAGGCCAAGCTTCACTAGCCTCCGCGGCATCAACCATGCGTTCTTCTTTGGCTTACGGAGCCCTGCTCCAAGCATCGCTATACTCTTTCGCCAGTGCTTCACCAGCACCTACACCTCGTCGCGTCTTCCAAGCCGAGGCTCTGGCAGCTCAGGTCACTGAATCGCCCGTCGACCTCTCCCCTTCGCGCACCGAAGAGAGACTTCGCCGCGGTGTCGTCAGCGATATCAAGTCGGGAGTCAGTGATATTGAATCGGCCATCAGTGGACTTCCATCTTGGGCCTCTTCAGAGGTCCCAGGCTTCTTCCAGGGTTTCCCCACTGGTGATGCTGTCGTCTCGTCGCTCGGCCTCGACGACGCTCAGGTCTCTGCATTGCCCACTCAAGTCCTCAATCTTGACCCCTATGCCAATTGGACCGAGTCTGGCTGGAATGTCAGATTCCACGGCAATGTCTACAAGCAGCCCAACACCTCTACTGCAGACCTCAATCGCCTGGCCAACATCTTCCTCGTCAACACTTCTATCTCAGAACTTCCTCCGGATGAAGCAGACCGAGCCCGCAATGTGACTGGCAGCATCTTTGTTATCCAGCAAGGAGATGTAGCTGTCGCTCCTATTCACCTTGATCCTGCCGCATCGCAAGGTTCTTCTGGTGAACCCGGTGGTGGTGGTGCAGTGACTCCTAGCGGTGGTAATCAGACTGTAACCCTTCCATACAACACCACTGTTGAGGGTGATTTCGATGTCTTTGTTCCTATCAACGGCAATGGCCTCATGAACGGCAATGAGACACAGGAGGTTCAACGCTTGAACACTCACGTCGAGGGTGCAAGCATTGGCAATTCCACTGCATATCTCGTACCCGAGACCGGTCTTACTGTTGTCAGTGATATTGATGACATTCTTCGTGTTACCAAGATCTACGAGCCTGCTCAGGGTCTGCTTAACTCCTTCGCTAAGCAATACGTCCCTTGGGAGAACATGCCTGACATCTATGCCAACTGGAGCAAGAGCTTGCCCAACATGCACTTCCACTACCTGACAACCACTCCTGAGCAAGTCACAAGAGACTACATGAACTTCACCTACAACAACTACCCTGGTGGTTCATTTGATACACGTCCTCTTAACTTCTCTGATGTTTCTGCCACACTTTCCATCCGAAAGTTCCTTCTGGTCAAGATCTTCGAGACCTTCCCTCAAAGAAAGTTCATTCTTGTCGCCGACACTAGCAACAGCGATGTCATGAGAGATTACCCTCAGATGGCAACCGACTACCCCGATCAGGTGCAGTGTATCTTCTTGCGCAACACCACTGCAACAGACCCTGGTGATAAATTCCCCTACGATACCAGCGGTTTCAAGAATCTGAACCAGGAGAAGTACATGTTCTTCTTGCACCCTGACGACCTCACCAATCTCGATATCTCCAACGGACAGTGCTACAACCAGTCGATTGCTCAGAACCTGACCTTTGGTTACCAGGGACTGCCTCTCGGTCTCGGAAGTTCGCCCACTGCCGTCAACGCTTCTGCCACTGGCGCTGCCAACAAGACTGGCAAGAGTGGAGCATCCGCTTTCAAGAGCAAGGACGTCGTTGGTGCACAAAGTTCCTTGGCTCTCGTCGCAGCACTGGGAGCTGCTATGTTCATGTTCCTTTAGAAATTTTCTCACGATGTCAAGACATATTAAGACTGTACGATTGTAGTAATAATGATAAAGATCATCCAACAACATGTTCAGCTCTCTCGTGTCAAGTCGTTGTGGTTTGTTTTGGGCTTCTGCACCAATATGTAGGGCTCACAACAACGGGTATGCAGGGACTACAAGAATCTCAGTCCAAGCCCTGTCCACAGAAGTCCTCTATAGCTGAAAGCAGTAAAAGCAGTTAAGGGGTCAGTCATTTTCAGCCGAGAACGAGCGGCGAAATATGAGAACCACGCGGAGTAGCTCGTTGAAGGGCTCGGAGCACGGTCTTTAGCCAAGGCAGAGAATGTCGATCTATGGCGGCATCAGCGATATGGAAGTCCAAGCTGCCGTTCTGACACGAGCTTCTCGGTCGTCTGGATCATCCCATCACACGGTGTTCGACGCCATACTTAAAATGAAGCTGGGAAGAAGGAGTGGTTGTATTGTTGGAAACAAGATAACGAGCCAGCTATATAGCATCAAACAGGAATAGTACTATATCGGGAAGAAGTATAAGGTTTGGTGGGTCGAGTTCAGCAGCGGGAAAGTTCGTGTGGCTACGTCAAGGGCGGGCTTGAACAGCCCTGTGGATCATTTGTCGCATCGCCAAACTTGCTTGTTCGTCGTGTTCTCCACGAGGTCTGGTGCTACCTGCATTCAACTTTGTTCTTCGATCGATGAATTTTTTGTTTACGGCAGGACCCTGAGCACTTCCATGATTGCATAGACGGCTGCGACGGCCACGATCAGGCCCCGATTGCCCCCTCGAACATGATGGAGGCCAAAGTCAAGGCCGACCTGGACACGCAGTTCTTGGTCGCCCGTCTGTTTGAACGCCTACGAACTGAGGCCCCTGCCTACGATTGGGACGACTCCGTCGCACCTTTCCACTCGGTAGTCATCAGTCTGTCTATACCACGTCGAGCTTGCTTACTGACTCCAGAGCGCAGTCCTACGACAACTGGCATGTCCACGGATATCGTCGTGCCTCACAACCCGTTGATCGCAAATCAAGCAAGGACTCCAGCGAAGCCACGAGCAGAGAACGCCGCAAGGATCGCGACTCAGAAAAGAACAGTAACAAGGAGAGCGAACGAAGCGTCTCTGACGCCCAACAAGGCTATGATGTCGTCGCTCGCATATCTCGTCACACAACCCGCCTCGAGCGCGAGTTCGGTCTTGCTAAGAGGTTGAAACAAGAAGACGATCCGGATTGTCGCCATTTCATAGACCCGGTAGAGTTCCGCCGACTGCCCGCCCGCCAACCTGGAGATGTCCCTCTTGTTGCTTTCATTGCGCGAGCCCCTGATAGCGGCGGTGACTATATGAAAGAGCTTGTTGAATTTGGTCCAGGGCTATACCGCGCACAACTGCCTACCTCGCCTGTAAGCCCACGCGGAGAACCTGAACTCAACCAGTTGCCTGTGCACCCGGAGCTTTTACCTATAGGCCTCTTTCTTGATTTTGCTATTGGCTCAACCGAGTGTTGTGAGATCCTTCACCACAGCAAAGAGTTGGTGCATGGAGAACTCCGTGGTGATGCTTTTCATTTTAGCAAGGTGCAACGAACTGTGCGATTAATCAACTTCGGTTCTGGAGCTCGCTCGTTCGAAAATGGCCTTACATCTGCTGGTTGGAGCTCGCTAACCTCTGAAGCCGGTGTTGAGAACCGTTTACAATTTATTGCTCCGGAACAGACTGGTCGCATGCCTGCTGAACCGGACACAAGGACTGACATATATTCGCTTGGTGTTCTCTTCTGGACCATGCTCACTGGAGTACCTGCCTATCGTGGGGATAACCCTCTTGAGATTATGCAGAGTCTGTTATCGCGCCGCATCCCTGCAGTCGATAGTGTACGCGCCGATGTGCCTCATATCATCTCGAACGTTATACAGAAGATGACACAGAAGAAGATGAACGATCGCTACCAGTCCTCCTCGGGCCTGAAATATGATCTGTTGGAAATCAAGAGGCTACTTTCCGAAGGTGATGTCGACGCACTGCAGTCTTTCAAGCTTGGTTCCAAGGATGTTTCTTGCTTTTTCAACTTGCCTAATTCGCAAATTGGACGTGAAGAGCAACGGAAACTAATTCTCGATGTCATAGAGAAATCAGCTTTGCGTTCTTCCCAGACCATCTCGAGTTCCAAGAAAGGCTTGCAAAGCTTGGGTTCGCACTCTTCGACTTCTATATCTACGCCCACTCAGCCTGATCGCCATGAATCTGGGCTCCTGGACGAAATCATGTCTCAGAGCACTGGTTCTAATGTTGATCAAGAGCCTAAAGCTCTTCCAGCAGATAGAACTGAACTCTTGAAACTACAGCATGAACACAGCTCACAAGAGAGCAATTTGACCTCCAATGGTGCTGAGCTTGAGCATAAGCCGTCATTAGAAAGCAGGCCTTCAGTATACAACCTTGAAAGCAGTCAAAGATCTTCTGCATCGAACTCACATACTGGTCAATCTGACGGCTCTGTTCTCCGCACTGTGCAACGCCTCAAGCATATTGGTCACACTGAGGTTTTGTGCCTCAGTGGTTCTGCAGGTCTTGGAAAGAGTTCTCTATTGCACGACGTGCAAAACATGTCGAGAAAATATGGCTACTACGCGTCAGCTAAATTCGATCAAGTCAAACGGGCACCCTTCGAACCGGTAGTGCGGGTTGTGTCTTCTCTGTTCCGCCAGATCTTTTCTGAAGGCGACGTCTCAACGCCATTCCACGACAATATCCGTACATTCATAAAGCCGTACTGGAGCTTTCTTTCCGGTTTCCTTGATCTCCCACCCTGGTTGCTATCTCAGTTTCCTACTCATCAAGCTTCCCTTAGTTCGGACACCGCCTCGTTACGTTTGCCTCGCGAGAAGTGTGGCAGCAATGGGGACACGGCATCAGATTGGTTGCGAGCTGGAGGCAGCAATTCGAGCAAGTCGAATCGTTTTGTCCGCACTTTTCTTGATGTTCTGCGATTGCTAGCACTGCAGAAATTCATTTGCATAACACTGGATGATTTACAGTTCGCAGACGAAGAGAGTCTTGATCTTCTTACTAGCATTGTGCAAGTCAAGATACCTCTGGTCCTTGTTCTTACTTACCGCGACGAACAAACTCTCCCAGCCAAAATTCGACCTCTGCTCGAGAAGGCAACGAAGATTGATCTCAAGCCTTTTACTGAAGAAGAGACGGCGAAATATGTATCCATAACCCTACATCGCTCGCCCGAGTATGTTCTGCCCCTAGCCGCTGTCATACAGCAGGCGACTTTGGGAAACCCATTCTTCGTCCGAGAGATGCTTGATTCTTGTTATCGAAAGAATTGCATATACTACTCATGGCGTTCTTCACAATGGGAATTTGACCTCGACAAAACCTTTGACGAGTTTTCTTCGCCGGACGCTAATCAGTTCTCGACAAATAACTATCTTGTGAAACGACTGACAGATCTCTCTGATGATTGCAAATCTGTGCTTTGCTGGGCTAGTTTCATCGGCAACACCTTTTCTTTTACTCTCGTGAAGCGAGTCATGAGTTGCGATTGTTCCAAGCAGTCGAAGGATGAATATTTGCCGCCAAAGAAGGACCCAGTGACGGGCCTGCAGGATGCTATAAGCTCTTATATCATCGTCGCCACCGAGGATGAGGACAAATTCAGATTTTCTCACGATCGGTACATGCAGGCTGCAGAGCTTCTTGCTGATGATTGTCGCAAGGAGGAGATGCACTATATCATCTCGGCATCCATGATGTACCATGACCCTTACGACAGCGCCACAAAGCCTACCCAGCTTCTCTTCGACCAAGCCAGACATATATGTAACGCAGTAGATGCTATCCAAGCTCGACCCAGCCTCAACAAAGGGCCGTTCAGAGATCTGCTTTACCAAGCAGCAGAGACTGCTCGGGAGCAGGGAGCAAGATCAATAGCTCTCTACTTCTTCCAGCACTGTTTGATGTTGCTTCCTGACGATCCTTGGAAAGATGACTCTCCTGAAGGCAACTATCAAGAGACATTGACACTAATGACCAAGGCAGCTGCATCCTACTGGTATCTTGGCTTCTTTGAAGAAGCCGAGATTATACTTAAGGAGATCATGTCAAATGCCAGAGTTCCTGCAGATAAAACACCTGCGTTCATAATTCAAAGTCGCATGCATGCTCAAAAAGGAGATGCGCATATTGCTTTCCTCAACATGAAGCGAGCATTGGCAGATCTTGGCGTTGACATTCAAGACACGACTTACGAAGAGTGTGACAGAGAGTTCCACGAGATCGTGAAGCTTGTTGATATCTCTGACCGATCATTGTTCGAAGCAAGAGAAGCGCCGGTTGATCGGGATATCTTCACAACTGCTGCTGTCATGATTGAACTTCTCAGCGCTGGATTCTGGACTGACTCTTTGTTGTTCTACTACCTGACTCTCAAGATGATGCGATTGTTCCTCGAGAAGGGACTTTTCCCACAGGTTGCTGTGGGCTTTGTCCATCTAGCGTCGATTGCTATCGGTCGTTTTGAGATGATCGAGAAGGGCATCGAGCTCGGAAATACAGCTCTGAAGCTCTTCGACCTCTTTGACACCGATACCTATACAATTGGCCGTGGCGTCACGCTGCATAGTCTTTTCCTTGGACACTTCGTTTCAGATATCTCGGATCAGATACCTTGCTTGGAGCGCGGTATGGAGGCGACCATCCTCGCTGGCGATAAGTTGGTTCATCTATTGAACGTTGGCGTCATGTGTGCATACAAGCTATGGACCTCTCACAACTTTGAAGAACTTGGCGCCTACATCCAGTACCAATACGAGAACTTCCCAGAATGGCCTACGGATCTGCGTGGGGGTGTCTTCATTGTTTCAGTACGTCAATTCATCCAAGCGCTCCAAGGCAGGACCAATTGGCGTGATGCGGCGCATGTTTTCGATGATGATTCTCATCAGACGCAACAATACGTCTCCTTCATCCAATCCCATGCCACTGCTGCCGTTCGACCTCTCTTCTTCTACAACAGCTACCGAATCGCTATTCTCTATAGGTTTGGATATTGGCGAGAGGCACTTGAACTCAGCAAGTCTGTGCTGGAGTCCATCACAAACGTCTGGTGCGTACGACATGCGTACTATTGCTACTTCTACATCGCGATGTGTTTGGCCGCGAAGTTACGCGAAGAACCATATAGTGAGGATCGCGAAAGCGTGCTCAAAACAATCTACAAGTTCAAGGCCAAGATTGAGAGAGCAAGTCGCGTCAATGAAACAAACTTTGCTGTTTGGTTGCATCTCCTCCGAGCGGAGATTGCTGACATTGAAATGCGATCAGACGAGGCTACACTATCGTATGAGGCAGCTCTTGACCACGCGGTAGTCCATGGCCTTCTCTCTGACGAGGCTTTGTGTTACGAGCTCTACGGCGATTTCATGGTCCGGAGAGGAGCAACTCGTCCTGCACGTGCGATGATCCGAGATTCAATCTCTGCGTATCGACGTATCTCCGCTACTGCAAAGGCGGAACATGTCAGCGAGAAACATGCATTCCTGCTTCTTGGCTCGAGAACTATCGGAACTGCAGAGGCAGGTACACAAACCGTCGAAACTGATAACATTTCGTTCTCCATGGTACAGAACGAAGCTCCTCAGGCATCTGATGACAGAACACATGAGTGGCTTAGCCCAAGCGCAACCACCGTTCCTCATCAACACGAAACACAGCATGACCTGCAAGGTGGATTCTCTGCTGTTGGTCTTGATATGATCGACCTCGCCAGCATTCTGGAATCCTCGCAAGTGCTGTCCTCGGAACTCAGAGTCGACAAGTTGCTTGCGAAGCTAACCAACATCATTGTTGACAGCACCGGAGCCGCTCTGTGTGGTCTTGTTGTCAATGATGACGAGATTGGCTGGAACGTTGCAGCTGTGGGAGGACCGGACATTTCTTACCAGGACAATGCCGGCCAGCCTATCGGCGATATCGATGACCCGTTGTCAAAACAAATCACGTATTACGTTCTGCGTTTCAAGGAGGAGCTATTCCTGCGCAACGTGCTTGACGACGAGCGATTCGCAAACATGCCTGCATCATGGAGACAGAAGCATCCCGAAGGTAAAGCCGTGATTGCCTTGCCAATTCTACATGGTGACGATACTCTGCTCGGCTCAATCTATATTGAAGGACCTCCAAACTCGCTGTCCCAGCGCAACATTACTGTTCTTCGTCTGCTTGTCAACCAGATCTCGATTTCGATCGCCAACGCATTGCTCTTCAAGAAGGTCCAAAAGGTTTCTGCCAGCAACTCTTCCATGCTTGAAGTGCAAAAGCAGGCTCTCGAGCAAGCACGCGAAGCTGAGCGCAAGGCCAAGGTTGCAGAAGCTAAAGCTATGGAGATGGTCAAGCTCAAGGACGAGGCAGCAAAGGCGAAGAGTACGTTCTTGGCGAATGTCTCCCACGAGTTGCGCACTCCATTGAACGGAGTCATTGGTATGTCCGAGCTACTCAAGGGAAGCAGCCTCAACAGCGAGCAAGAGGGCTATGCCGACAGCATCCGTGTTTGCGCGGACACATTGCTTTCGGTCATCAACGATATCTTAGACTTCAGCAAGCTCGAGGCTGATAAGATGGCTGTGTACTCTGTGCAGTTATCTCTGACCCAGACCATTTCTGAAGTTGTCAGAGCCCTTTCCTACACCAACCTTGAGAGAGGCTTGCAGACTGTCGAGAAGCTTGAAATGCCTTCAGATTTGCTCGTCATGAGTGATCCTGTTCGCTTGCACCAAATTCTCATGAATTTGCTCAGCAACGCGTACAAGTTTACAGCAAAGGGGACAGTCACCATTAGAGCATTTATCGAGCACGAGACTGAAGACACTGTCCAGGTGACCTGCAGCGTGACAGATACCGGTATTGGTATTACAGAAGAACAAAAGAAGAAGCTCTTCCAGCCATTCAGTCAGGCAGACAGCAGCACAGCACGCAGCTACGGCGGTACTGGCCTTGGTCTTTCCATCTGCAAAGCCATCATCGAGAAAGTCCTGCACGGAACAATTTGGCTTGAGAGTGAGATTGGTGTTGGAACGACTGTTTCCTTCTCTCTGCCCTTCCAGAAGATCAGACCTGGTGCTGAGAATGGAGCAGCCGGACCACTCAATGATTCCATGGCGGCCATTTACAAGCCCAGCGAAGACGAGATGAAGAAGTCTTCATTCATCAGCCTCGCCCACATCCCTCGCGACAAGCTTAGAATCTGTATTGCAGAGGACAACCCTATCAACCAAAAGATCGCCATCAACTTTGTCAAGAAGCTTGGATTCAAGTGTGAAGCATACGGCGATGGACAACAAGCAGTCGATGCTCTCGCAGCAGCAAGCAAAGCAGGCACGCCCTTCCACCTCGTCCTCATGGATGTCCAAATGCCCGTCCTCGACGGCTACAACGCCACTCGGGAAATCAGAAAACACCCTGACCCCGTTGTACGTGAGGTATTGGTAATTGCCATGACCGCATCCGCCATCCGCGGCGACAAGGAAAAGTGTCTCGAAGCAGGCATGAACAATTACCTCGCCAAGCCCGTGCGAGCACATGTCTTGAAGCAAATGCTTGAGGGCTATCTCAACCAAGCACCAAAGACGATAACCAATCTCCAGCAGCAAGCTAATCAGCTTTCTCAGGATGTGCTTGATGAGGCGTCGAGGTATACTGCTCCTGCTTCTGACGGCCAAGGCGGAAGGCAGGACCAGGGTGACGACGGACATGCTGATGGCCAAGAGACGCCGACGCCTGCTACTGTCCGGTCTAGCCCTAAAGCAGATACCTTGCCGACGAGACCTCGATGATCTATGACACTTTGGCGAGATGACGATTTGTTTCTTCTTGTTTGTTTTGAGTTGGCATCATGCCTTTTTTTGGTTTTTGTATAGGTGCTTGTTTCTCGACGGGAAAGAGGTGTTCTTGTGGGAAAGAGGACGGTGGGCTTTTGGGGATTGCTTTTAGTCGTACTGTTTGGCTCTTTCTTCTTCTTCATGTACTTTTATAGAATTGACTGAATGATACCTTTTTCTCTTTCGTGCGTCTTGCTGCTTCTCTGTCCACTTTCTTTCTTGGAAAGCATGAGCCTTCACGAGAAGGAAAATTGTCGCCTGTATGGTATTATTCTTTCGCCGTCTGTAAGCCTCCTTTTCGGGCCCACTTGCTTTTTCCCTGATTCATAACTCTTTTGTGTTCTCGAAATCTATACTCAATGTTCGTTAAAAGCAGTAAACCACTCAATGCACATGAAAAAGGGAAAACAATATATTCTACAAACTCTTTAGACACTAGCATCGATACTAGACCATAGGTATGTAGCTATATAGCACAAATCAATCACCTGATACCGTACATTCAAGCGTAAAACAGGGTGACCCTGGCTTATTCGGCTTCAAGCAACCGTTTCCAGCTGCGCACGCGGAAAAAGACGCGACTGGGAACTCAAACGGGCGGGTAAAGTCAAAAGTCGACACGGAGAAGCACAATCGATAAAGGGTTGAGACAGCAGCGAGAAGAAAGGGTCCAAGGGTCGCGTGCCAGGCCGACAAGACATCTGTACCTGAAAGACACATTGCAATGTACCGAGAATGCTTGTGGGGAAATCAGAAAGAGCTCGTCAGAGTCAGAGCCCTGTTTTTTGTTTTTTTTCTCTTGCGAAAAGACAATCATGCCAATGTTAGATAATCGTGAGATCTTGAAGGTATGTATGCAAATGTAAAGAACAAAACGAAAGACAAGAAATGAAAGCGGGAACATGCTCGTGGTCCATGAAGAGAAACAGCCGCCCGAGAACATGTCAAGCATAGAACATGTCAAGCATAGAACATGTCAAGCATAGAACATGTCAAGCATGAGAAAGAAAGCATCAAGGAAGACTCCAACAATCCACTTTTTGAAGCAAGATAGAAACACCACACCATAGAAGAAGAAACCCGCCCAGTAAAAACACCAATTGACATGCTCAACATGCCCCCTATAAACAAAAAACCCCCATCAAAGTCAAAAGAAAAGAAGTCAAAAGAGGTTCATCACCTCACAGTCTTTGCCATCAATTCCTTGACTTTGACAGCAGGCCCACGCTTGGACGAAACACTGTGTTGCCAGGATCCCGTGCTGCCGGTGGGAGACCCCGGTGAATCGGTATAGATGTATTCGCCGTCGACGTAGCGGGCGCCTGTTGTGAATGTGGTGCGCTTGTCTCTGCGTGCGTAGCGCTGCTCCAAGCGGTAGAGCTCGACTTTGGCGCGGATGGAGTCCATGAAGCCCATGTTTGCGGTTGGGGTTGTTTCTTTTGGGTTTGGGATAGGTTGGTGGTTGGGTCTTGACTAGCGTGATGCAGTGGAAGCGTGGTGAAGAGACTCGTATAGGATGTCGAGTCGTGGATTGGAATTGAAGATCGAGGCTGATTTGTTTATGGCAAGATATTTGTCGTCGTGAGAGAACGTAGAATGGCACGTGTGTAAGCAGTGCTTCGTTGAAACAGGTTGTTGTTCAGGCCAATGGTGAAACGAATGGAAGAGCAGCCTGGTGAGCAGAAGAATCAGGGGTCGTAGAGTGGCTCGTTCAAGGGTCGGAGATCAATGAAAGTGATGCTGGCATGTGCGAAAGAGCGATTGAAATGCGGAAAGAACAACAGAGAGTCGAGCGAGGGCTCGAGGGGGAAGGATAAAGGCCATGCATGCACCTGGGCAGGGCTTCTCCGCCCGCACGGATAATACCCTGAGCCGAGTTGTATATCCATCTCGCCAACTGACTCAGGCTAGCGAGGGGTCCACGCGGGGGTCATATTCTACTTTGAGATGCTGCCTGCTCTTCTAATGCTTGAGTCGAACACCTATATCGCGGTTCATGTCATGGCCCATGACATCTATCAATGCTTGTATCTCTCTTGCTTCAGTTTCGAATCACCCTTTGTCGCAGTCGTTGTGACTTGGAACAAATCCCACCCAAGGTCTCGGCAAGCCACGTCAAAGAAACGTTGTCGCTAACTTCCCAACGGCGCGTGAAACATTCGGCCACCTTCTTAGCTGACTCTGTCTACTTCTGCCGATATCTCCTATCGCCATCTTGTGGTCGAGACCTTTATCATCAATCGTAGAAAACACACTCTTTGCAAATTCATAATGATTGCCATTTCTTGCAATTACCTCGCTGACGGGAGCCTAACCCACAAATGCCTATGAAGCTCTACCTCTACGCCGAATGCATAAAAGCAAATTCCCTGTAAACCTTTCTTCACCCTTCTATCCGTTGCGCGTCTCGGGAACACTTCCCTCGACAACAGAGATTGGTCCAACGTTGGGTGCATCGACCGAGCCATTGAGCATAGCAACAGCTGAGATGACATCTGATGGCTCAAGCAGGTGCCAGCTAGCCAGAGTCTGTTTTGAGCTTGCGCCTACAGTGACCGAGAAGACGTGCTCCTTGGGTAGCTTCGAGTTGCTGAGCGATCTGAACATGTCTTCATCGGTGAAGTCATCTCCAAGACACAAGACAAACTCGGGTGCCATGCCTTGCTCGTGGCCGTACTCCTCAACCAAACGCTTCGCGATTTCGCCCTTGTTGACGAACTTGGGGCGAACCTCCAGGTTGGCCTTACCAGGCATGACCTCCACATCATACTCCTTGGCAACAGTGTTCTCCAGCAGCTTGCGGCATTCTTGGGCCTGGTGCACACCCCAGTCAGGGTCCGCACGACGGTAATGCCAGGTCAATGCAATCTTCTTGCGCTCGATGAAACTGCCTTGGGTACGCTCGGTGTAGTGCTGGAAAGTGTCGATGACCTTCTGTTGCCAAGACATGTCTTCCTTCTCTGTCAGATTCTCCCAGTGTTCGCTCTTGGGTTTGCGAAGGAAACTGCCATGCTCAGCACTGAGACCAAGTTCTGAGATGTGGCCCATCCACTCGTCCAGGAAAGCTTGGTCACGACCACTGATGATCCAAACAGCGTTGCGAGGATCCGAGGCCAGAGTCTTGAGGGTTCGGATGACGCGGTCGGAGGGAATAGCCGCCTGTGGGTCCTTGACAATAGGTGTCAATGTGCCATCGTAGTCGAACATGAACAAGCGCTTGTCCGACTTGCGGTATTGGGTGAGGAGTTTGGTCTTATCCAAGACAGGTGTCGCAACCGCTTGGTTGAACGAGGTAAGATTGGTCAGCAAACGCTTGACGTAGTTGTTTGTCCATGTCTGCACAGTATTGGTTGTGACATTTCTGTACAACTTCTTGTGCATCTCGTATTTCTTTCTGGGGTCCATAACCAAAGCCTGGTGAATCTCGTCTGCGGTGCCTCCCAAATCCCAGGGGTTGATGTGAGTAGCATTACCCAGACTGCCAGCAGTTCCAGAGAATTCAGAGATGATCAAGGGGCCATGGTTGTCCTTCTGGCAGATGACGTACTCAAGCGCGGTAGTGTTCATTCCATCACGGACACTTGTGATCAGTCCAACGTCAGCAATGCGGAGAAGTGCGAAGTATTCTTCTCTTGACAAGTACTGAGGGTAGTGCTGGACAGGAGTGAAACTCAAGGATCCGTAAGTGCCGTTGATTCTTGCAACCAAGTCGGAGATCTTGTTGGCGGTCCTATCCGTGCCTTCTTCCTTGTCTTCGACACTGGTCGGGCTGGTCACTTGGATCAAGACAACCTTGTCGTGCCACTCGGGATGACGCTCCAAGAAGATTTCGTATGCTTGCAACTTTTGAGCGACACCACGAACAGAGTCCAGACGATCGCGACCAACAATGATCTTCTTGCCAGCATATAACTCCCTGATGCCGGCGATCTTTTCGTCAACCGCAGGATCGCTGAATGCCATTTCGTGAGTCTTTGCGGCATTAATTCCGATGGGGAGCACCTCGACAGCGACATGGGCACCATAAGCATCCACTCCGTTTGCCGAAGAATCAAATCCAAGGACTCGGGTACAGCATGATGAAAAGTGGCGAGAATAACTGAAGGCTTGGAAACCGACCATATTGGCTCCGAGAACGCCCTCGAGAATGTCCTTTCTTCTGCTCAAGCAGCGGTAGAACTCGCTACTAGGGAATGGCACATGTAAGTAGAAACCTATGTAAATGTTCGGAATACGTTGACGGAGCAGCCCAGGGAGCAGAAGCAAGTGGTAGTCGTGGATGAGTACAATGTCTCCGGGTTTGTAGGTCGAGAGAATTGTATCAGCAAAGGCCTTGTTCAGGCGGAAGTAGTCGGCCCAAGCCTTGCGGATTGAGCGGCCATCAGTAGGCTCATTCTGCTTGTAGTGGAACAGAGTGTATAGTTCGTGCTCAGCATAACGGCGCCATCTGGCTTGGTCCTTCAAGACAGCCACGTCGCCATCCATCTCATCAGCCAGCCAGACGGGTAGTGTTCTACCTTGGGGATCACGGTCCAGAATTCTCTCCAGTTTTTGGCGGTCTTCTTTAGAGATTCTCATGCCTTCGGTTGAACCAGGTTCGGGCGCAGATGCACTCGAGTCCACGGGGATTGGGGCAGATGCCTTGTTGAGAGGAGCTACGTTCATTGATGATACGTTGATGTCCTCTCTGAAATCACCATCGCGAGTCTTTGGTTGAATCTCTCCAGTCCAGCCTACAAGTGTGTGGTTCCAAGGAGAATCGTGTGAAGATAAATGTGCGAATGAGTCGAACAGTGCAGATGTACCTCTGCGGCTTTGAAGTTCCCACTCTGATCCTGCAGCATAGCCGATCTTGTGAGGCACGGTGAAGAAGGCACTGATGACTTGACCGCTGAGATTCAGGCTCGGGTGAGCGGCCTTGGGGTCAACATCGGCTTGGTCAGTGGTTTGCTGATGTCCTTTCAAACTAAGACGACGAAGCACGTCTTCTCCAGCACCATCATTCTGGCCTTTACCCGAGTTAGTCATGTGTCCATTCGATAGAGATTGCGTTTCCAGTACCTTCAGGCGACGCAACTTCAGGAGAAGAAACTTTGTGAGTTTGGAAGAAAGAGGTACGACCAGTGACGTCCACACCAGGAGTGACGGGGATCTCTGTATTCTTGGGGTCAAAGACAGGGTTGATCGAGCCAAGTCGGGGGTTTGGAGGACGGTTGGCCATGGTTCCTTATAGCAGCAGTTTGACGTGAACTGAACAGTTGGTCAGCATCCCGCACCGTAAACGAAGAACATGCATGTTGCTCTTGACACTGCGATAAGATGAGATCGTGGCATACATGCCAGTTTTGGAGCTACACAGGCTTCGAGAACCTGAGATGTAGCTTATCGCAGACCAGCAAAAACAGCATAGAATGCAACAGAACGCTGTACATACCTCTGAATGCTGTCAGGGATTGACCTCACAATCCAGGCTGTTCCCGCTGTTTGTAGGGTGATTCTTGGACGGACGGTGCAGGTGGGGAATATCTCAAAGTCAAAGTCACGGCGATTGACCCATACCGTTGCTTTTATTGTGTATGTGAACAGGTTTTGTCAACACCAGGTTAGAAGATTCTACAAGTTGTGCGAGTGACGTGTGTTGCGCGTTGGGCGTGTGCACCGACGGTTGGCCCGCTCTGGCCATTAGTGGGAGGTCACGTGTATAGAACGTCCATCGAATCCTGTGGAACACATGCTGCCTGGCAGTTAGAGAGTTGCTTCTAGATGTGCAAGCAATTAACCATAACTTTTACAAACACACTAGACCTGCACTCCTACAGAGCACTGATTCCTGCCATTGCATCTGTTTCCATAAGCTGTGAGCATAGCGACCTGCTCCATGTGCTGACAATTGTCGAATCTGGAGCTGAATGTGCGTTGAATAAGAAGATGTTGACGTTCGCTAACTATCAGCTGAATCGCGCCCAAAAAAGAGGGCTTGGCTCAACAAACAAGCGCGCAAGTCATCCTGTCGTAATGAAACACTCCTCTCACTTTCTAACCAGGATATTCAAGGTGAAGGGAGTGATTGTTGAGTCTAGCTTTGCCTGCCTTGATATAGTGATCAAGTTGACCCCTCGTATCCGACTAGTCTTGCACCAATGAACAGCTTATGAAAACAAGTCCCCCATGTTACATCGACGATTAACACAACACAAGTCAATTCTGGCTTGGTCACATTGCTGGTTGCTTCGGTCTCCTGTCAGAGCTCTATAGAACAAAGGTGCAGATGCTTCCATGGCTCGCTAGCCAATATGGACATTGACCAGTGACAAAATATACTTGTACCCCTGTCAATCTATTCCGTTTTGAACTGCTCTCTGTATGCAGCTCAGGCACCCAAGGATAGATTGCAAGGCACAGATTTGAGTTGTCAAAGTACCTTGATAGCTGGAACCTGATTTGATACTGTTCAAATGCATGTACGGCTGATAGATTATCAGAATGAACATGGCCGCGTCTCTGAGGTTCATCAGGATAACACATTGCTCAATCTGGCCATTGTCACCAAGCAGAGTGTGATGAATATAGAAGCTGGCTGTAGAGACTCGAAACATGATTGGCTACGAGCATAGTCATTGTGAGCTTGCTCAGCTGTAAAGAGCTCAAGCCTCAAGTTTACGGTGTCCTCTGTGGATCTCGTCCAAGATCAGAGACGAGGGGCTCCCCATAGCAATCGGAAGGCATCGTCATAGGATGAAGCAAAGCACGATGCCCCGCACAAATCGAGGCGCCGAAATTGGTGCGCGCGGGCAGCTGTGCACTGCAAACCACCGAAGTTCTCTGCGACCACGTCAAAACTCTTTACACACTTCTATACACAACCCCCCAGATCAGCTTGATATTCAATCTAGATCTACAAAATGGCCACCACCGCAGCTCCCGTCGAGATTGGTATGCGCTCCTCTGTCGTGCTCTGGCGAACAGGAAAATTCAGAAGCTAATTGCCTTTGCGAGCAGACTACAGTCTGAACAACCCAGACACGTGCGGCCCAACCCTCGACTCCCTCAGAAACGACGCCAGCTGACTCCGAAATTAGCCTTACCAAGTACAAGACCGCCGCTCAGATCTCTCAGAAGGTTCTTGAGGCTGTCACAGGTACATGGCGTGACGCAAACGACAAAAGATCGAGGACTGACTTGCATTCAAGGATGGTGCACTGAGGGTGCCAAGATTGTCGAGGTTTGCGAGAAGGGTGACCAGCTCCTCGAGGAGGAGATCGCCAAGGTCTACAAGGGCAAGAAGATCGCAAAGGGTATTGCTCACCCTACCACCGTCTCACCCAGCTCTTTCGTCACCCCCTACACTCCCCTCAAGTCAGACGCCGAGGAGGCCGCCGTCGAGCTCAAGGCCGCTGAGTGCGTCAAGATCCAGCTCGGTGCTCAAATTGACGGTTTTGGTGCCATTGTCTGCGACTCGATCATCGTTCCCTCTTCCGCCAACGCCACCGGCGAACTCGAGGGTCGCCAGGCTGACCTTCTCCTCGCTACCCACTACGCCAACGAGCTCCTTTTGAGAACCATGCTCCCCCCTGGTCTCCTTGCTTCCGGTTCCGAGGAGGAGATTGCCAAGGCACGTGCCCAGAAGCCTTACAGCCAGGGCAAGATCACTCAACTCCTCGAGAAGCTCGTCAAGAGCTACGACTGCAACCTGGTTGAGAACACCACCTGCTGGCAATTCGAGAGAAACGAGATTGAGGGCAAGAAGAAGATCATCTTGGCTCCCGGTGAGGGTGTTAGAGGTGACGGTCTCGCCGAGGTTGGTGAGGCCTGGGGTGTCGAGATGGGTGTCAGTTTGGGCACCGGTAAGGTCAAGTCCCTCAGCAACCGTGCTACTCTCCACCGCCGCACCACCACCACCTACGGCCTGAAGAGACCCAGCTCCAGAGCTACTTTGTCCGAGGTTGTCAAGAAGTTCGGTACTTTCCCCTTCTCTATCCGCCAGCTTGAGGACGAGCGTGCCGGCAAGGTTGGTGTCGTCGAGTGTGTCCGTGGTGGTGTTCTCCGCCAGTACGAGGTTATCGGTGACAAGGACAACGAGGCTGTTTGCCGTCTGTTCACCACTGTTGGTAAGTGGCATTGATAATTTCCATGAAGCCAGCATTTCCTAACCATGGAACAGCCGTCACCAAGAACGGTATTACCCGTTTGAGTGCTCCTCCTACTCCTGACCTTACCAAGTTCAAGACCGACAAGAAGATCACCGATGAGGAGATTCTGAAGATTCTTGAGCAGCCTCTTGCTAAGGAGTCCAAGAACAAGAACAAGAAGAAGAAGAGCGCCGCTAAGCAGGCCGAGACCACTGAGGCATAATTACTTGTCGATATGCAGAATGGTCGAGGACAGAGCTTTTGAGCAGAGCTGAGCAGCCATACTGAGACGTCTCTGATGATGAAGATGCAGTAGGATGGCATATGACGGCATGAACAGCAGAACAAGACACGAGTCGCAACTGCCTAGAGTGGAAGATCAAGGAAAAGAGGCAAGAATAGCATCATGCCAGGCACTAAAAGCAAATCGAAGTTAGCTATGAGTGCCTATACTCAGCTCGAAGCAATATTACGCATCACGTCAGACATTAAACTAGCAGATCAAATGGGAAATGGAGTGATTTGCAAATCAAAGTGATGATGAATGACTGTTGAAGGGGCTGGTGTTTGGTCACCCTTCACCCTTGGCGCACGGCGACGAGATTCCTCGAAGCCACACACCTCGACACGTCAAACACAGCTCCCTGAGGCCTCGAAGTGGAGGAAGAGCGAGTCGACGCGAAGAAGGGCAGGATTTTATCTCACAAACGAGCGTGTTACTGAGTCTGGAAAGGTTGATTCTTGCGCGACCAAAAAAAGTCATAGGCGTCACGGCTGCACCTTCTCACGCTTCAGATTCGACGCACCTGCCTCCCTGCACAACACCGCAACTACCGCAAGTCGGATACCTACGCAACCACATTTAAGAGTAAAAGCATTTCTGGTCTGGGAAGAGTTGTCAACAACAACATGGATTCGACGCCGTCGACCAGGAGTAGGAATCGCAGTCCTCGTGTACCGCCCGCAGCATCCACCCAAAATCGTAGCGTCGTCCAACCTCCTGTTCAGAATGGCTCTACCGAGGACTGGATAGAACCGCCGCTCGCATCGCCCATACCGAGTTTTGAAGAGCATGGAGGAGGGCCTTACGGGGTCCTCGAGGATATGCAAGCGCTGGGCAGTCGACCGACAGCAAAGGTTAGAGCCAGGGTGAAGCCAGACGCTCCTAAGAAAAGCGCTCTGGGCAAGTCTTTCACCAACCCCACGGCCACTGCATCCAACCAAGGCACACCAGAAGCAACTCCTGCTCCTATGGAAGCTTTACCTGAACAACCGCTGGTCATTGTCGACGACGAGCGTGATGATGATTACACGCCACGACCATCCAAGAAGCCTGCAAAAGCCCGTCTCTCGCGCTCCGCTGCCAACACTGTCAAGTCTACTGCTTCACCAAAACCTACCACACCTTCCGTCGCAGCCTCTGAGACTCCTGTACCTTCATCCGTTCCAACCCCTATTGCTTCGGCCACGCCAACTGCTGCTCCTCCGGCTTCTGCCAAGCGCCCCTCACAAGCCCTGCCAAAATTTGAGGAGGTCGCTAAGCATCTGGAGATGTTCGACAAGGCCATTCCACTACCGTCAACGCCTCAACAACTTCATTTGCATCATATCGTAAAAGCTGCCGTCAAGAAGTCTATCGAGGTTGGCAATAAGTATCTCGGTCTCGCTATTCAGGAAGTCTTTCTTCAAAGCTTTTCCAAGCCCGAGTTAGTGCGTCTACTGCAAGGTATTCTCGACCAAACCTCTACACCTCAGGAAATCCTCGTCTTTAGAGAGCACATCAATCATGCCAAGAAGAGGATCAAGGCTAAAGAACTGAAAACCAAGGAGGTTGCAAGTGAAGCCAAACAGCCTTCTTCACTAGCTCCTGAGATGATTCCGCACCCTTCTATCGAGACGCAGGCGGTTCCGCGAAAACCAAAGATTTCACTCAAGCCGCCCAAGAAATCAGCACAGAGTGTTGCCAATTCTGCCCAAACGCCATCGCTTCCCCCGTCCACAACAAAGCCGCGCACGTCAAGCGTCTCAAGCTCTTCGTCCTTATCATCACTCACTTCTATCGAAGAAGAAATGTCACCCCTGGACCCATCACAATTCTCGGCATCTGCAGCTGCCTCTGCTACGCTCGCAGCTCCTCCGGAAACCAATGGTTCTGTCAAACGTTCATCCATGGAAGCAGGAAATGACGAGAATGATCGCAAGTTCCAAGCAAAGAAGCAGAAATTCGAACAGAAAGTCAACCGTGATGCTCCTACAGAAGAAAGCCACGTGCGACCAGATCTACCGGCCACTTCCAGCGCGCACCAAAACCTAATCGTGCCACCTGTGCAACTTGTCGCCAATGGCACCACCAGCAAAGACATTTCAAATGGTGCAGTATCGCCCCTGACCGATGTCTCATCACCACTATCGTCTGCTTCGCGCAACAACACGCCCAAAAGGGCTTCCATGCCTGCCAAGGTGACGAAAAAGAAAGCTAAAACCAAGCACTCGTAAGTGACAACCTTCAGGAGGATGCGCACCGCGAGCACATCAGTGGCCGCCATTTCCGAAACTGAAGAATTCGAAAGTTATGATGCTAACTGATGGTGTGCACGAAGGCCAGTCAAAAAGCAAGCACCTGGGCAAAGTGCTGACGAGGACGGAACAAGCCGCCGAGCCAGCCCCAGTGGCCCTGATGTGAACGAAGAGGTACGGACTCCTTATTATCATTTCCTTCCAGCACACTTCAGATCATCCATTTTCTTCAGATAATGATGCTTCTGCTGGCTGTTACTGATCTTCATCCATTATGAAACCGCTCTGCGAAAGACTCCCACTAACACCCCCACTTCAGTCTGACAACAACGACTTTTGCACAGCTTGTAATACCAGCGGATTCCTCCTTTGCTGTGACGGCTGCGACAGTTCATTCCATCTGCACTGTCTAGATCCTCCCTTGAGTCAAAATGCGCCTGAATTGAACGAGGCTTGGTACTGTTTCGGCTGTACCGCAAAGCGCGCACAACCCCAGAGACAGTCTCGTGGCCTCTTCGCTGCTTTGCTTCTCAACCTTGAGAAGCGCAATCCATCAAACTTTGTACTTCCCCAAGACGTTCGCGAATACTTCGATGGTGTCGCAACCGCTAAGGACGGCAAATTCGTAGAGCAACTTGCTACAAAGACTCGGTAGGTCGACAAACAATCGCATTGGCACTGCGTGGGCAAGCAGTCTGATACAGGATAACTTACTGACACGCGTAATAGAAGAGGAGCTGGTTACGAGGAGCTGCCTGACCACTTCAAGACAAAGGATGCTAAAGGGCAAGCTATCTTATGCTACAATTGTTCTCTCTCGTCGCTTGGTCGGCGCGAGATCATTACTTGCGACCAGTGTAGTGCACACTGGCATCTCGACTGCCTAGACCCGCCTCTTGCAAATGCTCCTTATCGTGACCACACTGGCAGGAAGATTCGTGACTGGCTCTGTCCCCTTCACGCTGAACATGTGCTTCGTCAGATGGAAGTGCCACGTCTGGCTGACCGACAGTTCCAAAGAGAACGAAGAGTGCACATGCGTAGGCCCCGCGCTGCAAAGGTGGTTGATACCGCCCTCAACCGCGACTTCATAAATGATGGCGTGATCGAGATAGCCAATGACTCGAGTGATGATGAGTCCGAGTTCGAGGAGATTGACGTTTCTGGTGTTGTCTATCGCCTCCCTGAGAAGGGCATCAAGCTTGATTTCATAGACAGAGTCAGACGGTCAGTGTTTCTCATCCATTCTTGACAAAGCTTTCACTAACAGTCTTGTAGAGTCCGAGCAGCTGAACAGTACTACGACAATCGCGAGACATACTCTCGCCCCAACAAGAGAAGAAAGGTGGTACACCATGATGAGAAGAACAGCTTCTTCCGTCGTTCGTTTGCAGAGCAGCGTACTGCGCTTGACTTGGTTGGTCTTGCCAATCAGCAAGCTGATCTTGACTTCAACGGAGATCAGGTCAGCAGCCTGCTTACCACCCTTATTGTAAGTTCAACTGACTTTAACTGCTTGTCGACTCGGGTGACTGACTGTTCAATAGGCCGAGGCACCGGCCGATGTGGTTGAACAGATGATCGAAGCGGAGAAGGTGGCTAAGCCATCTGACACAGCGGGTCCTCCTTCACCTCCTGCATCAGATCAACACACAGAGCAAAGTGCGGCACAGCAGCGCAAGACGTTGGAGCTGCTCCAGACACTCATTGCAAGAAAACTCGCCACTTTGCCTGATCAGTGATCGAATCGGGCTGTGGTAATTTGCTGCAACACATATCCAATCCATTCGCCGGAAGCTACACGACCACCCCTCTATTCTCATTATTCTTGCTACAAGCATACTATCATGAAATGGTTCGTCGATCTGACTCACAATGCGACATTCGATTGCGACTCTTGTCAAACACCTCCAACAATCCTTCCTCCCACAAGCTCGCTCATAGGTGGTGTTCTGTGTGCAGCGCTTGGGTGTCGGTCTTGAAGTGGTATTCTTGGCCTTTCTCTTCTTGTCTCATTATCGTTGCATGGACGGGTCCAGAGGGGGAGCAGGGGAAACTAAAACATTGTACTATAGCCTAGTAATATCTCGTCGAAGCGCTACGCCACGTGCGCTATGCCTCTGCCTATGTGCCTTTTCCCTTTCGTGATTGGTCTTGTTGTATGCAGCAGTGGCACTCAGAGTGCCTCGACCTAACTGAAAACCTGATGCTGCTGTGCTTTTGGCGATGCTCATAGTGGAAAGAGCATTTCTTGGGCTGAATATCTCTGCACTTGACCGTTGTTGACACGCGTCAAACTTTCCATCTTTGATCTTGCTTCTCTTCTTACAGCTATTGAGAGTGCCTGGCCTCTGCTACAAACGTTTGTCACAAGGAAACAGCGAACTAACAACAATCGCTCGAGAGCCAGAGTTGCATCTCCCATCACGGGCAGGAACGGTGGCAGTCTGGACCAGACACCATTGGCTCTAGATACAGTACACAATCATGGAACTTTGCTTATTCTCGTTTGTCTGAGAACGAGGAAGACCTCGAAGATCTCTGAGAAACCTTGAAAAGGAAGCGATGATTTGTTGATGATCGATCCTTCTACCAAGGACCACAGCGATAGCCCTCGGTGTCATGATAGGTCGAGTATTGTATACAATGCAGCCACTTTCGTGATAAGCCGCTCTGTCCTTCTTACTGGACGGGAGAATTGGTTTGGTATAAGAGAGTAGTCGGTATGGCAGTCTCTCCCTGGAGGAATGAGCGATGGAAAGCACCTGCACCGGATCATACTATGGTAGCCAAATCGACCGTATACTTAGAGTTACTCTACAAATGCGGCGCCTTTCTTGGAAGGGAGCCATACAAAACTATCATCATGGCACAGGAGATATGCAAAACAAGGGTATATCCAGGAAGAGTCGTCCTTCGGTAGACAAGACTAACTTCCATGATGGTTACATATCTGTACAACTGTGGTTGTGGCAATATCTGGCAGGAATACGTGAGAAGTAGGTGAATATTAACAGTTCTTTTACTAAGAATTATCTACGAGAGAGCGAAAGAAAGAAGGAAGGAAGGAAAAAAATCGCCTCAGAACCCTCGAGTTGCACGAGTTCGTGCCTCCAATGGCATATCTGAATGGGCGACTGTCACATGAGAAACAAGACTTTTGTAAGAGTGCGGCGTCTTCGTGCAAAAAGAGCATCGAAACTCGGTCCATATTTTCTCGGGGTGCCACTTCTTTACATGCGCAAGTAGCCTCTGCTGATACCATACCTTCCAAGATCTGGCACAGAATGGGCAGGGCATTGCTGGCTTGTGTGCAGATCCCAATCGGTGCCTGCTCAATTCGCTTTGACGGTTGAAGCTCCTTTGGCATGGGCCACTACCATCGAGCCTCTCCAGATGGCACTCATAGCGGCGCGCCTCTTGCGTAGATGCAGAAGGTAGTTCTGCTTCCTCTTCAGCACCACTGAGAGCTGGGCTGAGGGGTAGAGGTCGCGTCGATCTGGCTGGGGACACAGTATAGATGTGCTCAGCAGTACTTTTAATGTTTGGTGCATCTATATCGGAGTTGCCAACATCAGGTGAGGCAACAGGGATCGAATCATTGAAAACGTATAGGTCCACACCATTCTAGGGGGAGTCTTTGTTCTACGAGGGCCCTCCAGGTGCGAGGACAGAATCCAGTACTCCGAATAGTTCGTCTCTGTCGGCGGCAGTTGCGCCTTCCCAGCCCAAGTCATCATCGTCGTCAATCATCATGGCATCGCCATCGGCTTGTTTATTATCTTCGTCGTGGTGGTCGCCATTGGTCATTGCCATGGGTGTGTCAACCATGTCCATTTCAACGTTATCCATAATTTCCTGGGCAAGGAAGGGATCGATACGTTGTCGCGTTTCGTCTAAGCGCATGGACATGCGTACTTCGTCCATACTGAGTGGCTCTCTTCGTGCGAGAGCTTCTTGCTCACATGGTAAATAGCCGGCAGCGCTTCTGCTGAGCTGCCCTCGATCTACGGCATCTTCTTCGCTGCGCATCTGAGCTTTGAACTTTGCAGTCATTGGACCCAGGTCTCCAGGAGCGTTGCTGCGTGTTGCCGAGAACCAATGCGTCAACTGTTCCTTGATGTAGGTCTCGGTGGCAGTCTCAAGAAGCTCTGCTATAGCCTGCAAAGCGGCGGATGTCATGGGTACTGCCGATAAGCCTACACCTTCTTCGTAGCATATAGGCTCGATGCGTGCCTGGATGTCTCCACGCGAGGGGAAGTCTAGCGTCTCAGAAGCCAAGGGCACGGCGTATCGTCTTCGAATCTCCAGGTCCCAGTTTGTCTTGCTGAGTGATGTTGCATTGGTTGGTATGGCATCGGGTATTTGAGAGGATGTAACGGGTACTGTGAGGGCAGTCGCGTATGTAGCGTTTTCGCGCAAAGGACCTGGTGGGGGCACGACAGGAAGGTTGTCCTTAGCACTTTTGATCCTCCTCCTGTCGCGAGCAGATAGAGCCATGACTTCGCGTTTTAATCTTTCTTCTGCCTTGTCACCACCACCCTGTGGGACGGACTTGTTTGCGCTGGCCGAGGCTGGGGCATCGGTGGCTAGCACCCATGATGCGACGGGTTCCGGTGGAGGGTCACGGTGGACATTTGAGTATATAGCACCGAATATTTTGTTGTGTAGATGGACGGTCGAGATCAGGGCACCATTGTATGAGACGCTCGGTGCGTACGAGAGGAGTCGATCCGTGACTTGGGACAATTCGGCCTGGTTGAGTTTTCCTATGTTGGGACAGTCAGCGCATGTACAGTCTGAGTAGAAGAAGCAAAAGACACGTTACCTAGGAAGAAGGAAGACAAGGTGGACTTGTACTCTGGCCAGGACTCTCCAATGGCGGCTTTGAGGGCAGTAATAAGTGGTTCCGTGTCGATACGCGGCACGCCCATGCGCATTGTCGATGGCGTCTGTATCTTTGAGTCGAGCGACTCGACGCGTCCAAGGTCTGGTCCATCCATGGTTGCTGCGTAGTGGTGTGTCCAAGTGTCGTAGTCGCGGATGGCTAGGTATATAACGCGCCTGTCGTCGCCGTGGTGCGAGTCTCTGTCGTGACTCACTTCAACCCATTCATAATCAGTGTCGTTAGAGTCCGATTGCGTACGCGACAAAAGAAATACTAAGATATAAGTGGTTGATAGCCTGATGATGTTGGTCGTTAACTGCCTCCTTTTACCTCATTCTCCACGAACTGACGTCCGGGAAAGAACGATTGCAGCCGAGACCTGGGGTTGCTGCCTCAGGCTGCTGAGGTTGCAATTGCCATGCTACCATCTCATGTCTAGAAGACTGTCAATACAGATAATCGTGCATTTCGATCGTCACACACTATCTTGCATTGCATCGTGAGAGATCTCAGAGTATGAAGCAAGCCCAAAGACACCAGAGGTCCATTGCCAGCTACCTAGCTACTCGAATACAAAAAGTCCAACACTCGGCTTGAGCCAGTCTCACTTCTTGTTCCAGAAAATCATTATACACCTCCCCTGCCCACCCTTACCAATTGTATGCTTTGCCCCTAACCCTCAAAAACACCAAACGAAGAAAGCCCCTTCCATAAAATCAGGGTTGTAGAAACCCTCCCTTCACTCGCTCAAATGCTAAAAGGTCTTGAATGTCATAAATTCTTGAAGAAAAAAGAGAATAAAACTCCTGTCGTCGAGACGCTTGAGAGAAGCTTAGTGTAGCTCTGTCATGGATGTCTCGACGTCGTCCAAATCATCGACTTCTATCCACTGCCAGGCCTCGCTGTGGTCCACCTCTTCTAGGCGCATGCGTCCGTGACTGTCTATCGGATCTTCTGGATGCACCACTACACTGGCCCCGATGGCTGCTGTTTGGCGTCGATTGCTCATTGGTAGCTGATACCTGAGTACTCCTCGAAGAATGAGTTCGAAAGGATACTGGAGCACTCTCTCCCAGCGCTCTGATCCGCCACTCTCGGTCTTGTTGCCAGGATATCCAAGTCGAAGCTCGCCCAGCGAATAGTGAGTGTGTCGCTTGATCGGTGATCCTTCGAAGCACAGCGCTTGGTCGAAATGTAGAATTCTACCGAGGAGCATCGTTTGTGAGTCGCCTTCGATCGGATCCGTGCCTTTGTCCACGCCTGAGCCTGCGTGCCAGTGGCCGTGTTCGTCCTGCCATGGGGTGCCTCCAGCCTCTCCATGTGCAGAATCACGTCTTCGCTGAGCTGTCGCTGGTACGATACCGTTGTCTCTACCAATAGGGTTGACATACTTGCTCTTCGCAAATATGTTGACATCCATGTCCGTCACAGTTACGCTCAGGATGTTTGGGTTGACAGCTCCAACCAACAAGTCCAACATAATCTCTTGCTCGCTCGCCAAGACGTTCTGGATCTTATCCACATGGAAATTGGTCAAGGGCTTGTTGAACATGACCAGCAATCCGACAGCACCCATAGTCACCATCATGACTACCAGAAGGCCCAGGATGAACCCTCCGACTCTGCTGAATCGTGATCGCGGTTCTCTTACGCCGTAGTAGTCGATCGAACGCATACTGTTGTCGCTGTTCAAGCGTCTACCATAGTTTCTCTGGCTTCTCGGTGTTCTGACGCTGCCTAGCATGGGCGTGCGCTCGTCATCTGCGCCTTCTCCTTCGAAATCAAATTGTGAGTTGTCGGTCTTCCTGCCAAACAAGCCAGAAGGTCGGTGCTGACCACTCTGTACGCTGCGTGGCGTACCAGGGCGTGAGGGTGCTCGTTCCGAAACAGACAATGTGGTGCTGCGCAGCTTAGAAGCTTGAGTAAAGGGCGAGTCTGGGTCGTATAGAGAAGCGCGACTGCTGCCGCCAGGACGACCGAATCTACCGATATGCCTGGCATGATGGGCCCGAACAGTGCCATCGCCCATAGCTTCAGGACTGTCCAAAACGCTATAAGGATTGTTAGAGAATTTCATACTCCGCTTGCCTGCGATACGATGATCGCCATAAGGTCGCATTCCATGGCGGAAGTCGCTCTGGCTATGGAGCGATGTTCCGCTAGGTGTGCGCGAATGATGTCGACTAGCTCTGTGCTGTGGCTCCGGCGGATTTGATTCGTATACAAACGTCTCGTCTGAGTCTGACGAATTGGCTTCATCGACGGCGTTCGCGACTCTGGCCTCGAATATATCGGCTTTGGAGGAGGCTGAGCGAATGGATGCATTAGTATTGTGAGATGGTACATATGTTAGAGCAGCGCGACGAAAAGCAGAAACGCGACGAGGCGAGTGAGCAAAAGACGAATCGGAACGCGTGTCTTCAAAATCATCGGCAGAATCAATCGAGGCTTGGGCTTCACCAGAGGAAGTGGGTATGTTTCTGCGACGGGAAGAAAACGAAGCAACAGACGAACGATGGTGCAAATGCAATGGGGGGTTAAACACACCCGTTCCGTTGTTAATCGAGGGCGCTTTGCGCGTCGCTCGCTTTCTCTCCTTTCTCGGTCGTATCGTCTCAGTGCTGGGCTTCATGCGAAGAGAGCCTCCTAGATCGGGCCTACCCAAGGTAGAACGGTCGATGGTAGCAATCTGCGATTGTGGAATAGAGCTGACGGTTTCTGTCTCAACAGTCATGTTTCGAGTGCCTTCAGTGGCGCGTGATTTGCTGGAACCGAGGCCAGGATACATTGATTTGAGAGCGGTGACGTTTTTGGGACGAATATTCGAGCTCTGGCTGGTTCTGCGACCTCGACCGTCACTCATGTTAGCGTCACTCTCGCTTTCTGCGAGTTTGGAAGAAGCGTCTCCATTGTTATCTTTTGGTTTACCACGAACAGTCGGAGGCCCATCGTCCTCGGAATGCGCCTCAGTCCTGCATACCACGTAAGCTTATGTGCTGCATGCGGATTATAATAACTTCTATGATACCCTTTCAACTTGGTGCTACCAACAGGCGCTATATTTTCGACGACCGTCTCAAGAACAGGTCTTGGCCCGCTGGGACCTCTTGATTGCACTTTCGAGGCTGGTGGAGGTTGTAGTTGGATAGGCTCTTCTTTGATGCCGTCGTTCAATATCGAACGTTCCGAAGGGGTCGAAGAGGGCTCGACAACAATAGAAGGAGGGGCAGGTTTTTGGTTCTGAGATAGGGCGGAATTTCTGCGAGAGCGAGCGGACGAAGGAGGGGGAGATTTGATGCGAGGTGATGGCGGTACGAAAGTTGGAGTGCTCTCGCCAGAAGCAGTGGCAATAGGACGTTTCTGCGCATTAAGTCGGGTCACAGCATCAGTGACAGAGTTGGGCGACTGAGCTTGTTGTGTCTGCTGGAGTTGGGGGATGGTGGCAGCTGAGAGAGCACGTTGGATGGCAGCAGCCGAAGGCACCGATGTGGGTGTAGACAAAGCGGGAGTACGGTGAGGGCTGGTGTCGTGACTGCTCTGGCGAGACCTCAGGGCACCGGTCCTGCTCTGCACGGCTGAGGTCGGCGGAGTGCCGTGTTGGCGCATGACGGAGCGCACTGGCGAGGGATTCCTTGACGAGCGAGGGCTCTCCGAGGGAGCAAAGGTGGCCGATGCTTGTTTCCGGAGGGTGGGTATCGAGGATATCGAAGTCGAGGATGCGTGTCGCACGGTAACAGGGCTGCTGTCTCTGCTGGACGCGCTCCGGGGCGCCTCGTGGGCGTCGGCCATGGCTGCGTGGGAATTTGTGGTCGAGTTTGATCAAGGCTTCTTGGACAGGAGTCACAACGGGCAGGGCATCTGCATGTTGTGTTTGCGACGGTCGGTATGCGTTGTGCTAGCGACAGACTTGGACAAGTGCAGAAGCGAGAGCGAGATCAAAAGCAAAAGGGCTACGACTAGCCAGGTGCAAATGCGAGGGCGAGGGCGCTGCCTGGTGCCAGGGGGTGGGTCGAGGAAGCGACCAAGGTCATCGAAACCATGTCATAATGTCGCCGCCAAGATGCAGCCAGAAAGCCATCGCTTCCTTTTCCTTGTATCCGCACTTCGATCAATTTTCTGGAACAATTTAATCTTGCTTTAGCGCTGCTTTGCACAAACTATCTTCCTTATTTCCAATACTAATACGGATAATACACAACTCTCTGCGTCGTCCAGCGTGACAACCCTTGGTTTCCCAGTCCCCGTCGTTTGTCCTTCCAAGACCTTGCACTCTATCGCGAAACAAAGCCGCCAGCCTGAAGGCGGTAAGCTCAAGTCAACAATCATCACCCAAGCGACACAGGCACAGTGCACAAGCCATGTTTCATCAGCATATTCAAATCCATGAATTGTCGCCATATCAGCTACACGCCTCATAATCGTCCCCTTGCCTGTGGCTCCCATGAATGCTACCGCCCTTGGGCTGAAAACACCCGACATGTGCTCCTGTGCCACGAACGCCTGCGCAACGTAGCCATCTGCCACACGCTCGCTATAAAATCAAGAAATAAAAATCCCATGTATCCCATGATCAAACGCCATTTGGTATTTTGCCATTCCTTGAGCCAAAATCACATAGACCAATCGCCGAGCAATGTTGTGATAACGAAATCAGACTAACGAAACATAGCAAGAATGCCCAAACCGGCCATCTTCTTTTAACGATGTTCAGCCATCGCCAATCAAATAGAGATAGAGGGCAACAGAAAAGGGGTTAATAAGAGAAAAGAAAGGATGTGGAAGATGGAATCCTTGGTTCCGGGGAATCAATCGTGCTGTCGTTACTGATACAAGTTTGATGTTGCGTGATAGTATGGTCATGCCCAAGAATCGGTTCGCCGCTTGGGCAGCTACAATCCTTGTAACTCATTGGCCGTAAATGTTTCTTCGAAAAGTGACTTCTTTGTCGCCACGTTTGTGCTGTTGGCCGTTTGTTGGTGTATAGGGTCTGTTACCCTCTTTATGAGAACATGGATATGCTTTAGATGTCAACCATGTCGATGTCGTGACCAGCGTTGAGGACATCGTCTGCTGGTCCCCAATTGCCTTCGTAAACTGTGGCACCTGCGCGTCTTCTTTGCTCGACCCACTCAACGCCACCACATCTGAGGAGTTCGTCGATCACCGGTCTCTGTTCTGGAGATGGGCAGATCATCCACTCGACAACCTTGTCAAGCGCCTCACTGTCGTTGGGATCAATCATGAAGTTGGGCGGTTGAGCCAGCTCCCGTCTTCGGTGACCAGTAACGGTAGGCTGGTTACCCAAGTCCATGTCGTCGTCGAATCGGATAGTCTCCTCGTTATCGTCAACCATAGGCTCGCCAGACTCATACCTAGGAAGACTGTTCTCCGAACTCCAGGTGAGGCTAGGCACATCGCTGAGGTCACCGCTACGCAGTCTTTGCCAGTGCAGACCATTGTCAGGAAGAACAATGTTACCAGCAATCTCAAGCATAATCATGCCCAAGGAGAAGATGTCGGCAGGCTTATCGAACTTGCCAGAGAGCACCTCGGGACCAATGTATTCGCGGTCACCCTCTCCCTCGATGTGCCTCGGTGCAGGCCATGTTGTTGCCATGCCAAAGTCTGCAATTTTCAAGACTCCTTCCCAGTCAATCAATACGTTGGCTGGCTTGAGATCAAGATGGATGAATCCAGCATCATGAATGCACTTGACGCCCTGTAGCAATATGTTAGTATAAACCATAAAGATGATGGGTAGAGCATGCACATACCTGAGACATTTCGAGCAAAATCTTCCAGATGCGGAAGTCGTCCAAGCGACCCTTGAACCCGGTCTGAGTAAGGAAGTCTTTGAGGTTGCCGTTTTCGCAGAATTCGGTCTGGATATACAGGTGGTTCTTCGACTCCCACGAGTCGCAGAGATCGAGGATGTGTTCATTACCACGAAGTGCTTGGAGAACGTGAACTTCTCTCATTTTGTTCTCGCGGTCCTTGACACCAAGATACGGCTTCTTCGACTTCTTGACAGCCCAGACGTTTCCAAGCTTGCGTGTGAACTCATGGCGAGCAGCTGGGCTGCCAGCGACAGGCTTCGAGACGCGATAAACCTGTGAGAATTCTCCAATGCCAATTGCCTGAACACTTTCAAATCGAGAAGTGAGTGCTGTATCGACGTCGTTTGCAAAGAACCCTGAGACCGATGCTCCAAAGGCGCCAGGTCTGATGCTTCCACCAAAGTTGAGTCCTGAGTCTCTTGGTCCAGTAGGGGTAGCAGGTGGGAAGCTGTTCGAGCTTTGCAGACCGCTCATACTGAACAGAGCTGGCCCACGATGCTCGCCAGAGATGGACAAACCGCTAGGGTCTGGTGGGGTGAAGCTCTCCTGAGGAGTCTTCGGTGGAAGATTGGCATCCGTGAAACTCGAGCGGCTAGATGGTGTGACTGCTAATAGTTGCTTCGCTTCAGCATCTCCTGCAGATGAGGTAGAAGAAGAAGAAAAAGAAGGAAATTCCCGGCACCGAAGAGTAAGAGGAGATGGGCAAGATTTGCGATGAGACTGCCTAAGGCTCATAGCTTGTTCAAACGAAGGAGAAGATGGCGAGCCACATGGTGTGATAGTAAGAGATGGGGTCGAAGTCTCACGTGTCTTTGACTCCGAAGAAGGAGTAGTTGAGGAAATATACTTACAGTCATTGGCTGGCTGTTGTTCCTCAAAGTTTGGGGGATTGAAAGTATCAGGAGCAATTGACGATCGGCGGCCAAACAAAGAGCTTCGCAGGCTGTTTCCTTTGCCTTTTGATGTTGGTCGAATGGTTGTAGAACCAGAAGAGGCGGCCTTGGTGGGAGTCGGTGGCATCTCATCACCGCTTGCTTGTACATCCATATGACCGAGGGGTGACTTGTTCAAGTCTTCATCGGTGATGCTAAGGAAGCTGCTGCGTCGGTTTGATTTGCCAGAAGAGCAACCAAGACCGAAGATGTTCACTCCTTTGCCAAATGACTCAGGAGATGCTTGGGCAGGGTGCGGACTCCATGGGGTCGTTGGCGATCCAAACTCGTGTAATGGGCGAGAGAACTTGCCGAAGTTGGTTGCTGGAGCTGGAGTACCACCACCGAGATGAGGTAAAACGGTCTTCTTCGAAGGTGTATCGGGCATGTTCATGCTGCTACCGAATGAAGACTGAGGAAGGTCGACATTTCGATTACGCTTAGAGATCAGGCCGGTCGACATGAAAGCCTGTGGCAATGGCTTTGCCATCTTGAAGGCTTCCGGTGTCTCAAACGAATCGCTCGAGCCACTCGAGTCGGTGTGCGGCTTTGGTCTGAGCGCACCAATTGGCAAACTCTTGGAAAAGCCGGGGTAAGGTTTGGAAAATTGTGGCTTCTTGGGCGATAAGCGTGGCGTATCCTCACCGAGACTTGATGCCGATGATGAAGGACTCAGTGCTTTGGAGAGGGGGTGGGGTTTAGGTGCTGATCGAGAAACGGCCTTTTGCTCAGGCGGTGGAAGATGAATCGAGGGCTCAAGGCCACGGAGAGGTAACGAGCCATCGAGTGACATTCTGGCGCGTGCCTTGGAATGACCGCTTGGAGACTCGCTCAAATCTGAGTAAGGTCTGGGGCGAGGTGCACCAACAGCTCGTTGCTGGAGAGTAGTCCTTCTGAGGCTGAAAGGCTTGTTACGCTGAGGAGATCTTTGACGCACAGGAGACACGGGCGTAGGCTCATCGTCACTGAAGCCATTGTTGGCAGTCTCGAAGGCTTGCTCAAAGACATCAAAATCGACTCCGAGAGAAGCGCTGTGCAAGCTTCGTCGCTTAGCTCTGGGACTACCAAGATTGACCTGATCTAGGTTCATTACACCATCGCTGCGCTTGAGAGGACTTGATTTCGCCGGGGTTCCATTCAAAGCTAGCGATAGGCTGTTGCGACCTTTGAGAAAGTCGAATTTGATGGGTTCATCATCAACCTCAAAGCGGGCATCGCGCGGCACCTCCAAGTGCCTCGAGGTGGGAGAAGTCAGATATGAATTTTCCTGGTCGCCAGGAGTAGGTTGTTGAGTAAGTTCCATGGTTACAGTGTTTGCTTGGCTGCTGGCGTCACTCAAAGCGCGTCTCAAAGTGTGCGGCGTTTCCTTGCGCGCATTGGCGCGAACTGGCGCGTTTCGTCGTAGCAATAACTTGTTTTTGAGAGAAGAATCGGCACCAGTGTTTGCACTTAATGCACGCGACAGACCAGAGCGTGGAGGAGACTTCTTTGGAGACCTGGAGACAAGATGGTAACGCGACGGCTTCGAAGGAGAACGCGATAGGGAGCGACGAATCTGCTTGATGGATGGAAACGCGTCGATAGAGTATTGAGGATGTGTCGGCGAGAGCATGTGAAGGGTTCCTCCAGCTGAACGGTGGGGAGAGTATTCGAAGTCCATGGCCAGAATGACGATTGTTCGTCTAGAAGGACGATGCGGCTCGAATAGCGTTTGAGGTGGAAGCCGGGAGTATGTATGTCGAACGGAGAGCTAGTATCGCGAAGCGAGACGGTTGACACAACTAGGTGGCCATCAACACACTGCACTCTTGCTGGCTGAGGACGTGTGCAGGACGGATGCGACAGATGCGATCGGCAACGCGGCAGTCAGGTGTACCACGAGAAGTCGAGAGTTATTGGATAGACGATAGGCGTGAGAGCTGAGAGAACGGCGATCGCAGGAGTCGAGTATTGATGGAAATTAGCGACGTTGTCGTGCTGAGGTGGTGGTGGACGAAAATGTAAACAGAGGTATGCGACGGCGCGGCGCGTGTGGATGGGCGGGGATGAGGCTGATTGAGCGGCTTTGTTGTGGTGAGCACAGCTCAGGCTGCAAGACGTCGAGTTTGAGAGGGCGAGTTGTCGAGACGAGACAAAACAAATCCAGGCGGTCCAGGCGGGAGAAGAATGCGAGAAGATCGATAAATGGGTGCGAGTGCGAGTTACAGAGGGAAGGCGCCAGCAGCGGCGGAGGGCAACAGCGACCGATGAGCATCGCGACAAGCGCACTGACCCTGCCTTGCATGCACGGAGCAGCTGCCTTGACCACAAGCCTCAAGCCGTTCAAGTCCAACCTCAATCATAAACATCATGCAAAACCCACAATTGCTGGCGCCTACCGATGTGCATAACGAACATGATGACGACCGAATAATCTCTTTTTGACACCATCCAATTCTGGTCCGTCTGCTTCACACACGTCAAGTCGACCGCTGTCTGGTGTCGAGGCGTACTCGGCTCAGCCGAGCTACGTGGTCCTTGCACCGTATAAACAAACAAACGAATAACAATCAATAATGCAAAAAGCATTTTTCTTTCATGACACGCATCGTCTCCTGCACATCTTTTCCTTGCACAATCATGTAGCTAGCCAGACCATTGCACAGCACCGGTTCACTATTCGCTAGCCACTTTGTTCGTCTACCGGCCGCCTCCAACTGAGCGATGCAGTACCGTTAGCCCCTCATTACTCTTTCTTGACCTTATCCTGCTATCTCAAAGCTCAAGCTCCTGGACTACTGTAAATGTCCGAGGGCCAGCTAGATCGAGATGTGCGATAATTAGCGCCAGACTCACATGATAGGGTTGCTGGAAACTAGCTAAGCAGTATTTCAAGTCAACTTGCGTTTCACCGCCTTGGACAAGACTTGTTCCGCTGCCCACTTGTGAAATTGGAGTTGCAAGACCATCGCATTTCTTGATCAGCTATCATTGTTCATTTGGCTATTTATACGACATGAGCCTTCTGAAACCAGGAGGCTGCTCTTAACCAAACGGTCATGAAGGGGTGGAAGTTACTACCGTACCGTTCGCGAGATGTGCTGTACGTACCACCAACGTTGTGCCCAGCACCCTGGGATCGTTCGTTCCCCTTGAGCTTTAGTTGACTCGACTGAGCTACCTGGTTTATGTAACGGGCCTAGTTATGTAGCTGCATAACTGGCGTGCAATCGAACCAGGGCCACCACAGTGGGAAAAGGGGTGCTCTGCGGATTCAATGTCTGCACATACGTGAACATCTGACTCAATTTCAATTCTCGTACTTGTCAACCTCCCCAACGTTTGCTCTCAATATCTGCTACTGACTCGAAAAGCCACTTGGGTCTTGGTCCTCCAAGCACATGTTCATCCACGCCCAGGCTCGATTGTTCACCAAGTTAGCCTTCGCTTATTTCCGATTCCCCGATGGTTGTCTACGATCACCCTCGTGGAAGGAAAAGAGGGGACAAAAAGTTCATGGCGCGAACGCCCACTCCCGGCGGGCCTAAAGCAAGAAAGGCAGAGTCCACGAATCCACTTCCCACCCCCAGACCGCACCGTGCACCTCCTGTCACTCTTGCCTTGTGCTTGTGCTTCTGCTTCACCGCCTGCCGGCTCCTCGTTGGATCGCTGCAGGTCCCAGAAGACCTTCAGCCGATCTTTGGAGGTCAAAAACCTTACGCGGACCAGCCTGGTCGGTCGGCCTTACTACACTGCCCACTTGGACATCGGAGTAGGAGAGATGAAGAAACAAGCCACGTGTCTTCAACTAGAACTCGGAGCCTAGCTAGATACGTACAAATCATACAATGAACAGACGCTGTTGCGAGTAGCCAAACCCATTCTCAAAATAGGTGTTTGTTTACTTCCGGCGCCATCTCCGCAACCTTCTCAGTTCTCCCGCCCTGATCATCCTTGAGCACAAAGTTTAACCATGCAGGTGCTTAAATAGTGCTCAAACATAAACCCTATCTTTTATGCTGATCAACCGCACACCATCCAGGATACCCGAGAGCTTACCACGTGTGGGGGAGATGGCGTGGCAGAACGCGAAGAGGGTACGAGCTTTCAAATGATCATTAGGCCGTCAAGGCAAGCATGGCAGAACAGTGCCCAGGAAACTTACCCAGAGCAGAGCAGAAAGGAGCATTGTTCCAAGGAGACGATTGTCTCTTGTTGCCCCAGCATCCAGCAGCTAAGGGTCCCACATAAGGGGTCAGACTTTTGAAGATCGAACTTGAAGATGTTGGATATCAGAGCATGCCTTGAAACAGCATTGTGGTTGTGTGCACTTTCTTCCACCGCCTTGCCCCCTATACATGTTGCTAGGCAACTATTTCCAACTTTCAGCTATAGTGGTGCGCGAGGTAGACTCTATCGGGCAAGGCCTCACGCAGAGCAATAGACAACCAAGGCATGGTAGACGTCGGTCAACGATAATCGAGTTCGTGCTCTTGCATGGCTGGACATTGACATCAACACTGCTGCACGCTGGACCCAAGACTCGGGTTTAATTTCTATTTCATCGCTGATTCCCTATCTCGTTAATCGAGGTCAATGTCTTGGCTTAATGCTCTGATGTCTCCCCTTCTATCAGCTAGACATCGCACAATCCTTCAAGCCACTTCAATTCACTTTCATTTCGATCTTAAAGAATGCACCTTCCCATATACTTGGGCTTGTTCTTGCGCAATCTTAATATGGCAGTTCGCAAGTGAAATTGTTTCTCCACCGTCGCCGTTGCCAGTGGAAAGTCATTCGGTACGGACCGAGCATGTTCCGTCATGAGGATGTTTTGTGACAATCAAACACAGCCCTATGGCCTCATCCGCCGTGCATGCCATGCATACTGAATTCTGACTGCGTGGCCGTATTGGTGCGTATTATACGTTTGCATTTGATCCACCCCCGACATTTGACATTCAACGTTCCCATGTGTCGTACGACGGCCACATGATACCTACCATGGTTCTGGCTCATCAAGCCTCGAGTACTGCGATACGATCTTTAATTCAATCTTGTTCATGCCATCGTTGTAATCGTCAAAGCAGAGCCTCAGCTAAGCAAGATCCATATCGATCAAACGTCGCTTTTCTTCTTGCCTTGATTCCGAAGTCTGGCTTTGCGAACGCCTTCCTCAACCTTGTTTTTGCGCCAGCCGCATACTTCAGCGAACTCACACATCCGACACTTGAAAGCCTCTTCGATCTCGACGCCTTTTGGCATCCGTTCGCCGTTCCACCAAGCCATTGTTTGCTTCACGTAGGCGTCTAATACATCGGGATCGTAGGCAAAGGTCTTTGATCCTATAACAGAACCGCTGCCAGATGCTCTGTACTCGGCCATCAGGACATCACCGATAGGCGATGGCGTCGACGGCTTGTTGGAAAATGGCATAGCCAGCTGAAATTCTGATATCATCAATGCCCATAATTTCTCGAGGCTGTTGTGTGCAAGCAACTCATCGATCGTGTCATGTATGGGCATCTCTGCTTGTTCAGCTGCCTCGATTTGGTGATCGGAGTCGATACTGCCTAGCTGAGCAACAAACATATCGCTGCAAGCAACGCTACTATCGAGGCCGTAACGAGCAAAAACTTGCTCAGCCGGTACTGAGTTCGATGCAAGTAGAGTTAGCATGCGATGATACATCATTAGCTGCATCGAAGTTGGTCGAAAGGACGCCTCGCCTTTGGGCATGTTCTTCGATCCCCGAGTTTTGACGTCCTTGATGTAGACCCTGCGATTGACATGAGAATTCCCTAGCCAGACACTATCCTTGCTTTCGGCTGTTTGAGAGCCACTAAAGAATGTGTCCAAACTGGTTTGGTCCTCAGAAGTGACTTTCTGTTTCTTCGACCTTCCTCTCTTGGGTTTTGTCTCCTTCTGCTGAGCCAAATTTGCTTCCAGATCCTCATCAGGACATTCGTAACTCAGCTCGTCAATGATTCCATTGACAACTTGACCTTCGATAACGGCCCAGGTTTCAAATTCGCGAGCCTGACCGGTTGTTCTCAGTGTGCGTAGGTTTTGTATACTGTTCCAGATTCGTAGACCAAAGGCGTCTTCTTTTGTTTCAACCTCGACCGTGACAGTCTTTTGCACTTGCGCGCCAGTGACTTTGTGCACCGACTCACTCACAGTGTTCACAGCGACAGGCTCGAGTTTGCCCTTCTCCAAGACTTGGTGTACCAACCCTCCGACCATATCCAGAGGCACTGCAGCGCGCTTTTCCTGGTCCAAGGCTTTTTGTACGACTTTGTTCACCGTCTCTACTGGCACAACAGCCTTCAGCTCTTCCTTTAATATTCTCTCAACCAGTAGGTGTACCGTATCGACGGGCAAGACAGTAGCAGCCTGTTCTTCTAGTACCTTATGTACTGAGGAGCCTTGTTTCATGGCAGCGGTTCGACGGACTCTTCCATACTTGGTCAAGCTGTACCAGTACTGTAATTCGCACCATGCGGGTGATATGATGTCGGTAACGGAGAGGGGTTTCTTGGGAGGCGTTCGAAATCGTTCGATTGGTGATCGCGTGTCCAAAGGATTTGGTTGTTCAGGCTCGGCGTCTATTTGCACAGACAAGCGGGCAGCATCAGGGCGAGCTGTAAAGCGCTGTCGTCAGCGGTCAGCCCAACATGCAGTTGCGGATAGATGGGCTGTGTAGGATGTGCCGCCTTTGCGCAGTGACTTACAGGAGAAAGAGGAGCGATTGAGCTCGTCGTATTCGATCTCGATTGAGGCCTCACCGACAGGACCATCGCGCGAGACCATCTCAAAGACGATGCCCTCATCGTCCACATACTTGCGGCGAGTGCCCCTGGCGAAGGGCGACAGCAAGGGAGTGCCCGACAAGACTTCGGCATGGCTGCTTATCGATGTGGAAGGCTGCGACGCAGCTTGCGTGAGAAGGACTGAGAGAGTTGCTTCGTCGTCTGTTCCAAACTCAGATCCATAATCGCTTTCTTTGCCATCGTCTAGCGTGACGTCCTGCCCAGTCATGATGTGCTCGTCATCGTTGTTGGTGGCGATGGCGAGTATGCAAAGTTGGAGCTTGGTTGGCACAACACGAATCCAGTGGGGTCCGAATCACGGCATGCAGCACATATGTAGAATCGAATTTGGCGCGATGCCTGCGTAAGTGAGATACTAGGTATGTTCTTCTGTTTGTCCGAATTCGACAGCCACGATGCGCACTTGGAAGCTGGAGGCACAAACTCTCTGGAGCATTGTCCATGAACAATACCTTGAGATTTTATCTCTTCTACTTTCAAAACAATAGAACCATCCTGTAAGCTACCGAAATATTGCATGCCACCACCAGAGCAGTCTATCTTGAGGAAGCGAGCAGCACATATGGAAGTTGCGTGGTGGACAGGGTGTTGGCAGTTTCATAAAATGCTCTTGCATCTGAACTAAGTCTTGGCTCCATGACGTCCACGCGTTTGCGCACGTCGTCCATTTCACGTCCGACTTGATCTTTCAGAGAAACATCATATCCACAAGCATGCCTCCTAAGTCCAAGAAACGTGCCAGCAAGGCTGATGACTACGACTCCGATGACGGTTTCGTTGAAGACGCTCCAAAATCCAAACGTACCAAAACAGCAATCTCCAAAGACAAGCAAGTTGACGACGATGGCAATCCTTACTGGGAGGTGAGTTTTTCAGGGGATTCAAGTATGATGGAAACTAAGCGTCGTTCAGCTCTCTGGCAAGCGCCGCGTCACCTTGTCAGAGTACAAGAACATGCATTTGGTAGGTTTCTAGCCCTGATGCATGGTTGGAGGTACACAAGATTCTCATGCATAATAACAGATCAACATTCGCGAGTACTACGAAAAGGACGGCAAGACGCTTCCAGGAAGAAAGGTCGGTCGTCACTTACCCTCTTGACTGCCGAGGCATAACGCTAAGTTGTTCAGGGCATCTCTCTCTCTTTGGAACAGTTTTCGGCTTTCCTCGGTATCCTTCCTGAAGTAGAAGCAGTTTTGAAGTCCCAGGGTCAAGAGCTTCCTCGTCCGAACTACGGCGAAGACACCGTAGCCAAACCTTCTTCGTCAGCCAAAGCCTCCAAATCAGAGGAAGACGCAGACGAGCCCGAGCCAGCCGGTGATCAGTCGGAGACAAACACCGTTTCGACAAGCAAGCTTGACAGATTCAAGTATGAGAAGAAAAACCATGAGGCTACCAGCGACGAAGAGGATTGAGACTGGCTTCTTCCTCAACCGGCTGCAAGCAAGAATGATAGCCGAAACAATGACTTGACTGTCCAGGCTGTCACAAAGGCTGGACCGAAAGCATTCATGGTCTATGATATGATTACGACTTTGCTTCTTTACTCAAGATACCCCTTTCACAAGTACATATGCTAACGAACTACTCTATCCACCCTGAACACTCCGTTCCATCATTGAAGATCAAAGATGCAGAATTGTGTGAGCTCTGGGTCACTCTACTGTTGCTTACGTGGAGGTCGAGTGAACAAGTTTCCAGAGACCATCGCAACAGTTGAGGATGAACTGCATGGCTTGATGAAATTGCGGGCCTCGGGACCGTACAAGGACCCGCTATCGACCCCAGCTGGACGCTTCTTGATACGAAAGCGAGATCAGCTGATGACTAATTGCAGTATGCTTTCCTACAAGCTATTCGCAAAGAGCCGGATCATCAAGTTATCCGGATCCGCATACCCCATGTTGGGGTACCCCGCGCGGGGATGACAATCCTTAATATCGATCTAAGAGCGGAACCACTCCGTCAAACCGTCCATTTTCGATACAACACGTCAAGTACTACATGGCATGGTCACTTGAGCCGCATACCGAGGCATCCTACAGCTAGTTGGTCTCGCAACCCATCCCGGACTTATCGGATCCCATAATCCCAGCCAATATCCTCTGTTCTCCTCTTTCCATCTATGCAAGCCACGTCGCCGTTATAGCAAGCTTAGCCGGATGCAGACATGTCAGCTCACTTGACGGTCAACCCTGATGCTTGTCGTCTCATGCTTGTCGTCTCCTCTTGGTGAGCTTCTTTCTGCCATCACTTTGCACTCCTGTTTGCGAAGTCAGACTACCCACGACCTGTGTATACGCGGCTCAAAATCATGCTCATGTGCTGTGATTCTTTAGCCATGCTTTGTGTTACACCGCAGATCGGTGGCCTTAAACGTAACTGTAACGGCAGATAATAGATGTTGATCTGGGGACCCCGGAAAGGATTGTTCTGACCCACACTACTCGTACATGCAGGAGTGTTGACGCTCGCGAAGCAAATACGGCTGGTAATAGGCCGAGGAATACGTTCGGCTTGTCTCATTCACTTGAACGCGTCTAGCATTCCTCTCCGCAACGAACCTGCGGGCAAAGCAATCATTGATTGGTAGTGCCTCGGCTGGGCCAGGCTATTTGAGGCCTTGCATCCCCTCGTTGCATGCCACAGATCTCCTGTGTTCCTCGAACAAACCATTCAGCAATCATGTCAGACAATAACATGCACAGACTGCACACCAACGACCTTGAGTTGGGTGCAACAGAGGTATTGCATGCTTCTTGCCCTGGCCTCGAACGGTTCTGATATTCCTTAAAGGCTATACAAAGACATTACGAACGCCATGTTGTCTCAACCAAGCCTGTATCTCAACGCAAGCTTGACTATGAGCGAGCACGACCAAGATGGCTTCGTGAGATGTTAGCCGAAGCGTATGTGACTATCACACCACCAGCCAAGCAAAGCTTACTAACTTTGATCGGTCATAGCACTGGTGTCTTCTTTTATGTTTACCCTGGTATTGCTGCGACAGCTTCCTTCATACTTAACAAAGAGGACGCTGCCTTTGGAAGTCTGCTTCAGGTTGGCTTTGCGTTCGGCTTTGGTATTGCCTTTGCTATCATTACTTGTGCTTCAACATCAGGAGGGTGAGTTTCTCTGCAAAAGATTCACTGGCACCGTCTGACATGATCGTAGTCACTTCAATCCTGCCATGACGATATGCTTCGCTACTTGGCAAGGCTTCCCCTGGAAGAAGGTCCCGTACTACATCCTCTCTCAAATCTTTGGTGCTTTCATGGCCGGTCTCTTTGTCTATGGTCAATACCACGAACAGATCTCCGCGTTCGCAGCAGCGACCAAAGCTGCCGGCGAAGGAACTGTGTTCAATGGTGGGCCAGCGAGCATCTTCTGTTCTTTCCCAGGAGCCACTCAGACCAACCTCGGCTATCTGTTCTTCATTGAGTTCTTCGTCGATTCATATATTGGTCTTGTCATCTGGGCTTGTCTCGACCCTGCCAATCCCTTTGTATCACCTCAGGTAGCTCCCTGGGCTATCGGTCTGGTCTACAGTGTTATGGTCTGGGGATTCGCGGACATCACGATCAGTACCAACTTGGCTCGTGACCTGGGCACTCGTATTGTCGCTGCCATCTTCTTCGGCGGAGAGGCCTTCTCCTACCACAACTACTCATGGATTGCCATTCTTGTTAACGTCCCTGCTACGTTATTTGCAACAGCATACTATGAAATGCTGATTCGCGACAGCTTGCAGAAGATTGGCAAGGGAGCCGCTTTCCATGAAAATGGCGAGGAAGGATTGAACTTGCATCTCGTCAAGAGCAACATCAGTAGGCAGTCCCCCATGAGCCCCAACATGCAAAAGGTGTTCAGTCTGGGATCCAACGGATCGACATTGAACTCTAACTCGAAAATGGAGACTGGGTTCTCGCTCGCGGCTGAAACAGGCAGCAACCATGTCTGAGAATGCCTGGGAAGTGACTCGGAGGTTTGACTGTCGGAGCAAAGCAGGCGGAATTGAGTAGTGCAAATCGAATCAACTTGTTGATAGCAAAATTGAAAATCATGGTATATCAAGAGAAGCACCTGGACTCATATCTGGTTCGTCCAAGGGATTTTCATCCTCACTCTAAGACTCGTGCGAGTAGAGTAGCTTTACTTCCACGGCCATGATCAGCAGCAGCTGGTACATGGGTGCCTTTGTCATATTGACCGATGCATTGTTTAGTACGGATTGTTAGCAGCTTGGCTACTAGAATTAAGGACCTTGCATCTACCGCAATGAGAAACACGAGTGCCTAAGTATCGCCATCAAGCACATACTGAACGATCATAGGCAGCTAAAGCTGGGCAATCAAAGCGCGCCGTCGTGCTTAACATCGTCGAGCCTTGTCTAGCTACTAAAGATGGACCTTGGGGGAGACCCACAAAAATGGTCGACTTTGGGTGGGGATAATCTCCGTGTTCTCGAACTTATTTCCGCGTTATTTATCCAGGATTTCGTCATTGACGACGAGGCTGAATGGTCAAGTCGGTGTGATCGGTCAGAATGTCAAAGAAGGCAAGCAGATTAACCCCTCTTCCAAGTTCCATAGCGATTGCAGGCACGATGGGTTGATTGGTGGCTATTGGCCAGAGAAAGCCAAGTTGTGACAAGCCTCGCCGAGAAAAGCCAATTGCAGACAAGCGATCCATGCAAGACGGGAGCTAAGCGTCATTGCCTTTAGACAGGGGCTGCATTTCCAAGGTCTGGATCCTCTTCAAGCTGGTTTCTCTGGTCGCAGCATGAGCTCACGAGACGTCAGCATGGTTACGCGTAAGCCAAACAGTGAGCGATCAAGTGACGAATAACTAGGTATAAGAAGGTCAAGTCAGTCGTTCTTTCCTTACTTGTACTTTCCATCCATATCACATCTTCTAAACACAAATCAATTCACATCACCCACTACTTCAAACACATCCATCAACATGTCTGGATTCATCCGTGACGCTGAGCAGGCCTTCGAGGGCGGCAACAACAACAACCAGCAAGGCAGTGGCTTCGATAGCAGCAACCAAGGAAACTTCGATAACAGCAACCAAGGTTTCGACAACAGCAACCAGGGCTTCGATAACAGCAACCAAGGCTACGACAACAGCAACCAGGGTGGAAACTTCGACAACAACAACCAGGGCTCAAACAACAACAGCAGCGGAGGTGGCTTCGGAAGCACCCTCAAGACTGGCGGTGAAGATGCCATGCTCAACACTGGTAAGCACGACTCCTCCATCGAGTCTCACCTGCGATGAATGATTGACAATTTGTTTCAGCTGCCAACAGCTTCTTGACCAAGGAGGGCGTTCCTCAGGGTGCTGATGGTGCGATCGACGGATTTGTCGACCAGGAAGCCAACAAGTACATCTAAAGGGATTGGCGATGGGTCTCCTTTTCGAACGATTTAAACGAGGATGAGGATATCAGAGCGGAGCAACGGCACATCGTACCTAACAGCTAGCTCTAGATGACGAATTATGAAAACAAACAAGCATTCAGTCATTCAGCTTATGGATTTCTCCATGCGTACGTACCCCACGATACGTCTTCGTAGGCTGAATAGGAGCCGGTTGTGTGTCTGGTGAATTTAGACTTAGAACACAAATAAGTCATTGACTTGAGTAAAGATCTATTGCACATTGCAGCCTCGAAGTCAGAGAGAAGATTCAGTATACGCTGATCTGTTGTTACTCATTGCATCCACACAAGTCCTGCCTGCCATAAAATCCGGTTGGCACGAAAAAAAAAAAAAACGCGGGGTTGAGTAGTATTAGGTAAGCAGTCCTCGAAAACATACCAACGATGGATCACCTAGTTGACCTTATTCAATTTGTTTGGACACGGTCCAACATACAGATACATTGACCACAGCGCACATTAGAACTTATTGTGCAAGAAGCATGTCTTCTGCTACAATACTCGCTGATCTTTCCGAAGGGGAACAGCTGGAGACTTTCCATGGAGCCCCATGCTTGTACAAATTCTGCCTGGCCACATCGTCGAACCCTCTGATCGTTTTGATACCTGGGGGAGCACACAATGCCCGTATCTTCTACGGAGGTCACGACACGCATGATCCAGATGAGTTCTTAGCTGCGAGGCTCAACAAGCTCGGCCATGGAGTCCTGGGCATCTCATATCCATTGGAAAGTCAGCCTGAGATTATGTCTGCAAACGCTCCGCACTTCCGAATTTCGATTGGGGCCAGCAGGCAGCAGAAGTGACCCGTTACGTTATTTATCAGAACAAGCTAAGCCGAGACGTCGTTCTAATCGCCTGGAGCATGGGAAGCAGAATACTTGTGCCATACTGCAAAGTTGCAAAAAGTCTAGGTCTGAACGTCAAGTCCTTCATATCTCTATGCGCGACACCCGGTCTTCCAGGAATCAGACCTCCGTCTCCAGGGATTGTAAGCACCAAAGCGGGATACGCAAGTCTGATGTCTATTTTCAATATGTTTCTAAAGTAAATCCATGAACAAGCAAAAAGCAAGAAGGAGAAGCCTGTCTTTTCTGGTGATTCCTATCGTAGTTGCTACTTCGGTCACACACCAGTGAGCCTTTTAGGCAATGGCTTGAGGTTTGACCACGACGATGTGTTCATCGTTGACAAGTATCTTTCCGATGAGGATGCAGCAGCTCATGAATTCCTCCATCTACCATGGATCTCCTCCTTAACACCCACAAGCCCACTAGATGCTCGTCATGCTTTGACTGACAAGTCGACATGGAATTATATGCTGACACAGAGACTGTGCGCTCTTTATGAGAGATCTCCTGCAAATTGCTCCGCAAGAGGATCTGGCTGGCAAGACTTGATACAATTGTCTGAACTGGCACAAAATTCGCTTTCGGCAACAATTGAAGGCAATCACTTTTTCTCCCTTGGTAGGAGAGGTGCGGAGATCACTGCGCAAGCCATCATTGAGCAGATCCGTATCGCAGATTCGCTGTCAGTCAGGCTGAATGGATTGATCGGCGAGGCGTAAGTTTACTTCGCAACTTGCTGCTTCCTAGGAGAGAATTTAGAACAACCATGTCTGTTGTCACGAAGCAGGTTGTGGTGAAATGAACGAGGGTTATATTGTGTTAAAATCTAGTGTTTAGCACATACGGCCACAGTCAGCTGAAAACTGGGCATCCCGTCCGCTCTGCCATACATAAGCAGTTGAACGGCAGATTAGTACTACGGTGGGTGACCACGTGGGAATCCCTGCTGCTGTATGTTTTGATCTCATGCCTTTGAGCATGGCATCTCATTTTTTTTTGTTCATGGCAAAATCCAAGCATGCAAATGAGTGGCATGGGCGAGGCGGACAACAACTTCCCTCGGCGGCTGGAATCCGTGTACAGCCTTCTGCAAGTTCAGCCTGGGGCCCCCAGCTCTTCACACAATCTTATGTGAACTCTGACTCGAGGCATCGAACCACAGCACTGATCGCTATACATAGAATTGACTTCTGTACGGCTTGGTCGGGTCCTGCGTAGTTCTTAAAAGAATGTTGATGGAATCTACACACAGGAAATTATGTGAGTGACATGAAAGCGGGAGTTTTCGGTGCGTCGTTCGAATTCTCGAAAAAGAGGGCGCGACACAAGGCTGAGCTTGTAAGCGAATGTGCATAACCATTTTGATCATATCACGATTACAAGAGCACTATTCAGCTGTGGCTGAGTTGTTGGATGACGGTGGCTTGGTCGCCCCTGCTCGTTCTGTCTACAATGGCTGATAATGGAATTTATCTGGATATATACTTCAGCTGAGATGCGGGCTCCGATACCACCCTGGTAAATGCTATTCTTGATACCTCGATTCGGACAATGGTAGATACAGGTGAAACATATATGAGTGCGACGAGTCTCGCCAGAACTAATCTAGCAGCATTGTCTCCTTGAACTTATTCTGCATATCACTCTGCTTTGGAACCAGCTTATCATGTATAACATTGCAGGCCTCCGGGGGATGCAGTATCCTCGTGAGGGTAATGTATTTCAGGCCAAAGACTATGCCTACTACAATCAACAATACGCATCATCATCCTACCAGAAAGAACACGACATGAACCCAGCTCTTATCGTCCAACCCAAGGATGACGATGATGTTGTTAGAGCTGTTCGATGGGCTCGAGAGAACAAAGTGGCTGTCGCTGTTAAGAGTGGCGGACATCAATACAGCGGCGCATCCTCGACCGGTGGAAAGAATATTCAGATCGACCTTACCAACACTTACAAAGATATGAAGGTGTTGCCTTCTCAAAATCTTCCTGAAGACAGAGCACTAGTCTTTGTCGGCGTCAGCAATCAGCTTCAAGACTTCAATGCTTACCTCAAACACAACGATCTCTTCGTTCCGCACGGCCAATGCGCCTATGTCTGTGTTGGGGGTCACGGTCAGACAGGCGGATATGGTCAACTTGGCCGCAGCTTTGGCTTGTTCGGTGACCACATCGTAGGCATCCGAATCGTGGACTTCAATGGCGACATCAAGGAAGTCACTGAGAAAAGCGACTCAGAACTCTTCAACGCTATCCGTGGTGGCAGTCCCGGCAACTTCGGCATCATAACTCACTATGTAGTGAATGTCTACCAGGCCGAAAGCTACATCGGAAAAGTAGCGGGACCCAACGGCATCAAAGGACCATATGGTCTGAAAGGTATCTGGCTTTACGACGGCTCGATCCTGAAGAAGATACTCACCATCCTTGCCAAGATGTCCGACGATCCAGACCTTCCTGAAAATTTCGATCTGTGCATCAGTGTTCTCAGCACTGAATTTCCTGTCACCATGCTCTTTCCGTCGATGAAGGATGATACGCTCTGGCAAAAGGTTCAACAAAGGATAAAGTCAGTGCTTGCGTCTGAAGTACTAGATCTTCTCAATGGCTCTTTCCCAGCGGTGATCGTAGTCTATGCTCAATGGTGTCCAACATCGAAGAGTGACAGGTATGACGAAACGGTCGATAACTGGTTCAAGCAATTCTGGGATCTTCGAAACGATCGTCACTATCTTCACATTGATGATTTCGGTAGAGCATCGCCAGTGGACATGGCGACGATGACAGGGAAGTGGATCTTCCCCAAGAAGAGAGAATTCGATCTTCCATATGTCAAACGTACTTGGGCAACAAACTCCAGGACACTCTCGACTAACGGCTGGGTTGACGACGTGGTCAAGCGACTGGATCTGATACTTGACCCGCAGCAGAAGCTCGGTGATGACAAGACAGACTTGGAGAGAGACATATACGACCATTGCAAACTCTCGGTCCAGATTCAGGCCTTCGGAGGCGAGAAATCAAAATACTTCATGAACAGAAACAATGGCGCTGCCTACAGCTGGAGAGATTCGACCATGGTCCAGGTCATCGACTGCTTCCATGATGAGAATGGGAGAAAGTTCGCTGATAACTGGCAAGCGCAGAATGACAAAGTCATGGTCGGACCAGACAGCAATTTCAGCAAGATGGACAAGCGTATGTTGTGGGGCTCTCACGGTGACTGGGATTTGTCCAAGCCTGAGGTTTGGAAGACCTACTACGAGGACGAGGACAAGTATCGAAGAATTGGAAGAGTCAGAGGCAGGAACGACCCTAATGGCACGTTCACTGCCAACCCGTTTGCCGTCAAGGCTGTAAAGGCTGCCAAGCTGTAGACGTAGCTCGCCAAATCGCCTCAACATGATATTTCTGTTGCTGTATGTCTTGTTGATTGTGCATCTGGTGTAAATATCTTGTTGTTGCTTTTGCAGCGACGCGGGACGTGTGAAGCGTCTCAGTCAAGTATTCTCACGGCCGCGGCAAACTTCAAATTGCCGGGCTTCAACGGTCGTTTTCTCGTAGGTACAAAGTCATTCATGCATTAGACGGGATGCCTGACGTATGGTATAGCGCTACCAAGATGCTTGGCTGAGGTCCCGCGGCCAAGAAAGAGGCAAAGTGATCTGCGAAGGAAGAGGGGACCCTACAACATTCATGACGTGGTGAGTGACTCAAGAGCTCCTCGAATACTGTAAGTAGTGGTCTACTCGTCCGCAATAATTCCTCAGTTCCCCCTAGCAAAAATTGGTTAGAGCTTACAATAGCATGGTATTCTTTTTCTGTCTTGCGGCTGCATCATCCCTGGTGGCCATAGCGTCGGCGCAGTCATCGTGTGGACCTTCTCCATCCGGCAAAGTTAGGCCTTCCATCGCTTCTGGATATAAATGGCAGGTAGTTGCGACAAACTTGGCTCGACCTCGCGGCATTGCCTTCGATGATCAGGGCAGGTTGCTTGTCGTTGAGTCCGGATCTGGTAGTCTGTCAGCACACACCCTGTCCGAAGCTGGAAGCGGTTGTGTAACTGTCAACTCATCGAAAAATGTAGTTACAGGCTTGAGTGTCAGTTCTGCTCCTTGAAACATGACCAGAAAAGAGTCTAGCTGACTTTAGGAAGCTCAACCATGGTATCGCTTTCGACAACGAGAATCGCATGCTCTATGCTTCTAACACCAATGAGACGTATGGATGGCAATACGACTCTTCCGCAATCTCTGTGTCAAACCAGCAGACACTGGTCAGTAATATGTCAGGAACAGATCATAGTACGCGGACTCTTCTTCTTCCACAGTCAGCACCAGGCATGCTGGTCATCAGTTTCGGTAGTCTGAGCAACCTCGATCTTTCTGCGACAAACGTGGACTCTGGCACAGCATCGGTCAAGGCATTCAATCTGACAAACCGAACGAGCACATACACCTACCAGACTGATGGCCTCCTTCTCGGATGGGGTTTGCGCAACGAGGTCGGCCTTGCAGAGCATCCAGGAACCGGTGGTATCTGGGGTGTCGAGAACTCTGCAGACCAGATCACACGACATGGTGTTGATGTGCACGCCACCAACCCCGGCGAAGAGCTCAACTTCTTGGGTTATGTCAATGGTACCGAGACCAAACAAGAAGGTTCGAACTTTGGCTACCCTTGGTGCTTCTCAGCTTGGAATCCTTCAATTCTGCCTGACAATGGACAGATTGAGGTCGGTACACAATTCGCCATTGATGCGTCTTCAGACTTGGACAATCAGAACAAGACAGATGCCTTCTGTGCCAATCAAACACAAAGTAGATTGGTTTTCGATTCACACATGGCGCCCTTAGACATCAAGTTCAACGACACAGGAAGACAGGCATGGATCACTTTCCACGGCAGCTGGAACAGCCCCAATCCTGTCGGTTACAAGCTGTCAGTGGTCAATTTCACAGACTCTGGCGAGCCAGTTGATGCCCTTACAAGTAAGACAGCAGCAATGGACATTTTTGGGAATGCGAACAACTCAGTTTGTCCTAACGACTGTTTCCGTCCTGTCGCAATGGCGCTCGATAGTCGAGGCAGAATCTTCCTTTCGTCTGATGCTACGGGCGAAATATATCTTGTGACCAGAGACGAAACTGCTGGAGGTACTCCGACTACTTCACCTAGTTCCTCTACAACCTCCTCGTCCCCTCCATCCAGCTCAACAACCTCAGGTGGTGTTGGTATGTCTTCGGGATTTTCATCATCGGTCTTTATCTTGAGTTGCCTGTGCATACTAGCTTGTGTCTACATGTAGAAACAGAGGCAATTTAGAACTCTTTTTTCCATGTGATGCTTTTTACTCGCCATCATGTTCGACATAGTCAGAAGAAGCTGGAAGTTTCATACCTCGCTTGTTCGAGTATTGTAGACTTATCGGAAGCGATGTAGTCAGACTTGTCTTCGCTAGCAGATCCTTCTGGCCCTATCAAACAGCAATGGGTGGCATTTGACTTCGGTCAACCCAGGGACAGAGCGTGCAACCATCTCCGAAAGGGTTTCCGCTTTTAGGGCTATACCAGCGTCAAAGCTTTCCGCCGCCTACGCCAAGACCGTATCAGATACGGCGAACGAGCAAGTCCGCTTAGGGCACGGAGCCCTAACCCCGTGACGAGGAAAGTGTCAACTCAAAATATACTCAGGAATGTCTCGGTGGTTGGTCTACAAGCCGTTGACATGGTTTTGGTGTTTCGCGCATCTCCGATGATTCCCTGGATAAACGTAGCGCTTAACAGTCTACATATCCCAGATTCTTGATTGCTAATCGATCGATCGCGTCTGGCCAATCCTTGCTGCTACATGGATAAATTGTGTACTGAGTGTAGGTCATTCTTCTGTGGTCATCGATATGCTGAATGCTTGTTTTCGAAAAAACCCGATTCTTGTTGGACTACTGGTGGCCGTCACATATGATCGTGTGTAAGGGACGAAACTGAGGCACAAATGCCAGCCCAGTGTCCATAGGAGACATGGCGCATTGCCACGAGCTGAGTTGGACCTCCGTTCCAGTGGAGCTGAATTTGTGGTCGATAGCGGGCAGCTTGTCTACAAACTGCGAAATGAACCAGGCCGATTAGCTGCCTGTGAATCTCATTCCGACGTGTACGTTTAGGGGGTCTTTGCTGTTCTTGTGTAGTGCTTCGTCTCTCGATCTAGAATGGCCAGCTTTACAAGACCCAGAAAGGATATGGCAATGGAGGCTAGGATCTTGTGAAGCGATGTTGGCGGAGATCGTCTCTACTTTGGCGTCGAGTCGGTGCTGGTGGCTGATCCTTTGAATGTAGGAGCCTACAATTGAGACAGCTCACAAGTGAGCGCTCGTGAAGGGGTGGGATTATGTTCGAATCGGCAAATCTGTGATCCTCCTCATACAAAACCAGCGTAAAAGCTGGCATTCAAGCTCCTGAGCTCTGATATCTCGAATGCAAGCGGATTATTGTCTGGAAACTTTGCTTCTTGCACTGCGAGGAAATGTTGGCCAAAGACGAGGGCAACGTCACTGTTGGGGTATTCGATGTCAAGGGCGCTTCTGGCAGATTCTGGCGTAAAGTCCCCAGCGATGAGAACGGGTGAGGACCGAGCCCAGATCTCGAGGAATGGTTTGATGCCTTCGTACTTGTCGCATTCGATGTTCGTCACTGCATGCGATTTAATGATGTGGATGTAAGCCAGCTTCAACTTCTTGAGCTTTTGGGTGAGAGACATGAACTCGGGCGTGAGACTGGACATGCGGAAGGCGCTAGACGGGTTCATGCGGAAACCAACACGATCGGCACCTATGGCGTCTGCAATTGCGACTGTCACTTCGAGAGCAAATCTGACACGGCCCTCGACGTGGCTGCCGAACTTGTCTACGTGTCTGTGCAAGGATTGGTAGATGAAATATCCATTGGCGCCGATCTCGACACCATCAAAGCCAGCAGCCACTGCGTTCTTTGCTGCTTGAACGAAGGCTCTGGTTGTCGACTTAACCTCTGTTTCGTTCAGGGCGTGAAAATCGGACTCGGACGGTGAGTCGCATCTTTTGGTGGAGGATACATCGCTTGCTTCGCTGGTCTGGCGACCTCTTGTGTTCTTTAGAAGAGCCGCATCTGCCAGCGGCTCAAGAGAGTCCAACGAGAGGAAGATGTGAGCTCCTTTGGCGTGCACGGCGTCGGCAATCTCTGCCCACCGAGAAGTCTGGGCTTCCGTCCAGACACCTGGAGTACACTTGCCTCCACCAAGATCTAGAGACACGACAGTAGCTTCGGCGATCACAAGGCCACCTTCAGAAGCGCATTGGGCGTAGTGTTCTTTCGCTGATGGCGCTTGGACATCCTCGTCTGTGAACAGTCTTGTCGTAGGAGCCATAACAACGCGATGCTCGAGCTCAATCTTGCCGAGCTTGAGGGACCGAAGGAGATTTGAAGAAGACATCGTTGCGAGAGTCAGGTCGGCGGGATCGTAAGTGCTGGTGCTGGCCGTGTGTGAGAGCCGAGTCGGCCTTCAAAGCTTGCTGCCTGCAGACTCGTCGCTAATAAAAAGAGCGAAGTCTTCATGGAGCGGGACCGAATATGTAAATCGAGACGAAAGGCTGGTGGCCGTTGGCGGAAAGGTCAAGATACCTTTACAGGAGAGGTCTCTATGAGACGGCTTGACCCGGCCTGGGTTCATGCCAGGCATAATGTAGTTTCTTAAACAATAATATGCGCGAAGAATTACCAGACTCAGAATGGTCAGGGCTGAGACAGTCAGCTTGTAGATTGACGCTAGCCCTTGGAGATTCAGGGCATCAACCTTCGGAAGATGAATTCCTCCAAACGGTCAAGTTCCCGCTAGAACTTCCACCAACCAGAAGTACCAGATACAAGTGCGTTCCGATGCGGAATCTTGTTGCATGCTAGAGTACAGACAAGCTATAAGAACACCCAAGCGCAATTTACCAACAAGCTATTCCTGTCTGATCAAGCATGATGTGGCTTGGAGTATTTGGACTTCAAGATGCCATGGTTGATGAATAGCTTCAGCCAAACCGCCAAAAGTGATCATAATCGAACCTTAATCAAGATCTGTTTTCGTATTGCGTATTACCGGCCGGTCAGGCTCTCGCGAACTGTGACCTTGAAGCTGGGTATTGTTCGGTGCTTGCATGCAATAGAGCCGCCGATGGTCGGTGAGCTGCCTTTCATTGTGTCACTCACCAGTGTAAACATATGCTCTTTGCTAACCACAGGCGGCTAAGGGTGCAAACGTGGACGGGACCTGAAAGTCTGATCTGAAAGGGTGACTGTATCCTCAACAGTGGCTCGTGCCTGGCTGTTAGGCGAGACCATACCACCAACCGACTTGCTTGCAATTGCACATCGCGTGCAAGCGTGCCCTTGAATCTTGGAAGCCGCTGTAGGACAAGACCCGAAGCCCTAGATGCGTGAGTCAAACGCTAACACGAGCCTCTTGCCACGTTGTGTCCGATGCCGCGTGCGATCTTCCCATCCCAGGTTGCAGCGTGACGTTCCCTTGGGTCTTGTTGACGTCCGCAGATTTAAGCGGTCAACAGACAACTCCATCGGAAGTGTTCAGATGACGGGTTCTGAGCCATCTGCTCGTGGTGACAACAGTCGCGGAGTGTCTCAAGCCATGCACGGCATACACGTAGTGCTGATAGCGTGAAGTCAACAAACGAGCCTGCTAGTCACTCATGACCAGTTGACCGTGCCCGGAGAGCATACTAAGAAAGAATTTGGTCAACGCTGGAGCGGAGAGATCCAGTGAGTTTGACGCGGACAAATTCAAGTCTGTGCGACACAACAAGTATGACGCAGCGACCACAACAAATCGATCTTGGCGAGGTCGTTGGTCCCCAAAGACCAGTGATTGATGAGTCTGAATCAGTCAGGTCGTGTCCAGGTTGAACCGTAATTCTGAGTAGGGCGTATGGCGCCTGAAAGATGTCCCTAGATGCATGCTGTTTCTAGAAGGCGGTATGGTTGAGAGCGAGCGCAATTTCGAAAGGTCGGATTTTATTTTGCTCAGCGGATATGTTTCCGAGGGCTGAATACTTGACGGAAGTCACATTAGTACAGTCCTCCAGGTCGGAAAGAACGGACAAGATTGAATGACAGAGATAAAATCTTGAAGACAGACCGAGGGGCAGCCTCCGTTGTATATTTAATGTGTTTGGGCCGCGGCCTCGTATCGTTTCGGTCAACTTCCGTGGTCGTCTTCCGGTAACAATCAGAATAATTTGACGACCACAACTCGACAAACTGACTACAGGAGCGGGAAATCTCAATACGGCCAAGCGCTCTGAACTTTGAGCTCTGCGAAGGTATGCATCGTAAGAGACAGTAGAAACAGCAATTGGCAACACTTTGCAACAGTTGGCAACAGTTTATGCTCTTGAAGTTGTGCTATCCGTTGACAACGTATGCGTATGTACAATATTACATGGTTTTCAATAATCTCACACCCAATCCATCAAGTCGAAATGATGCTACCTGACCACTTGATCCTTGCCCAACAATGTCGACTCCTTGATCCAGCTGCTCATCTCATACAGTCAATGTCTCTAGAGGAGAGGCGAAGCAGGCTGTGTCTGGTTCGGATCCAACAGATTCTGGTATAGATTAGAGGAACGAACTTGGTGACTCCACAGCCCCCAAGGTCGATCCGCCGTGCCGGCCATTGTGGACCAAGACTGGACAGTCTGTTGAGGTGTCAAATAAGCTAAGTCCTGTTGACTACTTCCGGGATATGCATTATGAATAGTCAAGGCTGCAGTCTGAATGCCCGCATTGGTTTGTGTGTAAATCGCTTGCATGACGGCGAGTTCGATGCTGGATGCTACAGTGGTGAAGCCGTGGTTCTGCATCAGTACTACTGCGTAGTCGGCATCGGTTTGAGTTGCGTTTGGCAAAGTGTGGTTGGAGGAGAATTCAGCTGCAAGTGCCGCTCCGAGACGCTGTGAGCGGATGAGAAGGTCCTGATTATCGCCTGGCTCGTAGTACTGCGTGATGTTGAAGTTTGGAACAACCTCGCCTGGTTACGAACGATGAGTAAAGCACATCTAAGATCGACTTCGCGCGTACCTAAAAATCCAGCCATGTGGATAGATGGGCGTAGGGGAACCCCACTGAAAGTGTACGGAACGACCTGTGGTGAGTGGCTATGAACGACGCTGTTGATGCTAGGGAAGCGCTTGTACAACTCGCTATGGATGTATCGCTCGATGAAACCCTTGGGTGCATTAGGATCAACTGGGGCAGCATCTTCGACATAGTACTCGACTAGATCGCTACTGTTGGCAACCAGGGCAGGAGCAATATTACGAGACATGAAGAAGTTCGAGCCATTGTTTGGGTTGCGGACAGACACATGACCATAAGCATCTAGAACGCCATTATAGTGGAGGATATGGAGTCCAGTGATCAGAGTATTGAAGACGGTGGTGAGGTTAGCGGCGACCATTTCTGGAGCTGACGAAGACGATGGGGAAAGTGGTTTGTCTGAAGGACCAGCCATATTGCGAGACTGTGAGTCTTTTTTTCAGTACAGAGATACAATATCTGTATACATGCAGGAAGTCGTAGGAGCTATGTCACACATCGTGCTCTTTTCGTTGCGGCTCCGATGACGAGTTGGATCGACTACGGTACTGATGAAGCTTTGCGGGGATGCGGCTCAAAAAGGCAATTGCACGCTGCAGCTCTGATTCAGCATTCGGCGTGTTGTGTGATGAATTTTTGAATGCGCATCAATTGATATGTACACCCAGCTGTGCAGGAACGTAGATTTCAGAAATGATGAGGATCATTGGGACTGGCATGAGACAGAGAAGGGAAAGACACCCTCAAATTATCAGGAGAAGGAACCTGGCCAAGACGTATTGGACTTGCCTTTCTTCCTACAATATCGAATTTTAGGACATCGGTGTGCTCTACCTGTTAGAGGGATACTTCGAATCAATCAGGTAAAGTGGCCTCGGCTTTCTCGAGAAGCACACACAATGCCTTATTGCGCGACAGTACGAGATAAAAAAGCAGCCATACTCAAGCCAAGGCTCGTCGTCGTACACGGCAAAATCTTGTCACGCGATTGGACTCGCAAACAGCTATGCAAAAGACATTGCAGTGCAGGTGAACTTGCAATTCTCACACAGCACACCACACTCAGCAGAGACGGAAAAACAGCTGCGATGCCGCGGCATAGCTTTTCGAAGCTGTAAGGAAACGAGGCTTCTCGAAAAGCCTTGCCAAAAGCTTCCCCTCGTTCTGCCACATTTCTCCCGCATGTTTCGGCAGCTCAAATTGTTGCCGAACCTTGGCTCTTTCACGCCCAACTCAAGCCCACGTCGAACTCAAAGCCCTTCCCCCCGTGCCTCCATCGCTCGAGGTTAGAGTGAGTGAGAGAAAGACTCCTCTCTTGTCCTTCAACATGCCGAGAGTGGATATTGTCAGATTTCCCGTAATGAGTTCGGGCCGCCGACCAGAACTTGACCTCATCTCTTGAACCTTCGCGGGACTGATCACCAACTTTTACTGTACGCAAAGATGATCAACAAGCGAAAATAGATATTCATCCGTCTAAATATTCCGAGCTCAGGAGTATCTTGCAAAGCAACGGGTAAATAATAAGGCGAGCTAGACAATTGTCACGTCGCTAATGATATGCATTCTAATATACGTTTATGGTCAGCGTGTGGGGACGATCTCTAGCGAAGCTCCCGTAATCTGTTCTCGTGACGATTGACGATGGAAGTACGAGAGATGGCCCGAGAATGCTGCCGCTACCTACACAAATTGAACGAAGCCACCAACTTATTGTCTGGTCATGCTTGCGAGATGTATCGAGGCATTCAGCAAAGGTCTTGGTGTTCTTCTCAAGTCTCTCATCCATATTGATTGATGCTTGATAAGTGGCGCGCAAGGCCCCAGGAGGATCACAAGGCTTGACTGCGGGCCGAGGGACGTGGAGAAAGGTGTGATTGTGGGGAAGATGACTGCCTGTTCCTGACATAGCTGGAAAATCATCCGTCCACATGCAAACAGCATGTTGCATATCGCCTAATAAGCAGACCATCTCGACCGCTACAGCCTTCCCCATCACCCCCGCCGGAAAACATTTGTATGGGGAACAGCGGGGATCCCGCAACCACTCGCGATCTCATCTGTGAGCACGGTCAACATCACAGCAGCTTTGGCGGAACGCTCAGCAATACGGCAAGCCTTAGCTTCATGTGGTCATGGGGCTAACTGAAGCCTCCATCATGAGGCCAACCCTAAGCACAATCATCCTGTCAATCCTGCCGAAATACGGAAGATATCAAAGCAGATTGGTATGCAATGATCCTCGCTGAAGATGTTGCTACACCTACAGCCTGGATATAAATAGGAAAGACGATGCCGCTTGTCTGTCGAACATCAAGTCCTCTCATACCTGCAAATTACCGGTCCATCCTCCATCACAACTCGCTCATCACTCAGACATGCGTTCAAGGACGAACATCGCTCTCGGCCTTGCTGCCACTGGCTCATTAGTCGCCGCTGCTCCCTGCGATATTTACAAGAATGGTGGTACTCCTTGCGTAGCTGCTCATGGCACTACTCGTGCATTGTATGATGCCTACACTGGTCCTCTCTACCAACTGAAGAGAGGCTCAGACGGTACTACAACCGACATCTCTCCCTTGTCTGCCGGTGGTGTTGCCAATGCCGCTGCTCAAGACTCTTTCTGCAAGGGTACTACCTGCCTCATCAGTATCATCTACGATCAGTCTGGCCGTGCAAACCATCTTTATCAGGCCCAGAAAGGTGCCTTTAGCGGGCCAGATGTCAATGGAAACGACAACTTGGCAGGTGCTATTGGAGCCCCAGTAACTTTGAACGGCAAAAAGGCATATGGAGTCTTCATCTCGCCTGGCACTGGTTACAGAAACGACGAAGTCAGCGGCACAGCCACTGGAAATGAACCTGAGGGCATGTATGCTGTTCTCGACGGCACTCATTACAACGATGCTTGCTGTTTTGACTATGGAAATGCCGAGGTCAGCAACACAGACACTGGTAATGGTCACATGGAGGCCGTCTACTTTGGCAACAACACGGTCTGGGGCAGTGGCTCAGGCAGCGGTCCTTGGCTTATGGCCGATCTTGAGAACGGTCTGTTCTCTGGCCAGGGTACGAAGCAAAACGCTGCAGACCCTTCGATCTCCAACAGATTCTTCACTGGAATGGTCAAGGGAGAACCTAACCAGTGGGCGCTTCGTGGTGGTAATGCTGCGTCGGGTTCTTTGTCGACATACTACAGTGGCGCTCGTCCCACCGTTGGCGGTTACAACCCCATGAGTCTCGAGGGCGCCATCATTCTTGGTATTGGAGGCGATAACAGCAATGGCGCTCAGGGTACTTTTTACGAGGGAGTTATGACTTCAGGTTACCCATCTGACGCCACTGAAGCCTCGGTGCAGGCCAACATTGTGGCTGCGAAGTACGCTACTACCTCCTTGAACACAGCACCACTCACTGTGGGCAACAAGATTTCAATCAAGGTGACGACCCCCGGCTACGACACTCGCTACCTTGCCCACACCGGAGCCACGGTCAACACACAGGTTGTTTCGTCGTCTAGCGCTACTAGCCTCAAGCAACAAGCCAGCTGGACTGTTCGTACCGGCCTCGGTAACAGTGGCTGCTACTCTTTCGAGTCGGTCGACACACCTGGAAGCTTCATCAGGCACTATAACTTCCAGCTGCAGCTCAACGCGAACGACAATACCAAGGCTTTCAAGGAGGACGCAACATTCTGCTCGCAGACCGGACTCGTCACTGGCAACACTTTCAACTCGTGGAGCTACCCTGCCAAGTTCATCCGTCACTACAACAATGTTGGATACATTGCCAGCAACGGAGGTGTTCACGACTTTGACTCTGCTACAGGCTTCAACAACGATGTCAGCTTTTTGGTTGGAAGCAGCTTTGCTTAGGGGTAAACAGTCAGCATGAGTATGATGAATGTTACGACAAAAGAAATGGTGAATTTGTTTGTTTTTTTTAAATCTTAGCAGTAGCCTTGGCAATATCAAATACAGTATCAAATATTTGTCTCTAATTCATGTGTGCCGTTGTAAAGAAGGAAAGAAGGAGTTGGGAGGCTCTTATCGGGCGATAGGGCTAAAATCGGCAGTCGGCTCGGACCCTGACTCCATCGTCATTGGCTTTTGCAAGAGGAGACTCGGCGACTCACGTTGGTTTGTTCTTGTCTTTTGTTCTTGCACAACCTGACCAGGCCACTTCCACTGGGTATCAATCAAGTTCCATAACCCTACCAACGCCACTTGTCCATATCCCCGACGCCCCTTCCACGCACATCTCGCCCTCCATCGTTTGCATTCACGCCGCCAGAAACGCCACCACCTTGCGACAAAAGTACCCCTCCTCGCACGAACAACACACATCATGTCGACCTCATCACCAGTACCGCGTTTCGGCTCGCCCGGCGGCTCCTCTAGTTCAGCTCTCCTCCTAGGCCGCCAGTTCAAGCAGATGCAAAGCGACAAGGACATTCCAGGCATCAGCTGCGGCCTGGTCAATAACAATGTCTTCGAGTGGGAGGTCATGCTCATGCTGCCTGACGAAAGCGGTGGTCTCTATGGCGGAGGCTGTTTCAGAAGCCTGCTCCATTTCCCAAACGAGTACCCACACATGCCGCCCAAGATGAAGTTTGTCACACCCATCTGGCATCCCAACAGTGAGTCATCCTGTACTCGTCTACTCCTTGGCCATCTCGCTAACTATCTTGTTACAGTCTACGAGAGCGGCGAAGTCTGCATCTCCATCCTGCATCCTCCGGAAGAAGACAAGTACGGCTACGAGTCCGCTGCCGAAAGATGGTCACCCGTCCAGACTCCCGAGACCATCTTGCTCTCTGTCATCAGCATGCTCTCATCACCCAACGACGAGTCACCCGCAAACATCGAGGCCGGTAAACAATGGCGCGAGGATCCGGCCGCATTCAAGAAGAAGGTCAGAAAGTGCGTCAGAGACTCTCAGGAGAGTGCTTGGGATTAGTTGAGGCTTCAAACTGTTTGTCAGCGACTGAAGGCGTATAGTGTTGAGCCTGGCGCTCAGTGGGAGCATCTTTGGGTCGTTTCTTTCTCTCTGTTCATTCTTACGGTGCATTGGCGTGGTCTATGTCTGTCGTGTTTTCTCTGATTTTTTAACTTTATCATTACAGCTTCGTATGGGCCCTCCAGAATCGGCGACTTGCTCATTCGGTTGGTCATTAGCTTCTGGATCTCACAACAAGAGACACTATACATATTCTACCTTGAAGGCTGCATATATGATTAATCCCCTCATCGTCGTCACGAAGTCTCCATGCAAGCTTGACAGGGTTACCCCGTGGCTGTTGGTATCACCCTGGCGTCAGAATGCATCACAAGCACGTCGTCAAAATGATACTATATTCACAATGTCTAAGGCTTAGAACACAGCTTGCTGTCTACTCATCAATTGCTGCCTTTTGTCGTGCAATTAATACGGGATCGTTAGTGCTGACAATGTCCTATCTCTCTCGATCTCTCCCCTGCAGGGGTCCTGCTCAGCTCGACTATGATCCACATCAGGACACAATGCGCACAGAGTGGGATTGATCTCCAATACATGAGACCGTGTACCGACTCGAGGCCGCATCTCAGATTTCAATCTTCGAATAGCCCAGAGTCCCAATTCAGAGAATGTTATATGCCCATCAAGGTCCGGGATCTCGGAAGGGATGGAAGGCGGGGTCGAGAAGCACCGTGATGGGCACGAAGAGCCGAGATAGGCAGCTGCTGTGACTTTCAATAATGCAGCTTATCTTGCCGCTCGTTCCATCCCAAGGCAACCACCTTTGAACCTTCAGTTCTGCTTATCTTGAGTTGTGTGCTCTTGAGCTTTATCTGCTTGATCCTTCTTGTCCATCGTCTATCGATTGTTGCACTCCTGAAAGCTTTCACATCACCGACTGCATACGAGCATAGAAGACATGGGCAGTGCAGAGTCTGTGCCGAGAGAGAAGCAGCAACAGAGGTCTTCGAGGCTGGATCTCCTGGCCTTGCAGGAGAAGTACGACGCCTTCCGCATCACCGAGGACCGTGAGACCGACAGCATGATCATTGAGCGCAATACTGCTCGTGATGACCGAGGTAAGCTTGACCACACCAGCTGTAACATGCTACTGCGGCAAACAAGGAACAATGTCATCAGGAACGTGTGACTAACAAGATCAATAGACCATGTTCGTCCAACGCGCCAAACCCACGTCTCCGGTGCCAAAACCGAAGCTTTGATCCATTCCATCCTGCAAGATCCAAAGAACCGTCTAGCTCTATCAGCACTCTCGACAGCGAACCCAGCCAAAGTCCTCGAGAAACCTTCGGCCATTCTCAAAGACACGCAAGCCTTCAATGTCGCCATTCCCTTCGAGGGTTCTCCCGTCACGAACCAGCGCAGCTCGGGAAGATGCTGGATCTTCGCCGCTACAAACGTCTTCCGTGTTGCCATTATGAAGAAGTACAACATTGAGAAGTTCGAACTCAGCCAGGCGTACCTGTTCTTCTGGGACAAGGTCGAGAAGAGCAACTTCTTCCTCGAAAGTATCCTGGAGACTGCGGATCTGCCTGTCGATGATCGTCTTGTTTCGACCTTGATGGACTCACCTGTTAATGACGGTGGCCAGTGGTCAATGATCCAGAACTTGGTTGAGAAGTATGGATTGGTGCCGCAAACGCTGTACCCAGACTCCCACAATGCTAAGAACTCGTCTGTTATGGACCGTCTTCTGACGACTAAGCTGAGAGAAAGTGCATTGCGATTGAGAGCACTCAAAAAATCTAGCTCTAGTACTGCAGAGACTACTGTAGCCGCAGCCAAAGAGCAGATGATGCAGGACATCATCAGGATCCTTACGCTCACTCTGGGTCGCCCTCCTTCGTCATACACCAAGTTTACCTGGGAGTTTTACGACAAGGCTGGCAAGCTAAAGACAGTGAAGATGTCGCCTAAAGACTTTGCCAGTAGTCTGAACGACACTCACGGACTGCGAGCCCTGGGTGGCACTGATGTCCACAGCTTGTTCAGTCTGGTCAATGATCCTCGCAACGAGTACAACAGACTGCTGACTGTAGACTTCCTTACCAACGTGTCGGGAGGCAGATATGTTACCTATGTGAACGTTGACAAGCCAATCTGGAAGAAGGGTGCCATTGAGATGCTCAAGAAGGGCTGGCCAGTCTTCTTCGGATCCGACGTAGGCAAATTCAGCGACTCCTCACTAGGCATCATGGACACTGATCTCGTCGATTACGAGCTCGGCTTCAACATCAAGTTGGGTATGTCCAAAGCTGAGAGACTCATGTCTGGCGAGAGCGCAATGACCCATGCGATGGTGTTGACTGCGGTACACCTATCACCTTCCGGGGAACCAATACGTTGGCGTGTAGAGAACTCCTGGAGCGAGGATGCTGGAACCGATGGGTACTTTGTCATGTCTGACAAGGTAAGTTTGCTCTCCTTCTATTGTCGAATCACACATGCTAATCAAACTCTTCTCATGTAGTGGATGGACGAGTTCTGTTACCAAGTTGTCGTTGACCCTAGCTGTGTCAGCCAAGAAGTTAGGGATATACTGAAGCAGGACCCGAAGGTGTTGGACTTGTGGGACCCCATGGGTGTCTTGGCATAGGCTAGATACTCTCTTGCTGATCAGACAGGATAGCATTATGAGAAATAACGAATTGATGCAAGTCATACTCAAAGTGGTACACACCAGCAGATGAGAGTATTGAATGTCTTTGTCTCAATCCATGATGATGCAGATCAGATTTCAATTCGCTGATTCGGGCAATTGAGCAAAAGCTGTTACAACTGCTGCAACGCTACACGGCAGACACTGTTTCGCAACCTTGCACATGTGAGGCACAGTACCTGCATGATGTTTGATCTGTCGAAGCTCCCACCACAGGTGAGTTTGCCTGAGCTGTGTATAACGAATGGCTGTGAGACCAAAGTTTGTCGCACAAAAGTAAGGGGCTTCTCGGGTGACAGCCGTTCGTATCACTTACCACATCCGCAAGGGACTCCAAGCCCCAGCACGTGGAAATAGTGGGAATACGAGGTGTTGCCGTGTGGTCCAAACATTAAGCTTATACAGTGTTGGGTCTGAATCGAATAGCGCAACATTAAGCAGAAATGGCTGAACGGTCTTTACAAATCTGGACTTGCTTTCAATAATGAGAGGAAGCATCTGATTTCTGAGTGTTTGCTGTCGCGGAGACACGACAGGCTTTCCGAAAGCACTCCCGAATCGATTTTGCTTGTCGTCGCGTCCACGCAGAAGATCTCCGAAGGCCAAGACGTTTCCGCGACGCAAGGCTCAAAAATCGATACTCGAGTACGTACAACAGGTAGACAGCGAAAAAGGTGATATGCGCTGATCGTTATGGGCAAGCCGTTTCAGGGGAGTCAGAGCGAGTCGAAGAGCAAATAGTCAGGAGGCTGCGCGAGTCAAATCGATCTGACTTGGCGAAGAAATGGATGTCTCGAGACTTAATTGCATCGTCAAAGCCCTGGCCCAGTTACAGAAGAGGCAAGCCGCATGCATGCTTTGATGGCTTGTTGTTGTGACCCATGTCGAGATTTCTCCTGCATAAGAGATGCCACTCAAACTTGTTGTGGGGATCGTGGCGGCGGTTCCGCACGGTGAATTGGGCTTGGAGCTTATCGCTCCTCCCTGCTAGCTGGAACCGAGACTCCCAACCTCTGTTCATCCCCGAAGGACAAGAACGAAGCAGCAAGGCAAAGAGCAAACATGATTTCAAGTTCGTCAGCTTGTGAGTTGAGGATTGTCACGCGATCATCGGACATAGATCCATAGAGTTCAGCAACAGCAAGCGAACCTGATTCCAGAGCAAACTTTGATGAGTTTCCCCTGATCAAATTGTTGAAGATGGAAAAAATTGGCATGGATGTACACTTGCCAAGGAGCCATGTTTTGCCGGCCGCGCAATAACTCCGCGTCACAGTTTTGAAACGGTTTCGCAGTGATTAGCCTGCACGGCCACGGCTCATAGAGTTCAAACAACGACATGGCGACCAACGTCGAAAGAAAGCAGTGAAAGTGGGGATGGTGGGCTTCTCCTGACCTCCAAAGGGGCGTCCGGGAAGATCGAGCGGGCCTGAAATGCAACCCTTGATCAAAGACTGCACTGCCCTGTACTCATACGCAACCAAGACGGACGGCTAAGTAGATAACTACGCCATCGCACCTTCGTTTCCAACCAGCCATTTCTTGCTTGTCTTGTTTTCTGGCCCCCGCTCCCGTCCATCAACCACGACGCTTAACCGGCCAGTCCGCCTCTCAAAACATTGAGCTTGCGCTTTTGCATCTCTTCACTCTTTTTCTATCCTGCCACCGCATACCGACATATTACGCTTGTCTGCCCATTTCTCTTTGGAGTCGCCCATAATTTAATATACCATACACACAACTATCACAATGGCTTACGCAAACTTGCCCTACACACCAAAGCCCATCACGGACATCTTCACAGCGGATACCGACATTGACCGCAGAAAGTGCCAGCGTGTCGTGCCTATGCGCGTTCTTGCCCTTGGTCTCGGACGTACCGGAACTGCTTGTGAGTCAATCCATGCTCGCTGTTCTCAGCCCAGCTTCTAACATCCATCTCAGCTCTGCGCACCGCTCTCAAGGAACTCGGCTTCGATGACTGCTACCACATGATGTCTGCATCGGTTGAGAACCCCCCTGACTGCCTCATGTGGCAGGATGCTTTTGCCGCCAAGTACGATGGTGTTGGCAAATTCGGTCGCGAGGAGTGGGACAAACTTCTTGGACACTGCCAAGCTGTTTGCGACTGGCCTGCTGTTGCCTTCGCCAAGGAGCTTATTGAAGCCTATCCTGAGGCCAAGGTTCTCGTCACTACTCGCAACGTCGACACATGGCACGCCTCGACCATGAAGACTGTTGACTGGCGCGCAAACGACCCTGAGCTCAAGATGGTCTCGAGATTCGACTGGGGTTCCGGTCTCTACCAGCCCATGTTACGCAAGTTCTGGGATGTCTTCTTCGGTGGTGACTTTGAGAAGAACGGAAAGCAAAAATACATCGACTACTACGACGAGGTCAGATCTCTGGTCCCCAAGGAGAACCTCCTCGAGTACAGAATGGGTGAGGGCTGGGAGCCTCTCTGCGAGTTCCTCGAGGTACCTGTTCCCGAGGGCAAGAAGTTCCCTCACACCAACGACACTGATGGCTTCGTCGATCGCTGCCGTGCTCGCAACCGCGCTCAGATGATGAACGTTGCTTTCCGCGCTCTGGTCGTTGGTGGCAGTGTTGCTGCTACAGCCTTCAGCGCCGCCATGACTATTCGTCGCTTCGTTGGCTCAAGAGGCTCTCTCTTGGCTTAAGCATTCTTCCTACGTTTTCACGTGTACATGGCGTTCAATCCTGAGGTTAGCGTTTGGAGCATCATTAAAAGAAGGCGTTGAGGGGTTTCATGGCTTGGAGGTCTGGCTATCTTCACTCGGAGCAGTGGTATTGAGGTGATGGCACTTTTTGGAAAGTGCAATTGAGCATACGGAGTTTGCTATAGAAGCGGTATATTGTTCTGAATTCGCATGGCTCCATCGGCCATAGCAGGCATTAGTTGTACAAATTTCTTTCCTCGAATCACAAATTATCCAAACAATTTTGATACCATCAATGACCCGACACAATCTCGCAACATCAACATCCGGATTTTGATGACTCGTCCACTCTGCAAGTTCCAGGATCTCTGTGTGGCTTGTTTTGAAAGGTCGATTTATTGCGCCCAACCACTGAAACAATTCTCCGAGAGACGCAATTTTCCCAGCCGCCTCCGTCATTCGCATTTGTACCACCGCTTGTAGACATCAGTCCGTACCCGAGTCAGAGAACATCCCTGTCCATTGCCTCTTGGCTGCTAGATACACACGACACAATCAGGCAGCTGACCACTCGACCACTCAACCACTCATCATAGATGGTAGCTTGTCGGATAGACTAGTCAAAGTACACGGAAGCGAAACCGAGGAGTGAAAGTCCGCTGTCTCTCTCCCAGCCGTGCTTGTTAAGCAAAGCAATTAATATCGACAATGCTATCGATCGGCATGAAGTCGTGTGGTTGAGGGCACGAGCGTCTGAACTCTTGAAATCTCCAACCTTCTCTGTCATCAGCGGCGTTTCTCGCATTCGCGCATCTCTAATCGCTTGGTTCGCAGAGCAGACTTAACACAGCGGGTGGCTTTTCTGTTCTCAGGACGAAACTGCGGCAGGGTCTTGGCAAAACCATACAATTAGATGAAGGTGGCGCCGAGAAGCCAGGGGTGGGTTGAGTCGCCGAGAGAAGGGGGTTTGTTTGGGTTCCACTCGGGTGTTGGAAGCATGTTTGCCGACGCCAGAGAAGGTTGCTCGCTTGACAGGAGGCTTCATGATTCAGGTTTGCTGATCTTGCTTTTACAGTTTGATGCTCTTCCAATACACGGCACAATGCTGTATAACGGGTAGAGACTGTTGTTATCCTATTTCAACGATACCCACGAGATCCACATTCTCCTCCCGTGTAACGTCGTGGCGATAGAGGCGTGTGGTTGACAGACGCTGAAACCGCGTTGTGTGCAAATCGATCTCTAAAGTCCCGGACGAACATTTGCCAAGGCTGTTTGAGTGCTTGCCGCGTGGAGGGTTGGAGGACTTGCGCTGTGGTGGAGCCCTAAGACAACAACCACTACAACACCAACAGATCATCATTTGCTGCTCTATTCGAAATCATGCAATGCACGAAGTGTCCAGTCGAGTCAGAAGGATTGTAGAGAGGGATACGAGTGGCGTCCAGTCTGCGCGGCATACGAGCGCTTGAGGAGGACGTCGCGAAAGTTCAAATGTTCTTTCACGTCGAATCATTGCTGGACCGACTGCCGCACCACTGCATGCTGGGACCCACGATCTCTCTTCCTTCTGTCATGCATCCATGCTCTGCCCCTAGCATGGACCATTTGTGTGTCTGTCTATCCTTGCGGGTCCCTTGGCAATTATTGTATCCCTCCAGTCTTCCCGTGTAGATAGACCATCCACTGCCCCAGACCGGAACGCCGTTGCTGGAACGTCGACTCCCTATCCCTTTTGCTTAACGGCTTTCTGCGCTTACCTCTGTATACAATAATTGCCAAAAAGACCCCTTCTGTTCTTGCAGCATTTCATCACCCAACTGCTTTCCACGCCTTGAATTGTTCACCAAACGGCCTGTGGCCGGTCGCAAAAATTGTCTAATCATTTATACTCACAATATGCTTTCTTTGCAATTATTATCGTCGGTGCTCTTGCTGGCAGGGTCAGCATTAGCGGGTCTTGACAATGAGACGAGTCCTACACATATTTTCCGTTCGGTAAGAACATCAATGAGCAATGCCTGAGGCAAATACTTTGTCGCGTGCCGCTCGAAAAGCAGCATCTTCGGAAAGTGACTAACCAAATTTCATGAACAGAGGCCAGATTTACATGCGCCGATGCTCGAGATGGCCCTGTTAAGGCCGGAGTTGGTTGCGCCTGGATATATCATGCTCGCGCCATACCGAAATGTAGATCCTGGACCTTATATCTATGACAATTGGGGACAACTAGTCTGGTCCGGCGCTGGTTCGAGCGGACCCAAGACTGCACATGCACCGCATACTTGTAACTACAAAGGAGAGGAACATCTTTGCTATTTCCAAGGAGAGCAACATCAAGGCTTCGCCCGAGGCCATGGAGTCATCATGGATAAAAACTACCGTATCGTCAAGACAGTCGAGAGCTCTGGAGCAGGCGCGTCAAGCGATATGCACGAATTCAGATTGACACCATATTCAAATGGTACAACTGCGCTCATGACCGTCTATCAGCCGCGTATGTACGATTTGACAACCAATCCCAAGTTCCAGATCAAGGATGGTATGGGGTGGATTGTCGAAGGTGTTTTCCAGGAGATCGAGATTGATACTGGCAGAGTGGTCTTTGAGTGGAGGAGTACGGATCATCTCGATCCTAGCTTGACCTACACATTCCCGGGACGAACAGACACTTCAGGAAACGGATTGACTGAGAACACTCCTTGGGATTACTTCCACATCAACTCTATCGACAAGAACCGGGACGGTGACTACTTGATTTCCGCTAGACATATGGCTGCGATCTACAAGCTTTCTGGTGTAGATGGATCCATCATGTGGGAGATGGGTGGCGCGAACCCGACTTTCCACCAGACCAATTTCAACTTCTCATCTCAGCATCACGCTCGCTGGGTCAGTGAGAATGAGACTCACACAATCATGACTTTCTACGACAATGCTAGCAATGGCTTCAACAGAACAGACAAGTTCTCCCACGGCTACGTTGTTTCAATCGATCACATCGCAAACACCGCGACCATGATCAAGGAGTATGGCGCTCCCGAGCCCTCCGGAGGCATGCTTTCAGGATCCCAGGGCAACTTGCAGATTCTCCCAAACGGCAACGTTCATCTTGGCTGGGGTGAGCACCCATACTTCAGCGAGCATACAGCCGACGGATCACCCGTCATGTACGCAAAAGTCGCATACCGCGCTAGCAATGTCATGATCTACCGCTCATACAAGTTTCCTTGGGTCGGCCAGCCATTGACCAAGCCAGCTCTATGGACATACTCAAAGACCAACGACGAGAAATCTGGTATGGTCTTCTACGTGTCCTGGAATGGAGCAACCGAAGTGGCGTCCTGGAACTTCTACGCCAGTGCAAACAGAACTGGGCCATTTAACTTGGTTGGAAACACCAAGAAGACTGGCTTCGAGACTGTGATGCGCTACAACAATGTCACGACATGGGGATTTGCCGAGGCTTTGGACAAGGACGGAAACGCTCTTGAGCGCAGCGTCATCCAGAAGACCTTCGTGCCCAGTGTCACACTGCGCGATCACTGCGATGAGTGGGCTTGTGGCAGAGCTGAGGCGATCCGCGATGAGGATGCTCACTACGATCCCTACAGTGAAGTCAAACCTGAATACCTCAGTAACAACCGCGGATTCGATACAAGCGCATATTATGCCGAGCTACCGAAGACCACTGAGCAGGATGCTGCAGAGGAGATAGTACAACACCAGCAAGCTGCGAGATCAAGAATGCTGGTGGGTGTTCTTTGTGTGACTGCCGGAGTTGGTGTCCTCGTCCTTATATTGGTCCTCATCCGCAAGCAACTGTCAGGTGCTATGCCTAACTCCTTCGCCAGGAGGGTGTCCGATGTCAGAGACGCCATCAGCATCAGACTGCTCGGCAAAAAGTACGTGCAGGTCGATGAAGAGGAGAAATATTCTGATCGATCTTGAGCAACCCGATTTTCTTATGTCTTTGTCGTTTTCTTAATGTTTTCTACTATCACTATATCCTGAGCGAGCATTGGGTTGGAGTTTTTGAGGATGGTCGACATATTTGCAAGTGTTCGAACCATATACCTATTTTTTGTGTTGGATAGCATCTACTCAGCAGAGTTCTGAGACTCTGCATTTACGATACCAAAAAATGGGTCTAGTCACAATATCGAAAAAAGACGATCTACATACAAACCCTGGTCTCTGTTTCCTCACCCTTGAAGAATGTGAAACTGTCATGATCCTTGATGACCTTGGATTGAAACAACGGACAATATCTTTCTTACTTTTCGAATCATGATCGTCTTTGGAGAAGAGCCCCTGAACAAGTCATGTCACATACATTTTCAGGTGCTGGAAGCATAGCGCGGAGATAAAACATGGCGGCTATAATGCCCCTATCGCACACACGGCATATAAGTCGTTAAAGCGCGGTCGGTATACGTTTGTGGGATCGTGCAGGGACAATAGCTTGGCGATGGGAGGCTTATGGTGGCTTTCCACATGTTTGACAAACGTCGCGGGCAGAGTGCGTCAAAAGGAGTGGCACGAGTACCACCGAGCCTCTCTTTTGACAGAGCGGAATCGATCATACAAGCGAGTATACGCATCGAATTGGGGCTTGGCGCCTTTGAGGTTTCGGAAAAAGCCCTTGGTTTGCAGCAGGCCTCAGGAGACTCAACAAAGCATCCATGCTTGACAAAGGATGCAGCAAACGTGGAAGGGGGGCGGAGTCTCTGGGAGCCCCACTTGTTGATATGTTCGCTTGACACGGCGGACAACAAGCATCCGCAACCGCAATGCGCGGCCGGCAAAGAAGGCCTTGGCATGGTGGGAACAGAAGATGAACAAGTTACAGATCAGAATGCGACAAGGTCGATCTTGGCCGTCATAGGGTTTTGGTTTCGTATCTTGTGTACTTGTGTCTTTTACTTTGACTCTTTTTCCTATATATCTATCTGCGAAGGTCTGTGAATACGAGGTCTTGAACGCTCGTATTTAGGCTGCACGTCATACGGCGTGTGGACGAAGTTCTGGGACAACATTGCGTAGGGCTCTCTAGCATGCACCGACACCAGTATAAATCCGGCCATCTTCGCCAACGATCAAATCATCAGAATGTCGACTTTGCACGTCCGGAACGCGAGGGCGGCGGCGGCTCGCCATTTGGGTCGCCGTACATAAGGGAAGAGGAGGAGAGCTACTTTGAGCGCCAGCTATCCAACCAAGATGGACCAAGCAGCGGGCCCACGACACCACGCACTCTCGAGGCAGGCACCGGCACGACACCCGTCCCTGACGTTGCAGATGGTCCTGGTTCACCGTCGAAACCCATCATGCCGCCGCGAACTTCGTCCTTGAGGCCATACCAACTCAAAACAGATGTCGGGCGTCCGCCGCAACTACCAACTGGAGCCACAACCCCCCTAGACAATATACCTACGCCAGGACTGGTGACATATCCTCCCGAACCTGCGACATGGAGAAATATGCCCAACAAAGGCCAACTCGCCCTGCTTGCTGCCAGTCGCTTCGTCGACTTCTTCCAGATGGCCGCACTCCAGACATACATGGTACATCAGCTCAAGAGCTTCGACCCCAGCCAACCCGACTCTGTCATCTCGCATCAAGCTGGTATGCTCCAGGGCAGTTTCACTGCCGCCCAAATCATCACGAGTATTCTCTGGGGTCGTGCGGCAGATCAGCCAGGTGTAGGCAGGAAACTGGTCCTCAACATTGGAATGATCGGTACTGCCATTGGGTGCATTGGTGTAGGCTTCAGCACCAGCTACCAACAGGCTGTCGTATGGAGAGTTTTGAGTGGAGCCATCAACGGCACTGTAGGAGCCGCTAGAACCATGGTTGCTGAATGTACTGATAAGCGCTGGCATCCGCGTGCTTTTTTGCTTCTACCTGCTGCGTTCAATGTCGCCAATGTTTTAGGTCCAAGTAAGCTCAGAGCCTGATATCTGGAATGTGCTTTTACATGCTAATGCTTCTGTAATAGTTCTCAGTGGTCTCCTCGCAGATCCAGTCGCAGCGTACCCTCACTTGTTCGGCCCAAACTCGACATTTGGTGGTGCAGAAGGCATTGGCTGGCTGAAGAATTATCCCTATGCTGCACCCAATCTTCTTTGCAGTCTGCTGCTCCTGATCGAAGCGCTGCTCTGCACCTTCTTCCTTGATGAAACTCTCAAGAGTTTCACAGAAATCGACGTTGGTCTTTTCAATCCAATTACCATTGCCAAAGGTATCTGGAGTCGTCTCTACGAAATCAAGAACAAAGGCTACAAACTCGTGGGCGAGACAGCCATGGCTCGAAGAGGTCTCTTGTCTGGCCGTGATGAAGGAAGCATCGAACTTGATCGCATCACCGATGCTAACGAAGCCCGTGAAAGACAAAACTCGCATACTATTCGCCCTATGCAGCGTCTTCCTTTCCGTCGCGTATGGACACCAAATGTCTGCTGGACTCTTCTTTCCATCGCCATCTTCGACTTCCACATGGGTGCCTTTTCAACACTATGGATCTTGTTCTTGTCTACATCTCGCGAATTTGTGCCTGGAAACAGCACAGACGGCCAACCACAAAAGCAAGAAAGAGGCGTTTTCAAGTTTGGAGGCGGTCTCGCCTTCCCACCTCCAACTATCGGTCTCGCGATGGCCATTATCGGCTTCATAGGCATCATCCTGCAATTTGTCCTCTACCCTCGCGCCAACGCGAGATTCGGCCTTATGCGCTGTTTCCGATCTTCACTTTTCCTATTCCCTCTGGCATATTTCCTGGCTCCGTATATTGCTCTCATGCCCTCTGACTCTGCCTCCCCAGCACCAGCATCAGGATTCTGGATCTGGCTTGGTATTGGTGGTGTCGTGTTTCTTCAAGTCGCTGCTCGCACGTTTGCTCTTCCGGCTTCGATTCTGTTGCTCAACAATAGTTCTCCTCATCCATCTGTGCTGGCGACGATTCATGGGTTGGGTCAGGCGGACAGTGCGGCGTTTAGAACTATTGGACCCATTCTTTCTGCTTCTTGGTACGGTACCTGGCTTGAGAGGGGAGTGGTGGGTATGGCGTGGTGGTATGTTGCTGCCATCTCGGCTGTGGGCGCTGCAGCGAGTTTCAAAGTCAGGAATGGAAATGGACATGAGATTATCTTGCCAGGAGAGGAGGAGAGGGCTGATGAGCAAGTCCCTGCTGAGCCGTCGAGGAAGTAGACATGTGTTGTGTAATAAAAGCGTATGTGGGCATGCTTGTATGTTGTAACCTATTCTTGTCCATAAGAGGACGAAAGCCGTTGTTCGATTGAACAGCGAAAAGCCTTGCAAAAGTCATTGTTCCGATGTTGGTATCTGTCTTACAAACGCAAAGATCACAGGTCTTGTTCCTTGGTTGTTTCAAAGTGTTACTCTACAATTATGTGGATGAAGAGGAAGGAGCGATAGATGTGCTCGTGTGCTCACCTACCGAATTGGGAAGGCAGCCAAGAGAGTTTGCCAAGAGATATGGAGCGCGGATCAGGAACGGCAGCTGCGTCACAGATTGAGCGCACAGACGTCGGTTGTGGAGAGAATGGATGGGAGGAATTGAAGGACGGCTGGTGATGCTGACTTTTTCTCGACTCGAGCACGCACGCGCATCCTCTGGTGAACATCTAGGAATCGATGGATCCGCGCAATTCAATTGCAGACATTGCCGGACCGGCGGCAATGGCAAAGCCCAAGGCTCCGCAAAAGTCGTACGCTTCAGCGCTGGGCGAAGAAGCGAGTTCGACTCGGGACGGCACAGCCAACTCTACAGCAGGTGGTAGCAAGAAGAAGCGCCATCGCGCTGGAAAGAAGCGTCGCAACCGCAGACAGAGCTTTGCTGCCCCTTCAGAGTCGACTGCCGCCGAACGCGAGGACGATCAGAACCAGCGACCCACTCTAACATCCAACCGACCATCGGCCACACAAACCAGCTTCTATCGTCTCAAGTCGGCCGCACGCAGCAACACCAGCCTCGAGAGCGACGCCCTGCTCGATCACCGCGATCACCAACCCATCCGTCCTCGTCGAGGAAGCATTCAACAACCACCGAGAAACTCGGCTGGTCTCTATCCTCGCAACCATCGCAGTTCGCATGGCGTCTCTCAATCAAGTCCCGTGAAGCCTCGCCACATTCAATACAGCGACGACGAGGATGAAGAGGCCGTGACCGATCGTACCCCCCTAATCTCGCAATCCTACTACGACCGACCTCCGATTGAGCGCAACAGATCAGGTCATCGTACCTATGGTGGCACTCGCCGTAGACAGTCGGCCACTTCTCACACATCCAGCAAGCGAGCCAGATACCCTAGCGGCAGTGATGATGATTACGATGTCAACAATCCTCCTTCCATGCCAGGTTCCCCTAAGCTGGGCACCCTCAACGATGTCATGATCGCTCAGGAGTTCTCAGGCTCTCCCTCGTCCGAGAATCGTGATGCCATCATCAACATTGACCGGGACAACAACTCAGACCGTCACCCTTCATCCTCACCACCAACCCCATCTGCCGAGGCTCGCAGACGTACACTTGCCAACCTTGCTGAGAACGACGTCTGCTATCCCGGCCACATTGCCGAGTCAGAGCTTGGTGAAGATGATTTGACGCCTACCGATCAAGGTCAACGTCGTACCAGCCGTCGTAGACGCCACCGACAATGGCCCGATCTCGATGTTTTGGACGAATGGAGTCGCATCGAGAAGGAGGAGAGGGACCACACTGAGCAGATCCGCTCCAAGAAGATCAGCGAGCCGGTTATGGTCGGTGGCCGTCTACGTCCTGCAAAGACCCAATGGCACAGAGAAGAAGACGATGCCCCATACCGCTACACCTACTTCAACGAAACCTTTGATGGCACCATCCATAGCAGGACTATCTCCGAGCTCTGTCAATTTGGTGCTACCTTCCGTGAGCTCTTCAACCCCGAACCACCAGAGCTCAGTGACGATAGCAGCTCCGAAGAAGAAGATAATCCTCTACCAGAGGCTCCGTCAGGTCGAGAGTCTAGGCTTAGCTCAATCGCTGGTGATGGAAAAGCGCCAGATCGCTCAGCCTCTGCCACACCTGCTCAGTCTCGACCGCCGCGTAGGCCTAAGGAGAAACGTTATGGTCCTCGTCCTACATTCTGGCTAGACGTCCTTAGTCCCACCGAGACAGAGATGAAGATCCTCGCCAAGTCCTTCGGTATCCATCAACTTACCGTCGAGGATATCATGATGCAAGAGCCTCGTGAGAAGGTCGAACTGTTCCAAAGCTACTACTTCGTCAACTACCGCAGTTTCGAGCAGGACAAGGATAACGAGGAATACATGGAGCCCGTGAACATGTATGTTGTCGTCTTCAAAGATGGCGTCATCAGCTTCCACTTTTCCATGACACCTCACCCTGCCAACGTCCGCCGTCGCATTCGTCAACTTAACGATTACATGTCTCCGACAGCAGACTGGATTTCTTATGCCATCATTGATGACATCACAGATGTATATGCTCCTTTGGTCCAAGTTATTGAAGATGAGGTAGACGAGATTGATTACGAAATTCTTGCGCTACATTCGTCCGATGAAAATACAGACGACAAGGTCAAAAATAGTGCAAAAGCCAAAGAGCTTGAGTACGAAAAGATGAGCAAGGTTGCCGGGAGCGATACCCAATCCGAAAAGGGTGAACGTACAGCTGGCGATAGTGGTGGTGACATGCTCCGACGCGTCGGAAACTGCAGAAAGAAGGTTATGAGTCTTTACCGTCTCCTTGGTAACAAGGCGGATGTTATCAAGGGTTTTGCCAAAAGGTGCAACGAGCATTGGGAAGTTGCACCCAGGTCCGAGATTGGTTTGTACCTCGGCGATATCCAAGATCACGTCGCAACCATGACAGGTAATCTGTCTCATTACGAAAAGTAAGTCCTCGATGACGATTACCGCCCCCGATTGAAATTACTGACAGTATCTAGTCTTCTTTCGAGAGCGCACGGCAACTACCTTGCTCAGATCAACATCCGAATGAACGAGCGTGCAGAGCAAACCAACGATGTTCTCGGCAAGCTTACCGTGCTGGGTACTATTGTCCTTCCTATGAATATCGTCACCGGAATGTGGGGAATGAATACAAAGGTAGGCTATATTAGATGCGTGTCTAATTCTAGGATCATATACTGATTAGCCACGCAGGTGCCTGGACAAGATGGCGAAGACTTGACCTGGTTTTGGGGTCTTACAGCTGGTCTGTTCGCTTTTGGACTGATCAGTTATTTCATTGCCAAAAGAGTCTACGGCATCGTTTGAGATTGTTCATGCGCGCGCTCTCAACCAGAACAGATACAGGGATTTTCACATCCGTTGAATATCGCGCACATCTATGCGTCTGCATATTCAAGGATGCAGCGAGTCGCAGGTGTCACCAACGCCGGAATTGGCAGTCCGCAAGCCACATATCAACCAACGGATGTATTGATATCCTGTATACAAGCAGGAGGCACATCAAGGGCGTGTAGAATTTTTTTTTTCTTCAGGGGTCTCTATTTAAACTAAGTATTACTATCAATCCTATGACGAATCAAATCAGTGCTGAGCACCGCATTGCAGCAACAATAGTCAGCTGGTCGACATTCTCCTTGTCCTGATACGTCCACAAGCAGGCTATCACAAACTGTCATGCATAGAGGTTACGTATTAGGTCGAGCAATTCGACAAGGTTGACGTGCAGCAGATGGCATCAGAGCATCTGACTCAGGCCTTGTCGTGTTGGGCCTCTTTCGAACAGCCAATGCTCTTGATTGGCTCATGCCGGCACATACGAGTGCCGAGAGCATCATGTCAATCTCCTCAGTCAATCTAACAGAACGCCCTGGAGCGATCAGACAGTGCTGGCGCCTGAACGATGCCCACTTAGACATGGATGAAACAGCGTCCGCGCTGCACCTGTGACAGTCGGTGGGACACGAAGTAGACGTGTAAATACCGGCCGTGGGGCACCACAAAACGATCTGCTGCCTTGTGCTGTAAATCTTCTTCGGGCAGGCGCGGTCCGCAGGCTGTAGTTTCGTGATATGCAAGCCATGCTCCGGGCCCGAAGCTTCGGGTCGTTGATCTGCAGCCACACGGAGGATTATCTCGACGCTCCATCCAATGCCTTTTTGCCATCCTGTCTAATATCCTTGCACTCAAAACAAGAACACGCAACTCTCCATGTCGGGGGCCCAACGCTCCGGTTTAGCTGCATGTCGCACGTCGACAGTGCTCAGAGCTGACAAAAAAGAACAGTGATCATGACATGGTCAAGACCAATCTAGATTAGACCATTCTATACACCCCAAATCGGTTGAGCCTAAAACTCCATGCGGCACAGCGATTCATCTACCGTGACAGGGTCGGAGATCATTCCTCGGATCCTGGGACAGACATCAGCATCTGGTCCCAGACCTATGGTTCAACAAGCAACACAGACAACATCTAGAGCGGCAATCTCTATCGGTACGGCTGGTTTGGTCTACGCAACTGCTTCTTTTGCAAAACTTTGTTACGGAAGATGTTTAGCGTGCATCTTGCAGACATGCCTATTTTCACCTTGGCAGACATTGCAATTGGTTCAACATCACCAAAAGTCATGCAAGAAGGGGAAACATCTTACACTCGTTGTCGGCGATTTTTCCCTGTCTGAGGCTACCGAGAGTTTACTCGTACCTCGCTCATGTTTCGGGGTTCATGCGTCCTTTTGATTCGATGCCTAGACCCCCAGGTGTCCTTCAACATTCTCACATTCGTCAGGGTGCATTCACACTGGCTTTTGTTCGTGTACCACCGTGCTGTGCAGGAAAACTGGGCTTTCCACCATCCGTATCCACATCGAAGCCACCGACCAACTCATCGGCTTATATCCTCTCCTGATATCCTCTTTCATCCCGTGATATAGGGTCGGTGTACATTATACTTTTCCATGACCTTCAGTCCAACGATCAAGACGGAGATCAAGTCTTCGATTCATTCGATACCCTCGTATCCCGTCGTACAGCCCTATCAGCAGATGGTCAAATCAAAGATGGCGGATCTTTCGTCGTCGCCTCCGATGAGAGCCAAGCCAGAGCCCACCGACAGCTTGAGTCCAAGTACTAGTGTTGAGTTGCACAGGAGAAGTAAGACCGGGTGTATGTTTTCTAGTCGCATGGAGTACGCCGGACGTTGCTGACTTGTTCCAGGCAAGACTTGCCGACGTCGAAAGAAGAAATGCGATGAGGCAAGGCCAGGCTGTAAGTCTTCCACATTCCTACATGACCAGCACCGTGTTTCTTGATGCTAGAGTCCTGGAGGGTCGGTAGAATGCTTCATGTCTCCTAGTCGCCTGGGTCGAACGTAGTAAGATATGCCATGTGCTGACAGGACTCCAGGCCAGAACTGCGCGAAGAACAACATCATCTGTGGCGGGTATGAGATGAGGAAGCCTTGGAAGAAAGGAGCTCGCAGCAAGAACTCTGGTATGACCTGTTGCTAGCTGCAGTCGTCTGGGTGGACTAGCTGACAAGTCGAATGTAGCTGCGGTCATTCCTGAACTTCCACACATCATCAGCGCGATAGACGATCCTCTGGACTCACAGCTACTCTCGTACTTCATCACACATGCCTGTCAAGCCTTGAACATATACTCCGAAACACACAATCCATTCGATGGATTCGTGGTTGACATGGCGTTGGCGAACCCAGGCCTTATGCACTCCTTGCTCTGCCTCTCCGCATCTTGCCTCCTCGTTCACCAACCGACGTCGGCACAAGAGATTGTTGTTCGACATAGCCACCACTTTGACCAGGCTGTTGTTACACTTCGAAAGGGCGTCGAAGCCTACAGCTCCAACAGTTCGACACAGAACGCAGACTGCATCGTGCTGCAAACCATCATACTCGCGCACGAAGCGATCGTCACAGGAGAGACAAATGGCAGTTATCGATGTCACCTGTCAGCAGCTTCGGGACTCGTCAACAGTTGTGCGAATCTGAGCGCAGACGTGCAGAGTTTTGCTCGTCAGTTCTTGATGTACCACAACCTTGCCAACACAATCTCATGCCTTGATCCTGTCAATCAAGTCATGAGGTCATCTGTGCAAGCGAACGGAAATGAAACTGTGGAGCAAGACGCATTTTCGGAGGGCTGCGTCGACGGAATATTGCATGGTCTTCTAGAACCCATGGCATGCACACGACAAATACGGGATGGAGTACGCTTTTACCGCAACACCAGCGACTCGAGATGGTTCAAGAATGAACAGCTCCTCAGCTTAGCACTTGGAGTTGAAACACGGCTACGAACATGGCAATCTCGATTCGTGACAAAAACACCACAGTACTGGACATCACTGGTGTACCGGCAAAGCGCTTATGTATATCTCTATCGGACCATCAAGCCATCGACACCGAGTGCAGTATTGGCACAGTGTCTGTCAGACGGGCTGTCGTATGCATCGCTTGCACTGCGGGACATCATGAGGAACAATAACAGCATCCACAGCTGGATCTGTGGCGTGCTACTCCCACCACTATTCTTACTCGGATGTGCAGCCTTCGATCCAATACACAGACAAGCCTTACTCGATATCCTAGAAGATTTGCATGCGTGTAATCAAAGGACCAGTATCGTGCATGCCAAAGCAATCTTGGAAGAGGTCTGGTCGAGGATGGATGCAGCTGCACATGGTGCTGAAGATGACGCTTGGGATTGGGAAAATGTCATGAAGGACTTGGACATGGATATCATGCTGTCATGAAACTGCCGAGACATTGAATGTGTGCTCTTTCATGCCGTTTGCTTGTCGGCTAAAGTCTCACGATGGGGAGGTATATATCGCCTACATTTCCCACAAGTCGAGCATCGCCATTCACGCTGCAATAACGTCTATATAGTAGTGTTTGAGCCACAAAAGTACACAACATCTTTTAGAAATCTCGTCGAGATTCAGGTTCTGTGGTTCCCTTTGGACGCTTCACCGGTACAGGCCCATAGCTATATTGACACAATGTCATCTGGATGATCGTCCTACCTCAAAGATACGAAGTCTGAGCATCTCGTCCAGAAATTTTCAGAGACGACCTTTGACGGCGGAAGGAGCAATCCAACCCATCCATCACTGGCTCTTTCGATGAAACCAAACAAATACTCCATCCCAAACACCTGTCTGTTCCCATGCAAACGAACCACTCAGTGACATGTCCTTGTCTTTGCAGAAGCCGCATCCTCATCCCCAAATTGCGCTTTCTCCTTGGAGCTGATGCACGGGTTCGCGCGAGTACGGGTCAGTTTGATGTGCATATATGGATGGCTAAGGGGGGCCGGGAGCCGCATCTTTTTGACAGCAAAATGCATTGTTATGGGGATGCGCTGTCACGTACCTTTGCTATGGGTTTTGTGGGATGTTGGGGTTCGGAAGGATGTCATGTTCGAAAGGCAAGGCCTGAAAAATTTGTGTTTTGGGGATAAGTTGAAGACGTATGTGTGTGTGTGTGTGTGTCTTTTTGTGAAACCCGAGGATGCTTGTGATGTGATTGAGATTTCGAGGATTTTGAGGACGTGTGTAATAAAGTTTTTGGATTTGTGAGAGATGATTTTATCTCAATGAGAAGCCTTTTTCCATCTTCGACAGCATTGATTTTGCCATGTCGATCTTTGCCCTGTCGATAGCAGATGCAGATTTGTTTCAAGCAGCGGGTGACAGCAGACCCATAGAGACATTGTCGTTCAGAATGCGAAAATTTCGATTGGTTGGTTGCCTGAAATAATGCTTCTCACCCACAACCACCTTCTGTTTCGAACTCTTCTCGCAGCGAAATCTCTTCTTTTGCGTGAGATATCAGAAAGGCCCAAGACGTTCGAGGGTTGGAAGGCTGGCAAGACACAAGACAGACGATCGCTTGTTCCCACGACCATGGCTGAATGACACACGAGAGCTGGAACACACCGACATTGCCCACGATATTCCCCAGCCTGGTCCTTGGTACTGAGAAAGGTTGGTCAAGATGGGCAGGTGAGGCTCAAAGTAGCGTGCTTTCCTCGAAAGGTGTGGTTTTTGTGGAGGTGAGCTTTGAGAGAGATCTTGATCATATTCTTCGAATCGAAGTTTGATAAAGAAAGGGGGGTCGAATGCTCTGACAATTCACAGTGGACGCTGTTCTGTTTTGTGATGGACATTGTGCTTTTCAACAGCTTTCTCTTGCGGAATTTTGTTTCATTTGGAGTGACGAACAAACAGGCGTGGGGACACGAGCCTGACTATAGTACCAGTCAGCCCTGCCGTTCTCTCCCAAAGGCGACTGCGAGGGCGGACCTGGGACTATAGAAATGCATAGTTGTTTCCAAGGATGGAGACATGTCCAGAGAAAGCTCTTGAGAAGTGATGGCTCTCAGTGGACACAACTCACCCACATATCATTGTCGTGTATCTTTAATGTTGTATTGTGTGACAGACCAAGGACATGGAGAGAGACGTTGAGAAGACATTAACCAAGTTTCATTTTTGCTAGAACGAACAACAGAGCAAAAGTTCAAGGCCTTGCATAGGCACTTGTTTGTCCCATATCCCACTAAATCAAAACGCCTCGCCAGCAAAGGAAAGAAAAAAAAGAAGGGAAGAAAACGGGGTATGAAGAAAGACAAAGGAATAATAACATGAAGAGAAGTAATAAAGTGTCGGAAGCGCATAACAATGGGTCGGTAGCGAGAGGATAGAAAGTAGATGATATCACACATCGCTTCAAGCGACGGATACCCGGTTTTGAAGTGTTCACAGTCTCTTGCCAGGAACGAAGATGAAGAGACAGCAGACGGCGGCGTCAATGATGACAATCCACATAAGACACATGATGGCGCGGCGTGTCAGTAGACGATTGACAAAGTTCTCCTTGACCTTGAAGTAATTGGCAAAGGTGTATTCCGAGTAGCCAAGAAGCGCTTGGATGGGGTCAAGCATGTACTGGTGTGAAACAAGGAAGTAGATGGCAATGGTGAAGGGCAAGATGACCTGGAAAAAACATCAGTGAGAAGTCAATGGAAGAGAAGAGCAGATTTGACATACCCAGCACCGTGTGCTTCTGCTCATGTCAAGGAAGATGAGGACAAAAGCGGTCCAGATGGCAGCAAACAGAGCGACCAGACCAACGACCAATCTCAACATCATGCTGGGCTGTACTATGTTGCCCAGAGCCTTTGCGCGGAGGAAACCAGGGAAGGCATCGCGTTCCATGGCCTGGAAGACGTAGTCCTTTGCGTTGTCAAAGACCTCTGGGTCGTCGCGACCCTGATTTTCAATCGAGTCGGTGACTTCCTCAAGGATGCCGACGGGAATAATAATCTCGCGTTCCGAGCCTTGCAACAGGTAGGTGTACAAGATCTTCTCGGCACTAGCACGAATATCTTGTCTGGTAACGGTAGTACCGCTAGGAGACTGATCCTGAGTGTAGGGGCTGGTGTCTTGAGTGCTGTCGACCATGCTACGGCGATTGTTCTGGTGATCGAAGTTGCTGCCGAGGGATTGGCTCGGCGAGTGCATACTGCCATTGTCACCACGCAGGAAGGCAGAGACACGCGTGTCCTTGTCGGCAGCGCTGGGGCCTGCCATGACGCTATCATCGTATTGGTCCAGAACTTGCGAACTACGCTTGCTGCCACTCTTTTCCAGCTCGGGGGTTTCTGCTAGCACACTGCGGTGAAGACCACGGACATAGTGCCGGCACAGCGACATGTGTTGTGAGACGTCCAGCCTGTGGATTTGAGTTAGTTCTGGGGCAGGTTTTGGGCGAGCAGAGGAGGAGTTGTGTACCAGAAATCGAGATAATCGACGCTGCGTTGGGCATCGCGCATGTAGATGTAGAAGCTGAACAGATCGACAGGTGGTTTTGTCTGGCGACTCAAGACTTCGTAGAGATTTGGCAGGCGGTTGCGCTGGATAGTAATGTCGGGGGTGGGAGTTCGGTGCGCCATGGTTGTGTGTAGTGATGTTGTGTTGACTTGACGTGTCGCACGCCTAGATATTGCCGGCGACGACTCTTTGCGCGCCTTGACTGATTCAATGGGCTATAGCGATTTGATAACGATGAAATATGACGGAGTTGAGCGATAGTCAGGGTCGGAGAAAAATAGCGGCGTCGAAGAGAAAGGTGTAGTGTGGTAGGGAGTGAAATGAATAGTCGTTTGTCCGTTGGCCGCCTTCACTTCCTTCCCTTGACAGGGAGTTCGCGCTGATCTTAAAGAGCTGGTCCGAGCGCCCATGACCTGCATGACATACGAGAACTGCAACCGCAGAGAACGCCTTCTCCTTTTTGTGGAGACGCATAAACAAACACAAATCCACCGTCAAGTACAACTTTGTTCACTACTATTCATCTGATATACACATTAATTAGTTCCGCCTTGTATGTACAATGTTACATGTTTTCCTTCTCAATCGCCTACGGGCTACCAGCCAACTTGGCAGTCAGCGGTGGCAGAGGACAAGTCTCTCCATCCTCCTCGGTACCATACACAACGTAGTTTTGCTGCATACCAAACAAGTTGTGATCGCTGACATGGCACAAAAGTTGCCACACACCAGGCAGCTGAGCATTCATGTTGAATGTGTACATTTCACCAGCATTGACGCTTTGAGCCGCTAGCCACATGTCGTTGTACTGGAAGTTGTTGCCGTGAAGGTGGAAAACGTGCGATGCTCCACCGAATGCCATCACGTACCAAATAACCGGATCATTGCGACACATCTCGTAAGGTGCTCCATTGCCAAACACGTAACCATTCATCGTGTAGAAGATGGGTCCCTGCGCATTGCTGAGCATAACTGCTGGCGAGTTGGCCATCTGAGGCACCCAGAACGACTCATTACCACTGTAAGGCTGAACGAGCTGATTGGTGACCTGCAACTTGCTGGTATCCACTCCAGCATTCTTTGCATTGATGCCAGCCATGAATGATTTGGCCTCGAAGTGAGTGTTGGTCGTGACCACAAACTCACGGTGAGACGACATTGTGCTGTTCATCTCGCCGCTGTTGTACACGATAAGAGGTCCAGAAAGACCTGCTGAAAGATCCGACGGCATATTGACGAAACTGTGGTAAGACCAGAGACGACTGCTCTGACCTGGTGCAGGTGCCTGCGAATCGGTGATAATCCACTTGTATACTGCACAGCCACCAGGAGGGACAGCATCTTGCTCCTGCACCTTTGGTGATCCACCATTGGTAGTGTTAGGGTATAGAGACCCTTCATACTGCTTGCCATAGTACAGACCCATGCTGTGCATTGTTGCATAGTGGTTGGACAGGTTGTTGACAAACATGATTTGAACCATATCACCAACTTCACCTCGCAGGATGGGTCCGTTGATACCATTGTAGGCAGGTTGTTCGGTTGGAGTAGTAAAAGTGTTGTCTGTGTAACCCTTGTACACAGCCTTCTGGAACTCCAGACCCCAGCTTGCACCGATGGACCCGGTGATGTTGAGATAGCCTGCTGCTGCTGCATGTGGAGAATTTTGGATGGGTACACCGAGCCAGTTGTCCCAGCCACTGGGTGCATAGTTCCAAGCCACCTCTTCAGCAGCGACGTAGTAGGTTCTGACATTGCCAGAGAAGTTGAAGTTTGTTGGAACACTGCTCTTTCCGGGCAGCTGATAATCCATGAGCGCTTCACACTCTTGTCTTGACGCTAGCATGGACTGATCCGGAGTGGTGCTGTCTGGTGCGATAAAGAGGATACCTCCATCGGGACTCTGGGAAGCAGCAGCAGCATCGACAGTAGACGTGGTATTGGACGAGACCACGCCGGGGGTTGTAGTCAATGTGCCCTCTGGCGAAGCAGTCGCTTCGGCCGGAGACTGGATCTGACCATCTGAGATCTGAGTAACCAGTCGAAGTGCACTCGATGTTCCAGACGCTGATGAAGCAGGGCTGGCACTGAGAATCAGCGAGGTGGTTCCGGAAGCAACGGTTACTTCGTTGACATTATCGGACAACGAATAAGCAAAAGAACGAGTGACAAGACCACTTAGAGTGGCCAGGAGAAGCGCGGAAGGAACCATCTCTCTAAAACGAGTGTAGAGATGATATGAGGGAGTTCTGATGAAACAAGCGCGAGTTCATGCAAAGATATACTCTAGTGATATAAGTGCTGCATCTCCTAGCCACCATATTGTGGGTCACATCTTTCAGTCGCGTGGTAAGGCAGGGATTAGGATGAGTTGGCATGGTTGGGAAAAGGAATCACACGATTCATACCCACCTCAGCATACACCTCCCGCAAACGGTTGACACGAGATCAAGGAAATCAGAGACGGGATGATGAATACACGACCATTTGCAGGCGCTCTAGACGGATCGAGTGGGCTAGAGTCTAGCAGAGGGATTTAAACAGCAAGCGAATGGCAAGTAGTGGTGTAGAAATGCAGGACTCGGGTCCGCGGCTCTGCGAATCAAAGGCACCCGTGGGGGGAGCCGAGAAGTTTATACCAACCTGGTGGACCTTCTTTGAGATAGAGTTGTAGATGGACGAGAGAGCGGCATAAAAAGTGCAGTTGTGGTTCTGTTCGTGGCTGGTGGAAAGCTGGGAATACAGGGTGGTTGCTGGGCGGGAATAATAGAGTTTGATGCATGCATACACTGTGGCTGGTGGGCCGTGGCAGTGGCAGGCCCCAGGCACAACAAAGATGCCGTGCAACCTTGTCAAAAACTCAGGTTTACCAGTACGCACAGTGCGTGTCATTCTTTCGTATGTGGTTGACTTATGTTCGACATCCTTCTCGCCGCCATAGAGGAAGACTAGCATTATCGTCCGCCTACTATGTTGTGTTGAGCTAGTGAAAGAATGGAACGCTATTCACGTCGATGATGCTGTCTTCGGCAAAGCACGGTCAAGTCGTTATCCGGCATGCCCATCCGAGGTGGAAGGAAGTGATAACATTGAAGGTAAGTTCAGTGGGAACTCGCGGGTTGAGAAGGCAGCAGGAAGCATGGACTCTTTTTGTCTGGCCTTGGCGTTTGCTTCGACTTCACATCGTGTTTACCATCATCACCAACTCCGCTTTTTTTAATCTGTCTGGAGGACTTCCATTGAGCGGTCCTGCCGCATTTGTGTTGCAACAAAGGCCTGCTAATCATCTCGGAGTGAGTATCAAGCAGTCACTAGCTCAACTACGGCAAGTTCCCAGGCAAATTGCTAGAGGTAGGGCCGAGTGAACGGACTTATCTCCGGGACTTTTGCGAGTTTTCCTATGCTTGCCAAAGCATCGTCAGTGGTCAACTCGATCATTAATCACTTCCAGAGACCACAGTTGAACTCACATATATCGACCGAAGTCACCTTACGACACCAGCGCTTCTCCAATCATTCTCCGTTCATCTTTACGTTCGTCCATCTACCCACCTCTACAACTCAACGTCAGCAGAGATGACAGACATGACTAGTCGTAGTGGTAGCGAGCTACAGGACGGCTTGCATGTGGATGATCCCAATCTCTCGAACATCGACATCTCACAGATCAGCATCTCAACTCAGACTGATGAGGTACATCCGCTGTCATAGTCTTTCTGCTCAGCTAAATTGACATCAGACAGGAGTTGATGGAGATATCAAACCTCCGTCTGTCGTCCATCTCGCAGTCAACTGCAACTGACTTGGACAAGTCTGCCCCGACTGATCAAGAACAGCTGGAATCCATATTCACCAGATCCAATGAGCTGTTCGACAGCATGGACGAGTTGGGCCGCGATTTGCTGGGCTGGCAAGAGTTGCAGATAAATCAAGACAGGATAGCCAGTATGCTTCACCGAAACAGTCCAGAAAAGTTACATGACCACGACATCTCGACCATCACTGGAGCTGAACTCGAGTGCTTAGATCTCGAGCTCGAATATCACGTAAAGATGTTGATTCCGTCTCCATTTCTAATGGCTCGGCAAGTCTACGATGCTTTGAAGGCCCACAGATCAGTTACCCAAGTTATCATTAACGACATGAGGCTCCTTGAACTAAAGTTTCCACAAGAGGAAGAGCTGGAGGACCGTCGTTCTGAACACGAGGCGGACGTTAAGATGGTTGAAGATTGGCTTGACAACATACTCAAGACCGTGGAAGCTATTTCTGTGCGCCCGACCTGAATCGTTGTATCAAATGGTCGATCACAGTTTGCACAGCACTCCATCGCCCTTCAGCACCGCAAGATGCCCTCGATTGATCTCCTTCACAGTCCTGCATCTAGTATCGTGTCAGCAAAGGCCACATTCGAGGATACAAACATGCACCTACCCAGCCAATGCCATGGTCATACGCAACTCGGCCATCAATATCTTGACTGCAAGTTCAACACCTTGCTGCCCTTTGTACTGCCAGATCATCAGTCCCTTTTCACCATCTTTGTAATCTCTTTCAACTTACTGCAAGTCCCCATATCGGCACTCTTCCCATGAACACAAAATCAGCACCCAATGCCAATGCTTTGAAAATATCACTGCCCCTTCTTACACCACCGTCGAACGCGATCGGAATCTTGCCTTTGGCAACGGAAGCACAGTCTCGAAGGCTATCAAGTGTTGCGGGTACACCCTATTTTCTGGTCAGTAAGTTCGACATAGAGACAGGCAGTGCGAGACATACATCGAGTTGACGACCACCTAGGGAAATTGCAAGATTAGCGCATTTTCTCGAAGGGGAACAATCATCTCGCAAATCCTGGATAGTACTTACCATGGTTTGAGATCATGATACCATCAACCTTGTGTTGTATCGCCAATGAAACGTCTTCTGGCGAAGCAACACCTTTGAGCCATATCTCCAGTTTAGTCCGTGATCGTATCCATGGTATAGCGGTGTGCCACTCAATGGTTGCATCTACTATGATCAGCGAGTGGACTACAGTGAGGAAATTTACCTTGCTCACCATACTCGAGCCCCTCGCCCACAGCAGTCAGATTTGGCCATTGGAGTCCTTCAGGTAGCTCGAATTTATTCTTATGCTCATTCAATCTTTGACCTAATACTGGTACGTCTACTGACAGAAATATGGCTTTGTATCCTGCAGCTGTATGCTTGTCAGTTCCAAATTTCCTGGTGCTCTGTCTGCTCAATCACTAACCTTCAGCACGTTTGATAGTGTTAGCACACGCCGCTTTGTCCTTGATCATCGAGATGTGCATAAAGTATGGGTTGCTAGCTTTCTGGGCGATCACATCTTCAAGACTTTGTGTTGCAAACACTGATAGCCCCATGCAGATGTTTGCTTTTGCTGCTGCGCGCGAGGTTGCAAGTTCGCCGTCTGGATGAGCTAGTCCATGCATAGCTGCTGGGCTGAATCCGAAAGGTGCTGCAGTCTAATTTCACAAGTCAGTATCACCACCACATCTTGACGAGATGACCTCCTTCACCTTTGTACCAAAGATCTCAGTCTCGAGACCAATTTTGGCTACATTGATCATAACTCGAGGTCGAATTTTGTAGCGATTAAAGGCTGCTTCGTTGTCCCTGAGACTGTTTATGCTGACATGAGCGAGAGTGTTTCTTCATGTCTTTGGGAGAACGTACGTGATCAAGTCCATGGCCCCTTCATTATAGTAGTCTACTTGCAATCAGTTGGGTTAACAGGATCAGGATTACTGCAAGTACCTCTATACATTGCCGGCATATCGCGACATGCTGCCTCTTTGAGATCTGCAATGGTAAGGACATGAGGGTCAAGTGTAGGTAAACGATTCATCGTGTTCTGCAATATCAACGAGCTTTTGAGATGATCACGATGGAAAATCTGAGAGCAAGTACTGGAATACAATATGTTGTTCTCCAACTCCTTATCGCCGCTGCAGAGATACATGTAAATACCTTGTCGGCCTTCGGTTTCCACTATCAGACTTGTGACAGAAGGGCAATCCAATGCCGACGATTTCGGCCTATCTCAATCCCTGCATAAGATACGGAAGGCTGCAACTGCATTTGTCTGTCCCGAGTCGCGATGTTTTATCTGGGTATTTGACTGCAGTCCAAGACGTCGGCAGGTTCGGTCCTCGGCCTCTGCCTTCCACAACTTGCTTACACCGGCCTGATCGGTCTGTCCTCCCTGAAAAACTGGCAGCAGACATACTGACTCTGGTTTCGGAAAAGGCATCAGGAATGAAACGACATTTATTCGTTCTGGTAAGCATATCGACCATTTAATATATCGCAAGGCTGGCTTCAGAGTGCATCTTCACTCTAAACCAATGTTCCTAGACGTCTGATTCGGACTTGCAGCACCCGATCTACGCATCGATTGACTGCATACACCCTCACACGACTTCACTAACATGCGACGGCATTCAAGAAGGGAAGTCATCCATCTATCGTCCCTTCCTAATGCAATACCAATCCAAGACAGCTAGCGTTCGCTAGACTTCGGCAACGCCTCGGCCAACATCGGATTGAACGATTCAACCAACGACATATGCCAAGCCTTGCTGAATCTTGCTTCAACGCCACCAAAAAAAGACGCGGGAAAAAGAAAACACCAACGATCTGGAACCTTTCATTCCTCTGTCGCATACGGTTTGACATGGTGCAAAAAGCTAGCTCCACGTGGGGCTCGAACCCACAGCCTCAAGATATCGGTTCATCGAAGAGATGATTAGAAGTCTTGCGCGCTACCATTGCGCCAGCAGAGCTGGTTTGATGGACGCTGAAGAAATTCTGTCAAATATAAAGCTGTGCAGCCGACCTTGGCGTTGAGCGGGCCTGCAAGACCGCAAATACTACCTCACGACAATGGTTTACACGTTCTCATATAGAACCCAGCTTCTACTACTAGCGTATCGCCTGCAGCTTGCTCGTAGGTTTTGACACAAATTCGAGGCTCGAGAGAGTACAGGAGTACCACATAGATCTTTCCGCAACTAATGATTACTTAAGAAGCACTTCAACACATCGCCATGGAATTTTGCATCAGACATCTTCAAACCATTACCATCCTTCTTTCATTCAGATCTATCTGTCATGAGGATGTGAAGCTTGTATACTGTTCTCGTGGCTTGCAAATACTAGCAGGATCATTCTAGACACACTTTTGACTTGGACGTAGTAGAAGCATACGGGGAGTCCAACATCCAACTGCGCTGGACAGGACGACACACTTGTATAGACCGAGGACACTGCTAGCAGAGTAGATACGTAGTTTATCATTCATACTCAGATCACAATTGCAAAGATGTTGCATCACAGAGGAACCAAACAATCACAAGAAGGAATGTGGACAAGAGCATATGTTCCACAAGAAAACCACACATTTCTCATTTGCTATCTCATACCTCACACTCCAAAAGGAGATCCTATGCATCAAAAAGAATCCGTCCGAAACAAAACCACAATCCATCAAGAAGAGAAGTGCGCTCAAACAAAATGCAACCCTGGATCGAAAACGCTTACTTAAGAGCGTTGACAATGGCAGTGTAAGCAGGCTTCTTCTGGAAGTTGCTGTCAAAGAGCAGAGGGCTGTCGCTCTTTCTCCAAGACTGGCTGTCGGAAATGCCCCACTCGGTAATACCAACACAGTTCTTGGTCTGAACACAGGCGTTGACAACCTTGACGTAGCTGCTGGCATCAGCGCCGGCAAGATCAAGCTCAGTCATGGCACACTCGGGAGCAGCAGCGCAAACAGCCTTGAAAGCAGCAGGGACGTTGTCGGGGTTGTTGAAGGAGCCAGCCTTGCCCAAGTGGGTCTGGGAACCAACGCCATCGATGGGGATGCCGGCGGCAATCCACTTCTTGACGTGCGAGATGAAGCCTTGGGTCTTTGCGTAGCTGGCAGAGTCGAGGTTGTAGTCGTTGATGTAGAGCTTGGCGTTGGGGTCGGCGGCGCGGGCGGTCTCAAAGGCAATGCGGATGTAATCCTCGCCGAGAACCTTCATGAAGACGTTCTGGCGGAGAGTGCCGTCCTCGTTGAAGGCCTCGTTGACAACGTCCCAGGCGTAGATCTTGCCCTTGAAGTGGGTCATGACCTTGGTGATGTGGTTCTTCATGACGTTGGTAAGGGTAGTCTTGTCGTTGATGTTCTGGACCCATTGGGGAAGCTGGGAATACCAGACAAGGGTGTGGCCACGGACGAGGTCACCGTTCTGGCTGGCAAAGTTGACGAGGTAGTCACCACCAGCGAAGTTGAAGTTGCCTTGGCTGCTCTCGGTAGCATCCCACTTCATGGAGTTCTCAGGGGTAAGCTGACCAAAGTCGGCCTTGACGATAGCAGCAGTCTGAGCGTTGCCGAGGGTACCCTGGTCACCGCAAGTACCGAAGTACTTCTTGCCCTTGGCCTGGAAGAGCTTGTTAAGGCTGTCAGCAGGCTGGGAAGAGCCGGCCTTGTTGGTAGTAGAGATGGGAGCCTTTGCGGCAGCGCTGGTCTGGACGTTGGCAGCAGCAGGGCTGGAAGCAGGAGCGGCGGCAGCAGCAGCGGCACCGGGAACACACTGAGAGTACCAGGCGTTGGACTCGGCACAGTGGTAGCCAGCGACACAGGTGGATGAACCAGTGAAGCCTTGGCCACCGCACTGAGCGTAGGCATCAGCTCTTCTGACGTGAGCAGGGCCAGCAGAGGCCAAAGATGCCGCAAGGACAATGGAGGAGAGAGTGGCGGTAGAGATATACATCTTGAAGTTGTGCAGTAAGAGAAGGAGAAAGGTCTTAGCGAATGACTTTGTTGCTTTCAAGAGCAATCAAGGATAAAGAACTTGTTGATAAAAAGACGAGACTGCCAGAGCCCGCTGTAGAGTAGAGAAAGTGGTTGTGGAATGAAGGTGATGAGAAAAAGAATCGATTCCATATAGGATGAACCTCACCTCTTATATATCCCATTCTCGCATCTAAGCTCACCTTCTGGAACCACGCCCTCGCCTGCGATATCCCATGATCGCTTGAGTTCACGTATTGGGCGTATGCCCTCGGTGGCATCCTTTATTGGGCCAAGCGATGTTTCGTTGCGTGAAGCGATGGCTTGGCTGTGGTTCAGGTGTTTGAGGTTGACAGCAAAAGAGGGTTAACGAAGCGAATGGTTCGTGCTTTGACGAGATGAGACGTCCAACTTGAGCCTCGATGGTGGTCACCCTGGCCTTTCTTAGGGCTGTCGCTCCGGATGTTCGTCCTTAAGCATATTAACATCTCGCCCGAGTTCGGGCGGGATGTCGTTATTGCAGCGGAAGCCGCACATCTCCCGTAATAACTCGCGCCATCAATCGAACACCTGGAGCATCTAGAGTCAACTTGTGTTCATGATCCTGAAACGCAGCGCATACGAGCCATCGCGAAGCATAAACTCAAGCGATACCAAGCATTTCGTGCCAACAAGCTTGACAAAGTCACTTAGGCAAAATTCAAATCGAGTAAAAGTGCGGAGTCGAAGCAGCATTGAAGCGAACGAGCATATGCAAATTATATTGAGGCTATATCATTAAAGCCTGTATTTCCAGAGTAAATGGAAGAAGAGTTAAGGTTTAGATGGTAGAACGTAATGGGGTATCGATGAAACAACATGATAAAAGTATCCACCCTGGTAAAAATCCGCTGTACAAAGGAGAATGGAGGATTAGATGAAAAATGGTGGGACAGGCATGTGGGTACAGCTGTCAGGGAAGATGTGAAGAAGATCGAGTGAGTGATTTCAGACTTGGAACGTGGCAGCCAGGATCACTCGTTTAAGCATTCCCACAACTCCTCTTCATTCAAGGTCCTGAGAATAGGCTCGCGAGGAAGTTGTGGCTCTGGCCCGAATCCAAAGATGGGTCCGGCCTGGTTGATGCCTGGTGGTCTTAGCTTGGTCGCTGATGTTGACAAGCGCTTCTGCTTGACTTTGATTTGGTCCATCGGTGCAGACACGGTGACTGTAGGCGTCGGGGTAGATCCCCACTTGCCAAACACCCATCCGCCTACCCTTTGACCAAGACCCCTTGGCGGTGTACTAGAAGCCTTCTGTTCAGCCGCCACTCCTTGCAATATACTACGGCTATTGCTTGATGTTCGTGACATTAACGCAGGCCTAGCAGCATGTGCCAAGGAGAGGGTAGCTGTAACAGAGGCTTGTGATGAGAAGGACCTCGAACTTTGTGCTGTCAAAAGCTGTGACGGACGAGATTGGAGGGTGTGAATATCCATTCCAGACACGGAGATCAAGGATTCATGCGAAGCAGCCCGGCGATGCCGAGGGCGCGTGTAAATGTCCTCGTCCAGGATTGTTGGCCTGGTGTAAGCCGAGACCTCAGTGTTGTCAATGAAAGAAGGCACATGAGTACTACCTTCATCAGTTGATGGCACAGAAGAATCCACATTATTCCCTTCATCTTCTTCAAGAATTGCACCAGGTCCTCCTGTAGTTGCTTGATCATCAGGCCGTCCCTGGCCTTCAGCAGAAAAGTTGTAGGGTGACTGATCATAATCCTCAAGGCGATCTGAAGCGCCATCACGAAAGGCCGGTTGTGGTAAGGCACGAAAATACGACCCTGATGATGATCTTTTGGACTGATGGATAAAGTAAGGCGAGGTTGGCGCCTCGCTGTCCGGCGTAGTCGGTCGAGACGAGTCTATTAGTGAGTCGTCACGATCCCAAATAGACGATGCCGGATAAATGGATTGAGGCGAACTGAGCATTGAGCTGGAGGTCATGTGAGACTGCATGGACCAACGGTTAACGTTTCGATGTGGGATGCTTGCGGCCGTTTGTGACAATATGGCTGCAGCTGATGAGGGGGTATACGGGCTGGCTGCAGATATTGATGAACGAGGTGTACGCGAGCCTGCAGAAGGTGTGAAAAGACCAGATCCGACTACATTGCGCTTCTTCTTTGGTCGGCGTAGTGTCAGACTTGCTTTCCTTGAGTGCTCAGCAGGAGCGTGGTAGTGATGGTGGACATGAACTTCTTGCTGCATACTAGCCCGCTTAATTTCCTTCTCGAGGTTCGGGCGTAATGATGGTGCAGGAGATTCGATGTCGGAAGTCATGTCTGTGGGCGTGTACTGGGCGAGTTGATTTCTTAGGATCTCGACTTGCTCATTTGAGTTGTCGAGCATCTCACGCAACTCGGCGATTCCAGCTTGCAGATTGACGTTGTCTGAAAGAATATCCTTGACGAAGTGTGAGACGACAGTGCTGCCATGCTTTGCCGTCTTTGCAGCCGCAGCACCGTTGAGTCGGCCAGGAACAGTATCCAGTTCCTTCTCAACCACTCGTTGCCTCTCCATACGTGCGACGATTTCGACATGTCTCTCCTTGTCCTCTCTGGCCTCACGCTCTATCCTCTCCAGCTGGCTCTCCATGGCAGCCAACTTTCTCTCTGCATCCTGCCATCGCAAGGTTGCAGCTTTCTCCGACTCTGTCTTGTGGGCAAGAGTTGCATGGAGGATAGCCTGTTCTTGTTCGTACTCCTCGACCTCCCGTTCCAGTCTCTCGGTGCGAGCGGCAAGTGTGTTCAATCGATGTAGTTCGGCTTGAGTTTGTTGTAGAGTGGCAGTAAGTGACTGAGTGTGAGCATCTGATTCGACGGCAGCATTGTTGAGACCTTCGAGTTGGTCAAGCAGATTGCGGTTCTCTTCGATCAATGTGGCATTATTTGCTTCGAGCTCCTTCTTTTCTTCGGTCATACGGGTGATCTCAGCATCCATTAGAGCCTTTTGCTCCTCAGCCTCGGCCACGTAGGCTTCATGGCGGACGAGAAGGGCCTGTAATGACCAGGTCAGCGACATGGTGGTCGAATTGACGTTCGACAGTAGGGTCTGTGAATATGTCAAAACACAACAAGACAACAGGCATGCAGGGGTGGGAAGGACCCGAGACAGGCTTGGTTATATCTCAGGACATGTGTGTATTTTGGATTGATCGACGGTGTAGGATGGCTTGAACTGCCATAGCAAAGGAGATTGAGTGGGGAAACGGTTTTGGAGGCCAAAGATCCGACGGAAGCGTAGGGTAGGAACGTGAGATCAGAAGACTCGAAGGGCAAACAAGCAAAAACAGCAAACTCGAGATTGCGAACTGCCTGAAAGAGGCGCGACCCAGGCGACACTGACCTTTCCCAGCCGTCCGGCTTTGCGTAGATTCTCGTCCAATGAAGCAAAGGCTTCGTTGTTTTGCTGCTGGAATGCGCAGTCGTCGTTCCCACAGCAGCACATGGTTGGAATGCAAGGGAGAGAGTCGGTCGATTCGTCGTGTTCAAAGGATGTATCGTCAAGCCGCTGATGACCGTTGTCGTCCATGATGATGCGCAATCAAAGAGAGTCCAAACCTAATCCGCCCGCAACATCCAGTCATGAGATTTGAGCGCAAACCGTCGCGCATGCGCTGGCGTTGTGAATATGAAAAAGTCGAATGCTCCCGACAGAGCGCGTCTTCATTGTTTTGTTGTCTCGGTCACAAAGTCCTCCACCCAAGTGAGATGATGCGGAGATGGCGGCGGCATCTTGCATTATGTACACACGGCCCTACCCCTGCCACCCAATCAGGTTGCTGCCCAAACCTGCTTTAGCTTCAGGTACAAACCAAAGGTCTCCCTCTGCTTCGGGCCTTACCGTTTGCGACAGCATCCGAGCCAAGCCAGTAAAACCACAAACGGCCACCACTTTCCCAGCCGTTGCTGAGATGCTCAACTTCATCTTGCATCACCTCCGAGTGGACCGACTATTGAATCCTACACAACCTTCTGGGGTCTGGAATCGAGTCACTGCAGCAGTGTCAAATTATGAAAAGAAAAATTTGTTCGCGTTTCATCATTAACATTTGGTTAGAGAGGACTATTTATTGCTTCTTGGCGGTACATGTCGCGTTCAACACGCGATAGGTCGGTTTATCGTGTCATGTCTTGCCCTGTCCGTATTTGACAAAAGGCTGTATTTAAATCTTGATCTCTGAAGGGATGGAGATTTCAAGAATGTCAACACCCTTCTGGATCTCGCTCTTGCTGGGCATCTTCTTGCGTCTCATCAACTCGGCGCTTTGTGTCATGTAGGGATCCTTCATCATGCTGGCGACTGCAACAATCTCCTCGCCCTTGTGGAAGTATGCGACAAAGCTGGGTCCCTTTTGTGCATCTGTCTCGCCTTGAATGATGACATCGTCGTAGCCATTGGGTGTGTTGCCGCAGTATCTGAGCTGAGCACCGAGAGCAGACCAGAAGACGGGGATGAAAGGCTTGGGTGATGCTGAGGGGTCGTTGATTGTGGCAGCAACCGAGCGACCAGCGTTCTGAGCCACGTCCCAATGCTCGATGCGAACAGGCTTGCCGTTGCCTCCGGGGCCGTGGTAGGGGTAGGTAGCGATGTCACCAATGGCAAAGACGTCCTTGAGTCCCTCAACCTGGAACTTCTCGTTGACATTGACTGAGCCATCCTTGTTGAGCTGGATCTCCTTGACGTTCTGAAGGTAGTCAGTCGAGGGTCTGACACCGACACCCTCAATGACGAGATCTGCAGGTAGGTTGGTACCATCCTTGAGCTGTACTGAACCGACCATCTTGGAGTTAGACTCGGAAGGCTTAGCACCCTCGACCTCTGCGCTGAGCTTGAACTTGACGCCGTTCTTTTCAAGCAGACCTCTGAAGGTCTTTCCGAGCTGCTTGCCCATGACGGTCATCATGGGCTCTTCCTCCATACCGATGATGGTAACATCGTGCTTCATGCCAGCAAGACAGTTGCCAACCTCCATACCAATGAAGGAGCTACCGATGACGACAATCTTCTTGCCACCATTCTCGCCTGCAGCCTTCATGATGCTCTGGGCGTGGGGCAGGGCACGAAGAACAAAGACGTTCTCGAGGTCTCCCTTCAGGCCGTCCATAGGAAGCCACTTGGGAGTGCCACCAGAGGCCATGATGAGCTTTGTGTAGTTGAGCTTCTTGCCGTCGTCGGTCTCGACGGAGCGGTTGTTGAAATCGACCTTTGAGACATTGCCCCAGGTGAAGTCGACCGAGGCCTCCTTGTAGAACTCCATTGAGCGCCAGACAATCTTGGACTGGTCTGTGATGAGAGCCTTGGAAAGCTTGGTACGGTCAAGGGGTTGTGTGTTCTCGCGGGAGACGACGGTGATCTTGCCCTCGTAACCACCACCACGGAGGCTCTCAATGGCACCGAGAGCACCACTGCCGCTTCCGATAACGACGACATGGTCCTGCTCTTTTACGCTGCGGCACTTGATGTTGAGCTGGCGTCTGTTTGCCTTGATTGTCTTCTCTTCGCCCTTGATGAAGACGGCACCGTCACGCTCGAAAACCTCGAACTTGGCCAGGGGGTCAAGAGCTGGGGCATCCTCGACGTCACCGGTGGACACCTTGAAGCAGGCTGTAGCGTTGTGTCAGTATAGATAAAGCAGGCAAGAGGGGATGATTAGGCTTACCTCCGTGCCAGGGGCAGGTGATTCTGCCCTCGCCAGTGAGAACACCCTTGGCCAAAGGAGCACCGTAGTGGGTGCAGTTGGCACTCATGGCGTGGACCTCATCCTTGACTTTGGCCAGCAGAATCTTTCCACCTTCAATGCCATCAACTTCAACTTCCTGTTTTTGACCATTCTTCAGGTCAATGCTCGTAAGCCCCTTGAGCTTGTATTCGGTAGCCATGGTGCGTAATGTGGTTGAAAAAGAGGCAGTGTTGTTTGCAAGTGGGATTCTAAGAGACGAAAATCGAGGAATTTGACGAAACTGAGCAGATGCGGTCGTCAGGAAAGGTCGTAATGAAAGCATAGGCTGGGAATGAGGAGGGAAAAGAGAAAGAAACGTCGAGGGAATACGAGGACGTGTAGATATTGAGACAGCAGTTAATCAAGCCGACGCGGTCATGTTTGCCGTTGTGACTGGTGATTCGCTGCATTTCATCATCGCTGACCTCGATCTTGGACTCTTTGCTGCGATCTGCTCGTCATCACGCTGCTGCCCCGCCAAAGGAGCCTCAAGCCGCCGACGAACCGGGAGCTATGACCAGACTGCAGTCTGAGACCTCGGCTCTGAACATCAAGGTCGAGAAACACAACATCCATTTGATACATTGATACTGCTAAAAGAAGCACAAGAGATGACAGATAAAGCCATCATGTCTCGTGAGTCATCTTCACTGGATTTTATCGGTACTAGGCAACTGACTTGACCTTTGAGACACAACTTTTCCCTCTGACATACCCATCCCTACCGACGATGGAGCTTGCGATCACCTTAGAGGCATGACTATGCCGCCTCTTTCCCTCCCAGCTACCGATGAATCCACTGTCAAAGTCTCTGCTTTGCAAGGTCTGGTAATTATCTTCTGCTACCCTCGCACCGGTGCTCCAGGCGAAACAATCCCAGACGCTTGGAACTCTATCCCCGGAGCCCGTGGCTGCACTCCTCAAGCCTGCTCATTCAGAGACACACAGAAAGAACTCAAAACTGCAGGTGTGAACAAGATCTTCGGTTTGAGCACTCAGTCTACGCCTTACCAGCAAGAAGTAAAGACGAGGCTGAACCTGCCCTACGAATTGCTCAGTGATGAAAAGTTGGACTTTGTCGAGGCACTGGGTTTGCCAACCATTGACTGGGAAGGCAGGAAACTCACCAAAAGAATCACTCTTGCAATGATGCAAGGCAAGATTGTCAAAGTCTGGTATCCTGTCTTCCCGCCAGACAAGAGTGCTCAGCAGGTCCTGGACTGGTTGGAAAAGGGGAAAACTCCTGGACACAGTTGGAAATTTGAAGGTAATCGTCGCATGTCGGTTACATGAGAAATCGACTCAGTTCATATACAACCATACTCGAGATAACAAAGAGACCTCCGCACACCATTGTTTCAGTGTGTATGGACAGTAGCAAGCACCAAAGACCATAACAACCTTATGTGTTTTGGTAGGTTAGGGTCGCTAGGACAACATTGATGGTGACCCTGCTCTTTATTGCCCTTGACCGTGTCCTCAAGATCGTTCAGCAAAAGCACACCACCGAGCGGAATCATCGTACAGCAGATTCCTCCTATCTTTACGCACACGCTTGCCATTTGTCAATTCCTGGCTCTCGACATCTCGTTAGATGCAGGCGATGGTTTGCCATTCTATTATAAAGATCTTAGATAATACTGTTGTACAATGGATCGAAGAGAGGTCTGTATAGATAGGCAAACAAAAGAAGGTAGTTGCTAAAGCCTCCTATGCAATTCATGCAGTCGAAGCTCTGGATGCAGACAATAATCGAGGGGGAGGAGGACCATCTTCATCCAACTCTTCATCGTCCTCATCCTCATAGTCCTCTTCGTCATACTCCTCTTCGTCTCTATCTCCACCTTCTACGGACTCGAGAACAGAGTGATACATGGCTGGGTTGTCCTCGTCGTCCTCTTCGATACTACGTCGAGCTTCCGAGATATAACTGTCGGCCATGTCACCCTCATCCTCGCTGAACCGTCGAGTATTGGCCCGAGATCTGTTGTTGCCTCGCAGACCTCCACGTATTGACCCCGCATCACTGGAATCATCGTCGCTCTCAGAAGCGGAAAAGTCGGCAAGCTCGAGGGGTTTCTCGCGCCAGTAGTTGAAATCGGTGAACTCTTCACCACCACCTTTGACCAGTAGTCCCACAGGTGGGAAATAGTGGTCCACAATCTCGCGCATACTTACATAACCAGTCTTGTAAGTGTTCAACGATAGCAGATCTAGCGAGACTTCCGCGTTGGAGTTGATGGTGAAGATCCTTGTGCTAGGAATGTTAACAGAGCGATATGATAGCGCATCCGTCAGACGATTTCCAAAACCTGCATAGAAAGGGGAGCCGCCCTTTCCGCTTGATCTTCCAACGATACCATTACTGCTCTCGGCCGAGGTCGTAGGGCCTGCTTTATCTGGATTATTGCTGCCACCCGATCCAGTAAACAGGGCCATGATATCGCGCAGACAAGCCATCTTGAAAACTTCAGGCTTTCGAAGGTAGACTTCTCGTCTTAAGGCGGCGATCGTTCGATCAGGACTCATGATTGTTGGGCCCCTGGGTAATTTAAACCCTCCGTCTTGCACCACATTTGCGAGGTAATTCCTCGTCGTATCTGCCTGGCCTACTCCTCGCGAGGTGAGATATAAGATGTTATAGCCGTTGGCCGAGATCTCTGTAAATAACTTGGCTACACCAAGATGGGTCCAGTCACGACCAATCATGTTAAGGACGTGGCCCAGAGCATCGGATTTGGTGATGGTACCGTCAATGTCTGAGATGACGATAGGCACATCCCAACGCCAGCGATAGATGAAAGCAGTACAGGTAGCACGGTTGACGCTAAAACTCATGGTGTTGGGTCCTGGTTTTAGATCCAGAGATTTGAGTTGGTCGCTACTCAGGCGAAGCGTCTTTGCGTAGTTGCGGTTGGGATCGCCGACGGCCTGGGCAGAGGCAGGACCGGATGTGAGACCTACGGCACTGTCAGAGTCTCGTCGAATATGCGAGCCGCTGAACGTGGCACTCGTTTCGCTGCGAGAATCATCTGAATGGTATCCCGGATCTGACAGAGCATCGGCTGAAGTGAAGCCAGCGGGATTGAGCACATTCAGGCCCTGGGCGACTTTCTGGTTGGCTTGTTCCTTTGCCTCTTCGCTGCTGTAGATCCATAGATTGCCCTTCTCATCAGCACCGATCAACGAGCCAATGTCATAGTTTCCTTCGAGCTCTTCCGACAGGATCCTCCTGGCCAAAACCTCAGCGCGCAAGCCTTCATCTTCACTGCTCTTGTAACCCGTCATGTCCAGCATGATGTCACCTTTGTCGGTGACTTGGGAAGGAATGTTTGAACTCCATAGCTTTTTAGAGAGATTGATGGCTCTTGTCATGGCTTCTTCGCCAGAGAGGGGCGGAGGGCTTGTAGATCGGTCAGTCCTTGAGCGAGAAGACTCGGACTGTAGGGGTTGTGTTATAGGGTCGCTTGCCTTGATGGAGGCGTTTATGGCAGCTTTCGCAGCGGGAACGGCATCGTCGGTGGCTGAGCGATGAAGGTGGGCAGGGAGAGGTTTGGGATAGTCGCTGGCGGCAGACTGGTCGGCGTGATCATCTTGAGATTCGACCTGGCCGTTGTCGCTCCGTGCACGTCTTTCATCTGGATGGAGAGGGTTGAAGTTGATTGCAGCGACGGATTTGGCGTGCTCTCTCCGGTTGTATGTGGGGGCAGCTGGCAGGGTAGCCGACAAGGAGTTCAAATCAAGAGAGTCGGGTTCCGCCAGAGCACTCGATTCAGAGGATTTGAAGTCAGGACTCTGGGCAGGTGAGACCAAGGGAGATGTTTGAAGAGCTTCGGGCACGCTGGAAGAAGTCTCGAAGACGAAGAAGGCCTCACCTCCCTCTCCCAGTTTCATGGGAAAGTCACGACGCTCATCGTTGACCTTGAACTCGACCTTCTTCTCGTAAGGCCTCAGTAGAGAGAACTTGCCAAAACGAACGTGGAAGGGCGAACAAGCAAGAGAGCCATCTTCCTGCTCGACGACAATGACGTCGATTGCGCCGCTGAGGGTGGCTGGGTTGATCGAGTTCCACGTCTTGGACACGGAGCCGGACAAGGAGCGCACGTATTGCATGGCGCCGACAGATGGACGGACTGTCAAGCAAAAGCTAAGAGCATGTGGAGCGTGAGGTTCGGGATGTTTGAGTAAGAAACCAAAGTATAAAGAACAAAGCACTGTGTCGGGAGCGAGAGCAGGCAGAGCAGCTGATGCGGGAAAGGCGGAGTCAGAAACGACTTTCTACAGCAATTCGTACTCGTACGACACTATCAAGGCATCAATTTCATGCCCTGGATCCGTGCTCAGATCTCCGACAGCGATATACTGCATGTGATGGTCTATCTGACATGTGACAATAGCTAATACCTAGCATGGACTGCTTGTGCTGGTCGGTCTGCATGTGTGCTGTATGAAAGCTTTCTAGAGGAACCGCGGCCCGCTGCCTGTCAAAATGATCTTCTCCCCCGCCAAGCACATGGCGAAGAGGAGCGCAATCCCAGGCGCTCCACTTTGCTCCATGTACCCAGTTTCCTAAGAATATTCGTGATACATGCAGCTGTACAGTATACATAGCGCTGCATTGTTCTGATAGCATTATACATATACATGGAAGCGGGCGGGCTGGTCTTGACGCGACCGAGTGGCCCTGGACTTGCTCTTCAACTCGGTCAGGCTTTCTGGGCAGCGGGCGACACGGCTTTTGCGAGTCCCAGTCCCAGTCCCAGTCAGGCTTCGGCTCAGGCTCAGGCCCATCTTTCCTCCTTTCCAGCCATGCGCCTGCTCATGTTGCTGGACAAGGCATATCTGCTCTTCAGCACCACCTTCAACACTCTGTGTGTTGGTGCCGCTCTTGTCTGGTTAGATTCCTCTTTCCCTGACTTGCTTCACCCTGACGTCCTTTTCTTCATCTCTCCGTCATCGTCGTCTATCCAGAAGCACGTGCTGACCCCTACAGGCTCACATACCGCGCCTATCTAGTTATTCATAAGCCTTTGGACGAACTCGTTGGCCTTCTCGGTTGCGAAATTCCTCAGGATCCTCATGTCGACCTCGCTGGTATCAAGGCCGATGGCTTCGTCCTGCACTGGAAGCCTGCAGACGAGCGCAAATCTATGCATCGCTATGAAATTCAACTCAACGGCTCTATAATCGGTCACGTCTCGCATTCCAACACTTCCATCGTCATCTCCAATCTGCGCCCCAACCAACTGTACATTGTGCGCATCATCACCGTCAACGCTGTCGATTTTCGCGCCGCCAGCAGTCCCATCCGCCTTTGTACAAAGTCGCCCGATTCTCAAGATTTCTTCGACCCACCCAACGGTACCCTGTCATCTTCTTCTGGCCCCGTCATACGTCCGCTGCACGTCTTTCCGCCAGATGTTTCGGCTGTTCCCGCTACACCGCCGCCCCTTGTTCGAGAGACAAGCAACGGTCCCCTCCAAGCCAAGAAAAGTCTTTTCGCCAGACGCCCATCGCCCTTGCCTGGTCTGGACACACAGCTTTCCTCTTTCGACGAGGCCAATGATCAGGATGGTCCAGGAGACAACCAACAGGCTCTAACCGAAAAACTAGACGAGATTGGTCGCGAAACGGCCGAAATAGAGAAGCAGATTCAAGATGAGGAACAAGAAGCTATAGCAGCCAAAGCCAGTCTGGTCAAGGAGCGTGATGAACTAAGAGGTGAGCTGAAAGAGAAGGATGACACTAGCAGGGATCTTCGAAAACAAGTCAACACTTTGGAACGGAACAACCAAGCCGCTCAGAACAAGAAGAACGCTCAGGAAAGAGCCCTTCAGCAGAAACAGAACGAGAGACAAAAACTCAAGGACGATGCTGCAAGATGGCAGAAAGAGATGGCGCAGATGCAGGATGACATGGGCAGCATTGCAGAGCAGAAAAAGACATTACTTGAAGAGACGGAGCGCGAAAAGGTCGAGCTGATGGAAAAGCAGGCCCAAGAGTTGCAGACACTCAAGAGCATGGAAGATGAGAACAAGGAAGTTGGTGGCCAGATCAAAAAACTCGAGAGAGACACGACAGACTCGCCCAGTGGATCCGAGCCCAACGATCACAATGATGCTCTTGCTGCTCAAGAGGCTGAGGAAGATCGTGCGTGGGCCGATAAGCTTAGAAGACTGGAAGAACAGTATGTGATTGCGCACCAAAACATGGACGCCGCACGCCGCTTCTTCGACACTGCCTACAGCCAACTGGCCATGGTCAAACAACGCCAGTCCGAGCTTAACCAGATGGCTTCGGCTGTTCCGCCTATCTTCGATCAACCCATTTCGCGTGCTAGCAGTCTGCGCCAAAGACGTCCTCCAAGCGGCCCTTCTGCAAACAACTCGACCGCTTCTCCTTTCGCTCCTTCCGCTGCGCCTGCATTCAGCAGTGCTCTGGCTACTTCTGGCCCAACGACCATTTCTCCAAGCTTCACCACCTCAGCATCTTCCTTTTTCAATATAAACAACGGCATGACCTTGGACCGTCCCATGAATGACTTTTCTCCTGCAGAAATCGACAAGCTGACCGGAGGTGCACCCATGAGTCCGAGTGCAGGTGCTGAGCTCTTGCCTGCAGACTTACTTAGTAATGCTGACGAAGATCCACCTGATCGCTTCCTTGGTCCAGCCGCTCATATTCATGCAAAGGATGATGGCGATACAGGTTCTGAGGGTAGACAAGCCTCAAACCATATGTTACCTGGTCTTGGTGTTCTTCCAGGTCTAGGTGCTCTTCCTGGTCTAGGTGCTTCAAGGGCTTTTGATCAACCGCCAGGCCCGACAAGCCCAAATTCTGCCAGTAGCAGATCGCCCAGCCTATTTGCCAGCCCACGTGCTAGTGCAAGTAATCTGATGTTCAACTCTCCTGATGTAAACTTGGACAGTGACCGCCGCTCCATCAGATCTAGCACATCTGGTCGCGCAGCAAGCGGCAGTGCACCTCACACCAGTGGTAGTCGTTTCGGTCAGATTTTGGGTCTCGACAAGCTGAATCGTCAGCGCGGTAAGACATTGTCCGAGCAAGGTCCAGCTCTAGGTTCTCTGAGCAAGTCGCAAAGTCAATCGCTACCACGTAATGATGAGGCAGACGAGATTACAGGATCAGGGCGCCGTAGAAACAGCAGTCATTCCGGTAACTTTTTCGGCATCAACTTGGGAAGAACCACAGGCCACACCAAGAACATTGGAGCTGAAAGCTTGCCCAGCCAGAAACATATTGCGGTACGCAGAAGGCCCTTCAACATGTTTGGATCCAAGACAGATGGATGGGCTGCAATTTTGGGCCAGGACAGAGCGGCTGCTCTGAACGAAAGATCAAATCTTCTCAGCAACTTAGGCAAAGATGACGGCAGATCGTCACCACGTCCTATTTCTGTCCACTCCAATGAGCTGCCTCGGCCTTCCCAGGATAATGCTTCGTGGGGACTTTGGTCAGCGAACGAGCCTTTCAATCAAAGGAGTAGCCCACTCAGTTCTGACTGGATGGCTGCTCCGGCAGTGACACACAACATGTGGGGTTCTAGACAACCGTCGAGACGTCCCTCAATTCAGCATGGGCAGTCTGGTGGTAGCCTGTCTTATGACATGCTTGATGAAGGCATCGACAGCAACAGCACGTATGCATTCAGCCCACCACAGGCAACAGTCAATCTGGCGCCCATTGGCACGAAGCCAGCTCATATGCTGAAGCGCAACGTTCCTGACCCCAAGCTCAACCCAGCAGCCAAAGACTTCCGCTCCCTCTTCTCGCGTCCGAGCTCCACATCCTCAGACGTTGAGGACGAGGAAGACGACAAGATCAATTTGATCGGGGCAACGCCGCTCACCTCCCCTTCAAAGGCTCCTCATCAGCCTCTTCCTCAGACTGTAGACCCAGAATCTTCACCAGAGATTGGTCGCCAGTCTAGAGATGCTCATTCGATCAACACTGCGTCCTCGGTTCTTTCTGACTCTCGCGATAGCCTTGACCGCAGCGTCAGCTACACAGCCTCCGACTCTGCACCTTCAACCTCCGTCACTTCCAACAAAAGTTCCTCGCTCATGTCGAAACTTACCCGCAAGCACAGCAGTGGCAAGTTCCAGTTCCCGACCTTCTCTCGCTCGACCACCGAGAAGAGTAAACGTGAGTCGACCCAACTCCTTGATGTTGAAGATGAAGACATCATGACCAAGAGCATGGAGAGCGATAAAGGAAAAGGCAGTGTCAGATCTTGGAGTAGTGTGTTTGGTGTAGGCAAGAAGAAGGATAAAGTTCCGCAGACGCCCAAAGAGGAGACGCCTAGTTTGTCTGGAGCCAGTCGTGCTAGTACAGACCATGGTGAGGAGGATTAGATGTACACTTTCATTTAGACAACCAAAAATCTCATTTCATTTGCATTGTTTCGGATCATCACATCGCCCAGCTTCCTCGCAGATGTGCCACTTGAGGTTTCGATGGTCGACGAGAACCTTGTCCCAATGCAATTTGACGGGCTCCATCGAGCAAGCCTTCATTTAACATATAACACATGAATTTCTTCCAGTATAGCACTATCACATGAAGATATGTCTTATTCTCAATGTCTCTTAAAAGCCTCTATGGTTCTGATCCCAGCTCAACCATCTCTCGCGGGTGGCTAATACCGTTCGAACAAACCTTTCCATCTGGATGCTCATGGTAGTTGCAGGCGTTCAGAGTTAGGATGTTGGCTTTGGGAACTCCGTCATAGTCATGACGATCGAAGAAAGCAGCTGACAGGTCTGAAAGAAAGACAGAAGACGTGGATGTCTTGGAGCCATCTGGCTTCAGCCAGTCCTTGTGTCCATACCAGACATAAAGGTCGACCAAAAGCTTTCTCAAAGGTGCAGAGGCCGAGGTTTCTTTGAAAACGAGTGTCGGTAGGGTCAGGTCCATATTGCCTTGCGTAATGATTGTTTCAAGAAGCAAGTCGACGATTGCGTTCCTGAACTTCTCGTCCTGGAGCTTCTCACCGAGGATGTATGCTTGACCGATAGTAGAGAAATCGACATCCTCAGCATTGACCCTCAAGGGACCTTGCGGAATATAACCTGAGTAGACCCATTCTGCGTAAAGTCTGAATGCCGCTACGTTGACATCGAGCTCGAATTCGATGAGGCGCCTCGTGTTGGTACCAGGTACTCGTACCCATCCTGATTCTGTTTCAGATCCACTAGAGTCTTCCCGTGCATTAGTTCCATGAGTGGTGTTGGTATCCCGATCAGGATTCCACACGGACTTGAAGAATGGGCTGCAGTGTTCGAGGACGTTTTTGTGAATGGCAAAGGGTGTAGTGTTCTTCCCCCTACCAACGCGAATCATAACGATCGGAAGTGAAGGCCTTTATCGAGATCAGAATGTGCAGAAACTACCAGCGTATGATTTGCTTACTCGAGAAGATCATTTTGATATCTTGTTGCAATTGTTAGACTCGGATTGGCTGCTTTGAGAGACTTGAGGGCGCTCGATGAGAATCTGCCAACCTTGCTGTTCGCCATAGGTGGAGGTGAACATATGTCGCGAAGGCGTTGCTCTTCAAAAGAAACATTCCCGTAGCCAGAAAGGAAGGGAAATGATTGACAAGTACCCAAACCTTCGAGCACACGAGGTAAAGAATCAAAGATCGGTCGGTACAGCAACTTGAGTGGAGGTTCTCCTGGCGCAGACATAGTGTCGTTGTACGCTGATCGAAGTCGGGATGGAACGTGGTTGGGGTTTTGGTGGGAGGAGAACAGCAAAAGTAGTCGAGAAGCTAGAGGTTGTTTCCTCGTTGTGCAGGTGGAAGAAGTGACGAATCAATCGCACCTGCCAGAATATCACCCTCTCGGTTGCTGGGATGCTCTTTCACTACAAGTGAACTGCAACCGCATCGTCACTGTCAGAGATCTCTATGTGCTTGCGACTCCGAAGTGCGAGCTATAGTATTGCACAATGCTTTTGAGAAGGAGGTGATGCCTCTGGAGACGAGCTCGAAAGGCTTGCAGCATCGCTATTCCCCACCGCGAGATGCATTGACCGTGAAAACGTCTGAGTCTTTTGCACACAAGCGGAGAAAGTTGATGGAAGTTGACTGTTCCCTTCCTTCCATACTATGTTCGTATGCTTCTGACTAGCTAGTCCTTTGTAGTTCCAGGCGATTTGAAGACACACCGATTGGCACTGTATGCCTGCAGAAAGAGAAGAAAAAGTGGTATTAAACCTTGATACGAACACACAAACCAACCCATAATACGCTGCCATCGCTGCCATGAAGAAACATCCCATTATGTACAACCTGAACGCCCAAGCCCCATTTCGTCGCTAAACCAACCAACGCCTTGTCGTAATGTACAATGCTCACAGCTCCCTCGAACTCGGGATGGCAGCTCCTTTTCCTTCACCCTTGCTCAAGATAGCGAATCGTAGAATCACTTCTGAGCAAGTGACCAAAATAGATATGACAATCAGCACAATGACAATCCACGTAATCTTTGTCATCTTGGTATCGGCGATGGCGTCAGACAGGATTTCAGCGAGATCCAAGAAGACCTTGCAGCGTTCGTTCAAAACTTGAATGCGTGGCTTGATTTCGAGATACTCGCGGACGGCAGCATAGAGTGGCAGTAATGTTGGTTCACTGTCCCAGAAGAAGTTCGGTGTGTCGAGCATATTTGAGCTGAGATTGACGTCGACGCGACCTTGGAAGAGCTTGCCAACGAGACTGACAACTTGACTGCGGCTCATACCTAGCTGTCCTTCGAGTGCTAGTTTGCGAGGGACGTATTGTGCTTCTGACATGGTGCGCTGCATGCGTTCCTCAAAATAGCTGAGTTTTGTCGATTGTGAGATGGCATGGCTCATAGCCAGCTTGATCATATGATCGCTGGTACGTAACGTAATCATATCGTTGAAAATGCGTGGCTTGTCGATCTCATCATTGTATTCGAAGTGGAAGTCTTCAGTCTCAAAGTCGGCTTCGCTAAGCGGCCGTGAAACCAGGCTCAAGGTTGTGGTTAGCGTTGGTGAAGAAGTACTGCTGAGCTTTGTGGGAATGTGTGAAGAGCTGCTAAACGTCAAGTCGGCCAGAATGTCCTTTTCTTGATGTGCGGTGAAGTTCCAGAAAACAGCGACACCGTAGCTAAAGACGAAGAGTTCGGCAACAGACACAGCATCGGCGATGGTACCATGTCCTCCACTTGACAAATCACTAGAGTGGCTGTGACGGCGGAAGTTTGGCTCTTCATGATCGCGGGCATTACCATGGACCGTGTATTCATCACTCTCCTCCATCCAGCCTTCTCGATGGTCGCGGCGCTCGTTGGCCTCGATCTGTTCGTCCAGAATGCTTCTACCACCAGGGTTTTTCAGAACAGGACTACTGCGAATGCGATAGCCATCACTGCCACCAAGAAGAGGAAGCTGATAGACAGCATACAGACAGTCGTCGTAGAGTTTTGTGCGGGCACCGTGTTGCTCTCGTACAAAGTCGGCCGTAGCACGTAATCGGTAGCTCTGAGCAGTACAGTAGGCCGTTACTCTGGCCAGTTTGTCTGCACGACTTGCTTTTGAGAGGCGCTCGGCATAACTCTTGTCGCCAACTCTAGGAGACTTTCGGCGGCGGATTTGTTCGTCTGATGGTGGAGCGTCATCTTCGTCCTCGTCTTCCTCTGATGGGGTCTTTTCGTTTGTTTCAGGCAGCAGGACGAGCTTTTCGCTAACTTTCGAGCTTCGGGCTGGGATGTGAGGGCCGCCGACCGGAATGGCGAGAGAACGGCCTGCTAGTTTCGGATCCAGAGGGTGTCGGCCGCTTGGAGTGCGCGTATGTTGTGCGGGTCGGAGTCCGCCTGGAGGACCACGTCTCTGTGCAGAAGGGATATCGGAGGAGAACTGCAAAACATTGTCGACGGATATAAGTTTGGTAGTGCCAGTGCGAGGCAGAGTGCTGGGCCGCTGAGGCTGCTGTTCGCGCGCATCCGTGACCTGACGAGAACATGGTTAGTCGCCGCTATCGCTCAATCAAGATGTATTCAACAAACCAGCACGGTCGGGCCTCGCTTCTTCACTGGAGCAGCCATTGTTTGCCTTGTTAGGGTCGATGGTTGTCAAGTCTTCAAGGGACGAACCTTCAACAATAATCTCGTTTCGGCTTTGCCAAGTGCTTGCACTTGTCGCTCCTTCCCCAGACTCACGTCATCATGCATCTGCTTGCGCATACACTCGACTTGTCATCTCCAACTGCAATGCTTCATCTTTCTTACAATACAGAACGTATCTCTTCAAAATGTCTAGTCGACAAGAACACCAACAATGTCTTCGCAGAGCAGGCGGACGTGAGCTTCCATCAAAGGCTTAGGATGAGACTTAGGAGGCTCTACAGTCTGTGCCTCGAACTTCGCCATATCTGCACAACAACGCCTTAAACGACCTACCACTTCCAAGTAAATGGAAACAAAAGACCAACGACCCGCTGCGAGCCAAAATAACTTTCGGATACCCGGCACTCAGCAAAAAGACAAAAAGAATGTGCTCTCCATCAGGGAATCGAACCCTGGTCTCCCGCGCTTGACGAGATTTTACTCTTGACAAGCGGAAATCATGACCACTAGACCAATGAAGATGAGCCAGCTGTGCTGGTATTGGTTTGATGAGGGAAAGGTCTGACAATGTCCAACATGTTTTGGCATCCTTACTGCATCGTTCGATTGAGGTATCGAAGCCTTGAGCGTCAAGATCCAATCAATGCGAAGAGAAGGCTTCAACAGCCTATCATTCATGTTCGTCATTTCCCGTCGCCAGTAGCTTCGCCAGTAGCTTCGAACACTTTTGGTTGCACAACAATCACGTCAACATAGAGCGCGTCCGATTCACAATGCGTTGATCAGAAGACCATGCTTACTACAGGCAAGTGGAAGAAACATGTTTGAGCATACATTATAAGACCATCATTTATATATCACTCTGATTGAACAGATATGAAGATAGCGAACGGTAGCTCCGCGTGTTGCTACCATCAAGAAACAAACACCAAACAACCAATAACCACATTAGTGGCTGGCCTTGATGATATCAGCAGCTCTCTCAGCAAGAGCATATAAAGTTGAGGCCAGATGACCCGAAACTTGGAAGGGAATGACCGAGGCATCGACCACACGAACATTGGCAGTGCCGTAAACGAGATGATCGTCACCAACAACTCCACCAAGCTCCTTGGACATCATAGCAGCAGTAGAGATGTAGTGGTAGTTGGACCGGTAAACCGACTTCAGCCAGTCACCCCAGACAGCGTCAGTAGCGTTGAGAGGGACCACATCGAAACTAGGAGTGGTCTCTGAAGTCAGAATGTTGCTCAGAGGCGCGGTAGTGGCAATCTTTCTTGCGGCTCTCGCAGTGCCGATCTGCTGCTTGAGATCATAGTCGAGCATGAAGAAGTTAGGATTGATCGCGGCAGGAGCGGAGGCATTGGCAGACTTGATGTGAATGTTGCCACGAGAGAAGGGCATAAGACCCCAGTACTCGAGGAGGCCGCTGCCAGATGAAGGTGCGTTCACAATGACTTCCGAAATGACAACCTCGTCTTCGAAAATGAGCTCGTGCTGGATTTGGAACAGCTTCAAGAGGGTCTCACGGTCGGTGATACCGCCAGTAGCCTGGACCGTTCTGTTTGCGTATTGCTCGAGGGATGCCTTAACGGCCTTGCTGAATGCTGCAGTGCTGTTTCCCCAAACATCGGTGGCATTGAAGTACCCAATGAAGCCACCGGCGCCAGTGAAGTTCGCTTTAGCAGTATAATCCGTGTCGACAGTGGTCTGGTCCTGGAGATTCTCACCAACGAAAGGTGAGTCGACCTTGACTTCGATGCCGAGGCTCTCGAGCACGCTAGTACAAGCCATTAGCACATGTTGTTTGCACTGACAAATCTCATTAACTCACTTTGGGTTACCAACACCAGAAAGCTCAAGAAGAAGAGGTGATCTCAAAGATCCAGCAGACAAGATGACCTCCTTGGTAGCCAAGAGTCTCTGCTCTTTCCCTGACTTGTCGGTAAAGACCACACCATTGGCGAATGCGACCGAGGAGTTATCGTTCGACCATGTCAACCGATGAGCGAATGAACTAAGGTAGACATCGAGGTTGGGTCTGGTGGCGAATGGGTAGTAGTAGGCACGAGCAGCATCCTCACGAAGATCCAGCTCTCGGTCAAAGGTCTTGGGGAAGACGTTGTATCCACGCATGTACCCGCAGTTTGCATCTCCATTCCAAGGCAGATCCAAAGCCTTGAATGTGGTATTCAAAGTGGATGAGAAGTTGTTGCCGACCATCTCAGTGGGCCAGCTCACAGAGAGAGGACCTTGAGTGCCGTGGAACTCGGGCAGGTAAGATGCACCCATAGAGATCTGAGCCTCTGTAGGGTATTCAAAGTATTCACTCTTCTTGTAGTATGGCAGCAGGGAAGACCAGGTGATGTTGTTGCCAACCTTCTTCCAGCTGTCAATCTGACTGCTCTCGGCACGCATGTAAGTCATTCCTGAGTGTCACAATATGTCAGTCCATGTTGATACGGAGATGCTTCTCCTGCTAACGATTTTATTTGAACACAAAACTGCTTACCATTGATTGTGCTAGTGCCTCCAAGAGCTTTACCAGCTCTCAAGGTTTGAGTCTTGTTGCCAGCATAGACCTGAGCTTCACTCTCATACGCCCAGTCGATTTGCGTTCCAAAGACCTTGCCATAGCCAGAAGCACTAGTGACATTCGTGTTATTGAAGACTTGATCACCAGCCTCGATCACGGCAACAGAGATTTTAGGGTCTTCGCTCAAGCGATTGGCAATGACGAGACCACTGGAGCCCCCACCAATGATGATAAAATCATAGCGAGGTGTCGATTTGGGAAGAATGTTGGGCACAGCGATTGCGGTAGTCGCAAGGGCAAGAGTAGCAAGTACCAACATTGCGAGTCGTGCTGGAAGAATTGGAGGACACTGACAGTAGATGGAATGGAATGAGGTGCGAGAGTGGTTAACAGACAGCAGGAACCCAACTTATACATCTTCTGAAATTTGGGCAGGAGCCCTTGTTTACAATGATTTTTTGTGATCACATCGAGCAACAGCAAGGGCATCGTACCTACCTTACCATGATTTCTATGCATCGTAGTGGCAGGTGATGGGTTCGTCACTTTTGCAAGGTTAACCAAGATTTCGTGATTGTTCTTGATCCGTGCGAGACTGTCAAATCGGCCCGTCCCCTGGCAGCTGTCGTTAATGCACTTATTTTTGCTTTTCCATGACGAGTATAATGGTGTTAACCAGACTTCTTTTACTATCAGAAAGACTTAACAAGGTTGAAAAGTTAAGCTTGATTTGTTGTTTTGTTACTTGGATTAAGAGACTTGACGAGTTCAGGCGTCGAGAAACTTCTGTTGCTTTGAGCAACCCTTCCAGAGCACTCTTCGACACACTCTCAGCCGCCAACTGATTGATCGCCTGTCAGCAGCGACGTGTGCTGAGGTAGTCCCAGCTCAAGTGTAGGTGTCGAAAATGGACGAAAAATCCTGGGGCCACTCTCCTTGTGGAACAGAAGCAGAGGCCATCTCCCTCTCCCTCATATACTCTCCTATACCATCAAAAACATGATTGTCGTAGAGCGTTTCTCTCAAATACATGACAGGCAGTGTATTGGACACACCCATCTCTCTAGCGACTCTTTGCATGATAGTCAAGAGTCCTCTGTGGTAGACTTCCCAACATCTCTGACTCGTATACCCACTGCTGAGAAGCACTGCGTAGAATGGTATATGAAAGCCATCACCAAGAGGGACCAACAGAGGTATCGGAGTTGCTGACGCACCATAAGCTGCGGTCATCTCATCGGCGAAAGTTTCATCGGCCTCTCGAAAGAATGGGTTGAGATGGCCATAATCTTGGGCGGCCTCGCGAAGACGCTCAAGGGTATCGGAAGATATGGCGACTGCTGAGGATGCTACGCTAGGAGGTGGTCTTCTCGTTGCATCGCCGCGAGGTTCAGCTCTTCTTTCAAATGACCAATTAGGTGAGATGGAGATGTCTTGGTTTGGATCCATTCCTACTATCGTTTCTACCAACTCTCCTATGTCTTGGTCCAGTGCCAGTTCTGATATCGTTGTTCTCGAAGCTTCTCCTTCTCGTGTTTGAGACATCTCGGAGCAGGTGATGTGGAAGCTGTGAAAGAATTTTGTATAATCGAAGCGATACAGGATGGCGGAGAGACACTGGCTCTTATAGCGATGCTTACAGTCATACCAGGTCGCATGACAATAGCCAGAAGCCCGCAAGGCCTAGAGAAATTGCTATAATGCACGCACACCATATACCATAGCGTGCGATAGATACTCTGCTGCGCTGAAGATGAGTCAAGGTCAGTGAATTGCCTTTTGAAGTCAAGAGGCTACCATCTCGTGCAAAGATTGGCCGTCTTCACACCTTTGTGTCTGAAATACGCGAGGACGTCTTCTTCATGTCGGGAGTGCGGATGCTAAAAGCAATCATGGTTAAATGCGCTTGCAGTTTGAGGACGACGACATCTCGTCAGCATACGCAACCGAGATACCCAGATTTGCACCAGAAGAGCAACGAATTCGATGGTGACTCATGCCACGCAGAGGTCTTGGAAAATGCATCTTCCAAAAGTCTTGTGTTGGCAGAAGGAGAAGTTGAGATGTCAGCAGTGACGAACGATACGGCAGTGTGCGCGTTTTGCCAAGCGAGGGTCGCGAGAACAACAAAATCAGCCGCCCTTCTGGATCATCAAGACATCAACAACATCATCCCTCTTCCTACATGTGTCAAGTCGTGATTGTTAGCAACAAGTATGTGGCTTGGCTACATAGATAAAGAGGTGACATAAAATGATCTTCTCGAGCAGAGAAGGATTTGCATGAACGTCTAGCCATCAAATGAGAAACCATGATTGAATGGCAACAAAAACATGCAGACAGATAAACACATGATCATGTTCTTAGCTTTCGAAAGACGATTTCTGGGCCTAAGGCTGGATAGATGTATGCGTTTTGTTGTCATTTCTTCATGATGCTATTTCACTCCAATGCTAACCAAGCGACTCCAACGTTGACCAAGCGCTGCAATCTTGCAAAGAGATGGAACGACCAGAATGACTGCGACGAAGCTCATTCGACTTACCATCTACGACCTTCGTAGCCACCGTCGTAGCCGTTGCCGCCTTCGTGATGGCCGCCATGGTGGCCACCATGGTGTCTACGTTCAGGCATCTCATCGTCATCACGACGACCATAGCCTTGTTCCTGACGACCATAGTTGTCCTCACGCCCGTATTCTTGTCTTCCACCACCATACTCTTGTCGGCCACCATCGTATTCTTGTCTACCATATTCCTCATGGCGACCCTGGTGTTGAGGTCTTTCATTGCGGCCACTGAAGTCATCGTTGCTATAATTAGGACGCTCCTGGCCATAGCTGGGACGTTCATCTTGACGTTGTTGGTGTTGGGCGTGATACGAAGCGCCGGGGAAACCGCTGTTATCGGGGCGGGAGTAAGAAGATTGTTGTTCGCTCTCGTAATCGTTGCGATGGTTTGAACCATGTTTTCTGTGAGAGTGGCGCTCATTGTCGTTATCGTCATCATGTCTTCCGCCATGGTGCTTTTCTTCGGTCTGGTAGTACTCTCCAGCAGCGCCAATGCCTTGCTCCTGCACTTCACTATCCCAGCGACCATCAGGTCGTTCGTGGCGGCGCTCACTACGCTGCTCGTAGCCACCGCCTTGAGTTGGGCGAACTTCAGTGCTCTGCTGGTAGCCATATCCAGTATTACCTTCCTGTTCGTATTTGTTGTACTCCGTTCTGTGACCGCCACCAGGATACTGAGTAGTTTTGTACTCAGCCTGTGCAGTGTGTTGCTGGCCATATGGTCTAGAGGATGGCCGCTCGCCAGTCTGCATATAGCTCTGCGAATACGATCCATCTTGTTGGTTGTAGCTTGACTGCTGGTATGTCTGTGTCTCGCCCTTCGATTCAAAAGCGCTGCTCAACAGACTACCTCCGACACTGCTAACAAGACCACCAAGGACAGAACCAAGAGCACCGCCCCCGACAGCCTCGCCAACGAAATTGCCAGCCTGTTGCTCAAAGGCACTGGTAGGACGGCTGCTGGGCCGGCCATAACTACCAGAGCCGTTATGATGTTGGCCACCACTGACAAAGTCATTGATGCCTTCCATAACGGCTGCATGAGCTGCAGCAGCGGGAGCATTGTTGTGCTGCTTCTGCTGGAAGAGAGGCTTGCAACAACCATGTCCCGTGTCTTTGACACCTTCCTTGTGGTTCTGGCCCGTCTCAACCCCACGTCTGCTGAGCTTGCGACGAAGGTCGTCACGCTCACGTTCAGACTTCTCCTGCCACCACTGCTCGACAACACCGAACATGATGTGACGACAGTCAGCAGCACCGTCATTGCCAAATTGACGCAGGGCAGGGTGGTGGAAGACACCGTTGATGATACGATCGAGAGTTCTGGCAATGTTGATATTCTCGTTGTCCCAACATTGGACAATTTGAGGAACGACCCATTTGAGCACAGCACATCCAATCTTTCCGGCAGGTTCGTTGAGGATGTTAGAGAAGTGATCCTTGGAGAGCATAGAGTGGGTGGGATCGGACGAATTGTCGTTGTGGAAGACGACCAATTGCTCTTCACGACTGCTCTGGATGACCTCAGAAGAGCCGGTTGCGAGCTCCTCCTTGACCTGGCTGATTATTGGCAGGACAAAAGGAGCAAGCAGCGAGAAAACGAAGATGTTGAGCTGCTCGGTGAGCTGCTCGAGAAGATCGGGCAAGACAGGGATCTTCTCAATGGCTTCGTTGATGCCCATCATGAGCTCGTCGTGGAACTGAAGGATGGGGTAGATTTGGTGCTGAACTTGCTGGAGTTGCTTGGTCCATTCCTCTGGTCTTCGGGGCTCAAGCTTCATATTCGACATTTGCGCAGCGGCAGCATTGCTCTGCAGCTCGTCAACTTTGCCGGCCTGGTCTTTGCCGCCGAGAAGGCCGGAAGGAAGGGCCTTGAGAAGCTTCTTGAGCAGGCTGGTGTTTTGATTTTGCGAGTTATCCATTACGCCTTCCAACTCTTGAAGCTCAGATTGAGTAGCTTTGTCGTCCAACTCGCCCATGACCGAGTGGAGGAAGTCGACACCACCAAAGGTACCTGTGATGATGGGGTAGACAGGGTGGCGGGCCCCCTGGACATGGACTTGGGTGTTGCGGCCGACGTGAGGAAAGACATCACGCTCGCCTAGCTCGATAAGGGCCAGCTCAGTGTAGTTGGAATGCGCAGAGTAGTCCTCGAGACAATGCAGCCCCGTACCTAGGAGGCGCAAAGCCTCGTAAAATTCCTTCTTGTCCCTGGTTCTGTTGAAGGCTCTGCCGAGGTCGATGCAGCGGCCGAAGAGATTGCGCACCAGCTGGGCAGACGTGGTAATACCCAGGTCCTCTGAGGCAATATAGTTCTTCAGACCGGTTCTCTCATCGATGCTCAATTCCCTCTCTTCATCGATCGGGCCACGCAGTCTACGGTCGTACTGACGGGCATCTTCTCCTTCGGCGTAACCTTTTGGATTATCGATATGCTCCTCGGGACGGTAGCATCCTAGCCTCTCAGATGTGACTTCGAACTCGCCAGTACCGTATCCGAAGGTCAGGAAGCCCAGCACCCATAACAGGATACGAATAGCCTCGGCCGAGACGTGTTTAGTGGTTCCTACGTCGACGGCCTGACTGTAATCACGCAGCCAGTTTCCGAAGTAGACACGCTTGACATCGATCTTGCTGAACTTGGCGCCCTTGGCGTAGGCGTAGGAGCTGACGAGGGTGAGAAGGGTATCTTCGATATCTCCATGGCGGAAGTTGACTCCTTCAACGTTAGATACAGACGCAATGTTGCCGGCGCCAAAAGCATGAGTCGGGCGAGCATGCAGCAGGAACAGCAGGAAGACAGCCGTCACAGCGAAGCTGCCGCTAGATGCTGAAAAGAAAGCCATGCTTGACGATCTCTAGTCAATGGTATAGCAGCGACAAGAGATTCTGTCGGTGAAGGGATCAGTTAGGAGAAATCGCCAAGGGCAGGCCAAGGCGTTTCAAGCAGGCCAAGAGAACTCAGCCACGACTGTGGCATTGTCTTGCATAACATCGCTGGAGCTGAGGTCGTCTTGCATTGCGGAGCCGATTCGGCAGTCCTCACAAGAGCATGCACTCCCGCTGCGAGTCTGTTGTCGTCCAACAACCAGGTAAATCGACCTACCTCGCGTCGAAAGAAGGGTACTTACCCCTCGTCTTGCCAAAGTCTTGTGCAGCTTCCTTTTCGACCCCGCCAAACAGGGTCCAAGCTCCCTGACAAACGGGATGCCGCTTCCCTCAGCACAGCACCAGGATCAGATATCGCGTATCATCAGGGTCAATATGCCAGGCACCGCGGCTAACTGATTGAAGTGTGTTGGCCTTTCAGGGATCATACTGTTGGGACTCAGTGGTTGATGAACAGCCGACTTGATCGTCCCTCTCTTCGACAAGCGATGAGCTGCGCAGAAAAAATCTCTGGAGCCGAAAGTTCATCGGTTAGCATTAATATTTCTTTATATCGAGCACTTATCTCGCTTCCGTGCCACGTCTCCGTTGTGTGGGGACTGTGAACTACGACTGCCGGCAGGATTCAGGATGAGGAAGGTGCAATGCAGACACTTTAACAAACTCTGCCCGACACTGTCGATCATCCCACATACGGGACTACACTTTTAGAATCTGAAGTCGCATCCGGCGGCGGCATGCCCTTCTTGGGCTTCTTCTCTGCTCGTTCGAATGGAGCCACCTTTTTGCCCTGCAGATGTCCATCACAAAGAACAGTGTCAATGCTCTTGTCGATCCCAATGATTCGCCGACCACCCATCTACCTTGACTCGTCTTCCAACACACTGGGCTAGTCTGCGCTCCAGCGACATGCAAGGACCCGCTCTCCAAATTGATAACCCTGATCACTTGCCGAGCTCGACCGTCTCTGTGCCCTTTCTCGGTTGCCGTATGTCTAGATTGGATGTTGATCACCTGCCTGATCCTTTGGGCTCCATCATCAGACTATTGCGACTCATGTCCACACCGAGTACAATAGAAGCGCGCCTGATATACCTCCATCCACACAAAGAAGGGTCTGCTCATCATCTATACGCGAACCACCAAGAGATTACTCGTACTCACTATACTCGCCAATGTTCTGATCACCTCGCTCTACGTCCGTATAGAGCAATTGAGCAATTGTTCTACCGACAGAGCGGCATCACTATACCTGCTAATGCTTCATAGTCCGTCACGAGGCTTTGTCTCACTCTTCGCACTTCATGCGCAGCCTTCACGTACTCATACACATTCCAAGAGACCGGCCCTCTTGGAAGCGCCACCACATGTCTAAGAAGTGTTGGCTTCGTCTTGTTAGACATCCAACAAGTGGCCATTACGGGTGAGCGGACGCAAGTCGATGTAACCTCTCGCATCGACACGATGCGTTGGTATGGGTAGCCGAGCAATCAATCTGGCAAGATTTTCTGGTGAGATCTCCATTCATGACCTTTTGTGCCCATGTTTCGACCTCTCTTGCCTGCACACGTGGACGTCCAATTGTTGAGTTGAGCCACAATCAAGGGCGGCGGGCGAGAACGGCAGGTGTCATTCTCAAACACAACAGTGGAAATTCGTACTCAGCTTCGAGTTCAGAATTGGAATTCAGGCGATCTTGTCAGTTTCATTATACAGACCCGCGGTCCAATGACTGTTCTTGAAAGATAATTGAGCGCATTGCGCTCTCTGAGCACGATTCGCAAAGGCTTCTCGATATAACACTGCACAATGTTCTCGCATAGGAAGCAGGAAAAAGATGTATATGGTATATGTTGATAACCCGGTCGATGGCTCGGGCGTCCCGTAGCAGAACAGAGACCACTATGAGCACTGTTACAGATTCATTACTGGGAGTAATATGAGCGAAAAGTGCCTGATTGGTTCGCAGCTGGGTGCGAAATTTTGATGTGGAGTTCGATCCGACCAGAAAAGGAATCGCACAAGTCAGAACGAGAACAAAGACCAGAAGAAAAAGGTTGAAGAAGTCGAAGGTTCACGAGTCACGACTCAGATAAAACCACCAATCACGCCTCTCTCGGGACGCCCCAGCCTTCCGTTGACCCCGTCGTTTGGTCGGGAAGAAACCCGCCAGCCGTGCACTCGGGGTCTGCTTGTCAAGGCGACACCGGTGACACGCTAGATTGATAGATCCGGAAAGCTCTTTTCTTTTATGCACGATGATTCTGGACGTCTTGCCATGACTCGACATGATGCACTCAGAATCGGCGCTGGTCCCGGATAAGAAAAAAGAAACAGCTTCAACTGTCGAGAATTGTCACAGTGTAGAGACGCAGTATCATGGTTGTTGAGAAGTCTTCCGAGAGCAACCCAGCTTCGGGTCTTGCGACTTTGATTTCTCATCAAGGTAAGCAACGCAATCGATTTAATCAACCTATCCTCAAGGCTTTGGTCCATGCACATGTAGGCAAGCCGGGATGCAGGGGAGAGCGAGACTCATAGCGCTATGATCCGCAGCCCACTACCGCGACTGAAACAGGAACGTACTCCCCAAAGAGTCGGAAGAGAATTATGATTGACCTCCACCACCACTGGTTCGTCTTCGTTCATTCGGCAGCCGGCCACCGTCCGCGGGCTGGTTCATGGAGTCGGTGGACTCTTTGATTTGACAAATTCGCTCATGACTCCACCTCTCTCATCTTTTGCTGCTAAGTTACCACTCTTCTTCCTTCTCAACACCTGAGCTTTCTGGATCATCGCCACCTGCGACCCTTTCACGAGTCAAGTCTTGGTCTGTATCATTAGGCACTTTGGTACCTAGTCTACATTCGTTCACTTCTTCGACGCCATCAGCTGGAGTGACACAATCGTCTTGATCCTTCGAAAAACAAAAGGCGCACATCACACGAGTCTAGGCAGACTTCGGTGACCGGCAAGGCACAACGGTTTCTGAACCGGAGATGTGCCTCGAGTCAAACTCTCTTTAAGTTTTCGAGCTCCCCTGATCTCCACATCTTTACTGCGCACCTGCGAAACACATTTACATACATATTGTTCTCCCTCCAACGCATCGTTGTTTCAACTCGCAAGGCGTCTCACGTCCACACTAGAAAAACAACCCTGCCGAACTTCTCCACCTTGTCGACTCGTCCTATTGCCTTTACCAACATCTGACAGCGCTTTGATCTATCACCATGTCACAGGATACTGGGCCACGCCTAGCTGCGACAGTCATCGTTCTGTCCGTTCTGGCATATCCGTTACTGGCGCTACGAGTCTATATCAGACTAAGCACACGAGCATGGGGTGCTGACGACTGGTCTATGTTGTTCGCAGCTATACCATTTACTGGTCTGACAATAGCATGTCTTGGTGGTGCTTTCAACGGTGTTGGTGGACATGAAGCCGAGCTGGGCGAAGAACAGGTGTCTATTGGTCTTCATGTTAGTTACCATCAACCATTTCGTGTCTTGTTTGTGAGCTAACCATCAATAGTGGTTCTTCTTCTTCGAAGTCTTCTACTGTATTGCAATTGTACCCATCAAGCTCAGTATCTCATTGATGGAGATGCGTATTGCTAGCAGCAAGAAGAGCTTCGTCACATCGCTTTGGGTCACTTCTGCCATGTTCATCATTATGAACGTCATCTCGCTTTTCGTCATCATCTTCCATTGTAACCCCATCTCATGGGCTTGGGACACAACTACTCCTGGAGGACACTGCAATTCTGCCACTACTCTTACCAACATCTACTATGCCGACACTGCCGTCAACATCTTCACCGACTGGTTCTGCGCTTTGCTGTAAGTCTCCACGAATCAGTGCATATCTCCCTTCCGCTGACTCTGATCTAATAGGCCTATTCCTCTGCTGTGGTCAATTCAGCTGAACCGTAACTCAAAAGTCTCAGTCGTCTTCCTCCTGAGCTTGGGTGTTCTGGCCAGTCTTTCTGCTTGTATCCGTCTCAAGTACACTGTCAACCTGAACAGCTCCCAGGACTACATCCATGGTGTTGGTGACATCGTCATCTGGGGTTACGCCGAGAACGGTATTGGTATGGTGGTTGGCTGTCTCAGTACTTTGCGTCCACTGTTCCGCCGTGTCTTCCACCTCGGCAGCTCAGCACAAGACGGCGCCTCCTCCAAGATCAACGGAACACGAAAGGCCACCCGTCGCAATTACGTCAACTGCGAAGCTGGTTACGAGCTTCCTGAGGGCGTGCGTCCCTCGGAAAGAGATGTCGTTGTCAAGGGAGGCACCGTCAAGGAGACTAGCATTCGCGACTCCGACTCGGAGGAACACATCCTTTCAGACTACCCTGGCATCAAGATGACAAGGAGTGTCTTGCAAGAGACAAGCTTTGCTACCAACTCTACCCACGGAACCAGTCCGTAAAATCAACGGAACGACCATACCATAGGAAAGGATGAGAGCATTATGACAGGATATTAGGAGGAGGCTGGGGCCGTCTCATATGAGCACATTATTCTTTTTCTTTTGTTTTCCTATTCTACAGTCACCATTATACCCATTTCCTTTCTGGTCTTTATGTATATAATCATCTTCACGTTCGAGCACCAACTGTGCAAAGGACAATTTTGTGCATATCTGCTTCGCATAGAAGCTTTCAATGCATACTTCATAGACTATCTCTCTACCCATCTTCGCTACGCGGTCGTGTCTCATCCAGTATCCCATATCACACTTGTTACTCCAGCACGGCTCCTTTCATGGACTGAACCATCTGCCGAAAATTGATGTCGCCAACAACCTTTCACGATCTCGCTAACGGGTTGCGAATTCGACAAAGATCTTCCAACTCTATCGTATTTCGCCTCATAACTATTCAATAAAGTTTTGTCTGACTTTACATTCTCTGTCAGAGAAAACTCAACAAGTCATGCATGTCTCTGTTTTTTTCCTTCTGTTACTTTGCTTGGCCAAACGACCATCTCAAAGTCTCTTGTCTTTTTCCCTGTCGATCTTCTGAGCATAAATATGATAAGCCTTCAACATCCGCGTGCGGCGTGAGAAACTCAAATCCTTTCTGTCCACGCGAAAAGTCTAAAGTCTACACAGCTCGAATTCGAAACATCGGGCTTGAAGTCTAAACGCCAACGAAGTAACGTCGCACGGCTTGTTTTCTTGTGACAAAGAATAGTAATCAAGAACATGACGATGCGCAATGGTTGCATTGAGACGTGGGGTATTCCCGCTCGGCGAGTATATCGGTCTCGCCGTTAAAATAGATTCACACGGACAAAGGCACTGATCGATTTGAGATGTTGGACTGTAAGATTGACATATCGTGGCTGGGTTAAGAGATCTGATCTCGTGCTGTGGATCTCAAGGCATCCGGATCATGAACGCGGGACATGATTCGTACAGGTCGAGACCATTCTGATTCAGAGGTCGGTGATGGATTTGCTTTAACCTGCTTGGTATCCAACAGACTGCGCTCCGAGGATATTGTACCTCACATGGCATTGCACGACTTGGAGTCCTTAGCAAGTTCCTCATTCGGTACTCTGTCGCCCTTGCCGCTTGTCCATTCTTTGACATTGTGGAAGTCCATGATCTTGCCTTCACCACCATGTCTATCTTGAACTGCAACAACGTTATCAGCAACTTCTCGCGGTTCACTCGAGCATGAAGAATACTTACTGGCTTGCCAGTCTCTGTCAATAGCCTGCTCAGGTCGCCATCTCAAGCCTTTCTGCAATCTCTCCTCCATCACTCCTTCCATACGATCCACAATCAACTGTCCTACGACCGGCATCATCATAAAACCCATACCCGATCCTCCGGCCGCAACCACCAATCCGCCTTTGCCCTTGGGTCTGTCAATCAAGAACTGACGATCCACAGTATCCGCATCCCAGCAGATTCTCGCAAAACTAAAGTCGCGATCCGCGATTTGAGGCATTGCTTCCTGCAAGAACTTGCGCATGCGCGTCTCGCTTTCTACTGGGATCTGATGGCGGGCAAAGGGTTGTGAGTGCATGGTGCCTTCGCTGTAACCTGGAGCAGCTGTGCCAACCATGTTGATGTATCCGGGATGCTCATCGCAGAACTTGAGTTCTCGCTTTTCGGCATCTGGCTCGACGAAGAAGCCACGTTCAGGGTTGTACAAGACTGGTAGGTTCTTGAAGAGTGCTGCTTCTTCGACGGACAGGGGTATGTGAGCAAGTGTCCATGCTGTGGGTCGGAGTTGCTGCTCGAAATCGAAGAGAAGGTCGCCATTTGCTCCTGCGCATAGAATGGTCTGGTCGGCGTGATGAGAGGCACTGTCTGCTGTTTGTGCACCTATGATGGTGTCCTTCGAGTCCGAGTATAGGAGTGATGTCACCTTTCCTGCTGAGTCACCAGTGATGAACCTGACACCTAATCTCAAGGCTTCTTCGTACGCAGAAACCATGGCACCACGAGCAAACACCCAGCCAGCACCGTGGTCCTTGTGGAATCCTCTCCAGCCTGGGAAATCGCCTTGCAACACGCCTTCTGGCATAGTCTTCTTGAAATCTTCAGGCGAGTCCAGGGATACCCACTCGCTCTCTGTTCCTCTCGTATACCCCTTGACATGTTCATAAACATCATCCGAGATAGCACTAAAGATTATGCCAGTGGGATGATAAAATGACTTGAATACGTCGTCCTCCTTCCAGTATTTTGTCGTGAGTTGGTGCATACGATTCCAGACGTACTGTTCTTCGGTATCGGTTTCTGAAGGTTCTCCTTCTTCCATGATTTTGTTGACATCGTTGCCTGCTGAGATTGGCGAAGGGATAGGATGGGCCTCCAATACTGTTACGTTTTTGTAGCCGCGACGAGCGAGGTGGAGTGCTGTGGAACAGCCCCATGTACCGCCTCCCACAATCAAGATACTACTGTCTTTCGAGAGAGAGCTCATGTTGTCAATGTAGTGTTTCTGACTTTTGACAGTGATGATGCAGGTGCGAGAAGTGGGTGCCGACACGATTTTTATTCGAACGCCTCCAGCTTTAGATTTGAGCTCTCAAGGATCTATGTACCCACCTCTACCGCGTGACTTGGGGAGAAGACAGCTCCGGTATTGTGGTTCTACACGCGGAAAGTAGCGAGAGGCGCTGTATAACCATCTCTCCCGATATCGAGTCGCTCTTTCAGGAGAAGCCTCGCGGGCGTTGCACAAGTTGAGGAAGGTCCAAGCGTGGAAACGTTCGCAACGCACCTGCTCTGTCTATCGTTAACGGCTGTGAAATGGCTGTTGGCAACAGCCCTCATCGAGAGCCCTACCTTCCCTCGAGACTCGAGTCACAGCTTATAGATAAGTTTTCTCATGACTTAACGATGAACGAAACCCTCGGGAGAACGAATCTGAAGCATTACCGGTCTTTTCCTTACTGCTGCATTGTGTCTGGTTTCTGCAACAACCGCCATACTGATACCCATGACTTAAGCCAGGACTCAAAATTTGACCGCCCCAAACAAGCATTTGCGTATATCTCGACCTACTCAACTACAGAACGTTCAAGACTCCTAAAGCAGACACTAGGCATACTGTCGAGGCTTACTTCAGGCCTACACAACCCATGAGACTAAGCGCTGGTGCAAGAACACGGAGAGATGCTTGCGAATACTCGTTGAAGGTACCACCCTGGCCTCTTGATCAGGTCATTGGATGCAGTAGGATGTCGTCGTCAGTACACTGACCCGTCCTGTCCGAATGATCAAAGATTCACTTCTTGTCATCATGCAGAGATGTTTTTGCAGCTTTCTGACCCAACCAAAGTGACAAGTCTCTCATTGCTCACCAGCCTCTCTCTCATCGAAGTCTCCGTGTGAGCCTGGACCAACGCCCTTGAGTCGCATCACCTTCGATCACGTTCCACAATGACTCGATGCCACATCGCCAGCCAATGATATGATATCCCGAAGCAAACAGTGTCTCACTGTTTGCACTGGTTAGTAAGCAGCGAAGCCCGCAAGCTCGTCAAAACTGCTCTGGTCCTCCCGGTACCTTCTTCCCTTCTTCTTCATACTTACCTTGTTGGGGTGTTGGCGATCAAGAAGGCCGGACGCCTGGAGGAACTTCGTGCATTGCACAGCGCGCAGAGGTACCTCCACCGATCTCCTCCGGGGGCTCGGCCAGCGGAATTTTTTATTTCATCCATCAGCACTTCGGTGTTGGTCCTTTTCATTGATTATCTGGCTATGGCCGGTGGTTGAAGAAGAGATTCCTCAATGCAGTTTGATTGGGGCGCGTTTGTGTTGGTATGCTGTGAGTCATAACAAAAGCAGACGTGTTGCAACGTGCGAAATTCGATGTAAGTGTGGGTGTTAAGCGACAAGCCTTGCGATACTCGATGCTTGTTTGAGCACACCTTGCCGCCTGGCTATCTACTTGAGAACCTGTACGGTCGGCGGTCTGCCTGTTCCAATGCGCTGGTGCTTGAGGGACCTGTTGTTGAACGAGCAGCTCGCGCAGAGATCCGACGCGCAGAGGCACAGAACGAAGTCGCTGGCCCTTTGAAGACGCCTCGCTCCTTCGTCCCTCTCACACTTACTCGCATGATTTGGGAAGATCTCATCTGCTTCTCATCTTCTTTCCAGTCTCAAGAGATCTACGGAGTAGGTTTGTGATAGTGGAACATCATGACAGCCAAATGTTTGAGGCTCAGTCGTCGCGCGCAGCGCAGAAATCACCGTCATATGGAGCACAGAGACGATGCAGCGCATACAAAAACACATCCGCTTATAGTAAAATAGTCGTGTAAACTCATTGATGGTCAAATCTTCGTATTCATACAAAAGTGTCAATCGTGCTATCCTAGGGTGGTATCATGTTGAAAAAGAATCAAAAACGCCGGCCCATGCCATATCTCATAACAATCGATTGACCAAGCTTACATGGCATAGACAAATGCACCAACACCGGCGGCAAGCATCCACATGCCAGCGGACTCAGGTACTCTCAGTGCGCCTGCGGCAGAATCTGAGCCACCAGCAGCAGTAGTTCCGTTGGGAAGAGTGCCATTGACGATGAGAGTTGTGGTGCCATTGACGTTGGCGATGCGAGCGACAGTCGAGTTGATATCAGAAGCTGAACCATTGCCGACAATCGAGGCCAAGTAGGAATCGTCTTGCTGGTCGTCACATCCACACTCAGAGTACTGAGCGCAAACACATCGGACGGGGAGGGTGGAGTTCGTAGAATTGGTGTACGTCTGGTTTTGCGCGGCCTCTGTTTGGTTGTGGAAGTAGTAAGGGTGAGGGTAGGCGTAAATGTGGGCTCCAGCTCCATAAAGAGCGTATGCTCCCACACCGAGCGCGGCTCCACCAAGTACGTAAGGCGCAATGCCTCCTGGCGAACGGCCACCGGACCTGTATGGCGTTGTAGCACCACCAGCGTAATAGTTGCCACCACTGCCGTACATCGGTCTCACGCCAGAGCCACCTGATGTGCGACCACCAGTGTTGGAGGATGATGATGTACTTCCAGAGCCTCGACTTCCAGAGCTGCCTGAGGAACCAGAGCTGCCTGAAGAGCCCGAAGAGCCTGAGCCAGAGCGACCGCCTCCAGAACTGCTGCCACCAGAACTGCCGCCGCCGCCTCTGCCACCTCCACCACCTCCCTTGCGCTTCTCAAGTGTGTGACTTGTTTCGGGTGATGTGGCGATGTCATAACTCGAACGTGCGATGAGCGAGCTTGCTTCTTCTGGGATGGCGGCTGCGTTGACTGCGCTGCCCACGCCGAGCGCTGAGATGATGACAGTTGAAAACTTCATATCGTAAAGTTGTTTGTGTTGTGGTTGTAGAGTCTCGAAGACTTTAACTTCGAATATGAGTCGTGCTTATATAGAGACTGGGTGTACAGGTCGTATGGATGATGCCCAATTGATTTGTAGGCGAATAGCAGTTGGTGTACAAACAAAAAGGTGGTCAGAGGACGGCGCAATGACACTATTATAACCAATACAAAACCAATCATCCAAGCCTTGTACCCCGTATTATCCGTTGCCGCACTAGAATTCAAATTAGATCATTGAGGCGCATAGGGATTCGGGATTGTTTCTTCTGCCTAAGCCTTCGATCCTCCAAATTCCTTCGCACAAGACTGCGCCTTGTTTTGTCTTGACATCACGGCAGGGGCGATGCATCGAGTCGGCGGGGTCCACCCGGCGGAGGCTTGGCAATTCGCGACCGCGGCTTGAGTCAATCTGCACCGCTTCATTATGTCCGCCAGTTACAAGCCAACATCTTGCAGGAAGCGACATCATCGTTCACGTGGTTCCATAGAATGTGGTCATCATTCAGGCAGTGTTCTAACGTCGAAGCCCGAATTGCTTCTATGACCAATGTAAGCTCCGCCAACCATCTCAGCCTTTCCCATTGCCTGAAAGTTTCAGGCATCAGGCCACCCATCTCAGACAGTCTTGATGTTGAATTGAGGCAGCGAACGACTTGAACATGTTTCTGAATGTTGAATGATTTTACATTCAGCATCATATGTTGAAGATTGGCTTGCTCTTCAACAATTGGTTGCGTGGCCCAATGGCAAGGCGCTTGACTACGAATCAAGAGATTCCAGGTTCGACCCCTGGCGTGATCATTTTTGTTCTTTCGCTCAGAACGAGCTGGAACCTGCTACTTCTCAAGCTCATGGACAGGTCATTGTCTTTTTCTGTCAAGCGCAGAGATTCTTGACATCTCTTCTCATTGTTCTGACATTTGACACCAACACACGCGTTTATTCAGCCTCGCATTCAGCCTACTCCTGAATACCCAATCAGATCTGATCGAAAAATGCAAGACGAGTGCATAAAGTATAGGAATAGTTCATTTCTCTGTATGCGTGCGAGTCAAATCGCTTTGTGCTATCGAGGAAGACACCTAGCAGCAAATATCACGAGCAGAATCAATGAAGGGTCATCTTTTATGCCTTTGTCCGCTTCTTCGTCAATCTTTTTCTACCAATATGCATTTCCAAAACTCCCCTGTCTGAACGACTCGAGCTCACTAAGCAGTCAATGCGGAACTGCAACCCAAGATACCCATGCCAACAAACGCAAAGATCATGCAAAGGCTTCGGTTATGCGTAAGTTCGAGACTCTCACCGAAGAGCTGCAATGCCACAGAAGTCATGATACCGGCTGTTACGGCAAACATGGCACCATAGAAGTTCTCGCTGATGGCAACGTTCTTAGAGCCAGCAATCTTGAAGATGAGGGCAGCGAGGCCAGCGCCGAGAGGTTGAGAAGCACCGCCAAGAAGAGAGGCCCAAAACATCGCTTTGGCACGGTTGTTGATGGCGAGATAAAGGGGAAGAGCAAGGACGAAGCCATCAGTGATGTTGTGGATGAACAAAGCTAAGAACACGGCAAAGCCAAGTTTGGGGTTCGCGTGGTTCGTGGCGAAGGTGATGAAGCCTTCGGGAAGTTTGTGAAGAGCGATTGCGATGGATGTCTGGATACCAATTGATGCGAAGACGTTGGTAGGGACATGATGATGGTGATGTTGCTGTTCTCCACTGTGTTGATGGTTGCTGGCAAGTGAGGCATGCGACTTGGTGTGGTGAAGCGATTGCGAATCCTCTTCCTCCTCAATCACAGCATCAGTGCTCAAGCCAAGCATTCCATTTGATCTCTTAGTTTGTAGCGCTGTATCGGATGCCATGCGATTCTGCTGTTCAGGACGAGGCGTGACCTCCTCTCTGATATCCTGCAGCAGAGGAGTTTGCTCCGAGGCGTTCGATTCGCCACGCAGAAGCTGCTGACGAATGATGGATCGAGTGCTAGCCTGTCTTGTCTGCATGTTCTTAAAGCAGTCCGCACCGCATGGTTCGCTAAAGCCATAGCAGGGACCATCACAATCACAAGATGACTTAGATCTAGAAGCGATTGAAGAAAGTGTCTGACTCAAACGAGCTTGTAGTGAGGGTCGTCTCGAGAGACTCTTGCCAGGAGGAAGCGTTGCAGTACCATTCTGATCAGCAGCAGCAGAAGTTGATTTGCGTGGCGCAATTTTCGGTCGTTGGATGTGAACGTGTTCACCATGTTGCTTGATAGTCTGATTAGATACGCCATGAGAGCGGTCGTGATAAGGAGGGTGAGCCTGCTCGTGGCGTACGCGTCCATCCTCCTCGGTTGGCTCCTTGACAGCGGCCTCTTCATCATGCGAATGTTCGCAGTCTACCACATGCGATGGCATGAATAGATGAGCAAGTCGGCTGATGACTTGTATACCCAAGGCTCCTGCTAAGAAACAGCCGATCAATGTCCAAGCGGCTGCTTTTGGTGACATGCCTCCTTTTTGCAGGGAACTCCTGGCCGAAGGCATCATGCTAAAGAGCGCCGAGAAAAGCTGTCGACGTTAGTCTTGACGCCTGGCAGGAACATTGTGGACATTATTACCATGACACCAAAACTCAGGCTGAGCGACGACGATAAAAATGTATCGCTGTCCTGTATCCTGAAATTACGCTTGCTGGGAAATTTCCTGATGATTATGTCGACGCAGATGATGGAAGCCCCGATGATGCACGCTGCCGTCACAGTCAACAAATGTCCAGGTGGCAAGCAGATACGGTCGACAACTCACCAACACCACTGACACTTGCCATGACCCATCCACGATCATCGTTCGAAAGACCCATGTTGAAATATTGCAAAGAATACCGGTGTGGAAATGACGAGCGGCAATTTGTTCACTCGTCCGTTGAACAAAGATTTTGGCTGCTCCTGGATTCGAAAGAACGTCGCGTCTCGAAGGATCTGCTTTGTTCCTTGTTACCTACCCAAAGCGAACGTTACCGATATATCGGGCGGACGCCTAGAATCGATATATAGTGTCCGCGGGACAATGAATATGAGGCTTCACCAACAACGAACAGATGTCGTCCAGAAGGCTCTGTTGAGGTCGCGAATCCAAGGCGCGGGCCGAGCGCACCGTTTTCTCACTCGATGATGCCAAGACACCTTGATGGGCCTGTGACGCGCTCTTGTCTCATTGGCTCGAGACCTCCTTTTCTGACCATGTCGGTGAGCAGTTGTAAATCTTTCATCACCATGTGACCTTTGACATATGCGTTCGCTCACTCACAGTCATCGTTTGATCATTCAATAGCCATTTCACATCCTCCTTCGACAAGTTGCGAGCAGGAACAAAAAAAAAAATCAGAATAAGTGGTATGGACGATTGAGATATACTAACATATAAAACATGGGCGGCTTTGAGAGGCCTTCCTATTCTAAAGGAACAATGCACTTTTCCTCGACCCACTTGGCGAATTGTACAGTCGGTGTGTCAACTAAGCGCATGAAAATATCTGCCACCCAAATCGTACTCGAGATGTTGATGGCTGCAGCAAGAACAAACCCAACCTCCTTTGTCATATATGTGTCTTCTCCAATTGTGCGCCAGAAGAAATCCATCGAAGCATAGCCGATAGTATGTGTGACGGGACCGTGCATAAGATAGAGCGAGAAAGATATCTTGCCCAGGTATTGGACAGGGCCATTGGTGAATAGGCGCTGGAGAAGCACCGAATTGGATGTCGCCCAGACGAGCAGTATAGCTGCCCAACCGACCCAATACCGCTGCTTATGCTCGACGTATGCAGGGATCCACGAGTAGAGCGTGGCCCAGCCCGGGGCGTTCTCGACGTGGATTTGTGGCTGTCCTCCAAGATATATGCCAACCAGAAAGACGAAAATATACAGTGCTGTCCATAATTGCAGGCGTTGTGGAGATTTTGGAAGAGTGAAATTGATTGCAGGAAGAACAGACTTTGCAGCGGCCAGTGCCTGTCGGCGAAAGTCGAGCTCGGCAAGGAGGAAGCCAGAATAAAAGAGAATCATTTCCCAACGATCTTTCTCATGACACCAGATGATGAGCGCGACCAATGAGATGATCCTCACAGCTGGCTTGAGACGAGCGAGGCCGAGTTGAGTCAAGTATAGAACGAGCGAGGAGCGAAATTCCATACTGATCGAGATAGAGTCAGCAGTGCTTTTGATCAAGTCGAATTTTGAGCACTTACGGAATGGTCCACAGATGCTTATCTATGTCAATATCCGTGTCCTTTGTTCCAAAGCTCCAAGGGTGTACAAAAATCCACATCATCTTGGCCCAATCCGTCATTTGGTGCCACAGTGACTTGTAGCGTGCCAGGTGAAACTCGCGAACCTGGTTAAGGCGCCTTCCGTCATATGCAATACCACGAGTTGCATCATACGCTCCGAGTCGGACTAGGAGAATGATCATCAAGGTCGAGACAAAGCAAGGCAGATATAGACGGATAGCTCTGCGGAAAGTTGCCGAAGAGAGAGTGTGTAATAAGTCCTTCCAACTCTTATTTCTCATGAGCTTGACAGGCTTGTAGGAGAGGGCGTAGCCGGAGACGACGTAGAAGATAGAGACCATGGCGGGTCCGGTGTATATGAACCGAATGAATGGGAGCTTGAGAAATTCGCGGTGCTCATCAGGCTTGCCGGTGCCACCGTATGCGGTGAGCACATCGTGGCTCGAGTAGGAGAAGTGGTAGAAGAAGACGAAGAGAGCGGCCAGCCCACGCATGCCGTCAAGGTATCCGGAAGGGTGAAGGCGTTCGGGTTTAGCTAGTTCTGGACGAAGTCTAAGTTGAACAAAAGTCGGAAGCAGGAAGAAGAGGAAATGCTTGAACAGCGACAAGAAGTCGGACCATTGTGGTTGTTGAAAGCCCGACAGGTTGATGTGAAAGGTTGGTGAAGGGTTGCTCGACTCGACTTCGACTGTCTTCGGTTCGTCTTCAAAATCTTCAAGGAGGTGCGACTCCTCCGGCACGTCTTTCTCGTGGAATGTAGACCCCTCTACCATGGTTGAACGAGTAGATGGAGAAGGAAAGAGCAAGATGAAGCTGCAAATCCAAAAAACTCTCCAGGGCCATTCTCATCCCTTTGAAGACCTACCCCATAATGTTTCACAAGCACGTCTAATAAATACTTGATCGTCGACCTTCGTCAGCTCATCCCACGAAGGCGCAGTAGTTTCGAGCACCAGCCAATGCCATGGTGCAGATTGCAGGGTCCCGAGCTGCAGGATGCCATTTCGCTGTTGCCGGTGACGACTCATGCCATTTTTGGAGACATCAAGAATGGATACATGACCTTATACTCAGGTAACAAGTAGCTGCTCTTGTATGCACAGAGATCATACAGACGAAACGGAGAAGCTGCCTGCAAGAGTTCGACTTGATCGAGGACATTGACCACGGTTACTCGACTCAAATCGATATGGCATTCGTCACCTAGAAAAGGCGCTCGACTTGTCGCGCTGTCTGAAGGTGAAACACCTTGCATTTCGAGCCGCACAAGCACGGATATGGCGAAGCTACAGAAGAATGCCGAGAAATTAGATTCGAGCCCAGGGCTGGGCGGCAATTGAGGTCTTACGAGGCATTGATAGTGATTTAGATGGATCTGGAATTTTGCACTGTCCAATCATCTGTCGCAGTGGTTTAGTGGTAAAATTCGTGCTTGCCATGCACGAGCCCCGTGTTCGATTCACGGCTGCGACATCGTTTTGTTCACCAGTGCCTCCCTTTTTTTTTCTTCTTTGCTTCCTCTTCCATATCTCCCAGCTCTGTGATATCGTTTTCTTCACTCAATTGGTGACAGTGATGTGAAACATGGATCTCTGAGTTCTCGGGGTCATTCGATGACGATCCATCACGCAGCTTATCCCTTCTCCCATCCACTCCGACGTTGATGACGAGTTTTAAAACGATCCACCGTGACGTCCCCTCGCAGATGTGGCTTGGTAACAATAGAGAGCCGGCTGCTCACCATCTCGAGATACCGTGGACTTGGAAGAACCGCGGACTGCGAGATTGTACATGGATCTGGACATCTGCGTCGGTGCATGGATATGCAGGCACAGAGTATGGCTTCTTACCTCGCCAATGTCCGCCTCGGAGCAGCCACTTTCTTAGAAGGCGTGGCATGTTGAACAATGCTAGGGTCGAGGCTTGCGTTACCGCCGTCTACTAGATGGTGGTAGTGTTACGTACCATAGCCAAATGGCATACACAACAGAGCTGCCAGGAGTCTCACCTAAAGAAAGAGCATGATAGATCCGAAGCATGTATACTTGAGGGTAAGTTGATAGAGTTGGCCAGTGAAAATGAGAAGGTGAGGCATGAAAGTCAACAACGATTTACGGCATCGACCAATCGTCGTTTCAGTAGCTCTGGTCAGCGATCACCAACTCGCTTGTTTTCCGTTTCGTTTCACCACAACACAACAATCATCAGCTACCTCAAATGATGGCTGTACCCACCAACAAGATGAAACCCCAGAAGGATCTCATCAAGGTGATCAACGCCCAAGAGGGTCACGACAACCATCAACGCGGCGAACACAGAGCAGAGATCACTGAATTCGAAGCGCTGACATCGTACAACTGGACCCACTTACCTCTTGACAGTTTACTTCTGCAGACTAGATGGAGTGCATGCACGCCTGTGTCCTCGTCTAGCTACAAGAGAGTCGTCCCTGTCGCTGCAAAGCAACCTGGCAGTCCTCTTCTGTGGCATCCACCTAGCTCCGATCTCAAACTCAACCTTGCGCCCAGCACAGATTATCGCGACTATGAGCACAATCTTGCTCTCAAGAACGAGATGGATGACGCTGTCCGCTACATAACCTCCTTGGGCTACAGATTTGTGACTTCGGACATCGACATCTTCACTAGCGATCACACTCTGAAGACGCTCCTCAAGTTTGCGCAGGGCGACGGAACTCCTTTCCAGATCATGATGCAGAAGGTTAGCAGTACTCTGTTCTTGGTCGAAAAGGGCAAATCAGCGACAATGGAGATGGATCTCACTCGCTCCCTCCAAGAGGCCTGCACGAACTGGCCGGCCGACTTGAAGTCCTTGAGTCACCAGCGCCTCATCAAGTACAACTTCGATGGCATCCAATGCTTAGTGCGCTTCGAAGCAGATGGCTCTCTCGACAAGACAGATCGACTCATGGCAGCTGCTCTCATCAGTGACCTTGCTCGCTCCGACTTTCCCAGAACCGCACAGCTAGAATCGCCAGTCCTGGAGATGAACATGCGCGCATCTGCTACAACCGGAATCGAAAGTGCGTTCTCTGCGCAGCCCTTGAAGAGGTCAAGCCCTGGGTCAAACACTACTGCCAACAATGTATCTTCTACTGAATACCACTGGTCTCAGCAAGAGACCATGGCCGAGTTCCGTATCAAACAACAGCAGTTGGCCGATGAGGAAGAAGCCCTAAAGCCAGCAACTCCAGCGCTTACCTCTCACCCTGAAGACATCGGACTTGGCGGAGGAGATTTTACCATGCCACAACCCAAGAAATCCGAGCCTGAAGAACAAAAGAAGTCAGAAACATCACCCATTGTCCAACACGACCGCTACTTGGAGCAGTACCCAACCTCCCAGTTCTGCTCTATCACCAACACAGAGCCAGATGTCGCCCAAAATTTCTTTGACATGGCTGGAGGCGAGTCTCAGAGAGCTCTTGACCTCTACTACGACTTTCAGAGAACCGGCCTGATCGCTCGCTTCGCCACAATCACCAAGACAACAATTCAGGAAGCCAAACAGTGCCTCAAGTCTTGCAAGGACGACTACGACAAAGCCCTCCGTCTTCACGCAACCAAATCGAGGTTCCCCGGTAAGAATGTAGGCCGTATCTTCAAGAGAGAAGAATTGGATCGCGAGGCCCTCCAAGACGCCATCCAAGCCAAGAACCGCAATGGCGTTCCTCATTCAGCACTGTTCACACTCAACTGCGCATCCGAAAAGTCCGCCTCTAGCAAATTCAGCCTCTCAAACGACCAGCTCCTTCGTTTCTGGATTACCCGCATCCCAAGCGTCATTACTGCACACTACGATTTCCACGCCAATGTCAGCTCGATCACCTACACCGACGTCCGAGGTCAGATGCGCGAGTGGGAGCGCGAGAACCAGCACACACTCGTCAAGCTATCTGCACTTCTGAAGGACGTCAAGAACACTGCTCGCCAAGACCGCAACATGATACTCAGTGTCAACGAGAAGTACAAGATGGAGATTCGCAAGGCCAGCGGCGCGGAGATTGACGTTTTGTCTGATTATCAGAAGAGACTCTGGTTGGATCGCGCTAGACTTGAGGATGAGGAAGAGGAGGATTCTGCTGATGATGACGATGACGACGATGACGATGGTGGAGAGAGTATGGATGAAGACGATGATGATGGTGATCCATACGAAAGTGAGGAAGAAGTTGAAGGACAAAAGGCCAGAAACTACCTGTCAGACACGAGCTCTGAGTGGGAGCGCGAGTACGATTCTAGCGACAACGAAGACAACGATGGTGATGCCTAAGGGCAAGAAGTGATGTTGTCACGCGACTATCTCGACTATCGATTGTCAGCAACAGGAGTATGTAAGATAGGGTACACGAAACATTGGGTCGATTGACGATCTAGCACGGTAGAGAATGTGACACTTCTTGTTCCACTTCGACTCCTGCTCTACATCCATTGACCATGTTGATCTTCACAATAGACGCTTAAATGAAGACACTCAAGGAGGGAAAGAAGTAATTATCCTAGCTACTCCCATGTGGCGCCGAAAAGGTGAAAAGCATAACTTGGAAGAATAAGCTTTAGCACTCAGGGTAGATGCACAACAAAGCAAGAATCTCTCGAAATAGGCTCTTCGCGTGGATAACTTACAACAGTATGCGCTGACCTGACGAGTGAAGAGTGAAAGAGAAGTCGCATCTCGGAGAAGGATTGCACTTTCCGAACCGTCGGTCAGTGCGGCCACTCCGCAGTTATTCACGTCTTTAGAGCTTCAGAGCTTTGTAATCTTCAGAGATTCAGAATGTCGTCTTGCGTATACCATTTCTTGCGACCACTATAGGTAGATACTATACTATATATAATGTGTTGCTTACTATATTGATATATTATATAGCTGATAAATAGACTAAATTGCTATACTTATAATAGATAAAAAAAAGTCAGGTAGGAGTATTACTAGATAGGGGCTTCTATACTTAGCATAGAAGAGAGATACGGAAGCCCCCTATCATTCCTACCCCCCCCCCCTATTATCCTTCCTTCTCCTTAGTGTCTTTTATGTATAGCTGGCTATATAATTTATATATATATATAACTGCTATATAAATACTAGATAGGTACTCCATATAAGACATTATAAGAATTTATAAGAATTTGGTGGCGGTACGTTCAAAAACCAGAAGGCCTAAAGATCATAAAGCTCTAAAGCTCTGAAGACGTGAATAACTGCGGAGTGGCCGCACTGACCGACCGTCTTCCGCCAAGACTCCAATCTTAACACCTACTCATTCTTCGATCTAATCATACAGTATAGATTCTCACAACCTCACCAAGTCACCTTTAAAAGCAGAAACCTCAGCAATGGCATCCATACAAGAACCAAAAATCGTTAACATCGGCACACGGCGCTCGCAATTGGCCATCGCCCAAGTCGACATGATTGTCAAACACCTCGAAACTCATGCACCAGGCCCGTCCTACAAATCCCAAGTGGTCAGCACAATGGCCGACGAGAACCAAGTCAAATCATTCCAAGAGTTCAATGCCAAAAGCATCTGGACCGAGGAATTGGAAAAACTGTTGATGGAAAAGAAATTGGATGTGATTGTTCACTGCTTGAAAGGTAGGTAGCAGAAATTGTGAAAGAGTCTACCGGAGTCATTGGAGTTTTGATTGTTTTTGCTTTTCTACAGATGTACCGACAGTCCTGCCTGACTCTTGTACTCTCGGTGTCATTTGCGAACGCGAAGACCCTCGCGACGTAATGGTCATCAAGCAAGACTCAACCTACAAGACTTTACAATCGCTTCCTTCTGGCTCTATCGTTGGCACCTCTTCGGTGCGCAGAAAAGCCCAGATCATGAGACACTATCCGCATTTGATCTGTGAGGATGTCAGAGGCAACCTCAATACCAGATTAAGGAAATTAGATGCTGAAGATAGTCCTTATGCGTGTTTGATCCTTGCTGCTGCGGGGTTGAAGAGGATTGATCTTGGATATCGGATCACGCAGTATTTGGGTCCTGAGGATGGGATGTTGTATGCGCCTGGGCAAGGTGCGTTGGCATTGGAGGTTAGAGAGGGTGATGAGCAGACTATGGCATTGTTAAGCTCGTTGTCTCATCAGACAACGACATTGGCGTGTCTTGCGGAGAAGAGTCTTCTAAGGACGTTGGAGGGTGGATGCAGCGCACCCGTGGGTGTGCACACCGACTGGGAAGGCGATGTGTTGGTCTTGCATTCTACCGTGACCAGTCTCGACGGTAAGCAGATGGTAGAGATGAACATGAAGCGTGTGGTCAAGACCATAGCTGAAGCAGAAGCTCTTGGAAAAGAGTTGGCGGATAACATGATAGCGCAGGGCGCAAACACGATTCTGGAAGAAATCAGAGCTGGCCTCAGATAACCAATCGTAGAATTCTAGACTCTAACCATGTATATAGACCTCGAACAGATCTCCCCTCATGTCGATTATTTCTTTCTGGTCTGGTGCCTTGCACAAAGTGACTTGTCGAAGTTTTACTGCAGCTCTTTTCTCATGAAACAAGCATACCACCACAAGGTCTCCCCTTGCTTGCCCAAGCTTGTATACCTCGGAGCCTCCTTGTATGGCACGTAGCCCTTCTTCTTGTACCAGAGCATGTTGTTCTTAGGAACTGGCCTCTGCCCCTGTACTCCTGCTTCTCTCTCCCATTGACCCAAACCATCAGGACCTTCAACACCACCCTCGCAGTAGCGCGGACTCAAAGTGTTGACCGTGATAGCAGTGATATTTTCGGCACCATAAGGTGGGATCCGAGCAAGACGTTCGCACTCGTCCATAGCAAAAGCACCTAGACCAGATCTGTGGAAGACAGGCAGGACAAACAGACTTGTTATGGTAAGCACGCCCTTTTCAGGGTCAGCAAGTGTTGTATCCGGTACAGCATCTGGCTCGGTGATATCCACTTTGTCCAAAGATACGTGACCGACAGGCATATACGTCTTGTCGTCGCGCGTAAAGGTAGGGATGTTGCGTTCGGCGTCGGGAGCGAGGCAGATCCAGAAGAAGCTTCGAGTGCCGGCCACAATGGCGGCTGCCCACTTGGGGATCTTATCGTGGTTCCATCCGCAGATGATGCGTTGGTCGTAGAGGATCTGTCGCTCTTGTTCAACTGTCAAATCGATGGGGATGAGCGTGGCAGAGGGCAATTGGCGGTGGGAAACGGTCGCTGGACCTGAGGGTGCGTTGGTCGTCATGGCGGCTGTTGCTTTTGGTCACAAATGAGTAAACTCAAAACTTCCTCCATCATGTTGAATATGTAGGTAGCACAGCAATTTCGAGTCACACCAGCGCCTGTGGATTGCACCTGCTTGTTCAGGACGCCGCCGTTCAGCTCGGCCTTGGCATTTATGGATAGGTAACCATCCTGTTTCCTCCATTCTATCAACACCTAACATCCAATCAATCTGCATGCTATATAACTTGCATGCGCTATTCGCTGCCTTTCCGGGTACTTAGGTCTGTAATCTTCATCATACTCCGACCGTAACTGAGAGTGTTGGGAAGCAGAAACATGTCCTTAGAGAGTCGGCTACCTGTTGCCTCTCGGTGTATATCGTCTTGTTTCCTGTTGCTATCATGCATTTCTATAGGTGCCGCGTACTTTAGTACACCTGAAGGTACTATCTTGTTTGTTCCGTCATGATAATCGGTACGCTCGCATGAACCCGTCACGACTGAACGTCCTCAAAGTTTTGTCCTTTTCCACCCAACTGAAAATACCAATACCTCGCTCCTTTCCAGACCCCTTGGGCCTCTGCAAACGCCATTTGACATTTTGAACTCGATCCCAGATTTCGATGGTACCGTCGCCCGCCCGAGCAACCAACATCTCTCCTTCATTCACCCATTGGACTTGCGATACCGCAGCAAATCTTTCCATAATCTGGTCCTCGACCTTGACTTTGAAACTGCCGATGGTCTTGTTCTCGAAAGGTTCCCAGATCCATACGTTGTTTTTCTCGTGTACGATGGCGATTTCTCCTCTGGGCGACCACGCTACACATCTGACCCAATGCTTGAGCTCGTCATTTCTGAATCGATTGACTTGCTGTGCGGTTTCAGCTGAATAGACAGCTACAAACGTCTCACTCTGCGTCTCTTGGTTGGCCATTCCGCAAAGCACCACATATCTCGAGTCTGGCGACCACTCTCCACTCCAACATTGTCCTCCAGTCGGTCCAATGACGTGTTTGCAGTCACCTGTTGATACGTCGAATATCCTGAACGTGCCGTCCCAAGCTGCTGTAGCAATGTATTGACCATCTGGACTGAATGCCGTCCACATGATGGCGTCCTCATGACCACCGAGCATGTATCTCTGGCACTGGTTTGCCATGTCATAGACTATGACCTTGGGCAGGTCGGCTGGGGGACGAGAGCCCGACTGTGTGCTCTCATTCTGAATAACGTAGAGAAAAAGTTGACCGTCCTTGCTGAATGGATTTGAGCCAAATCCATTGGAACGACCAGCCACACGAACCAGATGTCTGGATTCGAGGCCAGCTCTCAGATTCTCGAGCGCCTTACTATAGCCCTGGCGGACCGATTCTAGCAGCGGAGATGTCGAGGAAAGCTCGAAAGAGTCTTTCATCTGAGCTGCCACAGGCTCCAAAGACTTCTGCAAAAGTTCATCGACGTCAATCGTGTCGAGCTGCTGAATCATGCGTCCATCTTGATCCAGTTGCAAGAAGAACACGACGGACTTTCGTTCATCTCTGTCAGAGGTCTCGATGACAAGAGTATATCCTCCGGACTCATTCAGCGCCGGGCTAAATGTAAGCTTGACACAAGGAGCTACCAGTCCTTTGAATCGCATACACTGTTCCTTGGTTTCAATATTTAGAACACTAACAATAGAGCCATTAGAAGCTGCAACCAGCTTCCCATCATGGCTGGTAGCGAAGATGCTCCTATCGCCGGTTTGCTGGCCGCCAAAGAAATCTAGTTCGACTTTTTCGTCTTCGTCATCCCAGAAGCGATGGGCTGGTTTACCATCACCTGTGGGTGTTGCCCATGATGCCGGTACTCCATCGACGTCAAAGTCCTTTTCGACGTCGTAGACGAATTCCGCAAGGAACTTTTTCGGGTTCATGTGACGGGTCATGGTTTTTATTGCTGTTGTACTCGAAACGTAGATATGTAGAGGACAATCTTCTTCTTCTTGATAGACATCGTCTATATATGTGTTCTGATGGTTTAGGCAGCGATCATGCGTGAGTCAACCGTGCTCGAATCTAGAAGGAGCGATCACCGGCCGTATCTCGAACCCCTCGGAAGGATTTGATGGCGTCAAGTTGTAGAACAAGCTTTTGTTGACATCGAGTCTGCATCCCTAGATGTTTGTAGAGCCTCTGAAGTTCCTACCTTGTATCTCCCTGTCAATTTAGGCAGCTCACACATATATGTGTCTGCCTGCAGTATGGATAAGCAGTCTGCAAGCCACGCACCATGCGAAGGATGCAGACTATAGTGCTTACCGCATGATTGCAATCATCTGCCAGACCTGCGTATCGGTTCATCCCAGCTCTTTCCGCAACTCGAACACGTGCTATCCAATCGATATGTTGGACTTTCGATCCTCCAAACATGCTGATTTGTAATGCACATATCTGTAAAGACGCATAATAACATTAGGAAACAAGATCGTGCCCATTGAGAAACGACAACTTATCAACTCTTTGCGGGCACACCCTCGCTTCTAAAACGTTTTTTGCATTCTGAAAGTGTATACTTTGCGCTTTGCTGTAGTCGAGATACGAGGAATGTCGTTGGATTTAGCATACGGCGAGGATCTACTCGAGTATCGATGCTATATGAGATCGTCATACGATGCGGGGCATGCTTACGGAGGACGGCTTGAGCATTCAGGGGAAGGCCTTTGATATTGCATCTTGCTTCTGCCTCTTTCCGTTCACCGGTTTGCGGTCGCGGACGTCAGATCCAGACAGACTTGTGATGAGTCTGTGGAAATAGGAGACAAGGACGTGAGCAGTACCTGACGGTGGATGTGCGATCGGGAAATGGTTTCCTACACTACCCCGCCACCAGCCCCACTCTTTCAAGGCCATTGTCTGGACATATTTTGAGCCTCTTGGTACACGATCACAATCTCAGACACATCACCTTTTGCTCAAGATTCCAATAGTGTTGATTGTCGCCACCATGAGTCCTCATGCAGATGTCGGGACAGCTAACGGCCAACAAAAAAGCCAGACCACGATACCATCAAGGCTTTACACGATTGATCATCTACCCAGGGTGTCTAGCTTGGCAGACATCTGCAGTCAGACTGTCAGCAAGAAGGGTTACCCATTGGCTCATGAAATGCAAAAGAACATCCCAATCTACGATCTGGCCAAACACGACTCGGACAAGACAGCTGCCAACAGCCTCCAAGATGAATGGTACGAAATACTAGCCAACGGCCCTGGCGTATTTGTGGTCCAGAACATGTATCAAGATCAGTCAGTGCTTGATGCAACCAACGATGCCTTCCGCCAGATCATCGAACGCGAAAAATCTAAAACCAAAGGTGACCACTTTGGTCATGGCAAGAACGAACGCATCTGGAACTCTTTCAGCAAACACTGTCTGCAAGACCCAGAGTCTTTCGTGCAATATTACTCCAATCCTTGGCTGGCTCGAGTTTGCGAAGCTTGGTTGGGACAGCAATATCGAGTTACTGCCCAAACGAATATCGTCAAGCCTGGTGGAGCTGCTCAAGTCAGTCATCGTGACTATCATCTAGGCTTCCAGACTGCGGAAGGCTGCTCCAGGTTTCCCAAAGGCATGCAGTACGCGAGCCAGTTCTTGACCTTGCAAGGTGCTGTAGCGCAGAGCGACATGCCACTGGAAAGTGGGCCTACACGATTTCTTCCATTTAGCCAGAAGCTCGATTCGGGTTACATGGCTTATCGACAGCCTGAATTCGATCAATACTTCAACGAGCACTGGGTTTCACTGCCGCTGAAGAAAGGCGATGGTGTGTTCTTTAACCCAGCTCTGCATCATGCCGCTGGCAACAACACTTCCGACGTCGACAGAAGTGCGAATCTTCTCCAGGTCAGTAGCGCATTCGGAAAGCCAATGGAGCAGATAGACGCAATACCTCTTGTCAAGGCATGCTGGGCAGAGATTCAGAAGCTCTACAATGCAGAAGGTCTGTCCGATCGTATCCAAACTGTGATTGCAGCCATCGGCGAGGGCTATCCGTTCCCAACGAATCTTGACAACAGACCGCCTGCTCCTAGCGGTATGGCTCCGAGCAACGAGCAAGATAAATTGCGAGAAGCGATTGAAGCTGGCTGGGACACAGATCAGGTGGTCGCAGCATTGACGCAAATGAGAATTGACAGTCAGCCATGAGCACATGGAGCTGCGTGTAGAAGATTGGCGAATGTAACATCCATGTTCATGTGCAATAGTTTGTACAAGATGCCGACTTGGCTTCTCGAAACCCAGCCGTCCTCGACCGCTATCGAAGTAAAGTATCCTTGCTGGATATCTGCACGTATGTTCACATCCAGTAGAGAATTCCGTGGAAAGCAGTGATAAGGCGCATTCCGGATCATTGCTTGAGGTCGAGCGCTAAGGGTGTCATTACTGTGTTGGGAGCTGACGTTTGATGTGCCACGCCAGTGGCTGTCAAGTCTGGGATCAAAATTGAAAGGATGAACAGCCTCCACGGGCTATCTTTAGATATGCATACATGCTCGTCTATGTTGACGATAAGAACAGTGAACAGGTGAGCCTGATTGCAGGATAGAAACCAGTGTTTAGCAAGCTAAAGTCAAGGATGGTTTTCTCTTGCCTTTACGCGAAGCATTCGGAACGTGTGGAAGATCTGTCTACAAGGTGTTGAACAGACAATGACCCTTTTGTTTCTGCCAGCCACCTGAGACCCTAGCGAGTTGCGAATTGATCACCGGATATGTGTGCCGAGTCAGGTATGAGAAGTCGAGGGAGACCACCGGAGGCGGTTGTCTATCAGTATCCAAGGCCAGGAAGATCTCGAGGTGATTGGTTTCTGCCTGAATAACGTACAACGATCCAAGTCAGAAAGGTTGTTGTAAGACGACAGTCCAGCGAAGCGAGAAGAGCTGGTGTCGCCAGGTTACTCGTGCGGACATGTGGGACCGTTGACGGTTAGCAATCTACAGAGACGTCAAACGCTTTTCTATCATTCTGCTTTGCTCATGATTTTGACGAGTTCAGACTGATTTGTGCGCCGTGTAGTAGTGTCCGAATATATGCAACCATAAGACTGTCGGTGTGATAGCAGAAGACGCCGATGATGCATCGAAGAGGTTTAAGCGCCGCAACCGAGATGCTCAATGCTGGCGTCATGCGATATTGACAGGCCATCTGTGTCAATTGACTAGTTCTCGGTCAGACCCACCAGATATTGACTGACAAGATGTTGCCGGGATAGCGAATGGTATTCTGCAAAGCGCACAACCCGAGTGGGTCGCAATCCTGTATCTCCAAGCCTGTATTGAACGCAGCATATAGATGAACTGCAAACCTGGTTGTTGCATGGCAAATAGCAGAACCAGGATGTGCCTAAGAAGAGGAAGAGACTTACCCCAGAATATGGCGTGTTTCATCGGCGGCGCGTTTAAAATTTGAAGCTCCAGTTTTTCATGCTTTCTGCTTTTCTATCGGCACTTTACCAGGAGTTGGGATCTACTATTGAGCGTTACCCTATGCAAGCCCTTCCAAGACAGATTATTGCCTGTGTTTTGGAGATACTCAACAGGCGTCCATGCGATTGAGCGTGTAAGCGAGGTCGTGGCAGAGACGGCCTGCGAGTCTGCGACATTTGCATCGCGATAGGAGTATTACAGTTCTTCTGGTTGAGGCAAGTATCAATGGCATTACCGACCGTTGCAGCATTCGCGTGGCCGCCGTCTATTTCCTTATGCACCCCATCGCCGCCAGTCGATGCACCTCGAGGAAAGCATTGAAATAGCGCAGCACGCTGTCGCTTTAAGCTGCAGCTGACAAGGAAGGCGTCATGGCGCGCGATCCCCCGAGTGCGACCGACGCACGGGGTCAAAGGGGTAGTCGCGATTCATGAAGTCCAGCCCTGCTTTCTACTACCACCCTGTTCCCTGAAGCAGATCAAGCTGCTCAAGAAGTGCTCTGATATAAAAGTCGTCGTGTTTAATCTATCAAGATGGCTCGTCTATCTGGTCTTCCAGATTTGTTCTAGGATGTGTGCAGGTTGGTCATGATGTTTTCTCTTGAAGCCCACGTTGTTCCTGCCTTGTTCGTCCTCACTTCACGTCGAGGACCCAAGTACATTCCTTTCTCTACCCTTCCTCTTTGACGTCGCTTTTGCATGGCGATTGTTTTTTAACCTTTCATTTCACCCCTATTTCTTTGCCCAGACGCAGGGTTATCGATCAGTTCCTTCTTCACGATCCACCATTTATCCCGTCCTCCAACGCTCACGCATGAACCGCCAAAAGCTTCCTCACCGGTGCTGCACATAACCTTGAGGATTCCCCGCTGCCTCGCAACGACGAAGTTCATCGCCAGTGTCAGTGCCGATTTCGAGTGAGTCCATTGCAGCCATTATGGCAGCCTCACTGGGTGTGAACGACATGGACATTGCCGAGATCTCCAGGATGTTGACACTCAAACACACCTTGTTGCCGATGTTTCAGGTCTCGGTCGCCTTTCTTGTGCTGGCCTGGATCGCTGTGAGCTTGCGTGTATACGTTCGAGCTTCGGTACTGAGATCGTTCCACTGGGACGACTGGCTGATTCTTCTTACATTATGCGTCTTCACGGCTTGCTGTTCATGTCTTATTGCCATCGAGAACATCGAAAGAAGCGGTGCTGCACGCACAGCGTTGGCTAACGGGCTCGAAGCTCAAGTCGGGCTGATCGACAAAATCTTTGGTGTAAGCAAGCTACGGATGCATTTCGACATTCATGAAAGCAAGCTGACAAGTCGTACAGCTCATCATGGGCTTCATGTCTCTTTATATCCTTACGACAGTTGTCCTGAAGCTCGCTCTTGCTATTTTCTTCCTTCGAATTATACCGGAAAACTTCTCGTGGCAGCGAAAAACCATCTACATCTCTACTGGAATCTACACAACTTATGGCATAGTTTTCACTTTCATTGTCGTCTTCCAGTGCGGAAACCCCGCCAATTTCTTCATCCAAGAAGTCAGGCAGGCCTGCATGTCGGATAACATACTACAGCCTCTTTACTACGCTGCTGGTGGCATGAATGCCTTGACAGACTGGCTTTTCTCTCTCCTGCCTGTGACAGTAATCTGGAGTGCAGCCATTCCTCGATCTATGAAAATATCGGCAGGATGTCTTCTCGGCCTCGGCTCTCTTGCAAGTATCGCCTCCTTGATCCGACTAGCATATATTCCTGGCATTGAAGCATCGCCGACTTTCCTTGAACATTCGGTCAACATAGCAAGTTGGTCGATTGTTGAACCAGGACTCGGCATCATTGCAGCATCTTTGGCGACTCTGCGCCCCTTGATCAGATACTGTTTCCCTGGAAAGCAGCATACCGTGCTACCTACAACACATCGAGGCAAGCCCGTTACTTATACACCTGGCACATATGTTTCTCGGATGAGTTTCGAGGAAAGAATAAATCCATATGGAGATCTACAGCTAGGCTGTGTGACGACAATCATAGGCAACTCAGACGAGACGGAGCTAAGGACTATTGACCGCAAAGGAAAGAAGGTTCTTTCCAGCGTCCAAGAATTGTCCAGGCATTCCAGAGCCCCTTCAGCAATGTCGGACGTGTCTCGTGTCGATAGTGCAGTCAAGCTGGAGAGATTATCGTCGTCAAGACCTGTGATCCGACAAGAACTCTATCAGCCCCCCCAACCGTTGGTCAAGAAGGCATACATCCAAAACGGACGTGTGATCATGAGCAGAGATATCAGGATCGAAGAGGAGTTGTCGGTGTCAAATCTGGAACCCACATCACCAGCCTGAAGAGTTGCTTGTTGATCTCATTTCATTTGTAACGAAGGTCATGAAGTCGAATTTTTTTGTTCTTTCACGAAGTCCTATAGCGAGATCTTTAATAGCTGTATCGTGTAATAAATAGGCTTGTCACACTTTTCTTGCGTCCCAGTGCTCTAGATTTCAGCGTGCTCTGACTGTTGCATGCACTGTAAATGTAAAAAGGCACAAATATTCACGAAATCAGAGGCACGTTCGCAGATCTTCGACAAAGTATTGCTTCCTAGTAGATATCATCCTGTTTTCTAATAGGGTTGTGCACTTTTATAGCCACAGCGTCACATACTTTAACATACGGAGAGGAAAGAAGCAGGAGTGGGGCAACGTCGGGAAATGGTTTCCGACAGCTCTTCGACCGCCTTTGCCCTAACATACTTGTCCGTATATGTTTAGGAAGCTGGCCTCCGAGTCTGCATTCTGATCGACACTGTTTTGCGAAACAAAGACAGCCTCTAACACCAATTATACAGCACCAATTGATTGGCAACGCCACTGCAGTTGTGATAGCAAATCCAAAGCTACACCAGGCCAACGACTTCTTACTGACGCAGATCAAAATCCGACCGGGATACTTCGATTCTCTTGGTGTTCATCTCTGTTTGCCAGCTTTTCCGAAAGATTCTCATCCCATCAAAATATGCTGTTGTGAACACGGTAAAAGAAACCCGAGCAGATCGCAGCGTCATGGGGGACGCGGAAAAGAACACCAACAGCAAGGCGGTCAGGAAGAATGCTTCTAATGCTTGCAAGGGTTGTCGGGAGAGCAAGATTAAGGTATGACTCGAGTATCACATGTCTGTGTTCACGTTGACCAAATTTTACTCACGAGTATCAGTGCGATAATCAGCAACCTTGCAGTGGCTGCGTGAAGAAGGACAGAGAATGTGTCTATGATTCTCGAGATGACAAGAGAAGGTAAGCAGATTGGCCCACGCTTATGTTGGATCCTTTGGCTTGTCTTTCGGTTCTGGCAGAAACTGAAGCTGACCCTGGCCAGAGTCCAACTCCGCACTGCGGTCCATATTCTCGTTCGACGAGTACAGCAGCTCAGCAAGGTCATCGTCGAAGCAGACAAAGAAGTTCCTCCTTTAGACGCCGAGGACGACGAATTCCTAGAACGTGTACTGGGCACCCTGGGTCTTTCTGATGCTCCTCCTTACGAGTCTTCGGCTGCCAAGAACAGTAAATCGCTTCCACGCCTACCCCCAAAAGAAACGACTTCTACGCCTAAACCTTCTCAGATAACGCAAGTGGATCCTTCGGCCTCAGTCGAGAATGATTCGGCATTTGTAAGCATCGCCTCAACAGACACACCTATTTCCAATCAATACTATCAGCCAGACTTCAATAATGTCACCGGGATAATGCCTGGCATTCGAAATCAAGTGTCGACACAGTCGCCAGGTACCAATATTGTTCCAGGTGCAGACCATATTTCGCCAGACTGGCCATTTCCGACGCTGGACAATATGCTCAGCTTTGATCTCTTCGACCCTAGCAATCTATCCCTGCAATTCTTGAACGAGCCGCCGATCGATGTATCGCAGCCATCCACGCTCCAACCAGAATCCACACCGATGCGTCAAATTGAACAGACGGCACATCATCAAGAAGACAGTACCTCCAATTCTGGAGACGAAGAAAACACAGAACTGGTTAACCAACTCTCTGCTCGCCTGGGCTCGCTCCGTTTGGCCCCCGATGGCAAGCTACGATATTTTGGTACCGCATCGAATCTGCATCTGATAGACAATCAGAACAAGTCTGGCGAGAATTTCATGCTCCATACACCTTCAAGGGTCAACATCCAGCGTCTACTCGAGGTCGCCGACCTTAGCCAAGAGGTAGATATACAGCTCGAGGATCACCTTTTACGGTTGTTCTTCACTTGGCACAATCCCAGCAGTTATATAGTGGACGAGGAAGTCTTCTATATGGCTAGACAAAGTTGGTTCAATACGGGAGTTCAGAACAGCTATTATAACGATGTTCTGAAGGATGCGATGTAAGTACATTCCGCTCCCCAACGCTGTTGGTAAGAACAAATTGCTGACTTTTTCTTCAGGTGTGCCATAGGTGCTTCCTTTGGGAGCCATGCCAACATGTCACTCATTACTTACCCTAGGTCAATGCCTCAATTCTTTTCGGATCGAGCAAAGATCCTCCTCGACTCTCACCTCGATAGCCCATGTGTAGCCACAGCTCAAGCACTTGTGATACTCGCAAGCTACGAAGAATCATGCCAAAACATCGCTCGAGGCTGGTTGTTCGGCGGCATGGCAATGAGAGTAGCTTTTGATCTCGGCCTCCACGTTGACAGTGCAGGATACGTGGCTCAAGGTATCTTGACTGTGGCCGAAGCTCGTGCAAGACAAGTAGCTTTTTGGGGCTGCTATCTTTCAAACTTGCTTTGGAGTTTCCACCTTGGTCGTCCTTTCTCGCTCGATGACAGCGAAGTGACAGTGCCAAAGCCCGATCCCAAGACTCTGCCATCAAATCCTACTTGGCAGCCTTACTCAATTCCTTCCCTTCAGTTCGTGCCTGGCGCTATGCAACATGATGCTTCTCAGCTACCAGACATTACACCACAGATTTTCCACCACTGGATCTTCCTTTGCCAGAACATTGCTGTCGTGGGCCATGCACTCTACTCGTACACATCAATATCCAAACCAGCACTCCAAGAGCTCTGCGAAGAAACCACGACTGAGTTGTTCCATTGGAAAGACTCTCTACCTCCTCATCTTCAGATCGACACTTCCGATACTAGCACCGTAAAATTACCTCAGCTGCTCATGTTGCATATGGAATACCACCACCTTCAGATCTTCCTGCACAGACCATGGACAAGCTCTCAATTACAACCACAGCCCTTGCAAGGAGCAGGTGTACATCATGCCCGCCATGTGTGCGCTACTTCAGCAACGGAGATCGCTCGTCTCCTCCGCATCTACGAGAATCAATATACCTTCCGCTTCATCAACGTCGAGATTATACGCATACTCTCTTCAGCAGCACTGATCTTGATCTTTGCCACCGTACCATTACCACATAGAGAAATTGATGTCGAGATGACCGGATACCTCAACACATGTTTCCGAGCACTGGAAGATCTTGGTGGAAGGTATGATTCAGCAAAGGAGACGAGGTGTACGCTTTTGGCTATACAGAGAAGATGGAATGATCTCTATGGTAGGAATACAGGACAGAAGAGAGGACCTAGCATGAGGGGCTCCACAAGTCAAGGCAAGAGGGTCAGAGGAGGCCCTTTATAGCTTCAGCATACAATCTTTGCGTGTGCTAATGTAAGACGTGTGCTGTAGAGATGCCTATCACTGATAGGGACTAGAACAGTATCTACTGAAAAGCGACGAATCATAGAATCTCTGTGGACATACCTATGTTCTCAAAAGAATGAACACTGTGCCTTCTTGCAACGTATGTTCTGCTCTCTGCGTAGTTGGAGGAGATGGTAGTTTGCAAATTACAGACTCTGGCACACCGGGTGGCCACATATAGAGAAAGTACTGCATGTGCAAAACAACTTCATTATTTGACTTCTAGCAAAGTCAAAAGCTAATCAGCTTATCGCCACCTTCCATCTCTAATCTCACATCACACCGGCAGATTTTTCAAGTCTTTTCATACGATTTCTTCCGCCGATCCACCTCTGATCATACTCATCCCGTGCTCTAGCATGATCCGAAAGCAGGAACCCAGTTTTCTATGTTGCTGAAATCTTGTAGCAGGTCCGAACGTCCGTCAAGATCACAGTCATCGCTCTCCAAGTGCGCGTAAAGTGCGGCGAAAGAGCGCAAACGCTTGCCTTGACACTTTCCGGTCATGCTCGGGCAATGATACAGAGACTCTTCATTCTCCGGAACAGATACATTACTGTCCGAAAATGATTCAGTGATATAGGCACCCGTGTCATATCCATGAATATGATGGTAGATGTTGCCGCGGTTCAGGTCTGGACGTGCGCGACAAGATGTAGCTTCTAGGTGTTGCAGGATTTTGGATACAGCGTAGAAGCCAAGGCGACAGAAGGGACAGTTGGTGATTTGCGATCCTGCAACAGGATCTGTGTGTCGTTCTTGACAGAAAGGAGAGTTGACGCCTTCCGGTTTTTCGACAGGCTCTGTTTGTTGTGCTGTGATTTCGCTGAGTGAGAAAAGCGGATTCTCAGCAGATGCATCCTGCGCTTTGGCAATGACTTTGTGCAGTTTGTCTAAAAACTCTCTGGCCTCGAACTCGTCTTTGAAAACACACGTAGAAGTTTCGATCTTCTTCTTGTCTTGAGATAGGGCATTCATGTGAAGCATCTTGGGAGCCTTGAGGTCGTGAAACGTAGAGCCGAGCATAACATCGAGGTCCAAGCCGACTTTGCCCGATGGCTCAGCGCGCATGAGTACACGGGGTGCGAAGGTGTCCTTTGAAACAAGAATTCGAACAGGACCTACACCTTGACTGATCCATCCGCCTTCGTTCTCATTGTTTCTGACAAGTTTCGTCACCCTGGCGTGTGCTTCGTGTACAAGATTGAATTTGGCGTTGTCCTCATCAGTCAATGCAGTTGAGCTTTCTTGCATATGTTCGGCAGTGGTGGCACTGGATCTAGCAGTATGGCTTTCGGCATTGCTATGGTTGGTGATACTAGGTGTTGTCCGAGAAGCGGTCCCTTCAGGATAGATCAGAGATTCTGAAAAGGAGGTGTCAGTCTGCGTTGCTTCGGCGGGTTCCACGGCAGAGAGTGTGGGAGCCGGATTGACAGAGCAGACAGGCTGAAATGTAACAGCGCTTGGACTGAGAGTGTTTCTCGAATCAGTGTGCTGAGCAAAGGCTTCAGATTGTTGTCTGGGATAGACAGGTCTGCGACCAGCCATGTAATCAGCTAATCTGAGTTCCTCGAAAGAGAAAGTCTGATAATGCTGCATGAAGGTGATCGACTGGTAACGACTGGTTATGGATGATGCATTGTCGTGTTCGACGAAGACGCTGAACGGTGCAAAGAATGTACCAGTGTTTGTGGGATGTATACCAGACGACAAGGAGCTGGTAGACTGTGCTGAGACGACTGCCAAAGCAGCGGCCACTGCCTGACTGAGCACGGAGTCAGGGATTGGATTGGCAACAGGCAGAGAATTTGAATCCGGCTGGGAGTTGAAATTGGCAATGGTAGTTGGTGTGCTGGAAGTAGGCACGGTAGGAGCATTACCAGCGGTAGAAGCAGATTGCGGAGTAGGAGTTGGTTTGACAGGCGGCGCAGGGGCGGCTTGAATGGGCTCGGCGCGTGTGTGAATGGGCGAAGTCATGTGTTTGAACCAGTCGTTCTCGGTCTGGAAGGAACAATCGCATTTGGTGCAACGGTGTTGTGCTTTGTGCCCGACGGCAAGCATGTGCTGTTCCACGGCGATTCTGTCGACAAAACGTCTGTCGCAGGTATCACAAACGTCAGTAAACCAATGACCAAACTTTGTCATGTGCCGCTTGCAGGCTTTCCATGTGTTGAAGGTTCGATCACATTTATCGCACTCGACGGCGGTCCCCCAATGGTATAGTGAAGTCATGTGTGCATTGGCTGTGTATTGACTTCCGAAAAGTTGGTCACACGTTTCGCACTCCCAATGCTCGAGGGTGTCTTTGTGCTGCCGCAGTGCGTTCCATGAGTTGAACTCACGATCGCAGAAGTAGCACTCGTATGTCATGTCGATGTTTGTGAGATGATTGACCTTCCAGCAAGTGTGAAGCTGCGCCGCGCGTAAAGAGAGAAGGGTGGAAATGCAGTCTTGCTCAGTGAGGAAAGGGGCGGCGATGTTGGCAGGAAGAGCAAGTGCAGAGGCGAGTTGAACGATAAGAAGAGGGAAGAACTGATGAGGCAGGGACCGAAACAAAGCGCAAAGCGAAGTGGCCGCAGAAAAAGCTGGAAGTGACGATAGTTGAGTGAATCGAGGCCGCGCCTTCCCACATTGCAACTGTACCATGCCAAACACCTTGACCTTGGCATCCAACTCTAAGCTGCTCGAAACCACGACAATGTAGCAAACAGTCGGAGATTTGTCTCTTGTGCCGCAAGCTTTGATAACTTACTTGACCTAAAGCACGGAAATGCATAGCCTGGCCACGACTCCGAGATGCATAACATGAACGTCTCACCAGATATCGATCTGGAAAGTAGTAAAGTGAAAGCAGTGAAAATGATTCGAAACATTATCATGAGCTATACATACATATTACAGACTAGATATAGCTAGCATCCGCGACCAAGATGTCGCAGACTTTCCCGCCCCAACGTTGGCTTGAAGATCTACGGTCTTCAAAATTACCACTTCCAAGTTCTAGGACCGAAGTAGTCGTCGCCGGAAACAGTCTTCTGGACGTTACCACCAGCACCATCCAGAGTGTCTCCGACAATGTTGACACCCCACCAGCCAGGCATGGTCTTGCCTGGCAGCTGTACGCAGAAGAAGAGGATGATGGCGCAGATCGCAAGACCAACATCGAAGGCGGCAGAGGTGATGTAGTTGTACTCCATCCACCATCCGCGGTGCTTCTGACGAAGGTACTTGTTGAAGACCCAACCAATTGCAACCCAAGAAAGCTGTGTACCGAGTTAGCACGGATCTCAATCTCGTCGGGAGCAAGGGACAGAAAACTTACGATGTTCATGGCAGTGTAGGGAGGAACATAACTGAAACAAGCAAAGATCAGGGGCATACTGATCTTGCGGATCATAGACATCTTGGGGAACACGCGAGCAAGCGCATAGACGAGGAAGGGCGAGGCAAAGCCTGCCAACCAGAAGTATTGCAGACCCTGGTAGGTAGCTCCATCAGAGAACAGGTGCTTGGGACCGATAGCACCCCAAATGACACTGGCATTGTAGAATGTCTTGATCGAAAGACAGGTGAAGTTTCCAGAAGCTGCCTTGGTGCAAACATGCTTGATTGCGCCCATGGCCCATTCAACTGTGGCAAGCTGGCAAAGACAAGACCAGATAGTGGCGACCAACTGGGCAGTGAACATAGAACGCTGAGGCACGTGCATGTAGTGACCGAGCTTCAGATCCTGACAGAAGTAAAGCGCCTGAGTCATAACAATGTATCCAAAAGTCTTGAACATCATCATGGCGATAGGGTGACCGGGCTGAACGTAACCGATGATGAACTCGGTGAACACGTTGAGACCCAGCTGGATGTTGGTGAAGGCTTGGATAATACCGATAGGAATAGTGAAGACAGTTGCAATGATCAGCGAAAGGATGACCGAGTACCACGCCATGCCAGTAGGGTATGCAAGTGCTGAGACGAAAGCGAATGCGATCATGACGGCCAATAGAGCAAGGTACCACCAGGTGGGCACAAGTCTGTACTTGCGCATGAGCTTCATGTGGATGTCATCGAGCTCACCCTTGGAGGACTTGAATCGGCGCCAGATCTCGGGGCCATGGAAGAGGTAGGTGTGACTGACGAGTGCGGCGATCGACGCAAAGTTCATACCGTAGGTCAGAGCAAAGGCAGTTGAGAGCATCAAAGGCGAGTAGGCCTCGTATTTCACGGGATCAACGATATGCTCGGGCGTCAAGATTCTCGAGATATTGTAAGTGTTACCTTGGTTGTCGAAGATACCGTTTTGCGAGATGGGAAGGTACTCGGCGTACCAGACACCGCTGTAGTGCAAGGCGGGGACAATAATCCAGCCGAAGAAGATGATACCAATTCCAGTGTTGGCGAGAGCGTACCATGGAGAAAGCAGAGGACTGCCGTAGAAAGAGTTGATCTGGGCCCAGTCGAGAGTGAAGCCAGTGAAGGGGAAACCCAGAGAGACACCGGTCTGCTGGCCGAACAATTGGTTGACGATAACATTGTTAGGCTTGATCCAAGTGACCCAAGCGAAGTAGCTGAAGGCAGGAATGATGAAGTCAGGGAACCAGGACCAGACAAACATAGCAACCATACAGATCATAAACCACTTGTAACGACTCACGCTCCAGCCGCTGGTCTTCGTGGGGTCAGCAGGGCTGTGATCGTGCAAGGCGTACATGAAACCGACGTTGACCAAAGCACCGGGCCAGATCATGGCAGCAGGCTCGACAAGGAACTTGCGGACGGATCCAGCAAGACCAAATCCAAGGCACTGGGTCGACAAGGCGAACAAAGTGTTGAAACCCCATCCGAACTGGCTAGTGTCGAAGTGATAGAATTTCTTCAATGAGACAACGGTATCGACAAAGTAACCAGCACCACCACCGAAAGCTGCGTTGGCCATGGCAACGATGATGACGTGCTCCTTGACGTTGAAAGGACCAGGGTTGAGGTTAGCCTTGAGTCCGAAGATAGAGAACTCCTTGTTGGGAAGTGATTTTGCCCATGCCACACCGATGGGATAGGAGATGAGTTGTACAACGTAAGGACCGATAGAGATATTGGGATAGCGGAGCAGGAACAGAGCGTTGAGTGACGAGCAAACAGTGGTCATGAGGAGACCAATAGTCCATGCTCTGATGGTGCTTGTAGGGACATCCTCGTCGTAGTTTCTTACGACAGCACGAACCTTGGCAACTATTAATCATTGTCGTCAGGTGATACAGCAAAGCACTTACTTCAGGATACGGTGAGTTTTCAATCATGTCGTCGACCAATTGAGCCTCTCCTTTGGCATCATGAGCACCAGTGACGGCGTCAACTATGTCCAAAGTCTCATCCTCCTAAGACCATGTGAGCGTGCTTGTTTCTCGCACCAGTATGCATTGTACGTACCATGTTAGGATCCCACATGTGATCCTTGCGGAAGGACTTGAGGGCATGGTTGGCCTCTACCTCAGTGATCTCACGGACATCGCCCTCAATGACTTCCTCCGGAACTCCATGGTCAGGGCCGAGCTTGCTGCTGCCAGCATGCTTGCTTTGGCTGTCGAGTTTTTGGAGCTCATTGATGGTGATGGGCTCATCTTGGTTGGTGTTTGCCCTCTTGAAGCCGAACCTCTTACCCATGCCCGACATCGTTACGGTGTTGGGCTGTAACGATGGATGTTTTGATGGACTAAAAGGACAGTTCCACAAAGGAGGGGGATTGACTTGTTATAACCTTGAACCTTAGTACTTTCCGTTCAATTGATCACCAGATAAGGTCGGCCAATGGCAACTGATGCTGCTCTTGGACTTGTTCGAGGATTAAAGGCTATCTTTTTTGGGGAACACTGGCCGAGGTTTACTATCTAGCTGAAGTCTGGCTTTGGCAGGTCTTGAACTGGCTATCGTGCGCTTGGTCGTTGACCTCCGCAAAATGAGCTTTCTTTTGCGCGTATCGTTGCACGCGACTCGTCCAATTCATGGTTGGAGGAGAGACTAGTGAGCCAAACGGCAGCACTAGTCTTCGCGAGGCGGTGGAAGGTGAGCTTAAAGTGCTGGACCGTCGGCGAGACCTCCTTGATACCTTCCTAATCAGGACTGATCCCTTATCTTATCGAGGTCACAAGCCGCCGGCGGCCGTCCTTGGCGCATAAAGCTTCAGGGTCCAAGACTTCTTGCGAGAGTTTAGAGTACGAGGGCGTAACTTTTACTCGCCGCCAGAAGATCTTGGAGAGGCTTGGTGGTTGCTTGAGTCGCGCTGAAGTCAAAACCACAAACAAATGCTATACCAATGAACCTGCATGTCGTATGTCGTCTAATTCTGTAATGTGTCGATGTTCACGGCCATGATCGTGTCACGCAAATTTGACCAGTACCATGCTCGAGATAAGCTCGATTGATCTTCTGTGGTGGTAATTACGTACCGGTTTCTAGAAGGATGCTAGGAGGAAGACCTAAGCGAGGTGGCATCTGGGTGTTATCTCAAGTCTCGTAACTCTATTCCGCCATAACGCAATGGCGCAGACGACCGGCCTTGGCGTCGCTGTTGTGTATCTGCTCACGAGGGCGCAAATTAGCCATTGTGATAGTATACCGTGTTATGTGCGGCCGAGATGATATGGGCTATTGTCCTGGTCAATGAGTTGTTGTTATGCGACATTCCGCGAATGGATGTGTTCAACAAATCTGTCACATTCGACCAACGGCTGGCCAGCGTTCTGGCCCTTATATCTGTGCGCAACACGAGCGCTCGAACGACACAAGGGGGGGTCGTATATCTGCATCAATGCGGAGACAAAATTGCGGGGTGCGGCCATAAAATAGCAGATCCTGTTGATCCGCGGAACTTCACCCGGGAACATCTCGACATGTTCCGGTCTATCAGCTGAGATGTCGCAATTTAACAGCAAGTGTGCTCCCCAGAAAGGCAGGTATCAAGGCTATCAATCCTTCTATTCGAGACCAGTACAGTATGTGGCTGGAACAGCACACCTTCCTAATAAAACCCCGCCAACAAAGAATGTCAATATCGACTCCCTCTTTCTTGGTTCTCTTGACTTCTTCAACCATCCTCAAAGCACGAAAAGCATCTTCTCCTGAGCATGTTGATTCCTTCAGCCCCTTGACAACTCTAACAAACCGTGGAGATTGGCTCTTGCCGTCTTCGACTTTCAAACCCTCCTCCTGTGTGACCAGACCACAACGAACCTCCGCTCCAAGAATTTTTTTGAAATTCATGCTTGTGGACGATGTATTGTAGGTGAACTATTGCGTCTGATACCATGAAGGTCCCACGCAACCATCTGGGGACTGCAGGAGTACAGCCGTACCTTCCTCGACTTTGAAGTTCCTCTGTGTAACAACTTCCTAAGCCGACATCTTGATGATAAGTCGAAATAGGTTCGAAGCAGATCAACATCCGTGAACCACATCAGTAAGGATCAAAATCCCTGTTGGCATCGTCTTTTCTTCACTCTGCTACTCGTTCAAGTAGTCTGCGAGCTTGTGGACAGTCCAATGGAGGATACTGGTAGGTAGCATATGCTTCCTCCACCTCCAATTGAGTCCTGCAGACACCACATTTGACTTCTCCTTCGAAAAGCCTATGATCAATATTAATACGTTCTATAGCATAACCTTTTTCGTCTCGGGCCGAGATTATGAAAACGTGTTGATACTGCAACCCTGTCTCAAACTAAGCAAGACTATCCTGCTCGCGTTTTATCCTTGGAGAAGCAGCGAACCATGGCATATGCATCTACAGAGCCTGTGCCTATCCGATAGTTGCTCGGACTGGGAATGCGACGAGATGATATTGGATAATGCTTTGCTGCGGCCCGCCGACCACGGCGTCAGCATTTGCTGTGATGAGTTTCGGACATTGTACGCATACATCTCAGAAAGTCTCGAGCAAGACCATCTAACGACATGTTTCGTACTTGGGATCATCATTTATATTGTGTCTATTACGTATAACAAACCGGTCTCACAAGACTTGAAGATGCGGCTCACCTTTTAATCCTGTATTGCCAGATCCAGCTCTACACGGTCAGAGTATGCGCTAGCTGCCAAAATCGCTCGCATCTGTCTGATTTCAGCGAGAAGAACCCGTCTAGCGATAAGACAACGAATATCTTCGGCGCAATGAGCGCTCTTCAAACTACCTCGATCAGTCAAAAACTCGTTGAAATGCAGTACCTTAGACAGCGCAAGTTCGGGATCTTTACTGATGGTTTGTTGATCTTCAATGTCCGTCCTGTTGGAGTAATGATCATGGTGTACTAAAGGATATCAAGTATAGCTATAGAACTACACAACAGGAATATGCAACAGGATAATATCCAGCGAGAGGCAAGAAGTTGTCGACTCTTTGTGGATATGCTTCTGCTTCCTAGAACGACTGTGCCTTCTTGTAGTCTGCATCTTGCTCTCAGCTGTAGTCGGGGTACGTGGAAGTTACAGACTTTAGTACACGGGGAGGATTCATAGGCGGCAGTTGACTCCCGTCGACTGGTGATGTGATTCTCAGATCGCGCTGACGTTCTTAGAATTTGGCGACGCAGAGACCCTCAACAATGCCCAGATCATTTTACGCAGAAGCAGGGCTTGCTCGATTTTCAGCTGATCCCCAAAGTATCCATATATCTCCGCCACGTGAGTCTTGGTCTCCCGCGTAGAGGTGGAACATGTACCAGCAACAAACAAAGGCCACAATACACCATAACCGGAAAGAGCGCGCATGATTGGGAGGTCGCTGGAAACAGCCTCAGGCACGAAGTAGCGAACGGGGCGTTTGAAGCCTGACCACGGTAACATTTCCTCGTCTCCTGAAGTGTACTGTGCCATGCCAGCAAGTATCTCGGTTTGACATTGTCGCATGATGGCCTTTGAACGATCTCGTACCAACTGATGCACATCTGTATCGTTCGATATCGACTGGAACACAACTTCGTTAACCATGATTCGACTGGAGCGGAACGATGCCCATATATAATTTGTCGCCTGATCTGCATATCGTATTTCGAAGCTAGGCAAACCAGCCTCGACAGATTTTCTAGGCGCAAAGTGCGGGATATATTCGCCTTCCCAGCTTTTAGGAATGTTGGTAAAAGCCTCAATGAGTTTTGCATCCAGCTCGGCTGCGCGAGATATAATCTCGTCGGGCGATGTGATTTGACAGTGTATGACAGCGTGTCTGAAATCTGCGCACTCGAGACTGATTCGTTGATATCTTACAGCAGGGTTTCCCGGTTCGTAGAGATATTCGAAGATCTTGGCCTGAAGGAGATGTATGAAGGGTGGAGTGGATAGACATCGGAGAAGGCATATCACATTGATACTGGTAATGACATGGAGAGTGATAACTCGGCCTGCAGTTCCTTGGACGCCGTCGAGTCCACGAAGGCTGAGCAGAGACGATGCTCCATTGACATGTTGCTCCCATGCATCCAAACTGCGTGTAACGCCGCCTGTGAGGGTTTCGTAATTGGTGAGAATGAGAATCGCGAGCAATGTCTCATCACGTTTGACCTGGACTGGATCTCGAAGAGCGAGATTTGTCAGATTCAAAGCGGTAGCATATTGATGTTGGGCGGAAATAGATAGTCGTTTATCAGAGTAATGCTTGGACAAGTTGGCAATGCCAAAAGCCTTGATACCGGCAACAAGATGTTTGTTGTTCGGTTCGTGGACACAGTTGTGATAGACATTAGAGTTGATGATGCAGTTGTTGAAGAAAAAAGCAAAAGACAAGTCTTCGCTGTCCACAGGCAAAGGCGATACGTAGGTAGAGACTGCTGGAGAGGAAAGAACAGCCGATGAAGATCTGTCTGAGCCGAGCGGGGAATCTGTCTCTGGAGTGCTTCCTTTAGAACGTGTACCACGAGCTTTGGAGACGGTTTCTGCACTCTGGTCTAAGATCCTCAGGCTGTCTTGCTGAGGATAACCAGGACACATACGATGTGCATTCGCGCAACGTCCACATCCGCCTGCTCGGAGGTCACACTTCTTGCGGCGTTTGCGACACTCTTCACATCCTTGAGATGGTTTTCCACGAAAAGGCATCGGCGCTGGAGAGATTCAGAAGCGCGAAGGATTCCATGAAAGGAAATAGAGCGAGGGACATGGCTGATGACCCAGCTTATGCTTGCAGGAGCGATCTGAATCCTTCGGGAATCACCCTGCACGTCAGCGCCAAACATCGCAAAAACTAAGGAGGACAGTCAGACAAGCACGGTCAAACAAATTTGGTCCGTGCTTTCGTGCTTTGTGAGCTGTCAGTCGTGCTCCTTAGTTATTGCGGCGGAAGAAGGCTTTACCTCATTGGGAAGGCAACGCGCCCTCGAACAGCTCTTGCGACGATCGACAACCTGTTTCGAAGTCAGCAACGCATTTGACCTTTCGCAGGATCCGGGATTGACATAATGCTTGTCTCTGACTGCTCCTCATGGCAATGCTTGTAAGTGAACGAGAATGACGCTAACCGAATGTAGAAACCTGCGCGCGGTATAGCACTGCCTTGGGATCATGCATTGTCTTCGTAGTAAGGGCTCGAGAAGGCATATAAGGCTTGCTCTTCCACACTCTCGTAGCTGTTTTCTTCCAGTATCCAAGCATTCATCTCATCTCATCTCACATCCATATCTTCTCCACTATCGCATTCACCAACTTTCAATCATCCATCATGTTGACTTACCGCAACGACGTCTTCATCGCCGTCCTGGCATTCTACGCTTTCACAGGAGTCTTCTCCATCATCCGACTCTTTCAACATGGCCTCAGGAAGACTGCCAGTGAGCGCATGCTACTCGTCTTCAGCATCGGCAGAATTCTTTGTGCTAGTTTCCAACTAGCAACTATAACTTACCCCACCAACACTTCCATCTGGGCTGGCTACATCACAACTTTCTCAATTTGTGTCTCTCTCTTGCTGTCGGCATCACTCGTACTCCTCCGAAGACTTGCTCAACGTGCAGGAACAGATTTCCCCAAGGTCAAGGGTCGGGACTCGATGAAGCTCTGTCAAATCTTTGTTACTATTGGTCTTGTCCTGGGCATTGCCGGCGGTATTAAGGCTGACAACAACTGGGGTTCTACCGGCTCCTACCAATCTGATGCAATTCAGAAAGCCAGTATCGTCATCTTCATCATGTCGTGGGCACTGGTCGTCTTCTTGACCATCCACACGCTCGGCAGTGCACATGGCGCATCGTCCCACACACAGAAGATTGCAGTTGCTGTGTTCGCAATCAGTCTGCCTTTGTTGGCTGTACGCATTGCTTACTCTGCTGTTTCCATCTTTGCCAACCTCAAATCATTCAGCTCGGTCTATGGCAGTGTCACTATCATGCTGTGTATGGCTTTGATTGAGGAGGCCATTATCGTCTTGATGTACCAGGTACTTGGGTTTGTCACACTCGAGACAGAAAAGAGAACCAAATCTGTTGGTAGCGATTTTGACCAGCTATCTGCCACCGAGACCGGTGTCTATACTGGTAAGTAAGGATGGGTAGAAAGAGCCATAGGTGGAAGACATCGGAACGTAAACTGAACGACTAGACTGGGGGAAGGCGTTTTTAATAATGACTGAATTGAATTGAAGCAATATGGATGATCGGTTCTGCTATCAAGATAGGATAAATTTGTATCAACTTCTTCAGGTTCCATAGCACCCCCTTGCGAGCCATCTTTACTTGCGTAACAGTGATCGCACGTGCATACAAATACTGGCACTCGAACCATAGACGGCAAGATACAGCAGATGGTGACGTTTAGATCAAATAATATACTATGGTTGGATTGCAGTGCTTACATCAAATCCGATATGGTCTAGTGGCTAGGATTTCTCGCTCTCAAACAGTACTTCTGTACGATCAGGTCCGAGGAGGCCGGGGTTCAATTCCCCGTGTCGGAATCTTCTTTTGCTTCTGTCCAGTGAACCGCAAATTGTGTTGGTCGGATATTTGCTGCTGGGCTGGCTAAGACGAAATTTTTTACGTTTTGGCTTCGGCCGTTTGCCGGATGAACACACCACCACCATGTTACATTTTTTCTTCTCTTTTTCCTTTTATCTCCCTTTTGAGGATGTTCCGTACCGCCTCTCCTTTGCTAAGGATGGTCATAGTCTAGCTGAAGAAATTTTTGCACAGTCTCAGCACAAAGAATATGGTTTCCACTGAGATGAGCTCTGTCAGACTATCTCAATGGCTAGACTCATATTCAAAACGCAACTGTGCATTTTGACAGGTTATACTTGATCCTCTTATGGTTCGGTATCAGGAAGACATCAATCGCGTAATTGTAACAGTCTTTAGCACACGGTGAGGAGAACTTTTGCATAGAGAGAGAAACCTATCTGCCTGTGGAAACAAGAACCTATTCCCAGAGCAACTTCATTATAACTCCTCTCCAGCCTTTACGTACTGGCTCAGGTGTCTCAGGGTTATCCCTAATCTCGTCCAAAGCAGCTCTGATGGGGATATCTTCTAGAGCGACAAACTTCGTTCCTTTGAAGTATTTCCAGCCAAGGTAGGCGACAAGGATTAATGGAATATCACTATGAGATTTGTCAGCGGTTTTCAGAGGTGACAAAGTAGTCAACATACAGATACGACGAAACGAACGAACTAGCAGACCAGCCACCACGAGTAAAAACAGCAAAGCCATTGGTCAGCAGAATCAAAAGACAAGCCACCAACGCAACAGCAGAACTGTAAGCTAGATTTTATGTCAGCGATCATTCTCTACTCCCAGCATTGCAAAACTTACGAGTCCATCTATTATGCCACGGCAACTCTGTCCTCTCAATCCCCTGCTTCTTCATCGCAGACATCAATCTCAAATGGTTTACGAGAATGCAAGACCAAGAGATCAGAACACCACAACCGACTAGATCCACAAACCAGTAAAAGACAGTCAAAGCTGAAGACGACAAACTCATAAATGCCAAGAACATGAATAGTGTCTGGATGAGAACACACATGTAAGGTACACCCCAAGAAGTGGTGCGCAAGAAAATAGCAGGAGCTTGTTTCTTTAGTGCTAAAGAGTAGAGCACACGTGTACCGGCAAGCAGAGCTTGATTCGAAGATGACCAGGCAGAGGTAATGACTACAGCGTTGACGATAGATGGGATGGCCTTGATCCCTGCCGCCGAAGCAGCAATTACAAAAGGACTTTGTGCTGCGGTGCCGCTCTCATTGTTGAGACGCTCGTCGTCGCTGGGAACCAACATACCCACAATCAGTACCGTGACGACGTAGAAAAGCGCTACACGTGCAAACACCCTTTTACACGCTTTAGGGATGTTCTGGCGCGGGTTTCTCGTCTCAGCTGCAGCCATAGCGATAGATTCGACTCCAGAAAACGAGAACACTGCATTGATCATGACAGACCAGAAACCAAGGAAGTTTCCCCATGATCCAGAAGCAATGTGTTCGACGAAAGGACCAGGAGTGACCCAAAATCTGAAGCCTATGCGAGAGGTCCCAGGCACACCACCCAGATCAATGCAAAGACCCAAGATGACCAAGCCAACGACCAGTGCAATCTTCAACATAGCCATCGCAAACTCGATCTCGCCATAGATGCCAACGAACGCGATGCCAACCACGAATGTCAACAGTATGAAGATGACAATCCAGAGAGATGCATTGATATCCGTCCAATACTGGAAGAGCACACAAATAGCCGAAATCTCCGAAGGAATAGAAAGCCAATTTCCATATACTGTGTTCCATCCTATGGCAAAGCCCAAGGCAGGATCAACAAGAAACTCGGCATGGCGGATGAATGATCCTGTGACAGGAAGCAAGGCAGTAACTTCTCCAAGAGCGAATTGAACAGCACAGACGATGAGACCGACGAAAGCATATCCGAGTAAAGCGCCGAGAGGTCCACCAGTCTGTAAGGAGGATCCGAGTCCAAGGAATAGTCCGGTTCCAATTGCGCCTATAGCTGTGTCAGAGGAGGCAGGAAAACGGAGTTGAAATGCAACTACCAGCAAGCGCAATCATCTGAATGTGCCTCTGCGCCAACCCACGTCTCAAATCCCTCTCTTCATTCTCCGTGACAAAATCGCCATGTTGGACGTTCTCATGCACGCCATAAGTGCCCACGTTTGCAGTCTTGCCCGGGGCATCATGAACACCCGCAACAGACATGTTGACAGACCTGCGTTCCAATGCGTTATACAGTCAAGAAAACGCAATGTTTCGAAAGCATAAAGCAAGAAGAGGAGCCATCGAGATGCATCATGCGATTTTGTCGAGACTCTTCATCCCTTCGGTGTGTTCTTGCCCCATGGGCCATGAAGGATCGCGTGCTCAAAAAGCTTAATCGCGCGACCCATCTAGATAAGCTCTCTACGATTTGGGACATGTTAGCCGAGCATTGACAAGATTAATCTACAAACTGCTTGACGATCGTCTGTTGGCTGGTGTCAGAAAAATAACAATGGTCTGTCATCGCAATTCGAGATGCGCTCGAGTGTAGTCCACCACATTTATCGGCTTCACGACACAGCCGCTCCAAGAACTGGACGATACAGCAGGAAAGAAGTAGTCAAGAAGAGATCAGAGTGGTCCTTTGGTAGTCCAGATCTATAGCAAGCAATGATACCTAAACAGACAAAGGAGATGATAGAAGCAGTAAGCTATGTGTTTGAACGAGAACAAAACAAGAAGAGGTCTCGGACAACGATCAGGCCAGTGACATGCCGTAGAACAACAGCCAGAACAAAGAGATACGAAAGTGTGGGTGAATCCATTTCAGCAAAGATAAAGCTGGCCTATTCTCCTCGTCGCGGTCGGTTTGAAGTAGTCAGAGGCTCAGCGGTCAGATGTTGGTTGCTCATAGCCGCACCATTAGTGTGAGTGTGTCGCAATGAGCCCATGACGTGTCGTCCTGTACTCCTAGATAAAGAGCCAACATCATGTTTGCCTATATCATGTAAGTTTCATGTGAAGTAGAAATTTCGAAGAAAACTTACCATCACAGCACGCCCTCACATTCTCCAGCCTATCGTGATTGTGCTCGTGATGTCCCGAGAGCACTGTGCCCAAGTCCTCTGTACTATCCTCAACCACACTTGCATCATATATCGTCGGTTCAAGAGGTCGACGAGTGCTCATCGCACTCTTGCTTCGCCTGCTAGAGAAACTACCACGCATACTTCCGCCAGGGCTCTTGAACAAGCCGCCCATGATACCTGCACGTCCCTGAGATCCATCGGACGAGCCAGGGGTCTGTGCGCCCCTTCGCTGAGATGCAGCCGCGGACTGGCGGTTGGCAAGGGATGGTACCTCAGACGCATGGGGACGATGCGGTGACGAGTTGCGAGTCGTTCTACTGTTGTAGCTGCTGAGACTAACACGAGTGCGAACTGTGTTACGACTTTGGCTTCGCATTGTCGGATTGAATTCGTCGACCATATCCTGCGTCATCTCCTCGTTCTCGCGCTCAGTGCCGGTGCGAAGCAAAAGGTAGGAGAGTGCATTGAACCATGTCTCATGCCTTTGTGCAGTCGGAGCTGTGAACACAATCTCGCGACCTGGGGTTACTATCACCAAGCTCTTCCTATGCAAGCCTGGTGGGTAGGCGTAATCATCTGTGATAACTCGGACGGCTTCGATAGCAACACTCTTTGCCTTTGACTGCTGCTTGCCAAGTGTGGAAGGATCGTGCTCACTCCAGTAGAGCGTTCTGGTGTAGGGGTGCACCCAGAAGAATCTTCTGTGTCTTGAGGCACTAATCTCAGAACGACCAGCCTTGCGTGTGTATTTCCAAAGATACTCTCCGATCATGGTCTGAGTGATAGCTTGGATCATGCGAGGATCAGTCGCAGGCAACATGTCTTCAGGGTACAGAACACCTCTACTAGGTTGAATACGCTCATCGACTTCAGAGACGAAGCTTGAAATGGAGCTGGCGCGAGTTGTAGGGGACATGGGGTCTGGCCGACCGGCGGGGATCGGTGCGAGAGCACGGTTAACAGTACCTCGTCCAGACTGAACAGATTTGCTGATGCTGGGCGTGCGCGAGCGAAGTGATGGGGGAGGCTTGTTGAGCGAGCCTGTAGGGATTGGTGGCGGCGGCATTGCAGACTGCGTGTTCCTTGCTCCAGCAGCTGCTGCAATACGTTGTGTGTGGTCCGGAGGAAGAGGAGGCTGAGCAGCAGAAGATTTGTGCATGCTGCCGGAGCTGGCAGGACGACGGGGAGCTTTGATGTTGGCACCTTCAGCCGCGTAGGGTGTTTCTGAAGCTCTTCTGGGGCTCTCAGGTCTAAGAGGTGTGCCTTCATCAATGTTGACAGCAGGAATAGTCAACGGAGTCTTGCGGCGCATCATCTTGTCGATCTCATCAGAGGATACCATTGTCTGCGTTCCCATCTCAGAAGTGGGGGTGCGCTTCATGGCAGGTCTTTCACCATTGTTCGACATGCTGCGCTGACTAGTGCCAACATTATTGGACACCTCGGCGAAAGGCTGTCTGAAGTGGCTGTCCTGCTCGACGTGAGGTGTTGAGTCATTTTCATCGGCAAAGACAAGTGTAGGTTCTCCATGGCTGTTGCCCTTGGCTCCACCAAACAACCGAGGCTCTTGAGTCGATGTCCCATCTCTGCTGCTAGTACGAGGAGGGAACTGAGCCCCAGAAGTAAGGAAGGCGGCACCAGGACGAACACCGTCGGTGCCTGGGATGCTGTTCTTAACGTCATCGGAGAGAGCCTTCTCGTCATCCAGGAAAAATACGTCATCCCTCTTCAGGCCATTCCTCGAAGGGGAGAACAAACTTTCATCCATCACGGGCTCCCAGTGTTGAGAGCGAACAGTAGAGAAAGTGAGTGCATTCCTCTGAGTCTCAATCTCCTTGTCCAGTTGCGGCATGCTAGGAGTGCGTGGCTCAGTATGAGATGTGGTGAAGGATGAAAACTCCAATGAAGGAGTCTGTACAGGCTCTGGCGAAGAAGCCATGATAGGTTCCGATGACATGGACTTGAAAGGAGACATGGCAAAAGACGGGATCTCTTTTACCATTGGTGCGGGCGCAACAGGTTCTGTATGTGAAGCAGGACCGGTGGAGATGGAGAAAACCTCGGGCTCCTTTACCACTGCGACAGGCGCAACAGGCTCTGTGTGTGAAGCAGGACCAGTTGACATAGAGAAAATTTCAGGCTTCTTTGTCTCAACAATAGGCACAACAGGCTCAGTATGTGTAGCCGAGTATTGCGAAATGGAGAACTTTTCAGGCTCTTTAACAATAGGAGCCACAGCAAGAGGCTCAGTGTGATGGCTAGAGAAGGTCGACATGGAAAGCTTCTCAGCCTCCCTGATAGGTTCGACAGCGGCCACTGGCTCAGTATGAGAAGATGCGAGCGTTGTCATGGCGAATTGTGGAAGCTCTTTGGGTGCAAGCTCTGCAGCGACAGGCTCAGTGTGAGTGCTTGAGAATGTTGCCATGCTCAAGGGCTGTGCCTTGGGTTGTACAGGGGTCACAGGCGCGAGGTCTTGTGAAACAATATCGGCAAAGTCCTTCTTGGCCTCGGGTGTTGCAATAGCCTTGGACTCAAACTCTTCCCCTAGCAGCTTGGGAGTCGCGGACTTCGACGCAGGCTCGCTCTCGATGAATTCACCAGGCATGTTGGATGACGCAACAGATGGGGTTTGAGCATCATCTTCTGCGATGGCCCGGGATGTCTTGTCGTGAGCCTCGTCGTCGTCATGCGATGCCGAATGACCAAGTGCGAAGCCAGCGACACCAGCGATGGCAGTACCGACAGCACCAGCTGCAGCACCAACGATGGATTTAGACTCTGGTTCCCAAGGTTCAGTCATCATTGCAGAATCGACCATCTTTGGCCTTGAAACTTCTGTGATGATGGGGGCTTCAGAGAGAGTAGGCTTCTTGACAGTTTCGGGGCTCACAGGAGCAGACTCAATACCAGCGTCAGTCGAAGTTTCTTCGCCGCTATCACTATCGTTGCTTAGCCCGTCCAACTCAGCACTGAGACTTTGACCGAATTGAACAGGGGTTCTCTGACTGGCTTGGCTGGCAGGGCTATCGTCACTAGCAAAGACTGCGCTATTGCGGGCAGAACCATTGGTTGAGCGACGACCCTTGCTAAGACGTAGCTTGTATCTGGGCTGCTGACCCTGAATGGGTGTCTTGATGTTCTCAAATTCGTCGGCAGAGGTAGATGCGGTCGACATGAAAGAGAGGCGGTTCTCGGCTTTGTTAGTGGCGTGCGGACCGGGCCTGGAAACAGGTCGGGATGAGGAGCCTTGGTTCTTGACAGGGCTGAACTCGGTCTCGGTCAGGTCATCGCTGCTGTCGCCATCGATGGTCTCGGCACCAGTCTGGAAGGCGCCCTCGGTCTCTGTGTTTGTATTATCATCATCCTCGTTGGCTGTCTCGAAAGCGTCGGTTGTGCCTCGCTCGTCGGCAGTCTCAAATGCATCTGTAGTTTCTGCGCTCTCGGGCTTTCCAAAGGCACCGGCAGTTCTGCCAAAGTTGAAGTTTCCGAAAGGTACAATTCCCGAGCTGATGTTGCGAGTAGCAGGACGACTCGGGCTTTCAATCAAAGACTGATCTTCCCATTCGTCATCGTCCATAATGATCTCGTGCTTAGCGGCTCTAGAAGCTCCCAGCTTGTCGGCGCGGGCGCCCTTGTTGAATTTGATGCCACTGTCATCAGAACGACGCTTCTTGCTGACAGACTGGCCGATACCACCATCGGTACGCTTGTTCTCTAGCTCATCCCTCGCATCTTGTAAAAGTCGTTTGAGCTCAAATTTTTCAGTCTTTTCACGATGGATGTTGTTCTTCAAGTTCTGGATCATACGGTGGGCGTGCGTCAGGGACGACTTGAGGGTCTCGGTCTCGAGCATGCCGTGTCGAGGAGTAGGCTTGACCGGTGAATTCTGTGGAGAGACGTCAGGGGTCGCGACCTCGGAATCACCATTGTCGCGGCCCAGAGAGCGCTGAGTGTCTTGAGGCTGGCTGTCAGCGTTCCATCTCGCAGCTACAGCCTTTGCCAGCTGAGTGTTTTGAGAAGTCAGCTCTTCGACTTTCTTGAGGAGCGCATCGCGAGCTGTCTGATGGCTGGTAACGTCACGGCGCAAGGTAAAAAGCTCGGCTTCGTGGTGCTTTTTGACGGATTCATGGTCATCGCTGAGTTTACCATGCGCAGCTTTGAGGTCTTCCAAGTCGCGTTGTGCAGTGTCCTTCTCAGCTTGAGCGAATTTCAACTGCTGTGACAGACGCTGTTCTTTGTCGGTCGCCTCCTTCAGCTGTGCAGTCAACTCTTGCATTTGTGTCTCGAGATTCCAGTTCTCATCCTTGCACTTCTGTTCGCTCTCGTCCAACATGCGCAAACGCTGCATCAGATTGCCAATGTCTGTCTCGAGCTGCTCTTTCTCCGTGGTTGCATCCTTGAGCGCATTCTCCTTCTCAGCCAGAACGGCCTGTAATTGTCTGACCTGAGCGAGAAGAGAAGTGCTGATCTCGGTAGCAAATTCAATGTCATGGACGCGGTTGGTAGGCTGATTACGCTGACGTCTGGAGCCTTCGGTAGGGTTGCGCTTGACTGGAGAAGGGCGGGAATCAGAGACGAAGACAGCAGGACTCGGTGGAGCGACGCTGAAGTCTGTTGAGACGATTCGCGATTTCGGTAGAAAGGCACGAGCGGTATCTTTGCCAATCTCGGTGTAATCCTTTTCCAGCTGATCCAACTTTTTCTGCAGCTCAGGAGTAATGTCCTCGGATGCGCCGTCCTCGACTTCTTTCAGACGGGCAGCCAAGTCCTTGCGCTGTTGCAAAAGGGTGGTACCGAGCTTCGAGGCATCTTGAATGCGTCGCTCCGTGTCCTTAAGATGAGCCTCGAGGGCGCGTTTCGCCTGAGCTGGCGAGCCCGAGTTGTACAAGGAGAAGACTTGGTTGTCAAAGGAAGCGTAGCGGTGGGGACTCGGTTGAGTGGGATTGGAATTGACGAAGGGGTCGTCACCATTTGACGACAGGTTGGCGGTCGTGGCCATTGTAGACCTTGGCGGGTGTGCGACAGGGTCGCGACACGCGGCAGTCGAACAAGATTAGTATAGTCGGAGGAGAAGATTAGTGAATGGGCTGCATCAGAGGCTCTGGTAGTGGATAGGATAAGTTATGCGGGATGTTGTTGTTGTGGATTGTCGGCTCCAAACAGTGGGCAGCAGCCGTTGAAAGGTTGTTTTGCGGGTAAAATGACAAAGTAGACGAAGAACAGAAGAAGAAGAAAAGGAGATAATATGAATTGTGTCAAAGAGCCAGGACTGTTCGACGCGGCTGCTCTGTCCTTGACAGCTGTCGGTCGGGAAAGAGAGACAACTCGTTCGACGAAACAAACAGACAGACCCAAGACAGACAGACCGCGACGGGAAGGAGAGGGGGAATGCAACGGAAGTGCAACCCTCAACCTGAAAATGCTCCGGTCTTGGCGGGTTTGATTGGTTCATTTCAGCACGAGTGCTATCAAGGCCCCCCAGTCTTCGGCCCCCATAACACTGGTCGATTCAGCTCGTACAAGTCGATAGCTCAAAGCCTCAAGATCCTTCAAAGACCGACGAGCGTGCCAGCAGTGCAAAAACAGCATACAACCAAAGCTCAACTTGATTTCGATCAAGCCACGCCTGTCACGACGTTAAATCAGGCGTCCAAGACAGCGGGCTCGAATACCGGCAGCCGCTGAGATAGCGTCACGACTCGTGCATGACCTGCAGCTAAACGCGTCTGTCCGCCCTGATACTCCGACAACCACATGAACCACAAACAAAGTCTGAAACACCGAGATCTGTTTGTCGTTCGCGGCTCGGCCCAGTCCTGCTGCACCTGTCAGCCAATCTCTATCACGACCGTGCCGTAGGTACTCGAAACACCTCTCCTTTTCTTGTTCACAGGCACTCAAAGTAGCCAGCAGTGCTGTACATTCCAGCCCTGACCCGTAGCTTGCACTGGCAAATTTGCTAGAAAGTATCTTGACTTCATCAGCCCGGACGTCTTCGCTTCCAGGGCCACCTTGTCTTGATTTTCTTCAAAGGCCTCGTCAGTGATTGTACCTTGACGGGCCGGGGACGCTGACAAGATGTCTTCCTTTGTTGCCACTGTTTTTGCAGTATTGACAGGAGAAAGCGTATCGAAGTTCAACCCACTCGATACACTGTCTTCGCCGACGTCCATCCTCTACTCTGGCACTTTGCTGAACCAAGCATATGCAATTCTGGTAAACTTCCCTAGACCCAGCAATGGTTTCGCGTATCCTGGCCATTTCGCCGCGCTCGCTAGCATCAGTGGAGCCAGTACTCTGCTGTCCTTACCTCTTCTATTACCCACGCCGAGCGACAGTCTTCTACAGATCATTGGGAACACTCTTATGACCATGAGCGGCTCACTCTTCAGCTGGACCGCATACACAACACAAAGAGGACGACTACCAGCAATTTTTGGTGGCAAGACACCCGACTTTATCATTGATTTCGGACCGTTCGCATATGTTCGCCATCCTGCCTACACTGCTTATCTCCTGGGCTGGACTGGAGCCTTGACTGCGCTTGCAGGCAGGAATGACGCTGGTTGGAGGGTCCCAGCCTTGGCTGTATGTCTTCTGGGTCTTGTGGGTGTGTACCACACGGGGTCAGAGATGGAGGAGAAGCAGATTCTCTCGGGCGAAGAGAATGATGGAAAGGTCGACCTCGGTAAGAAGTACAAGGAGTACATGGGCAAAGTCAAGTATCAATGGCTTCCTGGTTTGTTCTAAATCATGAAAATGAGCAGACACAAATCTCGAACCGAGGAAGTGAAGCGTCAAGTCTTGTGAATGGATGAAGCCCAGATTGTCGATGCGCTGTTGCTCGGTGATAGACCAGGAGGCAGAGATGCAGTCTTTCGGTGAATTGTAAGACGAGAAGAGCACTGCCAAATTTCGTAGTCGCAGAAGTTGCTTCACAAAGCAGTCGCATGATGGTAGCTCCTTCCTTGTAAAAGCAAGTCAGATTCGCATTCACAAGAAAACACAGCTGAACGACCATCCAGACCAGACGTTCAGCCAACTCCAAATCAGTCACCGGTACTTTGAGACTCTCATCACAAAGCCACAAAGCTGAAAATCCTGCTGGTCAGTGGTTGGTATACTGTACCACCTCGAAACCCCGCGCGAGCTAACTCAGTAATCAGGCCTGGCAGACCAGCAACCACACCCATTGCATTTCTCTCCATTTCAGTAGCTGTCGCGCCGCGCCAAAGTCGTTCATTTTCAAATGTCCAGAGCTCCCATTCGCGTCACCAAGAACGGAGACTCAACCTGATCCATTACAACGATGATCTCCGCTGGTCTTGTCATCTTCCTCGTCATCATCGGTTGCGCTGCCGTCTGCCTCTGCTGTTACGCCCTTTTCACTCTGTCTTTCGGCAAGCGATCCGAGCCCGTTGATCGCAGCAGACCTGCCGCCGTTCAAGAAGAATACATGCGCGAAGTGCGACAGAAGAACAGAGACATCATGTGGGCTCTGAGCGGCCAGAGGATTCGCTACGACCCAAGCTACGCTTGATCAAACATCTCTCCTACTTTGTCAACAGCAACCATTAACAACATGTCCATAACTCAGCTGCACCTCATGGTGCTCATCAATCGCGACAAGCTTCAGCTTTGCGGCTCCTTGAAATGATCATAACTTAGTTATTCCCGATGAAGTTGTTCCCGGCCTAATCCAACTCAAAGCATGACAATCCCTCATCTGGGGTTCGAGTCTATCGGGAGACTTGTCAGAAGGATGATCAAGTTCGGCATTATTTGGTAGCATCTGCGCAACAACATTCAATGACCGGATATCGGGCACAATTATACCCGGACGGAATGGCATGATTTTTCTTTCTAGGCCAATTTTGTCAATGCTGCTGCAACAACGGCCTTGTATAGCAGATAGCCTTATACAAATTCTATTCCAGCCACCATACCGTGTTGTCTCGTTCGTTGCTGTAGAGTGCTGTCCCTGAGCTAGAAGAGCAGTGTTTGAACGAAAAGTTAAACCCTGAAGGGCTGCTGGAGCTGAAACAAGAAGATGCGTCGGGATTGACGTTCACATGTCAAAGCCACTTTGCTCCACACCATGCGCGTCCTGAATTTCCCGCTCGCACCATCTCCTGATCAATTCTGTCCACATCACCGTCACAGTCTGATCAACATGGACGACGCGTCGTCTCAACTCTGCCAATTCAGGTAGTCGTGTAGGTAAGAGCCAATTCAGATTGTCGTGTAGGTAAGAGACGGCAGCAGCAGAGCGACTCTACTGGTACCATTTCCATGGACTGCGATATCAGAAAAACCAAGGGTTTGCGCAGATGAAAGCGGAAAGCGTTGCGAGCCCTGCAGCCATCAAACCCTGACAAAACGCCTGATGGTATGCGCAGCCCTGGGGCTTTTCAATGGTGGTCATACGAACTCGGCGTTGACGCATACGACGACGAGAAACTTCTGTTCCCATAATTGCTTCGGCCTCAGCTGTTGCCCGTTCCGGTATGGATGCGTCGGATCTTTTTCTTGCTTCAGCTCCCGATCCAGTCGTCTGCTTTCCTTTACCGTTGCATGTCACGAGCTTACGCAAGACCACACGCTCTGCAAGTAAATACCAAGAGTAGGTCTCCTCTGTCTCGGTTCTGGTTTTTTCCCTTCTGTCCATTCGACTATACATCTCCAACCTTGTCATATCGCTCGCTTGCTACAACCAGTCCTTCGCTACACCTCACCACCATATCATCCACTTTTATAGTAACAACAACTATTTTGTTACAACACACCTCAACGCCATGGCCCTCAGTAACGGAGCTATCATCGTCATCGTCATTGTCTGCTGCGGCGGCTTCGTCTGCTGTCTGGCAGCAATGGGCATGTTCTACCGCCGACGAGATCATAGCGAACCAACATTTATCAACCATGGCTGGCGACCAACCAACGATCAGAACGACTACATGCGAGAAATTAGAACGAAGAACCAGAAGGGCATGTTCCATGTCGCAAGATATCATGAGAGAGCTTCAAGCTCGCAAGCCTCAAGATCTACCTTCAGCAGCCCTAGCAGAAGCGAAGCTATCAGTCCTGTTTGATTGACACAATCTTGCTTGCCTTCTCTATTGTGAGTACCATGGATGCTTATGCAATATCGTACAGTGGCTAATGATTCTGGTAGATATTTCCTTCATGCTTTGCTATACTGTCATCTATATATCGGCCCATTGTCAATAAGAATTTGATGGTCGCATCCATCGAACTTCCGACTCTGATCTCTAGCCTGATCTTCTCAGGCTCGAGGCACGATTCTCTCCTCTGTTTGAGCATTTCACCATACTTACCTTCGCCGCCCGGACGATCTGGCTGGCCTGCTTCAACTTTTGTCAACGGCAATGCTTGTGGCATTCTAGGCTGCATCGTCTCACTGGTGAACGGCTTGTCTAAATATTCTGCTCTGCTTTGCTTCTGCATACTTTTCCCATCCTTTTTTTTTTTTTCACGCATATACCCCTAAAGCTCAGACTCAGATCTGGGCTGCTTTCACGAATCTCATTGTCGTCTTGTTGTGTCTCAGGCAGACTACATGATACTTTTAACGAATTCTTTCCTTGATGTATTTGTATTCTTGTGTACTCAGTATGAATCAATCTCGCTCTGTCATTGTTCGATCGTAATACCGTGCGAGTCTTTCCTATCTGCTTGTTTTCTGCTGGAAAAAAAAAGGCTTTGCTTTTCCAGTCATGGAAGTCTAATAATCGTTTTGCGAGGTCAGGTTCTCGAGTCATCATTTCTAAGCAGACAAACATGACTTGTTCGTGTGAGTTCAGCCGTTGAGAGACTTTCTCGTGGGGTATAAACTTCGATGACCTTCACCTCCTATCCTCCACGATCGTAACTTCTCATGGATCATATCGCTGCCTCCAAATATTCTGGTAAGCCACTGTTCAGAGTTATCAGCAGAAGACTCGGAAAGAGGAAAGAGAAAGGCGGTTGTTTTGTGTTTGTCCAACGTCATGAACCCATACTATTCATCTCAATCGAATCCTCAACGACATGCCGCCGCTTCCTGAGCCCAAGGTCCTTGGCACAATCGTCCCAGAACCCCTTCGAAAGATCTCCAACAAGCGAAGCCTCATATGCATCAATCAAAGGCCTCTCCCAAACCAAATCAGCTTCATGCGCTTTCACGCGCTTTGACTTTTTGGCAACTTTCCAACCAGAGTAGGTCACCAAGGCCACAAATACCATAGTGTAGTATGAGAAAAAGGTTCCAGTATTCCACCAACCAGGCAGGAATGTGGTATAGCCATACATGATGACGGTAAAGACCATAGTGCAAAGACCGAACCAACCACAAAAGGGTTGTAAATAGCCTTTATAGGGCAAAGTGTTTCTGGAAATGCCTTGGACTTTGAGGGCGCGGTAGAAGAAGAGGTATACAATGCTCATTCCGATGTAGTTGATCATTTGACTGGCTTGAGTGAGATTGGCTAGCCATGTGATGACTTTGGCACTTCCAGAGCTGATGGAGAGGAAAGATAATAGAGAGAAGAGCATAGGGACCACGAAAGCGTAGATGGGCACACCGTTTTTGTTGCATTTTGTGAAGAATTGGGGAGCGTGGCCGTCCATGGACATGGCGTAGAGTGAGCGCATCGAACAATACACGTATGAATTTCCAGCCGAGAAGATTGAGGTGACCAGGAGCGCGTTGGTGATGTCTGGCAGTACCTCAATTCCAAGATTGCTCATTGCGACAACGTAAGGTGAAGCAGCACCAGTTCCCGAGCCATCTCCATTGAGCTTTGCGATCAAGCCAGCGTCGTTGTAGGGAACAACGATGCCACAACATAGAGCGCCTCCGATGAAGAAAATACCGTATCGCATGTAAGTTGCCTTGAAAGCGCTTTTGATAGTTTTGCGAGGGTTGATGGCCTCGCCAGCGACCATGGAAAGATATTCAGGTCCAACAATCGTAAAAGCCGCTTGGAAAAGCGCAGCCAGATATCCTTGAAAACGTCCTAGCGAGCCAGTAGTCACATACTCGGCAAAACTTCCAGGATCTCTCCAGTATCGAAAACCATAAGCGTCGTGTTTGGGGTTGCCACCAACCACTGATTGAGTTAGTGGTCAACCTTCTCGAGTTAATATTGCGGTACGTACTAGTGATGAAGGTGAAACAAAAGACAATCAAGATCAGCAAGACTTTTCCGCTAGCCAGCCAGAACTCGCTCTCACCGTACCACTTGACGGCAAATATATTGAGTAGTCCGTAGAGTATCGTGCAGGCAAGACACACGGCCCATACAGGAATATCATCCCTCCAGAACGTCAGGACTAGGTTCAATGCCGAGATCTCGAATGGAATCAGGCAGAGTTCATAGAGTAGGAAGTTCCACCCCAGCATGAAACCAAAGGCCTCGTCTACCCAGTGAGTAGCCATACGAACCTAGCGGTGAGGTCGGGTCAGCAACGTTCTCATTTAGAAATTGAGCACAATGCCAGCGGACGACCTCCGACGGCTTCTAATGCTTTTTCACCTACCCAACCACCAGCGACCGGCATGAAGGTCGCCATTTCTGCCATGCTGTTGTTCACTGACGCAAGCCAAACACTATACATGGTGAAAGCAATGAAGAGACTGCCGGGTCCTCCTTCGATGAGGCCATAACCAATAGACACAAACAGGCCAGTACCAATTGAGCCGCCTATGGCGATCAATTGAATTTGACGGTGGTTCAGTGTTCGGTGCAGATGGCTGATAGACACGACATCACCAATATCGTCCTCATCTTGGGTTTCTTGAACAGGTATCGATTTCTCCTCGACTTTTGAGGATGATGCTGCCATGGTGCAGGTGACTCCAGAGCACAGAAGATCGAAGAAATGAGGGACAGAGAGAATTATCAGAGACGAGACGCATCGCGGCAGAGTTGAGGGGACCTCGAAACTCTATAAAAGCCACGACATTGCTCACAGCTGTATAGCGACGACAATGGCTATCTATTTGATCGAGTGCAGTTGACATGGTTGACGGCTGACATGGACCAATAGAAACTTACATATTGTTATCGCACCTTTCTTTTCGAGTGACGATACGCAGCTCAGGTCTGTAGATGCTGAGGTCTTATCAGAGAAAGTCTTGGCTCTGACGTTCGCCAGAGGTCGTCTCGAGGCTCCCGATTAGGATTAGTCTTGGGGCTGCTTTGCCCTACCAAGGCTTGATGTGTACGCCGGCATCGCAGATGGAACGGACTGGCAGATAGTTGCTTGATAGAATTACCTCGTCGTCTCGAGGATCATAGAGAGATGAAAGCATCGATATCTGATAGTCATAAGCAGCTTCCTCCCGATGCCACTCCTTTAACACCTCTCTGATTGCTTCCTCGTCATCTTAGTGGGTAGCCATATCAAGCAATACCACTTACAGTCAATCTGAAGCAAGATGCCATCACTCGAAGTACCGTGTGCTCACGAGGAAGATATGTTTGACCCAAAGGTGTGTCCTGAAATTACCAACAAATCAACTGCAGCCTCTTACTGCTCACAGATACATCTTGATTTCAGCCCAGCCGACAATGTATTTTCGTTGGCAGATCTCGGTATCGAGGAACACGAATACACCACCCCAATTGCCGGGTCTACGCCATTCAAATTGTTGTCGACGGAAGGCGTAATGGCATACCGGAAAGCTCTGTTGAGAAAGGAAGTCTTTGACGAATGTGCTGGATATCCATTTCCAGGAACAGTGACTCTGCGCAATGTTGCCAAAGTAAGCAAGTTTGTGTCTGACTTCTGGACGCACCCGAAGACAGTCTCCATAATATCAGATGCGCTAGGCACCAAAGTGGAGGCAATCATGCCTACAGAGATTGGCCATACTAACATCCAAGTCTCCGGACCGGGAGATGTGCTCGATCAATTGAAAGTACGGCCATCGGAAGAAGCACTTCCTTTGACAGAGGAGGAAGAAGCTTATGATCCTTTGTCCGGATCATCCGTCATACCCTGGCAGTGAGTTATGCTTAGTCATCGGTGTGTGCCGTCAGACATTTGACAGTGTCACAGTGTGGACTCCTATCCTTATGTTTGTATTATAATGCTGTCGGACACAACTCACATGAAGGGTGGCGAGACTTATATAAGCGGAAAAGACATCCAAGCGGTAAGTCAAGTGCAGAGATTCGTACAATCGCGGAGATGACGGCTAATCCACGAACAAGGTGAAAGGACCAAGTCTCGGTACGGCAGTCGTGTTGCAAGGCGGCCAAGTTAAGCATTTAGCCGCGCGCACATTCGGGTCCGCAGAGAGAATCACCACAATCACATCCTTCCGAGCTGTGGAAGTAGGTCGGTTCGACGACAGCCGTCTTGCAAACCTCAGAGCATACGACAATCTATCCGAATTGTACAGCCAATGGTCGGTGTATCGTTTAAGGAAGATGCGTGACGAGATTGATGCTGCCCTGGTTGAGATTGACAAGACCACACAAGCTGGTCATACCTTCGTCCATCAGAAGACAGAGAGTCTGTGTGAGGAGCTGTCAAGATACGCGAAAAGAACCGCCCGGCAGATGGTCGATCCCGAGATCCGTGACGAACTCGCACGGAAGTATGGGGCTCACGGCATTGCGAAAGCAAGCGATTATTGGCAGATGGTCAGACGTTCGACTCGAGCTAGAGTCATGATTGCAGATGCTACTAAGTTCGCGGAAGACAGCATGCCGAGGATGAAGAACTATACTCTAGATTGGTGTCAAACCAGAGCCAGAATCATGAGGGGCGCCAGAGAACGTGGGACGAATGGACTGATCATATGGGATGAGAAGGTCGACTACTTCCTTGGCGATGAGTTGGAAGCCCAAGGACTGAATGAGATATTATTGTATTGGATGGAAAAGACTGGTCTGATGAAAGGCGTGGTAGATTCTTGATGGTATGCACAAGTAGACTCTGTTGTCAGGTAGCAGCATGAAATTAACAACACGGTTTGTCCCGAGCTGACCACCTCCACAAGTCTTGGCAAAGGATCGATTATTTTGCGGCCTGGTTGATTTATCTCCGAAACCGCTCGACAGTTTGCGTTATCTCTGTAACACATACTTGGAGACTATATGTGCCGTAATGGTGTGCCCCTGTAATGCGCGACCAGCGAGCCTGGCCGTATCGCTTTCAACTCCGAACGACTCAATTGATCAGTCGATCGACGAGGTACAGGCTGCAGGATGCGAAGAGGAGTCCGTTCGGCTACAGGTTGCCATGAGTGCAGGGCCAGACATGTTTGTCTTCATATTACGTGAGGATCGTATGTGACTGGGCTAATAGCCTCACTCAGGTTAAGTGCGATGAGTCAAAGCCGACCTGTATGAGATGCAACAAACGCCAATCCTCGTGCACTTATGGGAAGAAGCTCGAATGGCGTAACAACACTGCTGCTAGACCTAGATCCATTGTCAAACGGATAGTCACAGATCAGTCGAAGGACCAGGCCATTCAGAAACCCAACAATACAATTCTTGGGCATCTAGAACCCGATGGCTTGGTCTTCGGGTCTCTGGAACTGCCGCAGTTCATGAATACGTCGACAGTACTGACCGAACTCGCTCAATGGGATGAGCAATTTGCATCTATATCTGACATCGGAATGGCAGGTGCATCGGATGATATGGCTAGTATCTATCAGATGCCTGGTCTGCCTGGGACTACCTCTTTGGAATGGCAGGAGCAGCTATCTCTTCCATTGGCAACCGATTCAGTCGCTACAACTTATGTCCCAATTCAATACGGATCCCTACCGGCTGATTTCAATCTGAGCACAGATCGAAGCAATGCTTTGATGGAATTCTACTTCCAGAAGGTAGCTCCGATTTTCTCGTGCTATGACGGCGGCAAAAATCCCTTCCATCATCTCGTAGCACAAGTCTGGCATCGCAATAAGCAAAACTCTGTCGAGTATCTGATGAGCTCTATTCAAGGTCTTGCAGCTGTATTCCATGCAAAAGACGAACCGGCGTATCATGCTGAAGTTCTCTTCCTCCAGAAGCGGACCCAGGAACAGCTCGAGCAAGTACCTGAAAGCCAAAGGCACGGTTCCAAGTATTTATTTGCTCTGGTCTTGCTGAGTATCAGTTATATGTACAGTCAAGATGTGCCTGCTTCGTTCAAGGCCTTGAAACTGCTTCGTGACATCTTGCAGCACGAAGCGACAGAACATACATTCAGAACATCTAAACTACAGAATCGCGAGCTCCGCTTCTTTTGGGGACTACAGGTTTACTGTGAGGTATGTGTTCGACGCTCATGCCATGATCAATCCCTTAATGAGTCACCGTGGATGGCATTCATGGTTCAGTACAGCGGAGCTAGTTGTTTTGACTGTTTTGTGAGCCAAGCTGACTCGACCTGGTTCTACAGGTGTTCTTTGCCTGCACCGATGAGTTCTATTGTCTTCCATCAGTTCCTATGCAACCTCTAGACGCCAAAAACGATCTCAAGACTCGCATATATCCTCATCCGTTCACAGGTGTGGCGAATTCGATCAGTAGCACCCTTTTGGAGGTGATACAACTTGTCAAGAGACAACGGAAACTAGCCAGGAGCCATGCCTTCGTCTCTCAAAAATACCTGGATGCTATCCAAAGTCTCATGGCAGAAGCTACAATACTTGAAGAGCGCGTGTTCACCCAAGCTATACCCAGTGTCGACAATATCGAAGACCCAAAAGACCCACTAACGCCTTTAGAGCATCTCGTGAAGATGGCAGAGTGCAATCACCAGACTGCACTACTCCAACTTTACCGTGTCTTTCCGGATGTCCTTGTCAGACGTTTAGAAGCCAGTGCAAGTCATGATGGGATGCCAGTTTCGGACTCTACGATGGAACGACACTATTTGTCAATGGCAATGCACATTATTGACACCTTGTCTTCCATACCCAACTCTTCCAGCACGACCCCGTTCCAGACAGTCTTGTTGCTTTCTACTTCAAGTGAGCTCGGTCTGCAGTCAGGCTCTCAATCTCTCATCGACTACAGCCCGCTAGAAACTCCGCGAATGCACAGTCAAGCTACAGCCTGTAAGCCACCATTCACCATGGATCTGGATGAGCTAGGGAGGAATTCTCGCATTCTTGGTGCCCGCGACTTCGTAGTCAAGAGATTACATGAATCCCAGCAGTCCATTCCAGGTGATAGGCTGCCTAAGCTGCTCAAGATTGTGAGAAAAGTCTGGGCATTACTTGATGATGATCAGCGACATGAAACAATCTATTGGTATGATGTTGCAATGCAATAGCATATCGTCTTATACAAGGCAGCTGCGACCCGGAAGAAACCGGCACCCCACATTAAGCACAAGCTCCGACCGAACAAGCTGTTTCTGTCCGGGCAAAGCAAGCTTGTTGGCGTCCTTGCCTCCATGGTTTAATGATGATGACAATCATGGACCGCCATGAGAATACGTTTCCGCAAGAGATCTGGGTGGAGGTCATGAGATATTGCTCTCAGGAGAGCTTGGTCACCCTCTCGCGCGTTTCCCCTCTGTTCTGCACAGAAGCTCGTAAGTTGTTGCTTCGAACGGTCAGATCAAAATATCCAACCAGCCAAGAGGACAATCATATGGGTGTCATTCACAGACCATATGCGTTCTACGACTTACTGAGCAAGTATCAGGTCGACTGGAGACGGATGATTAGATCCATTGAGCTTCATTGGCTAAGCGAATACGTGGGCAAAGATGGCGAGAATGCACTGTTTGGAAGGGAGAAGCCAGTCGAAGACCATCTCATCTTCAGGACTGCAATGCTGTTATGTGAATGTCATCATCTCAACGATTTTCATCTCAGTGTCAGATTTCTCAAGGTGGCCACAGCCATGCTCAAGAACGCATCTCCACCCCTAACTTCTCTTGACTTCTCCCTACCACATCGATATTCTTGGGAAGATACCTTTAGGGTCTTCAGCCTACCAACTCTTGACACCCTGGTGATACGGAATCTCCTTAGTCCGGATCAACCTGCTTTTCGATACCCTAGCGCAATACCGGATGCCCTACACGAACAACATGCGGTCTCAAATGTACGAGATCTCAGACTTCTGGATTGTGGCCCTCTTACTCAACAAATATCTCCATTGTTTCAATGGCCGAAAAAGTTGGAAAGGTTGATTTATGCACCCGCACGGTCGAAGTGCGAGCCATATTGGCGCACCATTCTAAGGCGAACGGGTGATATTTCAGATGCAGTGGACCTATCCCTCGAAGTCCTCGCACCCTTGCGATCTACGCTACAAGAGTTACACTTTGACCTTGGATTGGACAGACACTGGATATTGCCTTTTAGAACTGGAGAACTGTTTCGACCCTTCACTAAACTATCACATCTTACTGCTCCCGTCGAGTTGATCATGCAATCAAGCGGTCTTTCACGATCGAGGCTTGACAAGCCATTCTATACCAACTTACCTCCTAGCCTGGAAGATCTTGAGCTCAAGTTCACCTCATACATCTCCTGGCATTCTAGAGCCGCTCACTCTGGCCTTAGTGCAGATGCTTGCTTAGAATCTGATCCAGCTCATCAGCTGTTTGACGAAATCTCGACTCTCGCAGTGCAGAAGGAAGGATCGTTTCCTGCATTTCGTAAACTCACGCTCACTGGAGATGGAGAGAAGCCTTTCTTGGTCAAATGCTGTCACGTTGATTATGCTTTGGATGATCTTGAGAACAGAGGTGTACATGTGGTGCAGCGCGACTGGTATCGACAGTCCACGGAGACTTGGTCTTGAAGAATCGCATCACACAAATTTGTTTCCGCCTTGATGGTTCAATACAAGTATCATCGTTCAGAACATTTCCGAGCCTAGGTAGTGAATGATTGGAAGTATTCAGCCATCTCTTAGCTCACCACTTTCAAGAATGAGGAAAGAGTCAGGTGTCAACATTGTCAACTCTGCGTCGTCTTCGAGACAACAAGGACGAAATTCAATATAGCAAGCCTGAAGCAAGATAAAGAATCACCGGTGAACTTCACTGTGGATGTGCAACATCGACCAACGAAGACCTAAGCTAGCCAGAATGTGCAAACAACATATTCAAAGAACTTGCACAGCTAGCCGAACTCAAGGCTGAACTGCCGAATCTGCGAACCCTCCATCTGATGCCTAACTCTATTCAGTGGCTGGAGTGTGAGCGAGTGAAACGCCATAGAAACACTCTTGAAGATTCGGGTATAGCTGTTTCTAGGAGTTATAGAAGTCATCTCTTGTCGTCGTTTGGTCATGAGTTTCGATGGGAACTTTAATCATCGCAGTAGACCTTTTTTTGTGTTCTAGCCAAGACCGCTTCTTCGGCCACATAATATTAGCAATCTTTTGAATATGATTGTGAACTCTTCTGAGCAGGTAGCTTTTCAAGATTTTCCCAGTCTGTGATGTTTGCCTTCGACCAGTGTGAGGGTCAGGCTTCAGCTAACGACAATGTACGATCTCTTTTCGATGACAGCCAGCGATTCCATCTTCGCAGTGTGATACCCTCAAGCAAACACTTCCCCGAGGTTACAACCTCAACCATCCATATGCGATCGAGCCGCTCATGCACATCTTCCTCCTCGGTCAACACTCATTCTCAAAATTGTGCATAATAGCATGTTTAACAGGCCACACCTCCGGCGACCACAACGTAACAACCGCCGGCGTCTTAACCCACACCTTCCACGTATACTTAACCAAATCCCTCGGCGCATGCGTCCGAGTAATGTAAAAACACACCAACGGCAATGCCGAAATCCTAGTCACATAAAGATGTTTTCCCCACACCACAAACACAGTCTTGACGGCCCTGTGCCAACGCAAGTATTTGTTTTCTAGCACTGCGCGGCCGAAAGCTGCAGGGTCTTTGACGAGGGTTGCGTTGGCGAGGCTGGGGTCTATGGGGGAGTATGTACCGAGGATGTTTTGGCCGAGTACTAGGGTTTGGAGGAGTTGTTCTGAGGATAGAGCGTACAGGCTTTTGTTGGTTAGACAGAGGTTTTTGAGGGATTTTGTTTGGCATGACTGTAAGATGAGGAGCCAGATGTCGGGAGGGAAGACGCCATATTGGAAGGAAGCCATCTTTCACTGCAAGGTCCAGGATTGCTGTTGGTGATTTCAATTTGTGTCAGGAGGATGTTGACGATGGTGTCGCTGACTTGGGATCGTGTGTAGCCAGGTCAGTCGTGGGTGCCCGGCTCTCGACGCAGAAGGTGCACCTCGCGCGACGTTGGAAGTGCTCGTCTCGTGATATAGCAGGTGCCAGGAGCACAATGCAGAATGCGCCTATCTCGCGATGCAGAATGTGCCCAGGGCGCGGTGTAAAAAGTGTCCGTCTCAAGCTGCAGAAGCGGCCTGTTTGTGCGATGTCGCAATGCAGCAAGTACTGTCTCAAAAGCGTGTGGGACCTGAAATGTGGTTGTTATAGATAACTGGGCTGTAAACCACTGGGCGATCCAGGGTCGTGTGGCATGCGCGTGGTTTGGTGTCCAGTCAAAACTTGCTCAAACAATGTGCACCCACGAAAACCACGGAAGACAACTGGAAAAAGTCGAGCGAACCCATATCTTGAAGATCTCGGCATCATCTACCTACCTCCACTCATAGCCTTGAAGCGTGCCTCTGCAGCCCTAGCTCTTCGTTCTCGTTCGAGCTTCATACGCATTTCAGGAGTCATGCCTCTAGCCTCTTCTTCTCTCTTTTCTTGCGCTGTCTTCTCTGGTAGCATCTGTGCCAAAGTCTTGCCCTTGCCATATTTCTTCTCTTTGCCCTGCTCTTCTCTGATCTTGTCTTCGTTCCGCAGTCGCTCGGTTTCAGTCTTCCGTCGCTGTTGTTCTGCTGCATCTTCAGCTGCCTTTTCATCCTTTTCACGCTGTACACGAGCATTGTAGTCGGCTCTTGAAAGCGCGGCTGGTACACCTGCCAAGTTCCAGTCATATGCACTCTCTCCCAATTCTGAGCGAGCCAGACGGAAAGAGTCTCTAGTTGCGCGATCGCCTGCCACTTCGAAAGCTGTCTTCCCTTCTGCGGACTTGATGGTAGGGTCGGCCTTTGCTTTCAGTAACAACGACGATATGAGAGCAGGAGCGTTTAGTGATGCAGCTAGATGCAAAGGCGTAGGTGCGTGATGGTTCTGCGGGTTGTCCGAGGGGAAGAAGGTGAAATTCGGTGAAAGGTTGTTGGATGTGATGTATGACACCAGTCCAGGGGCTTTTGAACGACGAATGAGAGCTTGTAGCTGGGTAGTGTGGAGCATGGCCTCTTCATCCTCTTTGCTAGGCTTCGCGGGTTTTTGCGCAGCAGGTTTGGCAGCAGCCTTTGCTTCGGCAGCTTGACGAGCAGCTTCTTCCTCTTCAGCTTTCCTTGCAATGGCAGCTTCGTCAATGGTAGACACTTTTACCCTGGTAAGCTCGACAAAAGAACGCATCAGCTCGGCTTGAGTTGCACGACGAGTGGCGAAGGGGAAGCCCCTAATTCTCTGATCTCTGGAAGTCAAGACCTGGTTCTCGTAAGGGCCAAACAAAGTGCGACGATTAGTGGTGCCAGTAGCACGGACGAAGATAAGTTCACTGCTGTCAATCCAGACCTTCCAGTCTTGCAGCAGCTGACGGACCTCTGCAACCAGAGCTGCCTCATTGTAGCGACGAATGCCAGCACCAGCAGAGTGCGCATTACCCTTGGAGCTATCATTGGCAGATTGTGAACCACCTTGTTTGCGACGAGTTGTGTAGCGATGGAAAGTCTTGTGTGCGAGAACAGTGGCAGCACGATCCTCAACACCAGCCTTCTTTGTCATTTTTGGCGTCAGAGACACAACCATGGCGGCAAAGTGGCCACCACCAATCATGCAGAGGAAGTAATGAGGGCCGGCGGCAGAAGTATCTGGTTGTAGAGAGCGAGGCAGAGGGACGCCTCCTGAGTCTGCAGTAGGAGCCGAGGTGGGTTGTGTTGGTGGAGGCTTGGGAGAGAGTTGCTTGTCCTTGATGGTCTGGAGGATGGTAGCCGCATCTCCGACTTGTACGGCGGGAGGCAGAAGAGTTCTGTAGACACCGAGAGCGACATTCGAAGGTAGCTTGGATGACGAGAACCACAAAAGCGGTGGTTTGCCTGCGCCCACCTTTGTCTTTGTAGTTGTAAAGTCGTCAAAGTCAGGATCTGCAATGTTTGCCTGCTTCTTGAGCAAGGCACTCAGGGTTGTGTCTTTCTTGCCATCTTCATCGCTGCTGGCCGAGTCTTCACTGTCGCTGCCTGAGATGCTCTCGTCCAGATCCCCTACCAGCCGCTCAAAGTCGTTCTCGCCCACAGGTTTCAGACCGCGCATCTTTTGCTTCATGTTGTAGCCATGCAGATCACTGCGCACATGACTCCTCTGCTCTTGCACACTGCGAAATGACAGCCCACACAGTCCACATGACGTTGCTGACGACGGTGCTCCATCTTCGGTCTCGCTTCTCTTGCTGTTGCTAGCGGCTAGCAGTTCTGTCTCTTCGGGTACGGCAATGGCAGCATTGTTTTGGGGCTTGAGCTCGAGCGTGGAGAGAAGTTCCTGAGGGAGGTCAAACACTGTGCTGGCATTAGTATAAGGCGCATTGGCTCATTCATCTGATACTTGCCATATAGCGGGCGCTGCAGTAGCGGCTCGGTAGTTTGCGACATGTTGCGACAGTATTTGTGTATGTCACGACAAAAGTGAACATTGAAATGATGCTGTTTGGGAAAGTCGCTCTGACTTACTCGACGTCATCGTTTCATCTGTCGCTTTGCTGCTTGTGTCACCCTGCATCTCAATTTCACATCCCCCTGCGATTAGAATATCTGCTTCTGTGCCACTTAATCTGTAGAACTGTATAACTCTGTAAAAGCAAGAAATGATGTCAAAAAAAAGTGGTAGCAGTAGGGAGAGAGCTCAAATTCTGTTTTCTTTCTTTGCGCACCATCGCACCCAGCAAGGACTAGCGAAGTTCCTACCACCAGTTTTGGAGAATCAGACAATATCTTAGGTTGGAATGGTAGATCTCTCATAAGATATATAATAGCGATCATAGGGTAATACGTCTAACATCGATATTGCAACATGCCACCAAACTAGTGATCAGTAGGCTGTGGCCTGTCAGAACGTTACCACACCCCATCCTCATTCCCCTTCCGATGCAGACGCAGGAACCAATCGCTCTGAACAGATCCATACCCGCCTCACCATAGCTCAATATCCAACACTAACCTTGGAACGCCTGTGAAATTAGTAGGCATGGTGTAGCTGATATTCCAATACTCAAAGTCGTTGATCACCGTGTCTTGACCACCATATGCGCCAGCGAAGGTGACTGCGTACGATGCGTCTGCATTGGTAGAGACACTGACGTTCGCACCTTGAATGTCATTCCAGCTTGCAACATTCCGCTTGTTGGCAAAAGTCGAGACAAGAAGGCTGAAGATTGAAGAGCTGTTGCCATATGGATAGGATAGTTCGAGGCGATTTGGAGAGACAACAGCTGTGGTTGCGTTTTCGCTGGCGTGTAACTGTGTAAAATTAGCAAAGATACTTCATGAGAAAGGAGCTACACACTGTGATGAAGCCGATACCAGCACCAGTATTCCACTGTATCACAGCAGGATTGAAAGTGCTTGGGTTGATCGCCGGTCCGCCAACAACATTCTCGTCAAAAGTCTCAGCACCAATGCTGATGTTTGGGGCCAACCAGCTCGTGATATTTCGTGGGTATGTATCGAAAGGTGGGGAGTAGGTGGAAGAAGTAAAAGTATGTTCACCACTGAAGCTTTTCAAAGCCTCCAGAACGTCATCGGGAACCATTGATGACTGGAACTCGCCTAATATGGCAAAGAGAGGTCCATAAGCAAAGTCGGCGCTGTGTGACATGACTTGTGGACGAGAGATGAGCGATGACTTGTCTTTGCCCATGATGATCCAGAACCACAGAGCCATGAGACTGAAGTATCTATTCATGTCAAAGCCATATGATCTATCCCAGGGCCCTGCCATGTTCTTGAGTTCAGGATGCCATAATTGACCAACAGCATCCCACGTAGCCTTGATCATGCGTTCTCCGTAGCGAGTCATGATAGAGTCAGCGGGAAGGTATTTGGCCCAGAGAGTCAACCCGAAGAGCGATACTCCTGTATACGTGCCGCTGTTGAACTCAGATAGAGTATCAGCACGGTTGAAGAGGTCAACAATCTCCTGGGCATACTGTTCGCCGGCCATGGTGAAATTTGAGTCATTGAGACGACGTCCAGTCCAGCCTGACACGAATGCTCGCATAATCGAGGGATTGCTGTAAGCTGGATACAGGTTGTCATCGTCGACACCACCGACTCGATACGAGTCGCCAATGGTGGAGTTGTGTAGAGATTCAAGTAAGAGGTCTGTAACATTCTTACTCAGAAGGTGTGAGAACTCCTCTAGACCGATGATGAACGTGGTTCCAACGAAGCCGCGCCAGTTTGGATCCCACGAGTTGTAAATTTTTGCTGGATATGCTGCGGTTCCTACATAGGGTTCCTCGGGCTCTTGCTGGTAATCACCAAACCTGATCTACTCAGCAGTTGATCTCAACCGTACAACTACAAGGTCATACATACCATTGCTCTGCAGGATCTTTATACTGTCCTTGAACGATGTTGGTCAGGATCTTCTCGGCATTGTTGACGTCGTCTCCTTGGTTTCTTGCCAATAGGCCAACGGCATACCAAGCTGAGCTACGAGTGTCGTGTCGAAGAGCAGCTGCAGCATCCAGACTGTAGAGGTAGCCAGCATCAATGTCGTAGTATCCATCCATCCAGCTCATGGACTGATTGAGCACTTCCTGAGCATTGGTTGAAAGTGAGCTGACATATGAGCATGATGCCTGATTGAGGCATACTGCGAATGCTGCGAGAACCCGACCACGAGATAGCATTGATGATACTTGTCACTATTTGACAATGGCATATCATTGGAAATCACCATGTTCTTGTATACTGTGTCAATTCAGGAATTGGCACGAGACTCAGCCATGATCGCCATGGCTACTGCGTATCATTATGCCGGCCAAGCTACAATGCGACGTGATGATAGGCCAATCTGGTATATTCGGGTTGATTGTAACCGAAGGGGCGAGGTTGGTTGGAGTTTCATCAGCCCTGTGAGCTCTTCGGCGGGGTCGGGCAAACTGTCGGCTGCGACCGTGTCCTTTTTTTGCCGCGACGAAGGATGCAACTTCGTACCCTCTCATACGCTTATCTGGTCATGATAATTAGACCTGCTAGACTGGGAGCCATGCAAGATAGTACAGTAGCAGATCTGCAGAGCGCGTCACATCGCGCTAGGCGGCCACTGATTCGCCCGAGTCGCCTCGCTATCATTGCCCGGCCGGCCACTCTAGCACTCGACATGATAGTATTTTGCCGGCAAACTAGATTGAACAGATAAGTTGTTGCAGCCTCTGAATATTCCATGCGTCCTTCACCCAGAATTTTGCCATCGAGAATATGGCAGAGAAACAGAATGATCCGAGCATCATCGCTCTGGACGTACACAGCGAAGCCAAGGGCGAGGTATACAATGCAGACGACCTGAGGCTTCAACAAATGGGTTCGCCATGTCTGTTCGCAGAAGTCAACAAGTAGCTGATACTGTCAAGGACACACTCAGGAGCTCACACGCCATTTCAGTATGTTGAGTCTGATCGGCCTGGCTTCAACATGTACAATATCTTGGACAGGACTCGGCCTGGGCCTAGCAACTGAGATAGGAGCTGGAGGACCTGGAGCAGTGATCTATGGGTTCATCCTAATCGCCGTATTACAATCTTTCTTGGGCGCCTCATTGGCCGAATTCGTGTCTTCCTACCCGACGAGCGGCGGGATGTATCACTGGATTGCTGCAGTGTCCCCAGAGAGATATAGAGGCTTCCTCAGTTTCCAAACTGGCTATTTCACCATTGCGGGCTGGATATTTACAACGGCATCGACGAACCTGATCTATGCGCAAAACTTAATGGCACTTGTAGCTCTCTACCATCCAAGCATGACCATCAGAACCTGGCAGACCTTTCTGGTGTACCAGGTCTTGAACCTTATAACGGCCGCAATCGTGATCTGGGGCAATCGAATCATCCCAGCGCTCAACAAGTTCTCGCTGTTCTATCTCCAGATAGGCTGGTTTGTGGTGATGATCACAGTTGTTGCTTGCGCTCCTACACATCAGGATTCCGAGTTTGTATTTCGTACATGGATCAACGAGACTGGATGGGAAAACCAGGTCATTTGCTTTATTACTGGTCTTGTCAACCCTCTCTATAGCTTGGGTGGTCTCGACGGTGTCACGCACTTGACAGAAGAGATGCCGAACCCATCTAGGAATGCGCCACTCGCCATCGCAATTACTCTTGTTATTGCCTTTGTCACTGGCATAACTTATCTCATTGCTCTGATGTTTTCCGTTCAAGACTATGCTGCTTTGTCGAGTACAAATACTGGTTTGCCTCTTGCAGAACTCTTCCGACAAGTCACACGGAACGCTGGAGGAGCTTTTGGCTTGACCTTTATTCTCTTTATTGCATTGGGACCGTGTGTTATATCATCGCAACTTTCGACAGGAAGAATGTTCTGGGCTTTCTCCCGCGATGGCGCGATACCTTTCTCGAACACTTGGTCGAAAGTCAACCATCGACTGCAGATGCCTATGAACGCACAGTTAGCAGTCACAGCCATCGTGGCTGCGCTTGGTTGTCTGTATTTGGGCTCGAGTACGGCGTTCAACTCTCTACTCGGCTCAGCTGTCACAATCAACAACTGTGCATACATGGTCCCTGTATTGACCAACCTACTGACTGGTAGAAAAAACATGTATAAGGGCGTGTTTCACATGCATGGGACGAAGGGATTCTTTGTCAACATAATCACTGTATGCTGGTTGGCTTTTGCAATCGTCTTCTTTTCGTTCCCCTACTACAAACCTGTCACTGGTAAGTTTTCTTATCTACTACAAATCTGTAGACAGGCCAAACATGCTAACACTGTGCTGTAGCTGCAAACATGAACTATACATGTCTGGTCGTCGGAGGACTCACACTCTTTCAATTAGCTTGGTATGCCAAAGTCAGAGGTCGTTACAACGAGAGAATCCAGAGAGCAAAGGAAGAATGATTTTATTGGAGACACCGAATATGTTCGGTTCACAAGGCCAAGAACATTAGGCCACAAGGTCAGAGGTCGGGTTGGGCGAGTGCGGGGCCGAGCTGAACTCTGTTCGTGTGTGGGCAAGGTTTGTGTCTAACCACATGTAGTCATTGCCTATAATCATTCTTTGAGAAGGCGCTCACCCTCTAGCGCTATTTGTTTCACGTCAGAATATCTTCGTTATGAATTCCAGACTGGAGATCCTCGCAGCTGAGTACCCGTATCTACCATATAAACTCCGCTGCTCGCTCTTTGAATACGAGGTGAGATCCTGTGGCTCAGCCCTCACGTAACCTACTGGTGTTAAATGTACCTTGTATACATTGCTACGAGGTCTAGCCTCTTGGCTCGCTGACATCCAGCTATTCAGCTCCGAAGAAGTGGCTGCAGGTGCTGAAAGTCTTATACACGTTCAGGTCAAGTATCTTACAGGAACAGGCAGGTCGCATGGGGTGGCAATGACCCAAAACGATCAAAGCATGCTAATTCAGGTGTCTACTTGTCCCGAAGGATGTTTCCGACCGTACATATGGAAGTCTCGACCGTCAAGGAAGGAATGACCACCGAACGTAGCATCAGCTGTGAGAACAGCTCTAACCATGCCCTGGGACGATCTCGGACTCAACGATTGCGCTTTACGATATCATGGAAACTCTAGACTTTCAGAAAATAGATATAAGAAGAGGTAAAGCACATCTGGTGAACTGCTCATCATCAGCTGCATACCTGAGCCTCAAGCATTCATAGCTTCAGTCCACTTTAATTCACAATTTCCTCCTCAAAATGCATTTCTCTTCCTGGACACCACTTATGGTTTCTCTTCTTACGATATCCGCCAATGCCATTCCTATTCTAGAAGTCCGCAAGAACGGCGGCGGTGGTGGTGGAGGTGGCGGAACCACTACCACAAGAGGCGGTCCTGCATCAGCAAAAGTCACGTTATACAGTCAATACACCTGCGTCGCACCGAACACTGTAAGCCGTCCTTGACCTCATTCTTCTTGATGAAGATGCTAACAGCGTTCAAGCCTCCACCCACAGATGGTAGCGCAGGTACAACCGTCTCTTTCAGCGTCACAGAAGCTCAATGCACAATCCCAAGCACGGGACTGCAGTTTGGTGGAGCCTTGACAGCAAGTTTGACTGCAACGCCCAAGACAGGAACAGTTGGATGTAAGTTTGCTAGTTCATCACTTTTCAAGAGGATCTTCTGACAAGTAATAGGTTACATCGTTGGTCACAGTCAACAAGGTTGTGGTATTGTACTCTCAAACCAGATGCATGGATGGCCCGTGGGAGGAATCAATGTTGGAGATTCGCTTGGCTGTGGTAACCCACCATCTGGCACTTCGTATCTTGCTTTTGAGATTATTTGTCAATAGTTATGGACGTAGAAGATGTACAATACTCGATTAGACCGGCTGGTCTTGAATCTATAATTTTCCTTCTCTGAATACACTTTACGAAGCCGCGTCTTGGATCTTCTTGTATGCAGCCTTGACCTCCTCCGTCTCTCCGTACTTCTTCAGCCACTTCGACACCATGGGGTATTCATCAAGACTCAACTGAGCGTAAGCATGTTGACGGATCCAAGGCTCAAAGTGTGCATCCACAGCCGTATATCCACCAGGCAAGATACTCTCACCATTAGTCTTCTTGAGCTGGCCCTCGAGAACCTGGTAGCAGCGGTATGTCTGCGCGGCATAGCGGTTCAGAGCATCCTCATTCTTGACCTCATTGTAATGTCTATTGCCAGGAGTCAGTAAACCCTATGACTATACCTTGACAACAAGAAGCAGAATATCACACATACCTATACCAATTCGTCTGCCCAGTCATAGGCCCCACCGTCGTAAGCAAAAAGTACTCCCACTTTTCAAAATCCACAATATCTTGCTCTGTCTTTCCTTTTGGCCCCAACTGATTCTCTTTATCATACTTTCTTCTGATATAGTTCATCACAGCTCCAGACTCCCAAGAAACAACTCCAGAGTTAGGGTCTTCAAGCGCAGGAACACGTCCATTTTCGTTAATGGCTAAGAATTTTGTACCTTTCAAGCCGTTTTCGGGATTGTCGCCAAACTCCCAGAGTTTGATGGTGTAGGGGAGGGAAAGCTTTTCGAGGGCGATGGCGATTTTTATGGGGTTTGGGCCGGTGGTGTGGGCGTGGAGGATCAGGGGTTTGAGGTTCGAGGACATGGTTGTTTGTGGTGGTTTTGGAGTTGATGGATCGTTCTGAGAAAGAGGAGGTGTAGTTGTAGTTGTATATGAATTGTCGCTGGCATCATTGTTACATAAGTGCGGATGCTTCAAAGGGCGATGATCGCTAACGAGACTTCCATTTTATGCGCTTTGTGTTCTGTAGTCATGCGATCTTTCATTATTTCCTGTCTCCAATACAGAGTATCCATATGGATGTGTCTTATACCCTCCTGATATCAATCCCCAGTCATAACACATTAAACTTAACGAGGCGGCAGAACCCATTGCACGGCATGTGATGCCCTCATCACGACTGCCCCGCATGTCCCCTGACGCAACCATTACCATCCCCACTCTTTCATCCCGCGTCTTCTCCATCACATCAAGCCTCCATACGCATCATCCTGTCGTTCCCAAGAATTGACCCTCCTGACCCTGTTCGGCATATTCTGCGGTCTCGAAATTCTGAAGCCGAAGAAACCTGACTCTTTCTTCTGCTTCATTGCCTTTTCTCTCGTCTCATGCATCTCTTCAACTGACTTGGTGCGTCCTAGTTCGGACAAAAAGTCTACTTCGATGGCGACGGTTTCGTGGTGTTGCTGTTGTGATTGCAGAGTCTGAGTTGCCATTTGCTGGAAGTCATCGATGTTGAATCTGTTGCAGAGGTATTCGGACTGTAGTGCGATGATAGCAGAACGAAGCCATGATTCTGAGGGTTGTGTCTTGTCGGTTTTTGACAGAACCTGTTGAACACGTTCGCCAATGTTCTTGACGTTGTTTTCACCGATAAGGAGTTTGACTAGCAGTTCCTCGCCTTTGAAACCGTCGCTGTTTCGTCGTTGGCTGTTGTCTGCATCGTTGGACAGGAAGACAGAAGTATGAGGGTGTTCATGGAAGAACAGTCGTTTTTGCTTCATGGGTTGAACAGAAATGGCCCAGGTAGGCGAGCCTGCCGAAGCAGGGTTCGACAACGCAATAGCGTAAATGTGGTTGACGGTGGTATTCATCTCTCGCGATTTCGTTGCTTTCCGACAATGATGAGAATAAGGCTCTCTAGGACAGAAGGTACCAGTGCGTGTTAAAAGCATTTTCGAAAAAGAGGCGACAGAGTACTCGAGTATCGTCGACGGCTCAAGATTACGGAGTGGTGACGAGACAATTGGTTGATCAATTCTGCTGTCCTTCATCAGTGGCGCCTGTGGTCAATTTATCCAGAAGCCCATAGTCGCCATCACCGAGCTGTTCCGGATTTTGTCCGATGTTACACGACTGACGTTTTGCATGCCCTGATTCAACATGCACCTGTCACTCAGTGGCGCCGCTTGGCGATAACTTTTTGATGCTTGTTTCGAGTGATTATCAGTACATTCCTACATTTTGGTGTGTGACTATAACGGTCGAGATTGTGTTCTTGCGCTTGAAACTCGGAGGTGACTCAAAACTCGGGACCGAGCGTTGGGGGCCGCATGTTATCGAATGCGGCAAAACCTCCAGCACGACCGTCTGGTCAGTATGGACAAAAGGAGGCATGCTTTACTGTCAATCTGAGCATCGTTGAGATCAAGGATTGAGAAGGATGGAGATATGGAAGTCCTAAAAACTTGGCAGACAACAACATTGATGCGCCGTAAAAAAGCCGCGATCCTTCTTCGCCCTAACCTTCTCTTGCTGTCAATCGTGGAGAACCCATGTTGATGACCGGGATTTGCAAAGTTTCTAGCTATGCCTCAAGAAGAGCAAGCTATATACATCATCTCAAAGTCACTGGTAATTAAATGTCTAATGAGCACGACAAATCAAGATGTAGAATTGCGTTTTGGAGAAGCTACGAAACGCAGATTATCACTAATGTACAAGCTTCTTTTTCTCGTCCTGTCGTCCGAAAGATTCACAATTCCGTCCCCTTCCCCATCCTGATTCTCAAAGATGGATATGACCAACCACTGCCTGCAACACAATACTGTGTTGCACCTCGTGTTGAGCTTCTACTCGGACATGCAAGTGTGGTCCGACGAGTGGAGGTGATAGATGCAAGGAGTCTGAGAGCAGCGCTGAATGTCATCGTATGTGTTCTTGCCCATCTCCCAGCAGTTCAAGACTGACAAGATAAGCGACTTTGGCCACTTCTCGTCAGGCTGGATGTCGCGAAGGATGACGACGTGGCTGATGAGGAGGCGGAAGGTGTTGTTGACACTGACCATCTGCAGAAGAGCATCGATCTCGTCACCAGCATCGATGATGTCGTCGGCGGTGATGGCCTTCTTCACTATGGCATTGGCGACGGTGTTGGCGAAGAGAGGGGCCTGAATGCGTGCAGCGAAGCGCCAGAGTTGGACAAGAACCTTAAGGTCATCGCTAGACTTGACGGGAAGTTCGTTGCGGCCGAAGATCCACTGACGGAACACATCAAAAGAAAAGTTCTTTAAGACGCGATCGAGCTCTTCTTCCTTGCCCGAAGCAAAAGCAGTAGCGAAATAGTGGGAGTAATGGGCCAGAACTGTCTTGTAAACGTTACCAACCATGAGACCATCGAAAAGGATGCCTTTGGCGAAGCTTCCGATTTTTGTAGGCACAGACCAATCGCCTGGCACGGGGCAGCATTCATTGATGAAGAATGCCTCGGAGTCACGGCTGACGCTAAGCGGCGACTCAGGACGGGATGGTGGAAGGGGACCAACGGTGTCATCAGGAACCCACGCTTCGGCCTTGGGATCAAGGTTCTTTTCCTTGTTAGACAACGAGCTGGGGAATTCGGTCATGATAACACTTGAAGTGTCGGACTCGTTGTTGTCATCATCCTTGATAGCAGGAGGTGCGGGTGGAGTGTTCTGAATGATAACAGGCTCGAGCTCGATGGCGGTAGCGACGGGGGTTGCAGGGCCTTCGTCACTGGTAGACGACTTAGCAGCCGGGTCGGGAGAGACGTCTTGGGCCAAGGTCAAAGTCTTCAGTCTGTGGTGAGGAGGAGCTTTGCGCACAGCACGAGGAGAGATGTCAGGAGAGTGAACGAGAGACTTGTCGCCATCGGTCACAGAGCTGGCAGGTGTGGCTCTGAAGAGCTTGGAAGCATCTGTATCAGGAGCAGTCTGAGTGCTTTCGTCCTTGGTGGCCACAACATTGGTTGAGGCGACGGAAGTCGAATCGTCGACGATTGATGCAGCACCATCGGGCTCAAAAACATTGGTGTTAGGGGCGATGCTGTTGGTGACAGCAGTAGCGCCGTTGAGCTCAGTGTCGGACTTTTGGCTGGTACTGCTGAAGCGAGAGAGAAGTCTATGAGGGCCCAGACGTTCAGCTAGATGGGCCTTGACTACATGAAGGTCTCCGTTGGCAAGATCGGCAAGCGAGGATTTGCGCACTTCGGTGACCGGAGTGGAAAGAGCGTCAGCAGGAGTTTCACTAGTGGCTCCCTCGGTGGGTTGCTCGGCGACGACAGCCTCAGCGGCGTCAGCGATGGTAGGAGGAGTTATGTCTTGTTCGACTGAAGATGGTTCGACGATGGCCCAAGGGTCACCAGATGGGGTATCCGAAGACATGTCGGCGAAGATTTCGTTGATGTGATTGGCAGAAGTGATGATGGTGCCGATGCCTTGGATGTAATGCTCGAAAGGAAAGGGTTGTGTGTGACCACGCTCGTTCTGTTGCGCAGATGGAACCCAGAGATTGAGTCGTTCCGCAGAAGCGCAGCGATGAAGTAAAGGACGGATGGCTTGAGGACGAAGTGAGAAGAGAGAGGTAGTGTTGTACGAACACGAAGTGGTCATGGTCGACCAAATAAAGAGTTGGAAACAATATGTGAAGACAGACAAAGAAGGGCAGCCAAGGAAAGCTGGTATTGATCGTGAAAGGAAGGCGCGCAAACACGGAAGGCGCAATCAACACCTGCCCTCAAAACAACTGACCACAATTCATGTGAATTCAAGACAGGAGTAAAAGTAAGCAAGACTTTCTGCTGCACTCTGTTCACTTGCCTTTGTCGATGGATCTTGCACATTACTCCATCTTGAAAACCTACTATCAGACACAACCTCTGAGGTGACACGAGGTCTGCGTCCCTCAATTGACCACTTGATATGTTTGCTGCTCTTTCGCATACCCAAGGAATCTCACTCAGAAGCCATCAACAACTCTTGACCCTCGTCAGCCATGACATCGGCTTTGGACATGACTTCCTATAACAGAGTCTTGCAATTCTCGAAGCATCTACGTCAAAGACACAACTCTCTCCAGCTGTTGAACAGCAGAGAAGCATGAGCAACAACTCCAAAATGCATGAAAGGAAGTTCGACATCACATCACTAGCGTGACCAAAACTACGACGCCCCACCAACAGGGCTGAGTCGTTGGGATGCCACGCGGCGCGATAGCAACGGCGATAAGGCGGCCTGTTGCCGAAACACTCAAAAATATCTGTGACAATGACGATCATCCTTCAATCCATGCAAACCTATCAGGTACACAACTTGGCAGTAGGCCCTGTCATGTTCGTAAAAACAGCACTGCCACACCAAGGCTAAGGTTGTTACATAAACATCGATCGCCGTAGGTCTTTCCATCTTTCCACCTTTCCATTGCGAATCTTTCTCTACCACGCACTTCACCTTGCCAATCTTTACGAAATCAATCATCCACTATACCCACTCAACATGCGCTTCATCGTCGTCACAGCTCTCGCAGCCTTCGCTGCGGCACAAAGCACCACCTCAATGAGCACCAGCGCAAGCGGCAGCATGAAAACCTCCACCTCCTCAGCCGCACCCTCTTGCGCAGCAGGTCAATCAACCTGCAACGGTGTCTGCTTCGACAGCAGCGAGTACACCTGCTGCCCCGCCGGTCTCTGTGCCAGCGGTAGCTACTGTGGCCAAGACAGCTCTGGCAATGCTGCCTGCTGCGCTCAAAACACTGCTGGAACCTGTTCTGCCGCTTCGTCACCTACATCCCTTAGCCGTGGTGCTACTGCCTCGTCGGGTGCTGCGTCGGCGACTTCGTCTTCGGCTAGTGGAAGCAAGAGTGCTAGCTCTTCTTCTTCGTCGTCTACTGCTTCTGGCTCGCAAAGCAGTGGATCGAGCACTGCTACTTCATCGGGTGCTGCTGCTGGTCGCGTCGACTCTTGGCTTTCGAATGCCGTCACCTATGCCGCTGGCGGCCTTGTCGCTGCTGCTCTGATCTAAAGATACCCACGACATGACGATTGACAAAAGAGCCTGCGGAATTATACTTGGCTGAAGTCCTTTACTTTCTCTGTTCATATTTTTGAATCTATATCACTTTACCTGCATCTCCCCCTTCACTATATTCATTGCTTTCTCTCATTCTAGTGTCCTACCAGCTTCTGGTTAGCCTCACTGTATCTGTTACCATGAGGCTTTGCATTGTCAATGATCCTTCTCATCTCGACCTTTTCCTCTGCGGTCAACTCGACGTCTCTCGAAGCCCAATTCTCTTCTAGTCGGTGTGCCTTGGTAGTGCCAGGGATCGCGATGAAGCCTTGAGCGGCCACCCAAGCAAGAGCGACCTGCGTGATGCTGCATCCCTTCTTGTTGGCCAATTTCTTGATCTCCTCGACGATATCTCTATTCTTGTAAAAATTGTCGCCTTGGAATTTTGGTGCTTTGGAAAAAGAGTTAGTTACAGATTCATGGCAAAAATGGCGGTGATAATCAATGCAGGAAAACTTCCCAAGGGGGAAAAAAAGCCAACTCACAAGTACGACGGAAATCATCGGCGGCAAAGTCATCAGGGGTCTTGAAGGGAAACTCATCGACCAACCATCCATGACCCAAGGGACTATACGCCACATACGCAACCCCCAACTCTCGAGTCGCATCAATCAGCCCATCGGTCTCGTGAACAGTCTCAAAAGCAGAGTACTCGGCTTGCACAGCATCAATCCTAGCAATGGCATTTGCCTTTCTCAATGTGCTTGCCGAACACTCGGAAAGACCTATAAATCTCGTCTTTCCAGTCTTGCGGAGCTGATCCAGAGCAGGGATGGACTCTTCCAGAGGGGTATTGGGATCAATGCGATGCAGATAGTACAGATCTGGTGTAAAGCCCAGTCGCTCAATGGTACCATTGATGTATTTCTCAATGTGTTCGGCAGAGTTTGTAACTCCTGCTTTTTCGAAAACAGCAAAGCCGCATTTGGAGGCAATGAAGACCTTGTCGCGGACATTGTGCTTGCGGATGAAGTCGCCCAGGAGGGTCTCGTTGATGCCTGCTGCGTAAACAACAGCAGTATCCCAGAATGTGCAGCCCAGTTCGATGGCCTTGAGGAGAACGGGCTCGGCTTGGTCGAATGTCAAGTTGGTCCCGAGTCCGAAAGATAAGCCCATGGCTCCGAAACCTGGACTGTTGACTTCGAGACCTGATGAGCCAAATGGCAGTGTCTTGACCATCGTGGGTAGGATTGAAGTGGAATGTGATAAGGTCACAAATCTAACCAGCGATATGGACTAGGAGCAGAATGTGCTGGCACGCAAATGGAGAAACGAAGATATGGATGTCAATTGAAGTTGTTGAGGAAGTGGACCAGATGCCTATTTATCTACCTGATGGTCACAACACTTCGGCCGAAATCCTGGCTCGTGAGAGCTCACTAACTCCGTAACCTCCTTGTAAGACCAGTACTACTTTTAACTCCGGACACGTTGGGAGCACACAATCATATAGATCATCTGTGTGTACATTCTCTCTAGATATTTGTAAAGGCTGTGGTTGGACAACATGCCGTTCATCTTTTGTGTGAACATGAGCAACAACTTGATTCTTCCTCGTGCAGGCCAGCCCACAACCATGCATATACAGCAAGAACGCCGATCAAGCCAATGGCCAACATCATCACTTTGAGTGGCTCTGATAAACCCGTGAGATGTATCCCTGGCAAAAATGACAAGTACAAAACGCTATCAATCAAACGCACATATACCAACGACATTAGGCGAAAAGAAGTTTGGCGAAGCCTGGCAGCATGCTGTAAAAGCAAAAAGCTTGCCAAGGTCTTAGAAGACTTTTACCAGGTTTCCTGTGGACATCAGTTCATGTTCAATAGGCTTCAACATAGTCAGACTTACAGCAACGTATTGACCATCGTCTCTCTTCTGTGCCCAGAAATCTTTGGCCTCCTCGAAGTTGAGGTTACCCTTGTCCATGGCCACATCGATGAGAGCTTCCTCTACACCTTCACCCATGCCTCTCGAGCTTCCACATACAAAGATGCGGCCGTCGAGAGCATTGATGACAAACCAGACAATATCTGCTTGTAGACGGACCTCATCTTGGACGTACTTGGCTGCCTTGTTCGCTTGTGATTCCGACACGACCTTGCCAGTCACCTCACCACCTTTCTTTGGTTGGATGTCAGCGACTCCAGCATCTTCCTGACTTACTGGTGGAGGCTTAGCACGGGACTGAACGACCTTCTTGACTTCCTTCTCGTGATCGCCCAGCTCTCCAGAATAGATCTCATCCAGGGTGGAATCCCGGACACCTTGAATCAGCCAAATCTTGTTGGCACACTTTGAATTGCGAAGACGGTTGAGGATGAAACCACGGAATGGGGCCATGCCCACACCAGCGCCGATCATGATCATTGGACCATCCGAGTTGAACTTCTTGGAGAGGGGATTGGCCATCAATCCACGGAACATAGGGATGCGCACGCTTGGCATCTCAACTTCACCACCAGACTGCTTGGCTTTCTTCTCGGCATCGATGAAGCGGCGGGCGACACGCTCGAGATAGCCAGAACCGACTCCAGTACGCATCTTTCCATCCCAGTTTTGGTTCTCATGGACTGTGACTGCAAACTCGATGAGACGTCTTCCTGCAAGTCCTTCTCTGTCTGAAGATACGTGTGGGTCGTTGGAAAGAGAGTAGAATCGAGGCATAAGCTGGTTCAAGCAACCCAGTAGCATCTCGAACGGAGGTCTGGATGAGGGGAAGGCCTCAAGAAGTTGGAGAAGAGTAATGTTAGGTCCGACACGAAGGTCGCAGAAAGCACCTTGTCCTTGTGCACTAGCCATATATTCGAGAATCTTGCGCTCATTCTTTGCGTCTGCATACTCACCCAGAACACGGAAAAGTTGCTTGGTTGGTGCGGAGGACGCAATGTCGACACACCACGTCAGAAGCTCTCTACGTGTGGTGAGCAACTCACGAGGCTTTTCGTCTCCCCAGATTGTAGGCCAACGGCCTCCTTCAGTCTTGAGCATCACGGCTTTGTCGCGGAGGAACTTGGGTGTACCAATCCTGTTGAAAATGCTGTCGACGACGTCGGCGTCGTTAGGAGGACAGATACCAACAGCGCCACCGACTTTAAAGTCGATATCACCTTCCTTTGGGTAATCAGTAATGTCGATATCAAAGTGTACAGTGCGCTTCTCGGCTCCCTCGTTAGTGAGCTGACGAGCGTGGAATACTGGTGCAGAGTAGACATCATATGGCGGGTGGGGCTGGACGAAAGTCGGCGGGTGAACGTCGACGGTGCTGTGGTGACTGTTGGCCTCGTCCTTTGAGACAGATTCGAGCGAATATTTGGGCTTTGGAAGTTCTACAAGCTCGCTCAAGCCAGTATCAAGAGTCAATGCGTTGATTTTGAGGTTCAAGGCTCGGAAAGCGTCATTGTCGGGTAGGACAACGGGGATAAAACCAGGTTGAGTCGTGTCGGGACGAAGGACCTTGAGTTTGCAGCAGTTTGCGGCGGCTCCACAGCAGTAGTTTTGCAAGAAGGCGGTACCAGTTTCTCCAGTGCCAAGCAGCTTGCGAATGTCATCGGACGACGATGTAATCAGATGGGTCGAGGCGCGACGCTTGGTGCCCTCTGTTTCATTCGAGCTCTTTTTGTCTTTAGGAGTCATGTCTTCAAACTGATCGTACAATTCGGTCGAGGGTGTGGAGATTCCAGACTCGAGAGTTCCCTCGGACCAGGCCATTGAGTCGCCGAGTGAGTCGCCAGATGAGCGTGGCGATTGTGATTGTGAGTGGACGGATCGCTTGGAGGGCGACATAGTTCCTTGCGGAATTGAGACGGGTTCTGTGGGAATGGGGTTGTCGGGATGTGATGTAGCCGAGGTAGGAATATGTTTGTGTGTGTGAGTCGTCATGGTGAAGGACGACAACGAATGGCGACGAGGCATGTTGGCGAAGTGTGTAGAAGTCGCTGCAGAGAAACAGTTGTCAGCAAGATGCGACTGCAAAAGCGACCCTCGAGATTCGAGATCTGAAGACGCGAAGAAAGTCGAGCGTCATTGTGCCGATGGCGGGGCGTTGGAGACTCACGAGAAGATCGATCAGATAAAGATAAAGGAAGGGAAAGGTTCTTTCTCCGTAAGAGCCCCCTTTGCGAGACAATGCGTAGATTCACTTCGACGAAATTCCGTAGGTATGAAGAGAACAAAGCTAGCGAGCAATTGTTGCAGTGATTCTTGAATTCGAAAGTCTTGGGCGATTTGAACGCGGATGGGAAGAGGAGAAGTACAACAGAAAGTCGAAGGTCGCGGCGACGGCTCTGGCAAATGGCAGTTTCGCCCCCACAAGCCACAATCTGGCTCATGCACTCGCGCGTCACTCTAACGAATGTCACCAAAGATCCTCGATTGATAAGATTGACATCGACATTTGTGCGTGTCCCTCGCATGAACTCTAAAAGTATGCGAGTGCCGTACCGGGTCACGGACGATGTCGCATTTATGTATCTTGTTTACGAATCTCGGTCAAACAAAAAGCACCTCGTTGTGAGCCTTCGACTTCTTGTTGTTGTGAATTTCGACGTGCGGCTGTGTCTGCCTTCCGTGCCGTTTTCTTCGGGCTGCTGATCGACTTGGCCGCAACCAAAGCTCTCCCGAGCTCGCCGAATCTCATGTTCTGCTCGGTCGGTCTCGCGAGTTACATGGTGCTGTATTGAACGTCTCTCCCGAATCCTGCAATACTCTTGAGCAATTTTCTTGTGTCCCGGCATGAGTTTTCCTGTTTTTGAATGTCGCTTGTTTGCTTCTCTCGTTCGGGAAGGACGATCAGCTCATTCTTGAAACTCGTACGAGCGACCCCTGACCACAACATCTCTGGTCTCCTGACAAGATCTCATACTGTGATTTCGCAATTTTAAGATCTTGATAGAAAATGTTAACTATGAGGCATTACTGTTCTTGATAAGGTGTCTTGTAGCATTACGGTAAAACTGTACAAGTCACGCCATCATCACGCTTAATCCATACCAGGGTCCTCAACCTCTTCGATCACACGCCCTTCCTGGTCGTAGGGCATCTTTCCCGAACGTTCAATCTCCTCCATCTGTTTTCTTCCCTCTTCGGTCGTTGCATCAATGACGCCCTCTTCCAGACTCAACATACCACCCTCGCCGAGTTGTGCTACAATTTGCTCGGCCTCATCAACGCTCATCTTGCCCAAGACCTCGTTGACTCTGTCCAAGCTGCCACTCTCGAGAGCGCGTTGCAGACCTGGCGGGAAGGTCTCAAAGACTGCGCGAGCTTGCTTAGCGTCCTCATCAGTGGAATCGGCAGGTGGCACGACAATGTTGATGGTGGTGTTCGGGTCGACTGCGTGCAATTGGATTTGTTCAACACCGCCAGTACCCTCTGCTTCGTCACGCTTGCGTTGCTCAGCGAGTTCTCTTGTGCGGGACCTGATCCTAGCGTATGTTGAGTTGACGTCGTCCATGAACAACTTCTGTGCTTGGTGACCTTGTGTGGTGACGCGTTTGAAGAAGAGTTGTACTCCATCGCGACCGAGTTGTCGGCAGTACTGTAGCAAGAGTGCCTGGTGGACACATTGTCTTGCGTAGTCGTCCTTTCCGTCACTCTGTGCATTGAAGGCCTCGACTAGTAAACCATCCGTCTCTTTCTCGCCCATGACTTCAGGGTTGTTTGATATGAACTCCAGAGAAGAACGATAGTCGCCGTACTTGATCTTAGCGAACCGCTTTGCTAGTGGTGAAGCCTGCATGTCTTCGTCATCGCTGTCTAGACTAGCGACAGGTTTTGTCACAACCGACTCATCCTCAATATCGGCATCGGCGCCAGATGTCTGACCTGTTTCAGCATTCTGGAGTGAAGGACGCGAAGGGTTAAGCAGTTCGGGGGTAGCAGAAGATTTGCTGGTACCAGGCTTGGCTGATGATTTGGAGACGTGAGAGCTGTCGAAACCGGTTCTGTAAGTTTCGCTGGTAATCTTTGACTTTTCCTCCTTTTCGAGCTCAGCGAGTTTCTGCAGAAGTTGTACTTGTAGGTCCTGGATCTTTGTCTTGTGCGAGGTAACTTCGGTCATGAAGGCAGCGTAGTATGCTGAAGGGGCAGGCTTGGTCTCGTCTACGGCCTGCTTGGCTTGGTCGACTAGGGCAGCCATCATCTTGCTGTAGCGCGGAGGATCTTGGACGTTTGCATGGACACCAGCTGATGGGGGAGGAGGGGTATCTGCGTCAGGAGAGCCAGTGCTCTTGATGAGAGCCTGGAAGATGTAGCGTTCAAAGCCTGACTGAGCCTGTTCGGCTTCTTGTTTGAATGATTGAAGAGATTCGAGCAGGTCATCTATGCGCTTGATCAAGCCATCGTTGATAATCTTTTCGTACTTGAGGGTCTCGATCTGGTGTTTGCGATCAACACGCTGTTGGTGAATTTGATTCTGCTTTGCGCGGATGAAGGAACGCTTGTCGACATTGGGGTGGACCTCGATGTCTGAGTCGTCAGACAGCTCGAGAGCGTCCTGGAATACCAATGTCAGCTTCTAGTGAGTGGATTCAGGAGAAGAATAGCTACCCATTTACTGTAATCAACGGGCATGTTGCGGGGTCCTCAGAAAGAAGCTGCGTTGGAGTGTTTCCTTTGTGCGTGTCACGGGAACTCTGTGAGTAGAGGCAGAGAAGACAGGTCTTATGAGAAGAAGTGATTGCCTAGCTGTCTTCCAGCCTGTTCTGTTGTTTGATTGTCGGAATATCGAAGCAAATAGAAACGCCCGAGCTCCGAGCGACGCACCGGCGGGCCGAAGGGTTCGTGATGACGATGCGACAAAGGGCACGGCTGCAAGTCTAGACTAGCAGCAGCTCATTCACCAAATCAACTCATGTCGCAACAAGCCCAACAACACCCATGACAAGAATGCTCGTTGCTGTCCGCTCTGTCCATACAACGCGGTAGACCATCTCTCTCGCCCACCCGCGCTCTGCGACACCTCCCCTCCCCTCCCCTCGCTCCGCCCACCCTCCGCCCTTGGAGAGCCTCAACTCGCCATGCACCCTCGGCAATGGCTCTGCTCAAGGGCATGCCAGGAATCTTCCACTTTGCTGTCGGTCCTGTCGAGATCGACCCTTGCTCCAGCTAGACACACTCGCCTCCTGAGCACACAGGCCAAACAACCGCCATCATTACCCACACATTCTCTCGGCCTCTCATGCGCACGCTTGACACCCCTGTCACGCCCCTCGTTACATACTCCCATTCAATCCGCTATATCCTTGGCCTTACGACGCCCTTTTGCTCAATCCGCTCTTCTCAACAAGTCTCAAGATGCCGCTCGCTCATACCGAGATGAGGTCAAGAGACAGCCAGATCACGAGGATGAGGATGCCATGGATGACCAATCTTTCAAGCCTACAGAAAAGGCAAAGAGCGCTGCCCAATTAAACTTGTCCGCAAAGTTGAGCAAAGACGGTACTGGAAAGAAGGGTGGTCAGAATGAGATTTGGAGATTACTCAAGATTGCTCGTCCAGAGCTCAAGGTCCTCTCCTGGGCTTTCCTCTTCCTGCTCATTTCCTCGTCCATTTCAATGTCTCTGCCCTTTTCCATTGGTAAGATTCTGGATGCCGCGACTAAACCCGCCGAAGGCGAAGGCGCCGATTTGCTCTTTGGCATGACCATGCCCGTCTTCTACATCGCACTGGGTTCCGTTTTGGCCATTGGTGCTGCTGCCAACTATGGTCGCATCATCATTTTGCGTATTGTCGGTGAGCGTATTGTTACCAAACTGCGCTCCCAACTCTTCAGACGTACTTTTATTCAGAACGCAGAGTTCTTCGATGCAAACCGAACAGGTGACTTGATTTCACGTCTTGGTTCAGACACCATCATTGTCGGAAAGAGTATCACACAAAACGTATCTGATGGTCTACGATCTCTGGTTTCCGCTGTCGCTGGTTTTGGTCTCATGGGTTACGTCAGTCTGAAATTGACTGGCATTCTGGCTCTCATGTTCCCACCTGTCGCCATTGGTGCTTTCTTCTACGGACGAACCATTCGTACTTTGTCAAGGCGTATTCAAAGGAACCTTGGAACTTTGACCAAGATTGCCGAAGAGCGTCTGGGAAATGTTCGCACGTCGCAAGCATTTGCTGGTGAGCAGCAGGAAGTCCATCGTTACAACACCCAGGTTCGCAAGATTTTTGATCTCGGCAAGAAGGAAGCTCTTATCAGTGCTGTATTCTTCAGTTCCTCCGGATTTATGGGCAACATGACTTTCCTGGCCCTTTTGTACTTTGGAGGTGGCATGGTTAGGAGTGGAGCTATCAGTGTCGGTGACCTGTCCAGTTTCCTCATGTACACGGCATACGCCGGATCATCGCTGTTTGGTCTCTCAGGCTTCTACTCGGAATTGATGAAGGGAGTCGGAGCTGCCTCGCGTCTTTTCGAGCTACAAGACCGTGAGCCAACCATTAGCCCTACAAAGGGTGAACCCGTCACCAGTGCTAGAGGCGATATCGTCTTCAAGAACGTCAGCTTCGCCTATCCCACTCGTCCTGCAGTGCCCATTTTCAACGAACTGGACTTTACTATCAAACAAGGCACTAATGTTGCCATTGTTGCTCCATCAGGTGCTGGCAAGTCCACAGTGGCCAGTCTGATCATGCGCTTCTACACACCAGCGGAAGGCCACGTTCTCATCGGTGGACGCGATATTACCACAATGAATGCCAAGCAGTTGAGGAGAAAGATCGGTTATGTTGGTCAAGAGCCTGTTCTTTTCTCTGGCACTGTTGCCGAGAACATTGCTTATGGTCGACCCCTGGCCACTCGTGCCGAGATCATTGCTGCAGCACGCCAGGCCAACTGCCAGTTCATCTCCGACTTCGTAAGTAGAATCCTTGACATCCTAACACACAACACGTCGCTAACCACTCCATAGCCCGATGGCCTTGAAACTCACGTCGGCGCACGAGGCACCCAACTCTCCGGCGGCCAAAAGCAAAGACTAGCCATCGCCCGCGCCCTGCTCAAAAACCCCGACATCCTGATCCTGGACGAGGCAACCAGCGCTCTAGACGCGGAGTCTGAAACCCTCGTAAACCAAGCCTTGAACTCCCTCCTCGCAGGCAACAACACCACAATCTCCATCGCGCACCGTTTGTCAACCATCAAACGCTCCGACATGATCATTTGCATCGGCAACGACGGCAAAGTAGCAGAAACGGGCACGTACAAGGAACTGAGCAAGAAGAAAGAAGGTGCGTTTAGCAAATTGATGGAGTGGCAGATGAGTGGGAACGAAGCTAGGTCTTCGCGTCCTCATGGCCCGGACATCAAAGAAGAAGAGGAGATTGAGATGGAATTGAGGCAGGAGAGTGATGCTCAGGAAGGACAAGAGCAGATGCAAGAACAAGAAGGCACGAAATATAGAGGGGAGGATATCACGGCTGGAGAGGCTGTTGCTGCGAGGACGCCAAAGAGTGAAAGGTCATAGGAAAGTGGCCTGCTTTTTGGTTTTATGGTCATCTTCCTCTTTGTGTCTCAAATACCCCCAGCATCTTCTCTCTTCTGTCTATGTAGATGTGTTTGCATTTATCTGTTCTCGATGGCTCCAGAGCTACAGTGCTCATCAGAAGAGGATTATCATTGTTATAAAGATGTAGATGGAAATATACCCCACTCAAACATTTCACCACACTTCTGCTTGTTCGTTCACTGTATCAACAAATTGATTTGATCACACAGAAAGCAGCACTAGATCTTGGTCAAGACATGAGCTTTCAAAGACTCCAAGCACCAGAGTTGTACAATCCAAAATCTTCAAAGTCAGAAGCTCATATTTTTACATGATTCTTTTGTCCAGAATCATTGCATAGAGGCGCAAGAAAAGGGAGGGGTATCTCTATCTTAGTAACCGCTGGCGCCGGGGGCATTCTCATCCTTGCGAAGGTTAAGCAACAACTCTCTGAACTTGGCCTTTGCCGAGCCCTGAGCACCACCAGAAACACCCTTTCCACTGAGATCAACAAGCTTGGAGACTCTGTCCCAGCTGGTGCCTCCAGCAGTAGTGTCCTCTCTAGACTTGAGGAACTCTTCAGCTTCCTTGCGGGTCTGAGCAACAGTCTTGTCCTTCTTGTTGTTGTAGTTTTCGTAGAAATCGTCGATGGCTGAGTGGGCAGCTTTGATGGTTTCTTCCTTTTTGGTTTGGGAGACTTCGTCTCTGTGTTGCAGGGCCATGTCTCTGCGCTCGCGCCATTCGCGGATGACGTCGGGCTCGGACTCGTCTTCGTATGAGGCTTGTTTGGGTTGGTATGGTAGTGTGGAGCCGGTGATTGTGCCGCCAGGAGCTACACCCTGTAGTGGATATGCGCGTCAATAAATGCTGTTTGTTTGATGGTAGAAAGGAAGAGCAGAAGGAGGCTCACCTCGTTTGATGTGTCAATAGCAGGGAAGCTGGATTCGAAGCCGCCCATCTCATGGTCAGCAGGTGCCTGGTGAGATTCGCCTCCTCCGAGAAGATCGTCATCACCGGCGGTTGCAGCGTTGTCGGCAGGGGTTGCGAATTGGTCGGCGTCGTCACCAAGGAGAGCGCGCTCACGAGCCAGGAAGTCTGAAGGTTCGTCGGCCATTCCAGTATCGATGTTGTTGTCGGTAGTGTCTCCAATCAGGCCTTTTTCATCATGTGTTAGTCGTCGATGGGTGGATAGTGGTTGGGTTGCAATGATATACCAGAGTCGAGGTCCTCAACAGAGGGGAACTTGTCGGCCATTGTGGTGGTTGTGGTGATGCGCAGATAGTGAGATTGACGGTGACGGGACGGATGCTTTCAGGTCTGCTAGTGAGGTGGTGTAGATGGTGGTTGTGAATGAGGAGTTGAATCGTGGTTGTTGTTTAGAAGTTGAATTGACGACAGCTAATGGCCAGCCAGCCTTGGGGTATCACGGAGCAGCAGCGACTCCCAAGACCGCTGCAAGCACCGCCGATGATGCGGGAAAGAGCGGCCCGAGCTTTTCGGCTCCTTCCATCCATATAAAGTCCAGGCACCTTGATTGCGCGCGCTTGCTGCGTGACGATTGATGCTTTCTACTCTCTAGAAAACATTGCATTCTGCTCTGATCTTGTGCGTGCAACATGGCTTACGCTGACGATGCCGTAAGAGCAAAGCTCTCGGCGCTGAATGAAACCCAAGATAGCATTGTCAGTGTCGCTCAATGGATCATCTTTCACAGGTTTGTTTGCTTTGCGCCGCAACATGTCATGTCACCATAGCTTAGTCTTGTATCTAGACGACACGCAGACCGTACTGCTGAGCTGTGGCTCGAGAGACTCAAGGACTCAAATCCTCCTAAGAAGCTCAACCTGATCTATCTCGCCAATGGTACCCATATGGAACTCTATCCCTCACACGCGACCACTACTGACACCATCCATAGAGGTTGTCCAGCAATCAAAGGCTCGCAAAAAGGACGACTTCCTGGTCGCCTTCAGTCCTGTGCGTTCTGTTCTTGTACACTTTCAACCCCCTCTGACCAGACTAGATCATCGCAGAAGCCACATCCTTAGCCTACAAGAGCGGCACCCAAGACACTGGCGGCAAGATCAAGCGTGTCGTAGAAGTCTGGCGTCAGCGCAATATCTTTGATCTCGCCATACAGGATGCCACTGAGAAGCGCATACAAGGTACCAACCTCCTTCGTCTCCCGGCCCATACTCGCATCTAACAATCTGCAGAGGTCGACAAGTCACGTAGCGCTCGTTCAGGCGGTGCTGGTCTTGGTGGTTCCCTTTTCGGCGGCTCTCTCTTCTCCAACTCCTCCGCTCCGCCCATCCCATCAGAGCTACAACCCCTGGCAAAACTGCAATCTACTCTCTCTCGCGCCGACGCCGCCGCTCAACCTCTCGTCCAGACAGCAAACACCGAACATGCAAAGCTGACGGATCCGAACACCCCTGTACCCAGTCCTCCTGTTCACGCAGCTCGTCTCTCATCGCTTTTGAAGAACCTCGCTGCTGCAGAGGGCGCCGTTGATGCTAGCCTCAAGGCTCGGAACGAACTCATTACTGGTCTGGTGAAACTGCTCGATGCTAATAGGGCCAAGCTAGCTGAAGAAGAGAAGACATACTCCGAGCTTTCGTCTCGCCGAGCTGTTATCGAGGAAAAGAAGAAGGAAGTCGAGGACGGCATTATGCGTGGTCTGTCTGGTGATGCTTCGGCTGCTGTCTCCTCTGACGCGTCCGCCAATCCTCGTCCTGCTGAGAATGACGGCAGCCCTGAGGTCGAATCTTTTACTCCACCTCCTCCTGATGTCGAAAACTTCACGCCCACTGGCTCTCCTGAGCCTGCCTATCCCGCAGACGACCACACATACGACCAGGACTTCCTGGAATCAAACACTTTCGCCGCAGACCGCAACCAAGAACAAGAACCCATACATACCGAGCCCGCTCCCTCATTTGAGCCTCCACCAGCTCTCCAGACTAATACTCCTGCCATGTCAGAGGGTGCAAACATGTTGCTTAACAGCTTGGCCCGCCCTGCATCTAACAGCCCTGCTGCCACTTCTGATCCTAGACTGAAGAGAAGAAAGATGAACCACAACTCTGAAATGGATGACGAGCTCTTCAGTACTGGCGAAGGTGTCGGTCTGGATAAGGACGTTGCTGCTATGCTCGGGGCTCAATGAGCATAACCAGCATCTCTGGCGAGTCTTCAAAAGACTTCCTTCACGGCCAACTATCATGATTGAACGCATTTCCGGCTCTTCTTTTGGTCCACGGGTTCCTGGGTTGTCTCCTGGCGGAACCCGCACTATCTTGGGTCTGGTGGTATAGTTGCTCGAGTCGATAGCTTTCACATTACAGTCATACAATACCCAGCCCAATTGAGTCGAAATGCCACATATCTTCTAAGGTCTACTGTCTTCTTATGTTTCTTTTCCCCCAGCTGGCTCCTGCCCCTACTGTAACTCCAAGTGGTCCGTCGCCTTCCTCGATACTCTTTGACTGGGCGAGCCGGTCCTGCTTCACATGTTATTGTTCATATGTGTTTCGGCATTTAGAGACTGCCACACCTGAAATCACGTTGGTCATCTGCTCCTTCTTATGGATATTACCCCTATCCATTGCACAATCCAAGGTTCACTTTCTACCAAGGAGACACGCCCAAAGTCTTTTCTTGCCAAGTTGGTTGCTCTTGCCTAGTTGGACAGTTTTTCTCACTTGACTATCACACACTCTTGGTCACTTCGCTTCACGTTCACCATGAAGCGCCACCTACAGGATATATCGATAGATATGGACAATGACTCTGACATTGTTCCCTCCTTCCACAATCCTCGAAACGGCTTCGCCCTTGCCAGAAGCGTTACAACAATGCAACCAGGCAACTCCACCAAACTTTACACTATCGACGATCCTCGTTATTCAAGCGTCTATGAGCTTGCACGTCCTATCTGGCCCGCCAATGACGTTGTTACGCCAGCCATATCCGAAAAGAAGATCCGAGAACTCGAGAGTGGAAATGACGACGAAAAGTTGATGGCTGCCTTTGCCAGGCATGTCATAAACCCAGGCCGCAATCGTCGTCCCGGCACAAGATGGGTTTCTCACAGATCGCTGAGAAAGGCTTTCGCAGAGCACTTTGACCAGACTGGGTTTTTGGCAGAATCCACTTGGAAGAATAAGGCAGCAAGTGACTTCGGTCTACCTGAGTTATTCTTCAGAACCGTCGATGATGGCAAAGCCTACTTGAGACCCGATGAGTCCGTCGATGATCTAGTTGCAGACCTCGGACAGGCGCCTGACTTACAACCATTGACTGCTGAAGAGTATGAGCAGCTACGCAATCGTGTCACAGCCACCGAGCACAGCGCATCAATCACGGCTGATCAGCCGCAGAGCGCTGACACCTCATTTCAGAGCGGACAGAGTCTCCTGGATGAGGATGACCTAAACACGACTGAAGACGTAGACGACATTCCTCGCCCCTTCAAACGACTTCGATCAATGTCTTGCGCAAAGTCACAGTTGGGAGAAAGCACAAAAGCGCACTCAGTGCTGGAATCGGGCTTGGTTACACCAGATTGCATGAGTCCACCATGTGCTAAACCACACGTATCTCCCAATATCAAACATAACACACCTTCACCCAAACTGAACTCAAGCACGCCTAACACGAAGAGTTCCGAGAAAGACAACACCTACGCGGCATGGCATACTGACCAGCAACTATCAGAAAAATCGAGAGTAAGTGCTCAGCAGCTTCTCCAGCAGCTTGAGAGGGCCATAGCTAATAGCGCTTAGATATTGCAAGAACATAAGCCTAAGCCGTTGCAACAAGAGCAAGCAGACATCACTGACATTGGGAGCCAAAACAAGTTACCTCAGTCCAACAGTCCTGCTGAAAACAACATGAGAGCTGTCAAAATGATCCTAGTCCCGAAAATCTGCGACATACTCAAAGACTTCCCGACTGCGCCTGAGGACGAGTCGTTCCTACCTCTACTCCGTCAACTGCTCAAAGCGGCGGTAGCTAACACACCTCAGACTATGGAAGACAAACACCTTGATATGCTTACTCATGTTGTCACACACTGCACCAGCAGCTCTCAAAGCGATCCAATGAATATCGCAAGTCTGGTCAGACCTGTGCTCAAGATCTTGTCAAGACATCGTCCCAAGCTGGCCATGCAAACTCATAGCCAAATTCAAAGAGGCATCAATGCTGCAGCTCGAGCGAATGACCTGGGTTGGCTGCGTGCTTTGCATGCTGAGTTGTTGCTTTTTGAAGCACAGCATGAGGAAGACCAGAATGGACAGTAAGGATGGTTAACTGTATCTATGTCATGGCTAAGGGTAGCCTGGCTTCTCGACGGCATTAAGAAAGCAGAGGATAATTAGCATCTGGACATTTATCTTGCAGACTAGGCTTGGAGGCAAAACTTAAGGTATTTCACGGATCATGGTCCATACGAAGATATCTCGATTCCAAATAATTCTCAATGGGTATTGTGTTTTTCGAAAAGTTTTCTCGAAGAATGGGTTTTTAGTTCTGGTATAGGTGAAACACGCATAGATGCGAGCTTGCGACAACAGCGACCGGACCTTTGGCAGTCTTCAAGCATCGGAAAATAACTCAAACAAAGTTTGCAACGGTATACGACTTTCCAGAAATCGCATGCCAGTTGCTTGAGCCGCAACCCGGGTTTAAGTGCTCTTTACCAGTTCTCTAGGATTTGAGCCGAGGCTGTCTTGTCGCATTGAACGCGTACTCGTATAGATCTAAAGGAAAGATCGATTGACCGGTTCCCAGGCAGTTTTTCAGGTACAACAAAAGTATTGGACGGCAGTTGAAACTTGGAAATATTCAACAGCGATGAAAGAACAGACGCTCCTTCCAAAGCAGGCTGGACCTTTTGACAGGAATCAGGTTCACCCGTTATCGAATGTCACCTCGTCGCCCTTCGGCGAACGGATGGAACCAAGTCCGTGTGGAAGGATCTGCGGGATGCCGCTACGGATTGGCGGACTATGATGACAAGATAAGGTGATAAGGACCAGAACAAGAATAGCTCAAGCCGCATGTGCAAAACATCGAAAGTCAATCATCGATCGACCAAGGGCCGAGCACTGAAAGACGGCACAACGAGCCGTTCCCTACACATTGAGGGTGTTTTTCCCCATGGGAGAATACTCGTGTGGGGAGTACAGATGCACAGTAAGGCGAGCTGGAGATGGACGAGCGAGTCTGACTGTGGAATGTATCAAAAGGTGGGAAATCTGCTGGGAGCAACCTTGCTAGTCAAACGCTGCAGACATGAGATCAGACAAGAACAAGGAAGAAGCATCGTCAGGACCAAAGGTACCCGTCGGGCCACGACGTTTCTGGTGCCACATCATTCGTCGTTACGCGGTGCACCGCCTCAAAGCCATCAACCGTCCGACGATTGCTCGGCGTGCTGCTGGCGAGCTTCAGGTTGTATCTTTGTATCTCAAGAACGAATTGTGATGAAGAAAAGAAGACTTGTGGAGAGCATGGAGAGGAGTTCCGTCGAAAGTATATATATGCTTACTATGTAGACAGGGTTGATAGTGTGCAGTAAGAAGCAGGCAAGAGAGACGAACTCTTGGGAGGTACCAGCCACATTCGCAACATTCTCTTGTTTCTGCATGCGCGGCAACCCAAGCCGAATGCCTCGTAATCACTTCGCGATACAAACCTACACGGCGCCCAATTCTTTTCCCTCGTCTGTTCTTTTATTCCAAGTTCCATCTCTCTGCTTCGTAGAGACCTCATCTTCTCACCACTTCCACTCGCTTTTTTCGCGTGTCGCATATCCATAATAAAGTCGCCCCAGCTTTTTCGACAGACTTATCCACAGTACTAGTCAGTGTCCGGCAAAGGTCCGAAAGAGCCCGCTTCAGCATGGATCAATCGTCGCCCAGTTCCCGCCCGCGGACAACCTCTCGCGCTTTCAGTCACAAATCCGATCACAGTCGCAGCAGCAAGCATGAGGTGTTGGCAGACAACCCTGCCGAAAAGCAACGCCGCGATAGCTTCTGGAAGGGCGGGTCCAAGGCGAACCCAAATGCTGCTATCAATGAAGCCCAGCCTGGAGGTGTGTTCTTTCCTCTTTTTTTCTGCAACTTCCCCATCACTGTCTATACCCACTACCTACCCGATTACCACATTTTTGCATTCCCAACATGGCAGACGTCGCTGTTAGCTTTCCCGTGACCCCGGCTGACCCCAACCAAGATCGCGCCATGATGGAGGCATCGACCCTCGAGTCGCTCCGCCAGGTCCAACATAAAGACAGTAATGGTAATGTAATCAGTAAGTTTTCTCCTGATGTCTCCACCTACTTCCTAGTCACTAATCACGTCCCGCAGCCGAACCCGACCTTTCGAATCCCACTCGTCCTCGCTGGGAAAGACCTCTGGATACCATTAGATCGTTTGAAAGAGCTATTGATGGTGGTTACAAGCGTCGCTCCGTCAGCAGATCTGGTACGTGCACCATCATTCTCCAGACCCCAGGACGCCTTATTAACACATACCACAGAGAGCTATACCTACAACAACAACAACAACAATGACATGAGCCGTAGAAGCAGCTACTATGGTGGCAACAGTATGTATCAAATCTCTTGATCGTCCTAACATGACACTAACCGAATCAACCAGACCAGGAGAACGGCTACTACGCATCGCGCCGCCAGGACGGTTATTCTGACGTTAGCATCCCTGGAGGACCTCCCAGCCGCAACCAATACACAAGACGTATGAACTCGAGCCGTTCCAACAGCGGGTACGGATTCTATCCTCAGCACAGCTACAACGACTCCTACGACACAAACGCCCAACACAGTGACAGTACAGGACCTTGGGGAAACTCGACAGACCCTAGCAGCGAGAACAGCTCTCTGGACCGTGCCAATGGCGTACCTAGACAGAACGACCCCTATGGCTACGATATGAACAATGGCGCTCCAATCATGGAGGAGTATGCCAGTGATTCGGATGGCGGCTACGGTATGTCGTACGGCCGCAAGAATGGTGCCCAGGGTGGAAACCCAGAGGCACGCTCACAAGCACCGCCTGTTCGCGCACCCATCAAGCTCGGTGGTGCTGATGGCCCCCTCGCTTCTCAAGGCGGCAGCTTGCCGCCTGCCACGAGACCCACCCCAGCAAAAGAAGAGAAGAAGAAGGGTTTCTTCAAGAAGCGATTCAGCAAGGGTTAAAGCAGTCGCTGAAAGACTTTTATCAAGAAGCAGTACATACGTAATGACCTAATGGGCGGATTGGGAGGGAGCTGGGTGTGTCACAGCTGCATCTCAGCGGCGTTTGGGTTATCCTTCTTCTCATCGGATGGATTGGTGCTCGACGAACCAGTCGCATCGCAAAGCGGGCACCATCACAATGGTGTCGATACAAATCAATCATCTCTTGCTTTTTTGTTCATTTCAAATCACTCGCTTTTCAGTTCTTTTTAATTATTGAAAGAAATTTGTTTGTTCACGATTTACCGCACACATATGCTCTAACATTATTTTGAAGCGACGATATCTGTGAACTAACGAGACTTTTTGTCTTTCTCTTCAGCCTCTGCTCGTTCACCTGCATCCTCTCTCATGGCGACAATAACGTAGCCAATTAACACAAAGTTTGCAATGATTGCAGCGGTTGCACCAGCATACGTAGAATTGCCTGCTGAGGTCAGTGGGAGTGAATGGTGATTGATGAATGCATGATAATTACCAGAATAGAGATTGTTGAGTGTCAAAAAGTATGATGAGATCGGAAGGACAATCATAGCAAACGAGAAGAGTAGCAGCTTGACAATGACATGTCTGGAAGTGGGTTGGTTAGTAGTAGATCCGTTGAGACGATAGATGGACTCTGCATACTGGGGCACAGCTGGAGTTGTGATGGAAGGCTGCTGCTGGACCTCATCTTGATCTAGATGGGTCTTCTCCTGCGAGATGATTCTTCTGTTGGTGGCCATGTTGTTTTACGGAGTTTGCTGCTGTTGGTCAAGTGGTTGTGATTTAGTGAGCAATGTAAAGGCGTCGCGTGGATGCGCGTCACGCCTCCGCATCCAGAGTCAGAAAGTGAAGCCCTTGCCACTTTTTTGGCGATTGTGCTTTCATCAACAATTGAACCCCTCTCCCCGCTATCACCGCCTTTTACGATCTGGGATCTCACATGCAAAGTCCGGTTCTGTTCGCTTGTCTTGTAGCATTGTCGACGTAGCGGAAGGCCGAGACTTTTTTTCAACCTCTTAGACTTCGTACAAGGCAGGCACAATGGACAACGATCCCATCATGAGTAGCCCGGCCGTCAAGAGACAGAAGACTGCTGGCGGCTTCCGTCCTGCTGGTGGTCGCCGACCACAGACTCAGACACAGACAAACACCTCTGGAACAATACCGACGCAGATTCTTTCACGACCCCCGCCGCAGGCTAGTCTGACCTTTGCTAATCTCATGGCCGACTTGACTGGCGACTCACAACCCAACTCCTATCACACCCAACCAACACAACCCCTACCTCAGAAGCGCTCTCACTCGTCAACTCCCACCGTTCAAGTTGCCCGCAGCTCGCCCGCTCCTGTTCCCGAGTCACCTCTGCCGCAAGCTCGTCCCCAATCCAACTTCGGTGCTCGCTTCGCTCCACCCGGAACCGCATTTAGACGTCCTCCAGGCGCACCACAACCTCGTCCTGTGCCGCTCATTAACATTGACGACGATGATGACTTTGTCGATCCTCCAGTTGATCGCAGCTCAGACACCGAGGGTCCTGCTACACAATCCGCCATAATCCCTACCGCATTTACCAAAGGTGGGAGGAACCTCGACTCCTCTCCCAACCGCGTTCAAGAGAGTCCCAAATCCTCAGCTGAGAAATTCAAGACTTTCGCTTCCTCATTCGCCTATAATGGAGGCGGAATGGAAAGTGCTTATGGAGGTGTCTCGAGGAACAAGCCCCAACCACAACAACGCCAAAATGCCCCTTCGCGTGCCCAGCCTGTTGATGATATGTCAATCAACGATATCTTTGATGTTGCGGATCAGATAAAGGTGGAGCGGATGTTGGTTGTTTTGCCTGGTCGATCTGTACGTGTGCTGTACAAGGCTTGGCAGGAGTCCCATCGTAACTTTGACGATGCCGTTGATAAGGTCCTCCGCATGGAAGGTAATGGTGGCGACATGGATGTTGTTGATCTCACTAGCTCAGACATTGAGAGCAATGCTGCAAAGCCTAGTGCTCAACCTCGACCCGCCGCCAAACAACAAGTCAAAGCACCAACACGAACTATTGCCGACAAATACTCGACCAAACCCAAACCAACCACTACAACCGAATCGTCAGATGCTGCAAAGCCCAGAAGACGCTTGATGCAAGGTCGCAAGAACCCTGTATCTCCCATCGGCTCTCCTTCACCCACCAAACCCGTTGAAGCCGCACCGAAGAAGCGTGCTGTTATTATCGACTCAGACGATTCTGATGCTGAGTCTGGTAAAGAGTCAGAAGAAGAAGACACAAGCGACTTCGATGGTCGTCTCCTCAAGTTCTTCAACACGTGCAGTGCTCAGGATCTGGCCGATATGTCCAACGAGAAACTTGAGGTTGCTCAGTTCATATTGTCCAAGAAGCCCTTCCGCAGTCTGGATACTATCAGAAACATTTCCGATGCTGCTCCCCTGAAGTCAGGCAAGAAGTCTACTAAGAAAGCCATTGGAGACAAGGTTCTGGATGTATGCGAAGGAATGTACAAAGGATATGAAGCTGTTGATGAGTTGGTCGAGAAATGCGACAATCTCGGTAAACCCATCGCCGATACAATGAAGCAATGGGGTATCGACATCGCTGCCGCTGCCAAGGACGGTGAACTCGCTCTTACCTCGCTGGAAGACACACAGCATGATTCTGGCATTGGCACTCCCGCCAGCTCTACTGGCGTTGTCGATAACGACGATGATGACGATGATATAGTCAAGCCGAAAACCTCAAGACCCAACAAGCTCAAGAAGAACATTTTCTTGAAGCAGCCGGCAAACATGAGCACTGATCTTGTGATGAAGGATTATCAGCTGTTTGGTCTGAACTGGCTCAATTTGCTCTGGTCTAAGAAACTGAGCTGTATCCTTGCGGATGATATGGGTCTGGGCAAGACTTGTCAGGTTATCGCCTTCCTCGCTCATCTCAAGCAGACCGAGATTCCTGGTGTTCATCTTGTCGTGGTTCCTGGTTCAACTTTGGAAAACTGGATTAGAGAGTTGAACAGATTCTGTCCTGCTCTGAATGTCGCTCCTTACTACGGCTCGCAAGCCGAAAGAGAGGAACAGCGCTACGACTACGGTTCACGCCTGGACGAGATTGATGTTATCGTAACTACCTACGAGACGGCTGTTGGAAAGTACGATACAGACTTCTTGCGCAAGACTGTACGCCCTGTAGTATGCGTTTTCGACGAGGGTCACGCTCTGAAGAATAGCCAGTCCAAGAGACATCAACAGCTGATGCGCATTCCTGCTGAATTCCGCCTTCTTTTGACTGGTACGCCGCTACAAAACAACTTGCAAGAACTTGCCTCGCTGCTTTCGTTCATCCTTCCCAGTCTCTTCAATTCTCGAAGAGAGGATCTGGATAACATTTTCAAGTACAAGGCCACTACAAAGGATGCTGATCACGCAGCTCTGCTCTCAGCACAACGTATTGCACGAGCTCGATCCATGATGACACCGTTCATCCTTCGCCGAAAGAAGCAGCAAGTCCTTAAGCACATGCCCGCAAAGCACCGTCGTGTCGAATACTGCGACATGCTGCCAGAGCAACGCGATGTATATAACGAGATGGTCAAGCAAGCCGTGGATGCCCGCACACAACCCAAGAAGGGTGGTGCTAAGGCTGTAAAGACCGCTCAGGAGATGACCGCACTGCGCTTTGCGGCTCTACACCCTCTCCTGTTAAGACGTAAATATAGCGATAAAGAGCTCGAGAAGTTGGCAAAGGCTCTCCAACGATCTGAGGAATATGGCGACAACAAGCCAGACCTCATCTGGAGGATGCTTACAGAGCAGACCAAAGGTGGCGACTTTGGTATGCACCGCTTCTGTCTCGACTACGACTTCCTGAACAAGTACATCCTGCGCAACAATGAGTGGATGAACAGTGGTAAGATCAACAAGTTGCAGGAGCTGCTTGAGGGATATATCAAGAATGGCGACCGCACTCTGATCTTTTCTCAATTCACGACCATGATGGATATCCTGGAAGCCGTGCTTGAGACTTTGTCAATCAAGTTCATGCGTCTGGACGGTAGTACCCCCATGGCGACTCGACAGGATATAATCGATCAGTTCACCACTGATACCTCAATTCCCGTGTTTATGCTGAGTACCAAGGCTGGTGGTGCAGGTATCAACTTGGCATGTGCCAACAAGGTCGTCATTCTCGACTCTGGATTCAATCCTCAGGATGACATCCAAGCAGAGAACCGTGCTCATCGTGTCGGTCAGACTCGCGATGTTGAAGTCGTTCGCCTGGTCACTCGCGGCACAATCGAGGAGCAGATTCACGCTCTCGGAGAGTCCAAGCTCGCACTCGATGATCGTGTTGCCGGCGCTGCGGAAGATGCTGCCGCCGAGAAGAAACTCGAGGCTGATGCAGCACTTGCCGTTGAAGACATGTTCTTCAAGCACCTGGAAGAAGAGAAGAACGATGTACAACCCAAGATGGAAGACAAGGACGCCATTGACGCCATGGATATCACTAGAGACGATACTGCCTCGGCGAAGAGCAAGGATCTTCGTGATGAGTTCAGAAACGGACTCAAGGATGCAGGACTCGATATCAGTGAAGAGAAGGATGTAAAGAAAGAGGCCGACGTAAAGGAAGAAGTTGACATTGAATAGAGAATGATGGTATGATTCAGATCTGCATGATTGCATCAAATACACTACAAAGGGTGTTGACGGGGTCCTTACTTTCTGGTTGATTGCGAAGGTCATTGCTGTTCAAGGAAGACATGCAAAGCGCACGTGGTTCTGCATTTTTTGCGTATTTCCTTTATAAGCATGCATGAAAGGATCAGAGGACTGAAAGCCTAGACAATAGAGAAATCATGTCTTTCTACAAAAGCCGGATAGAAATTGATTGCTCATTAAAATACGCATGTTTTCTGCTGTCAATGCTGTCCACACTTTGATCTAAACATCCGTTTCGGATGTTGGGAAGGCAGCGGCAAAACTTCCGGGAAACGTCACCTCCTCGTCTTTGCATGTGGGGTAAACTCGATGGATGTGGGGTCCATAGTTCCTAACTTCCTATCACTGCCGAATTGTTTAGAAGGACGAACCTCCTTCTGTAATTGTTTTGCTTGATTGTTGCTTCCCTATTGACAGTCACTTTACAAAGTTCTGGAGTTGTGAGCAAATTGATCCAACAATGTCGCGTTTCGAACCTCCGGAGTTGGGAACACATTTGCAGGGTAAAGTGGTTGTGTTGACGGGTATGTATTCTTGCTGCACCATGCATTGAATCCTTTCTCCTACCCGTACAAGAACCATTCAAACTTCTTACACAGCATATTCTAACACCTTCCTCATGACAGGAGGCGCCCTAGGCATCGGCTCTGAACTAGTCCGCCTACTCCACTCTGCCGGCAGCTCCATCTTCTTCGGCGACATTTTGATTCCTCAAGGAGAATCCCTCGCGTCCGAACTTTCTTCATCCTCCAAGCCAGGACAAGTTGTAAAGTTCTTGTATACGAATGTCTCGGACCATCTTTCTAATCTAGGACTCTTTGACTTGGCGTATAAGACTTGTGGACGAGTGGATCATGCGGTTAGTGTGGCGGGGATCAACAAAGAAGAAAATATCGTTGATGGGGACTTGACGTTGGAGAGTGTGAGAAAGGTAAGCTTCTCTGTTTCCCCTGCTCCCTGCTCCTTGTCTTGGAATATCAATCTGATCTTTGCTGATTTTGTCTGGAAATAGGAACCAAACATCAACGCTTCTCTGAACGTCAACCTCAAAGGCCCGATCTTATTTTCTCGACTCGCTAGTGTGTATCTCCGTCAACAACCGCCTACCAACGACAAGACGTCTTCTACTGCAAAAACAGAACCAGCAACAAAGAACAAATCTTTGACGTTGGTGAGTAGTGTTGCGGGCTTCACCGAAGCTCCCGGGTTGGCTGTTTATTCGTCGAGTAAACATGGGGTGTATGGATTGATGAGAGCGTTGAGGAAGTAAGTCCTTCCCTCTTCCAATTCTGCCCATACGAAGAATGTGGCAATACAAAGACTAATATGAAAATCCAGAGTCCTGATCAAGCAAGAAATCAGAACCAACGCCATATGTCCCTGGATGACAGAAACAAGAATGGTCTCTGGAATCGAAGAATCGTGGAAAGAAGCAGGATTGCCACGTAACAAAGCCATTGATGTGGCTAGAGTGATTGCTGGCGTCATGGTTGCAGAGTCACTGAATGGAGAAGCTCTTTATGTGGAAGGAGGCAGGGCTTGGGGTATTGAAGAAGGTATTGAACGAACGCAGCCGCAATGGATGGGTGAGAAGCAAAGTCGTGATTTTCAGAAGGGGCAGGAGGTTTTGGGAACAGGGGAGAATTGGTGATTGAACGTGAGGTCTGTATATCTAGTTCTGAGCTTCCCATAGCTTCCTCCACCAACCACCCTCGACTTCCATCAGCGCAACTGGATTCCCAACCTCTACAATCTTTCCCTCGTCCATGACCACTACTCTATCGCTGGCAATCAGACTGCTCAACCTATGTGCCACACTAATCACAGTATGACTTGCAAACTCATCCTCAATAACTCTACGCATCAGCTCGTCAGTATGTTTGTCCACACTAGAAGTAGCCTCGTCTAGAATCAACAAACTCGAAGTCTGCTTTCTCAGAATAGCTCGAGCGAGACAGAAAAGCTGCTTCTGGCCTTGACTTAACCCAAGATCAGATATAGGCGTGTTGAGTCCACCGCGACGTGCAATCAAGTCCCAAAGATCCACCTTCTCCAATGCGGCAATGATGGCTGTGTCTGAAACGACACTCTCGAATGCTTCGGTGTCTACATCGGAGAAAGGTGCAGAGTGCGGTGCGGCATTGAAGCGAACGGTTCCTGACAGGATGTAAGGTTCTTGAGGGATGGCGATGACCGACTCTCTGGTCTTCTGACGAGGGATCGTGGACAAATCGACGCCATCGACAGCCACAATACCCGCTCTGGTAGGCAAGAGTCTGAAGAGGAGAGCTATCAAGGTTGACTTTCCAGATCCTGTTCTGCCGCAGATGCCTATCTTCTCACCTGGACGAATGGAGAGGGAAATATCGTGCAAAACATCTGGCTCACCAACCCCATAACTTGCGTAGACACCGTCATAGACCACTGCGCCTACCTCGTGCCATGAAGATGGCGATGTTTCGCACTCAGAAGGTAGATCCTCAGGTTTGACTTCGATCTCGAGCTGTTTGAGACGTGCGACGGCTCCAATGGAGGTTTCCAAGCTTGTCCAATGCGATATGAGCGCAGCAAGACTAGAACTGAAACCCATGACCGAAATCATAGCAACACCAATCTGTCCACCAGATGACTGATGATGGAACTGTGTTGCAAAAGCGACCAACACGATGGCTATAGCAGCGACCACCAGAGCCAAACACAGCCCCAGCCATTGCTGAATCATGTACAGCAAATAGTATGGCCTCTGCGATGCATCCAATTTGTTCAGGAAGCTGGAGTAGAAGTTGGACTGCCATCTGAAAGCTCTGATAGTTACCAAACCTTCCTGAGTCTCCGAGAAGTGCGTGAATAGCGGCGACTTCATTTCCAGATCCAGTAGACGCAGCTGGCGACTCGTCCGTAGATAAAATTTCTGTATCGCATAACAGATCGCGGCGATGAAAGGAATGAATGCGATGAGATACCAGGATCCATAGCATATCAATGCACCTTGCCAGACTATCTCAGACACGGTATAAGTGAGCTGGAGAAGTGCTATTGGTAAAGCAGCATCGATGATGGTCATATCTTGGCTGAACCTATTAAGAATAATTCCAGCATCGGTCCTTGTGAAGTAGGCGAGTGGGGCAGCAGTAATGGTAGAAAGCAAGGTCCAATGTAGCCTCAAACCACTGCGTGGTACTATCTTGACGAATATGACCCTAGCGATCGTCAGAAGTGTTTCAACCTTGCAGAAGGAGGCAACATACCACAAAGCAACAAAATTCATAACCATGCCACAAATGGCAATGACGAACATGACAGAGATGTACATGCCCATTTGTGAACCAGGGTCCTTGGTCCAGAATTGCACCCAGAGATCTGTTCTTAGATCAGCAGATATCCATGAAGGAGCAACAAGACACAAACCTGGAAGAGATATAAGACTGGTTTTCAAGAATTCACAAGCAAGGAAAGTCACCAGGATAGCCAGTCCTACGGCACCCGCATAATACTTATAAACGGCAAAATCCCCCAGCCTTCGATCAGATATGAGCATCTCGTCTTCGACATCATTCTCTGCAATCTCGTGATCGGAGTCCTTTGTCGCCTTGGGAGCATCCTCATGATCCGACTGTTCACGGAGTTGAACAGCGAGTGTTGCGACATAGCCTTGCTTGGCCATGAGTTGCTGGAATGATCCCTGTTCGACAAGAGTTCCCTCCTTTCCGAGTGCGATGATATGATCTGCGGTAAACAAATGTTGCACGGCGTGGGTTGCGAGTATTACAGTGGTGTTGTTCTTCCTGAATACACCTCGCTCTGAGAACAGGCGTTCGAAAACAAGTTGTTCAGTCTTCGCGTCCAGCGCGCTGAAGATGTCGTCGAGTAAGATAATAGCGGTTCTAGCATATACTGCACGGGCGAGGGCAAGTCTTTGGCGTTGTCCACCACTCAGGGTCAGCCCTCGACTTCCAATCAGTGTCTCGTCCTTGTCGGTCAAACGAGCTATGTCCAGTTCGAGTGCACAGGAGAAAACGACAGTCTGATACCAGGTTTCGTCATAAGGCAGAGTTCCAACGATGATGTTTTTTATGGTTGAGTTGGGCAACCACGCAGACTGTTGGCAGTAGGCAATATCTGTGTTGCGCATACGGACGAAGCCTTTCAGACTCTGAATCTCTCCAAGCAAGCCAAGAAGGAGACTAGTTTTGCCGGAGCCGATAGGTCCTACAACCATGTTGACAGTTCCTTCTCTAATGGCAGATGTCAGATTGCTCAGTGCTGGAGTGTCGACAGAATAACCAAATGAGCATTCATCGAGAGTGATAGCGTCACTGCCTCTCTCAGGTGTGCCCTTCGCAGGCATGACTTGCAATTCTATTGCAGACGACGAAGGCAGTATCACGGGCGTACTTCTGCTGTTGACAATACGATCATCACTTTGCACCTCTGCAAGTAAGAATTTCTGGATTCGCTCAAAGCATCCAATGCCTCCCATGATTGAAGGTATACTCGCCGTGACAGTTCCCAGCGGGTTGTCGATCAAGTTGATGAGCGAGATCAAGCTGTATGCCTTTGCCGCGGTGAGTTCATCGCCTCCGTCTCGTGCTTGTAATGCCACGGTCATCAATACAAATGGTTTCGCGAAATTTGCCATCAGATTGCCAAAGATGTTGAGCCAAATCGTGCACATCCGAACAGCAACGGACTTTTCGAGCTCAAATGTACGCTGGTCTTGTAGCAAAGACTTCATTCTGCTCGAAAGACCCAGCATTTTCAGGGCTTTCATGTCTTTGAGCAAGGACGCTGTCAGAGCCACACGCTCTTGAATGGCTGCATTCCATTTTGGTCGATACTTTTTCATGCGAGGGCCGACCCAGAAAGCATTTGCGGCTGCACTGCCCACGGCTAGCACCACTGGTGCAATGCAACCGACCCCAGAGCCACGACCAAGAAGATACATGGCTATGACCATCTCGACTGTGCTGGCCCAGATCTCGTGCAGTATCTCTGAGACAGTTACGATAACGTCAACATCATTCGACAGACTAACAGGACTTGCGTCCTCCAGAGCAGTATATCTCAGATCCAGTGTTTTCTCATATATCAAGGCAGTGAGCGAGCCACGTATCATGGTCATGTATCTGAAGTTGGCATGTCGATAGCGTCCGTTGGAGATTGCAATGCCGATATAAATGATTGCAGCCGCGCCGATGAGTCCATATCCTATGTTCTTGTCTCTGTCGGCATCATCAACATAGTTGATGATTCTTGTGATCAAGAAGGGCTGCGAGTAGTTGAAGCCAATCAATGCAAGTCTAGGAACGACAGGGGCCAGGAGTGGCCATCTCAGGCAGGACAGGGTGTTCCAGAGTAACGCATGCTGTCTGCTCTTGTCTGCTGTTCGCCAGGATGTTTGAGCTTTCTCGGCAAGTGTTTCAGAAGACAGGTCATCATCCAAAGTGTACAAATCGTCGAATCCAATGACCTTTTTGAAGCCAACAGTCAGGAAATGATTGAGCCACCAGTAGAGACTCCGATTGTAGAGACCACTCTTAGCCTCTGGTGCAGTACCGCGGTAAGGTGGTGTAAGCAACGAGTCTTTCTCCCAAGCCTCCAAGACAAGAATGACGACCTTGAGTGCCAAAGCTGAAGAGAAAACACTTGCAACTGTCTCAAGGCCGGGGATCTTCCATAGCGTTCGAAGCTGGACGATATCGAAAGGTACTGAGAAGAAGAGGTAGATATTCAACAGAGCCGAAGGACGAATTGATTTTGTATGCTCCAGATGTGATAGTAAACATATGGATATAGCTCCAGTGAAAGACAGGATTGTGGCAGGGAATGACAGGCTTGTGCGTGGTGTTGATGGTAGAGCCACGACAACTAGAAGTGCCAACTGCAGACACGCATAAAAGCTTGCAGATACCTAGACCGGTCAGTTTCGCTCTGGCAAAGCAACTGAGCTCATGATTACCAGCTTCGAGCTGTGCAGTCGACTCTTTAATGTTTTTACATCTTGACGAAGAATTCCATTCAAACGGAAGATGCAACCAAGCACAAGCAGAATCGAAGGCACAAGGGATAGAAAAGCTTGTTCAAAAAGCAGAGTAAAATCAAGAGCGCGGCATTGTTTAGCAATTGAAGGCCCAAAAGAGTTATCGTCGGCAAAGGAGCAAACAGTTGCGATGCCCCGCACCTGCCGAAGGGCTGCTTCGAGGGTGAAGTTCAGCGACATTGGTTTAGGCTTGACAGCTGTGTCAAAAACCCTTCATTTAGGTATTTGAGGAGTCAGTAGCAGATATAGCTCGTACTCCAGGCACCTATATTCATGCGATTCAGCTTGCAACTGTCCGAGGTATCATTGGACAACCGATGATCCTTCAGCGACTGGAAAGGAGCAAGCGAGGAATTGAGTTCGTGCCCTTATCACACCTTACTCTTTCTGCCACCGTCTAAGACCTTGAAATTGATCATCTTGAATTACCACCTCGCAAGGCTGACAGTAATACAGCATCCACCAGCAGCTTTAAGCAAAAAGAGAGAGAATAAAAAATCGTGATATTCATAAAACCGCATGCTCATAAAAGCATTCCGTCCAATCTATAGATACTGTCTTTAACAGTCACTCCCATCCCCGAACTCCTTGAAAAATGTATCATGCTTCCTCATGCTGCTGTGCCGCCTCTCTACTCGACGATGCTTGTTCTAGAATGCGTTGATCTTGAGCAGCCTCATCTTGAGCTTCTTCATGGTTGACAAACACAAAAGACAAAACAACGACACAAGCACCCAGCCAGTAAATCGCAGGCGAGGTTTGATTGTTGATGAGCAATTGTCCGATCAGAGAGAGCGGGATTGTGGTCGAGAGACCCACTGTCACGACAATTGGCGATGTGAGTAGAACAGCGTATGCCCATGCGATATCAGAGAGCAAGGAGCTGAATGAGTTGACCTGGATCACCGTTAGCAAAGAGAATTAGGAGTGAGACGGCGTGGCAGACATACGAGAATAATCGTTGTGACCCTCGAGGTTGGAGGCAACTCGAAAGGTTCTACACCAGTAAAGTGCAAGATCAAGAACCCAGGCCAGAGAAGCAGTACGTTGAAGAGACCCACAAGGCCAAAGAAAACGGGCATGCTTATTCTACGCTCGTCTCCAATGCGTTTCTTCATGAGTACGGCATAGATACCGTACAAGACAGCAGAAAGCAAAGCCATTGCATCACCCAGAGCAACTTGACGAGCAGATTTGTGAGGAAACAGGCCACGACCATCATCATTGTCGCCAAAGAGGTCGACAGAAGAGATGAGGACGACTCCGAGTAGAGAAGCTAGAACTCCAAGCAATTTCTTCAGGGTAAAGATCTCGACCCCCACGGCACATCCCAGAAGTAGAGTAAAGATACTGCTCGTCGAAGTAAGAATGGTAGACGAAGCGACAGTCGTATGTTCCAGACAAGCAGCGACAAAATAGTTGGCCAGGAACCAGAGGATACAAAACTCCAGACTTAGACGAGCGGTCTCGCCCAAGGACAAGGGATGTACACCTTGAGCATCGTCCATGACCATATACTTTTGTGAAGTAGAATCACTGGTGTGCTCTTGTGTGTATCCATCTTCGTCGTGATCCTGAGGCACAGCAGCGTATCTCGGCGTCTTAAGGGAGCCGCTTAGGTACAGGCGTCGCACGACAATAGGCAAGAGCGGTATGATGAAGCAGGCGGTGTTAACGTAAGTGACGAGGTAGGGCTTCGAGTAGGTGTTGTCGGCGAATAGTGTCTATGCATGTCGGTCAGTCTCTTTGCGCAAAAGTCATGGATTGAGCAGTGAGCGTACGGAAGCCATGAAGTTAGAGGCGGTCCACAGAATGACAGTCGTGAACAGCAGTAGCAGACCAACCACGCGCCGCCATTTCTCATGGCCATGCCGTGTGTTGAGAGCTGCCATTTCCAGGTCTATGTCGTTGGTGTTGCTGCGCGACAGCAGCGGTCTTCGCGCATCATCGTCGTTGGTGACGACTGCAGCGCGGCCTGTCATAGCCGAAGTCGCTCGTCGGAATGTGTGCGTCGCTTCTCCTGTGCAGGGCCACCACCCACGGTCTTAGGTGATTCTCGTTACGGAGTACGGCCAGGCGTAGTAGCCATGTCACGGCCACAGCTGAATAGCGAGTCCCTGTCAATTATGTGTCATGCCCAGCGCTGCTTGTTCCTTCCTTATCTGGACCACGAAGAACAAGCCAATCTTCAACCCAACGCGCACGTGCTTTCTTACCTGAATTACAACCCGAGCCGCTACATCTCAGGACCCACTTTCTTTGCTCCCTTTATTGAGGGCTCTTTGTTCTCGGGCCAAGTACTACCAACATGCTTGCACAATGCTACATGACACAGATGATGTTCTTGGAGAAGCAAAAATAATATTCAAAGGTGGTACTCAGTACTGTCCGATTGACAATCGGTGCTTCTTCCTTCTCAAACATAAAAACAAAAACGCCTGCCCAAGAGAGTATCACAGATTCCTCCACAAACGCCTGCGCAATGTTTCGTTAAATGTAGGCACAGGCCTTTACTACCCATGCCCATAGTGCTGCTCAATCTCACAAAAACCCAAGCTCTTTCTACTCGGCCTAAAAGGATATCATTGCCGGGAAAAAAAGCTGTCAGAGAACATATGCTGTGTAAATCCAGTTTCATAATCAAGAATGATGTGCTCGAGAGCGTGATGATTCGCCTCGTGTTGTTGACGCTCCTGCTGATGCCGTCGCTGCTTCGCCCTGTGCGTGATGATGGGACCGCTGGTGCGAATGTGAGTGCGAGTGGTGGTGGTGATGCCGAGAGTTTTCTCCTTCTTTGCCCTCTTCAGCTGCTACACACCAGAATCGATGACTGCCCCAAGCGCCCTTTTGGCACTCTTTACTGCAGTACTTGGTGCGTCGGCATCGTCTGCATTTAGCAAATTGCCGTGTGTACTCTTCCCACTTGCCACACTTCCAGTATGCACATTGACGAATACCTCCGCGGCTTTCGTCTTTGCGGCAAAGATTACGCATCACGACACCGGCCCAGTATTGCATCGTCTCGCTCTGTTGAGCCGAAGTTGGTAACAATGATTGGCGAGAGCTCGAGCAACGCACAGTGAACTTTTCGATCAGGGGGAAAATGTTGTAAGCGGGTTGTTCGACGAACTCATTGTCCCACGCCTCTTCGAGCTCTGCTTGAGAGGGACCGGTGAAGGGCTTTGAAGGGTCGTAATCAGCATCCAGTGTGCGTAGCTCAGCGTCAATATTGAGGCGGGGAACGAGATGTGAAGCCTGGAAGTATGAACGTAGGTTGCAGTATTTTGAGACGTAGGCGAGCAGTTGAAGGGACATGATGACATCTTCGTCACGGGGAAGGGCGGCGGCAAGAGGAGCTGGAGCCGAGACAAAGGGAACACCAGCACGCGGAGCCATGAGTGCTGGTGGTGTAGCGTTAACAATATCGACAGAAGGAAGTGGCTGGGCGGGTGCGAATCCGGGTTGAGCTTGAGTTGGGGTTTGTGTGTTGATGCTACCGTCCTGCGCTGAAGCGTGGCTAATGAAAGCATCTGAATCTGAAACGTCGACGGTCGGCACACCTAAAGCGACGGGAGTAGCGCTACCTTCAAGCATAGTCTCATCATTAACGATATCCTGCATGGAAATGTCGTTCTGGATGTCGACCATTGGCTCTGGTGACGTCTCTGCTGTGTCCGAAGTGTCTTGCACAGCATCATCGCTTTGTTCATCTTCCCAGTTGCCAGAAATGGATAGCTGATGGCGGATCGATGGTCTTCTGCGTCCGAGGCTAGAGCGAGGACTAGTCGGGGCCGTCGCGCTTGGCGTGGTAGGCGACTGTGGTTGTGAGCTCAACTCAGCGTTCAGGTTGGGCAGCATCGACGGCAGACGGTCAGCATCTCGAACCGGACGTAGCGTCTGACGCGAGGCTTGCTCTGAGCGAATCTGTGGAGATGATTGTGGACGGATGTCGTGCATCGGAGTGTGGCGGCCAAAGTCGAGTCTGGTGCTGCGTAGCGACGGTTGCTGTGAATCAACCATAGGCTGATCGTCAGTAGCAGAGATATCAATTGGTGGCGGGGCTGTTCTTCGAGGTGTACGGTCTGATCTGGGCTGGTAAGGAGAGCGACTTGCTCGGGGAGGACTCTGAAGGTTGGGAAAAGGGTTGAAGTTGGCCGGGGTGCGTCTTGCGTCCTCATCGGCTTTCTTCTTCAGCTTCTCCATGGCGCGGATGTAGTTGTCAAGAAGGGTGGCTACCACAGGTACCATGTCGGCCTCAACAACACGAGTTCGTACGGCTTCGGAGCCTCTGACACCAATGTTGAAGACACACTGGAAAGCCAGGTTCCATTTCCAACTCTCCATGGCATCTTTGCTCCTGCCTTCTTTCAAAATGCAGACCAGGCGTTCAACACCACCGTCTACAGTGAGGATGTCGCGGATGCGTGCGGATGACGTAGTGAGGTAGGTGAGGTTGTTGAGTGAGTTGATCAAGGGGAGGGTTGAGGTGCAATCAAGAGCGCGACGGTCGTAGAGAGCAGGCGTAATGCCGACCGAAGCCTTGTTCGCGCTCGGGATGCTGAAGTTGGCCTCGCGCATGATGGGAAGATTCGAAAGGAGATGGCAACAACAAAGACTTTGAACAGGGCGTCAGCGGCTGGTTATGACGGACCATGTCGACGAAGGACTCACCAGAGCTACACACAACACCGGCAATGCAACGAATCAATCAAGACCAAACACCAGCCATGCAATTCCAGTCGGGTTCAATTCGAGTCACAACAGGCGTCGACACCCAACGCCAAGAATAAACCGCTTGCCTTCGACGGACGCCTCAGGTATCCTTGTGTACTTCAAAAAGCGGTCTCGCCTGCTGGGTACCGGAAGGCAGATGGCTGTATAGACTGAAGCCTCGATGTAAGGGAGTCGGCGGTGACTCTGAGACTCGACGACGTAGAGCGGAGATGGCCGAGGGCGAATTGAGTGTCGGGGGTCGAGTCGGACTGGGAGGAAGCGATGAGGTTAAGAACTGCAAGTGTATACAATGCAAGCTAAAGTCGTGTCGTTCGTAACATGCGGCGATGGAGATGAGATTGTTGATGACAGATGATGGATGATGGGAGAGGAGGGGGACGAGGGAAAACTCGATAGGAGTCGAGAGCCCGTTGAAGACTGAGACGGTGCAGCCAGCAGCCAGAGACGGACGCGGACGACCTGAGTGACGCTCGGCAAGCCAAGCCGCGACTGCAATCCATTTAATTTAATCACCAGAGAAAGACCAATTTTGCCCCTTCTCCGCCTATAATCTCCCTGCCACTTCTTTTACTCTGCAATATGAATGCCTACTCGCACTCTCTATCATGCGATTAAAGTATTCCTCGCTGCGTGGAAGAAGTGTCGTCTCCTATTCCCACGCACTTTCCTTTCAGAGCATGACCAACGCGGGAGCTTAATTGTTTCCCTCCCCAGTCAGCCTGCTTTGTTGCCACATGCGGCGCGCCGGCTAGGCAAGACTCATGAAATGCTGATCTTCTGAGGCCTTGCCCTGCCCTGCCCACCTAACTTCCAGTCCCATGTCGCTGTCTCAACCACAGCCAAATCAACAACCGTTCATTAGAAATAGGTCAGAAACAAATGACGACCGAGAACGCGGCGGCTGTTGTGGGCAACTCCAACCGTCTCCCAGCCAAACCACCTGGAAACGCCCTACCTGCCTGCCCTGCTTGCTTACACACATATCGTCACTCATCCTTCCGTTCTCCCATTCATGCATTGTCTGGTGTGAGCACACATGTACAACGCGCTTGTTGCCCTTGGCATCGGGGTCGCTCATCTGCGATTGCCCATGCCGGATCTGCCGAGCACGGTCCGCCTTTGTGCCAATCACGCGACAGGAAGGAACAGCGCTGCAAGTGATGTTTCTTTTCTTCTTGCAGGCGACTCGAACGAACCATTTCACTGTGCTGATCAACCCATGTTCCGCCTTCAAAAACGTTCATGCATGCTATTCCCGTGATGCGTCGCTTGTACACCTATTTTGTTTCCTACTTCTCTCACCTGCAGGAAGTAATCAAGAACATGCATATTCGTTGGATAAAAAAGTACAGAGACAACGGCTCTAAAGATAGAATAACTATCGAAGACACATAGCCAGACAAAACTAGATGTTTACTTCTTATCCATATCGATACCTCCTTGCTTGACCGATCCAAATCTCCGGGACAGCATCTCTTGAATATCGGTCGATGCTCTCTTAGGGCCGTCCGCAACAAACACTGTCTGCTCTTCCAACATCACACCTGCCTTTGCACCTCCTTCTTCCATAACTCGTGGTCTGTCAAGAAGATCCTGAATCTCGTTCTCGCGCATCGCTTGCGCTTCATCCTCGCGCTGCTGCTCGAAACTCGACTTCTTCGTGCCGTGATGCCAACCCGCTTGCAATTCCATCGCAGCCGCTTCCTCGAATCGCTTGCGGATCTCGAGGTCGCGCTCGTACATCTGGAAAAGATCCACGTCGGTCGCAAAGTATGCTGATTTCAAGCTCTTGACTCCAAACTCGAACCACATGGTTGCTACGACGGTTAACAGCAGACAGAGCCACCAGAGCAAGTTGTCACCGAATCTGTCAAAGAAGCCGTTTTTGACATCGTAGGTGTAGTTATTAGCATAGATCGAGGCGAGGATGATCATCCACAGGAACCATCCACCTACAGACAGCACACAGGCTATCACAGCCATGATGGACTTGTTGTGATTCTCTATGACTTGCAGCTTCATCGAGATCAAGATGACACAAGCAGTAAATGTCAGAGATCCGATGGCGTACAGTCCTTGGTCCTTGGTAAAGGTGGCTTCAGCGTATAGTCCGAACATGATAAAGAATATCACAATCGCCTCGCTCGATGCCATGAAGATCCAAGCCAGGAATATCTTGAAGTTGAAGCCTCCGTTTCGCTGACCTTTGGTGTACAGTTCAGGCACCGCTATCAGTGTCTGAGGCAAAAGATCCTTCTCAAACACACCAATGAAGATGACCGGAAGACTGGTGAATAGCGTGTTGAACATACTAAGCGACCAAGACTCGTACAACGATGTACCAGTATAGCCAGTCCAGCGCTGGTATAAAGCCTGAGTAAGATAGAACAAGAATTCCTTCCAGAATGTGCCGACGGTATATTTGCAAATACGAATGTAGTTCCAGTGTCCATGAACCAAGAGCAGCTTTACAAGGAAGCGGAACTGAGCAATCGAATAGTCTGAGGTGCGAGCTGCTTGTAGGCCTTCTTTTCCGGTGATACCGATACCGACATGTGCTTCTTGGATCATAGCAATATCATTCGCACCGTCTCCTATGGCTAGCGTGATGCTATCCTTGACTTTTCGTCGCACAGCCGACACAAGACTTGCTTTTTGGCTTGGGGATGCACGGCAACAAATGACTGAATCTGCAAGGACTGCAAGCTCAAAGAAGAGCTTGTGCAAGTACTCATCGTCCTCAATCAGAGCCAGTGTCTGGCCATCAATGACTACGACTGAGTGCGCTACCTTGTTGTTGTTGATATCAAGAATGGTAGTCGCTATGCGTTGCTCGACTTGACCAGTCTCATGGTCCAGGATTGTGACGGCTGAGTAGTCCTTGATAAGACGACAAGAATGACCGATGTTGATGGCGGTCTCTCTCTTGTCTCCTGTTAACATCCACATCTTGATGTTGGCACGTCGGAGTTTATCAATGGCTTCTGGTACGCCTTTCTGGAGCTTATCCTCAATGGCAGTGGCGCCGCCAAGATCAAGATCTCTTTCAATAATCTCGCCTGCGTCCTCAATCATTTGTTGACGATTCACGAGACTTGTTGTGGCGTCGTGGTACACCTTCTTCCACCCCAAGTACTCTTGCTCGTCAAGGAAACGGTAGCCATACAGCAAAGTACGAAGACCCTCAGTGGCAAAGTCGTTGATGTGTTGGAAGCAGCGTTCAAGTACTGTAGCTTCATCCGTGACAAGCGACTCTTCAACAAGCTCATCTTGGTCGAAATCATCGTACTGTAGCGAGCTACGGGCTTCGGAGGGAGCAAGTGAGTGTCGACCCTGCATATGAGTTGAGGGTCGTGGAGTGTAATGAACACTCGTCTCCTCATCATTCGACACATTGACCTCGCTCTCGCGTTCTTTGAGCCAGTGGTTAAGCTCGTCACGAATAGGCTGCAATCTAGCATTTCCTATGCTGGTACGAGGAATACCGCCTATACTAGGTCGACCGATTGACATTGAGAAGCTTGGTCTCGAAAAGCTGGGCCGTGCGAAGCTCGAACGCTCATGCTGTTCGCTCCTCCGACGAATAGCTTCTTGTGCTTCCAAGCTTTTACGCATGCTCGTCCGCTTTTCAATTTCGACCATTTTCTGATTTGCCAAAGAAGCGAGCTTGAGGCGTTGCATGACAATGGTATCAGCTCCTTTGCAAATCACACAGACACGTCCATCGGGGAAGCGAACGGTAATAGACATTCGCTTTCGCTTGCTGGAGAATTCGATGACATCCAGGATCTCATATTGCTCTGAAACGGGCTCCTGGTTCATGCCATTGGGATAGGTCTTGATGGTCAAGATGGCAGATTCTCGGTTTACAGCCAGATATCCGAGCTCCTGTGCTGCTCTTACGAGGGCAAGCTCGTCGGGCGAAGATGCTTGGAAGTCTACCTCGCCATCCTCCTGTGTCTCGGGCAGGCATGTATGACACAACGCCATAGACAACAGGAGCATACGAGCTTTCTTTGCAAACAGCGTGAACGGCTTTCGTTGGATGTAGCGAATCATGGTCTTTGTACTGAGCTCAGGCTGAGCCTTTCCGGGTCTTGCAGATGAAGTCCATTGTGAAGTCGACTTACGACCATGTTCGCTGAACTCGATCTGGTCATCTGCGCCGTCAAACTTATGCGTGGATGTCATAATAGAGGTGGTCGACTTGCGAACCGGCTTCTTTCCCTTGCTCTTGCGGCTTCTTTTCTTGTGGATAAGCATGTCAGATTCGTCTTGCTTATCCTGCAAATCGACGTCGTGCAGCCAGGCCGTACCGGCGACACTGAGTTTGCGAAACTTCATCACGTTGTCTGTTAAGGTTCCAGTCTTGTCAGAAAAGACATAGCTGACCTGACCCAGCTCTTCGTTGATGGTGGATGTCCGGGCCTCGAAGGGTGTGTCGGTAACTTCATCGTACATGTCGATGTCGTTGAGCAGAAGCATCTGCCAAACTTTTACAATCTCCATAGATACGTAGAGTGAGAGCGGGATCATCGTATTGAACATGATGATAAAACTGGTTAGGACTGGGAAAAAGGCGACTCTGGCGTTGATAAGGTACCATGAGTGGACTTCTGTACCGCTACGCCAGACCTGATATGCCACTGTGTTGAAGATCGCCAGGAGGATGACGAAGATAACAATGACGATAACGACTTTGTTGACGATAGCCTGTAGAGCTGGAGCCTTGATACGAGGGTTCTTGTTGGAGTTCATTCGGATTTTGCACTCCTCACCACTGTAGATGACCATTCCATAAGCCTCAGGAGTGTTTCTCAAAATGCTGCCTCGGTAGATGATTTCATTGTTGGTCAAGGGTGCCGTTTCGCCTTTGATTGTCACTTTGCCTTCGAAGTTGTACAGATCGATATTTGGATCCTCGACAACGAAGTGAGCATCACAAACAGCAATGTTCTCTGGCGTACTGCAATTTTTAGCCAGGTTCACTGGAGCCTGTTTGCTCTTGAGATTGGTTTCTCCATCCAAGGCCATTGTTTCGATGTATGCGATGCCATTGTCGCCTTTCGAGCTCAGTAAAACCAGATCGGCAGGAACAGATTCATCTCTCTCGAGTTTGATAATGTCGCCGACCTGAAGGTTCTGCCACTTTGTCTTTGCCCAATGGAGCGGGCCTCCGGTGGGGGCGTTGCCCTCTTCAACTTGGGATTCAGATGTTGGTACTGGCTGGTATGCGTGTAGAACAGAAGCTTCGCGATTGTTCTCTGTTTTATCCAAGCGATAACGCCGAAGATCGTCATAGCCTTCTTTACCCATAGATAGAGCAACAAAAAATAGTAAGGGAATAATCGTGGTGTACGCTGTAGCAATGTTACTAGGATTGTCAGAACACAAATGCATATTGATACTCACATCCTGTGGTACTAAGACCGGGTATCATTTGCAAAATCGAAATACAAAGGAAATAGAAATTGGCGAGTTTAGAGAATTGAGCGAACAGTTGACGAGGCACAAAGTTCCAAGCGGTGTATCGACTGGAACGAATGTGGTTCATGATATATGGTTTGCCGGTTCGTTCGTCGAGCAGCGTAGTCTTTCGAGAAGCGTCCAGGTCAATATGTCTGCCATCTTTTGTTGGTGGGATCTCTTGGATGCGCAAGACAAATTTTCTAGCTTTGTTATATCCAGCCTTAACAGATCGCCAAGTTTTGTTGCGAGCGGTGTGCTGTTGTATCCAGGATTGGTAGTGCGGCAGGGCTCCTATGCCTTGCACGCCCTGACGTTGTTCAAATGTAGCAAGCTTGACGTCTTGTTCTTCCAGATCACGATCATCGTCGTCGTTCATCTGAGCAACTTCGACTACAGTATCCATGCTCTTCTTGCCCGAACGAGGAGTGACCGGGGTATGAGAGGATTCATGCTGGTCCGATGAGCCGATCGGAGCCATCTCGATTACAGAGGACGACGAAGCAGGAGAGTTGACAGAGCGGTCATGCATGTTGCGCTGAAAGAGCGAACTACGGAGCGAGTAGCCTCGCGCTCTCGTCTGGGGTGACAAAGGCGACATCTTGGGACGAGAGTTGCTTGACGAAGACGCCATGGCCGAGCGGACAGGCGAATGTGCAGCTGCCACATTAGTGTCCACGGAAAGATTGGGCCTTGTGTCCTCATCACTCTTCCTCTTTTTCCCTCGCGACGAGGTATCTGGTCTCTGCTCTTGCAACGAGAATCGCACTCGAGAAGGTGACTCGCCAGAGTCGCGAACGGTGTGTGTAGGGATATCGGTACCAGATGTCGAAGGGCTGGGCTGAGAGCGGTCGGCATCGTGACGGGCATGGATTATGTCAATGTCGTTATGGTCATAGTGGGCAGAGTGTCTCCTCCGAACACCGCCCAAGTCGTCGGAGTGGTCGTCGTGGCCCGCCATTTTGGTGGACAGTAGAAAATGAGCGAGAGAGTCGTTAGGTGTGGTTCTTCATAGCAGGTCATGAGGACATGTTCTTTCTTGTTTGCAGGAGGCAAGAGAACAAAGCGATTGAATGTTGCCGACGCGGCTCCAACAGGGAAACAATGAGGGTCTTGTCTTAATCGTGGCTTGGGCTTGGTGACGTTGAACGCTTGCGCAAGCCTTTTTTTAGACAGAATGTCACCCTCAGCTCTCCTGTCCTTTTTAGGTTACGGCATATAGTTCATTGCGTTGCCCTTGCCCAAATCCCTCCAATAAAGCCTGTCTACTTCTATATCTTGTGCTGGACAGACATCGCTTTCATTGTCGCATTCAGTCGCATACCCCAACGCCGACGGCGAAACAGGCTTGACGTGGGAGGCCTCGACCACTGGGAGGTCACTGCCACACTAGCCAAGAAGTCGAGAACCCAACCCCGCCTGTGTGTGGGGTTCTTTTCTAAGGCGTGCCGGATCAACTGGTCCAACAAGCCATCTCAAAAGCGCCAGTGCAATTGTTTTGAATCTGTTCACATCTCAGAAGCCCGACTCATTAATCATACCTCATAAAGCATAACTAGCTACCCATGCTATATATCTGAATTTTCCAGTCACAAATCATCTCTCAATCTTGCATCCATATCGTGCTAGCATCCGTCCCGTCTGCTCAGTTTCCTTGTCAGTCTGCTAAACCTTACTCGACCTGATCTTACCGTAGGCACACTTCCGCGTTTGACCACCGCTCTGTTTTGACGGCGTGTTAACACATAGCGATTACCATCTTGTCCTGGCAGACGGTTGTATTTGCTCGCGAGCCTATCGTTCGTGTCCATTGCCTTCATAATTCTTCCTTGATATGTTTTTTTCTCCTCGTTCGCACGGAAGACTATGCTCACTCTGCCTGCATCAATGTCGTACCACACATTGCTAGGCATGAAATCCTGCCACGCGAGAATCACCTTGGGTATGACTCTAGTACTCCAGTGAAGACTGCAATCAATTCTACGCCATGACCGCATGCTCCCTAGCAGGAGACGCACCCAGCGCTTGAGGAACAGGCGCGAAGCTTTTTCGTTGAGTCTACTGCGGTTGTACTTCTGCTGGAGCGTTCCAACTGGCTGCGACAACTTGAGCACTCGATTTAGGGTCTTGTTCAGATATCGAGTCTCCTTGCGTATCGCCTCGTACAATGGTAACGCTTCGCACATGTAATGCCACATATCTCGGGTCTTTTGTTGGCGGAAGAGGCTTTTGATCAGTTTGTTGTACATGTCCATTGTCGGGCGCACGTTGTAAGGTTCGTTTCGCATAACTTCCCAAAGCTTTTGTACACTGGCTTTCGGTAGGAGGACTTGTTCATTCTTCGATGCTTGGCGAGGGAGTGAAAGTACAAAGGTCCAGTTCAGCAACTCATGCCAGACGTAGTCGAAAACCTTGACGTTGTAGGTCTGCGATATATGGTCGACAAGCTTCAGAGCGGCTGGGATCTCGTTGTTGATACTGAAAACGTGTGCGACGGCATATACCAAGAAAGGCGTAGGGTGAAGAGGAGATGTCGGTAAGACATCAAGCTCATAACTCGAATGTTCTTCCTCCAGACCATCAACGATAGCATCAACGTCGATTCTCCACACTTGCCTCAAGAGCTTCTTGACAGTATCGAGATCCCCTTCACGGCCAACACCCAGGATCAGAAGACGAAACGTTTCTTCGTCTGGCACAATCTCGCTCTTCAGCATCTCGCGGTGAAGTTGCAATGCACTGTCTTTGATGCCTCCAATGCCTACATGATAGGCAGCGAACCTTAGGCTAAGATTGGGCTTACGGCGCGCTTGAATTCCGAAACTGGTCACTCGGCGGTTCTGTCTAGCATCTGGATCGTGACGGAGGTTCGAGACGATAGCACCCAGAAAGTTGTTGTAGCACCTGAGATCTGGTACAACATTTTCGGCTTGCATCAATTTCCAGAAGGTGACAGCAATGTTTTTCAGACCAAGCCAGCGCGCAAAGCCAAGTATGATACTGTAATCAACGACACTCAGGCTTCTGCCAGATTTCCTGCGCTGGTCGAGTATTTGGACTGCGTCGAGAAGGTAGCGCCTAATTACTTGGTATGACGATGGCAGGTGCAACTGTTGGACCGTAGCAGAACTGAGTCGAGAGTATGGTATCAGTGTTTTGCTTAGGTTGTTCTTGGGTTCCAAATGAGCCAGAATTTCAGTAAAGGTGTTTTCTGGTAGGCTATCGATGAAGTCCAGACCGTTATCACCTGCAGCACGAAATACCTTGGTCAGTCCATGATAGTCTTTGCGTAACAATGAGCTTTGGATATCTTCGTAAAGATCATCGAAGCCTCTGCGCCCTCCATTAAGCTCCTGATATTTAGGCTGATCTGGGGGTCTGTATGATCCTGCAGGGCCATGATCGAGGGAAACGGATTTCCAAATAATGTACTTCAGACTTGTATATTCAAGAGACCGTCCAGAGCTGTAGCTTCCACATCCTGTAAACAGATTTCTCGCAGTATGAAGGCAAGCATGGTGGTTTACGATGTATCCCTGAGATGAAGAATAGAAGAAGAAAGGCTTCAGCTCGAAAGACGAGCTCAGCCTCGCAAGCGACCTCATTACTCGGCCGTTTCGCGCCATGTGGAGCTAGCAGTGCGGCTCGAACCTTCCCCGGTGGATCAACGCAAGGGACGAGCGCCAGCGGAAGTCGCGAAGTGCCAAGCACTCATTCTTGGCAATTGCAGCTTCGCGACATCACCATCGTCGTCAGAAGCGCAGAGCAATCAAGCACTAAAAACCACACAACCTTGATGCGCAGATGGCCGATGTTGAAGACAGCACCGCCAACCCGGTGAACGAGCCACTGGATCTTGTGCGCCTTTCACTCAACGAGATCGTCTTTGTCAAATTGCGCGGTGATCGCGAACTGCAAGGCAGACTTCACGTACGAGTGGCCTTCTCTATCTGGACGTCGACAATCATATATACTAACACGGTGGACAGGCATACGACAGCCATTGCAACCTGGTCCTTGGAGAGGTCGAGGAGACAATCTACGTTATTGACGAGGATGATGAAACTGAGAGCGTGAGGGTAGGCTACGTTGTATCTCAATTCTTGGAAGGGCCCACTAACACTCATCGCAGACGCTCAAGAAGCAGTCCGAGATGCTGTTCGTCAGAGGTACAGACTTGGAACTAACAACTAACGAAAATGAACCCTTTCAGCTTACACCATCCACAGGAGACTCGGTCGTCTTGATCTCGCCCCAAGCACAATAGCCGCCTCATGTCAATCACCTTCCATAACGACGAAAAAAATGACACAAACATCTGCATGATGAGACTCGGCACGAGAAAGAACGATCCACTAGCGATTTACCTCCGCATCGAGTCGACGAGCAGGAGACCATGTCTCAAAACATTCAACGAACAGCCGATATACAGCTATGATCGTCTTCAATAAACAAATATTCTGGTTTCTTTGCTTCTTCGCTGTCGTGTTCACACATAAGCCCGTGATCAGAGAGAAAGAGAAAGGGGTCTGAATAACTCTTGGGGTATCTACGCTGATCAAACAAGGTTCCATATGGCAGCAAAAGAATATTCACATGAGAATCCACCCTGCTTGTTGTAATCGCTCGCGACCATTCCTCTGCCATCACGGCCCTTCCATTTCGTTACTGTACCCAACTTGATCTCCTGGCCAGGCTGTCCAAGCTCGCTGGGACGCACATCGACCCACCAGAAATACCCATTGGTCTGCAGCGGGACCTCGCGCGCTGGTCTGCCATTTGCCTCAGGCAGGAAGACGATGTACAGAAAGTGCTTGCCCTGCCCGTTTCGCTCATTGTCCCAGTGAGTGCATACTTTGTTGAACTGGAAGCGCACATAAGGCTGTGGATCATTGACCGAAATCTGCTTGATTCTAGGTGAAACAGAGTGGGAGTCGATGCCTTCGTCTGTTGTCATATTTCCAAAAGTCTGCACTGGAGTCTGGCCATTTGTGTCACCTAACAGATACTCTGCCCACGTGATTGTATGTCTGCCATCGCTCCTGTAAAATTGGTTCTTGTTGCTTGGGAAATGACTGCGTCCAAATTCCTCATTGCTGCCAACGAAATGTATGGGACTGAAGTGCCTTTTGTAAGGTTGGCCCCATCCGTTGACATGGCCCGCTCCCCAGCAAGGGTCGATCAGCTTCCATTGACCGTTATCAATTTTGACGACGTTCCAGGCATGGCCGGTTGCATCTTCTGGAGGTAGTGGTGCTCCAGGCGCTACGGCTTCGTAACCAAGGCCTTTTCCATGGCCACCAACGACCATACTCTCCAGTCCAGCTTTCGAGGCAAGTGCAGTAAATAAACCAGCATATCCCTCACAGACTGCAAGACCAGTAGCCAATGTCGAGGCCGGAGTTGACCCCTTGACAGTGTTGGTGAACAATGCGTGAGTGTTATAGTCAATATTGTGATGCAACCAGACGAAGATCGCTCGAGCTTTGTCAGTCAGCGATGGGAAAGGGGATGTAAGTGATTGCGCAAGCCATCCCAGATCTTGTGATGGAATCGACTGTCGTGGGAAGCGCGCAGCATGGGCGTCGACGACTGAGAAGTCTCGACACTTTAGGCAAGATCCTTGGTCTGGTGTGGCTGAAGTTGCTGCTGCTGTTGCTGCTGCGCCATTTGTGGTTCCACTCGCAGCAACGTTCGGTTTTGACGCCATCAACTTGGAAAGGTCGGGTCGAGATGAAGCAGGAATTGGCGGTGGTGCGGCGGCCTCGGGTCGTGCAGTCGGCACATCAGGCGCCTTTGAGGCAGAATTGAAGCCCATTGTCAATGCAGACCTCTTTGGAGCTGCAGGTTTGATGGTACCTTGGTCCGTCACCCCTGGAGAAGAAGATGGATTTCTCGAAGGCAGTGGAGGTCTAGAAGGCAGTTGCGGTCTCGCAGGCTCCTGTAAAGTCGGCGAAGACTTGGTCTGTTGCAGCACAGGACCTCGCTCTGGCAAGTTAGGCGTCCGCTTAGGAGCCAAAGGGGGCAAGGTCGATGCATCAAAAGAAGGTGCTCGGATTGTAAAAAGCGGTCCAGAATTGCTCGTTGCCGAGCTTATACCAGTTCGAGTAGATGCTGTTGATGTAGAGGATCTAGTTGACACCACAGATTCGCTAGATTGTTTTCTATCGATTCCTGGCCTTCCAGACATGTTTGAGGGTGTTTCCGAAGGTCTCCTAGGTGGTAGTTGCGGTGCTGGTCCGGATGGCTGTCTTGGTGGCAGTTTGGGAGCAGCACTTCTAACTGGTCGGTTTGGCATCACTGGTGGCGTACGCTTAACCTCTCCATCCACTTCACCTGCCGCTGGCTGATTCCCAATATCACGGCCTGCATCGGCCGCAGATGCGTGAGCGCCGACAGGTGGCACATTAGTCGTCTGTTGTCTTGATGGAAGATCTGGCCTTTTGGTTGGTACTGCTGGAGGTCCTGCCTTTCCAGTCGGTTGACGGCCAACTTGATCCAATTTCAGAGCGGCAATTCGTGCCGCAATGCTGGTGCTACCGTCTGCCATCGTGTCGAACCGACCTGAAAATGATACAATTGCAAAAGAACGTCTGACTTGGTCGCGGAAAAGATGAAAAGTTATTTAAGAACCCCTGTTTGGAGTGAATGATTCGGTCGTGCTGCCTCAGCCTCGTAGGTTGCCTGATGGGCGGCGCTTGCAGACGCGATTCCTTCGCGTACCACAGGCAGACAAAGCCTCGGTATGAGAGCGAAACTAATGGTTTCAGCACCTGAGAGTAATGAGGACACCTCGACAGAGGCTCGATACTTTGACGATGTTATTCCAGGTGTCCGATTCAGTCAGATCGATGCGCCACGCGTTCGTACTCGCCGTCGCCATCGCTGGGCTGCGGGGTCTTCGTCTTCTCGGGTCTTCTCTCGAGTCAAATATTTGTCGATTCGACACGACGGTCAAATACGCAAAGCTTGACTGCGCTTTCACGGCAACCAGTATCAGATAGGTCGAATGCTGTAATGGATGACCAACGCTCGTCGTCGCTGCTGAACACCACACTGTCTAGGAATTCAACAGTGATCCCCATAAAGAATATTTAGGGATCGTCACAGCTATCGCGCCGTCACGGAGACCTCGATACTGTATGCGGTATTAGATCTTTGACTGTAGGAGGTCATGCGTTGCTGCAAGGTTTGCTAAAAGTATCCCATGCTAGATCCTTGCTATAACCCCTCACCATGCATTTACAGCCCAATGGCAAAATCATCCGATATGATCAGCTCCAACTTTTTCAGAGGATTGCAGAAACCCCTCGACCCGGTGCCTGGATTCTACAACTGACCAATACATATTGTCAGGACTATGCAGGCTTATGTTACACGAAGGCTGAGGACTGCTGCATGAAGCTCTAGCTCAAGCCCAGACGCAGCTAAAATGTAGCCCCTTCGCTAAGGCCAAAGACAACACATCAGCCTGGGAGTATCTGCTGGTGAGTTTATAAATTTTGGATTGATACATGCAGACCTAGCGAGTGCACATTCTAGCATGATTCAGCCCCCTCGGTTGCGTGTCTCCTCCGATTCGTATGTGCTATACACCTGCAGAGAAGGATTGCACCCCTGTGCTTACAACACCAAAAGAGCTTATTTATATGGTTATATATTCTGGGAGGTCTGCTGTGTAAGTGTTCGTCTGATCAGCACGGCTGCTCACTCTTGCTTTCATCATGACTTTTTCGTGGGTCGTATACCTATCTGCTCTCTCTACCACAGCTTTTGCAAGTCCAGTGGTCAACTCTTTTCAATATGACTATATCATCGTCGGTGGTGGAACAGCTGGCTGCGTGCTTGCCAACCGCTTGTCAGCAAACCCATCCATCTCTGTTGCTCTGGTTGAAGCTGGACCCACTGTATTTAACGACCCTCGAGTTTACACACCCGACCCTGCTGGGCCTGCATGGGGCACTGAGCTTGACTGGAACTATACTACTGTACCTCAGATCTATGCCAACAATTCGACATTGCAATACCACGCTGGTAGAGATGTTGGTGGCACAAGTACCATTAACGGTATGTAAGTTTCTTGCAGGCATTGAGTATTTCCTGACGCCTATACAGGCATGGTATACCTCCGTCCAACCTCTGATGAAGTTGACTCTTGGTCATTGCTGGGTAATCCCGGCCTGACATGGGATAGCCTGCTTCCTTACTTCAAGAAAAGCGAGCATCTACAATTGCCCACTGATCCACGTGCACTCGCAGAGACAGCTTATGAACCCAGTGTACACGGCTTCGTTGGTCCAGTCAAAGTTGGCTGGGGAAACGATCTCAATCCAGGACAATTTGGACATGCAGTCAACACAACCTGGCAATCGCTAGGGCTCCAGTGGAACATTGATCTGAATACGGGCAATAACAGCGGTCTCGGCTTTTGGCCAATTGAGAAAGACACTGTCCTGCAGATCAGACAGGATTCGGCTAGGTCGTACTATCTGCCTGTCATGGGTCGAGCCAATCTGCACGCTTTCACCAACACAACTGCTCTGAACATCGATTTGGACAGTGGTAATGGCCATCATGGACCGAAAGGACAAGTCATGGCCAAAGGTGTCAATGTGATCTTGCCTTCTGGAGAAAGACAATTTCTCCAATCTAAGCAAGAAGTCATTCTTTCCGCTGGCACATACAGAACCCCTGGTCTCCTCGAGCAATCTGGCATCGGCAATCCATCGTAAGTGAATTTTGCATCCATAAACCTTAGCACAAAACTCGTGCGTGGAAGTACATACTAACGTGACACAACACAGCATCCTGCGCAACTTATCAATCACGCCCAAAGTCGATCTTCCCGGTGTAGGAGCTCATGTCCAGGATCAATGGCTAATCGGTGTCATCCACAACCCCAAAATTACCATGAAATCACTGACCGTAATGTACAACTCCAATCCCATGGAAGGCTCCGTGACAGCTGCCGACCTTTTCGGTGACGAACTCGATGCCGTTGCCGCACAACTATACAAAGACATACCCTCATACGCTCGCACACTTTCAGAAGCAAGTAATGGTGCCATCTCCGTGCAAGCACAAGAGCAGATCCTTCTCACTAGAGCAAACTTGTTCTTCCAGAAAAACGTCGCAATTGGTTCAATGCAACTCCAGCCCTATGGAGGAAATTGTTGGGTTACCTTACCTCTATCGACAGGCAATATCCATGTAAGCAGCTCTCCTATTCTCCAAATCACTCAGCCAAACTTCAAAATCTGACAATTGTGACAGTCGTCTTCCGACCCCTCCAAACCACTTCTAAACCCCAACTTCATGCAACTACCTTGGGACATCATGGTCGCACAACGCTTGTTCCTTTTCCTCCGCCGCATTTACTCTTCTTCTCCTGTCCAAGCCGCCCTAGGCCCCGCTGCCGGCACCGAACTCCTGCCCGGGTACACTCTTCTGCCTTTCAATGCCTCGCTCGCCCAATATACAGCCTACTTTGGCTCCGCACTCGCACCCGTCTGGCATGCAGTAGGTTCTGCAGGCATGAGAAGACGCGATTGGGGCGGTGTGGTCGATACAAAGTTTAGAGTGTATGGAACGAAGGGTTTGAGAATCGTGGATGCGAGTGTTATCCCTATGGAAGTTAATGGCAATCCGACAAGTACGATTTATGCATTGGCAGAGAAGGCTGCGGTGGATATTTTGGCAGATTGTGAGTGAAGTTGACAGTCTCCTCAAGAAGTATCCTCGTGCAAAGATAAATGTTGCTGGTTGGCCCTCTGTCTGTCATCGATAATTGCTTGTTAGGCTTCGAATCGAATTTCACTCCATATGCTGCCGCTCAAAAAGATGCGAACTAATCTCGGTCAGCTCGTGACAGAGGATCAAGAATACCACTCTTGACAATGGAGGCACAAAAAAAGACGACAAAACCCGTGAGCTTTGCAAAGCAGAGCAAAAAGCAAAAGATCAATGTGGAGTAGCTGGGAATCGAACCCAGAACCTTCTCCAACTCAGAACTGCTTACAAGAAGCAATGCTAAGAAGATGTCATACCACTAGACCACAACCCCATTTGATGTGATGATTGTAGGTCTACTATAATATATCGCTATTAATATATCTCGCACAACGAATGCCTTGCACTCGGCAGCAGCATGTATCATGCGGTGCATTTTAGTGCATGTTATGGATAGTCTTCTGCTATATGCTGCTATCTGATATGCTTCGGAGCTCGAACGACCTCATCTCGTCTCAGTAGCCATTTGATTGGCTTTTTCTGAGATGCTGAGTCAAGTCTAATTGGGTTACAGCCAGGCTTCTGGGAAAAAGCTGAATAGATATTGTTATTGAGAGTATCTCATCCAGTACCTCTCAGATGGTCTCCAAACGTCTTTGCCAACAAACAGGTAGTTTGAAGTCCATAAGTAGCCTTTTTTTTTTGTCGAATTGTACCCCTTCCTGCCGTGCTAGACACAATTTGTTCGTGACAAGCATTGTTTATAGGGTGACCCTGACACAGGCTGGCAGGCGAAACGAAATCGACACGGCTTCTGAAAGACACGAGACCCAAATGAGGGTTTGTGGGAGAAAGAGAGGATACTGGAATTGTTGAAACATGCGATGTTGCGCGATGCTATGTTCTGATACTACTTCTATGCTAACCATCCATTCCCAATGTGATGCTCCTACACATAGCAATAATCCGTCCGTATTGTTACAACCCATGTATCGATCCATAGTGTGCCAATCCCTGAATGTATCCCCTTCCTTTCCTCGGTTCCAATGTTCGTACAGTAAACAATAATATCATAAGCTCATCATGTGGTAGTAGCAGTAGTGTTTGCGTGTTCAGTAGAGACCTCCCCAGATGTTGTTGCATGCAGAGCGGTAGTTGCATCAGTGACTGCCGTAATGGCGTTGTTATCAGTAGGATTGCTAGTGACAGGAGCACCCATGTCGACGTTCATCATATCGAACTCATCGAAGTTGAAATCGAGAGATCTTCCAGGCGTCATGAAGGTAGGCATGGCATCCGAAAAGTCGAACTGGCGACCAGGACTTAAGAACGGCGCCTCGTGATGTGCGTCGCTCAACAGCTGCGTCAGCTGACGAGTGAAAGGCGTCATCTGATTTCTAGATGGGGACGACAAGTTTGCCCACTTCGATGGAGTTGTCGGGAAGAGGTTCTTAGCCTCAGCCGAGCTAAAGGTGGGCAGGAACGTCGAGCCTTGGTTGCCGCTAGGCGTACGTGTGTTGCGTGCCACAGTCCGAAGGGAAGAGCGCGAAGGTGTCGGAGTTTTGAGCAGTGTATCTGAATTAGTAACGTTCTTCTCGGGAGTCTTGCGAGGTGTCTTGAAGACGTTGGGCGAACATTCAAAAAGATGTGCAAGGTCATCATCCTCTTGATCTTGGGGCGGGCGGTTCTCTTTGTTTGGTTCCTCGACGAACGCCATCTCGATGATAGTACTCGACGGCGGCTTTGAACCTGGAAGGGCCAGATCATCAAGTGTCTTCATCTGACCGTTTCGCTCACGTGGAGATGGGAACAGCAAGCGGCGTGTCGGTTTAGGGGTCAGATCTGCCTCGACTTCGATAGGACTCTCTTGTGAGCCAACAAATCGAGCGGGACTACTCTGGATTGCACGATGCAAAGCCGCGTCCAGTTCAGGACCGGTCCACTGCCTTTCGTTCTCGTCACGCTTGGGCTGAGGCTGCACACTGTTTGCTCTTGGACGAGCGACTGCTGGAACAGGTTCATCGCTCGTGCGCTCTTCACTCGAGCGGCCGTTACTTTCGTCCTCAGGCTGAGCAGCATCAGTGTACAATGCTGAAGGCTGATCAACAAAGTAATCAGACTGTGGCTCTGATGGACCGGCGGGTGGCATAACCTTGCGCTGTTGCTTCTTGCTCTTGGTTGCTTGCTTCTTGACCCATTTGTCAGAAGGTCTCATGACTCTGAATTTATTGAACCAGAGGCCGCAAGCTAGCCTTGTTAGTATGTGTCATGATGTGTGGACTCGGTCAACTTACGATTGCAAACTTGCATGGTATCGAAGCCCACCGTTGCATCTTGCGACTCCTTGGTCTTGCGCATCGATTTGATGATGCGATACTTGATAGATTTCTGGGTTTCAGAATCCCGCTCGAGCACCTCCACTCCGATGGTCACAGTCTCATTCTCCAAAGGATCCATATCTTCTTCTGGACATCCCTCGACCGTCTTGACAAACAAATGACGCCAAGTTGGTGTCTCAATAGCACCGCAGTGGCCACAGAAAGGAGGCATCTCACCATTTTCGATCGACTTCTGAAGTTTGTCTTGAATGTTCTTCTTTCTTTGTGCTCCAGAGCCACTACGAGGTGCCTTGACCTCGGTTGGCGCAGGTGACGCTGCATCGGATCTGACAATCATCGAGGCTGACCTTGCCATACTTGGCTTATTAGACTGTGGTTTGGGTGGTAACGCGACTGAGTTTCTGCGAGAATTCTGAGCCAATACGGCATTGCGAGCTTTCTTACGTGATAACTCTGCCTGAGCTGCGGCGGCGTCATCCATCTTGCCAGTATGTGCCATCTGCATCCTTGTGGGCAGCAACTCTGGGGGTCCAGGTGTCTGCTCGATAAATGAAAGCCCAGAAGGTGGCGCCTGTATCCTAGGTCTGTATTGTGCAGCAATTTGCATATCTTCTTCACATACAGATCGGTCTTCGTCATCGTCATGACACTCGAATGTAGAACTCATGTAACCAGAATCAGCTGGCCTGGAGAAGGATGGTAGCCCTGGACTAGAAGGCTCAGGGAGAAGAGGTGGTGACGATGGAAATTCGGTAGGAGTAATGCCATTGTGGTCGTTCGCAGCATCCTCGGGCGAGCTCATAGCCGATTCAGATGGAGGAGCAAGACAGCTGGGAGTCGGGTCGTAAGGAGAATTGTAGGTCTGTACTCTGGCAAGAGATGATTCGCGGCGGAGCATGCTCCCGACATTGTTACGTGATCCAGGCAGATTGATCTGTGGGACTGGCGTCGGGACTCTGGGTGGCGGTTCCAGCGAGTTGCCCACTATACCCGGGCGCATAGCGACAGGCTTGTGTACACGAATAGAGGCTGCAGTACTGGCTGTGACGCGTAGTGAATCCGATGGGCCACCAAAGGCAGACTTGCCATGCCAGTCGGCCTGTGTCACCTTTACTCTCTTTCTTGCTGGTCCCTCCTCTTGATACTGCTCTTGTCCGGCCATAGATCCTCTGCGTTCATGGTGTATATCACTCTGTACTGACATCCTTGACGAGGGCCTGGGGATGTTCTCGGAAGGGTATGCTTGAGGTCCAGATTGGTTCATGGCGGGGCTATTGACTCGGCTTGGTGGTCCAGTGTATGATGGAGTCGGACCGGAGAAGGACGGTTGACCATGGAAGCTAGCGTTGGAGCCTTGTCGTGGACGTTGGTAAGACATCATATCGTGATCCGTCGTCTCTGGTCTCGTTTGGGTAGGCGTCAGTCCTTCTTCGAAAGGAGCACCGAGAGCAAGGCCAGATTGTGAGAAGGAAGCAGACCAGGCGTTAGGATCGAAGCCAGCAGACATGGCGGGGTTGATGTTACGGTACATCTCCATGCTCTTGAGGAAGTCACCCTGGACGGGCTTGGGTACTGGGACCAGCCTCAGTTTGACTTCCAACGTCTCCTTGACACCGTTCGAGAAAAGACCCATTATATTCTTGCAAACGCGACCAGTGATCATGGTTTTGGATTGATATGCAGGGGCGGTAGGGGTGGGTGAGGCGGCAGCAAGCACGGACGACAGCATTCCTTGGCCCACCAGTGGCGTCTCATACTCAGAGTAGTCGTAGGCATAGATAGTGAAGTCTCCTTGGGTGAGACGCGACACGAGTTCCGGACTGGCCGAAACGATGGCTCGAATACACGTGCGTAGTTCGATGACACCGATCTGTGTGTTCTCGTCGATGGGTACGGTGGGCACGTGTAGGATGTCGGGAAAGCGAGCGAGGCAATTCGTCTTGTTGTCATTGTCGAACGTGTAAAGAACCTTGACTGCGAGGGCATCAGCAGGAGTTGGTGCCATCAGGAAGTCATCAAATTACCTCTCATAGGACGCGTCGGTATGTCGAGAAAGGGATTTGCTGGTGACTGTGACGCGTCAACGTCCATAGCAAAGGACGCCGGAGACGACATGGTGTGTGAGAGGCGAGATTAGAAGGTTGTGAGTGACAGAAGTCGACAGAGAGTTTCTCGGATTACAGCATGCTAGGGAGAGGTATGCGAGGATGAAGAGGAGCGATGGACGTGTTGATTGTCGGAACAGCGAAGGAAGGAATTGAAACGGACGCGAAGAAGCAAAGACGAAATTACAAGGTCGTTATGATCTCAGACCAGAAGGGAGGTTGGATGCAAAGATGCAGCTTTAGGAGCGCGACACGCGCGCGTCTAGAATGAAACTGTATGGAGGTCCGAGCAGACGATCCAGAGGTATGCCGTCACCGTTGGCAACACAGATTTGTTCAAGAATGTAGAGACTTTGTCTCTACCGTGTTCACAGTTTATGGGGAGCTGAAGAGGCCTTTATATGCTCCTATCCGAAGATAGCAAGAGTCACAGGATGTATCTTGAGCTCGTAGATGCGGAAGGAGCGATGCTGACCGCTGCACAAGGCCGAGCATATCAAGCATAAAGAGCCCGTGCATCTTATCCGTGCGCATAACTTAATCTTATCGCAGACATCCAATGCAAGGTCGCCTAACTCCTGACACAAGCACTAGACATTACCTATCCTAAATTGTATACATCTCGTCTGTAGAGGCCTAAACCACTCCTCGTAGCTGTACAGAGACTGTAGCTCATGCCCGAGCATACTCTTCTGCCTCTTGAGGTGGAAAATTCTTAACATAATTACAGATTATATACAAACGAACCGCCTCTATACACAGAAAATTCCGGTTTCATGCCTCAGCAAGGCCAGCCAAGAACTCTGAGAGACCATAAGCGCCAGGATCTGGGACCTCCTTGAAGCCCTCATTGCCGACATACACGGACCGTCCGAGACTGGCCTTCATTCCCTTGGTTGCATCTGATCCTTGCTTGGCTGCCTGAGCCGCCTTCTTCAGGTCGTTCGTCGCTGCGAGCTGCTCGATGAAGGGCTCAAGTGCGTCCACCAAGGTTCTGTCACCAGGTCTGGCTGGCGTGTATTTACCAAGACCTTCCAGAGCCTGTTTAGCCGCCTTGGCCCAAATCTCGGTTGTCACTTCTTTCTTTCCAGAATCTGGCGATTGAGCACGTAGACCGGCAGCTAAAGCGTTCAAGAAGATGGCGTAGATGGCTCCACTAGTTCCGTCCATTGACGTCTCAATCACAGAGATGATACGACCCAAGAAGATTGCGGCGTCTGTCGTTTCCACATCGGACGAGATGAGCTGAAGCACTGAATCCGCACCGCGCTTGAGACCAATGCCACAGTCGCCATCGCCTAGAAAGACGGTCTGATTAGTATCTTCCCGATTCGAATATGGTAGCAACCACGCCGCCAGGCTTCAGACTTACCAACAATGGTGTCGTAGTGAGTGACATCTGGTTCCGCAGCGATTACGCGTTCCAAACCAGATTTGAGCACTTTCTTGGCGCCTGCAGTATTGACTATTGAAATTTCAGCATATGTCTTGATGAACTGGAGGGTAAACTCACTCGTAAGATTGCTGGAAGTTTCTTGCTGGCCATCAGCCATGGCAGTCTTTCTGCGGTCTGCAGCGCTTGATTTGTTCTCCCAGGTTGCAGTGTTGATAGGTGTGGCCCAGCCGGTAACCTCAGAAGGAGCGTCAAGCAACTCCAACATCGACTTGTCCAAGCCAGTGTCCTGAAGCTTGAGCAGAGAGATGCTGAAACCAATGCCGTTCAGACTGGTCATGAAAGTGCCAACGAGCACTCTGACAGGTCTGATATTGTAGTACTTCTTAAGCTGGTCCAATACCTCGGTAGCGATACCACCCATTTCAAGAACGCTAACACCGCCGAGGTTGTTGATCAAGACCACTGTCTCGTCTTCGCTTGAAACCTTCAGGAAGCCACGTTCCTTATCTTCCTCGTCTAGCATGTGTGCCAACATCTGTTCGACCAGATCGGGGAGGTCTGCTTTCGTTCGCTCGGATCCTGCTTCGTTGTGGATACCTGGCAGGACAAGTCAGCATCCAGGTCTGTGAGATTTGAGCTTGTGAGGCTTACCCATTCCAATTTCAACCTCTTCGAACGTGAGTTCGTCTTCGCCAGCTTCAGTGACCTTGCGACCAGGAACGTGGACGTGCGAAAGGGACGATCCAATGGAGACGATGTTTTCAGCCGCTAGCTTTGCGACACGGTGTACGTCCTTGAGGGGTGCTCTGTTCAGAGGTCAGCTCTGGCCAAGATACCCGACTGCTCTCTAACACACCCAGTAGCGGCAAGTGCTCCAGCAATCTTCTGTACAAGGACGGTTCCTGCAATGCCTCTTCTGCCGACTTTACCACCCTTCGACCTAGGAACACCAGCGTCATCGCCAACCACAAGCATTTCGATGTCGACTCCTGTTGCTCTTGCTTTCTACACAGTGTGTCAGCAATACTTCATCTACCAACAAACGGTGAACTTTACCTCGACTCCCATGCCAAAGTTGAGCACGTCACCAGTATAGTTCATGACAATGACCAAAACACCTTTCGCTGTATCCACACGACTCAGAAGACATCTTCTGATCTGCTCTGCAGAGGGTGAAGCAAAGATGGTTCCGGAGATAGCACCAGACAGGATACCGGGTCCGACGAATGCTGCAAAAGAGGGTTCGTGGCCTGCACCACCACCAGAAACGACCGATACTTGCGAAGCCTTGTAGAGACCTGCATCTCCACGGCGGAAGATGATCTTGTTCTCAGCATCCAAAGCAACTGAAGGATTGGCAAGAGTGATTGACCTCAGAGCCGTGAGGACCAAGTGGTTTGGATCATTGATGAAGTGTTTAGCAGCGGGGTTATACGTCGAGGTTCCAGACATAGTGACGAAAGATTACTTGACAGCGATCAAGGAGAAGAGAAGGAGCAGAAGCAGATGAGGCAGAGGAGTGAGGGGAAGCAGGTCAGAAGAAGTACCCATCCTTCGTGTCCTGCTCCTCCGACGGGGACCACAAAAAAACACCAAGACCTGATGCTCTTCGCAACCCCGCCATGCCGCATCCGAGCATCGCTGTTCGCACCGGCGCGGCGTGCCGATCCTACCTCCTTGCGGACCACTTCCGCCGACTTTGATGGTGGCTTGCGGGGAAAGGCAAGCCACAAGGTGGGGTTCTAGAAGGCCGAAACCTCGACCTGCGAGTCTTGGGAAATGGCCAAGGGTCGTCCCAGATGCTCAGGTTGACATTTTACTGTAAAATCTGATATACAGAACTTCAAGCGATCTATCTCGCGCCAAATGACGGCTTGATACATCATTCAGACTGATCTCCATACTCCACACTGCGCTCCGCGTCTCCGAATCAAAACTTGGCACCCAACTTTACCCGAGCTGGTGACTCTTACCTTCTAAGCAAAACTCATATCTCTCGCTCAATTTTTGCGACGTTCGAGCAAGCCACTACAGGAAATCAACCTTGTTCAGACTCGGACTGAGCATGGCAGTATCGGATCGTTTCCAGCGCAGGTCACCAGCCTCCGAGCTACAAGTATGGGCGATCTACACCATCTGTTGGTCGAGATCACATCTTGATGGACAGAGATAGGTACGAATCTCACACGCGACAAGATATGGAGCGCAAGTTATGAGCGGTTGATTGGGTGTGGTGGCACACGATGCCCAAACGTAGTAAGTAACTAACATTTTGAGCACAATAGTCACAAGGTATGTGTCATTTTTGTGCTTGCTATATTTGAAATGGGGAACGCTACTTCCTGCATTGCACTCACGATCTCCTAATCGTACCGCGGAAGTGAAAAAGTTGCAATAGCCGCAACATGAGCACCCAGAGACTAACCTTCACGCCCGTGGTAAGGGTGTTCGACGCTTGTCCAGAGGATGGAAAAATATATTTGAACGACCAGGGCCGCAAGCATCAGCATAAGGCAGATAGAAATGTCTTTGATGAATATTCGAGCAGCTCACAATCGACGAACTCGGATGAATATTTCATCAGGAACATGTCGCCTGCCCCGGATGGTGACACGATCATCGTAGCGAGTTCGATTCAAGAGAGCGAGGATCAGCTTTTAGAAGAAAGCCGAGCATCCGAAGACCAAGCAAGCCTTGAGAGACGAGTAAATTTTAAGTACAGAGAAGAGCATCATCTTACCCTATATCTGCTTCGGACAACATTCAAGGGCTCCTGGAACCAGACTACAAGAGTCTTCAATGAAGTTTACCAGCAAGATGTTACAAACTATGGACTTGAAAAGGGGCCACTACGGACAGCTTTAAAAACACAGTTTGCTTATCGACACAATAGCCAAAGCGCCCTTTGGCAAGCCTTTCGTAGGGAGTCTCAAGGCAACAGATGGGCATTCACAGATATCAAGAACCGCATAGAGACCGCCTTGTTGACGTTCAATATTCCAAACAAAGCGATAACTTTGAAGAAGAAAAAGAAGAAGATCCGCCGAACTTGCATAAAGAGAGAAGAAGCGCATCCTCCTCTACCAGTTGTACTTTTCAGAGCCTACAATGATGCCAGCCAAGGATCAAATTCGAGCGAGGGGTTTGTTGCGAGCCACTTCGAAGACCACGATGGTTTGCCGTTACCACCAGAATACTCAGACCATGACCTGGAAAATGCTATAAGAAAACATCTCAGCAAACACGAAGATTTCAAGTCTCCTTTCATAAGTACCAGCAGCTGTTTGATCAAGGTCATGCGTCGAGCAATCAAGGCGAGCGAAAAGGCTCAAGATCTGACCTCGTGCAGAATCGGCATAATAAACACGCAAAAGGTTGGACAAGGCGACGTAATTTTTTACGCCCGGCCATACCGCGAACTGTTCCGCACGAAAGGAGTCTACCCATGGAGGTATTCGGCCGAAGAAGAATATTTGGTTTGGGGCAGCATACCTAGAAAAGCTATACTGGCCGACCTATCTTTGCAAGGTCTATCGTTATTTATAGCTGAGGATCCTGTATTATCTCATGCATTCGATACGGACGTTTCCAAAGGAAAAGTCCAGGAAATGTGCAGGACGTTGAAAGGTAAGCAAACGCCATTGTCATCAGAGCTTGTCGCTGGGATAGCTCGCCTTATTGCTTCTCTCGGTATGGAGATCAATACACCACCAGCCATTATTGCCAAACTTGTTTATATATGGCTGGTTCGTTGTATTGCCAGTCCAATCAGCGGATGCTTGGCTTGCTGAAGCTGCAGTCTTTGCTCACAGTTTCATCGACTCGCAAGATTGTGTGGTTGTTGGTCATGAGGAAAAGTACTTTGCTGCCATTTCAGAGGCATTTCTGGCTGGTGCAAGGACATCAACTAAGAGTTGGATTGCACATATCGAGTTGAACCAAGACCACGCGCAAGATATGGTTGACCGAGCGGTCAGAGTCGGGCTCCTTTCTGCAGAAGAAAAGTTCTCGAGGTCAACAGTTCACTGAGTACTCTATTTGGAAGTCACGAGTACCGACTAAGGCTGTCTGCACCTGCCCACTGAAGAGGTATACCATGAAAGACATGGTAAGAGCAAACTATCACACGTCACTAGCTCTGCATATCTACGCATCTGCAATTGCCAAATCAAACACTCGACAAACACGATCTCGACTACCTTAAATGCATCTTGTTCAGCCCGTGCCCGCACTCAAACCAGTCGTCTGGCATACTTCCTCCTCGTGTGCTGAAGTATGTAACGCGTGTGATTGTCAAAATGCACAATGCTAACAAGAAACAGAATAGTGTCCACTGCGAAGCGTTTGACCTTCTAGCCAGCTTCAAACTCTTCCCACCGATGGCCGCTGCATTCGTCAACCTACCTCGTTTCAGCAACAAGCTCCTCGTGGAAACCAACCTCTCGTGCCTATCATCTCTCCGACCACCGCCGCTCCATACAAGAAGTACAAGGATTCATTGATCGCTCACACGACCTGCAGTGATAGGAATGGCAAAGGAAATATACCATCTGAGCGACAGTCGAGAAAGCGAGATTTGGTGGTGTGAGCTTTCTATCTCACCGCGAGCAAAAATTTATCATCCAAACGGTGTATGCTTCGATCAGTTCCCTCGGTACAGCAAAAAGAGCTCGTGGATGAGGCTCGTGAATCATCTCAGGAGTCAGAACGGAGCTACAAGGAAGGCTATCATGGCAGTGGTGAGAAGAGGAACGAGAGAGGAAACCAGTCAATCACAGAGCGCATTACTACAGAAGAGAGGCAAGAACCTTTGCAAAAAGAAGCACTATCACATGAATGCAGGTATCGGATTCTTCCAAATGTCGATATCCTCTCTGAAGGACATACTAAACAAAGCACCAACTCTACTTGTTCCTTGCCTCTCTCTCTCACATAACCTGCTCTGCGAAGTCATGTGCATCGCAATACAAATTCGCACTTCAATCACTAGTAAGTATGCAGGCTAGTTATTTATCTCAATTCTCACTATTATGTTAGACTCGACCCCGGCCGCTCATTGTTAATCAATAGCAAGTCTAGTCTAAGCCTTGGAAACTACAATGGCAACTCAATTGCCTTGCCAGAAGCGTGATCCTATTCACCAACACCAACAATAGACGGCTTGGCTATTGATCATGAGCATACTAATACCAGCTCTCGAGAAAGACACTCTCTTCTTCCTATCATCCACTCTGTCGCTTTTCTTCTTCTTCCTCTACCTGTTCTTGTTCCAATACATACCGCTGGTTCGGTTGATTGCTTCATATCGTTCTTTCTTTGCCATTTCTCGTTGTCTTGCCGGTCAAGGACCTTGCATCGCTATGTCTTTCACCAAGTGCTGCTCCCCCGAGTTTGATCTCGGTTCCAGTTCGTCCCTCACTCTCAGCAGCCCCATCACTGATCCTGTCGACGTTCCGTTTCGCTTTCGTGACCTACCCAAGGAGCTTCGCTTCATGGTCTACGAGTATGCTTTGTCATTTGACTCAATCGACAAGTACTGCAGGGACTATCTGGAAGTCCTGCATGCCATCCAATCAAGCGCAAGAGAGTCTGCACCTGCTCCTGCTGTCAAGAAGGTCTGCCCATCCATTCTCTTGACCAGCAAGGAGATCACCGAGGAAGCTCTGCCCTTCTTGTACAAGACCCCTCTCAACTTGTCGTTCGGTATCTTGAAGGCCCATCTCCAGGATCTCATTGCCCCAGAGCTGCTTCGTAAACTTCACCATATCAACATCTCGGATGCTGGAGCTCGTCATCTTGACACTCCGCCCCATCACTGCTTCAGTGGTCTTTGCTACACTTGCGTCGAGCTCGCTGTGATTCTCAGGCCTGGCCACTCGCTCAAGTCGTTCACCATGGACTATGCTTCACCTTATCTGTCTGTCCATCTGAAGGAATGTCTCAACGATGATGGCAGGCAATGTGGTATCAAGAGCTGGAACCGCAACTTACTCAGGTCTCTCAAGGAGCTTCACAACATCGAAAAAGTCTCTGTGGCTATCGAGCTGCCTGAGAAGGTGAAGCAGGAGCTTGTCAGCTCTATGAAGGGTCCCGCTTGTGGCTTCCTCAGTCTTCCTCTTCATGTCCGCCAGAAGATCTATGGTTATGCTGCTGATCCCAACGATGGTGCAAATGCACTTTCGCGTGCCACCAAGGCGCTTGCATTGTAAGCCTGCACTCCCACTCTTTTGTAGCAGCAAACTAATCTACATCAGCAACCAAGATCCTGACTTCAAGGAAACAACCACTCCGACCATCTTCCTCATCAACAAGCAAATCAACGAAGAAGCCTCGGACATCATCTATAGCAAGCCCTTCGTCATCAAGGACTTGTACCCAATGGTCAACATGACTTTCTTGAAGCTGGATGATTTCTTCTCCCGCTACACTTTCAAGAAGGTCCAGCACTTGGAACTGCATTTAACCGACCACAACCACCTCAGCATGCTCCACACAATCGCCAGCGTCCTCAGATATCGTCGCAAGAAAAACCCTCTGAAGTCGCTTACCCTCCACTTCGTGGAACCACGCAGCAAACGCCTGATCCTCGCCGTCAACGAGTACTACCCAGACAATCCCATCTACGTGTGTATGCGCAGTCTCAACTACCTCCGCGGCTGTGTTGAAAACGTCTCTATTACTGGAAGCATGCCTGAGTGCTTCACTGCTCCTATCATTCACAATATGGGCTTGAAGTCGTTTGATCAGATGGCTATGCCTGTCAAGGTGGTGAATGGGGGTGGTCGTCAGGTTGATGTGCATGCGGTTCAGGGTACTGTGTTCTACAGGAAGTACCGTGGTGTCTTGGCTGATCCTATGGATGACCGTATGATCATTGATTGATGGGGAGGCGGATTTCTGTGGATGGTCGTCGTTGGAGAAGAGGGTGAAGGAAGAGATGGAAAGAGCGACTCTTGATGGTGAGCTGTTTACTATGCTCAGGTCAGGCAAGAGCGAGAAGTCGGGAAGCGGAATACAATTTGGAAGAGAAGGAGCGATCATGAACACATGGCTCGGTATTTCTGTCTTTTCTGATCTTGATGGAAGATCTGGTTTCTTTACACACACTCTTTTTTGATGAAGGGTTTGCTTTTTCAATTGCTTCATAGACTACAGTATTTCAGAGAAACTGAGCCAGCTCGAACCAACTCCTCTTGTTCCAAACGCCTGTTTTCCGTCTGTGAGACACCAATCTTCAATGCATTCCCTGAAAATCTGCACCTAATGCCCACACTAAACTCACAGCTCAATCTTGAACTTCTCTCTAATCATGCCGCCATACCTGTAGAACAAGACCGGAGCAGGCGCAATAGCCAACGCCAGGAAGCCAAACACACTACCTCCCCACCCATACCCCAGAGCCTTGAACAAAGACGGCGCAACCAAAGGCACAATACCACCAAACAAACTCCGGAACACTGCACCAGCAGCAATAGCAGAAGCAGCATACTTTTCAAACGAATCAATGTAGTAGTTTTGCGTGCAGTTGAGAATCATAACTTGACCAACACCATAGAAGTAGGTTGCTGTGATGCAGAGAGCCCAGTGAGCATGTTTCTCCACGGCCCAGAAGAAACAGAAGAGAGAGACTGGGATGAGGACGGAGCCGATGTTTGCTAGTGGAAGGCGGTATTCGGGGACTGGATCGCGCTTGTTGCGTTCGCCCAGCTTCTTATATACGCGATCGATCTGCGGGACAAGGAACCATACAGCTGTAAGGAAGCCCAACCCAGGACCCAAATAGAGCAGGCCGACTTGTTCGGTGTCGAAGCCATAGTCGCCTTCGAAGATGGCTTGCATGTTTGTGTAAATGCTGTATGTTGTGCCAAAAATGAGGGCTTGGTAAGCACTCATGATGAGCACGATGGGCTGCGTGATAATCTTGAAAGGCCTTCTCAATGAGTGAGCCAGTTTTTTGCCCAGTGGCCGTTCATCTTCGCCTTCGATGCGGTACTTGCCAGACGATCCTTCCTCAGATTCCATACTGGCTTTTCTGCGGCTGAGGAGTACGGGTGCATAGGATTCGTGAAGGAAGAAATAGCCGACTATGGTGTTAACGGCGCAGATGATTGTGGTTGTCCAGAAGATCCAGCGCCAGCCTGCTCGTTGTACGATAATACCGCCAAAGAGAGGGCCGAGTGTAGGTCCAAGGAGAGGACCGAGTAAGTACCATCCGAAGACACCAGCTCTCTCTTCTGGTACAAACATGTCTGAAATAGTTCCGCCACCTGCAAATCATAAGCATGAAACAATCAAACTCCAGAAAGTTGCATGAATCAACGAACCGTTTGCGATAGCGACAGCACCAAAGAAACCAGAGATAGTCCTGACAGCCAGCAAAGTGGCAATATTAGGAGCAAGTGCAGCCGGAACTTGAAGAACTGTGAATGCCGCATAGCAATAGATGTAAACGTTCCTTCTTCCAAAAGTCTCCGAAAGAGGAGCAAGAACGAGAGGTCCAATACCCAACATGATTACGAAACCAGTGGTACATCCAATAACAGCATCTTTAGTAGTGTTGAGATCATCAGCTATTTGCTGGATGCCAGGACTAAACATGGATGATGCCAGAGGCGAAAGGACTAAGCACACATATTGTCAGCCCATGACTTTACAAACAACAGAAAGATGTAACATACTGGCCATCAATGCAATAATACCGACATTGGTCATCTTTCTTCGCTTTGTCCACTGTCTAGGATCACTCGCATCATTCTCAGAGAACGAGATGATCTCGCGACTATCCCCGCCTTCTCCGCCATCGACGTGCCCATTCTGAAGTAGAGGCTCTCGCTCATCTTGTCTTTCCTGTTGAGGACTCATCTTTGCACGGCTTGTTGAAAACAGCACGCGACTCTTTGTTGATGAATGAGAGAGAAGCTCGCCGCTCATAGAGTAGAAAAGAGGTGACGATCTAAACGATCAAACGCGCGATCTGCATGTCCCTGCAGAATGACGTCTCCATTTTCCTGGGGCATATTTGAGCCTCCTTTTTCGCTCGATCAATGCCGATGCCGATGCCTCATAATAGAGGTGATGTACGCTAGTTAGTTGCTCCAAGTATCATCATCTATTGCTGATGGTTGAGTTTTCTGCAGTATTTGAGCCGTGGGTCATGATTGTCAACCGGCTATCGCTTCCGAGATGATTGTATGAAGCGCAGCACGAGCAAATGCATAACATGAATGTGTTTCCCGAAGATAGTTGCTTGAGTTTGTGTAATTTACAAGATCTATACAATAAAAAAGTCTGGTCATAAAATCAGTTCCATGAGAAACCTCTCTTGTTGTCGGCAGGGCTTGTCCTCCTGTTGAGCACTTCCTCGACCTTTTCTCTGACACCCATCTTTCCACGTTTCGTTCTCACGAAGTAGTCGACAACAGCCTCAGCATTGTTTCTAGGGTTGCCCTTGACGAAAGCCTCAATTTCAGCTTCCCGCGGCAGTCCGGTCCAAGCATGAGGGTAGTCAGTGTAAGACGAGTCATCGCCAGTGTTGGGAAGTTCGAGCTTGAGCTCATCAGCGAAGAACGAGTTGACCTCGCTCTCTGACACCTCGTCAAAAGTAGTCTTTGACCACTGAGGCTTTCCAGCAGGCTTGCGGATCAGGCGTGCCGAAACACCCTCGACGAAGTCAGGGTGCTCCATGAACTTGGAGGCAATGTTGTGCTCATTTTGGAAGGTCTGAGCAATGTTCCATTGCGCGCCTCTCCTCAGTTGGGAGAGAGTGACCTTGATGCTGGTCGGACTGCGCTGTGCAATGGTTTCGCGAGTCTTTGCAGCCCACTTCTGAACCTCTGGAGGTGAGGTTTCCTCAGTTTGTTGCAAAGCTTCCATGATCTGGTCAATGTTGTGAACCTCTTGGAAACAGTAATCAATAGCAATGCGAACATTGGTCGAGAAATGCGGGGGTGCGTCGTGAGGCATGCCGGTAGTGAACTCCTCGATGGTGTCGTTGATGATGCTCAGGCGGTTGTTGTACGAAACGTCATCGCCAAAGTTGAGCTCGGCAAGACGAGCCTCGAGATCAGGAAGCGAACTGCTGTCGAGGTAGTGGGTAGCGATTCCTGACAAGAAGACATTGACGCCCTTGACCTGTTCACTGGTAAGAGCGAGGTAAGTGCCCACGGCACCGTCCATGCGAGGCAAGAAGAAGCTGGCGCCGACGTCAGGGAAAAAGCCAATAGTGGTTTCGGGCATGGCGAAGACGGTTTTCTCAGTAGCGATACGGAAAGGAGCATGGACACTGAGGCCAACACCACCACCCATGGTGATGCCGTCCATGAAGGCAACGTAGGGCTTGGGGTAAGTCGCAATGGTGTAATCAAGCTTGTATTCGAGAGCAAAGTAGTCTTTTGAACGCTGTTGACCCTCGGGACCAGTTTGGTTGTCTATGGCCAGAGCGGCAACATCACCGCCAGCACAAAGAGCTCTACCGGCGCCCTTGAGAACGATAACGTTTGCAAGTTGAGACTTTTGCCATTCCTTCAGACGTGGTAGAATCTTGTTGGCCATGGAGCCATTGAGGGAGTTGAGCTTCTTGGGGCGGTTGAGCTCGATAGTACGAACACCATATTGTGAGCTAAAAAGGACATCGTTGGGGTCGTCTTCGGGTTTCCCAGCCATGTCGGCGAAGGAGGGGTTGTTGATACGGGCGCGGAGAGGCATGATAGCAGTAGGACGAGACCGCGAGATCCAGCTCAGCGGTTGAGCAGTGCGGGTACAGGATGGTCGGAGCAGCATGTTGGAGAGAGAAGAAGGGAGAGGGCTTTCTTAAGCGGGCATGGATTGCGTAGAGCAAGCTTCAGAGCCTCGGTAAAGATCAAGCCGGATATTGCGGGCAGGAAGCGCGACCGAGATGGACGAGACAATCGACGGAGAGAGGCCGAGTCCAGCAAAGGGAGGGAACGCGACAGAAAGGTATTAATGCGAAAGGGAAAGAGCTCTAGCTGAACCGGCGTGCTTTGCAATGGCCGACCTGCGATTCGAGGAAAGTACAAAAGTGAGGGCCGGCCACAAATTCTGAGCAAACAGAGCAAACAGAAAAAGTTGAGCTTCCTGGATATGGGCAGGCACGATTCGCCGCACTTGGTCCGTCGTCTTGCGTTTGTCCATCCACTCGCTGAACAGCATCATGTCTTCGTTTGCCAGTGCCTTCCTGCGTACCAGCCGCGCTGCTCTCCGTAGCAATGGCGCCACCAACCCCGTCCAGGCCGCATGGGGCTCTCGCGGAGGTGCCTACATGAGAAACTATGCCACTGCTTTCGAGCGCAACAAGCCTCACGTCAACATTGGTCCGTCGCCACGACCCAGCTCTGCTCTCATGCTCTGACTGACACATCTCAGGTACCATTGGTCACGTCGATCACGGCAAGACCACCCTCACTGCCGCCATCACCAAGCGCCAGGCCGAGAAGGGCTACGCCAACTTCCTCGACTACGCCTCCATCGACAAGGCCCCCGAGGAGCGCAAGCGTGGTATCACCATCTCCACTGCTCACATCGAGTACCAGACCGACAACCGCCACTATGCCCACGTCGACTGCCCTGGTCACGCCGATTACATCAAGAACATGATTACTGGTGCTGCTTCCATGGATGGTGCCATCATCGTTGTCGCTGCCTCCGACGGTCAGATGCCCCAGACCAGAGAGCACTTGCTCCTCGCCCGTCAGGTCGGTATCCAGAAGATTGTCGTCTTCGTCAACAAGGTCGACGCCATTGAGGACAAGGAGATGCTTGAGCTCGTCGAGATGGAGATGCGTGAGCTTCTCAGCAGCTACGGTTTCGAGGGTGACGAGACCCCCATCATCATGGGTTCTGCTCTGTGCGCCCTTGAGAACCGTCAGCCCGAGATTGGTGCCACCCAGATCGACAACTTGATGAACGCTGTTGATGAGTGGATCCCCACTCCCCAGAGAGACCTCGAGAAGCCCTTCCTCATGTCCGTTGAGGATGTCTTCTCCATCCCTGGCCGTGGTACCGTCGTTTCTGGTCGTGTTGAGCGTGGTCTCCTCAAGAAGGATACCGAAATCGAGCTTGTCGGCAAGAACAAGGTCCCCATCAAGACCAAGGTTACCGACATTGAGACCTTCAAGAAGTCTTGCGAGGAGTCCCGCGCTGGTGACAACTCCGGTCTTCTGCTCCGTGGTATCAAGCGTGAGGAAGTCACCCGTGGTATGGTCGTTGTCAAGCCTGGCACTGTTACCTCCCACAAGAAGTTCCTCGTCTCCATGTACGTCCTGACCAAGGAGGAAGGTGGTCGTCACACTGGCTTCCACGGCAACTACCGTCCCCAAATCTTCATCCGTACTGCTGGTAAGTCTTGATTCTGAATCGTTGCTTAATCGTAGATCTAACACGTCCAACAGACGAGGCTGCTGCTATTGACTGGCCCGAAGGAACCGAGGACGCCGACTCCAAGATGGTCATGCCCGGTGACAACGTCGAGATGGTCTGCACCCTCCACAAGCCTCTTGCCGTTGAGCAGGGACAGCGCTTCAACATCCGTGAGGGTGGCCGCACTGTCGCCACTGGTCTCATCACTCGCATCATTGAGTAAACGTGACAAAACATCGCCATCATGGCTTTATGCCATGCCAATTGGCAACAGCCTCGACTTAGGTCGCCGCTTCGATCAGGCTATCGAAGACTGACGCGATTGTCGAGGCCACCCTGGAATATGCCCGAAGGGGATATCTGTACAAAAAGGTCACCAAAAGCCTCTGTTTCTATCTTCTCCACTTTCGTCGCATATCCGGTGGGTTGTACTTTTAGCTATAGTTCTTTGTTTTTTTGGGCTAGCAGGAAATGACATGTTATATTATCCAACCTTACATCTCAGTCGTACAGCACTTCGACTTTGAAGCAACACCACAGCACTCTTTCTCGGTAGCCACCTCAATCGTAGCAGCCAACTCCCTGGACCAGCCGTTACCCAGGTCGTCTGTGGCTTCCCACCTTACACGAATCCTCGTTGTGGCCAATCAACATGGGTACGTCCAAACACTCTATATCCTTGAGTGGTTCCATCCATTTTCTTGCACTCAAATTGAGTGCTTGCCCCCATGTCTTGCCTCCACTGATCTTCCACTTCGGATGCGCTGTATATCATCATTTCGACTGCCGCTGCTTGGAGTAAATTCTCACTAAAGCCATACATGATCTTCCATTTCGGATGCATGCAATATAATAGAGTCGGATGAAGTATGAATATGCGATTGATTAATGAAGACTCCTACAACAAGCTCGCCAACCGCGCCTGTCTGTTTCATTACGCAACAGACGACGTGCACGGCTTCGAGCCCATTGGCGCACCTCCCTTGGACTGAGAAGGGTCTTCTTTATCCGTCGGTAAATTCAATCTTGCTAGTGGAAACAGGACTTGCATATACGGAGTCACGGACGCAGCAGCTTGTTTCCCTCTTGGCCGTGCGTGTTGTAGGGAGGTTCGCTCCGATCGCGTGACTACAGTATGCAAGAGTGATCCTTCAAGTTTTCATATCATTTTGAGGCTGAACCCAAGGACCAGTGTCTGACAGCACTAATTTCTCAAGGTCCATCATACCTCATCGTTCTGGAGCTTGGTAAAGTAGCTTGAATGTGATTGTTCGAAGGCAGTTGTCGATTCCAAGGACGAGGTTGGGGTCTGGCATGTGAAGGTGGGAGATGCATGGGCCATTCGTTCGCAACAGGGGTCCAAGACGACTGCTTGACACATTCGCGTCATCTCCCCAACCACCTTCACTGCTTCATCTTCCTCACTGCCGGATCATTGACCGTTATCCAGAGCATCCAATGTTGGCATCCGCAAGATTAGTACGAGCTCAGAACAGCTCTTTCGAGCCGTTCTTTTCGGCCATGCGGAACTCATAATCAAACTTCGATCATCCTGGGAGCCCAACATCTTGGATGCTCATCCTACGACCCGACACAATGGTAGAGGGGCTAGTCTGTTCGAGTGAGCTGCTGGGCACTGGGACTAGTCTTCTTAGCCCTGCATATTCTTCTTACCAGATTGATACTCGGCTTTACTGTGCCTCTGGTCAAGAACAGGCTTCAGCACGCTTTTTTTTGTCTTGTGGGTACATGATCTTCAAGTCACACTCATGCTCGGCCACCATTTCCGTCTATATTTCGCCCGGTTATCATCGTTCAAAGAACGGCCATAGCGCATTGGACTCGACCAAACTTTCAACCCCTCGGAATGCTACCTAGTTCGTCTTGATGTGCAGACTAACAGGCGTGCTATGGTCGGGGTATATCTGGTCAAGATCTCTTGTACCTGCATCTGTAATCCATATTTCATGGCCATCGCACTGTCACAGTCCTGATCCAGATATCAGGTAAAGGCCTGAGTCCGTGTCTCGCCTTATCTGTATGCTCTAAACTGCAACAGAACCCACTGCCAATCTGGGCCTTTTCTCTGCCATAATCGAGTACTGCGCCCTGGCTCTCTCGGTATCTCTTTTTCATCTCAACTTACAGGCATTGTGCCAGTAAGAAAAAGCTGCCGCCAACATGTCCGACTCACAGGGCCATACAATCGTGGTAATATCGATCATATTCGGCGTTCTCAGCGTCATTGTCATGGCTTTGCGTCTCTTCGCTCGAGTGATCATACTCGGAAAGATGGGCATGGATGATGGTGAGTTCGTCTCTCAAGTCTTTCGTTTCCAGCTAACAAAACTTCAGTCTTGATATGTATTGCGGCTCTTCTGTCGTGGGCTTTCATCATTGTTACAGTACTTGCGGTTCACCATGGTCTGGGGTCACACAGAGATGAAGTCATGAAGAAAGGTGCCGCTAACATGAACAGCTACGCACATGTACGTATACAAAACTACGATGATGGCATGCAGTGTATGCTAATCACATGTCTTCTAGGATGTTTGGCTGTCGTCAATTTTCTACAACTCTTGCCTGGGCTTTCTGAAGGCTTCCATTCTCGCATTTTACCTTCGACTGGGAGATGTTCAGCTTAACCGTCTCGCGCAGATTCTGCTAGCAATCGTCATCTGCCAGGCTCTTGCCAACGTCTTCACATGCATCTTTCAATGCACGCCCATCGCCGCCGCATACACAACAGAGCTTTCGAAGACTGCCAAATGTGTCAACATCACAGCTTTTTACTTGACAAACGCGGCATTGACGATCGTAACGGATTTGTCAACCTATATCTTACCTTTCCACTTGGTTCGCAAGCTGCAAATTTCCAAAAGACAGAAAGTCGGCTTGGCTGTTATGCTCGGGCTAGGTCTTTTGTAAGTCACGCCACAGGTTCCTATCGGCGTAGACACTAACATGCCTAGCACCTGTGTTTCGTCTATCATCCGAATCACATATATTCCGGGTATGCTCTTCTCAGCAGACCAGACTTGGACCATCTCAGGACCCATGTACTGGAGTGTGATCGAGACCAACGTCGGAATCCTGACCGCATCGATGCCCGCATTCAAGGCCATAGCCAAGAAGTACGCACCTAAGTTGCTCGGTGGCTCCTATGATACCGGCCGATACCACTCCCGATCTGTACACGTCAAAGCAGGAAGCAGTGGTTTCCGCAGGATGGGTGGTACTGCTGGAAGCAACAACTTGCCCCTCGACACCATCGACCGAGATCTGGGTATGTCGAAAGGTCGATTCGAGACAACCATCAATCAGGACAGAGACAGCGTGGAAAGTGAGGAGGTGGCACTGCATCCACCGAACAGAATTGGCGTCACGAGACACGTCCACGTCGAAGGAGAATCTAGGATCGTTTTCGAAGAGAGAAGTTCTCTTGGCTCTCACAAGGATCAGAGAGAGCTCTCTTGAGCGTGGTAGAATGTTACAGACATATATCAGAGGACATAATCAAGCATATAGGTGTACGGACCCGGATCCATAATCATACTCTTCCTTGGAAGTGGCTATATTGCATCCTGCTGTAGAATTGTGGAGGACAACAATATCGGGCATACCATCAACCTGGAGCAGTACACTCCACTCCAGCGGACTGTTGATCTCGATGTTCACAACAGAAAAGTTTTCGATGTTCATGCATGTTCATGCTCGAATCCTTCGACAACTGATCGTCATGGCTGTCGCGAGTCGGCCCCACTATATTAAGCATTGATATTTATGCGGACTAATTTACGGGTAGCGGCTTCCTTTGACGCCGTCAGCTAGCTGGTAAGCCTTCACCGCTTGAATCAGGACCTCTTATTTGCTTCAGCTGATTATCGTCGTGTGCTACAGATGCTGTGCAGCGAAAAGTCAAAGCAAGTCATGTATCAAGCTGGAGTCAAGAAAACAGTGTTTCGACGGAACGGGCCTATATTTTCCACCCGCCATCCGAAAAGTAAATGAACCACTCTGCCACTCCCGCAGTGTTTCACATGGTATCTTGCTCGGCAGGTTGGACCGAGTTTTGACTCCTCATGGTCAGTGTGTTCGTTAAGCTCAGCCGAACCTACCCTGGCCAGGTTCCTCTTTGGAACCGCTGGTTGTCAGAGTCAGACAACATATCAACGATTAACTTTATTGGTTCATGGCGACCAATATCAGCCTTTCATCTTCATTTATATATGAATTGGCAGCATGGGCGGGGCTACACGACACACGCCACTCCTTCGTACCTCCGACAGAGCCACTAATGTTCCCGTGCTTGAGCTGTGGACCCTTGTTTACCATCCAGGCACCTGCCTCAGCCTTTGCTATATCGCTTTCTGGGAAGGCTATATTAGCGAGGCGGTTGCTTGGAAACTCCCCTCTGGGTACGACCCATAAGATGGAGGGTCGTTGGGTCTGCTTGATTCCCGCAGTCTCGACTTGGTTTCATAAACCATTGAGTGCTGGGGCTGGGGGCATGAGGGTCTCTAATATGTCTGCATCCATTCGCTGCCGAGTGAATTACTTAAGAAGGACCCTTGGGGTCTCTCGCTCCTTCTCCAGTTTCTGTCGCTTGTGTCCTGCGCCATGGATTCTGCGTTGAAGAGTGGTAGCTCTGCTACTCTTTCCTTGCTTACCTTTGGCAACTTGATTCTTGTCCTCGTGGGATACTTCTTCGCTCGCGTGGTATATCAGATTGTTCATTACAGATGGTTTCACCCTCTGTCCAAATTTCCTGGCCCGTTCTGGGCAAGCGTAACAAGATTATGGATTGCGTCAGTACCATCACCTTCCAAGGATTTTATTTAGAATGTCGAATTCACGGAAGCTGACTACAAGGTAGATACCACAATCTGAAAGAAGACGAGCACCTCGTTTGCCTCGAGCTCCACAAGAAATATGGTACTGAACAACTCATAACTGCACATCCAATCAATTGCTGACATTATCAAGGTCCCATTATCAGAGTCACTCCTACTCTCCTGCTGGTCAGCGATGCCACCAAGTTACCTGAGATCTACCATCGTTATGCAGACAAGTCGAAACACTACATCACCGGAAGTTTTGGAAATGTAGAGTCTTTGTTCAACATGCAGGACTCGAAGATGCATGCTCGTTTCAGAAAAGTTGCTGCTGGATCTTACAGGTATGTCCAAGTCAGCTCTTGAAAATGACTATCAGTCTAACGCGATCACAGCTTCTCGAACATCAAAAAAATGGAACCATTGATCGATCTACGCATCAACGACTGGATCAACGAACTCCGAACTCGCTTCGCAAACACTGGTGAAAGGCTGGATCTTGCCCCTTGGGCTGTCTACATGGCATACGATGTCATCTCCGAAGTAGGTTTTGGTGCTCCCTTCGGCTTTATAAAATCTGGCTCGGATGTAGCTGGTTTGATCAAAGGCCTGCATGAAGGTCTTGTTCCTTTTGGACTCATGGCTCGTTTATATCCTTTTACTGGTTGGATCAAGCGTACGGCTTTTGGAGACAAGTATCTTGTTGCTAGACCGGAGCAAGAGACTGGTATTGGAACGCTTATGCGCTTTCGTGATAAGTTGATTGAGCAGAGGAGAAAGGATATCGAGGCTGGCAATACAAATGGCAGGATTGATCTATTACAGACGTGAGTCCTGCATACTTCAACACCATGGACAAAAGAGCTAACATCAAAACAAAGCTTCATTGACGCCCGCGACGAAAAAGGCGAACCCTTGGATCCCGAATACATCAGAGCCGAAATCCTCCTCGTGCTTCTCGCAGGCGCAGACACCACCGGCACAGCCTTCCAAGCCTTGATGCGGGACATCCTAACTCACCCTTCCGTCTACAAAACTCTAATGGCCGAACTCGACGCCGCAACAGCAGCTGGACACCTCTCCACAATGCCCCAATACTCCGAAGTCGTCGAACACTGTCCCTTCTACATCGCCTGTATCAAAGAATCAATGCGCCTAACTCCCTCAGCACCAAACATCTTCCCGCGCATGGTGAGCAAAGGCGGAATGAACCTTTTCGACTCCCACATCCCAGAAGGCATGGAAGTGTCTTGTAATCCCTACATCGTCCATCGCGACCCTGCAATCTACGGTCCCGATGCCGATGTTTTCCGTCCTTCACGCTGGCTCGAAGACGACGAAAAGACAAAGCTGTTCAATAAATACAGTCTTGGGTTTGGATATGGTGCGAGAGGATGTTTGGGTAAAGAGATTGCGAATATGGAGTTGTACAAGGCGCCATTGCAGTTCTTGAGGACGTTTAGATTGGAGGTGGAGAATAAAGAGATGCCGGGAAAGTATGTGTATAAGGGTGGGTTGAGCTATTTCACGGATATGTGGATGAAGATTGAGGAGAGGGAGATTGTTGAGAAGCAGTGATGGTCAGAGAGGTCAACGAACGCTGGTAGTTTGAGACTAGAGGTCAGGAAGAATATTTAAAGCCACTATGATCGTAACAGAGATGCTTGCTCAAGGTCTATCGTCAGACTGGATCCTGTTGGCTAGATTTGAATCGTGTTGATATTTACATAACACTTCGATCTTACATATAGAGTATGACTTTACATCAATGTCGACCGCCCTCCAATCTCGGTGCCAGCCTCACCATCAGCCATCTCGCCATTCCTGCCCACTACAAATTCTCTGTATATCATGCTCAACCTCCTCTGATCAGCCTTGGAGATGGAAGGTCTGGTCTGTTCCAGACTCTTAAGCACATGTCTCCACGAAATTACCGGCTCTTGTGTTTCTGCCGTCTCTTCTTTGACGCCATTGATGCTTGTGTCTGCAGGAACAGCATTGGCGACTTTAGAGCGCTTACGCGCAGTTTCCAAAGCAGCGAGTTTTGCGGCGATGGTGGCTCTTTCGGCCAGAGATTGCGATGTTGGCTTTGCGGAGGCGTCTTTTCCTAGACTTTCATCGCCGTAGCGGAAGTAGGTGAAGTCCTTGTATTTTGACTTTGAGCGTGAAGATGATTTATCATTTCCTCCGTTGCCAAGTTCTTCAGTGGGACCCAGAACGTCGTGGATGGCTTCTAGATGCGCATTGTACATGACTGCTTGCAAATCTGCACCTGAGTATCCTTGTGTCTGTCTGGCTATCTCGAGTATACTTTGATTCTCATTGGAGGCGTCGAGGATGCTGGGCTCGATTTTGAGGTTTCCGGTTACGGCGCGGAGGATGTCGATGCGGTCGTCCATGTTGGGCATGTCACAAAGCAAACTCTTGTCCAAACGACCGGGACGAAGAAGAGCAGGATCGATGAGATCGGGTCGACTAGTGGCAGCGAGGACGTAGACTCCCGAAAGCCCCTCGGCACCATCCATCTGCGTAAGAAGCTGATTGACAACACGGTCGGTGACACCCGTGCTGTCGTGTCCTCTCTTCGGCGCTATACTGTCAAACTCATCGAAGAAGAGTACGCAAGGGCGCGCGGCTTCTGCTCTATCAAACAGGTCGCGGACACTCTTTTCAGAAGCACCAATGTATTTATTGAGAATCTCTGGTCCTTTGACTGAAATGAAGTTGAGGCCGCACTCTCCAGCTACTGCGGATGCCAGCAAGGTCTTTCCGCATCCCGGATACCCATACAGCAGCAGACCGGATCGAAGGCGTAGAGGACATTGTGCGAAGATAGGTGCGTATGTTGTTGGATATTGCAGGGTCTCCAGAAGAGTCTGTCGGGTCTCTTGCAGGCCACCGATCGATGACCAAGTAGTGGTAGATGTTTGTAGAGTGACGCCGCGAAGAGAGGCAGGGGTAAAACCTTTGAGCGCGGCTGTGAAGTCCTCTCGGGTCAGCGAGACTTGCGGATTTTCTGCATCTTCTGAGACGCTTCGGATGAGAGCCTCATTTTGTGCTCTCGAGACAAGCGACGTAAGATCTCCAGGCATGTAGCCATCCGTTTGTCCAGCGACATCCAGGAAATCGATCGACGGATCAACCTCGAAACCTTCTGCACCATTTGCTTGATCGCCTGCTTCTGAGCCACCCATCCAAGCAGCGCCGTCGCTATGTGATCTTGAATGTTTTGGTTTCTGGACGTCTTTTTGTCGTACTAGAAGCTCGAGAACTTTGCGTCTACCATCCTTGTTTGGTGCCTTTAGTGTCAGGATATCTCGAACAACATGTCCTCCAATGACAACATTGTTGACAGACTCTTTAGCTTGAGCAGTGGCCAGTAACACAACACCAGTCTCTCGAGAACAGTGTTGTCTTGCGATAGAGCACAAGAGCTCACTGACCTGTCTGCTGCGGCCATTGTCGTTGCCAACTTGAAGTTCTGTCTCTACGGGGCATAGCTTGTCGATGTCGTCCAATATGACCAAAGCGCGACCACCGAGTCTAGCGCCCCACGCTCCAGCACCAAAGACTCTTTGTAATGTCTCCCTGATAGTAGACACACGTGTCTCATCTGTGACCAGTGTCCGGCAGGAAAAGTAAGTGATGTTGTACAGATGCTCTCTGCGAAGTTTATTAGCAAGAAGATGTGCAAGGGACGTCTTTCCTGAACCCAATCCTCCTGTAAGCAGTATAGACGACGAGTGCGAAAGATGACTTTCAAGCTCGGCCGTCAGAGTATCAATGCCGACCATTTCTGGTGGTGACTCTGGTATTTCATGACCGGGTGTTCCTCGTGTCAAGTCTGAGGGTTTTGCAATTTCAGGCTGGACCTCGATGGTCAGTTTTCGCTCAGCACCCATAAGCCAATCTGCAGGCTTCTTTGCAGGATGCTCTTCTGTGCTACCCGGCGGAGGATCGAATCGCAGTATACCACCTGGCCAAGCATGATCCTTACTCTTATCAGTCTCTGCTGGCAGAAGCATTCCATCCGTCAGAGGACCTTCGAGGAGACCAGATCCATCTTGACCGTCACCAAAGATAGCCTTCAACTTCCGCACGGCAGCCTCTTTCTCAGCAGCCGATTCACCACCGAACTTGAGAATATTTGACTGAGCAGTGCCAAAGGGAAAGACTCGAAGGGTCTTAACCACCGACTCTTTCTCTTTTGACTCTTTCTTCATGGCTGAAGCGGTTTTGGGTAGTTGTGGAGGTGCACCTTCGATTCTGACTATGCCCCCAACTAGTCCTGAAGAACCCATGGCCGCACAGAGCGACGAAGACAAAGCAGCATGTTGGCTGTCCGGTGCATAATTCCAGGCGCACAGGCGTGCCACAACTTTGGAAGCTGCTTTCTCAGAGTCCATGGCCTGTTTCTGTGGGTTGACAGGCTCTTCCAAGCTCGCAGGTCGAACAATCGATACCGAAACCCAAGTCAGACCCTTGAGACTCTTGGACAGCAAATGATCACTGTCTAGCCAGATTCGCAAACCCTTGTCGGCATCGCCAGGATCCTCGTCGTCGAAATATTCAGCAGCTATGGCACGATCGACAGCTCTTAAGAAGAGTGGTGGACGTGTAGGAAGCTCCTCGCGCGTAGCTGGGTGTCGTACGGTACTAGCATTGCTTCTTCCTCCCACGCTCTTTCTGCTTGTGCTTGCGACACTTCGACTGGAGCGATCGGAGCTTCGAGGCTGGCGAGTCTTTGGCGCAACGATAACTTCGGCTTCGGGCGAGATTTTAACGAAAGCTTGAGTCGATGGCGGAGCAGGACTCAGAGATGTGACAAGGATATTCGCGGTAGAGGTAGGTGTAAGGTGCAAGGTCAAGGGATGGCGCTGGGACTGAACACCGGAAAAGGCAGGATTCGGGAGAGCACGAACTTGCGACAGGAAGTTGGTCTCGAGGAAGCGGGCGTGCAACTCAATGATGTCCCAGTCGGTTGGTGTGAGTGGCTCGATATTGACGGTATGCGCTTGAGGCGGATCAATGTGGAGGTTGACCGAAACCTTCAAGCCATTGGCTATGCCCAAGACTCTTGCCAGAGTGGAATCGAGCTCGACTGTAGCGACATCTTGTTCTTGCCTAGCAGTGCTTCCTCTTGTCCCTTGAATTCCATTCCTTGACACAATGGGAGCCAATCTGGTCTGGCTTTGCATGCCCGTCCATCCTAGGTATATTGAGCGTGGTTGCGATGTGGATGGATTTGGTTTATCGGAGGGTGGTGCTGGCTGACGAAAGCTGAGCTCGACAACTACATTTTGAGCTACCTACACGCGTCAGTCTGACTTCTCAGTTATGCGACAGAGGATAGTTACTGTGTTGGCATTGACCAGTACAGAGACCAGCGAAGATGGTAAATTGACCAGACAGCTCTTCAGCTGCGGCTGCAGTACTACTTCGGCCTGGGTCGCACCCTTGGAGCCTTTCGAAGACGGCAGAGACATAACAAGAATGATTAAAAAGAGTGGCAGTCACTCTATGGGGAACAACAAGAACAAGATGGCAAGTGCGATCGGCCAGGGACCATGAACGGCTTCGGCTTGCGGCCAACCTGTCAAGCAATCAATCAGCCGAGGCTGTCCGGTCTGTCCCCCAGACTTCACATGCATCGGCACAGCACCCTCCGAGTTCGCTGCACTGCTGCCTCAGGCATCACTGACCAAGATTCATGAGAGGAAGAATATTAGTCTGCAATTGTACTAAAACTCGTTTGAAGATAATGGCCGTTATTTCAAAAATCCGTCCCACATCGAGTCTCTCCTACACTCTCCATGCATGACACCACATCACCCAACACCTCGACGCCCACACGCCGTCATCATCCCAAACAAGCCTCTCTCCAGGAGTCAAATCCCAGACCCGCTGTATGCTTGTTGCTTTTTTCATGCGGCCATCATGTTCGTCAGTTGGAACGATCCTGCGTTCGTCTTCGTCATTGCTCGTTTCTGAGCAACAAGAGTATGTAGGGTCTGAATAGGTGCCGCTATACTAGGTGTTTAGGCGAGTCGTGTCCAGCAACAGTATTCGATAGTCTTGCGTGTTGGTAATCCAAGCCCATCGAAATCATTCCTCAATCTTTCTCCTCTTGCCCTTCGGTGCTGGATCGAGTGGTGTTCGTGAATACGTGACTGTCCTTGTCACCACTTGACGGACACTCATCTTGCTGGTCGTGCTGCTCTCAGCTTCCGTGGGTGAATATGTAGCACTCCATGGTGTGCTGCCTAGACCAGATGCACTGTGAGGTTCGTAGTGGGTACGAGCACTCATCGGCGAGCGAAGATTGGCCGGTGACATGGGAGAAGGAGGTACCTGGACACCTCTAGGAAGCTTTGCAGACCGAGGCTTTGCAAATGGAGAAGGAGGTATGATGACCCGAGGTGACTGTGGCCTTGTCTTGCGTTTGGTCTCTGAGATTGTGCTGGTCACTGAATGCACCGACTCTGTCGAGCTCGACATCACAGATGTCGTAGACGCTTCAGAGCTGGTAGAGTTGGTGCGGGAGAGTGTTGGCTGAACGATCTCTGGCGTAGCATCTGGACACTTCTCGTCTGCTTCCTCGATGGCTTCGCTAGAGACTTTGTCCTGAAAATGGAACTTGGAGCTGGTTCCTGTGGTAAGTGGGCTCGCCAGGCCGGTTGGCATTGACTTCAAGAAGTCCAAATAGGCCACTGGAGGAGTGACAGGTGTCTTAATGTTCTCTTCCCTCTTGATGAAGCTTGGTGTACCTGGAAAAGGGCTTTTGACTTCCGAAGGATATGAGGCCGAAAGAGGCGTCTGCAGAGTCGGTCTTCTGGGTCTTTTGTTGTCATCGGACTTGGTTTCGATGACCGAGGGAGCAGAGGTACTCCGAGCCGCCATATTGCAAAGTCAAGGAAAGAAACGAATGAAGCGAGTGACTTGACTAAGAAACGATGACACCGTAGATATGAATTCTTGGCCGGACGGATGAATACGACTATGAAAGCACAAGAAGGCAGAAAGAAAAGAGAGTATATAAGCCGACTTTGTATGCTTACCTGGAACGCAAGAAGACTGGACGAAACAATACAAAGGAACGAGCGCGGCGCGTAAGCCGCAAGGGTCACCGCACGAATCGCCTCGAGTATGTTTATTTCTGGAATGTCTGCTGCCGCCCTGTCTAGTCCCGGTTACGTTAAGGTAGCGATCAGAAGTTGCCAATCGAAGGCTCTTGTAACGCGCGGGCTTGGAAATCTGTATGCGCCGCGAGCCCTCATTGGGTCGACGAGTAGCTAAGCGCCCAGGTCAATCATACGCTGTGACGGCCGTCTCAGATTGCATGATAGCTCCAAAGAAAGCTTGCGCTCGCAGCCAAGAACAGCACATGGTAGAAGGTACTTGTGATGGCGTTCGCCCATGATTTGGAAGACTTGAAGATGCGCTGGATGTCGAAGGAAGATTGGGCAGTCGCCCCGCTTGTCGACCGTGAATTCTGTCACTGGCTGCCAGCCTCCGAACCTTGATAAACGAATATTGGTATAATACATGTCGCTCAAAAATCCATAATCCAATCAAATGAAAAGAACAAACTCTCCTCTCTCGTTCTTTCTGATGCGAAGATCCTTCCAAAGATCCTTGTCGCCGTCGTCCTTCTTGCCCTGAGCTTGACGCTCACGGTGATAGCGCTTAAGTGCTTTGTTGATGCTCAAGCCGCTCTCACTTTCAGGACCCTTGTCCACGAAGCTCAAGAACAGCTCTGCCGGAGAACGTTTGCTGACGAGCTGCTTGTCTTCGCGCGCGTCTGAGGATGTTGACTTCTTGGACGAGCTCTTGCTTGACGAAGACTTCTTTGATGATTCCTTCTCTGACTTCTCCTTCTTGCTACGCTTCTTGGGGCTGAGAGGGCTGGCGGCAGCACCGTCTTCGCCAAAGTCGGGACCAGACAGCATTCTGTTGAGGCCGCCTGTGAGGCCAGTGTGCAGTGCGGGAGTGGCATCTGGCATATCCTGATCATCTCTCTTGCGCTTCTTGTCGCTCTTGCTCTTGTCTTCACGGTCGCGCTTTGAGGCTGGAGTGACAATAGGTGCGGCCTCGATCTTGGCAGGAGTGTCCATGTAGTCGAAAACATTCACGCCAGGAGGCAGGTCGGCACCAGAAGGAGGAGGCGAGGGAGCCTTCGGTGGGGCATTGGTGTTGGCGATGTCGGTAGTGGTGGGTTCTGGTGCCTTGGTCTGGACGAGTGCCTGCTCTTGCTTCTTCTGGTTCTGATTTTGACCCTTGCCCTTCTTCTCGCCACGGTAGAGGTGACCTTGGTATTTCTGAGCCTCAGACATACAGCTGGTATGCGCACGGTAGGAGGTGCCTTCGAAGTGAACCATGCAATCGATGCAAGTAAAAGATGCGCCCCAACACTGGTTGGCATGAGGATCGAGCTTCTTCTTGGTAAGGATGTCACCACATCCCTGAGCGGTGGATTAGTATCGGATCCAGTGCATATATTTCAACTTCTTCAGCGCATACCTCACACGAGAAAGAAACCATGTCGGATTAACGCGCGGTTGGTGAAATTATGCTGTGTCGCAAAGTGGTGGCGGCTTCTGCGCGATAATGCAGACTCTATAAACGACGGGTTCGAGAAATTGGAAGCGGTTACAAGGAATCGGACAGTAAAGGCGGCGAGTAATGGTGAGACGAGATGATGGGCATCTAGGAATTTTTGAGCAAAAAGTCGGTTGCTATTTATTTTGGTATGCGGAGGCTAGCGCGATGCGGCTCGTTCGGCCATCGGCTTCTCGCCCTTGCGTAATATGGGGTATCGACAAAGGGCAAGAAAAGGGAGGATGAACTTGAATGAGTTTGAGCCTACCAATAGTGGCCATGAATTAATAGATATTGTTCGTAAATGTCTAGTCGAATATTGCAGAAGTTGAAGTGTCCCTAAACTATCCTCCTCGACCCCATCTAAAAAGCGTACTGTCAGCATAAGGCTATAGTTCGTGGAAATTGTCTCGACTCACCCATCCTGTTCAAGCTTCAGAGGAACGTCTTCCGGAGGGTCGAACTTCTTCCTCGCTTGTGTGATCTCCTTCTTGTCGCCTCCTTCTGGTGCTTCTCCATCCGCGCATCCGCAGTCGTAGAAGTCACCAATGTTGGAACAATCGAATAGCTCTTTCTTCAAGGACTTGTTGACCTCGTTGTGGACATGGCAACCCCAAGCTGCGGCTGCTGATCGCGATGTGACTTGTGGAGGGAACTTGTCGAGGATCGTTCGGAAGTGACCGGCACATTCGCCGCTGTAGTTTGTATGTTAGCTCGAGCCGTGTGATGGATTGACGAGGCCGTACCAGGGGTATAACCGTTGGAACAGGTGGATGTATGCGTTTAATGCTGCGCTTTCTTCAGCTGTGGGCTTGTCCGGGAAGCGGGCGAATGTCGTATGGAAGAGCTTCCATGCTGCACGACCAAGTTCGGCCCTGTAAAGGCATGTCAGCGATTGACTATCTTGGTATCGACCTAGCCATTGCGACTTACTTGGCTGTTTCGTTGCCGAGTTTGGGGGCGATCACATGTCCAGTCAGAGTCGAGTCTTGCAGGTCGAGTCGGTTGAGCTTCTCGAGTTTTGCGTTAACGACTTCGACCGGATTGCCAGCTCTTCCTCCAGATGATGGATGTCTGACGCCGATTTCATGCGAGCGGAAAGAGAAGACGAATGTGAATGCGAGGAAGGCCGAGACGCCGATGAGCAGGAGCACGAATCGCCGGCTAGGTCCTGGAGCTACGGGCATGCTGGATGTGATTTTGTTGGGTATTCAATCGGTGTCTATAATAGCATTATGTAGGTCGAGTGAGCAGGTTGTTGTCTTCTCATCAAAGGAGAAGGAAGAAATGTTGCCGTTGCGACAACGAAATCGAGGGGCTTCGAGTTCCCACAGTTCCGGTCACAACGCGTCATGTCATCCCACTCATCAGCTTGAGTTTGTTTAGAGTTGAGGATACGACTCCTGATCACGGGCTGAATCTTGTTCTTTCATGCATCGAGGGTATCTATATATCTGAATCAAGAACAGTCGTCGCTTGGAATCATCAGGCCTGCGCAGATTCAGCGCCTGACTGACTCTGCTTCTCGGGTTCGGGGGTCGCTTCAGGAGTTGCAGAAGAGCTCTCATACCACTCCATATCCACCGCTTTTACCAAAACAACCTTTGCTCTATCGGCCATGGCGTAGTAATCGGGGTTGTCTTTGGGCGTGAACATGGCAACGTGAGCGGCAATTTCGTTACTCGCTTTCTCGTTGATGCATTTGACCCAGGTGCCTTTACTTTTCAGCTTCTTGTCCACAGCACTGCTAGTCTTGCGCTTTTTAAGCGGTGATTCACCTCGTTGTTCCTTTGCCTCTTTTGGCACTACGCAAAAGGTTCTCTCTTCACCCAGTAGTTGCTCCGAGTAGTAGGTCTTTCCTTGCTTGTTTGTGTCGAGGCAGGTGTAAAAGTCGGCGAACCCAATTTTGTGAGAAGAACTGAGGGCGGCGACGCTTTCGACACGTTTGGTCAGGTCAGCACCACGGGCGAGACAGCCGACGAATTCAAGATGTCCTCCTGCCCAGGCCCAGCCTTTGGAGATGCTTTCGCGATTCTGCCATGCGGCACCACCAGCTGCTGCTAATGCTGCGGCGCCACCTGCAAACATGGCGTACTTGCCCCATTTTCCCCATCCACCAGCCTCTGGCGGTGGAAGAGCGCCTGCAGGAACTTTTGTGGGAGGCGCTGGTGTGGAGGACTTTCCGAGACCAAAGAACTGAGATGCTTGGTTGTAGGCGTTCAGAGCGGCAGAAGCTGTATTGTAATGCTCTTCTGCACCATGCGCTACAACACCAGGATGTATACCTAGATAGGGGGTGTCAAAGGCAAGCACAGCCTGGATATAAGGGAACAAGAATTCTGGAGCTTTAGCTGGATCGGTGTCCTGAGATGGTACTGAAGGCTTCTCCTGAGGAGGCGCTGATGAGGATCTAGGCTGCGACTCCGGCACTTCGAGGTTGACTGTGGTGTTGTTCTGAGATGTCGAACTCGTTGTGGTCTTATTGCCAATCTCGGAGTCATCTTGAGTGCCTGTGGATGAGAATGTGCGACTCGAGGGTACAGGTGGATCACGAGCAATGCTTAGCAGAGTCTCTGCAGCTACGATACCGCCCATCGAATGACCGACAAGAACAACCCTCACTGACGGATCGATAGTTGGTGACGGGGTGCCATTCGCGACTTCCAGGTCGATGCACTTGTTAAGTAACCATCCGTGAAACTTGGCCACACATTCGTTTAGATCGCCCTGAGTTTCGAACTTAGGATAGACGATAGACAGAACATTGATCTTTGGCAGAGCATTCTGCACAAGGGTTCTGAAGTGATCCGGAAAGCCTACCGTGTTTATTGAGTAACGATTCACGACTAGAAGCAGGAGGTTGTTTACCATCAAATGTGTGGTCCCCTCCCTTGAAGCCGTGGATGAACACGAGCAGTAAACTCTTCGTTGGCATTTTACTCTTTCCACCTGATCATGAAAAGCCCATAAGGTTTATGACAGAGTGGGGATAGAAGGGAAATAGATGAGAGAAATAGGCGGTCTGGAGTTGTTGCTGTAGGTGGACTTGGATGCGGTGCGACTGTGAGTGGTTGGAGCGCGTCATCGAGGGCCGAGGTGACCATGGAATTTCTGGCTCTCTCCAAATTTCTATGACCACTGTTCTCTAGATTGCCCAACACACCATCACGTCTTTCACGAAGCATACGATCCACGACAAACGAGACACATCATGTCACACCCTCAGGAGCCCACGCGACAGCCGACCGTCGACGAGACCGAACGCTACAAGGTCACTCTGCATCGCGCTGCCATCGCATGTCTCATCGTCTGCCCAGCTATCGCCGCCCTGCCACCACGCAAACTAGACTTCTACACAATCTCTCTGGTCGGAATGACTGGTTTCTCAGCAAACTACCTATATCGCGAATCACAAGGTCAAAGCATCTGGAAAGTCATTGGTGGCTCGAAGGCCGAGGAGATGCGACCAAAGGGCGACACATCACTACCTACCGACAAGGCTCGCGAGTTCCAACGCCAAATGAAGCTGCAACGCGAGGCAAGAGCTGCTGGCGACAACTCTGGCGTTGACGCTGCTCAGCAGAACAAGCAAAATATTCTTGAACAAGTCTACTACGGAAACGAGAAACCCGAGGGCTGGAGAGAACGCAGAGCACAGGAAGACCAGAAGGCTCTTGCTGAGGGTAAGGGTCTTAGCGACATCATCATGGACCAGATCTGGGACGTCTGGACCTGGGGCAAGCACAAGGAGGCTCAGGCCGAGAACGCAGTCAAGTCGGAGGTCGAGAAAAAGAACTAGATGGCTTGATCAAAACACTGGAGTTTGCACATATCGGAACCGCTTTTTTGTACGACTAGCACCCTCTCGGAGGCATGAGATTGTATTATACGCAAATGCATAATGTTCACAGACCTTACGCCGCGAGCATCGCAACGAAAGAAGATATCATGGATTGAAATCACAGTACGGACCAAGGACAAAAACAAGAGCTACTAACAGTTGTGTATCATTTGTCGCAGGTGAGCCCAATCGCGACTCGGTGGTAAAGATCATGGAGTAAGCGGCATGCTCGCTTAAGTACGATATTGTGCCTAAACTCTTCAGTCTTCGACTAGTATGCAGCCACTTGCCTTTCATTGCTTACTGGCTTGAAGCTAACCGACAGTATACATTTTGACATGCAGTACTCTTCTTCAAAGTCGAGGCGCCCGCCTGTCGTTACGAAATCTTCGAGGTTTGTCTTGCTGGTTCTGAAAAATGGTGGCACTATTGACTTGTCTGCTCTTAAATCTGGGCATCGCTCTCGCACAAGACGCCCGATTCCTCAACACGTCGCGAAGTGCTTCCGTCTATGCAGCTGCAAGAGCAGACGGTATTGATTTGAGGATCCTGCCTTTCGCGACTGTTGCTCTCGAATCAATTGAGAATGCATATATACCTATCACGTTACCACCATTCAGCAACGCATCGAGGATTGATGTACATGGTGAGTCAGGCGACAATTACTCTCCAGCCTCTGATCTGATCTGATTTGGTATAGCTCATATAGTGCCCACATGGTACCATGCACTCGTCCCTACGACAGGTCAAAGCCCAACGCCAAATTGGACTCTAGAAGCACAATTTAATATGATGCAACATGTCAACATCCGCAAAAGTGTCTTGTCCATCTCGTCGCCTGGGAGCACTGTCTACGCAGACGACGAGGCAAGAGCAACCGTGTTGGCAAGGCTGCTGAACGAATACCTAGCCGCCCTGTCTCGCACTTACCCATCTCATTTTTCATTTTTCGCCGTCACGCCATTACCTTATGTCGATGCAGCCATCAAAGAAGCACGATATGCACTCGATCACCTGGGTGCCGCGGGTATAGGTCTTCTCTCAAACCACGAAGGCTATTATCTTGGAAACTCCCAATTTCAGCCTTTCTTCTCCTTTTTGAACAGCACCTTGAACAACACCGCCAATGAGATCATCTTCGTTCATCCCAACGAACCATGCATGAGAAGCCCAAACGGCAATGGCAGCTTAATCATCGCAAATCCAACAGTCTACCCTGATGGCTTGGTAGAACTCTACTTTGAATCCGCAAGAACATTCATGGACCTGACTCTCACGTCCACTCTGTCCACCTTCTCGAAGCTCAACTTCATCGTCCCCCACGCTGGCGGTAGTTTTCCTTCCATAATCAGTAGAATGCTCTCGAGTCTTTCTCCCAGGGCATTCGCTGCACAGTTGGAGGTTCTCAAGCAGAGATTATGGTGGGATACTGCTGGCCCGACTTTTCCTTATCAGGTCGAGGGGTTACTGGCTTATGGGATTGAAACGGACAAATTGATGTTGGGTACCGATTATCCATATGTGCCTAGGGCGCCAGTTCAGGTGTACAAGGTATTCGCGGATGAAGTGGGAGAAGCGGACTTCTTGAATGCGACAGAGAAGGATGGGGTGTATCATGGAAACGCTGAGGAGCTGTTTGGCGCTCGACTGAGGTGATGCTGCTGCTGCATATCGTGGTATGGAGAAGTCGGCATTGGCTACCTGCTTGGATTGAAGTTGACCGAATCGCAATGAGGTTCAGTGAACGGTGAGATCGTGGATTCACACATTTCTGGAGGAGGTGATACCGACATTCTGCAGCGCGATAGCGACCTTTTCTGCTTCACTCTCTTCACTTTCCTCTTTTCGGACCCCTATATAACTTTTCGGATCCTAACCTATCCCCTAAAACTCCGGTCCCTTCGCTTTTCTTCCCTTCCTCCTTCAACTCCATCCCCTTCCAATTCATCTCCAATACTACATCACATCTTTCCCTACTCACACAACTCCGACACCTTTCTCTTCTCCTTCATCAAGAAGGTCATGCAGCATTGGTCACACCACTGCTCACCTTCTACGACGATTATCACATAGTCAGTTCTCGCACTGGCTTCACACCCTATTCAACCAGCAGTTTCCTAGTCTGTGCATACTTGCTTCGAAAAATTTTTGAGGCAACAATCATATTCTGACGATCTCTGCCTTTCTCACTCATCAGAACCATTTCGTCTCCTATCTTTTCACTTCTTGCTCTAGTAACAGAAGCCGCAACAATATCGGCTGCTTCATTGCGTCTTCTCGCCCGACCGACGACCACGTATTATCGCGAGTGTCTGCATCTGGTCATCGACATTCATTTGTTCTCGGAGAATTTGACATTCCTTTCCACTGGGACGATATTTTTCTTTACCTCGACCACCAAGAGGGCCATAAGACGTCAAACACTCCACGGATCACAATCCACACCAGTATTCTCCAACCCATCAGATTGAATTCTACAGGGTGACGGACTGCAGACTGAATCGTCGGCACATCTGCGAGACACGGAGCAGAGGAATACTAACAACTGATTCGTTCATCAGATTGCTTTTTACCACAACTCTCACACTCTGGCTGTCTTCATAATTCTGCATATGCAGCATATATACGAGAATGGAAGCCCTATCAAAGGAAGACCAAGCATTACACCAGCAGCAGCAAGAGTTCGTTGCACAACTGCAGGCCGAGTCTGATCGTTCGCAAGCCGAACAAGAACCTTTTGAGGACCTCGAATGGCGATACCTCAAGGCGGTGAAAGCCATTCAATTAGCGGCTCAAAATGGCCCGGTGGCTCCCGCAGAGCGTAAGCTGTTTCAAGCAATGCATGATCAATATGCGGCTAGAGTCAGCGAAAGAGGATTCGAGCAAATCGTAGCCGAGAGCGAACCCAGCAGTAGAAAACGCAAAAGACGATCTCCATCTCCAGATCCACTCTTCGAACCATCAGGGGAGCCCAGACCGAGAAAAATATGGGCCAGCTCCAAGAAAACCCGAGGTAAGACTCGGAAAAAGTCTTCGCAAGGGTCTAACCCTGCACAAAGAGATGAAGAGGTCAGAGAATTCTTGAGGCAATTGATCGCAGAAGCACCACCAGAAAAGAAGCAAGCAGCATACAAAGATAGTGCAAGAGTGCTAAACGCCATCGACCAAATCGGACCAGATAGTGTCGAGTACCTCGGAAATGGAGAGTGGTCGGTCGAAGGTATGCAAACAACTGTCAAGACCCATCAACTGATTCACGCCGGTTGGATGATCGAAAGAGAGACTAGTACAGAAGGCCCGAAGGGAGGCATTCTGGGTGACAAGATGGGACTTGGCAAGACCGTTTGCGCCTTGGTGAACATGGTTCTTGCAAAGAGGTTTTCCTGCCCCGACGAGCCGAAGACCAATCTCGTAGTTGTTCTCACAACGTTGCGAGACCAATGGATGAATGAGGCGGCCATGCACACCGTCGAATCAACTTCAGACAATCCTGCGGGTCTTGGTCAAATTCATGCCTTCAATCCCAAGACTGGTTTTGATACTGAGATGCGACAATTTCGAAAGGCTGATGTGGTTTTTATCACATACCCAGAGCTCTGCAGCGCATCCAAGAATGTCAGATATCCACCCGATCTGTCTGACGAGGAAAAAGATGAGTACTTTGAAGAACACATTCGACCAGGACTCCCGGCAATATTTCAATACAAATTTCGTGCTGTCTATCTTGATGAAGGGCATCAGATTCGTAACGGTAACACAGGAGCCGCAATGGCATGCCAAAAGCTCATGAGTGAATTCCGTTGGGTCCTTACCGGCACACCTATGACCAACGATCCGGCAGATCTACATTCTGTTTTCAAGTTCATTCGCCATCCCAAGGTTTTCAAGCTCACCCTCAAAGAGTTCAACGTTTATTACAGAGGCAGCGGCTCGAAGCGCGGAAGTGGATGAATGAAAAGACGGGCTTCAACTTCGAATGGGTAGCGACACTCGTATTTGAATCCACGAGATCTTGGACATACGAAGACGAACTATTCGGTCATATGTTGACTAATATACCGAAACCAATGTTTTTCGATCTGTGCAAAGATCTTTCGGTGCCAGAAAGAATCATATACTCGACCGTGCGTCAACGCCTGGAGCAGCTTGCGGTGGATAGATCCAAAGATCCCAACGCTACTAAGGCGCACAAATTTGTTGATGGACTGCTCATGCGTTTGAGACAGATGACAGGTCATGTGCTTCTGATCTACCCTGCCATTTTCAGACAGCTGACAGATGAGGACGTGGATACTATCGACAGAACGATATGCGAATACGCTAAACAGACCCCGGACCCACACGCAAATGACTACATTGAAGCTGTACGTGAGCTCCAGAAAGGCAACGCTTGTGTGGCATGCGAGCTACGAGCATATGATCTCCAATGGGCAGCATGCGGCCATGCTTATTGCCATGACTGTCTTGGAGATGAAGAGGATTACTTCGCAGAGAAAGACAAAAGATGCAGCCTTTGTCAGCGCCCTGTCTATCCACTAGTCGACGAAGCCGAGCACGAAAAGAACGAGAAGCCAAGGTGGCTGAACAAGAGCGGTAAAGTCATTCCCTCGACCAAATCTGCCGAAGTTGTCAACTTGATCAAAACTTGGCGGGATCCCATAACCGGAGATCCCAGTGCCAAAGTTGTTGTTTTCACCACGTTCAAGGATGCGCTCAAGCTTTTAGCAGATACTTTCAAAGAACAGAAGTGGAGATTCAGTATGCTGAGAGCAGACATGAAACCTCACGAGAGAACGGCAAGTATGAAGAAATTCAATGAGGATCCCAAAACCTTCATCATGCTGGCCACAAACGGAGTCGGAGGCGCTGGTTTGAATATGACGGCTGCAGGGTCAGTCTCCACGTCTGCTATCACGCGAACCAATACTGACTACCATATAGATATCTCATCAACTATGATCAATACTTCAACGAATCAACGGAACTCCAAGCTATCGGCAGAATTGTCCGTATGGGCCAAACGAGGCAAGCTACGATAGTTTCTCTCACAGCCACGGGAACAGTTGACGAGCATCTCAAAAACATCAGATGCCGAAAAACCATAGTCATCAAGAGAGTCGAGAAAGCATCCAAGAGGAAGACCATGGAGGCTCTTCTCAAACTGTTTGAAGAAACAAAGAACGACAGTGCTCTCTCAGAATCGGAATGGCAAGGAATTGAACACGGAGATGATGTGCTTTGAACAATGATTTGAGAATCAGCACGATGACCTTATGATCGCACGAAAAGCGACAGCTGGTCTTCATAGTCATTTAGATGCTTGGACAGCTCACAAAAAAAAAAAGAAAAAAAAATCCCTGCTAAACCGAATACGCGAACCTATCATGCCTCGTATCAATCTAGATCTAGAAACCGTATCTCTACCGGGTGTCTGAATACTAGCTTCTTCATCTGTACCAGGTAACCTGCGTAGATCCGAATCTGCCTAAGTCGATGTTGCACTTTTGGTTCGCTCACTCGTTTGTTTCCATTTCGTACGCACCTACCATAGCCAGGAAACATCTCCATCACTCTGACACTCTCTCTCGTTACCTCGATGATGCTTTTATCACTCGCATTGTTTATCCACGATTCCAGTCTTCTACCTGCTCACTGGGGACCCTGAACCCTTCAATCTTCGACTTCCGCGGACGCAGTTTATATCGTTCGAATCTCGGATCTCCCTTATTTGAGAGTCGATCTAAGGAAAGATCACATCAGTTAGATGGTGTGTTACACCATATTCCTTCCACAGCTGAGAAGTCCCTTCTGACTTACAATCTAGATAATCTCAGCACCATGTCCATGCATCCGAAGATCTCCATCAATTCTCACGAGAATCTTACCAACGACCTTCACGCCCGATACCGAACCGAGAGCAAAGCCCTAACGGCAAAGCACAAGATGAAGACAACAACTCTCCTCAACAAGATCCAAACAGCCAATACCCGCCACAAAAAGCTTGAGTCTACGCTCCAGAAAGACGTCCGTCGTTTGAAGAAGAAGCTCGCAAAGCGTTGCAGCAAGTTTCTTCGTGATCTAAAGGCCACCTCTTCTCTTGACGATGGTTTCGATTTGGACTCGGACAATATCATCGACACAGATGAGAGTGCGTTTGAACCCGCTGGTTCCTTCGAGACCGTCATCGAGGATGGCCGTCCTTTCCTCTTCGAATCAGAGACTGTCAGAATGCAGAGTACCGCCACTGAAACATCGATTGGCGAGACAGAGATGAAGCTCTGGAAACTGCGTGAATTCCTGCGCAGGGATAAGGGAAACGTTTGGGTGAAGTTGGAAGCCAGGTGGAACGAGGATGTCGCAGGCAATGATCCCTTGAAGACGCGACGACTCTCTCCAAACTCATCTGGTCAGAGAAACCCCGGAGAATCTTATGTTGGATGTGTAGCCTCAAGCATAAAAGTTCGTTCACATAGGGACAGTTACCCGGGCACATGAAGGTTGCAAACACACACGAGAAGATTTCGAAGGTAAGGAGGAAGCCCATCACGAAGGACCGGATGAGGGTCATAAAAATATTGAAGGACGCTGTCCTCGGGACAACGAGATGAGAAGAAGGCCAAGTGCAGACGACAAACCATCTAGCCTCAGTACTCAATTTCGAATGCAAGAAGCAAATATTACAGCAAGTACCTATCTTCCAATCTCTCGTGAGGCAGAATCTACGCATCTGTGATTCTGATATAATTCTCCTTACTGCAGCATAATGCTAGAGTATGTCCTGCGAGGGAATGAACAAGTCTCATGCTGAAGGAGGAAGAAGCTGCAACTGGTAGAACACAGATTCGGCCAAGAGATAGTGAGAAGTACTTTCCTCAAATCCATCATTGGCAGACGCCCGATTCGACCTCGAATGCATACACCAGTTAAAGAAGTTTCGGTTGGCCGAATTCGAGTTGTGGCCAAATATTCTTTACAAACTGCTTCTCGGAGCAACCGAGATGCTAGTACCGGACTATTTAGCTCCAGAAGAGCATCAGAGAAAGATTTTGCAGAAGATCAAGCACTTTACGGCTGTAGGCCGGATTGAAAGCTGATGAAAGTCTAGCTTGGTTGGAGGAAGGAGCACACTTCAAAGCAGATCCGGCCACAACCGTCTTCGACCTTGACATGAACAGCCAGTGACCTTTCGAGATCAACCTTGACAAGTGCGGTCTGCGAAACGAGAAAACGCCCCTAGCAGATGCGGTCCATCACTTGACAAGAGGATGGACTGGAGCGACAGGATCAAAAACGAGCAAACCAAGACAAGGAGTGTTGAAAAGACATTTTTGGCTAATAGCTAGGATAATCGAGAAAGAAGGGGTATGTACAGAAACAGAAAGAGAAATACAAACATCCACATTCATTCATACCAGAGTACAAGGGTACATCTAGTCGCCAATTACACTCTCAGCATCGTTAGCGACTTCATCTTGTTCTTCCTCTTGGTTGCCGCCTTCGGGCTCATCCACCATTTCATCATCTTCTTGAATTTCTCTTGCGCGAACGGCTTCTTCGTCCTCTTCTTCGTCTTCGTCTTCGTCATCCTCTACGACGACTTTTGTGCTCTTTTGTTGTTGGGGTGCAGCGGCTTTGGCCTTTCCCTGTTGGGCGCCAGTCTTTGCTGCTGCTTTGCCCTTGCCCTTCTTGCCTTTGGTCTGAGCGTCCAAGTGCTCGAGCACAAGCTTGAAGTTGTGTCCCAAGCGCGTCTTGTTGCGCTCGAGTCTTTGCTTGACGACAGCTACATTGACCATTCTACCCAGTATGGCCAGCACGAGCTTAGAAGATAGTTCGCAGAGTCGTTGTTCCGCGAGCAGACTGTTTTGCAACTTGGCCACGCGCTTTGCTTGAGAGGCTTGAGTCTGTTCATCATCTCCTTCAGCATCTGCTTCATCTTCAGCCTCATCCTCGGATACAGGATCTGCGTCAATGGGATCGGCAGGCTCCTCATCGTCTTCCTCGGATTCTTGTGCTTGTGAGTTCTCGGCCTCAACTTCGACATGCTTGCCGGTAGCCTTGGCAAATGCAGCTTCGGCTGCACCAAAGACACGAAGAATGCGTTTCTGCAACACTGCATCCATCTCTAGAGCCAATACGAGGTATTCATCGCCGTTCTTGTCAGTAGTGACTTGACGCAAAGTAGCCATGATGGTGTGTGCATCAAGAAGCATTCCGGACACGATAACGCTGAGCTCATCATTGACAGGGCGTGTCTTTAGTACTGCACCAAGAGCATTGACATATGCGTCGCGTCTCATGGCAAGATTCTCAAGCTCGACGTCGGGCAGAGCGGTTGTCTGCAGTGACTTGATGAACGCGGGTATACGCCACATGAAGTAGAACGTGACTGTGCGTGACGCATGCATGGCCAAAGCGTCGTCGAGGGCAGCAGTCTCTGGGTCCGAGCCCTTTGGTGAGGCGGCACGGTTGATGAGGGTAATCAGTGAGTCGATGGGTGGAGAGGGGTCTGGCAACTCGGGGCGTGCGGTAGCTGGTGCGGAGGGCTCTGTCTCGAAGTACTCTACCGGGTTAGAGATACTGGACAGCTTTTCCAGACGTAGCACTGTTTTGGAAAGAGCGTCAAGGACTGTGGTAGAAAGCAACCCGCGTGTTTCGAGATCTTTGCCGTGCGTGATTGTGTTGAACGTGCTGATGGTGTCTTCCCAGAGAGAGTCAATCCTCTCGTCGGGAACATCACCAAGCTCGTGATAGCTCTTTGCACGTAACAAAGCTCGACTGGCTTCTGCTAGCACCTCCTCGTTACTATGTGAGAGGAACTGCTTGTTGAAGTCGTTCAACAATGCTGCATATGTGGAAGAATCTTGTCTGAACTCCTGGAAAGCTTCCAGACTCAGAACGCGACCCAGACGAAGTGTGCTTGCAGCAGTCTGTGGTGATTCTCCGAACTTCTTAAGCAACCGTGGTATCACGTTCGCGAGGTGACGTGCTGCTTGCTCCTGCAATTCTTCGACATCTTCCTTCTGCTTCTTAGTTTTCTTCGTTTTCTTGTCGGAGTGTGCTTCCACAAGAGATGCGACGGCTTGTTTGACGGAAGAGTTCAATACTTCCAGAAGGATGACCTCCTCGTTCTCCGTAAGTGTGAGCTCCTGTTTCAGTTGTGACTCGCCGCCAGCAGCATCGCCATTCTGGGCTTCAACAGAAGTGTCATATAGAAGATATCCGGCCAGCTTCTCCCACTCGCGGACCTCGTCGATCTGGTCGTGGAGTGTGTCTGCAGCGATCATGAAGCGAGAGTCCGTGGTTCCAGCATGCAATAGGTAAGCAGCTTGACCAGGACCTCTTTCGACACTAGGTGGCATGTGGCCATCTGCCGAATCGTACGAGTCCAGTCCTTCTGCTAGGCACTTGAACTTGATCCACTCATGACAGGGGCTGTCAAAAGAATCACTTTCTTCTCCAATGACCTCCTCCAGCGCTTCTTGGCCACCAAGTGCATCAACTTTCGCTTCGTAAGCGTCGTTGATACTTTCGGCGAAGAAGCCGACTACTGATTTTCTTACTCTCGGCTCTGCGTCGAAGATCAGTCGTCCGATAGCGTCGATGTCATCGGGTTCGAGCAAGCCGCCCTCCCTCAAATCGTCCAGCAGTTCAACAGCCGCAGCCCGAACGCTTGACTCGGCATCCTTGGTGGCCATTTCGACCATACGGCCTCTGAAGCGCTCGGTGAAAGCCTTGAGGCCACCGAGCTTGTTCTTGTCTGCATAGAGTCGGTGCAGCTGCTTGATTGCTTCAAGACGCGCCGAGTGATTCGAGTCGGAAAGTACCCATCCCAAGTATCTCAAGTGTTTGCCGTTGAAATATAGGTCTGGGTAGGCTACTATCCATTCTCCAATGGCTTTTGTACAGTCAGCACGAATGTGAGGATCCACGTCTCGGTAACGGTGGATGTAAACCGTTTCGAACCAATCCTTTATAGTGTTATTGAGCTTTTCCTGATGTGCTTTTGCTTGCTTTGAGTAGTCCTGCAACTCGCTGACTCGTGTCTTGTTCGCATTTTTGCCCTTCTTCTGGGTCTCACTATGACGCAGTGCTTTTGAGGCCTCTTCTGCTAATTCACTGCCCACTTCGCAGAGAGCAGTGATGATGGTTAGCGAGACAACAGTGGCAGTGTGTCTGAAAGGTCTGTTCTGAGCTGCTGACATGGTTCCGAACCATACTTGCATGTTCTCGATTAGTTCGGGGTTGGTGAAAAGGACATCGGTGGTATGAATGGCCTTGATCAGCGTACGGAAGAAGCCCATTAGCGATTCTTTGAAAGCTGCAGTACCCTTGCCTTTTGCGATGATGGGATACTCCGAGACGTTTTGCTACAAAGCGGTTAGTAGGATTATTGTGTGATACGGCACTAATCAACATACTGCCTGGAATTCTTCTTGCAGATCGCCGAGCCTGCCAGCACAGTTGTCGGGATCCTCGATGTCTTCGATCGCTACTTCCAAGTCGCAGCCAGCCGATCTCAACACAAAATTGACCAAATCTGTCAAGGCGCCAGCTTCGTGTTCGTTGAATGCCGCAAGCCATCCTTCGGCTGCTTCGTCCAGTGTGTTGCCTCGGGCGAAAACTTCAGCTGCAGTTTTGAAGTCAGAATGTGTGTGTCTGGTTTGCGAATGTGCTTGAACCAACCGTAAAGACCTCCGGCTTCCTCTGCAGCGGCCTCATCCACACCCTTGGCTTTCTTTGAGCGACCCTTTTTAGCACCTGCTCTCGCAGGTAACGCGACTGAAGTGCCGTTTGTTTTTGAGCGCTTTGCAGCGGGCTTCTTTGGTACAGCAGCCTTTGCCTTGCGCGCTCTAGCTTTTTGTTCTCGAAGCTCTTCCTCGTCAGGCTCGCTCTCTTCTTCCTCGTCAGATTCTTCTTGGTCATCAAGCTGGTCGTCATCTGCAGCATCGCGCTTGCGCTTGGAGGCGGCGGGTGCTTCTTCGATGTAGAGTTCGGGCTTGCGCGAGACGCGTCCGGAGCGGCGAGAGCGACGCTCGTTAGTGGCATCTGGAGCCTCATCATGAGGCTGTGATGTTGGAGACGACATGGCGCAGTACAGGTTTGGCGCGTAGAATTATCCGGTTTGCGACAAGATGTGGTATGGTTTTTGGACGCGTCGACGAGATAGAAATGGTGAACTGGACACTGAGAACAATTAGATCATATGCCGCGTCCGAAACCTTCTCCCTAAGTGATAGAATAGACGCAACACAGTTGTCCAGAGTGTTGCGAATATGTGGGCTTGCTTCTGAAGCAAGACGGTGATGATCGCAGCTTCCCAAGTTCACGCGTGTCGCGTTGGAGCGGAAGCTTGGTGACTAGGGCCGAGGCAGCACACGCCGCCACAACGCTTTCCGCAATTGCTAGTTTACATATATGTCAAAATCTTTCCACATAACATATTAAGTCGCAGTGGTTTAGTGGTAAAATTCGTGCTTGCCATGCACGAGCCCCGTGTTCGATTCACGGCTGCGACATTGTTTTGTTTGTTCAGGTCCGACAAAATCTTTTGTCCCCTTAACACCTTAACGGGTCAATTGCTACTGTGTCGGACGTTTGAAGTGGATGAGGTTAAGATCTATGTCTCAAGTTTTTGTTTTCGGGCAGGATCATGGCTCTACAGCAATAATTGATCAATGATTATAGGTGATCGTGTTTTGTCATAATTGTAGCGTTATGCATCAGCTAGAGCATCCCGTGCCGTCTATTTGTGCAGCTTCCATGAAATGATTTCCTTCGTCTCCTTATTGAGACCATTACCCTCTAAAGCATTGCCTCCCGGACACGGACTATTTAGAGGCATTCTCGGACTGCTACGAGTCTGATTCCTTTACTCCAAGAATTCGATCATGACTGAACCGTTCTTGAGCCCAGCCTCCTCAATGGTCTGATCCAATGCCTCAATCAGGTTGCGGCCCATGAAGACAAGCTCAAAGTCAACACCTTGCTTGCCTTCAACAGGCGATGCTTTGAGCCACTCGTACATGCGGCGTACCTCCTCTTGAAGACCAAAGCGTCTGATCTGTCTTCCACCAGAGTATCTGAACTGGATACGAGTTGATGACGCCGGATCCGTAGGCTCAGTGTGAGGTTTGTCAGATGCGATCTGAGCGAAAGGACCGGCTTGTGATGCTGGAGGTTCTGTCTCTGCGTTCTCGATTGGTACACCGGTGTCGACAATGTCCATGGCGTCGGGGTCGACATCTGTGCTGTTACCCTTGCTTGATTCTGCCTTGGTGAGAGCATCAGGGTCCTCGTCCTTGATTGCTGTACCGCCTTGCTGAAGACTGTTTTGCATTGCCATCTCCAGCATTTCCTCCTCACTCATTTTGTCCACATCCTTTGACTTCTTCTCAGGCTTGCGGGTAGCAACCGGGTTCTTTGCGAAAGCCTTCAGGCTGTAACGATCCAGGAATTCATGCAGATCCATCAGGAAGTCGGAGGCTTTCGGGACAGGGGCACCTGACCAGATCTTGACCTGCTCACCAGTTCTGGGGTCAACAATGGCGATGTGAGGGTATGCGTCGTCGCTGTCTCTGTTTTGGAAATAGTACTGAACATATTGAGTGCCGCGTGGATCATCCTTGGAGTACTGCAAGAAGATGAAGTTCTCTTGAATGGTTTCCTTGATTTGCGAGTTTTTCCAGATGTCACGGTTGAGAACCTGGCAATCGAAAATTGAAGGGTCCTGCACATTGACAATTATCCATTTCTCCTCCTCTTTTCCTTCGTCGCGAGCATCTTGGAACGATAGGTGTGAGATGAGGTCGGTAGGGGGTCTGAAGAGCTCGGCGAGCAGAGTTGATTTGGAGGATTGTTCCGAGGCGCCTCCAGTAGCACGAGCGAGATTACGACGGTGTGTTTCGGGATCGGCTGAAGTAGCGAAGCCAGGATTAGCATCGTCGTCCCATACAGAAACTTGGTTGAAGATGCCGGGTCGTGTGTGGGCTACTAGCATGTTAGCAGGCTAGTTGGTTGTCTTGAGTGCTATGACCGACCTCTTCTCTGGCGTGCCATCATCTGCTCGTGAACGGCAGCGTTAATGTCGTCCTCGTCGTCGCCAGCCCATCTAGAGCCAGGACCAACAAGAGTCTCTGTGGTTCTAGCCATGGGGGCTCTGACTTCTTCTTCACCGCCGGCATTTCCGTAGGCCTCCTGCTGAAGACGTCTTGCCATGGCCTCGTCATCCTCGTAGGGAGCATCGTCATCATCAGAGTCTATCGTCACAACGCCGTTGTCATCCTGGTTGTAGCGACGAGATGCTGGCTGGGCAGCGGGCTGGGATTGCTGGGGCATGGCAGCGCCCATGTCGGCGCCATCGCTGTCAAAGTAGAGTTGAATAGCTTGTTCAAGGTTGTTGTCGGTGAGGGTGAGGTATTGACGTGCACGTTCCGGCGTCGCTGAGGTGATGGCGGTAAAGTTGGCGATTAGTTCGTCGTCCATGATTGCTGATGTCGTAAATTCAGGTTGCCACTAGTTGGCGAGAATTGTTTGATACGGAGGCTCGAGTCGTACGAGATGAACGGCGAAAGGAACGAAGGTGGCGGGAGATGTCACTCGATGTGCGAGTGACGGCGACGGGATGTTCTTGTCGAGAGAAGATGGAAGTGATTCGAAGGACTGGAATTCACTTGGTTCAACTCGGACATCGGACTTTGACGGTGTAGCAATCGCAACATCGTCATACCTTGTTCACAAGCCTGCATAACTATGCACGATGATGCAGGCAAGAGCGTCCGAGCTCGCTCCTGCCTCGCGACTCGCGAGTCGCGACACGAACAACTTGGAACATCAGCTATCGAGTCCTTCACATCCCTTCCTGAAGCCATCTTGATGCCAACCTGCTTTTTCACGCCTCTTTCCAATCATGCCGCCTCAACAAGGTTACATCTCTCGCCAATTCGAGGCTCTTGAAGATGGTGCCAAAACTCCCATGGCCATCTGCCGCCACTGCAACGACAAGAAGGTTGCAAGAAACATAGTCGCTCGTAAAGTTGCTCATCTCGCTGCCTGCGAGGCATATTACACCTATCTTCAAGCCTTGCTCGACGATGACTCCTCTAATGCGGGAGAAAAAGAGCTGAGGCAGCTTCCTGATGAGCTCAAGGTCAAGATCGAGCAGCGTACTGAGCAGCCTTTGGTTACAAAGACGAGTCATGCCGCTGCTGAGGTCGCCAATCAAGAGGTTCTCAAGTCTGACCTTGATGAGACTCTCATGCAGGCCATCTTCCACGGCAGCTTACCTTTCGACGCTTTCGAGCCAAACAAACATCCTCATCTGCTTCGGCTCTGCCGTATGATCATGCCCGACTTTGTTCCTCCTTCGCGTGCGCGTGTCGCTCAGACCATGGCCGATATGTCTGTTCGCTCTGTCATGCCAGCTCAGCAAACTCAACCACCTGAGCAGTTCTTCACACCTCGTACGGACCCTGTTGACAGAGCCTACGCTCAAGAAGAGTCTGCTCGCGCTGCCCTTTCATCTCGCATTGTCAATGACCTACTCTCTCGCGCAACTCCACAATCTACCCCTGGATCAAAGCGTCCCTTCGATCTTGTCTGAGGACACAAACTCTTACTGGTTCATGCGCAGCACACCAAAAACATGTTTCGCACGTAGTTCCGGCAAAAGAACCTTTACAGGCCTATAGCCTCTGAAGGAGAGGAACACGCACCGGTGACCTTGGGGGAAGAGGGTCCACAAGGTGTGTCGAGAGGGGTTTACTTTAAAGCAGCAATCGGGACTCTCAACCACTGCCTGGAGGAAAGGACCTATGTGGTTGTGGTGAATGGCGAAAGAGTGGGTTCTTGTTCCTCGAAAGAGAGGGGTTCAAACCCTGGTTCAAGGATAGCTGCTCCACCAGATGTTAGGGGCTTACCAAGTGGGCCACGGATTGGTGCTGGATTGTTGCTTGTAAGGGCCGCAACTTTTTCTGTATATATAGGCTTGCTTCAGCTCACGTGGCTTTCGCTGAGTGGCAGATAGTGCGACGCATTTCTCAGTACTATCACATGCAAAGACTTCCTCTCAATTGATTTTGCGTTGTGTCTCGCAGTATCCTCTTAGTGGGATATCATATCCGTATGCTAAAGTGTTGACTGCGTGTAGCTTTGAAAATGCACAACACTATCGAGAATCAGCACTGTGCCCACTGAGAAACAACAGTTTGTCAGCTCTCTGTGGATATGCCTCTGCTTCTGTAAACCTCCGTGCCTTTTTGCAGTATATACTTCTTTTGCTAGAGCCGGAGTACGGTTGGAAATACGGGCTCTACAGTTCCTCATCAAAAGTCTCCGGACACCCCTGCTTATTACACCAGTCTTGCAAATGGCAACTCGCGGACAGCTCGCGCCTTGATCAAAATTGCGGAACTGAGAGCCACGCAATCGGCTGATAGACTTGCTCACTTCAGGGAGGCTCTCATGGATTGTTTCGAGTCTTATCTTGGTACAAGGCTTTTTCATACGTCTATATATAAATTACAGCTACCTTCCATTCTCTGACTCAGACCAGACCTCCCTGACCTTTTGCCCTACTCCTTTATTCTTTGTGCCTTAGCCCTGAACCTTTCTGGACTTGACATAAGTGACGTTGATGTAGTTGTCCACAATGCTAGTATCAGCGAGAGGGTTATCCGAATGGTCGACAAGCAAAACCTCCTCAATGTTCGATACACCAGTCATGAAATTAGACCCAGCGGTCACTGAAATGTTGGTAAAGACGACGGGGGTAAAGTGGGCCAGATGCACTTCGTCGTGGGGATGTTTTATACTGGCCTGTCCAACAGCCCAATGTGCTTTGGTATTGCAAACAGGCCTGTAGCCCATGCCAGCAAACTTGTGCGAGGCGGATGTCTTCTTGCTGTTGTTTTCGATCAGGATAGATCCACTGGTTCTGCTTGACAATTCCACCGTCATAGTGATACTGTCCCCAGCAGAGATGGTCATGTCCTTGGCAGGTACATACTGCTGAGTCAACCACTCTAACCACACTTCGGATTTTCCAGTGGGAAATAGTTCTATAGCAGCGAGTATTCCGCCGTTTTCACCCTCTCCGTCGCAGTGGCCGTCGTAGATGCCCATCGCTATTGCAACGTACTCGCCCGTGACCTCGCCCCTGACACCTTCTGGTGTTGCGAAGACTTCCGGTGCGACGAAAGTCCCAGACACACTTGTGATGTCCTGGCCTGAGAAGACGCCACCACCAAAGTTGTGGTCCTTGTGCTGTTCGGCGGTTCGATCAACAAGAAGCGTGGCGTATAATCTGCCGTCAATATCATCTACCATGGTATCGTTCGACTCGATATATTTAGGCTTGCAAGTCCAGTGTTCAGGGTGGTGGTCGCAGTATTCAGGTCTGCAAAAATCTGCCAGCTGATTGCCCTTACAGAACTCCGAGCAAGGGAAGACTTCTGGATTGACATCGCAATATGTTGAGCTGATGTCACCTCTTTTGGCGACGAGAAGAGCGGGTTCATCGTTGTGCTGGGCCATGAGAGGAACAGCACTGACGATGCTGGTAAACAGCAGGCCAATCAGAAGGGTAAAGAGCTTCATTCTGGCTTGATAGATCTGATTCTCCGTATGAGGCGAAAAGTGGTGGATAGTCCAGGTGAAAGTGTTGATAGAGAAGAGAACAACAAAAAAGAAAGGCGTGCTGCGTTGTGTGACTTTTAAGTGTTGTAACTTGCTCATCGCTCTGTTACTCATCGCACCTTCTGCGTTTGGTGCCTACCTGTCGCAACCAACTCAAATGTGCTCCTTCCGCCAAGCCTATATACTTCAAATGCTGCGACCAAATCATTCCTACCTTGGCAATGCTTTCTACAAGAGGATTCGGAGGTCCTGAGTGATTTTATGTCTGATCTCTGTGAATGACTGAAGGCCAGGAGACGAGTATGGCTTCGAGTTCTAGGGTTTATTATTGGAGCCGCAAGGATCGTGCAAAAGATGATGAGCATGGTGAACGTCGACAGACACAAATCAAGACGTTGGCCATGGACTCTGATTTCCCAGTCAAGACATCCAAATGAGTAGCCACAAGCTGATTTATAGCTCACAAAGTTATGCTATACCAAGAGCAGCCTGCGTCGGAAGTCCTTCTTCTTTATGTATACAACTCTTGAAAGGGGTTGAAAAGATATGACCATGAACCGACAAGGCATCTGATGTCGACGTGGATCTCGTGATGATAGCTTCGAGGGCCCAAGTGATGACCACAAGACGATGCGAATATACCCGAACAAGAAGCAGCAGTTGTGGCATGTAGTCAAGATGGACTGGCCCGTGAAGCATGAGAGCCATCAACTGTGTGAATTTGTCAACAATCACGGGCTCTTACCTGAAGGAGATTGCAAATGGTTCTTCCAGCAAGACTCCCTAGGCACGTCTTCACAGCATGTCGTCGCAGTAGACGTTATCACGTATTCGACCGTGAACACGAGCAATGGTACGATATCAGAAGTCTAAACAGACTTCATGGCATCCCCAAAGCCAATCTCGTATTGTGCATTGACTGATAGCTTCAGGTAATGCTGTAAAGTTTCTCGGGCTTCTGACGGGGTCTGACTGTAATTTTTGACAAACAACATTGAACGGTTCTTTTGACCTGATTCAGCAGTATGATAGACCCTAGGCCGCCAGATGTTTTGTCGAAGGATCAGCGACTTGTCACATGATTTGAAGTTCGAGCAGCGAGTCGTGGTCTGTTGTCATCTTACGGCCGGTGTACTTACTCCGCAGATCGGACGACAGTCCATGCAGTAAAGAGAACCCCTGATCAGCAAAAGGCCAGACGTGGACTACGTGTGCAAAGATAAGAGACGGCGTTTGAAGGACGCGAGAAAGCAAGATGGTCGCCGAGACGGTGGCCGTAACTGCTGACCGACACTTTTAGAGTCGCGGCCTTCGTATCCCATCGACCCGACATCCGTCTCCATATCCCACGACTCGAATCTTGCATTGGTGTTGGAGGCCGCATGGAGCGTGAGTCAGTGACATACCAAGAGCGAAGTCGGGAATTGAATCTCAAACGACTCGGAGTGTATACAGTCAGCAGAGAATGTCACTAATGTGGAAGACCTTTCGGACAAAACAAGGAGAGTCGGCAAGCGACGAGAGAACTCCTGTCCGAGAAGCCTTGACCGATTGTACGAACGCGCAATATTAGACCCGCTGTTCAAATATCCATTGATTGACTGATGGGCCGTTGGTCGGGTGTTCTCGACTCCGCGTGTTCTAAGAAGAAAAGAAGGGGAAATTTGATCGCATGAAAAGCACGAGCGCGCATGTGGTGCGACGTGAGCCTTTTTTGTGACTTTGTCCGTGCTTGTGGAGGAGACTCGGAGTGAAGACAGGAACAAGTGTTCTGACTGCTGACTCTTAGGACCAACCGTGCGAACAGCTGAGGAGATTGTGTAAGCGCACATGTTGAGCTAGAGTCATGTCTAGTGCGAAATAATCGAGCATGGATTCTGCATTCACCAGATGTAGTTATTGTGCATCTAGATACATATGCTCACGATACTTTTCTAGCGTGAAACAAAGCTTTCTGACAGACTTTAATCTGTCGCGTGTTCGTTGAATGAAGAGAAGAGAAGAGAAGAGGTTTGCCAAGGATGAAGTAGTATGAAGATATATGTTCGTTCATTAAGCCGTATATGTTTGTCGTAGATATCATAAATGGAAGAAACACCACGCTTCCGGATGCTGTGCCCAGATCTAGCATCAAAGTCATGCCACCACCGTGCATGGAAAAGATGAGAAGAAAAATCCGGAGAGAAAATAGCGCAGCCAAGCACCGGCTATTACTCACTCTTTCCCAACCTCAAACAAAAAAAAATATTCCCACAACGCCGAGACAACCGTTCTCGCTACACCTTACCATGCTAAGACCATTCGCTTGCCGAATAACCAACAATGAAGACAGCAAATGCCATCTGAAGGAAAAAAAAAAAACAGAAACAATATGATGATCGTTATGAAGTAGAAAAGCGAGGATGGCGTAAGATAACCCCACGTCGAAACGCGTCGTGGACTAGCGAAGGCTGCTTTGAGAGAAGATAATCATGACCGTGTGCTCTAGGCCAGAGACGAACAACCGTTCTCTGGAGATATTGCGCTCTAGGGCTGTGAAGTGAGTTCGAACTCAACGGACTGGCGAGAGACGGGAGCCGGGATGATCCAGGGTCTGGAAGTGGGTATCGCAATTGTTGTTACTCGATGATTACTCGATCGAAATTGGCACCCAGCGGCGAGGGATCTTTCTAGAGACAGCCCTGGGAGCGCCGATAGAGACAATGTCGTCCTCGTCCTCATCGTCGTCGAAGGCGCTGTTGCGAGCAACAGGCTGCTTGCGTGGTGGAAGCCAGATTCTGGCACGTCCACTGGCACCCTCGTCAAATTTACCTCCACGTCTCATGTTCATCTCGAGCACGATGACACGAAGAAAGTCGCTGTTCTCTCGAGGTTCGCGTTGCCTAGAGGGCATGGGCCCCTGCCCAGACATAGCGCGGCCAGCTTCCGAACGAGAGTCTGGTGTGCCAGTGCTTGAGCCGCGGCGCGTGCGGCGGGGCGAAGATGCGGCCCGTTTGTTGTAGGTTTGCATCTGGATCATTGGAGCCTCGGGAAACTCGTTGTCAGGCGAGTCTAGCGAAGAGAGAGCCTTCTGCCAGTGGTGTTGTTGCTCCTCAAAGGGAACAGGAGCCGAGCGCGGATTCAGGTACTGGCGATGCGACTTTGATGGTGTCGAGGTAAAGGGGGTAGGTCTGAGCTCCGAGCTCAATCTCGGAAACAGGTAAGGATGTTGCCAGAGCGAAGCATCGGAGAACGAATCTTCATCCAGATTCAAGTTCAGAGATGAGAACGAAGAGGTCACGCGAGACTTGAGGGCTTGCAGTGATGAGCTCAAGTTGGAACGGAAACCACCAGATTTTCTAGGCTTGCGCTCCTTGGGGCATGGCGAGTTGATAAGAATGAGATCCTCGTCGAACTCCATGGTTGGTAGTCCGAGGGGGTGATCGATGCTACAATCCTCGATTTCTGGAGTGTAGAGAGTCTTCTCTTTGCGGTAACTGCCCATGCTAGACTTTCGACTTCGGATGGAGTCTGGAGTGGCGGGATTGCTGATGGACATGACCGAGCCGTCGTCACCATCCAGGGAGGGAATTGAGTCACACGAAGTTGACCTTGAAGAGTACATGTGCTCGTAGTCATCTACGTCGGCTGATCCAAGGAGCATGTCCAGTGAAGCGCTGCTGTAGCTGGACTTGGTCGAACTGTCCTTTCTCCATTCCTGGATGAGCTCATCGATAGACATGTCCCGGATGGGACTCTTCTTGCGTCTAGTCTGCGACTTGGGAGGAGGAATAGCAGTCACAGCCAAGAGTGCAGCGACGGCCGGAGGGAGGGCATCAGGTCGGTGTTTGGTGTCGGAGTTTCGTGATGTTCTGGATGATTTGCTGCTGGCCCTAGATGATCTGACATGTTTGAGATCTCTGGAACCCCGCCGAGGAGAAGGAATCTCGACGGGTCTCGAGGGTTGCAGTGTTGAAGGCATGGCAGGCGTGAGGATCCAGAGTGGTGGTTGGCTATAATTGGAAGTGTCGGAGCGTGGGGGTAGGGGTGTTGAAATTGGTGTCGGAGGAGCGACGGAGGGCTTTTTGGATTTTGGTGTTGAAGATGGTCTTTGTTTTTGTGAGTCTGGCGATGAAGAGTACTTGAAAGATCGCGGAACAAGCATATTGAAGAGAAGAGTCAGAGCGCGATGCTAGCGGCGGCAGTGTGGATGACGTTGATTCTTATTATCAAATCGGCCGAAAAGCCAAGGGCGCACGTTGGGCAGTGTCGTTCCGACAGCAGGGTCCGGTCCAAGTGGCCTTAATCTCGAAGAACGCGAGTTGGGCGCTGATGAATATTGCGACTTGTGGACTCGTTGAGCGAAGTCAAAGAGTGCACGCGAGATGAGAAAGGCTTCGTTTCACCAGCAGGGAGGAGCGAGACAACATTAGATAGTGGATCGCGTGGCCCTGGGGTGCAGCAGCCTTGCTGATAGATAAGGATGAATCGACAAGTCGGATGCCTAATGAAGCATCCGATGCGTTTACGCGCGTGAAAAGCGAATGCCTCTCCAACGGTCTTTCTGACGACTTTCCAGCCGACAGCCACCTTCGAGACCTTGTGGAGATGCGATAATCGCTTTCTTTCTTCTTTTCTTCTTGCCAATATCATCAATCGATGCGATGCCCTCTCTCATGACGGTAATAAGCATCATGTCACCTTGCACAAACACTGTATCAAAGGGCGGATGAGGCGCTCGCTGCCGACCGCCGGTGGGTTTTTCCTGCCCTTTCCGGTTAGCCACCCCGATTCTACGGTTTAACTCGACTCGGCTTGGCTCGAAGAACAGCTTGGACGCTGGGGAATTCTAGAAGACGAAGAAGCGCCGGCCGCTTTACCTACCTTTTCCAAGCAGCGTTGCGGTGGTTGGGCCAAATCTCGATGTCAAGCAAGTTGCAACAGCAGGTCCAGCCAGGTGCAGCATCCGTCAAGAAATCGATGCAAAGCCACTCGTGTTCCGCCATCGGGTATCTGCACCTTCTTCAAGCCGATCATCCGCGAAGAAGAAGCAAAAGCACGGTCATGTCATTACCCCGGACTGCCACCCACGCGACCCTCGCAAGGTCCGCCGGTTGGCTCTCATTGGCTGAAGATAAGACACAATTCCCAAACACATTCTCAGTTGCCCAAACAGGGGCGTGTTTGCTGTTTCGGACTCCTGCTCATCAAGGTCACACGAGTGTTCCTGGGATGCAGGAGCATGATACGTTGCTATACACTGTCAACTTGTCACATTCGAGAAGACCGTCTTGGACGCAGTCGTCGCCGTGACTATCGTCAGAGGGTTGATTGACGCACCTGTGAATGCTTCAGAATAATCATTTACACTTTCCTATTCCCGTCACGAGATAGGCAGGCCGATGCGCTGTTCTCATCATGGTGATCGGCTAAATGCTAACGCCCGCCCGTACTCTACTACCATATCGAGTATGCCAAGTGTTTGTCACCATTCGGCCGGAGTCGAGATTGCATCGACAGGGCGACTGTTGCTTGTCTGACCAGCAAAATGCGGCATAAGACTTCTTGATGCCCATCGACCGCCAGTTTTGAAGACATGTCGGCCTGAGAGGGTGGTAGATTGTTGTCATAATAGGCGGCAGCGCAAGCTCAAGTCTACGGCAGTCATCTATCCAGCCCAAGAGCAGCACCGTCTTCTAACCAGACCGTGCTGTTTGACCGCTCTGTTTCTCTACGCCTGACCTAATAACGAGTCGCAAGCCTTGGTGGCCTTTAGAATCATTTCTGCCATATGAGGCCGCGTTGAGGCGGTGAATCGTTCAGTCCTGGATGCCAGTTCACGAAAAAAATACAGCGCTCGTGCAAAATCATTCCACCTTCCTAGAAGAGGTATAGGCACCGAGAATCATATTCGACACGCCTCTACCTTCTCTGAGACTTGAGTCCTTCCTATTTGGACGCAGTACGATCCTCACATTGTGGAGAGCTGGCTATTGCACCTCCCATGTCGGAACATGACCCGATACTTCCTGGGCGCTGATTCTGCAACGCAACCAAACGGCCATATGACATGTGAGCACTGACAAGTCCAGAGCTGGCTTTTACCAAACGACATTGACCAACAATCAGATCTACACGAGTTTGATCCTACAGTCTCTACTGGTAGCGAGGTTGGTACGCACGTTTGTCCCTGATAGACGCCTCCATCTCTAGTACTGTAGGGCGCGACATGCGCGTGAGATGTACGTATGCAGGGGCGTATCTCAGCTGTCAACCACCTGCCTCCTCAGCATATCGTCTCGCTTGTCGGTCTTGAGCTTCCTTCATCGTTTCGTATCCTGCAGGGCCATTTTCCACCAACGCCACAATTCTGCTGTAATGACCTGTCTCTGTGCCCCTTTTGTGATGTTGACAGCGAACGAATGTTTCTTTCGCGCAGTACACGACATGACATTTCTCGCATGCCATAGTTCCGCCTCCAACATACTGCTATCTTTCGCGAACAAGTGAATTTCGGGTTCGAGATGGGGTGAAGCTGCCGTTCATTTAGTAGCATGTATCATTTGACCTAGGTAAGGAGCCTCAATCGGCCTGTGACAACAGGTGCACCCTCAAACCATCGAATTGAATAACACAGTATTCAAGAATTGGAGATTCGTTGTTTACAGGCCTGCCCAGCTAGAAGAAGAGTGGTCGTCGTCGATGGAAACAATGGGCAGGGTGGTCCCGTCTGCAGTCAGCAAGTGCACGGACCTCTAACATATCTTGCTAGACATCTGCTCATCCACTCTGCTCGAGACTTACACTTGACCAGACAAAGCAATGACCGTGAGTTCAAGGATCTGAGCAAATTTTGTAGGCTGCTCAAGGATTTTTGGCAACATACAAGGTAGGTGTCATGTCCAGCCCATGCAAGAGCAATACCATGAGATAGTGGTTGTGTCATGGTTACGTGCTTGCCAGTACGCATAGCCTGAACAATAAGTAGGTATTTTCTCGAGCCACTTTCTTCAGATCTCCAATCACAAAGATCATGTCACTCAAGAATATCGCGCTATTCGGCGCCAATGGCCAAATTGGCGGCTCAATCCTCAAAGCCCTGACGAACCACACATCGCAAAGGTTCAGCCTCCTAGCCATCAAAGCTCCAGACTCACCTTCACCACCCGAAGCCTCGAACAAAAATGTCACAATCAAAGAAATGGATCTGCTGCACACATCACGTAAACAAATGGCCCAGGAACTCCAAGGCATAGATGCAGTTGTCAGTGCATTAAACGGACCAGTTCTAGAAGCTCAAATCGACATTCAAGACGGAGCAGCAGATGCAGGAGTCAAGCGATTCATTCCCTCGGAGTATGGTATGCACCACATATACCGCAAGCCCAATGATCCACAGGGCTACATCCATCCACTCTGGGACGCCAAAAGCAGACTCAATGAACGCGCTATTTTGCACCCAGCCATCAAAGAGGGCAGAATGTCGTATACGATGATAGGCTGCGGAGACTTTTACAACCAAGACCGCGAGAAAGTTTGGTGTCCTTGGACTCAGACGGATGTGGATGAATACACTTTTCACGTCATCGGCGACCCCAATGCCAAAGCCGATTACACACATATCTCAGACTTTGGACTTTATGTAGCTGCTTGCTTATCCTCCCCCTCTGTCTCCGAAAACGCCCACCTAAACTTCCCTTCCGACCACATTTCCCACGTCGAGATAGCAGACCTCCTCAAAAATTATTCTGGCAAAAAAGTAAACCTGGATGTTATGGGTGAAGACAAGATGCACGAGGTGGTTGCAGACCCAAAATCAGCTCCAGAACACCTCCAAAATAAAAGTTCTTTTCCAGTGGACTTTTGGTTTTTGGTCAAAGGGATGCAGGGAAGTGGGAGGTTCTGGCGTCCGAGGGGCATGAATCACAATCATCTGTTCCCAGAGATTAAACCCACTGTATGTTGTTTCAAGACACACTTTGCGGAGAATCGTACGTGTGCTGACTGATTGTGATTTGCAGACTTTTGAGGCATACTTCAAGCAGCGTTTTCAGAAGAGTTGAGACATGAGCGCAAGAAATGCATGACTACAGGAGAAGGAAGAATGAGATATCTATTCTGTTATTCGTACAGGGTGGGATGGCAGTAATTGTACATGACTGATGCCTGTCTGTAGTGACGAAATTCTTCTTAATGTCTGTTTACAAGCAGAATAAGTCAGAAACAAGAAAGCATCCCGCTCTTGGCTGTTGCAACCACTCTTTCAGCAAAGATAGGAAGACATCGCAAGCGCGGTTGATCTGCTATGAAGAACAGACAAGGGGAAAAATGTGCATAAGATCTGCTATATACAATCCCAAAAAGGCAAAAGTCTGTACCAAGTAACGTTAGAGAAACTACGCTTTTTGTTCGCTGTAAACGAGAGTGATGGAAAGGAAGAAAGAAGTTGTCCTGTGAACCCCTAGCTATCGGAACTCCTGCCCGCTAGCAACTTCGATATCGATAATCTGGAACACATCATACAGCAAAATCAAACATTCCCTTTGCCCTAGCCAGGTCCTGAGCCTAGCATCCCAGTACGCCCTAAGATCAGTATGGGTTTAGTGGTTTTCGTGGGTTGTGTTACTTCTTTTTGGCCCAAAGGCTTGCAAATTTTTCTTTTTTCGTAGACTCGTGACGGGTTGAGATTCTGTCTTGCTGCTGGCAGAGAACAGGAGAAGGCGAAGGATGAATTTCAATTTTTGTTGTCCTACTCAGCTGACTCCTTGGGGTCGTCAGCGTCCATCATCTCCTCCTCACGACTGTTTCTACCCATGCTCTGCAACCAGTTCTCGGCACTTTGTAGAGTAATGCCAACGACGTTGTTGACTTGAGCCATCATGTCGAGACCTTCAGTTGCAAAGGCGATCATGCGGTGGGCTGCTTTGCGAGTGTTCTCGTCTGCACCCTGACCTGCAGCTGCCTTGCCGTCTTCACCACCATCGGCCTTGATGGCTGATTGAGACGGAGAAGATGCCTCTGCTGACTGTGTGGCGCATCGCCATCGTTGCGGAATTGACAACAACTGCCCTTTGACAATGTTGCGGGCGTTCTCGGGTAGAGCACCTCCAGCATAAGTCGAGACTGAATTGACCACAGTCTGGATAGTGTGCCAAATGTCGTCGCAGAGCTGCTTGATGCGTCTTGCAAGCATTTCTGTAGACTGGTCACGCTCGTTGCCGCTCTTGATCTCAATTACGATACCGGCCTCTCTTTCCTTCTCTTGTCTTGCCCTGTCTTGTTGTGATGTTTCCTGTGATTGGTCATACTCGTGTAGAACCATCTTCAAGGCATTCATTACGCTCTCAACATGTTCAGTGGCTGAAGAGAGAAGCTTGACGCAGTACTGAAGGCTTCGCAAAGAAGTATCGCTAAGTGCAACACCAAGAGCAGAGGTCGAGATGAAAATCTTGGTTGACCAGCTTCGATTGATAGCAGGTCTCTCAACACCTCGGCTTCTCTCCGAACCATGAGGGCTGACTTCCTCTCTGTATGAAGGTGGTTTGTTGGCCTGGTATGCAGGGAGGAACTCCTGTGAATCTTGCAGGCTCGGATCTATACGGTCGACATCCATATCGTCCGACGTTACTCGTCGACGTTTACTTCCATGTGATGAGTCCGTGGCTGGTGAGCTGGGTCTTCTGCTATCGAGGTATCGTCTGATACCTCCCTCGACGCCAGTACGTCTACCAAGGTTGCTGACGGTACTAGCGACAGGAGAGCCAACATTTCGCTCAACAAGATGCACTCCATATCGGACGATACGAGGTGAGAAGTTCTTGGTCGCGTTGTAAGCAGATAAACTTCCGTTTACAGTATTTCCGACCCAAGGATGGGCGTCGACTAGGAGATCCAGTAGCGGTTCGAGGTCCTTGTTTGAAGAAGCCGAGGCACTTGTAGGACTGGGTTTGGACGCTGATGGTCGTGTCTTGGGAGAAGGCGCAAAGTCTATTATATCAGTCGACGTTACAACCAAGTGCGAATCGAGTATACACACCAGGATTCCCAAGACCAGATAGAGCTTCGGCAGCCAGGCGAACATCGGGGTCATCCATTGATACACTTGTTGAGCGTTGGGTTCCGTCTTCGATACTCATATTGCTGGCTGCATCTGATTCAATGCTAGTTCGAGGCATGCTTATTTGCGGGTCCATGTCTCTTGCAGCGGCAGCATTGAGTGAGACATTGGGGTGAACAGTCTTGGAGGGGAGGTCGGCGAGGACAGACTTTAGGTCGGGAAGAGTGATGTCGGTCGGGGCATGATTCGAGTGAAGGTCCTGAGTAGGGACTGAAGGCAGTTTGAGATTGTCGGGATGGTGCTCGTAGGCGTATCCGGGCGGCGCTTGGCGTTGCGATTCCATCGTTGCACTGACGTCGACAGAGCTCCTGCGCAAGTCGGCGACGACTCTGGCAGCAGCAGCTAGCAAAACACGACGGGATGGATTTGACAGCGATTGGGAAGTGATGGAGGCAGGTTGCGAGGGCTCATTGGCATTGGTCGTGATGGGAAGGACGTCGATGAAACCCATCACCTTTCGGGTCTGCACAACGGGCAACAGAAATCACATGCGGCCTTGGCATGACCCGCGTCTTCACATGTCAATGTCATTTTCTGCGGGACCGCTCTGCGCTTTGCTCTCCACCACGATGTCATATTCAAACTCTTATCGTTTGCTCTCTGGTCACTGTCGAATTGTAGACTATCCTGAATTCAGTTGAAGTAACAATTCTGGTGTCAGCTAAAATTCGTCGTCAAATACTGAGTGATCCTATGTGGTACTGCTGAGTATTGGTGCTGCAAGATGCCGCTATCGATGCAGGCGTTGGCAGACTGGTAGCCAACGCCTCGAGCCATCCAGGTCTCTCATTCACATGATTGCCGACTGTGCTGCTTCCGAGATTGAAGTGCCGGGAGATAACATCCACAACTTGTGGGAAGAATTTCTGCGCTTATCCACGTGTTTGATAAACACCTGAAAGCAACAGCTCAACCATTCCTCGGTTCTCAGTCTTCCTGGAAATAAAGACCCGTGGTTCTGTTGAACATTTATTGCTGTGCCACACCGAATAGCGTGAGGTAATCTTCCTTCCTGAACATGTGCGCGCTGTCCACCGCATTAGGTTGTCCCGCATACACATCTGCCTTTCTCTCAAACAAAAGTCTGACCACGTCGTCCGAGCCCTTGAATACAGCACCAGCAATAGGACTCTGGCCTCTGTCATTCAATACATTCGGGTCCGCGCCTTTGTCTAGCAACATTTTGGTGGTTTCGGCATGGCCATGGTAAGCTGCTAGCATGAGCAATGTGTCGCCTTTGTGATTTGTAAGGTTTGGTGGAATGCCACTATAGATTGACCATTGTTAGTTTTGTTTCTTGATACAATGTTCAAATAAAGCATCAAGAAAATGGTTCAATCTATATTAATAGCGAAGAGGCTAGCAGTGTCACAATTGACAATTCAAAGACTGCTCTCCAAAGACGCAAACTTTCATTGACTTACGCGCTGACGTATTGTGCCAACTCATCCGTCTTGCCTTGTCTTGCAAAATCGAATAGTTTGCCTGCCAGTTCAAGCGCTGCGGGTGGTAGGTCGCCGGCATGTGTCGGCATGCTGCTCGAAGGTGCGTCGTTTGCAGGTTGTGCTGGTTGCTGTGGAAGACCCATGGCGATTGTGTGTGATGCTTCTTCTTGATTGTGATTTCAAGTGTCTGAAAATGTGTTTGGAGAAATCATAGAGTTGATGTCGTCTTGTTTTATGACCGTGCTTGAGTGGTAAGCAATGACATCATAGAATCTTGTGGATAGCGATATAGAAAATCACGAGTCAGTAGATGAATGGAAGCATATGAAAACAATGGATTTTTTCCTGTCCTGTGACTCCTCGCTAAGTGAATACATCCAGATCTTTAAATGTACATGACTCCTCCCATGCAATGCTTAAACAACAATTCTGTCCAGAGAGTACTTGCCAACACGCATCGACAATTCCTTACCACGAAGACCCCTGCTCTTTTCGACTTGACCCGTGCTTGTCATACGCAACTTGCTGGCAGGTCCTTGAGCCTTGTAACCAAGAGGAAGGACGGGGTCAACGGCGAGAGGGGTCTCCTCGAAACCAGGTGTCTTGATAGGATCGACCTTCTTGATCGTTGTCTGTTTCTGAGAAGCTTGGATGGTGTTGCTGAAGCGCTCGAAGTCGTTCAGGAAAACTCCGAAGCTGCATGCCTCAATACAAGTCTCAAGGGCAGCACTGGTCTCAGCGACGAGAGTCTCGAGCATGTTGTCTGTCTGAAGGTCTGGGTCTCCGCTGAGGCCTACAAGCCAGCCAGATGTGCCAATAGCGTCAACAGCACAGTTAAGTAGGTTGCTGATAATAGCAATTGAGTGATCACTAGGCGATCCAGCGTCTTCAGGTCTGGCAATCTCATCCTCGGTGTATTTAGATGTCCAGCCACCGTCTGCAAGCTCGATGCGGAGAATTTGGATGAAGAACACAACCTCGCGAGGGGCAAGGTGAGTGCGGAGCCTCTCAACGATGCTGCGCGAAGGGAACGAATGGAGGCGTGTGAAAACAGTACGGAAAGAGGCGCTTCTGACACTGAGACCTGTGTCCAGGGCTGACAGAGCAAACTCAAGATCGGCTTCTGCAGCATCAGTCTCGGCCTGAATTGTGGTTTCAAGCTCGGAGTCTTCGCTTTTGCTAGTGATGAGCTTAGCCACTGCAGCGGGACTAGGCCCTTGCAGAGACTTGACGAGAGAAGCGAGAGCCACAATGACCTCCTCGATCTCCAGGTAGACAGGCCAGCTCAGCCATTCGTGCATGACATGCATCTCTGGGTCAAGCTCGTTGACTGCCTTCATGATGTCGCCGGGGTGGACTCTCTGAGCAGTTGACTGGATGGCGCCAGTTTCACGCAATGCCCTCTCGACTGCCATAGCAGACATATAGCCGGTGATGGCGAGCCATCTGAAAATATTCGCCGCGAAGAAGTTCATGGAAATAGAGCTCTGGTCTTCGTTTGTGGTCTGATTCCAAGCAAACATTTTGCTGAGAAGGTAGACCGCTTTACGTCTCTCAGTCTTCTGAACGAGGAACCTTGAATCTCTTACAGGCCACATTCTGTTGTCCTCACCATCCTGCTCCTCGTTATCCTGCACAGCCGACTTCTGGTGCTTAGGGGCGGTGGACAACTCAAGTTCGGCTGCAAGGAAACGTTCAAGAGCAGCTACGTCAGATTCGACAAGTGAGTCGACTGTCTCTTTCCAGCTCTCCCATTCTTGAGAAGACACTTCAGAGTTAGGAGCAGCAACGAGAGCTTTCTTCGATCCTTTGCCGAGAGAGTTGATGAGAAGACTGGTGTTGGCCTTCGACTTCTTGTAGGCGGTTGCGGACAAGTTGATCTGCACACCGACAAGAGCGTTTCCGGAGATTGCGACGGCCATACTGAGATCTGAGAAGAAAGTGACGAAGTTGAGAGAGGCCCCAGAAGCACCATCAGTTCTCTTTCTCTTATCGCCAGCCGATTCGAGGAAGTCGGACTCGAGGGAAAGAGCGGCCTGTAAGGAGTTGTATTTTGTGTCATAGATGGCACATGAAGTGGATTCGGCAGCAAGGACCAGAGCAGCCGAAATGCGAACAAAGCTTTGGTGAGCTTGAGTGTGAGGAGTGAGGGTGGAAAGAACACTAGGGTTGGTGCCGGAAAGATCATAAGTTGTGATGATACCGGAAAGCAGTTGGTGCAACTTTCCAGCTGACGATTGAAGAGAGAAGGTGGCCTTGTCAGAAGAAGAGGAAGGTGCGGGCAATTCGTAGCTGAAAAGGTAGCGAAGGCCTTGGTGGGCGCTGGTGATCATATCCTTGGATCTCGATGGTAGAGAAAAGAGGTTAAAGCGGCGGGTGTTTTGGTCATCAACAGTGACCATGGCGAGGAGAGGCATGTTAATATCAGTCGAGCTGTCGAGGCTAACGGCACCGCCAACCAGAGCCAGAGCGTCCTCTCTACTCTTGAGCAAACCCTTCCTTGCTGAGGTCACATCAGTAACTGTGGCATATTCGACCTTGACAGATGATGGAGCGGCGTCCGACTCAGCAAGAGCGATGGCGCGAGCAGCATCTGCGTCCCATCTCTTCTCCTGGAGGTCACCAGCAATACATTCGACGCTACCATCGGCGTATGTGACAGCGATATCCAGAGCGAGACCGAGAGTTTCATTGTCCGAGTGCGAGGCAAGAGCATTGATAGCGAAGACGGTGCTTGTCGAAGAAGGTAATTGGTAGCTTGTCTTAACTTGCTGATCGGCAGAAAGGTCGGTCGAGTCGGCGATAGTATCTTCGGTGAAGCAAATGACTTCTGTTTTCTTGCCAGTGGTGTGGCCAAGCACAGCATAGGTAACTCTCTGGGCGGCTTTGCGGCCAGTGATTTTGCGATAGATGGAGCAAGGCGCGCAGAGCAGACGAGTCTGTGGAGGAAGAGCATACGATGTTACCAAGCGCGGGTTACGCACCTAAAGATTCGAATTAGTACTGTGAAAGCCTTGAGAAAAAGCACCAGAGGGCACACGTACATTGTAGATTGTGATACTGTCTCCATCGACACTTGCGACAATTTCAGGACGCTTTCTCCATTTTTGAGCGCGGAGACCGAAGACAGGAGCGGCGTAGGTGGTGCCAACAGTGGGATCAAAAGGCTTTGGCAAAGAGGCCAGAGTAAAAGGAGCCTCGATGGCAGCTCGGTCGGCCATTTGTGTCGGGAAGCGCGAACAAAACTTGTACGGCGACAAGGTGTTTGGTGCCTGCTACTTCTTCTGCTTCAGAGAAAAAGTTCAAGATTCCTTCTTGGCACGGATATAGCAGCTTCGCATGACGCTTTAACTCCATAATTGGAAGGAACGCGCGACAAGGAAGGTGCCCATGCGTCACGACGCGTCCTCCGAAACTTGGAGACGGGACTTTGTACGCCAGCACTGGACGAACAAGACGCAACCTACCATTGCATGGCTATCGGCGCCATGACTGATGGTCAGAACAAGACGTTGCATCCTTTCTTTGTGAAGCCTCAAGGTACACACACACATCATCGTCTATCTCCACTTCACTTGCTCATTCTCATAGTACCCGCGCCCAAACCACCGCCTGAAGCCGCAACTCAATCCCTGAACGATGATGCCTCGCCCGGTGCGGACGACAACTCCTCGCAGCCCGAGCTTCCAACGATACCCGACTCGACCAATGGCAGGAAAGCTCGTCCCAGAAAGGCCAAACAGAAGCCAGACGCTACTTCAACTTCCGAGTTCATCGAGTCCACAACCCAGACAGGTCGTAAACGACGGAAGCTGAGCCTCACCGACCAAGTCGTCGTTCCTGACCGAGGCTCTGAAGATATGCTCCCTCAACCTTCCAGTCCCACCTCTGTCCCTTCGTCGCACCCAGAAAACAGTCAGCCCATCGATCAACACCAAGACACAGAACAACAACCTGAGCTTCCTCCGGCTCCTCAAAATGTATCAGCAAGTACGCCGCCAAAGAAGATGTTGAAGTTGAGCACTGGTGGTACTCTGGTTTCTCCTTCGTCCAAACCACTGCCAGCTAAAGAAGATGCACAATCCAAGAAGCCTGCAAGACGAGGAAGACCTAAGAAGGAGAAACAAAAGCTACTAGTCACACTGCGCTATCCTCCGAACCATGCTCTAGGACATCAGATAACACGTATAATGGATGGCTCAGAGACTTTCAAAATCTCGAAACCTCCAATGGCTCCTCCACCAAAGCCAAAGGCACCCAAAATCGATCCTTCCAAACCGACACATCCTTTCTTCTCGGGAAAACCAAAAGAGCCACGCTCGGCCCCCAGCAACTCTGTGAAGGGTCAAATGGATCCCAAGGTCAGCCACGTGCTCAGTCCACGAAGACCTTCAGCTGTGACCCCTGGCAAGCTACGGGCACAGGCACGAGAGAATGGTTCGAAAAATATGGACAACTCTTCTGGCTTCCCGCAGTTTGGTGCGAACAAAGACAGAAACATTATCAAACAACCCGGCATGGTTGAAGCTCCGTTTCCGTCAAAAGATAATGCTCACGTTCGCGGGGACTTTTACTACCACACAAGTCGACCACAGGGAGATGCGTCCACCATCATACCTCGCTCAACGCGTAAAATGAAATACAAGATACCACTTCTGGACCCGTCGGAGAGTACGTTGACCCGCGTGAAGAGCGACCTCGACTTTCATCAAAAAGACACACCAAGGCCCGATGGTTTCTATGACCCTCCATCTTCGTTACGAGTCCCCTCTCGCCATCTTGTTCCTGGTTCATTCGCTCAGGAGTGGATCAGTAACGAGCTTCATACTCAACCATCAACGGACGAACTCCAGTTTGTGCCGGGGACCTATCGCAATTTGGTCCACCCAGCGTGCGAAAGCCTCTATCATGGATTGCCAAACATACTTACACCATTCGATCATGGACGGTCAGAGATACAAGCCTGGGCTCAGAAGTACTCACCCCAATGTGCGAGCCAAGTCTTGCAGTTGGGAAGAGAGCCAACATATCTGAGAGAGTGGATGAAGGCTCTCACTATCAGTGCAGTCGAGACAGCTGGCTCACAAAATCCCAAGCATGACAAAGCAGATCGCGAACGTGGGCCCAAGAAGAAACGGCGCAAGAAGGCTGCCGGCTTAGACGATTTCATTGTTAACGACGATGATATCTACAACGACACCGAGGAACTTCTTGAGCTGGATCCTCCATCGCTTTCATGTCGAAAATCAAAACCAACCCTTGTGCGCAACACCGATTTCAAGGACCCGTCTAATCGCTCGAAGATCGCCAATTCTGTCATCGTGAGTGGACCACCTGGCTGTGGAAAGACTGCTATGGTCTATGCTGCAGCAAAGGAGTTAGGCTTCGAGATATTCGAGATCAATCCCGGTTCGCGCCGGAGTGGTAAAGATGTGCTCGACAGAATTGGAGACATGGTAGAGAATCACCTGGTGCAGAATCGCTCACTTGATACTGGTAACACGTCTGCTGACGAAGATGCCGGCCGACTGTCTGACGCCTTCAATAAAGATCTCGAATCTGGTAGGCAAGGAACCATGAAATCTTTCTTCACAACCAAGCCGAAGTCGGCACCACAACCCATAAAGGAAAAGAAACCAAAAATCAATGTCGACCAAGTACAGAAGGTCTTGTCATCTTCGAAGCCATCACGAGGACAAAAGCAATCGCTGATCTTGCTGGAAGAAGTTGATATCATGTTTGAGGAAGACAAAAACTTCTGGACAACAGTCTTTACCTTGCTGCAGGGTTCAAAGCGTCCCGTTATCATGACCTGTAACGATGAAGATCTTGTACCTCTTCAGGCCATCAACTACCAAGCACTTCTTCGTCTATCTGCCCCAGCTGCGAGTGTTGCTACAGACTACATGTTGTTGTTAGCAGCTCAAGAGGGTCATTTACTTCGCCGAGATGCAGTCTCGACACTATACGAAGCAAAGCATCATGATCTGCGTGCAAGTATCGCAGAGCTGCAATTATGGTGTCAAATGGGCGTTGGCGACCCTCGAGGCGGACTAAGCTGGATCTATCCAAGATGGCCGGCTGGCAGTGGACTAGATGAAAATGGTCAACCTATACGAGTCTTCAGTGAGAACAGCTATAAAGCGGGCATGGGTTTCGTTGCACATGAAACAAACTTCTCCTTGGAAGGTACACAGGATGATGAATTGCTCAAGGAGACTTGGGAAGGTTGGAATATCGACCCGCGCGAAGAACTGTTCGCTGGAGTCACAAGCACATCTTCTGTTCTAGAGCAATTGGATCGACAGTCACGAATAACCACATTGAAGCAGTATTCGGACTTATCTGACAGCCTTAGCGACATGGATGTGTTCTGTGCGATCGGTCTCCCTGGCAAAGAGAATCACAAAACTGATGCGACTCAGCCTGAGCTACCTCCTAAAGCTCGCGCGAAATACATCAATGGCATGGCGCTGCTTCAGACACCGGAGATCGTTGACTACAGTACTCTTGACACTCAACTCGCGGTTTCTGGTTCGCGTCTCGCGCGCATGGTCTTCTCGGATCTTGTGAATCCTCTTTCATCAAGTCCAGTACGACGTGTGGTTGAGACACACTCTCCAAACAACAGAAGATCTCAACTCAGTCGTGGAGATATTTCAGCAGCCTTCGACTCAATAGCCACCATGATGACCACCCCAACAAGCGGTCCAGCGAGTCTGGCTTACTCAGTGTTCGATGGTCCTCTACAGACCGTGGTCACCGATGTCGCACCATATGTTCGCAGCATTGCCGCCTACGATCTTGCTCTGGAAACACACCGAGACAAGCTGCAAGGTAGCAGCCAGGGATCAACAAGCGGTGGCGCGGGAAATAAACGAGCTCGGACAACACGGGCTGCTCGTAGCGCATTAGAAGGTGGTCAGCGCCAACTTACTCGACGAGAACGCTGGTTCGATCCAGCCTTTGATCTTGAGCTTGCTATGCGGACTGCCGGCAACTGGCCTCGCGTTGAAAGTAGCATTGCAGAAACACGACTGTATAGTCCTGGTCTCGACTCATCAATGCAGATTGAGTAATACTATGCTTGATGCTCCGTACTAGCTCCTGCAATTGACAATGCTACTTGCTCCATGACCCACCTGGTGTGGTTCGACGGGACTCCGTGGTGGAATTCGCTTCTTGCTATCTATATTTAACTGGCTGGAGGCGAGTACATATAGCTTCTAGAAGTATCCGCTAAACGACTACGAATAACACAAGCTGCAGATGCAGCGCTACCTCACATCTCTGGTTTGCTTCGTACCTTGACTCTTTGTGTTCGTAGCAAAAGATGTATGGCAGGACTGCTGGTGTCTCAAGCTGAAGTTTCGAAAGATATATGATTCCTCGTCAAGCCCGATCCTCTGATTCAAGACATCTTATTTCTGACCTTCTTCTGTATCGATTGTCGAGTATCCCGGCAAGATAGACTGCTGACCCATAAAAGTCCTGGCCAACCATGCAGAATCGCCGATGAGATATGCACCCGGCAGTGCACCCTGTTCCGCCAGAAGGATCTGATACATCCAATGCTTGCCGTCCAAGATATGGAAAATCAGCTCGAGGGGCACCATAACGCCAAGTATCATGATACCAATACCCATGGAAGCACCGAGAGTGACCAAAACTCTGCCCTTGGAATTTTCCGCAACACGTGTTTTGACAGCGTGATTGAGGCTGTCGATAAGGTAGACGATGTTGGTACTAACAAGTATGAAAAGCCCCAGGAGAAACCCTATGAAAGCCAACGCATATTCATCATCCTCTTTACGGGTTGCGCCATCCTTGAGAACAGGCATGTTTTGCGGGTGGATCCATAACAGCAGATCTACCAGTCCGTATTTGCAGGTCTTCTTGAGCCCTTGCTCTTTACCATCTATCGTGTTTTTGAGGCGGGTGGTTGCGAGGTAGGCTCCGGGTAGTGCTGGGACTTGTATCCAGAAGAGTTTGTAGATGAAGATCTTGTTGTCTAGGCAATGCGAAAGGATGGCGAGTATGATAGCCATATACATACTCACAATAGCACCGATGGAAGTCCGAGCTTTGCCTTTGTCCTGGTCGTCAGGCAGTGCAGCCTCACCGAGGGCTTCGAGAACGTGTTCGAGCAGTGTGAAACACGCAATGAGGAGGCAGAGACTGCTGATCCAGTGGGTGGTGATGTCGAAAGCAGTATCTGTAGGCACACCACTCCAATCGAGCCATATCAGGAGGACAGTCACTAGAGCGTAGCCTGCTCCATACATAACACTGTTGTCTTTGGTGTTCAACTGTTCGCGCACTTGATGCTGGGAATTTGGACCGGCCACCGTGTTGATAATAGAACTGCCGAGGAAGATGAGGTGCGTGTTGACAATCAAGAACTGGCGATGGAGATGAGGTGCGTGTGTTGATGTTGCTCAGATTGTTGCTAATGCATCGACTGGAAAGGTCATACCACCTGTCATTGTTTCTTCCCTCGGAGCTCTTCTCGATAACGATGGAAAGAAGTATCGTGAGTCACGACTTCCTCTCTTGGTTGGAAGTTGAGCAAGATAAAGCGTATAATTAGAACTTTATACATCACGAGACACAATCAAACCTCACAACAATATTCATGCGCTTGAGCTTACTTCTGAGACTTGCTACAGAGACACTTCCAGGATGAGAGAGAAAAGTCAGGTGATAAGTTTGAACGTGTTTTCTGGTATATTGACAAGACGAAGGTAACAGGGAGGACATTTCTATATGCGGTTTCGCAGTTTATGTGATTCGACTCGGCCGTCCTTCCTGAGGGAGAGAACCGGCAAAGGACGATCGAGGACATTAAAATTGTACACATAGGTGTACAGAGGGGTTTGAGACAATAGATTGAGAGTTTATCGCGTGAGCCCAGGATGAATCAGAAGGACGAACTCCATGCATGCTATGCAAAAACGAAGAAGGTGAGACGCGAAGATCTCGGCGGCGGCAAGAGATGCGTGATGGTGGTGAGGTAGTCTTGGGAGTACAGGGCGTGTCGTCCAGATGTGTGGTTTTGGAGAGTGGGACGAGTGGGTGGCCTGATGATACAAAGCCATGAGTCGAGGGGATTGGTACGACAGATGTCAGTATGCGAGCGCGTGTCATGATCAACGACCACGCGACAGTAGCTAGGAGAAAAATAAGGCGAGCAGCTGTGCACGTTGCGTTTGATCTACAGCAACACAACGCCCATGCCGGCAACGACACCAGCCAGACCCAGACACACTGTGAACAGCGAGCCGTGGGGCATCACTGTAGCTCCGACACCAGTTGCAGCCTTTGCGACACCAATCTCGCCTGTGATCGTGCCCAAACCAATCTCACCAGCGCCAGCGGTGGTCAATTGTCCAGGAGCGGAAGGGAATGTTTGTGTGTAGAAGACCTGAACCCAGATCTCGGTACTTTGAGCAGAGTCCCAGTGGTCGGCGATCCAGTAGTCTTGTGTAGCGGGGACTTGTGTTGCTGCTTTTGTGGCTAGGAGGTTGGGGTCCTGACGGAGTCTGTGTTTTATTTTGTCAGTATTTGAGATTGAAACAACAAGCAAGGATACTCACTCTAGTACTACATTCTCAGCTTCTGCGTTCCAGGCATCGCCAGGAGCTACTGTTTGTGTGGGCAGAGCAGCGGTGCTTTGGCTCTCGGGTGCGGCGGTGATTAGCGGTGCGTCCTGGACTTCTTGTTGTTGTTGTTGTTGAGGAGCGGCTAGGGCCAACAGCGGTGCGGCGGCCAGTGTGATGAATGTCGAGAAGCGCATCTTGTCGATGATTGTGCGAAGTGCAGCTGGGCGAGTCTAGCTTAGGATATGGAAGTGGGTTTCCAAAAAGCGGGCAGCACAAGAGATAATATCCAGAAAGGCCGAAAAGACGGTGCCAAGGTGTGAAGCAAAAGGTGGCTTAGAAAAGCGTTGTTATTTCTATATCGATCCCGGATGCGAAACGGTCTGCAATCAATGCTTCGCCCAGATTATGTTGTGGTAAAACGATTGTGTATGTGGGGTGATTGTGTTTTCAGAAAGGAAGAGAAGAGGAGAAGGAAAGAGGAACACACACAGGGCAGACAGACTAACAGAAAGGCCCGAGTGAGGCGCAGAAAATCAAGGATAGCGCCATGTGTCTGGGACCAGGATGGGGCTGGATGAATGAGGTTGGGCCCAGCAATCACGAACTCATTTGCGCGTCTCTCCATTCACCGTTCCGACCGACCTGGCCGTACTGCCGTCATGTCTTTGCTCTGCTTACCCTGCAGCTTGCCTCTGCATCGCAGTCTCCCATACTCATGCCTACCAGCACTGTACACCTTTCTTTGCTGTCGCTGGTTCCTGGACTCAAGGCTGTCGACCATGTTTCAGAACCTGTCTCTGTATTTCCTGACTCGGCCTGGATCTGCACGAATTTTGCTAAGGTTCACTCAAAAGTTGCTTAAGCTTCCTTGGCTCCCTCTAGCCGTTGCGGTCGGACTGCTTTCGACCCCTTCATGAAACACTTCTGCTCTGTGTTTATCTCTCATACATATCATGACCATCTTTTGTCAGAGCCTCTACCCCTATAAGCATTGAGGATTGAATCATGCACACGACCAAGACAAGGATTATTCAAGCATAGCAACATGACTCTGTCTCTTAACTGCCACCATATTGGTGGCCTCTTGGCTTGTCTCACCTAAACTTCGGACCAATCTGTGCCGGACCTTGGCTCACCATATGCCGACTTTGTGCTGTGCTCGTATGCGATCAGCGGCTCATCTCCGTAGCTTCCAAAATTCAGGACAAGGGAAACCATGTTCGCACAACAAGCCGACCCTTCCCAACCCCTCTCCAAAAGAAATCACCATCAACAAACACGGAAAACAACTCCTTTGCCCCTGTATAACGCCTGTCAATGCTCGCAAGTTATCAAAAACTTCTCCCCAAACTTCTATCTCCAAACCGTTATTGCCGTTTGCTCTCATTCGTCATGCTCCAAACCGTCGCAAATTGACTTCCATGCATAATCTGCCGTGCCTTTTGTACCTGAGTATTTTTTGACGACGCACATGTGGAGCCGCTTCCGCATTTAGATTCGTTCGTCAACGTCTGCAGACCACTTGCAAAACACGACTCTCTAGACGACATGTCGACATATGATAGTCCTCATCAATTAGGTAGCAGTCAAAAGTATTCAGATGTAGAGGCAGAAGATGAACTTGTTTGTTCTCACGATTGTATCGTGTTTCAATCCTGCCCCGAGTTTTAACAACAAAGAAACAGCTACACCCTCCTCGTATACGAAAGCTTGTAACTTCCGCCATACTCCGACTACAGTCAAGAGTAGAGTACAGACTGTAGAGAGGCACATTTGCTCCACGAAGCAGAGGCATGTCCATAGAGAGTCGGCAACTTGTTGTCTCTCCGTGGATAACATCTCGTTTCCTATTGCTAATGCATTCTTATAGCTATACGCGTTACATACTTACTTTGGTTTACAGGTAGGACACTTTTTCCTCGCATCACTTCCATATGTCCATCATTCAGATAGTGCAGCTGAACAGACGAGGAAGTCTGTCTGGCTTGACGGATATATGCCATAGCTTTCGGATTATCTGAGTGCCTTAGGCAGCATCACAAGACAGCGTAAGTTCTTTGACCATGAAAGCACATGTCAATCTGTACGAATCAAGTTGGTGCTCAAAATCAAGTGTGAAAGAGTGTCAGTTATCTTGGAGTTGAACGCCGGACCAGTGCACAGTATTGTTTATCAACACGGAACTCTCAAATCCTTTACCACGAACGCAACAACAAAACATACTATACACATACCACCAAAATAGTTAGCGCAGACTACAATGCATAGCCTGGTAAGTGCTTGTGGTTACTGTTGTTTTGCCCGTTGATGCTGATCTGCAAGATATAGCTGATTTGTATGGCTCTGCTCGTTGGCATGATTGTCGCTATGCCTCTCTCCATCGGGTTCCCAAGCATCACCCTTGATCACAGTCCCACATCCTCGCCTGCCATGTTCAATAATACGATCCTATCCATCACTCCTTCCTCAACATTGACCACAACCATCACCATCACGATCAATCCCAGCCTCATCCCATCAACCACCACAGTCAACATCAGCTCAAACAGCAGTCTCGGTGCCTGTGGTCCTGGCATTGGCTCATGTCCATCTGGTCTCTGTTGCAGGTAAATACCACCATAGTCCTCAAACCTCATCCTCAACTGACAAAGGCACAGTGAATATGGATACTGTGGTTCAAACTCCAGCTACTGCGGCACAAACTGCATGTCCAATTTCGGTGTCTGCGGCTTCAATGCTTCTCAGCCATACTACAACATCTCATACGCTCCTCTCAGCACCTCAGTCTCATTGAGCGACGGTACTGGTGCTGCTGGTATCGTTACTGATGACTTTGATCAGAGTGCTTCTTCGATCACCATGTTCAGCTATGCCCCTGAGAGCAGTGGAAGTGTGGTGACCACTGCTTTGGCGACTGCGACTGAGATATCGTTTGAGCCAGTGAGCGCTACCTGCACGGCTGTTGAATCAACTTGGGCTGCCGCAAGCTACGCAGATGCTCCCACGACCACCGTCACTGTGTTGAAGAAAGTCGACTGTTGAACATTGGCTCTTTCATTGCAAGTATAGCTTCCAACACTTATGTGAAGGGTCTAGAGATGCTATGGTAGAGATTGACGAAATCATCTCACACTGGTGCCCCAGTCTTGTCATGCTCAAACCAATCAAGTCGGAAAAGTTCCCCTCTCAGGTCTTCAAATTCATGTTGAACAGGCTAGGGAGAATTCATGATGCAAATGCGATTAGTTATACATAGGGACATAGCAAAGTGCAGATTCAAGGCGGCTCTAAGGAAGAAGATCACAAACACAAAGCAACATCAACCCCAAGGTAGACAATATATTCCTCAAAAATCTCCTTGCTGTCACCTACTCAGTCAGATGATGCGTACCGTGTGTTTGGCTGAGCGGAATAGCCGATTCGCGCGTACACACTTGTTCGGTAATAAAAACCTCTTGTGTGTCTAATCGGGAATGTTAGGTGTAACGCATCTAATTTTGCTGGTTGTGTGTTCGATCCTGAGGAGTGGTGGGAGTGTCTTTTTTGATTGTGTTTACACCTCTGTATAAATTGTGTTGCTTTTTGCTCGATCTTCTTGATCATCCCTGTTGACACATACTGATCGAGACAGCGACAAGTACTGGGGCCTGATGCAGTTAAAATAAAGCTATGAAAAGGCTATGATGCTGACAACAAGAACTTCCTGACTCAACCACCAAGCAGGAACACAGAGAACAAAGCAGACCAACCCAGTATCGTCCATATCGTAGGCGTATGTAGTGTCAAAGATGTACCACTTGAACTTGGTCTTCCTCCTATGGCAGCCGGGTACGTCGTTTGGTTGACATTCTCGTACTTGTCATACATGAAGAATTGGGTCTTTCCCGCGTCATCAAGTCCTGTATGTTGAGGGTCAATTCCTTGAGCAGGAAATTCTGGTATCTGACATGTTCGTTCATGCCAACTCCCTGCACAGGCACCATTCCACTCGGTTTCTCGTGTTGTATTGCTCGAGTTGAAGTAAGCTTTAACGTAGCTGAGCGTCAGAACAGCGTCTTGAGCTGGCGGTCCTCCACTCCAACCGGGATTGCCCGTAGACCAGTGATTGAGCATCAAAGCTCCGGGAGCGTCAGGTGCATCGCCATCAAACGTGTTCTCGAACTCTTGAAGGAGATTGCCGTCGGCGAAGAAGACGATTCGCTCTGGTGTCCAGTCAAATCGGTATTCGTGGTAACTAGCACTAGGCTGGAATGGCAATTGTTGGACGCGGAAGGTGCTAGTGTTGATGGCGTTGTAGTTTGCGTCCGCAGAGGCAGGCGACTGTATGACGAGATTGATTGGGTATGAGCTGTTGTTATTATCTTTGATGGCTTGACGGCTCAGGTATTCCATGTCAATCTCTTGCGAGTCGTTGCGATACTACAAATTGTGTTAGTCACACGCTCGCCTTGTCGAATCCAGCATGTGCACCCACCCAAAAGAAGGCAGCACAGGTGCCTGCAACATCACTCATCTTCATGCCAACTCTGAAGCTCCCGTAACGCATGTCTCGACGCAGACTGTCGATCTCTCCTGAGCGAACCATCTGGTCCCCGGCAGGGCCCAGCATATCTTGTTGACCTCTGACCCAGACTTGCAGCCCTGGAGCGCCGCCTAGCGTGCCGTTGCCGTCCCAGTCCTTGCGCGAAGGGAGTGGATTCAACACAACGTTATCGATCTCAGCTGCTTTGCCGTAAGGTCCTCTAGCGGCTGATGGAGAGACGTTGTAGGATTGTACAGCCCATCCCACAGCTTCTGAGGCAGGTAAATCGATGCTGTCAGGTAGGTGGTATAGGTGCAAGAAGTCGGTTTCTAGGAAGTCGGTGAAGAGAGCGAAGGGACTCGATCCATTCGTTGCGTTTACTGTATAGCCACACTCGCAGGTAGGATGCCCAACCTCTAATGACAAGGCACAAGAGTTAGCAAAGATCCCAGGAGTCATGTAGGAGGTGTGCTGCTGCCATGAATACTAGTGTGTAGTCTCAAGGTGCATGCGAGCAGTACCCTAGATGAATGTGGTGAACCTACGAACGGCGCAGGCAAGGCCAAACATGACCGTCCATGCTACGGCAACACTGGGTAAAAGAATGAAAAACTGCATGCTAACGACAGCTGAAATGATGTCCGTTGTTGCGAAAGATCAAAGTATGGAAAAGAAAACGGAGCGTAGGTTGTGCATGGGTGAGAGACAAGCCAACAACCATTTCATACTTGGGAGGAAGTGACGATTTGAAGTGTGCTGATAGTGGATGACGAGTCAGTCTGCCGTACCTTCCTGCCATCTATCGTTCTCAAGGGCTTTGCGTGACCTCACGAAAGGCAAGGACGACTGCACAAGTGGACAAAGGTCGAACGAACTCTGGAGAGTTCTTGACAGCTACCCCTCCATGTTCTATTTGGCGCTGTCACCCCTGTATTGCTGGTATTCGAGTGGTTGAAACAAAAAAAAATATCAAGCCTTGCCTGACGCCGCTTGGTCCATAGAGATAGCTGGGCTGTCGTAGCTGTTCACTGCTGAATGGGTACTTGGGAGAAAGGGTCTTATGTTGTACCGCCAGCCCAGCATGCGGAAGGCTTGCATGTCTCAGCCTGCTACTGTGTAACCATCGAATGATTGGCCAGGGCAAAATGAACAAAGGGAGACATTGATACTCGGTCTGAAGCCCAGTGACCCGCCATGTCCTATGCAAAGATATTGAGATCAAGGGGCTAGTGCTAGGGGCACCCTGCTCTCGGTTCCATCGTCCTTCTCAACATGTTGAGATCGGACTTCAAACCACTTCAAGGTTACCATACCTAGTGTTCTTGGTCTGCTCAATAATTGTCCCTTACTTTTTCTCCATTGTCTCATTGTAAAGCTGGACCCCTCATGGCCCATGATGCTTACAGGTATTATGCCTGTGGTGTCCCTCAGCTGCGGTGTGTAGTTGCAAAGTCAACCATAAGGTTAACAGGCCACAAAAATATAGTTGCACACAAATTAGCAGATGAACAATAGAGGAAATCGTGTTTGTTATCAGTCCAAGCAAAAGGGAAAACTAGCTAAGCAACAAGCACAAACGATCAAAGCACATCTCAGCCAAAGAAATAAAAACTGCCTTTATGTGCGAATGGGGAAAGGGGGAATCAAGAAAGCCAGCAGATTCGTGTTTCTCATTAAAAAGGAAGAAGCAGGATGGGGAGGGTTGGGTGCAAGCAAAAAATCCATGAGGAGCAAAGGGGAAAGATGGAGAATGGTGTAGCAAGGGGTATCAACGTCTCTTCTTCGCGGAACCATCACCGAGCAGGTCACCAGTAAGACGTTTGAAGATGCCTCCGGCGACTCCTTTGCCATTGAGTAAGTCTTCGATCTTGTCGGCCAAGGGGTCTTCGCCTCGCTCTGGGACTTTGCGGCCTTCTTTATCAAACCGTGGCGGTAGTTCGACCGTTTCACTGGAGTTCATGCTGTCTGGAGAGCCTGTGCGTCTTTGTGCTGAAGGGTCGCGAGATCTGTGGCGTCTGCGGTGGTGGCGCTGAGAATTACTGTGACCATCGTCACGTTCATCTTGGTCAATATCGTCGTCGTGGTAGCGATGACGCCTGCGTCGTCTGCGCTTGTTTTCTGTTTCTGTAGTGCCATTGCTACTCAGATCGCTTCTCGTTCTGGTTCTGTCATCGTGTCCATCGCTTTCTGAGTATTCCATGCCTGGGTCTGCATCACGAGGATTAGGTTTCTTTTGTGCATCTGGCGAACTCATGCCTTCGCTAGGTGGTGGATCGGACTGTACACTCTTCTTGTTTACACCATCTGTAATTGACATTAGCTTTTGTCCGGAATGAAAAGACTAGTAACTGAACCGAACCACCCACCAGAAGAGTCGTGTGGATCAGAGTAAGTACCGGAAGGAGCGGTGGGACTCACATGTTCTGGACCCGGCCTGCCGCGATTATCGCCAGCGTAACGGGGGTCACCAGCAAACGTCTCATTAGCAGGAGGGTAGCCCAGATTGGGGTCGGGGCTGGGATAACGTTCGTCTTGACGACCACGAGGAGCACTAGTTGCTGCCGGAGGTGGTGGATAATCAGCAGGATTGTACGGCCGATACTCCTGTGGTGGATAGTCTGCTTGGTGTCTATAGTTGTCGGTTGGCGGAGGTGGGAAAGTGTTGGTGGCTGGGTAGAACTCATGGCTCTGGGGTGTTGGAGGGTATGCAGCGTTGGCTCCCATTGGTGGCGGAGAGTATGGTCTGTCGTGTGCGTACATATCGTCCTCTTCCTCATGGCCTGGGGCAAGTTGTTAGAAAACCATCAAACAAACATTAGTCTGGGGGAACTTACGTCTGCGATCTCGGTCCCGCTCACGGTCTGCTCTCCTACGCTCATTCCGTTTGCCCAATTCGTGAGCAGCTACAGCAGCAACGCCAGCAGCAGCAGCACCCTCCGCCAAACCTCTAGTTCGGCTACGGCTTCGCGATCTCGAATGACTCCTGTCATGTCTGCGTCTGTCAGGGCTCAACGAGGCTGAACTATCTCTGCGCCTGCGACGGTACTCAGCTGGTGGCTCCTCGTAACGTCGATTCGGGTAGATCGGATCGTCGCCATATTCTATAAGCGCGGGATCACTTGAAGCTCTACGCAAGCGAGGTTCATCATCAGGATAAGGAACAGATCTCGAACGAGATCTTGATCTGGGAAATCCGGGCTCGGATGCTTCATCTGCAGCCGCTTCTTTGCGAGCCTTACTTCGCTCATACAAGCCGGCGATAGCAGCACCACCCAGTCCAGCTGCAGCGATTGGTACACCCGTACGGATTCTGCTTTTGGATCGAGACCTCCTGCCGCCTCTTGAACGACTGCGCACGCGATCCAAGATACCAGCAGCTGCAGCAGATGCAAGGCCAGCCTGAGCGATACGGCGATTGCGATGTTCGGGATCACGATGCTTGCTTTCACTTCTGCTTCGGGCGTCCAGTGGAGGAGGTGGAGCACTACCAACCGAGGAACGGCGTCTTCTAGACCTGCTGCGGCGTGGTGGCGGGACCTCATTGTTAACAATAACAGTTTCCTTGTTCCCTCTGTTGCGAAGAGCGTATGCGGCAAGAGCACCAACAGCGGCGACTGTGCCGACCTTGGCCAGAGTACGTACACGAGAGCGACTTCTACTCCTGCTCTTGCTGCGGTGACGACGGCGTCTTTCACGTCGGCTGGAACGGTACGAGCGATCGCTGGAACTTGACCTCGAACGTGAGCTCCGCATGTGACTTCTGGCACGGCTCAGAGCTTCAGCACCAACAGCACCTAATGCAGCACCACCCAGAAGTTGACGACCGCGATGGCCACCATCTTCTCCTTGTTTTCGACGATGATGACGGAGAATCTCGGCGGCTCCAAGGCCAGCGATAGCGCCTTCGGCTAGATGACGGCGGTGATGAGGTGAGTGGTCGCGCGAGCCACCAGTACGTTCTGTGCGAGTGATGACAACATCTTCGTCGCTGCTGTAGCGGTCGTCGGCATAGTTGGACGCTGAATCCCGGGGGTCAACATCGCGTCTGTAATCACGCTCATCATAGAAGTCCTCACCACCGCCTCCACGACGCGGACCTCGATCTACCTCGCGAGTAGTCCGTTCGTAGTAATAGTCATCGTCATCCCTCCTTCTCTGTGCGTCGTCACGCTCGACGAGTTCGTAGTGGGGCTCCTCTCGCTGAAGGACGACTTGTTGTCGAGGAGCTTCCTTGATAATGATTGGTTGTGGTTCTTGGCGTATGATGATGGGTTGTGGTTGATAATACTCGGTAGAGCGGGTGTACCTCTCCAGATCCCATTGATCACGGCGCGGGGGCTCGCGCTCTACTTCTCGTTCGAAGCGAAACTCACGTACTCGCTCAGGAGAAGGTGCACGCTCGACATTTCGTTCATAGCGAACAACTTCCCTCGGAGCGTCTCGTTCACGGGTACGGTATTCCAGATCACGGTCATATCGAGGGCCCTGTTCGCGGTCGCGCTTGATGACTATCTGTTTCTCGTAGACATCTTCCTCCTCAAATGCTCGGTCGGGTACGCGGTATCGGCGGACGGTCGTATATGTGCGTGGTTCGTCGCGGTCTTTGTAGATGACAGACATGATGTCGGCGCGGGACCAGTGACGGCAGTTTGGTACTGGCCGTTAGGATCCGCGGACGACAAAACGGGTGGAGCAGACGGCGGAGGTGGAGAGTTCGTGGGGAAACAAGTCGACGAGCAACTGCAGATGAATGGAATAAAGTGAGGCTAAGCAGGTCGAAATGGTGAGATTGCGCAGAGATCCAGCAGCCAGGCAGCCAGGCGCAGACGGAATCGTGCAATTTACTGCAACCAAGAGACTGCCGACCTGGTGGCTGGTGATCACCCAGCCCTCCTTCTTGCTGCACGCTGCTTCCTTCGTTCACTCAAAATCGGTGACGTGCGTTTCCCTTTCCACGTGCTCCGACAGAACAAGCAGGCACGGAATATCAAGTCTTTGATCTTCACTTCGTTGCTGCCCAAACACCATAAGGTTTGACAGGAACAAGCTCATCTCATGGAAAGTCAAGCCATTTACCCTTACAAAGGAAGATCGTCAGGACTTTTCCGTCTGTCAAAGCCGAAGCCTGATTCCAAGCCCCTCCATCTCAAAATCCTGCTCCTGTCCGTTCAGTCATCCGTTCAGCCCGCTGACGTCTTTGTTTCCCTGTCCTGTGAAACGCCAAATTCATCTGGGATGATATTTTCAGAATCGTGCTGTTCATAATTGTACATGTATGTATACAGATGCCATGCTTTGGTGCGAGTCTATGGCTCAACCTCTCTATCGATCTTGAACTCAGGTAGCTCGGTCTGTTCTGAGACGCGTGTGCCTATCTCTTGCAATGCTGTCCAGATTTCTGGATATCTCTCCTTAGCCCAAGCCTCGACAATGCCCTTCTTGACTTGCCCCGGGGCAGCGTTGTATAATGATCCAATTCTACGATCTATTAGTTCTTTGCCCTCAATATTCTCTCAAGATTCTGAAGTTGTTCAAACTTACACAAGAGTGTCCATGTCGAGTCCCTGTTCGACATGTGCTTCCTCCAGTAGATGAATGGCATTGTCTACATTCCCGTTGCCTACCAGTGCTGCAGCATAGCTTGCCCAGAGATCCTGGTCGAGCTCGATGCCAGTACGACTTAGCTTCGTCCATATTTGCCGTGCTTTCTCATCACCCCATGGGGCATCTTCACATGCTCTCATTGCAAGGTGAATGCTGTTGATATTTGGTCCCTCACGACTTGAAGCAATGTCATCCCAGAAGCCTAGAGCTGTCCTGGGAGATTCACAGCTCGTGTATGCTTTCATCAAGGCATTTTGGAGCAGTGTATTTGGCTCGATGTTGAAATCCAGTTTGAGCTGGTTGTACACAACCTCGAGACTCTCTTCGTCCTTCGCTTTGCCAATTCCGGAGAGACATGCCACATATGTATCGACGGTAGGGATGGTATCCTGCCGGGTGTGCGCTCGCATATGGTTGAAGACGTGTACTGCCATGTCTGTACGCTGGCGTCTGAAGAAATCGTTCATTATCCTGACGCGCTGCTCCCGAGTAGTATCGTCGAAGACCTGCTTTAGAATAATGTAGGTATCCCACGCTTGAGCTGTTGTTGTCGAAGGCCTGAGACAGTAGTCGATCAGTGTGCTCTGTACAGATGCACGCCCGACCATGTTAAAGCTATGGACGTGAGTGTTGAGCAGATCAATCACGTCGTGTACCTCATCACGCGATAGATGCAATACAGACAATGCTGATACGGTTTCAGGCTCGAACCGTGCTTGTCGGTCTGAGAGATCGGCTGCAACATTCATGATGCTGTCAAAATCTTGTCGTCCAGATGCGCACATCGCCCGGATAAGCTCGTTGACAACAGAAATATCCTCGTTCTTCGAAAGGTCATAAGACTGCAAATGCTTGTACACGGTCAACGCGCCATCAACGTCCTTGACCGCTAAGCGATACTCCATCTGGTAGATCAGTGTCAGCGCATTCGGTTGTATGTTTCTTGCTCCGCCTATGGCAATGAGGCGTTCGGCAAGATATGGGTCTTTGCGACCGACCGCCAGCTTGACAAGTTTGTTCAACATGATGGTGTCAGGAATCCGCCATTCACCTTTGGGAAGAGATTGATTCGCTCGTTCCATGACACCAATCATGCGGTCGATCTCGTCAGCTCCCTTGCCTGTCGCTATAGCCCATTCTAAAATCATATCCCACTGATATTTCGTTGGGGTTTCTGCTGTGATGTCCCGCATGACGAGTTGCCCAAACTTGACGTTTGACGTCCGTATGCACAGATTAAGCAGTGCCCGTTGTAGGCGATGGAAATCTTGCTCAGCAACGACATCCTCCTTGGTTTTGTTGTACCATTCGACTGCTTTCTCAATCTCGTCTTGTTTGATGTAGAACCTTGTTACTGTTCCCATGATGGATTGTCTAGAACCTTCGACATTATAGTCGTCCAAGCACTTCAAGGTATGAAGAAGTTCCTGCTCATTTTGTTCCCTTGCAAAGCCCTTAATAACCAATTCCCAATTCAGGATGGGCTTGTCACCTTCAATTTTATCGACGTCTGTATTGCTGTATCTGACAACTTCATCTCTCGCTTTTGCAGTACCTCCTATAGCACACATAGCTTTGACGTAAGCCGCGAATTCTTGTGGCCGCAGGGATTTTCCTTGTTGTGCTCTGTTCTGACAGAGTGCAGCGTACAGAAGTTCGACGATGTCTCGATGGATGGAAGAATTTTTATGGGCACGATGGTCGAAAACGAATATCCATGAGCGGAGCAGTTCGGGTTCGAGAGTTGGCAGACCAAGGTGTTGATCCAGGTATTTTAGACAGCGAAGAAGGTGTTGGGCCTGAACATCAGGAATATCCTTGTCAATAGTCTTGTAGGTCGATTTGTAGAAGAAGTAGGCAGTGACAGCCTTAAGAAGTGCGTCGGGCGGCGGCAGTCTTGCACTGAGTCTTTCCATCTTGGAGTACTCGATCATCTTTTCTAGGCCGGGAGCCATCCTTGGTTCCGAGGACACGCGTTGGGGTTTCTTGAAGATGTTCATAAAGGAGCGTCGTTGTGCCCTCGGGAGGGCTTGCAGTTCGGGCGAACATGACGACAGGTATTGGCATGGACGAAGACAACCGCGATGTGCTATGGGTTCGCTGGCCAGCAGTTTGCGAAAGACAAGGCGATTGAGGTGAGAGCGCATGCCGGCACTCAGGATGGCGTTGCAATGGTGGTGACAAGAAGAGAGACTACAATGTACAAGAAAAAGAGTCCAGACCAAGGCGCAACCAATTGGGAGAGGTATAATAATTATTCGTAGCTGTCGCGCGGCGTTGCTGCTCTCTCCATGTCGGACTGGCAGTTTGAGAAAGTCTTCGGTTTTTCCCGCGCGACCTTCAATTGCGGCCAACATCGACACTCCCGAACCATCTAGAGAAGTCGACGACGCCATCTTTCGACTGTCCACATACCGCATCATGTCTGTCATGCGCCCCTTCACACGAGTCGCTGCTCGTACCGGCTCCTCATACCCGTTCGGTGTGCGCACATTCGCCTCGTCGACACCATGCGCCGATGAGCCCAAGCGATCTGATGTTTTCGGAGGTGACTACCATAGTGTGGCACGCTCAGACTGCATGTGCTGATTTGCTTAGGTCTGCTGGAGTCCCTCAAAGCCACAAGCGACAGAGCCCGCCCAAGAGCTCCCCAATACCCAAGGACAACTACACGCACTATTCCATTCAACTCACAAGACTCGGCCGTCGCCAGAAACGACCCTCATAAGCTTCTGGAACAGACCGCAAGAGATCTCAGGAGAAACAGACAGGATGAGGCGACCATGAATGCTGTACAAGAGACTGTCGAGTTCGAAAGACAGATGACACGCAAGTGGAGGGACGGAGATGTCTACGCTCCTCACGACCTAAGTGGTGTTGAGATGGCCAAGTGGAGCAAGGGACAACCAAAGGGCAGGCCGAAGAAGGATGTCTTCGATATGCTGAAGATCAACCCCTTGAATCACTACTGGGTATGTTTTGTTCAATCCGAACAGCTTGACCTTTCACTGACATGTTTCAGAACTTTTCCATGATGTCGGAATTCATGACCGAGATGGGCAAGATCAAGCACTCTAGGGACACAGGACTGAGGCCGGTCAACCAGAGAAAAATGGCCAAGGCTGTCAGAAGGGCAATTGGCCTTGGTTTGATGCCCAGTGTGCACAGGCATCCTGAAATCCTGCAACCAAGAGGTGCTCTAGGCCGATAAAGGTTGCTTATCAACTTTTGTACAATTACATGTAAAACTTTCAGTCTCTTGCAAGCCTAGACCAACTTTGTGAACTGCGGTGTCTTTGTTGAGATCCTGTGTAGAACAACCAAAAATTTGTGCACTTCGCAACGGACACGACTCATTGTATTAAGTCGAAATGATATAGTAGAGATAAGTACCTATGAAGAGCATGGTCAATGGAATAGCTTCTTTGGTAAGCGTCACGTGAAACGCCGGCGTTTGATTGGCCGAGCGGCGCTGACCACGACGCGGCGGCGGATCGAAGTCGAAGTTGGACTCTTGACGACTTGGACCTAGAGATCGCATCTCGATTCAATTCACACACCACAACTCTCTCTCGACACAATGGCCTCCAAGCTCGCTCCCATGGCCTTCAGAAGCAGCAGCAGAGCTCTGCGCGTCCTCGCCAGACAACAACCCCGCCGCTCATTCGCCGTCTCTTCCGTTTCCCGTAGCGACTCGCTCTTCGTCGTATGTTCCCTCGTCTCTCGGACCACTCTCCACCCTCTAATTGTCATACCATCAGCACCGCGACTCACCAGAGAACAACCTCGATGTTCCTTTCAAGTTCAACGCCCAAAATGAGAAGCTCATTGAGGAAGTCCTCAGCCGATACCCTTCGCAATACAAGAAGGCTGCCGTCATGCCCCTTCTCGACCTCGGTCAGCGCCAACACGGTTTCTGCAGCATCAGTGTCATGAACGAGGTTGCCCGCAGATTGGAAATGCCTCCCATGCGTGTCTACGAGGTTGCCACTTTCTACACCATGTACAACAGAGAGCCCGTTGGTCGCTACCACGTCCAGTGCTGCACCACCGTACGTCCCCGGCTCCAAGACTCTTGACAAGCTGCGATACTAATATTTAGTAGACTCCCTGCCAACTTAGAGGATCCGACGGTGTCATGAAGGCCATTGAGGAGGAGCTCAAGATTCACCACGGCGAGACCACTGAGGACAAGCTTTTCACCTTTACCGAAGTCGAATGCTTGGGTGCATGCGCCAACGCCCCTATGGTCCAGATCAACGACGATTACTACGAGGATTTGACCCCCGAGACAACAAAATCGCTGCTCAGAGCTCTTAGAGAAGCCGCACAGAAGGCCGGCGCAAGTGGACAAGCTTCCGGTCTTGCTGGCGAGGCTGGAAAGGCCGAGGGAGCTGGAGGCTCAGGTACCACAATCTCCGAGCAAGGCAGAGGTTACGAGGCACAAGGCGTCAAGCTCCCTACCCCTGGTCCCCTCAGTGGCCGCAAGTCTTGCGAGCCTTCTCACGGCTTGACCAGCTTGACCAGCGAGATGTGGGGCAACGAGAAGCTTAGAACCGACGGTGCTCTCGACTAGATGCTCTTAGAATGTACAGTATGTTTCTACGGTTGTTTTGATTCCCAAGGCGTTGTAATGTCAAGCCCGTCTTTTTCATCTCAAGAATACGTATCACATGCTGGAAAAGAAAAGAATAACTTTGTCTTCTTTGAAAAGGATGCACGAACTGTTGTTCTTGCTTGCAATCGAAGCGTTCAATTGCCTTGTAGGATGACAGTAGACTGGCTGATCGCCAGTCGTTTGCATCGTCCGTTTGCTAGACCATGCTCGTCATATGGCATTGGATCGTAGACGTGCATAAATCATCTGCAGTAATGCACCTTCCGCAAGCTTCCAATCACGAGCCATCCTCACAATATCCCATCCTTGGAAGGCGCGACTGCTTCACTTTCGTTTCCAAACAAATACCACCTTCATACACACTCTTTTGGTTTTCTCGTTTTCTCTTCTTACCACCACACACTCCTTTATCCAATTCCACGTCCAACGTCCAACATGAAGTTCTTCACTGTCGCTACTGTTTATCTTGTTGCTGGTCTCGCCCATGGCGCTGCCCTGAGTGAGAAGGTCCTTGGTGCGTTGGTTTCGCAGCGCGTCAACGTTCCAATGCTGATAGTCCGTAGCAAGCGCTCACTCGCAGATCATGGGCAATGCCTCCTCTGTCTTGGGCTGGCAGGTCGCCGGCTCCCAGCAGAGCCTTGCCCCTGTTGACCAGGGTTGTCAGAACATCTCTTCCTTCGGCCACGGTCATTGGGCTGCACTTGGTCTCAAGCCCGCTGTCATTGAGCGTAAATAATTCGTTTGTTAGCATACGAGCAGCACTAACATGTTTCTTAGAGGCTTTCTGCGTTGCTACTGCCAGAGTGTCCAACTCCTCTGCTCTTTCGCTTTCTCAGATCAAGCTCGCCGCCACCGACATCTTTGTTGCCCAGCTTCTTAACGCCTTTGGTGACGATACTGAGTCTAGCTACGAGTGGTTGTGCCAGAATTTCGACTACACTGCCATCAACGATAAGCTAGCTCTCGACTCTGGTCGTGTTGGCCAGGCTTTCTGCGCCAACCGCCCTTACGCCACCGCCTGGGTCAACCCATCGCACGATGTCCTTGTCGTTGCTGACTCTTCCATCTACAACATGGCATCTGCTCTCTTCGCTACGCTGTTCAGCTTCAGTGCCTCTACTGTCACTCAGCGCTGGGTTATGTGCGAGCAGTACTTCTACATGTCTCAGGCTCAGCTTCAGGAGGGCATCAACTCGACCATCGTTCGTAGTGCCCTGTGCCTTGACCATGACGAGCCTCTCATGACTCTTGACTACTCTCAAAACCTCATAACAGACCTTTCGACCGAGATCTTCGCTCGCCAACTTGCGCTCGCTGTCAACGCTGTCAACGATGAGGAAAAGCAGGCTTGGCTGTGTGAGAACATCCAGCACGGCGACCTTGGTCTTCTGGGTATGACTGCCAACAACACCTTGTTCTGCTAGGGTTTATGTTGCTGCCATGGGAAATATTTGCCTCTGCCGGAGCCAGAGACCATCGTTGCTTGCAAAAATATTGTAAAATGAGTCTAGCACAGTTAAAGTAAACATCAACCAAACAATGAAACGCTAAGATTGGTTCGGACAATGACTCGCCCATTGGTGGATACTAGTTGCAAATCTATTGCTTCTCTGGAGCAGTTCAACTGATCCTACGTGGAGTAGCACGAGACACTCAGATCGCTACCTCGATTAATTTTCATCCAGTCTCTCCTTTTCCACCACTCAAGCCTCAGCAACAACCTCCAGCTCGACCAATGCACCCTCCTTAGCCAACCCACTAACCTGCACACACGTGCTCACAGGATACGGCTCATCAAAATACTCTGCCCAAATTCTATCCACCTCTCTGAAGTCCTTCATGTCCATGATATAGATTCTTCTTCTGACCACTTTATCGAGACTAGAGTTTGCAGCTTCCAAACAGGCTTTGATGTTTTTGATTGCTTGGTGCGTTTGAGGTGTTATTCCGCCGGAAACGACGGAACCTGTTGAGGGGTCGTCGCCCATCCAGCCGGCTTTGGGGTGGTGTGTTAGATGATTGGTTTTGTGGTGGATGGTTGATATTGGGAGACTTACCCACATGGAGTGTGTTACCCTCGCGGACTACGTGTGAGTAATTGCCGTTGGGCTTTGGCGCCGAGGAGGCGTGGATGGCTTGTCTTTGGGAAGGCATAGCTGTAATCTGTTGTATGAGAAACTATTCTGGTTCGGGCTGTAGTTGATAGAGTGAGGTCTCTCGGAGGAAGCACATCTGTAGAACGTCATGATGATCTGACGTCACCTAACATATTGTAGTCCTCAGGAAAAGAACATAGAGTATGTCTGCGTATGTACTGAACCCCTGGTAAGTGAAGACGAGAGATTGTGGAGAGTAAAGGTAGGGGATTCTCAATGCGACGGCATTCAAGGGGTTGTAGGAGTAGAAGCCAGTCGAGTAAGTTCAAGCAATCAAAATCGGCAGGAGATGCCGTCTCTGAAGGACTGGCCTCTGTTCACAAACATGCATCGAGAGTGTTCTTGTGATGGTTGTTCCCAGAAAAGAAGGAAAGCGATAAGCATAAATGGAAAAGATTTTGTCATTACTACATGGCCCTGAGTATATTTGTATATATCGTGTCATGGGCAGGATATGAGGCATCTAACCGAGGACCTTGTCGACGACCGAAACTAGAACAAATCAGTAATAAGCTTTGGCTGAGAATCTGCATCGACTCACCACTCATGCCAGTGTTGTCGGGCTCGACGTGGGCCTCCTTGACCTTACCGTCCTCAATGACCAGGGCGTAACGCTTGCTGCGGTGGTTGCCGAGGACGGGAGTGGCATCGAAGTCGAGGTCGAGAGCCTTGGTGAACTTGCAGTCAGGGTCGGCAAGGAAACGAATCTAACGAGTAACAGTTCAGCATGATTGAGATGGCAGCAACACAGTATCACAACTTACGCCGCTCTTCTTGTCAGCATCGAGGTCGTGGGCCCAGGCCTTCATGCTGCATTGACAGTTATTACCCTGTTTCAGAAACAGTCTTGCAGCATTGCTAGCTCTTACACGAAGGGGTCGTTGACGGAAACGACAAAGACATCACCAGCGTCCTTGAGGTTCTTGTAGTTGATGTAACCAGGAATGTGGGACTCTGAGCATGAGGGGCCTGTAAGGAGTAGGAATGTTAGCTGGACTTTCCTTCTTCGGCAACTGCATTCAAATTCGTTCTTCAAGCTACAAGATGCCCAAGCAGCTTCAAGAATTTGGAATTGGGATTTGGTGGAGATTAATGCATGTAGGTGGATTGGCGACGTCGCTTTGGCGGACTAGCAATTGTTCGGAGTGTATGCCGTGAATAGCCAGCGATTGAGGCTAGCACTAGACTCGGTGCGGGCATCGGAGGCGCATGAGGCTCGCGGGGCAGGGGGTGCTGGTGAAGCAAACGATAGACTAGAAGAAGAGAGCAATCTTACTGAAGGCAGCAGGAACACCAATGATGAGACCCTTGCCCTTGAGGAGCTTGGGGATGGAGACCTTGTTGCCGGGCGAGTCCTCCATCAACTCAATGTCCGGAATAGAGTCGCCGACCTTGACCATGATGGGAGCTGAAGCGTGGAATGAACGGTTGACAAGAGGGGTGCGGGCGGCGCGAAGGGTCGAGGAAAGAGCAGTTCTTGCGGTGAACATGATGGCGAGCTGGGGAAAGGTGTTTCTTTAACCAATTGACCGACAACAACAAGCAGATGAGGGGTAGGTGGGTGATTTGGAAGGCCAGAATATCGAGGCTTGGAGCTTAAGCTGGAGATAACAACCAAGCTTTTGTTTGCAACATTTGATTGGTGCTTTGTCTACCATACCATCGGTTACGCGATCTATGCCCTTTAATCGACAGGTGGATTCAAAGATTGAAGACTATCGTGAATAAAGATTGAATTGCACCGCATGTACTTGACTATTGTAGCAGTTACTTTCACCGACCCCCTGTACAGCGCTAGGCAGAGGCCGCACCTCGTTCAGGGTCGCTTCTCCAACACTGCTGCCAAAGCTGTAGCAGGACGTTTACTCTGAGTTTCAATTCCTGTTCGGTTTTGGGAATTTGGGGCCCACGATGCGTTCAGCCTTTTGACCCGAATGGCTTGACAGAAGCAGCAATAGCGGAGCCGTTGACGCCATTTCGAGTTATTAGATTCAAGCTTAACCAGGGGCCCGTCAGCTCTCCTTTGTCGTGCAGAAGTGGAACTCATGCCATCAATGATTTGGACAGGAGGAGGGCGCTCGCGCAAAGACGGCAGCTCGGCACATAAGGCGTGGTATAGTGTGTGGACATGTGGCGGTGGTATCAGTGATGGGCGGTGGAAGCATTCCACAGGTCGGCAACGGAAGCTTTGTACCAGTAATGAGGGCGCCGATCTTGACTCTAGCATGGACGTATTCAACCATGGGGCCAAGTTATTTTTCTTTTTCTTTTCCGACTCGAGCGATAGACAAGGAGGGCAGATCCACTTTATCGCGTCCGCTAAGCCACGGCATCCGTCGTGCTGCACAGAGCCTCGGAATCGTTTCTGGCTCGACACCTGCACCCTGCTTTTCGAGCTTTCTTCCTTTGATCTCGCTGAACTCTGGTGCTCCAGACTCATCCACTTCGACCTCGACTTTGCTCGGTGGTCTTTTCCGCATACCTCGCGCCAACCCACCAGCAAAGGCTTCAGCCGGCGCCGACGCTCTGTCGACTCTCTCAGGCTCTGTACTCTCTCCAGCACCCGCCAGTTACATCACGCATCCCGGCATTCCCCCAAGTCGCTCGCACCCAGACCCCGCTTCTCCCTCGACAGAGCCGCCAACTTCGAAAAGGCCTCCATCTCGACCCGTGCAAATTCTTTGCGCGTCGCATGAACCAGACACCATACGTCATCGCTCACAGCATACCCCGTCGCAACCATGGATAACAACCAGGGAGGTGGCAGTGGAAACACGTCCAGCGACTTTGTAAGTTGACCACGCTCTGGTCTAAAGACAATGGCGCAATCACTCAGCTGCAATGGCTAACCTCTGTTTTCTCGTCTTGGCAGGTTCGCAAGTTGTACAAGTAGGTCATTGGACTGCGCGCAACCGCGTCAAATCATGCATGGCGTCATCTAATTGGCTCTTAATAGGATGTTGGAGAGTCCACAGGACGAGAGCGTAGTACGATGGGGCAACGAAGGCGATAGTTTTGTCGTCCTCGAGGTGCGCATCCCCAGTTGTAATGCGCGCCTAGGCTTTGCTAACCAGACGGCTCGCAGAACGAGAAATTCACAAAGCACATCCTACCCAAGCACTTCAAGCACAGCAATTTTGCCAGTTTCGTGCGCCAACTTAACAAATACGATTTCCACAAAGTCCGACATAATAATGAGGAAGGCGGTGTGTCGCCATACGGCGCTGGTGTACGTCATTCCAAGAGTCAATGTAGCAGAGTATGGATGGAGGAACTAACAGATTGATAGGCATGGGAGTTCAAGCACCCCGACTTCAAGGCCAACAACAAGGATGCCCTGGACAACATTCGAAGGAAAGCGCCTGCGCCGCGCAAGCCCAATGCCATGATGGACGAGATGATGCCCACTCAGCAGATGGATCTTTTCAACACACAACTTGTCGCGACACAGCAGCAGTTGCAACAATTGCAAGAGCGCTACAACGAGCTCAGCATGCACCACTCAATGCTTCTTCAAGAACTCATCGGCGTTCAGAAGACAGTCGTCAACCATGAACACGTTATGCAATATGTTATGAACTTCTTGCAATCGGTCGATGGTCAACGACGAAGAGAAAGTCGCACGACCAACCCCTTTGCGCCTCCGGCTGCCGGTGTCCCTAACGGCAAGCAACTTCCCCCTGCACCGATTCCAGAAGACGAGCCTGCATCGCCGCTGCAGCATGCCGCAAAACTGCTTTCAGAGACTAACGCCGACCATATACTGAACACGCGTAACCTCGAACAGATGAATGAAATGTCCTTGAGAATGAATTCGGCCCTTACCACACCTCCTCCGGATTTAGCGCTCCGAACTGGTGCCAGAGTGGCTAGAGGCGGTCCTCACGGTCCTCACTCTGCTGCATCATCTACATCCATGTCTTACGGCGAACTCGACAACCTTGTGTATCCTGTTGGCCAAACGAACGGCATCGACCCCATGTTCAGCGAGCATATCCACAACATCCCTTATGCAATGCCAACAAAGGCTCCCGAACCTGCGCCTGCACCTCCTGCAGCTGATGGAAGGAAGAAGAGCATGCAATATGACCCTGGGTGGGCTAGACAACCTCAAGTGCTGCTTGTTGAAGATGACCAGACTTGCAGAAGGATAGGCGGCAAGTTCTTGTACGCTTTCCACTGCGCCGTCGATAGTGCTGTAAGTCTGGAAGCTACTTCCATCTTGTCGTTCTCCGTGCTGACTAAATTAAGCTTGATGGTCTGGAGGCAGTCAACAAGATGAACGCCGGCGCAAAATACGATCTCGTGCTGATGGATATCATCATGCCCAACCTTGATGGTGTTTCAGCTTGCCATTTGATCAGACAGTTCGACAACACCCCAATCATTGCCATGACCTCCAACATTCGCAGTGACGACATTGCAATGTACTTCCAACATGGCACGTACCCTACACATAGGTGGTCGCTGGCTTTTGCGCTAACTCTGCTACAGGCATGAACGATGTGCTTCCCAAGCCCTTCACAAAGGAAGGATTGCTGAGCATGCTGGAAAAACACCTTGGTCACCTCAAGAAGTCACCTTCACAGATTGACGGTGTCACAACTGGAGCACCACCACCTCTTGTTCAAGTAGCCGCAAAGAATGCACTCAAGGCCGAAGAGTCGCCTGCTACCTCACCAGCTACTGTCAGCAACTGGACATCCCCTGGAACTGGCTTAGGCATGTCGCCAGCGGCTAGTGACGCTGCTGCAAACGAATACAACATGGGAGTTGCTGGTCACCCAGCAGCCCCTTACCACATGCAGGCTGGTATGCCCCCTCCAGCTATGCCTACACAAGTTAGTTATGGTGGCTCACCTCGCGGTATGCCACCTGGTCTGGGACCGCAACCCGGTGGCCCGCACAGACGCCAAATATCTGATATTTCGGGCGGGCCCGGCGACATTGGAGGTGATGCCAAGAGACAGCAAATGTTTGGTGCTGGACCGTTACCACCACATATGGGACCAGGTGTACCAATGGGACAACCCGTACCAAACCCGCTCAACCCCATGCATAGAAGACCGGGATGATCGAGCTCCTAATGTCTAGAACAATGACGGTCCCATTGATGAGCGAAAGACTGCACATTGCATGAGTTGCACGACTTTTAATCAGGAGTTTTTCTTCTTTAGCAGGCAGTCTGGATGGGTTGCAACAATCCTCTGCCCGCAACACATTTGACTGCTTGATGTCTATGTTCTTGTACGACAAAGCATTTGACTGGCGTCTAGTTGTCATTAGATTAGTTTGGAGATATATGACTGCAAGCGCGGCAATCATAGGTATGCATGTAAAACAATTTGTTCCTTTTCCAAAGTGTTGTTGTCATGCACCCAGCCCAGATCGTTTGATATTGATTGCGTTTGTCGCCATCCCGACGAGATACCTTGGCTATTTACCTCTCAAGATCTGGCGCCGCCGAGATTGCTCAACACGATAGCAAACCACCTACAGTATTTCTCCTTCACTGAAACTGCTTTGTGCTCCCGTCGACATCAACATTGATCTATCTATACTAGCAAGGCAATTGCGCGAGAAATAGTTTACCCAGTATGCCTGCTTGATATAATTACTTCTCACCTCGCTAATCTCTTAACAGACATCCAGATCATGGCAGCACCCCAACGCTCCCTGAGACAAGATATCGAACTTCTGCGCCAGAGGCTCGATGGTCTAGAGCCTGGTGTGCCGGTCACGTTCAACAAGCTCAGAGACCAGATCCAGACTCTTGAACAGAAAACTCACGCCTATGCACAGCGAATCCATGCACTCGAAGAGCAATCTCAAGCACTCAGAGAGCAGAACCGCGTGCTTCAAGAACGAATTCGCACCATAGAAGAAGAAAACAGACCTTTCGAAACTCTGGAAGCGGATTCTGATTCATCTTCAGAGGTGCTTTTTACGAACACTATCTGGATCGATGAAAGCACACTAGAAGATGTTACTCCTGCTTTTGGAGATGCTGCTTCAGAACATAACTCAGAGATCGGTTCTCCCGAAGACATCCCTTCCCCAATCAACCAGCAAGCCTCAGCCTCTTCCACCACTATCAGAAATGACGACGAGGAGTTCGTTGTTTGGTTCGAGAACGGCACTCTGAGGACCAATGCCCCTGAACACCTTCTCACCACACAAGATTGGCGCGACCTCCTCGCGGCCTTCGCCAAACCCCAAACCTTCCTTACTGACAAGAACGCTGATTGGCACTCCATCACCAGAACTGATGTATGTGTCAGAGACGTTATTCAGAAGAGCAAAGGCCAGAAGTCTATGCAGTGGACTATGGCTTCGCCAGGCAAATTCTGTTGCAAAAGATGCTTGAACACGCAGAGAGTGTGTTTGAAGTACAACGAGGAGGGTGGAAGGTTGGAAGCCTTGCCATTGCCTGAAGCAGTCAGGCCTGAGGATGCTCCATTTGGTGTCAGATGGTTTGTTGCTGAGCAGCCTAACATGAGTAACAAGGCAGGATTCAAGGGATTGTGGAGGGCAGCATAAGCATCTGGTTGTTGAGATGCTGGAAGGTGCGATCAGATAGAGTTACGAGGACTTAGAGCACCTTTGACTGCTGGTTTTGAAGGGCAAAGAAGCACGAGGAAAGTGACATGGGGAGGAGCGGTCCAGAAGGAGAGAGAAATCCAAAAAAAAAAAAAAAAGAGAAACGCATGAACGGATGGTAGAAGCAAGAGGAAACAATAGTCAAGAGAGTCCTTCAACAAAGATAAAGACGGACCAGGAGTTTTTTTGTGATTCCAGTAGAATAGAGATGCTGCTGCTGCAGTGCTGCAGCGCTATCCATGCAGCTCTTATGGTTACTTGAAGGCCAATCAGGCATACAAGGCAAAGTCAAGACACCAGCATTATAAAGATGTCGCATTGTAACACAAATTTACAATCATTGAGTCCGGAGGTCAACTCAGTCCAGAACAGAGTATCCCGAAGGAAGCAACTTCTCAAATGTCGTTTATGTTTTTCAAACTCTGCCCCACAAACATCTCGGAAGGAACAAATTTTTGAGCCTGCTGTTTACAGATCAACAGAATCAAGAACATCATTCCTACCACGAGCCACTCGCTCAATGACATTCAGAAGCAGCTAAAAGACCGCTTCTTCTCCGATTCGATCCAATAGCCCGTCTTTTCCAGTGAGAAAAACACCGTTTAGTATCCACCTGTGCTCGAGCCTTTTTGCATGCCCCACTGTAAACAAAAAACTCGTCACCACTAAGCGACACTCCTCTGAATCTGTACGCAAGCAGAAGAGGAACAAACCGAGAAAAAAGAATGGATAGCTAAGCTTGGTTTCGATCCAAGGTCCTCCGGGTTATGAGCCCGGCGCGCTGTGAGGAGTTAGTGATGAGTTCAGGATGTGTGGTGGTGAAGAATATTACGAACCTTCCGCTGCGCCACTCAGCTTTCTGAGCATTCGAATTTGAATGTGGATCCTCTGGTCATTGGAGTGAATATATAGTCCGTTTTCTCTTAATTCGACAAGAAAAACGTGCCTTCCTGTTTTGATGCTGAAAATCAGCCAGACTAGAGATCACATCCCGAATAATAATCATACGATGGCCGATGGAAAATTATCATTACTACTGCAAGCAAAGCGCTTGTATATCGTTAAATCTAGTACTTGGGCTTGAACGGAATAGTCTTCATCTGATCCGCCGGATTGGCCTGAATGCCAAAGAGGTTGTAAATCCACTTGATAATGACAAAGAAGCTCTCTGGTTCACCCATATGCTTGATGCCAGGGATAAATCTCGCCTCTTTGGGTGCTCCATGCAGCAAACAAAGGTAGTAATCATCAATAGGGAAGATCTCGTCTTCTGTGCCATTAACGAGTAGCAGTCTTGCGCATTCGGGCTTGTCCAATGTGCCATCCTCGAGTAGTGAAAACTTCTTTGCTTCCTTCTTGAACTTTTCAAAGTCGTTGCCGTAGCCGTATTTGTAGCATAGAGTCGTTGCGAGATCGAAGGGGTATTCGAGGTTATTGACGTTGTTGAGCCATTCTTCGTCGAACATGTGGTGGACGCCTCCGCCTAGTGCAACTACACCAGCGAGACGATTGGGATGTGTGTGCGCAAGACGAATAGCGTAGTAACCACCTGTCGAGAATGCCCAAACACAGACCTTGTCTTTTGCGATTGCAGGTTGGGTATCGATCCAATCTAGCAAACTGCTCCATTGTCGGTCGGGAGATGTTGGATCAGATGCGAGGGCAGGAGAGTCGCCAGTGCCTGGGATCTCAACGACTATGCTGCCGACACCTGTTTGACGCCACCCTTCCATCCACACGGCGAGTTCTGTACGGTAGCCGTCCAGACCGGTCATAATCAGAACGACGGGCGTAGGGTTCGATTCGCTGGCACCTGATGGGAGTTGGTGGTAGATAGGAATAACTTTGCCCTCTCCTTCAATACCGTGAGTATGTGGTACTTGGATTTCGTGGACTGGGTGTTCGCGAAGTCTGTAGCAGAATGTCAGCTATAGTGCTTGAGATCTCGATGAGTATGCTTACCCTAAGCCCTTTATACACGCTTTCTTGCCTTCCTGCCAGGCGTATCGTTGCTTGTCTGATCGCGGTGCAGGGAATCTCGAGATGCGGTAGACAGCACTTGCTCGCCTGTGCTCTTGTCAGCGTGACTGGTCGCCTTCGAGATATTTTGATCTTACAAGTAAAGTTCAGAAGCCTTCTCCTTGTTTCCCTCTTGTTCAGCCTTCTGTGCCTCGGAAACCAGCTCTTCAGCTTTAGGGAAGTAGACTTGTGCATAGTCGTCCCAGTCGTATGGCTCCTTGTAGTCGCCCTGACATCTCATAAGTAAGAGTTGTATTGTTGCCTATGGATTGAGCGTACCGCGACAAGCTTCTCAACTATCGGCTCGAAATCTTTGACTGCAGAGAACATGAACGGGTAAACACCCATCTCGCACTAAAATAGTCAGTCGAATAGTTCTATAGTCTACTTCTAGTCTCAATGCTTACAGGCTTCTTCCATTTGGTTTCCCAGAGCTGCTTGTAGCTCTCATGATGCGGAGCTGTCTTGTACAGCTTATCCTGGATGAAGTATCCTCCGTTCGGTGCAGCCATATCTTCGAAAAGTTCTCGAGGATATCGTCAAGAGAATGTAACAGGAAACAAAAAAGCACTCGAAGAGAAAGAGCGGCAATGTTGACTTTAATGGCGGACAGAGGTAAAGTCGGGTCCTCCACTGCTGACCCCACCCACGTGCCGGGCCCCCGTGTTACATCGTCACGATATTCTGTTTCGTGGTCTTGAGCTCGGTGTTTTGAGTGTTCGAGATGTCCGAATGTGTTGCGTCGACGACATAAATAGAGCTGCAAGTACTGAGATAGAGAACAGCGAGGGTCTACTTATTGAACGTGAGGAAGCCAAGGTCCACCATGAGAGCTCATCGCGAACGTCTGGTGAGCAGCTTCTTGTGCTCTATACGTCACTTCCGGACTTTTGGTGGGGGATTGAGTTGATAATTCTCCGAAGGTGACATGCGCCTTAGCCGTTCAGACCAGTAGTACGAGAAGATCACTCTGGCTATACAAGCTCATTGGGAAGAAGATATGGAGGAGAAAGAAGTCCATTCAGCTCAGCAGGGGAACACTTCATGCATGCTCGTACCGAGTAGTCTTCATGCAAGGATAGATTTGGTCTAATATAACTAGCGACTAATCCCTGAAAAAATCATGCAAGATGATGCTGAAAGAGAGGCTCAGGAATCGCTGAGATACGCACATCTCGGGACCTCATCCAACTTGCATTATCATTATCCTGGCCTCCAGGCTTCTGATCTTGCCAATGCTTACGCAGCACTTGGTCCCCGGCATTTGCGGTACCCCCAGCGATCGTGAGCTTCCGAATACGTGGAGCCAGCTGTGTGATGTTCAAATTGCTGCCGTTCAAAGTCACATTAACGAGCCGCAACTCCTCAAGTCTGTTCCAGGTCTTCGTCAACTTCATGGTCTGGTGATCTTCTCCCACATTGAACGGATCTGGACCTGCCTCGCCGAACCACGACAAATCAAGCCTAGTCAACGTTTTGCTGAAGCTCAGTAGATAGTCTGTGAAGATCTTCTCAAAAAGCAGTATCTGGCATTTGGTCAATCGGCCTTCAGCGTAAGGACTAAAGATTCCTAGCTTCAGTGTCTTCAACCGGTACCAAAAGGGATTTGTTGAAGCGCATGCTTCGCCGTATGCGCCAGCTCCTGCCCAACGAAGGTGCATGATGCCCATAGCATGGATGGGAGATAGACACACCGTATGTATATGCTTGGGGTTGACACGCTCGAGAGTAATGCGTAACATGATAAGCGCAGACTCGATATCAGTGCAGCCAGGCCAAGCGGGATCACCATTGCAAGCAATGTGAACAGTACCTAGTTGTGGCAAGAGCCTGAAAATCTCACACCACTGTTGAAGTAGGTTCTGGTCAACATCGCTAGGTTTCCTCTGAACAACGAATTTCCATGCGATAGGCGGCTCGGCATATGGGCAGTACGAGTCAAGAATGTTGGAGACTGTATCGCTTTCACTGCTAGAGCGCGGGCTCGACACATTTGTGCTGAGAGAAGGTGTTCCTGTTGGATAGCATGACTTCGGCAGGTACGCAACTTTGACCATAACTCGTCGGCAAAAGGACCCGATCATCTTGAGTGTATCCGTGTACTGTTTCCGTCCGTGAGGCACAGGCGTGTGGATGTAGATGGTCTCAAAAGCAACCTCGTTGAGCTCAGCAAGGTCATTCATCGAAAGAGAGGTTAGCCTCAGGTTCAGAATGTCTTGAGTATCGAGATATAGTTTGAGCAGATGCCCAAGACTCGGTCCTTGAGAAAAGACTTGGTGACGGAGGAGTGCTCTTTCCAGTGATGAAGACATAGCGGAGGTTTGGAATTGCGCTTGATCATGACAGAAAACCTTCATAACAGAGCCACGATATGCCTTTTATAGTATCCAGTACATGTATTCAACTTACTCGGGCAGGAAGAGCACGCCATGTGATGTGTCACAACTGCAGCTAATCGCTGTACTGCAGGCTTTTACGCGATAAATCCACGTTGAGTGTCACAGGCAATGCAATGAAGCCGCCAGCACAGCGATGTTATAATCAGGCGATACGCTCGTAGGCAGAATCGCTGAGATAGTCTTTCTGGGGGCCTTTGACCTTGTATCGCAAGCCCCACCTCTTCATGTTGTCCTCCAGCCTGAAATCGTAGAATGCCCAGTACATGTCTTTGTCGCACAAATGATCTCCCTTGGCAATCCAGCGTTGATCAAGAAAAGAAAACTCCAATTCGTGGAACAGATAGTCGACCTCTTCGTTGGTTTCAGGTGCTGGCTCTTTGACGAACCAGCACGCGATCTTTTCGTCATCGGGGCTGAATTGGTATACGTATTTTCGATTGGCCAGGAGTTTATAGCCTTGCTCTGTGGTGAGCTCTCCAACTTCATGGTACAGTAAGGAGTTTCCGTCAAATGCGCTGTGGGGCTCAAAAGTGGCAGTACCGGTGAATGTTCCGGATGGAAAGCCAGGGAGGACACTCGTGAGCGATCGGTGGAGCTTCCATGTGCCGGAGAAGTTTTTGAAAATGGCTTCAAGCGGCGGCATTGGCGACTCGATGAGAGGCATGTTGACCAGATGTGTGGGTTGTCAACTCGGTATCTGCTGCTTCTTCGACTTGGAAAGTCCGGCGTTGGATGCCAGGCACCCGGTCCGTGCGCCAAGCACATGCATGGTTATACACATATGGACTTGTTCTCAACCACAAGCTCTGGTCTGCAGTGCTGGTATATCTTCGTTGCGCAATCCCGGATATCGGGAAAGCTCCTTCTCTTCATCCCCGGCACATCTACTTTTAGACACATGAGTATTTTGATCCGCGAGGCAGCATTGAGGCCTGCTTAGATCTTGCCAGAGTACGAGGTGCTAGAGCACGATGGAGCTACAGTAACGGAAGAACGAAATTGAGTGGTTGATAACAGGCTTCGATGGATTAAGTGGTTATGGTACAAGAAAGGGTAAGGCGCTATTTTCCGTCAAATGTGATGGAACTCGCATGAATCGTAGCCATTCTGTCGTTGATGTCATTTACAGGCAACCATCAAGTTTACTTGTTCTGAGCCTTGTCAAGGTCGGCCTTGTCCTTTGCGAGCTGGGCCTCACCCTCCTTGACCTTTCTTCTGAGGGCCTCGAGCTTCTCCTGCTCGTGACGCTTGACGTAGAGGTTCTCCGAGGCTTCCTCGCGCTTTGTGAAGGCATCGCTTGAGGCAGAACCGCCTGATCTGGGGGCACCGGCATCACCAGCGGCCATCATACGGGGAGCGACGGAGAAGCGGGCCACCTGGGAGTTGGCGACGAGGGGGCGGGCAACGCGAGCAATTCTGAGTGCGGAAGACATGGTGTGTCTGAATGGACATTAGCATCGTGGACTGGTGAAAGTGGCAGAAGTGGAACTGACTGTGTGGTTGTTGGTATTTGGTGTGGTATGAATTGGTTTGTTTGTGTATGAGTTTGTGAGAGGGGAAGTAAGAGAAGAAGAAGGAACTACTGCATAGAAGCTCTCAGGTGATGGGCCAATGGCGTGTCCTGCACACCTTGTTTTGGAAGGGAAGGAACGGCTACGTCACAGCCATCGGCCAGATCGGAGCTCAGTGAACGTGCTGAGCTGAGCGTGGGCAAGCACGACCATTACACAAAAAGCTTCTCAACCAAACCTCAGGCGCCTTGTCGTTGTACATTCCATTGATCTATCCCCGTAAGTCGTCTCTCGCTTTGTATCTGGCCTGGTCTTTTCTGCCTTTCAGTCCGGCTCCCTGATGCCTCGTCCATTGTCGAGCTTCCCCCACACGTTTACTGTTCATCGCATGGAGGGGCTCTCGGTGAGGGGGGTCGCAGCAACAAGCATGAAGCATAAACGCCCATAGTCGCTGCAGCTTGCATTGAATCTTGCTGCGCTATCATTGCTGCCGAGTGAAGCCTTGATATCGCATCCGCTTCAATGGTCGCACTACCCTCACCGCCTGGCTCGTACTGTCTACCTCTCTTCCGCGCACAGTCTAGTCCATGGCGCGCATTTGTTCTCGTTGCAATCTTTTGACCTTGCACCACGTCACTTGATCGTTTTTGATTTCTTTGAACTTCGCTGACATACATCCGCAGTCTTCATCTGCCTCTATCCGATTTTCACAAGCGTGCATTTAACGCCTGCTAATTCATATTCCTCCATTTAAACCACTCAACACATACCCGTCAACATGGTCGGTCTCGGTCCTCGCAGACCCCCTTCAAGAAAGGGTCAGTCAACTTTGGCATAAGAGCTAGACGTACAATGGATTTTGACACCCACTAGGTTCCATGGCCGATGTGCCCAAGGATCTCCTTGCCCAGATCAAGCACCTCGAAGACATCTTCACTGTTCCCAAGGAGACCCTTGACAAGATTGTCACAAAGTTCGTCAAGGAGCTCGAGAAGGGTCTTGCCAAGGAGGGCTCCACAATCGTCAGTATTCGTCTATCCATACCTTAAAGATCGAGGTTGCTGACAAGTCGTAGCCCATGAACCCTACCTGGTGTATGGGCTTCCCCACTGGTCATGAGACCGGTACTTTCCTCGCCCTCGACATGGGTGGCACCAACCTCCGTGTCTGCGAGATTCACCTGCCTGAAGAGAAGGGAGAGTTCGACATCATCCAGTCCAAGTACCGCATGCCCGAGGAGCTCAAGACCGGTACTGCTGACGAGCTTTGGGGCTACATTGCCGACTGTTTGCAACAGTTCATCGAATACCACCACGAGGGCGAGAAGTTGGACAAACTTCCTCTTGGTTTCACTTTCTCATACCCTGCCACCCAGCACTACATCGACCACGGTATACTGCAGAGATGGACCAAGGGCTTCGACATCGACGGTGTCGAGGGTGAGGATGTTGTTCCTCCCTTCGAGAAGGCTTTGGCTGAGCGTGGAGTCCCCATCAAGCTGACTGCTCTGATCAACGACACCACTGGTACTTTGATTGCCTCTGCCTACACCGACGACCAGATGAAGATTGGATGTATCTTCGGTACTGGATGTAACGCTGCCTACATGGAAAACTGCGGCTCCGTCGGCAAGCTGTCTCACATGAACCTCGATCCCGACCTTCCTATTGCCATCAACTGCGAATACGGCGCTTTCGACAACGAGCACGAGGTTCTTCCTCTTACCAAGTACGATGAGACAATTGACAAGGAGTCGCCTCGTCCTGGACAACAGGCCTTCGAGAAGATGATCGCTGGTCTGTACCTCGGTGAGATCTTCCGTCTCGTCCTGCTCGATATGTATGAGGGCAAGCACATGTTCGAGGGCCAGAGCGTCGACAAGCTCAAGAAGCCTTACAGCATCGACGCCTCTGTCCTTGCTGCCATTGAGGAGTAAGTTGTTCTCATCGTGTTTCAAAAGCGAGTGGTACTAATATGACGATAGGGATCCCTTCGAGAACTTGTCCGAGACCCTCGAGTTGATGCGCGTCCAATTTGGCATCCAATGCAACAAGCCCGAGCTCGAGTTGATCCGCCGTCTGGCCGAGCTTATCGGTACTCGTGCCGCACGTCTTTCAGCTTGCGGTGTCGCTGCCATTTGCAAGAAGAAGGGCTACAAGACTGCTCACGTTGGTGCCGACGGTTCGGTGTTTAACAAGTACCCCCACTTCAAGGCCCGCGGCGCTCAGGCCCTCCGTGAGATGCTGGACTGGCCCGAGAAGAAGAGCAAGCGCGATGCCGATCCTGTTGAGATTATGACTGCCGAGGATGGTAGTGGTGTCGGTGCCGCTTTGATTGCTGCCCTCACGCTCAAGAGAGTCAAGGAGGGTCAGCTTGCCGGTATCAAGGATGCTCAATCCATGCTCAACTTCTAAGCGCTGCAAACGAAAGTACGTCACTAGATGATTTTCTTTTCGGGCGTGAGGGGTCTCAGAGATGCTAGCATGTCATTATGAAGATGAAGGAGGGAAGCGAATAATGCTTTTGAGAAAGACGCTTCTTCTCGATTAGCTACACATTGCACAAAATGAAACGAATTTCCTTAACAATGATGGATTGCATAATGATGGGTCATATTTGTGTAGGCCAAAATGCTGGCACATGTCAGCTTCGACTAGATCGTTGTGCCCAAACGCCTGTTGCTCGATGCTTGGTACAGAAGAGGCAGGGATAGAAACAACAGAAAAGCATTCGAATGTATGGGGTATCGTAACGTGCAAAAAGACAAAACATAGGAGAGAACGACGCAACCACTGCTTTCATTCCTTGGCGAGTCTCCTCCAATACTCAGAATCCCCAGTCCTCGTCATCATCACTTAGATCCCAACTTCCTGGTACCCTCCTATGACCTCTCAATCTACCCGCCGCAGTCGCAGCAGCCGCAGCACCACCAGCAGCAAACATATCGTGAAAAGCCGGTTCGGCCAGATTCAACGCACCACTAGCGACCAATCTAGCAGCAATCCTCAGCATCGTAGCTACGAGGTTTGCTGGGGGTCCCAAGAACAAAGCGCAGGTCTTGCGAACCAAAAGGGCTGGAGAGGTCTTTGTGAGAGCTGTGGAAGTTTGCTTGGTGGGTGTTTGAGTGGAAGAAGGAGGTGAGCTTGAGCGGAGAGAGGGAGAGGAGGAAGGTGAGTGTGTGCGGCGTTGGCGGAGGAGGTCTGTGGCTTCTGAGGGGGTGAGGACGGGGAGAGTGGACCAGGAGGTTGCTGTTGAGATGGAGGTTGTGGAGAGGGCTGGTGAGGAAGCTGTGAAGGTGGCACTTGTGGTCTCGGTTGTTGAGGTGGATGGTGACGCGGCTGGGCCGTGTGTCGATGGTATTTCTTCGTCTGAAGTTTGTAGAGCTGGTTGCTCGATTTCAGTGGTCGTGGGTTGTGCTTCTTCTGAAGATTTCGCAGCTCCTGCGATCGCTTGTTCTTGGGGTTCTTCTGGCAAGAGCGTCTTATCTATCGTGCCGTTGTTTTCCAAGTGGGTTTCGGTATGCGTCTCGTTCGAGTTTTGAGAATTGTCGAGCTCAGATTCATCGTCCGCCTGCTCGACGATGATCAGGGGTTCCGTAAGATTGGGGTAGTCATTCTCGTCTGCGACGACCGCGACAGGTTTGACAGGAGTCGAGCTCGACGGTTCGTCGTTCGTGATGTTTTCGTGAATATGGTTGTCAGGGGAGTTGAGAGGTAGATCGTGATCATCGGCAGACTCAGGAGTTGGTGGAAGCCGTGGAACGAGAGCTGATGATAGTGGACGTGCCAGAGGTGGCACTGTATCGCGAGCAGACTGGTCGAAGATTCCAGCCATCTTGCGAACCTTGTTGACCCTGGACGGAGGTGACGATTCGAGACTCAACTGCGGCGGAGCAGTGACAGAGCGCATGGCTGCCAGCTTCTTGGAGGGAAATGGTCCAGAAAGTGGAGGTGGCTTTTCTCTGCTGGCCGGTCTTGTGTCCTGTTCTGTTCCGCTCTCTTCCTCTAGTCTCGTGTTGTCCTCTACATCTGATCGTTCCGTATCTGATCTTGAAGGGCTTCTGTTGGGATGCAAGAGTTGTGGTTCTTCGAGCTCAGCACCCTCTGGCCTCCACACTTTGTCAAGTCTCCATCTTTTTGCAGGTTCAATGAATTCTCTTGACAGTCTTCGCGAGTTTCTAGTGGGCATCTCTGGAAGGTCTTCACCAAAACCCCTTTGGAAGGGACAAGCTGTTCTCTCGTAGTACAGAACTTTGGCCAGTGTCTTTTTGAGCTGCTCGACATATTCCAGATCTTCTTGTGTGGTTCCGGGTAACTCGATACGGTAGTAGGTATTGGGTAAGACGCGCATGGCAAACTTGGAGACACCATCGACACACCAACATTGCGAACGAGGGAGGATGGCGTGTAGTAAGCTTCCAGAATGTAGAAAGGCGACGGATCCGGGTACGCGGTAGATCTCTAGGGGACCTAAGATCTTGTCAGCTGCACTGTCACCACTCTGTTTGTGTGTCCTGTCTCATACCAGCAGCCATGGTCCTTTCAGTTGGTGAGGTCCATGACAGGGAAGTTGAAGTATCTGCTTCTCCATCGTAGCTGGCAATGCTCGATCTTGAGCTAGGTCGTGATCTCAGGGACGACGCTGTGCTGAAGGATACGATCTTGGCGGAAGGGACGACGAACAGTGTCTCTATTCCATCGGCGGAACCAATCTCGACCTGTTGCTGGGCTTTGTTCGGATTGGCGAGTCTTGAAGGCAGTGTGAAAGATCGTCGCAGAGCTGTGCCTGGAGCCGAGGCCGACGGCATATCCTTGGATGTGCTGGACGAGGGCCGCGAAGACATAGCATCCCCAAGTCCCCGGCCCGAGGTGGTGGTGGTTGTAGGATGTAGGACGTGATGTTACAGTAGGAAAGATGGCCGCGATCTAGACAGCAAACTCGAGTGAGACGGTCGCCTTCATTCCAACACTTCCTTGCCTGTGCGGGGCATATCGAACCAGTGAGAAAAAAGGTTCCCTCCAATTTAAGGAGTCATTTTATGCAAGGAACTACTACGTAACAGGGCTGTACTAGATCTTTACAAGGCTACTTCCTAGTGGTTTCAGATGGAGACATTCAACAGGAGTCAGCTTATAATGTATAATGACCTTTCCGAGTCATGCTTGATCATATGCCTAGCAACAAGCACATCTTTTTTCTCTCCATCTCTCCAGACATAATTCAAGGACCTGCACACATGCCATGCATAGAGGTGTAGCATTCTTTATCATGCCCATAGCAACGTCTGGGATAGCAACGGTCAGGGCCGCACCCTCGGCAGCGAACCCCTGGATGGTTCAGTCGGCACCACGGCGTCTCGAACACCGATTGAGCATGACGTCGGCAGACGTGTCGATGATGAGCTTGAGTGCAAGCAAAATGTTGAACTGAAGGAAACCATTCTGTCTTTGTTACATCCAGATCAGGGGATTACAGGCAGCCATGTCGAACTTCGATCCCAATGCCATCCTTCGTGGTGCGCAGCTCACCGTCGTCGGTGGTAAGCATATCCAACAGACTGTCGCGTGCCTACGCAGCTTGACTGACAGGTCCAAGCCTACCGAGCATTACAGAATCCGAAACTCTTCACCTCCGAGCATTATAGACAAGCTGCTCTAGCCGTTGCAGCTGGTATCGCCATTCGTATCCTCGTCGCCATTCCTGTACGTTCTCGTTCCGTTCCCCGACAATCACTCCAAAGACAACCATCTGACCACATTGTGACAGGCCCTTGGCGTTCGTGTACTTATTGCTTTCCTTGGTCTCTTCACAGACCTCAAGAGCTCGGGATGGGATGATGAAATCATGGATGGCGTCGAATTCTTGGAGCATTCGGTGCTACAGCTGCCCTTCTTCCTCATGAGTTTCATGAGATACATTAGTCCCTCTCTGGACAACATGTGAGCATTGAGTTTGTCTAAACCATGCGACACTATGCTAATTATGTCAGGTTCATGGAATCGCTCAGATGGGTCGACGAGACGTATGTCCAGAAGCACAAGGGTGAAGACCCCAAACAGCTCCGCGCCATGTACTATCCCAACATGCGTCAATACACCCACCACGGTCCTGCTCCCGCTGCAGGAGAAAAGCCCTCGCAAAATGCACCTAAGCAAGCCGCCATCAAGTTCTTGATGCGATACGGGCGCAAGGCTGGAATCTCGTTAGCCGTCTACCTGCTCTCGCTGGTGCCATACGTTGGTCGCTTCGTCCTACCCGCTGCATCCTTCTACACCTTCAACAAGCAGGTTGGTCTGCAACCCGCTATTCTCATCTTTGGCAGCTCCATCTTCCTGCCTAAGAGGTACCTGGTTCAGTTCCTCCAGAGCTACTTTGCTTCTAGAAGCTTGATGAGAGAATTGGTAAGTTCCGCGTGATTTCGTAATGCACCCACGGATCTAACAGATCTCACAGCTCGAGCCTTACTTCTCGCGTGTCCGATTCACACCTCAACAGAAGAAGATCTGGTTCCACGACCGCGAGGGTGTTCTCTTTGGATTCGGCGTTGGCTTCTTCGTCTTCCTCAAAATTCCTTTGCTCGGTGTGCTCATCTACGGCATTGCCGAAGCTTCAACTGCATTCTTGATTACCAAGGTCACTGACCCACCGCCGCAACCCGAAGAGTGGAATAACTTTGCTGAGACACAGGCTCATTGGCGCAACAAGCATGAGTTCTTGAAGCTTCCTCTGGACAAGCTGGATGCGTTGAACATCACTACGACCAAGGAAGGCGAGAAGCCGGACACGACGACCATCAAAGGCCGCCAATTCACCTAGGCCGATTCTGCCAATTGATGGCACTCAAAGTACTGGCCTCAAATGATCTCAGCAACAATTACATAGCACGAACAAAATACAAATCAAGGTCTATCTTACTGCAATGAGATGGACAAACTCCGAGTTATGTCCAGCGGTATTGCTCCGCCCGTCCGTGCATGCCATACCCCTCTATGGAGCAAAGCTACCCCACACCTTGATATCGTGACGATTGATTGTTACATATGTGCCTGCCGTTCTTGTGTGGTCAATTGCTTATCTCTTGCCAATCCACCAAGAGCCCGGCACGGGCTGACTACTTGTCATGACTGATCCAACTTTTGAATATAACTTGCCCTAGCCTGCCCCTCTCCAAGCTCCTACTTGCAACTCGTCTTGTGCTTTCCAAGCTTCACAAACTTACAAACATGGGCAAATCGGAGATCAGATACGCTGCCAAAGTTGACTTGGAGAAGGATGCAGCTTCCCAGCCTCAACTCCACGTAAGTCCTTGGAGCCACTTCCTTTCCCTGAAATCTTGACTGACAGACACTCTTTCCAGAACCGTTGGCACCCCGACAGTATTTCTTTCTCGATCCGTCAATGGCATTCCACCACTAATCCTGTCAAATAGTCCCCTTTGCTGGCAAAATCGGAGACGGCGAAGTAGTCAAGATCGAATGCGTCGACTGGACTGGAGGCCAAATCAAGAACACCGATGATGCAGACGACATCAAGAACGTCGACCTGACCAAGATCCATTACCTCAGCGGACCCTTTGAGATCGAGCATGCCGAACCTGGCGATGTACTGGTTGTAGAGATTCAGGATGTGCAGCCTTTGCAAGATCAACCTTGGGGGTTCACTGGTATATTTGCAAAGGAGAACGGTGGTGGCTTCTTGGATGAACTGTATCCTGATGCGTGAGTTGCTGGCTATCTAGCTGCTAGATGCATGCATGACTGACAAAAAACAGAGCAAAGGCCATCTGGGACTTCGAAGGCATTTTCTGCTCCTCGCGCCATATCCCCCACGTCCGCTTCCCAGGCCTCATCCATCCTGGAATCCTTGGCTGTGCTCCCTCCGCCGAGATCCTCGCAGAATGGAACCGTCGTGAGAACCAACTCATCTCTGAATGTTCGCACATGGCTCGAGATGTAGCTCAGCCTCCCAACCCCACGAATGTCCACGCCGGCGCCGGAGACGAAGCTCTGAAGAAGAAAGTCGGCGAAGAAGGTGCAAGAACCATCCCAGGTCGTCCTGAACACGGTGGAAACTGCGATATCAAGAACCTGTCTCGCGGCTCTAAGGTCTACCTCCCCGTCCACGTTCCCGGCGCAAAGTTTTCAGTCGGTGATCTGCACTTCTCCCAAGGCGACGGTGAAATCTCCTTCTGCGGCGCCATTGAGATGGCAGGTGTCATAACCATCAAGTTCTCGGTTATGAAGGATGGCGTCAAGCATTTGGGCATGAAGTCGCCAATCTACATTCCCGGTGCTGTAGAGCCAAACTTTGGACCTGGAAGACACATTTACTTTGAGGGTTTCTCTGTGGATTCGGATGGCAAGCAACACTTCTTGGATACTACGGTGGCTTATCGACAGACTACGCTCAGATGCATTGAGTATCTGAGGAGGTATGGGTACAGTGACTATCAGATCTATCTGCTACTCAGTTGTGCGCCTGTACAAGGTCATATTGCTGGTATCGTTGATGTAAGTATCTCATCCACTGAGGCACCAGAAGCTCTTACTGATTCTGTCTCAGATTCCCAATGCTTGCACTACTCTGGGTCTTCCCATTGATATTTTTGACTTTGATATCAGGCCTGAGGCTCCTGTCAAGAAGCTCGACATGGGCACTTGTGCGTTTGCTTCCAAGTAGTGGCTTTGAAACTACACCATCTGGATTTGTTTGGAAAGAGCTTGCTGCCCTTCGATTGGTGTGAAGGCTTTCGATATTTGAAGAATGATGATCATTTGGTCTCTGAGAATTAATACTTACAAACACATTCACGATTGGCTATCTTTAATCATGCTTATGTACGTGTGATAGTAAATTTGAATTCTGATGATGCGCGCATAAGTCGTCTGTAGCAATGGCATCATGAATAACGACCACCTTCCTTAGTATTTTCCTTGTAAGCCCTCCTGTTGGTTGATAATGCCCTCACCCCCTCTGTACTTCCCCCAATTACCCATGCAGTATGATTCGAGATGTTTAATCAATGATGATGTATTCTATTTCGTCCTTCCACGTTCTCTGCTGATTCGCGACCCGTGGAACTTCTTGGATCGGAGACTGAGAGACTAGAGTGCCCTTGAAAGCCACCTCAACCGAGTTACTGACCAGAACATCACCGGAGCATGTCTGTTGATCAACGTCGCCAGCCTTGATGTTCTTCTCAATCACAGCAAGGGTATTGAATGACTCGCAGGAGGCCGAAGTAAGTGGCTCGCGAACAATGGTCTCATGATGAACGAGAGAGGTGATCTGAAGAGTGCTTGCATCTGTCACTAATGGCAATGAGGAGGAGGCTGTTGTGTCCCTTTCGGTACCCAAAGTCTCGCGGCACGCATCAGCGATTCGCATGCCAATGGCCAAGGCAACCTTGCGATCAACGCCGTTTCCAATCTGATTCCATTGTTGACTCGGTGTACCGAGAATAACTTCATGATCAGGTAAGCCCTGAACCCGACGAGCTTCCATCACACTCATCGTGCGGTGCTGATCGTAGTGCAACGTACGCCCCAGGAATGAGTCGTGCGGCTTTATATCTGTTGTCAGACAACCAACCAGACGACCTGGGTAGATACGTGCCCACGATTTGCTGTTCGCACTAGCCCGGTTTTTGTTTTGCCAGGCATAAGTTGCTATTGCGTTCTTGGACATCTTGCCCTTTGCCACAGCTTGGATGAAGCCTTGTCCATAAGGCCATCGAGGCACCATCTGGATGAGTGCTCGCTTCTTCGAACTTTCATGTCTGCAGGTACGATGATCTGGCGCTGCGATACACGTTTGAACATGGCTCTCACCAATATCTGGAAGATCTTGGAATGCTTCTTTCGCAGTCAAGGAGACGAACGGACAAACATCGTACTTACGCTTGCCAAAGGGGAGGCCATTCGATGCATATCCAATCGCTCTTGCGTACATTTCCAGCTCGCTACAGGTGTGTGTCTGGGGTGGCGGATCTGGCGCTTTATGACCTGGAGCTGTTGCAATTATGAAGATCCGTTGGCGTGATTGACATGATCCATAATGGCCTGGATCCATGAGTAGTTGCTGTGTTTGATACCCCATGCTTACAAGACAACAGAGAACTTGTGAGAAGACGTTCAGATCCTTTGCGTTGCTGGGGTTCCTTGCCATGCCAATGACATTTTCAAGTACCAGATACGTGGGCATATAGAAGTCCACGTATGAGCAGACCGAAGCGACAAGAGAGCAGTTTCGTAGAGATTGGACGCTGTTTCGATCCCGTTGAAGAATCGAAAACCCTGGACATGGAGAGCCTGCTGCAAGCACATCAACATCGCCAATAGTGGCAATTCGGCTGTCACGTAGACCTTGAATAGCTTTACCAAGGTAGTCATTGACACTACCAAGGAAAAGATTCAGCTTCTCTGGCTCTTCTACGTTGGCTCTGTAGGAATGAAGAGCTCGTTCAGCCCAGTCAATGCCCCATTTGAACTCAAGACCTCCACCTTCCTCGAGGCCGCGGTCAAAAGAACCACTTCCGCAGAATATCCCCATGCCCTTGAGTTTACTGCCTGAAGCGATCTCGTGCTCGACAAGAGTCCATGTGGTAGACGAGGAGCTGATCACAAACCAGAGGTCGCCTGCCCCATTGCGATCGTACGGTGTTCTAATGTCAGCAGCGTTAGCAAAGGTGGCAACTCTGCAATGCCGCGTGATACATTCTGGCTCGAGGTCGAATGTCGCGTCAATCAGGGTCAGTTGGTTTGGGGCTGCATCCTTGTCGCCTAGGTCGCGATGACAGCGGAGGAATGTCTGTAGAGTGACCGTGTGGGAGTTGAAACCACGGATAACGGCAGGCTCCAATGCCTCTTTTCCAGGAATGACCTGATAAACAAGCACAGTATCGCCAAGTGTGAAGTCTTGCTTGACTTTTTCCATTTCCGTCTTAGTGTTGTTGCATCCACAACTAAAGTCTGATTCTTGGAGTTGCACAAAATCGTAGGCCCCAAGCTGTGGCTCCGTTCTAAATTTCTGCCTGACGAAGAAGCAGTCTTTAGAAGCCTCAGGATTGGTGACAAACCAGTTAATTGTGATAACTGATTGGACAAGCTCCACGTCAATGGAATCTCTACCGCAAGAGCAATTGTCAGACATGAATAGTTCGTTCCTATATGGGTAATGACCATGGCCCAGCGTTGTGTCTGATGGCTCATAAAGCCACAAGACGTCAAGTTTCTGCGCGCCAGACTTGAGTGAGCGCACCTCTTGCACGTACGCAAACCACAAGCTTCCAGTAGAGGCTCTCCACTGGGTACTGGTGTCTGCAGTAACACTGACAACATCTCCTTTTTGAATCGCTCTTCTGCATGGCTGAAGTTTAGGAGAGGATGTTGGACGACATTTTAGTGGCGTGAGGCCAAGCTTAGCTCTTCTCCTTTCCTGTTTCCTGAGGGCGACAATGCTAACTTCAGATAAGACTTGCATTTGGTCATGAAAAGGCATTTTGCGAAAAAGTTCGAAAACGAACGGAGTCACTACTGTACTTTGGTATGCAGTCTTCTCCATAGGAATAGCTTTCAGCTGCTTGGTGTCTGTCTCACCAAAGATAGGCTCTTTAAGAAGCCGTTGATTGAGGCTGTAGCATTCTTTGATGATGAAGCCGAGATCGGCGCAAAATGCCTGGCCAAAATCGTGAGAACTATGTTGTTCTAACCAGCTATGGGTAGCAGAGGATGACCCATGTTTCTGCACCACATATGGGTAAAAGGATCGTCGGAATCGACTCAGAGTGACAGGTTGCTTGGATTCCTCGAGGAAATCCACCACGTACTTAGTGAATCGTGACACCCATAGAAACGTATCATGATAGCGACGATATTGATTGGCAGGGGTCCCGAGCTGAAACCAGACATTTGCTCTGTGGGCTAAGGCCGTTTGAATGCAGGCAGAAACCGTATCACTCTCATCTCCATAACCCTCGATGGCTAGGCACTCGAACGAGACACCCTGAACAAATCGTCCCTCGCCATCAATGCTCAGGATACCATCGAACAGAAGTCCATTGACTCCATCTTCAGTCTTGAGGTCTTGCAAAGGACATAGTTCATAGGCATGTCTGTAATCGGTACCCTTGCGATAGATGCTGAAATCATCGAGCTGCCATATGTTGTATTCATGCGAAGAGCGGTCCTCAGAATTCCAGATTGCTGCCAGAGCGTTGAGAGCGTCAAGTTCTGAGGTCAATGGAAGAGGAGGTCGGTATCCGGCATAGTAAGACGCTGGATAGCAAAGATTTCCAGAGTCCACAGACACTCTTTGTCTCTTAACTTCTGAGCATTGAGGCGCAGTAGTTTCAAAGTCGTCTTCCAGCTTCCGCTTCTGGGACTCATCGCGTGAACTTGGCGAGTCGGTGGGGTCCGGAGTCGGATATAAAAAGGGTGGCATGCTTAGAAGGTGAGAGCGTGTTCATGTGAGAAATATTGAAGCAATGTCAAAGATAATTGATGCAATGGGAACGGAGAAGGAGTAGTTGCTGAAGCTGGAGAGGTCAAGAAGAAACCACAATTGGAGTGAATAAATATTTAGCACTCATGGGCAAGAGGAAGGAAGGAGTTCGCGTTTGCTCCTGCAGACCGAAGGCCTGGTCCCTTGCCACTGACCTGCCTACCATAGTGAAGGGGGAAGTGAAGCGAGGAAGGTGTAGCTTGACTGGATCTTGTTGCCAAAGGGATAACTGTAATGAAGGCCGAGGAATTTTATGCGTTTCTTGTGCCTCTACAGGCGCGTGGTGACGATACATCATGTTGCTATCGAGTAGGCATCTTGTTGACATCATGTATGTCATCCCGCATGGTCCAGGACGAATCGACCAAATTCTTGACTCACTCGCAACTTTATTCTTCACGCGACGATAGCAAGATGGCACCCAAGAAGAAGGCTGCTCAGACCGACAAGGGCCGTGTCGAGGAAGAGGTTGAAGAGCCGCTTCAGGCTGTGGTTTGTAGTCCTGCGCTCTCCATGTCACGCAGCCACTAACAAGCACAGATTCTCGCAGACTCATTCGAGACTCGCTTCAGCCCATTCACACTTGAACGCCCTCGCGTACGTACACGACCTCGAGAATGAGATGAGCACAGTCTAAGATTTGCAGTGTCTGCTTCCTCTGGCCAATACCCCTTTGATCGAATATACCTTCGAGTTCCTCGCCAACGCTGGAGTCGACGAAGTATTTGTCTACTGTGGAGCCCACACCGACCAAGTCGAGGAATACATTCAGCAATCGAAATGGACTTCCAAGGTTTCTCCCTTCAACAATGTCGAGATCGTCCGCTCCTCGTCCAACTCCATCGGTGATGCTATGCGCGACCTCGACGCGCGAGCTGTTCTTGCTGGCGACTTCCTGATTGTCTACGGCGATGTGGTCAGCAACTTGCCCATCGAAGCCGCTATTGCCGCCCACCGCCAACGTCGCACCAAAGACAAGAACGCCATCATGACAATGGTCCTTCGCGAGGCCGGCACTGCCCACCGCACCAAGATGCAGCGCGTTTCACCCGTTTTCGTCCTTGACCCTACCAAGAACCGCTGTCTGCACTACGAGCAGATGCGACCCAATCAGCCCTCGCATTTGGTCACTCTGGACCCGGATGTTCTGAAAGAGCATGACGAGCTTGAGATTAGGGAAGATTTGATTGATTGTGGTATCGATATTTGTACTCCGGATGTCCTTGCGCTCTGGAGTGATAATTTCGACTACGAGGCCCCGAGAAAAGGATTTCTTCACAGCGTGCTGAAGGACTACGAATTGAACGGCAAGACAATTCACACCCACATCGTTGATGAGCACTACGCTGCCAGAGTCAAGAACCTGAGAGCCTACGATGCCGTCACCAAGGATATTCTGAGCAGATGGGCTTACCCGATCTGCCCCGACAGCAACTTGGTGCGCGACCAGACCTACAGACTTACTAAAGGCAATGTCTACCGAGAAGAGGGAGTCGTTTTGGCGAGATCATGTCATATTGGCCCAAGGACTGTGATCGGCCGGGCAACAGCAATTGGAGACGGAAGCGAAATTTCCAACAGTGTTATTGGTAGGAGGTGCATCATTGGAAGGAACGTCAAGATCAGCGGCGCATACATCTGGGATGACGCTTCGATTGGTGATGGCACAGTGGTTAAGGATGCCATTGTTGCGAACGAAGCTTCCGTTGGCAAGAAGTGCAACATCATGCCTGGTGCATTGTTGTCATACGGAGTATACATCTCCGACGGCATGACAATTAAGTCCAGGATCACGAAGGTGAAGCGCGAATCGGGCTACGACCAAGACGAAATCATTCGCGGAGAGACGGACAAGGAGGTTGTTGGACAAAAAGGAGAAGGCTTTGAGTACGAGACTTCAGACGATGAGGACGAAGACGACGAGGAGCACCACAGCCTGCACTCAGCAAGCATCTACAGCATGCAGAACCAATCAGCCGAATCGATTTCGACCCTCAATTCGGAAGCCTACAGCAGCGAGTACGATGGAAGAGCAGAAAAGAGCACGAGATCACAGAGTTTCGGTTCGATCGGTTCGGTTGATTCAGAGGACAGTAGGGCTGGCCGTGAGGCTGTCGATTTCCACCACGATGCAGCGGCCAGTATTTACGACTCGTTGCAAAAGGGTGATGAGGCAGCCAACATTCAGCTCGAACTTACGGCACTACGTATGTCTGCCAACGCATCGCCGCATATGGTGCGTCGCGCGGTCGTGGCAGCCTTCATGAAGCGCATGGCTAGTCTGATCGAAGAAGGTCTTACGCCAGCACAAGCGGCCAAGAAGACGATACCTACTCAGCAGATGCTGATCGAGCGTACCATGTTCGATCGTGGTGATGCTCACGAAGACAAAGCTGATCAGGTGGACTTCTTGCTGCTCGTACAAGCAGATGTCTGTCACCGTCCAGATGGTGAAAAGATTATGCTTCACGTCTGCAACGAATTGTACATGGGTGACGCACTTGAGTTCGAGGGAGTCATGCAATGGTGGGCAGATGAGAAGAATGAGGCTAGCGACGAATTGAAGCAAATCAAGCTTGCTATGGGCCAGTTTGTGGATGCTATCAAAGCCGCAGAGGAGAGTGAAGAAGAGAGCAGTGAAGAGGAGACAGAGAGTGAGGAAGAGAGTGACGATGAGTAGATCAAAGTGCACGATACCCACGAAATCACAAATACAAGAGCACGCATATTTGACAGTGCATTTGACAAAGTCGTGGTTGCTTCTGTAGAATGCCACGTGAAAGATGAAACAGGAAAGAGCGAAACAAAGAGCATCGAGTCCTTCCTTCTTGGCGTCAATTACGTGGAATGTCTTAAAGCCGGGTTCAGAATCTCGAATCTCTGGCAGGCACCAGTCGCGCCCGGTTGAAGAAAGCAGAAGAACGAACGCCTTTGACGCACATCTGAATCAGTCATCAAGAAGTGTCTTCTGGAAAGCACAACACCTAATACTTTACGCCGAGCCTTAGCAATCATTTTCCTCAGTCACCTGTCAAAGCAGTTTTGTCAGTCGTCACGGTCATTTTCACCCACACGCCAATCGCTCCTGGCTGCCCCTCTCCACACTACAACTCGCTCTCTTCCGTCATAAACGGCCCCGGCGACTGTTTCGTCGCCACATATCGCAACCACGCCTCCCATCACCCGTAAACGCAAGCTGCTGTCGCCGGACACGGCTGCGAAGCAGAAACCTAAGATCGACCATCCCACCAACTCTCCCGTCGCCTCCGAAAGAGCCGACTCTCTCTCCGCCAAGCAGCCCGTTTACGACGCCGCTGAAGATAAGCCCACCGCCTCGCCCGATCAACTGCCCGCTACCCCTCAGACTCTGAAGGGATCTGTCAAAGCCATGGATTCCGATGACGACTTCAACAGCGCTGCGTCCTTGAACAGCGATGCAGAGTTCGACATGGACGATGAGAACAGTAGTGTTGCCGACTTTGCTGCCGGTATGTGCCTGCCCTAGCGTGACTTTGCATTCATAAACTGACAACATTATCTTACAGACTCCGACATCGAGTTAGATGACGATGGAGACATCGGGTTTGACTCACAAGACAAGGATCTCAAGCCACGTAAGAAGGCTTACGAGGTCGACTTCTCTGTCTACAGCCCACAAGATATCCAGAACCAGCAAGATCGTCAAATAGAGGAGGTATCAAATATCCTTGGTCAACCCCACGAAGCGACCGCTATCCTTATGCGCTACATGCGCTGGAACAAGGAGCGTTTGATTGAGCAATACATGGACAAGCAAGAAGAGGTCTTGGAAAAAGCTGGCCTTGGTCAAGACATCGCTGGTCCACCCCACTTGGAAGTTATCGATGGGTTCATGTGCGAAATCTGTTGTGACGATACACCCGGACTGCAGACGTTTGCCATGAAGTGCAACCATCGCTTCTGCGTCGATTGCTACCGTCAATACCTGGCCCAGAAGATCAAAGACGAAGGAGAGGCCGCACGTATCCGTTGTCCTGGCGAGGAGTGCAACAACATCGTTGATTCGAAGAGCCTGGAACTTCTCGTAACGGAGGACCTCAAGGACAGATACCATGAGCTTCTCACAAGGACGTACGTTGATGACAAGGATAATCTTAGGTGGTGTCCTGCCCCTAACTGCGTCTATGCTGTCGATTGTCCGGTCAAGCAGAAAGAGCTCAACAAGATCGTTCCCACCGTCAACTGCGATTGTGGTCACAGCTTCTGTTTTGGATGTCAGCTCAATGACCACCAACCTACCCCTTGCGTACTCGTCAAGCTGTGGTTGAAGAAGTGCGAAGATGATTCTGAGACAGCCAACTGGATTTCTGCAAACACCAAAGAGTGCCCCAAGTGCAACTCGACTATTGAGAAGAATGGAGGTTGCAACCACATGACCTGCCGAAAGTGCAAGTATGAGTTCTGCTGGATGTGCATGGGACTGTGGTCGGAGCATGGCACAAGTTGGTACAACTGCAATCGTTATGAGGAAAAGAGTGGTCACACTGCACGTGATGCCCAAGCTAAGAGCCGTGCATCTCTTGAGCGTTACCTCCACTACTACAACCGCTATGCCAACCATGAGCAGTCTGCCAAGCTTGATAAAGACATTTACCTCAAGACGGAAAAGAAGATGATGCAGCTTCAGTCGACGTCAGGCATGTCTTGGATTGAAGTTCAGTTCCTCGACTACGCATCGCAAGCTCTTCAGCAATGTCGACAGACTCTCAAGTGGACTTACGCATTTGCCTACTACTTGGAACGCAACAATTTGACCGAGATTTTCGAGGACAACCAGAAGGACTTGGAGATGGCGGTCGAGGCTCTGAGTGGGATGTTTGAAAAGCCTACGGATCAGCTTGCTGCTCTCAAAGTCGAGATGATGGATAAGACCACTTATTGCAATAAGCGTCGCATCATTCTGCTTGGTGATACAGCAGAAAATCTGAAGAAAGGTAAGTCATAACTCGTGTTACTCTCAAGAATAGCTTAGCTGACTTATCCGAACAGGCAACTGGAAGTTCAACGTCGATGAAATCTCCGAAGAATAGTCCTGTTTCCATATTCTTTTATGATACTGCATTCACAGGTGACATATGGGGGGCCGGCGCTTTCTGTAGCCATTGCCGGAGTAATAGTTGGTTTGGCATTCGTTCTGTTCCTGAATGCAAATGATTTACGGGCATAAGGGGGGTTCGGACACTGGAGTTATCATTGAGCGTTTGCATTCTCATGACCAGAAAGGAAGGAATTCGTTTTCTTTAAGCATGTCTTTTAGCCCAAGCAGTCATAGAAATGTCTATCTGTTGTTGACTATCGATCCATTGGTCATCCAACTCAAGGTGATCGAGAAAATGCTCATCGTCATGGATGTCGATCTCCACAAAATCGATGGAATGCCAAACGCGTCCGACTTCCCAAAACGGCACATGTATTGAATCACGATCACGGTCGCGTCTCCCTTGTTGATTGCCGCAGATCGTTGATTGATTCTCTCTCGCACGACCGATCTTGTGTTTGTTATGCTATCATCGACTTGTCATTGATTCAGTCGCTCTGGTAGGTCGTCATTGCTCTGCTTGACAGAAGTACAGTGGGTGTATATAAAGGCTCTTCTAGCAGAGTAGTACTTGCAATCAATTCAATCTAATCTACATCCGAAACCCTCTCAGATACTCAAATACCACATTCATCATGCAGAGAACCGCTGAGGACATTTCCCACGAGGCCACTGGCCACAAGGCCAACCTGAGCAACCCTGTTTGTCTTCCAGATTATCCACCACAGATTCGACGTCTAACACCAAGTCACAGAACACATCCGACGCCTCGAAGGAGCACAGCAAGAAGGTGCTCGAGCAGCTCGGTGGTGAGCAAGCCTTTTACGGCAAGCAGGGCGAAGGCGAGATTGATCAGAACCCCGGCAATGTTGCTGGCGGTCTCAAGGCGTGAGTTCTTGCATCTAACCAATGTCTGGGCCAGCACTGACTGAAGTCATAGTGCTATCAACAACCCTGAGGACAACGAGCATTACGTGTCTGAAGAGGGCAAGCAGCAGGCCAAGGACAAGCTGAACAGCATGCAGTAAATGCAATTGGAGGATGATTTTATGTCATTATGTAATATTAGTGTATGTTATGTACGAAGTTCATGATCCATTCGAGCTGTTTCATTCAAATGTAAGAAGAGGTGAATGTCCATTCTTTTTCGAACACGAGTAAATATTTTGGTTGTGCAGTGTGATGCGTAGAAAAGAAAGAGAGAGCTTCGCGATCAAGCAGCCATCAGCACTTTCTCCAGCTTCGGCCCACATTTCAGTACGACCACTTCTTCAATACCACTTCCACTACATCGTCAAATAGACCAACACCCACACAATGGATATGAATGATTTAGAAATCGACCCAGCTATCGCAGAAGCAATGGGCTTCACAAGCTTTGGCAGCAAGCGTCGCAAACACGCCGCTCGCGCAGACGATGCTTTCATCGACGACAGCGGCAAGCACATCCCAGCCAGCACTGGCGCAAATGACATCCCATTGGGCACGAGAACGGTCGCCAGCGAAGCGAAAGAGAAGTTTCAAGAGCAAGGAAATGTAGAGGACAATGTCGCATCAACAACGAGAGGGGAAGGTGTGCGGGAACAGCAGGCAAGAGTAGGAGAGGCGCAATCAGACAACTGGACTCCTGGTTTACCGAACCCTCAGGAGCTTGCAGCACTCAGAAGAGGCATCAAGAATGCGCGCGGTGATATGGTTGTCTTTATGCCATCGTTCATTGAAGATCCTTGGAAGGGACTTGCTTGAATCGGATAAAGACGCTAAAGATCGATTTTTGCTCCATCTATGTGGAAGCCACATACCAGTCTGCAAGAGCGCACAACGCACATCGCAAGAGACAGCTCATAAAAGAATTATTCCATCCAAGGACAGGGTCTGCCTGGAGGCAGCCCAAATGACGAACCTCCTCACTCATTGGGCAACACACTTTTTGTCTACTATTCTTGTGGATCGACAGAGCCATGGCAACACTTCCAAGCATGAAGTGCTTGTATAGTGATTGCGACAATCATAAAATGACCACATTAAAGCTCTCAGAACCTAATTGGGCACGCTGTACCTGCCGACTGAGATTGCGATATCCATTTACCTGACTTCAGAATCACTACCAGAGGTACCATTCAGTTCCTCGCTCGCTCTCCTAGCCCTTAGAGTCCTCTTCTTCGTAAGACTGCTGCTCCGTATGCCTCACGATCAGTATCGAGCGGCCAATCCTTGTCCGGGAAGTCACCTTGAACCTCCCACCTGTCAGTTGTCTCAAGCAGCGCAGCCACAAGCAAAGCAATCATAGACAGACCAAACGGCATGGGGACGTTCTTCCATCTCTTTGCAGGGCAGTCGAAGGGGCTGGCACCAAAAGGCATGTAGCCTTTAGCATAACCATCTTCGATGCTGATCCACCGTTCAGGGTTGAAGATATTTGGCTGGTGTTGCCAGATGCTTGGATCACGTTGCATTGCTTCAATATCCGCAGAAACAGTGGTTTTCTGACCATCAGCACTGCGATGCTCGCGGTAGATGCGTCTAGTAGGCGGATACAGACGAAGTGCTTCTTGCGCAATGTGGATAGCTGCCAGACGATTCTGCACTTCGACCAGAGGTCTCTCAAGTGCTTGCTTCGTTGGCTGTCGAAGAAACTTCCACAATGCATAGTTCCAGAGCATGGCATGGTGGTGATTGCGAGCTTTGATCTCGACAAAGCAGCGAAGGACTACGCGCCACATGGTCTCGTAGCCTGGAAGGATGAAGTTGCATGGGTTTTCGTTACTGTCATCTTCGTTCCAGTCCGGAAAGACAGCTTTAATGGCGTCCTTGAGTGATGTTTGCTCATCGAAAAGACAAGATGGATCGTCGTTCGAGTTACGTTCCTCGGAACGAAGCCACTGCATGTTCACTTCATGAGCAAGCGTGGCGATCTGCTCATTCGTGCTTTGCTTCAGATCGCGGTCGGGCCAGAGCACTCTCAGCATGGTCTTGAGTGTCAAGAGTTGAACCACACCAAACAAGCTTGCCGTATCTTCATTGCCACCCTCAAGAGCTTCCTTTGCAGTATCACGAGCAGTAGCGGCGAAGTTGACCCATTCCTTCTCATCAACATAGAGCAGCTTCTCAACATAAGCTCTGAAGCTCTTGCATGATCTCTCGTCCGATGAGGTGAAGCAGCTGTCAATACCGAAAGCCAGCTTCAAGCGCTGGTTGGGACGAGCTCGAGCTTCCAGTGCTGAAAGAGTATTTCTCGGAGCTGTAGGACCAGTGCCGCTTTTGACAATCTCACGACACTCGGCAGCATTGGCGGTTCTGAAGCAGGCGTTGCGTTGTTCTGGTTGCGAGACGGGCGACCTCTGAGTCGAACGAAACAATACATCGAGCAATACTCCACAAGCGGCAAAGGCGACAGAAGATGCGATAGAAGCGAGTATTGAAGATGAATCTTCCCAGAATCTACTCGCGAAGAAGCTCATGAGGATACCGGTAATCAGTTTCACACGATTTTCTAGGGGTTTGAACAAGTCGTTGTGGTAGCCATAGTGATTGAAGAGTCTCATGGTTTCAGAAAGCACAACGCCTCCAAAGAGGGCTGTCAAATGTGATAGAGTCATCGCACAAAACGTTGATAGGAAGTAGATGTATCCTTTTAGCTTTGCAGCAGACATCCTCAAATTATATACAATCTGTGATTTCATCTGACTTGTGTTTCATGCTGTAGACCGAACCCTGGTCTTACCTGCTGGTGTTGGGTCTGGCGCAGTGGAGCAGACAGCAAGTATTCAAGACAAGACACTGATCCATCGGAAGCTCTTCCAGTCTCAGGACCAGTGATGTACCATACTGTAATCATGGGTCTCTTGCTGGGCCATGTGTTGAGCATGAGACTCTGTCTCCTTCGTTACAATAATCCGAGACAGGTCTTTGATAGTCTCGCTGCATAAAGTTGAGACAGCCCTTATCAGGATCGACTACACTCGTAGACTTGTTCAATGCATTGCACTCAATGTCTTTCAATTTGCTCGACCGATGTATACATGACCCAAAAACGCCTTGTTATGCCCGAAACGCCAAATTCCTCCTTTTTCAATTGACCACCTCACAATCTACCGTGATGACCATGATTCATACTTCTACGTCTATGAATGCCCAAATGTCTCTTCCTCATGATCTGTCCGTCACTACATGTTGTACCAGGGGCAACAGGCTGAAACACCACATGGCCAAAGTTGCAGAGGCCGAATTCATCTGTGCCGTTGCAGACGAGCGAGCCATCTGGACTGCAGGCAGGAGAATTGGGGTTGCTGTCGCCGATAATTTGTCCATCTTCGCAAGCTGTACCGGGAGCTACTGGTTGCCAGACGACTTGACCGAAGTTGCAGAGGCCGAATTGGCTGGATCCGTTACAGACGAGGGCGCCGTTTGTGCTGCAGGATGTGTTGTTGCTGTAGGGAGCTGGGGCGGTGCTGGGCATGCTTGGAGGGGAAGAAGAGATTGATGCTGAAGCTGCTGTTGAAGAAGCAGCAGCAGCAGCAGCAGCAGTTGTGTTGACTGCTGAGGGCTCGGGCGTGTGAGTCGGGAGGGCAGAGGTGATTGTAGTGCTCTCTGCGCTTGAGCTTGATGGTGCAGCAGTGGCGGTTTCAGTGGCTGATACTTGACCCAAGGCAGCGCAGCCACTTCCTGTAGGTGGTGCAAGGGCTCGTGTGTCGATGGTAGTGACATACCTGCCAGGATTGGGGATTTCGAGATCGCTGCTGAGTTGACTGCCACATTCTGAACTGGGCAGATTGACTCTGAATAAGTCTTCGAGTTGGTCGAACTCCTTTGTGTCATCAGAGCCACCAGAGACGGTGATTGGTGCGCAGTTCATGTAGTATTCTGGCTGACCAGACAACTTGGACACCCAGCTCCATGCTAGAGTGGCTTTGCCATTGGGCACTTCGGACGGAATTGTGTAGTTCTAAGGATGAGTGCCTCCGTCAGAATCGTCGATTGGACAGCCTCCAATCCAGCTAGCGATTGTCTTGAAAGTGCTGTTGGCAGTAGGTTGTCTGTCCAGAGTCACGCTGAGCTGGCAGGTACCTCCACCATGGGATGCTGATCCGTCAAATGTCATGGTTTGAGGTTCTCCTGCGACAAGCTCGTTCTCTTGGTCGACGATCCATGGATCGGCGCCGCCATCTCGTTGCGACTGACAAGGAAAGTCTGACTGTTCTGATCCGGGAGCGACGTTCCTCAGAGGACCAAGTTGGATTGTGTCCTTGGAATATGGGACTGGGCTGCTGAGTTTGAGGTGGCAATCTACCAAGAACGGTAGCTGTGCCAGTAAGAAAAGCCTTGCTGTTGATGAGAATGCCATGTGTGCTAGTGCGTAGGGAGTATCAAAAGTTGCTAGAAAACAGAAATCAGAACAGAAGACAAGAGAGCATCTTATAGATTCTGTTCAATAGGGGAACAATTGCAGAGGAGGATGGATAGCGTAGAATGCACCAGCCTCATTGTCGAGCTTCCAGCTCAATCTGACACGCACCAAGAGAATGTGTATGAGGGACGTGTCTTAACGAGTTTCGTGTCTTGAGATCGGCCAATGGGCTTGTCAATTGCAGAGGTGATTCGTACATACGCGCTGGGACTTGTACGTGTTCTGGAATGCAATAGCAGTTTTCACACCATAGACGCGCTAGGGATTCAGGATCGACTAGAGAGGAATGGAACAGAAAGGCAGGTCGGCGTCCATTGACGTCGGTGGAAGTTCTGACTTACAATATCGAGTTCATGTCTTGCTGACCAACAAGACATGGTGACTCTGTGCCTACACGAACATCTAGCAGATTTTATGAAGATGTGTTTGTGAAGAAGGAAGTTGCTACAGAAAGAGCAGGACGATCAGAGAAGGTCATCCGTCCGTGCACCGACTTCGCATGTGAAAGCGGCACCAAACCGCCTCCTCCACTCGACACAACCTAACGTTGGGAAGAGATGCTGCATTCAACGACAGCTGATGGCTACTCGAAGCAGGAGCAGCAGCGTTGCAGCTTTCCTTAAAGCATTGATAAGACTCTTTTGCGATGTGGCCTTCTTCTGGCACATGGTTCGTACATAGATTTGATCTATCTGTTGTCATGTTCTCAACTGATCTTCCACAGCGCTTATGGGCGTGGTGGACTCGTCCAAGCCAGAAAGACATTCAACTAGAATGTTTGAACTCTGCCCGATACTATGAAGAGTGGGAGGCTGCAGCTTTCGCATTGGACGAGCTCTTTGGCAACGACCTCTGGTTCGAAGTTTCCTCGCGTGACCGTCAAGAACAATGACTTAACATCTGTAATCCAGGCGACAGAATCCTTCTTCAAAACACTATGACTATCGCCTAATTCATTCAAGACTGCAATACATCCTAGAAGCTCGAGAAGATGATGATATCCTTGGTCTGGTAAATCTTCTGCGTTCCGGGCTGGTCCGCAACCTTGGGAACATTACGGCACCTCGTCTATACAATCGAGCTTATGCTGGCACTAAACTCTTGATCGAAGACTACATTACTCAAGTCGCGCTCGCCGTCGAATATGTCACGGCATATCCAACATCGCCCATGTATGATACGAGTCTGACCAACCAGGCCAAGCTCGATCTCCTTCATGATACCCGCCAGGCTTTAGGTCGTAGTGTCCTCGTGCTACAGGGAGGATCGATCTTTGGACTCTGCCACATCGGTGTGGTGAAGGCTCTACATCTACGAGGTCTGTTACCACGCATCATTTCTGGAACGGCGACTGGTGCTCTCATGGCCGCCCTTGTTGGCGTGCACAATGAAGATGAATTACTCAAGTTCCTGAGTGGTGAGGGTATTGACCTTACTGCCTTCGCTACCCGTTCGGATCAAATGGCCAAGAACAGTGACAGTGGCTTTGTACAGCACGGCTGGATTTCGACATGGTTTAGACGCGCCAAGCGCTTTATTACTGAAGGCTATCTCCTGGACTCTCGGGTGCTAGAAGAATGTGTTCGTGCCAATGTTGGAGATCTGACCTTTATGGAAGCGTATCAGCGGACCAAGCGTGTATTGAACATCACTGTGGCCCCAATGGGCAATGGCATGCCCAACCTACTCAACTATCTCACAGCCCCGAATGTGGTATGTGGTCTCAACTTCATGTGTGGTAAACGACACGCTAACCACTGACATAGCTCATCTGGTCCGCAGCGCTAGCGTCCAATGCCTCTGATGTTCTCTATTCGCCGTTGACCATGAAATGCAAAGACGAGTCAGGCAATATCGTTCCCTGGGCATCCACCCATCCAATTAATCCACGCCCTACAACGCCCTCGGGCTACGCCTCAGAGCGTGACTCTCCTCTCACGCGCATAGCCGAACTCTTCAACGCGAACCACTTCATCGTCTCTCAAGCTCGTCCTTACATTGCACCTTTCCTTCGTAGTGATCTGCACAGTCCCAAACCTGGTTATAAGGGCAGATCATCTCTTACAAATAGTCTGATGAAGGTCATGGTCATGGAAGTCCAGCATCGATTGCATCAACTGGATTCTCTAGGTTATCTGCCTGCACAAATTCGTCGCTTCTTGCTGGACGAGAACATCCCCGGTACCTCTTTGACTCTTGTCCCTGAGGTAAAATTCACAGACTTCTTTAGATTGCTCGAGAACCCTACCAGGCAGAGTGTAGAGTACTGGATCTCGAGAGGAGAAAAGATGGTATGGCCTGCAGTGGATGCACTAAAAGTAAGATGTGCAGTTGAGGTAGAATTGGATCGTGGCTACCAAGTTGTACGAAGAAGAAAACCATTTGACGCTAGTCCGATGGCATCAGCGCATGGTACTGTCAGGTTGGACAAAAAGGGCATCAAGAAAAGAAGTTCGAGCTCGGCACTCGAGTAAGAGGATTTTCCTAATTCCAAATCTTTACCGTTGTCGATCTCGATGAGTGAGTTCAAGAGTATGGTTACAAGCGGATACTAGCATGTGTTTGTTGCATGCTCTGTGGTGCGTGAAAGCCTCGTGTGACTCTACTGTATTACAGTCAACAGTATCTTTCCGACGGACTGGGCCATTGAAACATGTGCTGTCACGCAAGCACGTCAAGCCTGCCAGAAAAGAAGAAGAAGTGTTCATATATATGTTCACTGATTGCCACAGACAATAGAAGCTTTCGGTGACCAGGTTTCTTCGAGAACAAGCCTCCACAAGAAAACATTGCAGCATGTCAACCTCGCCTCCAATATCATCACTTGTGCAGTCTACAACACGAGACTCAATTCCCTTAGACAATATCAGCCCCGAGCATCGACAAAACTGGAAATATTGGTCATCTGCCAATACAAGCTATGCCCCATGTTCGAGTAGAGATTCATCCGAGCATAACCAATCACCAAGACCGCCATCTCCTCCACTTGTAAGCCCTAAGATTGAAGACTCAGAACGATTTAAGACCGTCCAAACATGGAGACAAGTTCTCAAAAATTGGTGGATCGAACTTGTTTGCCTCGTCTTTGCAACAGCAAGTCTCTGTTTCGTAACCATCGTTCTAGGTCTTCTCAACAACAAACCACTGGCAAGCTGGCACTTGTCCATCTCCTTGAATGCTGTTGTATCTATTCTCATCGTTGTCACCAAGGCTGCTTTGATTTATGCCACAGCTTGTTGTCTTGGACAGCTGAAATGGCATCACTTCCAACATTCCCTGCATGCACGATCTCTGTATGATCTCAAGACCTTCGACGAAGCCAGTAAAGGACCTCTGGGAGCTATCAAACTCATCTTCCGACTACGACGTGTCTCTTTCGGTGCGTGGTTTGGAGGTGCTATTGTTGTTGCAGCAGTCTTTATGGAAGTCTTTGGACAGCAAGTCTTGGGCTTTGTGAACAAGAGTGTTGTGGTTGAGGGATCAATGGCACAGTTTCCGGTTACCCAACACTTGAGCTCACAAAACTCTTGGTATTTGGATTATACCATGATGAGCGGGTTGCAAGAATTGTTGCTAGCGGCAATCTTCAAGGGAGACGCTGCGCCAGCATTCGAGTGTAGCACTGCAAATTGCACTTGGCCTTCTTCGGCGACTCTGGGGATCTGCTCGCAGTGTGTGGATGTGACGAAAAACAGTACAGGATCTTGCGAAGGAGACTCAAAGTACCTGGATTGTTCGTATGAGGTTTCTGGGTTTGGAACACTGGGAGGAACAGTACAGCCAGGAGGACCCATGCCGCTGATCAACACTACCACAGTGGATGGTGTATTCGATGCCACACCAAGCTTCTACAACTTCTCAACCTTGGTAGTCGCCGAAAGTACTAACTGGACAGCAAAACTTACGACGTGCGAATTGAGTTGGTGTGCATGGACATTCGACAATGCCACTTCCAAGGGAACCGACCTCAATCTCGGCGCAACTAAACAATATCCCCTGCAACTTGCAGGAACATGGGATCAAACAAACGGCACTTTCGACGATACACAGAGTGTATGTACAACAATTGGAGACTACCCTGCTGGATTAAACAACACCTTCACCATCAGCCAAGGCAAAGAATACTTCCTCAAGTACGCAGTGAGATTGATCCTCAAAGCAGGATATCAAGGAGCTGATTTCTATACTCGACTCACATTGGCGACCTCATCGTTGGATTATACGGACACAGCTGCGATGTCAAGCAATCTGGCGGCTTTCATGACCAATGCTTTGCGAACACAAGATGGAATGCAAGCTGTGGGTACGGCATGGCAGTCAATCACCTTTATCCATGTCCGTTGGGTGTGGTTGAGCCTGCCAGCTGTACTCGTGTTTGCAGCTGGAGTCTTGTTATTTCTGACGATTATCCAGAGCAGAAGACACGATACAGTCCTCTGGAAAACCTCATTATTGGCCTTTCTCTTCTGCTCGACACATACGTGGAAGACCGACTCCACCACTCACGAAGACAAGATCCGGTCATTGTCAGCAATGGAAATGGCATCAAAAAGAATGGAAGCAAAGCTGGAAAGAGATGAGCAAGGTCGATATCAACTTGTTCAAATTTGAAGAAGGTCGATAGTTAATTCCGGTGGATCTGCACAAATTGGTTCAAAATCCGTGCTGTTGCCGAGGACATGTGAAAGTATGGGGATGACGCGGGGATGCCATCGTCATCATCGACTCTTTCGAGAGCAGCATCTGATTGGTATTTAGGCCCTGGCAATACCCCTTGATAGCTCTATCGTATCTTTTGTCGATTCATATACTGATAGCATTGAAACACACGATCCAAATCCTACTCAATATCATCATGGGTCATGTAAGTTAATACGTTGGATTCAGCGAAAGCATCAGCTAATTCGAGTGTATCCAGAAATCACTCAAGGACACAGCCAAGGACAACCCCAGTCAACTTGGCGACCCAGTATCTCTAAAGGCCGAGACATCGAACACAGAGCCTACTGAGAAGGACCGCCCCAACAAGTCAGGCGATGGACACAAGTCACTCAAAGACCTAGCAAAGCAGAATCCCACCCAGCTAGGAGACCCTGTGAGCTTGAGAGCCGAGACCAGCGACACCGAACCAACAGAGAACGACCGGGGAGCAAGCAAGGCACACCCCGAAAAGACAGGGAAGCCAAAGTTGTAGAAATTTAGTCTCTGTTGTATTAATTGAGACAAGACAGAGCTAGTGCTGTGCACCGCGTCTTCGTCTACCTTTTACTCTGCCTTCATCTTCTACCTCTTCCTCTTCTTTGCCTTTTTGTAATGGTGCGCTGAGATTCCATTCTTCCATGTCGTACCAATCTTCGCCGTCGCTCATCTCGCCCAAGTGACCTTCTGTCTTGCACCAGCGCCAGACGTCTCTCCTCATGCGATCTGCTTTGAGTAAACCCTCAAGCATTTGTTCCGATTCGCGAACCACTTGCTCTTGTTTCTGGCAGTAGAGTAATAACAGTCGGCGTGTATCATCTGCTTCGTTGGCAGGAAGACCGTAGTCTCGATCTGGTAGTGCGGAGTCTGGAACATGGAAGAAGCCGTGTATCGATGGTATCGACGAGGGAGCAGGAGACGAAGAAGGGAAGTTGGGGTCGGGGGTCGGAGATGTACGGGCTTGACGTCTAGTCGTCATGGCATGTTGGTTGGTGCCGTCGGGCGAGGCATCGGGGGATGGTAGAGTATCCGATGGATTTTGTTGTTGGTCAGCACCATCTGTCTGGGTGCCGTTTTGCTGCGGCGGCTCTGGTTGTGACTGTGTGGTGTTTTCGGGCTTGTAGTGGTCAATGGCAGAAGTCTCTGGCGGCATTGTAGTGGACAGGCTGTCTTCGACAGGAGCGGCCGAGGGATCTAGGAGCATGATGTCGTGTTCTGATTCGAGCTTGCCAACAGGAATCCAATGGTCGTCGCCGCGCAACCTCAGTAACAACTGCTTGATATGCCACAGAGTCTCTTTTTCGCGATGCATAGCTTGGCGAGCGTTTTCTGCCATTTCGCTAATTGGCCTCGAGAGGAAGGGGATGGACAGAGAGGGGTGGTGGGCGAGATCGGCGGCCGAAGTCAAGGGAGCTAGTAGCTCTTCGAGCTTGGTGTCTGCCCATGGATTACCAGTTTGTTCTGAGGTGTCTTCTTCGTCGGGCTCGTATTCGTCGTCGTCTATTAGGTCGCCGTCGTCGTCGAAGCGAAGAGGATTCTCGTTGAGAATGTAGCGGTCGTAGCCAGCATAGTCGATGCGCTTCTTGTAACTGCGACCATGGGTAGTGTCGAGGCGACCTTCGCGCACATGGCGAGCATTGCGCTTGAGCTTGTTGCCGCGATTTGTGGGTTGGGTGATGGACGTGTCTGAGTCGGAGTCGTTGTCGCGGCGGCGCATGGCCAGCTTCATGCCGCGTATTGTCTCTGCGATGATGGTCTGTTGTGCCGCCATGCTGACAGAGGTGAGAAGGTGTGTTGGTAGAGGAGATGAGTTGTAAAGAATAGGCAGAAATTGAGACGGGCCTGTTGGATTGACTCGCAGCCTCAAACTCTCCACTCCCCCAGCTTCATCAAAACGCGTCATTTGCACGGGGCAGCTACCGATAGTCTAGCAACAATTCAGCTTGTACATAAACACTGCTGCCATGCCGTGATCGCCCAGTCATGGAGGCCTATCCCGAAGACTATGTCGCCCACAATCTGCCCTTCATCGCCCTAGCTGGTCTTCCAACTTCCGACTCGTCTACCGATGCTTCGACAACGTCGTCCTCAAGCCCTCTTCAAGGTGGTGGCCTGAAAATCACCGACAACTCTCCTCCGCTGTCTGGTCCTCATGCCGACTCTATCTTGGACGAATTCTTACGAACTCATGGTGCTTCTCTGTCGTGGAGCGACCAGGCCTTGGCTGAGAGGTCTGGCTTGATAGGTTTCAAATTGTCGAGCGTTGGGAGGGTAGGTATGCCGCTGGTAACCTGCATGTCTTCATGTCTATAATGCTAAATCGTTGCAGTCCTTCGTGTTTCCACCCAGAAAGGCCGCTCCTCCGCCCATAGTGCCCTCACAAACTCCTCCAGGGAGTCCCAATCCTTCTTCATCCACTAGCCATGATCTGCACTCGCCTTTATCTCCGCTCTCTCCTTCTTCTCCAGTCTTTCCCGATGGTCTTATGACTCCTCTATGGCTGGCAAAGCACCAATCGCGCATTCCTGCCGTCTACCTCTCCTTCCAGACGTTGCATTCGGATCCGAACACTGATACCGCCCTGAAAACCCACATCAACGACACGAGAAACGCAATCGCAAAATCAGGCTTCAAGACGAGATATGCTGTCGTCCTTGTCTCAGATGATGCTGCGATCTCTCCTCTCGACTTTGAGGAACGCCTCGCCAACATCAGGAGAGCAACCTCCCTCGATCCAAAGATTTCGTGCTTCCACTATGATGTTTCCGACTCTCAGACCGACCTGCCGACCTTCGTATCGAGTGTCTTGAGAGCATTACAGCCTGTCTGTATTGATTACTACAGAGACTTGACAAAGCATTCGAGAAGGAAACGAGGTCGCGCTGCCCCTCCACCAATCACCGCTGCAGCAAGTCGTGGTACATCGCAGGTCTTGACTACCAATGGCTGGAATGTACGCTATGACTTCAAGCTGGCTGTCTTTGCAGAGTTCCGACAAGAAATGGATGTAGCTCAGAGGCATTATGAGTCTGCCCTGGAAGAATTGTTCGGTCCTGAAGGAAGTCTCGAACACACGCCAAGTTGGTCAGCTCGTTGGCAAGAAGCCCGATTACTCTGTGATATTATTGCTTTCCGTGTTTTGCGCTGCCAAATATGGAGGGGCATGACCTCCGGCACTGCCGAATCCTGGTTCAACTACAAAGAGCGCATGCGAGATTTGATTGATCGTCGTGGCAAGGGTACTGACAACAGCTACAGCTGGGAAGCATGGGAAGCACGCTGGGCCAAGATGATGGCGCAACTTATCGAAATGGCCGATTTACCTGTCTTCAAATCCGTGGATCTGTCCGACCCTGAAGAACAGACTGCCCCACTTACTATATATGCGCCAGCAGAAAAATTGTATTCAACCATGGAACGCATGATGCCATTTCATCTGCTCCATCATCCAGGATACTGGTGGAGATTGGCCTGCAAACATCTTGTAGCGCGCAAAAGGAAAGCAGAGGCCATTCCGCAGGAGGACAGGACGCTTCCGGGTGAAACGACTCCAGCGCAGCTCGCGAGCCGAACTAGAACATACGATACTTACATGGTTCCCCAGCCTCACGAGGAGGCACCCTTATCTGGACACAGTACATACGACTACTTACTGGACCTGCAAAGCCAGACTGAAAGGGTAGAAAGCATCATGTCCGACAGAGGTCAGATGAGGGCAGTTCATCAGGTCAAGATCGACCTCGCGCGCGAATTCTACAGGGCCGAGCGTTATGATGAAGTGCTTAAAACTCTGCAGCCAGTATGGGACAACATGATCTGGAGACGCGAGAAGTGGTTCGATCTGGCAGTCGAAGTTCTAGAGTTGATCTACGAGTCTGCAGAAAAGACGGGCAACATCAAGCTTCAGGCCGAAAGTGCCTGGGAGCTCACATATCAGCGTATGTGTTCTCCAGCTGTTGCAACTAATTTCACTGACTCGCGGCAGCTCTCGAATCTCAGAAATCAATCGACATATCGCAATGCTTGTCAAAAACTGGTAGTAACGACGAGCGCATGCACATCCTTCTGGACACCCAGTCAAGACTCTGTCCAGGTAAGTCTGCGTCTCATGAGCACGTTGCAATGAGCTAATGTTTATCGTCAAGTCACTGTCACATTCTCGTTCTTTTCAGGCGCAGGCTTCGTAGGAGATACTGCTGCTTGTCAAGTTGCAGTTGTCCACAATGCTTCAGCACAAAAGAATAGTTTGACCTTGACAGAACTTCGGGTTCATTTCAATACCAATATCAAAAGCTTGGTGATCAACCACTCCGACGATGCTAGTCAATCCCTCACAACAGAATTGAAAGTCGAAGAAGAACATGATCCAGCACATCCTATGGCAAAAGGTTTGTTGACAAATGCGAATCTGACATTCAAGCCTGGTCAAATTCGTGTCTTCAACCTGACAATTCCGCTTCGCGATTCGGATTCGTTCGGCGCTACTGGTGCTTCTCTGATCCTCAAAGCATCCGGGGCCACACTCGAGCATGTTCTCAGTCGTCCGGCAGATATAAGTTCTTCGAACTGGTGGTTGCATTCAGAAGACAAGCTTCTGAGAAAGCAGATCCCTCGGGCAGAGCCAAACACCATCCAAGTGTTGCCGAAGCCACCGAAGGTGCAGCTACGGATCACAAATCTCAAAGAACAATACTTTACGGGCGAAAAGGTGGCCCTCGACATTCAGATCCTCAACGAGGAAGTAGAGGAGGTTAACGCCTCTATACGCGCTGAAGGAAAAGACAATACAGAAGTTGCACTTAAACTTGCTTGGAGGGACAACGACAACGACAGAGCCAACGACACGGACTTGACCAGCCTCCAGATTGGCAAGATAAAGGCCGGTGAATCAAAGTCTCATCTGCTCGAATTCAAGGCTCCGCTGCAACTTTCAGAATATACTCTCAAATTGGAAGTCAATTACCGTTTGGCCTCAGATCCGGAAACACCTGTCACAAAGACGTTGGAGTCAGTCATACCCTTCGTCAGCCCCTTCGAGGCGAACTACGACTTTGGACCGCGCTTGCACACAGGAGCATATCCAGACTATTTCAGCCTACCGGACATTTCCGAAGATGACAATGAACAGTCCAAACCAGCGCGAGGCATATCGCAGAGATGGTGCTTGACCAGCCGTGTGGTATCCTTTTCTACTGAGCCTTTACTCGTTGAGGCGACACAGCTTGTTGTCAATAGAGTCACCAGCAACGCGGTGTGCGAAGTCGAGGACTCTTCCGAACCACGAAAGCTCTCACGCATCATGGCTATGAAGGATATGATTGACGTTCCTCACATCTTGGCAGTGCGCAAGTTGACGCTGGAGGATCGACGCCCTTCTGCATTGGAACTGTCCTTAGCAGTCACTTGGCGCAGACAAGATGCCAGTGATGACGATACAACAACCACTATGCTTGCAGTGCCCAGCATGACAATACCTTCTGCCGAGCCTAGGGTACTGTGTACAGCCAGCGTTCCTCCCAACACAGAAGACGAACCCACCACTGTCTCATACACCTTGGAGAACCCATCGATGCACTTCTTGACGTTCAACTTGACTATGGAAGCGAACGAGCTGTTTGCTTTTAGCGGATCAAAGCACCGAGCTGTGAGCTTGACCCCGATGAGCCGCGTTCAGGTCGACTACAGACTATTGGTATATCCTGTCGACGAAGATGATCTGACGGAGCGACAAGGTCGAAAGGGACATTGGGTTTGGCCAGCCCTCAGAGTAGTTGATGCATATTTCCAGAAGACACTCAGAGTGCTGGATGCTGGGGATGGAGTGCAGAGTGACGATAGGGGTGGCGTTGGCATTTGGATACCCGAATAGTGGCTGTTTCGAAAGTAGATGAGTTTCAATCTCGGCGCTCAATAATACTATCGACGCGAGGCAACTCTTTACGAGACAATTTCCTCGTGCTCAGAGTCTACGAGTCAAGCGGTTGGACCCCTATTTCCATCTATTGTAGCAGTGAATCGTTGCCCTCGCCTGTTAACCAAGTCCGAACCCGCTGCTGCGGCTGGAAGCTCGAGCTCTTGGCAAAAGTTGGCGGTTCATTGAGCATGTATATACCTCATGTGACAGTCGTTAATGCGCTCTGTTGGGCCAGATTTGGGGTAATTTGATCTCTGTGTCGGTCATAAAGAGGTCATACGTAGCATTCAGTCGAAGGATGTACTCTAAGTAAGCGTAGTTGTGTTTGGATGTTCCAGCTTGTTGTAAACGTGTTGTTTGTTCTCGTGTGCCGGCGTTGAGCTGGCTGACGTACCTACCACCTCCAGTATTGGAATCGCTCGTCCTTGCGCCTCCACACCACATTGAGTCTTCTTCCTTGCATCCTGTCCCGTGTCCTCCATTTCACAACCCAGCCCTCTTCTTCGTCAATTCCGTCTGAAGTCTTGAACCTCAGCACACCTCAATTGAGTGAGAGCTCTTGTCGACTTCCTTCGTCTCGCCGCTTTACTGACCTGTCGTGCGGTAGCGATCTCTCAAAATGGAGCCCTGGCAGTCGTGGGCAGTCGCCCTCATCGGTGCTGCCGCCGTCTACTACTATTACTTCCAGCACGGCAAGCCCGTCGCCAACAGAACTCGCTCCGCCTCAGTCTCGGACTTTGTCGCTCCTCAACCCAAAGCTGCCCGCCGACGAGACTCGACCAAGCCAAAGCCAAAGTCCGAAGCCACCAAAGCTACTGGCGTTACTCTCCCCGAGTTGAGCGTCCAGAGCGGTGATGATAGCACCGCCGCCAAGGTTTCGGATGGCTCCAAGAAGCGCAAGGCTGGCAAGAAGCAGACCACCACACCTGCTCCCGCTCTCACACCTGCTCCCGCACCCAAGCGCCAGGAGCTCGACGATGATATCGCTCAAGAGGAAGATAACAAGGCCTGGGCTCAACAACTCGCCAGCCTCAAGAAGGGTACCAGCCTTGCCCCTCCTGCTCGCACCGACTCGCGCAACAGAACAGTGAAGCAGTCCTCCAAGACCTTCTCCTCTGCCTCTTCCAATGCTGCCGATGCTGATGACGACTTCACCCCTTCCATGTCTCCCACTTTGGCCGCTGGCGATGTTTCAGACATGCTCGAGCCTGCCACTGCTGGCCCCTCTGTCCTCCGCCTCACTGGATCTGACAAGCCTACCAAGGCTAACCAGCCTCGCCAAACCCAAGCTCAAGAGCAAGAGACGAAGAAGCAGAGACAGAACCGCAAGAAGGTCGAGGAACGCAAGCTTCAAAGAGAGGCCGATGAGAAGGAACGCCAGGTTCTGCTCGAGAACCAACGCCGTACTGCCCGTGAAGCCCGTGGAGAGCCTGCAAAGAACGGCATTCCTGTTTCCAAGCCTCCCACCAGCAGCGCATGGGCTGCTGATGTTGCCAACCGCGTCACTCAAGCTCCCGCTGTGGCCGTCACTGGCGAGAGCGCTCCCCTTCTCGACACTTTCGAGCAGAGTACCAACAACGGAGCCTTTGAGGAAGACCAGCTGAGACTCGCCAAGCAGATCAGCCAAGACGACTCGGGATGGAACACTGTGCCCAAGGGCAAGAAGCAGCAGAAAAAGAAGGCTCCCATCGTCGGCTCTGAGGACTCAAACACCAGTGATGCTGGCTCGGTGGTCAACGCTCCCATTGAGAAGCCCGCTCCCTTGCCCAAGGTCAGCGCACCTGCCCCCAAGGCTGCAGTTGCCTCGACCAACGGATTCTCATCTCTTTACGACTCTGGTTACGACGCAGGTAGCCACCCTGACGACTCCCAGTGGGTTGCTTGATTTACCTTGGGCTGCAAAAGTCTGGCTACGTTACGGCGCTGTTTCTTGTAGGCGCACAAGAACGAACGAGTGCTATCAAAGTCTCTTTGTTCTAATACAGACTCTTCTCGACAGAGACGCGAGAATCAAAGGGTCAAGGCAGAATCGCCAAATTATTTCATGTTGTTGTTTTCCAAGCAAGGGTATTCCCATAGGGCATCTCGAGGGGTTGTTTCATTCTTTGCTTACAATCGATTACTTCTCACAAGGCCGCAAAAACATACGGGAGACAAAGAGATGCGACTGGTTTGAGAACAGGCGTTCACAGGGTCCTTCGTGCTCCTGCAGTTCAGTCTTGTACTTTGATGTAACCAAAATCAAATGCTTTCATTCTACAATCTATATTTAACAAACGTGCTTGTTTCGATGATGGCATTGTGGAGCATAGTCGCAAAGCTTGATGGAATTGTGAACGTGCCGAGGACTGCGGACAGCATGCGTCACGGTAGAGAGAGCGAGTTACAGCGTCGACGAGGGTGGTCTGGAAGAAGTGTTGTGGTGATGAAAGAGAGAATGGACAGGTATACAGGTACAATGCAGGAGGTATTTATTGTCGGCCCTTAACGGCGGGACAATCAAACAAAGACGATATGCAAAAAAGGGGACCAGGAGTTAGCGGATGAGCTGCGACAAGCTTCGATTTGCTGACAAGTGGTCTATTCTTCCCCACGTCTCGTCTCTGGCCCTCTCTACTAGACCTTTCGTCCAACCGAGGAGACTCTTTCCGATCTCTCTCTTCTTCCCCTTATACCATTTTTCCACGACCACCATGGCTCAAATCAGAGGGACGGCAGGATACCACCTGGGCTCGCAGCCCTCTTTTGGAAACCCCGGACGACCAGACGCCACCAATGATCCCAGTCCGCTGGATGCCATTCGCGAACAGACCAGCAAGATTGAAGACTGGCTCGACACCTTGTCACATCCCGTCAAACCGTGAGTGGTCTTGGCTGCTTCTCGTACCTGCTCCAGCGACTGACAATCTCATAGCTACATTCCTGCCATTGGCCGTTTCCTCATCGTCGTCACTTTCCTCGAGGATGCCCTGCGCATCATCACCCAATGGAGCGACCAGCTCACCTACTTGCACGACTACAGACACAGTACGTCTCTTGTATGCCTTGGACACAAGAGTCCCAACTAACACGCTACAACCAGTCCCCTCCGGCATCACCCACCTGTTCCTCATCGCCAACGTCATCGCAATGACCGTCTCGTCCTTCATGATCATTGTCCGCAAGCAAAGCGAATACGCAGTCGCCGGCCTCTTCGGCGTCGTCATCACCCAAGCCCTCGGCTACGGCCTCATCTTCGACCTCAACTTCTTCCTGCGTAACCTGTCGGTCATGGGAGGTCTCCTGATGGTTCTGTCTGACAGCTGGGTGCGCAAGCGTTTCGCTCCTGCCGGTTTGCCTACTCTTGACGAAAAGGACCGCAAGATGTACTTCCAGCTTGCCGGACGTGTTTTGCTCATCTTCCTCTTTGTTGGCTTCGTCTTCGCTGGCGAGTGGAGCTTTGGAAGAGTTATTGTTATCTTGCTCGGTGCTGTTGCTTGTGTCATGGTTGTTGTTGGTTTCAAGGCCAAGTGGAGTGCTGTTATGCTTGTTGTTATCCTCAGTGTTTTCAACTTGCTTGTCAACAACTTCTGGACTGTAAGTTTTTCTTGGCTTCTATTCTCCCAATTCTTCTGGCTAATATTCTGCTCACAGCTCCACCACAATCACCCCCACAAGGACTTCGCTAAGTACGATTTCTTCCAAATCCTCTCGATCGTTGGTGGTCTTCTCCTCTTGGTCAACATGGGTCCTGGTCAATTCAGTGTCGACGAGAAGAAGAAGGTTTACTAGATGCGCTTCCGACTGGATGTGGGACGATCTGCGAACCGCTCGGGCAACGGCATGTAAGCCCACAGGCCTTGTCTTGTTTAGCATGACAGCATAACTCCATGTGTGTGATGGATGAAAAAGAAGGAAAGAGAGCGGAGCTATACTCTGCCATAGAAAAAGGACAAAAGTCCACACAAATGTTACTCATTTTTTTTTTTGTTCTACACACCCTTATTATGTCGCGATTACACGCAGGGGGAAAGACTGCAGTTGCCGAGATCATGACAAGGCAGATGTAGTAGCTTGGAAAACCCGGAATCATAAGAGGAAAAGAGGTGCAGTTTTTTGTTTGGATCGGGTATTCTCTACACGCCTTTTTGATTGCCCTTTTCTCGTTTGTCTGATCGATGCCTTGTCCTTGTTCGTTATTTTACAACCGCTCGTGCTTTATCCTTCTCCTTCGTCCGTTGATCCCTGCGCTATCATCATGCTTAGTCGTCTCTCATAACCTCTTGAGCTGGAGTGCAGACACGAAGCTCCGAGTCTCTCAGATACCATCTCGACCATTCCAACCACCAACAGGACCTCTCCAAACCTTGACTCTAGGGCCACCAACTCTCCAGCCCCAAACACCTCTAGCACCCTTACCCGAAGGCACGATCCATTCTCCCAAAGCATGCATATTGACATCCTCTATGCTTTTCTTGTTCCACTGGCCAAAGTCATCGGGATCCTGGATGCCCTTCTTCAAGAACACAAGTTCGGGGCCACTGGCTTCCCAGGCCTGGACTTGACTGACTTGAGGTTCGTCGTTGATGGAGTAGCCGGCTTCGTTGAGTAGGATCATGGAGGACATGAACGAAGGATTGATGGAACTGATGATGTGGCGGCGTAGAGATAGTTCCATGGGGCCTTGGATGGTGATGAAGGCGAGTGGTGAAGGGCGGTCCTTGAAGAGGTCGATCAGGGCTGGAATAATGGCTCTCTCGTAGATGTGAAGATTGATGAGGTGGGAGGGCACCTTCTTGGTGATGTAGGAAGAACCTTTCTTGGCTGTTTCGGCGGCAGGGGTGTTGAGTGAGGAAGGCAGCCAGTCGGCGTTGGCAGTAGAGTTCATGCTCGAGCGAGTGAACTTGGGCTTCTTCAAAGGGTCTGCCTTGTTGTCGTTGGAGACGGGGGCGGCGTTGTAAGGTCCCAAGTCATGTTCGAGACCCTTGCCCTTGCCTTTGACAGCAAGTACCTCTTCGTTGATGTGGATCTCAGGCTTGACATAATTGTGGCGAGTGAAGAGGATGTTGCCCTTGATGTGAATACTCAGGTGGGCGACTTTCTGAGAAAGGGGCTTGAAGGTAGCCAAGAAGAGACACCTGAAAAGGAGGCGGTCAGTGAGATCTGATATATGCAAAGCGTTACATCGTGTCTTACCAGCTATCGTCTTCCCAGTCACCAAAGTCTGTTGAGTCGATGACGATCTTGAGATGATTCGTCTTGAGAAACTCATCGGGACCCTCATCGTTGATCTGGTTTATAAACTCCCATATTTTGTCCATAGACATCTCGAGTTGTGCTATGTTTCCGCCATAGTCAGGCTCAGGGGCAAGGATGTGTCTCATGTCGTCGAGAAGTCTGAGCGAGCGAGAGGGAGAAGGTGTTGAGCCTGTGCGAGCACTGATGGTTGAGCTCGAGGCACGTCTTTCTCTGCGTTGCTTGTAAACAATCTTCCATGATGTGTCCATGCTGGGCCAAGGTCCGCGCGTAGATGACGCGTGAGTTGTTGTTACTGGCGTTGAGGGAGGGTAAACAAGAAGAGCCTTTTCTTCATTATCGTGCAGTGCCTATAGATTTGTGTGGACCATCTTCCAAGCATTGCGGTCGTGTATAGCCTCTAGCGCAGCGCGCTCAGTGCTCGCGCTCAGTGCTTCCGTTCGTAGGCCCTCCACCAGAGAGCCATGTTGGCTGCCACTATCAGATCCAACATCTTAACACCTTCATCCTCAATGATGAGCTTTCCAAGCTTTGCCTGCTTCCCTTTGAAACCACCTCCGGCACGTTCCTGTCCCAAGGAAAGATCGATATTGCCATACTCGTCCAAGAATTTGTTCATACCAGGAGAGAGGGGACCATTGGTAAGCTCATCCGAGGTTGAATGCCTGTGAAGGGATGGTCTCGAGATGAATGAAGACCTCTTTGCTCCAGCATCAGTGGATGATGGACTACTCTTGGTAGTACTACCGGTTGGAAGGTTGAAGCGCAGCTCACTAACTTCCGTCATTGCGCTTGATGGGTTATCGAGGACATGTTTGCACTGCTGAACGTTAGCACACCATACTATACCAGAGACGGTATGTCAAACATACCTTCAATGATCTGCCAGTGGCGCCTGTTGAGAACTCGCATTTTCCGCCCCATGGGCTTCGAAAAGTGTAACCTTTGCTTCTCCTATCAGCCAGCGCTTTCGGTACAGCTTGCAGACTTTGTCGATTCAATTGTGCTGATGGACGTTGATTCTGCTGCTCACCACACCAGGAAGGAGTTTTGCGATGGCCATCCGAGTGGTCGCCGAATCTCAATCCGTCCATGTACAACCGTCGGCGGAATGTGCTATCATGGTCCGAAGAGAGATTTGGTGAGAGGGAAGCCATATCAGCACTACCTCGAGAATCTGGTCTGGTCTGGTCAAACTGCACGAACTTGGAGTATCCAGGATTGTAAATTTCGATAAACAGGGGAGCTGCTGTTTTCTTGGTTTTGATGGAGCCATCGCCGCCCAGAACGGAAGACACGTCATGTACCGGCGGATCACGAATCTTTGCGACGTTCCACTGGAAGCCTGATGACGGATCTCGACGAATAAGGGTCAGCGATACACATCGTTCATCCTCTTCCGGGATCGAAGGGCCATCATAGGAAGATCGGCTGACTTCATCTGTAGCGTAAGAGCTTCGGGAATTTACAGAAGGCCGACCCGAAACAACTCTTGGATCTAGGAACTGATTGCTGAGCGGCCGCCTGGAGAAAGATGGTCTTCCATCAGGGAGCTCATTAGTAGTAAACTGGCCCTGCTGACTCAAAGGACTTCTCATGGGTGGTCGTGGTGGAATGTCTGGTAGATCTAGACTCTGACGAACTGGCTTGCGCTGAGGTACTCCAAGCTGCTGCTTGGTGTCGAACACAGCACTCCTCTGTCTCGGAGATCCATCTGCTGGAGAAGTCGGAGGTGTCGGTAGTGGTTTGCGGGTAATTGTTGAAAGAGCAGGGGTGTCCAGCACCGGGATCTCTTCTGGGAGTTCAACAAGGTCGTCTTCTGGGATATCGATATGCAAAAAGTATAAGGAGCTCTGGACATCTTCGGCACTAACGACCTTCTCCCGTGGTTTGAGTGGGGTCAAAAAGACATCTATATCCCGATTAACACTAATCCTCAGACATATTGGAAGATTTCATGCCTTTGCTGCCAGGAACTCTCACGATATACAAGGTCAAGGGGGCGTGTGGAAGCTGCGTTGGATTTCGTGGGTAGAGCGGAGGGTCGGAGGCAAGGGTTGTCAAAATAGCCAGAGAGCGAGCCTCGACTGCAGATGCCATGGCTGCAAGGGATGCTCTGCAGATGTAAGTTGCAAACTATGGAACAGGTAGAGTTGACAAGATATCAATCGTGTTAGCGATTTAGGCAGGCACTTTGCAGCAAACGTTTGCTGTCGTCAGAAGGTGGCTGAGTCAGGCGGCGAGTCGAACAAGTCGTGTAATAGGGACAAGTAGGACAAACTGGCTAAGCAGTTATCCTTTGAGGGGTCTCATGGATTTTTATCGTAACAGAAGTTTAAAATAGGTGGCAGGGATTCACGAAGAGTAGGCTGGCTATTGTTTACTTGATGATGCTGCAGCCGAAGACGCCGAGAAGATTTCGGCTGTCTTGACAACGACGGCACCAACACCGAGCGTAGAGTGCTGACGATGCTTGCAACAGTCAGTGCATGTCACGCGAGTATATACCGCTTGGAAGTAGCAATCTAGATGAGGATGCGTGAGGCTCGGAATGCCAATATTTGACATGTAACGGTGTGTGATGGTGACTTGCATAAACGAGTAGCACAAGCTCATGCATAAAAACGTGGAGAGATGGGGCCCGTGCTGAAATCATCATCGACGCCTTCGACCTTCAAGCTACTAGAATCGCGCTTGCACCTTCAATCACCACCCAGCTCGCCTTAATCGTCGCAACCATGTCGGACCCTCGGGATATGTGGAAGAACCTGCAGAAGAGCTTGGAACAAGCCCAGAGACAAGGCAAAAGGTGCGCACACACCTCTTTTCCCACAACAACGTGATCCAAGATCGAAGAAGCAGACAGCTGAGACGAGGCAAATGTACAGATTCGGAGCCGGAGGCCCTACACCCAACCCCAAGGGCGCTCTTGGTGGTATCGCCGTCATCGCCCTCGGTCTGGGCGGTGTCTACCTCTTCAACAACGCCCTCTTCAACGTCGATGGTGGTTGCCGCGCCGTCAAGTACAGCCGTATTGGTGGTGTCAAGCCCGACATCTACCCCGAAGGAACTCACATCAAGATCCCTTGGGTGGAAACTCCCATCGTCTACGATGTCCGCGCAAAGCCTCGCAACGTCGCCTCCCTCACTGGTACCAAGGATTTGCAGATGGTCAACATTACCTGCCGTGTTCTGTCAAGACCCCGCGTCGATGCCCTTCCTCAGATCTACCGTACTCTCGGAACCGACTACGACGAGCGCGTTCTTCCCAGTATCGTCAACGAGGTCCTCAAGAGTGTTGTTGCCCAGTTCAACGCCTCCCAGTTGATCACACAGAGAGAGAATGTTTCGAGACTCGTGCGCGACCACCTCGTGAAGCGCGCTGCCAGATTCAACATTATGCTCGACGATGTCTCATTAACAGTACGACACCATTCCGTCAGATCTTGAACTTTTCTTTACTGACACGTATCTCCAGCACCTTGCCTTCTCGCCCGAATTCACCGCCGCAGTCGAAGCCAAGCAGGTCGCTCAACAAGAAGCCCAGCGTGCCGCCTTCGTTGTCGACAAGGCCCGCCAGGAGAAGCAGGCCATGATTGTCCGCGCCCAGGGTGAAGCCCGCTCCGCCGAGCTGATTGGTGATGCTATCAAGAAGAGCCGCAGTTACATTGAGCTGCGTGAGTTCGAGAACGCCAGAAACGTCGCTTCCATCCTCGAGAAGAGCAACAACAAGGTCTACCTCGATACTCAAGGCCTTGGTCTTAATGTCAACGCCCTTGGCCACGACAGATCTCAGAACAAGTAAACATAAATGTTCTTTCGATCTGAATGCTTTCATCTTCTCTCTTGTTCACAAAACAACACATTTCCCTCGGCATGGTTAGCGTAAGATACTCTGACGGCGTTCTATGGCTGGCTGTTTCACCACACTTGTATAAAATATGAATTCGAACTACCCTTTTCTACTCAATCTCGAGGCGCTGCATCATTACTGTGAGAGATTCTCTCGATGTTCAGATATAGAAAGTTTTTCATGATTGCTCATACCCTGCATTATATGACAGTTTACATACCACCACTGCCACCAGTCACGCGATCAAGATTGAACGCAGCACTAACCAACGCCAAATGCGAGAAAGCCTGAGGAGTATTTCCAAGCTGCTCTCCACTCCTAGCAATCTCTTCCGAGAACATGTTCAAATGATTCGAGAAACTCAACATGTTTTCGAAAATGTTGATGGCCTTGATGAGGTACTTTTTGTCGTAGGCTCCGGCACGGGTAAGTGCTTCCACTAGCCAGAAAGTGCACATGGAGAATGCGCCTTCACGACCTCCGACACCATCGTCAGATTTCAGAGTGTTGTAGCGGTAGACCAGGCCTGTGGAGGTAAGACCGCCTTTCTCTGGCGCGAGAAGGATCTGCTCGAGTGTAGAGGTGAAGCGAGGATCATTGGGTGCGATGAAGAATACCAATGGTGCGATCAAGACTGCAGAATCCAAGACATCGTTGCTTTCGTAGCTTTGAATGAAGCACTTCATGTCGTGGTTGTATCCTTTTTCCATGACATCGTCGTAGATCTGGTCGCGGGTCTCCAGCCACTTCATCCTGTTTGGACAAGGGAAACAGCGTTTATCAGCTAATCTCAGTGCGCGATCAATTGCTACCCACAACATCATCTTTGAGTATGTGTAGTTCATTGGCGCAGATCTGACTTCCCAAATCGACATATCTGTCTCTTGCCAGATTCCACAAACGTAATCCGTAAGTTTTCTCACCGCAACCCAGAGGTCGTAACTCACTGGCTTGCCGTATTTGTTGTACAAGTAGATACTGTCCATCATTTCTCCGTAAATGTCTAGTTGTTTATGGAAAGCTGCGCCGTTGCCGATGCGGACGGGTTTGCTGTCTTGGTAGCCGGAGAGGTGTGAGAGTTCGATCTCGGGAAGGTCAGTGCTGCCACGGATGGAGAACATGATTGGAAGTCCTCCGTCGGGTTTGCGAGAGTCGATTAGGCGGTCGCTAAGGAAGTTCATGTAGGCTTCTGCTTCTTCGGTGAAGCCCATACGTAAGAGGATATAGATTGTGAAAGATGAATCTCTGACCCAAGAGAACCTGATGACTAAATTAGTATCGACACTGGTCATCAGACGTTGCGAACATACCTGTAATCCCAGTTTCTACCACCACCAAAGTCCTCGGGCAAAGAGAAGGTGGGTGCCGCAACAATGGCTCCGGTGGGCTCATATGTGAGCATCTTCAAGATCATCAAGCTTCTGCTGACGACTTCTCTCCAACGTCCCTTGTACTTCGATTTAGATATCCAATTGAACCAGTAAGTGGAGGTGTCCTGTTGGATCTGGTCAAGAAGTGCGGTAGAGATTGACTCCTTGTTTTTCTCTTCAAGATCTCTCAGCACAAAAGAAATGGATTGACCTTCTTTGAGATTGATTGTCGCAGTCACGCCCTCGCCCAAAGAACAGCCTTCAACGTGTTTCTTAGAGAATGAAAGCTCTGGGCAAGGAGCATCATCACCACAATCGATGGTAGCCACAAGTTCCAAGGACAACTTCTCAGAGCGGAAGTGTACAACCCGCTGTGCCTCGTCTTCGGCCTTGACGATCTCAGTGGTGTGTGAGTCCTGGGCATAGTTGAAAGCGGGGAAGACCTCCACGTTGACATCCGTGGCACCTCTGATACACTCAACTCTTCGGACCAGCCACTTCTTGAGACCGGTGCGAGGATCAGTAGAAGCGCCACGTCCGACCGAAGGGCCGAGTTTGTCCATTCTGAGTGGACGAGGGAAGAAATCCGTAAGTGTCAAGACGCCATCGTCGTGCAGATATCTGGTTTGGAGAATGTTGTTGCTTGGCAGATATTGTTGCTTGGTCGTGATCTTGAGACCAGAAGGAGGACCGATGTTGAAATGACCGCCCTTGTCCTTGTCCAGCATGCGACAGAAAACAGATGGCGAATCAAAGTCGGGCCTGGGTTAAATGTCAATTGATCACCATTCGCGTTACAAATGGACCGTCGTATGCATACCAGCACATCATATCGATTCCACCATCGATTGCCTTGTCAAGTCAGTCAATTGAATTGGAACCAGAAGTCGAGATTACATACCACTAGAGCACTTGTGTGCATGTTTCCTATCAACCCATATTGTTCAATCTATCGCGTGTTGGTAGTTTGCATGCACAATCCTGGGTACAGCTACTCACTGGCATATAGCCCGTACTGCTTCGCAGCCCGGTAGGGTCAGAGATGCGTTCGGCCATTGCGCTCGTAGACTAGAAGCTTGAAGCAGTCCAGAGATGGGGTCCAAGATAGCTAGCTGTTGATCCTTTGATTACGGTATGTGTACTTGTATGCAAGGAGTCTGGGGTATGGAGCAAGAGACAAGGTACTCAAGTAACGGTGTCAGGGAGCTTATATCAGCTTACAGACTATTCACAACGTCACTGATCATTGATGCACATGGCTCCATCCAAGACTTGTCGGCTACCGTATCGATCTACCGGCTCAATCGTCATGCCGATGTGACTTATCCGGCAAGACCCAAAGACGAGACCCGAGATTTATCTTCTCGTTCCCACGCGTTCGTTGATTACAGGGAAAGGACGACTCTTGGTCAATTCCACGAACAAATCCAGCCTTCCATGACAAACTCTCAATCACACCCATCTGCTGGCGTAGAATCAAGAGCAAGAGATGATAAGAAGCTGTCTCTGCTCCTGCCGGCATCTTCGGAGGTCGCGACTTGACACCGCCAAACTGGGGCAGAGAGCGGGCCGAGCCGTGTCATACAATTGTGAGGTCCAACGGCGGACAAACCATCTCGCAGGCAAATATCAGTCGCATTCGAGAATATCTGGACGAGTCGTTGCAGAGACTGGGATATAGACAGTTCACGCGCGCACTGAATACGACAATTCTGTTCATGCCATGCCAATCGCAGCTGCTGCGTCTGCGTGACAGCCGACGGACCCTACACCACATCTTTCGCCATGTCGTGACATATTCACCTCAGCAACTCCGCCATGAATCTACCACCCCTGCAACAGAGTCTGCTCCTGCCACAGAGTCTGCGCGACTTGAGAACGCACGACTAAAAGCCCGCCTAGCTGCTCTGAAGCGTCTCGACAAACACATCAACCCGGACGACTTGTCAGCCACACTCGAAGCACATCGAGATGCAAATCGCGCTTCCGTTATTCGCAGAGTACAATCCTCACGATCCGACCCTGACGTCGTGCGCCCTTCTTTCCTAGACACTCGACCACCCGTGAGACTTGATCGCGACTCCGAACAACCTGAGAACGAGACTCGAGAGAAGAAAGAAAAGAAGGACAAAGCTCCCCTGGCAGTCTTCTCTAAGCTTGCGTCCAACGGACCCAACGAGGCAGATGATCCCGCCGCATTCCAACTTCGCTCCTTGAAAAGAGCCGCGGAGGCCACGCAGAGGCAGGCAACTCTAGAGTGGCAGCAAAAATATAACGAGGGACAGTACCAACGATGGGTTGACTTCCTGACCAAGCACGAGGATCCCTCACAACCGTTACCAGAATACCGAAATGAGGATCGCGCTGCTTTCTTCACAGTCCTACGAAGAGCCTTCACCATTATTCGTGAAGAACAAGTCAAGCGTTCCACTACGAGGTTCGTCGACGATCTGGCGCCTAATGGTTTCTTGTCCCACTACGGCTTTGCACAGCCCATCGTTCATGGACTCAAAGGTTACCATGGCTCCGAGCCCTGGCGCCGTCGACCAAAAGGCTCAAATAAGCAATACAGCATTAGATCTTGGCTAAATACCGAGATAAAAGCTTTCGCCGAGTGGATGGAGATGACTCCTGCAGAAAAAGCCGCTAGAGAAAGGCTTTCCGGCATCCTGATTGACTTGGTTCAACAAGCAAGACCAGGCCTCGAAGCCGAAATATTCGGCTCTCAGTCGACTGGTCTCACAATGCCAAACTCGGACATCGACATTCGACTCACCGACCCAGCTTACAGCAAAGCTAAGTATGAAGGCGATCCCGAGGATAAAGCTGCCAAATCAACATGGGCAGCAGAACAGTCGGCATTAAGAAAAGTACGGATGATCTCTCACCTCCGTATCATCCAGAGCTTGCTGGCCAAACACGAGGACTTTGATCAGATTGAAATAAACGACTCGGCTTATTTCCCTCTGGTGATAGCTGTCCACAAACCCACAGGCCTCAAAGTTCAAATCGTGTCCACGAAACCCACATGGGCCGCTCGAAGAGCAACTGAAAAGTACCTCGCCGAATTGCCGCTACTGAAAGGACTTTTCTTGCTCATGAAGACCACTTTGAATCTGCGCAACCTGTCAGATCCCTGGTTTGGTGGTGTTGGCTCCTACACTCTGTTTATGATGTGCGTAGCTGCGTTGAAGGACGGCAATCAAAGAGACAAGCAGAAAATGAAATCTCCAGCAATCAGTCTGCTCTACTTCCTCGACTACTGGTCCAAGTTCGACACCCACCGAGAAGCATTGAGCATCGATCCTTTCCTCAAATTCAGAAAGAAATCAATCCCGAACTTTGATGAAAGAGAGGCTAGGAGAACGGACTCGGTATGTTTATTTCCTCCTCTCACATTTCCATTTTTTTCCTCCCCATCATACCACTTCTATCCCATTTACAAGCAACTGACAACCATCTCACAGTCCCTCTGGGCACGCCACCGCATCGCCATCCCCTCAACATACAAACCCTGGATGCTGCACCTCCAAGACCCTGCCGACCCCTACAACGACCTCGGCCGCAGCGCCCTCGCCATTAAAGACATCCAGGCAACTTTCAAACAACTCTACCACGACCTACTCTGGGAAATCGAGGACCCAAAGAGAAAACAAGAGACTACGCCTCTACTCAAAAATTTTGTCGGCAATAGTGAGAGGTACTTTGATGAGATGAGGATTCCGGTGGATCTATGGGGTAGCCAGTTTGTTGAAAAGAATGCGGAAGTGGAAGGTCAAGGTGAGGTTGAGGGCGAGGATGTGGCGGATGTCGAGGCTGCTTCGAGAGATGTGTCTGAAGAGGCATCTTGGGACAGTGAAGACGCTGTCGCAACTCTACGCTACATGCACGATCTATCAGGGTCAAAGCAAAATGTCTAAACATGTACAAATAATAGCAAAAGAAGGATTTCAAAGATGTGTTCGTGATCATGTGGGATTTCCGTATGTTGTGTTTTACCAGTCTATCTGACTTCCTGAAAGTAAACCGATGCGCCATAACACTCCATCGCATGTGTCTGGCAGTAGAAAAGCAAGGCTAAAGGCGAGTCGTGCATGCGTGTCGAAGCAGTGGGTCTTTGCATTTGCGTGTGAACGAACGGTGATAGACAACCAATCTCAAGCGAGAGGCTGGCCTGTGATTACCGCCGCTCGACCCAACAACAGAAGAACCCAATCCAACCCCGAAAGCCATCCGTCGTGAAAAAATGCCTCTGCACGCCAAGGAGATAAGATAACCCTTGATGCACTAGTTCGACCATTGGTTGCGCCCTCTGACGGGCTTCGCCGCTAAACTTTTTAGATGGCGTACTTTCTTGTCCACTCTCTGGCTGTAGCCTCGTAACGCGAGCGGTCAGTCTTGTAGACATGTGCGATCTCAGGAACGAGCGGGTCGTCAGGGTTGGGGTCGGTCAACATAGAACAGATGGAAAGCAGGACTGCGGGGTAGTGTTAGTAACGACGGATCTGTGGATCTTTTCTGCCATGTGTTGCATCCAAGCGTTGACGCAGGCAGAAACGGAGGGACGTACCTTTTGAGATGGTCAGAGCAGGACTCCATTGGTCTCTGAGAATGTCCAGACAGATGCTGCCGTTGCTGTTGATGTTGGGGTGGTAGATGCGAGTGGTGAAGTTGACCTTGGGAGGCTTGAAGGGGTAGTCTGTGGGGAAGTGGATGGCGAGGAAGAAGACACCGCCCGAGTATGGGGAGTCACCCTGGGGATTGTCAGTCATGTTGTTGCTGTGATTGTTGTGGAAGTGGCGACGGCGGCAATGCTCGACCGCCAACAGCTCAGCCAAGGATTCGAAGACTTACGGGACCCATGATGGTGGCTTGCCAGTGGAACTGGAGGCAAACAAAGTCAGACAGGCTTCTGTTTCGAATGATTCGAGTGGCCACGAGGCAGGCGCTCAATTTTGAGGCGGAGTTTTCAGCAACGTACCAGGTCATCTCCGATGGGACCAGCAGAGCAGGATGAGGGAGGATCACTAGATTACTGTCAGTATCTGCTCTGGCGACATGGACATTTGCCAAAGCGGACGATGGACCATCATCAAGGTGGGGGAGGGGAAGGACAGAGGGGCGCTGTCACATACCGGCCGAGATCGGTCAACTCCTTGTTAATTCTCTTAAGCGCCATAGTGTGCGGTGGTTGTGTGTGTGAGTCGAGGACAAATGATCAACGCTTCCTAAGGTGGTTGCGTTGGTGTTCAGGTGTGTGGTATGCGGAGCGAGGAGTCGTCGCGGATGTGTGAGTGAGCGAAAAGGATGGAGTCTGGCAAGCGTTCAGATTGATTGGCCTCAGCACGGCCGATGCGTCATTGCCGACTCACCGACGCTCTTGTCTTGTTGCAACACAAACAAAGACTGACGACCCTGTTTCTACGCAAGAAAACTCCTCCCTCACTTTCACTGCTGCTAATCCACTTTTTCCCAGTGAGACATGCTCAAGTCAAGTCTGTATCTGCCAGCATACTATTTATCAGGTCCATCCATGTAGTGTTAATCTCTCGAGGAAGGCGCCAGCGATCACGCGCCCACAAGAGTACGAACAGGTTACTCGCGCTTGCTTCGGCTTGCGGCCCAATTCTCCATTCACCAACACAGACTCTGTGCGTGCATGCATTCGACACAGTGGATCACCTCCAGTCGACGCCGATCATACTGCACGACATCACGCGTTCCATCTTGAAGCAGATGCTTCTGTCCCGTTTGGGCTGTGTGTCTTGTACTCTGTTTGTTTTGAGTGCTCTTTTTTTTGGGGCTATCTTACACAACATAAGGGCATCCGCCAACCTATCAATCGAATCCAGCGCTTGACCATTCATCGGGTATGCACATCTAACAGAAAGCTTGGAGGCCAGTAATTGCACGGCCGAGAATAAGAGCTGCTCAGATTTTAGTACATCGTGGCGAATCAGACTGCCTTGCCTAAACTTACCATGAATGTCACTCTGGCCTTCGTATGTCTGAGTGACAAATAGGTTTGCCACATGTCTTCCGATGTGGTACTCGTCACTGACAGCGTTACCTCCGAAAACTTCCTGCAATCTGGTACGAGTTAGCAGATACTCTCAAAATCCATGCTTAGCTTATGTCACTTACACTCGGGCGTTCACCAAAGCCCTGTCGCAGTTTTGTCTCTTGATCATTGAGATCATTTCTGGGGCAGCTTTGCCTTCGTCCTTCAGGCGGCCAACTTGCAGTGCCGCAAGGATACCGTAGGCTGCGTCTGTGGTTGCGTCCGAAAGCTTCTTCTGCACCAACTGGTACTTGGCGATTGGGTTGCTCTTGAACTGCTTTCTCTCCAAAGCGTACTGTCTCGTTCTTGCAATGCAATCCTCGAGAGCACCCATGGTGCCCCAAGCAATACCATAACGAGCACCGTTGAGACAGCTGAAAGGTCCTCTGAGACCCTCAATGTGTGGGAACATGTTTGCTTCTGGTACTGGGCATTCGTCCAATTGGATCATGCCAGTAAGAGATGCTCTCAGACCGTTCTTGTTCTTCAATGCAGGTGTCTCCAATGTTCCTGGAGGGCATTCGGATCTCTCAACCAGGAAACCGCGAATTTTGCCTGTCTCTTGCAGCTTGGCCCATACGAGCATGACATCTGCAATGGGCGAGTTGGTGATCCAGGTCTTTGCTCCGCTGAGGCTGAAGTAACCCTTCTTGGTAGGGTGAGGCTTGGCGACTGTCTCCATGCTGCCAGGATCACTGCCGTGGTTTGGCTCTGTCAAGCCGAAGCAACCAAGCATTTGACCCTTGGCCAGCTTGGGCAGGAACTTGTCCTTCTGCTCCTGAGAACCGAACTCGTCGATGCCACCCATGACCAATGAGGATTGGACGGACATGCCTGAGCGGTAACCAGAGTCTACTCTCTCGACAGCACGTGTGATGAGTCCCGATGCGACTGAAGAGACACCGGCACATCCGTAGCCTTCGATGGTAGCACCAAGCAGTCCCAGTTCTCCCATCTCTTCAAGAATCTTTCTGTCATAGTCTTCGTTTCTGTATGCATCTGCTTGGATCAGTAATTTGCAGTGGGTGATTGTCGAGCGTAGGACCCACCTAGCACACGAGGAAGCATGCGCTCTTGACAGTAAGATTCGGCAGTCTCTGCAATAGCCAACTCTTCTTCGGTGAACATGTTGCTAGCACCGAGCGGGTCCTTCCAGTCAAATGCTACAGGAGCATGTGCATAGCGACGAGCAGCTGCAGCAGCAGTGGCTCGTGAGCCCAATTGTCTTGCTGTCTGGCGGGCGACTGACTTGAACATGGCGTTGAATGAGGAACAGGAAGAAAGTTGTGGAGGAAAGCAATGAGAAGAAGTAGAGTATTGGCTATATAAGTATTCAGAGCACACACAATATGCAAGAGAATGGCGGCAAAGATGGCGCGTGTTGTTTCGGAAAGTCGGCTACTCCCCGCTGTGTCATCCTGTATGTTGGCTTGACGTGCCGAGGCTGGAAGCCGACGTCCGAGACCGAGTGCTGTTGTATCTCTAACATTTCTCTTCAGATATGCTCAGTAGCTATTCGGCAAGTGACCCGCGAGGAGCCTCCAAGTGGCTTACCCCGAGGTTTGGAGGCTTGATTCCCCAGATGTGTACGAGTATTCAGCGGGATGGATCGGTAAGTTGAGAGCATCCCAATCGGGAAGTAATTGATTTACGTCACCGGGTTGCACTTTCCCAGAACGCGAAGTGCGCGTCAGGCAGCTTCGCGAATATGCACTTTCTGCTTCTGACAGTCTGCCATACAGCATTTGATCCTCAAGCTGTCGTTTGACAACAACTTTTCTGATACCACAACCTCGCATTGACATAGCTAATTTGCTAAGATGGGTATCAAACGTAAGTGACACAATTCGAGCTCTGTCTCTTACGGAGCTAACTTCTGACCCTGATCCAGACCTCTTCCAAGTCATCGACGAGCACTGTCCAGATGCCGTCAAGACTGGAGAAATCAAGAATCAGTTCGGTCGCAAGGTCGCCATCGATGCGTCCATGTCACTCTACTCGTTCCTCATCGCCGTCCGCTCCGAAGGTCAACAACTCATGAACGAATCTGGAGAGACAACATCACATCTCATGGGAATGTTCTATCGCACTCTACGTATGGCCGACAATGGCATCAAGCCCCTCTACGTCTTTGATGGTGCTCCACCTAAGCTCAAGTCGGGGGAGCTCGCCAAACGTTTCCAGCGCAAGACTGAAGCCGAGGAGGCTCACGAAGAGGCCAAAGAGACGGGTACTGCTGAGGACATGGAAAAGTTCAGTCGCCGCACTGTTCGCGTTACGAGAGAACACAATGCCGAAGCTCAGCGATTGCTCAAGCTGATGGGTATTCCCTACATCATTGCTCCAACCGAGGCCGAAGCTCAGTGTGCTGCCCTGGCTCGTGCCGGCAAGGTCTACGCCGCTGCCAGTGAGGATATGGATACACTGACCTTCAACACTCCTGTCCTTCTCCGCAAGCTCACTTTCAGCGAACAACGCAAGGAACCAATTCAAGAAATCCATCTGGACAAGGTCTTGGAGGGTCTGGATATGACCATGGATCAGGTATGGGATATCGATCATTGATGTCCATCTGACAGATTGTGCTGACCCACACCGACAGTTCATCGACATGTGCATTCTGCTCGGCTGCGATTACGTTGACCCCGTCAAGGGTATTGGCCCGAAAGTCGCCTACACCATGATCAAGGAACATAAAAGTCTCGAGGCTGTTGTCGGTATACTGGAGAACAACAAAAAGTACACAATTCCAGACGACTGGCCTTGGGCCGAAGCCAAGCTTCTTTTCAAAGAACCTGATGTCCGCCCCGCCGATGATCCCGAGTGCAATTTCGAGTGGAAAGCACCTGACGTTGATGGTCTTGTCAAGTTCCTTGTTGAGGAGAAGGGCTTCAGTGAAGACAGGGTCAAGAACGGAGCAACCCGTCTCGCTAAAAGTCTGAAGAGTGCGCAGCAAAGCAGACTCGAGGGTTTCTTCAAGCCTATTGCCAAGACCGCCGAAGAACAGGCAAGCTTGAAGCGCAAGAATGAAGCCAAGCTGGAAGAAAAGAAAAAGAAGCAGAAGCAGGCAGCTAAGGAGAAGAAGGAGGCTAAGGCTAAGCCCAGAGGCACTGCCTAAGGGAATTGCCGAACTGTAACACTAAATGCAGGGATGGGAGTTATGATGGCGTTTGCTAATATGGGAATACCCGCCAGGAGGATCAAGTATATGATTTGTTGAACAGGCGTTCACAGGAGCGAATGGCTCGAATGGCAGCAGATATATCACACACGAAGCTTATTTATGGTCTGCATGAATATTAAATGGTTGCATGCTAAACTCTTTTGACCTCTGCTCTCTTGTCATGCCCCTGCTCAAGTACAGTTCTGCAAGAACGACGTTCGGAACAGGCTGTAAAGACAGACATGGTTTACTTCTTGAGCCACGCAGCACAATACCCCTGATGTGACCTTCCCAGAAGGGACTGAAACCGAACGATTCAACGACCACCCCTATCATCTGATCATATACACGTGGTTTCTCGAGGTTCGCCCTTACTGTTCGTAGATTCTACCAAAAGTGCCACTGAATCATCCATCGGGAGAACAGCTGTTTGACCTGCCTTTGCACTCTCAAATCTGACCTCGTGTACACGCCTGGTACGATAAAGCAGCTGCTCCATACAAGGCGAAGCCCTGCTGAGTACCCATACCAAAGGATGATGTGATGCTGAACGATATTGAGATTCAAGAGATGCGACAATAGGTCTGAGTCGAACATTAACGATGACGTGGAAGTTTATTCGATCTCGGTGGATCGAACTATGTTGAGTAAAGCTCTCGATGACCGGTCGAGGCAGCGATTCACCAGTGACTGTGTAACAATTTTCGTCATGGGAGATGGACACTCTGCGGTTCTTCCTTATGTGGCTTGGTGTCTTATTGATGAAGACGTTTTCCTCCTTTGTTGGTACGGTATCAGCAAATCGTAGGTGTGAGTGACCTGGGACAGAGACAATGCTCGAGAATATATGTGGCGACAGATGTCTAGTGGCATAGGCACAGTACATCTTGAAACCATGAAAAGACCATGACACACCGATTCTAGCCAAGACAACACTTTGCATCCTGCAGTCCTGAAATCGCTCCATGGCAGTTTCAGCTCTTTGCGGATAATCATGGATCGAGCGCTAATTTGAAAGGCGCTTTCTAGATCCTGAACTGCTATATCTCTTCATCTCGGGATCGCTGACGACACCGACACCTTATCTGAATTTCGTATCCGCGCTCTCATCTCGAGACCTCGTCCGATATTCCTGCTATCGTTGTTGTGATAGAAGAGTAGACAGCTTTGCTTGGATTTGGAGACAAATGTGTGACCATCCTGATTCATATCGTAGGGGTCCAATTGCGCCACCACTCTATTTGTACAAGATCCCAATCGATGAGTATCGCTTGATGGCAAGTGCATTCCTCAGGTTTCTCACTAAGCCATGCGTCATACTTCTCTTGCACCCACGCTTCTTGCCTAGCATTTAACGCATGTTCGAGATGCGTAGTCCTGATGATCCATTCCCACAAGTTCATACTGAGCTCTTCTGACGGATCCAACCTGTCCCCTCTGTCGTCCAGCTTAACACGATTCCCTAGAATGGTACCGGCCCAATCCTCTCCATCCGGATCTGTAGTCCCTAGTAGCAGTTTTGTTGGCCTATCCAAATTGCACGCTGAGATTCCCAGAAAACTGATAGTGCGGGTTTGGGTAACTCGGCCACCATGTTTATGGCGCGAGCATCAAGTTTGGTCGAGAAGTGCGATTCTGCGCATACCCACAGAAGTAGATATATCTGAGCCACTTTGTCCATGTCGATTGTCAGTTTGTGGTCGACTTGACAATTGTGTGCTCTAGCAGTCCAGAAATCAACAGCCTTGTGAGCGAACAACATAGCGAGCTTGTGGACTCGCGAAAGCATACGTAAGCTCCGTAGGTCAGCTGAAGACGGAATTAACAAGTCTGCCATATAACGTTGATGTGATGCATTCTTATCGAAATGGTAATACGGATCAACTTTCGCAGCTGCGCAGTCGCAGAGATGAGTAGGCAGTGCCGCAATCTCGAATATCGTATCGACTAATGCTTTGGCAGCAGACAGTAAGTTGGTATTCTTGCAAGCCTCGGAGATTATCCCGGAAGTATTGTCCAAGAAGAGCGAACGCATAGCATGGCTAGTTGACGACAGGGCCAATAGATCTGTGACCGTGGTTTGGTATCCGAATATCAGGAGCATCAGCTCATTGGGTAATCTTGGATGTGCGGCCATATCGTTCTGCGGATACTTGTAGATGGGTTGTGTTTGGTGTTTGTCAAAAGAAAGAAGTTATCGCTGGCCATTTATCGAGGTGACTCTAAATTAGGCGCCCAGCAGATCTGAAACACGGGTATACTTGGCGCTGGCTCCTCATGTCACTCGTGCTATGAGTTAGAAGACTGATACTCAGAGTCCAAAGAGTGATGTGTCCAGAGAACTGGGAAAACGAAGTAGTCAAGGAATGATGTCGAAGCGGTCCATGTATGTAAAATCCTTTCTCTATACAACAAAGTTATGTAAGAACCGCTAACTTCTACAGTTTTCATGAACAAACGCTAATCTTGACACATACATCAACGAGAAGATACTGTGAAAAAGATATACATGCAGGGCTTATCGAGATCACAGATACTTCTTGGGGGCATTTGCTCTGCGTCTCTTGTAGATGATGTAGGCGCCGGCGAGCATGACTTGGAAGGCAATGACGACAAAGATGAACATGCCCATCTTGGGAGCTGCGGTCGAGATCACTAGAAGGAATGTTAGCATTTCGAGTTCATAGCAGATTTGCAAGTGGGGAGTAACTTACTGTGAGAGATGGTCTCGGGGAGGTGCTCTGTCAGGCCCCCACGAACACCCTCGATGGACTGCTGCAGATTTGTCAAGTGCTCACGGTAGTCCTTGCCCTCAACATCGCGCTGAATGGCGAGCACAATACGCTCGACGTTCTCAATGCGACGGCTTAGAGGAAGAAGGGCCTCGCCAGTAGGCTGCTGCGACTTGTCACTGGAATCGCCAGCATTGGGACCGCCAACCTTAGCCATCAACTCAGCATGACGATCGTTCAGCTGACGAGACAGGCGCTCAAACTCGGTGAACATGTTTGTGAACTGATGATTCATTGCTTGCAGGCGGTTGTGAAGATCAGCAAATTGGTGTGTCTGGTCCAGAATAGTGCTGGCATCAGCGTCGGGAAGAACTTCAGGAGAACCAGGGAATTTGTCGAGTTTCTCGAGGTGCTGACGTCTCGCCTCAGAGTTGGGCTCCTCACGGGTGATGGAGTTTGTGGTGGATGCGGCAAACTTGTAGACTTCGAAGGAGTCGGGGTTCTCAGAGGCAGCAGCAGAAACACCAAAGAAATAACCAGGAGGAAGGTTGATCTTTTCACTGTGGAAGCAGGAAGTGCCATCGATGTCGACACGCAGGCCGTGAGGACCATTCTCGATACGCAACTTGCTAGGACGGCCCAGGTTGCGGTATGCATAGTCACAGTGGCCGAAAGCCAAACTGTCAACGTTGTGATGGTCCTTGAAGTTGGCCGAGCCGTCGTTCAAGAAACCACGGATAGAACCTCCACGGGAACCATACTGGTCGACAACGAGGGCAAGACCATCAAACTTGCCAACGGTGTATATACTGCTCTGGCCGACAGCGGAACGGCCAGTATCGACAAACCAGAAGTTGATGTTACCACTGCCACGCTCTTGACCCGAAGCACGGAACTCGGTCTCGACGACCCACTCGGGCTGGGTTATAGGGTTATCGGCGAAGATGGCGCCTCGTGTACCGCCAGGTGCGGGAGGAGTGAGAATTATGCGATCGGAGAGTAGTTGAGGAGTGTGGTTCTCTCCGGAGAGATGCCAACCAGGTACGGCGCGACCATTTGGCGAGATGGCGCCCTTGTGGCCGAAGGAGAGACCTTCAATAACGTAAGACGCTTGTGCTGAGGCGCTGAACAGCAGCCAGGCTAGCGAGGTAGGCGATAGTCGAGCGATCATGACGAGGCACGAGACGTCGAGGGACGGAAAGTACGCAGCAGAGAGACGGAAACCAAGCCAATGGTGACAACAAGGACCAGCTTGTTGACCTCTTTGAAGACAGAAACGACGTTGGGGGAGCAGTCGAGGTAGTGGGAAATAGTCAGACCGCCTTTGTGAGTTGCGTCGAGGGCGAAGTTTTCCATGATTGCATCTTGGTCGCTCTGGCCAGTTCGCGCGAACATGAAGCTCCCAATTACCCCAGACTGATCGTCATCGCCCGTTTCATTCGCTGCCGCGCCAAGCCTATACCCGCAGACGAAAAGTTCAGCGTCAAGAAACATGCGGACGACTCTTGAGCATCACCCATCTTGCCACACATATTTTCATTTTTTGTTATAGTTTCATCATGGCTGACGATCTAGAGGTATACAAGAAAATCCTCTCTTTTTTCCCGCTCCAATACTCATCTCCTGCAGGCACGTCTTGAAAGTCACGCTCAGGCCTTCGAGGGTCTTCTTTCTTTGATCCCCGCCAACGAGTACTATTCAAAGGACAACAGCGTGCGTCCACGATTCAGAGTCTATACCCAAACTCTCCTGCTCACACTCCTCTTTGCAGGATCAATGGCAGCGCAAGAAGCAGACAAAAGAACAGAAGCGCCAGGCCAAGCGCGCAAAACTTGACCCTGCAAACCAGAAATCCGCAAAGGACGTTATGGACGAGAACGAGCGCAAAAGAAAGCGAGAGTTGGGAATCGACGACGACGACGACATCGAAGAGTCTTCCGTACAAATCGATTTGCCTGCCGACAAAAAGCAACCCACCAAAAAGCAAAAGGTCGACGAAGAGGATGACGAGAACAGCGATGATGACGCCGACGCTACTTCAAGCAGCAAAAAGGCACAAGCAGAGAAGAGAAAGGAGAAGCGCCGTCTGAAGAAGGAGAAGGCCGATAAGCAAAAGGCAAAGATGGAAGCCAAGAAGGCTGCTCGCAAGCAGGAACCTCAATCCGCTGCTGGTGCTGAAGAGTCTGCCGATGAGGACATGCAAGACGCCGACGACGTATCTGCCGATGAGGCTGCTGACGATGCTATGGACTTCTCTGGTCTGGTTGACAACGACGAAACTTCAACGCCGGCAAGCCCCAGTCAACCAGAAGTATTCGACAACTCCAACAACCAATCTGCCACATCTTCTTCGTCATCAATAGTCCCTGCCTCAAATCCCACAGAGGGAGACGCATCCGCCACCACGAAGCCCAAAAAGGCTCTCGCGCTTAAGCTGCCAGAGGTCAACGCCGAAGAACTACAAGCTCGCCTGAAGGCCCGTATTGAGGCATTACGTGCTCAGCGCAAGGCTGATGGTCCCAGTGGCGGTCCTCGCAACAGACAGGAATTGCTCGAGTCACGTCGCAAGAAGGAAGAAGCTCGCAAGCAGCACAAGAAGGAGTTGCGCATGAAGGCCAAGGAAGAGGAGGAGCGTCTCAACAATGAGCGTCTGCGTGGCAGTGGTAGTCCCCTAGCTACTCCCGACATTTTCTCACCGCGCCCTGTAGATGAGAACAACTTCTCTTTCGGCCGCGTCGCATTCGATGACGAAGAAGCTGATCCCACGCTTGGCTCCATTTCTGCACACAAGAAGAAGAAGGGTCCTTCAGACATCAAGACTGCTCTGGCCGCTGCCGAAAGGAAAGCTCAGCGACTCGCAGGTATGGATGAGGACAAGCGCAAGGAGATTGAAGAGAAGGATATGTGGCTCAACGCAAAGAAGCGCGCACACGGTGAGCGCGTCAAGGACGACCAGTCTCTGCTCAAGAAGACTCTGAAGCGCAAGACAGACCAAAAGACAAAGAGCGCATCACAATGGAACGAGCGCATCGACAATGTCAGAAAGGGCAAGGAGATGAAGGACAAGAAGAGAACCGAGAACCTGGCCAAGAGAGCCGCCGAGAAGGGCGCCAAAAAGGGTGGTAAGAAAGGTGGCAGCGGTGGTGCCAAAAAGAAGGCAAGACCTGGCTTCGAAGGCAAAGGCTTCAAGGCTTGATCTGTTCTGACATTCTGTCTCACTTTCCTTGTTCTATCATTAGCGGTGTCATGGTTTTTTTGCGAAAAAAAGGGGTTTTCTTCTGGTGGTTGGGGGTTTGCCTTCGGTAGGTGACAGAAAGGGTTCTGTCTTACAAAAATTGCTCGATACCTCCGTTTACTTGTTCAAATCTCTTTTTGGTGTCTTCTTCAAACATTGCCTACAAGAGTATGCATGAATTTGTGCTTTGTTTGTACAGTAATACGCTGCTCATACGCTTCTTTCGCTCATGACGTTGCAGAGCAGCATGAGGAAGGAACGAGAACAGCACAATGCAAGTTCGACACACATCAAAGGCACTTCTTCGTAAAAACCAAATCTAACCTCTCCAGAGGTCTTCATATACCGCAAACTGTCTGACCGTAATGCTCACAATCTTTGTGGTTCATCCGACCTATGCTCTCCCACATCTCAGCTTCCAGGCCGCCATCTTCCTATGTCATAAACCTCACCTTATCCCAAAACTCCCAGCAAAAGCCCTCTGCTCCAATCGTTCCCAATGTCTCGCTAGATCCTCATGCCTCCATTCTGGTTTTTCATCTTCTGTTTTTTTCAGCTCCTGAGCACTGACCTTAAGTTTTGCAAAAGTGTTGGCAAAACACTCTTGCTCAAGCTTCGAAAACTGTTTTGCGAGGTGTGAAAATTGCCATGGTGTCCTAGACTCTGTAGTCAACTCTTCTTGATCGTCTTCGTCATCGTCAGTGGAAGATTTATTATCAGCAGTAACGTCTGAAGCCATAAATCTCACACACTGATGATGTGCAAAGACCCTTTGTTCTTGCCATAGCTGTTGTTTTGCAAGTTGGATGCCATACCACTGTGGTGTTGTTTCTGTGGTGTTTTGTGAAAAGTTGTGGTCATCATGTGAAGACTCGAGTTCGTACGGTACAGTATACCTGATGCTGATGTGTGTGCTTGAGGAGGAGTCAATGTTGACGTTTGAGTCGGACATCTTGATGGACGAGGAGGTATACTTGAGGTTTGTGTTTTCCATGTTTTTGTTGAGGTGTTGTTGATGTGACTTGACCTTTGAGTGGTCGAGAAGACGTATGAGTTCTCACTCTTGATGTTACGAACACACTTGAAGTGGATAGAGTGGAGTAGAGGATGGATGAATTTGTTCCTTAGCGGCCTGGTAAGAGAGGTTTTATATAGCTATTTGACACTTAGTAAGAAACTCTCTCGATGTCTCTTAGCGCGTGACATGAGGTTCTTCCCTTCTTGTTCGTTTTCTATTCGCTCTTTACCTTAGGCAGCAGTCACATACTTGGGCATATCAAATCACTCGTCATCGGGAGGAAGTGATACAGAATGCGGTTGATATAAACAACTCAATTTGGCTCTATTCCATCCATCTATTTGGCTAATCACCGTCGCAATGCAATGCACCCTTGGAAGTAGTTCTATGTGTCCAAGCACTCAACTTCTGCATACTGTGAGCCTCGCAAGATCTTGATTCTGGATCTTGTTATTCCATCCTCACCATTCTGAGTCGCTGCATAGGATTCTTTGAAAATGTACGATGTTCCTCCATTTCTTGTTTTCTCTTCCTAGACTCAAAACTCGAGCTTTGTGTATTCATCTCCGAGTCTTCGGTTGCTTCAGGCAACTTGAGACTGACCAGGTAGTTTCTGGCAAGAGCCATCTGCTCAAGATTTAGCTGTCTTTTGACGCGTTCTCTGAACTCTGGACTTGAGGGTTTGGGGGTACACTCAGCTTTGTGAAAGTAGACCTGGTGTATATTGGTTGGCTGGATATGTGACCGCAACCAGGTTATCGCTGAGGTTATGAGTGTTGTCGGTGCTGGCTCATCCGTAGTTGGTCTCTTCAGGATACTGCGGAGAGGTTTTGTTGTAGTCAGAGGCATGGAAGCCGATGTGTTCTGAAATTTCAAAAGTGTCTGAGTCACCTGTGTTGAAGATCCTTCATGACTGTCAAGGCTCTGAGAAGTTCCCTCATCTGCGCACTCAGCTGAGTTTTGGTGGGAAGTTTCTTGCACACGCTCATGCAAGCGAGATACACTCTCGGTCAGAACAGCCATGAGTTGGCGATTCTGCTCCTCAAGGTTGTTGATAGTATCTGTTCTCTTGTGAAGCTCCTCCCTCAGCGCGTCCCTCACGAGGTCGGAATTAGCTGTTTGGGCTTGCAGGGACAATACTTCCTCATGAGTTTTCGACAACGTTTGCGATAGGTAGTAAGAGTGTGTACGTTCATTCTCATACTTCTTACGCATGATTGAGGTCTGACGCTGCTCTTTCAATAGTCGGATTTCAAGCTCTTGAGTATAAGTCAGTCGCTTGTTGATGAGTTTGTCCTTGTCTGCGAGAACCTTTTTGAGAAGCTCGATTTTGTGCACTTCGCCTTGGAAAGCGTCGTAGAGATCGGTAGGATAGCCAAAGTGGACACATTTCGATGTGCCAGCCTTGGTATCGGAGGCCTTTGGCGAGGCATCCTCTGATACGTTCTTTGCATGGTCCAAGGCTTGGACAAAGGTTGTGTTTTGCATCTCTGCGGGTATCTCGACGAAAGTGCTGAAACTGGCCATCTTGAAGTTGTACTTGAGGCTGGGACTTTGTTCTGACACTGAAGTTTTGTTTTGAGAAGAAAAGTGTTTCTGAGAAGAAGGGGAATAGTTGAGAATTGTTTCGTTCATATATAGAGCAGCGAACTACTCATTTGTACCAACTCTGACTCGAAAGAGATGCTGCACTTGTATGAGTGAGTTTGTTGTTGCACATCTGTGTATAGCCGGTATTGTCCTGACACCTCACTTTTTGGCGATGGTTATTCGCAGCTAAGGAACAAGGTAGCTATGATTAGTACAACTGTGACCTAGGCTAGGAGTCGGAATAATAAAACACAGAACGTTAGACAGCTCGTTGTCTTGTGGCAGCCTTTTCATCACGAGTCTACGCGATGTATAGCATGGGCAGAAATTCACTGTAGCGCAAACCATTGATGTAGTAAGTACATGTTTGCCCCGTTGGTACACTTATTCGGACCGTGAATCATTCTGAGATTTGCTTAAATATATGGAATGACAAGAGATCACAACAACATGATGAGGATGTTTTTGGAAAGAGCATTTTGGACTCAAAGTCGTGATACAGCAGGAGCCGACGTCTCCAGCTCTCGAAGCTTCATTAATTCTTTTCCCTTCCCAGCGCAAAATAACTCACGCGGCTCTGTGCATACGCAGCCCCACAAGCCGAGGCAAGCACAGCCCACCCTCGAGTCCGTCAGCAAAAAATTCTCTGCCAACTTCTTGCCCTCAACAAGCAAGGACAAAAAGATTGACGAGATCAAGCAAAACAAGGGCAAAAAAAACGGTCCTGGCAATGGGCGGAATCGAACCGCCGTCGGGTCGGCGTTGCTGGAATTTAACCTCCACAACGACACATGCTACCACTACACCACATCACCTTAGCTTGTAAGGGTTAAATCTGGTTGGCCAGATTCAGGATCTTGGAGAACTGGCTGCTTCGCTGCAATATAACTCAGTGACGCTCATCTACCCTACATCCACAAGATGATCTTCTTTCAAATCACTCAAGCACGCCCTCAGAAATTTTCGAACGAACATTCTTGGCAAATATGCGTAAAAACAAGGGTATAGAATTAAGGACACGACAGAGCCACTTATCTCCCAAGGAGACAGGTGAATTCGATAAGGTATTACGACGCTACCACTTCTGCGAATTGACAATTCGCATCGCGTCCTCTAAAGGGTATCTCTCCTCTCTTGAAAACTCATAAATATCATATGTCCAGCTCTTGTATCTTTCTCCACAGTCAAGCGAGTGACTACACATCATCTCTTAAGCGTTCAGAGTGTGCTGCTTGCTGCCGACCCACTCAGCCTTCTCGATGATTGGTGGGGGCTTGGGAGTGTTCTTCTGGAACAGAACGTGGCGCTTGAAGAAGTATGGCAGCCAGGTGCCGGTTTCGTATCTGAGGAATTCCTTGGTAGGAACGGAGAAGACTTGATCGATTTCCTCCAGAGTGAGCTGCTTGGTCTCGCGAACGAAGCAGAAGATCATGCCCCAGGCAATAAGGTTGAGTCCAGCATAGAAGCCGAAAGCACCGGTGGGTGTCATGACATCCTGCATACGTGGGAACGTCAAACCGAGGATACCAGCTAAGAAAAAGGTCAGTAAGGCAGTCACTCTTAACCAATATCAGTGACTTACCGAAGGTGTTGTTAATGCAAACTGCCCATGCCATGCCCTGCTCACGCTGGATGGTTGGGAAGACCTCGGCTGAGTACTGGAATGCGACAGGGCCTTCGCCGAGAGAATAGCAGATTGTGAAGAGATAGACGAACAAGATAACGGGTCCAACTCTGGCCGCTTGACCGACGCTTTCAGGTTGCAACAGCGACAGACCTGCGGCCAGCAGGAAAATGCACATAAGAGGGAACGTCTTTGTCAAGTCAGTAAGTTGCTCGACCCATATGAAACCAAAAACTTACTATCAAACACAAAGTTCTGCGACCCTTTGTATCAATCAAGAACAAGGTAGGAATTGTGAAGACGACTTGGATGGCACCATAGCCAAGAGATGCGTACAAAGCCTGGTCGTTAGTGTAGCCGGCATTGGTGAAGATTGACGAACTGTAGAACGAGATGACTGCCGAACGTCAGATTCACTCATACGCAAGGCGAATCTTTTTACTTACTGTTGATACCACACATCTGCTGAGCAAGCATAACAGTCGAAGCACCATAGTTTGCTCTGCGAATGCGAGGGACAGTGAAACAATCTCTCAGACGAGTAAAGTAGGTAGAGCCGGCAGCCGCCTGCATCTCCTCTTGATAGATGACATAACTGTAGTAGTAGTCACGTGCGCCTATAATGGGGTGTGCGCGCAACTTGGCCATGGATTGGAAGCCTTTGGCGATTTTACCGTGCTTCATCAACCAACGAGGTGACTCCGGGCAGAAGTAAATACCGACCATGAGGATGAAGGATGGAATGAAGGCAGATCCAAGCTGAAGACGCCATGCAATGCGAGGGACATCCTTTACGATGACATTCGCGCAGAATCCGAGGAAGATACCTACGATCGAATGTCAATAAAGATTTCAGAGAGATTGGGTTGAGTATGTTCTTACCAATGACGACCCAGAGCTGCCAGAACATGACAAGAGCACCACGAATGCGAGCGGGTGCCATCTCAGCTGAGTAAATCGGTACGGTTGCGTTCTTTGCGCCGATTCCAATACCCATGATGAAACGAGCAGCGAAGAGACCTTGCCACGACTGTGCGAAACCGGAACCGATGGGAGTGGCAGTAAGACAAGCAGCAGTAAGGAAGATTTCACCTCTTCGGCCGAGGTACTTGTTAAGAGGATCGACGATGAAAGCACCACTACACGCCGTCAGCCGTGCGATGAGTCTGAAAGGCGGATAAACTCACATGAGACCAGCAGTCAGAAAAATGATAGAGTTGATAAGACCAACAATCCAGGCATCATGTGCATTGTTCTTCTCATCGAGACCAAAGTCTTGAGGGAAAGACAAGTTGGCTCCGTTTGAACCAGTCTGGTCCCAACCCTGTGTGGCGGCACCAATGGCACAAAGACCAATCGAATACCAAAGCATCTTTGGACCGTGCCATTTGTGGTCTCTCTCGTATACGAGTGCTGAACGCTCTTCTGGTGTGAGATCTGGAATCGATTCGAAATTCTCCGGGTCACGCGCGATGAGAGCGGCTCTGCCGAAGAGAGCTGCTTGGTCACCCATCCCATTCGACTCAGCGAATGTGACGGCATCGTGGACGACGGTTTCTTTGTCGTGACGCTGTTTGTGTGATCAGCTCCAATTCATCAAGCCACCAAGATAGTTGAAGAATGCATAGATTGCGTACCCTCAATGGGTTGTCGACAATGTTGAGGGCGACAGAGCCCTGGCGAATAGGTGCTTCATCGTGGATCGTTTGCTCCTTGTGAGAGGGATACTCATCCTTGGTCGAAGCGTAGTTGATATCGCCGAATGTTGTCTTTTCAGTCATCTTGGCTGCTTCTCCTAACGAGTAGGGAAAATGATCTGACAGGCCTGGGGTACTGCTGGGGAAGCGTCTGGAGAAAGAGTGGAGAGGTGGAGTGGTGGGGGAGGATGAACCAATAAATATCAGAAAACTTCCTCGAGCGTTAAGAGGATTCGCCTGACGGCGATGATCCTTTTACCGCTTCTAGAGGTCACTAGCAGGGTATCCACACATCCCACATGTTAAAGGATCACGAGGTCTGGTACGATGTGGATCTGGGCGACCTGCCAATCTGTGGTTGCATCCTGCGTCCAAGGTGGATTCTGCCTTGGCGACCAGGGGCGGCCAAGGGTGACTGTTGACAGGGTTTAAGCACTCTCAGGCACGCCCAGAAGAGCTTTGAAACGACAAGCTCCTCAGGATGAAGCTCGTCACGAACACGATATTGCTTGATTCGAGACAACTTATCCAGCGATAACTCCTACCTCGACTCGTCCGCAGTGATACGCACCTCCCAGGCGCATGTGGAGAACAATGCTCGATACCAAAAAGATACAACGATACGAATCCGCCAGACAACGCACAATAGGCTAGCATTCCGAGCGGCGTGCGGAGAATGTGTGGGATGATGCCGTGGCGCTATCGGGGGCAGAGAATGTGGACGCGGGTAAACGCCAAATTTCAAGCCTCCCTTGTTTGGTTGGTCTCGGGTGCGCTTGCGGCAATACTCGCCGGTATGTCTCGATAATCCTTCAGCGGTTCGGGCAGAATTGGGCAAACCGACGGCGTGATCTCCTCGGACGTTTGCTTGAACTCGTCCCGCGGCCCGTATTCTGAGTCCGTGAACCAGTCTTCGAGCATGAGCATGCAAGGATAGTCGGACAGTTGCTAGTGTTCTTTGGTTCGGCGTCGCCGCCAAAAACTCCTTGATGTGCCGCGTGCGTGGCAATTCCTAGAGCGCCCGAGAGCCCCATGGGTGCCTCCAGTGGGGAAGGCTTGGACATGAGTAGGTAAGGTTCATGGCGCGACTTGCCAACGGCTTAGTGGTGCTGGTGGGTGAAGGCAACGTGCAGAGCTCGAAGGCAACAGTCAATGTCACCTTGGGGTCAAAGCTGAAGAGGAGAAATTGACATGTGAACATGGGGTAGGTCAGCAACGATGGCGACTCGAGCCTACAAAGTACTCATAGACAGCGCTGGTCTTACTCTACTCGAGTACATCGCTGGAAGATCGTGTTTCTCCATGGCTTACATCGAGCCTTGGCTGGCATATCATTTGCGATGTTGGGCGAAATTGATCCTTCATCGGTGTAAAAAGTACCCAAGTCTTGTCAACATCCCAGTTGCATGTTCCAGATTCTTTGTGCCGATCACACAAGTCGACCACTTCCCCTCATCTGTCTGCTCCTGCGAGCGGAAACAATGGGGTCCGAGTCTGGAGCATTCTTATGATCTGCAGGATCAAGTCTTGAAAGAGTCAAGGCATTGTGTCGTGCGTGAGATGTCGTCGATGATTGAGTCAGGGTCATACGCACCACAGAAAATACGAGCAATACGAGCACATCCAGCCTCAACTCGCTGAAGTCAGCAAACGCATTGACCATGGTTCACGAATCGGTCTGAGCCTATGGGAGTGACAATGACAGGCGTTGGACCAAATATGAACAGAGACAAGTGCAAAAATGACCGTACTTGATCTGCATATCAACAGGTCCTCGACTCCGAGACATGATACTAGTATGGAACGACGCATTGCGACGATGGTATATTCCATAAATGCACACATATTGACTATCAGGAACTTGGATTTGAGAAGTTTGCACATGCTTGTTTCATTACTTGGTGTCATGCTAATATATCGTAGCTGATGTTGGCTCTTTCTGGCCTCCGTTCAGGCTTAGTTTACGTGAATTAGCCTATTGGCTGCTTGAACGCCCTGCGAGACTGTCAGTATGGTGAACATTGGTGAGATTATGTAGTAACTTACACTGCTGAAGCTCTGACTCGTCCAGGTATCTGAGCTTGTTGACCTGAGCGGTCTCACCAGTAGCGACACCCTTGGCGAACTCGACGAAGTTGCCGATGGCACCGGTGGCGGATCTAGTGATGGCGTACTGGGCAGTCTTGGCCTTGACCTTGATGAGGATGATTCTGGGGTCCTCAGGGCCACCGTCGTGCTTGCCGTCACCGAGGTCACCCAGCCAGGCCTTGAGGCCAGGAGAGTAGTACTTGCGGACCTTCTCACGGTCGCTCTCGATGGAAGCAATACCGGAGATGGAGGCCCACTCGCCAGAAGGCTGCAGGAAGGCCAAGTTGATGTCGTTGTCGGACTCGAGGTCGTCGGTCTTGCCGGACTCGCTGTTGGCGTGGAAGATGAGGTCGACACCGTTACCCTCCTTGGCAGCAAGAGCCATACAGCGCGAGACGAGAAGTCCGCTGCTGGCAATGCGAGTGGTCATCATGCAGTACTTGGACTTCTCGACGAAGTTGATGAGGTCAGTGACCTTTTCCTTAAGCTCGGGCTGCTCCTTGTTCTTGGCGGTGTAGGGGTCGGCAGGCTTGCTGCCGGTGTCTGCATTGCTGAAAGACATGTTTGCGGTCGTGGTTGAGAAAGGTTGGAAGTGAGATTGAGGTGTTCTGCTAGGACGGACAGAGGTGAGCAGAGGTGCTCTTCGGACAACGCGGGGTAGCTGACGGCGAAGAGGGGCAACCAAGGACATGGTACGCGGATTATTGCTGTGACAGGAGAGGAGGTGAGATGCAATTGAGAAGGTGACTTACCACGAGAAACAGCAGATGAAGAATGAAAAAGAAAGAAGAGAAAGAGCCAGCTGTGAAGGTAGAAAACAATGATGCGATCCTGCCTGCCATTCTCCGCGATGACATCACCTGGATCTCCACATGTCGTGTCGTGCATCGGCATGGCAAGCTGCACCCTCGGCAGTGCTCGATCATCAGGGGTTCATCACATATGTCTTGCTGCGCTTGTCGTCGGCTTTGATAGAGCTTGGTTTTGTTCATTATTGTATTCGTGATATTTTACCTACCGACGAGAGATTGGACCAGGTTGCAAGATCTCTCTCTACTCTAGCTTAGTGGCAACGAGCTTGAGGATCTCTTCGATACCCAACTTGGCATTCTCGGGAGCCTTTGCAATGCTCTGCCACACCTCTCCGTGCTTGGGCTCGCTGAGCACGCACTTATTAATCGTCTCCTCTTGCTTCTCTTCCGTACCATGTTGTCTCAAGAATTTCAGGTACCATGCCCACGAGTCACCGATGTCGGGGTCCAGGACAATTGCCTTCTCGAACCAGGTCACTGCCTTGTCTAATCTGCGCTCGCCCCAGAACACGCGTGCAGCTGTGACATACAAGATAGGATCGCTGTCGTTCTTCTTGATGGCCTCCAGTGTTCGAGGCTTGCGTTGAGTGCGGGCCTCAAGATGCCAGATTCTCTCACTCCACAATAAACCACTAGTAGGGCATTCTTGTAGTGCTTGTGCCATTTTCTGGCTGGCTGCAGCGTTGTTTCCTGCACGTCTCTCAAGTCGTACCGATTCGACCCAGAGTTCAGGGTTCTTTGGTACTGCGAGACGGGCTCGATCAAGAATACTGCGTGCTTTGACGATGATACCTGCCTTTTCGTCTGTACGAGCTGCAAGGAGCCACAGTGGTACGCTCTGTGGACACGCCCTCGTTCCTGTATTGAAGGCCTCACGTGCTTGCGGAAGCATACCTTTACTATCATAGATCTGCCCTTTTTGCATCCAGAGCTTGGCAGCTTTAGGATAGAGTTGTAGACCTTGATTCACGAGGTCGAGAGCAGCCTCTCTATTGCCTTGCTGCCTTTCAAAAGCAACACTTTTGATCCAGACTCTGTCAGTACCTGCCTCTTGACGTGCCGTCTTGAGAAGCTCGCGCGCTTGATCGACTTCTCCATTGTCTGCTTCAAGCTTGACGGCCGCCAGCCAGATATCCTCGTTTCCAGGTTGTTGTTGGAAGGCTTTACCCAAGACTCTACGAGCCTCATCGATATCTCCTGCATTCCACCTCTCTCTGGCGAGCTGCATCCAGAGCACCTCATTGGTAGGTACGGCTTCGACAGCCTTCTCCAGCAAGGAGACAAGCGACTCTTTCGTGCCATGATTGCGTTCCATATCGGCTGCGGCCAGCCAGATGATACTGCTGTTCGGGAAAACACGGATCGCATAGGCATAGATAGAGCGAGCTGTTTGGTAGTGGCCTCTGACCATGGACGATTTCGCGTCGTCCATCCAGATCTTCTTACGGTCATCATCCTCATCCAGTCCCCAACCAAGAGTATGTTCGACGATAGCTTTGCAGGTAAGGTTCGCGCCTTCTTCCTCGCAGTTTTCGGCTACTTCGATCCAGCGTTCACGCTCTAGCATGGCTGACTCCTTTGCCAAAGATTTTACAGCACGATCCATAATCTTTCCAACCATCTGTTCGGCGCCGATCTGTTCTTGAAGTCGTGCGGCAGCCACCCAAATCTCCCAAGAAGTCGGAATGGCCTTTCTTGCTTTGTTCAAAACAACCTGTGCGTTCTCAGGAGTTTCTAATCGAGCAAGCGCTAGCCACAAGTCCACAGATAGCGGAATCAATTCAGTAGCTTTGGCGAGCAGAAGTTTAGCATCACTTGGGTCCTCCTCGAGGTTCACGGCCTCCTTCCAGATTGCGACAGACTGTGGGACATGATCCAGAGCTTGTCTAAGGACTCGCTTTTTGTTTGACGTGATGGTCTCCAGCTTCATTGCTTCCACCCAGAGGCGCACTGAGCGATCGTTGTGCTTGAGGGCTTCCTTGGCGATGATTTTGGCGTTGTGATTTTCATTGAGGCGCATGGATTCTAACCAGACATCTTCCGATTTTGGACAGAACTCTACTGCCTGAGTTAGAAGGTTTCGTGCAGCTACAATCTTTCCAGCAAACTCCTCCAGACGAGCTGCAGCAATCCATCCCGGGCCGTGCTTCTTGTTAGTATTGATGACTGATCTGAGCAGCTCGCGCGCTCTTGCAACATCGGCGACAGGAATTTCGCTAGCTTTGACTTCGGACTTTGTTAGAGAGGTCAGATAGCCTTTTGGATCGATACTCGTGGCAGTTCCAGAAGCGACATCACCTTGCGCAGCTTGATCCAGACGGACTTGCAACACTTTGTCTCTTGCAGCTCCAATGTTGGCGAAATTGGTCATGGCACCTTCCAGGTTGTCTGCGGCAGCACTAGGTTGGGCTCCATCATCATTGACTGTCGTGTCGAATTGTGTCGAGTCTCTTGCACCAGCCAGAACGCTGTCCGGGACTGCGTAGAACCTCTCGCGCAAGTTGGCCTTTGCTCTGCGGTTTTTGCCTGTCAAGTCTCCGACTTCAGGAATATTTTGCCAGTCTTCATCTGTGAGACCTCCAAGCTCTCTCTTCAAATCGGCAAACTGCTGCTGAATTTTGGGGTTGTTGCGCTCGTATTCTTCTCTTTCTTTTCGTTCGCGTTCCTCGCGCCTAGCTCTCCTTCTCTTGTCCATCTTTGCGTCAACCTCGGCGTAAATTTTGTCGGCCTCATCATCCTCGCGATCGTAGTTTCCGCTGGCAAACAGGCCAGTCTCGTTCTCGGGGTCCTGAAAGCGTTCGTCATCGTCATCGTCGTCCTCTTTCTTCCCGGGAACACCGTATGCTGTCGGCGGAGCATTTCCAAGCTGGGCGGCACGTTTGGCAAGTGCCTCTTTGATCTGCTCCTCGCTAGGTCCCTCACGCGCGGGACCTTTGACGTGTGTTAGAGACGTGAATGGACCATTCCTAAAAAGTGAGTACATACCAAGATCTGAGCGGGTTGTGAATCCTGTCGCACCTCTACCCAAGCCGGCCACATAGTTTTCGGGCGCCGGTTGGCTCAGGAAATCTTTGCGACCGGACATGATTGCAGAGTTGTTGGAGGATGATTAAGGTCGCACGGGAAGAAAGAAAGTTGGTGGCAGGCAACTGCGTCGGACTTTATAGACGCTCGGACCACACAGGCAGTTGGAGAGCTCGAGTAGGTGACTCTTTCCAACATCACTCTCCATATTCTCCATTGGTGCTCATTAGTTTGCTGCCTGGACTAATGCGCAATGCGAACACTCTATCCTGGGCTTTACATGCACAAAGTGACAATTGCGGTGATCAAGTCGAGGACACGAGGTGCAGCTCGGGCCGACTATACTAGATTCGTCTCCGAGCGAGGGACCCTAGGCTGCGGCACCAGATTCATGCATCTCCAAAGCAGATGGTCAGACCTGGCCTCGTTCTCTGCATTCGAGCCTTCCAAGGTCAAGTATCTGTCAAATCACTCGACCAGCGTGTGCAGAGCAGGTGGCCAAGAAAAGTGGACGCCCAGCTCAACGGTGGCCAGCTCGAATAGGGTTCCAGGTACATGAGTCGAGGGTCCAGAAGGCAGGCCGACCTCGCGTTGCATTCACCATCTTCGACTCTACCAAAGTCATCTTTGTCGCAGACATCGAGTTCAGATCGTACCTATCGCTGGACATGTCGCTACTTGTTCGATTTTGAAGCACACCAGAATATTTGATCAGCAAATCTGGTAGTCGCCTCTAGCCGTCATGGCACAGCATGATCCGCGCGACTCGCGCGAGATCCCCGGACTGCCCTTTCAAGGTGAGGCATTCATGTTGCCTCCCATTCGTCGCGCCAGAATACCCGAGCGAGAGAAGCGAACCTATAGGGCCTGTCTGCATTGCCGACAGCGAAAAAGTCGCTGCGATTTGTAGGTGCTATCAATTTCCTTCATATCATCAGTCGTGTGGTGGTGGTGTTATTCTATCATGACGAACGTCAAGATTCAAGCCACCAAGCTACCTCGTCCATGATCCTCGTCAGCATGAAGCCTGGTCAGTGATTCTGACTCGAATTTTAGATATGGTAGTGGCGAACCAGGAAAGCCACCTTGTGAGCGATGCATTCGAGAAAACCATGAATGCATTCTCGGCCCATCCCACCGTGGAGGCAGAAGAATCAAACGCAGCGCTACAGAGTCGGAGCAACCGGAAAACAGTGTTTCTCGCAATGCTTCTTCAAGCGAAGACCCTGGGCAACCTGTTGCTTCCCATGTGCAACAGGACAGTACTCGTGAAGAAAGGGACGAGAACTATCACAGACAGTTGCCGTCTTGGCCGCAATATACGCCAGGCCCGAGAAGCACACCGGCATCAGTCCCAGAGGCACCAACCTCTCACCCTAGCACAAAAATGACTGTCGATGAAAGCATCGTTTCCACTAATCTGCAAAATCCATCCGACGCTCTTGAGTTTCTAGCCAACGTAGCCGGTCGCAACGAAGGAGCCGCACAAACACCTTCCGCGCATGGTTCCACGTATGCGAGGTCTCCACATCAAAGTGGTGCAGAACAACACGTCCAGGATAGAACGCCATCATCTAATCATCCCTCACCTTCTGTCATGCAAATACAATTTCCGCCCCACCAAAAAGGCCATGTGTCTTTAGCTATGATGCATAAACTCATAGAACGGTACGATATTATTCGCGATATCTTCTCAAGCATTTTGGGCTTACGAAATTTGCTAGGTACAAAATGAAGTATCACCAGTTCTTCTCAGTAGTACCACCTTTGCTATTCGAGACTGAAAACCTTGCAGCCATTGCAGTGCATGAGCCATATCTTCTCGCAGCTGTATGCACCATTGCCTCAAAGGACGAACCAGCGTGGTGGGACACTCATGAAGCTTGTTCTACTCACATGCAGCAGCTCATTGCAGAACTCATGTATGGCGGCATCGCCACACTGGGCGCCGTAGAGGCGCTTTTGGTTCTGGCTGAGTGGGTCCCGCGGCCTCCGCAATCAATGACTGCAGTCGGACGAGGAGAAGAAGAGCAGACCGCATGGATGCTTTCAGGAATGGCCATTCGAATGGGCTATCTTCTAGGTATTGATCGCACAGGCTTTGTGAACGAGTCGGATCCTGGCGCACCCGACTATGTTCGAAGACGTCTTGCTTGGGTTGGATGTTATATGAGCGATCGCCATATCTCTGTCCGCGTTGGTAAAGCCTTCTGGAGCAGAGGTCCTGCTATGATCAAATACTCTTCTCGAGACTTCCAGGACGTCAAGTATCCTGGTAACCCCACGGACAACTTTGCAGCTCTTTGCGAGGCACATTTGGAGCTTACCCAGCTCTTCAGCAACGCTCACGATGTATTGTACTCTTCAAAGAACAGAAGTGCGCAACTGAATTTCGGTGGAGAATATGTCAAGTACATTGTAAGCATGTAAAGGACAAGTTTCCATTCACAAGATTAATCATGCAACAGGATGACTTTCGCGAAGCCATGAGCGCTTGGTACGATCGATGGGGCAAGTTGTCGTGTAAGTGATCTTCACTCTGATGAGCAAAACAACGACTGACCAATGCATCAGGTACCTCGTCCATCAAAGCAGCACTGATCATATCATTCGAGTATCTCCGGCTCTATGTCAACGCTTTTGCATACCAAGCGACTCTGACTCGTATGGCGCAAGAGTATAGTGATGAACAATCTTCACGAGGGCCTCAACGCGCTGATGGGCGACTGGCATTCACGGATTTCATTGCTGCGACACCAGATGCACGATTTATCTACGATTCAATTGACTCTGCCAAAAAGTTACTGACCATTTCCAACACACTATTGGATCCTGCGACAGAGTTCAGATATATGCCGTTGCGGTATTATCTTTATGTCATCTACTCGGCTGTATTTTTGTACAAAGCAAGGTCGACTGGAGTTCTAGGCGCAGACGGCGGAGACGTCAAGAGAACTGTGGGAGAAGCCGTTGAACGATTACAGAAGGCAAGCTCCTGCCAGAATGATGTTGGGGATCGATATAGCAGGATGTTGCGACTACTCTGGAGGAAACCTCCTCCACAACCGACGACTTCGCTGTCGAGTGGTGAGGAGCCGGTATATCAAACAACATCACAGAATCCACAGGTTGCTGTCCAGCCCGAGCAACAGACGCAGATGAACATTGACCAGACACCGCAAGGAGCCTACACCAATGCTTTTACTTTCTCCTGGCTAGACCTACACGCGGTCGGCGATTTTGCGACGAACAACAACGGCAACATGATGGACAGCTACGAGAGTTTGGATGACGTCCCTGGAGAAGCAGCATACGGTCACTTTGATCCAAACTTCGTCCAAGGGCAGCAGCAACAGATGGGCTGGAATGGATTCTCAGCTCCTGGAATCATATTCTAGAGCAGTTATCCGATGCGAACTTTTTTGCCCAAAAGGTACACTGTTTCATATTCTATAAATATATTAATTCGTCTTCTGGCCGTTCTGAGCCTCTTCAGCTCTCTTCTGCAGCATCCGTCTAAGCAGACCAATTTGAAGTGGGAAAGGCTGCCCGAGCCAAGTAGCACGTTGTGTGTGATCTCGAATGTCATCACCAGTGTTTGGATGCAACAATGCAGACAAGGGGCCCCGATTGATCACCAGCCATGGGATGAAAGCGCCAAATTGAGCTGGCGTAAACAGGTTGACTTCGAACATGGCAATGGGATGCGGACCGACTGGCTTGTCCCAAACTCTGTACATGCGCAACTCGGGGACTGTGGAGGAAAGATTAGTCCAAAAGCCCCTACTCCAAGGGGTGAAGAGCCTGCTTACATTCTCTTCGGATGCGCTCCCAAAGCTCGGTTGCAAATTTGACATCGGAATCGACGTTTTGCTGGAAGTATATATGCACATCGAAACCACCTCGCTCGTCATTTGTGATGGGTGAAACGAAAGAATCGTATGCCGGGCTGGGTCTGGCTGCTGGTGGATTCACATAGGACTTGCCATCTGCGTTTTTCTCGCTATGCCACTGTTAGATGTCTGTGCTCAAGACCACATCCACAGAGAGGAGTATGCTACAAAGCATAGAATGGGGCATACTCTGGGAGAGGCGGGAGGTTCTCAAATCCTTCCAGTGGAGACGGATATGTGTAGATCGATGGATCAGCCATGGTAGTAGGATGATGTAAGGTTTCCTGGAAGAAGTTGAAAGGTTGAACGATGCGTTAGGTAGTGGGATCCAAAAGGTACAGAGTAACAAAAAAACAGTATACAGCCGAGACAAATGTAGTTCGGTGCCTATATATGTATATACGAATAGACATGCCGTTTAAAATGGCCGATACGGCGGCTTACCAAAGCCCTCGGAATTGAAGCGCACCTGGGCATTCGTGCTTTGCAAGCTTCGGGGCTGAAATTGCGCGATGGCGCCAGAGGTTCGGAGATGGTTTGAAATCACCAAAGATGACAGGAGCGACACGTCCAGTCACTAAGCACGATAGCTCGGCATCGGGTCTTCAGCGGGATGCAGTTGCAATTTGTTGTTGATGGATAAGTAGAAGGAGCGGGTGCGGAAATTGATGCACGTCATCAAACTTGGCCATTCGCGAAGCAGGCGCGTCCGAGGCGCGACTCCCCAAGGTTTCTTTGAGCCTCCTTTGTTGCAAGTCAATACAACATATGTATGTCCAACAATGTCGGAAGAGCGGATGCAAACTCTGCGTGTAGAGTTGAAGACATGGGAGAAACAGTTCTCTGTCCAACACGATGGGAAAAGACCGAGTCGTGATGACATCAAGAACAATGTCGAGATTGGTATGCAAGCACGAGACCTCGTGTCCAAGAGGTTGTACTGATTGTCGATGACAGCTGCAAAGTATAGAGAGTATGATAGGCTACGGCGGCCCTCGGCCAAGCAGACCGAGTCGACGAAACCTGAAAAACCACTCCATGCAACGCCCAGGAAAGCTCGTCCAGTAGCCGCAACACCACAGAAGCCCAACTCGCAATTCCTTGTCCCAAGCATCCCATTACAAGAGGAGGAAGTAGAACTCGAGCCCACGCCCGCCGCTGTACGAATGCACCTCGGCCCCACGCCACAAAAAGACGGCCATATTCTGAGTCTTTTTGACGACCTGTCGTCAACTGCTTCCAAAGCATCCCGTACCGTTCTCGCATCCATAGAAGCGAATGCAAATTTTACTCCGAGTAAACCGGCACAACCTCTTTTCGGCAACAACGAATCGCCACCGGAGAATGTACATGACCGCACTCCTGCCTCAAGCAGCAAACGCTTCCTACTCGACTCGTTCGTCTCGACCACACCTCTAAAGAGAAAGCGTGAGGATGATGAACCTACCCATGCTACACCATCGAGTGCCAAGGGTCTCTCGACACCCGCCTTCTTGCGTAGGACATCCAACATGCTCATCATGGACTCCTTGGCCGAAGAAGCCGAAAACGATGACGAGATCAAGAGTATGAATATCGGCAGAATGCGACAACCGCCCTTCAAGAAGCGTGGTCTGGTTAGAAGTCTCAGCAGCATGATCCAAGGCATGAGGAAACAGGAGGATCACAGGCTTGATGAAGAAATGGAGATGATGCGTGAGATGGAGAATGGCGATGATGATCAAGAACATCCTAAGCCTGTTGTCCAAGTTGAAGACAGTCAGGTCGTTATGCCATTAGGCCCTGATCAAGCTATCGAGAGCGAAGAGTCTGAAGAGGAAGAGAAGGATGCTGGTGTCTTTAGGAAGCCGTGGAAGAAGAAGGGCTTGAAGCGTCAGACAAAGCGTGTCATCAGTAAGTTCAATCTACAACGCGATACCCTGAACCATACTAACAATTCTCAGTGCGACCTGCACCGAAGCCTAAGGCTCCAGCTCAAGGAGAGCATCCGGATCCGCCTTCTGACAACGAAGGCAACGTCGCCGAAACACAGCTTCCCGATGCCGTGAACGATGTCGACTCGGATGCAGATTCGGATGCAGCATATAGTGACACGGAAGCTAAGCGCAAGCGACAACTGACAAAGACTACAACTACGGACAAAGACGATGCCTCGAAAAGCTCCAAGAGCGATGGGATCGTCAAGAAGGCAGCTAAGAAGATCAGCGCTACTGCACACGCAAACTTCAGAAAGCTCAACATCAAGAACAAGAACTCGAAAGCCAAAGGCAGAGGCAGATTCGGAAAGAGGTGATGGGACGTGCAGGTTTTGTTGGAATTATGCATTGCTGGAGTTTCTGACTACGGCGCATTGGTTGGTAAATATACCCAGGACTGGTTTATGAAGCGATAGGATCCATGGCATGGAACAAGGTGGGCGTTCAAAGAGGGAATTTGCTTTGATGGTGATGATTACTGTAAGTAGGAAACATGAGCAAGTAAAACACAATAACGAGCAAAGAAATATGGACAGAAGTACTGCCAGTTCACCACTCAACCCACTCCTGTTTTCTTTTTTTCCTGTTCTTTTTTCTTCTTCCTCATGCTTTCCCATTGTTCTCAGGTCGGTCAGACACCCTAGCCGCCATGACCCCGACTCGATGTCGCGAAGGCACCGGATATCCCCTCACAGCTTGGTCTTTGCACCTTCCCGGCCAAGAAACATCCCTTTAACCTTCTCGATCTGAGCCTTGACAAAACAATACTGATGCTCAACAGGCTGAGGCTCACCGACACCGCCAAAACCAAGACGCTCGACAACATACTCTTTGCCCTTGCTGTCCATGCTGCTGCTGCTATCGCTTCTGTCAAACTCCTTGACAGTGTGCTCGTCGTCTGATTCGCATGGTTCGATACTCTTGCCGTCGTTAGAGGCGTCGCTTTTGTTGCTCCTAGACTTTCTGGCCTTCTTCTTGATGGAGGTAGCCTTGAAGTAGTCGAAGATGCTTCCTTCCTTGATACTGGTGATACTGGAAGCAACACTGTCGTTGTCGTCCGGAGCTTTTTTTGCGGCGTTCTTGTTCTTGCGCTTGAAGATGCTGGGGCTGCGGAACTTGACCGGACTTCCCATGACCGAGTCGACCTTTGCTGGACTAGAGTTGGCAGTCTCGAAACTGAAGGTACTGGTTTGAGGAGAACTGAAGACGATGGGAGTGTGAGATGCAGGGCCAGGACTGGCGACTGAGAGGCGTGAAGAAGAGCCAAAGGGAAGCGAGAAGATTGAGGAGACTGAACGAGTGGGCGAAGTGACGCTGGAAGCAATGCTTGAAGAGAAGATTGATGAAGTTGGACGAGGAGTCTTTCCAGGGTCGACAACGATGATTGTTGAGGTGGGAGAAGCCAGAGAGAGTTCGTCGGGTATAGAGGGTGGGCTGTCGGTCTGGGAGTGCAGAATGTCGGCCAGGTTGTTGAGAAGAATTAGCCGCTCCTGCTGGAAGGCACTCTCTGAGCGCCAGACTTTAGGACGCAGTTCTGGATCGTTCTCTAGTTGTTCGTCGGTGAAGTGCATGTTTGCGTTGTTTGGAGTACTGTTGGTGTTGCGAGTTCTATAATAAGATGATGAATCTGGTATGAAATGAAAGAGGTTGCCTGGGCGATGGAGATGGATGGAGTTGAAATAGGGAGTTCAGCGTAGAGAAGCAAAGTTTCATGCTCGCTGCTCGAGTGCGAGAGTGGTAAAATAAGTGAATTGAATTCTCATGTCATGTAAGTGATGCCATCGACAATGTGAAGGTGAGTGCAAGAGAATGAAGCTTCACTCAGCAAATTCGAAACAAGAGATATCCGCCATGCATGACCGCCAGACCAAGGCCGTGAGATTTCGAGGCTTGCTCAATCATCTTCGTCTTCGCTGTCCTCGACCATTTCGAGCTCCCTCTCACGCTCCTGCAGTTCTTTGTCGGTTTCAATACCAGTCTCTGCGCGCTTTGCTTTGAGAGCAGCGATCTCTTCTTCGATCTTCCTCTCAGCATTGGCACGTTTAGCCTTGAGGGCAAGAATCTCCTCCTGAATTTGCTTGGAGCCCTTCATCTGGGCGATTCTCTTTGCGAGTTTCTTGATCTGGGTGTGTTGTTCGTTGATCTTCTTGCGGTTTTGCTCGTCAAGCGCCATCCACTTATTGATTACGACTTTCTGTGCTTCTTCCACCTTCTTCATGGTTGCGATGGTACTGGCGTGTTCTTGGTTGCTGCGTCTGAGGGTATCAATCTCGCGTTGCTGTACTTTCCATTAGCATCGCAGGTCGAAGATCAGACTGTACCGAGCTGCGAAGCAGTGTACTCACCAGAAAGATTTCACGAGTAGTCGGCATGCTTCAGTAGGTTGTGAGTCAGGTTCTGGCGTTCGTGAACGTTCAAAGATTGGTGTCGTTGGTAGATGTGCTTGGAGGTGTGTGATGTATCTTGTTTGAGAAGTTAGAATGTGCGAAAGTTGAGCCTTGTTGGTTGGTGACCGCATTACACTCAAGAGCGAAGGGCATGCCTTCCTCAGATCTAACAACTCTGGGAAGAAGGACAGGAGAAAGGGAAGGAGCGACCAGAATAGAATTGAGCCCGGACACCACGCACAGCAACACTGAGAACCCCATCACTTGAACACGTCTCTTGATTAATTACTAGCAAAGCTTTTCTCACTACCCGAGAATCTCCTGTCACTTCATCTGCTGCATACAGTGCCTAACACAGCAAAGGCCAATCAATGTGTGTTAATTATAGGCACGATGTTGTACCCCATTCCATCTGCTCTTCGCTCAGTGCGGAGTCGAAAGGTGCTCTCTCCGCGAGAGTGACGAGGATTGAAGACACCAATGAAAACGTGATCATCCTCGCTGCCATGAACCTCGTCTGAGCCATCCTTATCGCTGTCCTCAAGCTCATCCAAATCACCGTCATCGCTGTGCTCAGCCTCATCCTCACCCTCGTCTTCACGTTCATCCTTATCCTCATCCAAATATTCCGGACCGGTTATGCGTTTGTCGGCCATACGGGTGATGGAAGCAGCCAGGCTAGCAGACAGAGAAGGGGACAGTGACATTGAACCGGAACCTTCGGGGCGGTGTGGGTTGGCCTGGGTGTTCCAGATACGCTGGCGACGGAAGAGACCAGGGAAGTTGTGTTTGTCGTTGTCAGAGATCTTGATTTCTCTCTAAAAGACTAAATCAGCGGATGTGTTGGTGATAACAAGTGAAGCAGGAAAGACCCACCGAAACAATGCGGGCAACTCGATCCCTGTCCTGACGGACATACTCGTCGTCAAACCCATGGGCGGCGCCTTGCAACAAGATGTCGTCCAGAGCAAGCATGACTTCAGTGTATGCACCGGGACGTTTCTGGCGACCTGATTCCCAAAGCAAGAAGAAGCAGTTGTAATGACACACGGCCGACCGGATCTCGTCTGGGAAGGCGAAATAGCCTGTGTTCAGAATCATGTTGCAGAAGGAAATGAAGAACTTGCAAGTGTTGTGCATCTTCATGTCCAGAGCCATTTTTGCCTGAGTGAGTGTGCAGTCAAGACTGAGGATTTGTACGTTATATTGCCAGCAGGAAGTGTCTTGGTCGTGTTGTCCGTTCTCCATGGACCAGTACGCCAAGGGCACACCCTCTGCGTTGAAGCCGGGGGAGTCAGCTTTGAAGACGAAGGCTGTCGAGGGTGATTCGTTGTTGTCAGGAAAGAGCCATCCAAGGCTGCCGATGTACTGGTAGGCGTTGCTCAGTTCAAGTTGCCTCGGTGTTTGATGGTTGGGTATTTCATCCAAGTACTGCTTCTCGGCCTTGATGAGGTGGTAAAGATCCCAGCCGACGGCATCGAGCGAGAGCAGGCGAGGGGTCATGGCTCTGACCGTAGTGGACACAAGATCATGTTCAGCACCAAGTATCTTGACGTTCTGTCCATTGTTGACAAGCTTGGAGATTGGATCCAACAGTCTGATCTGACGCTCGCGGAGCTGGGCCTGAGTAAGGTCCTGACGGAACGGCTTATTGATCTTCCAAACAAAGTCGATATGCGTCTGGGCTGGACTGGCGGACCACTCGACAGGACTGTCACCAGGCGCTGAGTGGACGTAGATGGGAAGTGTTGGCCAGATGTGGTAGGCCAGTTTGAGATGTCTGACGAAGACGTCCAGATCCTCGGCCATCAAAAGAGCACGGGTGACCTTCTCCGGCACTGGCTGGTGCCTGACAGAACAGTCCGAGCCAGGGGTACATCCACAATTGGTACTCTGGTGCTTGATCGTGGCTTCCACGGCGGGACACTTGAAGGTTTTGGCCGCATTTCCGACAGCGACGTAAGGGAGGAATCTGCCTTGATCGATCTCAAAGGCAAACCATTTGACGTGGATGAGGATGAACTCGTTGTGGCTTCGAACATACATGGAGGCGTCTTGGTTGAGTCTCTTGTTGACAAGCATGAGGGAAGCGTTGAACTTGTACCTGTGACCAGGTTGTTTGCCCTTGGTGGAATATTTGACGTTCTTACCCAAGAGGAAATAGGAGAAGATCTTATTCTTGACCTGAATAGGCAGTGTGTCCAGGGTTCGGCCACTACCGGCGCTTGAAGTTGTTGAGAGCATTGCGTTTTGATTTTTCGTATCACAGTGAGCTGGAAGAAAAGTAAAGGTGGAAAGAAGGAAGTTAAGTGCACCTGGTGGGATGAAATGGTAGGTGCGGTGCAAACAAGAGAAGTTCGGGAAGCTGCAGGTAGTGGTTGTCTGTTTCAAGCTCGGCGCGTGTGAAAGTGATCAATCACGAAATGAAGTGCAAACAAGCCGTGCCTTCTTCGATGACCAGACCGAAACACAAGCACAGAGGCCAAGATCAAACCATAAGCAAAGAGGAGAACAGTAAATAAGGCTCACAGAGCGCGAATCAATCAGTGGTCACTCACATGTTTACCTTGACCTCAGATATGTCTTGAATTCTAGCCTAATTAGTCATCGATGTACATTTGTATGTATTGGCCCGAACGAGATAGTGGGCACTGTGCGCGGCCGAGAAGTAGAGTCTCCTTTGGCTGGAACCTTCTGTGCAATTTTCATCTCGAACACATAGGAGTTCATATACAGGTTAAGATTGTAATTTCGTTAGTTCAAGACAGGTACGAGAAAAGAAATGCGTTGTTAGGAAAGCTAGCGTGAAGAACAGGCAAGTTTGTATGATCTCTGGATCTTCTTCTCCATTTTGTGTGGACTACCGCAGAGAAAGAGCAACGACTACCGCGGTACTCGAAAGGCAAATCTGGTTGTGTTTCGCCTCTGCGTCCTTCGCGTGTCAGTCTCCGAGCTCATGGTAGGTTTTCGTCAACGCTGGCTTACCCCTGAATTTCACCATCTGGTGTCGAGCAACGATCTCTCTCTTCATACCATCTTCAGCCATCGTCATAAGAAAACTTTTGATGTCCTTGCAATTCAATCAAAGAACTCTCAAGACATCATGCAGACGTCCAGCATTCATCTTGCGTTCCACCTCAGTCGCGTCCCACAGCTTGATTCTGAGCTCCTTGATCTCGGCTTGAAGGCGCTCATTCTCGGCCTTGAGCTGGAGGGTTTCTTCGATGATCTTGTCGACCGCATTGGCGCTCTCGGCTGCTTCGACCTTGGTCTCAGTGAGGGCGATGTTCTTTTCGTTGAGCAGGTTGACTAGATCGTTGTGTGTTTCAGCAGCGGCTTCCATGGTGATGGTGATCAAACGTGATCTTCGTCTCGATCTTTTGGTGCAATGATGTTTTGGTGCAACGGTTGATTATGAGTGTGGGTGTTGAGAGGAAAACTATGAGTTTGAGTGATGTGAAAGTGTCGTATTTGTGCTTGCTGTGGCAGCACGAAAAGAGCTGTCTGGAAACCACTGGATGTTAGTGTTGTTCACACCGAACAAAAAGGTCAAGACTTGAGACAAACGTACAACAAGGTTCTTTGTGCAAACAACCCTCGATCCTCTGACTCCAGAGCTTTCTGTAAGCCTCTACTACTTCTCTCTTGAGTCCGTAGTCCCTGACGCGAAGATTCTCGTTGTTAGCAAGCAGATTCTTATTCTCAGCGAGTAAGATATCGTTCTCTCCTGCGCCTTCCTTGAACCTCTGAGATGCAGATTGGCACGCAAAGAACCCATTGCATTTATAAGGACTAGAGCAAAATAATCGCTTGGTACCCAGGGGCCAATGGAGTTGAAAAGACAAGAAGATCTATGTGCGTGTGTCGTTTGTTCCCCTGCCGTAGTGAGGGCAGAAGATTCGAACATGTGACTGGCTGGAACACGAGATGGTCGAGTCGGAAGCAAATGAGTACGAGAAAGAGAAATAACAGTAACAACAACCATGGCAAAATAGCAAAAAATCAGAGCTGAGCTCGTATGGGAAAACCAGCCTCTCGTCGCTTGATCTTAGCCACCAAATGTCGGACACTGGCTGTATGCATGATTTAAGGCGTACAAGGTGAGAGTTGAGATATCGGTTTTATTACCAATCAGGAGTGTAAGCCGTTACACCACTCAACCGATTACAGGAACAAAATCAATTTGAGTCGAATATATGGTCTTGTTGTAGGTGGCCGGGGTTCGAATCAGGGGGAAGGAAGAATCCTTTTAGCACCTTCTGTTTTACGTATGAATTTCGGTTATTCGTGTACTCTGAGTATTTGGTTCCTTCTCTTCTGCGACAGTCTGTTTGCCGGATGTGACTATCTACGGAAACTGCATCTCTTATGCGAGCACTCCCAGAACTTCCGCAACAAGACGCCGGGAGATCATTTCGTCACCACACCATCCAAAAGAACTATTTCAACACTTTGAAGAATCCTGTGGGGGAGGCAGTCCTGAAGACTTGTCAGCAGTCGATCTTGACATGCGGGTGATAAACAGACTTACCCCTGAATCACTTGCTGTCTTCCTTGGTGTGCACCTTGAAGACATCATCAGAATCTGACTCGTTCTCGTTCTGGCCATCTTCCTGAGCATTAATCTGCTTCAAAAGCTTGATTTTCTCGTTCAGTTCATGCATGATGTTCATCTCCCTCATACGCTTCTCAAGCTCCTCATCAATAGCCTCAACCTCCTTTCGCAAGATCTCCAACTTCTTGTCTATCTTCTTTTTCTCAGTGCAGTGCTCGAGCTGCTCTCTGAGGTGCTGGTTCTCGTTCTCAAGGGTCTGATTGTAAGCCTCGAGATTCTTGATGGTGACGGCGGCGTTCATGATGGCTTGGTCGGTAGCGGCCTTATTCTTGAGCATGTCGTTGGTGACTTTGAGGTTGTGGTTTTCGACCTTGAGAGCTTCATTCTTCTTGACGAGGATTTTGTTGTTGAGGGTGAGCTCTCTGATCATGTCGGCGGGAGTGACCATGATGGGCGGTTCTCGATGTAGATATGTCTTTAGTGTTTGTTCGTGTGAGCGCAAGGTAGTATGTGAGATGGAAGATGTGTAACAACTTTTTGATTTGATGTTGGAGTGCTGTTTTGACGCATAGCTGAGCGAGCTCTTAGTGAGTCTCAGAGGCCCAGTGAAACATTGGTGACAAGTGAACACCAAAGGAAGCTACATCAACCAGACCACGTTCATCCACTTTCACCTTGCCTTCTTCTCCTATCTGCGATTCTCTTGCACTGTTGTCTCGCCATGCTCTGCCGTCTGTATAAATTTCGGGTCATCCACGACTCTAATGATGTGTTTTGTGTTTTCCTGTTGTGCTGTCAGATGATCAGTCGTTCTTCTGGTTGTATGATGGTGCAGTGTGATCCTCTTGGGACGAGCTTACGGAAGTCGTCATTGCCTTAAACTTCAGAGAATGCTTCCAGCACCGAGCCGAGCTTCTTCTTGAGGTCCGAAACAGCCTTCTTGGAAGTGGCCTCATTTTTCTTCAGATTCTCCAGCTGAGTCTTGAGTTGTTTGTTCTCGTCCTCCAGAGCCTTGACTGATCGCACTTGCTTCTTGGTTTCCCTTTCCAGAAGCTCATTCTCGGTTCGGACTTTTCTGATGGTGTCCAAAGCTGATGCCAATCTGGTGTTCGTCTCCTGGCACCTGGCGAGAGATGATGCAAGACGGTGTTTGAGGTGCTTGACCTCGTCCTCCGAAGCGTCGAACTCTCTCTTGCGCTTGCGCATGAGGATGGCGCTGATCTGGTTTTGCAATTCTAGGATCTCTTTTGCGTCATCTTCATCGTGGTTGCTTGGGGAGGCGTTGGGTGGCATGATGATGATCGTTGACGATGATCGGGTTAAAGAAAGAAGAAAGGATCTCGAGGTCCAGCTTTGTGAGAAGATAGAGTGTTTTGTTGTTGTGAGTGAGAGTAGACCGAAAGATAAAAGCGAAATTTGGTGAAGATTGTGGTTGCATGTGGAAGTCAGCAGAGCCTGGCCTTCACTAAACAGCAACGACAACACTCAGTCCGAGAGAATGTTGGCTCAGTGTGCTGGCTAATGTCTCATATCATGACAGCTTCGTGCATCTTATCCCCGAAACATTGCGTTCGGCAGCTCAAACGTATACTAGCTCATGCTTTGATCACATACAACTTCTGAACCTCCATTATTCTAAAATTCATTATATCCTTGCTCTCCCACACATGTGATGTCATGCCGCTGACATATGTTTCACAGTCTTCAACTCTTGCTTGATCATGGTCCGCCTCTGCCAGACATGAATCAACGACGACCCCCCCTGTGCAGAGCCCTTAACATGTCATTCTCCTGCACCAACTCCCCATTCTTCCTCGCAACCCTCCTGTGCGATGCGATAAGACTGTTATGAGCCCTGTTTAGGTCCTCATACCGATTCTGCAACGCAGCCAATTCATCAAGCTTAGCTCTGAGCTGATGGTTCGTGTCAAGCAGATGTCTATTCAGCATCTCGAGTCTGCCTTCAAGGAATGGCACCTCACGCCCATGTCTTCTGGCTCGCTCTTGTTCTTCTGCGGAAACGATGGTGCGGAAGGTGTTTTGAGACTCCCAGCGTGGGTTGGAATAGTTTCTGTTGCCCGACATGGTGATGGTTCTGGTGTTTGAGTGGATGGTGGTTATTTGTTTTGTAGATTGGTTCTGGGTCGTCCTGAGGTAGGTGTGGGTTTTATGGGTACGCATTGTGATACTGTGAACAAGATCTTGCTTTTGCGGATGGCTGGAAGAGTTATTGATAAGACTTGATGTAGCGGTAGGTCTGTAATTCCGGATGTAGGCCGATGGGAGTGTGTTGCTTTTGATAAAGGTTTGGATAGAATGAGCATGATGGTGATGCCTGAAGACAACGCATCGAAAATTTTCAGCAAACAAGTCTTACAGCAGGGGAGATAGCATCAGCAAACCTTGTATTTATTACCACTGGACCAACGCTCGATCAATGGTTACATTACCGGGTGCTTCCGTATCTCCCGTCCAGTCATGAAAGACTCCGTTTGCGCACACCGAGCTTAGATCATCGTACTTGCTTTCTCCCCGTGTGGTAATACTGTCACAGTGCTGCTGTCGAAATGACAAGGGAAAACATAGTTGCCACAGAGAGAGGGGCTCACTCGAGACTATCTCCGTGGTCAGACCCACGTTCAGAAATCAATTGTGCATTTCGACAGCTCCTGACAACACCCATACCTGAGGAGGGGACAGCTGCCAGACATAGCAACACTCCAACTAAACATTACTATTGTCGAAACTACATAGTGAAGTAAGTACAATGTGCAAACTGATCAAGGTAAGGACAGTACGTCAGAAAAAGCCCACCAGAACGACAAACTAAAGAGAACTCCTGCCTCAAATCAACACCTAATTCCTCTTTGTCAATTCATGCGCAGGTTGAGCTACTCTTCTCTGATCGACGAGAGTGTGATCAGAGTAAAACCCTGAATGGAGGTTCGCCTCTCGACTGATCCAAGATTAGCAAGTGTAACAATCATGACTCTGAACAGTTGTAGTGGACTACTACTCACGTTGAGGATGGTGACTGCTTTGCACGCGGGCTGCCTAAAGGCAGAGTGGCATCCAGGGAGTCGGTATACAGAAGATGAACGCCGCTTCCGGTCCTTCGTCTGCGACCTTTTTCAGTTCTTCTTCAGAACGGTGGTCGGCATCGGAGATTGCATCAGGTGCCGAGCGTTTCCAGCAGAATGGCGTCCAAAGTGGACAATGTTTACCTCTTCTCGATGCATCAAGGCGAGAACCTCTCAGTCTTTCGTCTATAGTACTTTCCGGTTCTTCCTCAGAACTGTGATCAGATTCTGAAGTCTCGTCCGAGCGTTTTGTTGGCTTGGGGACATCCAAACCAGCCGAGAATTCGTCCAAAGGCGGTGACTGCGTTTGCCATGGGGATGCGGATATCTTTCTCACGCCGCAAGGGTGAATCTGCCAGAATCCGCAATCCCAGTTCCGTTCCAGTCCGTATCTCTTCAGTTCTTCATCAGAAAGATCGGAGAGATCAACAGGTTTTTTGGGTGTCGAGGATTTGGCAGGAATGCTGGTCGCGACAGTAACCATCGTGGTCGGTTTGGGGGTGTCAAGTAGCCAAAAATTCCGCGAGTTCATCCTGGGACATGGCGTCCGGTCCAACAGTTGCCTGGGCTTTCATGGCAGAAATTGCTGTGGACATGATACGTTCGGCTTCGGCCTGGCCAATGGGTCCGTCAGGAATTTCGATGCTTAAGCTGTCGGGCATTGTCTTCAGGCGTTCTTTGAGTGCTTGGGCGGGGTCATCTGTCTCGATAGACAATGTGTCTTCACCACCAAAAGCACAAATTGGGTTCGGCCAATCGACTAGGCGGGAGGCCAGACAGAAAATGCCGACAACTTCCAAGATAGCTGCGAGGCCCATTGTGAATGACTTGGAAATTCGTGGGGAAAGTAGAGTAATGAAGGAGGAGGATAGCTTTGGATTGATGAGGAAAGATATGTCGCGGCAACTGGGCTTTTATCTGTCAGCTGGACGTAAGCGAGCGGAATGTCTCCGTCTCAAAGGCCTCTAGGCTGGTGGTACGAAGAGGGAGAAGGCGAAAGCCCCCGTAAGTCTAAGTGGAGATATCGAAGTATCTTTCGTGGTCATCTAAGGACATGAGACGAGACGAGACCGGTTCTGTGGTTCTACCAAGGGATCAGCTGTGACAATAACGGAAGTGCGAATGCTAGAATTGTTATCTTCCTTTCCTCTTATTCGTCTCTTCCTTTGCTCTTACCATTCCGGCAGGCCTTGTGACATGTCTTCTGATCAGACTCGCTCTGGGTCGACGCGGGGTTTGGTGCACCAACCGGACCTTGAGTTCGTATACACAGAGTTGATTCTGAGGCGCAGTCATCGAAGTGAGGAAATTCACTCCTTTGAACCCAAAGGCTGCCAACCATTACCTAAAGAAAACCGAATATGATATTGCGCGTTTTTTTGGCAACTGAGTGTATTGTAGAGCGCAAGACCAGAAGAGTCGAGGCTGCGGAAGTGTAAGGGAGAAAGCGCAACGGTCAATAGCTACATGAGGAGAATAGCAAAACTGGATGAGTGGGTTAATTGAGTTTGAATCTGAGGGCATGATCGATATAAAGCACGTGTCTGTGGAGATCCCCCCGACAGCTTTCTGTTTTCTTGTCTTGACTGCGTTTGGTGGTGCCAGCTAACGGTAAGATCAAGCTCAGATCGTCGTGCTTGCTTGAAAGAGTGTGGGATTTGAATGGCTGGGGATTGGTGTCATGGTCAACAGCCTTGCAGTTGCTCATTCTTTACCTCAGTGCTCTTGTGACCTCCTTCTTCGTTTGTTCGTCTCTAGTTTCGAATGTTCACCATAGCTTGTGATGATGTAGTGCGCAACTTTTCAACTCCGTCAGCACAATATATGGATCATCAAGCTCTGCCCTGTGTATGCTCACTGGTCTTGTCTACGACTAAGCGGATTCTCCTGAGAACTTCTCCATCTTGATTTGAAGGCAGCAAATGCGGATGGCGGAACAGATGCGAGCGGCGGAAGAAATGCGCTTCATCCCCTCGGCTTCCATACCTGCGCAGTTGACTTTGTGCTCGGTCCATTCCAAGATATCCAAGACAAGGCCGGAAAATTAGTTAATGTGGGCATGGCTATGCTTGAACACGAAGCTGTCACCCTTAATCTCGACCAGCTTTTCAAGCAGGCGCCCGTTCATGTCGGCAACGAACAAGTCTTCAGCCATAAAGCCGGCATCCTTCTTGACAGCAGTGAGGATGGTCTGTCCGTTGACTGAGTCTAGATCGTAAAGCACTGGAGTCCAGCCGGTCGGCGTAGTGGGTAGTACTGCCTTGGAAGCAAACTGTTTGCGAGGTTCCTCCCCCATTTCTGCCAAGATTCTGTCAGTCGTGATATAGTCGCAAGCGTGTAGAAGCTTACTAATGTGTGCAATTTGCTGTATCGGCTGGAGATGTGTCGTATGAAATGGTTTACCCGACTCGAGGGATTTGTGTACTGAGTAACAAAAAGATAATAGGGGGAGATTGCAAAGGGAGGAGATTAGTCGTTTCAGAAGTGAAAGAGAGAAGAGAAACCTTTTCGTTCGCTCAATACGTCCTTAGGAGGTCTTTGGGCAGAGAAGTGAGGCCATATGTAGCGAGCGAGTTTCGTATGATCTGGCAGGACGCATGTGGAAGAGAAAGACGAAATGTCAGAATTACGTTTTATCGTGATAGACATGGCGCTGGAAAGATTTTGAACGAGAGGACTGGTGAGCAAAGAAAGGTTGTGCATCGAGGCAGATATCTGAATGTAATTCTGAAAACTGTTTCGTCGTTTTGTGGCAAGCAGACCATACTTTCAGCAATTCTTAGCGTACAAACATTTGCGCGTCTTTGTTCCGTGGTATCTGTCCCGGCCGTCCTCGGTTCCATCAGTCTTCCATGATCGAGAGCTTGCGACTTGAGTCTCGACAGCAAGCACAGCATCAGCCATTTTGGCTACACCAGGAGTACAAGCAGTACATCTTCCATGGCTTGTGCAGGCCGTAGACGGCGCGGCTATCCCTTCAGGATCGACGGGCGTCATTACTCGTTAACATCCAACAAGATGTAAGGTAGCTCATTTCTTGTCCTCTTGAGCCTTCTTCTTGCCCTGCTTTTGCTTCTTTCTCTTGCTGCGGTCTCTCTTCTTCAATGCTTGCATGCCCTGTTTGCAGACTTCTGCGTAGCGAGTATAGAAGGCCTCCAGATCATCGGGTTGTACAACTGTGCTGAGCTTGACCTTGTCTGACTTTTTGCGATCCTTGTTTTGCGAGTTGCCGTCTGTCGCGCGAACGACAATAGGTAGAGGTGCTGATGGTGGTTCCAGATCGGCAAGAGGAGAATCAGTAGGTTTGGAGGCAGAGGATTCGTCGAAAGTCACTTGTGTGTGTCAGCGCAGAAGAGAAGCACGAGAAGGTTGTTTGCGTACGTCGCTTCTGTGTCAGCCAGATGCTGCCGTGACCTTTTTGCTGGCGCGTCTCAAGAAGAGACACCAATTTGGTGAAGAACTGTACCAATGTTAGTTTGCGTATCACGGAATTGTCACGCGATCATACCTCATCGTTGCTAAGATGTGACGACATGGTTGTGGTTGTGGTATAGAAGATAGAACAGCCAGCGCACAGCACAAGTCAAGTGTCGTTGCGGGCAGCGACGTGAATGGGGAAGTCGCTACCGACCAATTACCTTATCTTATCCATCGGTCGCGATCAGATCGCATCTTCTCCATCGAGAATGTGGGGAAGACGCTTCACATGCCGCCAAAATTATTTTATGCTCTTGCCATTTTTAGTTTCTGGTCAAGACACCGGCCATGCGTTCCAACGACTCATTTATCAAACCGAAGCTGCCCAAGGCACTGCTAGACCAGATTGGTGGGGATACTGGCAACAGCAGAAAGAATACCCCAACACGGAAGGAGCGTCGCAAGAACGAGAGAAACCAGAAAAAACAGAGCCACCAGCAATCAAGGTCCCGCCCACCGCCACAGAGACCTCAACCGCAAAGACGTCCTCAACCTCAGCCGCAACGAGATGAATTTGAGGAGAGCGATGACGAGCCTACCCCGCCACCTGCCTCGAAGCCAAATTCGAAACCCGTAAAGGAGGACAAGCCCAAGTCAATTCTGAAATCAACCAAGAAGCAAGATCCTCCGGAGTCAAAGACTCGAGGAGATTCGCCACCGCCCCCTGCACGCATTTCGAGAGCTGTCAAGGATCGACTGGCCCAAGATGATGCTGAAATTGCCGCCCTCGAGAAAAAACTAGGAATCAAGTCGACAAAGAGATCAAAGGCTTTTGCAGACGACGGACTTGACGATCTACTGGAAGGTTTAGATGACGATGAAGAAGACGATGGTCCAAAGAGAAAGCGTTCGGACGACGACGATTGGTTGCGACAGAAGAGGAGGAAGGTCAGTCAAGCTGCTGCTGTCGCAGATGAGCCTTCGGAAGACGACGAGGAAGAGGGAGATGAAGACATGAGCGGCGATGAAGACGAATTTGATGGTCTCGACGACATCATGGATGGTCTAGGCGAGAGCGACGAAGATGGCGACCTTGACGGCTTGGAAGACGGTGACGAAGATGATATGGACGAGGACGACGAAGATGGATCGGATGAGGATATGCTTGATGAAGCCGAGGGTGACGACATGGACGAGGAGAAGTTTGAAGACTTTGACGAAGACGATGAGGGAAGCGAAGAGGAGGCACCTGCACCGAAGGTGCGCGAGAATCCCTACGTTGCTCCTGTACCCGCTGGTGCTGCTCCGGTCCAGAAGTACGTTCCGCCTTCATTGCGAGGCGCTCCATCATCAGACACAGAGGCTCTAGCACGTCTTCGTCGTCAAATACAGGGTCAGCTCAACCGTCTCTCGGAAGCGAATCTTCTGTCTATTCTTCAAACCATCGAGGGAATCTACCAGAACAACCCTCGTCAATACGTTACCACCACACTTATCGACCTCCTACTTGGTCTTATTTGTGATCGCACTACTCTACAGGACACCTTCCTCATCCTCCATGCAGGTTTCATGGCCGCTTTATACAAGGTGATCGGAACAGATTTCGGTGCTCAAGTCATTGAGCGTATCGTCACCGACTTTGACAGACACTACACTGGGGGCACCACAGCAGGCAAAGAAACTTCAAACTTGATGTCCCTGGTTTCCGAACTCTACAACTTCCAACTTATCGGCTGTAACCTTGTGTTCGACTACATCCGTTTGTTCCTCAAGGAGCTCAACGAGGCGAATACCGAACTTTTGTTGAAGATCATCCGCAACTCTGGACCCCAGCTTCGAGCGGATGACCCTTCGGCACTGAAAGACATTGTCATTCTGGTGCAGAAGGAGGTCACTCGTATTGGAGAAGCGAATCTCTCGGTGAGAACAAAATTCATGATCGAAACCATCAACAACCTCAAGAACAATCGCGTCAAGACTGGTGTGGTGGCTTCTGCTATTGTGTCAGAACACACAACAAGAATGAAGAAGACTCTGGGTTCTCTCAACAACAGATCGTCTCTCAAGGCAAGCGAGCCTCTGCGCATCGGATTGGCAGATATCCGCGATACAGAAAAGAAGGGCAAATGGTGGCTTGTCGGAGCAAGTTGGCTGGACCCTGGAAAGCAATCAAAGGATGAGGACGCTTCCGATGAGCCTGCTGTCAAGGCCTCCAAGAACGACTCAACGACAGTAGCTGCCGATGACGGCAGTGTTGATCTGATTCAACTAGCACGTCAGCAAGGCATGAACACTGACATCCGTCGTGCCATCTTCGTCACCATCATGTCAGCTTCTGATTACCAAGATGCTCATTTGCGCCTTCTCAAGCTGGGCTTCAAGAAGGCTCAAGAGCTTGAGATTCCTCGCGTGCTGGTTCACTGCGCAGGTGCCGAAGCTACTTACAACCCATACTACACACTCATCGCCAAAAAGCTTTGCAGCGAGAAGCGCATGCTCAAGGCCTTCCAATTCGGACTTTGGGACATCTTCAAGCGCATGGGCGAAAAGGCAATGACAGCCGATGACGAAGACGATGCTTTCGATGATGATGAAGACGAGAACATGAGCACTCGCAAGATTGTGAACCTTGCTCGCTTCTACGCAGATCTCATCACCGAGGGCGGTTTCCCCATTACAGCGCTAAAGACACTCAATTTCGCTTACCTGCAACCCAAGACAAACACATTCACCGAAGTCCTGTTGACTAGGATTTTGATCAAGATGATGAAGAACTCGAAGGGCAGCAAGTGGGATCTTTCGGTCAACGAGGTATTCTCAAAGGCTCAAGATGTTCCGGATATGGTGCAGGGCCTGCGGTACTTCATCGAGAAGGTAGTCAGGAAGGCCGAAATTGCCAATGGCAAGAAGGAGCGCAAGGCAGTAAAGGAGGGCTGTGTAGCTGCCATCGAGGCATTGACAACACATGTCGCGCGTGATGACGACCTCAGCGAGGACATGCTGAGTGATTCCGACTAAATGCTCTAGAATGATCGTCTCAAGCAGACCCGTGCATCTATACCACGATACAATACGAGATTTTGCATAGACGCAAAGCTTCGCGTGAGCACTTCTTTTCGACAACTCCATTGATTCGTAATCTAGTGTTAGAAGATACAAGCGCCCCTCGACCGACTGACACTGTGTAGTTCTTGTTCCGTAAACTCAATAAGGAAGAAGATGTAGACGGCGCTTGAGACAGGGTTGTAGGAAGAGTAAACTTGCACAAATGCTGCATAACTATGCAAAGACCCTTCGACGTCAGCGGTTGTGGGGTAAAGCCTGTCTCCAAGTTGCTGCCAACCACAAACACCAACTATACACACAGACAACAAGCAAACATGGCAGACGACGAAATAGCAACCAGAGCTCCCGAAAGCGATTTGGCCGAGCAGAGTGCCATTCCAGGCGACTCGGCCGTCGACCAAGGCCCAAGTCTAGGAGTGAGCCTCGACACTGCCAGCTGATCACTGGAAACTGACCACATTACAGAACGAAGAAGCTCAAGTCCATGAAGGCGGACGTAAGCCACTTCTCTCATCTCAGTCATAGACCCATACCAACCTGTAGTCACAGAACCAACCTCCACCTCCCAAACCCCGACCGGTGAAATCACCAAATTCAATGACATCGAATGCTACATCACAAAACCCGCCGACTACCCCCACGCCCCCTGCAAACTCCTCCTTTTCTTGACGGGTGGTACTGGCATACACGCCCCAGCCAACAAACTCCAAGCCGACGCCTATGCCGAACAAGGATACCTCGTCATCATGCCCGACCAATTCAACAACGATCCAGCACCCAACTCTGTCTTTTCTGCCGGCGACGACAAGACCAGTTTCCTCGAGCAGTTGAAATTGAGAGCTGCTGAGGTTGCAAAGAGCTTTAGATTGGATATGTGGTTGGCAAGACATACACCTAGCTCTGTCTTGCCGAGACTGAACAAGGTTTTGACTGCTGTCAAGGATGAGTTCGCCGATGCTGTACAAGCTGGTGGCGGTGTGTATTGCGTTGGTGTCAGTGTCGGTGGCAGATTTGCGCTCTTGCTGGCTAGCGAGCTGGGAGCTGATGTGCTGGAGGGTCAGACGGAGGTCAGTGAAGAGGCAGCTGGCAAGGCCGAGGAGGGCATGATCAGAAAAGGTCCTGCTGTCAAGGCTGCTGTCATTCTTCATGGCGCAACCATTGAGCGTGAAGACTTCCATGGTGTCAAGAATCCTATTGCTCTTTTGACTGTGGACGAGGATCCTCTATTTAGCGACGAGGTGCGCGAGGCTGGCCTCAAGACTTTGAAGGAGAAGGGCGTTGAGGTCCAAGAATGGACTTATCCTGGAGTACCACACGGTAAATTTCTATCCTTAACATTGGCAGAATCGTTAGCTGACAGTCATTACAGGCTTTGCAGTTGTTGGCGAGTACCAAGATGAAGCCATCAAGCAAGCTCAGAAGCAATCCTTCGAAGTTGTCCTCGAATGGCTGAAGGTCCACTGAGCATCTGCCGTCACTGATTCATGGCTCGACATCATTCATCGTCTCTTTCATAATGTTTTTTTCTTCTTTCTTGCAGACTTAGCAAGCTATGATACCAATAACAGTCTTCTTTCGCACATCAAGGTTGTACCTTCCAATCGACTTTTATTAGCTGAATGCCTTGATATGCAGCCCTTCATGAAAAAGTCTCGTGTGTGCACATATCCTATCTAAACCATCTCAACATCCCCCCTCAAACAAGCCTCTTTAATCGCACTCCACCTAACACACCAAACATCACCCCTCCTCAACTCCACAACACCCACCCCTTGTTCTCCCTGCACCTCCACGTGACCCGCATCCCTGAGCACCCTCACAAACACCGCAGCATCCACATCCGGCCCATCCACCATACTTATCCCTCCCGCCGTATCATCCAATTTCTGCAACTGCGCAGGAAAAGACCCCAAAAACGAGGTCGAGAAGTGGTGGGATAGTAGACTGACGCGATGGGTGAGGTATTGAGATTCTGTGGCGCTGAGATTTGGGGAGGGGAGGTGGTGGTGGGGGTATTTGTCGAGCTGTGTATGAGTCAGTATCAAGAGCTGATCAAGAGAGATGAAAAGATCAAGAGGAATCGGGAAAGAACATACTTTTGCTATTCTTGCTCGTAGGAATGAGCGGATCAGGAATTTGAATCGCTCGAGTTCGGTTTGGATTATGATGAGGTTGAAGTTTGCGGATGGGTCCATTGTTCCTGTCATGTCTTCTACCGTCTCAATCTATAATTGGGAAAGAGAGATTTGTTAGCTCTTGCCATGGAATAGTGGTGGTTTTAAAAGTGCTCTTTCTTTTTCGTGATGAGGCATGTGTCTCCTTGGTTCTTCTTTCCCTTCCTCTCTTGGTTCCCTTTGGCCATGCTAGGCCTTTTCTCCAGACCATCGTTTCAATATCACACCAACCTCTCTTTTCCTCAAACACCAAGATCTTGCCTCCTCTTCCGGATTTATTAGAGAAGAATATCCATCCAGATAAGAAAAAGATTAAAAAAAAAGAAAATATCTCCTTACCTGCACTTTTATCCGATCCATAACCCTATCAATCAACTCCTCAGGATATGGCAATAACTCCGGCGCACATCTCTCAGCAACCCAAGCTCTTGTCAATGCTTGCAAATCTGCAGTCCGTTGTGGTATGCGTTCGGTATTCGAAACAGAGGCGAGAATGTCGTCGATATCCATTTGTTCGAGTCTTGATGTTTTGAGCTTTGCAGGTTGTAGAGAGATTTGCTGGGTTTCAATCTCGATGTTTCGGTTCAAAGGTCCTGATGGGGTTTTCTTTGATGAATAAATTATTTATGCTGTTTGGGTGGTTGATCTGCTGCAGTCGCGAGTGGTGGTCTGGAAGTGCCTTTTTCGGATGTGGGGGAGACGTGTTTTGAGCGCGTCATGTTCGTGCCTTCCAATTTAATTGATTTGGGAACACCCAACAATCAATCATCACGTTTCTCTGACGAGTAACAATAGAGCATTTGGCATTATAGCCTAGAAATACCGAACAATGGACAAATACAATCTGATGAAGAGCTAACACGCTTTCACGATGCTGAATACGTATGCTTCAAGTAACAGATGACAGTATTAGGGAGGTAAAATAGAATACGAAACAAACGCTGAAGATGCAAGAAGACGACAAGAGACCGTACTCAGTGACCGTCTCTTTTCCTTTCTCCCTTCTACAGCACCAACCAACTAATCCCAATCCATCCTCCCACTCCAAAACACCCGATCAGCAACACACAGATTCCCATCACAACACCCGCAACAACTCTGTCTCCAGCGCCCAGAAACCCAGCTTGACCTCCAGAAGAATGCGAGTCCTTGCCTAAGAACACCCAAAGCAGTGTTGCCGCAAGGCTGAGCACCAGGACCAGAATGAGAGCAAGAAGAATGCGCCGCACGGACCACGAGACGACAAATTCCAGGCCTTCATGTTGTTCTGCACGTCTGATCATCGAGAAGCGGTTGTTGACTGTCGCTATGGTTCCTGCAGAAGCGGGTGTGCGTACTGTATCTGGTGCTGCAGATGTCAAAGCAGAAGGAGGAGATAAAGGCGTGGTAATTGCAGGTGCGTCGGCTAATCTGTGTGCCCAGCTCACCCACGCATATCTACTTTTGCCTGCCGCACCGGGATTATGAAAAAATCGTAGGAGTTTCTCTTCGCTGAATGTGTCGTTAAGGCCTCTGTAGGCGAGTGTACGAGGCGAGCGTGGTGTCAAGAGCCATCCATAACCCGAGTCCGCTTGCTTGCTGGCATCGCCGCTCACACAGATCATCGTCAAGCTTCGAGCAGAGAAGTGGCGCCAGGGGCCTAGAAGGCTTTGATAGTGGCGCCGTAACTGTCGGAACAGTTCTGCGTCGTCAAAATCTTGAGGTGTGTATTCTTGTCCACCACGGTCAGAATTGTGATGGCGGTCCTTGACCGCACTGAACTCGCTGTTGGCAGGAATGGTGAGGGTAGAGAGCCGTAGCTGGCTGTTGGGGTTACTGCGACGGACACTGAGTGTGAGTGTGCTGTCGTGAACGCGTGGACTTCGAAGAGTAGGTTCGGAAGCTGAAAATTGACGTCCAAACTCCTTGCGGTGGATGGCACGGAAAGGATATGGTGTTTTGACGTGTGGTTGTTGTGCTGATATCCCCGATGTGTCGATAGGTGGCGGCGCCATGGTAACCTTCTTCGCAGGCGCTGAGACCGATCGATAACGAGAGTTCCGCCAGTCCTGGTATCGCGAATCACGAGTTGGTATTGGAGGAGGTGTAGGTGAGCGATTTGAAGAAATAGTGATACCAGTCAAAGCTTGCATGGTGAGGTGATGCATTTCCTTGATCTCACGAACTACAGCCAAATCTTGATGCTTTGGCAGTATCGGACTTTCTTCTTCCAAGACGTGTGAAGAGCTATGATGGAAGAGACCGTCCACAAGCATATTGCTCCTCCTCGCTGGTCTGACAGGCGTCATTTCCTCGACTGACCCAATATAAGAATCTTCATCGCTATCGAATCCACTTTTACAGTTCTCACGCGTCAACTGCTGGTACCTCTCGAAATCTGTCTGCTCTACGGGAGAGCGAGGTGAAGGAGGTGTTGGAGTCCTTCGATCTGGAGCACAGTTCGACTGAAATTGTTCTGTGGTGCCGCCCAGATAGTGACCTGATCGCCTTTGCTTAGAGAATGGTTCTTCAGTATGAGAACTATCGACTTTGGGCGGAACATGTGTATTTGGTATGTCCGGTACATTTGCTTCTTCGTCAGGCGATGGGTTGTCTAGAAATGTTCGCGGTCCAAAATCTGCCTGACTATTGATCGACTCGAGCAAGAATTCTGGACGTACGCTTCGTACTGGACTTCCTACTTCATGCTGGTGTATGACTTGTGGTGCTCTTCCAGGCGAAGCCGACATGCGGATTTCGTGCATCGGATTCATGTTGAGAGGACGGTGCGCAAGAAGGCGACTCTGATTCAGTTGTTCTTGACTAACAGATCAAATAATCTCGTCGATGTTTCTGCGATAGTGCCGAGATAGTCCGTGTTGCCATATCGCCTTGTAAGAAAGTTGAGTGGTAAACACACCATTGTGGTGAGGAATGCGGGTAGTTGCATACTAAAATTAGCCGGTGAATTTGCCTCCGCAACAGACACATCTATCGCATGCCGCAAAAAGAATGCGTGCCAGAGATACTGAAGGTTCTCGATCTGTGGTCCCTTGCATAGCCTCATTTCCATCTCCATCTGGTCCTGCATTGGTGCTTGTTCCTTTGCTGTCTTTGACTTTGAAGCCGGGCATCATGAACTCATTAATGTACTGAGCATTACATATAGAGCAAGACTTGGCAGTGCCTGGTGTTTGAATAGCGAGGAAGGTTAGGGTACAGCGAGCTGGTTAATGGTCAGTACTCGGCGTCGTGCTAGGTCGTTGCTGTAAACTAACGATACTGATGATTGTTAACACACTTTGCCCATCGAAGACTTTCGAATGGTATGTTGCTGTGGCATATCTCGCATCTCTCAATTTCTTCTTCCTCCGAATTCGAAGTGTCGGCGTCGGTATTGCCGGCTCGTGCTTGCAGTTTCGCCAGAATCAGGCAATGGATTTGCATGATCGAATTGCTCAATATACTCGCGTCTGCGACGAAATGTGGTAGCCGCGAGATCTCTGTGACAATCTTGAGCACTATCGTGGCATCGAGTGGCGGAGTTTTGGGTATGTCCGCCCTGACATATTTCAGCAGCTGGGCCACTCGACTGCGAACACTCTCGCCATTAAATAGAATGTTTTGCCTCACTTGACGGACAATCAGCTCAACAGGAGTGTCTTCTGTGATCTGTCCTTGATTGGAGCCGCCTGAGGGCGAGTCTGCAAGGTCGAGTGCTTGCATAACTTGCTCGATGACAAAACTCTCGTCACTAAGAGCTTCAGGTTCACGCATGGCAAGACTTTGCAGGCTGGAAAGTAAAGCCTCGGCAGTCAATTCTAACAGACGTCAGTATTGCGAAATATGTATAGGACATAGGCGAACTCACCGTACGCATTGGAAGGACATCCGGCGAGAGCGAATTGCAGGTCGTCATTACTCTGACTTGTGATCAAATAAGAGACCTCATCTGAATTTGTTGTGTACTCAACTCCATCGCTGGGATGGAAGCTGACATTAACAGCAACCAAATCGCCGAAAGGGGATGTACATAAGCCATAAGCTCTAGTCATGACATTTCCTGCGAGGTTCCACTCGTCGCTGAAGCGTCTTTGTCCTCTCAGCAAGTCATGCTGCCAGTTAGTGGAACCTAGGGCTGAGCTTGCCGTGAAAGGCAGGGCTAAACTGGTGATGCGGTCAGTTCCTGAGCCGAGATGATATGCAATCTGCACGGAGATGTTCTCGTTGTCGTCCTGGACATAAGTCATGCCTGCAATTTGTTAGATGGGCTATCGGCCAATATCTCCGCGCATAACATACCAGCAATCTCGTCCCAGGGAGTGTTGATGTCTTGTGCAGAGACCTGGAGTTCAAGATTGAGACCTGGCTGGGCTTGCAGACAATAGAACGAGCTTCGTGTTGGATACACCAGAAATGCTTCCTTTGCACTGTTCAACTTTGGAGCCCATCTTATGCATCCAGCTGCGTGAGTATCGTGTATCTCGTCCACCAGCGACACGATAGGACCAATCGTCACATCAGTGGGGGATCTTTTATCATTGATCTTCACACTCGTGCACTGTAAAGACGACTGAGATGTGAAGGTCAGTATTGACGTCGGCACGATGGTAGAGTCTAGAGCCCATGGACTCCAGGCCAACTGATCCACAAAGGGGCTTCTCCATTTGAATGTCACAGGCATGCAAGCATTCAGAGCCGATTGTTTGGTGTCAGGAACATCGACGCCAAACGAAGCCGGTACAGATAGACTCCAACGCGCTGTATCCGATTCTAAGATATCGTGGGGTGCCTTTAGCTCGATGATCAAAACCTCTCCACGGTCGTTGGAAACGGCTAGATATGGGCTTCTTGTCGTGCAGTCACCAGAAACGCCTGACAGCGAAGAACTTGGTGGTGCTGGGCTCCATGCAAATGCTCTGATGCGTTGCTTAGCTCTCAATCTTTCGAAATGATCATGCTCGCTCTCTTCCGAACTTTGGACATCCTTTTCTTTGTAATGTGCTTGAAGAGCATGATTGACGACACAGGCTCTCACCCAGTCTGTAGCGATCTCTGGCTTTCCAACGCACTCCCAGATCGATAGTACATGGTTGGAAGATAGAACAGCTAGGACGCTTCGCTTATGTTTGCCGAGTCCCGGAGGTGACCAGTCGAGCGCTTGAACAAAGGACTCCGACATTTCTTCGCCGATTGAGAAATTCTTCCAGCTCAAGGGAAGTTGGAGTTGAATATCGTCAAGGGTGAAGAAATTGGTCTTTAGGTTGATTTTGTCCCATCTTCTCTCATCTGATGCAATTGCTTTGAGGCGTGGTACCTGAAATTGTCAATTGAGATTTAGTAGTATTGAGAACTATGAGACTTACGAAAAGACTGACGCGATCACTGCCGGCAACTGCAATGATCCCTTCCTTTGACCAGAAGATATTGTCGAGTGTGTTTGGGTAGAAGTCGATAGTGACACCGCCATTTGAGCGGTTGAATTTGTCCCAGACCATGGTGATGAGGTTGAATAATGGTGAAGGACAGAATGGATGATGGATACCTCGAAGGTTTTAGAAATGGCACACTCTCTGGCCGATGCTAGAATGGCAAGCTGATAGGCAAAACCAGCTCGCGTAATGTGAGATGAGTGGAAGCTCAGATGTTGGATCCGAACAAGGACGCGTCAAAGAAAATAATCAGCTACCTTGAATTGGTTTCTGGATTTAGAGCATCGACATCACAAGACAAGGATTTGCGTCTGTCATCAGTACCAGACCCCCAGTGGCAAGACTTGGATGTTTTCTCGAATTGATGCTCATGAAGACGTCGCAATGATCTTTCCCTGAGAGCAAGAAACTCGCCGCTGCAACTCCGCATCCGCAAACGCCAAGACAATCGTGGGGTTGGTCATGGATGGCAGCGACCAGACCAACGATCAAGGTAATCTTCTCGTCGGCCTGAGAGTTGATCAGAACAGGCACGATGGTCCTCTCGTTCATCTTGATCCAGAACAGGCAGTAAGAACATCTGAATCCGTCCTCATGGTATACATCCTAAGAAAGCCACAGGGGAAAGACGCGCTTGGCCAAATGGTATGCGCCATACAGTGTAAGCACTCCTTCTCTCAGCCCATGTTTCGCAGACAACTGACATACATACTAGGATGAAGAGAAAGTAAAGCTAAAAGGCGAGGTACATACTCCCTTCCTCCCTACCAACCTACGCAGCCCTCCCGTTCAACCACACCACCCACGAAGCCTACCACTCGCAACCACCCCAAACCACCTCCTCTGACACTCCACACCACCACAGATCCACCGCCTCGTTGCTCCCCGCGACCAAAAACACCAATCCAACTTTGTCGAATTCCGCGGCTCCTCAAAAATCGTCTACCGTCGCTATGCCGGCCTCTTCTTTTGCGCCTGCGTGGATGCAAACGACAACGAACTAGCGTACCTAGAAGCCATACATTTCTTTGTCGAAGTGCTGGATCAGTTCTTCGGGAATGTGTGCGAGCTGGATCTCGTCTTCAATTTCTACAAGGTAAGAGCAAGAGCACAAGGGACAAGGAGAGGTGGCTGCTGACGAAGGTGGTGGAACGATAGGTTTACGCTATTCTGGATGAAGTGTTTTTGGCGGGAGAAATTGAAGAGACGAGTAAACAGGTTGTGTTGACGAGGTTGGAGCATTTGGACAAACTTGAGTGATGTGTGGATTTTACAGCATTGATACCATGGGATAAAGGAGTTGTGGAGTTTTGCTGCATCAAAAGAGTGTCTTCAAGAAAAATCGTCATAGTATATTGAGCCTGTCTAGGCAGGGATGGTAAAAAGCCTCCATCGTTATGGCCTCCTGCAAGCCCCAAGATGAAAAGCCTCTAGCTGATAGAGCGTCAGGCCGTATGCTAAAGAAATCCTAGGCAGGAGCTCGCCTTGTTAACAGAAAGAAATCTTCCTCCCCCTACTTCCATGCTCGAAATTGTCGCTCAAGCTTTCGTCGATCTCCAAATTCCTCTTGCGAAAGTCATAATTCGTCAATCGTGGAACGCCCTCAAGCGTCCTCCAGCAAAAAGACACTTCCATGTCTGATATGTGTCCAGCACATCCCGTTCCGTTGCTCAGTCGATGACAATGACCTCCTGCTTAGCAGCGCGGAAGACAATCAACTTATCGCCGAATCTGTCCAGCTCTTCAAGAGTGTCGGTGAATTGTGGGACTCTGCCGCAGAAGAGGATCTGGTGCTGCTCCTCAGTGGTCACCTCGCGGTATTTGTTCCACATAGTCTCGACGGTGTTGGTCTACCAGCATGTTAGCATCTTGTTTATCAGATTGTGGACGGACGAACTGTACCTTGTGACCTTTGAGCCAAACAAAGTCCTTCTCGACCTTGGCCTTGGAGGGCTGCATAGTGTGCATGAGTATGGCGACCCAGTAGCGATGCTCGGGAATGTGATGAGGCTGCAACTTGAAGGCCCTGTGATGGAGCTCCTTGTCCTCCTTCTTGGCGATCGTCTTCTTGATTGTCTTCTGGGTGCTTTCGGTAAGCGTGTAGCCCTCGAACTCGACCTGTTGAGAGACTTCAGCACCAGAATCGTGCGCCTCCAGATCAGAGGATGGCTCAGCATCGGAGACATCGACGTCTGCGTCCTCGTCTTCGACAGTCTCGTCTGCGTTGACTTCTTTTTCGTCCTCGGCGTTCTCGTCTGCGATGGATTCTTCTTCGTCCATATCGCCTTCTTCTGTGTCATGCTCGGAAAGCTCATCTTGATCTTCATGGCCAACAGCAGTATGCTCTTGTGCAAGATTGTCCTGCATGACATCTTTCTCTTCGATATCGCTCTCAACAGCATTGTTGGGGTCTTCGACAGGTTCAGCAGTGTCATCCCTACTGTGCTCCGTGTTGTCAATAGGGAAGGGTGCTACTCCTGCGAAAGCAGAGTGCTCAAGACGTGCGTCGGCGATGGTACCATGATCAGGGGTGGAGGCAGTTGTGCTGGTGTAATCAGGTCTGCAGTAGCATGTTTAGTAGGACTTCGAACAAAACATGTGGTCAAAACTTACGCCTGTCTGATGGTAGTCTGTTCCTCAGAGACGACATCTTGCATACCCTCATCAATCAATCCCGCAACAACTTGCTCAATTTGCTGTGTGAGTTGGTCCTCTTGGGTCTTCTCGGCTTCAGTGACTGGGTTCTGTGACTCAAAACGCTGAAAGCTTTCTAAGCCAGCATTCTGAAGGGCTTGAGCGTTCGAGAACATAGAGTTATGAAGGCCAAGATCGGTGTGGTTGACCACAGAGTTACCCCAGCCTTGATTTTCATTTTGATACTTGATGTCGCTTGCTTCGGGGAGAGTGGGAGAGCGGGCAGCTTCAGGGATATCTGATGCCAATTCGGCCATCAATTGAGCGCTCGGGTCATCTTCCATATCGAAGTCGACGTAGTTGCTGGAATATGCACCAGCGGCCTCGAGGTCTTGCTTGACAACAGTCTGAGGCTGTGCATGAGCTTGCTGGACGGCGGGCTGCTCAAAAGTGGTCTGTTGGAAAGGAGTCTGCGGCATAGAGTAGTGCTGCTGGGAGTATGGGTTGTGTCCAGATTGTACCATTCTCCAGTTTTGCAGCATCTGTGCCGCGGGATCGAAGGTAGTCTGGTAGCTGGGGTTACCAAGGGAAGTAGGAGGAAAGGATTGCATGTTCTGATGGTTGGGCATGTAAGAGGTATTGTTGAAGGAAGGACTCTGAGGAACGACTTGTGCATGTCCGTAGTATTGTGTCGCAGGCGCAGAGTTGTTCCAGAAGGATGCATCGAATACCTGCTGAGAAGGAGACAGTTGCTGCACATTCATGCCACCAGATCTGCCGGTGGTTGGTTGCTGAGATCTCTGGTCGTAGTAGCCGTAGGCAGCAGCGTGACTAGGTGCCATGTTGCCTGGAAACGTCTGTTGACGGCGAGATTCGTTACTCATGTTGGCGAACGGTCAAGGGTTTCGGTCTGCAGATTTGCTTGCGGGTTTCACAAGAAGAGAGAGAAGTAATAAAATGCAATAAAGAGATCTTTGAAAAGATGTGGAGTGGGCTGCAGAGGTGAAAGTCTAGGTCGATGGATGTGTACCGTGTGAGGCAGGCTCGAGAAGAACCTAGAGAAAAGAGAAGGAGAGATCTCAATTGCTGCAGGAGAGAACAGTGCCAATAGAAGGCCTGGATTTAGATAGCCAAGAGGCTGTCGATACGTCGATGAATGGACAAGAAGTTGAGGCAAAGGTAAGGTGGAAGAAGTCGAAGGTTGTATGGGAGCGAAGCAAGGTTGGGAGGAGGTTGCAGGAGAGAGAAAGGGAGGGAGAGGAACTTGAGAGAAAGATGTTTATAACAAGTCGAGAGAGAATCGGAAAATTGATCAAGAGTGAGAGGCTGTTCGGCGAGGTGAGGCCATAAGTGAGGACCTGAGTACCATTGAAGTGAGGGCGGAGATTTTGGGACCTAGTGATCCTCGGAACAGCTTCACGCGGAACTGCCATTGATACCTACAGGACCTTCATACGCTACTTACCAAAGTCTTCACATCGAGGTGTTGATTAGATATTTGCACAAAGCGTGCATAAGCGTTGCATAACCGAAGCCGACCGATCGCATTCATGTCGGAGAGACAAAGGAGGGCTGGGATCCAAAGAAGCACGAATACATATGCCTCTGATGATGAAAAATTCAAGACATGTGTTTGAATGTGTGATGAGATGTTAGTTAAGAGAAAGAGGTTGCAGCAGGTGAGACGGGCTGGAGTTGGGCGAGAAACAGTAAAGTCGGCAGAGTTGCCTGTTTCAGGCGCTTGATGATCAAGGTGATGGCAAGTCATCGAACGAACAAGAAGCCAAAATTTTTAACCAAGGAACGAGCAAACCATCGGCCGTCGCATTTTCTTTGTTTGGATATATAGCGCATGCTTGACTGCTTGCGCACAGCTGAATGCAAAGAGGCTTTTGTACTTTCTTGAGAGAAATCCGGCCCTCTTCGCACCTTCCTCGACTTTTCCATACATCGACATCGGCCCTTCGCCTCTCTACCAATCCGTCGCGCTCCTTACTATTTCCTTCTCTACCGTGTACCACCCACATTTCACGAATCGCACTATCAGCCCAGGCACGGCGCTACACATCAACCATCAATAGCATGGACGGTCAGCAGAATGGAGAGGCTCGCGTGAAGCGTAAAGAACACCCAAGCTCTTCTCAGGACAGACCTCTGAAACAGCTCAGATCAGATGCTACCGCAGAAGAGCCCGTCAACGGCTTCGAACACGACGACGAAGCCGATGCGCAACCCGTAATGCATGCCGCGACCACTGACTCTGTCGAATGGCAGCGCACCATCGAGACTGTCGTCTCAAAAGTCGTTTCTATCCACTTCTGCCAAACCAGCGCATTCGATACGGACCCGGCCCTGTCGAGCGAAGCAACCGGATTTGTCGTTGATGCTGAGAACGGTTACATCCTGACCAACAGAGTGAGTTGGTCTAGTTCAGCATGTTCAACCCTTGAAGCTGACGTAGTATAGCACGTTGTTGGTTCTGGTCCTTTCTGGGGATACTGCATCTTTGACAACCATGAAGAGTGCGACGTCTACCCTGTATACCGCGATCCTGTTCACGACTTCGGTTTCCTCAAGTTCGACCCTAAGGCCATCAAGTACATGAAGCTCGCCCCTATCGAACTCCGCCCCGACCTTGCCCGCATTGGTGCCGAAATCAGAGTGGTCGGTAACGATGCTGGAGAAAAGCTCAGTATCTTGTCTGGTGTCATTTCAAGATTGGACAGAAACGCCCCCGAGTACTCTGAAGGATACTGCGATTTCAACACAAACTACATCCAGGCTGCTGCTGCTGCAAGTGGAGGAAGTTCGGGCAGTCCTGTCGTCAACGTTGAGGGTTATGCTGTTGCTTTGCAGGCTGGAGGAAGACAAGATGGTGCCGCGACCGACTACTTCTTGCCGTTGGACCGACCCCTACGAGCGCTGAAACTGGTTCAGAAGGGAGAATTCGTCTCAAGAGGAAGCATTCAAACACAATTCCTCATCAAGCCATTTGATGAGTGCCGCAGACTTGGCCTGACCTCTGAGCGTGAAGCCGAGGTTCGCGCCAAGTTCCCCAAGGAGACTGGTATGCTGGTTGCTGAGGTCGTTCTGCCCAAGGGTCCTGCAGACAGCAAGATTGAGGAGGGTGATGTTCTGATCAAGGTCAACGACGAGCTTCTCACACAATTCGTTCGCCTGGACGACATTCTGGATTCAAGCGTTGGAGGCCAAGTCAAGTTGCTCGTGCAAAGAGGAGGTGAAGAGTTTGAAGCTACTATCGACGTTGGCGACTTGCATGCAATCACTCCGGACCGCTACGTCTCGGCTGCTGGTGCTCTTTTCCACGAACTCTCCTACCAGCAAGCCCGATTCTATGCCGTCAGCCTCAAGGACAATGGTGTGTACTGCTGTGAATCCGGTGGCTCTTTCAGATTCGAGGGCTGCGAATTTGGTTGGCTGGTTCAGACTATTGATAACAAGCCTACGCCCAACCTTGACGCCTTTGTTGAGGTCATGAAGGCTATCCCTGACCGCGCTCGTGTCGTGGTCACCTACAAGCATCTCCGCGACATGCACACTCTCAACACCTCCATCATCACCGTCGACAGACATTGGCACAGAAAAATGTCTCTACACGTCAGAAACGACAAGACTGGCCTTTGGGATACGACGACTCTCGCTGAGCAACTCCCTGCCGCCGAACCCCAACCTAAGAAGGCAAACTTCATCCAGATGGCCGGTGCACAACATCCTGCTGCTGTCGACATCGTACGAAGCTTCGTCAGAGTCTCGGTCAGCCTACCGCTCCGCTTGGATGGATTCCCTAAGGGCAGAAAGATTGGCTTTGGTTTGGTCATAGATGCTGAGAAGGGTCTCGTCATTGTGTCAAGGGCAATCTTGCCATATGACATGTGCGACATCACCATCACGGTAGCCGACTCGATCATCGTTGATGGAAAGGTTGTTTTCATGCATCCTCTGCAGAACTACGCTATCTTGCAGTATGATGCCAGTCTCGTACAGGCTCCCGTCAAATCAGCTAAACTCGCCACTACACCTATCAAACAGGGAGAGAGTACCATCTTCTTCGGCTTCAACCAAAACTTGAGACCAGTGGTCGCTAAGACTGCAGTCACCGATATCACATCAGTTGCCATTCCAGCAAGCACAACAACTCCCAGATACCGTGCTGTCAACCTGGACGCCATTACTGTTGACACCAGTTTGTCCGAGCGTTGCGGAAGCGGTGTGCTCGTGGCTGAGGACGGAACTGTTCAGGCATTGTGGATGACATATCTCGGTGAACGCACCCCTAATGGACGCGACCAGTCTTACCACCTCGGGATGTCCACATCCGCTCTTCATGCTGTTGTTGATGACATCAAGAACGGAGACAGACCTCAATTGCGTATCCTCAACCTTGAAACACACATCATGCAAATGAGCGAGGCTCGTATTCACGGTCTATCGCAAGAATGGATCGACCGAGTCGAAAAGGAGGACCCTGAGAGACATCAACTCTTCATTGTCCGCAAGGTCGATTCTGACCATCTTGGTGGTCTGATGGAGGGTGACATCATTCTCACTCTCAACGACCGCCTTGTCACTCGCGTCACAGACTTCGATGTCATGTACAGAAACGAGTACCTCGACGCTGTTATCCTTCGCAAGAGAGAGGAGATCAAGCTCAAGGTTTCAACTGTGCCGACACATGAGTTTGAGACTGACAGAGCCGTTGTCTTCTGTGGTGCTGTCCTGCACCGTCCTCACCACGCCGTGCGCCAACAAATCAAGAAGGTGCACTCGGACGTTTACATTTCTTTGCGCATTGCAGGTTCACCAGCATACATGTACGGCCTCGCCCCTACAAACTTCATTACACACGTCAACGGTGTACCCACGCCAGACCTCGACAAGTTTGTTGAGGAGACCAACAAGATCCCTGACAACACCTACTTCCGTCTGAAGATTATGACTTTCGACAACCAACCTTGGGTTGCCACCATGAAGAAGAACGAGCACTACTTCCCCACCATTGAGTTCTTGAAAGACCCCAACGAGAAGGAGGGATGGAGAAGAGTCACATACGAACATGGCAAGGTCAAGACGGGCCAGGGCGATTTGCCTGAGGCCACTCAAGAAGCTGTGCCTGGTGATGTCGAGATGCCTGATGAAGGGCCGATGGCATAGACTCTTGGGGAAAACTGATTACATAAAGACATTTGCGTCAAGAACGCAATATTTCGGACACAGTAGATATCTTACGTCTACATGATGGAATAAAAGTATTTTAATTCAATCCAGCCATATTTTAGACAAGATCTTGTAATGTAAAGTGAACCTATCTGCTCGAAATTTAGCAAGCACACAACTGGGATCATAAAAGACAAAATCGCATGTTGATTCCATCGCCAGCTAATACTTCATCGGGTAAGATATTTCAAGATCAAATGCAATAAACGGCAAATTCATTATATACATCTAAACATCAGCCTAAACTCGCACAGTCAAACGTTTAGGAAATAACTACTGAGCTTAATCAGTCTTGACGGTCTCAATATCCATCTCCTGCATATTTCTATGGAACGACGCTTTAATCGCCGTCCCCACAGCATCCACATACTTCGACTTCTCAACCTCCAAGTCCAAACCATGGAAGTCTTTACCTTCCATATCGTTATCAGCATGCACACTGATATACCGATGTCCCATCATCAGCGCTAGATTTCTATACCCTCTGTGTGGTAGGTTATGCGGTAGGATCTCTACTACAGTGCTTGAAGGAGCATCAGGCCTCGCAGGTAAGAAGAAGAGATGTGTCATTGCGGCTCCATGTACACCGACGAGGATTTGGTGGTTGTGTACTATACGGACTTGTTCGGCGAAAGTGTACTCGCTGAGGTCGCGGACGTTGAAGACGACGCTTGGGTACAGTTTCTTCAGAGCAGCGAGTTTTCCTTCGAGGTCGTCGATGCGGCGGGTTTTGGCGCGTTTGACAATGAGCACCTGAAGCGGTTCGGAGGTTTTCTGTGGCCATTTTGGAGGTAAGACGGAGAGGTCCATTTCTTTTTCGTCGAGGGAGGGTGTGTCGCTGGTGATGGCGTTGTAGTGGGTTAGTACGCGATCACTGAAGACACGGCCGAGATCGGAATTGCTGCAGTGGTGTGGATCCCAAGTTCCTTCCCAGAAAGGATTTGAATTGCCAGGAAGAGGAAGAACAAGACGATCGAAGAATTCGAGGTCTTCTTGGTCTTCGGCTTGTGCGTTGTCCTTGGGGTCTTCGGAGAGTTTGAGGGTTGGGTTACGGGTAGGGTCTGAGAAGAAGTCCCAGAGATCGAAGTAAGGACCTTTTTTGTGGCCATCCACTACAATGACTTGGGTGTTCGCCTTGTCGACTTCTGGGCTATAGTAGGCTGCTCCTTTGTCTTCGGCATGGGGTGAAGTGCTCATGGACAACACATCCAAAGTCATGTAGTAACTCATCAGCTCCACAAGATTATGCCACGTATTAGCAGCACTGCCATGTGGAGACCCAGCACCTTCGCGTCTCGCAACAACACCAATCTTCTTTCTTTCCGAAGACTTCTGTTCACGGCTCTTTTGCAATCTTTCCGGGTCCTTAAGTCCAATATGTTCCTTGAAGATATACTGCAGACCCGTCCACATCATATACTCTGGAAACACTTTATAAAACGGATTTTCGGTGTCGTGAGCACAATCCATGTAGAACTTTCTCTTGCGGCGATTGAATGCTACATTGGAAGCAATACACAAGGTGTCCAGTCTGCCCTTGACTATGCGTGTCGAGAAGCACTCTATCGTTGATGTGCTTCCATTTGGATCGCAGAAAGAAGTGCGATTGCGGCTTAGATTGTAGAGGTAGGCGGGAGAGAAGAGAGCAGCACAAAACTCATCTTGTTTCGGCCGTGACGTGTATGCTTCGGGCAATGGAAGCACAGTAGGCGCAGGGATCGAAGCAGGAGGATCTGATACCACAGAGTCCGAGGGAGGAGGATCGGATACCTGAAGCCCAGATTTTAGCAAAGATTGATCCTCGCCATATGAGTGTAACCATACCTCAGGTTCCCCATTCTGTTTGGCATCATATAGTGTTGTAAATGACTCGATATTTTCGCTGATGTGTAGCGAGTTGCGAAAGTAGAACAGGGACAAGAAAATGATAATTGCTCCAGCAAGAATGATGCGCGTATGCGCACGAGTCGGTAGTATCATCGTGTAAGGAAATGATGCTTCTATTTCACAAAATCGATTTCACATGGGCAATCGCATTACAAGAAATATCAAGACATGAGAAGAATAAGGAGAGGGAGAAAAGGAGAGTAACACAAACTCATTTCCACCTCCTTTGAGAGAGGTGGGCTGAAGTACTTACAGTATGCACTCATACGATCCCTTGCTGCTAGATTCAGCCAAGCTAGCAGCCACATGCACCTATTGAGGTCCTGTAGGGTTTCGAGCGATGAGCTGAGTAGACGACTAGTGGCTGAGAAGAACCAAAATCACCTAAGGGGTAGATGCAGTTGATAGAGAGGACCAATAGAAGTTGTCGACGTAGCTGCACCGGTAGAGGTATCAGCTACCGGTACTATCAGTGTCTGACAGCAAAGCAAGCAACACAAGCTTTTCTATGCGGCTATTTAGGGATTCAGCTGAGATGTTTTCTGCAGCCTATCACCGATACAGCAGCGAAGGATCTGGATCGGAACATGGTGCGGGCGCCCTCTGTCGTGGTTTAGATACGTGAGACTTGCGTAATTCAAGAAAGAATATAAGACCGCATTCTCATCATGGCTGCAAGGAGTCTGTATCTTCGAGCTGATGGTGCGAACAATGGAATGCTTGGGGAATGTCGATTTCCGCATACCTAACTAGGTGGGGGTCGATGCTGGGGGTACCGTTACGCAAAACGACTTCAGCTCCTACCTAACCTCTTCCCACAACGTGTTTCAGCAGATGATTGCCCGCTAGCATCACATCGAATAATGCTGCAAGAAACACATACGACGTTCCAATTTACAGTTTTTGACATCTTTATATCTTGTGTCCTCGTATCAAAGAAAAGAGAAAAACTGGGAGGAAAAAAAATCAATCCTCGCGGACGACCCTGTTCAACGCGTATGACGCGTAAATAACCTGTTGAACAGCCCAACCACATACCTCTTCCTGGCTATCCAAGCATACAGGAGACAGCCACTGGATTCAAGCAGCTTTTGACGGTCTCGTTATCCATCTCCTGTACTTCCTTGTAGACCTCCTTCGACAGACCACAAAGCGTGAGGTAATGACCCAGAAGGTTAAGTTGTTGCGGTTCCGTGCCCATTCGATCTACCTTGAGCAACAAGCATTGGAGTGTTTTACGCGTTGATCAAGCGCCATGCTGGCCCGAACGCTCCTGCTGATCCAGACGCAAATCTTCGTCCATCGTGGTAAGGTTGTTTGTCACAATCATCTCGAAGAGCACCTTATCTGTATCCTCCTCAACGCGATAGTCCCAAGGGTAACCGTATTTTGAGAAGAAGTCGTGGTTATTAATCCGGAAGCCAAGGGGCTCGCTCGCGTCGACGGTGATGTGTTCAGAAACATCGTCTTTTGCCTGGATGAGAGCATGCTGAAGATAATGGTTTGCGTGCTCGGCTATGAAAGGAGTGTACCGAAAGCTGTGAAGAGGGAAGATGAAGTCTGAGGTGGCGATCGAATGAAACACCAAAACAGATGGGTCGACATTCTGGTACTTGGCGCGCTTAACTGCTGCGAGGTCCACGAGCCATGAGTTCCAGACATACAGTATGAGCTTCCATTCTTCGGGTGCGAACATTTCTTGGACGAAAGGTGGGATTCTGTCGGGGAGATTCCTCAGTTTCCTCAAGACAGAGCCGAGGAAGCCCAGGTGACGCTCAAAGGCCGAGGCCCAAAGACTCATGCCTAGGCGGCTGTCCCTGAAGCTCATGCTGAGACAGATGTCGTTGGAGAAGAATGGGTTCTTGTCGAGGATCCAATTGAAGAGCGACTTGTCGCGCAGAACACAGGTGATACGCAGGTACAGTAGCGTAAATTTCTGAATGGCAATTGGTGGAACTTCTGATCTGATGAATTGGACAAGCCTTGCCTGCGTACCTTCCAGGGCGCCATAGTAGTGGATCCAGTGAAGTAAGCCCAGGACGATACGAGTCACAAGAAGGCTACGCGTTTCCTCGTCACGCATCTCCTCGTGACAGTCTAACAGAAGATGGTCAGTCTCAACAGGGAACCCACAAATAATAGAGAAGCCGAGAAGATTGACAGTAGAAACCTGGTCGAGGCATAGGTTACAAAACAACGTGTCGTATTCTCTGACGAGACTGGGCTGAAGGAAGGGTCGGTTTGCGCCACGTAGAATCGCCCAGGCTGCCCTGGCTCGAAGCTCAGGGTCTGTTGTTGCTGTCTTGGACAAGATGTTAGTTGAAGTCCGTTGTAGTTCGAGTCTAGAAGCATATTTACCTTGCCCACTAGGAAGTCGTGTCCGTCGTCACTGTCCACCTCAACTTCGAAACGTTTCATGATAAGAATTGTACCATCGCTACCAAGGCCTTGGCCTATGACTTTGTTGTGGAGCCATTCTGGTTTGAGATTTGTCTCGAAATACTGAGAAACTGCTCTGAGCCTGGCGCTCGATATGCGCATATCTGTCGTTTTAGGGTCGGCTGGCGACGTTGATGTGAGCATTGAGATCACGACATCTCCGTTGGGATCGTGAAAGCAGGATGGGAGTTTGTCGCGTGCCATCGTGAATTGAACATGAACCGATCGCGGCTTCTTGCGCAGATTAGAGTGAATGTGGGCTGAATATTTGTAGACAGAGTGACGAATTTGATTCGCGTCTTGAATAATGCATCAGCTCGAGTGATACGACTAGCTGGTGTCGGAAGCAACTAGAATATTGGAGACCATCGGGTCGTTTGTTGCTTCGTATACAGGTACCCTGGACAAGACAGCATGTCAAACACGACCAAGATCTCCTTATCAGCTAGTCTCGGATTGCTCGACTTTGTTTTGCCAAGGAGGTTCGCCATCATCATCGAACTCTGCCCATTTGAAGAAAGTGCAACCTTTTTGACCTGGTGTATAGCCAGCATGACACATCCACATGTAGCGACCCAAGTTTTCAGACTTTCTTTGTACACATCGGAGTACAGTTGGTATGTTGCAGTGGCATTTGGGCGTAAATTTTGGATGAAAACTAGGTTTGTAGTATCTGTAGGTAATGTTGATCCGTTTGTTACCAGCGATTGGATGCGGGTCAATGGCGGTGGTTGGAACAATGCTGTGTTTCCATTGCTCTTGCATCTCGGCGTGCATGACAAGCAGGGAGTTATGAGGCAAATGAATGGAGATTTGGCCTTGTGAATCTGCTGTGCTTGCATCGTCTGAGTCGCTCGTGTCTTTGGGGACAATCTTGCGGACGCGGAATTCACGAGCCACACCCAGTGAGAGGCTTCCAATGACAGCACGAGGGCCAAGATAGGTCAGCTGGTCAGAGTGATATCCAACACTCTGCTGAGGTCCATCATAGCAATTCACAAAGGCAGTATTTGGCTTCCACTCTTTGGGATCTTGGTACCGCAGTTTCTCACCATCAGGGTAGTACTGAGCAATTCGACGCTTGATCTCATCGTTGACAGCTTGACACACCTTTGTTGCTGCAAACAGCATTTTTGAGGGCGTTTGACGAATGTCTTTGATCCTACTGCCATTGTAGACGTATGTGGTCTTTTGCTCTTCAACCTCCTTCAAGCTGTCGACATAGAATGACATTGTATGAGGACTCTCGACGGTACGATCAAAGAGCTGGAATGTTTCCTTCTCAAACGTCTTTGACTCATCCAAGAGTTCTTCAAGCAAGGAGTTAGCTTCCTCGTTCGAGAGAAAGTTGTGGATGATAGAACACGGTGTATGTGTCTCAATATCCTGGGGACTATACAAGAAAAGAGTTTTGCCTTTCTTAGTGAGGTTCTTGTTCAAAGGTGTTTCGCCACTAGCAGAGCGAATCAAACTGGTCAAAGTAGATTGATGACCCACGGTTTTGGCTTTTTTGGGATGACCCGAGGAGACGGCTCTATCTGTAGCCAGGGTCTCGGAAGCAAGGTCAACTTGGCCGTCGGAAGAGAGCAAGGCTTCAAGCAAGATGTCTTGGGCGAGATGGGGATGCAGGGATGCAAGCACAGCAAGTTTGAAGTCGGTGCTGTCCTCATGATCATCGTCTTGATTGATTCGGACAGAGTAAGGAGATGCATCTGCATTAGTAGAAATGCGTCTTCGCTTCTTGGAGATGAAGGTATCCATGGCTCAGATACTCTGCGAGCGGCATGGTGTTCACGATCTGGATGCTAGAGATGCAGCTGCACGAACAGTACACGATGCGCTTTGACGGACGCTTTGAAGAAGGACCGAGCGAGCGGGTTGGTGCACGGTCCTTCGGCCTGGTGTTCGGGTCCTCGGCGATTCGGCTGTCGGGCAAAGATGAATTGCTTGCAGCGGAAGGTGCGTCACGCAGGCAAGTGCCTGTGGAGCAGCGAAGGTGGGGTGTGTTAAGGTGTGAACAACAATATCGTCTTGTCTTTGATATCCATACCATCCCTCCTTCTCGATTCCTGCTCGGCCTGCAGACAAGGGATGCACTCGCGATAACACACTCGATCCAAGTACTCCGAGTGCTTCCCCCACATCTCTCTATCGTCCATTAACCATCCGTCAGCCATGCTCGAGTTTCGGACGGCAGGCTTCAATCCGTACGCCGTCAAGTACTCGCCCTTCTTCGACAGTAGGCTGTGTGTAAGTGCTGGTGCCAACTTCGGTCTGGTAGGCAATGGCCGCCTCTTCATCCTCAACTTGACGGACCGCGGCATTGTCTGCGAGAAGTTCTTCGAGACTCAAGACTGTCTGTTCGACACAGCTTGGTCGGAAGCCCACGAGAACCAGCTCTTGACTGCCGGCGGAGATGGTAGCGTCAAACTCTTCGACATCAATCTCAGCCAGTTCCCCATTGCCAGCTGGTCTGAACACGGCCGAGAGGTCTTCTCTGTCCACTGGAACCTCGGCCACAAGACAACTTTCTTGAGTAGCAGTTGGGACGGCACCGTCAAGATCTGGAACCCCGAATCCAAGACATCGCTCCTCACACTCCCCGTACATTCGTGCGTCTACTCGGCCCAGTTCTCTCCCCACAACCCCGACATCGTTACCGCCGTCGCCAGAGACTCACACCTTCGCGTCTGGGACCTTCGAACCCCCGCCAGTGCCTCCAACCACTTGACCCTCGCCATACCGATCCATGCTCCTCCCAAGATGACCCCTATGAACTTCACACCTACTAGCGTTGGTCCCACCGAATGCCTGACACACGATTGGAACAAATACAGAGATACAATTGTCGCAACAGCTGGTGTTGATGGCATGATACGCACCTTCGACATCAGACAACCCAGCGGCCCTATGGCTGTCTTGCCAGGTCACGAGTATGCTGTTAGAAAGATCAGTTGGAGTCCACACTTGAGCGATGTGCTGCTTAGCGCCAGTTATGATATGTCATGCCGCATCTGGACGGATGGCAGCGCGATGGGTGTGGATCATTCAAAGATGGGTATGCCCACAGGACAAGGCGCTCGCGAGATGGGCCGTATGGACCGTCACACCGAATTTGCAATGGGTGTTGATTGGTGTCTCTTCGGCGCAGAGGGATGGTGCGCCACCTGTGCTTGGGACGAAAGAGTATTGGTCTGGGATGTAAGGGAGTTTATGAGGCGATGATACGATAACTTCCATCAAGCCTCAAGGGTTAAGGCCAACTAACAAAGGGTATCGAATAATATACACCCCTTAACTCCAGCCATGACGACCCTTCGATGCACCAATACACACGCTATGCAGAAACCGATTTTGCTTTTGCTGGAACAACAAACTCTTCGTCGACTGGGGATGCGATCAAATCTAGGGAGCTCTCATCCTACGAGAGTCCCACTGGTCGCGCTCCGCTCAGCCTCACAACTCCGCCTCCAAATGCAGGTCCGCTGGTCTCCAACTTCCAGCCAGGTACCTCGTCATCCGCACGTGCTTCGATGGTTTTCCAGGCGTTTGGGAAGCCAGCTGCTAATGCGCCCTTAAGCTTTGCACCTTGAATAGCGAACTTATCTCTCGCGAAAGAGATATAGCCGCCAAGCAGGCCTTGGTGGATCAGTGCCGTCATTTTAGAATGAATGTTGTTCATGTCAGGCAGGTCGAGAGCATCCTCACCAATTGGCTCATCGACAATGCCGACAAAGTCCGGGTCGATGTAGTTGTCGGGTTGAGAGGCTCCAGGCAATGTAGCGTAGACGGTCTCTTGCCAGCGAAAGATGGCTAGCACATCCTTCAAGTCGAAGGTGGGTGCCTTGCGAGCCCCTGGGTTGCCAGGATCGCCGTGTAGAATAAATGTCTTTCGACAGATAGACCTCCAAACGAAAACTTCACACCTGTTTCTCAACTGCAAGTCCAGCCTGTAGCCCGAGAACCATGCGTAATGCTCAGAGCCATAATCCAGATGTCTTCTGAAGCCCACGATATCGCCCTTTGCAATATACTTGCACAACGGCTGAAACCTCTCTCTCAACCCATGCGCCTCTGGTCTCGCAAACATCTGCTCAGACGGAAACCGTCCACAAACCATATTTGCCGAAATCAGGAAAATGAGAATCAAGCGGCGCTGCTGCAAACACTGACCATGACATTCCTTCCACGCCTGTTGCAATGCCTTTTGCGCACGATACGCATGTCCATTCGCCCACAAAAACCTGCCCAAATAATAGAGATACGTTACTCTTTGAGCCTTTGGATAAGCACCCAATGGCGGACTTAACACAAAGATGTTCTCAAAGATTTGCGCTGCGCCTCTTGTTTTGCGGCACGCGAATAAAATCTTCAGACATAGGTTTGCGAGGACGTAGATACCGCGTTTTTTGCCTTCGGGGGTGCCGGTTTTGTCGATGCCAGAGGTAGAGGTGCCGGAGCGGTCGTTGAGACATGCTACAAAAGCATAACGAATGATGTTTGCAGCTCGCTCTGGAAGGGTTTCGCGGGGGCCTGAGTCGTCTCCGCCAGAAGAGGCGGTTGTGAGGTGAGCAATTAGTTCTGGTTTTTTGTCGAGGCCCATGGCGAGGCGGGCGAACATGCGTGAGTAGGAGATTACGGTGTCGAGGATTGTTATGCCGTGGGTTTGGTTTTGGAGGGCTGAGTTTGCTTTTCTGTTGGTTTTGGTGGAGTCAGTGACTGTAGATGTCTCGTTGAGAGCCTCTTCTTTATGGCATCTGTTTCTTGTGAACTCTCTTGTGATGTCGATGAGATTCCCAAGCACCATCGAATATCCCATCAACCACAAATCATCAAGAAACCAACAACCCATCAGAATCCCCCCACCAAAAAGAAGAAACAAAAACTTACTGCAAAACCTCACTCAACAACCCAAAAGTCTCTAACAAATTCGCGACATCCACATCCCTCAGAAACCCAAAATACAACACCATAAACCTGCTAAACGCACTCCAACTAGCAACATCCACATCATCTCCTCCATCAATAACCTTTACAGCTTTGGTGATTTTCTTTTCTAGCGCTGTGTCAGAGTCATGATTACCCTTAGGGAACGCCTTTCGCAGTTCGTTGATTATGGTGTTGTAGGAGGGTGCGTAGGGAGGTTCGATGACCAGGTATTGGGATAGTTGGGATGAGTCCTTGGAGAGAGTGATGCGGTTTATTTCGGAGAGAAATTGGTCTAGTGTTGGTGTTGCCATGGTAGTTTGTAATGAGTTGAGGCGCGTAGGTTGATATTCGTACGAAGTTGCGTTCTGGACCTCATGTCGCGCCGCAGTTCGAAAGTCGCATGCGGCTCTGGGAAGGTGGTGGTCTGTGCACACATGTCCGCATAGAGGAAATATCGATCAACCATGTCCATGAGTAGTTTATATTGATTTGATCGATGTCAAAAAAGTTTTCTGAATCGGTGTGTCTTGTGGTGAGACATGTTTCTCACGAATGAAGAGCAATTCATAGATGAGTGGAAATCGGCGCATTTCTTGCTACGTTCATATGTTTGTCTACGTACATTAACATTACTGGCACTAGGCCTTCGTAATGCTCTCATAAAAACCAATAAAAATGGAAAACTTCAGCGAACGACAGTAAAAACACAGAGTTGAAAAAGACAACATCTTTCTGATCAAAAGCGTGTCCAACATCGAGAAAAGAAGAACAAGGAAAATCGACAAGAACGAAGTAGGGTATTTAAAAGGCGCGCGTGTTCTCCTTATGCCGGTTCGCTGCATTTCTCGCTGCTCTAATCGTCTCTCAAGAGCTGTATCTCATATGCCTGCGTCGCTGGCTAGTATTGAGAGCAATGTTCATTAAAATTAGAGGGCCTGGCCAGGAACTGGCTTTCTGGTAGGCACACCGAGAGGCGTGGATGGAACAGAGCCGATCGTTGACTTGGCGGCACTCGATGCAGTACCCATCGAAGCACTACGACTGTGGACATCGGCGGCTGAGGCTGCAGACTGCTGTGACTGTTTGGGAGCCTTGGTCGGAGAGGCATCGGCCGAAACGCTTCTTTGTTGTGACCTTTGCTGCTCGGCTAGCGTTGGAGACGATGGCTTTGAGGGAGCCATCGAGGGACGGCGTGCTTGCGATGCAGCAGAGCCTTGAGATGAAGATGAGTTTTGACGAACTTTAGCACCAGCGATGGGTCTGGGAGGAGGACCCATGGAGCCAGGACCAGCACGAGGGCCGTTCTTTGCAGGAGGAGGACCCATTGGCCTTGGCTTCAATGGCGCCTTTGACAGACAGGTTCTGGGAGCGACACCTTGCTGAGATCGGTCCATACGAATGCAGAGAGCCTGGTTCACGTTAGCATATGATATCATGTGTCAGTCATGGATCAACTTACCCAACCATCGTCGTACTCGTGTAGGACTCTGACAATTTGGCCGACCTTCAACTCGAGCTCATCATCCATAGATGGCTTGAATTCAAGCTGAACACGGTGAACGGTGCTGCCAGGAGGATCGGCAATGGCAGCGCCCGAAGCGGCGCCTGCCAGAGCAGCTACAGGGACAGCAGCAGCCGTTCCCACCTCAGCGGGAGTTGCAGGAGAGCTGATGTTGAAGTTGGCTGCAGTAGGGCTAGGCACGGGACTTCCTTGAAGCTCGACAGGTGGGCTGAGAGAGCGTTCTTCAGGAATAGGTGAGATGACATCCCTTGACTGGGACTCGACGGTCTGAGCGTGAATACCGAAGGGGTTGGCGGGGTCGCTGTGTTTGGCCATGACACCAGCAGCTGCTCCAGCCGCGGCCTTCTCGGCGTCACCAAGAACACTAGGCGACCATTGAGATGTAGGGCGGTAACTCAGGCGCGGTGCCGGACCAGTGCTTCGTGTCTGAGCAGGAGGTTGAGGGATAGTCATGGTGCTCGGACTTTGGCTGACGAAGCCCTTCTTCTCGTCATCGAGTCTCTCCATACCAATGGCCTGCTTCTGTTGAGCCTTCTTCTTGCGAATGAGGAAGTAGGCAAGACCAGCCAGGGCGCCGATAGCGAAGATAACCACAATAGCGATGCCGGCCTTTGCGCCTGAACTCATACCACTGGAAGCTGCATCTGCAACTGGTGTTGCTGAGGCTGAGCTCGAAGATGTGGCTTCAGCTTTTGCGGCAGATGAGATTGATGAAGAGGCGATTGTAGAGGATGCAGCAGCAGATGAGGTGAGGACAGCCAATGAGGATGAGACTAGTGATGATGGCCATGATGATGAAGTGGCAGAAGACAGAGTGTTGGCAGTCGACTTTGCAGTAGGCGACAAGGTACTTGTGACTTTGGCAGAGGATGTGGATGTGGTGCTGGTTCTGGCAGTTGGTGATGGTTGCTTGGCATTTGCTGAGGTTGTGTTGTCTTCATCATCGTTGTTGCTGGCGGCAGTAGATTTAGCAGCTGCCTTTGCAGAGGTGGTGGTTTGGGCTCCAAGAGTGACAAAGCCAGCGGTAGGTCCGGAGAAAGTAGCAGATGCTGTCACATAAACAACCGAGAAGACAGTTGCAACATTATCATTGACTTCTTTGACCTGGGCACGTTTGTCGAGAGAGTCGTCGAGAACATTGACTTCGTAGGCCGGAGGATCATCGCGCTTGGAGAGGTGCGGCACGTGGCGGTGAGGTTTGATATGCATCGCGAGAGAAAGAATTGATTAATGTTGGTATAGGCTGTTGGTTAGTAGTCGATGTTTGCTGGTGTAAAGGAGTGAAACGTCGACAAGTCGACAGGATAATTGAAACGAATGTGTGGATGGACGGTCGCCTGCGTAGAATCGACAACAACCAAGAAGCGCAGGCGTGCGCGGCGAGGAATGTTTGGTATATGAGGGTGGGTGACCAGTGACCAGACCGTTCGGCGCGTGATAAACAGAATTAAAATGAGCGAAAGCAGCTTAGCACCAGGCCGATTCAGGAACGTCGATAAAAGAGGGACGACGTTGCAACGACTTGCGAATGCAATTCAGGTCCAAGTCAAGAAGAGAAGAAAAAGAGCAGTAATTACACAACCGCCGTCCAACCGTCGACACTCGGTGACTTGACCACATCCATGTCCTGCGCTGAAGCGCCTCGCAAAATGATGCGACGCTGCGACGACCATCAAAATCTGGAGAAACCGCGCTAGCCTCACGCCAAAACCGCCCGGTCGGACTCCGATTGGCGCGCACTGACCTCATGCAATCTCCTGTTCAATGCCGCGACAAACTTGAGACGACGTCGGTCCCCTATCTTTCCATACAACATGCCCACCACCCTGATCTCGAAAGACTCTGTCAATCAGCCGCGCTGAGAGCAGATCTTTCAATATCCGGTTCAATGCCTGATCCAAGCTGCAACACTTTGGTCTCCTGGTCAGGAACGCCATTCCCAAGGATCGCCCACTCGTAATGTCATAACAACCCGTACGCCAACTCGAACGACCAAAACGTTGCAATCGCAACGTCTCATTTCGTGCGCGCTGTTTATTCTTAATGCACATCACAGCTCGCCACCATGCATAGACGATGAACTACATTTATCCCCCCCTGTAACAGGAGTTCATATGCTCTTGTGAAAGGAGAACTCTCGTTACGCACTCTCTCCCACTCTGGGATCGATTTTGCACCTTCCGCTCCACTGGACCCATTGCTCAGCCACACACGTCGACCCTCTTGTCTCGCTGTCGGACATGTGTTTGACTTGTCACGGCAGCTATATCCGTTCCCTTAACCTTACCATGGTCTCCTAGCTATTCTTGCATACTGTCACCCAATTTGAGTCTACTGACAGGCCTGATCCATACCTTCATATACACAACACATCATTCTGCTCGGCGCTTTGTCTTGCCGCTCTTCCTCCACTACTTCAACCTTCTATAAGAACTTGAAACACCTTGGTCTAACGCAGCCAAGGCTATTCTTGGCTCCCGATCCAGACTTTACTGATCTGCCTTGGGAGACAGGCCACTTCTATTGTTATACACGGTATGCCCCATGTTTCTCTTGCTTGACTGACAAGACCTTACAAATCATTACGGTTGTCAGCACTCACGCTCAACTGCCGTGCTGTTCTTTTTTCTTCTTGAAGAATAAAAGAAAAAAGTTTTGGCTGACACTAACACCCTGCTCCTCAATGAGATCGTCAATCAATATGTCTCTAGGCATCACATCCGGCCAAACCACTACCGTGATACATCTTATTACAGTCTCGATATATTTGAGAAGGGCCGTATGTGTGAGTAAGGATTCTCGTCGTCGATCGTGAGTCAGCGATCCATCCACAGGGGTAAAGCCGTTGAGCTTCTTACACCGACTCTTGTATACCACTTTGCCCCTTACCACTAAGCGAATATGTATTCGCACAATCAAGAAATTGCCTTCTCACGCGACACCCCTCGTTCTCGTGTGCCAAGATTTGTGACCTACGATTGACCCCATCGAACTCCGACTACGACAGACAGTAGAGTATATGCTACAAAAAGGCACAATCTTGTTTGAAGACATGGTGATGCCTACAGAAAATCTTTGCTTTATCGCTTCTCAGTGGACACTACTCTGTGTCTTATTAGTACTGCGCTTGTTTACAGATACACCCGTTACATGCTCTAGCACACGAGGAGGCCATATCACGTATGTACAAGCAATAACACCAAGTCAAGTAAAAAAGAAAAGCAATTTGATTATTCGTTTCTCGCGTTGGGTATCTCTGGAAATGAGTGACTCGTTTTGCACCTCCTTCTCTGGGTGCTTCTTGCAGAATCAGCTGCGTGCACAACTTTTGCTTGTGCTCTTTGAATGCATTAATGACAAAGGAAAAAAGAGCAAAGGCAAAATTAAAGCAAGTGTCCTGCCCTTCTTGTGATGCAGCAAGTAAGAACCTTGTCTGGGAAATGTTTGAACGCGTGGATGACAAAGGAAAGGAAGCAAGGAAAGGAAAAGAAAAGCAGAGATTCATCGGCTCGTATGTCGTGGTTGTGTTCGAGCGATCGTCGTGTCATAGCATAGGCATGCTTGGAGCGCTGAGCGTCGTCGCAAGTATTCTCGAAATGCCTGTCTTTGTCAGCAGACTTCACCCGGAAGATTCCTTACAGAAATGAACGTACTAATGGTTCATTCATTATCTACTAGAAAATGGAGTCATGTGCAGTCGAAGGCAGACGGCCACGAGTGTCCCAGTGCGTTTTGAGAGCATGCGCGAACAGCTTTAGCCGAGCTTCAGGTTGTCCATGAACAACTTCTTGCGGTCCAGAAAGTCCTGGGCACCTTCGGCAATCTCATCCTCCGAGCCAAAGTTGCGGTCGGTGAACGACAGGAGTGATCTGGCGGTTCCCTTGCCCTTGGCGGCGTCAATGCACTGGGCCCAGTACTCAACGCGCACATCGAAGTGCTTGACATGGTTCAGCTTCCACTCGTCACGATACATCAGAGGCATATCGCTGCTGGAAGAGACGTGGCGGTCCATGCGAATGCTTCTCAGGTTTTGGACAGTCAAGAGTCTGTCGAAAGCTGATGAGACTGCTTGCTGCCAGACGGGAAACTCGTCATCTTGCCAGCCGCGCAGAACAATGTTCTGCAGCAGGAGACGGTTGTTGGGACCGATGGTGAAGAGGAACTTTTTAAGAGCAATGGGGTGCTCGAACTCGAGGATCTGACGGTAGAGAATGGAGATTGCTTCGTCATAGATGGTTTTGGACACACGCAAGATGACTGGCTGCAGGTGTGTGATGTCCTCGTCGCTGGGTTTGTGGACTTTCTTCAAGAGAATCTGTCTTCCTGAATTGGGCTTTGGTTGCTTTTTGAGGTAACCACGACGAACTATCTCCTGCCCTGCATGGCCTTGGATGAGAAGGGTAAGGGAGGTGGAATTCTCATTGAGAAGGAGCTTGTAGATCATAAGACGGATCTCAAGCGGAAGCTCCATGAAGGGGAAGGAGGCATCTCCAAGCGGCTGAAGAGGCTTGAACTTGGGCTTCCTGGCGACACGCTTGCGTCTGGGGGCCTTCGCAGAGCAAGGTCAGTAATGGTAAGATTGTGTGGCTCAGTGCTGACTTTACCTTTGGACGAATAAGAGCGTTGATTGCGGGGTTGTTCTGGATGGCAGGCATCTGTGGGAAGACATGGTTCTGAATGGGATGCATCTGTGGGACGATAGGTGCCTGATTGACAGGGTTCTGCTGGAAGACATGGTTCTGATTGCCAGTGTTCTGGACGGCAGCATTCTGCTGGGGCTGGACGACAGGGTTCTGAGGGCCGAGCTGGAAGTGGTGATTCAAGAGAGCGGGGTGAATGGCGGGGTTCTGAGCACCATGCTGGAAGTTGTTGTTCACGAAGGCATGCTGAAAGGCAAGATTCTGGTTGGTGGGCGCAGGTACCTGCGAGCCGTGACCATGAGGATTGAAAGGAGCTTGGTTGGGTGCACCTTGGATAAGTTGTGCAAGGTTAGCTGGCTGGTAGAACTGATACCAGAACTGATTGAAGTTGGACATCTCGCCAAAGGCTCAACGGGCAGGTCGCTGCGCCGGATAGTCTTGATGCTGATGTTGATGTCGAGGGCGACGTAGACGCCGCGTTGGCGACGCGATATATACATCTCTGCGATTCGCGAACACGCAGTTCCGCACTTCGGAGCAAGCTGGCTGCTCGTCACTTGCAGATTCACAGATGACGATTCACCTCAAAGAAATTGCCTAAGAGGTTTGGATATTTGTGGGATGTTTCTTGTTTGTGGACGTGTATTGCAATTAATTTTCCTAGAGAAATGGTATAGACTGAGAGAGGAGAACCACCAGAACTTACGACACCTGCAATTTGCAGGGGAAACAGAGCAAGGTATGGCTCAAGAGTAGAGCTGGATGCAAGCGCAGTGTAATTCCAATTGGACTGGCTGCCCTTAAAGCAGGTGGAGCATGCCTTCTCGACAGAATGCTTGACCTGAACATCCTTGGAAATGACCGAAGTCTGCTTTGCTGGATGCTCCTACTCGGGCATAGGTCTATAGGGGCTGATAGCGGTAGAGAGGCAAGGTTGACCACAAGCCTCGTTGATTTTCCAGAACCATTGATGCAGTCAATATATCAACACAGGCAGAACAGCAGTGTTGCACTGCGTTAGTTCGGCCGGTCGAGTGTTGATGTTCACGGTCGGCCGGGTCCGCATCACGATAAGACGTCAAGTGACGTGAAGGACGGTATGTTTGCTTTTATCCGTAGCGGTTTAGCTTGGATGATTCATGATAATCAGAAGACGATCATTTGTGCTGAAGGAAGAGCGAGGTCCCAGAGCATCATTGAGTAGATGTAGAGGAATGCTTGACAGCATCAGTAATATTGGAATGTCCATTGATGAGTGAAATCGTCTATTGTCGACAAGCAAGGAAGTTGCAACTCGCAGAAGTCCCAAAGCGGGGAGAGGATTTGGTTGGCGAACAAGGCAGGCGCCAAGCGAAAAGTCGGTCGGACAAAAGCCGGCACACGAATTTGACTCGACTCCGCACCTGCCGCTTCTTTCGACGTCTTTGCGAGCTTTTCTTTCTGAGCGAGAGCGACGGCCATCCATCACTAACGACAGCAACCCTCCATACCCGTCAAAATGTCAGTATCATCGAACCGCCGTCCGGAGAGCCCGTCGATATATCACACTTGAAAAAACCTCGTCGTCCTGCGCCATCCACACCTTCACCTGTCGCCACCTCTTATCAGCGCTCCTCCGGGCGGCAAAATTCATCACACAACATGACCCAGCATAACAGGCACTGACATGCGTCTGCTACAGGGTCAACCTTCGCACCCAGAAGCGCCTGGCCGCCTCCGTTGTTGGCTGCGGCAAGAGAAAGATCTGGCTTGACCCCAACGAGGTCAGCGAGATCTCCAACGCCAACTCCCGCCAGACCATCCGCAAGCTCGTCTCCGATGGCCTGATCATCCGCAAGCCCGTTACCATGCACTCGCGCTCCCGCGCCCGTGAGCTCAACGCCGCTCGCCGCCTCGGTCGCCACCGTGGTTTCGGTAAGAGAAAGGGTACCAAGGACGCCCGTATGCCCAGGTATGGCTGCTCCACAACCGACCACAGCCTCGAGAGCAGACACTGATTGTCTGCTTACAGCCAAATCGTCTGGATGCGCCGCCAGCGCGTTCTCCGTCGCCTGTTGGTCAAGTACCGTGCCTCTGGCAAGATCGACAAGCACCTTTACCACGAGCTCTACCACCTGAGCAAGGGTAACACCTTCAAGCACAAGCGCGCTCTCGTTGAGCACGTACGTCCAACCCGACCTACCTTCGCATACTCACTTTCTTCTAACACATATCACAGATCCACAAGGCCAAGGCCGAGAAGGCTCGTGAGGCCAAGCTCAAGGAGGAGATGGACGCCAAGCGTGCCAAGACCAAGGCCGCCCGCGAGCGCAGACAGGAGCGTGTCGAGCAGAAGAGACTCGCCTTCGCTGCCGAGGACGAGGAGAAGAAGGCATAAACGAGATAATGTCACGGCGTGGCTTGATGATATTCGAAAAAGGCACAAGTCCGTTACGGCGGTACTCTCGGTTCGATTGGTGTTCTTCCTTCGTGGGCTTACGTTCTGGCGTGCGAAACATACCGGGGACCGACTGGATCAGTGCAGGCATCAGTTTTGCATGTACATCGGTTTTATGCAATGAGGGCAATGTGATCCAAAAACTTCTTTTTTTCTTTGCCAAAAATACCACTTGTGTTTCCTGTTCATCACTGCTCATCAAGGTATGAATCTAGATTGTTGATGACTCGTGGGTTTGAGCCTTGTATGTCTTGCATGTCCTAGCCCTTATCTCCTATGTCAGAATCACTCTAATCGTTCTTACTAATCTGAATACCATCACGGTCGTACCAGCGTCTTTCATTACTGAGCTTTAGTAGGGTAAATCAGGTACATGATCTTGCCTCAAGGAATGTTGTTGTCTCAAGCTGTAGTTTTGCATATTTAATGCGTCCAATTTGGATCTTCCAACGGCTATCCCCAACTTCATCAGACCTCACAAATCTTTGGTTCCTAGGCTTTCAACTCTTTAAAGCTCAGTCAATTGCAGCATATCTGAACTCAGTAAGCATTTCTGAACATAAGGCAGGTTATCAACGGGGCATGAGAAACTAATGTGTGTGAAGTACGTATTGGTCAGGTCAACGCGATGCATAAACAGCTTTTTGAGCAAAGCTCGGGACACGGCTCATTGCGCGGCATTTCAATTCACTACCAACAATTTTCGGAAGTCATCAATCACCATTCAGCGCCTCTCCATCACGCTGCCTAGTTTCATCATCCACCATACTTGCCGAAACAGATCTAAACAGACTCGAGAGGCAGCTTTCTGACTTCAACCTCGCAACAAAGACACGCCAAGATGCGCTCGACGAACTGACTCTCACCTACGGCAAGCTGCTCGAGGATTACCGGATCCTGCGCAGTGACTACGAAGAGGAAAAGGAGTCTCGCGAGAAGTACAAGAAGCTCGCTCGAGGTCAAGACAAAAACCCCTTTGTCCTTGTCTTGATCGATGCCGATGGTTATGTAGTAAGTCGCTGACACTTTGTATTTCATCAATTCGTCCGGCTGTAAATGTCATTTGTGACAGCTTTCATACCTTCCCGGCGATTGCTGTTCGCTTAGAAAACAGCCCCTGGTTTTTGTGTTATACTGACCAGAGGCAGTTCGAAGACTCTCTAATCAAAGGCGGTGCTGAAGGTGGCATCAGAGCTGCCAATATTCTTCACGACACTATTCAAGACAGGCTTTCACGACGCGGCCATGAGTATGAGAACTGTAAAGTCATGGTCCGCGCCTATACCAATCTCGCTGGACTGTCCAAGACACTCGCGCGTGCAGGCCTTGTTGGACACGAGGCACGATCCCTGAGCCCTTTTTGTTCAAACTTTACACGCGCGCATGATCTCTTCGACTTCGTCGATGCAGGCGATAAGAAGGAGAATGCGGACAACAAGATCCGTGAAATGTTCCGCCTCTTCGTGGAAAACAATCAATGTAAACACATCTTCTTTGCCGGATGCCACGACACTGGTTACTTACCCCTTACATCTCAAAAGAGAAGATTACCCGAATTCGTGGTTCCTCGTTCAGTCCTGAATTCAATCGCCTTGGACTTGATATTGACAGTCTTAATGGTCTGTTCCACAACAACCCCCTGGATAGTCTCGATGCTCGACGAATTATTTCCAGGACTCCAGTAGCACATTCGCAACAAAGTATCATGCCTAACGGGCACTCCGGGGCGGTCTCTAACCATACACCCGTCTGTACGCACTATCTTCGAGGCATCTGCAAGTTTGGAAGTGGCTGCAAGAAATGTCATAGCAGTAGTAAAGATTCGTGGCGCTCGAATGATTACACCGCTGGACGAGATTCCGCGCAGAGAGATCCCACTCAAGCCTCCTTCTTCCGATCATCTTCAGATTTCGGAACCCCAATACCAAGCAATGAAGACATCGGTGCTCCTCAATCGAGCATTGCTCTACCACATAGATCTGCTACTATTCAGGCTTTTCCTTCCTCCTTGCCTGCCACATCCTTTGCGCACCCCTCCAGCTGTCTACCGAAACAAACACCAGAAAATGCCAATCTTATACCTATCAACAGCATCGGACACAGATTGGACTTTTTGCTACCAACACCATCCAGCGAAGACTGGAAAGCCTACAATGCTCGAATTGCTCCGCCTAACAAAAAGCTCTGCAATGAGTATCAACTCAAAGGATACTGCACAAAGGGAGACAGTTGTGGCTGGGATCATAGCTCTATCCCAGATAACATCAGGCTTGTCCTCAAGCACTTTGTTCATAGCTATCCGTGTGGCCGCAAAGGAAACTGTCGCCTGAAGAATTGTAATATGGGCCACATCTGTTTCCGGGACAGATGCGACACCACAAAAAAGCACGGAACCTGTAGGCTCAACTACACCATGCATGAAATTGATCCTGTCGTCGCCGATTGGGTGCCGGCCGAATCGAATATCGAAGTCTATAACCCCGACTCCTTTGGCATGACATCTGGAGAAAACAATCACAGCGAGAGAGATGGCCTATCGCGTGCAGTCAGTGAGGCACCTCAGAATGAGAATGATATCGACCCACTCTCTTACACGGAGCCTCATCCAGATGATCTGGACTAGAAGTCAAAGTCAAGGTCATGACTCCTACCACTTATGTTCGAAACTTCAATTGAGATCGTTCTTGTGGACGTATACTGCAACCTACAAATAGCAGCTTTATCGGGAGTTGTTCATTGGAAATGTATCAGTATCGAGAAAAGCAATTGACTTGGTTTCGGATACAATTCGAGTATGGAAAAAAGGTACGAAAGATACATACACCGGAGACGCGAGAGGGGAACAGAAAGTGACAAGAAGAATCTTCAATTGAGTGAGCCGCCAGCAAGCACAAAGACTTTCAGATCTGGGACGAATAGGAAGGCTCGATCGGAGAGGAAACTGTGCAAGTTATGTACGACTGCGTTGAGGAAGGAACTCGTTGCTAAGAAGATAGATAAACACGAACATCAATTATTGTGTTTACATTCGCTCCTTCTATGACCTCGAGGCACAGGCAAGTCCGCCCGACTGACCGCTCATGCGATTTAAAGCTTGCTCAATGGAACAGCCCTCTCCTTTCCCTTCCACTTCTTGACACCTTCCAACCACTTTCCATCCAACTTCTGCCTGCCTGTAGCATCCTTCTTCAGCCACTCCTCGTCAAACGTAACCTTTTCCAGATCTTTCCAAATTTTGATCTCTGCGTCCAGCCAATCAGACACTTTCTCAGCCGTCTCTGCAATCTTCTCAAAACACAAGAAGTGACCCGTGTCTTCTACAAAATCTTCCTTGACCCTTCCCATCTCAGCGCCACCAGAGCCGTTCCAGCCTGTGCCTGTTCTCTTCATCTTCTCGCGTCTTTCGACTGGGTCCATGGTGTATGAGTTTTTGCCATACAACCAAAAAACAGAAGGTCGTAGGTGCGGCAAGAACATCCAACAAGTCCTTCCTTCTGACTTGTAGAAGGGCGAGATGTAAGGAGCGCAAGGCCAGAGATCTGGAACAGTAGATCGCGCGAGCGGATCAGGTGCCGCAGACCAATTTCTATCCTCGTAATTGGGTCGTGCGACGGAAAGAGCTTCTTGGTGTTTTGGAGTTGTGAGAGTATAGCCTTGCTCTCCTTGTCCTTGCTCTGCAGAGCTTTGGGGATAGAGTAGGGTAGGCGTGGCTCTGATGCTGTGTTTCATGATCTTTTGCAGTACTCGTTCGTCAAAGGGTTTCAACAAGGCGTTTTTGCGGAAGGCAGCTTCTGCTGCTTGTCGATTGGGCCAGAAGTCCTTTCGAATAGATGTCAGGCGTGTCATTGCGATCCATGCAGGCATTTGCTTATGGATTATGATGGCGTCGAGCATGACGATGGAGGTCAAGAGGCGAGGATGCATTTGAGCTAGCAGTCCTAGACATATCGTGCCCATGCTGTGGCCTATGCCGATAATCGGTCGAGTAAAATCTTCGCGATGTGTGTTGATCAAGGAGAGAAGGTCGCGAGCATGGTCGGCATAGTTTGCTATACTCAGCTTGTCAGAATTGTAGTCCTTGACCCCCCATATGCAGATACTTACGATCATTCCCTATCTTGTTCTCATTGAGCACATATGAAGCTCCTTGATGCGCTACATCTGCCATCCATATACTTCGGATGCCGTAACCTGCTTTCTCACTCTGTTGGAGTAGGTCTTCCCAAAATGGTTCGTATAGCTCTTTTGGGAATCCCGACGAATGGGCTGCTAGAATTGTCACATCACCCTTCTGTGGTGTGCGGTTGAGTGGAATGTATTGTTTCGCGCTGAGGTATAGCTTTTCTTCTTGGTATGTCGAGGTTGCTTGAGGATACTCTCTGATGGTTTGACAGGGAGTGTGGTGTTCGATTATCTTGAATGAAGACGACATTGTGTATAGTGTATGTTCAATTAGGAACTAGACTAAAGAAAAGACTGCCTACAAGATCTTTGGGGACGGGTCTGACGTATATACTACCTTTGTAAACAGACATGACATGAATCGACAGAACATCCTGAAGGCCTCATGCAATGCCCTAAATCGAACGACGGGAAGCCCAATCTACGATGTATATGTTGGGGAACCGCCACAAGGCTACAGAGGCCAGATAGAAGATGATAACAAACAGGTTATGATTTGCGGTTGAGCTGCAGACGGAACAAAGACCGTTTCCCCTGCCTGGCAAGTAGTTGTTTCGAACCACTCGTGCAACGAGCTATGGGCCACGGCTTCGTGCATTCGATGAGGAGCAGTGCGTGTTGCGAATCTGTGCGTTGTCCGTATGTGGTTGCAGCATGAGAGTGTTGAACCCCAAAGATGCTTGTTTTTTTGTCAATCGACCGAGATCTTGGATGATGTCAAGGTTGATCGACAGGGTCAAGGGTTTGAGGGAGATCAACTGGCAACTTCAACTTTCAGTGTGCCCGCAGCATTCATTACCTTCAACCTTTTCGTCGACTTGTAATGGTCCTGTCGTGCGTGTGCTAGATAATGTAGATCTGTCAAAAGCCAACGAGTTGAAATCGTGATCGAAGGTTTAGAGAAACATGCGTTGAAGTGGTGGATCGACGCACGGACCGATATCCTGCATCAGATCGGACCCGGTCCAACTATGAAAACGCCGTCCTCAACGACGACGACTGTCCTCCAGAAGATCACTGGCAGAAGCTCACTTTCCGATAAAATACAAATTCAGCTGTTTTGCATCTCGGGAGAATGTTCGCTCTCATGAAGCACTTATTGGAGTACCATATCTGTCGCCGCCGGAGAACGTGGTCGCCATCCAACTGATGCAGATGGCATAGTCGTTGGTCGTGAACAGCGTGTAGACGCGTTCTCCGTTCCGACGCTGGACATACAGACCTTGGATCCGGAGTCACGGGTGTTGCCATTGATGGTGATGATACCAAAGAACTGCTAGTTCTCATACCAGCAGCGAATGTCGGGAATGTTGCCGCCGGCATCAGATAAGAGGTGCTAATGTTGCTCTACTCTTATCTTTCGAGCTCCTACAGGACCTCGCTGCATCCTCCTTCCATCCTTGATGCCGTTCTTTGTATCCTTCGAACCCCAACTCAGGTCGTCGACCATCAGAGGAGCCAAGCGTAGAGCATTCTGGACATGACCCAAGCAGGTAGGTTAGGAAACCCTTTTGGCGGAGCAAAGGCCGGGCCCCATAGGAGCGTCTACCGCGAAGCCATTCCTTCCAACAGTGTAAACATCGCTTGGGAGCTGCTGGTCGGTCTGTCAGACTCGCCCTGGTTTCAATCATCCTTCCATGAAAGCCAAAGCCAGAGCAAACATCCACTTGAAAGCGCTCTGGTGGAGTCAATAGTCTAAGGCAGCGTGTATCACCGATTGAGACGGATGTCGGCCATCCTTAGACTATCCGGTGTTTACCCCAGTACTGTATCAAGCGAACCACAATACCTATAGGTTTCGACACTGCTTGAGATATATCAAAAACAGCAAGGCAAAACGAATGAGGACCTACAGGAAGCAACTGCAAAGGACCCACTGGGTTCAAAGAGTGCCAACACAGTATTCTTATATGCCAGTCTCGAGTCAGGCACATTTCACTAACCAAATGAGGCACAGGTTGCGAGTCTACCCTCGAACGATCGTTACAGAGAAGTTGTGTAGATTGGACGAAAACTTCTTACGGCCTTAGCATCCAGAAACAGAAGTTGGTCAAGTAAGGAACTACAGCACCAACAGGGTCGGCAGACCATTCACCTAGAAGGGGTGTAGTCGAATTCGGGTTCTCGGCTCACTCCACTGGTTCTTGTCCATGAAGAGCGCTTTACGAGTACGACCGCGGAGGTGGACGCCAAGGACCCTTGGCATTCCTTTACGCAACCTTGGCCTATATCATTGCAATGTGTGCCTTGGTATACGGAAAGCATAGAGTCATGGAGCGCCGTCCAAGTGTATGCATACGGCCGAGAACAGAAGAGATATCTACGTCAAACGACATGGTGGCCTAAATCCAGCGGAGACCGCCCTTCCGGACGGTGGAGCTGGATATATATAAGGTATGCCGGCGATGTGTAAAGGTGAACATTGCTAGCCTATTCCATCCTCTCTCACCTACAAACAAAGACATGAATACTTTCAAGACTGTCCTCGGTGCTTCATCACTGCTGCTAGGACTCGCTTCCGCCCAAAGCAACGACAACAACCCCAGCGTCGATATCCTCTCTTGCAGCAACCTTTCCTGCATCGACGCAAGCAGCGGCAGTGTATGCCAGGCCAATGCCACTCTCCAGACGGGAGTCGGCATTGCCTCCCGTGTCCTCTCTATTCCTGGATCCAACGATCCCCTCTCATTGACCCTGGTTGACGGCGCTCCTCTAGGCGACCTGGCGGGGTCCGGCGCCTGGCTGACAACCCAAACGCTCTACGCAGGTGTTCCAGCCAACTTCAACTCGTCGAGCCAGAATGACGCTTGTGCGCTGATGCTGCAGTATCAAGCGCAGACGCTGCCCGAAGACGCAGCGCAAGCCCAGAACACGACATCCTGCAATGGCGCCCTGAACAGCAGCACCAGAGATGTGCTGACCAACATTATCGACTCCTTCGACTACGGCACCTACGGTAGCGGTGACAATGTTCTTCCTCGCTGCAATGCCCTGACACAACATGTCAATGCTCAGATCCGCGCTCGTCAGAACGTCGGGCCCTGGCTCTCTGCCTTCCTGACGGCATCCGGCGGCGCTCTGACGGGCACAAACGCCAACGAGACGGTTGCCAGACCCCAGTCTCAAGGTTGTCAACCCGTCAGCCCTGAGCAGTACAGTCTGCATCCTGTGGTTAGCATGAATCAATTCCTGTTCAAGTCCGGACCCCTGTTGTCTGGCTCGAACAATGATACCGAGGTTGGTGCTGGTCGCACGGGAGTCACACCTGTGATCACCGTTGTCTACGGCGACGAGCAAGACAGCGAACCCAATGTTCAGTACGTGTGCATGAAGACTTTTGCTGCTGATGGTGGCAAGTTGCCGCAGAACTCCTTGTCTGAAGACGAGACTAGTGGTGCTTCTTCTGTCTTGCACAGTGTGGGTGCAGTGGCTATTGCCGCATTGGTTGGTTCGGTATTAGTACTGTAGTAGATAAGCTTGTGTAGAATGAGAATATTGATGCAATGCTTTTGAATTTCATGAGACTGAGTATGTGGCAATGCCGCCTACAAGACATAACGATACATAGGACCAAAGTTCTCCACGCCACTGTTGGCTTCAACAGCCGCGTCTTTCGATCCCTCGGTCGCCGCAATCCTGTTCTTCTGTTCTTCAATGGTGCCATACTTCTTGTCCAACTTGCGGTTCTCATAAGCAAGAAGGGTACGAAGCAAAAGTGCTAACAAGCCATTGAAGAACATGAAGGCTGCGCAGATGCTCTGGCCCTTGACATAGTAGGGTGGAGTGTTGTAGACGCGCGTGCCGAGCAGAGGACCACATTGACCAATAAGGTTGAGAAGGACAAATGCTGCACCACGGCGATCGTCGTTGCCTTGGTTGTTTGTGACCCAAGGGAGGATGTTTGCAATACAAGGGAAGACTCCAGATGCTGCAAGGAAGACACCAGCATAACGAGGTCCAGTGGTTGTCGTGGTTGCCAGCATGATGTAACCAACACCTCCAATGATGGACAGAATGATGATGGTCAGTCCGCGCTGTTGAGTCTTATCGGCGATCCATGCAGAGCCAATGGTGATGAGGAAACTCAAGAAGTATGGAGGTGCAGATAGACCTTGTGCAGTAATGGACTCGAAGCCCATCTCTTCCAGAATCGTGGGTAGGAAGACAGGCAAAGAGGAGAATGACACATTGCATGAGAAGTACATCAATGCAGTGCAGATGGCCTTTGGATCAATAAAAGTCAAGCCAACATCCTTGAACTTGATGCGGCCGACACGCTCGGTTGTTCCTGTCTGTCGTACACCTCTTGCGACTGCCACACGCTTCTCTTCCTCGTTCAAAAATCTGGCCGATTGTGGGCTGTCTGGGAGGAAGAAATATGCGACTGGTACCATGGCAAGAGTGGGAAGACCTTCCACGAGGAAGAGAAGCTTCCAGTTGGCGATAGCTAGGTTCTTTCCGGAGGTGATGCCATATGCGAGTGCTCCGGCGAAACATGTTGCGAGAGGCGCAGCTGTATACTTGTAAGTTGCAAGTAAACTAAAACGATTTTAGTAACATACCGGCAAGGAAGATTCCGCTGCGGAAGCCGACTTCATGTCTGAGGTAGAAGAAAGAAAGCAGATAAGGAACACCAGGGCCGTATGCTGCCTCGAAAACTCCTAATAAAAATCTTGCCAAAACGTGTTAGTGAATGCGCCCAGGCCCTTATGACTCTTACTCACCTGAGCACCATTTCTCCAGCCCAAGAAGTAACCGCGGCTTGACAACTTGAGATGACACCCCTTCGATATGTTAGTTACCCCCTGAATACAACAAAACTGGCTTGTAATCTTTCGTCCATTGGTCACGAGATCACCGCAGCCCACGAAATACGTACCAGCCAAAGATAGCCCAAGCCGCCCAGATGTGAGGAGGGAATCTTTTCCAACCAAGAACCTGGAATTGGAAAACGATATAAGAGATGTAGAAGATGGTCAAAAGCCACGAGTAGCGATCGGCAGTCAGGTCCAAGGCCTTGGCCATGCCAGCAATTTTTGCGTTTCCAATGTTGGAGCGATCAAGGAAGGCGAGCAGGTAAAGTCCCATAAGTAGCGGTACCAGATGCCAGTCTATCTTGCGAACAACGCGCTTCTCAATAACAGGATCGATAAAAGGCGCTGAGCCGCCATTGTCGACTGAAGTCTGACGTGCTTCTAGATGGACATCTTCAAAGTTTTTCTCCAGATCTTTCTCGTGTGCGATTTCGGATTGTGGTTGTTGAGAATCTATCGTCTCGGTGTTCTTCTTGAGGAAACCCATGGTTGAATGAGTGCGAAGGAGGAAACGCGAACAAAAAGAAAGGGAGACCAAGTTGCGGAACGTAGAGGCATAAGGTCGTATCTTATAACTACCTAGTCTGGCTCACCGTTACTACGTCAAAAAGATAGTCACACGTCGCATTGCAGATCTATTTCCTGCATGCAGCCAAAAGGTCGGACTTCACACTTGGTGGAGGTGGGTCAAAATCGATTTGTGGTGGATCCGTTCTCCGCTTTACGCTCTTTGGTGGAGATCAGCCACGGGGTAATATAGTGGAGTACCTCAGCCGTCTCAGCCGGTTATGACTGTGAGGTCGGCCTTTGACGGTGCTTAATGTGGTCAACGATGGTTTCACTCGAACATGAAGCCTCTTGAGCAGGGAACTTCCTCTTACACATATGTTTGCCGAAGTGAAAGGAAGATAGCGAACCACGGTTCTGCTATTAGATGTTTCCGCCGTCATTGACGCCAAGAACGCCTCAAGCCTTCTTGGCACTGCGGCTGAACGCTTGACAGAGCTTGACGGCGACTTGGCGAGATGTTGACAGAACGTCCTTCTTCCCGCCATGCCTTGAGATTCTATACAGTTCTGACAGAAAGAGCCTGGTGTATCATGAAAGTGATCAATCTCAGGTGCTTCATCCGAAGCTTGCACACCGAGACGAGAAGCTCATACTCGGTCCGTCCTTCCGAGCGGCTCCTTCGGACAGCGACAATCTCAATCGCTCTTCTGCCCGAAACATCGAACTCTATAAAAGCTCGATCATTGTCAACTCGCAGCACCGCCCAAAATCAAGATCAGTACATCTTCTCTGAAACCGAATTCTACCACGCGATCTCTCCTGGCGTCCCTTAGGCTCGCCGGGTCCAATATCTGGGCCAATCGTCTTGTGACACGTTAGGGCATAGTTTCACTCCTCCTGCAACAAATCGCCCAAGAGACCTACTCTCAACCAGGGGGCAATCATGCGTTGCGACAGCTATAATACGACGGTACTGAGCACACGAGGTAAAACATTGACAAAGCTTTTATGTCGTGACTACTACCTAGTCCACACACTCGACGCAACTCATATCTTCTTCCTCAGCACCATGCCACCATGAAGTAATCGTGATGCCACCAAAAAGCAGGCCCCTACAATCGCAGCCGCACCTGAGAAAGCCCAAGTGGCTGTGAAACCGTGTTTACTCAATATGGCGCCAGAAATTGGCGTGCCAGCAAGCATACCAAGACCAATTGTCGCACAAGCCATACCGATTCGCGTTCCAATGTCAGCTCTGCTAGGCGAAATTGAGACACCAAGAGCAGGGATGATTGAAACAATGGAACCTGAAAAGAAACCATAAAGACAGGAAACTGCAATCAATGATGATTGTGTCTTTGCTGGGATGAAGCAGAAAGCCAGAGCTCCAGTGGTCAGAACGCAAGGAATGACAACGTTGAAGAGACCAATTCGAGCGGCGACAAGGTTGGGTCCTACTCTTCCGAAGATAGAACCAGCGGTGATGATGGGAAGAAGGTAGAAAGCGAGTTCTTTGGACGTGATACCATAGCGCAAGGCATAGACTTCGATGTAAACGAATGGCGTCCAAGTTCCAAGGAAGGCGATCATGGAGCCGATTACGTAGACAGTGAAGGCGGGCTCTCTCCAAGCATCCATGTCGAAAATCTTACGTCTGTGGGAAGACAGAGTGCGTACGCGGAGCACGAGGTTCGACACGAGAAGGGTGCCCAAGACGATGTATGCGATCACGCGAGTGGCAGCTGCGAAGCCAATCTTTGGTTGGAGCGTATGGAAAACGATCGGGTAGATGGTACCTCCTTCATTGGGCAGTGTCAGCAGGCAATTACATTCATGACTTTGTATAAATCCTTGACTTACCGAGACCGCTACCTGCAGCAGCCAATCCCATAGCGATGAAGAACTTCTTCTCTGAGAAGTACGTAGATAGAATGGCAAGCGAAGGAGAAAATAGACATCCTTGACCCAGACCAACGGCAAAGGCTTGAGATAGCATGATTTGCCAGAGCTTGGTGGACACACTGGTCGTTGCCATACCAAGCACGATGAGCGACGAGCCTGTGATAAGGAGCATGCGGAAATAGCCTGCATCGAACAGAGGTCCGGTCAAAGCACCTGCAAGCAACATAAGGTAGGCCTGAATAGATCCGATCCATGCAATAGTCGATGATGGATACTCTCGTAGAGGACCAAGTGCATAATAAGTACCGAATGATCCAAAGGCATTAACAAGACCCCTGAGACTGATAAGCTAAGAATATCAAGCAAATCTTGTCGATACTTACCATGTGTTGAACCAGAGGAAGAATGCACCAAGGACTTGCAACCAAGCGACCAGGCCACCATTGGGGATGTCGTCCGTGGTCTGGCTTGCTTGCTCAAGATCGGAGCTGTTGCATGACGAGATAGATTCAGAAGTCAACTCGACTGTTGAGAAGTGCGTGACTTCTTTCTTGATGCTAGACACAGAAGATGCGGAAGACATGGCGATGGGAGATGGTTGAGTTGTGGCAATGATTGTTCATGGTGGCATTCCATCGATTTATACAAACCTCTTGCAAGAGTTGAATGCTACTACGACTACCTCTCGCATATACCGACATCTTCACATGTCGATTTCGGAGTCGCCGTCCATCTTCTCGGACAATGGTCGAGTGTTGTACGTATACAAGTCAGCTCGTCGTTCAGGAAGGCATGGGACCGGTTCCAGACGTTGGTTGAATAGGATTAAACCTACTATCAAAGCTGATCGTTGTATTCAGCTGAATCGCGATCAAGACAGCAGCCGTCGAATAACAAAGTTGCGAGTCAGTGTGGTGTCCTTCGGAGGGCAACTTTCGGCTGCCGGGTGTGCAACGGTTAGGCTTTCCTGAGGCTTGCGCAGACTTCAGCTGAAGATTCATCAGAAACCGGGTTTCAACGACCGCGTGTCGTGGTGATAGCGGAGCTCATTTTCCCAATTGGGTAATCTTGACTGTCCAAATCGATCCTGGCGCCAGATTATGCTCATAATCTCACCCATCTGACGCTTTGATCTCACCCATTGATGCATATCACAGAGATGATGTGCAGGTGTTCGCGACAGCTGAAAGCTTGACTGAGATTGACAGTGGAGATCCGGCAACGCCTCTACCACATGGCTTGCATGGAACATCTCTCGAATCTCGATGAGCCTTACCTCTTTCCACATTAGTCGTTGCAGCTGCTTTTTTGACCATCAGCTTTGCTTATACCAATAGACACTTTTCCAAAATGGCATTTCGGTTTTCCCCTAGCTTCACGTTGTCTTGACAGAGAGATGTCTACAAGCAACCAAATGCTATCGGACATACCGATGGATCAATATCTGTATCTAGAGCAAAGACATTGACCACGACAACAAGGCGGCAAGTCGTCAAGTATATAATAAGGTCGACAGCAGACGAAGAATGTCACTTCATCACCAAAGCAATCTTCCAACATCAACATCAAAACATTTACCAATCTGCACTCTGACCATCATCTCTGAATCACCACCTCACCAATCACTACCTACTCTGCATTTCTACAAGATGTTCACAATCGCAATGTCGCCTTTCTCACAGACCTCCATCTCCACCGCTTCCGAGTCGAGCTACCCACCATCACCTCGCTCAATCCTCGAAGAATACTTCATGGATGTTGAAGATATCCAAAACATTGATGCAATTTCGATCGCATCTTCTGTCTCATCCTCAGTCTCAACCACATCGCAAAAGATGTTCAACACTTTCATGTCAGGTTAGTCAAATGCAACTTTCCACTCTGATGAAAATGAATTGATTTGCTGAAACTTTGGCTCTACAGGTCTCTCATATCCCAAGAGAAAGCTGTCGCAGCTCTTTGTCCCAGAAGTTGACTTCGACTTTACCTTCCCCAGCCTTGAGGATGTGTTCCCTTCTTGATCAAGAGCATCGGTCGAATATAATTTCGCAACAATAAGCAATGTGCTTTTTCTTTTTGTCATGGCGTTATTGGGACTACAAAAATCTGGTGGTGGCTACAGGGAGCAAGCAGATGGATCTGTTGTTAATGGGAAGCCAGACCTCGAAGTGGCTTCGAGCAATTGTTAGGCGCAATGTGGTTTCCTATCTCATTTGTCTTTTCCTTTGTTGCAATGTCAGTATTATATCAAGAATGTTCATTTTCACTATTGTCTTGCCAGTTCCAGCAGATTGTTACGTCGCGGCTGAATCCTCTGTGTTAAGGTCATGTGAACGTCTTATGAAGACATGAAGAGATGGGGTAAAAGTACATTTTTCGTCCGCCCTCATAACATACAAAGAGGATATATTTATATATGTGTCTACTTTCTCCTCTGCAAAACTTTTGTACACATGTCCAAGAGGCCGGCCTTGGCCTGACTCTCTGGGAAGAAAGCAATGGCTTCGCGAGCCTTGTTGATATAGTCTTCAGCCATGGCGCGAGTCTGTTCAATGCCGTTGCTCTGAATGACAAGGTCGTGTGCCTGTTGATTGTTAGTATATTTTGCGCCGTAAGCTGGAAATTGCTGAAACTCACCCTCTTCACATCACCCTCCTCAGCGAATCGCCTGCCAACAAGCGTACCGAGTTCCTTGTTGTCTTTCCAGGCGAACAGCAGAGGAGCGGTAGCCAAACCCAGTTCCAAGTCAGCACCAGCAGGCTTGCCGAGCTCGGCTCCACTGACAGTGTAATCCAGCATGTCATCAACAAGCTGGAAGGCAAGACCAAGGTTCTTTCCGTAGCTGTAAGCAGCTTCTACTACATCCGGGGAGCAGTTACCCAGGATGGCGGCGGCCCTTGTCGACTTGCTGATAAGCGAAGCGGACTTCAAGTATGTCTTTTGCAAGTAGTACTCCATGGTCTCTTGACTGTATGTAGGGTGTTTCTCATCCGAAGCAGTGTTTTTCAACTGCATGAATTCACCCTCGATCAAGTTTGCGATAACGGTAGCGAGCAGCTCAGTAACTTCGGGATCTCTCAGGCGTGCGAGTGCAACAGAGGCGCGACCAAGCATGAAATCGCCAGCCAGAACAGCCATCTTGTTGCCGAACTGAATGTTGGCCGAGGGAGCGGAGCGGCGAGAGATTGAGTTGTCAATGACATCGTCGTGGAGCAGAGAGGCAGTGTGAATAAGTTCGGTGATTTCGGCAAGACGGCGCTGTGAGGGAAGGACGGAGGTGTCGGCAAGGTCCTCGACAACAGGGGGAGAGGTCAGGGGCGAGGGATTCGAGTCGGAGAGAACGGTGGAGGGCGACATGGACGAGTCGACGTCGACAGCCTGAGGAGTTGATCGCTCGTGCTTGACAGTCAAAGCGGTAGCTTGCGACATGAGCAAGACCAGCATAGGACGGACATATTTGCCCTCGGATTGGGTGTAGTACTTTGCGACAGTATCCAGCATGGGGTGGCCAGAGCCGAGCAGCTGTTGAATGTTTCCAGTCAAGAATTTGAGTTCTTTGGCAACACTCTGTAGAGGATCAATGCCGATTGGTGAGGGAGCAGCATTGTTGAACATGTGCTTGGCCGTCTGGATGGCAGCGGCGACCGACGACTGATGCCGCCGCTGCGAAGGCAGACATGAGGGTATTGATAGTGTGCGCGACGGCGTGAGGTGTGCGTATTTAGGACATGATCGGTATGACGGCGAACGAGAGGTGATGGCGAGCGTCGATGCTCGAGCTCGGGAAGCGCTCATTTCCTGGACAAAGACTGCGCGAACAAAACGACACCCGCTAGAACTCCGATTACAACAGGAAGGAAGGCGTGTACGGTCGAGGGAAAGAGCGTTGGTGGCCAATTGGAGCGTACGCCTTTTGCAAGAGCCAAAGTCCATCCAACACATCATCGCATTTTCGGCGGGCTCTGGAGATCTGGTGGTCCGAGCTCAATCTACACATGTGCGATAGGCATCGCCGTCATCAATTCTAGACACTCGCCCTGATGGTCCTGTTGACATTGACCCCTACTGCCAAATCTGCCGTAGAGCTCTACAATCAATTGTCTGACCAGAAACACGATGACACACTGAGTGACCCTTCCTTGAGCGAGCCCACCGTCGGCGCTCCCGTATCCCATGCACAGTTGATTCATGTCGCGCGCTTCCTGTGCGGCACTGATATTCCTAACAAGAATGACTTTCGACTTGATGCTCTGCTCAAGGGGGCCAACATCTATGTGCCCCCTCCGAAACCAAAGCCCCAGCCAGTATGCACACGCTCAACTTCAACTCTTTCGCATTAGCCACTTACTGACGTCTTGCCGCCAGACTGCTGAATACACCGCCCTGATGGCCCGTCTTCGTAGAGACGAGGAGAATATTGCGTACCAGCGCTTGATCAATCCTACATCATCCGTTCCCGATCCATCTCGCATACGGCCAGAGGATGAAGATGACGAGGTGACGTACACAGATGTCAATCGCCAATTGGCACTCATTATCAATGTCCTCGTCTCCATCATCGCTTGTAGCGTCGCCATCTGGATTGCTGCCCGTCACTGGAGCGTCCCACAAAGAATGGCCTTGAGCATGTTCGGCAGCGGTGCTGTTGCAATTGCTGAAGTCGCAATCTACATGGGCTACCTCAGACGCATCAAGGACGCAAAACGGACAGAGGGAAAGAAGGTTGAAACAAAACAAGTCGTCGAGACGTGGGTCATTGAGAAGAAGGATCCTAAAAAAGAACATGAGCTCAGACAGAGAAAGGGCGGCAAGCATAGATAGAGCCCAAAAGTCATCGTCCTATTTGAACAAGACTTAGAATCAATCGCCTTTCGAATACGTGACGTCTTGAACCATACCGAGGCAGTGTTTTTCCAGGCTCCACACTGGATAACAATTGAGATAGTGGTTCAGATGCAAAATGCACTCTACGGCTTTCTGGCTGTACTCAACATCAAATATAAAATCGGCGACAACAACCCCACAACGTTTTCTATGCTAACAAAAGTGTCACAAGAGCCAGAAGATAGCATTACACCATAGTTTTAGACTGTGACCAGCCACTTGACGACTTTCTCTACTGATGGACGGCTAGAAGAAGTTATCGAGAATTGTTGCGACAGGGTCACTAGAGCAGCGACAGACTCGGTCAAATTCTGTACCGAGCAAACCGACGCGATTTGAGACTTCACGCGTTGACCGCATACTTCCTTCACCCATCATACCAACATCACTTTCAGGACTCATATTAGACAAAACAGTCAATTGAGCCATTGTCTTTCGCACAATAGATGAATCCATGGAAAACCTTGGCTTGGAGTCTGCGTCATCTGACGGGATACAAGCAGTTCATGCGATGCCGACTGAAGGATTTAGAATCTGATAGACGCGATGCACATATCGAGAGGCCGACTGTGCTTCGCTCAAAGAAGAACGGGATATATTGTATCAAGTAAGCATTTCTTTCACGTACGGCCACAGTCAGCTGAAAACTGGGCATCCCGTCCGCTCTGCCATACATAAGCAGTTGAACGGCAGATTAGTACTACGGTGGGTGACCACGTGGGAATTCCTACTGCTGTACGTTTTGTTTTTTTTCCTACCTTCTCCTGCTTGCTTAATCTTTGCTTTGTCTTCACTTGTGCCAACTGTAAGTAAATTTCTCTGTCTCACATCTTTCAAAGCAAGAAAGCTAGCCGAAGTCATGAATATCTTGCATTTTTGATATCTTTCTTGACTCTATTCAAACAAGTGCTGCACTACGACGCTTCAAACAATGATCGCCTTATCAAGGTGACGAAATTTGAGCTAGAAGATTATGGTTATGCCAATCTGCACGCCAGTCAAACAAGCATAAAAACCAACCATATAAGGATCTTTTGCGACAGGAGAAATCGCAATCCCAAGAGCATAACTAATCGAAGCCGTACCCACAAACAGGGCCTGTACAATCGACTTCATACTCTTTGGTGCTCGAGAATAGCAGAATTCAGATCCAGTGGTGACGCAAAAGATTTCGCCGACGGCCATGAGGACGTAGCAAGGTATCTGCAGGAAAACGTTGATCTGCTGTGGTTCGGTGCCAGAGGTAGAACCGGAACAGGTCAACGGATGGCTGTAACATGGCTTTGCATGGTATATGAATGCCTGTAGTCCGGCAGCCCATGCGAGTGAGCCCCCCATTGGAAAGAACCCGACTGAGATTCTCGCGATGGGACGGAAAGTCATCTTGCGTCTATTGAGTAACGGGAACAACCATTGCTGGATGACAGGACCGACGAGGATACAAGCGATTGGGTTAAATGCTGGCATGACATCGTTGGGTATGCCATACGTTTCCATTTGGCCCGTCTGTGAGATCAAATTGTTGTAAGTTTGACCCCAGCACAACCAGACAGCAGGAAATGCAAGACTATAGTATGTGTCAGTTGAGGGCATACGCTTCAAAGTGGACATCCTACAGGGCTTACCATATTTGGCATGCTACGAGAGCAGATCTTACACCATCAACAAACTCTTCGTTCCATGGAACCTCACGAGCGTGTTTCTCCATCTGCGTTTTTGGTTCAGCAGCACTGAGTGAGAACTTTTCTCTAATACCCAGACCAATGACTCTCAAGATTTTTGGCATCACAGAGCCTGCAGGGGGTGTTTTGACTGCACGCACAGATTCAGCAAATCAAGCATTACGAAAGCGTTGGATGTGACCTACCATATCTGTTCTTACAGATAACAAGCATTATAACTCCCACCCATAGTGCACAGAAACAGAGTAGGAATGCTGCCCAGAAGTCGATATAGCGCTCCATGAACGTTGTCGCGATCCCAGACAATGACGCAACATTGATGAACCAGAAGTACCAGTTGTACATGAACTGAATCGTTAGAGACCTCTCAACGATTACACGTTCGCCAGATGGCAGAACACGTATGAACGCTTCATGATGAGGTTATTGGTCTGCGATGAAAGGGTATATGCATGCTTTTACGCCGCCTATACCCAAAGCTATCAGTACGAGAGCCACAGCCAGACCTGCGGCAGATGTTCCGGCCTCGATCGCGACCGGAAGAGATGTTGCGAATAGTATTGCTGAACCGCAGATATATATCCTTTCAAACAAGACAGCCAGAGTACATCATGATACAGGCAGCGTGCAGGGATGAGTCATACAATGTACTAATCACAATCAATTTATATCTTCCCAGATACCCATCTGCAACAATGGCCATAGGCACCGGAGCGAAGTTCACCAGGACCATGAAGGCGTAATTGATGGCGGTCGCATCGGCTTGGCCCAGACCTAGGACACCTGGTATCACGTCTCGCCTGCTGTACTGAAGGTAATTTTGTAGACATGTTGATGCTCCATAGAATACTAATCGCTCTGCTGAGCCGACGAGCATGACAAGCCATGCCTCTATGGGTATGCTATCTGCTACATGGACGAGATCATGCAACTCCTGTTCCGTTGGCGGGACATGATTCGTCAAGTCCTGAGACGGTACTGACTCATGTGCAGGTTGCTTTTGATCGTTGCCAATGGACATTGAAGGTGGGTAGAGTAAACGTGAGTGACCACAAGATGCTGCTGTGGAAGTCGAGAAGGCAAGATCTAGATGATACAATCTGCATCTTGGATATTTTTCAGCTGGTGAGTCATTCGGGCTGCCGAGTGTCAATTGTTTTATGCTGAGTGCTTGTAGGGCTTTAAATGATTTGAACGAGCCCGAGAGAGCGGTATTACCAGCAAGAGCAGTCGGCGTCGAATATCATTTCCATAACAGGAAAAAAACATCACAGTCACTCGAACGATACTCTGACTACGTGCCATTTAACCATCGAGCTGTATAAACAATGGTCGTGGTGGTTCCAGTTTCCACAGGTTTTTGGTGCCTGACGATGGCCTCAGCAACATTTTCATGTGTTTGTGGATAATCATGGATCCATGGACAAGCATCGCCGTAGGACTCGAATGACATGAGAGCGCCATGTTTATGTCTATCAGCTGTGCCGATATCATGGGAGGTGCATCTCAACGACCGCGTCTCCGGGCTGAACATCCTCGCAGATTATTGTTGCGAGGCATTTTCCATGCTTATATATCTCAGTGTGAACCTCCTCTTCATGCTGCTATTATTGCTCACCATAGTAGAAAAGACGCATTTTGTGACCAAAAACATACTCGGGAATCCCTTTCACAGCAGACAAGGAAAAAGCATTGAAGCAAAAACCCAGCATGAGAAACAAAAAAGTAGCACCGTGGGCAGGAATCGAACCTGCGACCTCCCGATCCCAGAGGAGAGAGAGAGAATTAGGATATTAGGTAAGCGAGTTTAGGGACTTAGGTAGGCGAATAGGAGCGTAGGATTTTAGGATCGGGCGTGATACCACTACACCACCACGGCTTTTTCTGGGTTGAAGGAGACCTGAAATGACTCGAATATAAAGGTTGGCGTTGCTGTTGGCGGAGGGTTGGATTGACTTTGGCTGTGAGCAAGTTTGATTGGCTTCGGCTGTTTGGGTGGGTGTCGTCGGCGGATCGTGGAATAGCTCGCTCCGGTACTTTGCGAGTAAGAAATATGTTTCTTGCGTCAAGGCATTTATTGCTCGAGTTGATAGAGAGATCAAGCGGCTGTTGCCGTGATACGTGGTGTTCAAAAGGTAAAAGGACCACAGCAGAGTTCGAAGAATGCAGCTCATGTTGGTAACAATCCAGCTCGTGTGATGGCCGTACCAGGTTTCTGACCTGTGCTTCGATTGCAACATTGCTGACGTCCAGATCTCTGTGATCGACGAGGGCTCGTTCCTCAATCCTCGTCCAAGAACACAATACCCTGTTCCTCAACAACCGGACTTGTGTCGCCCTCATCCTTCCCATCCGTCTTGACAGCAACATTAGGCTTAAACTTCTTCTCCTCCTTCTTTCCCTCTTCAGCATTTCCACCCTTCTGTTGAGGCCCAAGTTTACTCTTCTCCTTCCTCTGTCTAGCCTTCTCCCTCTTCAACCGATTCTTCTCCGTTTTGTCCGCATCCTTCTTCTCTTGTTCTTTCCTCCTAGCTTCAAACTCTGCATCTTTTTCTTCTGCTTCTTTTTCTTCATCCATGGCGCGTAGTCTTTCATACTCTCGTCGTCGGCTAGCTTTGTAGACGTGGAATTCTCCACTGCCTGCACCGGCGCTGGATCCTTGGACATTGGCTACGATCTCTGGTGGTAGTGTCGAGGGTTTGTTGGTAGAGGATGAGGGGAGATTGATTGGCTTGTCTGGGTTTGCGAAGAGTGCTTCTAGGTGTGCGGATTGTCTGCTTCGTGGTGAGAGGGCGCGTTTTTTTGTTGCTTGGCCGCTACGCGGGTCGCGGTGGACGGGGATCGATTCGGGTATGTTTTCTGACATGATGGTTGGCAACTCTCGTGTTGTCTACTTGTGCGAGGTAGTGTGAAGGATATCTTATGGTGTCGTGCTGAAGAGTGAAGATTGAATGAAGAAAGTGGAGAAAGCTGTGACGTCCAAGTCTCCCATCTCGAAGTGCGACCCTGACCTTCTTCGCAGAGCCTCAAATCTATTCTTGTCTTCTACCTTGATGTTCGGCCACTGGAAGCCGACGTCACATTTCACTTATAATTCACGCTCATGAGACCACTGACTTAGATAGCTTTCGCTAGAACATAAGAACGAAGTATATCGAAATGTGAATTGCTCAGCAGTATTTACGCTGGCTGACCCTCCTTGTAAACGCCAAAGGCAATCAGCCTCCCTCTGGCTGTGTAAAACAGACCCAAGATACCGCTCCTGTTCGTTCCTTCATTGCTGACCAACTTGCCTCCCTTCCATGCATGCATAACGCCAATGAGCCGCCCGCAAATATGAATATGAAATGTACTCTTCAAAAAGGTTAAAACGAATGACTTGAGCTTCACCAAACTCTCAATTAATACCTGCTTCGGCGGCGCAAGCCCCAATCCTGATCATGCAGCTCTCGTGCGAGCTGGATGCTTTGTTCTTCCTCTTCCTCGAGAATACTTTTCTCTCTGATAATATGTTCTGATTTTTTTGACTTTGTCGTACCTGGTGTTACCGATAGACTATCTCGTTTATGCTTGGCGCTTCTAGGAGTCTTGAGCTCCGTGCTTGGTGTGGCTTGTGTTGGTACTGGCGTCTTGCTAAGAGACCTCTGCACGCGAATGTTCGGTTTTTCTGTGCTAGCACTGAAAGAGTGGCGCTCAGTTCGAGGAGTCTGGGATTTCGTTAATGGTGGTGCCGGGGGTTGATAGAGTGGTATGCTAGCCAGACCTGTGGGGGGTGCTACAGCAAGTGAAGCTGTTGACTTCTCGGGCAATGTATCAGCGCCTTTGCTAGGTGGCAAAGGTGCATCCACGGGAGGAGCCGCAGCTTCTTGAGCTGGCTGGACAGGCGCAGCATCTGACAAGCCGTTGTCAAGTGGTGCACTGTGCATTGTGACCTCTCTGGGGGCCTTTGTCACATCAGGTCTACTTTGGAAGTGTAATCCTGAAGAGTCAGTGGTGTGAAGTTGCACAGGTCCGCCTGACGAGCTCGGTCGATATTCAGTCTCATTAGCATCGACGCGCCGACCAGCATGATCGTGGTCAGCCGGAATATGGCTGCTCGAGTATGCTTTGGCTAGCAAAGGGGATGTGTTCTCTCGAGTTCCTGAAGTCTGACTCGAGACAGAGCCTTGTTGCTGCAATGCGGGATGAAGCAGGCTGTCGCCGTTGGCCTGAGGTACAGTATAATCTCCATCGTTGACATATCTAGAGTCAAGGACTTCATTCGCCAACTGCTCCAAAGATTGCGCGTTGTATGGCCCGTTTAGATCAGACTGTTGATGATATGGTCCACCATGAAGTATGACACCACCACCGGTTGAGGTTGGATCAGGATACATGTATGAAGCATGCTGCCAGTGCGGGATATTGGCCTCGGGAGCATAAGGGTACTGCTTGTACTGTTGAGGAGAGACCATGTTGGTTTGGTAGCTGGACTCCATTGTGAAAGGCATCACAGGGGCAGCTTGCGAGGCTCGGGCTTGCTTTGACTTCTTGATCGGGCTTTCCATATCTCCGCTGGTCCTTCTTTTCTTGGACACAACCGAACCACGAGGAACTGGCGTCTGTTCAGCCTTGACAGGATCGATCTTGCCGTTTTCGTCATGAATACAACGGCGCTGCTTGTATGTTAGTAATGTTTTCGGTAATGACAGTGAAAGACGAACCTTGCTCTTGCGGCAGTCAAGACATGCCTTACTCCTACCGCGCTTGCTATTCGGATCTGCTAGCAATGCATTCCCAGGGATAATAGCAGGACCGACGCCGTCTGTCGAGGTCATTTGCGCCATAGGAGCTATGCCCACCATCTGATTGGTGTGTCCATTCTGCAAACCTTGTGAACCCTGGAGACTCTGCAAACTCTGAATACTTGGCATGTTTTGCATGTGTTGCTCGGAGTTCGGTAGAGGCTGGCTGAAGGGCGTTATCGGCGTGGCTTGCTCAGCCGCCTTCACAGGACTTGTGGTATTAGCGACAAAGAAATCGCGAGAGTCCCTCCTCTGGAAATCGATAGGCACAGCTTCACTAGCTCCATCAACGGAGGGTGTTGACTGGAACATCACAGTTGGTTGCCCAAATGGTGTGCTCGTGGTGACTACGTCTTTATGCTTGCACTTGATCCGACGCTTCCGACATGCATCGCATGCGACTCTCTTAGGGCCGAGTACTGATGTTTTTGGCGTGCTTGTGTGCTGGCCGCTAGGGCCAGGTGTAGTTTGTATTTGAGACACCGATGCGGAAGGCATTGAAAGCATGGGCGCCGTGGCGGTGGTGAGCTCGGGTTCTCGAGATGCATTCTGGCGAGCAGACTGTCTCTCAGGAGCGACTCTGTAAGCCTCAAATGCTTCTTGTCTTTGCATAGCTTTCAGTGCTCGGGCGCTTAGCTTTTTGGGAGCAGCGCTCTCCTTATCTGGAAGATCAGCATCAGGATGGGCCCAGGCCGGTGGATCCTCATTGCCTCGTTTCCATGCTACCCAGAGAGCGAACGTTCTGGCCAGCTCAAGAGGTTCGCCATGCGATTTTGGTATGGATCTCATGACCTTCTTGCGAGTGTCCTCTGTCACACCTTCGATTCGGCCGAGTGCGATCATGACAGTACGGAAGATGAAGTTAATCAAGTCTGGTAGTCCGTCCAGCTCAGCCTGGGAGTAGTACCGGCAGTTGTAGTGAGCACTACCTGGAGCACAACTTGAGAGCTTGCCATGCTGATTAAACTGTTCCCAAACAGGTCGCTCGCGGACAAATCTCGCGCCACTGTAAAAGACCTGAGCGACTTCTGCAGGCAGGGGATCTGTCTCTAGGTATTTGATAACAGTGTACCACATGACCTTCTGGAAGTGTGGATATCTGAACTTCTGAGGAGTTTTGATGGCTTTCTCGATGTCCACAATCCGAAATTGAGTTGAGTAGTGCATACGAGTCAAGAAGTTGCCTCCGATGACCAAACTGTTCTCCGGCGTCCAAACAGCATGAATCCAACCAGAAGGAATCAGCATGGTATCACCTGCAGAAAGATCAACTCTGTAACATTCCTTTGTAGCATCTGGCAACCACGTAAAGTTTTGCTCGTGCGAGTTGTTCCAGTCTTCGTATTTCTTGAGATGACCTGGCTTTGGTGGAATGAAGAAGAAAGTCTTCTTGCCACGCAGAATATGGTAGTACACTGAAGAGCCGCCAAAGTCGATGTGAAAGTCCGTGAAGCTGTCAGCGACGGACATGAGGCAATAGAACTGTACCTTTGGGAAGTTGTCTTTTAGCGTTTCTTCCTCTGGCCAAACCGAGTCTTGCAGGTCAATGTCTCTGACGACCTTAGGTCTTCTTAGCAGTCTGCCAAGTTTGGTAGAGGAGACCTCCAGACTGATGACGTTGCGAACAGCTTTCTCACCGTCAGCTTCGTAGTAGTCTGCCCACTTTGCCAGATTCCATTTGCCTTCGGTGCCTTGAGTCTTGACATCAATCACCTCGAGAGGTTCATGTGGGCCTACAAGCTCAGCAACGTGTCTGACAGTCAAACCTCGAGGCACAACCATATCTAGACGGTCCTGACCGTCATCGGGCACTGTCTCGTATTCGAAGTCGTGCAGAAGAGCCTCTTCTTCTTCCATTCCAGTAAAAGCAACATCATATTCCTCGTTATCGCGCGCTGAAACTGGTTGCTGTTCAGAGAGCTTGGGGTTATACTCGGCTGGTATTACGACAGGTTCAGAGAACGAAGAGCAAGTCTCGAAGAATTCGCGAGTGACGAGCTCAGGACGCATGCGTGGAAACATCTCCTGGTCAAAGGTGAAGGAGCCGTCCTTGATTGGCTGAATGTAGTGGTGTTCAGGATTATCGTCAGATGTCTTGAGAATGCCTTGGTTCAAGCCGGCATAGTCGACAGCTGCGTGAGCACGACCCGACTTCCTGACAAACGTTGTTGAGCCATGCTTGGGTTCACAGGCTTTGCAGAAGAATTTGCTGACATCTCTCACATCGCGCTCATTCTTGAAGCCAGCACAATCGAAATGGAACCATAATTGACAGCCGTTACAACTTATCCACTGGTCCAGCTCGCCATGATTAGACTCGCGAGTCAGAGCGCAACTAGCGCATACCGTCTCTTGAACTTCCTTGGAAGGCTTGCGCGGTACCGGCGTCGGTTTTGTAGGCAACTGCAGAATCTCGTAGCGTAGACTTCGAGGAACTGTCGCAGCTCGGGCATCTTTTGAACGATTTTGTAGTTGTTCTGAGTATGGTGATGCCAAATCTGAATCTGATTTGCGCCTAGGTCGTTTCTCCTCCGCGCTGGAGTCGCTACTGTCAGCGATCGATTTTGCTGTCGAGGCTCGCGACCGGCGGGCTGATGATCGAGGCTTAGTGGTCGTCGAATTCTTGTTCCGTGGTCCTCGCGGTTTGCCCTTAGGCCATCCACGACGCGGTCTCGCTGCAGGAGCGTCAGTAGGAAGATGGTGTTCCACTGAACCAGCAGGTAGCTCGGTAGTCTCTTGTGTAGGTAGCACTCCTTGTGCTGCACCTTGCTCAGATATCCTGCGTTCCTCCTCTGGTGGAGTATGCGTCTGTTGTGGTGCACGAACTCTTGGTGGCTCTGACACGTCGGCCACAACCAACGGGTCATTTACCGGACCTTGTGCTATTTCTTTGTCTGTATCCGTGCTCTTCTCATCTTCGTTGGTATCCTGAGGAGAAGGTAGGGAGGCTGACGCATTCTCGGAGATCACAGACGTGGCAGCGACTGGGGCGACAGGTTCTGGTACGAAGACTCGGGCAGCATAGGGCGGCGGTGGAACGTATGGGTAGGTATGGGGTGGAAGTGCCCGGGGGTTGGTGTAGAAGTTTGCAGGGTTTGCTGATGGTACAAGAGGAGGCGCATGGCGACGAGGCGGAGCGGGAGGTGGGGGCTGGGAAGCAACACGGCCAGCGAAGTTCAAGAGCAACTCGGCATCCTCTAGTGAGGTGACTGTGGTGGTATTGGTAGATTGGCGACGTTGGCGATCAGTGTTGTAGGCCAGAGGAGGTACACCGGGGTGGGAGAAGTGGTGACTGGATGAAGGGCGAGCAGGGTAGGGGTATGGTTGAGGGCCGGGGCCTGCATCGGAGCGTGCACGTTTGGTACCGCGAACGGGACCGGGAGTGACGAAGTTGTCTGCGGAGGACTGTACGGATGGCGCGGCTGGAGGGAGCCGTGGACTAGTCGAAGCAACATCGGCTAGAGCTTCGATAGTTGAAGGTGAGCGCTTGTGTCCTCGAGGCTTCTCTGACCGTTGTGATGCAGTAGCCGGGGGAAATCGTGTCGAAGGAGCAGATTGTGTGACGGCAGAGTAGTTGAGGGTGGGCTCAATGGTATGCGGAGGAGACAGCGGCTCCCATTGTGGTGAGGCTGGAGATGGTGGACGCGCATATGGATCAATCGGGCGTGGAGGTGGCTTGAAGGTGGAGCGCGATCGAGGCGCAATAGGTGTGGTTGGATCCATGATCTATCGCTGATGCAAACGGAGCGGGTTGGTCGAGTCGAGGTTCGGGTGTTGGACGTGACGAATCGCGACTGGACCAGCTTGAGAACTAAAGGGCAGGCGTAGGGGATCGCATTTGGATAGCGCGCGATCGACCAAGGAGAGAGCAGACAAGGCTCTATTGGGTGACCCGGGAGTGTGTGGTGGTAGTGGTTGGGTTGCGTAGGTACTCTGTAGAGGGCAGTTGCGGTTGTTGCGCGCGGCGGGGTCGCAACTTCAGCGGAGGCCCTTCAGAAGCACTACAATGGCTCGATGCCTTTACGCTCTTTCCGTTGACAATTGATCCAATTGTTTTATTCTAGAGATTCAACTAGATTGAGTACGATAATTGCTAACTACAAAGAAGCGACCAAAGGTGCTCGTTGTTCTCATTCCTCATTGTTCTTGCCCGCTCGCGCGATCGCTGCCGCCCCGAGTCACGTGCATGCAGCGCCGGTTTTGGCAGTCTTCCGCTCCGGCGACCTCTGAGGCCAGACACGGCAACTGTGCATTGTCTCAATCGGCCTTCTCAGCCTCCCTCACGTACACCATCTACCTGTATCCAAGCTATGAGTCGCGGCGGTAAACTTGCTCCCGAAGTGAACCGGTAAGCATTTGCCCGTACGCCATTGTCCAAGAGACCACCCTAGCTGACTGTGCCACAGCGCGCTTTTCGTCAAGAACCTCAACTACAACGTCAGCCCCGACGACCTCTTTGAGCTCTTTGGCAAGTTTGGTCCCGTTCGGTGAGTGCCATCCCCTTTCTCCGACTCTTGCGCGACACTGCGCTAACGAGCTATCAGTCAAATCCGCCAGGGCATCGCCAACAACACAAAGGGCACCGCATTCGTCGTCTATGAGGATGTCGTAGACGCCAAACAGGCCTGCGACAAGCTCAACGGTTTCAACTTCCAGAACCGCTACCTCGTCGTCCTCTACCATCAGCCAGAGAAGATGGCCCGTCAAGCACAAGATCTCCAGCAGCGCCAGGACGACTTAGAAAAGCTCAAACGCCAGCACGGTATCGATTAGCGCCACGCGGGAGTCCCAGCCGTCAACAATGGCGATATCTCTGACTCGGCCCTTTCGACTACAACCACTCTGGTCTCGTCCAAACGGCCTCAAGGTCTCAATGAATCGCCGGTTGTGGCTCCCAAGCGCGGCGTGCGCTCAACCTGCCATAATCTAGGCAACCACACCTTTTCTTCACCACGAATCAATACGAGCTTTTTAGGGAGAATCAAGGGGACATGGCGTATACGCGGCTAGCTGTTTGCCAAAGGGCGGTTTTTCATTACACTGGGCAATTGGGAGTTTTTTTTCTGCTGTTCCGCGCAGAGTGCACTTGATTGTGCCCTGGCGGGTTTCTCTTTCTTTGTTACTCTACTTTTTACCACGACCTGAGCATACCCAACTCGGTCATATCGAACCTCCGCTCGATTGAGAAATTATCGAATGCGCTTTTACAAGAAAACATTGTAATCTTTCAAGTCTCACATCCTGTTGAACTTCTACGGCTTAGAAATACAGCTTATATGCTGTTGCAAATCAGCAGTTTCATCAGGCAGCAGAGCTGCAAGGAGTGTACGCGGCGTCACATGATAACAAAGGTGATCTTTATCTCCAACGTATCGGCTTATCAAAGTCAAACAGGGCAAGCACCAATAGACGATAGCCGCCCGGAGAGGGACTACCCACACACGAAGCAGATAGCAGCATCGAGCACATGGAGTCACGGATAGAACCAGAAAGTTTGCGAACATCGTGTTTGTATTTTTCCCTTAGCCGAGAAGACCATGTACTGTATCCTGGAGTGAGCACTTCCTTGACATTTCACCGATCTAATCATATATGACTGTATGACTGTATGACTGTATAAGAGTCCCCGCCAAAAAGTGACCGCCATGGCAAACAAAACAAAGAAAAACGAGGAAAGAATACAACAAAGTGAATGTCCAGCACACACCCTCCTATCCTCTATCATGTATCATCACCGATTCCTTAAGCACTGAGAGAGCGCTCACCAACCGGTAGGCACGGGGAAGTCAGTAGGCCAAGCGCCAGTGGGAACAGGGGCACTGGCAGTGGGCTTAGGACCCCAGTTGCCCCAGTTGCCGCCCCAGTTTCCCCACCAGAAGCTGTTGTCACGACGGGCACCCTCGAATCTCTTCTCAAAGGACTTGGGAGCGGTTGCGGTAGGTGCAGGAACCTCGCCGGGAACCCAGCCTGGAGGGAAGCCGGTGGGGAAACCAGTAGGGAAGGGGTTGAAGCCGCCGGTGGGCACAGGGAAGCCACCGGTAGGGTGAGGCCAGCCGCCAGTTGGGTGAGGGAAGCCGCCAGTGGGATGAGGGAAGCCGCCGGGAGGTTGAGGGTAGGCTCCTGTAGGCTTAGGGTGCCAGCCGAAGTGAGGAAGAGCAGCGGTGAGGTTGAGGAAGAGGGCAAGAGCCGAGACGATGAGAGATAGTCTTGCGAACATGTTTGCTTTGATGTGTTTTTTGATGTGGATGGATGATTGATCGAATGAAAAGGTTATGTAGTTCAGCGAATAGTGTTTTCTGCCTCCAAGAGAAGATATAGAGAGCGACAGAAGAGAAGATGGATGTACAGAAGAATGAACCTACAGGGGACAGCATCGGAACCTCTTTATGTACTTTTACCACAACGCATTTCAACGAAGCGAAGAGAAAAAGACTTTCTACTTCTTACAGAAGAGGACAGGGATCTTCTCACCAATAGCCACCTGCTGGGCTCCCGAAACATAGCCAACGACGTTCCATGCACGATGTCCGTGGATCGCCTGCCTGCATCTTGGTCCAAAGAGAGCACTCCAGCCTCTTCCCGAGCCAGGGTTTGTGTGTGAGGAAAAGTGCGCAAAGTCGGAAGCAGATAGAGTGACTGCCCAAAGCAGGGCCCAGGTCAGGTTCCGTTGAGCCAGTCAACCTTGCACCCGCCGACTCGACTCACCTAATGCTTGCTGGAATGTCCGAGAGCCGCCATCATGCGTGATACCGTCAATGACCGTTGACTGTCCATGACAGACACCCGCCAGCAGAAGCAAGATACGCAGGGGGGTTGACGACGGCCCCATGCTGCCGATTTGTGTTACGCGTTCACCAGCCAGCGATTGATTGCTGATCTTATCAACTGATGACAGTCAGTGAATCAGACAAACGCCAGGCATGGCGCGAGGACTTTCCGTCCATTCGAGATCATCGCTACGGTCTCAGTGTTGTCCGTGATAGGGAAGAACGGTCTGTTGTGCTTTTGCGCAAGTGTTTGTGTTGAGAAGCTTGTCCCTGGAGATCAAAAGGTGTGGGGATTTTGCTTGAGTGGAGTCTCTTGCCCTTGTTCTCTCTTCCCTCCAGCCACTTCCGGAGCCAGCCTCTCTCTTACAATTGATAACCTTGTTCGCTCTTCACCTCACCCTGGCTTCTTATCGCATCATCACGTTTGAAGATCACCAATGACATAGCCCTCGATTGCGAATATCTGGAGTCATTCCTCCCATCACCATCTCTTGCCATGTCATCCGCACTATTTTCAACAAAAAAAAAATGGACAATCATCGTTTCCTGAGCAAGCGGCTCTTCGCGTTTCAGGATAACCTCTTAACATGAACCCTTGCGCAAGCCACCACAAGGGAACAAAACAATCATGGCGGTTGGCGGGAAGAACGGGATGGCCGATCAAACATGCAAGCTGGGCGGTTGTCACAAAACCATCAATGATCCCACCATGTCTTGCCGAAGCGCTTCAACTCAACCCTAAAAGCACCTTTTTATCAGGCAGGCAAGAAATGCCCTTCCTCCTGTCGACGATCTTGCAAACTAGTACTTGCCAACGAACTCTCTACTATGACTGGTTCGCTGTTGCTGACTTCTGTCGAAATTCAAAAGTTTATTCTTGAAGGTCGCATCATAACGTCGGTTTTCGAAACAGCTGTAAGAAGGATATGGCTTCCCACATGTGTAAGCGAACCTGGATCTCTACTTCTCTGACATTCTTTCTCTTCTGCTCCCAACATTTCATCTACTTCTTTCTCGCCCATTCTCATCCGCCTGGTTGCAACGAAGAACGCATGTCGCAACATATCGCAAAAAAATCTTCTTCTACTGATCTCAAACTTCGCGCTTTTCCCGCGAGCAGATCTACCAACGACCCTTAGGCGGCGCGTCTGCACCGTTGAAGTCTTTTTGACAGACGCCAAATGCCTCACCAAAAGGTTCGTATGTGCAGTCGTACAGCCGGAAGACAGGCACATGGCCACGATTAGCCAACCGAACACTTCCACAACGTGCCTGCAGCGTACGAACTGCCACGTACATTGACAATATATCAAGACCTTACGAGTACGGTCACGGCTCTGATCTGAACTCAGCGATTCATGCAAACAAGGTGAGAGGAACTCAATCATAGGTACGCAAGAAACCATCCATCATCCTTTGAAAGCGAGAACGATATTCGGGTCTTGGCCATCGGGTCTCCATAGTCGCAAAGAAGGAAACCCGACTCGTCTATCATCACCTTCAATTCTCGGTGCGAATGACGCAAGACAGAATGTCGCAACCGAGGTAGCTAGAGCAATGAGCGCAACCAATTATCTCTGTGATCGTGCCAGAGTCTTGAACACTTAGGTAGCTAGACGTATTCCAGACTTGGGTACGACTGATCTCATTTCTCCCAAAGAGTACGAGTAGATTTGCAACAACGTGCAGAACACGCATGTCTAGCTATTGCAACGTATATGCATGCACGGCTATGCTAAGATTACAATCCAATGAGAAAATCAGCACTTTTACTTTACGGAGACCAATAGCACCCGCGGTACTCGAGTATCTTGCCGATAAGAACACACCCGTACAACCATCAGATAAGACCCGTCGTCATCGGAAGAATGCAGCACGATATAAGATGCTGACATCCTACGTCAAAATTATTTGCTGACCGCATACATGTATCGGGTACAGCTGTACCTCGACTCCCGCATCGCAGCTTTCTTCCGGCAATTGGCATATTGTGTATCCAATAAAAAGACAAGCATGAGCTGTTCCTGTGTTTGGTGAGCTTGATTTATGAGCTTGTGCCGCTGGTTCCTGGCATTTCATGCAAAGGCTGGTTCCTGGCATTTCATGCAAAGACCACCCACCAGAGACGCTGTGACACGTCTCGAGCATATGTAAGATAAGAAAGAAATATTTGGGCTCGCCTATATCATGAAATGCATTTCCGACCTAAGTTTCCAGAGATTGGAGAATCGATTATCGCCCTGCAATACTTCGGACGTCATTTCTTCTGGATCAATAAAAAACTATCGATTTGCTTTGCCGTCCTTACTAGACAAGGCATAATGATACTATACATTAAACACTTTTGAAATTCAGGGCTAACACCACGACCATTGCGGTTTGGGACTCCTCTAGAATTCCTCGAATGGGTCGACCTCCAAGCTCTCGCCGAACATGTAACCTTTGCCTGTTAAGACGTCCCGTGTATTGCTGTCGCCCCGGCGTCTACTTTGGGATGTCTGGTTCTCAGGAAGGCCCTGTCCAATGAAGGCATCCATGCGCACCGTCCCGATTGAGCGATCTGAACCATCACGATCGCTAGGCTTGAGGATCGGACGAGCTGGGCCGCCGGCAGACGTTTGGTATGTAGCTGTATTTGACGCTCTACGTGCAAAAGCTGAGGATGCCGTCATAGTACTATCGTTGGACGATGTTGCGACTGAGTGTTGGGGGTTTGTGTTGCTTCGCTTGCGCTGGTGACGGCCGCCAGCAATCCTGGAGATGTTGGGCGGCGCAGTGGAGTCGGCTGTATCCAGACGCTGATGTCCTTTGATGTGGTCTTGTGCTGGAGCCGGTCCAATAGTTGTCTTCATTGGCAAGATAGGCCCTGGCAATAATGACGACCGTCGTCGATGCGTATTCCCAAGCGCGGGCTCAGGCCCGGGTGACATACGGGGAACCTGAGGAGGACCACGACCCGATTGTGCGAGAAAAGATAGAGCTGTAAGCCAAAGATAATGTCTCTCTTTGTTGCAAGCAGTAAGCTTAAGAGCCCGTTCTGACGTCAAAATGAGAATTGACCTGTCAAAGATTGGTTCATGCGAAGCGCTCTTGTGAAGCGGTGTTGTGTCTTTGACGTCAAGCACTGATTTGATGACAACTAGCACATATTAGTAACAAGAGCATGTATCAGCAGCATGTTTACTTACGTTTGCGCCCAGCTTTTCCAAGCAAGGCTGGACCTGAATTTGGCTGCTTAGAACTCCACATGACTGTTTGCTCGTAAGGTGAAAGCCACACCCATCGTTTATGCCGCACGCCACTGGTCGCTCCTTCATCTGTATGATCTGCCCGAGACTCGCCAATGCCAAAGGAGCGGCGTCTTCGAACGTACTTCCACATCCACTCACCAACCATGGTGGCTGCTATGGCATCAACAATAACGTTATCTTGACTCTGCTCATCCTCTTCTTCCACTGCACTATCCTGGTCAAAGTCTGGAGAGTCCATAATGTTTTGCGCTCCAACAAAGCTGTCATGCGCTGGAGTGACTATGCCAGGAAGTAGGAGGTTGTCTTTGGATGGCGTGTCAAATGCCATTGACTTGATGGGTTCGAGGTCTGGTGCTCTCCTCCTGCGTCTTGGAGACATGCGAGCGTTTGTTCTCATGGTGCCCGACGACTGTACCTTCCTAAGGCCACCATCGGGGCCAATCCGAGATTCCTTACTTGACCGACGTGATCGCATTGACTGAGAGCCACGTGCTGTTGGGCTAGGAGGTCCTTCGCTGGTAGGGGGTCTCGAGCTTCTACGGCCAGGGATAGGGAATGGTGGTGCTGATGTTGCACCATAACTGCTGGCAGTATTAGGTCTGCTTGATTTACGCTCATGAGAGCTGAAAAAAGTGCCTGCTCTTCCAGAATAGGTTGTTCCTCTCGAGCTAGGTGGACGACTTTGATTTGAGCTACCATCAGAACCCATCCTCTTGCCATGGGTGAAGACAGACGGTCTCTCAGGACTTGTGACAAAGTTCGCAGGAGAAATCGCCCGACCCTCCGGTACAGTCTTTGGCGGATTATTAAACAGTGATCGTACACTCGGGCGAACAATACCGGGCATGTTCCCGAAGATGGCTCTCATGTCATCACTAGATTCGGCTAGCTGATCGTTGACAGGAGTGTCCGCATACCATTGCGGTGATGTGTGGTCTGAAGAATCAACCTCCGTTTGCTGGTGTCTCTCAAGGGTCACCGAGCGAAGTCTAGGCGGTGGAAGGTTGATAGGCTTCAGAGGCAAGCGATTACCATCTTTGCTAAAGGTGCTTCGATGCATGACCACACGTTGCTTTGCAGTCGTCTGAGCCTCGCGGCCTGCGGTTGAATAACCTTGCTCAAGAGCACTTGGCAGTAGATGAGGTGGAAGCTTGATTGGTCTTCGATCGACTCTGATTTCTTCCGTTTGTACAGCGGCGTCTAGCATAGGCGTAGCAGGTAGCTTTTCGGTCTGCGCATAGCTACTGCGCATGCCAGGAGGAAGAACGCTCTCGCCAGTTCTAGGTGACAATGGAGGCTGAATGGTGATGGCCGGAATAGGAAGAACTTCTACTGCAGCCATGGCAACGTTTCGTCTGGATGCCAGATCACCTGGGGCAGCGAGTTCAGTTTGAGTCGAGACAGATTGATAGACCGGCTTTGGTGGAATGTCTTTCTGAACATCTCCCTTGGCAAGATAGTGTGGTGTATCTGGAGGACTTATGGGAGCTTCGACTAAGCGATCTGATGTCAATAGATTTGGTAATTTAGGCTGGAGGCCTCGTTCTGTCTGTTTCAGCTTAGTGGGTACTACGTCGAACTCGGTTTCCCCACGATGATCGACTGTCAAAATCTTTGATGCCTCGCCGTTAGTTTCATCTCTTGGTCTTGCAGGACTAGCGGAGCGCGAGAGGCTCATCTTTGCCCTCTGCAGATTGAAACGTTCAGCGAATGAGGGGGTTCTTAGAGATTCCATCGATGGTTTTCGTGCGCCTTCCTTGTCAGCCAAGGCATCGGAATCGCTCTTGATCGTCAAGCCAAGGACCTTCTTCGCTTTGCGATCCGATATGGCTGAAGCTCTTGAGTTGATGCTGGAACGATTCTCGGCGAATAAAGGAAGGTCTTCATCATCTCCTTCAAAATCTTCAGTATCATAGTCGTCGTCATCCGAACCGAGCTCGTTGGCCAGAGAAGTCATAGCTGGCCTCCGAGTACTACTTATGGAAGGTGTGAGGCTCTGAACGCTCATGCTGCTCTGGTTTCTAGCATGCCTTGCGCGTCGGTAAGAGCGGACACTGGCAGTATCACTGTTGTCGCCGGGTGCATCTTCGGGCTTCTGCTGGGCTTGAGAAGCAAGCTGATGAGTCCGCACTTCTTCGACTACCGCTCGCAAGCGCGTCTCTGATATGTGAACCTTTTGCTCCAATTGACGCTTTTCGATCTGCCACGAACGTCTGTCCTGTTCCCATGCTTCTTTCGCCCGAATGCTCTCTTCCTCCAAGGCCTTTGTCTTCTTGTTCGCTGCGTCTAGCTTGCTTCGCAACTCTTTATTTGCGATTTTGACATTGTCTCGCTCAGCGAGTAGGCCCTCAACAGCATCAAAGGTGCCGTTCTCGAGAAGCTTGAACTTTTGTTCCAATTGCTTGGACTTTTTTGTGCTTTCGCGGAGTTGGCCAGAAAGGGATTCGTTTTCAGTATTCGTATTCTTGAGGCTTTCTTCAAGAGTGTCGATAAACTGGTGTTTCGAATCGAGTTCTCGTCGTAATGAGAGAATTTCGGAGACTAGGCTGGCGTGAAGGGTGGGCGTGAAACGATTGGCGTCGAATGCATGGGCGTTGGCATCCTTACTGTCGGATGCATCAAACGAAGACAGTGGAGCCGATTTAGTAGAAAAGTCACGATGTTTCGTACGACCACGTGAGGAGGGCTTGGATGCTGCAAGTTCCGGTGGAGTGTGTTCAGGCGTTCGTGCGGGTGATGCGAGGGCACCGTACTGAAAGTAATCTGTCGACATTATGGCGACACAACCGGACTTATAGCAAGCACAGGTACTCTCTTCCTACCCGGCATGCAGTCTAGTAAGTCATGATTCAATAAATGTCGGTGGTGTCGTGTGAGAGCGTGCTTCGAACGAAGATGGAAAGAGTCTGGGAGGGAGTGATATCGAAAAGGAGACAATGAGAAACAAGAACCGAGGCAGGAATGACGCTGTCTGGGTAGATAGCGTGTGTTTCAATCTACAGATATTGGACATGAATAAAGATGGACCGGGAACTACGCCGATCAGGAGAGAAGGCTGAGAATCAGGAAGGAACAGATCACTATGTGATTGCCCCAATCTACAACAGGCTTACTCTGATGGTAGCAGGAAGCCGCAGCTCCCCGCTCCGCTGCTTATGAAGCTGAGGATCCATTGTCGACTCGCGGCTGCGGATTGAACAAGCTCGAGAATCACTGTGATAGAAGGCGTTGACTTGAAGCTGCAAAACCCGGAGCTGTGGAAAGAGATGCTAGCCAAAGTGCCGAGCGTCCGCACGGCTCATCTGCAGATGCAAGCGCGCCGTTCCTCCATGCAAGGGACTGACAAGATCGACTGTAGCTGCACCGTTTTGCTTTGCTCGAACAAGCTTCTGTTTCACCAAACCGGAATCTCCAACGTCTGCTTGTCGTGGAACAATAATCTTCAGTTGACACGACACTGCCAATTTCAGCACCCAGACTAGCAGCCAAAGCAAAAAAAATCGACTCGTTGCACAAGCGTGTCCTTGGCAAGCGCTCGAGCGTTCGTGACAGGATGTGATCAAGATGAACAGGCTTCTGCTTCTGTCGATCACTTTAATGCTTATTAACCAATAGATATCTTGGGTGTTCGTCCGACGTGACCGACTGACACTGCTGTGCCTCTCGAAGGCGGTCATGTCCAATCGCCAAATCATACACAAGGCTTTTATACAAGGATCTTTCCAAGCTCCAAGAAAGCCACACGGGTTGGCCAGATGAGTTCCGCACGGGAGTGAAGCGCCTGTGTTGAACAGAGCAGCGCGCTCCCGTGCACTGGACTCACTCGCTTTCTCGCGATTGGCCTTTTTCTGTCGAAACGGCCCATGTTGACGAGTCATACACGCGATTGTGCAGAAGATGCATCGACAGAAGTCCAACGATATCAAATCTTCTTTGACGACCCGCTTCGCTTGGCATACTGCTCGATGTTTCGTAAATTAGCAAATAGCAAGCATGATGTTACGAGACCAAGATACGACTGCAAGGCCCTCATTGTGGACAAAAATGTGCATTGTCATATCATCTACCTCATGTTGGACTAAGCGTCTGGAACGGAAACACAAAGCGAGCGATCCGCTGATCGAAGGTCCAAGGGCATCGAAAGTGTTATGACCGCTGATACTGGCATGACCCTGACAGCTCGGGGTGAGGTGTCCCGATGCCGAGCCCCGCGTCGTCGAGACGTCAATTTTTTCGAAATGCTCAGTCGTCAAACCGCCAATTTTTTGACACTTGCTTGACACTTGAGAGCGTCCAGCCCTAACTCAACCGAAATTTCACAACCAAGACTTGAGTGCGAACGAACCACATCTCGAAAGTCAGAATCCTGGACTGATTGTGCCATCCACGAGAAACGAGCACAAGATCTTTTGTTGCCTACCAAGTAAAAGAGAAGGATACACTCGACAACGACTCGAGACTTGAACAATCATGGCGTCGCGCGTTCAAGAGCTTCCCGATGACTTCGACGACAAGATTGATCTGAACAAGGCACCCGCCGAGACACATGGACCTGCACCACCATCCGCCGCTGGCGACGGCGGCCTGTCTTTCGATATGATGATGGAGGCCGCTGCAAAACACTTCCCAGCTAAGAAGGATGCACCGGCTGAGGGCGATCCGTCTCAATCTGGCGCAGCGCTCCCGCCCGGCATGGCTACAGCCAGACAATACACAGCAGACGAGATGTGGCAGATGCTGAACAAGTCCCCTCTCTTCATGACCGAGCTGGACGAGACAGGCGAAGACGGTGGTGAGAACATAGCTCTGGAAGCCATCAAAGCCCTCGCATATGAAGGCACCCGTGCCGAGAACGCCGCTTCATTCCGCGAACAAGGAAACGAGAACGCTCGCCTCAAGCGCTGGAAAGATGCCCGCGAATTCTACGACCGCGCTTTGGGTGCACTCAAGCTACCGCAGAAGCGTCCAGACGCAGAAGAAGGCGAAGAGGATGTTGAGCACGATTTGGTAGAACTCGATGAAGAGGAAGAAGCTCGCAAGGAAAAGGAACACGAGGAAGCATCTCTGGTCAACCGCGCCCTCTGCAATCTTGAGTTGAAGAACTACGGCTCCTGCAATCGCGACTGCGCTGCTGCCTTGAAGATCAACCCAATGAATGTGAAAGCATACTACCGCAGCGGTATGGCCAATTTCCATGTCGACAAAATCCCTGCAGCAATCTGGTCTTGCAACTTAGGCCTTAAAATCGACCCTACCAACAAATCCCTCCTCATTCTTCAAGACAAGATTGAAAAACGCAGAGCTCAGATAGAACGCGCCGAACGAGAGCAACGCGAAAGAGAAGAAAAGGCCCGTAGAGAGAAGGAGACTCTGGCACTAGCATTGAAAGGCCGCAACATTGCAACCCGCTCGACAACCACAGCGCCACCTCAGCTTGAAGACGCCGCTGTTCAACTCGAGGACCCCACCGACGCATCGTCAACACTAAGCTTCCCTTGCTTGCTCCTCTACCCTCTTCACAACCAAACAGATTTTATCAAATCCTTCGCCGAACATGAGTCAGTAGGTCAACACCTTGAATACATTCTCCCGTTGCCTTGGGACGAAGACGAGCAATATCTACCAGAGAATGTCGAGTGCTACATCGAGACCAAGACTGGAGGCTTGGTGAAAGCAGGCAAGAAGATGGCCTTGCTCAGAATCTTGAACACTGGCAAAGTGGAGATTGTGGATTCTCTGCTGAGGATCAACGTTGTGCCGAAGAGCAGAGCACAAGAATGGGTGGACAACTTCAAGAAGATCAAGGCCGCTACCAAGTAAGAAGGATCAATTGAATGTTTGCTGGCCATATGATCTATCAAGATTGCACTGCGGATGTATTCACGTGAAAGCATCGCCGAAACGATCCGAAAGTCGAGACGCACAATTCTTCGCTGCTCTCGGGAAGCCCAGTTCATCTTCTCCCAAGATGTAAATCTCGACTATCTGTAGTCATTCGCATGATTCACGCGTTCGTAGGCATTTTCGCACCGAGTTTTGCTGCCTAGCTGGGTGCCTTGAAACTCCGGTTACGCGCACTGACCGAGCAAGTGACTAACATCGCCTATGGATCAGCGGTCTTCATGCTTGTGAACACCTCATAGAAGGCTGAAGGATCTTCTGCACCCTCAATCCTTCTGCCGTTGATCTCAAAAGTCGGCACTGAGTTGACTCCCGAGTCTCTGGCTCGCTGCGCCTCATCATCAACCTCAGCTCCACCGTTACCACTTTCCAACCACTCCATCATCTCATTGCGCGCAAGACCGACAGAAACACCAGCTGCAAGCAGATCATTGTGAGAATTCACATCAGCTTCGCCCTCAAAGTGAACGCGGAACAATTCCTTTGCAAGTGCCATCTGCACTTCTCCGCCCTTGAAACCCGCAAGATAAATGAGCCTGTGTGAGTCTCTGGTATTGCCAACCTTGCCAGCGAAGGTGAAATTGATACCGTGAGCTTTTCCTACACGCTTCAATCTCATCTTGATACCTTCTGCACGTTCGATACCGTTCTTCTGGGCTATGCGGGTTGAGGCAAGGATACCTGGGGTTGGTGCATGAGGGTCGAGGTAGTATGGTGACCAGGTTATGCGAAAAGTGTCTTTTGAGCCATTGGGATAGGTGCGCTGGTAGAGATATACTGCTTGTTCCAATGTCTTGAGACCGATATAGCACTGGTAAATTCAATTCCTGTTAGCTTTGGCGTATGTATTTTGTCAAGATAGATGTGCCCAAGGACATATTGTGTCTGAATAAATTTTGATTTCGAACAGAGTAGGTGCCATCTTTGTATTGTGGTATGGTTCAATCCACATCTGCTCCTTTGAGAACAATCGAGTTTGAAGCAAAACAAAATAATCAAGATCTATACTTCAGCATTCGTGGAAAGCATGTCACTGTGTTACTAGGGTTAGGCTCCATCATTACCATGTTTGGATATTCAATACTCACGATGCATAATTCTGCTGCCTGAACACTGCAGTGTTTACTCGAGACTTATTCCTTTTCAAGAGAAATTAGTCGTTTTGCCTTTTCGATGCCGTCTAGCGGGAGTGCTCCAACCAGGATCAATCAGGGTAACTAGACAGCAGTCTGGCTGAAATTTGCTTGTTCAAGTCAATGTCAATGGTCAATTTGTAGCTCCTCGCTTTTCCAAAGAACATGCGTTTTCTCAATGCAGATGTTCTTCATAACGTTTAGGCAACACTATTGAAGAAGGCATGATCCATACCAGCCACCTGCCAAGATCGGTATAGCGTCGTAGGATTTCGCTGCGGGATCGCGGATTCGCCATATCTTGATAAACCCAAGCTCGACCTCATCTGAGGATTCCAATTGTTACTCTGAGAGAACATATCAGTAGAACCATGTTGCTCAAGAGCTCTGCCCTGTTGTCAGGTGCGTTGTGGGCTTCGTTCGCTGTTGCCCAGTTTCCGCCGAAGCCCGACAACGTCAAAACCGTGAAGTCGAAGTTCCATCAAGGTATCGAAATCTCGTACAAGGAGGTTGATGTATGTATATCTCGACTCCAATTCAAAGTGCAGTCAGAGCTGTCGTGCGATTGATGCATTTTTTCGTGTTCACAGCGCTGATTGCATCTGCAGCCCGCTGTCTGCGAGACCACCGAAGGAGTTCGCAGTTTCTCTGGATATGTTCACCTGCCGCCTCATAGCATCAACGAAACACATGAGAGGCAGGACTATCCTATTAATACGTAAGCCTCACATTGATTCTTTCAAGATGTGGTCGCATACTGATATAGCCCAGCTTCTTCTGGTTCTTCGAGTCTCGCAAAGACCCACACAAGGCTCCTTTGTCAATCTGGCTCAATGGTGGACCCGGAGGTAGCTCCATGATGGGAGCTCTCTCCGAGAACGGCCCTTGCTTCGTCAACAACGATAGCAACTCTACATATTTGAACCCTTGGTCATGGAACAACGAAGTAAGGTCACTCGTGCCTTTCTATAACACAGCGCTAATCAACGTCACAGGTCAACATTTTGTACATCGACCAACCTGTCCAGGTCGGATATTCTTATGATGTCCCAACGAACGTGACTGTAGATTTACTTGCCGACAACGAGGGTCCTAGTTCCATCACGGTTACCGACTTCAGCTCCGGTGTTCCTGACCAGAATGCTACTTTCCTGGTTGGTACCGCCAGTAGCCAAAACGTTTCTGCTACCGTCAACAGCACGCAGCACGCGGCTGTTGCTTTTTGGCACTTCGCTCAGACTTGGTTCGAAGAGTTCCCGCAGTACAAACCTCATGACGAGAAGATCTCTCTGTTCACGGAATCGTACGGCGGTAGATACGGTCCTACCTTTGTCAAGAAGTTCATGACTCAGAACGAGTTGATTGCCAATGGAACCATCTCAGGCCCTGGTACACACTACTTGCACCTTGACACTCTTGGCATAATCAATGGATGCATTGATTCTGAGGATTCTGCTTCTGCATACGTCGAGTTCCCTGTCGCCAACACCTACGGCATCCATGGATTTACCGAGGAGCAGTACTACCAAGCCAAATACAACTTCGTTCGTAAAGGTGGTCTGCGTGACCAAATTCACGAATGTCGTAGGTTGCAGCTTGAGACAGACCCCAACGATTATGGTGATGTCGAAAACACAAACAACTACTGCATGCAAGCTGCGGAGAATCTTGCAAACCAAACTATAAGCCACTATATGGAGAGCAAGAAGTTTGGTTGGTTTGACATCACTCACCAAGGAAATGATCCCTTCCCCGGCCAATACCTCGTCGGTTACTTGAACCAGCACTGGGTCCAGCAAGCTCTTGGTGTGCCTGTGAACTTCACTGCCGTTTCACCTACCGTCTATGAGGCATTCACGCGCACTGGCGACATCTCCAAAGGTGGATTGATCGAGGACATTGCGTACATCTTGGACAATGGCGTCAAGGTAGCAATGATGTACGGTGATCGCGATTATGCCTGCAACTGGCTCGGCGGCGAAGCATCTTCTCTTCACATCCCCTGGGAGTCACAAGAAGCATTCTCCAAAGCCGGATACACTCCTCTTGTGCTGTCTCCTGTCCACTCGGGGGGTCTGGTTAGACAGTACGGTAACCTCAGTTTCACCAGAGTCTATCAGGCTGGTCATTTGGTACCCAGCTACCAGCCTCAAGCCGCATATGAGATTTTCATGCGTAGTCTGTTCAACAAGGATGTTGCTACCGGCAGAGTCGCCGTGTCAGATCAGTACAAGACCCATGGATCAAAGGATGCGTGGACACCTAGTGATGTTCTCCCTGCGCCCAAGAACGAATGCTATACTTTGAATCCTGAATCTTGTACCGAGGAGGAGCAAGAGTGGCTCAAGGATGGCACCGCCATCATCAAGAATTGGATCCTTATTGGCCATGAGAAGAGTGGCAGAAAAAACGGAGAACAGCAGGTCTTGAGTGCAGATGGCATGTATGAGCTTTAGATGAGCACAGCTTCAAGTGTGCTACTGGGTATGGCAGTCATTGGCTTTGTACAATCACCTAGTCATCATTCGAGCAGTATACCTTTTTGACAAGAAAGGGACAAACTTTGAGAACAGTTTGAATATTAATCAAGACATTGTCCTTCACATTTTCCTCGTTACAAATGCTTGTATGTCCTGGGCTGTGCTTGTCTATGTTCCACGAATGCCTAAAGAGTCATTCTGTCCAGGGAGAGCTCTGATCAAGATTATCGTACAGGAAGACTGGTGGACACCGACTATCTTAAGCAATGCACAGCCGACCCTCAGGTTGAGGCAAAGATAGAAGATTACATTGCAGTGTTCGAGGAAATGCACCGAGTACAAGGACAAAAAACCACACAGAACCGGAATCCAAACATGCCTACTCAAGGAATCAGAAAGACTAGTCGCTGTGATCGATGAGGGCGAGAATATGATCTATTACTTCAGCCCCAACTTCATTTTTGGAAATGATGGGGCTCATAAGCACATGATCAAGATCTGAGGTAGAGACTGACTTTCATCAGAGCAATGGCGACAGGCTCGTGTATGAGGACTGCCATCAAGTGAGGCAGAAAAGAAGTGTCGCTCCTTCCTCCACGGAAGCACTACTACCACTGCTGACTCATTGAAAGCCTTCACATGTGATTTCAAGGTTCCTTCCCCTACGCGCTACTTCACTTCACACCTTCGCGATGTGAACAGGCTTCCCCTTCGCGCCTACTTAAACTGCTTCCTTCTTCCAGCTTCCACTTCCGCTTTCTAACACCATACAACCCGCTTCTTCCTTTTTCTTTTTGGCTCCATCAACGTTTCATATCGCTGTGGCTAATACTACAACAAGTTTCTTCATATCGCTGTGGTCAATATTACAACAAACCTCTGCTCTTCAACATGATGAACTTCTACTTCAATGGACAACGCGTCGACATCCCTCAATTGATGGCCGCCGCTACTACGAACAACAACAATCAGACCCGCAACACCTTCACATTCGGCTCTGATACCAGAAACACAACTAAATGGAGCAAGAAATACTACTGTAAGCTTCTTCTGCACATTCACTTTCAACTTCTCACTTCTAACCACATACGGTACAGGCTCCTACGGCCATGGCCAAAACAACTCCCACAACAGTCAACAGTGCAACAGGCGCAAGAAGCTGGCAGACAATGTCTATCGTCCCACCTATCCAACCCAGACCGTATGCAAGATCTCTACACATAAGTCTTCGAAAAAGAGGCAAAGCTAACAGACATGACAGATGCTCCGTCAAGAAGTCTCAAGACCCGCTCACGAAGACTTCGTTGCTGTCAAGGCTGAAGCAATAAAAAAGGAAGACGTTGACGACGAGAACCGTGGCGAAGATGTCTTGGCTCATTACAGCCATGCAGAGCTGAGAAAGATGTTCGGCAATGTTTTGGTTCGCTCGAGTTATACAGAGCTGATGGAAATGTTCCAAGAGGTCAAGAAGGAGATGGAACGCCGTGGTATCAGATGAGGGTGCTGATATTGACGCGTGCTGCAACCAGTCAATTGGTTTCAGGTGTGCTTTCTGCTCTAATTCTCGCTTCTCTCGGGAAGAGCTGACACGATGAGTATGGAGGAAGAGACGGTGAAAATTCTTATTTGCTGCTTTCTTAACAATCCAGTATGCTTTTCCAGGTCTATACTTTGCTTGTCAGAGCTTCAGAAGCTATGCATACTCAGAAGCAACCTTGACATATCCATAGCTCAAGAGCCATGCTTCCCTTGAGGCTTTCTTATCATGAAATAATTCGTCACTGGTTCGACACCTCCAAACAGAGAATAATCAATAGTGTGTGTCTCGACAACCTCAAAACCATGTTTCTGATATAACCTGATGCCTGCCACAGAAGAAGTCACGAAAGAGTTTAATCCATACGCATCAGCCACATCAAGGCCAGCTTGCAGAAGCATTGCGCCGATACCTCGACATTGGTATTCTGGTGCAGTTGCCAAGTAATCCAGGTCTGTTTCCAGATACACTGTCAGTCAATCCTCTCCGACTGGGATGGAACGAGCTCATGTATGCATACCTAGAAATGGGCCACTTTCCCTGATCTTAGCATCTATTTCTTCGAGTTGTGCACTACGATACTCGAGCAGGTCCATTCTTAATCCTCTGTCTGTGACTCTTTCGGACATCTTCTCAAATTCTACCCTCTGGTCTTCCGTAGGCTCTTTGACTTGAGCTTCCGGCCAAATCACTGGATCCGCGGAAGCAAGGTGCTCGGGTAATATCCATCTAGCATAAGCAACAGCTTTGCCAGTAGCATTGTCAATAGCGATTTGATGGCGTTTAGAAGCTCGTCCAGTAATCAGATTCCAGGGCAGTCGTTGTGCGGTCTCGGATGTCACTCTGGCAGATGAGATGTCAGGTCTGAAGAGTGCAACCCAGTGAGGATCTTTCCACCGGGCTGAGACCATAGCATTTGCAATGGCGGGCGCAAGAGTAATGTCAGCTGTGGTGATGGAGATAGACATGTTGTTTGCTGATTTTTGATAGAATGGTATCGCATGCAACTCGGGAACCTTACAAGATGCTTGTTATATTCATGAGTTACAGATCGATCTTATTTCTGTGAACAACACCCAGACTATAATGTTGGTGCCTACGAATACTCCAAAGCAAATTGCTCTCTCGCAAGACGTTGCGGGGAATGAGGTTGGCTGGCGGGATGGCGCTACCACCTTCCTGAAAGAGTCGTAGGATGGTAGAAAACCAGCCACAATACATTCTCGATTGCAGAGGTAGATGAGAACTTGCAGCAGCAGAGTCAGGAGGGCCAGATATCGAAAGAGGAATTCAAGATTTGATCTTACCAACCACTCAGAGTATCTTATCTGATCGTGGCTGTATATCTTTGGTCGTACAACCATTTCCACACCTATACTCAATTCCATCTACAATTTAGGTCCCTGTCTCTTCTTGACCCACTCCTCAACTGCCTTAACTCCCGCCGTCGCAACCTGCTCATCCTGCGCCGGTGTCCCCGTACTAACACCCACAGCACCCACGACCTGCCCATCGATAACAATAGGCACACCACCCCCAATCAACATAAACCTACCACCATTAGAGTTATGGATACCATATGCCGGGCCTCCAGGCAAGAAATTGGGGTTCTTGTATGCAGAGGTGGGTTGTTTGTGGCCGGCTGCAGTGAAGGCTTTGTCGATGGAAATGTTGATCGAGGTTAGTTTTGCCGTAGGTTGGCGCACAAAGTGCAGGAGGTTTAATGTGGCGTCTACAATGGCAATGTTGAAGTCTGTGGGAAGGTTTGTGATTAGTGCTTGTGTTTGGGTTGCATGTATGCTCGAGAAGACACACCAATGCCTATTTCCTGTGCCTTTTTCTGGGCAGCTGCCGAGGCTATCTCTGCTGCGCGCAGGCTGAGGACGGGCAGCGAACGTGTTGCTGAGTCTGAAGACGACATGTTTACTGTTGTGGGTTTGTTGCTTCTGGATGCAATCAAGCTTGAATTGGTATCAAAATCACGATGTATATGTAATCGTTGACAGCTTGAAGCTATGCAGTTGTTGGAGTTGTCTCCACCCGAGGTTGCGGCTGGTCCTCTGCCCGCTCTGTGCTTGCTCTTCGGATGACTTCATGACTTTCACATGTCTATCCATTCATCCATTCTTACGGGACCCCTTGGAGGAGGTCATTGAGCAAGATTGTAAGGACAAGTGTTTGTCCATTTTGTACAGCTGGCACCAATACATCCTTCCGAACTGTCTCGCGAACCATTTGCAACTGATTCACCACGTGGTTCGACATTTGTAAATGGTCTGAGCGCAGTTCAACAATTGATACGCGTGAGCGCGGAAATGAATACACATGCCGATAACGGCCTAAGGGAAAAAAGCTAGAGGACTGAGATGGGAAAGTTGAGAGGTCGTGAAAAAAGTACACACTCCTGCTCTAGGAGTGTGTTGGTTGTAGTAGATTGTTGGTCTATCTTGAAAAAAGAATTAGAATCATTTCCCATGATAACAAAATGCCGTGAGTCTGGGATATTGTTGAATCATCGCCAAACGCCGACGCTAGATGCATGCATAGCACGTTACAGCCAACCCGAGTCTATGTTGAATACCCCCTTAACACATTGCCTCAAGTCTGGCTGACCTGCGCTCTAGAAAGAAGTGAGCCGCAGGGTTTGATGCAGGTTTTCCCTTCCCAAAGATACCATAAAACGCCGTACCCAGCTGTAGGCTCTGCTCGCACAGAATTCTACAGCAGGACTTTTGAAAAACACAAAGAGCCCAACATGAAGTCAAAAAATGTCGCGACATGTTTAGAACTTGAGCTCCTTGGGCTGCTCCCAGGTGAAGCTCTGGTCGCTGAAGTGACCGTTCTTGGCAGTGCGGTTGTAGATGGGGTTGGTGAGGTTGAGCTCCTTGACAATGACACCGGGACGGAGGTCGAAGTTCTTGCGGATGATCTCGACGAGCTCGTCAGAAGACTTGTCGGAGGTACCGTAGGACTCGACGAAGAGCGAGAGAGGCTCGGCAACACCAATGGCGTAGGAGAGCTGGACAAGACAGCGGCGAGCGAGACCAGCCTTGACGAGGGACTTGGCGATCCAGCGGGAGAGGTAGGCAGCAGAACGGTCGACCTTGGAGTAGTCCTTTCCGGAGAAAGCACCACCACCGTGGGCACCCCAACCACCGTAGGTGTCGACAATGATCTTACGGCCAGTAAGACCGGCATCACCCTGGGGTCCACCGATGATGAAGAGGCCTGAGGGCTGGATGTGGTAGATGGTCTTGTCGTCGAGGTACTTGGCGGGGATGACCTTCTTGATGATCTTCTCAAGGATCTCCTTGCGGAGCTCCTCGGTGGTGATGTCGGGGCTGTGCTGGGCGGAAACGACAACGGTGTCGACACGCTTGGGGATGACGGCACCGCCGTCGTGCTCGTACTCAACGGTAACCTGGGTCTTGGTGTCGGGTCTCAACCAGGCGAGGGAGCCGTCGTTTCTGGCCTGGGTCATGGCAGCGTTGAGCTTGTGGGCGAGCTGGATGGTGAGGGGAAGGAGCTCAGGGGTCTCGTCAGTGGCATAACCGAACATGATACCCTGGTCACCAGCACCGAGCTTCTCGAGAGCCTCCTCGTAGTGGAGACCTTGGGCAATGTCGGGCGACTGCTCCTCAATGGCGACGAGAACGTTGCAGGTCTTGTAGTCGAAACCCTTGTCGGAGCTGTCGTAACCAATGTCCTTGATGGCCTGACGGATGATCTTCTGGTAGTCAAGGCGGGCCTTGGTGGTAATCTCACCGAAGACCATGATCATGCCAGTCTTGGTGGCAGTCTCGCAAGCAACCTTGGAGAGGGGGTCCTCCTTCAAGCAGGCATCGAGGACGGCATCGGAGACCTGGTCGGCAATCTTGTCGGGGTGACCCTTTGGAACATGTCAGTACAAGGCGCTGATGAGTGAAGAGAATTGAAGCTGCTTACCTCGCCGACAGACTCGGAGGTGAAGAGGAAGGTGTTACCCTTGATGTTTCCGTTGGTGTGGACCATTGTGACGGGAGAGGTGGGGGAGGGGCAGGAAAAAGATGCAGAAGAAAGAAGGGAAGGAGTGTGGATTAGAAAGGTCAATCGTCTAGGGGGGACAGATGACTCTTATGGAGGGGGATGGCAGAGGAGAAGAGGGGAGAAAGTGGAATGCGTTGAAAGAAAAGATCACGACCAGTGGAGGGCTGGGGCAGCGACGGGGCTAGAGACAGATTGGATTTTGCGCTGCGGCAAGCTTTGCAGAGAACTGCCGACAAATTTCAAGATGACGCGATCTCAAAGGACGGTCGCCCACAGTGACATTTCTGTCAGATACATGCATCTTCTCGAGTCTTGTCTTTCAACTGTGGCATCGAGCAATGATTACTACAAAAAGGCATCGTTGAGTATGGAAAAAGAGACATCTTCGGAACGAATTGAGGAAACGACGACTCCCCTCCGGTTATCGATGAGATCGTGCAATCTTGAAGCTTGCATACTTTAGCATATGAAGAATAGACCCGCAACTTTCTCGCGCTCCAGTACATGCTATTTCCTTGTAGCCATCACTTGCTATCATGCATATCTAGATTCTTGTCAATGCTTCGTACTAGAATTGAACTTCGTTGATGGTCTATAACATATCTCTTGAATGATACTTTTCCGAGGATGTGGCAGAATTGCCAGATTGGCCGACCATGAGGAAGAGGCTTGGCGCAAATTTCCCGCTGGTCGAACAATATCAAACCATTATTTGCATAGCTACCCACGTACCACAAAGAACATCAGCATAATCCGCCATGTCCAAGTACGGCGTGCTGGCCATCGGTCCAGCTGGCGCTGGTAAAACCACCTTCTGCTCGGCCTTGATTGGCCATCTGAAGAACTCGCGCCGTTCGTGTTTTTACATCAATCTCGACCCCGCCGCCGAGGAGTTTGTCTATGAGCCTGATCTCGACATCAGAGAGCTCATCACCCTCGAAGATGTCATGGAGGAAATGCATCTCGGCCCCAACGGTGGGTTAATCTACTGTTTCGAGTTCCTTCTGGAGAACATGGACTTCATTACCGACCCACTGGAAGAGGTGGGTGAAGAGTACCTCATTATAATCGATATGCCCGGCCAGATTGAGCTGTACACCCATGTGCCCATCCTGCCTACCCTCGTCAAGTCCTTGACCAGAGGCAGTCTCAACGTCAACCTCTGCGCCGCCTACCTGCTGGAAGCCACCTTTGTAGTAGATCGCGCAAAGTTCTTTGCTGGTACCCTGAGTGCCATGAGTGCTATGCTCATGCTCGAGGTCCCTCACGTCAACATCTTGAGCAAGATGGATCTCGTCAAGGGCACTGTCGCAAAGAAAGACCTCAAACGTTTCATTGACCCCGATGTCAGCTTGCTGGACGAAGACCCCACCACCGGCTTGTACTACGACGAAACAAATGACCCCGACGATGTTACCGACTCCCAAAGTGTCATGGCCGGTTCCTCCTTCAACAAACTGAACCGCGCTGTTGGCCAGCTCATCGACGACTTTGCCATGGTATCCTTCCTCAAGCTTGACGCTCAAGACGAAGACAGCGTCGGCGCTGTGCTTTCATACATCGACGATGCAATCCAATTCCACGAAGCTCAAGAACCCAAGGAGCCAATGGATGAAGCACAAGACGAAGAGATGACTGAGATGGGTTGAGAGATGGGACAAACATATATTGCGCGAACTACAACCAGACCGCGAAACGACTACCAAGCACACCCAACGCTTTGCATCCATACACAGGCTGGGCTCTAGACCGGCCAAAGAGCCGCCACATTTCCTACTATACAAAGGAACGCCGTTGTCGACAAACCTCGGACATTCTGTAAGTCCGTTGAAAGGACTTGTGGCTTAGTAAAGCTTCGCGGTGTTGATATACTCCGGTATCTCTCCGAAACGCCAAAATCTCAGAGAATTCAGCTCATATAACGATATTGAGAGCTCAGTCGAATAATGACAACAACAGCCGGGAATACACACTATTGAACAACCCGATCATTTCCCGTTTGAGACTGCCTTCTTTCTCCATCAGTGCTTTCTCAAGCTCATAGACATTGAAACTCATATTCAGCAAATGCAAATCTTGGGCTTGATTCGTCGTCTATCCGAACAATCTTGATCTTTCTCCTCGTCTGCTCTGCATGTGCCTCATGACAATAGAGATTTCTGCACTCTAGAACCTTTCATACTCTTGTCGGCGTCAAAATCACGTATACCAAGTTCAATGCAGGCACGTTGTAGTCTAGTCCATGATGAAGTGGTTGGCATAGAAGCGCAAGGAGTTTTGCATCGTGAACGGCCCAAAATGACTCGTCACATGCTTTATTCAGACATGCGAGAGCAAAAAAGATTCATCTCAGCAAAAGAACAAAACGTACAGCAGCAGGGATTCCCACGTGGTCACCCACCGTAGTACTAATCTGCCGTTCAACTGCTTATGTATGGCAGAGCGGACGGGATGCCCAGTTTTCAGCTGACTGTGGCCGTACGTGCTGATATCATTAGCATCAGAACTTATATACAAACAAAAATTGCCTTTAATTGTCAAAAGGATGGCCAGACTGTTGTGCCTTTAGAAGCTGACCAGGCTGTACATGTCCTCTACTGCTAAGCTAATGGAGAATATTCTGACCGACCATTGGGTGGAACGAACGTGTAGATGGTGTGATGGTAGTAGAGTGTAGTGCTTCAAGGCAGTTTTAGAATTGCTCCTGGCACAAGATGTTCGCAGAGCTGGAATAGTTGACGCTCGGATAGGTTTCTGTTTCCAGGCAGGACTAGCAAAAACCCCTCAAGACTATTTTAGCAAGTGTCCGGCCTCCAGATAGACTGCCGGATTTTAGGCGGTACTAGCATAGAGATCCTGTAGGTTGTGGTATCTAGTAGCCTGACTTGCAGGGTTCTCCGAAAGTAGGTAATACTAGAGATGATCTCCTTATGAGTTTTTGGTAAAGTTACGATCTAGCGCTCGGCGGATGGTACAATGGTCGTCGTCGATTTACGGCAAGACGATGTAGTTTTCGAAGCACGGCAGGAATCTACCGTTTGTTGTTAGTAGCACTAGGTGGTGCTGTGGATTGAACGGTAAGACTTGACAGCTCTCATAGCGCGTTGGAGACCTTACGCTTCAGTGCTGATGGCGCAGAGCGATGTTGTGAATGGACGGCGAGACTGGGTAGCTCTCATGGCTCGTCCGAGACTTTGTGCGTCATGGTTCTGGATAGTGGCCATTGCCGAAAACAAAGTCTTCGTGACCGGAAGGCATGGCTTTGCTCATGTCTTTCGTATAGCACGTATGGCAGTTGAACATCTCGGTTCCGGTCTCATGCTGGGATACAGGCTTAGCTGCAGACGCAGATTTGGGCTCTGTCTCTGCGGACGCCAAACGCTGCCACCACATCCTCGAGCCTCTACGTTTCGAGAATCCACACGAGACACAGGTCTTGCGAACCGGCTCGGCGAAAAAGACTGGGACATGCGTTTTCCACACAAACTTCTCCAACTCCGTCTGAGTACAACATTCCAGCCAGCGTCGCATCAGTTTACTTTGACGGTGTCTTAAATCCCAAGCAGCCTGGCGTTTGAGGGTCTTCAGCCTATACTCGGGGTCGCTTGCCTTTGCCGCCTTCCATTCGCGGTTTTTGCGCAGCCTATTCATAAGCAAGGGATCTGTGTCCTCCATGCTGCGAAAGTACCTTCATGCCATGGTCAATATATGCTTTGTCAAGTGTCAATAATCGTCCCGGACCATACTTTCTGACATATTCCCTCCGCATCTCGGGATCCTTGGGAACAAGGCAGATCGACGTGGAATGGAAAGCTGTTCGAAACAGCGAGTGAGTAGCAAAGCTAGACACATGGTGGGAGGTTCGCCATGCAGATGGCAGCATTGAAAACATAGCTGTCCACGCCTCCTCATGTAGCTCGGACCGTACTCTGACTATCACTTTCCGCGAGATTGCTTTCCGCGAGAAACCAGTGGCGCGAGCGCAGACCATGGAAGGTTGTAAGGTCTGAAGGAGATATCAAGTCGGGCAAAACATGCCAAGCCGGGATATTTCGGGCCGTGGACTTCAGCAACCCTGGCCTCAGACTGACCCTTCAACTGCTCAGGATCAGCCGCTCATCTAGGTGGCTGCACTATACTTCTTGGTGCAAACAGAGCTGACAATGTGATTCAATGATATTTTGGTCATCTCGCGTGGCTACTTGCAGCTCAGTTCCCGCTCTGCATGATCACAGACTCCGTCGTCGACAGTAAGGCAAGATCATACCCTCTTTCAGTGCGTTGACCCACTCCCTGAACTGGCAATGCCACTCAGGGTATCCACCTTCCTTGGTCTGCTGACAGATATTCTTTTGAGAGATAAGAAAAAACGTGCGGGGCTTTGACCCAGGCGCGCGATGTTGCATCTCATGTACATGGCCAAGGAAGTCTGATTGGGGGATCTTTCGTAGATGAGACTTCAATCCCTGCCTTTTTCTGCTGAACTGTAACACCCCCTCCTTCCACTTTCTTCTTTGTCCACGAAACATCATGGCTCCAAACGATGAAATTATCGTCGGAACGACCAGGCTTTCGCAATCCCATTAAGAGCAGCATACTGACGCTATGCGAAGACCATGGAGTCGTCGAAGGTACGTGATACTGTCCTATTGTTGGCGATGGCGGACGAGTTGATCCACTTAGCTATACTGGAACTCTCGCCTTCAACATATGCGCCTTCATACTGCCTGCTCTTTATGGAACACTCAGCAAGCTTTGGGTCGCTAATATCGATTCATCCATGGTCGTGACTACCGATGCCTATACCTATATTGGAGTGGTTGCCGAAGTCATCAATGAAGGTCTCCCCCGTGCTTCATGGTTGGTCATTGGAGACAGAGCAAACAGATCCATCTCTGCAAGATACAGTCTGTCATTCACACTGATCATTGTCCAGAGTATCCTGGGTCTGATAATGTCAATCACATTCATTGGCGCAGCGAAACAATTTGCGAGTGGTTTTGTTCCTGTCGAAGTACGCACAGCTTCCCTAACATACGTTCGCATCTCAGCGTTCTCGTCTCTGTCGTCTGCCATCGAAACAGCTGTTTCTACTAGCACCAGAGCCCTCGACAAGCCCGATGTGCCTTTGATCATCTCAACAGTCAAATTCCTTATCAATATCATTCTCGATCTCTTGATCATCTCCAAGGCCCACGTGGGCAACTTTACACCTACAGTCAACATGCAGGCTGCTACACAATTGGCATGCAACATGGCTGCTTCCTTCTTAGGTCTCGCCTATTTTTGCTTCTTCACTTTTGGAACGGACCAGCGGCGGTTTGTCACCAGCCAAGCCGAGTCAATCCGACCAAGTCTTAGGTGCCTGGTCACACTGGCAAGACCTGGTGCTCTGACCTTCGCAGAGTCTGCCATCCGCAATGCCCTATACTTGTGGCTGGTCAATGGCATTGTGGCAATGGGTTCAGATTATGCGACAGCCTGGGGGATCTTCTCCTCGATAAGATGGGGTCTTATTATGGTGCCAGTAAGCCATTCGAACCATATCGCCGCGCTTCTGAATTCATGTTCTGATACTGACTGTACATTTCCTTCAGGTTCAAGCGCTGGAGGCAACAACTTTGACATTCATAGGCCATTTCTGGGGAGAATGAAGAAAAGAGACAGACGCTGAGAGAAAACCTAGAGCATCACGACGACAGTTGTACCATATCATCCGCCCAGCTCTATTGTCCTGTCTTGTCGCATTGGCAGTCGAGATACCCCTTTGTATCTTCATGTCCGAGTACGGCGCCCGCCACTTCGCATTCTACCTCTCCGAATCACATATCGTCTCTCAGATTACTGCAAGGATGTGGAGAACAATTGATTGGTGCTACATCTTCTACGCTCTGTCTACACAGCTGGCAGCAATCCTACTCGCCACTCGACCGCGCTGGTACCTTTACCAGAGTCTAATTTCAAACCTCTTGTGGGTCCTGCCGTGGGCTATCGTGGTAAGCAAGGCAAACATTACACCCAGTGATGCTTGGACGTATCATTCGATTGTCTTCGGAGGCTCTCTCGTCTTCAGCTTCTTTGATGTTTTGATCGTGGATCTTTTGTGGTTGTGGTCATTGCTGAGAGGAAAGATGCGTTTGCCGAAGATATACTGAGGAGGATCACGCCCGCGTAGTATGTTAGACAAGTTGTCCTATGTCCAGGTTGAATCCGGCTCTTGTGGCACTGGTGATATAGAGTAATTTTTGTGAGTTATCGAAATGCATAGTTGTTTGTATCTAAAAGATGCTGGCAGAGGACTCGGCAGTCTTTGGCCCTCAAAGAGAACATTTTGGATATATCAAGAGAAGTCCTAGCTGAAATTCCTCTACATTCTCTTTAACCTTGAAACCAGAAGGAAGATCCGAGAGACTATTTACACGATTGCATGCAAGGCTGCGGACAACAATAGGTAGAAGAAGGCCAAGCTATGGACATGCATAGATGTAGACAGGACTAAATTGACAAGGACATATAGTAGAAGAAGATTTAGAAGGTGTAGATAATGATGGCTGAGATGCGAAACTTCGCAATTCTCGTTTGCATCTCGTCCGATCAGACGTAGACATACTCGACAGTGCAGCCAGAGTCGTCAGTTGCAGCAGGAGCAGTTTCGGAAGTAGCGGTCGAAGAGACGACTGATGCGACGCTCGGACTGGGCTTAGTCATAGTCTGCAGAGTAGTGGGAACGGCTGTAGCCGAGCTCTTGACGGCAGTGGCAGAAGAAGAAGAAGCTTCAGTAGAGGTGGTCGTGACAGCTGCGGCAGAAGATGAAGGCACGACGATAGGAGCCTTGGAAGAGGCGGCAGTAGTAGAAGAGGCAGCAGGAGCAGAGGAGGCCTTAGCGGGGGCATCACCACCGGAAGCAGAGATCGAAGTAGTCAACTCGCCGTCCTCGATGTAGACACTGCTGAAGAACCAATCCTCCTTGGTCTTGGAGAACTTGAGCACACCAACGTGCCAATCAGCACCATTGGAGCTGACAGAAGCTTTCATGGGACCAGCCTTGGACACCAACTTATCAGCACCAGTGGAGTGGAAGAACTCAACGGTGCTGGCGTCAAAGTCGATACCATAGGCGACGTTGTGCCAGACATCGGCTTCAAAATCCATGTCAAATTGAGACTTGCCATCGGTCATCCACTGCAGCTTTCCATCGCTGCCATCAACACCGTACTTGAGCTCAGTGAAGTGGGACTCAAAGAAACCGATTTGATGTTCAGCAGTGGCATCAGGAGCATTCTCAGTGCCACGCTTGAGACTGAAGTGGTAGTATTTCTTGCCCTTGTTGATGGCTGCCTTGGTGGAAGGAATAAGCTCGGTGCGCATCATGGTCTGACCGTTCCAGGAAGAGGTACCATCGACGGTGATGCGAGCACCATCCGAGGACGAGGAATCGGCAGGGTTGGCGTAGTCAGGGCTGATGTTGACGTAGTCGGTGGTTGCACCAGATCCATGAATGTAGTATTGGTATGCACCAACTTGGTTGTTCCAAGACCACTCGTTGATTTCTGCGGCGGACTTGTCGTTAAAGCGACCATCCCAGATAATTTCGGCCATGCTGGATCCTGCCAGCAAGGCGGTGGTAAGAGCGATGGAGTTGAAGTACATCTCGAACTTTGGTGTTACGCTTGGTAAATGAATGACAGTACGAGGTCAACTCGTGGTAAGTTGGAAAGCGATAAAAGAATGGAAGGAGTAGCAGAAGGACACGATGAACAAGACTTGCTTGGAATCAAGAAGGAGCGAGCGTCGATACAGGGCAAAAGAGTGACTTATATCGTTCGGCAAAACAACTTACAATGCTTATGATTCAATCTATCCGCCGGCTAGACCGTGGCTTTATTCAAGCCAAGAAGTCAATGATCTCTAGAGCATCTTGCAGTACGAGATGAAAAGGACTGAATGCAAGCGTTTAGCGATGTCGAAAGAAACTCATGCTTTGCCCCGCAGTGGTTTCGCCTCAGATTGATTGCCCAGTGCACGACACAAAAGAGGACGAATTTGAAGACCAACACACATTCTGGTGCGTATTACCGATAGTAACAAGAATTTTGAGCTCAAGGGCTTGCTACAGCAGGCCAAGGTGCTCTGTGATGGAGGTAGAAGACAGCAGCACGAAGACGTGAGGTCGGTGGTGGGGATGTTTGCCAAGACTCGGATGCTGCAATCTGAAACGCGACAGCAGAGCCGAGCAGAACAAGACTCTGCACTCTGCAAGCGAGATTCAACGATGCCCAGGAAGAAATGGCATCTCAGAACGAATTTGTCCTCTGTCATAATTCGATGAGAAAGACCAGTCTTTCACATCTAGAAACTGGATCAGCGGTAGCCATGTGATGGCAACATTCACCTTTCAACAAGCTGGACGTTCCTTCACACTGAGCGAGAAGGATCAATCAATCACGCGTCGATGACAAATGGGTCAGTGAGACGGGAATCATGGACTCGACTTGTAAGCAGCCTGTTGCTGGATAGGTCGTCAGACATGTTCGTATGCTATCATACAACAACGTGTCTTCGTCAATGGCGGCGTGCTGGAATCCTTCCGCTGGTCAAAAAGTCTCCGATGTAAGTGTCCGAAAAGTCCTGATTGGCTAGCATCGTCAGCGCGCAGCATACCACATTTGGAAGTCACTGAAGTAGACCTTGATGGATTATGTCTCATAGGTCGTGGTATAAGTACTGGAGCTTTTCGTCGCTCTTTCGATTATTGTGTTTTACAACTTCTCTTAACATTTGTATTTTGTCACCACACATCAGCCATTAAACAAAATGTCTTCAACCACTACCACCACCACCAACCCACCCAAGTTTGAAGTAAAGGCTACCGATTGGGACAGAACAGCTGCATCATATGCCCAGCTTGCCTCTCAAGGCAGCCCCATGTCTGTTCCCATCACGAAGCTGGTCGAAATGCTACAAACACTGTCATCCTTCGACACCGCAACAACCATTCTAGACATAGGCTGTGGGCCCGGCAGTGCAACCTCCCATCTGATCTCTACTCACCACGATATCCTTCCATCCAACACTCAAATCCTGGCCACTGATTTTAGCCGTGGAATGATCAGCATCGTACAGCAAGTACGTGACTTCAAGCTTGAGAAACTCTCAGAAGGCACAGAGAAAAGTACCTGGAGTAGAGTCGTTCCTCTGGTTATGGATGCCCAGGATCTGCGTCCTTTGCTTGATGACTCAATCTCACACATCATTGCCAACTTTGTGTTGTTCATGGTCGATGATCCACAAAAGGCGCTGCAAGAAGCCCATCGTGTGTTGAAGAGTGGAGGAGTTTTTGTTCTGTCTTCGTGGCACCGAATGGATTGGATGGACTGCCTTGTCATCGCTGCCTCAAACGCCTTTCCTACCTTGGGCAAACCTACCCCTCAGTTGCCAAAGTTTCCTGCTCAGTGGGCGAGTGTGGACGGTGTCCGAGACTTGTTGAAGGATGCTGGGTTCAAAGACGTGCAGGTGAACACTGTGGGAGCTCCTATTATTATGCCCAAGGTAGAAGCATCTGTGCATGCCTTCCTTACTAGTGGCAACCCTGCTGTCACTTGGATTACGGACGTTCTGGAGGAGAAGGAGATCGAAGAGGTCGAAAAGCAGCTGGTCAAGGTGGTCAAGGAGAAGTGCGGAGTCAACGACAACGGCGGTTACGTCCTAAATGGTACTGCTATTCTTGCTAGCTGTCGCAAGTAGTGTTTCTTTGCAGATAAGATAACGATCACTCTCGTTTTGCTAATCAAGTTCATCATTATCAGTTAACACTGCGCATTGTAAGTTGACCTTGAGGGAAATGCAATAATCCATGACAGATGAGCGAAAACTTGTCATAAGCAATGTTGCGTGGTATATATAAGCTTAAAACTATGGCCAAGTGAGCCGCCACAAAAATGTGTATTCTCGATACGCGTGAGCATTCATCCACTACCAACTCATGAATCTATAGTCCATTCCACCATTTCGTCCTCTGCACTTCGAAAGTGCCCTCAACAGCACTTTCGTTGACAACACTGCTCTCCGAGACAATGGCCTTGTACTTGCCCTTCTCAGAGATCCAAGCATTTCTGCTCTCATCCCAGAAGCTGGTGGCATACTTGAGTGCCACCTTGAGTTCCACAACCTTTTCTTCGCCTGCGTTGAGGAACACCTTGCTAAAGGCCTTGAGCTCCTTTGTTGGTCGACGGATCGATGGCGAGATTGGTGAGATGTACAGCTGAGCCACTTGTGCTCCTGCCACTTTGCCAGTGTTCTTCACCGTGAGCTTGGCAATGAGATTGCCCTCACTATCCGAAGGTGTCTCAAGCTTTAGATCCGAGAAACTGAATGTCGAGTAAGATAATCCGTGGCCGAAGGGGAAAGCCACAGGACGGCCAAGAATATCGTAATAACGATACCCAACGTAGATATCCTCGCCGTACAATACTCTACCAGCTTCAGAACGGTAGTTGAGGAATGCAGGGTTGTCTTCGTTCTTGATGGGGAATGACAAGGATGTTTTGCCGCAGGGGTTGACATCGCCGAATACGACATCTGCGATGCCGTTGCCAGTCTCATTGCCACCGTACCAAGCCTGGAGCAAAGCTGGCACTTTGTCCAACCAAGGCATCTCCACTGGCGTACCACTTTGAATGACGACTGCTGTGCGAGGGTTGGCTTCTGCAACAGCGGATATCAGGCGGTCCAAATGGCCTGGTAGCTTCATGTCAGGTCTGTCAAAGCCTTCACTCTCCCAGTCCATGTTCAGACCTGCGCAAACCAAAACTTGATCGGCAGACTTTGCGAGCTCAGCAGCACGACGAACTTCTTCATCAGCGTCGATCTTCCAAGCTCCTCCGACACGAACAGCACCGCCGCCGAAGTCTACAGTGCCACCAGTCAGTTTGCTAGTCGGTGCACTGCCGAACTCTAGGCGAAGCTTGTAGGTCTGTCCCTTCTTCATGGGAACAGCGCAGATGTCTTCTTCGGTGCCGAGGCCAAAGAATGCAGAACCCTGGCGTTGCTTCTCCGTAACATCGAGTACAACCTCGTCGTTGATGAAGACCTTTGCTGATCCATACACGCAGACACCAAGTTCGTATTCACCGTCGCGGTCGGCTGTGAAGTACGCCTCAAGGTCAGCATACCAGAGTCCGGACTTGAGCTTTGGGTTCTTATAATCCATGAACATCATAGAAGCGTTTGTGAAAGGACCCAACACATCGACACATTTGCGGTCCTTGTCCTCTGGAGGCTCATTATATGCCTTGAAGAGCACACCGTGCTCGCCGTCCTCCTTGGCAGTCGTTCTCCAATCGACGCCCAAGCTGGGCATTTCTTTGTGAGAGTATGCACCAATGCTGAAATCAACGTTCTTCTCGCCAACTTTGTCGACGATTCCTTCGTAAGGTGTAACAGCATAGTATGGACGAAGAGATGCTGAGCCACCACCACAATATGTAGCAGCCTTCGCGTTAGGTCCAATGATCAGGATTTTCTTGTCTTTCTTGAGCGGTAAAACGTTGCCCTCGTTCTTCATCAGCACAATTGACTCGGCGGCAAGTCTTCGCAGCAACTTCGACGTCTCGGGTGTGTCGTTGGTGGTCTCCTCGGCGTTCTCCTTTACACCTGATGCAGCACATTCGTTTACCAACTCCAGAACTTGTCTTGCTCTATCATCAATCACACCAGCAGGAATCTTGTTGGCAGTTGCTGCGTGAATCAGAGCTTCTCCTCTGAAGCGAGTGGGACCAGGCATCTCCAGATCCAGACCAGCAATAACTGACTTGGATACCGAGTATACACCGAACCAATCGCTCATCACTAAGCCCTTCCACCCCCACTCCCCTCTCAAGATATCCTTCAAGATTCTTGTGTTCTCGCTGACGTGCGTGCCGTTGATCTTGTTGTAAGCAGTCATGAAAGACTTGGGATAAGCATCTCTGACTGCCAGTTGAAAAGGCATGAGATAGATTTCTCTCAGTGCACGTTCCGTAACAATCGAGTCGACTCTATTACGTTCATGCTCCTGGTCGTTGCCGACGAAATGCTTGATCGTGGCTACAACGCCATTTTCTTGCATTCCTCTGACCAGAGCTGCAGATCCTAGACCAGCTAGAAAGGGATCCTCTCCAATGGACTCAAAGCCGCGGCCGCCGAGGGGAGATCGCTGCATGTTGATCGTGGGACCGAGAATCACATGAGCACCTTTCGCAACTGCTTCTTTGCCCATCAGACGACCGGCTTCTTCGAGGAGTTCAGTATCGAAGGTCGCGCCCAGGGCTGTGCCGCAGGGGAAACAAGCTGCTGGCACACCGTTGAAGAAGCGAGTGCCACGGACACCATTGGGACCATCGGAGAGTCGTAGAGAAGGAATGCCATGTTTAGAAATTGGTTGTGTGTGCCAGAAGTCGATACCTGAAAATTGTGGTCAGAACTTCAATGAAGTGTTGTCAAGCTATTGATGACGATAAGGCACCTGCAAGCAATGATATCTTTTCTCTTTCCGTCAGCTTTGAAAGCACATCTTCTACATCAATGGAAGCCATTTCTTCAAGAACACAAGTAGGGTATCAAAGAACGATGGAAACAATAAAATGTGGCCAAAAAGGGTGGTGACACAAAAGACAGAAACGACCTTCTTATAAGGCAAGAAACACTACCTAGTACCTGCTAGATCGAGCAGAAGAAGCTGCCATCTCTTAGCACGTGTCATTGTATCGAAACAGCCAGCAACTGAAGGCAAGAAGGCAGACACACAGCCAGCCGTTAGCTCCACTTTCCCGCGGCGGCATCTCTGTTTTTAGACTCTCTTGCTTCGAAACTCAGCACGCGATGAGAAGTGACCAAGACTTGCACGGTCGTTGTTGCGGAACTGCGGCCCTGCTTCCCGACCGAGGCTTTGCCGTTGATACGGCTTTCTTCCCGGCTAAATACAGCAACGACGACCCCTCTTTTTCCTGCCACCAATTGTTCCTGCCACCACTTACTATGCCTTGCTGGTCAAGGAAGTTGTTGTTCCGGCCAAGATGATACAGTATGATTCTCGCAAGCGAGCCGGGTGTTGCTATAATCTTTTTAAGGTTTGATATCGGATCGTTAAGCTAGCTGCACCGGCGACATGGATACACCCATCGAGTCGAGCATCTGTCAGATAGGAGAGAACCAGTGGTTGATTGGTCACGATCATATCTGCGAGCTTCGCGAACCATCTTCTTCACACGACGAAAGTATTTACCATTGGCAAGATCCAGCTGGGCGCACCTTCCAACTCCGATCTATCTCGTCTACTTCCGCTACCAGACCCGCTCTGATTCCGCGTTTCTACTCGGCCGGTGGTGCTGCTGCTGTCTAGGAGTTTGCTGGGTTGATCTGGAAGGTCAAACCGTGGACACCAGGCATCGAGCATGAAGCACAAACAATCGGCTTTGTTAAGGATACATTCCCGTCTATCCCGGTTCCAGAAATCATCTGTCACTGGACCGATGAGAAGCGTTCTCTTATGACAATGAAGCGTGCCCCAGGAGAAACTCTAGACTACTTGTGGGGTGAACTTACCGACTTGGAGCGCCAAACAATTGCCTCTGACCTTGCCGATTATGTGGTTTTGATGTCCCGCAATCGAAGAGACTGTTTAGAGAGCCCATCAGGTTTGGGAGTTACGGATGGATTCATTCGTCCAGAGTCATGGCACTTGCCAACCTTCCGCTTGGAGACCATCGAAGCAAGAGAATACTTTCGACCCTTAGAAATCGATGACGGGTTTGTCTTCACACATGGGGACCTGAATCCTCAAAACTTGTTGATTGAAAAGGGCAAGATAACCTGTATCCTCGACTGGGAGTTTGCAGGATTCTCAATTTCAAGGCCCGCATTTATGCCATGAGTTTAAGCAGTTATGAGCCACCAAACGCCTGGATCAATGCTATGAGAAAAGAACTGGAGACAAGGGGAATTGTACTTGACTTCGACAAGTATGAGGAATGGATGTGTAAGCGAAAGTAGCAAGCAGCATGCAGAACCATCACAAGGCAGTTGTGATATTCTATCGCGTCTTTGAGTCTGATAGAACACGATCAGGGCTCGGGATTTCACCGAAGAGCGACCATCCATCTGCCCCACCTCTCAAGCATCAATTCAATCCGAAGTTTAGGCTCCGGCAGCATTCGGATTTGGCAATGTGATTGATAACCAACTTCTTCAAAGGAGTTGCCTTGACTGTTCGTTCATTCAATACCAAATATCACTGACTTCGAATCTACCATCTTCTCTCCCTCATCAATGACCTTCTACACGACCGTCAACGTAGCATTAGCACGGAAATCAGCCGAACTGCTACCAACAAAAATGGTAAAGTTGCCAGGCTCAACCACATACTTCATACTCTTATTCCACAAGCCAATATCAGCCACGTTCAATGGGATACTGACTGTAGCCGTCTCGCCAGCCTTGATAAACACCTTTTCAAAGCCCTTGAGTTGGATGTTGGGTACTGCGACACTGGCGACTTGGTCTTTGACATACAGTTGTACAACTTCGGCGCCGTCGAAAGTGCCATTGTTGGTGACTGAGATTGTAGCGGTGATGTTGTCGGTGGGTGAGACTTGCGAGGAGGAGAGCGTTACATTGCCATAGTCGAATGTGGTGTAGGAGAGACCATAGCCAAAGGGGAACCAAGGCACGGGTGTATTCAAAATGTAGCTGGAGCCAAAGTAGAGGTTTCCATCTGCACCAACGAAACCAGGGTATGTGGGTCTTCCACTGTTCAGGAAGTCGTAGTACGCAGGTAGAGTACCGATGTCGTGAGGGAAGCTGACGGATAGCTTACCCGATGGGTTGACGCTGCCGAATAAGATGTCTGCTAGAGCATTGCCACCTTCCTCGCCAGGATAAAATTGTTGGGCTAGACTGGCTGTGGTGTTGGAGATCCAATCTTCGGTCAGAGGCTTGCCCGAGGAGAAGACAACAACTGTAGGTTTGCCAGTGTCGATGACAGCTTTGACAAGAGCTCTTTGTGCGCCAACAAGGCCAAGATCGCTGTTGAAAATCAGTATAAATTTTACAAGCAGACACCGATAGCATACCTCTCATCAATATGTTCTCCAGTAGTAGCGTTCAGTCCAGCCCACAGCTCCTTCTGATCTCTGGACCAAGTACCAACAATGACGACCGCTACATCTGCATTCTTAGCAGTCTCAACAGCCTCAGGAATACCAGACTCATCAGTCGACCATCTCTCACAGCCTAGGGCATAAGTGACAGTTGCATTTGCCGAAGGACCAACAGCATTTCGAATGCCCTCGAGATACTGCACTCCCCTGTACTGTGATTCATAAACGACATAATCGCCATAATTCATGAAGCCAGAAGCCATAGGACCGATAACGGCAATCTTGTCAGTCTTGCTGAGCGGTAGTGTCTTGTTGGGGTTTTGTAGAAGCACGATTGACTCTGCGTCCAGGTCACGGGCAAGTTTCTTAGCAGCAGCATTGTTGATGATGCTGTTCCATTGCTCCTTGGGAGCAGCAGGGTTGGGGTTCTCGAAGAGACCCATCTGGAACTTGGTTCTCAGAACTCGTGCCACAGCCTCGTTGACGACGCTGATGTCGAGGGTGTTGTTTGAAACGAGGTCAGGGATGGATCTGAAGTTGAAAGAGCCGCCTCCCATCTAGACAGCATGTTAGTGAATTCTCATGAACACGGATATAGACCGGCCATACTTCAACGTCGTTTCCAGCAGTCAGGCATTGCTCAGTAACACATCCAAAGTCATTGACACCACAAGTCAAAAAGTTCTTGAACAAGCGATCCGTAGCGCCAGCATCACTCGACACAAAATACGGGTATCCTATGAAAAATGTCAGTAAGGCGACATCTTCATATCCTTGCTCTCAACTTACCCCATTCATCTCGCAGAATCTCGGTCAACATGTGATAATCCGCCACAGCGGGTATACCATCATAAGCGTGATACGCAGACATGATAGCATAGGCACCACCATCGACAATAGCTCTGTGAAAAGAAGGCAGCCAAGTCGTTCGCAGCTCACGCTCACCACCATGTACAGGCGCAGTGTTGAGACCTCCTTCCGGCTCAGAGTAAGCAGCAAAGTGCTTGACCATAGCCGAGACGTTCTGTCCCTGACAACCAACGACATAGTTGTAGGCCATCTCGCCAGCCAAATAGCCATCCTCGCCATACGTCTCTTCCACACGACCATAGCGCAACTCGCGTGCCAAGTCAGCCAGAGGAGCAAATAGCTGAGTGACCCCCAAAGCAGCGGCTTCAAGTGCAATCTGCTCGCCCATCTGACGCTGCAATTCACGATTGAACGAACAAGCTTGAGCAATTGGCGAATTGAAAATTGTAGCGTTCTCGATCAAGAAGCCATGAATACCCTCAGTCTGGACAATTGCTGGGATACCAAGACGAGTGCTGTTGACGGCATAATCTTGGCCTACTTTGATGCCTTCGGCTAGCCAGTCCCAGCTGATTGGGTAGCCAACGTAGAACATGCCAGATCGATTTGCAAAGTTGAATTCGAGGCCTGTTTGATTGTATGCTCCGGAGGTTGTGTTGAGCCAGTTGGAGATGTCGCCTAGAACAGACGATTAGCGAGGTTTTGAAAGGAAGTGTATTTGGCATTCTTGTACCTTGCATGAGCTGTGCCATTTTCTCCTCCAGTGTCATCAGAGACAAAAGATTCTCAACTCTAGCATCAACAGATTGAGAAGCATCTTTGTAGATAGCATTAGCCAACGAAGTGTTCGATTGTGCTTGAGCAAGACTTAGACTAGCCAATGCTAGGCCAGTGACACAGAGGCGGACCATGATTGCAGACACGACACTCTCGGTCAGAACAAATGGAACAACACGAAGCAGAAGAGGCAGACAACAAGTTTATACGCAAACCTACAACCACCTCACAGAATCCTTTGACCATGATCGCTTAGATGCATACCAGATACCAAGTCCGAAGGTCATCATGCATTGCTGATCCCTCATACAGGCTAATATGTAAGAGAGAGAAGGCTGTCCTCGGAGCACGCAAACAAGATACTTTTGCTGGTCGACGGAAAAATTATTCTCTCTGAGGATTGTGAGGAGACAAGATGTGAAGATCCCCGCATCGAATCACTCGATGCTGCCCCGCCTTCTGCTACGATGCACAATGGTCATGGTCTTGGTTAGGTCCATCAGCCTTAACATTCAATGATCAAACATTCGTTGCTGGCGCAAGGTGGCTGGTGTGTTTTACTGTGCAGGGCTTCTTGACGAGACAACGATACGAGACATTTGCTTGGGAGTATGCAATATTTATCCTTTGACCTCGGCCTACATTGAACCGAAGCTCTCGCTTTGACGTCAATCACTGCAGATTTGGACATGTCATGTGCCATGCTAAAACACGAGGTGTCGGAAATTAGCTAGTATTTCGACTAGTGAAGTTGATAACAATCAGGTAGAAAGAATGCCATAAAAAACAGTTCCAAGGAAGCCAGCCCAGAGTACTTCGTGTAGTATGCAGAAGGTCGTAAAGAACAAAGGAGAGAAAAGAGACACTCCAGACAAATCAACCAAATCTGCTCCTGACTCTTCGCATGCCCACGCCGCCTGCTTCGCTAGCAGCACCCGCTTCACTGCCAGCATAACTGGTCGTTCTGCTCATTGGAATTGCAGCACCGATCACAGTGGCTGGAGCAGCAGTGAGAGCGTTACCATTGACCACGGGTGCTGACGGTGCTGCAGCAGCAGCAGTCGCCGTACCCACACCAGCGCCATTTCTAAGAGCGAAGCGTAGAGAATCAGGGTCTGCAAAGCCGTATGGAGGAATTCTATTCACACCACCACTGATGGCAGCAGGTCCAGTCTCGAGAATTGGTAGACGGAAAGGTGCAACGCCATTGGTGGTTTGACAAGCTTGCTCGAGCAGACGCTCACGTATCTGTTGAAGGTTGCTGGGGTTGTCATCTTGTTCGTGGTTTGAAGCTGGCGCGTCATCCTCTTTAAGCATGAGTGCAATATCGCTGTCAACTTCACCAGAGCTTACACCTGGTGGAGTAGGCGCGCCCTTATCTGTCTTTGTAATGGGGATCAAGACTGGTACGAAGGGATTTGTGCTGGTCGAGGTGAGAGCGGCGGCTTCTGACAGAGCAGCCAGCGGATTGGCTCTAGTAGCGCCACGAGTAGCATGATGAGAGATATTGCGCTCCATCTCGGGGGCTTGTGTCGGCGGTGGTGAGGCATTGGGTTGATTTGCGACAATATCGTCCATCTCGGTGGTGATGGCCGGAGGACCAACGACAGCATCTGCCGCACCATCGACAGACGCGAGCGACGAAGGGTTTTCAGTGCTCTGCTGGTTGGCTTGAGGTTGGTGGAAGAAGTGGTGTGTCGCGAGTTGAGCAACAACGGTGGCATGGGCCAGCTCTTTCTCGGTGAACAGACGGTCGATCGAGAAGGCGGGTGCTTCGTATTGTGTATAGAGGGTCTTTGTGCGAGCTTCATGGAAGGGCGATGCGGCACCATTGCTGTCGTTCTGCAGAGGACGGAAAGATGGTGCTGGTGAGTCGGCGGCTTCCTCGTCGGCAGGGGCCTTTCGTTTTCTCTGGCCCTCTACATCGGTCTCTCCGATACGATGACGGGTGTGACGAGTCTTGCGGTTGCTCTGAAGGCCGCCGGGGCTTTGAGGGATGTTGACGGTGAATTGACTTGGGTGGAAGAACAAGGCAGAATTGTCTGCAATGTCGAGCTGCTCTTTTTCGCGCAACAGCTTGTCGCGCTTCTTGGTGACACTGTTGATCAGACGGCTGCGAACGGTAGTCGCTAGCTCGAGATGCTCGCGTTGGGCAACCTGCACCTTGTAACTCGAGCTCTTTTCTAACTCGGCGACTGCGGCGTCGTAACGGTTCTGCTTGTGTCAGTCTCTGGGAGTGTTTTGGTCGCAAAGGGCAGTGTCGTACTTGCAAAGCTGTCAGATCAGCGTCGCGTTGCTCTAGAGCATGGTTGATCTGCTGGACGTATTCGTGGTATCTCTTGCCGGCCAGAGCAAGGTAGTCCTTGACAGCAGCGTCCGTGTTTGGCAAGCTGCCGCCAGTGACATTTTCAATCTCTCGCTCGACATCCTCGGCTGAATCGTCAAGTGGACTGTTTTCGTAAGGGTTCGCTCTCAGGATCATGGTCATGTCGACCTGAATGGCCTGCAGCTGAGCGCGGTAGTGCTGGTGCTGGTCTTGAGTGAAGGTCTGGATCATGTCGGCAAGCTTGTCGGTGATGTTGTTGCGTCTTTTGTCACGCTTGGACAGTGGTTGCGGCGGCGGTGAGGGCGACACTCGCCGGTCGAGGGCCATTGGTGAGGTGTGTGCCATGATTTCTGCGTGTCTGGTGTGTTGGTTAGAAAGACGCAAGTTTCATGGCTCGTCATGAGCAAAGCCATTTTGAGATCGCAATGCTCCAAATCTGGGGACGACCCAGCACAGACTGCCCCTCGGCCATCTCTCGGCCCGCCTGCCGACCGACACCTGTTGCCCTTGCTCTCTCTCTTCATGCTGTTAATCACGATGGACACTAGACAAGAACATTTTTGTACATAACTCATGACATCGTTTTTTTGTCTATCTAAGTGTTTTTGTCGTTATTCATTTCCTTCATAATCCTGCTCGTCCTTCTCCTGAATGCTTCTTTACTTTTACTCTACCAAACCCCCATCAAGAAAAAACTCCTTCGCTAATGTATGCTGAATGCTGAATGCTGAACGGACAAAACAAAGAATTAAAGAAGAGCTCATCCTGCTGCTCAGAACGAGGATGCGAATTAATGCAAGAAAAACCAAAAGCGTCTCGTATGCCAGAAGTTGAGAGCTTCAGTCATCCTGAATGAAGCCGGATGAGAACTTAATCAAAGAGTTGAACTTTTCGTATCCCAAAACGCGATCGTTTCCTTCCACGACGCCCTTGCCTCCAGCAGCGAGAAGCATCTGGTGAGGGACGAGCTTGTACTCGCCATTGCGATCGCGGATCAACTGCGTCTTCTGGGGCTTGACCAAGTTGGCCTTGAAGTTTGTGCCAGGAGTGCGCTTCTTCTTGAGGTTCGAATCCTGATACTCAGGCAAGACAGTTGTTCGATGTTCACGATGCTCGAGGATGTCGACGTCAATAGTATCGAGGGAGACCAAGCGGTATACGTGGACATCATTGTCCTGACCTGGTCGACGGACGCGTCCAATGGCCTGAGCCATCTGTGCCTCGTACTCGTATTGAGTGCGTTTTAGCAAAGGGCTGAAGAAGATGACATGGTTGGCACAAGTCAAATTGGCACCTGCAGCAGTCTCATCGTTCGAGTTCAAAATCAAGACCGTGGGCAACTTTTCGTCCTTCTTTTGATCCTTCTTATGATCCTGCTTGCCCTTCTGGCCCTTTCTAGCCTTGTTGGCGCCATAGATGCCGGTGAAGGCCCCGAAAGGATCGTTCTTGATGCCTGTGGGATCATGATAGCTGATCTTGGCAGCAGCAAGGATCTTGATCATGTCTTCGATCTGATGGGCGAACTGCACAAACAAGATTGCTTGCTGTCCTCGAGTCGCAATATCCTCGAGCAATTTGACGAGTCCATCGGCCTTACTGCCATATTCACTGACAACCGACTGTCCAAGCTTGCTCAGTTCGAGAAGATGATAAGATTTGACATCCTTCTCACATCCGTCGACAGGACAGATGCCGAGCAAATTCTTGCTGGCCTCGATGCAGTCTGAACACAAGGTGTGACCGCAGTTTGCCGAGACCTGAAGGTTACATGACTCGTCAATGGTGTTGCTGCACTCCCAACCATCGCAATCAAGTTGGTGGCGGTTCTCATGCTTCAGAGCATTATTGACGAAACGAAGAGCCCTTGTAGACGAGACATAGGTCTTAGCATGGCTGACAGCCTTGCTGATGTCATCCTTGAGCTTTCCGGTCGTCGTGCCTTGCTCCTTCATAAAAACTTCCATTGCAGTTGGGGGCTGGTCCGGCCTGTCCGTTTCTTCACCAGAGTCCATTTCACCGTCATCACCGACCGTGTCCTCGGTGAGAGCTTCTGCCAGCTTTCTCTTTTTCGACTTAGCTTCAGCTTTCTCAGCAGCTATCACAGCAGGTGATGCTCTAGCCATCTCCTCTATCTCTTCAGCCACAGCTCTGTCGCCAAAAGCGTTGGTGGCCATCACATCGTCGACCCATTTGGAAAACAGCTTCGACTTGCCGGAGTTTTTAATACAGACTTTAATCTTTCCTCGAAGTGACTCTCGGGCTGTGTTGCACTCGTTCTCGCACCGCTTGACGAGAGCTTCAAGTCCTGAGCTGACATTATCCTGCACAGTGCCCGGTGGCAGTTGCTTCAGAGGGTCGTAGATGGCGGCAGTGCACAACAAAGCTTCTTCTGCAGTGGTGACTTTGGGCATGATGCTGAGGTCGGCTGCCTTGTTGCGACCCTTGCGAATTCTCATGTCCTGAGAATTGAACTTCTGTGAGAGATCGGTGTAGATCAGACGGTTGTCAGCGTATAAGGCGATGGGGATGATTTGATCGTCGTATGGATATTGGTCGTGTCTCATCAGATTCTGGCGAACGAACGTGTTAAGGAAATCTTGGGCAAGGTTGTGAATGCTTTCTTGCGTGGTGCGTGAAGGCATCTCTCTGAAGGTTTCGAACTGCTCCACATTTGTCAAATCCTTGCGCAGAGCTGACATATTCACACTCGAGAGGAGTCCAGGAGCACTGGCACCAATCGGCAAGCTAATGCCAAGGAACAGTGCCATTCTTGAGACATCGTAAGTGTCCTTGAGTCGAGGCGTGGCTGAGAGAGCCCAACGCTTGGACGCGTTTAGATTGCAGTACATCATGAGCTCATGCGATTCTGTGTATGAGAACTCATCGACGACTAAGCGGTTGAAATGGAACATCTCCAAAAGCATGTATTTATCTTCAGCCTTGTACTTGCGTTCTTCGTCGATGTTCTCCTTCGCAAGACCTGAGGCCGCAGAGTCGTCTTTCTTACGCTTGGCGTAGGCCTTCCCTTTGAGTCGCTTCGACTCCTTCGCATACTCACGGTAGCTCGGATCATGCAAAGTCTCCTCGTACAACTTCGTGAGATGCTTCTGCAGCTTTCTGGCGCCTTGACTGTCTCCAACTCCAAGAATGCGAAGATGTTCCGGGATTCGGGAAGTAGCCTCACGGAGATAGAGCTGCAAAGCTCGATTGCTCCTGCCGGTGTACTTAGGCATTGCAGTAAACATTGCGAGTTGCTTGAGATAATCCGAACTGAGCTGGAGAACTCTCTTGTCCAGAATGATGATCTTGGCTTTCTCGAAACACTCCCTCTTCTGCTTCAACAACTCGCCGATGGTCTTGATGATGACAACCTCTGACTCATGCTTCATGGGGATGAGTTTCTTGACTTCCATCTCCCATTGATCGACAAGGTTTTGGGGGCAAATAATCAGTGTTGCAGCAATGGGAATAAGCTGTGGCTCAGCCGCTGCTCCATGCACATCCTCCAAGATGCCGTGTCTAGTCTTTTCCTCAAACTCGGATTGGACCAGTGCGAGCGAAGTGATGCTCTTGCCAAATCCAGCGTGATCAGCAAGAACACCGCCCTTGATATGGACTTTGGTAGAAGCACTAGACTCAAGACGCCAACCGAGCTGAGAAAGCAGAGCCTCTTCGATCTCCTTGATTACGAATGATCGGCCATTGCCTCCTTCTTGCTCCTTCATCCAAGTGAGCGACCTCTTCTGAATGTCGTAAAGCTCGATTCCGTTCAAGATCTTCTCGATAGCATTGAATGGCACGTTATCGCTATTGTTGCGGAGCGTAAAAGGCGGGAACTTCGTAGCTGCTTCGTCGACCCAAGCCGTGTCGAGCTTCCAGGACACGGAGCCAACTGATCCAGCCAGCGTCTTGAGCTTGCCAGCAGCTCTGTGACACATTGTGGTGGCGTTTAAGCCAATGTTCAGAACGGCTGAATTGTTTGATATGTCGCACTCAATGATGAAAGGTCGAGGACGAGACTTGATGGCAACCTCGTAGTCCGTAGCGGTCTTTGGGTCTTCGTACGGGTGGAACTCGGTATTGTTCGGCTTTGCAACTACTCGAAATCGGACTTCAGGAATTGCAGGCGCACATGGCTCACAATCAGAGTTTGCACGCAGGCCTTGTGTACCTGAAACTTTCAAACTCTGGCGAAGAGGCTCCAAGGCCCATCCATAAGCGGCAAAAAAGGCTTCATCATCCGGTTCAATACGGTTTTCGCCTTGGTAGCGATGGTGAGGAATCGAGGAGGGCAAGTCAAACTTAAATGAAACCAATGCCTTTGTGACGCCACAATCTGAGTCCAGAGATGAGCGCTGGAGACGAAGTTCTGAGCTCACGTTCATTGCTTCAAGCGAGCAGGAACTCCCGTCGACCCACTGGCCGTTCAGTGTGATTTCAGTGCACGAGAAAGCGTCTGTTTGCATCTCGGGACGCCAAGCTGCATTGATTGTGGCGGCAACCTCTCTGACCTGGTCGTACTGTAGCCTGGAGTGGTCACGAGCGAAGACAAAGCGGTCGTCTTCGGGATTGCCAATACGTGTAGGGTCGAGGAACAAGAACATATCAGGACCTTCAACCGGCTCGGCGCGCTTGTACAGAGACTCACAAGCGGTGCCGCAGTCACGAAGGAGCTTGTAAGTGCCTCTGATACCAGCGGGAAGAACAGAGTTGCTGCTGGACTTGATGTTCAGCTCGGACCAAACGCGTTCGTTTGCATGTCTGGGCAGACCAAGACGGGCAGCCCAAGAGGGTACCTGCTCACCCTGGCCTTTAATGAGCAGTTGGCTGGTTGGACTGCCGGCTCCCTTGCCGGGTGGAGGGTTGGCTTCCTTGAGAAGGCGCCATTTCCACTCGGACCCGAGAAAAGCACCTTGTGTCACCGGAGCTATACCCACAGGCTCTCCGAAGAACTTGCGAATCTCATCTTCACCGCTGAGCTCGTCTCCAGGCTTTGCATACAGCTTCCACTCACATGTCTGCGCACCTAATACAAGTTCGAGGCGGGCGAACAAGGACTCGTAGATGATGATCCAAGAAGATGTTCTTCTGAAGGTCTTGAATGTCAGAGGATGTGTGAGGGCTTCTCTGATTGCTGAGGTGTACCTCTTCTTGTTAGGGTCGTCCTTGGGTCTCTTCTTTGTGCTCTTGGAACGTGGCTCCGGAGCATTTAGAAGTGGAGCAATAAGAGCCATGAGGTTGTCTGTGGAATTGAACTTCAAAATCATCGGAATGCGAGACCTCCACTTCTGAATGAAAGCCTCTGGGCGGCCACGCTCGATTTGACATGGTTCTACATAATCGTGGCTAGGCTTGACGCCACATACAAGACAAGAGCTGTGACCGCATTCCTTGCAGATCTGGATAGGCGCCTCAGATAGACCAATCTGTCCTTCACAGACACACATCGCGGCTGACTTGGAGGCATCAGCCCGAAGTTCGTGTAGATCGATACGTCCTGATGTCGCCTGGGAACTTCGGTCGACCTTCAATTCTTCAAGTGAGGCGATGACACTTTGGAAAGCAGCTTCCTTGGTCTCGATCTGATGACCAGACGTCTGTGGCAGCGTCCTAAAGCCCGCAATGAGAACAGAAGCGATGGCCGATCCAACCACTGTGGTACTCATGGCATTACCCGCCAGATCCTGGATGTTTCTCTCGGTCTCGGTGGTGAAAGAAATCTTGTCCAAAGGCAGACCTTGAAGCATCAAACTCTCGGTGAAGGTCAAGGGACCGCCTCTGTCCGTAATGTAAAAATTGCCGGAAGGAGTCAGGCAGGGGGCGATACCGAAGGGTGCACCATCGGTGAAGCGATCGATGTTTTGGGAGACATCCCAGATGCGAGTCTTGTACTGGGCATCATAACCGGGAAGAGGGTCAGGTGTGATTCCAGTCTTGCGGTCTTCCTTGCCGAGGACCATGTTAGCCTTACGAAGCTGTGACATATCCACGAAGTCCCAGACACGCTCGACTTGTTTGCCGAACCAGAGACGGTTGCAGTTCTCGGGCAGAACAAGTGTGCCACTCTCTTGCCAGTTTGTCACAGGGCGAGAAATACCCAGCACCTTATCTCTGCGATAGTTGATGTGGCGGATCTCGCACTTGGCCCAATCGACCTCCCTGAGCGAAGCGTCAAGCAGAGACTGACGAGCCATTGACTGGCTTGCACGGGTGACCAAAGGATCGTCATTGGGCAAGATGAACGATGAGAAGGGTGAGCTGACTGGCCTTCTGAAGTCCGCCATTCTCTCATAGAAGTTTTCCTTGAAAGCAGCAGGGTCAATGTTGCACGCCTCCAGCTTGTCCTTGTCAATGCAGACCATGTAGCCTCGTTGGCGGGTTTGCGGCAGATAGTAGTTCTTGCTATCAACAAGAACTCCAGCCGAGACATATCGATACTTTTCGTATTCGGCCAGCATGTTGTCCCATGGTGCGCCAAAGACATTCTCCAGAACGAGCATAGTCGGGCGATATTTCTTGGCATATGCAAGAACGGCAGCGAATGTGTCACCAGATTCGCCGCGCTCCTCCAGAGTCTTCTTGTTGTTGTTTAGGTTGGAGAAATCGACGCAAGCGGTACCAGCGATCACCATATCCACATCACCAGGGATTTCGACTTTGGCACCGTATGCGGTAGTGGCTGTGGCCTTTTTACCCTCTTTGCCCTCTTCGGCTCTGGTGATCTCGGTGATGTCCCTGAAGATGATAGGAGGGCGAAAGTTGCGCTCAATGTAGGCCTGCTTGAATGGAACAATCTCCGCACTGAAGACATGTTCGTACTTCAACTCAAGACCACCCTCTCTCTTCTGGATGCAATCTGAAATCATGTCCCAGGCGAGCAAAGGGCTTTCGGTGCCCGAGCACATTGTGGAAACCTTTAGGGGGCGCGGACCGACATGCTTACAAACATCCTCAAGAGTGTACTTGTGGGTAGTCTGCAGCGTCTGAAATCCCTTTCCCACCATGTGGTTAAAGATGGATGTGATGTCCGAAAGAGGAGGCAATGTTCCGTTGACATTCTTCTTCATACCTAAGTTGAGGTTCTTCATGTTGACTTTGGTCTTCTTGGGTCTCGACTTCTTTTGTTGTCCTGAAGAGTCGGCGACTTCCATCGACTCAGTCGACTCGGTGGGCTCAGGAACGGACTCAGGGGTGGACTTTGCAGGTTGGCGAGGACAGCCACTGTTGCCCTTCACTCGCTTGCGCGGCGATCCCTCAATAGAGACGGATGCATCAGAGACAGTTTGGTTTGACGACGAGGGTGGAGCAGACGACATCATGGAAGATGTTGACTGTTCGTCTTCTGACTTGGTGTAAGAATCTTCCTCGGCGGAGGAGCTTCCCTCGGGCTGTTGCTCAAGTTCCTCGTCAGAATCTCCAATGTCTGCGTAAGCAGTGTGATCGGAGTAGTTGGGGCGATTGGTGACACGGGTAGTTCGGCGGGTAGTAAGAGACTGCTCTTCAAGAAGCTCGGAGGACTTGGGTTGAGTTGACGGAGGAGACTTCTTCTTGGGTGGACGAGCGGCATAAGCAACATCAGTGTTCTTCCTCTTGTTCGCCATGATGGGCGAAAGGATGGGACAGTGCGCCTCTGCGGTTGCTGGCAAAGATCGATGCTTGACAAACTGATTCAGGGGTTCTTGATGTTTGCGCGCAGGGACAATGACTGGAAAAAAAGGGTCAACAAAGAGCAGATAGCCTAACGAGACAGCTGAGCTTACTCTCAACGTGCGAGAGGATGCGACGGGGAGTTGTTGTATTGCGCTTTGCTCTCAGTGCCGTGGGCGCTTTTCCAGGGGCTGAATTGTTATGGTGTGTGCTGGTGGTGAAAGCGCTGGCCTCCATGCGCTCCTTCTTCGTGCGACGGTTCTCTCGATCTTCAAGCCAGAAACGAATATCACCTACTCGCTTTCTCACCTCTGCGGAAGGTTTTCCACCCACGAAGATATGCTCATCCATCTCTGAATCAGAGCTTTGTGCTCTTGGTGCATCGTAAGTGTACCTTCTTCGAACCATGATGAACTCATTCACCCCTGAGCAACACCACTCTTACAATTGATAAGTGTGTGGTTGTGGACACACATGTCCATACTTCCAGACTCCAAGCAAAGGAGGAAGACGCGACGACCGAGGGACGCGTCGAAAAAGCCCATATCTTTTCCAAAAAGAGCTGGCGTAGTCGGTCTAGCTAAGCTCCGAGCACCGGTCCGAGGATCAACCGAGGCATCCAGGGTCATCTATTCTACAAGGTTTGTGAAGACAGAAAGCAAGAAAACAATGCTGCTAATGTGTCAGAGACCTCGAAGTCTGCCGGAAGCCTCAATCAAGGGTATGCTGATGCCCTCAGAGGCCAAGTCCATATCAAGTTCGGGGTTAGGATGGCGATATGCTCGTGTGTCGTCCTGGTCAATGAACTGACATCACGAAACCCCAAGACACGAGCATCTTCTGAACGTGCCGGAGGAAAAGTTGAGAGGTACGGAACCGCCGATGAGCAACAAAGCCTCGCAGTGAGGTACCGATGTCCGGTGAAAACCTTTGCAATTTGGGGTCGTTCGTCGATGCTGAGTCAGGCTCTCGTTTTGAACGAGAATTCTGAAGCAGTGTAACCATGAGAGGCAGAGCTCACACTGGACTGTTACTACTGCTGAAACCGAAGACCAAGTCTTGTCATATGCAGCTATAGCTCTGAAGATAGCATGGCCATACCTGGGCACACCACGCTGGCATCAGCCTATAAGTGTCATATGGCGGAGAGGATAGGAAGTGCAAGTTGCGATGAAGGTCGAGGTGAAAGTGATATGGAGAAGAAGCAATGAGATACGATCGAAGCAAAAGAAAGGTAGGCGATGACGATTGGACGAAGTGGCGAGTGAGTAAGAAAGAACACACGCTCCTCAGACATGCAATGAGCGGAACTCGTGTCTCACGGTCATCGCAACGCATAGGCTGCAAGAGGTAAGTGCGATAAAGAGGTAAGAGAGGAAGGAGACAGGAAGAAGAGAAGCAAAGTGAACGCACCTCGACACGTGCGATGGTCAGGACGCACGTGTTCTGGACATCATCCCAAAGGGCAAATGCTAATAGCGAGCAGTAAGTTTACTCAATATAGCACCAGAAACCGTCGACCAACGACAGCAGCGAGCAAAGCGTGTTAGATGTCGAAAAGTGTATTTCAGCTCGTCGTTGGATGAAGCTGTTAGAGAAATCGCTTCGTGTCGTGTGTGTAGCACGACGACTCATCTCTCGGCACGATATGCACTGACCGCCGTGAAAGGCGCAACCACGAACAACGTTCTTGCGAATCGAGAAGAAGGAAGGAGCCTGACTTGCAAAAAGATGAGTTGGATGCCGGCAAAGATAGGCAAGAGGCGTGTGCAACGAAAGCAAAGGTAGGCACAGGAGTTGTTCGTTTTCTTGAACACGCACCTCTGCTTCTGACGACTACTGAATGTGCACGCTCCGCACAAGCGATAGGAGCTACCTTCATGCCTTTAGAGGCAAGTACGAGAGATGTTGGAACTAGGAAGTGGCAACGGGTTGAGGTTGTTGAAGAAGGGTGAGTGACCGAGCACCTTCCTATATCAGCTTATGAACATCGTTGTTGACTTCGCGAAGGCCAGTATGAAATCTGGATCATCAAGTCACAGTGTCCGATGTGCAACGGTGGGCTGCATGTCCGCATCGTAGCACAACATTCGGCGATCATTCAAGGTTCGACACAGCATCTTTTGAAGAGCACAGGCGATTGAGGGTACAAGCTGGGCAACTATGATTATTACTGCATACTGCATCAACTATTCGTTACAGAGTCCAGCTCCTTCTGTCATAAACCGAACTACTGAACCATCTAACAAACGCTAATTTTCGGATCACATTAGACCAACAGGGGCTTAGTAGCGTTGTTGGGAAGCTTGACGCGGAAGAGAGCGAATGGACGTTGTCTCCTATCAGTGCCAGGCCAGACAAGAGGACCAAAGGCAAGCTGGTTGTTGGTGAAGTAAAGGTAACCATCAGTACCAGTGCTCATCTGCAAGAACGCAATTAGCAACTATCGATATCAGGAAACACTGATAGCAACTCACCGTGTCAATCCAGTTGAGACGAGGGTCGCGCACAAACAGCGAATCAGTTCCATTCGCAGGGTTGTAGAAGCTGATAGCATTTTGCTCAGCATTACCGTGGTAGATGTAATTATTAGTATCAGTCTCATAGCCATCCGAGACACCCTTTTGACCACGGCTGACCACTGAAGCCTCAGCAAGAGCTTCCGAGAATGGTCCATGGGCACGCAATCTAGCAGTAGGGATCGAGTACAAGTATCTCTTTCCCACACCACCGAAGAAGAGGTCTTCGCCATCGGCAGAAAGAGCAATACCATCAGCTCCAAAGCCTTGGAAGCCAAGAGGTTGACCAGCGTTGTATGCATAGATAGGTACGCCCCAGACGTAGGCAAGGAACTGTTGGGCAGGTGCTACATATTGAGAGCCCTGCAAGTGACGCCAGGATTCACCGGTACCGAGATCGACGATAACAAGGCCAGTACGACCCTCGATCGAAGAGTCCGTGATGTAGGCGACTCCCTTGCCACTGGCTGTAATGTTTGGACGCAGGTCAAAGCGAACGTCGTTCAAGTAGGAGTCTCCAGGAGCGACATCTGCAGGGAAGATGATGGTCTGGAAGACAGTGTTGTTCGACAGGTTGATGCCAACCAGCTTGGGTCCGCCAACAACGGCATTGACAATGGTACCGTTAGGCTCTTGAACTCTGCCTGTGTCGAGGACCCAGAGACGGTCGAGCGAATCAATCACAACACTTTGAACACCGATGAAGTGGTTTTGGTAGTTTGCTCCGGTAGGAGGGTATGTGGTGTAGTTGATCGCTTTCGAGTTTAGTTAATGTATCACGAATATCATGACTACTCTACTCACCTCCTCCTGGTGGATTGTTCCACTCAGCATTGGGATATGCTGCCTCGGTGGTGTTTGAAGTCAATTCGGCAACGGTGTATTTGCCATTGGTGCCATTGTTGGTGTTGTTCTTGTCCAGGGCACCAGGGTAATTCGAGAACTTGCGTCCAGTCGAGGATACAGCAATACCAGTGGGCCATTCATCATAGTATAAATGAACAACTTCCAAAGGAGGTCCTGCCTTTACAGAATCTTGGATGAGCTCCTGACTCGAGACAAGCAGAGGCAGCAATGAAGCTGCAGCAAAAATTGTCGATAACATTTTGAAAGCTGCTTACTTCCTTGAAAGCAGAGAAACAATTGACCTACCTCGATGATCTGCTAGCTACTTGTATGCGTGCCTGACCTGCCATGACATAAATTCATCTATGAGATCGACCAGAGCACGTCATGAACGTCCTTGGAGGGCTCGGCATCCAGGCACTTCTTTGCGGAACGTGACGCCGCATCGAGAGACGAGGGGATGAGGTTGTATGCAAGAACGGCAGGTAGGAGAAGCGGGGAAAGCACATCATCTTTGCGTCGAGACGTTTGGAGCTTCGGCTGGTGAGAGCCTCAGGCATCACCCTGGCCAGGAATTAATTGTTACAGCAAACAACATAATCAATACCAGACATGACATCTAGTAGGCCTGCCTTGAGCACAATCGCAATAGAGCAGGGCGAGGCTCCGCAAAAACAAATTCACCTTGCAATCTCAACTTCACAAGTAGAATAAAAGTTCGAGGAACGGAATCGAGAAAGTGGTTCATGAAGACATCGAAGTTGGCACGAAGGCTGTTGGTAGCTGGAGGCATGATTTTGTATCTTTTTCTTTTTCGCTCGCCCGCCCGGCTCTTTTTGGCTTTTGCTTCATTCAAGCGCGTGGCGGACAAAGGAGTAAAAGCAACCCTAAGTCGAAATGCGTGACTCGTCCCAGCCCATTCGCTTACTCCGTGTTGACGATGATGATGATATTTCCATTGAAAAGAAGCACCAGCCCAGCAACGTTGCCAGAATACACAAAACGCGCTTAGAAGACGAGAGCGGCACCCTTGGTCTTCTTGTCACCACTGTAAAGAGAGGCAGGTCAGTATTGGACAGAGATGCGAACAAGAGCGGAAGAACATACCCCAGCTCGAAGTGCTTGCAACGCTTGAGCGCAAGCTGTGCCTTGGTCTTGCATGCTGTGCACTCCAGTCTCAGGACAACCTTCTTGGTGGTCTTGGCCTTCTTGTGGAAGACAGGCTTGGTCTGACCACCGTAACCGGACTGCTTACGGTCGTAACGACGCTTACCCTGGGCGAAGAGGGAAGCCTGTAATGTAGATAATGAGTCCCTGTTGACAGTTTGTGTTTGCTCAGGGCACCATCCGTACCTTGCCAGCCTTGTACTGGGTGACCTTGTGCTGGGTGTGCTTCTTGCAGTCCTTGCCCTTGCAGTAGGTGCGGCGAGTCTTGGGAACGTTGACCTGAAGAGCGCGCCTTGATCAGCATTTCTTCAAGGGAGCCTGGTATGTTGTGCGCCGTGTCTATTCTTTGCAGCTATCGTCTTCGCTCGGCCGTGGCTGATCTCGTGTTGTTCGTTTCGTCTGGTCGTTCATTTCGTCCTGCGTGTTTGCGATACGCGGCATTCGAGTGCGTCGTTCAGGAAGGATGTGATAGGCGGAAGATCAGGTCGCTTGTCGACTGTTCAGAGCTCGTGGGCGGCAAAGTGCGTCGTTCGATCGTACAGGTGATAGCATGGAGAGATGTGGCCTCGGTCGAGTCGAAAATAATTCCAATATTGCATCCAAAGACACGGCGCACGAGATAACATGGCTGCTTACCATTTTGACGGTATTGGTGTGAGTCGCTGGGTGGTGGAAGAAGAGTCGTTTTTGCGGGCCAAATCAAGCGTCGTGCCTTGTCGAGCAAAATTTGACAGTGTGTGTCCTACGGGATCAACCGAACGCTGCCAAGACTATCTTATGCAGCTCTTGTGCAATCGGCATGCTATCTACGTACAGAAAATGAATTTGAAGGCGATGATTGATTTTCACATAAAACGTTCTTCTGCTTGTCGCATCATGATTCACTTTCTCTTTGTGTCGCTCATCAAGCTATCTCTGTAAGGTCGTGTATCTGTGAGATGGATGCGTGCGAGGGCGCATCCGACGTTGACTTCAATGCTGATGGGAACGAAGCTTTCTTTAGCACTTGCCATTGTTGGCAACCATGATTATCTAACTCTCAGTTCCAAATCAATAGTAAGGTCTTGACTCCTCCCATTTGCGCTTCTCAATCTCCAGACCACTTCCAGATGTCATGCTATCGTCCAGTCTTCCCGGACTTGTAATCTTTCCCACTGCTGGACTCTGGTGTGCTGAACCTCCTTCGATGCGATATACTGCACCAATCCACTCCCACATCCTGCTAACATCTCCTGTGCGGCCCTCGCGCACCATAGTCCTGACATTGGCATTACCCTCAACGAGTTTCTGCACGGCCGTCCAAATTCTGTTGCGCTCTTGTGCGCGGAACTCGTCACGAAGCACGTCGTCACGAAGGGCGACCATGCTAATCAATGGTTCAGGATAGCCAACGGGATCTTGAGCGTGTAAGCTTGCCTGAGTGGCGAGCTTGTCAAGAGCCACTCCTGCCAAATGTTTGGCCTGGGTTGAAGTAGAACGACGTTTTGAGATGGTACGCTGGCCATATGCAACTGTGATAGCCAAAGCAAGAATACCTACAAGTTCGCGAAGATGCTGTCTAATCGTGAGGCGAACTGATCGTTTGAGGGCGCATCTGAAGCTGACGGCTGCGAGAGATGTGCTGCGGAAGGAGCGGACAGAGGTTTGTCTGTTGTACCGAAGGCGGGTCTGTTAGTGAACTCTTCATGTAAGCCTGATGATGCATAATTGAAACAAACGATCGAATGCAGAAGAGAGACATGACTTACGAATCAACTTTGGTCTTCACCTCATCACGTTTAGGGACATCGTCGATCGCTTGATCAATCAAGTCAAGGATGTCCTTCATGTTCTTGCCCTTGGCGGCGATGGTTGCCTTGAGCTCGGGCTCAGTCAAGTATGGAGTCTTGGTTTCGCCGCACTCATACTTCGCGTTTGCCTCACGCAAAACAGTCTCAACGGCATGGCTCGTCAAGGCCGTGATCTTGCGAAGCTTCTCACTGTCCGGCTCGCAGGTAGGCGGTATGGGAACGAGACCACCAAGCGCGAGAGGGTGTTGGACAGGCACAAACCCATCATCACAGATAATCCGGAGGTTCTCTCGACATTCCGCATGCATTGGACAAGGCTCGCATTCTGGCAACAGGAACGAAGCCCACTCAGGGATATCAGCACCAGCGAACTTTTCTGATGGCTGTCCAATACCACAGAAGCCAACCTTGACCTTCTCCTGTCGCCAAACAGCAGCAACCGCAACAAGTATGGTGAACAAGACGGTCATAAATCCAGCTTTGGCTGCTCCAGATCTCGGTTTTTGCTTGCGAGGGACACGACTGAGCGCAGAACGAGGGTTTTCTTCTTGAGCCTTGATAAGTTCGTTTTGTTCTTCCGGAGTAAAGTCTTCGCCGGCAACCATTTGGTCGTACTCCTCCTCGTACTCTGGTTCAACCTTCACTCGAGCGACGGGCGTTCTCGACACAGCGGTAAGATCCTCTTCCTGGCGATAGAAGCCGTCGGTTCTGCGTCTGGCATCTCTGCTCTTTCTTCTTTCTCTGTCGGCTGAAGGCCCAATCGTTGTTCGTCTTCGGTCTCCGCTCTTGCTACGATGGCGGTATGCAGATGGCGGAGAGCTTCCGCTCTGGAATGGATTGTCCTTTGAAAATGGTGAATCGGCGCCCTGATCACGGTAGATAGGTTGTGGAGGCTCGCTGGGGAAAGAGGTCCTGGCGACACGTCTTGGAGTAGGCTCAGGCTCAACGGTAGCATGCTTGCTGGAAGCACGTCGAGCACTTGTCGAAGCGAAAGACCTCCTGGTTGAACGGGGTGTGGGCGCAACAATGTCTTCTGCAGCTGGTCGCATGACGGTACGCCTAGTAGTCCGCCTTGCTGGAGTCGCAGAGACAGTGATGTTGTCGTCAGCAGTGTCTTCCTCATCATCGTCGTTGGTGCTCGATTGGCTGGAAGGTACGTCGACGATGCCTCTTGCCGAGCGCACAGTACGCGACTGGGCATTCAGTAATTTTCTGGCCTGGGGAGCAACATTCGAGTTGAAGATGGCAATTAGATCGGACTTCTTTGCAGATGAAGGATAGGCGACATTGTGGGCGACCAGGATGGAGCGCAGGCGGGGCACTGTAAGAGAGCTTGGATCAAAGTCCGGCTGCAGGTATGCGTATTCGTCGTCAGCCATGGCTGCGGAGTGGTGAAGGATGATCGGTATGCACCGTCTAGAAAAGGTCAGTCGCTCGTGCACCAACTCGGTTCGTTTGCGCGAAGTTGTGCAAAAGGAAACAAGGAAAGAACGAAGAAGGCCGTGTTTATCAGAGGTCCGAGCTTCCTGTTGCCTGTTCAATGTCGCTCCGATACGTCAGTAGTGCCTGCCCTTTTTTCATCCAAATGTGGGGAAATAACCATGACCTTTGAGATTTCGTCTGAGCTGTCTAGAAACTTTTGAATCATTACAACAACTCACTGTCTTTCAACATGTCGTGTGCGAAGTGTCAGAACCCCCTGGTTCTGGAGGTCGACTACTCGGACGATGAGGATGTGTCCATGGGCGCTGGCTCGTCCAGCGCAGCAGCTCAGAACACTCAGACTGTTCCTGATGATGTAGCTCTTAACTGCGGCTGCCACTTCCACTGGTATGTACAATTTTCTGTATGCAGCTCTATGGTGTATCTGTATCTAATCATGTTTTGCCAATGTACAGGCAATGTTTGATCGACGAATATCAAGTCACCGAATGCCCTTCATGCCACCGAAACCTGCTTACTCCCGGCCCCAACGGAGGTCAACAGCTTCTCTGCACCTTGCACAATGAGGGTGGCGTTCAAGAAAACCTCGACATCCTACCTATCCTGACCGAGGAAGCCTACCTACACGCATACCCCGAAGACAGAATCAGCCGCGCTTTCCTTGAGCTTTGCCGCGAAGGCGACGTATCTGCAGTCGTGGACTTGTTGAAGAGCTGCAATGAACCCGACTCTGAAGATGAAGAGATGGATGATGAGCCTGCCATACCCAAAAAGTCTATGGATGAGATACTGCGTTACCAAGACCCCATTGGCGACATGCAGTCTGGTCTTCACGCAGCAGTTGCTGGAAACAGCCGTGAGGTCGCTTGGTTATTGCTGTTGCTTGCGTCTCAACTACCTGAGATGGAGTTCCCTGCTCTAGTATTCCAACAAGCAGCCTCGTTGGGCATCATGAGAGAGGATCAAACTGGCAAGGTCGACATCAGAAGTCTCAGAGATGGTCAGGGTAGAAGTGCAGAACAATTGGCTGCAGAACTTGGTGGAGTGTGGCATGGCTGGCCTGGCAGTGGTCGTCTGACGGTTTAAGACCTCAACGCTTCATGTTGGGATTGCTGCCTGACTTTCGTACCGTTCTCTGTCTGGACAGAAGCTGCGAAATCATGAAGTGGTTGACATCCTCATCCGCCCAGTAGGAAAGATGCGAAGCCACTGCTGCGATCAGAGAAATGTCGAAGGCACCCCTGAATCTTGGATTAGTCTCTTTTTGGTACTGAGAAATTGCATTCTCACTTACTCTTGGATGCTGTAATCGACTCTTCCGTTCGAATTCAATGCTCGAACCTTGGCTTCCTCCTTCTTCAGCTTGCGACCACGTTCTTCTGCTTCTGCCCTTTCGCTCTCGGCCATGTCATGATCCACATCGATCTGTGCGCTTTTTCGTGTATTTTGGAAGCCAGCATATAGCGTTTCCAATTCAGCGTCGATGAGGGTTGGAGGGCGTTCACCAACTGCGTCAGCTCTTTGTGCATCACCGACCAATTTGTCCGTCGGATCTCCCTCCACTTTGTCGATCTTAGTGTTCGTGGCTGGTGCAACTGGAACTGTGCCTCCAGCTACATTCGTTCCAGCACCAAGAGATAGCGGAGTGCGGGATTGGCTGGTGCCTGCCGGCCCTCCCAGCTTGCCTGCATCCTCAGCTGTAAATCCGAGACTACGGTTGAGTAGACTGCTTGCTATGCCAGAGCTGAAACTCGACCAGAGACCAGAAACGCTCTGGCCTACCCGTGCACCAATACCTGTAAGACCTTGGCCAGTTGCGGTGCTGAAGATACCTCGTTTGGTGTAGGGTAGCGGTTGTGGCTTGAGAGATGACATTGCAGGAGAGATCAGAGGTTCAATACGATAGCTGATGGGATCGGTAGGATGGAAGATGTTAAAGACCTGTCGGCACTTTGGCGAAGAGACAGGCAAGTCAGAATTTTGAGTGCCCATTCCTGTCAGATTGTCAGAGCTGGACGACGTTGAGCCCAGAAAGGCGGCTGTTTTGGAGCTCGTGTGGCCTTGCCCAACATCTCTGGCAGAGATGGTGCGGCCCTTCAACATCTGGAAGAGGCCAATTGGCGATCCAAGAGCGTAAAAGTCTTCGACCTCAAAGTCCAGCTTCATTGGATTTCGCGCAGCTTTACCAGAAAGCTTTTGCTGCGATTCGTGTCTCTCCTGGAGACACAAAATGTCGAACATGATGGCTGATCCTAGCGAATGGCCAACCAAGCTGACTTTTCCTTTGAACGACGGGTTGCGTTCGCAAAACAACTTGTAGATCCGGTTGCACTCCTCAAGCACGATGGACGCAATGGCGTCCTTGTATGCTGGGCTTTGGTAAAGGAGAATGTCCAAAGCTAGATCGGTAATCAGGTTTCTCACGGCTGGTACACCTTCGACGGAAATGTTGTCAAGGTTAGGGTAGTCCTCCTCTTCACCAAAACCACCGAATGCCAGATCGTGTTCCTTTCTGTTGTGTTTGAGAGCGCGATTGGGGAAGTCCAACTTGTGTCTCCAGTTGATAGGTAGTACCTGAATCCGGCAATTCTTGGGTAGCGCATCGACCTCTGAGTTCAGCGCCTGCAAGTCAGCACTCTCGCTGTAAACGGCCTTGAGGGTCTTTCGAAGAGTATTCACGTCTCCCACGAAGTTGACTGATTCCATGCGTAAGCCTAGACGCTGACCTATGCCATGGGTGACCAGCAGAAGATGTTCTATTTCTCGATCCTGTTGCTCTCCCTCTCTGTCACGGTAGTCGTCTTGAATCTCCTTCTCGTCTCGTTTTCGGACCTCTTCCTCCTGCTTCTGAGGATCTTCCTGACCGGCATTGACGAGAGAACTCATCTGCTGCTCCAAAGTCAGACGGTGCTTCTCAGACTCAGGACTTGCCACCTCTGCATGGAGACTGTCCGGTTTGCTTCCTTCCGCAGATACGAGTGCTTTACCCTTTGCATTGCCAGGCTCTTGCGAGGAGACATCTACAGTAGCAGACTTGGGATCTGAGCCTGCCTTTGATTCCTTCTCTTCAGGCTTCTTGGCTTGCAAGACATAGCCACGAGTGACCTTGATACCAGCGTAATGAGCACCTCCAGCAAAACGTCTGTAGACACCACTGCTCATTCTGCTAATGAAATCGTCCGTGAGGATCCACGCAGTTGTTGTATCTTGATACGTCACCACAGAGTTTGAATGCGGTCCGAACAATCGATATGTCTGGACACGATGAGCAGATTCCGCATCTTCAGCATTTCTGATGTTCTGGTCGCGGAGATTAGGAAGCGATCCTTTGGAGTTTAGTGGAGACGAAGTAGCAGAGCGAGACTGTGAGGCCGATCTGGTAGGTGTGGACTCCTGCTTCTTCCATTTCCAAGGGGTAGCCCTAACATATTGTTCCTCTAGCTGAGCAGCCAGATTCTCATCGCAAGGCTTCTGGACAGCGCCCTCTGTCACACATCGTCAGTAATGAGCTCTAGTGGTGTTTCGAAAAGCCTGACCTTGGTAGAACCAAGTTCCGCGGCGAACCTCATACACCGGACCTAGCCAGTATGCAGGAGCCAGCTCTCTGTTCAAGACATCCACATCGAAAAGGTAGTCTTCATTAACAGGAACCTTGGCAGATTTATGGTGAGAGTCAAGCCCCGGGTCTTTTATATCTGAAGTATCATCCAAGTTCTCCAGCTCCCTTCGTTCAGCGGCATCGTCCTCTTTTGATATCCTGTGGAAAGCCCTTTCGATGGCGCGCGAGTCTTTTTGGGAAAAGGGAGCGTACTTCTTGGGAACGACTTTGGGTGCTTCAACACCCTCGGCTTTGCCCAGTGGCTTGTCAGAGTAGACAGGTTTACGTTTGGGTACATCGACAGCAAAGAACCACTGAACACGCAGAGGTGGGCAGTCTCGCGGGTAACGCTTCAGACTAAGGCGATGTCTGTGGCTGACTTTGTGGTCTCCTCCTCGTTGCTGTCTGAGGCCAATATCACCCGAAGACTGGTCGGAAGTGTCTTGTGGCTTTGTGACGGGGCTACGAGGACCCCAGGGCGATAGCCTGTTGATGCCAGCGGCCAGATAGGATTGGTTCTCTGGAGTGGACATGTTGGTGCCCTCGGCCCTGCGGGCTGGAGAGGGATCTTTTGGCCAGACGGGGTTGTGCGACGAGGGGCGGGAGGTGGAAGAAGTAGCGGTGGGAGGATAAGCAAGCTGGGCTCGCACACGGTTGATCAATGAAGCAATACGCGCCAACGTGTCTACAGCTCGAAGCTATCGGGTCTAGTATCGTCTTTACGTCTTGGCGAGGGGCTGCTGCGGTGCAGTGATTTGACTGGAGAAGGAAGAGCAAGAACTGCTGACAGTCTATCTATGAAACTAGGTGGAACAGGTGTTGAATGCGAGCTTGTCTGTACAAAGACGCCCTGCATACATGACGTGCCTGCATGCTGCCCCTCGTCGCCGCGAAGCTCCCTCAGCTAAAGTTTACGCCAGTCAACTCCGACGTGCTTCAGCCCTATCGGCATTTCCTCCTCAATTACCCGTCGTCTCAATTTTGTCCATCTGTTTTTTTCTTCCTTGTCTTCCTGCATCTCCATCTTCACCACCACAATTACTGCTCTTTGCAGCCCTGCATCATGGCGTCAGAAAAGTCGGTCGAGCATGCTCATATTGAGAAGCTCATTGCCAACAACCTCCCTGGCAGCCCCATCTACGCCTTCCTGCTGACTCCTGTGCGTGTCATCTCGGCATCAAAAGGACATGTAGTGTGTCGTCTGCCCCTAACAAAGAGTCACATGAACTCCAAAGGAGGCATTCATGGCTCAGTCTCGGCTACCATTGTAGACTGGATGGGTGGCATGGCCATCGCGTCGTACGACCTGCGCGAGAAGACTGGTGTAAGCGTTGATATTCATGTCACCTATCAGAGCTCTGCAAAGGAAGGTGATGAGATAGAGATCGAGGGTATTGCCGACAAGGTTGGTGGTTCTCTGGCCTTTACCAAGGTCAACATTTTCAAAGTCCAGGACGGTCAGCGTGGCGTCGCTGTCGTGGCTGGCACCCATACCAAGTTCGTCAGAGCTTGATGAATATTGAACACAACACGCTTTCTTCTTTGCGTCTGCCATACATTTGCTCTTTAGTGGCTCGGACTCACTCGGAATGCGAAGATCAACGTCTTTCGTGCTTTAGAAGCCACTGTGATCTTTTCGATCTGACCAGTGCGCAATTTTTTGAAGACTACACTTAGATATCACACCGTACACCTCTTGCATATCAGGCCTGCCAAATCTTCGAATCATGCCACTGCCCATATGTTGTTCTCCTGCAGCCTCGAGTCCTTGCATACTTCGATGCAAGGCCTGGCCAGCCCACATTGCCGCTATTGTTTCATTGACATCTCTCTGGTACTTTAGGCTCTTCGAATGGTAGGGTACGGTACGGCAGAGCCACTCTCAGGGGCTGCAAATAGTCACTTTCTCTAGTCACTACTTAGGACGGTCATTATTATAGCAAAACCCACCAACTATCGAAATTCTCTCCGGTCTTGTCCGTGCAGCGGCTGGACTTCAACTTTCAAGTTCCCACCAGAAAATCAGATCCATCCCTACACGGAAAGCGCAATCTAGTTTCTGCATCGAGTATACACGGGTACCACGCACTTGTTTTTCAAAGGATCGAACATCTCATCTAGTTGTTTTAAACTCATCGTATGCATGTCTGTCATGCTGCGTCTGTGGGGTTAGGCGCAGTAGGTTCCGCTGCTGCATGTCAATCCGGTCGTTCGTGGTTTGTTTCATGGATAGAGAACGCTCACGCATGGAAGAGTCGAAACAATGGTCCGCTAAGATTGCTTACAGATGTCAACTCGAGATAAGATCCACCGTCGCTTGCAAACAACTGAGACACGGCAAGGTGTAAAACTAGGAATTTAGTAGGAAGTAGTGGTGACACCTCAGCGACCCCATCAGAGTGCCTGTTCTCCAAGACCTCCGGTAGCCGAGCACCCTCACCAACAAACTTGCCCTGACACTTTTTGGGTTTGGCGACCAGTCCTCCCTGCCGTCTTGGTCATCGGCTTCCCGGGAGCTTGTTCACGAGTAATGGCGGTGAGAGCAGCCATCTCGCTGATCCGGAATCGCATGCTCATCATTCTTCCTCTTTTGGCAGCCATTAATATACGCAGTGACAGGGGTTGAGAGGTCCTCCTGGTCAATCAAAACTTTCCAGAGTCGTCAGACGACGGCAAGGTGGCACGGTCGAGTAAAGGACTTGGAGACATTTCGGGGCAGAAGGCTCCGTACGAGACTGCGGCCTGAGAAAACGGTTGGCTCTGCAAGGGACAGGCTGCTCTGTTTTCTAGCACGGTGGCTTGAACTAAGGGCTTGGGAGTGGAGGATAAGCCTGATTGATGATGTGGCAGCTGTTTATTGGAGCCGTCTGTTGAACCAATCAGCTCGCCATCTCCTTTAGTCGCAATTGTTCTTGCTGCTAGGCTCATCGTCCGGCTTTCAATGGCTGTGTGGGTTTAGTGTTCACATGTTGAGGGCTCAATTTTTGGCGAGGAATGTGAACAAGCTTTCGTCCGTCCGCAGCCGCATTGCGAGCAGGCAGTTTCAGATGTCCAAAAGTGCTCGACAAAGTTTCTCGTGGCCTTTGCAGTGAACTGCACTGAGGCGGAGATCGTTCGCACACTCGCGTCATGCAGGCGGAGCGGGAAGAGTCGAACCAAGTAGACGCTACCAAGATGGCGCAACTCAGGCGGCGCACCCGATGCCTAGTGCCGCTGTTAGTGCCGTTGTTACATCTGGGCTCTGTGCGGTATCACACAATGACCGGGTCGAGGACCAGAAATGAGGACGACCAAGTTCTCGGGTCAAGCTGGCGGACCAACGTTTTGCAGGGCAGATTGACAAGCTCCCTGCGGGAGCGTCATCATGAATATCTGGAGGCGGAAAGGAGTCACCAAGTGTAGCGTCTGCCTGGGATCCTGGATCCGTATCGGCTGGACATGCTGGACTCCACAGATTCTCCATCTATCTTTTTCGCATATGACTCGCTCTGCATGATGAACAAATTGGCAGTTGCAGCAGCAGACAAGTGCTGCGAGCTTGATTTTCTTGACAGCGACCAAGCTCCTCCCACATGTGCTGTCGTGTACGTAGCTTGACAAGTGACTTCACGCATTTGCTTTTGTCGGCGATAAAAAAAATGCCAATCGTTGGCAGAGTGCTGTTGGCCAACGCCATCTTCTGACTTGGGAACCGTCATGCTTGTGCCAGTGGAGGCGCTTATCTTTGAGCGATTGGCGTTCTGTGGTGCAAGTAGAGGCGCTACCTTGGTGTAGGTACTGTACTGGCCACGCCCGTTTCGACAGTCTCGACCGGTTCGGTGCGTTTCACACAACCACAACTGCTCCGACCTCCTCCAGAGTCCACCACCTGCAATCTGCTCCTAGGAAAAGATCAATCTCACCAAGAAACTAGAGATCGTACAATCGAGACGGCGATCCACCGCACGAGTAATGCTCAATCTATGGATTTGGAAAGAATAGATTAAGTATGACCCGACTTGACAAGAATAATCACTCGACCACGAGCGCGCGCAGCCGTTCCGCAGAATGAGAAGTCATATTCCTCTCCATTTTGCGTCCACCAAAAAAGCCATGTCGAGGTCTAGAAAATTGTCGACCTTCTTGCCGGGACAGCAAGATGCCCTAACCCTTTCGGGGAGGCGCAAACCTACTCAACAAGCAGCAGCAGATGGTGCGAGTTTGAAGTCGAGAAATGAACGAAAGCTTGCGTGCCGCGGGAAACGGTTCCTACTCTGCCTACTCGTGGGTTTTCATCAAGGCCATGATCATCGCCCATCATGATCCACCATCCACGATCCCAGCGCGACTTTGCTTCGTGACTGTGGGTCTCTCGTTGCCAGTGGCGTGCATTCCGGACGATGCGAGTTTCGGAACGCCACATCGCGCCTTTTCCCCACCCACCTCAACGATGTTAAGAAACAACCTACCCACGCCGCCACTAGCCAACCAGCGTCCGTCTGCACATCGCGTCGGGCCGCTGTTTGCTGCACAGCTCCGCCGCATCTTCATCCCGGCGCGTTCTGCTGACCTGCTGCTGCTTTCCCCGTGATATACGTAGGTACTTTGGTGCGATACCGATACGATACGGGACACGCAGCGAGCGAGCCTCATCCAGAAAGCTTCTCGACTGTGTATCGATCTGGGTGGGCATGTGTCTTGTGTCGTCTCTCTCCTCCCTCCGTCATGTCAGGTCACGCAAAGCAGGGAAGGGCTTCGGAGGAAGCAGCCAGAATTAGATCATCTCATACGTCTTTGGCCTTTCCCAACACGTGCGCTGCTGACGGCTGTGCCTCCTCCTTTGTTTCCCGCGCAGTTAGGCCAGGGGATAAACAGCATTTTACCCAGCCGTCGGCGACCACGCCAAGTAGGATCCCCGCTCGCGAGCGACAAGTTTAAACGGCCTAGCCGCTGGAGACCCCTGCACCTTTCGTAGTCTCACCGAATCGTGCACGCTGCTCCGGCCTTGCGCTAACGGTGCGCCTTCCTCCTCGGATAGACCCCAACCTCTTTGCAGAGAGCTCCGGCCTGTTCTAATACTATCTATCTGAGGGCTGCTCCACGCCCTTTTTCTCGTTCGCGTTCGTCTTTCATGCACTCCTGCAGCTAGGCCAACTACGAGGTGTGTGTGTCTCCCAGCTACTTCTATCTGCTGCTTGTCCGTTGCCGATGCACCTGCATGCTTTCACTTTGCCTTACCTCAACCACCTCCACCACACTCACATCATCCCACACATAGTCACTAACCCGTCCCGTCGCCCTGCAGCGTGTTTCTGTCCACGACCTACGAACTGCTACGACACGACCTTTTACGACCATTCAAGGACAATTTATTCGTTTTGACCACATTTTTGTGCATCCTCCTGCAAAAGTATTCTGCTGCTGCTGCTTTTGCTTTCTGCACTCCAAAGCTTGTAGACGTTTCGATTAGTGCGTGCCTGCAACTCTTGCTCTCGCCGTACTACCTGCTCGTCGTCTGTTCACCCGACGTGTCTGAACTCAAGCTTCAACCTCACGATATCAACGAACGGCACTCTGAATCACCTCGCGTACGCGTCTTGACTCAAGTCTCATCACGACCTGCCTGCGACTGCTTTGTTCAGCTTCGAGGTTCAATTGATCCAGTCAGTTACCACTCAATTGACGTGTTGACGTTGGATTCTATCCCGCCGACTCTCGTGGTTCCTTTGTGACCACCCCACACTCGCTTTACCCTACCTAATCCATCAAGGATTATCCGGAGGTGCTTCTTTTGAGCAGCATCTTCGTCGTCAACGACAGACAAACTGGCTCTACCATCCATCTCTCACGTCCAGTCGCGCGGGTTCGAAGATCAGTGGTATCAACCAACCAACGTATTGCAAGCCACATCCACTGCGGAGCGTTTGCCTGCCCTGTCCCAACTCCAGACATTCCCGTCTGTGAGTTCTTCTCCTAGAGGAAGCTCCATCACTTCGGCCGAACCTGTTTGCGGTGCCGACACAGCTACCTCCTATTCATCCTCCTTCCACGGCGCATACAGCACCGGACTTAAAACACCCTCTCCCGACCACACCCCCGCCTATCGCAGAGATAGTGTTCAGTCCGGACTTCACGGCCAATCCATTCCCATCACGAGTTACGACCACAACAGCACTTCTTGTATCAGCATGAATCAAACCCAGCCTTATATGGATGTGAGCCAGAGTCACATGTCTAGCAGCATCCCTTCTTCGGCTCCCCCGCCAGGCCTCGGCCATTATGCCAGTTACCATCAACCGCAGCCCATCTCGAGCCAGTCTCACCCCTATGGTTCATCACCTTCATCCTACTCTCAGTACTACACCAATGGACTTGCTCCTCTCCATCACCCCTCGGCAGGTAGCTTAGGCTCTCAGATGGTTCCTCAGTCGCAACTGCCCCTTCCCAGTAAGTTTCGCCCAGAACTGATTTGTCTCCAATATGTGCCTAACCTTGTTTTCAGCACTCGCGAACAGCGTATCACCTAGTTCAGCACAGGGTCAATATTCTGGTGCTACATTCGATACAACAGGACAGGTCGCGCCGCCTGGCATGAAACCTCGAGTGACTGCCACCCTTTGGGAAGACGAGGGTAGTCTTTGCTTCCAGGTCGAGGCAAACGGCATTTGTGTGGCCAGACGCGAGGACAACCACATGATCAACGGAACAAAATTGCTCAATGTGGCTGGTATGACGCGCGGTCGTCGCGATGGTATTCTCAAGAGCGAGAAGAACAGACACGTGGTCAAGATTGGTCCCATGCATCTCAAAGGAGTGTGGATCCCCTTCGATCGTGCTCTGGAATTTGCCAACAAGGAGAAGATCACCGAGAAACTCTATCCTCTCTTTGTGCACAACATTGGTGCTTTGCTCTACCACCCTTCGAACAGCGCCAGCCGCACTATTGGTGGTGCTACTTCGCTGGTTCCTGGCGAACGTAGACGTCCCGATGATTACATGAGAGCGCCCGTTAGCCAACCTCCTGCCATGCCTCAGGCCCACTCGATGGGTATGCCTCAACCGCCGCATTCGCTTGCTCCTCAGCCGAATGGTGGAAGACCCGGTCTAGACAGAGCTCACACATTCCCCACTCCTCCTACAAGCGCCTCCAGCATGATGGGCATTGGCAACTCTGAAGGTTCTTACCAATGGAGCAATCAACCTCCTTCGACCATGCAGCAGCAACAACCCTCGCAGCAACCTCTGGCTATCGACACCAACATGAGCAACAGATCCGTTCCTACCACTCCCGCGACCACTCCCCCTGGAAGCGCTATGCACAGTATGCCTCCTTACCAGACTAGCCAAGGATACGACAATGGTCGCCAGCTGTACTCGGCTCCCTCGCAACCATCTCAGTACGGTCCTCGTTATGGCCAGCTTCAGCCCAGCCCTTACATTAAGAATGAAATGGCTCCTCCGGCTCGTACTGGCGTAGAGGCTGACCATGCAATCGACCAGAAGCCTCAAGATGGTTACACCAATCACTCTGGTAACCATGATGATGCCGAGGGTGAACACGAAGGTGAATACACTCATGCCTCGGGACCTTATGGTGGAAACCGCGCTTCATACGCTTACGCCACACCTGCCACAACTGCTTCTTTGCACAGTGATCAGACACACATGTCCTCGGACATGACTGGCTCGCCTCATCACAAGGCTTCTGGCGGTGCTACTCCTCGTACAACTAACAGTTACCACGCTGGATACACAACGCCTCAGCGCCCTCAGCAACTTCAGTCCAACCTGTTCAGCGTCATGAGCGACAACCGTCCCAATGGCCCTGATATGTATGGCCAACCCGGTCATGCCTATGGCCAAGGCTACCAACCTGTGAACGGTATGCAGAAGCGCATGCGTGATGACGATGTCGACGATCGCTACAACGAAGACTCAGACGGTCTCAAGCGAAGAAAGACAGTACGCGAAGGCAGCGCAGGAATTGGACGCCCTCGCTCCGTCCTGGCTGGGCACCGATAAGAACAGCCTTTCTCATCTGTTCATGCTCGTTGCACCTTTCTCCTTTTCTCCTTGCTGTGTTTTTCTGACGCCTCTCTTCTTTCGAGGGTCTTTTCGCTTTTTCCTTTTGTTTTTTTTTTCGCGCTCTTTCTCTCCTTGACTCTCTATAACGACAACCATGATGACGAACAAATAACTTTATGATGAATGATGTTTCAATTCATAAAGCGGAACGGGAACCACAAACAGCATAACCGGTCTCCCCTTGTTATTTGGATTTGCAGAACATTGTTCTTTTCCTCTTTCTCTCTTGTGTCTTTTTTCTGCATTGTTTGCCTTGGTTGTTTTGTGTCCTGTTTATTTTCCTCTGGCTCTTCCTAGGAGGTTGGTGATGATGATGAAAGCATGCCTATACAAAAAAGAAAGGGCTGTGTATCGGTGAAGACGTTGGCCAAAAGAAGAGGAGCTAGGAAGGTGTGAAAGGGAAAGGGGAATAAAAACGGAATTTTTGGGTCTTTTTTTTTCTGTAATGAAACAACTCTCTCTCTCCCTCTCACTCTCTCATCACAACGACAGACTCTCAATCTTACCTTCCTTCAATCCTCTTATGTTCCTTGTGTCGTTTGTGTGGCCCTCCCCCCTCTCATAGGCTATCCTCTCCTTTGTATCCAAAAAGTTTTTTTTGTTGCCGTACTCGAGTACTCTACTCCAATTTCAGAACCAGTTCTCTTTTTGACTTTTGATCCAATCTTTAGTTTTCGCACGATTCGTGCTATTGAGATTAGGTTGGCCGTTGGTCCCCCTCGTTGCTATCTGATCCGATCTGCAATTCTGAGACATCAGCTGGGGTGTGTGTGGGCTGGGGTGGGTTTTATTTCTCTCTTTTTTTTTCTATTTTTTCTTCTCTGGTTCATTCGTCAAATTATGTTCACCTAGACCATCGATAGAACATGGAATCTTGGGCTCGGATGGAGTATGTGATTGCACTGCCGTCCAATGGTCATTGCATTGGGTGATCTCCAAGAGACGACTAAGGGGTTCGAGTTTGCATGTTGGAACTACGGTTTTGTGTCGAGCAAGCTTGAAGCTGTGACACAATTGCAGGTTTGACCTATAACGACAGCTACGATACGATGTAGGCATAGAACCAAGGCTTAGTCCAGCGGCAAGAATCTTTCGAATGTATCCTGAGGGTCGTGAATGCGAAATATGCTCATTTGCGAGGTATTGTCGCTGATGATAGATAATGACAGGGTCGTACGAGCGACGAGCGATGAGAATCGCGATACAGAGTGGACGATAAATGGCATGGAATAAGTAGAATATTAGAATATTCCACTAATTTTGAGTGGAATATTCCACTACTTTGGCATGGAATAGAATCGTCAATTTAAGTGGAATATTGAAATATTCCACTCCTTAGTAGGAAGGTTGATATTACTACTAGATCATACGGTAATTCCTCTTAGTAAGGAGGTGACCCTGTGAATATGCTTACATAATCGTGCCAAGGCTCATGATTACTAATCACATAACAGGGTGACCCCTAATCTGGACAGGGTGACGATAACAACAACAGCAAGATTGGAATTAGCATGATTCCACTAGAAAATTGGCATAGAATGGAATAATAGCTAGAAGTGGTGGAATGGAATGGCAT